TTAAGATTATCTTAGTAGTCTACCGACTCTCTCCTTTTAACGAGCTCTAACTAAGGACTTAAGCTTAGTACCTATACTAAGTAAGATTCTAGGATTAACGAACCGATCCTAATAAGGAGCTTAATATCTAGATCTTTAAAAAGTAAGATTATAGCTTTTACTTTATAGATTAATATATTATCTTATATAATAATTATAGACTACTAAAAGAGTAACTAGCTTCTTTAAGAATAAACTCTTTTATAGATAAGAGGAATAATCTATTACTTATAGATATCTCTAGTTACTTTCCCTTTATTAAAAATATAGTATTCCTCTAGTCTAGCTACTAATATCTATCCCTATATTATATAAGCTAAGTATTTATAGAAGCGTAATATAAAGTAGTCGTTATTAAAGGCTTTTTAAGTAGTCTTTATAATATAGATTTATCTAAAGTAGCTATATTAGATTAAAGCTTTATTAGTCTATATAACTCTTATCTACTACCTATCTATCTAGTTTACGTACTTATATACCTATTATAGTTTTACTTACTTTTACTTCTTAGTAAGAAATAGCTTCCTTATTACTATATATTATATATAACTCTTTTTCTTAAATATAGTTCGAAGTATCCGGATATCTCGTAATATACCTTTAAGCTTAGTAATCTAATTAAATCTAAGCCGCTTTAAGTATATATTAGCTATAGCTCTATTTATAAGCTATTATTATATTTAAGTAGATATTATAGAAGAGCGTCTATAATACTATAATATACGTATCTTTTCTTATTAATAAGATACTAGAACTTATAATATTATTCCTTTATTAAAGCCGAGGGTATTTATAATACGTTATAGTAGCTAGCTAGTATATCTATAAAGAGCCTAGATAATATTTTTCTTAAAAGCTATAAATATAGTATCTCGAGCTATTATTCTATTAAGATATAAAGATATAAAGGAGACAGTGTCAAGACGCGTTAGTTTGTTAATACAGCCGAGAATGGTATAGTGTTAGCAGTTAGGCTAGCAGGGGTTGCTAACGTTTGTGCTGGGGACTGTATACCTCCGCCGGTAAATGACGATGATCGTATGCCGAGACCGACCTATCCCCCTCCCCTTCCTCCGCCCATCTCCACGACATGCCCGCCCGCCGACACCACTGCTGCTCCACTGTTAGCTGCTAGCCCGCTCGCGCTCTATTCGGTGCCGCCGTACAACGGTCCTGAGCCGGCGCTGGCCCCATATGATCCCAATGCTGGATCTCGTGGCTTTGGTCGTGGCAGAGTATGCACAACAATTTCAGCGAGCGATTTAGGGCTGTGCTAAATTTGTATGCAGTCGGCCAAAAAGAGGCAGAAGCAGGAGCCAGTGGAAGATGATGACGATGCTCTACCTGCAGAGGACCAGAACATGCCCTCAAAGAAGGTGAAGAAAGGACCTCAGGCCAAGAAGGAGTGCAAAAAGCCAAAGACAGACGGACCGTCCCTTTCCGTGAGGAGATTGAAAGCGACATTATCGTAAGCATATTTTGTTGATATGGAAGCAATACAAAGCGTACTGACTTGGTACTAGCAAGCAGTCAGCCTTTGAAAAAGTCGGCAAGTCGCGCAAAGGACATTCACATGTACAACGGCATCAGTACCGACATACTACAGATTACGATGGAGAATCTGAGGCTGAAATGCCGCTGAAATTGGGAGGGGAAGTCTCGAAGGCAGGAGCAGATACAGTGCCATAGCAAACGCGACTCCTTGAGCACATTCTCCTGGTAGCAATTAGTTGCGGCTTCAAGATCAACAGATTCGATCACCCAGCCGCCGGCGAGGTGCGTGGAACCTATACCCAGCGCAAGGCTTGGTAGCCGACCTCACCTTACAGTACTCCATATTCCAAGAAGTAACACACAGGCGAACAGGAGGCTCGGACAGATGGCGTCAAGAGATAGCACAATCACCAGCACGGAAGACGGGAGCTCAATTGGCAGAGTCGTACTTGTGATGATCTTACATTGACCTGTTGTCTCTGCTCCTTAGTTGCGCCTTCACTCCTTCTTTAAAGCGAAGACTGCACGTATCAACTGAGAGGGCTTTAGTTCAATCATCAATTTTACATTTGTCTACACACCCTATCTCAACCGAAACCGATGTGACAAATGTCGTTGCATACCGACGAAGCCTTGTGCTATCCAACGTGGAATTCGCGAGTACACTTGGATTTCGTCCCTGCCGTAGGGCTACACTGCCCAGCGGACGGAAGCGTTCGTCCCGCTCATGTCGACGTCTTTCGGGGCCATCAGCAGGTCCACTTGTCTTGTGTACGTAGTTTCCATGTCGTGTAGGACGGCGTTCCTATATTCATCTGTGATCTGGTCCTCTGGCGTCCATGCGCACCGGATTCGGCACTTTTCCCAGCAATGGGTGCAACTGGAGTATTCGTTGGTTGGATCAACGCGGTCACAAGAAGTTGGTCTATCGCAACTCGGCGTAGACAGATCCTTGTTGCCATCAGCTGCATGCTTGGCTTGATGACCGACGAAGCACCTGTCGCATGTCGTACGCAGGTGGCCTTTCTTTGCCGTCTTCGTTGGAGGAATTTCGCGCCACTTTCCACCGAACTTCTGCGCGCCCAAACTTCTCAGATGGGCTTCCCTCTTATGCATGGGCACTCGAGCAGGGGTTTGCCAGTTGTCGCCAAACTCACTAGACAAAGCCAGGACCTGATTGAGATGATCCCAGTCGACTTGAACGACTGGTTGTGCCCTGAACTGCATCACCCAAGGATCCGGATTCGTGATGGATCGTTGTTGAAGTGCGCAAATCATAGCAAGTCCTTGTACGTACGACTTGGGCGGCGAGTCCACTGTGAGCTGACTGTTGCAAGTGCTTACGATGTAAATCTTGTGCCATTTGTTGGTGGTGGAGTCCTGCCACTCAATCGAAACTCGCAAGCGGCGGACTATTTCGTGGTACTCGTACTCGCCGTCAGCGGGAAGTCGTGCCCAGGATGCTGGTGGAACGTCTTGCTCGCGATCCCAAATCTCGTAAACGACGTACACTATGTCGCCGTCTTTGGGCTCGGGACCATTCAGTGTCGCACGTTTTCCAGTCTTCGTCTTTCCAGTGTTTAGTACAAAGGTGATTCTGTTCTCGTAGAAGTATCCGCAGAGTAGCTCCTTGCCCTCGTTTCTACTAGAGCACTTAAGACCTTTGCGTCGATACTGCACCATCTTGCCAGGCACGATGGTTTTGTAGAAAACTACCCTGCCTTCTGATGATGAGCCAATCGGAGTGCTGAAATTACAGCCTCCTGAAGATTCAAAGGAGTCTCGGCTAGCTCCTCGTGGCCATCCAGTCTTTGTAAACACAACATCTGCGATGCTCATAATTCGCAAGGCAATGTCTTGAAGCTCGAGCATCTCAGTAGCCTTAGCTTCTTGCTCGCCTGATCCTGCGCTTTCCTCGGCCTGGGGGATAGCTGTTTGCGGGAACTTGTTACTATCTTCTGGCTGAGCTTCGGACAAAAATTTCGCGAAATCGCTAACCAGCTTTGGAGCGTAAGTGTCAAGGGCGGCAATGAAGAATGTCTCCATAGCGAATCGGCGTGCTTCTTGTGCTTGACCTGTAGGAGCACAGCAGATGTTCACCATACGATGCCTGTCTGACGCGCGCCAAGTGAGGTAGTGCGGGCTCGTCTTGAATTGGGAGTCTCCATTGTGCGAGCCCATGCGCTTAACCCCATCCCCAGACGAACCGGTGTAAACCGCGTTCTGACGAGCCGGGTCGCTGCGCAATTTGCCATGTTCGATGAGGTAAATCATTGCGCTGCTTTTGACGCCTGATGCCTTAAACAGCTTTTGGCTCGAATTGGCTGTCGATGATCCGATGAGCTGTCCAGCCTCACAGATACTGGCGAGAGTGAAGCTTTCCGAGTTTAGTTCCTCCAGGGTTCCTGCCTTTTTGCACCCATCGACAATGAGGTCGGCCATGCGCCTGGGTCCCTCATCTTCGTAACCTAGGACATCCAAGATGCTCCGCTCGATCTGTGGAAGGCTTGTCCGGTTGCTTTGCAAGGCCTTGAAGAACGAGTACGCAGTACGATAGAGAAGTCCACCGTCGGCACTTGTCGTGATCTGTGGAGCCAAGATGTTGTGTTCACGCTTGAGTACCCAGGACGTGGGGCTGATCCTGTGTTTGCCGATTGCCATGAACGAGCGCGCAACATGGATTGGGCGAGAATATTGCGGGACTGCCACTCGCACCCAGCCACTATCATAGACCTCAAAGATCTTGCCTTCAGTGCCTGCCTTGACAAGTTTGTGCTCGCTTGACTGCTGATCGTGGAGCATCCTGAAAGGAAAATAGTCTTCGTTGCCTAGAATCCGATAGACTTCCTCTCCGTTTCGTCGAATTGGAATGTACGTAAGTCCAGTGGCGTACGAAGGCATCCAGACTTGCTGACGGGCAGAGAACGGGTCAGGGTATATGATGGTTCCGAGCTCTTCTGCCTTGGCAGCATCCTCTTCTGTGCCAGCGTCGATCCGGAGGACAAAGTCCAGCATCTCACCCCCCTTCCACTGGTATCCCTGCTCGTAGATATCTGTGACAAGCGCGGGGCTGATTGGGACTTTATTCGCAAAGTGGTGTGCATGGCGCCATTCGACTCGATACTTGTCACATCCGCCCTCTGTAACGCGATTCTTGATGAGACCAACGTGGCCTGCGGAAAGTTCGATGCCGTTGAGGACCGTAGTCTCGAGAAGTCGAATGCGTTTGTTGTACTCTGGATGCGGGGTCATCTGCGGCGCCTGAGGCGCCATATCAGGTTGCTGCATCGTCGCAACTGGCTACCGCATGTCGCCTGTAGTGGTGTTAGGCAGTTGGTGGTGATTGCGGGAGGTAGCGGCGCGAGTAGAAGGTGGCAGATGAAATGCCTGGCAGGTGTTGGTTGGGAGGTGTCGGTGGGAGGTGTTGATGCAGACGTATCGATGCGCAGGTGTCTGTTGGGGGGTGTCGCTAGAGAGTGCTTGGTGGAAAAGTGTCGGAGGTGGGAAGAAGTGTTCTGCGGTAAGAGGAGGAAATTGTCACAGAAGCTGGTGGCAGCCGTGCATGTGAATTTCCGACGAACATTCACGGGTGGGGGAAACAGAACTGGTAAGCAGAAACATAAAGACACGCGAAAAGACGTAGTCGTGAATTCCGGAAAAAGACTCTTTCTTGCATGTGTTTCTAAGAATTTGCAGAAGCGCAGAAGCAGAGATGTATAAACAGACATAGTCGTGAACACCAGATAAAGGCTCTCTAATAGCTGTTTCCGAAGATGGAGAAGGGGAGAAACAGGGCATGTGAAAAGGCGGGCGCCCGACAAAGACACCTTTAGTATGTGTTTCTAGGGAAATTCAAAAGCGCAGGAGGTGAGACATGTGCAAAGACTTAGCATCAGCGGTGGCGCGAAATAACGGCTTCTTGCATGTGTAGAGACTTGCAGAAGCACAGGGATAAATAGCAAGGTGATGGGAGGAGGAAAGAGACGTGAATGTTCGATGAGAGGTTCCCTCCGGTGGGGAGTGATGGTCTCACACACTTGTAGCGTGCGAGCCTACTGTCGGAGCATATTCCTCAATTTGCTGTTCGCACACAGAGATACAGTAGCGAAATCGACAAGGTATAGAGGTGAGTTGTTCAGGTGAGGTGAAGTCGAGCTTGTGGGGAGGGAGCCGCGGGCTCGGAGGAAGCTTGGAGAAGTCCCGGAGATTTTCGGGTGAGCTTTGTTGAGACTATATATTTTATCTTTTGCTGCAGCCTATCGCCTTCGGGCATATGGTCAAACATTGAAACAATACGTTCGTTCAATCCCCGTCCTCCCCCTCCTAAAACGTTAATATATTGACTTCTTTACAGAGAGAAGATTAGCATGGCCCCTGCACTAAGGATGACACATGCAAACAAAGTGAGCTTCAAAATTTTTTGGGCTTTTCTTTTGTCGTTCTAAAGCTTTTCGATCGATTGAAATTTTTGTTCGACTTCCTGACTTCGATGAAAATTGAAGCCGCCCACGACTGCTACTTCCAACACATATATTTTGCTGAAAGACAACGATTAATTCCTATTGATGCGCAGAGAATGTTTTTGGCTTTTGTGAGGGTTTTCTCAACACGACGAATCGATTTTTGCTGTCTTGTTCCATTACACATTCTAAAGCCACCATGGTACTATCGCGCGACGCTTGCCTCAAGTAAAAATCGTCACCATCTAGCATTTGATCGAAAATACCGTGCGATACTTTCTCCTATCGATGCGGTCTCATACAGAATCGATCTCTGCACTGTTCTCACCGCCGGTAGCCGACCTAATGGGTACCACATAAACCAGACACATCTTTTCGAGAACCCAAGCGACCATGCCTTGGACGTAGGCAGCAAGATCGATTGCTCGCTAGTAGCTGTCGAGACATCAACGACAAGGCTGACCTTGGACTTCGATGAAGGAGTCCCAGCAGCAAAGGCACTGCCTGACCCACGCTCGAGATGGACTCCTCACCTGCTACTTCACTTCTCGCATCTACTGAACGCGAAATCTGCTGGAAGTCGAATGTCCATGAATTATCATTGTCTCTCTTGAATCGCAATAGAGACCACGCATCTGATCGCCATTTGAGTTTGTTGAGCCGACTGCTGCTACTGGGATCGATGCCACCTGCACCTTGACTGAAGTTCCACGATGGCGAAGGACGACATGATCTCCGGTCGCTATGAAGACATCTTCAAGAATGCCCGGAGAAAGCGCATGGCGAAGAACCAGTCGTTCCTCTCCAACCTTAAGAGCCACTACGGATTCGATCTCCACTCAAGCAGCTTGGTTCGATTGCTGAGGATGGAGATAGATGTCGTCGCAGCAGGAGTCCTCAACACGATCGACTACGAGACGATGCTCGAGTACTGCGACGGGCGCTCCATGAGTTCTAGATGATAGGTATGGCTTTTTTGGTTGTCATGCCGATCCTGCGGCTTCGAGATTGTCGACAACGATTATCGCTGCTACGAAAGCTTGACCTCCAGGCTCTCGACGAAGAAGAACGGGATCGAACTTACGGCCATGCTAATCTTCTCTGAAGGCATAGAAGCTAGCATTTGTGAGCCGCTCGAGCCATCTCAACAATAATGGAGTATGTCCAACTCTCCATGTCCTCGCCAACCTCGACTCCTCTATGGCACTGGGCCTGATAGCAAGACCTCGAGTCCCGTTGAAGAGAGAAAGAACGCTACAAAGAAGTAAAAGCCGTTCAAAACGGTTAGTTTCTAAGTGACCTTCACTTTCCATGCATTTTGTGAAATCCTTTTGATAATTTAGCAAGTCTGTAGACACGCAAAAGAAGACTTCTGGAGTGTGAAGGTCTTTCACACGTCTTAAAGCTGCTCGCTCTTTCCAAACTCGTCGCTGTCTGTCGAGCACTGACTTGCTGCTCTCTCGCTAAGCGACAGGTCCTGTTCCCTTAATCCCAGCAAGCAACGGCGTCCCTTTTCCGTACCTATTTGATTTCACGTTCACTATACATCATCATGTCGCTCAAACACCGTCGCCCTCTCAATCTTCACACACGATTACCTAGCACCTACTACTTACGACTAATCCATCGATAACTCGACACCACACCAGCATGGCAGCATCACAGCCATCCTCGTCCGCCACGTTCAGTTACCCACAGGACAATACAGTTGCATCCCCAAGAGCTACATTAAAGTGGACACCATGAGGGCGGTTCCCATCTCCCAATTACTCGAGCGTTGAGGAGAATCGCTCGTGTTATAGATCGCCACAGCAGTCCAAGGCGGTCTCTCCAAAGCCATTATAGGCATCGTACAGACGCTGCACACATTGAGCACAATTATCTTAGACTTCTTGAGCATGGAAGATGAAGGAGTAAGACGCATGGAGGATGTGAAGGGTACAGAATACGTCGAGGCGGGAGTTTTGTAGCAATTCTGTTCAAGTTGTGCTGGTATTAGCCACCTTCTCGTTCTTCCCCAACCCTCACAGCTTCTCCTTATCCGCCCCCATGGCCTCACGCAGAAGCGGGGCGATCCGCTTTCGACTCGCATCTAAGTTTTTCTGATCCCAGAAATGCTGGAACGTAACCTCCTTGTCGTCCTTCAGAGGTGAGTGCTTGGCATCGACCAACTGCAGCTCCTCCTTTCCCAGCTTCACAAATTTCTCGGCTGCTTCTTTGGCCTTGCCATTAAACGCCATGAGCAGCAGCTCACGTTTAAAGTTGCCAGAGTCGCTGTAAGAGGGACCTATCGCGAACAGCTGAAGACCTCTTGACTTGGCATACTTCTTCAACGTGCTCTCGAAGTCTTTCTCTTTGTCTGCAAGGTATTCGATAGACTTGACACTACTGCTGATGCCGAGCGTGAGGTCACCTTCGGTCCATTGCTTGTAATCTTTGCGAAGAATTTCCTCGACGGTCAGCTCGTCGAGGTCCTTCTTCGCTTCGTTGACCTCCGTGAAGAACGTATCACGGTCATAGTCTTTGCCCAGTTTCGAGATGTTGATTTTCGCCTCGAGGAATCTGACAGCCTTCTTGTCGTGCTCGGTGACTTTATGCTCCGCCTTCATGTTGACTGTGTCGATCAACACCGAGCCCAAAGCTAGCTTCGCCGCTTGTGCGTCCCACGTGGAGGTGTAGGCAAAGTCATCGACCAGAGTCTCATTGTTTTGGGGATGTGCAGCTCCGACAGTCATTGCAGAATCTGAGATCTTTTGCCACGTGTCCCGGATGTAGTTGATCATAAGGCTGTTGCAACTGCCAGCTTTCGTGATGACTCTTGGTTCGGCATCCTTGGAGACTGTGCCTTCGTCGACATGATGATCGATGGCACCGATCACTCGCGAGTGGTACAGCTCGCCAAGTTCACCCTGCAAAGCGTTGTGATCGACCAAAGTCCAGTCCGTCTTGTCCTTTGGTAGTGGCTCCTCCTCAAGATCGTCAAGTGTGATGAGCTCTTGAAGCTTGATATCGGCATGCTTGAGAAGTGCTTTCAACTCCGGTCGTAGTCGTAGCTCCGATGCTGGAATATTCGTGACTGGTATAACGTATTTTCCCGACTTCTTCGCCTCAAGCTTCTCGGAAAGAATATAGCTGTAAACTAAAGCACATGTGATGGAGTCGAGATCTGCAGATTCGTTGCCAATCACGAACGAAGCATGACTTTGCTCTTTCAGAACCTTCTGCAAATGACGCTTCGCAGCTGCTAGGTATGCACGTATTGACAGTCTCGACATCTTGACGTTAGATGCCTTTGCAGAATATTGTGTGTTGTGAAGAGTGAAGTCACAAGCTCGCAAGGAAGCAAAGGACTTGGCTCCGGGTGCCTGTGACTGGTCAGAATTAAGCTTTGACTAGCGTGCACGGTGCAACCTCACTGCCTGCTTCCGTGCAATCACTCGTCTTCTTCGTGCTTCTACAAAATCGCCCACCTTGAAACAAACGACGACTTCCACTCTCAACATCATCATCGTTCTCTTTATACGGCCCGAAGACGGAACAACATATCACACAGCCACCGTCTGACACATCAACGCCAAGATGGCCTCTCAGGCCGCTCGTGGTAAGAAAGCTCTCGATGATGGGAAATACGTAGACGCCATCAAGGAGTACACTGCGGCTATCAAGGAGTCCCCTACTTCACCGGACTTTTACATTCAACGATCCACTGCATATCAAAGGAACGGCGATCTTGAAGCAGCTTTGGCAGACGCAGAGCAGGCAGTTCTGAACGGGGAGGCTCGTGGCAAGAAAGAAGCCATCATCGAGGGTCAATTCCGTCGAGGCATCGCTTTGTACAAGCTTGGAAGACTGGGAGATGCCGAGTTCATTTTAAAGCGAGTCAAGGAAGCCAAGTCCGATCACAAGCAGGCGGACATGTGGATCAGCAAGACCGCGATGGATCTCAAGAACTTGCCCGAGGACGACAAGCGACGTGCATGCACTGTGACTGAGACGCCCTCTCCACCAAAGCTTTCGACCATCGCCTCCGCCTCGACTGCTACTACATCTACCCCGACCCAACCTCCATCGAAGCCAATCATCGCTCCAGCCCCACAGCAAACGCCAGCAGACAAGATCCGCCACGAATGGTACCAGAACACCGAGAACATCTACTTCACCCTTCTAGCTAAGGGTGTACCTAAGGATGAGGCTCATTTTGAGATCACGGAGCGTTCCATGAGCATCTCATTTCCTTTGCAAACCGGATCATCGTTCGACCTGCACCTCGAACCACTCTTCGCAGCAGTCGTACCCGAGAAGTGCATCACTCGAGTGCTTCCCAGCAAAGTCGAAATCATCCTCATCAAAGCGACCCCAGGTCAGAAGTGGTCGGCTCTGGAGAGCAGCGAACCAGTCAAACCAAAGGCAGACTCCGTCGTGGGCGCCGAGCAGGAAGCAGTCAAGAAAGCCGTCTTCCACGACAACAAAGAAAAAGGTCCAGCCTACCCAACGTCCTCCAAGTCTGGTCCAAAAGACTGGGACAAGATCTCCAAAGACCTCCGCGTGTCAGACGACGGCGACAAGAACGAGCTGGATGACGACGATGACGATGACGGTGGCGACGACTCAAACAAGTTCTTCAGAAAGTTGTTCAAGGGTGCTACGCCAGAGACTCAGCGCGCTATGATGAAGTCGTACACTGAGTCTAACGGCACGGCGCTTTCGACCAACTGGGAGGAGGTGAGCAAGGGCAAGGTTGAGACAGTGCCACCGGATGGCATGGAAGCGAAGAACTGGAGCAAGTAGAGATATCCGGTCGCAGCTCACAAAAACTACGAGAGGGAGCCGACTAGGACCATGCGAAGGGCCGCGGTCTGTCACTCAAGGCTTCGTTACATGACGGCGAGTGTGAGTACGGAAATGATCGTTCAAGCGGAAAAGGGTTTGTCACATGGACCAGGCGTTCATAGCGAGGGCCGCAGGAAGTCAAAAGCTCGTAACAAATGCAAAGGCTTGCTGGTACATTTTTTTTAAGTATATTGTTACATTGAGTCTAGATCGTGGTGCTCGTCTCTGCCTGTAATGCTGCCGTTTCCATTCAACGCCATACCGTGCATGAATGACCAAATGGACAAGTCTGAATGCGCTCACTCGCCGAAAAAGTCGCTAATACTATCCATCCAACCGCCGCCTCCTTCTCCTCCTTCGCCGCCGGCACTAGGCGGCGGTCCGTCACCAGGTCCTCCTCGTCCCCATGGATCTGAGCTCTCCCCCCATACGTCGTCAGATCCAGGTTGGTTCTCGCTCTGCTCAGGCGATTGTCCACCTGCGCCAGCAAACGGCTCAGTGTTGGTAGGGCTTGCATCATCGCCGCCTCGTGGACCGTAGACTCCACGTTGCATGGCCTCGTACCCAGCCATTGTGCCAGCTCCGGCGATTGCGCCCTCTCCGACACCAGCAGCGCCTCCAATTCCTCGAGTTGCAGCCCCTGCAGCGCCGGCGGCACCCTCCATCGCGCCGGCACCTTCGGCTGCACCGACCGCGCCTCCAGCTGCACCAGCGCCGGCTCCAGCAGCTCCCCCTTCTGCGGCGCCACCTCCCATTGGCCAGAAGATGGGCATAAAGCCGCCGCCGCCGACATGTGAGTGGCGAGAGAAGTAGTCGAAGTCGATGGACACTGCGGTTGCTAACATGACGGCACGTTGGTCGAGCGTCATCGCCGTGGCATCTCTCTCATATCGAGCAACCTCCTGTCCGGCTGCTGTCTCCAAAGCAGAGCTCTGCGCTGCGCTGTCCATTCGCAAGGCGTAGACACCTGTGTCGGTAAAGATTTCTCTGGCGAACCCTCCAAAATTGCGGTTCACACTTCCAATAGTCTGGCCTTCCTCACCACGAAGAGTGAAGTCCCACGACAAGAAGGGCTCATTGACATGCGCAAACTGGACCATGCCAGCTTCGATCGCCGCATCAGGGGCTTTCGCCTCAGTCAAGGCTGTGGTGTCTGACGATGGCTGCTCTCCAGACTCTATCTTCAGTGTGTTGTCCCTCGCTGGTTCGATTGCTCGGTAACTAAAGAGATTGTATTTCCGTCTTAAGGGTGCCCACTGCTGCTGCGCTTCGCCAATGATTCGCATCTCATCCAGCTTCAACGGCGATATCTGTGCAACGGCTCCTTGATTCACGACTGAACTTGTCGATGTCCCTTGCAATGCCGTAGACGTCTCGCCTTCACCATACCCATCAGCTGGTATTGGGTCATATATCCTAATCCTGCTGTTGATGTATGCGAACGGCCGATGTATCCGGAGAACCTCCCTCTCATTTCGATCAAAGATATGAGTTGTGAAACTTCGATGCGTTTTGGCGAACTGTCGCACCATTGCCCTGCCTATACCATGATCTTGCTCTGCAATGTATCCCAGTGTATTGCCTTGTCCATCCATCATGATGTATTTGTTTGCTTGCTCAAACCCGGCGATGATGTTCATCATCTCGATCTGACGTTGTATCACCAAGCTACTATTTCCCAGTATCGATAGCGCTGGATGACCGGGAGGCAGAACGCCATTTGGATCGTCGGGGATTCGCACTTCTGTGACGAGGTCTGAGGAATCGGACTCGGCGAGAGTCGTGGCAAGCTGGCTATTTCGTCCGGGCTGCTGTTCTTGCACTTCATGCCGTTGTCGTTCACCCTCGTTGATGAGATTCTGATGTCCTTCGTTCTCTTGTCCGCCTTTCTTCGGTATGCTCGCCCAAGGTCGACTTCGAGGAAGCCATCGTCTCTGGTCAATTCGAACGATTCGCTGCGGTGCTCTCCTTTCTACGGCGGTAACTAGAGATACTGCTCTTGGCAGTCGAAGCGACCACCTAGCCGTCGTCATGATGCTGATACTTGGGTAATCGAAGGCGATGGAGGCGAGATGCCGAAGACGTTGATGGTGACATCCGTGGCTCTTGCTAGCGGTCGCTACGGCCCGCACCTTGAGTCTATGTTTAAATCGCAGCTACGACTCACGATCTTCACTTCGCCTTCGCCTACCTTCTCGACTTCTCGTCGTGAATCACACACACTTTCGAATTCGATCAGATTGCGGAAACTCTTCTCACTCTGGAACCACCAACTCCAGCGATCACCGAAGATTGGTGACTTCGAGAAATTGAAATTTTCAAAAGCACAAGATTCCTGGACATTTCTTCACGTGCATGGTCGACAATCTTGCCTCGAGGACTTTATGACGGCGGTCCCTTAACGACGAGATAAAAACTTCTCGGACTACCATTCTGGAATCCACAGCCGATATAGTGATGGCTGAGGTAGCGTCAACGAATGGGCACATCCCCGAAAATGTCAAAGTCGATTCAGCCACCAACAGCGCGAACGGAACTCCAGTGAAACCAAATCATGCTGGAGCGCCAAAACGACGACCCAAGAAGAAAGGTCCCAACTACGGCGAGATACACAAATATCCGCTACCTCTCACGACACACCCACTGCCAGCTTTCCACCCAACGAATCCGATATCCTTGCTCCGTCTGGCATATACCTACATCTCTCAACTGATTGGGCCGCCCGCTTCTCATCCGGCTGTTCGCTACATTGGATGCTACTCTCAAGAAACGAGGTCAATCCATGTCACGGATCCACAGCATGTGCGCGCTTTGTGGGAGATGGGATTCTTCGGCAAAGGTACTCTTAGTAGAAGTGAGCCTAGCTGGCTAGAACGTGAGAAAGCTAGAGTGAGGCTGAAGCATGGGGGCGGCACTGCTGAGGAAGCTACGAATGCTCGGCGTGAGCGGAGAAGACTCTTCAAACTGGAGCGGGCGAGAGCAGAGGCGGAAAAAATCGAGCGACAGCGTCTGGTTGAAGAGGGTAAACTGGATCCTCCAGAGGTCGAAACAACGGCACTGGATACGACGACTACTACTCCTGTGCTGGTGGAGGCACAAACAAATCAGCCCACGGCGATCAACATCCAAGAACTTGATAGACCCGACAGCGCTTCCATAAGCGACGAGGACGAAGAGCTCGAGATAAATGCAATCGAGAACCAGGAGCACCTGCAACTAACGATGGAGGAAGCGTTCTTCCTCTCTTACGGTCTTGGCGTGCTGGACATTCGATGGGAACGGGAAGGCAACCCTTCTGCACAGGATATGCCCCAGCTCTTACGTGCGTTCATCGCGCACGGCCACTTTCCACAACGCGAAGTGTCCTCATCATTCCAACCTGACGACACGTTTCTCTTGAAGTACGTTGTCTATCATCACTTTCGCTCTCTTGGATGGGTCGTGAGACCTGGCGTCAAATTTTCCGTGGACTACCTTCTCTACTTCCGAGGACCCGTTTTCTCACATGCTGAGTTTGCGGTGATGATCGTGCCATCGTACACGCATCCTTACTGGAGCACTGCGGAAGGATCAGAGCGACGGCGGATCAAGGAGCCAGACCAGAAAGACTGGTGGTGGTTGCACTGTGTGAACAGAGTACAGAGTCAAGTGCTGAAGACTTTGGTACTCGTATATGTCGATGTTCCACCTCCTGTGGAGCAGCGGGACGAGGACATTGGAGGTCTTCTTCGTGGTTACAAGGTTCGGGAGTTCGTGATCAGGAGATGGATAGCGAACCGCAGCAGAGACTGAGGGGCTGAGGAATGTGTCCTGCCCCTTGTGGGTATCGAGTCTCTCGAAAGCAAGGTCCTCGGGCCACGACGATCGCGCATCCGTTCGAAATGCGAACACACACAAGGCCTATCCAGGAAGATGCCTGATAAGGCGGTTTACCCGGAGCTGAAAACGTAAGAGCTTTGTTGACTCGTACTCGGGTTCTCACACGAATCCTCGAAGTCGCTGCCCGCAATCACCTGCGAGACAGGGTAGTCAGCCCTCGTCCTGGCCAGCATAGCCTATGGCGCTGCTAGCACCAGTCTCATGCATACGCATCATGCGGGTAGAGAGTATGATAGAGACCGCTGTCTCACCCAGGTCAAGCATTGTCACTACCTTTCGATGTCGCGTGGCATCATGGCATTGGAGAGGCCGAAAGGTAGTATGATCGGGCTCCTTACCAACACAAGGGTGTAAGATTTTGTATATATAAGACCCAAGATCTTGGAGACTATCCTCTTCTCCTACAATTCTCTCTCACAAGTCACTACTGTTTCTTCCCCGAGCAAAGAAGCCGGAGACGCCGATCAGAGTCGCCGATTACCAGTGACTGCTCACGTGCTTGCTCACTAGTGCTTTACCCAGAATGGAAAGTGCGCTTGAAGCTTGTCTGGGGAAGTGAGTACCTCGCTTTCGACTCCAGTCTACATCTTCCATCCAACAACACAAGACATCAGCTTCTCATAACCTCGCAAGATTCGACAGCTCTTCCTCCAGAATGAATTCCGTCGCCGCAAAACGCCTCTTCCAAGAGTACAAAGCGCTCTCCGTCGACCCTCCGGATGGCATCACCGCGGGACCCGTGAACGAGGATGACCTCTTCCTATGGGAGGCTCTGATCCAAGGGCCCGAAGGCACACCTTTCGAAGGCGGCGTGTTTCCCGCAGAGCTCAAATTCCCGCGCGATTACCCGCTTATGCCGCCGACGATGAAGTTCACATGTGATATGTGGCATCCGAATGGTGAGCGACCAAGACACCGCAATGCAAGCCTGCCTGGAACAGCGGCTAACGACGTGATAGTATACCCTAACGGCGTAGTCTGCATATCGATCCTGCACCCACCCGGCGACGACCCGAACCACTACGAATCTGCCTCGGAACGGTGGAGTCCGATCCAGAGCGTTGAGAAGATTTTGATATCTGTCATGAGCATGATTGCGGAGCCGAATGATGAGAGCCCGGCGAATGTGGATGCGGCGCGCATGTGGAGGGAGCAGAGGCCGCAGTATGAGGCGAGAGTCAAGGCGGATGTGAGGAGAAGCTTGGGACTGTAAGGGTATAGGAGGGTTTGGATATCTGAATTGCATGGGCTGGATACGAAAGGGCATTTTGCGAAGTTTTGAGCGAGGCGCAGGAGGGCAGTGTGCATACTTCACGAAGCATGAGCATGATTGTATGACAAGAGCTAGATATACAGAGATCATCGTGGGCTGTTACGGACAACACCGACCGTAGGCGTACCGCCGGTATGAAGGACCGTGAGAATCGCGATGAAGTTGCAGGCAATTCTCTGTATGCAGCACAGCGCCCAACAACGCCATCTACGAACTCCGCTACCAGAAATGTCTGCCCACAAATGTTCAAGAGGCTGCGATGCCAATCATGTGTCCAACACTCCCTACTGCTGCTTCCTCTTCACAGCCAACGCCACCTCGCCAAAATTCTTCGGCCCGCTCTGCAACATGAAGTAGTCCTAGAAACGTAAGTCAGCAAAACCTTCCCTCACTCTCGAGAGATCCTCCAACTCACCCAAACAAAGCTCGGCATCCACCACTTCAAATACACGAACAACGGCGTCAAAGGCCCAACATAGACCTTCCCCTTCGCACCGCCCTCACACTTCCTCACAAGCTGCTTCGCAAACTCCTCGACGGGCATCCCAGGAGGACGATTCTTTCCGCTGATGCGATCTTGTAACCAGCTTTCCACGGGCTTGTAATACGACCCCGACGGCAAGGGGTGTTCAGGCTCGTTATCGTGGAGATTCGTCTCGATGATGCCCGTTATGACCGTGACGACTCGAATCCCCAGCGGCGCGACTTCGAGCCGCAGCGTTTCGGAGAGGGCGGTTGTGGCTGCTTTGGAGGCGCCGTAGATGGCTTCGCGAAGTTGTCAGTATTGGAGTACTGCAGGATACAGACAGTGTGTGCTGGTGCTTACCGCTGAACGGCAGATTCGTCTCCCCATTGATCGAGCTGTTGTTCACGATACAGGCATCCTTTGCACGCACTAGGAGGGGGGTGAACGCCTTCGTCACAGCCAAAACACCCAGCACGTTAACCTCGAAAACGCCCCTCGCCTGCTCGACATCCGTATCCAGAGCCGGCGCCGTCAACGCCGCGCCGCTGTTATTAACCAGGACATCCAGTCGGCCTCCCGTTATTTCGGAAACTTCCTTCACGGCAGCCTCGATCGATTGAGGGGATGTGACGTCCAGAGCCAGGGCCGTGACACTCGGTAGAGAGGTTAGGGAAGTTGGGATTTTCTTCGTGTTGCGTGTGGTGGCGAAGACGTGGTAGCCTCGTTGGTGGTATTCGATCGCTAGGGCGGCGCCGATGCCGCCTGAGGAGCAGCCTGTTATGAGGACTGTTCTTTTGGTTGGGTCCATGGTGTTCGTTAGATGTAAGTAGTTCTCGTTACTGAATTGCTTAGAGGACCGTGTGTCTTTGGGGATTCAAGTCACTGGCTGGGTTTGGCAACGACTTGAAGGAACAGCAAGATCGATCATCTACTTTATATCTCACAGAAGGCCGGGCTTTGCTCATACCGGTTAACTCTTGTCATTGACCACAGTGACACCTATACTTGAATACTCGACATCGCCTCACAATACTATCTGTCACAAGCGACAGCCACAAGATCAATGGCCAGAACCGAGACCACAGACCCACACAACTGCCCATCTCAGCCTAGCGCAAAGCCTCAATGCAGACGACATCATCGAAAGTCAAGGCCGAACGTCTCGCTCTCTCGGGATATCGGGTACGAATTGTCCATGAGACTCGCGTTCCAAAACATCAATGATCTATTTGTATTCTGATCTTTCAAAATGCCTATAGTACATATCTGAAGCCCTTGTTATCGATCTCGGTCATGTCGTGCATCCCGCGCTCGATAGCGGCTTTCTCTTCGTCATCGCTCAGCGCGCCTTGTGCTGCTGCCTCTCGGTCTCTCTTCTTGTTGGCCGACCACATGTAGAAGTATAGGAGGCAGACCATCGCCAATTTAACGGCGTAACCGACGAGCATACTGTTTCTCATAGTCAGTAAATTGCAAACAAGTTTATGCAGGACTGATACTCACGCAATGTAGGCAGAATGGTACCCTGGCGCCTCACTGCTCTTGAAGGTCTGTGGTCCAATAATGTTACCAACACAGTATCCGGTGAATAGGATGGCTCCAGTCAATTGCTTTTTGGTGTATCCGGCGACGTTCGAGCTGATCATTGTCAAACTCATCGAGAATCCAAGACCCTGGAAATAGCACAGCCAGATGGCGACCAGGCGACCCCACTTGTTGCTGGCTGGAAGGCCGACAAGCAGTCCTGAACCAATGATGCAGATACAGTTGGCCACGATCATGGCAATGCAGCGGATGTTGGGGAACTTGGAACAGATGATGCCTCCGCCGAGCAGAGACAAGAATTGGACAGCTCCGCCTGGAATCTGGAGGTATTGTGTGCCCAATGTGCCGAATCCGAAGGATTTGATGATGATGGAGGTAAAGCTCGTGAGTGCACTGTTCGGTACCTGTGCCCCGACCGCCATGATGAACAAGATCCACGTTTTGGGGTCAGTGACGGTCTGCATAGCCTGGTGTTTCGAGAAGTTGCTGTTCTTGACGCCTTGTCTGTTCTTCGCAACTCTTTCAACCGCGATGAAACGCTCTCGCTCGGTCAAGAACTTTGCTTTCGAGGGCATGTCGGGAAGGGTGATGAGTGCGTAGACGCCTCCAGCAAGACTGAGGGCTCCGAAGATGATAAAGACGTACATCCAGCGAGGCAAGCCAGAGTTGATGTGGCCAACGGCATATCCAATCAAGCCGCCAAACATGGTCGCGATACCGTTGGTGCAGTAGTACGATTCGAGTCGGACTGGTTGTTCGCGAACGGTGTACCACATGCTCATCACCAGGACGAAACCTGGATTGACTGCGGCTTCGACGAATCCAAGCAAGAATCGATTTGCTCCAATGCCGGCGAAGTTGACGCATGCTGGGGTTGTGATGAGGATGACGCCCCAAGCTAAGGTGGTACAGGCGAGGAATTTGCCAATTGGGAGCTTCTGCATGAGGTACGATGCTGGGAACTGGTCATTGTTAGCTTTCCCAAATAGTTAACTCTTGCAAATTTAATTTCAATACCTGTCCTGCCATGTAACCGAAGTAGAAGATACCTGATCGCGTGGTGTTAGCTGTGGCTCGTAGAGTATGGATCATAACCGACTTACTGCTCAGCCAAGAGTAGTCCTGTCCGTGCAGGTGGGTTCCTTCCTCCAAGCCATAGGCACTGGCATAGTTGATACCGTTCTTATCCAGGTATTGCAGCAGGTAAAGTAAGAATAAGCATGGTATGATGCGGAGGTCGATCTTCCTCAGGACCTTCTTCGCCTCGTCGGGATCAATATCCTCCCCAGCATGTTGCTTGTACACGTTGTAGGTTTCATCGGCGTCGGACGACGCAGGTGACGCTAATAGTTGAGGAGAGTCGGGCGAGACATTCCTGATGCTTGGATCCTTCTCGTCCAGGTTCTTTCCGAACGCTTCGGTGGTGGCCATGGCTTGGAGATCTAACGAAAGAGAAGATGAACGAAAGATCTATAAAGATGCACGAGATGAGGGGAAGTTGATAAGAAAGTTTTCGAGAAGGCGGATAGGACTCCGCCGCCAACCACGTGGGTTTTTGGCAGAATAACGCATGTCTACCATGAAACGGTGGACGTCGTTCGCCCGTCTCGGATCATCGCCTCCAAGAGTTTGATGCCAAGCCAGGCAAACCCACCTTTGGCGACGAGCAGAAGCCTGAGAGTGGTAAATAGCAAAGAGCAAACAAGCACCGCCAATCCGTCATTGGCTCTCCTGGTGCAGGCGCGGCTCCTCTTTGCAATGGCAAGCATATCTGAACCGTCTTAGCGGATGATGTGATCTGGCGTGCGACTTGCATCTTCCTTCAGGAACCGGCAATTGGTGCGCTTGTGCGTAAGACGACGTACATCTGGAGGATAGAAAATTCGAAGATTGGGTAACAAATAGCAGGGCCTTGCAGTAATCGAGACTTCCGAGACTGATCCGCCAGAGATGGAAGAACGCCGTCGACGTTGATGTTAATGCTGACGAAGTGTCGTTGACGTGGTTGAGCCGGGAGACTAGTCTGGTATGAAGTGTACTGCCAACGTACTCAGAGATGCAGCAAAGCACCGACTTCACCTGCTCTTGCTTCTCCTTTTCCTTTCATACCATCACACTTCTCACCGAACGACGCCGCCGACATTGAGGACAACAAAATTGAGACTTTCATCTGTTTCTAACGATGGCTTGGTTGGTCCTACCTTGATAGGGATGGCCTTCACCGGCAGCCTCAAGTTCACGGCATAAACTTAATGTTCTTTTCAATTGTTGGACTTTTATGCTCAACGACTAGTATTAGACTACGGTAAACCAGCTTCAAGAGCAAGTACTACGGCGTTGCTTACCGTCGTTGTCTGCAAAAGCCTGACGTCCCACAGCCAATATCTTCAGCCTCCCTGTAGCAACCCATTGTCTTGCAGAACCTCATTAGCCACCAGCAGCTGAGCCAAATATAAAGAGCAGGTGCTATAGATGTCAACTTCGCCTGGTTTTCTACGTGGGATGTTAGGGGAAAGCAGGATTGTGGTGATGGGTTGTGGCACAGGCAAGGCTATGGCGCGTTTGACTTCGTCGTTGGATGCTTTTCTTTTTTGCCTCTACGGGTTCGTCTTTTAGCGTGCTGTGTCTGGTACATATGTCCTGTGGGAGGCTCTGCGCCCTGATCTTTCGTCTTCACATCCCCATTCCTCATTGCTTCTCCATCAATTTCGTCTGTTTTCTGCGTTCTCGAGCTTCTGCACAAGACGCAAAGCGCCAATATGCATGGCCTGATCAAGCCATAGCTTGCAAAGAAGCCTGCGGGCCCCGGCCACTATCTACGGTCCCCTCAAAGAACGTAGAGGATTGAATAAACCCCAACAGCGTCCCAACCTACAGCCTCGCCTCCACCTCACCACCCTGCGCCGACGCCTGCTCCGCCACCTTCTTCGGCCTCACCGCCCCCTCAAAAGTCTCCATAAACCTGCACACATCACTAAAAGTATTGTAAAGGGGCGCAGGAGCAACCCTTATACACCCCGGTTTCCGCTTATCGCAAATAATCCCCGCCGCCTCCAGCGCCTTACTGACCTCCTCCATCAGCTCCTCCCTGAGGAGAACACTCAGCTGCGCACCACGCCGTAAGGGATCCTTGGGCGTGATGATCTCGAAAGGGTAGCTGCCGTCGAATGTCCGCTCGGCGATTTTGTTGAGCAGGTGCTCGGCGTAGGCTGTTAGGAGGAGGGATTTGGAGCGCAGGTCGGCCATGGTCGTTTGGTTGAAGACGGAGAGGGAGGCGGAGTGGCAGGTTAGGTCGATGACGGAGGGGTTGGAGAGTTGGAAGCCTTGGGCGCCGGGGGTTGGGCGGAATTCTGGGGAGGGGTTAGTGGTTGATTTTTTGTGTTGAAGTGGATGCGACACTTACTGTTGTCCATGAGGAATCGACTTGACTTGTCGTGGCCATACCAGCCCTTCAAAGCCTTGTTCTTCCTGGCATCGCCGTGCTTCTCGTGAACGAAAGCACCAGCGATAGATCCGGCTCCGGAGTTCATGTACTTGTACGTACACCAGCACGCGAAATCGACGTCCCAGTCGTGCAGCTTCAACTCGACGTTGCCGGCTGCATGTGCAAGATCCCATCCGATGATGAGGCCCTTCGCATGAGCATGCTTGGTGATGGTCGGAATGTCCAGGAGTTGACCACTGTAGTACTGGATTCCAGGCAACAGGATCAAAGCCAACTCACCGGCATGCTGATCGATCAACGAGAGAATCTTCTCAGTCGTAATGAGATAGCCATCATCAGGCTCAACCTTCAGCATAGCCTCCTCCGGGTCCAAACCATGCCACTCGATCTGCGACTCGATCGCATACTGCCAAAAATCATTAGCCCAGCCCAGACCCTTCGCCACCCACTCATAGCCTCTTCAAAACTCACATAATCACTAGGAAACGGCCTCCACTCCAACATAATCCTCTTCCTCCTCCCTTCAGGCCGATAAAAAGCCGCCATCATCAAATGCAAATTCACCGTCAACGTATTCATAACCACAATCTCCTCGGGACTCGCCTCGACGATCCCGGCCGTTTTCCTCGCACAGTCCGCCGCCATGTCCTGGTACGGCACGAGGGGCGAGTCCTCGAGCTGAGTGAAGTGTCCGCCCACGGTGATGGAGCCCCATGTTTGGAGGTACGCGCCGAGATACTCTGCTACGGCTTTGGGCTGCAGGCCCAGCGAGTTGCCGCAGAAGTAGATGCTGCTGTCGAATTGGGAGGTCGCGGGTGCTCTGGTGTCGGCTGTGTCGACGATGCTGGTGCGTTTGAGTTGGGCTTTGGTGGGGATTACGAATTGGTCGCGGAAGGAGGTTGTGTTGTTGTCGAGATGTTGGGCGAAGTCGAGGGACTCTGCGTTCTCCGGCCAGGCGACTTTCTCCCCGTTCCGAAGCTGGTTGATGGCTTGCTTGGGGTCCATTGTGATGTGATTTGGGATTTATGGTGGGAGTTTGGGTGAAGAAGGAGCTGTGGCGTGAGATCCTGCAATATATGTCAGGTCTTTCCGCTTTTCAAGTGGAAAAGGTTCAGTTCTACTTCATGCACTTCCGAACCTTCTTCAACGTGGCCGTCGGAACTTCAATAGTGGCGGATGCATGTTATTTGTAGGTACGAAGTGCTCATTGGTTGACGAAGAGCGAGTCAGGCCCCGACAAAGGTGATCCGTCGGAAGTGGCCCCTTTGTGGAGAACGTCAGCTTCCGTCGACGGAAGCCTCGGCAAAGCCCTTCCGACAGAACCCATGCTTAGGAGTCGCCATGCTCGTTAATCGACAATCCCAAAGAACAGTCGAGTGGATCCTGTAAGACTACGACATATAACCGCACAGAAGCCGGACAATGGCAAAAGTATCAATCCAACAAAGTTCGAACCCTCATCGTCGTTCCATCGCACACACATTCTCACGTCATTCACAATGAGCCCTCTCAAAATCAACTTGCTCCCTTCTCCTGCAGCGCTCCCCTCGTATGGAATCTCAGAAAATGGCTTCTTGCCAGCAGAGCAGCCGTTGACCAAATTACCGCACGCGTACTACCAGTCATGGGAGGAGCTGATAGAAGAGCTACCACAACTTCTCAAAGCCGGCCAATGGCGACAACGAGTGGACGAGCTGCCCGTCCTCGATACTTCGCATCTAGAGAGCGAACGAGAATGGCAAAGAGCGTATTCCATGCTTGCGGTCACGGCACAAGCATATATCTGGCAAGGTCCAGAGCCATCAGAGGTTGGTGAAACCACAGCCGTTGCCCAAGCCATTTGCTGACAGTCGATAGCGATTGCCCCCCTCAATCTCTGTATCGTTTCTCGCGACCGCAGACCATCTCGAAGTCCATCCCGTAGCGACATACGCAGCATTGAACCTTTGGAATTACCGGGCACTCCACGACCAGGCTGCCATCTGCCAACCGGACGATCTCGTGGCCCTGCACACACAGACCGGCACCGAGGACGAGTCCTGGTTCTTCATAATATCAAACGCCATGGAGGCAAGGGCCGGTCCCATAATCAAGCGGATGTTGCTTGCCATGGAGGCAGTGGAGCACGATGATGTCCCGACAATCATCGATGCCCTCGAGTACTTCACAGAGAGCATCGTCGACATCGGAAAGCTCCTCGAAAGAATGGACGAGCGGTGCCGGCCTCAATTTTTCTACCATCACATTCGACCAAATCTCGCTGGTAGTATGAACATGGAAGCTGCCGGTCTGCCAAACGGAGTGTTTTACGACGAAGGCAATGGAAAGGGATCCTGGCGTAAATACCGTGGAGGCAGCAATGGTCAGAGCTCATTACTTCAATGCTTCGACGCAGTTCTTGGTGTCAAGCACGAGCGATGCAATGGCTTCCACGCAGAGATGCGAAGGTATATGCCAGGCCCACATGCAAGATTCTTGGACGATATCGAGGCGATTGCGAACATCCGCAGCTACGTCGACAGCCACCAAGACAACGCTCCACTCTTAAAAGCGTACAACGACGCGGTCGCCAGCCTGAGCGGGTTCCGAGACAAGCACATCCAGCTTGTGACGAGGTATATCATCTTGCCCAGCCGGATGGGAAAGCGAGAGGAGGATTCCGGCCGCAAAAACCTGGCTACTTCCTCAACCCAGAAGGCTTCCGATGCACCCCAAGAGCTTGTTGGCACTGGCGGCACAACGTTGATACCATTTCTCAGAACTTCGAGAGACGAGACCAGCGAAGCAGCTGTTGCGAGGGGAACAGCGTGAGAAGACGGACATTGAGCGAAGAAGCAGACATTTTAAAGCCATTTGCCGCCGTTGCGATTGGAGCTGAGTGATGAATCATGAGATTAAGGCTCAAGTCTCAACACAGTCCGAGAAGGGAGACAGACTCGTGCATGCCGGCAAACAGCACGTGCATGTCGAGTACCAGCTAGATTTAGATGAACGACATGTAATCAACTTCCCTGCCCAGAATATGGCCCAAAGGAGCGGGTGCTCTGATCATACAGCGGGAAGAGGGGAATATCGGCCAATGCCCCATCAAGTGTCTGGCGACCTGGCTGAAGGAAGTCTTGAAGGCCTTGGTCGTTCTCATTGGTCCAAGGTAGAGCGAAGAAGTCGGCATCATAAAATGTCCAGTCTGATGGCGCATCTGATAATATAGTGTCTTGCTCGGGTGCCGTGTTGGTGCCAGAAGGTAGAGTCTCCAGTTCTGTAGTGCTCATCTCGATCTGATCACCCTCGGACTCGAGAGGCAAAAGACCAAAGAGCTGTGACGAGGCTTGTTTCCGCTGAGATCTCTGATGAAGCTCCCGCTTCCTCACATGCTCAGTTGCAGTCTTGAGTAGTGATTGCACGATTACTGAGTACTGTCGTGCATGCGGATCAACTTTGCTGAAGTAGTCCAAGCATTGGATTGAGCTGCGACAAGTGCCTTCAAAGGACAATCCAGTCCGGCCAAGTGTACCTACGGCAAGCACGAGAGATGTCGTGAACAGCCAGGATCTGGAACGAAAATTAGCTTGCGCCAGAGCGGATCTCGAGCAGAATCGCTGATTTGGGTACACTCACACAACGAGTGGCATCCTCAGCGGCATCTTGCCAGACGCAATAACGCTCTGTAGGGTATCGACAAAGGCAACAGAAGCGTCGAGAGCTGCATCTGCGAACTTGCGCTTCTCTAGATTCTCCGCCCTTGTACTGGGTCCTCTCATCGAAGCTCCAAGGTATTCGTAAAGCTCATAAATCAAGAACGGTCTTGTCAGGAGCATGATCCCATAGTAGTATGTGCATAGTGTTTGGCAGGCTCCAATCACGTTTTCCCTCGAGGCGTTCGCTTGACCAGACTTTTTCACAATGTCAGTGAAAGGGCGGATCCAGTTTGACGCCCACCCCTTGAGCTGGTGTGAGACGAAGTTTGCGATCCGAATTGATATCCGCTTTCGTGAGTAGACTTCGACCACGATTCTCTCGATGATCATGAACATCTGGACACTGGCGTCTAGTATGTTCGGCGGTGAGCGACTGCTCGCGTCTGGCAGCCTGTACTTCACGGTGCAGTCAACATCAGATGTTGAAGGCGGCCGGCCGAGCATATTGCTGATGAGCATATCAACCACCCTCAAGCTCTTCCATATTCGATCTCTCATGGTATGCATTGCAGGTCCCGTAGAAGCGTTGACTTCTGTGCGATGCAGGCCGATCGCGTATGATGTGCGAGCAGCCAGTGAGAAGTACAGATAGGCGCCGTTCGGTTGGAAAGCTCGTAGCATGTACAAGGACATCAATGTGAACCCCTGGACGGCAGCTACATTCATGATTCCGCAGAGATTCGCGAGAAGGGCATCTCTTGCGCGGGCAAAGTAAGACTCTGCTCTGGGCTCATCCGTTTCTTGCAGCCCAATTGCAGAGACAAGTTGATAGACTGCAAATTGGGTGTCTGCCGTATGCGGATCAATGTCACTTGCCCAGCTCGCCATGTCTTTGACCAGCTGTGTTCTGTCGAACAGATCTACGAGTCCACTAGTAGCCACGAAATACTCATTCGAAATTGTTGCAACTTCTCCTGGAACAACGACGGATACTCCGTGATGTGCTCGTCCGCTACTTGGCGGTTGTGCAGCCTCGATGATCGAGTCTCGAGAGGCTTGCAGTGGCAGCTCATCGGAGTCGATCTCGGATGCAAGGAGATGTCTAACAGTCTGCAGGAACGACAGAGGCGCACAGTCCCCAATGAAGATGACTTTGCCTTGCGCGTCGCGAAGAAGGCGAGCTTCCAAAGGCACATCAGTGTCTTCGTGATGATCCTCGCGGCTCACAGTAGGCGACAGCGAGGCACCTATCTGGCCGACCTCTTCATCGCCTTGCAGACGCTGTCTAAGTGAAGTCGGATCGCTTCGTTGCCTTTGACGTCCTGTCGGCGGATCCAGTCCGCCTGCGGAACTTGTCAAGGCATTCGCTGGAGTATTCGCAGTCGACTGCGTCTGGCGAGGCTTAGGCCTGCCATCCCTTTCATCAGCATGTGATCCGGTAATCGTCACTGCCGGATGATTTGTTCCACGTACCCCGAGAACGTGCATGTGTCCGCTCGGTTCTTCCTCTGACAATACGAACAGGGATGTGTTCCATCGCACTTGACCTTGCGGGCTTTGCACAGGTCACATGCGGCAGATACGCGGTCGATTCGTCGTCGTTTCTCGGCCGGGGCTGTACCGTCGGTCATCGTGATAACAAGACAATAGGCTGACGGGTGAGACGTCGGAGGTGAAGATGAAGGAAAAGACTGTCGGATGCGGAGAAAGGAACGATCTTGGCGCGCATCATCCGACAACGGAGCTCGATCCGAACGTCTGACAAGGAAACTGGAATGTAGGAAAACGCCCTGGAGGCGGCCTCGTCGAATCTCTTTCGTACACTTCGTGTGCTACCAGTGCTCGTCACAGTCTGGTATCCTATGATCGCACCCAGTCTGAACTGCAAACCACACGTAAATAATAGACCAACACCTCAATCCAGTAAGGCCTGCGCAGCCTTCTTCTTCCTCTCCTTGAGGCGATCTTCCTTCCTGAAGAATGCATCTCTCGGCTTCGCCAATGCCTTGTTCGCATTACTGCCTCTGGCATACTCCATGTACGCCATGTCTTCACCACCAGCCAGCGAAGACAAGGTGCCAGCTTGTCGACGCACGCCGCCTTTCTTCTTTTGTCTGGCAACGTTCCGGTCACTAAACAGATCGTCTTTGATGTCTTCGACATCGCCAGCTGTTTCAGATTGCAGCAGTACGTCCTGCAGGAGATCCATGCGGTCTTGCTGAGTGTTGTACGCCAAGTTCTTCATGTTCTCCATGCCTTTCAAGTGCGTGATGACTTTGAAGGCATACCCTTGATCGACAAGAAACGCTTGTCGCTTTGATGAGTAGTACATCTCATTTGTGTCTTTGCTCACGAGGCTGTAGAAGAAGGCGTTAAAACCTTCATCGTTTCGGCGCTTTGCCCTGAGAATGCGACCAAGCCGCTGTGCTTCTTGACGTCGCGAGCCGTAGTGTGATGAGATTTGAATCAGACAGGTAGCTTCTGGCAGGTCGAGTGAAGTATCTCCAATCTTCGAAAGAAAGATGGTGGAGACCGCGTCATTCTGCTGGAAGTTCTGTAATACTATTTCCCGCTCCCGCTGACTCGTGTCTCCGTAGATGAATGGCTTCGTCATACCTCTGGCGTATTTCTCAAGTGCGTACACGTTGTCTGAGAAGACGATCACCTTGTCGCCTCGCTTTTCGTGATAGTCGATCAAGAATTGGCATGCCTGGTACTTGCGCGGGTTCATAGTCGACAACAAACTACGCTTGTTCGTTGTCTTGGCTTGGAGGTACTCGCTGTAGAACTCGGTCGTCATGGGACACCAAACCTCTGCACACTGCACACGAGCAATGTGGCCCTCCTCGCTTAGTTGCAGCCAGTTGGCTTCGTAGAGCTTGGGACCGATGAGAAAGTTCAGATCCTTGATCTTGTCGTCTTCTCGAAGAAGGGTGGCGGTCAAGCCCAGCTTGGAATGAGTCTTGATGCGGTTCGTCACCCGTCTGAACATCTCAGCAGGTACGACGTGGACTTCATCCAGCACCATGAGACCCCATTCTCGAGAGGTGATAAAGTCCATGACTTGCTTGCTGTCGTGCGCACGGCGGGTATTTTGCGTGACCATGCTGTATGTACAGATGATCACACCGGCCTTCTGATTGAGCTTCTCCTTCTCGCCAGAGGTGAAGATGGCAATGTCCTCGGGATTGATGTTCGACCACTTCTTGAACTCTTCTTTCCATTGCACAGCACTCATGGCACTAGTGCACAGGACAATGGCACTCTTCTTGACGGTGCAAGCTGCCGTGATGCCGACAAGAGTCTTGCCTGCACCGCACGGCAGGACAATGATTCCACTTCGGGCACGACCGTTACCAAACATCTTGCTAAGTGCATGTTCCTGGTAGTATCGAATCTGTACGTTCGGCCGCAGGTCAATGTCGAGGGTCGCATTGGCGTCGTCTGCCCGGAAGTCATATTCCTCTGTAAGCGGCAGACCCAGCTTGGTACTGCAATGCTCTTGAATGAGTTGGATGTTCTCGCCATCGATCTCGAAGGAGTGCACTTGATCGACCTCATCATCGTCTTCTTCCTCTCGAAGGAAGTCTGTCATATCTTTCTCGGCTTCCTTGCCACCATATTCATCGTCCGACTCGTCATCATCTCCTTCTCGTTTCTGCGCTTGTTGAGCTTGAGCAACAGCTTCTCTCACTCCCGCGGCATCCTTGGTCCCTGGAATGATTAACCCTCCTTTCTGGGCAGCCTTTTCGGTCCGTAGCTCTTCTGAATCCTGCACTCGACATGAGCTTATCACCGGATCCCTGAGTAGTCTTTGTAGCACCGCAGTATCTTGACTCTCGATGAAATATCGGTTGTGTTTCAACACCAATCTTATCTTTCCGAAGGACTGTGACACCTCGCGGACGAAGTCGATGATATTTTGCGGCACTTTTGTTTTCGAGAAGAGCTCGAGGTCGCGAATGATGTCCTGCTCTGTGAGGCCGACAGATATAGCGGCGAATAGACTGTTCGGGCTGATCGTATACTCGTGCATGTTAGTAGTTCGGCTCTGCGGCTCACCAATGTTGATCAAGAAGTTCTGCGCTTGCTTGAAGCCCTGTGCGAACGTCTCGAGTACAACTTTGCCATTGTGAGGGGATATCCATAAAGGTCTGAGATGGTGGTCTGGCTTCAGCGGCTCGCTGAAGAAGTCACGCTTGGGTTTGAATAGATGGCTTGCCGCATCGCCGTACGATTTGGCGTTTTGTGGTTTCTGATATGTCGAGGGCTGGTATTTCTTGACTACACCTACATTGCACACCATCAGCGCCTGGCTTTCAAGCAGACAGTACAGGGCGACGCCACTCACTGTCATACTTTGTCGGCGCCTCCCTCTCGCTCAGCATTTCGGACGACTCGTCTCCCTCTGAGTAGTCATCGTCGCTGACCATGCTCTTGGGTGTGCTCACGCCTGAAGCCACTCTCTTAGACGGGCGGCCACCCGCTGGCCCTGTGCCCTTGCGCTTCGGCGGCATCTTGGTCGAGTCGTACGTCCTTGACAGCCTCGAGTGATGGTATTGGATGGTCTCGACACCACTACCCAGCCTCGATGACCGTAGGCGTGCGAGTGTTGAAGTTGTTTTGTGGCGGCGAAGTTGGTGACTGATGTGGTCGCACAGCCGCTCGGGATATGCCGAAACTCAAATGCGGAGCACATGCGCTCTCTTCCGAAGATTGGATCCACCTCGCTCTTCTCGCCGCACATGTTTCCTACAACTTGATGACAATCACGGCCAGAACGATCTTGACAACTTTCACCCTTTTAACTCAAGCTCTCCGGGCCATTGGACTTCAATTTATCCCGCTCTCAGCGTCCAGCGTTCAGCGATTCACTCCAACCTCCACAAAATGAATACGGTAAGTCAAGAAACAACAAACCATCGACCACAGCTGCTCATTGGAACCAGATTCGATCAGTAGGCTACGGCTGGGGCGTCCTCATTATCGCAGGCGGCGGATCATACTACTTTGCGAAACGAAGCATCAATGCCGACCGAGAACAGCGAGCACTTGACGAGGAACGCCGAAGACAGCAACGCGAGCGACTACGAGTACAGGAAGCTGTATCACGAGACATGAGAATGGGACAATCGGGCGGAAGAGATCCAGACGCCAGCCGGCCGCCGGTATCAGATCGTCCTTCGCCAAGTCGAGAGGCTGCTGAGGACCCCGCACCAGTAACACATGCGGAGGGGAATGAATCACGAGGGAAGTACGAAGCAGCGGAGCCGTTCAGATCAAGAAAAGGGGATAGATTCAGTTGATGATATGTGTATGAGGAGGACAAGCAGCTTGGGCATAGGTGCAGGTGGATGAGGAGATGGATGGGCAGGTGTAAGATAAAAGACTGAAAGAGGAGACGAAGGAAACAGGCGGACGGCAAGGACTGAACTCATTCGTACATTGAATGGATACAAGAGCCCAGGTCCTATGATTACAACATAGGAAAGCCGCAGGGTATCAGGACCGAGCCGGATCAAACCAACCATCAATGGGCATCTTGCTTTGTCCCGTTCATTCGCCATCGCCCACCGCTATGCCATACAAGACCAGACCCACAAGCGTCGAACCAATACCACATGTCAACGCCAAACCAACGCCTCGCCGTAGGGATATCTCAAAACACAAAGTACATCTCTTCTCTGACCACCCTCAAACCATCCTTATCTCCTCAGTCGCAAGTATGCGCCGGCGTAGTCGTCCAAGGAAGAGCTAGGAAGACAGTCACGGAAGCTGAGTTGGCGCCTGAACATTCAAGTCAGCATGAGCGTGAGAGAACTGTTACATTTCGAAAGGCAGACCATGTCGTCGAACGGCTGTCTTTGCCAGCGGCTTGACTGATAGCATACGCGCCAGCGAAAGGTGCGCTGACGACTGCACACCAGTATGCGACCGCTGTGGCAGCTCCTAACCGGTCTTGATTCACGGCTCTGGCGGTAGTGGAGTAGGAGCGCAGTGCTTGCAGGACTCTTGGTACTGATCTGATCGGCATTTTGATCGGTGTGGACTGTAGGACAGGTTTTTGATCGTTGGAATGGTTTCAAGGTGTTTTGATGGTCTTTCTGGCTTGTTCCAAGGCGTTTGTACAGCACAAGGAGTAGTACGGATGGCGAAACGGCTTATAGGCAGTCACGCATATGCTCCTCTGTTAGAGTCCGACCAATCAGCGAGCTTATAATGATAATCACAAACTCAGGGTCTTTTAAGCTTCTGTGGCTGACGCGTGGGATGTAAACCTTCCTCCTCTCTGCTTCAGGCGGCTCTTGTTGCGAAACAATGCTCCGACGACAGACTCACAACAAGTATGCCTTTTTCTTTCTCAAATACCTGCAGTTCCTCAATTATTCCCTCAATCTCGAAGACTCCACGGCCGCACACGACTCAATGCACCGACACTGCGCCGCAGTCTCCCCGCAGACGTGAGGGAAGAGATGACGATATGGTGCAACCACAGCACCACAGCTGTATCAATCGCCAACCTCTGATTTGAGCCCACTCTGAACCGAAGGGGCTTTGCATGGTCAGCCGGATTTTGAGACGCCGCAGTACTTCGATACTTCAATCCTTTTCGAAGTGGCGCAGCGCTGCCAGGCCACACATTCCAGCGAGCCAGCCGCGCTGCTCACCTCCCGCGTGGGATGGCGAGATGATGTGCTAGAACGTGATCACGAACGTGATGGCTTGCTGGATTTTGACGACAGTCGGCTTTTGTGTCAGTGAGAATTTCCCGTCAAAGTCCTGGGCGAGATACTTGCATCGCTATAGCGAGACTTGTGTCCCGGCCTGGTCAGCAGAATTGTAGGACAGCTCATTGGCTATCCCAGGACTCTGATGCTAAAGACGACCTCGCTATTCCGATCTATCGCTTGAATGCCTCGCAGTTAGGACTCAGACCAAAGGAAGCCTTGCCCAAGACGTATTCAATATGGCCTCACGAATCCCTTCGACACAGCTTCGAAAGTGCCCGCTCAACGCGCTGCGGTGCTCAAATTCGAACTCAGTCGAGTTCAGGGGCGTTCTAACCTCCACGACGTAACACAAGTATACCTTTACAAACTATGTCGTTTCTTCTTTGCCTGCTTCTTGCTTTCCCCAGTATTATCGGCATCGTCGAGTGCTTCGGCACGAAGCTACATTCCACAGATCAGCCATTACCCGCCGTCGCGCCACAGGAATGCAGGATATGCACGCTCTTCAGCTTTTATCGATATGAGCGCGACGCGACGGTTGGACGTGGCTTTGATCGATTTGTTACTCCTCGCATGATGAGTGCAACCTCTCCTCATGCTCTGCCAGCCTCCCATGTGGAGGGTAATCCTTCTCACCCCTGGACTCTGCGTTCTATCCTTCAGCATGTCCAACATCAGCACCGAAGAGCTAGAACAACAAGACGGAGACGTTGCAATATCTGGTCCACATCGAGCTGAAGATTGTCCACGTCGAAAATGCGCTATCAGAATCTGTCGGAGAAGAAGCGGTCGTCGGTGGTATCGAGATCGAAGTCGTTGTCGACAACATCGGGATGTGTGATGATCATCATCTGCCAGCACATCCTCCTATGGAGCGCTCTGTACGTTGCAGCAAGCGCAATATACGCCCTTGCGGTGGAGGCAGTGGTCACAAACAACATCCCGTCGATAGTCATGTTTCTAGTGGGAGTAAGCTAACAAGACTCTGAAGCACGCCAATTTCGCATGCTGACATTACCTCGCAGAGCTGCCTTTCCCTATTCTATCTGGTCCTTCAAAATGTCACAACACATCTTCGAAAGCGCGCTCGGGATCGATGGCAGAGCGAAAGAGTCGATACTTACCAATCTCTTGCCACATTCGTGCTGAGGCGATTCCTGGTCCTCGCTTGGGTCGTCACCAGTGTTCTAGCAATCGTCCTCACGGCATCAAGAGGAGTACTATGGCCTTGTCAACCCGAAAGTGATAGTAGGACCATGCCACTAGACGTGGGAACGACCTGCGTCGTGAACCGTGTCGAGATGCTGGCATGCATAATAACCGCGTGAGTTAAATCTACACGTTCATCGACGAAGTACGCCTAACATGCCACAGCCTCGCCAGCGCCTCCCTCTTCATTCTCTCACACATGGTCCACGAGCCCTCCCGCTGCCACCTCTTCGGCTACATCACAGAGCAAGACCTCCTCCCACTCTTCCTCCCCTACCGAGCCTCCCACGACCGTCCACCCCTCTTCTCCGACATGTCGTTCAAATGCCGCTCTTCCTCCTCCCTTTCCACCCAAACGGCCATCGGACCCTGCAGCTACTCGACAACCCACCTCCTGGCCTGCTCAGAACCAAAACAACCTCTCGGCCTAGGGATCTACACAGGCCACCGCTCTGCGCCCTCCCTCCTCCGTCCTCGCCCCTCGCTAGCTTCCATCCGCTCCCACGTAAGCGTCCACCTCCCACCACCTCCAACGGAGCCCCTCCCGCCCCTCCCAGCGTACTTCCCAGAGAAATACCACCAACCAACAACCACCATCCACACAGCAATCTACCCACCCCGCAAACTCTACGGCCTGCACCCAAACTCCAGCCTCAACGTCGTCAGAATCATCACCCCGCCCTCCCCAGCGCTCTCCAAAGATAACCTCACGGCCCTGAACAGAAGCAACGAGTCCCAGAACTCCCTAAGCAGCGTATACAGCCGGAGTATCAGCGGGGATAGACCCTCGCCCCCGCCTCGCAAGCTCAGCGAGAGCGACAGGACGATGAGTTCGAGCAGCACCGGCACGGTCAAGCGCAGTCCGCTCGGAGCGATGAGGTTAGCCGAAGACCCCGAGAATGTCGTGATGGCGCGGTCGAGGATGTCCAGTTCGAGTTCCGAGTCGGAGATCGACGATGTCGCGGCTCTGCAGGCGCGGGTGCAGAGGGTGGATAGTAGGGAAGGGCTGGTCAAGACGTCGGAGCTGGAGGGTTATGTGGACCGGCAGATTAGATTCAGTCTGAAGCCGTTGAATGTTCGGCAGTGTTATGAATCAACTCAATCAGATCAATCTAAGGCACTAATCTGATTGAATTGCTCGCTGATTCGCCCACATTGCAACTAGTTGCAAATGATTGATCGAATGTGATTGCTTGGCATTGAGGGATGTAGCCGTTATACCACGCTAAAACACGTAAACAAACACGTAAATAAGCACGTGTGCACGGCCGCCGTTAGGGGTTCAGGGGCCTAACGGCTGCCTAAATAGGCAGTAACGGCTGTCTCGATCAATTTCAATCAATATTAGTTGAGTATTGAGTAATTCCAGCTATTAGTTGATCAACGTCAATCAATTTACAGGCCGGATCGAGTGGAGTTAATGAATCAATTCAATTCGATATTGATTGTGATTGAGTTGACCGAGATCACTGATGTTCGGAAGACGAGGGATTGTGATAATGTGTTTTGAATGGGTATAGCGAACACCGTGTCAGCTTTGTATTCCGAACGTCGTTTAACTCGCGATAGAGTTGCCTATACTCCTTCGCCATGCATCCATCCATCCATACTCCCCGTCCACGCCCACGCTCCATCGTAATCGTCATTCGTACTTTCTACTCCTTCAGCAGATCGTCCCAAAGTGCGCCTTCTTCCAAGAATCCGTGATGAATCACGCTGACCAGCCAGTAGTCCTTCCGAATCCGCTCCAGCAGTTTGCTGCTCTCTGAACCAGGTCGATAGATCCTCTGCCACTCCGCCCAAATACCAAACGCCTCTTCCTGCCACGACTTGAATGAGACCGCTTCGATGATAGTCGGCGTGATGATTTCCTTGCCAGTGAAAGTTCCCCAGGTCACAGGATTGACGGATTCTTCATCGGAACTAATGAAGTCTCCCTTGCCGTTTCCGGCAAAGTAAGTGATTTGTGGATGCTGATCGAGTTTGCCTTGGAGCTTCTTCCAATCTGCCGAAGGTATGAAGAACTCGACGAAAGGCTTCTGAAAGACGAAACCGTTCTTGGGACCCCAGCCATAGACAGGATCTGTAGATCGTACGCCATTGACCGCAGGCTGTGAAGCCACAGTCCACCAGCCTTTGTTGATCAGAGCCAAGAGCTTGTCCTTGATTGTCAAAGTCTCGGGCTGCAGCGATTCTTCTGACCAAGGCATGGAATCAATTTCTCCCTCAAGATGTCTCCTGAAGCTGGTGGAGATGTCTTCGGCTGACGTCGGCTCGCCCCAGAGTCTCTTAGCCTCCGGTACGCTGACGTGAAGACTAACTCCATATCCGTCTATCTCACCGTATGCGGGCGATCGAGCATCACCCCAACGTCCATTGGGGAAGTCGTCCCAAGTAGCTTCACGTCCCAGAGATCCCTTGCCCTCTGAAATGGCGAGATTGTTGGCACGACTGTTGATCTTCTCTTTCGGGACGCCTGCCTCATCGTCGAACGCCTCGAATGCCGAAGTGCGGTTGCTGCTTACACTCGAGGCCCGAGTGTGAGAGACGATGACCCTGTTACGAGCTTGTGAGTTTGCCACTGATGACTTTCTTCTGTGTGCCTTCTTCTTAGCATCGTCCACAATGACGAACTCATCACTCTCTTCGATTGCAACAGCCCCGTCTGCCTCTTGTGGTGCTGGCTCAGGTGGAATGAGATCGCATCGTTCAAGTATCTGAGCAACCACCTTCTCCAGGTTGAGCGTGTAGAAGTGGAACCCTCGCGGGCCAACACTGTCCGACTTCTTCATACTCTCTACGATCTCGCCCAGGATATCAACTCCAACTCTCTTGACTGCCTCATCGTCACCCTTAACAGCTTCTAGCCTCTTCAGAATGTCAGTTGGCAGGTTTGCGTGGCTCAGCTTGGTCGTCCGTCGAAGAATCTGATAGCTCTGGATGGGCATCAATCCAGGAATGAGCGGTATAGTCTTGAAGACCCCAGACTCGTGTCCACGCAATCGCTTCTCGTACTTGTGGTAGGCATCGACGTCGAAGAACAATTGTGTCATGATGAAGTCCGCTCCAGCAGCTGTCTTCTCTACGAGGTAGGGCAGGTCGTGTTCAACAGACTGATCCTCTGGGTGTGACTGGTCTGAATGACCTTCAGGGTATCCCGCTACACCAACACAGAAGTAGTCCCCATACTGCTTCTTGATATATCGCACCAAGTCCACAGCCCAGTTGAAATCTCTGTTGCTGTCATCCTCTTGCGCCTTGGGGTCGCTATCGTCCATGTACTCTTCACTCCTTGGAGGATCGCCCCGCAGCGCGAGGATATTCCGAATGCCCAGCACTTTTGCTTGGTCGAGAGCCTCGTCGATCAGCTTTCTTGACATGTTTGTGCACGTGAGGTGCAAACATGTCGTCAAGCCCAACTCTCGCTGTGTTATCTCCGCCAGCGCCAGCGACTTCTGCGACGTGCTTCCCCCGGCGCCCCATGTGACGTTGACGAAGAGCGGGCGTAGAGCCTGCGCCATACGTGAAAGTCGGGCATTGAGATTGGAGAAGCCCTGCTGCGTTTTCGGCGGGAAAAACTCGAGCGAGAAGTAGTTCGAATTCGGCGGCAATGCCGCGATCTTGTCGGTCAGCTTATCCATGGTCGGTATGAGCCAGCAGAGGAGCAGTGCTGGAGGAGTTGGTTGTCTGCTGGGTCATCATTCGGGTGAGGTCGCGAGAGCGTGATGTAGTCAAACAATGCCAGTCCTTGAGTCCCCCAGGTCCCACTTCCGATGATCGGCAATCAGAAGCGAGACGGCTGCGGTACGGTCCGTTGGTTGTCGCTGCTCTCATTCGTTAGGGTTGGAGCATAGGGTTTTGGGGTAAAACATCCCCAAGAGCACACGACCCAGACATCAACAAGTGACTTCTGATGGGGTCTCCTTTGGACATCCCGGTTACCGTGAAAGGCTACAGCAAATTCATGTGCCAATTCCAGGGAGGCAGGAGTTCACGAAGCGTCGGGCTCAGGTCATTTGTGGTGTTCATGGCTGACGGAAAAAAGACCAGCACCGAGGCATTGTAGACGACAAGACCTTCTTGAGCACCAAAGCCGAAGCAAGACATAGCCCAGGCGTTGTTGGCTCGAATTGGAGGACGCTTTGCTGGAAACCCCAATGCAGGCGTGAACAACTACAGAGGCGGCAAAGGACATGCCCCACAGCTTAGGGGAAATGGACGCCAACAAGAGCAAAGGGCACACGCACGTGCAAGGGCAGGTGTCAGGTATCAATAACAGATCCCCCGGTTCCAATTGGAAACGACGCCATTACGATTTCAAGAGCTCAACATCGTGGTTAGACATTGTGTCCCGGAAGATCTATGGCCACAGTTCACACCTTCCTTTTACCGGCATGCATACATCCGCACATGATACAATGACAGCAAGATCTGCCACGAGGAAACGAAGCCAAAGACACTGAAAACTTCTCTGACGAGGGCACGCCGAGTTGTACATGTGTTGGCCTCACTCGCGCCATGATATCATAAAGCTGTGGTGTCAGCTATGACGATATCGCATCACGATTAATCCTGGACGCTCGCACCAGGCGCCATCGTCGATGGCATAATCGCACATGTGGGCATCGACCTCGTTGTCTCCATCCCGACCAGGTCAAACCAGACGCCCGTAGAGCGTGGACGACGCGAAATACTTGATTTCTCTTCCAAGAAAACACCAGAGTTGGCTGATGAGCGAGTATGGAGGTGCTCGAACCACTCCCAATGACGGTGACGATGGCTCCGAATTCAGGTCCTCGTATACAGCTTGTGGACGTCTTGTATGCGGCGAGATCAAGGAACCTTGTCATCGGGTTATCGCAGCCAGGCGCGGTGACGAAATGGTGACCCATGCCCCTGGCCCGACGTCAAGCGACATGCCCTACCTGTGGTACCTGGCTCGCTTTGGAGGTTGACCATTGCCGCGTGCTCGATGGCCCCATGGTTCGAGGTTCGCGATGCTCGAGCTAGCGATGAAGGCTTTGTTGAGAAGCAGTCGAATGTCGTCTCAACAGATCGAAGGAAGCACTAGGTCTCTTGCTGGGAAAAGAAGAGGCAGAGGATGTCGAGCACCTGATATCATCAAGCTTGAACTGCTGGGCTAATGAATGGTTCGTTAGGGTGCTTGTGATACATGATGTTCTTCCAGGATTGAGCCGCATCGCTTCATCGCCATTGCCCCTCGTGGCAAACGTGCTCGCTTGACTCGAGCGGAGGCAATGACGCGCCTTCAGGGTCCATCACGTCTTCACTCTGGCAGACAACCAGAAATTTTGATGTCATGCCATGGATTCTCCTCAGCAGCAGGAGCAACGCAGGCACACTGTTTCAAAAAGATTGTTGAGACGCACGCAGACGGTACGGACAGTACCATATTCTCCATGGCACGGTTGGTGGCTGGTCCACACAGGCGTTGTACTTCGACCTTGGGGTGCAATGCACGTGCTAAAGGGTCGCTGAGGTCGTTCTTCGGTGACCCGCGATGAAGTCAGGCCAGATTTTGTTTCTCTGATAGACCCTTTCTCAAGAGAACAATGAAAGTTCACGAACAGCATGAGGTCTCGTGCGTCGTGGTCGTCAAAGGGGTTACGGTTCCAACTAGCTGGATCTGCAACGTCAGTGGAGTAACGGAAAAGTGGGTCAGTGAACTCATGCCAAGACAACGATTTAACCCACGCATGGCCACTCAGGACACTCTCCACGCGAACGAATGTTGTCAAAGGAAGCAAAGGAATTACGGCACCGCATCCATCTTACGCTGCTTACTCATCTCGAGCGTTCGACACTCGAGGCTCCCTACGAACGATGCAACTCTCAGCTCGTCGCTCGAACGATAGGCATATTTTTGCAAGGAGGATCCATATGCTGTACACCAACATCCTTTGCTTTTCCATCTTCGCCACAAGTCCGCAACAAATGCAGCAAGACCGTCACGGGCGTCTCGTCTATGAAACAAGGGTCTGGCGGCCTCATCCGCACGCACATGAAGGGTCCAGCAGGGTTGCGTCAGAAGCGTCACTGACGAGGGCCTGTGCGCCTAGCCTCGAGCCTCACAAGACAGATCTACATCAGCTTGCAGCCGACGCATGCACCCACGAATGCAGTTACCCCAGCTCGATGCCGAACGTCTACCCACCCTCCATGGTCATCGAACCAATCGTCCTGCTGACAGGCCAAGAGGTGTGGTTGATGCTTTATTGCCCCATCTTTCTTGCTGCAGTTCTCCTCTATGGCTGGCTAGAGTGATGGGTCTGTGGTCCCTTCCTGCGGCTCCGCTGCGTCGCGCTAGAAAGTCGCTTGTTGTCCTCGAGCCGTGTTCAATCATCATCGCCAGAAGATCCATCTGACGAAGGGTCCCCGCTATGCTGTATCTCCAGTCTCGTCTCTCGACGTTGATATAGTTGTAGCTTCGTCCTATTCCTATTTTCTCCATCTCGTTAGCAACTACTTCAAGCAGTCATCAAAGCCACTCATCGACCATCCAAACGATCACCTTCACGTCGAAAGTCGATCACCACTTACTCAATCGAACGGCATATACCACCAACAAATCAATTACTATGCCTTCCCAAACTCAAGTCTATGCCTCCAACGACTTTAGCGAGCACGAGGCTCAAGACCATTTCGCGCAGCAATTCGACTTGGCAAACCCTGACGCCGCCAGAGACTCCTACCAGAGGTAAGAATTTCTATCTCCGTAGCCGCACTCGATCCAAAGCTGACAATCGTCTAGAATCATGCACCAACACACCAAGCAACAATTTGAGATGGCCACCACCTCATCAAGAAGGCGATCGTCAGGAGGAGACAGCCGCATGGCTTCCCTGTCATCTGAGAAGAGCAATGGCTCCATCAGTTCGACTTCGTCATAAGCCGGTGAACTTGCCACGGCGATATTTTGATTGAATCTTTGTACGATTGAGCGTGTTTGTACGAATGAAGCGTCGCATTGGGTTGGCGTTTGATCGAAACAGTACCGGGCATAATGCTTGGGCATAAGATTGGATAACAGATACCATCTTGAAATGACAGTTAGACTGCTGAAATGATTGAGAAAAGATCTCGTTACTCAGTCAATGATGTCTGTTGCATCTTCGTGAATTACGGAGGTATGTAACTCTCACCTCCAACGAAAGGTTGATGTTGTGTCGGCTCGTCGCAACTTTCCATGATCAGAGCGACGACATTGGATTGTCTTCTGTACTGTATCGTCGTACTCGAAGTGAAACGATGAGTGTACTACTTGATCGTCCAATTCGAGTCTGTCGTACAAAGACATAGGCCGCTGCTCTCGACAATCGGATCATGACGATTTTGCGCTTCTCAACATCGGGTTTTCAAAGGCGAGAGGGACTTCGCAGCCCCTTTCACGGCCGAGCTCTGTGACTGCTGTAGTCAAGTGAGCAACTTCATTGACGAAAGTATCCGTGAGAAACTGAGCGAAGAATTGATGGTCACCTCCAGCCTTTAGGTTCGCATGCTCTTGTCCGGCAATAATATTTCCTCAACGATTGTCCTCTCTGACGGAGTCGTCATCCTGCTAGCGGCGTGCAGAGAACTCGGCATCATCTTCGGTGATCTAAGCCAGGTCAATGGTCGCAGTCGTATACTTCCATCTTGCATCTTCTCGTCACATGCAGATGGCCGTCTGTGTAACATAGAGATGCAGAACAAGGAGGCTGGGCGAGCATGATGAGGCTCAAATTAAGGTTTAGTCTAGCGCTGGAGTTTGTTAGGTAATGCCAATGGAACGAAAATTGAAGGCCACCGCTTCATCATGATGACTCGGCTCACAACAACATTGAACCCATCTACATCAGACGGACAAAATATACCTCCTCTTCGGCCTGTTGGATCTTTGACGAGTATTCGACTGGATAGGAACAGATAAACTGTGCGACTCCCGTGCCTGCATCGACGCGCGAATCTAAGAGCGCATTTCGCGAATACAGACGCGAATCTACATCACGATGTTCCCGCCATCCGGAGGCTACAGCCTGGACATCGAAGCCATCTCTGGAATTTGTGGCTCTATCTCCATAGCCTGCTGGGTGGTCGTGTTCTCGCCTCAAATCATTGAAAACTTCCGGCGAAGTTCTGCGGAGGGCCTGAGTGTCGAATTCATCATAATATGGCTGGCTGGAGACGTGTTCAATATCCTTGGCGCCGTCCTGCAAGGTGTATTGGCTACGATGATCATCCTGGCCATTTACTATACTGCAGCTGATGTCGTTTTGCTGGGCCAATACTTCTACTACACCGGTTTCAGACTGCGCGATCCCAGGCCGGACAAGCCATCGAATACTGGCGACGATGCACCGACAGAACGCTCTCCTCTGATATCGAACGGACATGCGAATGGCCACCAGCCCAGTGCAGCGGACGTGGAACATTCATCCAGGCACCGATCTCCATCGACTTTCCGCGAACGATTGGCCAGTCTGGACACCTCTCATCTCTCCCCAGCATTGCCCATACACCCTCAACCAATGGATTCGGACGACACTGAGGCCTTGAAGCCTCATCAGCCTCGAAGTTGGCTTCAGGCCATTCTTTTCAACAGTACAGCCATCTTGTTGGTCGTGCTAGCCGGTGTCGCTGGCTACTACCTCAGTCCGGCCCCACCAGAGGGCAAGAATGGCAAATCCCCAGCGGACGAACAGGCCGATTCGCTCAAATTCAGCGTCTGGGGCCAGATCTTCGGATACATCTGCGCTGTGTTGTACCTTGGAAGCCGGGTACCCCAACTCCTCTTGAACTACCGAAGGAAGTCGACCGAAGGACTCAATGCGCTCTTCTTCCTCTTCGCTTGCATCGGCAACTTGACATATGTGCTGTCAATCTTTGCCTTTGAGCCGATATGCAGCCGTCACACGCACGGACACTGGCGCGAGAGCAGCTGCAAACCTGGTGAAGCTGGGAGAATCTACGGCCTCTACATTCTGGTCAATCTCAGCTGGCTCATCGGCAGTTTGGGAACACTCTTCCTAGACTTTGCTGTTTTTGTTCAGTTTTGGCTGTACAGAGATAACGCTCCGGTCGAGAGCGTGGCGCAGAGCTCTGCACAGCAAAACGGGGAGGCCAGAGGCAGAGATTCGGGCGACCGTTGAGTCACGAATACCAAAGATTAGGACGCCAACTCATCTGGACGGACTTTCGATACTCGCCTAAGCCCTTTGCGCTCCATTTGGGAAGCGTGCTGCCGTCGCCTGTCGAGATAGGCTCGGTCGTGTCTGAAGCACTATAAACAATTCAAAACGTGCATTCTCCAATAGCAGAAAACAGGCTTCGTTGGTCTAAGTGAGTGCAATGGCTCAGTGGAAAGAGCGCGACAATGATTGCTAACGTCCTGCAGTGGTTATGATGTGAGCATCACCAATCCCGAAGCTTCCGAACGAGCTGAGGCTAACACGTGACAGTCCGGCCCGTCTTCTGCATGGCAGGCTCGCTGGAGATGTTGGTTCGATTCCTTCACGGTCAGTATTGTCAAGAACTGATCGTAGGGACAATTCGCTGACGTTGAATTGTAGAAGCGCTCAGCGTTCTATCTTTTTGCAAACCCAGCGATCACTCCAAGACCTAACAGAACGTGCGGGAAATGGAACCAATGCTCCCGCTAGTTCATTTTGCGCGAATAATATTCAAAAATGTCAATCATGTTGGAAATGGTCCTCAAATTGGGCTATACAAAACCTCGGACACGGGCACACACAATCGAATGTTTTGCTACTGCAACATCTTCTTCAAGCCGATGACGCTGCCGCGTCCACAAACATCTGCATGCTATGACATGTTGATGAGACCTGTGCCACACCGGTTTGATTGCAAAACGAAGACACAACATCTACGGAATGCCGATGGACGACTCGGCTTTGTCCCGGCTTGACAGCGTAGAGTCCAGCCCAGACGGACCGACAAAATGACTGAAGCGGACCGCGTCAGGAGGGCTCCAAGCTGTTGGTAATTTCTTCGGGGCGACACTGACTGGCTTTGACCCTCGATTGGAATGTGGCACCGCATCGCTGGGCTGAGACCGGGCACGCCGGACCGATTTGCGGTATGCCGACCGATGCGACTTCATCTCATGTCGCGTTAACGTGTCGACCGCGACTATGCATGTCTGGTGCCAAAGATAACCGTGTGCGGACTGGGCCAATGGACACACACTCTCTAGACCCTGAAAAGAGTGATGCATCGATCCAAAAGAACCGGTACTTGATCTGGCGAGGGAAGTCCAAGCTTATGTCCCGACCACATTCGACCATGCCAAACATGGTGTCTACTTTACTGCCGCTTAGACGACTTGGTATGCAGCATCATCAGTGTGAGAACCCACCCCTTGGCTCTCATCTCACGCTGTTGGCGTCCCAGGCCACAAGCCGTCATACCGGCCTGTGTTGTGCATTGGTAATGTGAAGTGTTTACGAGAGACGCAATATTGCCTACCATGGGGTCGGTCTACGCTCAGTGATCTTCTTGACTGGCATGACGGGACCCTCCTGCCTTCCCCCAAGGTGGTAAGAAAATTGCATTGACCGTATAGCGAGTCTTGGAATAGCGTTGAGGTCCACTCAGACCTCGAGTCCTGCAGTCACGCCGGCCCACCCGGCATCTCCCTAATCTGCTTTTGTCTTGTCTCCATACCATGCTACCCATCATCACAAACAACGACCGCGTTCTTAACGCCAGCGTCGCGATGGAAACGCAAGCCAGGACGCCAGGCTCGCATCACCATCGCAACTCCCTGGTGACGGTCTTTAGTGTCCGCCTCTGCCGTGCCGTTCCTCCAACAACTATCTCTTCGACACCATGTCGCTGGAAATTCCAAGACGGCACAGTACACCCGGCCACTCGTTTGCCATGGCGGCCCTTGTGCCTTTACTCCTCCACTTCGGACTTGCGAATGCTCAGTCGTCGAATCTCCCTGGCGTGCCGAACCCGGTTGCTACGTCGAACAACGCCGGCAACGCGAACAACGCTGGAATCACCCCTAGCGTTCCGAGTGAGTACGCGTTGGGACAAATGTCTTTGCCTCTGACTAACAACGTTCAGGTGGATGTCCCTCTGTCGTCACGTTGACCGTTCTGCCATCTGACTACAGCGGTAGTCTGATATCGCTAGCTTCCAGCTTGTGGCCCTCTCTACCAACTTTCAGCGTTCCGGGTCTGCCTTCCTTGCCGCCGATTTCGATACCAGATCTCAGCATCACGATCCCACCTCTTACAGGGAGCTCGCGCCTACCATTGCCAACCATCAACCCGTCAGGAACACTCGATCTTCCTACATTGTCCCTTCCTGTCTCGGCCCTTCTTCCGACCGTACCATTGCCATCCGGAACACCGGTATCGTATACTTGCCCAGAGGCAGATGGCAAGCTGATCATCCAAAATCTCCTGCCATTCGTCGTAGACTGCGGTGCGACGGCCACTGGAACTGTGTACACATCAGTACCCGCGGTCGACACCTTCAACGACTGTTTCTCGCAGTGCGATCGCTCTGGCACCGACCAAGGCGCGAAGTACTGTACTGGCTTCTACTATGAGGGCGCAACCGACGGAGATGGCGCCGGCACCTGCTACCTTCAGAACAGCGTGTCTCAAGGCTTCAGCTCTGCTCAGGGGTCATCGAACCGCGTAGCTGCTGTCAGATTGCTCAACTACCTGGTCGGAGGCAACAACCCGCTGCCACCATTACTTGGAGATTTGCCCATCAGTCCACAGCTTCCTGGAGCGATTTCATCGCTGCTCAGCGAGATTGGCACGATTCTTCCAACAAACTTACCTTTGACTACGCAATTGCCCGATGCGATATCGTCTTTGCTTGGCGGGGCAACATCGGGGACCCCTAATGGCATTTCCTCCCTATTGAACGATCTGACCTCTGGTCTCAGCCTTCCGACGAATCTACCTTTGACTACGGAGGTCCCGAACGCCATATCCTCCATACTTGGAGGCGTCAGTTCTGGCCTTCCAGCTGGCGTCTCTTCCCTGCTGAACGATCTGACTTCTGGCATCAGCGTTCCAACCAACCTTCCTATCACGACAGACCTGCCGAATGCGGTCTCTTCGATCTTGTCAGAGATCAACAACTTGCCAACAGACGTCCCTGCCTCGTCTTTGCTCGGCGACTTGAGCAGCATTCTCGGAGGGCCTAGCGGAGTCTTGTCGTCTTTGGTTGGAGATATCACAGGAGCTTTGCCAACACCAAGTCCAAACTTGCCCATCAGCAGCTTGATCAACGACTTGAGCAGTGCCCTCAACCCGTCTGGATTGCCCATAACAAATCTGCCGATTTCATCGCTCGAGACTTAGTTGAGCAGTCTCCTCGTAAATCCAACTCAAGGCATTCCTGGAGCCGTTTCGTCTTTGTTGGGATCCCAAGGCCTTCCATCTGTGATCTCCTCGATCCTCAATCCAAGCAACGGCGGCGCCCTCAGCTCACTCCTCAATCCAAGCAGCGACGGCGGTGCCCTCAGCTCTCTTCTCAATGACCTGACGGCTATCCCATCGATTACACCACTCGTCACTTTGCCCACGAACATTCTACCGAGTGGCAGCCTTCCATCTCTCACGAACTTGCTGCCGACTTCGCTGCCTTCAGGCGCCTTCCCCTCTATCAGCATCCCTAGTGGCAGCCTTCCGTCCCTGAGCCTGCCATCAGGAATCGTCGTTCCGTCCATCAGCATCCCCGGTGGCAGCCTTCCGTCCTTTAGCAATCTCTTGCCGACCTCGCTGCCTTCAGGGATCATCCCTCCCATCAACGGCCCTAGCCCGGGCACGAACTTGATCTCGACCACCGATGCAAATGGACTCCCGACACTGATCTCGATCACGCCCACCGTCGTCGTACCGTCCATCACTGTAAGCCTACCGACAGATCTCAGCCTGACCGGATCCCTGACGAATTTGGTTCCTACGACAGGTCTGGGCGGCATCACCACCTTAATTTCAGTCCCCACGGATCTCAGCTTGACGGTGCCACCTCTGTCGTTGTCCGTGTCTTCAATTTCGATACCGAGTGTAGGGATACCAAGTGTGCCGATTCCGAGTGCGTCGATTCCGATTGTGTCGATTCCGAGTGTGTCGCCTCCACCAATATCCATTTCGGTCTCCTCAATTTCGGTGCCTTCTGGGATCTTACCAACTAACATCTTACCTTCTGGATCCGGCGGCAACCCTCTATCTTCGCTTCTCCCTTCAACAAACATCCTACCTTCTCTGACTCTGCCCGGCGGCGGCGGCGGCTCAAGCAGCAACGCTCTCATCCCCACTGCCACCGCATTCCCCATCTTCGGATGCCCAGGAGACACAGGCTTGGCATACGTCTCACCTTCAGGTCAAGCCTTTTCGATCGTATGCAACACCGATGTCGTCGGCTACCAGATTTCGACGGCTCTGCAGCCGGACCTCGAAAGCTGCGTCAACTCCTGCGGCGGCGTGCAAGGCTGCACTACTGTGGCATATCAGTCATCGACCGGGATCTGTTCGTACAAATCACAGAACGGACAAAGCATTGCTGCTACCACGGACTTCAGTGCTGCGATTGCGATTGATTTGTCTTGTCCCAATGGAAACGGCGTCACCTATCTCGATGCATACGGGTCTAACTACCAGATCCTGTGCAACTACACCTTCCCCTCGCGCACGGAGATCTCGCCACCAGTATCTACGGGCCGCTTGGTCGACGAGCGGTCCTTGGCGCTAGAGAAGCGTGCACCTTCTGATGCTAGCTTCCTTCCCTGCTCGATTCGCTGCTCGCTTTTCTCTGGATGCATCGCCGTCACCGAAGAGAACGACGTCTGTCTCTACATCAGCAACCTTGGACCCGCAGGTGAAGGCTCGAACATCGCCGATACCGTCGCTTTGGTTGCCAAACGTATTATCACGGTCAATGGAAACGGCGCCCCTGTGACGAGTACGAGCGCAGCTGCTTCGGTGCCTACCGTGGCTACATCGCGGTCAGCCACTGTATACAATCCTCCCGCATCGACACCAAATCTTGGATTGTCATCCGTCTTGGGCGGCATCACCACGCTCCCGACCGTCTCTTTGCCAGCCGTACCTTTGCCAACAGTCTCGGGATCGTTGGGGTTGGGGTTGTCTGCGTCTTTGGCGGTTTCAGGCTCCGTCGGCGTGAGTGGCTCGATTTCGGTCCCTCCGATATCAGTTCCCCCTCTGCTGCCAACAAACTCCGTTACGTGCGGACCTGGGCTCCTTGGTATTGGAGCGTGCTCAAGCCCAACGCCCACGCCAACAGTCGTCGCAACTTCCGAGTGCACTCCCCAGCCAGGCCTCCTGGGCGTCGGCGCCGTTGACTGCTCGACATCCACGACAAGCTCCTCAGTCAGTCGCACGCAGATCACCATAACCGTGCCTGTCTCGACGTTTATAACAACCAGCACGGTCACATCGTGCTCCACCAACTTCCTAAACCAAGTCGTCTGCCCGACTGTCAATGTTATTCAGACTTTGGTGGGGACCAGAACTACGGTGACCAGCTCCTTCATCACGATCACGTCGAGTACTCTCGCCACGTCGACCAGCTCGTCGTCGACCAGGTCATCGTCGTCGGCAAGATCATCCACGAGCTCAGTGCCGGCGATTTGCGTGGGACCCCTTTGCATAATTTGAGAGTTATCGGTACGATTCTTGTTGAGAGTGGATGTTTAGATAACGGCTGTGTGCGATGCATGGACAGATAACGGCCAATCCAGATACAGTGTACAGCAGAGGGCGGTGTTTGGGGTTCTTGGTGGTTGGCAGCGAGGAAGCGACGGGAAGATATGATGCATGGCGCCGGCGTCTTTGTCATCCAGCATTTAACGTGTATGCTCTTAGTTCATCGTTCGATTTCCGTAGTAAGCTCTTTCGTGATGCCATTGAAGAGGGGCCAAAGCGAGCAAGCAGTATACTTTTCAACCAAAAGCCCGCTGATGTCTTCGTCGTCCGTGTTGGTGATGGTCTGCATGTCTTGACCTTCGATGATCGTTCCTTCGGGATATCGCGGACGCTTGCCTTCTTCGATAAGTCGAATGAACATTGGATCGATGGGAATGCTTCCAAGGAACGGGACAGCAAACTCTTGAGCCATGACTCGACCACCTCCCTTCGAGAAGATGTTCGTGCACTCCGAGCAGTTCGGGCACACGAATCCAGCCATGTTCTCAATGACGCCCAGGACGCGGACATTCGTCTTCTTGCAAAAGTTAATCTCCTTCTTGACATCGCTGACACTGATAGCCTGTGGTGTTGTGACTACTACTGCACCAGCCAATTGTTCAGGCGTCGCAGACTTGAGCAATGTTTCCACCAGTGATATATGCTCATCGCTTGTCCCAGGAGGCGTGTCGATTAGCAGGTAATCCAAAGAACCCCACTGCACGTCCGAGAGAAATTGCCTGATCATAGCCGTCTTCTTGGGGCCTCTCCAAACAACAGCATCTCCTCTGTTGGCCAGCAGAAACCCCAAAGACATGCAGCTCAGCTTGCCCAACTTCTTGCTATGTCCATTCGCTTGCTCTTCATTGTCCTGGCCTTCATGGATAGGCACTGGGAGCCATCCTCCCGGAGCCTGCGTGACTTTCGAGTTCTCAATGCCAAAGAAACGTGGAATCGACGGGCCTGTGAGATCGACGTCGAGAACTCCTACCGAGTGGCCTTGCAGTGAGAGGGACAAGGCGAGTTGGGTCGTTACGCTGGATTTGCCGACGCCGCCTTTGCCGGAGAGGACGAGCGCAATGTGTTTGATGTCTTGCAATGACATCCTTGTTGTCGTCCTCTGGTATGTGTCAAGAGACCATAGCAGAGGCGAGTGTGGAAAGAAATACTCGACTGCTAGAGCCGCCGCTTAGAAATTGAGGTCCGATGACGGCAACACGCGCTAGTTGTTCGGGTGGCCCCGCTGCTCCGCTAGCGCGAAGTCTGATTTAACGGGAAACATTCACTCACAAAGTCCATCTCGATACAAGTATCTTGCACACTATCACAGCTATCCAACTTAACCTAATTGCGTTTGGGACTCGGTAACTGCACAGAGACTCGAGAAATAACAGTGGATGGGCTCTGCTTTGAATGAAATTGGGCTATCACAACTTGACCAGCGACCAGGCGTTTATATTAAAGCTCAAGAGCCACGCTCGCCTACCCTCGGTAGACCTCTTAAAGTGGAACATTCATCCCTGCTATTTCCAAGTCGTCTAAGCCGCTCGGAGTGAAATCAGCAATGCAGTCGCTTATGGAAAGTGGGAGAGATGGAAGTCCCATACGTTCTACTTTCGCCGGAACGAGGAGGGTAGCCATGATAACCCAGCTGCTAGATTTGCCAGCCGAATTGCTGCAGCACGTTGCAGGCTTCAGTTCCGACCTGACGAATCTGCGATTAGTTTGCCATACTCTCAATTCAGCAATTCTTGACCAATTCGGCAAAAGATATCTTAGCGAGCTGCAATGCTTCGTTTTGGATCCACGCCGATTACAGAGGATGAAAAGCATCACGTCGCAGAAGCATCTTGTGTCCAAGGTCGATCGAGTCTGTTTTACTTTGGATCCACTCGAGGGAAAGCCAAGCCAACCAGGTGAAGACAGATTCGTGGAGCACTGGGGGGCCCCGGAGAAACAGGCTTGCAGGACGTACACATCCCGAGTGCCTGATTTAGCTTCTCTCGAGTCAATTCTTGGCGATATTCGCATCGCTGGGCGAGCACGCGTCGATATCGCTTTCGCGGGATATAGACCCCAGCCGGATGATCCAGTCAAACACGTTCTCGGTGACAAAGAAAGGGCCCGGATCTATGACCGGATATCAACGTCCGGCTGCAAACTCTCGGGACTGGAACTGGACCTGGCACGTACTGCGTTCCTGACGATTGCGTTGCACCAGAGATCTCTATCGAGACGGGATGCATTCCTTCAAGAGAGCAGATCATGGGAGAGCCTTCGAATCGACATCTTCGAGCAGAAGCTACCGGACCAAACTTTGATATCAATGCTGCAGCCTGGTTGCGCTGTGCAAGCCCTGACCATCGTAGAAGATGGTCCATTTTTGTGTTCAAGGGATACGAGGCTCCCATAGCTCGGTCACCCACCAAAGTTCTCATGACAGCCATTTCATCTCCTGCAGTGCGAAAAGTTGACATAGGTTACATGACGATCGATCCGACATGCCTGTACCAAGCACTGCAGTCGTGGAGCAAAAGCCTTCGCAGCCTTGCTCTGAGGGACATCTATCTGCCGTCTCCTGGCCGTCACTGGTTGAAGATATTTGAGCTTCTTCATTCTTCGCTCTTGGACCTTGAAGAGCTGACGTTGACTGATCTTGCGGAGGAAAGCCGCACTAACATAGGCCCGGATGGATCGCTCATCAAAGGTTATGTAGAACTGCAGGAATTCGACGAAGAAGTTGAGAGAAGTCTTACGGGAAATTTTGAGCTGAAAGGTCGGGAACGAATTAGGGAGGCCCTCTGGCGGAGTGTTAAGAGCGGATTAGTCGATACATGGTGAAGCGAAGATCTGTGGGAGAGCTGAAGGGGGTGCAGCTCTCATGGTGTCTGTTCTTCATCATTGTCCTTCGTCTCCTTCAAGACTACCCTTAGTGTTCCGCCCAAAGTGGAATGTCTAACCCCATTACTCCTAAGCCGTCTAAGCAGCTTGGGGTGCAATTCGCAGCGCAGTCACTTGTGAAAGGTCGGAGAGATAGCAATTGCATATGTGTACCTTCCAGTTTGACCAGAACGAGGAGGGTGGGTAGAAGGAATTGAAGATGCAGCTAAGTTACCAGCACAAGGTCTTGACCGAACAACGTCGATATCAAACGCATGAACAAGTTATTTGGGAGAGATACCTTGAATGTGACCAGGCACATTCAGAGGGCACGTTCCCATTATCGCCCATAGCGAAGGCCGTTGCTAGCGCAAAGTCAAATTTCACGCGAAACATTCACCTCCTTCGCATCTTCTACCTTCCTCACCGCCACTACAACAGCTTTCACGCTTTTGAACGCTCCCTGGAACTTCAAACGTTCAAAGCTTCTGCCATTGATCAAAACCCAGAGATCACCATTCGTCAGCGCAAATCCGCCGCAATGTCGCACATACTGGATCTTCCGGTCGAAGTCCTCCAACTCGTGGCGAACCATAGCGTTGATCTCACGATCTTGCGGCTGGTTTGTAGGCATTTCAATGCCGCTTTCCTCGATGCCTTTGGCAAGAGATACCTCAGGAATCTACAATGCTTCGTTCTAGACGCTTGTCGCATCAAGAGACTCAAGTCTATTACGTCTCAACCGCATCTCGTGAGATACATCCAGGACGTCACCATTACATTCTCTGCACTTGAGGGGACGAGTCCTGTGCATATTCCTATGGCTTTCAAGAAGAACGATGACGTGACCAAATGGTACGCTCTTCATCTGGAATATCGGCAACGAGCGGCAAAGTCATTCAGCAATCGAGTCCCTGACCTCACCGCTTTCGTGTCAACCCTCAAGGACCTGCGAGCTGCTGGCCGGCCGCGTCTGCATCTCGACTTCACAGATTACACAACCACGAAGTCTCCGACAACGATCTGCCTGACACCAAACCATGTGGCTTCGATATTTGAGAAGATCATTGCTTCTGGTTGCACGATTTCAGTGCTTCGTGTAGGACAAACAGCATTCCTCGAATCTACACGGCAGCGCTCACGATTTGACCAATACATGCGAGTTGGCCAATCTCTCGACAACCTCGATATCGATCTTGCCGATGAGACACAGGACTTGGGGCTGGCGGCGATCATGAAAGCAACAACATGCTTACGGACTTTGCATCTTGCAGATTCACATGTCCAGGGATCATACGACGTTTTCGACAGCATGTCCTATCAGCCTCGTTTGGTTCGATTGAACACTCTTCTAACTGCCAGTCCCGTTACACTTCGCAAGGTGCAGTTATTCTCTGCCGCCTTCCACCCATCGGCATTGCTTGCCGCCCTGTGGTCATGGAGAACCACGTTGCAACATCTACGCCTGTATCTTGTTTACCTTACGTCACGCGAGAACGACTGGCTTCAGGTTTTCCAGTGTCTAGAATCTTCTATGGAGGTTCTTGAGCGTTTCGAAGTCCTTGGTCTTATGGAACAAAGCCGCGGTATCCGATTGATTGAGGAAGAGAGAGTGTCAGGCCGCTTGCACTTGATAGACCTTGATGGCCATCTGAGCAGCTGCATGATGTTGCGTGGCCGTGAAAACGTTCAGCGAGCGCTTCAACAGAATATTCACAGGGGCATGTGGGAGACTGTATGGGAATAAAGGGGCGCACGATTTGAGAGCCACAGCTCACAAAGCTATTCCATTTCTGTCACAGGCTTTTTCTCCCGAAAAAGTGTAGAAGACAGTGCAATGTCAGCACCGTTTGGCTACACAGTCTCCGGAGATGTGGCGGAGAACGTCTGGCTGATTTCTCTTCAGTTCTACTCAGCACCTTAAAACGGATATCATGGTACTGGTTTCAACCCTGGCATACTTCCTGACACTTTGCCCTCTATGCAACGTGCACACAGAGCTGGTCCCCAGGCATCAGTTTGTCACAGTTCAAGCCATCATTGACCTCCTTCAGCCCATCGACAGTCCAGCCCCGATCGTCTGCTATATTCCAGCAAGTATCGCCCTTCGCCACTACATAATTCTCCAAGCCCTCAGCACAGCTCAACGGCGCCGGTGTCGAAGTCACAAAGCGCCAGAGCACCAGCAGTACTACGACGACGAGGACAAACCACGGCGCAAGGTACCGCCAGTCATCGTAGCGCGCTTTTGGGGAAATTGGTGTCGACGGAGGAGGTCGCTGGCCTGCAGGATGAATGTTGCCGTAGCGGTTGCCTTCTTCGCCCTCCCAATAGTTGCCATCTCCGTCGCGATAGCTATAGGTCTGAGTGTCGGCGTCGTAGCCTACTCGCTCCAGGCCTGACGGCAGGCGCTCTGCATCCTGGACAATGGTCAGCAAAATCTCGCCTAAGCCGTCCAAGAGATCGACTTACCGAGTCCAAGGCTTCGTAACGTCCTCGCGACATTCTTCTGGTTTTGCAAGGAGTTTGTTTGACACTGAGCTGTTGACGCTGTGTAAGATGAAGTTCAAGAAAGAGGGAGGTGGGGAGAGAGAAGCCCGGCGCCTAGCACATGAAACAAGGCGGAGTTCGGGGTTGCAGATCAGTTCAAAGCCACCATCCTGCTTGCCTGCGCCACGTCACCTTTGTCCACCGGCGACAACGACAACCAATCGAGAGGGCGTGAAGATATATTTAACCTAAGGCCTCGCTTGTCAGCGCCTCGGTTCTGCAAGGCTTCGACGTGTAGTGAAATTGGCCTATGGGAAAGGTCGACCGCACGTTCGCAAACCAGTGACAACAGTGACAACAGTGCGGTCATACAATCAATCAAGAATACACGAATTGGAGCCGAAGATGTGATGTTTGGACCGGCGAGAGATCCATCTACTCATGGTGTGAAGGAAAATACTCTGCAATCGGAACGAATGTTGCCAACGAGCCGACGAGAAACTCTGGCAAGTTTCTGAACGTATAATCATTTTCGATGCTCATGAAATCTGGATCCCTTATATGCTATCACTTTGCCTCCTCATTAATCAAAGTAAGATCAGAGGAAAGGCCAGCAAGCCTACAGCCTTGTTCAGGCCAAAGGAACCGGTCGCTGCAGCGGCGTTAGAAGTGCTGGAACCTGTCGATGCTCCCGCAGCCGCGGTAGAGGCTGCGGGCATGGAGGAGTCTGTGGACGTCCCAGAGCCCGCTGACATGGTCACGCCTGAGCACTCGGTGATCTGGCCTGATGTCGCTGCCTCGTGGGTTAGATTTGATTACTGCTGGACTCACGAGGATGGATGCATACTTACAGCAGGCGGAAGCACCAGAACTAGTCGTAGCAGCACCAGCAGTGGTAGTGGCAGCACCGGTGGTAGTAGTAGCAGCGGGAGCAGCACCACCGGCGAGTAAATTAACGCCCGCTGTGACAGTGATGGCTGCATAGGTAACGTCGTCCGTGTGTACGGTCGTCGAAGAGCTGGGACCGTCTTGCACCTTGGTCCCTTCGGCTGATTCCTGACAGCTATAAGTCGAGAAAGGCGATGCACCGCTGGGGACGCAGGCTTGTGTGAAGGAGAGGACGGTAGGGTCGGTGAGGACGAGGCTGTATGTGCTAGGACCAGTGACAACGGTCTCAGTAGCATAGACACCGCAATTCGTGGAGCCAGAACCTGGGGGACAGTTCAAGGCGAGAGTCGTACGTCCGTCTTCGACCGTGACTACGGAGGCATCTACAGCATCGAAGTTGAACCCCATGAAAGGTATACTGAGGGTCGAAGTTTGGCCTGCTGCGCTCCCGAGGTATAGAACCATCATCGTGAGGAGTTGTCGGGCTCTCATGTTGTCGAAGTCTTGAGGGACAAATAAGTAACGATTGACGATGCTTAATTGAATGATATCAAAGATGTTATATTTCTTAGGGAGAAGTCGAGATCGAGGCGGAAGGACTTTACATAACATCTCGAAGGCACCATTCAGTATGAAATCCCACACCCAAATGGCAATGCTGTACATACAAGCTAACTTTTGGGATCCTAGCTCCATATCCACGCCCAGTTGACATGGCACGATGATCCTAAACCATTGAGACACATGGAAAACGCGGTCATGCCATGTCGAGAAGATCACAGCGCCTCCTTGGGCGGAAAAGTCGGCGCCCTATAGCTGCGGATTGGTCCGATAAGTTGGACGCGGCTGAAGACACGGCTGGAGACACCACCTGGCTGAAGAGACGGCACGGTCTGCGGAGCAGCCTGGCTGATCTACGATCTGGCACTAGCCATAGGCTGGATTGATACATCACATCATCGAACATTATGGTGATGTTCTCGCCGGGAAAGATCCTATGTACAATGCTGTGATGCTACAGAGGAAGAAGCTAAAATGACAGGCAGACATAGTTGTAAGGAGTCAAGCTGGACCAAGCCTCAAAAATTACGCAACGTTGCTGTCCTAGCCACCATCGACGACGACCATCATTCGACGGAGCGTGATAATCAATTCGTAGCAGTGAAGAATCATTGGCCGAGGCCTCGTGTGCTCGTGCATGATTCCATATCATGATGGCTGATGCCTGTCTACCCCTGAGACGTATCACACCTTCGACCCGTTTTCAACTCCAGCGTTTTTCGACTCGACCTGGGGCGCGCAGACAGATCTCGGAAGACTCTGCGTTGCGTTAACCTTGAAAGACCTGAAAGCAATACGACAGGGGGGTTTGTCCTTGCAAAGGCAGAAGGCAGTGGAGGGTCAAGATTGCATCTGCTGTTCAAAGATACATGCGAGGTCGCATAGCAAGTTATGTTCTCCAAGGACAAGTTATTTACAAGATTCTAACTTCCAGCGATCGCCTCTGCGGTCGTTCTCAGCTCCAGCAGCACTTCGACGACTGTTCACAGCCTAGACAAGAGTCATACAAGCGAAGCTGATCTTCGTCGTATCCGCAACGTTCAGGCTCAAAGCCGGTGCGTCCAGCCTCCACTCCATGTTCACATACGGCCAGCAGATGCTACCATCGTTCGTCGTCACCATATCGCCGGCAACGTACGTGTTGTTGCTCTTAAGCGGCTCGCCAATCTTCTGGCCAGAGGTGTTGACGAGCTGGAAGTACGAGCCAGTGAACGTGCCGCTGCAACCCATGGCGATGAAGTCGCAACTCGGCTCGGCAATTTCCTCCCAGGAGATCAGAGCGTACTGGTCGTCGAAGACGGCAACGTGGGCGTTGCTGCGGTCTGCGCCGATTTCTGTCGTGATCCAGTTGACCTGGTCGTCTCCGCTGGCTCCAACTTCCGAAGAGGCCTGGGCGGCAGCCTTGGTGGACTTGTCTGTGAACATGGCCATGGCGACACGTCGACCGTTGGTGCGGTTCTGAGCGGCGGTGTAGCCGTCGCCCATCCAGGCGTTTTCGGTCAGATCAGCAGCACCTCGAGATACCCAGGTGAAGATGTAAGAGGTTGAGTTGACAAAGCGAGCTAGGCCGGAGTATGAGCCTGACATACCGCCCAGGGCCTCGCCACCAGCTCCGTTTGTGGTATTTTCGTTCGAGACCTTCACTCCATTGTTCATCATACCCGTGGCACCCGTGTTCAGCCAGATGGCACCTTGGTCCTCCGCGCAGATACTGGCGAATGGAGCTTCGTCGGCGGCTTCGAATGCAATGCCAGTGTTGTGAGAGCAGCCCCAGGAGCTCGACGCACCATCGATAGTCTCAAGAGTACCGTTCGAGTTGACGTACTGGATGCTGTCACCAAAGTGGCCAGTAGCATCGCCGGAGTAGTCTGTGACGACGAAGTACGCGCCATACAGCTCGGATTCCTCAGACCAGACAAGATCGCCATTCATGTCCGGTGCCATCGAGAGACCATCCTCCTCGTGAACGCCAGGTCCAGCAACGAACGTTTTCCACTGCTGCTCGCCATTGCTGTACCGATAGATTGCTGGAACAGGAGTGCCGCTCGGGGGCGCATTGGCAACAGTAGTAGCAATCGGCTCGTTTCCAAGAAGTGCGAACCCATCGTTGTGGGCAACCAGGCCTCCCGCCTCCTTGACGTTCTCGATGGTCACAGGGGTACCCGTGGCCGCCATAGTCGAAGGATCAACTTGCTGGACATGCACTCCCGTTCCACTGCTATCCAAATACGCCAGATATCCAGTCTTGCCATCGGGCGAGACCGCAAAAGGCGTCCGACGATGATGCGGCAGGCCAGTCCAGTAAGCCTCCATGACCGGGTTGAAGCTGGAGCCCAGTTCCAGCGAGTCCACGAAAGTCTTGAGTTTGAGAGAAGGATCAACCGCGGCGACCAGCGCTGCCGTCGACATCATCAAAGACAGAGTCCTCGCTGCCATTTTGCTTGAAAGAATTGAACGAATGACTGGGGTAAGAGTAGAAAAGGAATGTAGGCGTTACCTTTCGTCGAATGCATCGTGGGCGGCATCTCTATTTCAACAGATGTTGCACTTCGTATAGGTTTGTCGACGCTCGCCTAGACAGCGTGAAGTTGATTGAGATATAGAGGCCAGATGGGCTTGGCAAACTTTTGAAACGCCCTATAGCGCAAATTTGCCGGGCCTGGACAGGGGTGCCAGACGACCACGGCGCCACGTGCGGAGAGTAGTACTGCGCTATGCGTGGGATAGATGACGGGAGTTCGGTTGCTTGGAGTTCTCTCGTGATGCTAATTTTGTGAAGAAGTAAACCTTTTCGGTTCGTCGGCAGGTTGATCAATGGTTTGGCCTCCGAGCATTCGATGAATTGGCGTGCGTTTCGTGGCAATGTTGAGATCCGTGAGCCATAGAAGCGATGGATCGCTCTCGAACATCAATGTTTCGATTTCGTAGCGCCGCTGTATGTACACTTTCCAAATGCTCTTCACCTACACATGCCGCAGCTGTCAAAAGCTCAAATCCCCAACTCCACGCTGATCCTTTGCAACAATGCTCTCAAAATCATGAACTGCCCCCGGTCTGTGTCGTGTAGCTCTGTGCGTCACCGTTTCGACTAACCGACGAGAAAAGAAGGTCGCCAGGCGTTGTGCTATTCTGGTTCATTACGACGGCTCCGTTTGCCCAAGTCGCTGCAAGGCTGTAGCCAAGCGGCGCGGCACTGATCGATTCGACGGTCGTCATCGGATCAGCGATGGCAGCTCCAGAGCCTGAGTATTCTGCCAGCGCGGTCTGCTTCGCGGTGTCCTGATAAAAGATGTAGTCGGTGTTCTGCCCATCGCTCGTCACTGCGATCGAGCCGCCCTCAGCCACGCCGTTGTCCGCTGATGAATTTGCCCCGATCATCCAGGTGCTCACGTTGATATAGTCCCATGTCCATTGCTGCAGGCGGCTTGTCGACGAGTTACGCAGGTACATGTGGTTATGGTTGTTGATGATAGCACAGCCGACTCCGGCACTGGCATCAGATCCCGGGAAATTTGCCCAGACGTGCCAGATGGGATCTCCAGACGACTCGGAAAAGTCCATTCCAATTTCTTGGATGAGGTTGTTGGATGAGCCGAAGTATACACGGATACCGTTTAGGGCGTTGCTGGTGGTGTCTGCGCAGGCTGCGAGGGACATTGTGCTTGGCAGTGATGACTGGTCGGTCACAGGTTGATAAGGAGTCGACCAGTTGCCGTTGCCAGTAGTGTTCGCTGTCGACACGACGCCATTGTTGTCAAAGTAGAAAATTTGGCGCTGCTATTCATCAGTTTCTATGTGCTTGACTCTCCTCACATATCACTCACGTAGTGTGTGTCTCCTTGTAGGGTGTACGCAATGGCGGCGATTGGGGTGTCCGATCCGCTTCCTATTGATGTGATGTTCGTGGTCTTAGGTGGTGCATCCTGATTCTGGTTCCAATTCCCATTAGGATACTCGACTTCGATGATTGCGCCCGAGTCGTCAACGTAGTATGCAAACTGAGAGGACTGCCCAGCAGGACTGAGCATCGCCATGCCAGTCTTGTCTTTCGCGAGGAAAGCTGAATTAGTTGCATTGCTGCTGCTGCTGTTGTTTGCACTGCCGCTTCCACTGTTCTGGGGATTATTCGATGATCTGAACGATCGGTCAGCTCATTTTCAAACTCCCTTCGACTGTGAGGACTTACTTGTCGTCGTCGGGCAAGACGGTTCCTAGCACAGCTCCAAGAACGACCGCAAGTACAACAATGATCGCTACGATAGCTGCGACCCAGATAAAAACCTTCTTCCTCATGCCCAATATTCTTCGCTCGGCAGGCTTCTCCTGTGACTCTAGCTGTTTCGAAGGGTAATCCTGACCGTATTGTGGTGGCGCCAGACTTTGATGGTCCGAATGGCCTTGTGATACCGCAGTGTATGATCCATATCCATCGTGTCCATAGCCGTTCGGTTTCTCATTGCCCTGAGGTTGCGGTGGAGAGTATGCCTCAGGTCGGCTGAGCGAGGACTGTCGTTCGAGCGGGTTTCGCAATTGTTGTTGGCCAGGGACAACCTCAGGGTAGTTGTTCTGCTCGACAGCCTGAAGGCCCTCAGCGTCGCGATTGACGTTCGATGCCATGGCGAAAGACCGCAACGGAGAGAGAAGGAGAGGAAAAAGAAGGACGAAGCTGAAAGACGAGCGTTTGCTCCGCCATGTGGACGATGAGCGAATGCCTAAATCGTCGTTGATCGGCTGTTGCAACAGCAAACGCTGCAGTAGAGCTGAACAGTAGCTTCACGCCAGACGCTTCTGGCGTGAGCATTTGTCTCTTGATTGGTCTGTCCAGGAAGGCTTCGCCCGTCGGCCCCAAGAATAGTTGCCGTAAATTAGACATCTGACCGTAGACCACTTAGAGATCTTCGAAGGAGACACCAGATGTAGGATACCGGCTGAAGGCCGCCTCGGTAGCCCTGCGTTGTACAGGATGCGATGCCACCGGAGTCTCGCCTATGCATTTATCAGCACATTGCTTTAGAAACAAAGCAAAGCACGGTTCTTCCTTTTGCGTCTTCACGATGTAGGGTGTTGGCAGTCTCCCTCAATGTGTCAGTTCTGAATGGAAGCAGCTGTTAAATCCCGACTCGTGTCCACAACTAAGCGAAGCAAAGAACAAAATCATTGGCGAGCTTTCAGGTGGTGCCCAGCTGTATGTTGAAGGATTGTGTCGATTGCATTGTCAGTGAGAGGATGGTTTCGCCATATTTGTCTCGTCCAGACCGGATTGCATTGCACACCCGACGTTGGTGACTCGATGTCCACATCGCCGTTCAGTCTTTCCGGCATCACTCTCTGATCTCTAACAGCAACCAAGGTCTCAATCGCGGCTTGAGTCGTACAGACAGCTGGTGAATTGCTAGGAAAAAGATTCCATTTTGAACCTAGGGTCGAAGTCGCAGCTTCCTGTATATTCGATATCGCAGCCCATCAAAGTGGAGACCTAGTCCGCTCGTGGCCTTCACATGCCTGGGAAATTCAACCTTTGGGACAAACGCTTTCGGTACCAAGCCCCAAGTTGCACTTTTGAAGTAGCCTCAAGCCTCCTTCACTCTTCGCCACGCATCCTAACGACCGCAACTGCCTTCATCGCTTCTGATTAGGCCCAGTCTCCGCTTGAGAGTCGAGATGAAGTCCGACTGCACCTTTAGTAGATCCGGACAGAGTCGCTGGTGGGTATCTTCCCCCAGCACAATGGCATCGCGCGCTATCCCGTATGACAGCACATATCGCTCCAATGCATCAATGGCCTCTTGATGCGCAGCAGTCTCGTTTGAAGCCATTTCCTGAAGCTGTATATGGAGGATGAAGCACTTTTGCTTGGATAGAGATGACACTCGGAAGCGGCGGGAAGACGAGTGGTGCCTGGTTAGAAAGGCTTGCAGACGTTCTTCAGCCACAACATCTCTTGCCTCCTCAATCGCGCGATCTGTAGTTGAGAAAGCGTCCAGTGACTGCTGAGTCGGCTCCCACGTGATCACGAGCTTTGGAATCAGCCGGGCCTGCTCTTTGCCAATTTCGTGGAGCCAATCAACGAGACCATTGTAGTTGTGTTTGTCGATGCGAAAGTGGATGGTGCTGTTTCGGTAGAATGTGGGCGTCGCCTCGTATCGGATGGCCTGGCAAACTTGAAGCAAGGCACTGCGTGTGCGCCAATTCGTACGGGTGACACAGGAGAACTTGGAACAGTCTCCAGTATGCTGCAGCTGGCCATCTTTGATCGGATCTTGAGTTGGGTCCAGTGCAAGAGCATATTCGTAGATGAGCTCGCGAATCTCAATAGGAGGCTTGAAGAAGAAGCAGCGCTGCTGCAGATCAATACCGTGGTCGTCCATGGCTGAATTGGGTGCGTCGAAAGCCGTGTGGGTTCGGCAAGCCTTTGGTGCCGCTTCGGTTGATTGTCGCGACATGGCGGCGTGTGTGGAGGAGAGGTGTTGTGGAAAGTGCAAAGCCGCAGTCTCAGAAGTCATCGCGACGCTCAAGTAAGCAGTCACATGCAAATAGACGCAACTCCTGCCCCGCACTTTTGCCGCACATCGTTTGGTCGCTAGGCCTCCTTCACGAGACATCCTGTTGACACTCAGTCACTGTCATGCAATATGCATGGCACAGGATACATGCTCGATATTCGATTCGAACTTGGACAGCAGTCCGTGAGAGCGAGGCTGAAGTTTCGGAAATTAACACATACCTGACCAGCTCTTCAAGTGGCCTGATTTATCGTGATGCTCCTTCTCCAGCGTCCAGCGAGACACCTACACTGGCTCCCGCACTGCTACTCGCCTCCCCCTCTTCCGTCTCGACCACATCCTCTTCAGTCGGCTGCTTCTCCACGCCACCATTTTCGACTTCTTTGCCTCCAGCCTCCAGCAGGTATTGCACCACCTCGCTCTTGTCTGCACGCTCTGCCTCGAACATCGCCAAATGTCCAGCAGCGTTCTTGGCCCACATATCCGCACCTGCCTCCCCCAACAGCTTCACAACAGCCAGGTGGCCATTGTATGCTGCCCAGTGCAGCGGGGTGTTGCCCTCCTTGTTCGCGTGATCGATAAGCGGCGAAGGTTTGGGTGTTCCGTTCGCTTTCGACGAGGTTTCAGTGTCGTTCAACTTCGCGAGTAATGCAGGTAATAGATCAGCAAAACCGTTTGCTGAGCAGAAGTGTAGCACGGTGTTTCCACTCTCTGGATCGACCGCAGCCTCGAGCACGGCTTTTGGAGAGCACTCATATTTTTGAGCCAGCTCGGTGATGGTCTGTTGAAGATCCTGCGTCTCGTTGGCTCGGGTGAAGTAGAGGAGGTCATCAATCTCGTCGAACGTAAGACTGGGCGGGGCTGTGGAATGCATGTTGCTATACACTCGCAATGTCAACGCTGGTGAGGAGAAGATTGGGTGCAGATTGTACTTTGCGGCGACTGAACAGACACGAAAAAAAGTGACGTCGGCAAGTCGGGAGTGGCAGATTTTTAGCGCAGAGTCTAAATGACCCCAGATCTTGTTCCTGCAGGACGGACCCCTTTGTGAAATGCGCCTTGTCTGGACATCGTACCACTCGCCCACGCGCCAACCACTCTCTTCCCTCTCATTAATAACCCATTGCCCGTGCTCGATGAATTGTAGATAGCGACTGTTTTTCTGACAGAACGCCTGCAACATGGCGGTTCGAAAACGGGAGCCAGATGCTCCCAACGGACACGCGAACGGACACGCGAACGGCCACGCCAATGGCCACATTACACAGCCAGCGACAGATATCACCAGATGGAGATTGAAGGACGATAGAGGACGACAGACGTGGCATTACTTGCAATCCGTTGAAGAAGTTAAACAATGGCCTTTGACGACCGCCGACAAGTACCATCTTGGCCTCGACACGGTAGGGATTTGTTGCGAGATTGACGCATACAAGGGGTTGACAGACTTTTCAGGAACTACCGGACCTATCGAAACCACAAACACCTCTCCAATCCGCCGACAATGGGCTTCAGTTCTTCTCACACCTACAATTGGAACCTGGCAACTGGGGTTGTGAATATGGCGGCCCAATGTTCCTACTTCCCGGACTTATCATTACGCGATACGTTATGGATATGCCCATGTCTCAGCCAGAGCAAACGGAAATCGTTCGGTACTTGTTCAACATGCAGAATGTAGGCAGCAAGAACGGTGGCGATGGTGGTTGGGGTCTGCATATCGAAGGCGATTCTTCCGTTTTTGGCACTGCGATGAATTATACGACACTCCGACTCCTTGGTGTACCTGCGGATCATCCTCGAATGCGACAAGCCCGGCAATGTCTTTCAGAATTGGGGAGCGCGTTAAACGGACCGCATTGGGCCAAGTTCTGGTTGTCGGTACTCGGGGTGACTAAATGGGATATCGTCAATCCTGTGCCTCCTGAGCTCTGGCTTCTACCCGACTGGACTCCAATCTCTCCCTGGAGATGGTGGATTCACATGCGCATGGTATTTCTGCCAATGAGCTTTGTCTGGTCGAGGCAATGGTCTTACCCTCGAGCAGAGTCCGATCCTTTGATTCGAGAACTGCGTCAGGAACTGTTTCCCAAGCCGTATGATGAGATCCGATTCTCCAGCTATCGCAACGCCATCAGTCCAGCAGACAACTATCATCCCAAATCATGGATTCTGAACTTGATCAATTGGCTACTTGTATTCGTCTGGATCCCTTTCTTGCGGTACGATGCCCTCATCAAGAAGGCCGAAGACTGGGTATGGCAATTGGTACAGATCGAAGATGCGAACACTGATCATGCCTGCCTTGCTCCTGTCAATGCACCCATGAACACGCTTGTTTGTTTCATACAACAGGGTCCTGATTCGAAGGCTGTCCGTAAACACCTGGACCGGTTAGCAGACTACTTCTGGGTTTCAAAAGACGGCATGATGGCCAACGGTACAAATGGCGTCCAGAATTGGGATACTGCCTTTGCGATTCAAGCCGCTGTCTCTGCTGGAATAGCTGCGAAACCTGAGCATCGCAAGACACTCGTCAGAGCCTTGGAGTTTCTGGAAGACCAACAGATCCTGGATCATCCAGCCGGCTACGAGAACTCGTCAATCTATTCGGATCCACCCACCCAGAAGACATCCCCTGAGATGGGCTATCGTCACGCTCGACGAGGAGCATGGGGTTTCAGCAATCGCACTCAAGGATATACTGTGTCCGACTGCACTGCTGAGGCTTTGAAGTCGATCTTGCAGCTTCAAACCATGCCCGACCCCAAGAATCCACAGAAGGCATTATTCCCCAGGCTCTTGGACGACCAGAGGCTGAAATGGGCTGTGGACATTCTCCTGACCATGCAGAACTCTGACGGAGCATGCAGCTCGTACGAGCCTACTAGAGGTAGCGAGAAGCTCGAACTGTTGAACGCCGCGGAGGTCTTTGGCCGGATCATGATCGAATACGATTACCCAGAATGCACGACCGCATGCGTTACGACGCTCCATCTCTTCAACCAGCACTACCCAGATTATCGTGCCGACGAAATCCGAAGATTCATTACTCGAGCGGTGCAATGGATTCGGACGAATCAACGAGCGGATGGGTCGTGGTATGGCAGCTGGGGTATATGCTTCACATACGCGGGCATGTTCGCGTTGGAGAGTCTTGCTACCCAAGGTGAGACACACGAAAATAGCGAGAGAGTCAGGAGAGCGTGTCGTTTCTTCCTGGACCGACAGAATGAAGACGGCGGCTGGGGCGAATCGTACAAGAGCTGCGAGACGAGCGTCTGGTGTCCGCATCCGGATGGCTCGCAAGTTGTACAAACGGCCTGGGTGAGTGCTGCTGTGTGTGCGTGGTCGATGGCGGTGGCGTGTTGTGGCTGATCTTTGACAGGTTATCATCGCGTTGCTCGAGGCGCAGTATCCCGAGAAAGAGCCTATCGAACGCGCAATCCGTCTGTTGATGCACAGGCAGCAGCCAAACGGTGAATGGCTTCAGGAGGGGATCGAAGGCGTGTTCAACAAGAGTTGGTGAGACTGCCCCGAACAGACACCTGCCTTTTGTGAAGTTGCCATGCTGACACGCACACAGCATGATCTCATATCCCAACTACAAGTTCATCTTCCCGATCAAGGCGTTGGGCATGTATGGAAGGCGATTCGGCGATGCGCAGGCCAACGGCACCAGGTGAACCATGGGAATGGGTCGGCGCCTGTAATGGACAGAAGAGAATTGTCATTGTTCATGGGCTGCGGTGCGCCAATAGAGTGCAGGCGGTGATAGAGCCGGTGGCGTCTTCTGCGCAGGTACTGTACATACACTGGCTTTTGTGCTCGTGGTAACCAGAGGTTCAGCTTGCATGGACATGCAGCGCACCAGGCTATTGATTGATGAGATGTTCACAAAGCACGCCGATTAATCACGAAGAGCACTCGATACGGGATGTAACGTATAGTCAGGATAACGCTGCTCACATGAATACGGTAGTGTGTGAAGGGTTGACGTGATAGTCGAGATGGTTGGCCTTGCAGCCGCGTCAGTTGACCTCCTGCAGAGTGCTTGCGTATGCCGGCCGCTGGACGCCGGCCACGCCCTTCATGTGTCTCCCTTGTGACGAGCGGCAATTGTCTGGTTCGGTCGGCGTGCAGGAAGGGTGGTGTAACACTCGGCTAGGACACGTGCTACCGGGCGTCGAGAAACCGGCTTCCACGAGCAGCCCCGGGTGGTGGCGTTCGCATGGGACGCTCATGGCCGTGTCACCGGGCGACATCACTCGTTGGCGAAGAGGGGAAATCGTCCCGACGGGTTCGCACAGCAGTGTTCATCTTGCTCCTCGGACGTGGTTGTGATGATGCTGGGGGTGGGGTGTTCGTTTGGCGAGATGGCATGATGGCCTGCCGGGAGTGTAGTCATGGTTGAAATGAAGTCACAGACTGAGCGCCCAGCTGAGGCGGGCCAACCGTGCCGAAACGGCTCAATCATATTTCTGAGTCCCACATATAATATGGATGTTTCAGGCATGGTCGGCGGGTGGATATGGCCAGGGCTTGTAGATGATGGTGGAGGGGGCTGTTGGTAGGGTTTCTGCGCTGGACTTGGAGGGAGAAGAGGGCGGTTCTTCACCGTGATGGAGGGATTGATCGTGTATAACTTCTGTACACGCGACCTCAACACTGTAGTTTGGTGGTCGAGCGGATAGAGTCTTCGCAGACAGATGTGACAGACAGCTAACCAGGGCCATCTCCTTGGTTTAGCCCTGTTTGGGTCTAGGGAGGCGCCGGGGTGACGATGGTCCTAACATGAAACGGCTCCTCGAGAGAAATTGAGCCAGTGTTCCACGTCTCCGTCCATCACCTCCTCCGCCGCGACATCACAGGAGAGACTGTGATAATCGACCGTCGGGCATATCGGTGCTGGTTGTTGTCGTCGTCGTTGTTGGTGTTTGCATTGCATTACTGCGGTGCAGCTACAGCCCGCGTGCAGCTTTGTCGAATCCCCAATCAAATCCCCTCCGCCGAGTCAAGGCCGTGCTTGCCTGCCAGCTGACCTACTGCTACCTTACCTACCTGGAGCTTCACCACCTCTGCCACGAGCTCCTGTCCACGATCCACCCACGCTCCCTTCTCCCCCATCTCAGCATCTCTGCGCAGCACGGCGTTTGGCGTTCCGGGACGGTTATTGGGAGCTCCAGCGCGATTGGGAGCAGCAAGAGACATGGCCACACCCACCCAACCGCAGCCGTACGGCAGCGGCAGCTATCCTACACCCGCATCGCAGAGCGGAGGCCCGCCGTCTGCCCAGCAACAGCAGCAGCAGCAACAGGCCGCCTACACCACCTCTGAGCGCCCGCCCACCGCGGCCCAAGCCCAGTTCCAGCAGCAGCAGCAACAGCAGCAGGCCGCGTCCAACCCGCCCTTCGAAAAGTACTGCATCATCCATATCGCTACCACCTGTGACGAGCACGGGGTCTATGTGACCAAGGACAGCGCCGAGGTCATTGAGATTGGCTGGGTCGTGGTCGACGCCCAGAATCCCGAACGAGAGGTACGTCGTGTGCGCGGCTGCGTTGGGGACAATCGCAGCAGCAGTGTCTAGCTTGTGAAACGAGACACGGCAAGAATAGACCCGCTTGGGCCCGTATGCTAATAAAACCGACATTGCAGTTGCACCGCCAGTCCGTGCTCGTCCGTCCTGTCAACACTCCCATCACGCCGCTGTGTACCTCCCTCACCACCCTGACCTGGGAGCATGTTAAGAACGCTGGCTCCTTCCGTGACGCCATCTCCACCTTCGACGCCTACGCCAACGATCACCTCGTCCCCAAGGACGCCGGCCCCGGGGCAGCACCAACCTTTGCCTTTGTGACCCTCACTCCATGGGACCTGCGTGTGCAGCTGCCACGTGAAGCCCGCGACAAGAACGTCGTCCTGCCGCCTTATCTCCAACACCCCGTCTTGTTCGGCCTCCGCGGCGAGTATCAGACCTTTCAATCCCACCACCCAGAAACGCTGGCCTTCAGCTCATCAAGCCTCTCGTCAATCTGTGCTGGCCTCGAAGTCGAAGAAGTTCGCTCATCAGGAAAAGTTACAGGTGGCTTACCTTTCCACCTCCAGGCCCTTGCACCCTCGTCACCCCGCCGCGCGCTAGAGGAAGCGTTGACGTTAACGCGCTGCCTCAACTCGCTCATCAAAAAATCTCGTCCATCGCAAGCCAACCCACAAGGCACGCCAGACGTTCTCACTCGACCCCTCGACGCACGAAGTGACGTTCGCGCCTTCCTCGGTGAACGCAGCAAGGTGCTGCACCTCAGCGGCCTACCCCACGACACCACCCAAAGTGAGCTCGAAAGCTGGTTTACGCAATACGGTGGACGGCCGATCGCCTTTTGGACTCTTCGCACTCCTGAGGGTGGAAAACCGAGTGGAAGTGGATTTGTTGTGTTTGGGAGTCACGAAGAGGTGAGTTCCTGCTTTTTCCTTGTCAAGCGACGAACGACGACAGCCACGTGTTGGTGGTCCGATCTCATCGCACGACACGTGTGAACGTTTCGATCGCAGATATTATCTGGTTTCAGCTTGACCGTTAACGTCAAGCTGGCTATGATTTTTTGATCACGACGAGCCGCACTCGGTCGGGTAACAACTTCAACGCATCGCAGGTTCTAGCCAACCGCCCGTCGTATCGCCGCCGCCAGCCTGCCTGCCGTCTGCCCATTAGAACGTGAACGCTAACTCGAATACAGGCCGCAGAATCTCTCAGCATGAACGGACGCGCCCTCAACGACAGGGCCATCGAGGTCGCACCTTCCTCTAGCAGGGTTCTCGACCGCGCTGCGCACTCGCAACCACCGGGCGGCCCACCACTTCTTACCCCATTCCCGCCATCAAAGAACCGCCCGCGCCCTGGAGACTGGACCTGCCCAAGCTGCGGGTTCTCCAACTTCCAGCGTCGTACAGCATGCTTCCGCTGCTCGTTCCCAGCAATGGGTGCATCCGCCCCTGACCCGTACAATCAGCCATACGGTATGCAACCTCCTTACGGCGGCGCAGGCTACGGTCATCCAGGCATGATGGGAGGCCACATGCACCAGGGTGGCTACGGTGGTATGGGCGGCGGCCCAATGGGCGGTGGCTCAAGCGGCCGTGGCGGTATCGTGCCATTCCGTGCTGGTGACTGGAAGTGTGGAAACGAGGGCTGCGGATACCACAACTTCGCGAAGAACGTTTCTTGCTTGCGATGCGGTGCTTCTCGCAACAATGCAGCAGTCGTCGCCGAGAGTGGCATGACCAGCTTCCCAGGCTCATCGTATGGAGGACCACCAAACATGCCCATGCAGTCAATGGGATCCAGCTCATACGGCGGTATGCAGCAGCCAGGTGCCGGATACGATGCTAGCAACATGGGCGGCCCACCAGGTGGATTTGGCGGCCAGTCCTTTGGACCACCATCGACTTACGCTCTGCCATCGGGCATCGCGGCACCAAGCCCATACATGGCGGGCGGATACTCACAGATGGCCAGCAACGGCGGAATGCAGTCCCAGGGAGGCGGCTTCGACAGCCGTGCTGAGCAAGCATTCAACCAGGGCAACCAGGCTGGTGCAGGCGCATACTCCAACGGCACGTACGGACCACCAGGTGCATACGGTGCCAACGATGGCTCGGCCGACCCATTCTCGTTCCTCTCCACCGGTATGGGACAGCTCGGCATCAATGACGGCGACAACCGCCGCAACGGTCAGACTGGCGCCAAGTCGCCACAGTAAACACATTACAGGGGACGCAAAGGAAAAAGGATTGTTCAGGAGGTTGAGTGCTTGTTTTTGGAGGTTTGGGGAGGGGGTGGGCAAAGATTGTGATTGTAAGAAACGACAACATATGGGTATCTGGCTGCGAAAGGGGCTCGTTAGCGTCGGCGCTGGGGCAAAGAAGGATGATGGTGTATTAGCGACGGCGTCGGTCGGTCTGAGAGATGTCTGACGGGCAACATCGGTCAATGGATCATCAGCAAAGCATGGGGAAGCATTACGGTTCTGGCAAATGGGGGAGTTGTTCTTCTTCTTCTCGCTGTTAAGATTTTTTTCTCCTCTACAATTCTTCTTCTTCCTCTGCTGGTCAGATTGTGGTCGATCGAGCTTTTTGTTGTTGTATTTCTGTGGATGATGATGGTGGGATTTGAGAGGATGGGAGAAGGGGATTGCTGGCTGGCTGCTACAGCGTCGGGGCATGAGAGCGAGAAAGGGGTGTTGTGCGGCTGGGGTTTGGCTCTTGCATGGAGGGAGAGGGGAGGTTTTCCAGAGTAGAGGAGCTTCGGCCTTGGGCAGCACAGTTATTGATGTTTCTCGTCGTTCGATGTTGTCATTAAGAATGGAATAGAATTTGCATTCTCCGCTTTCAATTTTGGGGTTTGCTCACTTCTCCTTCTTGAATTAAGTTCGTTCTTTCCTCCGTAGGCCCAGTCCAGATTGTACCGATCGAAGAGTCGAGTCGTTGGTTGTGGAGATGATCGGACTTGTGAGTGAGGGAAATGGGAGATGGGGTGGCTGGCCCGGTCTGTTGAGTAGTGACGGGGATATTAGGAGGTACTTTTGAAGATGAGTGTGATGTGGTTACTTTCTTTTGTCATTTTGAGTTCAAGTTCAAGTTCATTCGGGTCCTTCCCGTCGAAGCCGAGTTGTGGGTGAATGCTCGTGTTTCTTTGACCATCACTTTTGTGGACACTATCCCTAGCAAAATCTGGGGATCTAAGCTTCTGATGTTGTGTTTGATGGTCCTGTTGCGATGGATTTTATGAGGATGGCGAGGATTCACTGCGCAGGTGGGGACTTTATGGGATTTGTGTGAGGATGCTTACGGATCAATGGTGAGTCTGAAAGGGAAGAGGGCGGGAGCAATTTTGAATAAGAGGTCGCGCATCCCCGTCGCTTTCTCGATGGCTATGCTCTTGATGCGATGTTTGGGGGATTTGATGCTCTATGCGTGATGGAGAGAATGAGGAAGGTCGAGTGAGATGATGGAATGTCTCGTGCGATAGAAGTATGACGAGGTCCTTCGTAGGATCTGAAGGTCGAGAGTGATATCCCCGTTGCTTCCGCGATGGCCATGCCCCTGATGCGATGTTAGGGGGATTGATGCTTTGTGCATCCCGGAGTCAAAGTGACAATCGTGCGATATAGAAAGGTTGCCTCCACGTGAAAATAATTGGAACGATGATCCACAGGCCACGAACAGTGTGGTATCCCCAACGTTTTGTTCAAGGCTAGGCTCCTGATGTGGTGTACGAGAAATTTGATGTTCGAGTGATGGTCGAGAAGGAGTAACCTGGAATAGTCGGGAAGAAATGATGGGGTGGGTCGATTCATCATATGATATTCTGAGAGATCTCAGTGGACTGATAAGTGAGCTTGAGATAACACGTTCCCGAAATTCTGTCAACGTACACGCCGCCGATGCGATGCTCGAGAGAAGTGATGCGCTGCGAGCGATGGAGATGGGGGGAGCCGGTGAACGTCGGCAATTCCCCGAGCCTGCCGAAAGCCAAATTGGAAAGCATGTGACCGCGCGAGTCAAAGAACACGCTAAAAATCGCCCCGCGTCTCTCTCTCTTTGACCACCGACCTTCCGTCAATGCGACACATCATCTCCGACACATCGCAACATGGCGTCGCACGACCCCGACAGCGTCGCCACGGTCCCCTCTCAGGTCTTGGGGCTGCTGCAAGATTTCATGCAGACGGTAAGTGCTGATCGCATTCGGTCTGTGCGCCAACTGACGCCATCATCGTAGCATTGGGAGCAACCTAATCGCGTCGCAAACGCGCAACACAGCGATGAGCAGCCCGCCTCGAACAACGAGAAATCCGCGACAGTGCCTGAGTCCGCCGAGCGATCGTGTCCGTCCCCGCCGACAGCTACGACCAAGCCGCCTAGTCTTCGGACTTCAAAGTCGGCACCTGATATGGAGATCTCCCCAGAAAACGATATGACCAAGGCGCCCATGATGCTTAACAGGGCGCAGTCTTACCAATTCGGTGGAGATTTTGGCGGGGATACACAGGAATTGACTTCGCAAGAGCTGCGAGAGTCGATATCGATATCGATGAGTAGGCCCATTGAGACGCCTGGGACGGCCCAGAGGACCCAGAAAGAGGGCGACAATGGCTATATCAATCTAGAGTCAGAGTGGGACATACAGGGATTTGAGGAGGACTTTCTCCGTGACGAGACGCAGACAGAGAGGCCAGCACCTACCACACCGGCATGGTCGAAGGATAGGGATGCGGAGATGCCGACGACAACAAAGAAGACTCCCCACTATTCCCAATTCTTTGGGGCGGCCAATCCTGTCATGACTGCCTCCCAGCTCATAGATCAGACTCAGCAGGCATCGTCCCCACCGGTCGATCGCACATATTCGGACCCGATAGACCATCGTCCCTCTCCTGGCGAGCGTTCTTCGCCATCCATGGTATGGTTTTCGAACTCCTCGCCCGACCTGGGGAGAACTATTCGGCCGTCCACTGCACCGGGCGAACCTCGAGCTTTCTACAGAAGTATGCAAGAATCCCAGGCGTTACGAACATCTCGAGCAGCTTTCCAGTCCCCTGGTCGGCCTGAGAGTGTTGGGGATGACGACGAGATTGAAGAGGAGCCTTTCAACACGAAGCGCAGGAAGATACGGCGAGCGCTGAGTGACAATGCCTTGCGCGTTACGGCGCCTGCGAGGCCAGGCTCACGGCGCTCTTGGAAGAAAGGGAGCCGTCAATCCATGATAGACCTGACCACTCCAGCGCCAGCGAAGCGCCAGCGCGTGAAGTTCGAGGACTTAAAAGAGCAAGATGAAAACACCGAGCATTTCGAGAGCCTGGAAGAGGAAGCCGAAGAGCCGCTGCACGACGAGGAATACGTCGCGACTCCTCTTGGGAGTGTACAAGATGACGAATATGACGAATTCAGCCAGAACATTGTCAGCCAGGCAAATGAGCCGCAGGACGATGCTTCAACAGTTGCAAGCCTTGATCCAATTGATCAAGAAATGGACGAGCAGCCACCTGAGGAAGTTGAGGAAGAGGGGACAAGGCTCCAAGAACGAAGTACACAAAGATCGACCATTGCAGACTCGCAGCAGGACTTAGCTCCTCCAGCCATTATTCGACACGTTCAACATTCATCAACCACTTCGTTTGTTCCCGGGTCACAACATGCTGGTAAGACAAGCGAAGATCAAGCCCTCCTTGCATTGTCTCAGCGTCGAAATCGAGTCGCCGCGTCTCAGGTGGACCGCGAGGACTCGAATGGTGCCGAGAAGTTACCAAGCTCCCCACCACTGCTCCGAGTTAGCAGCACGCTTCCTGAAGACTCTGTCGAGGCTTCTCTGGCTCGTCAGGATATGCTTGAGAAGTTCAAGTCCTCTACTGTACCGGGCGAGATTCCTGAGAGCGATTTGGCCGAGAATGAGGCCTCGAGACTCGAGGTTGCTGTTGTCGAGAATGGGAACGAGGATACTCAGGACACAGCGCGAGACGGTGCTCCCTTTTCGACCGCTAGAACACATGTCTCTGGATCTGTAGAGTCGCCGGCACGTAGATCTGTCGTGCCGTCCCCTCGCAAGCCGTCTCAAAGCCAGCGAAGCCATTTGACCGATCCTTCGCCTCGAAAGCTTGCAGGTGTACGTCGATTCGCTGACTTTGCCACCAATGGGACGTCAACGAACGGCAGTTTCGATATCGAGGCCGATGTCGACGATGTTATGCTGGGTGTCATCACGGAAGAAGATCAGCAAGTCTGGGATAGAACGTCAGGTCTGTCTGATCTCCCAAGAATGAACAAGCGACGGAAACTCGATAAAAGCGGCTCTTCAAGGACTACTTCAACCAATTCAAACGTCGCGCAGGACAATCATTCTGTTCTGGTGGAGGAGAGCGTGGATGAGCAGGCGAATGGTGTCATTGCTGAATCCGAGCCTGACATCCCACGGCCAGAGTCACCGCCTGTGGCATTGAGAGACAGCCCTAACAAGGCCAACGAAATGCTGCCGCCGGAGAACAAAGGCAAATTGAAGGCTGCTCCAGATGATGTTGTTTCCGAGAGCGTCATGCTGCGCGAGAAGGCCGGCTCAGACGCTGTGTCTCAGCTTGTGCGTGCAAGAGGCACTGCTGCCGCCAAGAAAGCCAAACAAGTCACATATGGTCGTTCATCGAGACGGAAGTCAAGCCGTGCGAAGAGTATCACTGCGGATGAAGATGTCATTGAAGAAGACCAAACCTCAACGAAAGCAACATCTGCAATGGACCACGGTATGGACCAGTCTCTTGACGCCGGTGTGGAAGAGCCACATGCTGCCGTCGAGCAGTCAATTTTGTCCATGGACGTTGGTGCTCCCCACGACTTAGCAGTCAACCGGGGCCAGCAGCCTTCAAACAATCTTTCGAGGGACGACATGACTGCTCTCAATCTCAATCCGAAGCGGGTATTTGCGCTCTTCAAGGGTGCACCATTGGCTTTCTATCCTGCTACGTGGATGGGATCATCGCCTGATAGTGCCACTTTCAAGATTCGCTTTGACGATGGTGCTGAGACGAACATTGAGACCCAACACGTGAAGACACTCGACCTTCGAATTGATGACAGCATCAAAGTCAATGTTCCTGGCCTGCGAAACAAAACTTGGCGAATCGCCGGTTTTGGCGGCCCAGCCCAGACTCGTGAGGAGCGCGGGTTTGCCACGGATGCGAATGGGCATATTCGAGTCAAGATTCAAGCCAAGAGTAGCCGAAATAGCCTTTCAAATGATGCCTCATCTGAAGCTGCTGGGGATGCGGACGACGTCCGAGAAGTTCTCGTTGAACACATCTACCTCACGAACACGATGTGGCCATCATTCGCTGATCGTCAGTTCACCCCACCAGCGAAGATTAGAGCAGATCGTGCGCAGACACCATTAGCACATGAGGGCACGCCAGAAAGCGAGCCTCCTCCATCACGATCTCGTCGTGCCATTGTTCCTACGGCCAAGGCCAAAGGATCTGGTCTGAGGCTTTCACATCTCCGGGACACCTCTACCTCATCTTCACGGAGTGCCAACAGCACAGGCATCTTCAGCGGCATGGCCTTCGCAGTCACGTACGTCTCAAACGATGCACAGAAAGCCGACGTCACTCGCCTCATTGGTCGCCACGGTGGCATGATACTCGATGGCGGGTTCGAAGAGCTCTTTGAGCTTCCAAACATTGGTGAAGCTTCGACGGAGCCTTCAAAAGAGGCCCCTCAGAAAAAGGCTGATGAGCCAGAGACAGGTCTGCGTCTGAAGCCTGAATACAAGGACCTTGGCTTCGTTGCACTCATCGCCGACAAGCACAGCCGTCGTGCCAAGTATATGCAAGCTCTTGCTCTCGGACTGCCGACTCTCTCTGGTCGCTGGATCATCGACTCGCTGGACCCCTCGAAGAACAAATCGACAGGCACAGTCGACCCCCTTCCTTGGGAGAGGTTCCTACTCGCAGCAGGTGAGAGCGCTTACCTCGGGGGCGCTGTGCGGTCGCGCACGCTCCAGCCTTACGAAATCGCCTCCGCTGAGCTGAGCGCTACGATTTCCACTCGCGCGCTCCTCCTGGACGGTGAGAACGTCCTCATCGTAGCGCCAAAGAAGGACAAAGCGGGCTGGGAGAAGCGCCGAACGTACGCGTTCCTCACCCTTGCGCTGGGTGCAGGTGAAGTGAAGCGCGTGTACGATCTGGGTGAGGCAAAGGCGCTAATCGAGGAGGATCCTACCTCACCCAAGTGGCTCTACGTGGAGGGTTCTGTAGCGAAGGCGAAGGATGCGCTACTTCACACGGCTGGGAAGAAGAGGAAGCGCTCGGAAGCGCTGGACAAGGGAAATGTGAGGATCGTGGATGATGAGTTCGTCGTGCAGAGTCTTATCTTAGGAGCGCTGCATGAGTAGGGCGCGTTCACCTGGAAATGTGATGATAGTTCAATGACTGCGATATCCAGCGCTTTATTGGGCGCCATGACCTCACATCAAAGTGAACCTTCTCTCTATCCCCGGTGTTCTGCTATGGACTCTCCTACTCGAGCCTGCATCGTCCCCTTGGTCAGCCTCATAGAGTTGGGGAGAAACGATGAGTTTTGTAATGTACATGTAACTTCAATCCCTATCATTGGTCTCCCTATATCTACGTTGGGGCGCTGGGGACAGTCTACGCAAAGAGGACCGTCCATCCTTCCCCGTTCTTCTACTGCGGACACTTCGGCTCGAGCTACATTCAATACCGTGGTCAGCCTCATAGAGTTGGGGAGAAAACGACCCGTTTCTCATGTACCCGTAACGACTATCCCTATCGATTCATCCCCATCGTTTTGCTATGTACTCTCCTACTTGAACTGCAATCGCCGCCTTGGTCTATCGCAGGATTTTGGGGAGAGGACGGTCAGTTCTGTCATGCACTTCCCATCCCCATCGTCCTAACGCAGACCTTGAGATTCGAGCTATGATCGCCATCGTGGTTAATTCAAGAGTGTTGGAGAGAATGGCGGCTTTGTTATACATGATGTACATCCATTCCTGTCCATATTACAACTGCATGGGACTCTGTATCTCGAGGCATCATCGATACCTGGGTCCACGCTAGGGAGTTGGAGAGAACGATTATTCCTTAATGGTAGTTGAATCTCCCTCTCCATCTGTATGCCATGAACTCTCTCGTTCGAGCTAGAACCGTGGCCTTGGTCCATTTCAGAGTTCTGGAGATAATGAACATTTTGCTGTACACTTCCACTTCTGACCCTGAGAGCGACAAGGGTATCTATCGCTTCCCTCATCTATCTCAGCCCCAACGGCTGCAAAACCCTCTCCCTCGCCACTCTCGCCGCCACCTCCCCACCCTTCTGCATCGCCACGGCCCCAACAATACTGTAAATCGTATGCGCCAACACCGTGTTCACGCCACTCCCCTCCAGATTATCGCTCTTCTTGGGTTTCCACCGCACCACCCCGTCTAACCCGTACATCCCCGCGAGTTTCGCCATGCGCACTTTGTCCAGCACTTGCACTTTGTTCTGTACGGAGATGTTCTCGAGGCCTTCGAGGGAGGGGTGTGAGTAGACGTGGTTGGGGTCAAAGGCTGAGGTTAGGGGGGAGGAGGGCGAGGATAGTAGGGCGAGGGAGGTCTGCAGGTCGACGATACGTTTTCCGAGGTAGGCGAGGCGGTCGTTGAAGCCGAGGCGGCCGTGGGAATGGGATTTGTGGGTTATTGCTAGCCACTGGAACAAATTAACATGAGCCTCATGGACTTTATGAGGTGTATTGTTGCCATACCTTCGTCTCCTCGTCCAAGAGATCCCTTCCTCGAGTTCTCCCGCTAATACCGCCGAGGAACTTATCATATGCGTCGTTGAGTTTCTCTTCATCGGTGTTTACACGCCATGTGGGTTGTTTGGGCACTGGACGCAAGCGAATGGGCATTTTCATGGCGGGAGGTGGTTGTTTCCATCGCGGGAGGTCCTCTTCTTGATTCGCATTGTATGTGGTTGTGCTGGTGAATTGTCGAACCGTTTGAGGTTTCGCTGTAGATTTGAGCGTCCGCAAGCAACTGGCGCATATGAAGGAGGGGCGTTGGGTAGCCATTTCGAGGTTTGTGATGGGTTGTTGGCGTGATGTGAAGTTCGTGGTGATGCATTGGAGTTCGTCTTGACTTTGCCCAGGTTGATGGAGACTTTCGGGCCGTGCCGCGCCGTAGCGCGAAGCTTCGCATCCCTGACTTCGCGTTCGATTCGCGCGTCGCGGTAGACTTCACTTCGTTCAAAGTGAAGCTGATTGTGAGAGCATCTTGGTATTTAGAGGACAAACAGGACTTTGGACCACAGTTTGCAGAGAATTCCAGTATTACGAAACGGGATTGCTTCCTTGGATATCTGGAAACCTGGCAAATTCAGCAATGGCACCGGAGGCAACCAGTGCTCCATCAAAAGCGGCGTCGACCTCACTCAAAGACGAGCTAGCGGCAGCCCTGCCAGCAAGCTTCACTTCCAAGATACGATACATACGATCACCATCCAAGCCTTGTGAGCCGCTTTTCTCAGCTTTGCCAGGACAGGAGTCAGAAAAGACAAAGCTGGCGAGTCAATTTCTCAGTGTCAGCGTAAATTCGGCATCACTATCACATCTTGATGTTGTAACATCCGGAGACGCTGGCAGCGATGTCATCAGCTTCGCCATTGAAGCTCTTGTGTACAGCACGAAGCGTCTCACTACCATATTCGTCAGCAAAGTCGACTCGACACCGTTCACACCAAGGATCAAGCCATCCCCAATCAAAACGAGTGTAACGACATTCCTGCGCTGGCTGGCCGAGCAAGAGAGACGCAGACATCCTAAGAGGAAGACTGTGATCTCTCTGTTCGCCCGAGCGCAGGCGCAGTATCTGTTTCCAGGCTCTTCAGATGATAAGACGAAACATGTTCTGGACGACCGACAGTTGATCAAGTGGTGGGCACGAGTGCTTGATCCGATCATCCCCTCAAACGTTTCCGAGGGCAAGGCAGATATCGAGCACCAGGCCTATCTCACTGTGCCTTGCTATGCGGACACCGAACTTACATCGTTCATGCCACCAGGATCGACACCTGCAGCGGGTCAACCACGATGGCTTCCAGGCAATCCTCTTCTCGAGTTGGCGCGAACGAGAGGCATACCAGAACATGCACCTCCACGATGCCTTCTGCCTCGCTTTCCAGACGATCCGAAGGCAAGATTCATGCAGGATCTCGACGAAGAGATCGGGATCAATCAAGACTCACAGGTCACTGTCAGTCCGACTAAGAAGCGGAGTGGCAGATGGAACTCAGTGCGCGATCTTGATCGATTTTGGGAGGCAATGGAGTTCAGACAAGAGTGCTCGTCTGGAAGAGTCGTTGGCTTTCTCTGGCTTGTCATCTCGCCAAAGGGCAGTGACGATGAAGCTGAACTCGAAGCGGCGACTTCTAGTCAAGCCAACAGTCAAGACTCTCTGGCCTCCATTTCAACACCAGCACCAAGCAGTGATCCGATGTGTACAGACAACCCATCGAAGCCGACAGCCGGAAGCCCGAAGAAGAGAAGACGGAAGCCACTCACGGGACCCATCATACCCAGACAGCCACGTCTGAAGGGTGGCTCGTCAAGTCTCTCGAACCTCGCAGTTATGCAAGCCGAAGTCAACGCCCAAGCTGGTGACGGCCTACTTGTGTCAAAAGACGGTTACGACAAGGCAATGCAGACACTACTTCACCTTGACTTTGCGAACTTGCAGGGAGCTGTGCGCTCGACAGCAAAGTGGGTCGCAGAAATCAGGGGCATAGCAGGATTGAGTGGCGATATGGCAGTGGAAGTTGTCGGTAGTGCGAAGACGGAGGCGCCACCAGCTGCGCCCGCTACGAACGGAAGCTCAACGGTTAACGACCTGGGTGGTATGATCAGGAAGAAGAAGAGGAAGGCGGCAGATGAGGTATTGGATGAAGCTCATGCAGTGGCTGAGAAGGGACAAGAGGCGGCTGGGACCGGGCAGCCCGTCGTGAATGTACTTGGTGGTGGGATGATTAGGAAAAAGCCGAAGCCTGCTGCTTCCTAGAATACAAGTTGTGTGTTTGGATACCCAGAACCTCCGAGATGACCTGTTTTGCCATGCTCTCCATGCTCTCCATGCTCTCCATGCTCTCCATGCTCTCCATGCTCTCCATGCTCTCCATGCCTTCCGATCGCTCTCCTTGGACCCATCCCCTTGTCACTTTCCGCGTCTCGGAATCCCTTGCTACTCATCAACTTCGTACTTGAAGCCAACGTCCTCAAAGAAGGCCTTGATGGCATTCGTTTGATCCCATAGCTTGGTTCGCAGGACGTGTCCTCGGTCCGCGATCAGGATCTCACATGCCTTTTCCCCCAACACAAGGACCCGGTCCTTCTCGTAACCCTGACACTTGAGCTCGCCACGCAGCTCACGCAGGGCGCTGCTTCGTCTGTCCCAGTTTAATCTGTTGAAGATCCAGTCACGGCCCGTGGCTAGGCTGAACTTGAGAGACGTGACAGCGTGGTGGCATTCGGTCGGGGTGCTCTTCGCCCACACAACGATCCTGTCAACGCTGGTGTGGAAAAGGTTGTCGGAGTTCGGGTCCCTCGTCGGGGCACTGATGATAGCGGTGATGCTGTTGAGGCCGTAGGAAAGCAGCAGACTCTCGCTTCTGATTTGCTTGCAGGTGCGAGTAAGTGGTGGTTGGACGGCAGAGCCATCGCTGATACTGACGGGATTGTCGGAGGTGAGGGCGAGCTCGTAGATTTGGTTGCGAAGCTCGGCGGAGAGCTTGTTGAGGGGTGAGTTATCCATGGTGGATGGTGTGTCGGTATTTGGTGGTCGCTCACTGATGTTCTGATGACGGTCGTGGGGTGTCGCTGTGTGCGCGGTTGGCGAGGTTGCTGAGAAGATGACAACGAAAGTCGCTGCAAGCATCCACGTTCTCATGTGAAGACCCGATGGGTTTGGCGCGTGTCGCCGTTTGCTTGTGAGTGCGTTCTCGCGACGTGGCACGGACAAAACAAACCTATGCCGTACCTTCCCTCTCCAGTCTAGCACACAACGCTAAATGCTCTAGCGTCCTCCCGCCAAAAGCTCGGACCAAAACCGCACACTCTTACAGCTATCTTGAAATTCGCCCTTGGACAGAAGCAGACATGGTGCTTCTTACCTGGAGCAGTTCAGAATTGACTGAGCCCTTCAGTTGTGTTGATTACGACGGGGATGTTCAGTTCTTCTTCTAGAATGGGCTAGGGGGACAAAGGTGGGTTGGTATTGACCAGCCTAAAGTTTTGCCGTCGTGTTAGGTGGTGGTCCGCAGACCCCTCATTTTCCGCAAGTATGCAGCAGTCAGGTCTAGTTTCTGTCGCTCCTCGAGGATACTACTCTAAGAGCTAGACGCCGATACGTATGGAACGAGTCATACGGCCCGTCGGGCCTGTCAGCTCTGAGTTGCAATCGACAATCTTTGCAAGGTAATAACACCCAGGCCTATTTGATCTAGGGGGAATGGAGTGGATGAGTATACGATCAATCATTGAATTGCAGATGATCGTCGATGATTGCTGCTATACTACCTCTAGAATCAAACATCGTGCTCAGACAACCCCAAGTACTGTTCCGTACTTACCACATCTCTCCTGCTCGCAAAGCCCGCTCGTGAATTCAATCGGCCTTTTCATGCAGCACATTCTTGAACCCAGTGTTGAAGAAAAGCCCATGGTTCGCCAAAATGGCTCCTTTCTCCATCCGCATCACGAGCTGGAGTCGATCGTCATCGTATCCCGCCAGGTCCAGCAGCATAGCAACGTTTTGCAATGACTCTTTTACAGCCTCCGCTCGTTTGCAGTCGCACTTCACACCGCACGTGATGGTGAGCTTCGGAACAGCGGCATGGCAGGTTCTGGGAGTGTTTTTGATCCACGCGATCGCGGCTTGGGTTCGTCTCCAAAATCGCTCTTGATTTCCTTCGTAGTAGGCATTGCCCGGTCCGAGGTCGATGGTGAAGGCATTCGTCTCTCACTTTCTATACGTCAGTAATGTAGCCAAGACTCCACGAGCTACTTCCAACTTACTACTCTTGCAAACTCGAGTCAGTGGAGCTTGGATGCCGTCGGAGTTTTCGATGATGGGTATCGGAGCATCGTCGGGTAGGACATAGGCGTAGATCTCATTGCGAAGCTCTGGAGAGAGCTCACCGAGTGGCGATTGATCCATGTCGAGCTGGGGACAATTAGTAAATGGCAGCTGTTTAGTTTAGATCGAGAAGAGACGAACACTCTGCCACAGGTTGCTCGGGTTTGCGCCTTTGTTGTCGACTGTCGTGATCGTGATCTGTGTTCAGAAGCAACAAAGATTCTGATAGTCGGGGTGCCAAGAGACTTCGTGAACGCGGGAAAGCACGGACACTCTTAGTGCGCATGTGAACGCCAAGACTTCGGCGAAATTGCAGTCGGCGGCCAGACCAAAGCGACAGGCTGACTTGGTGCTGTCATCACAACGGTGAAATATGTGCAATGTGCCCATGCACTGACATCTGTCTATCAAGTCTGGCTTACCCAGGCATCAGAAAACGGCAGTCGACTCAATCTCCACCGGTACTTCCAACCACAAAGCAACTCAGCATGCTCGCGAATAGCTGCATGGAGAGGTCTTCGTGTATGGTCTTCGAAAAGCCTTCGATTCCCATACCAATCGCTTAGCGTCTCGACAGGCTCCTCCCCAAAATCCTGAAAAATATCAGAATGTCGTGTCCAGTCTGGGTCGGAGGGTGACTGTCCGTTGCCCACGTTCAGCCACTTCGTGATGATCACCGCCGCTCTTTGGCGATCGATGTGGAGTGTTTCCAATTGGAACTCCACTTTGCAGGTTGGACAGCGATATAAAGCTCTGCAATTTGTGCAGCTTGGTTGTGCTTCGATATGCCGACTTTGATATTCCAGCATATCTGACAACATGTCAGCGGCGTCCTTGTGCAAACGGGTGTGCCGACAGACCGCGGGACAGTCGTGCACTTCGAAGGTAGGTGGGTCGTTCTGCGGAAAGATCGTCCATTGTTGTATTCGCAGATATAGCTAGTGGTTGATGACCTCTGGCTCCGCATCAAACAGTACCCAAAATTTTGAACGCCACGCTCGATGGACCTCTGTGAGTGACAACTTGTCGATCGATATTCCATGACCCTGACGCCGGTGATTTCTTGCCATAGCCAGCTGTATATGGTTATACGCAAGCCTATAATTGGAGTAACTGTCGTAAAGCCTGAAGCAGCAGTATGGTAGTTCATCCCGAGGGTTAAGAAGCCCGTTGTTGCAGGTCAAACGATTTTCCAAGCCAAATGGCGGACTCAGTGGAGGCCCAACTTTGGCAACGAGGTGAAGGTATGAGCAGTCGCGGCACAAGAAGACTTTGGGGTTATCACGGGCAAGACGGGCCAAGAAGTCCTTCCTCTGCACTTGATCGCCGGTGCCGATGCGCAGGTCTTGGTGTCGGGTCGTATCGAGTCTCCAATAGAGGTTCTTGTTGCACAACGAAAGGCAGGCTGCGTCTTTGACGTCGAGATGTTGGTATATCATGTCGACAAGTTCTTGTGGTAGCTCCAGCAACGGATGTGCCTGGGTTCGAGCGAAATAATATCGCACTGGCCTCGAACATATCGCTTTGTACCGCTTTTTGATCCAGGAGTGCATTATTGCGTGTGGTTTCGTTCCGGGGGAGGCGTATGAAGCGGCGAGCATGGATGCAGCAGCGATTGGGAAGAAGGCCTCGTGCAGGGAGGCAGCAATGAGGAGCAAGCAGATGTGAGGAGCAAGGAGAACAGGGAGGGGATAATCCATCGAAAGATACAAAGTGATTAGGAACGAGAATGAGCTTGAGGATGAGCCCGTCAGGTCAAGTGCCTTTCGACTTCACCTTTACAAGCAAATCTGTGGGCCGATAAATCGATTTGTGCTCACATGGCCATTGATACATGCTATACCCACTATACCCATAAGCTACCCACGGCTTTGTCAACTGAAAATGGAGACGATGGTGCTTACCGTGTATGGATCCAGTCACGCTTGCTTTAGCTTAGCTGACCAGTCAATCGGGCACTGGATAGGGGCCAGCTCACAGAATCGAAAATGTCCGATCTCATTTCAAATCTTTTTCTATTCATAACACATATACCCACCACCGCTTCGAGCCCACACAGAATCCGAGAGACAACCAGCAAAGCCACCAGCACCACCCCGTAATAGTACAAACCACGTGTTCATAATGTTAACAGGACGGATACCCACAACACCGCGCTAATTCGGCAACGCGAACTTTTGCTCTTCGCACCACCCACTCGTTCACACAACAAAATTTGCCTCCCCATACTCTCCATAGTCTCCTCTATAGTATTCTTCACAACTTCGGTTCCAGGTCTTCGAACTCGGAGACGTCCTTGACTGCATGTGCCGCGGCGGTCAGTGGGAGACTCTCCTTGAACTTCTTGACGTCCTTGATGATGATCGTGTTGGACTTGGGCGTCTCGCCGCTCGTGTGACCGTTGGTGGTGCCGTTGGCATGTCCGTTGGCTGCCTCCGGTGTTGCAGCCTGTGGCTTGATACCAAGCTGCGGCAGGAATTGGGGCAGGACAGCTTGTGCTTGCTGTACGATTGCCTCAACCTGCTCAGCGGCAATACCGGCAGCCTTCTGGAGATACTTGCCAACATTGGCCGTAATGCTCTCCACATCGCCCTTGGCAAGATCGATCTTTTCAAGCTGGGTGGAAAGCGCAGCGGTGTCGACGGTCACACCAAGCTGCCCAAGTAGTTCAGCAACACCAGCCGCGAGTTTCTCCTGTTGCTCAGCTGGGCTGGTGTTGGCAGCGATGTCTGCAGCGGTTGTCTGAGCGATCATGTAGATGCAAGATTTGATGCGGGAGGGAGAGTCAGGCTTGAAGTGCTTCACAAAGAAGTCGACGATGTCCTGTTGAGTGAGAGGCTCAATGTTCTCCACATCACGGTAGACTATCACGAACGTTAGCAAACTCGCATGACAGGATGTAGGGTAGTACTCACCAAGCTCGAAGTCGAAGGCCTCAGACGTGATGTGGTGCCACAGACGGCCACTCTCCTGGCTCAGGTTCTTCAGCTTCTCCAGGCGCTTGTTGATGATACCAATCTTGTGAGCTTCAAACTCCTTGTGTGGCATCTCTTTGAGATCGGTCTCGAAGTTGGTCAAGAAGTTTTCAATGCGCTTCTCCACGTATTCGCAGTCCTTCTCACTCTGAACGAGGATTCGGTATTTGCCAAGAGTTGGATATGCCAGAGCACCACCGCCGACAATATAACCCAGCTGCTCCTTGGTGCGCAGAGTGTCGAACACAGGCTCTTCCAACATCTGAGAAAGAAGCAGCATCTTCGCGCGAAGTGGTCGATCTTGGATGTCGCCCAACGTTACGACATACTCGATGCAGTGGTTGACGTTGTCGGGGTTCTTGAGGGTTCTCTCGTAGCGGTAGTCCGAGCCAGCTGGGTATGCCAACATGCGGCTGCTCGGCCACTGACGCTTAGGCAGTGGTAGAGGCTTGAGAGTCATCTCGACAAGATGGCCAATACGAAGAGCGTCCTCCTTGTAGAGGTTACCGTGCACCATGATCTCCATGTGCATCTGGCGAAGAAGCTGTGGGAACAGACGCCTCACATCATCAGCAGTGACCGCAGGGAGCTCCTCGAGGAAGTCATCTGTGATCCACTGAGTCTCCTTGCCGAGCCAGCGAGTGTATGTGTTGACCTGACGGAAAGGCTCTGAGTACTCTGTATTGCGAAGACCGCGAGCAAGGCGCTCTTTGATGATGTCAAAGCGCTCCTGCTTGAATTCCAGATCCCTCAGCGAAGTCAAGACCTTCTCAAGCAATACGTGCATCTTGTCATTGTAGCCGCTGACACTGATCTCCCAAGCTTCCGGCAACCTCGTGATGTTGTACTCAAGCCCAGCCAGCTCTGCGTCGTAGGCGTACTCGGTCAGACTGTCGTCCACCAGGTCCTTGTAAAGATGTGAGGTGACTCCCAAGAATGGCGTCTCGTTCATGATCGGCGTGCGCAAGTACACGTAGATGTTGGCCTTAGGCACCCAGAACTGGTCGTCCTTCTTGAACCACAGCCGCATGTTGGTGTCGTTGCGGATCAGCTTTGGTACAAGCGACGGCTTCAGGACATCCTTCTTCTCGACATCTAATCGGGTCGGCAAGAACTCGTTCTTGTGTGGGAGATGCAGTTCTGCAGGTCGCTCGCTCGCCACGGATTTGTGAGCTCGCTCAAACTCCTTCAGCACATCACCTGGGATCTTCTCCCACTTGTACTCGGTACCGTACCACTTTTCCTTCTGATCCCAACCGCCAGGGAACTCTTGGCTCACGACGGTGTAGCGGAAGTTGTCAGGTCGAAGAGCGTTCAGTCCACGCGTGATGCCTTCAGGATCGAATCTGCGCATCAACGACTGTCCGCTGAGGATCCACTCTCTGGGGTATGACTTCTGCATCACACCGCTGAGTTGACTGGTTGTCCTGGATGCTGGGCTCTTCTGTTTGAACTTGAAGTCGATTTCAGCGAGCTTAGCCGATTCCTCGAAGATCCATTCCTTGGGCGGGCTCTCCTTGAGCATGGAAATGTAGTGGAACACAGTCTTGACGACTTCCTGATAGTGCTTCAAGCCTTCGCTGGTCAGGCGAATGCCGATCGAGAAAAAGGCAGCACCAGGGCAAACAGGCGAAGGTCCAGCACTGAGCTCGTTCACCCAACCTTTAGCTTTCAGATACGCCAGAATGCTGCCAGGACCCTCATGCCCGATCAGATGTGCAATGTATCGTCCAGGCTGAGTCTCGTAGAGATCTTCCTCATCTGGGTATGGGAACAGGATATCCAGCATTCGTGCATCCATAACTGGCTTGGCAAAGATCTGTGTGCAGAGCTCTTCCTCAGTCTGCGGTGGGAGACCGTCCCATCTGAGCTTGGGCAGGTTCTTGTTTTGAATGGGAGAGAACAGCTCCTCTACCCAATCCTGCAACTCGTCGAGACCTTCTCTTCCTAACACAACCAGTCTCATTCTGTTGGCCGAATAGTGCTTCTCATAAAACTTCATGAACTCTTCCCTGATCTTGACGCCTCTTGCAATTGGATCATCATGCAGCAGCTTGTAGTTTCCAGTGGAGAAGAGATGGAATGGATGATTCTTGCTCGACAAGCTCTTGTTCAACTGCATCAATCGCCAGGTATCACTCTGCAAGTTCTTCTTGTTCTCTGAATCCACCGCTCGCAACTCCCTATCAAGTGTATCCTCCAAGAACAACGGCTTGACGAAGAATTGCGCGAATCGATCGAGAGCGCCGTAGAGAGGTGCTTCGCCTTTTGCGATTGGCAGGCTCGCTTCGCTGGCATTGGTCGACGAATTGGGGCTATTGGATTTGGAGGAGGCGGAGAGTTCGAAGTAGTAGTTGGTCGAGGTGGGCGCCGTGAATGCATTGGAGTGTCCGCCGAATTTGGTGAGGTACGAGTTGTAGTCGTTTTCTCCGGGGTACTGCAAGACCACATCAATATCGACCAATTGACGCGAATCGTCTCTTCAACATCTCACCTTCTCAGTGCCCATGAACAACAGATGCTCTACTGCATGCGCCATTCCTTGCATCTCCTCTGGATCTGACATGCTGCCCACATGGACGTCCATGGCGGCGGACGCCTGGTCTGTGTCTGCATCGTGGACAAGCAGAGCCTCAAGCTGGTTGGGCAGGCGAATGACACGGTATGTCCTGTTGTCGAGGAGGGGTTTCTCGAGCCTATCAGCAAGAGTCTCGGTGATGCCCTCAGGCCGGCTGTACAGGCGATCCGTCATGGTCGCCAAATGCCGGGAGTGTCTGAAGGTGGAAGATGGATGGGGGAGGTGAGAGGTAGAAGGTCTTGACCCAAACAAAGACAGGCTACAATGCTGACGTCTGGTCGTGACGACTTCGGGAGGAGGGCCTAGTGGTGGCGGCGGTGGCGGGACGACGACAAACGCTGGCGCAACAACAGTCGGACGGGTGTAATTCAGCAGCAAGGAACTGGCACGACTGAACGTCGCCGGCCTCAGAATCGGGCACGAGCGCATAGATAATCAACTCCCGTCTGCGCGCTGCAAGGAGCCAAGCGTAGATGCACACAATAGTAACTCACGCGGCCCGCTGTACCGAGACCTTGATGGCCAAATCTTTCTTAGGTGACGCCAGAAGGCGCAAAAGCTAACAGCATCATCATCATTCACTCGGAGCGTGATCTTGTGTTTGCACGGGATCTTGGATCTAGGTTGTTGTGGGGAGGTACAGTTGCAGAGCCGCCACCCATCCCATCGCATCCCGCTGGCCTGCATCTTGCCGATTCGGGCATCGCGGACGAGGTCTGCACATGCGGCCTCCTGCAGCCTTACGAAAGTCATTGAAGCATAGCCAGGAATGGCGCTGTTTCATGCTGACGGTACTCGTGCAGCTCTGGTGAGGCCGTGAAAGATCGTCAGGGGAGCCGGCACATCTGAGACGATGCACTCGCCGAGAGCTGCCCGACATTCCACATGGCCTTTCTTCGCAGATGCACAGAAGCCGTGGACGATTTCCTCCCTCCATCAAGGTCGCCACTTACACAGACCGCTCAACTGTCGTCTCCCACGGCCATGGATAGCCTGCCCGCGGGATTGGGCTGCAATCTGGTGAATGACAGAACCGTCCAACGTTCCTACGGCCTGGGAACATCGCTGTTTTTGCTGACATGGGACTTTGATGGCCGGCTCGCGGGCCGCCGCACTGTCAATGAAACATATTTGACTCCTCACAGAACGAGATTTGTCGCAGAGCAACCGCGTACCGACAAGAATATGGACGGCTCCTGGTTTCACGAAGTGCCCACTAACATTCCTGGATCTTTGCGTGATGAGCGAGGTCGAAGTTGTGCTCAAGCTTTCCGACAATACCTGGAAGCTTAGAAATGCCACAATTTTCACGGCTTGTCCTTGCAGAGCGCCCAGATGAACTCGTATTTCCCTTCAGGCGGTCACAAGGTCTCGCTCTCAAGGCGAGATGATATTTCTTCGTGAGCGCACGAGACCATGTCTTAGTGGTGCCATGTTTTCATGAACCACGGCCAGTGCTGGCACACATACCCAAACACAAGGTCTCGATACGCTACTTGCCACCTGGGTACATGTCGTGCAAGGGAAACCAACGAACATCATGCATGTGCTCCGGAACCAGAGTGACTGTTTACATCCGAACCTCTCGCAGGTGTAACAAAAGCGATGCCAAGCGACTGAAATCAATCTTGCAAGAGCTTACACAAGACTTCGAGAGAACTACCATGCTATTACCATCCAACGAAGTTCAAGAAGAACTCACGACTGTCGGACAAGTGCCACCTCGCCATCCGACTCCAACGTGCCAAAGATCTCCGCATACGCCATGCAGAACCCATCAGAACCGTAATCAACCCCGACGCAGTTCGCCGCGCTGAACATGTCACAGAACCCCGAGCAGTTGTCCAGCGATCCTGCGTAGTTCCTCCTCTCCTTCCTCGCCTTGTCCTTGTGCTTGCCGCTGGAGACGATGATGGTTCCACTGAAGCGCGTGTCGCAGAGCACACCATATGTCGCCTCCAAGGAATCCTGGCAGACCTGACCGTTGAGTGCTGGACAGAGGTCTTCGCTGCAGCTGGGAATGCTATCTGGCGCTGGTGTTGGAAAACTTGGAGGGCTCCAGCTGGTCGTCGGCACTGTGTACGTGAAAGTCCCGGAGAACGAAGGCGGTGCTAGCTGGGCGTTGCCATTTGCAGCAGAAACGACGGGTGCTGGAGTGACTTGAGAGCCCCCGATGCTTGTGGCTGCAATACGTGTTAAAGGATGGTGGTTCGTTTGTGTAAGTGTACTCACTTGGAGTAACGCGCTGTTGGCAAGTGGCACGAATTGCCCAGATGGTGAGCAGTGCAACGATGAAAGATCTTGACGACATCTCTGCAGGCATACACAAGACAGTACTGTACTTCAGCGACGCTGTTGTAGGGATCTTGACTGCGACTGCGACCCCGAGTCGAGACGACGTGAATGTTTGGGCATGGAGTCTGTGGAATGTACCCGTTCGCGAGGCTTCGCGTATCCCTTGGGCGCTCACAGAAATTCCAGTCCGCTTGGCTGGCAAGCACTGAGCCGTCTTGACAACAGCATGGCCGCTTCAATAGGGATGGAGACCGTCTCTGCCTAACATTGTGGCATTTCTCATGGAGCAGGTCGGCTCTTGCTCGAGTGGAACAACGAAAGATGAGGCCACAGCGGCATAGTGCGCCTTGATTTTTAGACACATACGTAGAATTTAAAGCAGGTCTCTATGAATGTTGATAACAGATATTCAGCGTCTCAAAGTCCGTTCACAAAATAATACGGTCGAGAACATTCACTTTACGCGCGAAAGCGTGATGGCGCGTAGATTTAAGGTTTGTGGAGATCGCGGAGAATCCTTGCCATCAATCTCGCGTTCTTGCTCGCGAAATGACCTGTCAGAAACCGACCCTATCTCACGACATCTGGGTCACGAACAGGCAGAAGCGTGACAAAGCCATGGCCGCTCTCGAGGAGCTCCAGGAGCGATGGCGATATCTACATCAAGAGTATCTCCCAGCGATGGCAGCCGCCAAAGATCCAGCACAGAAACAGTGGACTGTTCATCTCGACCACTGCTTTGCTAGAATTGTCCTTGACAACGCGATTGGAGTCGACACCGCCTGGACCGAGAAGATCAAGTCGCCTGCTATCAAGAATATGACGGCCACGCAACTGCAGACCGCGATCGATCTCGCGGAGAAGCTCGCCACAGGAGAGGCGAATTTACTCGAGTTGGACCAGAAAAGCCTTCAGCTGAGAGGGAAGAAGGAGAAGAAGCGGAAATCCGATGATACCACCAGTACATCGCCGAATTCGAAAAAGTTGAAGAAGAGTATGACCGTATCATCCTACTTTCTGCCTTCTCCCAACTCTCCATCTGCGAAGAAAGAGGATAAGGATGACGCCCCAGATGACTCTATGCCGAAACTTCCCGTCAAGACCGACGTCGACATGTCAATCCAACTCAAACGAATCGAGGAGTCCAGCATCACAGCCTTCCGCAAGCAGACCCTGAGCATGCTCTGCCAGATCCCCAGAGGAAGATACAGCACCTACGGCGCCATGGCCGACTGGATCAGCAAGAACTCCCATAAAACGTGTGCTCGAGCGGTCGGAAACGCCATGCGAAACAACCCATTTGCACCTGAAGTCCCCTGCCATCGCATTCTTGCTGGAGATGGCAGTTTGGGTGGATTCAAAGGATCCTGGGGCGAGGATGGGAAGTACGCCAAGCTGAAGCACGATTTGCTGCGTGAAGAGGGGTCGAGATTTGATTCGAAGGGCAAGGTTAGGGGGTCGCCGTTTCGAGATTTCTCATGAATAGAGATCTCGATGTCCTTATCGATACTGTCTGGAGAGTCAGAATTACAGTCAGCAATCCTCATGAACTTCAGACGAACAAGCACATCGACCACAGTCAGCAAGCCGAAGCCCTGAACACCAACCGTTTGGACACGACTCCAGATTTGCCACAATGCGGAGAGATGTGTGGAGCGATCCACCATTGAGACCACGATCAACATCTCAGAGGCTCAAGAAAGAATGTCTTGACGGACGCATGGCCCATTCAGGAAGTTATGGCACGAAAAGTCGACAAGCCAGCCGTCCCTAGCTGCGGAGAGTCCTTCCCTATGCTCTCAATGAGCTCTGGTGCCGCCGCACCCTACTTATTACAGAGCATTACACTAAGGTGGAGCTCGAGCAAGCTTACCTACCGACAATCTACGCAACTACACCAATGCGTGAGCCAATGCCGTCCGGGCTGCTCCTACTCCACGTGCGGAGTGCAGACTCTGGGGCAAGAGCTGGAGATCAGCCACTCTTGTGGATCTCTGTGTCATATATATAAGAACGTCTTCCGTCACCGCGCGACGAACTCTTCGATTCTTACTCCTTGATAGTTCTCACTCCGCTTGAGCCTTTGAATCCAGCATGGCAACAGCGGTTCAAGCCACACCAACGCCAGCCCACGAACTCATATACAGGCCAGGCGAGCTGCCTAAACTACGATCCAACTATGGCCGCCACCTGGACCAGGACACCGTAGGCTGGATGCGCGAAACCCCAATCGACACCCCTCTCCCCGAAATGCGCCGCCGCTTCGAAGAGGAAGGCTACATCTTCGTCAAGAACCTCCTCCCGCGCTCCGACGTCCTCGACATGCGCCGCGCCTACTTCGAACACCTCTCCCCGACAGGAATCCTCGCACCAGGAACCGACCCCGTAGAAGGAATCTTCAATCCGCTCGCGGATCCAGTCGCACACCACGGCAACGGCGGCCGAGACCTCCCGGAAGACGAAGAGAAAGTCCAAAAACTAATCTCAGCACACACCCACCCAGCCTACCTAAACTTCCTCTCACACCCGACCCTGCACACCTTCGTCCGGGACTTCATGGCCTGGAAATCCGACATCCTGATCAAACGCACCCTCCTCCGCCACAACGTCCCGCAAGGCTTCTCGACGGGGATCCACTACGACAAGATCTTCCTCCGCGCGGGCGAAGCCGATTTCCTCACCGCCTGGGTCCCCATAGGCGATTGTAAAGCCGAAGGGGGAGGATTGATGTATCTCGAGAATTCCACAGATGTCGGGAAAGCTATGGAAGAGGACTTCAACTCGCGCGCGAAGGAGCTTTCTCCTGAGGAGAGGATCAACGGCTTCAACGTCAACATGGCGAGAGATGGGCAGCTCTCTCATGATGCTGTCGAATTGACCTCCGCGATCCAGGAGGGTGTTCATGGAGGCGAGAGGATGAAGAGGAGATGGTTGGTAGGCGATTACGAGGCGGGGGATGTGGTGTTCCATAATCCTTATATGATTCACGGGGCGGTGAAGAATGAAGATCCGAACGGGAGGATTCGACTCAGTACGGATTTGAGGTTTTATGAGGAGGGGAGTGAGCTGGATGAGAGGTGGATGAGGGATGTTTGGAGGCCTGGGGATGGGTTGTGATTTGATTTAATCGATGAGATGGCGTAACGACGATGTGTATTCTCCAATTTGGGATCGGCGACTGTGCCAATGCATTTCACCATAACATCATAGTGCCAACGCAATGCTGCAGAACAATCCGGAAACAATACACAATCTGCTCACTCCCCTTCCTTCTCTACGCCATCGAACTCCCACTCAGGCTCGCCTACTGGTAAACTTCAATATTCGCCACATCCAAACATTCCCCACACCCATGAACACCAGGCGCCGACTCGCAGATGCCCTGCGCACAAGGCAAACAACCCTGCGGAACCATCAAACAGCTCCCATTCGAGTAGCTCCCAACCTCAACGTCCGACCACGTCGGTAGCACGACCTGACTCGCGTTGCGGGCTGAAATAGTCTGCTGAAAGGAGTTGATGATAATTATTGCAGCGGACAGTACCGAGAGTTCCCATAGCATGAGGAGATACTGGATCCGTAGAGGGAGGACCTGCAGTGGCGGTAGATTGAGGAAGTGTTGACGGACGTAGTTGGTGGCGGAGAGGACGGCTTTTTGGACGATCAGATGGAAGGTGATGACGAACGGGGCTACAAGGCTGTAGAGTCCAGGATTGTTCGAGGCTGTCTGGTACGGGTTGGTGCTCCTACTGGGGGAGGATGTTGGAGCAGGATGTTGGGTCGTTGACAGTGGTGGTGCTGTCGATTTCGATGTCGCTGTCAATGTCGGTATTGGCGTTTGAATCACGACCGACGCAGGAATCGTAAACCCATACTCGAGAGTGGGCACGACAGACCAATTCTTCATAATGGGAGCCAACTCCACCATATACCACGGCGTCTCCCTCGCATAGACCACCAACGAGATCTCCCTTTCGACCGACAAAACCATAGCCTTCCACGCTTTCGCAACTGCAGGCTCCTTTTTGGCGTCACGCTCGTGCTGGAAGAATGGCAAGGCGCAGAAGTAAGGTGGAACCATCTGCCGATCTGCGAACACCGCCTTGTGGGACGCGTTGTAGGGCTTCAGCAGCACGTATGGTATGTCGTTAAAGGTGAAGATCTTGTCGTAGGGATCATGTTCTTCCTATAGAGTTTCGCGGAAGGCGTCGAGCTGGTGCTTTGCATTGCGAACAGCCGCTTTGACCATTTTGTCGATTGCCATCTCGGCGTAGATGTTGGCCATGGCTGCGACGTCTCCAGAAATGTATCGTCGAAAGGCGAACGAGAATGATGGCGACAACGAATTCTTGGCTCTCAGAGTTGATGGCGATACCGTGCAGCGATAGGCGATATCGATATTTCGGAAGCGTATGTTGTGTGGTGTGTGTGTTGTAGAAGAGAAAGAGAAAGAGAGAGTCCAAGAGTGAAAGCACAAGGTAAACAGCAGGAAGCTCACGGACCTTGCATGTGACGACTTCCGGCAAGTACGACTTGTAAGCAGAAAGAGGCACAACAAGTGAAGACCTGAGAATGGAAAGAGCGACAACGCACCTCACACATTCGACCGTAAACCCGTTAGCTTTCATTTCATCTATCTGCGTTCCCATCCCATTCCCATCCCATTCCCATTCCCGATCTGATGACTCTGACGATCCAAACGCGCGCTACCTAGAGCAGTAGGACGGCCTGCTTCCAAGGCCAAAGCCAGTCTCAATACCCGTCATCCATGTCAATTACTTCTCGTCGTAGTCCCGTGCATCTTGCAAAATGTCAAAAACGCCAGCGAGTGTCTTCGGAACCGGTGAGTGAAGACACTCTTTTCAAAGTTTTCCCAGGCAGTAAACGTGATCGTGAGGGTGGTGGGTGTGTTATGGATGCCAGCGGGCAACAACGCGCGAGACCAGCGTCGATGGGCTGGTCTTTTGAAGCAGCACGAACGGGGCTCTCTTGTGTCGAAGAGGCAAATCGCACGCTCGAAGCGACCGCTGCTTTGATCGTCTGATCCGGCGTCGACACGTCTAGTGTCCACCGCCCTTCCTGAACTTGAGCAGTTCGCTCAAGCTCTGCAGTGAGCAGCCATGCTGGAGGAACTCGTGTCGGCCAAGTTCCTCGGCCGTCGCTCGGCTCTTGACATCCACACAGAGACAGACGCTCAAGAAAGCTTTCAATTCCTTGGTAAGCTTCTCTGGCTTCTTCAACCTCGGTGTGCCGTTCGTAGCGATCAAGTAAAGAGCCTTGAGGGGTTCCTCGTTCAAGTACGGCGGCTCGGATTCGATCATCTCGATAGCCATGATGCCCAGAGACCAAATGTCGACCTTTGAGCCGTACTCCTTCTGCTTGACGACTTCAGGAGCCATCCAGTAGGGTGTGCCGACCATTGTCGCACGCTTAGAACGTTGTTCTGTCAGCTTTGCGCAAAAGCCAAAATCCGTAATCTTGACTGCGCCCCGCGAGGACAGCAACACGTTGTCTGATTTGATGTCTCGGTGAATGATGTTTTGTGCATGGAGATGGATCAGGCCTTTGCATGTCTGTGTCATACGTTAGTACACGGTCTGTGTTAGTCAATCTTTTCACATACCTCATAGCAAATCGTGGCGATTTGATCCTCCGTGATTGATGCATTGTTGTCGATGACATCGGTAAGGGCACCGCCTTCCATAAACTCCATGACAACCCAAAGCTCAAAGGTATCTTCTTGCAAGAAGGCGTCCATGAAGTTGACGATGTTGTCGTGTCGACTCTCCTTCATGACAATGATCTCGTTGACGATCAGCTCCTTTCGAGGCTGAGAACGCAGATCCATCTGTTTAATGGCGACCTGTGCTCGTGGACCATACTCCTTGACAAGGTTCTGTGCAGTCCTGCTTGGAGCGTTCTCTCGAATGCGCGCGACGTAGACTGATCCTGAAGCGCCCTGTCCAATCTTCTTCTGCTTGTTATAGCTCTCAAGAGGATTCGACAAGGTCACCACCGAACGCAGTCGCTCCATGACTTGCGCATCAGACATGGCGCTCATCCGCACTTCTTTCTGCGGCTTCTCAGCAGGCTCCTTCTTAGTGAGCGCCGCCTCCGCCGCCTTGACAGCATCTTTGGGACCTCCCGTTGGCTGCTTGGTTGCAACATTGAGAGGCTTGACTTGGTTTGTAGGAGAAGCTTGCTTCTGGTGGTTGCCTGCGCCAGAAGGCTTGCGAGTCAGAGGCTGGTCGTTTTCCTTCTTAGCTTGTCCGTTCGATGATCCTGGTGCTGGCTGCTTGACTGCATGCGGAGACGCGCCATTCGCACCCGGCTTCTTCTGCGATGAAGCTGATCCATTCTGAGAACCCGGAGGCGCAGGAGCCGGTCTCTGTGCTTGCAGGTTGCGAATTGGCAACTGGCTTCCAGGTTGTCCGTTCTTAGAGCCCGTTGGCGCTGGTGGTGCGGGCCTGGTCGCATTGTATCTGCTCTGACCTTGCCCTGGACTTGCATCCCTCGCGGCATCTGCACTGTACCCACCGCCAATCTCTTGTTTCGCAAGAGGAACCTTGTTCTTCGGCAAAGACTCGTTATATTCTCGGTCTTCTTGTTCTCGCCTCTTGCGTTCTGCTTCCTCTTCATTTCGTCGTCGCTCAGACTCAGCACGCTTTCTGCTCTCCTCTTGCTGTCTCTTTCTGCGTTCCTCGTCGCTTTGCGCTGGCGCGGTGTCTGCTCGTTTCGGTGGGCCGTATCGGTCGGACGACTGATCTCTCGAGCTCGAATACCCACCTTGTGGAGTGATGTTTCTGGTGCCTTGGTAGCTATCTTGGCGGTTGACACCTGGTGGCTGCGGTCGTGGCGGGGCAACGGTGTTGCCAGTGGAGTAGCCAAGCTGCTTCTCTCGGTTGGATTCCACGCCTGGTGTTGGCGTGAGAGAAGGGTAGGTCTTCGGGTCGTCGGCTCTCACTTGGAGCTTGTCGGTGTAGAATTGCAGGACCTCCATGACCGCCTGAGGGTTCTTGGCCATGTCATCTTTCGTCAAAGCAGATCCCTTCAGCAGCCTCTCCCATTCGACTGGCAGTCCAACGAAGCCTCCCGTGACTGGATCAAACCCAACGTGTACGCGGTGGGAGAATCCCGTCGGATGCGAGACCCCACCCATCTGCGGGCAGCGGTCGTAGATGCTGTCCATCCAGTTGTAGACATCCGTGTCCGTGTCAAATTTGAGTATCCAGACCTTGTTACCCTCTTTCGTCAACTCCAAGCTGTATGGGTAGTTGTCTGATCGGGTGACGTGGGAAACATCGCGCAGGTAGATCGTGCTGGCCGTTTTGCTGCTGGAGCTCGATTTGAGGAAATCCAGCTGTTTCTCGCGAAGTACCAGGAATCGCTCGTTCCAGAATGCCTTCATGAACCCACCGCCCTCCTCCTTGACCTTGGCCCACCCGTCTTTAACCACCGTGAAATAGCCATTCACAGTCTCTGTGCGTCCCAGCGAGGTGCTAGAGGGGGAGCTCAACGAACTACCCGAGCCGTTACCAGTGTTCAAATGAGTCAGGTTGGGGTTCCCCGGGGTGTTGTACACGTTGGGGGTCAGCGCCATCTTTGGGCGGTCGGTGGGTGGACGTGGGGCGGGCCCAGGATTCATGAACTGATCAGGTCTGTAGAGTCTGTAGGACGGTCAGCAGGGTGCAGAAGGCATGCGATGCGGCCATGTGGCACAAGCACAAGCATCCCCAATCCCCCAATCATCCCCCTCTCACCGCCATGGACCAGTCGTCGCATGTGTTGTCGCGTGCCATGGACGGTGCCGCAGGAACGGGGATAGGTGTAAAGAAGAGATACTCACGGGTTAGACTGCTGCGAATTGTTGGCCATCGCGGCAGCCACATGCGAGGGAGCGCCAGACGTTGAAGTTGGCTGAGCTGGCGCCGAATGCCTCTCCGCAGCTCAGCAGCCGACCGCGGCGCTCGTTCAGGTATGAGTCGGTCGGTTCGCAGTTGCCGGACGGAGATGTGTGCAGGTGGCGGCGGGGGGTGGTGTGTCGAAGGATAGTCGAACAATTCTCCGAGGGTGCAGGTGAAGTCGAGATACAGCTGATATTGTTGGCGCAGGGATAGAGCGGCGGGCAGGGTGAGAGGGCGGCGCTAAAGTTTGCGGAGAGAGGTTGGGCAGAATTCGACGGCGTCAGATGCTGAATGCTCCAAACAGATCGTGAAGTCAACAGTCGTGCGCGGTGATGAATGGGGCGGTCGGGCGTGGTCAGGCGGAGAAACGGTCGTCGTCGCCCACAATAAGGAGAAGCGAAGAAGGCGGTGGTGCTACAGCAGTCTCCTCTTTCACACGCTCATGTTTCGTTTCACCTCTAGCGTGCGCCAACCCAACCCTTGTATCTGCTCAAGCTCCTATTTCCTCTTCTGCCCATCAATTGGCCTACCAACAATCCCTCACTTTCACCTCCCAATTCGCCCGGCCAACAATGCCTTTCGCCCATTCATCGCCCTCCACGCTGCCCGGATTCGCCACCTGCTATAACAAAGCAGCCACACGCCCGAGTCAGCTCCTGCAGGCATTGATTGCACCAAAACGATGATCATACCACGGGGGCAGCCGTCACCAAGCACAAGCTTTTTCGATACGGCGAATCGACGCCATCACATCACAGCCCGATGCGTTTCATATCGCCCTTCTCAATCCCCGCGGGACAGGGAAACTTCAACCTTCTCTCAACCACCGGCTTTCCAATGCTACTACACCTTCTCGCCAAACCATAACTTGAACACAAATATTTTCCTTCCTGCCGTCGTGCCACACCGGATGCTACTCCTCATGCTGTATCGACAGGGTCAACCCGGTCTCCACTATGCCGCCCGCCTAGAACGACCCAGATCTCGACTCGTGCACAACGCGAGAGGACGGCGACGCGCTCGTACGCGTTCGTCATGACACAGGCCTACCATGTCCGGGTTCCACGTGATGGCTGCTGATGCGGGACACAAACGTTCGCAGCTGCTTCCATGCTTGTTGAAAACCAGGATGTTCGTACGACGGCTTCCTCTTTCCGGATGCGAATCGTATGACCGACACCGCACTGAGACAAGGAACGCCTTCTCGGGACAGGCCTCACAAAACCAACCCGACCCGATGTTCCTTGACGCCGGTGGGCCGATGGCAGCTGTCGACTTCATCCTGAACGGCAACTACCCTCGGTGTTCTGCTCAAAGTGGAACATCTATCCCCGTTATTCCTAAACCCTCTAAGCAGCTTGGAGTGCAATTAGCAGCGCTGTCTCTTACGAAAAGGCGGAGAGACGGCAGTTTGATACGTTCCACTTTGACCGGACCGAGGAGGGTACTCCTTCTCGTGCCTTGGTCACAAAAAGCTAACCAGAACGAAGTTCTGTAGGGAGGTAACGTCTCATTGCTGCAGTACGCAGTTTTTCATTCATACCATATCAACTCTGTGAGCCATAAGCGATAAGACGCTGCAAGCACTGCCGCAATCTCAACTTGGCCCTAGTTGCAGAAGAAGTACATCCCTCGACGAACCCAGGCCCATCGTCCTCGTCTCCATAGAAAGATGCAGAAGAAACCACCATATGCCGCCTAAGCCATATCATCACCACTCTCCTCTGTCTTCTCGGCCTTCACCTTCACCTTCTTGCTCGGACTCTCCTCGTCGTCTCCACCATCATCCTCATCAACGTCCTTCTTGCCCTTGCGCTTGCCCGTACTCTTCTCGCTCGCAGCCTTCTTGGCGCGTGGCTTCGACTTGGCCGGAGTGCCTTCGCCATCACCGTCGACGATGGTGCCGACATGTCCGCCGCAGTCCTTCTTGATTTTGGCCCATTGCTGCCTAAAGCGCGGTGGCGTTAGCATGAAAAGCGATTGGAGGCATAGCAGGGATGTCTGACCGAACGGCGTTCGCGCCGTGGCCCTCGCCGAGCATGGTGGCTACGTTCTCCCAGCTTGCGCTCTTGCCAGCTTGGAGGAGGGTGACCATGGCGAAGAGGAGCTTCTTCTGCTCTGCGTCGTCCCAGTTCACCATGGTGGCTAGTGTTTGTTGGGTGGTGTCTTGGATGGAAGGCGGTTGGTTGTTGGAGAAAGATGGCTTGTTTGTGTCGCGTTTGGTGAAGAGCTGTTGTTGTGTGTTGGATGAGAGAGAGAGGAAGAGAGTAAAGCAGAAAGAACCAGAAGCTTTTATGTTTCGATTGAGGTGAGCTTTCACGCGCTACAGCATGTGAAGTTTTCAGCAAATGACCGCTGACTTCACTGCCCGCACCCTCCAAACCTCACCACGGCCTTCCCCTTCCCACATGCTACGATATAGACTAACACCATCCCAGCTCTAAACCTCATCCTCATTCTCACCACTCCTCTCCACCTTGACCTTCTTCGACGGAGACTCCTCGCTATTCTCCTCCGGCTCACCACCCTCGTCCACATCCTTCTTAGCCTTGCGCTTCGCACTGCCCGTCTTCGTCTCTCCGGCAGCCTTCTTTCCGCCACCACGCTTAACGGGCGTCTTGCCCTCTCCGCCATCAACTTCGACGTTGCCCCACTGCGCGCCGGCGGCTTTCTTCAGTTTCATGTACTTCTGTCTAGACCCCCAATAGCGTCAGCATTGGCAGGGCGAAGGCGAGTGTGACGGGGATAGTAATAAGAACGTACCGGATGGCTTCACCGGTGAAGTCGGCGTCGAGCATCTCGCCGACTCTGCCGAAGGAGACGCGTGTTGGGGGGTTGAGGTGGATGAGGGCGAGGAGCATTTGGCGCTCCGAGGCGTCGTCCCACTTGGATGGTGGCATGGTTGCTTTTGGTGTTTTGGACTTGGGTGTTGTGGTTTGGAGGAGTGGTGGCGGTTGGTTGGTGCTGGAGGGGGTGGTTGTTTGTTGTTGATGGAGGAAGAGAGAAAGAGAAGGAAGGGAAAAACAAACTCAAGAAGACACATGAAGCAATTCAATTTCAGGTGAGGTGAGGTAAGTCTTCCTCACCTCAAACAAGTGAAGTCCAAAGCCGAACTGCTTCACTCGCAGAACCACCGATTCACCGAAGACCCTTCGTCGACAGGCCGCTCTCGTCAAGCAAGATCGACTCTCTAAACCAGATCACCCTCGCTATCGCTCTTCTCCTCCTCAATCTTCGCCTTCTTGCTCGGCGTCTCCTCCACATCGTCCTCATTGCCACCCTCCTCCCAATCCGCCGCAGCCTTCTTCGCCTTCCGCTTACTGCCCGAAGCCGCAGCAGCCTTCTCCCCAGCAGCCTTCTTCCCACCACCACTCCTCTTCACCGGCGTCTTGCTGCGGCCATCCCCTGGGACATCCCCAAACTGATTCGCCGCCTGCTTCTTCAGTCCCTTCGTGAACTTCTGACTATCAAAGACCCCCTTATCAGCTTGACACGAACGTGGTTGTGAGGAAAAGGGGATGGAAAGACAAACCGAATGCCCTCAGCGGTGTACTCATCTCCCATCAGGGACGCGACGGTGTTCCAGTTGATGCTTGGGGTTGAGGCGCCCATGACGTGGATGATGGCCATCAGGAGTTTCTTTTCCGTTTCATCGTCCCATTTCACCGGCATGGTGGGTGGTTTTGGTAGGGGTTGGGTTGTGGTGGATGATTTGTTGATAGTGTGTTTGGATGGCGGTTGAGTGTGGTGGTTGTAGAAAGAAGAGGAAGAAGAACAACACGAGAGGAAATAAGATTTTGTTGTTATGAACTTCTAAAACATGTGACCAGCCCTTCCACCGTTTGCTTCACTCTCCTTCTACAGAATAGGAAAGCACGTCAACATGTCGTTTGCTTCACTTCACTCTGTCTTTCTAAGACAACGAGGCACATGAAAAGATCTTCACTGCAATCCTGGACTTCGTTCCGATCATCGAGACAACTCGATATCCCCGTCTCAAGGGGTTGTTCAAAGGGGTCATCGAGGCTGTCGTCGGCTTGGTCGGTGATGTTTTGTCGGAGACATCAGGTGGTTTGGGTCAAGAAGTGCTTTCTGATTCTCGTTATAACTCGTACGGTCCGTAGTAACAATCGACGAGACTTCATGCAACACTCGACGAAACCTTATACCTCCCCTCCCCTCCCAGCCCCATCGCCCTTCCCACACCCGTCTAGACCATCTCTCCACCCTCATCCTCCTTCTTCACCTCCTTCTTCACCTTCATCTTCTTACTCGGCGTCTCCTCCACATCATCCTCACCCTCGTCCCCCTCCGTCTCCGCGACAGCCTTCTTAGCCTTGCGCTTCGATCCCGTGGCCGAAGCCTTCTCGCCCATTCCCTTCCCCTTGCTCGCCGGCGTCGGAGGATCACCGAACTGCGCCTTGGCTTGTTGCTTGAGTTTCTTGTAGCGAGACCTGTTGATGTATCAGTATATGCATGTGATGTGGGAGGGGTGTGATGTAGGGGGTTGATGTACTTGACGCTCTCGGGGGTGTACTCCTCGCCCATGCTGGCGGCGATGGTCGGCCAGTTGAGCTTCTCTGGTCCGACGACGTGGATGATGTTGAGGAGGAACTTCTTGTCGGTGGCGTCGTCCCAGGTTACCATCTTGGCGGTGGTGGGAAGCGGTGCTGCACGTTGGATGTGTAGATAAGTGGATGTTGGTTTTGTTTTGTTTGGTGGGTAGTTGGTGGTGGGTGTCGAAGTTGAGTTGTGCTTGTTGGAGAAAGGAGGAGAGAGTGGCGGAAGATTCTGAGATTTATGTGAATGCTCACATAGCCAAGTAAAGCTGACAGCGCTTGCATGTGAAGTTGCCTCACTCATCTCCATGGGCGAGTGAACTTCCTCCTCATCAGACAGGCACCGTCAATCCACCCCCTATTCCTCACTCAGAAACCTCCCAATCCTTTCATCCATAAACCTCGTATCCTCCTCACAAGCCCCACCACCAGCCATATGTCCCCAAACGGACGCAATCGGCTCATACCTCCCATTCTTTAGACACTCCACCTCCCTCTCCCCCTCCGCCGCCAAAAAATACTGATCACTAACACAAGGCATAACAAGAACCTTCGCCTCCACCTTCCCCAACGCAGCCTTCCAATCCCCACCGCCACCTACAGCACCAACATCCCCCTTCTGCCACATCCTCGCCAACACAATCAAATCCTCCGCATCCCACTCCTCACTCGACCTCACCTCCATCTCCAACCACTCATGCAGACTCCCCGCCCCCAGCACCCTCCAGAGTTCAAGGCGAAACCACTCCGCGCTCGTCAACCACGCCGCATACGCCCGTCCGAAAGCCCGAAGTCCCCCGAGAGGCTTCACTCCATTCTCTCGATACCGTCCCCCGTAATAATCTCCACTCGCCCTCAAAGCCGAAACAGGCCCCTCCAGGAACGCATAATTATGCCCGGACGTCTTCGCGCTGGAACAGATGACCACAGCGCGCTTGACGAAGGGCGTTGCACCAACACCATGCATCACGGCCCAGTAGTACGCCTGCTGCCCACCCATCGAGAACCCCACGACCGTCTCGAGACGTTCCACGCCAAGATGCCGCGTCAAAAGCGCATATTGCGCGTTGATACAATCCTCATATCTCAGAGAATAATCCTTGGGGAAATCAGGATCGTTCGAGGGACTCGAGCTCTCGCCGTTTCCTATCATCGCCACGACGACGACGTGGTAGTCTTTTAAAGCCCCTGTGGTAAAGGTGAGGGTCGTGTTGATGTGGCCGCCGTAGCAGGTGAGGATGAGCACGGTTCCCTTGGTTGAGGTGGGATTTATGGAGCGGTAGGCGATGTTGATCTTCTTGCGGACACCACCTGCGAACTGGAAATCGGGGATTGTGTAGAGGGAGTGTGGGGGGTTGGGTTCGGCCATTGTTTGGGACGTGCAAGTGAGAATGGGTTACTTTTTTGGATTTTCGGGATGAGGTGAGGTCGAAGTCGGTGGCGAGAAAGTTGAGAGCTTTGAATACGGTAGCTTGTCTGTGTTCGCTCCTTCTCGGCCGCTGGTCTGCGAGCGGTACCCTATACGAGAGAAAATAGTGTCGTTAAACGATCCTGACGGATACCCTCAGTATCTACAGCAATCTCCAAGATAATAAAAAAGAATTCTTGCCCTTTCCCCTTTACCACCGCCAAATCCACCACAATACTCTCCCTCTCTCCATCACTCCCTCCCTCACTTCATCCCTCACTTTATCCCTCACTTCAACCCTCACTCCTCCATCACCTTCTCCCCCACTCCCCCCATTAAAGCGTCGCCGAATAATACAAACTCAACAAACTTCCCCCACCACAATACTGCAACAGATTCCCCTCGCAAAGCGTCATCCTCGTCGTATCACACTCCACGACCTGCGACCCACTCTCGTAAGCAATATCGTTACCGCAGTAACATTCCCGTCCATATTCCATCCCGGCATAGTGGAAGCGATTCCCCAAGCAGAACTTCACGCAGGAGTCGGCCGAGAGCGTCTTGTTCGTCATGGCGGTGCCTTGCAATGCGCGGCCGTTGCCATTGTTGGGGTCCGTGAGGCAACCCTTCGTGACGTACTTGCCGACGGAGGGCTTGATGCGGGGCGGGCGGTAGGCGGTGTTCTTGTAGAGGGAGATGGCGTTGGGGCCGCCACAGAGTTGGTCGCCGGCGGCGGTGCAGCGCGTGTTGCAGGTGGAGTTGCTGGGCGTGGTGGTGGCGTCGGTGATGAAGTTGTTGCCGGCGATGGTGTTGCCGCACCAGCACTGCGTGCGGAATTCGAGGCCGTAGTATTGGTACCCGGAGATGCTTTGGCTGGCGCAGTAGTCGGCGCAGACTTGCGTGGTCATGTTGAACCAGTCCACGTTGGGGCCTGTCAGGGCGCGACCGCCGCCGTTGTAGTTGTCTGTTGCGCAGCCGAGATAGTTGTCTGCGAACGGGGAGAGTTCTCTCGGAGGGGATAGATTCCCAGCGCTGTTCTCGTTGCTGCCGAAGGCAACGAAGTCTGGGTCGGTGTTGTTGTAGATGCTGATGTAGTCGAGACCACCACAGATGTCTTGTGCGCCGCCTAGGACCATGGTACCACCACAGTTCCAGGAACATTGGTCCGATCCGCCGATAGACGTTGGATTGATAGCATTGTCGCAGTGACATTCTTGAGCATATTCGACTCCACTGAGACGGTAGCCTCTCTCCTCGCACCAAGATTGGCAGTATTCTACAGTCATCGCGCTGTAGTTGGACGTGAAGATCGAGTTCAGAGCTCGAATGCCGCCTGCGCTGTCGTTGTAGCAGCCTACATACTTCTGGAAAGAGTCCAAGCCATAGCTGCTCCCCGGCGCAACAGTGTTGGTCGGCAAAGGCGACGAGTCCATTGTGGCGGTCACGGATGGTTTGGGAGCGCTTGGCGGGCAGTTCATCGACGCAGCGGGGGCCATCTCTGGGCCATACGTGATATTGATACATCCGGGGAGTTTGTCAAGAAGACCAGTCACCACTTCACCGATCTGTGGTGGTCGTTCAGGGCAGTTGTAGGAGTATCCATTCGTCTGCGATTTTTGCAGGATTGGGCATGCAGAGATCTGACCAAAGTTGTCGGTGGCCAAGCAATCTATCGTTGCATTGGCGAGCACCTCCATATCCCATCCGTTCTGGAAATCGCCGTGGAAGCCGTAGCCCGTGGGATCGCCTTGTGAAAAGACGAATTGACCATCCTCGCTCTGGTCCGGGACGTCCGCCACGGCGTAAAGGGTCTCCAGGAAGAGATGTGGTATTTGGACAGGGTGTGTCGGTGGACAAATGCCATTGTCAATTGCAGACTGATACGCAACGTGACTGTTGTCTGCCTTGTACAGGTCCCTGCCATTCCAGCAGCTTTGGAAATGGATCTGCGCTCTGAGCCCATACGCGCAGTCTGTCCGGAACATGTATGGCTGCTCGGGTAGTGGTCCACCTGCGTGTAGGCAGTTGAAGCTCACTCTATCTGCCACTGGACGGCCTGGATAGTCTGCATTGCCCCATGTGTAAGTCTGGGAATCGTAGCTACGAGCGGCGGCGGACCCGGAAAGGATATTGAGGTTCGGCGGGAAAGGTACGGTTTCTGCGACATTGGGACCGCGACCCAAATAATAAGCCACAGCACCGTAGTGTGGAACTTCAAAGAACGATCCGTTAGGATACTGGTAGTAGAGTTCGGGGGTCCAGTAGGCTGATTTGTCGTCTCGGATCTCGCACGATGTGCATTCTGAAGCGAAAAGGGTCTCGTACGTGGCGTTGATGCCGATGTCTGCGAATTGTCAGATACAGAGACGATTGGACAGACACATATACTCACTTGAACCTCCCACAATGGTATGTACATGTGCTGCAATGGCTCCAGGGCTGACCAAAGGGTCGATCCGTCCTCTTTGGATGATACCGCAATTCATACGCCAGAAGGCACCGACATTGCGGGCGTAGAGCAGCGCAAGCGCAGTCAAGGTAGGAGAGACTGTACGCATATCGACGACGTAGGACCAGACACGTCGATCAGCTCAGGATAGTGACATTAGCTGCAATATAGTCGCGCTCAGAGACAGTTGAGGAGAGGCCGAGGAGCGTGGTTCAGACAGGGCACATGGTCGAATTCCAGAGGTTCACGTGGGCCAAAACAATGTCCAAAGGAGTAAGATCCAGGCGACTCGCGATGCAAAGCGGTTGACAGACTGTCGGGACTCGGGAGCGATTAGAGTGTAACGACTGGATCAAAGAAACGAAACCAACGATGCCTCCACAGCTGTTACAGTGTAGACGAGGTGGAAGATCGTCGCTTTGTCGAAAGGCATGAGTAGTGGTTGACGCTACGCATCTTGCTCGATTAGGAGTCAGCAAAACAAACAGCGTGTAGGCGAAATGAGGGAATGGGACAAAGGAATGTTGGGAGACGCGACTCAGCTCTAGGCCAGGCTGGCGGCACGATCTTGGCAGGCTTGAAAACCGCTGGGTCGCGCGTATAAGTACAAGTGTGCGCCATGGATGAAGGTGTTGATGAAAGAAAGCTCCGTTGTTGAAGCTCGAGGTATGCGTCGAGGCTGAAGTCCAGCGTGGCTCCTGCCTTGGCAATATCAGCCTACGCCGAGACACGAAGCGACAAGATCGACGAATCGATCCTCTGGAGATCGCACGAGGATCGTAGCTAAAGATCGTTTGTCGCCGAGACCTTGGAGTTTTCGCAGGCTTGGAAAGGTAGCAGCGCAGCCTCAACACCTTTCCCAACACCGAGAAATAAAGCGAGAAGTAATACGTCGAGTAAAATGACAAGTAAAGGTAGAAGTAAAGTAAGTAGTAAAGCGACAAGTAAAGCGACAAGTAAAGCGAGAAATAAAGGGAGAAGTAAGAGGGGAAGTAAAGGAGATGGTAAAATAGCTTCTCGACTTCTCGCCTTACTTCTCCCTTTACTTCTCCCTTTACTTCTCCCTTTACTTCTCCCTTTACTTCTCCCTTTACTTCTCCCCTTTGCTCCCTACGCGGCCGTGGTAGCGCTCCTGGGCAGGTTTAGCAAGTTTTTGCGTCTGTCGACTCAAGACTCGTTCACAATAGAGCCAATATAGGCGACACAAGCGGCCCAGATCCTTCTATTGCTGTCGCTCCCTTTAAGACAGTCTTCAAGCTTAGCCAGGCCAGCCAGAGTGTTCTGCATCGTCTCTTCCTTCGTAGTTCCACAGAGAATACTCGATTTGCAGCCGGCAAGATCTCTCAAACAAGCGTACCAGACCACCTGTTTGGAGATGTCAATCTCTCGCGCGGTCTTCTCGAGCATTTGCTTCGGATCCCGGTCCATAATGACCCGATTGCCCCATAGCAAGCCCCACGGAACGTATGTGATGTCCAGGCTTTCGCATATGCTACGAACGTCTCGATCGTAGGGGACGGCGGGATACGGCAAGCCTGGAGGCATATTTGCTTCGGGCTGAGGAGACGTATCACCAGTAAAGCGATTCTGGACGCTGTTCGGCTTGATGGTGACTGCATCCCATATCTCGCTCAATGATTTTGCGTCAACATTGGACAGTCCTAGGGAAGACGCTTTGGAGGGAACAAGAGCCTCCATTGCGTTCCACGCCGTGATCGTATCCGCAATATTCGGATACAGAGAGTGCAATACCAGACAATCGACATAATCAACACCGAGATTGGCCAAAGATGATGAGACGGACTGCTGGACTTGCTCTGGGATGCTCGCCGACGTATCATACGGATACAGGCTGGGGTCTTTGCCAGGTTTGTACGGCGAGAATTTGGTCTGGATCTGAGCAGAAGATGATGTAGTCAGCTAGCATCCTCCATTCAAACCGAAGCAGAGCACATACGTACAGATCACTGCGTTTCACAACGCCAGATTTGATGGCTGCAGCGATGCCTTGGCCGACCAGCGCTTCTCGATACTGAGGTCTGTTGCCAGATGTGTCGATGGCCCTGAATCCGGTCTTCAATGCCATCTCAACTAACGTCGCCGTGTCTTCATCCTTGAAAGCGGTTCCATAGATGATGCTTGGCACAGCCTGGGTGCCGATAGGCCTTTCCATCTCAAGTCAATGCAACTGTCTGTATTTGTTGGCCACACATTGTACCCTCAGCAAATGCACGCTGACGCTGCCTCAGAAAAAGTCCAACAGATAAAGCCTACCCTGTCAGCCAAGCCTCTACCCTCTCGTCCTGGTCAAAGTGGAATGTATCGAATTGCGATCTCTCCGACCTTTCACAAGCGACCGCGCTGCCGATTGCACTCCAAGCTGCTTACTGGTGTAGAGGTAATGGGGATGAATGTTCCACTTTGAGCGGACCACCAATAGATGAGATCTATTCAGCCAGCCAAGCCTCTCGACTAACGCATCCGATGGTGATGATGGGGGATATCGGTGATGATGTGAAGTCGAGGTGAAGGATGCACAAAGGCTGATAGCGAGGGCGATCAGGGTTGGCCGGAACACGTGTAGACGTGGTACAGGCCATTGGGGCGACCGGCATCTCAACTCTGGCCCTCGCCATCCAACAACTCCATTCGCTCGATCAATGGTCGACGCTGCAGCGCGAGCATGTCCGTGGCTGCTACGACCAGCACGGTAAACACACGCTGCATCGCGCTGCATGATTGTTGCTTCTCGTTGGTGAAGCTCTCGGCCCAAATCCTCTAGCCTCGGGCTTTGGCGGCGCGCGTCTGCAGGCACCGTCTGCAGGCACCGTCTGCCCGCCAGGAACCACGTCAACGAAGCACACCTCCGTTGCAGTTGCATGTGAAAGACACCTGACGACGACGGCCTCCAGTCGATCGCGCCGCCCGCTGTGTGAGGTGTGCGCAGGAGCCTTTGCGGTCTCTTCTTTCCCATTGCGCGTCGGCCTCTTGTCATCGGATGATGTCTCGTCCTAATCCATCGTCACTCGCCACTCTCTGATCGCCCACGCCATGAGCGACTCTAGCAGACCTCCCGATCCCCCTCCTCCTGCTCCCACACGCGCCGCGACCACAGGCAGCACCACCGCCACCCTCCCTCCCTCCGCCGCCGCCAGACAGCGCCTCCCGCACCGCGCGGCGAGCCACCAAGATGCCTCGCCCTCCCCGCGTCCACATCCTTTGCTCCGGCGACGGTCTTCTCTGCTCTCCTTCTCCAGCATAGAGGACGCGACGCATGCCTTCACCGACGACTTCATCAATCCGCGCACAAGCAGCAGACGCAACACGAATGGCGAAGATGAACTCACGCACTGGCACTCGACGCCGTTGGCATTCGCGATCCTGCCCGCGCTTGGCGGGCTGATGTTTAAGAACGGATCTGCCTTTGTGACCGACGTACTTTTGCTGGGCCTTGCGGCTATCTTTATGAACTGGAGTATAAGATTGCCTTGGGATTGGTACTATAGTGCGCAGGCTCTCCGGCGAGACGTGGGGCCAGACTACAACGCGGCAGAGCGCGATGGCCTGGAAGATGATATTGCGGTGGAGACTGCTTCGTCTGCAGGCAGCTCGCCCAAGCCTGCGGAAGACCACAACACAGACACACGTACGACAGAGGACCCTGTGCAGAACGTGGGCAAACGAGAGGAGGCTGCCGCAGACCTGCGAAGGCAGGAATCGCTGGCACTTGGAGCGACGTTCTTGTTCCCAGTCCTGGCGGCATACCTACTCCATGTCATACGCGCGCAGCTTTCGCGTCCTTCCACCGGACTTGTATCAGATTACAACCTGTGTATCTTTCTCCTGGCGGCAGAGATCCGGCCTGTGCGACAAATCGTTCGTTTAGTCGCAAACCGCACTCTTCACCTACAGAGAACCGTCACCGGAATTGACGATCCTTTCTCATCGGCCATCGAAGAGAAGACGACCCTCAATAACCTCTCGACCAGACTTGCTGAACTTGAATCGAAGCTTGCAGAACACACCGTCGTTCCTCAAACAGTCAACATGGCGCAAAAGGCCGACGTCAGCGATCTGTCAGTCGAAATTAGGAAGCGCTATGAGCCTCGTCTCGAAGGTCTGGAGCGTGCTGTGCGCCGATACGAAAAGCGTTCGACGACTCTGGCCATGATGACCGAGCAGCGGCTGCAATCTCTGGAAACCCGTCTCCAGGAAGCCTTGAGCCTGGCCGCAGTCGCTGCACAACATTCGAACCGCGGCGTCTCTGGCAGACTCGCGGACACGATTACCACGGTCGTCACACTGCCCTTCAAGCTCCTTTGGGAGCTCACCGTCTGGCCCTACAGATTCCTGGACGACCTGTACATTGGGACAAAGACAATACTCCTGGGTCCTATGCCTCCACGATCTGGTAAGCGCAGGGGTGGCCGGCATGACGGCAGTTCGAGGGACGACAGTCGGCAGAGGGAAAAAGCGACGCAGCGCAAGGTCGTGCGATAGGACGATGATGACCAGTGTAGCGGGGCGTTATGAAGAGGGAAAGGTGGATCAACGGAAGCAAATGATACCCTGGGATAAAAGGTTCATGTAGGTTTCTTTTCTTTTCGTATCAAAATGAGACAGATTGCACGTAATTTTTGAACATACCCTCTTTCTTTGCTAAAGTGAGTGCTGCTGGCAAGGGGTGGAGGCTAGTGGATTTCTTCACATGTTCGTTGCGGAATTCAAGTGAAGGAAAACCGAGACACGCAGCAAGTGAAGCCTGCAGCCCGCCAGCCCGCCAGCGTTTGCAGCTGCCATCCCCTTATAAGTCTTCAACCAGCACCTATTCTCCAACATCTTCGCAGGACAACACCACCACCGACCATTTCCACCGCCCCCGACAACGCCAAGCGCTACTTCGCCCGCGCCTGGGAAGACGAAACAAACATGCCTACTTCCAACCCGGACACCAACCACCAACCCCTCCACGCCCTCGTAGCCCTCCTCCTCGCCTACTACCTCCTCGCCGCCACCACGCGCCTCAAAACCTCACTAGTCGACACCATCCTCCTGCGCTCCTTCCCCCGCTGGGCGGAGAAGTACACCGTCCTCCAACACACGCATCTGCACCCTTGGCTCCGCCCTTGCTGTCTGAACGCCGTGGTTGGCATCGCCGTGGCGGTGGGGTGGAGGGTGTGGATGGGGGAGGGGACGAGGTTGTGGGTTGTTGTGGCGAGGGTTACGCCGGGGTGGATGCTTCTCGAGATGGGTGTTGTGGGGGTGCTTTGGGGGGTCGAGCAGTTCCTTCGCTGGACTTATAAGGCTGGGAAGGCGGTGGGGTGGGTTCCGTGCGATGAGGTGGAGGAGGCGTGGGCGAGGCTTTCGGTGCTGCGGAAGGGGAATCCCCCTGAGTCTCCGGACAGCCAAGACAGCCAGATGCTAGACTCCGCCGTGGTGTCCCCAAGCGACGAGGAGATACCCGTCCAGCATCCACAGCGAAACTCCCATTCCGACCTCCAACCCTCTTCCCACGACCAACCAGCAAAATCCCCCTTCCGCCTCAGCGAATACCACCGCCTCTACAAATTCCTCACAAACTCCTTCCAAGGCGCCAAGATCGAAGAATCAACCGGAACCACGACATACCACTCCATCACAGCCGAGAAGAAATACCAAAACAAGAGCTTCGAGGAGTTGCGCGTCCAACACTACCGGGATGTGCACGGCCACGGTCCGGGATCTGAGCGCTTTGTACAGGAGGAAGAGCAGCAGTCGTTTCTCGGCAGATCGTGGTCCTATCTTACGGATTCGTTGTTTGGGGGCGAGAGTTTGGCGAGTTGGGATTCTTTTGGGAGGAGCACGGCGGTTGCGAGGGATTCGGTGAGAGGTGATGGTGCTCGGATTGGTGAGGGGAGGGGTGTGGTGCCGGATCTTTTGACGGGGACGCCGAGGAGGTTGTTTACTTGAGCTTGGAGACATGTCAGGGGTGTGGGGATGAGCGAGAGGTTGGCGATGAATGCCTTCGGTCTAGTTCGGGAGGTCGTGGAAAGGCCAGCCGATAACTCCGGTTCTTTGTGTTATGCGCGCACCAGGAGACGGCGAAGATTTGGCTGAAAGTCTTCCGTTGCGTGCCACAGCATAGCGCGAAGGGATGTCGAATTGAGTAGTTGAGAGGTCATTGCAATACGAAACGCTACAAACCATCCATGTCGTCAAATCGTCAAAATCACTCCCCTCCCAATCTCCGTCCAGAGCCTCTACTGCCCCAAGCAGAGCCACTGGCCCATCCACCACCACTGCCAGTCTGGTTCTGGGGCGCGGCTTGGCCTGGACCGTTGGCTCGGGCATTGAAAGCAGTGCCGTAGGTACGAGCTGTGCCTGTACCCGCGGGCGTGCCAAACCACTTCTCTACGAACTGCGGTGTCTTGATCCATTGCGAGCCACCACCGAATTGCGGCCAGACTCGGTCAAGGAAGTCGTAGAGATGCGCAGCAAGAATGCCGGTGGCTTGGATCATGGTCGCGAATGGGCCGCCCATGAGGTAGGTGATGGCGAGGGATGCGTATGGCAAGTACTTGGCGGGCATCTGAATGATGAAGAACTGCACGACCCGGTTGGGGTCTTCTTGGGCGAACGTGTAGATGAGGGCCATGCTGAGAGGGTTGAGAAGCGTGACGCCACCCAAGTAAATACCTCCGGTGAGCTGCCATGGCGTTAGTATATCGCTGAGGCATGTCGTGCATATGATTGAAGTTCAGGCATGACAAAGGTATGTAGGGCCCAAAAACCACCGCCAACCACAAGTTTCAGGAAGACAGTTCTCTCAATGTGGTATCCCACCATGCCCACACTCCACAAACGTCCTTTAGTATTTTGCGAATGACGGACGCCGCACAGTGCAGGGGTGATCTCCCTCGTTTCCAGGAACCGTGACAGTTATAGAACACTGTACGGGCAGATAATACGAGGTTGCGCTGGGGGAGGAAGTACTGGAAGTGAAGTGGATGGCGGTAGCTCGTGCTTACCATGATGACACTCGCCACGAAGAAGATATACCACGCGTACGCGCCTGGCCTGCTGAATCGTGGAGAGCCAGTCTCGAGCTGACTGCTATAGTGGTAGAGGAAGAACGGGTCCATGATGAGGCCCAGCTGCGGCCCGGTTATGAAGAAGGCAGTGACGAGACGCCATATCTGTGGCAGCTGGCGGATGGTGAAGACGTAGTCCTTCAGGAACAGTACCCATATCAGACTATACAATCCCAGATGGCCGGGCACTGAGATGAGCACGGTGGCGGCTGTGATGGTTCTACTTAGCATCAGAATGACTGTCGACCTCACGTGCGCGGGGCTTTCCTTACCTGGAGATTGGCGGCGCCGCCCAGTATGCGTCTTGGAAAGACATGCTGACGTGCTGGAGGCGCTGGATACCTTTCAGGACTGTTGAAGTGCGAATGAAGGTGTGTGTGGTAGAAAGAAGAGACGAAGCAGCAAACGTGGTCTCAAGGCCGATTTTCACCAGCCGCCAAAAATCGCCTAGCGGCGGCGGCGACTTCTCATTTGCCAGCGTCTGGCTGCCAAGCTTTGAGCGCACTTGCAAATCCACTGCACCTTCCTCCTGCGACCATTCGACTGTTGTTTGAGCACGCCGACAACGCGACCACAATCTCCCTCTTTCCATCACTTGAATCGCAATCATGGCGGTCGGAAAGAACAAGAGGTTGTCCAAGGGCAAGAAGGGCCTGAAGAAGAGAACCGACCCATTCGCCAGGAAGGACTGGTTTTCCGTCAAGGCCCCATCCACCTTCGCCGTCCGAGAGTACGCCAGCACCACCATGAACGAAGAGCGAAGGAGAATGGAGTGCTAACGTATGCTGCAGTGTCGGCAAGACCCTCGTGAACCGCACCACCGGTCTCAAGAACGCCAACGACGCCCTCAAAGGCCGCATCTTCGAAGTCTCCCTCGCCGATCTCCAGAAGGACGAGGACCACGCATTCCGCAAGGTCAAGCTGCGAGTTGACGAGGTCCAAGGCAAGAACTGCTTGACCAACTTCCACGGACTCGACTTCACCTCCGACAAGCTGCGCTCGCTCGTCCGCAAGTGGCAGTCCCTCATCGAGGCCAACGTCGTGGTCAAGACTACCGACGACTACCTCCTCCGCCTCTTCTGCATCGCCTTCACCAAGAGACGACCCAACCAGATCAAGAAGACGACCTACGCACGCTCGTCGCAGATTCGGCAGATCAGGAAGAAGATGACGGACATCATGTCGCGTGAGGCTCAGAACTGCACTCTCAGCCAGCTCACCGGCAAGCTCATCCCCGAGGTGATTGGCCGTGAGATTGAGAAGAGCACCCAGGGCATCTACCCACTCCAGAATGTATGCACAGAGACATGTTTTGGATATGGCACTCAATATGATACTGACATTTTTAACAGGTCCACGTCCGCAAGGTCAAGCTCCTCAAGGCACCCAAGTTCGACCTTGGTAACCTCCTGTCGCTGCACGGCGAATCCTCGACCGACGACTCTGGCCAGAAGGTTGAGAACCGTGAGTTCAAGGAGACGGTGCTTGAGAACGTGTAAAGCAGTCGGCGTGCTGCACACTTTGGGCTGGCATAGGGGCGAGACGGTTCTCATTTTGCAACGTAGAAGGCGTTATTGAGAAGCAAAGGGCAACTGAAATGCGCAGCGAAGCAGATCAAGTAGCTCTGCATTAAGCCATAGGCAATGTCAGTGGAAACGTTCGAAAAATGCATGATGTCCTTGATGTACTTGAATGATGGCCAAGCCATTGATGAGGGTAGTACACCTTCAATCTCAAGCCACTGCGACTTTGTAGTCAGCCTTGCCGTGCTACCTTTACTGTCCAGCTACATCTGCACATGCCTTGAGTCACGCATCAACATCATCAATCTTGAGTCGGTGTCCCAAAACGATTGTCAATGTTATCGATGGCTGTCATAGCCTTGAGAAAGTATATCTCTAACGACGTATTCGTCGCCAATGCAGTCTGAACCTCGACCTCTCAAAATTCAGAGAGTTGCCCGCAGCTCCAGCACCTATCTTCACAATCCACCATCCACTTCACCTGCCCAAGAAATTTCTCCATCCCGCTCGCTCCGCCCTGCCGTGACCTTTCCACCTCGATCCAAGAAAGAATTAAATTAAGAATCGACCTCAACACCAACAACCCAACATGGCGCCCAAAGAACTCAACTTCATCACCGGCAACAAGAACAAACTCGCAGAAGTGCAGGCGATCCTCTCCGCGACGCCGGTCAAGCTCCAGAATCAGAATATCGATCTGCCCGAACTACAAGGCACGATTGAGGAGATTTCGAGGGATAAGGCGGTTAGGGCCGCTGAGGCTGTACGTACATCACGCTTGTTTTGTTGTGGTTGTTATGGGAGGGGAGGAGAGGCAATTTGCTGATTGTGACTTATCAGGTGAGAGGGCCGGTTTTGGTCGAGGATACGTGTTTGTGTTTCAATGCTTTTAATGAGTTGCCGGGGCCTTATGTGTATGCTATGCTATACTATGCTACATGCTCGCGCCGAATTTCTCTTTGCTGACGTCTTGCAGGAAGTGGTTCCTTAAGGCTCTTGGGGTGCAGGAGTTCCATAAGCTGCTTGCTGGGTTCGAGGATAAGTCTGCGCAAGCGGTTTGCACGTTTGCGTACTGTGAAGGTCCGGGACATGAGCCGATTGTGTTCCAAGGTCGGACGGATGTGAGTTGAACTGGCTTGTGGTTGAGGGGCGAGTGCTGACAACGATGATAGGGCAAGATCGTGCCGTGCAGAGGACCGACTGATTTTGGTGAGTGGTATTCTGTCCGCTGCCGCTGGAGGGATATGCTGACTGAAGACCAGGTTGGGATGCGTGCTTCGAGTACGAAGGCCAGACGTACGCTGAGATGCCCAAGGTGGAGAAAAACAAGATCTCGCATCGCGGCAGGGCTCTGGAGAAGCTGGTCGAGTGGTTGAAGCAGGAGGTGTAGACGCTTCTTCAGCCCGTCATGGCTCTCTTTACGATATCAACCACCATCCCATATATCAGGACAATGTGCGAGACAGAGAGCCCCTCAACCATGTAAGAACATCGGATCGTCCTCATCCTTCTTCCCCTTCCCCTCCTCTTTCGCCTCAACATCCCCACCCTCCTTCCCATTATCCTTCCTCCAATTCTGAATCCACGTCTCAATCCTCTCCACATTCGCATCAATATCCTCCGTCCCCTCACTCCTCAACTCCACCACCACCTCCTCCTTGTACGAATCCCTCGCCTCCTGCACCAACACCTCCATAATCTCCACATCCAGATTCTCCTGCAGCTTCTCCTCGCTGTACCCCCGCGCCTTCAAACGGTCATAGAGCAGCTTGTTGTCGCACCGCAGCACGCAGACGAGGTCGATCATCTTCTCTGGGAACATGTCGCAGCCGTGCCAGTCGATGATCTGCCCGCCTTCTTCGAGGTCGTTCTCGATGCAGTCGAGCAGGCGGTCTTCATCCACGATCTTGACGTGTGGGTCGGCGGGGTCGTTGGACGTCTCGCCGATGTTGTGCTTCTTGACTACATCGTTGATGTCGAGGTGGTGGAGGCCGGTTCTGCTGGCGAGTTCTTGGCAGTGCGTCGTTTTGCCCACGCCGGGCGTGCCGGTGATGATGATGTTGGGATCGGTCCGGAGCGGCGCCATTGTGATTGTTTTGAAGAAGGTGCGAGAGGGTTGGGGAGTTCGCGAGAGTGGTTTGAGCAGTCTTGTGCAAGATTTGGGCAGCATGAGGAGATGACGTCGCGACGTTTCTTGCGCGTCGAGGATTTTCGAAAGCTGCGCGGGAGCTTCGAGACTGTTGACTTTTTGTTGGTACTTCGATGCAACCTTTGTCCTTGTTCGAACGCAAAAGATCTAGTATCGATCTGGTACTGCGAGCCTTGAGAACTCCACAGACGTTCGCTACACAGATCAGACCAGGCTGAGGGGCAGCAAGAGCTGAGTTAAGGAGGCGGGATGTTGGCACGAAGAGCTCTTCCACGTCTGCAACAACCGTTTCGACAATATGCAAAACGACCCTTCTCAAGTACTGAGCTCAGCAATGGCATCAAAATGGCATATGAGCTTCACGAGCCGGAGAAGGGGCAATCCGCTGAAGGACCACCCATAGTCTTCGTTCATGGCCTTTTCGGATCCAAGAGGAATCACCGGGCCATCAGTAAGTACGAGAGGCCTTTCAATAGTACTGTAACAATGAAGGGAGACTGATGGAGATACAGAGCACTCGTTCGCGACCTGAAGAGACCCATCTACGCCGTAGACACGCGAAACCATGGCGACTCGTCCCACGATCCCAAGCACGACTACATAGCTCTTGCCGAAGACATGGAGCTCTTCATCAATCACCACAAGATCAAGGATGGAACACTGATAGGACACTCAATGGGAGCGAAAGTGGTCATGGCGGTGGCACTTCGAAAACAAGTCAAGATTGGCAACCTCATACCCGTGGACAATGCACCTGTCGATGCAGCCCTGAAGTCCGACTTTGGGAAATACTGCGTTGGAATGCGCAAGATCGAAGAAGCCAATGTCAAGTCCTTGAAGGAAGCCGACAAGATTCTCGAGGATTACGAAGAAGCCTTACCCATCCGACAATTCCTGCTCACGAACCTCATGCGTGCAGAGGATGGGACCCAGAAGTTCAAGGTCCCTCTGAAGTATCTGACGGATTCATTGAGCCATCTGGGTGATTTCCCTTACAAGGACCCGGATGAGATGCGATGGGAGGGTCCAACGTTGTTTGTTCGAGGCACCCAGAGCCACTACCTCGCGGACGACATGCTGCCTGTCTGTGGACGATTCTTCCCCAAGTTTGAGCTCGCGGATATCGATTCCGGACATTGGGTTATTAGTGAGAAGCCGGAGGAGTTCAAACGAGGTGCGTCTGGGTCTGAATTTCAGCTCAGATGGTTACTGATTGTGTTCTAGCTGTCATCGAATGGCTGTCGAAACGGGAGTAGGCCTTGGATCGATGCTCGCCCGTCTACATCAACTGGCCTGTGACCATCCTCTGGTAGCACTTGAGTCACGCTGGATTCGAGTCGGCAACGACATCTATCATTGTCAACACTTGAAAGCAGTGTATTGACCATCACTCTACAGCTATCGACAACCGACCACCGGACTTGGCCGAGTTCATCAATCATTTCTCTGAAAACCTCGTTTTCATCTGCTAGCTCCGCGGAAAAGGAAATGTTGACCGAGCGCCGACCTCGCACCCTGCATACTTTGTTGAGCCAAGCGGCTTTCCTACCTTCTCCGGCAGTGATAACCGTAGAGCTTGTCGCCTAAGCTCAAGCCTCTCTTGCTTGACTGGAGGGCTTGCCGCCATTGAAGCCATTGCAAAGACGGCTTACCCTGCAGCTAAGCAATACTCCCAACGTGGGAGGATGCGGTCTCGACGTGCGGATAGGCTAGGAGTGGCTCGATACCACGGTAGAGGTCCAATGGGATGCCGTCTTATGCAAGCATTGGGTGGAGGTTGAGGGCGGCCACAAACGAAGAAGCAGCTATCCGTATGCAACCCCGGGGCCGGTATCGATCTTGTTAAACTCTTCTATCTTCAGCTGGACCTCACATCTGATTTCTGCAGTTGCTGAATCTTCTTCCACTTTGTCGACAGGCGTGCAAAGCAATCACGATGCTTTCCACCATCGCAATGGCCGCTACGGCTTTGTTGCCATTGGCACTGGCCCAGACTGAGAGCAATGAGACGGTCTTGGGCGTGTACATGTTCCACCGTCACGGAGATCGCACGGCCAAGTCGACTCCTCCAGCCAACCTCACCGATCTTGGGTACGCTGAAGTGTACACCTCCGGCCAATACTACCGCAACCGATACATCTCCTCAGATGCGACGTTCAAGATCAATGGCATCAACTCTGACCTCGTCAAGCAAAGCCAGATCGCCATCTCTGCTCCCGCTGATACCGTTCTGCAAAACTCGGCCATGGGTTTCCTTCAAGGTCTCTACCCACCTGTGGGGAATGTCATGGGCACTCAGACTCTGCGCAACGGTACCAATGTGACTTCGCCGTTGAACGGATACCAATTGATTCCGATTTCGCTTGTGAGCAGCGGAGCTGGCAGCGAGGACGCCGGCTGGCTGCAGAGCACGAGCAACTGTGCGAAGGCGACGATCAGTTCGAACAATTACTTCAACAGCGAGTCGTACATGAACTACTTGAACAGCACCCAGGACTTCTACAACAACCTTCTGCCGGTGATCAACGGGACATTCAATGCAAGCATGGACTCGTTCAAGAACGCTTATACCAGTAAGATCAAAACATCTAATTCGAGAGTACCATTCTGACTTTGACGCCCAGTTTTCGATCTCGTCAACGTAGCCCTGATCCACAACGCCACGATCAACAGCTCCGACCTTCTCACGGACGAGAACTTCTTCCAACTGCGAACCCTCGCAGACGCCCACGAATGGGGTCTCGCATACAATGCCTCCGATGACATGCGTGCCATTTCGGGCAAGACCCTTGGCGGCCAAATTCTCGAATTCCTCAACACCACCATCACAGGCAAAGGCAAGCAAAAGATCGGCGTCCAGTTCGGCGCCTACGCCTCCTTCGCCTCGTTCTTCGGTCTCGCAGACCTGCCCAGCGTCAACCCAGACTTCATGGGTGTCGCCGATTACGCCTCCGCCATGACCTTCGAGTTGTTCACCAACACCAGCGCTGCGATCTCGAGCACTAGCTATCCTTCCGCGGATGAGATTTACGTGCGATTCCTCTTCCACAATGGTACGACGAGCAACTCAAGCGAGCCTGTGCTGTACCCACTTTTCGGAAGCGGCATGGAAGCCATCAGCTGGAACGACTTTACGACCGGCATGAACAAGTTCGCCATCGGCAGTACCGAGAAGTGGTGCACCGAGTGCGGTAACTTCACTGGCACCTGTGCGGCTTATGCTCCTTCTTCGTCCCCTGCCAGCTCGAGCGACAGCAGCAATGGTAGCGGCAGTGGAAACGGACTCAGTCCGGCTGTGAACGGCGTCATTGGCGCTATGGTCACGCTGGCGGTCATCTTGGGCTTGGAAGCGATTATCCTCCTGATTGGTGGTTTCAGAGTTGTGAGCAAGAAGAGGCTGCAGAGCCCTGTTTCGTCGTTGTCCGAGAACGTTGGGACGAAAGCCTGAAGCTAGGGCGGAAAGAGAAATAGGGAGAAGTAAGAACGATTCTGCACGAAGTCAAGAAATTGAAACGACAGGTTAATGCAAAGAGCATGGCGTTGACAGGTCTTCCCAGGTCTTCCACTTCTGAATTGATAGAGCCTGCAGCAGACACAATCTCCAAATTCCTTTGAGAGCAATGATCTTTTGATTTCCAAGTTCTCCCCTCGCTTCTCGGTCAGTCACGTAGAAGGCGCGCTCATGAAGGCGATGGACTGCGACGCTTATAGTTTGTTACAATAACGGACTGACATTAACCAGGCTATGCCTTTTGGTAATCGATGCCTATATGATGACAGTACGAAAAGTATACTGAATATATCTGGACAAACGGCACCACCGATCGGAAGATCATGCACATCGCACATCCTCATCAGCTTGCTCAACTCAAGCAATACTCACTTTCCTCGACGTCGCCTCCTCCATCACGTGGTCGAAGGTGTAAAGCGGCTCCAGCTTGACGTTGCGCTGCCAGAGGATCCAGCGTTTGAACCTGGTGAACCACCGTCAATGCTTTGCAAGGTCTCAGTAGGCGGGAAGCGTAACATACCACCATGGTGCCGCTTTGCCGGTTTGATAGGAGATGAACTTGTTGGTTGGCACGGCGAAGATGTAGTCCTGTAGAGTATGTGTCAGCGAAGGTTGGGATTTCACAGGAGCGTGTGAGAGACGCACCAGCTCCTCGAGGGTCCGCTGCTTGGTCTCGGGGACGAAGAGGAAGATCATGACGAAGGCGACGAGGTTCAGACCTGGGAGAACCGTTAGCGCCTTAGGTGGTCGGTTCTGTGACAGGAAGCATACCAGCGTAGAAGCCAAAAGCGCCTGTTGCCGTGAAAGCAGCAAGGATAGCTGGGTATGAAACGGACAGCACTGCAGCCCAGAACAGGCACGTAGCCACCGCGAAACCCATGCCGACCTCGCGGTGGCTGAGAGGGAAGACTTCGGCGCTGTAGGTGAAAGGGACTGTTCGTGGAACGTCAGCTGATGGAATGAATTCTGGTGGATCTTACACCACTTACCTGGTCCTTCTCCTGGCGAGTAGAATGCCGCGAAGATGTAGATGAACAAGGCGATGAGAGCCAGACGAGCGGTCTGGCCTTGTGGGATCAAGAAGCAGAAGCCCGCCGCGAGTAATGACCACGCCATGTTTGGGAAGGTGAAGAGTAAGAGGGCGCGTCGGCCGAATGTGTCGATTGTCCAGATTGCAGGCCAGGCGAAGACCTTTATTTCGAAAAATGGTGAGCCAGGAGAGATGTTAGGGGTCAGTGGAGCGGGACTTACGAAGTTGACGAGACCAAAGCCGAACGAGGCGATCAAGGCGACCCTCTCGCTGGTACCGGCTTGTCGGAAGACAGTCGCAGAGTAGAACGAGATGATGTTGATACCACACATCTTGTAGAATGATCAGCAAAGCACAGTGGTCTAGCTCAGCGGAATTGCTCACCTGCTGTGCAATCATGACCGTAAAAGCGGCAAGCGTAGCACGACGGATGCGAGGAACTGTGAACAGCTGGACGAAACGGCTGACATAGTTGGTCTTGCCGACAATGCTCTCTTCGATCTCGAGCTGGCAGTGGATATAGTACAAGTCTCGTGCGGCCTGCAGTGGGTGGAAGCGAAGCTTGAGCAGCGACTGGTACGCCTTCTCGTAGCGATTCTTCTTCATGAACCATCGAGGAGATCTAGAAGACTTTAGCAAAAGCGGTGTTTGGTTGTGAAACTTGACTTACTCTGGACAGAAGTAGATACCGAGCGTGAGAGGCACAGCCGGGATGAAAGCGCTTCCGATTTGCAGTCGCCAGGCGATATCACCGACTTGATAGACGGCGAGGTTGGCGCAGTAGCCCAAGAACATACCGAAGGCGGTCCACATCTGTTGCGTCCATCAGGTTTGCCGATTAAATCAAGGCCTGGCAAAACGACTCACCTGCCAAGTCATGACCAAAGCACCACGAATCCTCGCCGGGCTATTCTCCGCCGCAAAGATAGGCACAGAAGCACCTTTGAGTCCCATACCGATTCCCATCAGGATGCGAGTGATGAAGAGCTGTTCCCAGGTCTGGCTGAGGGCGCCTCCGATGGGTGTGATCAAACAGAAGATGGCAGAGACGAAGATCGTTCCTCGACGGCCCAGGTAGAAGTTGACGGGATCTGCGAGCCAGCAGCCAAGGAAGGCCGATCCGAGATATGGACCGGCGTTGACGATGCCAACAAGCCAGCTGTCGCGGACTTGGTTTGGATGGCCGATTTCTTCGCCGTGGCCGATGCCGAATTCTTGCGGGAAGGAGAGGTTGGCTCCGTTGCTGAGGTAGTATTAGCGAGGGCTCACTGGATTCTAAAGTGTTCGTTTTCCTACCTTCCAGTCTGGTCCCAACCCTGGACAGCGGCACCGATCGAGCAGATGACGATGGTAACATAAAGCTGGAGAGGATGTCGCCACTTATGGGCAACCTCGAATCGCAGAGCATCCTTCTCCTCTTCATCGAGGACATCGAGATTCTCAAAATTGGCTGGGTCTTGTGCCACCAAAGCACCTTTGCGCAGGAGATCGAGTTTGTCGTTGAGACCTTTGGCTGAAGCAAATGCTTCCACGTCATGCATCAGGTCGTCGTAGGGAATGTCCGCCAACGGATTGCTGATTCTGTGGGTTGTTAGTCTTGCATTCGCGTTGTGAGATGTGATCAACCTACTTAGCATCCAAGTTCTTGGTCCGATTGACATCCTGAACTGAGTGGTGGCCATGGTGTTCGGCCTTTCCGACTTCGTGAATCTCGTCGTTGACGGTCGGCACAGACTTTTCGTCGGCCATATTTCGAATCGAGCAAGTTCAAAGCTTTTGATATGTGAACAATGCAGGAAGAAACTGACGAAAACTGCCACAGACAGGAGGATGCAAAGAAAAACCCACAGCCCGGGAGAGTCACCAAGATTTCAATGGACAACACAAAGCCCTCTGAAAACAATCATCGTTCGCGAGGCTCGGCGCATACCTTCTCCGCAAGACACCCATAGTCTTGGAATTCCCACGGGGAGTCTGCGACGGCGTCTGATGTGCGGTCGGTAACACCGAAGCACCTGGCAACCATTGAGAGAATTGCCGTTTTCGGCCAGCCGCAAGAAGGATTTCTCGTGGCCCAAGAACTGCCAACGCTTCAACATCTTCTGGGCGAGCGTGGAGATGCACGTAATCCTGACGAGCTGGAAAGCATCATTGAAGACATCTCAAATGTGCTGAAGCTGCAGAAAATGTCTGCGAGATGAGGTAGAGTTTCACAAACTTTGAGCAGATTGTGTGTGGTCTCGTGCGAGGCTGGAGGTACTTCTGGATGTACTGAAGACATATCGTATGATGAAATACACTCGTTTCAACCTCAGGTGTCCGCAAGCTCAAGGTGCGGCACGCGACCAACCTGGAACATTGGCGCCGCGGCTGGGGACATGCAAAGAATGCAAAGAGCCAAGCCGTGCCAGAGCGATGGCTGGGCAACCGGTTGCGTCTTGCCATTGTACGGCCACGACTTTATGGGCGGCACTAGAAGAAGGATTCAGAGAAGTGGTCATTGGACTTCTTTCGCGAGGTTTTGAGGATCAATTTCTGACATTGTTTTCCTTGGACACGGATTTACTGTTCTGCCATATCCTGCTTCAGGCGGCGGCAAAGTCGGAGCGCTAGAAAGGTTTGTTTGTATCTGCAAGTCTGGCCTCGATGCTCCTTTAAATCGAGGCACTCGCGAGCCTCTCAACCCTTCAAAAACGACATTGATGATGAGTTCAAAGAGGGAAGAGAAGTGAGGTTCAAGTCATCTAGGGTTAGCCGCCATTAGGTAAGCAAACAGGGGTCAGCGAATCAAATCCGTTGAGTTCCATCTCACTCTCCACTCCACTGGTTCACAAGATTGAACTGCACATGTTCATCATTGTTGTACAAATCTTGCCCTGAAGCCTTGCACGCTGGAGTGCTGAGTCCTGGATCGGAAGCGGCAGACGTTGCATACCCATCTCCCATGGATGAGTAAGATTGAACCGCTTGGCCAAAGAAAATTGATTGTGCGGCTGAGTGCTACGCAGGTCAGTGAGGCATTGAAAAATTGCAGGGAGAGGGCTTTAGTTGGAGAGCACCTAGGCCTCAGGAGTTGTTGGGAGACACTGGAATGAACCAAGGTCGAACTTCGACGAAACCCTGAAAAGAAGTCCTCCAATTGCAGCGGCAGCCTCCGTCAAAAATGGCCACAACCTGGGAATACATCGCCAACAACATCTCCCCACGAACCCTCACCATCGCCCTCGGCACAATCCTAGTCCTCATCCTCACAAGACTCTTCAGCTCCCTCACGGGCACTTCAAAATCCACCAACCAAAATGGCGCCAAAACTGTTCCCTTGGTCCCTTACTGGATCCCCTTCCTCGGACACATCCCCAACATGGCCATCAACAGCAACGCCTTCGTCCAGAAGCTCCAGAAAACTTATACCTCGGGAGTGTTTGCTTTGAACTTCGGCAGCACGACCCACAGCATAATCTACGACCCGCACCTCGCCACCGCCCTCTTGAACCAGAAACCCGCCAACGCGGACAACCATAGCGTCTCCCGACGACTGATGCAGTGTACCTTCGGGTATCCGTCGAATGAACTGGACAAGTATGATGCTGCCCTGGGGGAGTTGTTGGCGGCGTATAAGCACTTGCAGATCGAGCCGCATTTGGGGGACATGGTGGATGTGACGGTGCGAAAGACGAAGGAGAGTATTGCGAATTTTGTGACATTCATGGAGAGCCCCGTGGATCAGATGCCGTGGGAGAAGGTCAGTGATGTTAAGGTCGTGGAGAAGGAGGGTGGGGAGAAGGTGATGGAAGCGAGTCTGTTGCCTCTGGTGAGAGATTTCTGCGCGTGGACAGCGAACCCGGCGATTATGGGGACGGATTTCTTGCAGAATTTCCCGGAGTTTTTCGATGATCTTTGGATTTTGGATCGTGGGTTTTTATATTTGGCTACGGGGCTGCCAAGGTGGACCCCGATTCCGCTTCTCACGCGAGCTCATATTGCGCGGAAGAGGAACTTGGAGAGGATGGATGTGTTTCATGAGATGATGGAGAAGCATTGGAATGGTGAGATGGTCGATTCGAAGTGGTCTGGATTGGATGATGTTGGCTCGCTGATCAAGGCCCGTATGGAGATCTACCGAAAGCATAAGATGAGCATTCGGGCCAGAGCATCGATTGAGCATGCTCTCAACTGGGCGAGCAACGCCAATAGCAACTCGCTTGTCTTCTGGATGATCAATCGTATCTATGAGGATCGCGCTTTGCTGGCCATGCTCCGGGATGAGATTGCTCCATATGTCAAAGTGGAGCAGGAAGAGACCGGCCTTCCCATCTCGGAACCACCCCGGATCACCCATTTGGATGTGGGTGCATTGTGTACCGAATGTCCACTGTTGAAAAGCTGCTATGTCGAGTGTCTGCGTTTGGACAGCGGGACTTGGTCGTTCAAAGAGATCAAGTCAGATTTCGTCCTTCAATCTCGCCAGAAGGATGCGCAGCCATGGCTTCTTCGACAGGGCACGTATGCTCACATCGCCCACGATCTTCACAGTGGCGATCCAAACTATTTCGAAAATCCTATGGTTTGGAAGGCGGACCGCCACATCAGATATGATGAGAAGGAGAAAGGGGCCGCCGATTTGGGGACCATTCGTCCATATGGTGAGTTTGCGATCCCTTTGCGAGGCTCCGTCGACTGACTGAATGTTTGCAGGCGGCGGATCGAGTATGTGCAAAGGGCGCCAGTTTGCTTTAAAGGAAAGCATGTTGTTCACTGCGGCTATCATTGCCATGTGGGATATAGAACCCGCAGTAGGTGGTAGTTGGAAGATGCCAAAGCACCGACAGGCGACGGGCGTCTACGCAACAGACGACACCACCCGTGTTTGGATCAAGCGGCGAAAGTTTTCTGACTGATGTTGGGCAATCAAAAGTCGGAGTCTTCTTCTTCCATGATAGTCTGCGCAAGAAGTCCCTTCTGCTTGCCTTTGCGGGCACTGTCCGACAGGCTGAGGTAGCCAGGTGAAAGTGGTCCAGGTGACAAATGGCCAGGGGAGAGGAGGGGAGGCAATTCGACCTTCATCTTCTGCTTGCGCTTCTCTTCGCGGTACTGCTTTGCGGAGCGAAGTTTTGGCTCTGGACGAGCATCGAGATGGAGGATCGACTTGACAGTGTTGTAGATGCCGCGCATAAACAATCCACCTAAGAGTCCAACGATGGCAGCGACGCCAAGGTAGATGTAGATTGTCTAGTAAAAAGATTAGTCCCGTCTACGGAAGAAGTACTCGTGCAACTTGCCTCCAGTCTCGCCGCGAGGGTGAACGGGAATACGAGACAAGCCAGAATGAAGCGGCCCAGATAAACGAACGGCTGCAGCAAGAAGGCAACAGGTCGGTACAGCAGATTCAGTATAAACAAAACCACCACAGCCAGGTACCACACCACAACGCCAATAGGATAGCAAATCCACCAGCCGATGGTCCACGCCCACGCCAGGGCGGCATTGGAGTTGTTGTCGGCCATGGTCTCGTGAGCAGTGCCCCTCCAGTTCATGTCACTTCGGCTTCATGTCTGGGCTGTCGACAAATGGCGCGCGTGATGGCAGCAGCGAAACGAAAGGGGTGGTTGGCAACGGAAGATGACTTGCATAGCACGAGGGAAAGTATAAATGCAGGCGGACGTATTGGGCGAATGTGGGGTTTCAATCTCTCCAGTTCGCTTCGCATCACTACTGCTGTCGCTCCTCCGCCCCCAGACTTCACCTGTACATGTCGCTCCGTTTTCGTTGATATCCCTTTGGCCTGTTGTCGGCGCATCATTTATAGCGTCATGCTCTTTTCGTAGTCTCGCGCGCCTCGTCCCGCCCGCATTGGATTTTCTGGGTTTGGCTCGGTTGAGGCGTCGTCCGCGTGTGTTGGAGTGAGGTCGGTTGAGGATGGGCAGCAGCCAGTCCAGCGACGGTGCGGTGAACAATGGAGGGAGCGAAGGCAGCAACCAGCCACAACGCCGATCTCTTTCACATGCTTCGTCTCAGCGGCGGCAGCAGGTGCACGGGAAGACCCCTCCAAATCCGACCTCCGCTGCCCTCGTAGCCGCCGCCTCCACCTCGACCAGCACCACCACCGCCCAGGGCATCTCGGCGAGTCCGAAACACTCGCGTGCCCGCTCCGTCACCACCACCGCCCCCGAACTCGCGCCGCACGACGTCTCCTCCAGTCACAAATCCGACACCGCGCCCACCATGGGGAACAACGAGAGCAAGCCGCAACCGCGCCCGCCATCACGCTCGAACACCCTACCCACCCACGCCGGTCCGCCGCGCAAGGCACCGCCGACGACACAAGAGCTGAAAGAGACCGCATCACCAGCCACCCAGCCGGTCGAGGTTCCGCCGCTCAGTAGCGATGGCCAAGAAGACGACTTCATACCCGGCTTCTCAGAGTCGCCATATGGCCTGCCGCCAGCCAACTACAGCCGTCCGCCGCGACTGCCGCTGCCCATTGAAGAGGAGGTGCACACGCCAGGCTCGCCGATCATCACCCCACAAGACGTCGAGGGTGCCGTGACTCAGCTGGACTCGAGCGAGATTGAGGGAGGAGACATACCACGTAAGAACAGTGTGCTCAGTTCTACATATGGCGACGACGACGACATTGGCGACAACGAGGCGTTCGCTGCAGAGTCTTCGCAATGGGGCGAGATCCGCGTGCCTACAGAGATGGAGTGGAACGGGCACGGCGATAAGGTCTTTGTGACTGGTACCTTCTGCAATTGGGAAAAGAAGATCAAACTGCACAAGAAGAAGGATGGACATGGCTTTGCTGCGATCGTTCAACTGCCGCCTGGCACGCATCATATCAAGTTCTTGGTGGACGGCGAGATGATGACGTCGGAGAACCTGCCCACCACAGTCGACTGGACCAACAGCTTGGTCAACTATGTCGAGATTGTGGCGCCTTTGCCGTCGGATGGGAAGCAAGCACCCGGACCCGCTGCGCCCATGCCGATTCCTGGTGCCGCTATAACTGCCGGCCAAGCGGTCGCTACTCCCGAGCCCGCCTCGCACCCGACAATGCACGTATCCGAGACAGAGAAGACCATCCCGTCCATGCAAGAAGCCGTCGGACCGAGAGGCGAGAGGGCTGGATCCGTGGAGGCGCCTGTGCCAACGCCAGCCCCTGCCAGCCAGCGATCGCCAGAAGCCAAGCCCAAAGCCGCCGCCACGAAGCAGAAGCTGCCGCGGCCAAAGTATACGAACCAGATTCCAGAGTTCCTCGTCGATCTCGACAATTACAGCAATCCTGAGGACGAGCGTTTCCAGCGCGCTCAGAGGGTGTCCGCGACCCTGCCGCAACCACCAAGCCTGCCCATGTTCTTGAGTAAGAGCATTCTCAATGGCGCCACGCCGCACAAGGACGATGCGAGCGTGCTCGTGCTGCCGAACCACACCGTTCTGAACCATCTGGCGACTAGCAGTATCAAGAGCGGTGTGCTGGCCACGAGTGGGACCACGCGGTATAAGCGGAAGGTATGTAGTATTGATGTAATCGGTGGATATGGCTAACTTGTGCAGTTCCTCACAACCATCATGTACAAACCCACCTCAGACGATGGCTGAAATGGCAGCATCTCACAAAACAACTCTCACCTCATACACACCAACGGCGCAAGGAAAGGGTCCTGATTTGAGGAAAAAGAAGGACTGACGGGAAATACGAAAAGTCACGGCGCGACGAATGGAACGAAACCCTTTTTCTGCCTTTCTTGTTACTTAACTTTTGGAATGGGCGGTGGACTCTTTCAGGGAAGGCAAGCTTTTTTGGGTCACACAGGCCACTGAATTAGATGTGCATGTGCGAAGGCTTCTGGAGGGAGGAGGCCTTTGCGAGAGATGATAGAAGACAGGGTGAGGCTGGTTTGGTTTTTGGGGGTATTATAGTGCGAGGAATGAATGAGAGAGAGAGATTATGATGATTTCGATGGTTTTCGGTCTTTTTCGTTGGGGTTGGTGTGCTTGTGTGCTTGTGTGCTTGTGTGCTTGTGTGCTTGTGTGCTTGGTGTTGTTGCCGTGAGGTGAGGTCAAGGTTTGGTTCTTATCTGAGTTTGCTGGGATGGGGCTTGTTTGGAGGTGATGCTTGTGCCTGGTTTTCGATGGGTGGGCGATAAGGCGGGTAGAATGTTGGGTCGAAATTTTTGTGAAGTCGTAGGAGCAGGAAGGAACGATGGACGTTCAGGCTGAGATGGCGAGGCTTCGCTTTAAGACAAAAATTGGCATATCGATGGCTGCGATGGTGGGTTTTCGTTTCGTTTCGTTTCGTTCCGATCGAGTGGACATTGGCTTGATGCTTGACCGTATTCTATTGAAATGTATGGGTTCGCAGCCCAAAACGGATCGAGTCTGGCCCAGACAACGCCGGAACATCGTAACTCCGTACAAAGTGCAGACAAACAAAAAAAGAAGTTCACGATTTGGTGGAATTTAACCACCCAGGATGCCATGCAAGAGTAACTCTTGGCGGTACTGGGAATCGAACCCAGGCTGGCACGGGTTTGCTCGCCCTAGAAGGAGAACCACAACGTGACGTCATACCACTAGACCATACCTGAGAAGAGGTATTAGTGCATGCAGTTGTAGGTCTAATGGTTGAGCCAACTCACCACCTGTTGTGGAGCTGTACGCTGATTTGTTGAAGCTCGAACGAAGAATTTAATACTTGTAGGTTTCAACGGAAGAACGCTGCTCCGGTGGAAAAAGTGGGTCTGGAGCTCGTCTGCTTGCTGTCTTGGTTGGTGAGCTGTCTGCTTCGCTCACTGCTTCGTATCCTTCTCTTGGAACGCGATGTTGGCTCCTAGACGATATAAACGACGGCAACGAGGCGTTAAGATGCATGTAAAGCTGCTGGGCATCGAGGGTGACTTTGCTTGAAGGACCACAGCGGCTGTACAACAGAGAAAGGCGACCAGCTGTCGGCGCAGCTCATCCATCAAAAAGGACTCCAGATCCGTTAAGGCTTGGTCCAATGTGACATCTCTGTGTCCTCGAATGACGAGCCCGCCCAGCTCATATATCGAGGTAGGAGGTAGCAGCGTTTGAGGTGTCTTGGACCAAGTTTCGCGTCTTCGCAACGGCGGGCCCAGGAGTTCCAGCATGTTCATTCCACGGAGACGGCCTGCTTCTGGGGGACTAAGGACCAATGCTAATACCTTCTCTCAGGTATGGTCTAGTGGTATGGACGAGTTGTGGTTCTTGTTCGGCTTCGAGTCCAGCGAGATCGATATGGTATGCCCATGGCAGCCGAGGAATATCATCGAACAGGAGCTTCTGAAACACGATCATTTCTTTCGGAATATAGCATTGTGGAAACAGGAGATAAAGTGTCCAGAAGCGCTGTCAATATGCTGTAGGGCCACAGTGAGTTGGTCGGTGGAGAGGCAGTGGAAGAAGGTGAGATTAAGCTGAATGTAAACATCGACCCGCGGCTCTGGATCAGCTACAAACGGTAACGCCAAGAACAAACGCAGACCCCTTTTGATAATATATATGATGCAGACTTGTGATGGAGCATCCAGCAGTTCAATGGATTTTATCAGGCTGGACGATTTGCGTAATGCCAACCTCGCATCCGCGTTGAGCTTGGCTGTTTCGACTTCCTCATCTGGCGGCCAAAGTCTTCTTCGCAGTCATGAAACCTTATGGTCGCTTTCCTTCTTCAACCTACAGAAACATTAACTTTCATCTCGAAATGATCGTATGCCGACGTCAATTTGCTACTACGACATCTCGGCAGAGTAGCAGGGCTACCAAGCAGTTGACGAGGCTTCGAAGTCCCTCAGCGAAAGAGGCCATCGATTGCATGCGGAGGGACGGAGCAGTCATCTTCAAACAACTTGTACCAGTGGTCTCCATTAAACAAGCTCTTGCAGACGTACAACATGCTCTCGAGCATGGCTATGGAAAGTATAAAGAAGGCGACTTCTTCGAAGGTACGGCAGACCCACGTATCAAGCATTACGAACAGCATTCTGCCTCGTGTCAGACCGAACAAGCAGAGCCACTGGCCTCTTGCGCTTGAGCTCGAGTTACGCTCACGATCAGCTGGGACACCGTCTCCTCCGTGATATTGCCGACCACTTCCTCACCACAAGACATGAGGAGCGAATGGCCAACGGCGAGCCATACCTCTGGGAGACACCCCCGCAGATCAGCTCATGTATAGCCTTCAAGATCGATCCAGGCGCCAAAGCACAGATACTTCACAGGGTAGGGCTTCCCTTCCAACGATTTGTACTGCTACATCTGACAGTCTGCACAGGACGATAGCATCTATCACAACGTACACGAGCCCATTACCACCTGGACCGAGCCTAGAGATCTCAGCCGCGACTCAAGCCTGTCTTTGTTCGTTGCCGGGACGGAGTCGACCGCTGATAATGGAGCGACTCGATTGATACCGGGCTCTCATCTTCTTGGATCCAACGAAGAACCACAAGAAAAAGATGCCATCCCCGCCGAGCTTGAGCCAGGAGACGGACTATTCATGCTCTCGTCCGTGTATCATGGCGGCGGGGCGAACATCACATCCGAAAGAACCAGAATCGTCTTCGCCAGTTCGATCATTCGAGGAAGTATGGGTTATCTCTGCAAAGCCACCAGACGCTATGCTAACGACGGCAGTCCTTCGACAAGAGGAGAATCAGTTCCTCACTGTACCCATGGAGACGATGCGGAAGTATCCAGAGAACGTGCAGAGATTCGCTGGTTTCCTCCAGCAGTTCCCTGAGCTTGGTTGGGTGAACAGCATGCAAGATCAGGCTTGATTCACGGTGAGTCAGGGGCGTTTATCGTCAGAGATCTTTGCTCATGTGAAAATATGTACCGTTTCACTACGCTCAGTATAATAAAAACTACCCATTCTCTGCTCTGAGAGATTTTCCATGGAAACAAGATGTCGCTTTTGTTTGAAAGGAAATGCTGGTGTAGGCAAACCAAGAAAGAATCATGCATCTCCTCCTACGCCGATTCCACTGTCTCTGAAATCCAATCGCAAGTATTCATATTCACAACCGCTCCGCTCTCCGGTCCAATACCAGACTCGTGCTTTCTACTCCGCTCGGGGTCCTCCTGTCCGTCTCCACCAAGTATCAGTGAGCTGCTCCATTGAGACAAGCATCGGTGCCCCTGAACCCGAAAGTCCACTGGGAATAGTGTCTCGTAGGCTAGAACAGTTCTTCTCCCTCCTCCGGCGTCAATTCCTCAGTGAACTCTGGAACCCATACGGCGATTTTCTGTCGCAACTCCGACATCTTCGCGATGCGAGTCCACTTCTCCTCCCAGAAGTCCAAATCAAAGAACACGACCACAGACTCATTCTCCTGCGAAAGTCGAGCTTTGAAGTCTTCCACGGAGCCGCTGGGCCTGACCTTAAGCTTATCCTCAACCTCTTCGTCAAAGCACAGGGGAATATACCACTCCTCTCCACTGACAGTCTTTCCGGTGGCCGTGATATTGGTGATGTCCACACCGGCTCCAATGAGGCGAAGCAACTTTTGAAGACTATCTCTGTAGCTTTTGGCATTGCCCATAGCCATAGGATCGCCGATAGGGCCAGGTGGAAGCGTACGGGCTCGATCTTCGAGATGGGCCATGACGGCAGCACGATCTGTGAATCGGACTCTAGTGAACGTAGTCCAGATTTTTCTCTTCATCTCGTCTTCGTCGTCATCTGCAAGACCTATCATCGTGGCTGTGGTGATCTGCATGTCCCCGTCCCATTTTGCTTGCATTGGACTGTCTTTGGGGACATTCGAGGCCCGCACTGCCTCAATGTAGGCTTGTTGCTGGGGGTCGTTGGCGACTTCCTCCTGCGCCTTGACCCATTCCAACGTCCGATCTTCTGGCGACATTCTGTCGTACGTAGGTTGGTTTGATATCTGGATTGGCAGTGTCTTGGCTCCTCCGGAATATGTAAAGTCTCGTGCCAGCCTTGTCTGAAGACGCCTTGAAGTCTCTGCTGGCGGTGTATTTTTGCAGCTTTGAAGTCTCTCAATGAATTGTTTTGGCCGAACATAGTTGTCGTTGACGAATGTTCTCATTTGATTCGATTTGATTCGATATTCAAATCTGTCTCCGTGTTGGTTATTGCTCAGTATAGTCCAGTGCCGCTGCGCTCAAGCTTCGAGCAGCGCCTTGGAGATCAACTGCCACTCTTGCAGAAATGGTTTCGAGTCAGGTTGTTTGACAACAGCCGAAGATTGAGTGCTTCTGGAAACGGGGCGACGGTTTGATATCTTTCATGGTTTGACACATTTTGACAGTCGCCATGTTGACGACAGCGACATAGCAGCCTTGGATCAGCCTGATATCTAGCAAATGGCCTGTATCGAGGACACGGTCTCCCCAGCTCAAGAGCTTTCTAGCGAGCCATTGAGACAGACTCTGTTGTTTGAATCTTGCGAGACATAAACCATCGCAGAAACGATTTCTGCCGCACCCGTCTCGAACTCTCCAGGTTGTACTAGCTTTCCGCCTGATCTACTCATTCTTATCCCTGAGAAAGTAGAAAACCTAACGCTTGGATTGGCTAGAGGATGGCCTGGCTTGAGCAAACGGTTTGTACAATTCGAGTGGACTTGAGAGTCGAGCTTTCTTCAAACGTTTTGAAGGAGACAGGGAAAGTCGCCCCACAGCATAGCTTGTGCATCCAGAAGTGATAGACACAAAAGACCGTCAGAAATACCTATATGCACCAGACCACTTCCAGCACTCGCGGGCCTCGAATGTCTTGCGATGAGCAAACCGTTCGCCGCACCGACGAAAACAAGAGAGATTGGGAGCTGCACCTACGCCCAGGAGCTTCACAAATCCCCCTTCTTAGTAATTACTACTCCTGGCTCAACCGGTTTGCCTTCATGCGTGTAGTGAAGTCATGGGGGCCGCTAAAATAATCACGTGACAGAAACATGTGACTGTGAGTGAATGAACAGCGGGTGGTCCGTGCCGAGATTCCATCGTTTATAAACAGGCCAGCATTAACTCAAGCCATCGTTCTCAACACAATCGACGACCTCAAACGCGTCGTGAAGGGGGCCGATGAATGGCCCACTGAGCTCAAGAAGAAGGAGGTTAGGGCAAACCCACCCAAGGACACCACAGAAAATTATTGGAAGTTCGTGGGTGAAGCAGCGCGCATTGTGTCTGCCGCAGCCTGCCTCAGAGGCACACTCCGCAACGACGAGATGTTGAACGACTAGAGCAGAGTCTGATGGCGTTTATCGAGGCCCACAGGGTGGCGCGAGGCGAGGTGTTGGCTGGCGACAGGTAAACAATCACACAACACGACATCGACACGAGGCAAGTCGTTCTTCATGGTTGTGTTAAGCGCCAGGATGATCTTCGACCACGGCACGGATATGACAGGGAATCAACGGTGTTACGCTAGGTGATTGCTTCTCTCAACCTCATGAATGCAATGATCATGGACCTTTGACCGTGTACAGGACTTCTCGTCCATTCGCTTTCTTAATGCACATTGCTCTCGCTCTTGCGATGTTCCAGTTCCCATCTTGCTTCCTCTTCTTCGCCGCACCGCTCGTCGCAGCTCCAACACCTCCTCTCTTAACGGATTCCGCACTGTAAGGCACGTCCTCGATCAGATTTTCGTTCCACGCCTTGTCGTCCGGCTTGACTGGTATATCACCACCATTGAGATCTCGGGGAATACCGCACTCGAACCCCGTCGTGTTCTGGTGCTTGAACACCCAGGCTTGTGGAGCAAGACGCTGGTTTGTGTTGCGTCGAGAAGAAGCTTGAGAGAAAGAAGAAGGTGCCGGAGTGACGACGGGGCCTGCATGGCATGTGAAAGCACGTGCGCTCCTTATTTCGTCAGCCCCTATATTTACCGTTTCGAACGCTCTGGCAAGGACAAACGGACGCATGACAAAGCAAGGGGGCTGTTCCACGATGATGACATTGGATATGGCCTCGGCGATGCACGTTGATGCGTTGTAGTGCCATCAGGTCTGATTTGACGAGCGTGGCGGTGGATGGCTCGCTCCATGTGAAGATGGAGATGTAGAAGTGTAACGGAGGTCAAGGCAAAGACTATATCATTGGAAGTACGTGCTACTTACTTTGTAGTCTGCGCGAAGTCATCCTTCTGTAGGCCGAGCTTGCCATAAACGCCATGCTCTAGAGGCTCTTCCTCCCTTGCCCCACCAGCTGTTGACTGGATGTTAAAGAATACTAGACCAATCACTCCCAGCAATCTGCTCATCAATACTCCCAACCGGAACATCCACTCCCCTCCGGCGAAGCTACACAAGTCAGCCTCGCACAGTACAGCACGACCAGAAGCCACAAAGATCCACTTACATCCCACGGATAAACCGTACCACGATCCGTCCCCGTCCAGTCATACTCCTCCAGAAACCTCGCAATCTCCAACAACGAATCGCCCAGCCCCGGCACCTTCGCCTGAACCTCTTCGTCCGAGTATCGACGGAATGAAGCCCGTACGTTGTTGTGGGTAGCCCATTTCGCCAGCCATTCTTTCCAGGTGAGGTTCTCGGTTGCGCCGACGAGTGTGGTGCCTGGTGGAGACTCGAACAGCGCAGAGATCCAGGGACCGAGATCTGTGTCGAGATCTGCGAGCGGGATCTTCTTGTCGCCGGTCATGTGGAGGGCCATCTCGTAGCTTCCATTGCTTTGCTGGAGAAGTTGTCTTAGTTTGCGTCGTCATAAATAAGAAACAGGGTACTTACTTTCTGCGGCGCATACAACATGGGCAACTTGACCGGCATAGTCGCATAGATGCCCACCAGAATCGTGCTGACTTTCCCCTTCAACTCCGGCTTCGCATAGAGAACTTCCGAGATCTCCTCTTTGACATCCCACATCGACGCTTTTGTATACTTCCCTCCACTGCACTTCTTCGGGCTGGGAATCCCGCTCCATACGAGCCTTTGCAGGGTTGGCGTAGATGCCGCGGCGTCGGCAATGTTCTTACCGTAGGCTAGCTCCAAGTCGTGAGCGTATGAGAGGGGCGTTCGTCCCTCAGAGAGGAGATTTGGTTGGCTAATGGCGTTGAAGATGAGGGCGTTGGAGTCGGTGTTGGCGAAGATGTGGGTCGCGTCGGAGAAAGCTTTCTTCAGAGAGGAGAGGTCGTTGAGCTCGCCTTGGACGATCTCGACTCCGAGTCCAGCAAGTTCTTGAGAGGCTTCTGAGTTGGGGTTCCTGCTGATGCCGCGGAGTTTGTAGCTGTGAGTTGAAGATGTATTGGCGAAGTGTTTGAGGACGGCACTGCCTTGGTTGCCGGTCGCACCTAGGACGACTAGAAGATTCGGTATTGTTGCATCACCCATTGCAGCAGTTCTAGGAGTTTTCGATAAGTCTGACCATCAGTCGAGTCCTGTTGTTCAGCATCTTATATACGTCCCCAATGCTTCACCACCAGAGCTCATAGAATGATCTGCAAATCGATACATCCTTTCGAGAACCCCTTCCGACAGTAGCATCCGATCCGATTGCTAAGCATCTGCACAACATCTTCGGAAACGGATGTCATCTTCGACTTCACTCCTTTTCTCTTCGCCAAGTCCGTAGCTGACGGTTATCCCCAAGCCGAAGGGTACAGGTGAAGTTGGGGTGGCTGTGCTGCTGCTCAGGCATCCCTGCAGAAACGACAAACTCACAACTTCAAAACACGTCAGCTGCTGCATTAGGAAGACTTGGTCTCGAAAGGCCACATTCAACGATCATACGAAATCCGCGTACAGCGTATAGCTGAAATCGAGCTACAGCAGCGTCAAGCAGCATTCAACGCCGGCCGGCCAAGCAAGAAGCAGTCCTCATGGCTCATATCCTGAGCTCCATCAGCAGACGGTGGCGCTCACACCGTGAAGCCTCAGGCGTTGGACAAACCCGGAAGCTGAGCAAGAAAGTCAGGGTAATTCATGCCCAAACTGGCCGCACAGTCAGTATAGCAACCACAACAACGCCCGAGAACCTGTTGAAATGCCATCCACAAGATCAGTCACCTCTGTTCAAGTTACCAGCAGAGATTCGCACGCTCATCTTCACCTACGCCTTGACTCCCGATCCCTGGACAGACTCTTTCGACGCCCAGCTTGGACATCCTACAGGCCGCTTCTACACGCAGATCTTGCAGACATGTCGACTGATCTGGCTGGAGGCCAACACCTACCTGCTCGACAATGCGGCGCCAGAGTTCTTTCTGTACCGCAGCAACCCATTCGGCGATTCCACCGACGAGGGACATTCCAGAGTCCGAGGGGTCGAGGAATTGGAACGCTTCGTGTTCTGGCTGACTCCCAACAACCTGGCGCGGATGCACTTGACCATCAATGTCGACATGGAGGTGTTGACGCAGCAGAATTCTGGCAAGACGTTTGGCGGTGGTAGCACGAAATGGCCATCGCGAGTCACAATGATCTTGCGGTTTCGAAGGTATACGGTACGCCCACAACTTGCGGTCGACCACAGCGCCGATCCTGATGTCGCGGAGGATGTCATCTCTGAGGTGCTGCAGCATGCCGCTCTTGCGGGTGTCACACGCTTTACACTGAGGATGCAAGCCATCGTAGAGCTAAGGAGCGAACTGAACCTCACTGTTATGCGTCTTTCATCGGCGTCGATCCGCGATGTGCTTGCTCCGGGTTGGCTACTCGACTCCAGTCGCTGCGAGAGCCCAAGGCGCGATGACCGGTCGAAGGATGGTAGCTTTGATGTTGCGGTCCTTGAATGGTATCGCAACGACGGAGGCCCGGATTATTGTCAAACCCAGGACCTTGGGGACGTCCAAACACCTAACGATGGGCAGAGCTTTGTTGGTGCGGCGGCTGCTTACTCGAAGCACTGGAACACGCAAGGAAGCCTTCTCCATTTGCTTGCGCATCATTGATCGCAGACTCGTAGAATCGTATTGAAGTCATCGCCAGCCTGGCTGAAACGCCTCGAAATGGCAAATGGCCTCCTCTACCACATGGCCTGACCGTCGGAGTCGTACGGCAACACGCGAGGATCATGATTCAGGTGGCTGTTATTCTTGAGCCCAGCTACTTCTTAAAGGCTCGTCAAATGTCAGCGTCCTTGATTGTCGCTTTGAACGGGCAGGAACCCTTCATCATGCTGGTGTCGGGTCATGGTAGTTAAAGTATGGCTTTGGCCTCGTATTCGCTCATTCTTATTTTGAACGGAGATGTTGGAGATGTTGTTGGCCAGGCGAGGATCCCCGGACAGTCGCCATGCTCGAGACAGGGATCACCGTCGCTGTGTGTCTCACTCAATTCAGCCTTGTGGGAGCACAGAAGGAACGGCAGGTGCGTGTTCTTTGAAGTCAAGCCATGCGCCGCCACATTCCAGCCGTTGTCCTCCACAACCGCCCTCCAAGTTCACGGCTGAACAAAGGACAGGCAGCGCCAAGTCCTTTCAATGCAGCATGCCGGGTGTGTACAACGGTACATCGCCACGACCATCCGACGTGACCCCACTCGAGTGAAGGTGGAGAGAAGCCAACGGCGGTCCGCGTATCTTTGAGCACGACCAGGCGACTTCCTGTTTAGGCAGGGTAAGCGAGCGGTTTGGAGGTATGGCGTGCGCGTTGTGAAGCATGGTGTGATGGACGTTGTGTCAGGTTGCCGTTTGCCATGTGCACTGCACTCTCGGGCGCACGTTGCCCACGCCAACCTTAACCACCGCCTGCACGCACTTCCAAGACCCTTCTAAATCTTGTCCTCCGTCACGCCGCAAACCTCCATTCCGCACCACCATCGTTCCCACGACATCTCACTAACGGACCTCATCAACGCACCTATCCGCCGGCTTGAGACACCACTCACTCGCGCGCCATCATGGCCAAACTCCAGGGCACCCGCAAGGGCGCATTCAGAGCCTACTTCTTCGGCTTCTTCGTCTGCCTCGCCGGCTTTCTCTTTGGCTATGACACTGGTCAGTTGTCCCTTGGCGAAACCTTATTGATGCCAATCCGCCGCTAACATGTGAGAGTGTAGGAATCGTGGGAGGCGTCCTGACCATGGAGTCGTACAAGCGAGACTTCGGCTACACTGACAACACCACTGTCAGTGCTGTCATGGTCTCGCTTCAGAACGTCGGTGCCTTTCTCTCCGCCCTCGCCGTGTTCCCAGTCTCCGAGCGCTATGGGAGGAAGAAGACAATCCAGGTGGCCATGACCGTTTTCTGCACCGGCGTCATCCTTCAGGTCATACCTTCACACTCGCTAGTCTGCTTCTACATTGGCCGCTTCGTGTCGGGTCTGGGTCTTGGATCAGCCACTGCCGTCGTACCTGCATACAATGCCGAGCAAGCGCCAAAGGAGATCAGAGGTATGCTTGGCTCTGGCATGCAATGGCTCTTCGCTCTGGGGGTGATGATCTCGTACTGGGTCGACTATGGAACCGTCCAAGGCATTGGTGGCAGTCATTCAGCTGAATGGCAAATCCCCGTCGGCCTTCAAATGGTGCCTGCCGCTCTCCTCGGGTTCGGTCTCATCTTCCAGAAGGAGAGCATTCGGTGGTTGGCGAAGAAGAATCGTAATGAAGAGGCATGGGAGGCTCTGAAGTGGATGCGCGCAGACGATGGTAAGCTTGACAGTGAACCGGACACTGGTGTTGTTGATGTCGCTGACTGACGTTCGCAGGCCCGGAAGTCAAGGCAGAGTTCAACGAGATCAAGGCCGGTATCGCTGAGGAAGTTCGTGCCAGCGAGGGATTCAAGAAGAGAGAGCTTCTCGAACCCGCCAACCGCTATCGTCTTGGACTGGCATTCGGCATCTTCCTGGGCCAGCAGTGCACTGGAATGACCGCCCTCGCGTATTTCGGTCCTCAATTCTTCAAGCTGCTCGTCGGATCTGGTACCAAGAACCTCCTGATCACTGGTCTCTTCGGCGCTGAGAAGTTCATCACTGTGGGCATCTATATCCTGTTCTTCTCAGAGATGTGGAACAGGAAACCAACGCTCTGGATCTCAGCCATCCTCATGTCCATTTGCGTGAGTCCAATAGTTTCGAGGTGTGCAAGTACGACGGCTGACGTTCCTTTTCAGTTCATCATTGTTACGGTAGTCAATAAGACGACTCCTGCACCGGTGGACAACCAGACAACGAGTGCTGGCATTGCAACAGTTGCTATGATTTTCATTAGTGAGTTTGACAGACCAACATGGAGAGTGTGAAAACAACGTAGCTAACACGATGCAGCCAACTCGATTTACCAATTTTCATGGGGTCCGCTACCATGGCCATACGCAGCAGAGGTATGAGCAGCACACTGACAGAGCGGATAGCACCTGCTAACCCAGCATCCAGATTTTCCCAAACCGCATCCGCGAAGTCGGCACGTCTGTCGGCGTCTCCACCCAATGGCTCTTCAACTTCCTCTTCTCCCTCACGACCCCGTACATGATCAAGGACATGAGCACCTACGTCTTCCTCTTCTACGCCGCTCTCGACATCGTCATGGCGATCATGGTGTGGTTCTTCGTCAAGGAGACCAAGGGCCGGACGCTCGAAGAGATGGAACAGATCTTCAACAGCAGAGCAGCCTTCGACAACGAGGCGGCGCGCAACAAGGCTCTGGAGATCGAGAGCAGTGGGAGCGAGGACCGATTCAGCGACGTGCACGTTATCGGGAAGCATGCGGACATTGATGGGAAGTAGGAGCTTTCATGGATCGGACGAGGCTTTTCGGCGGGTGGAATGAACTGATGACACAAAAGATCAAGTTTTCGGAATGAGATGACGATAGAAGGCTCGAATCAGGTTTTTCGGTGGTACATAGCGAAGGTATCACACACAGATGCCGGTATGACATTATTGCTGCAGCGAAATCGCAAACAAAAACTTCGGCTTCATGCTGTACGGAAGGCTAGATTCAGACCCAGATATGGTCTGTGCGCCCGCGTTTTCCTCTACGCGTCTTTCGTGATCGCTCGACAACCTCTTCATCATCATGACCTTGTTCTCACTGACGCTTGCGTGGATGATCAAAATATGTTCACATTGAGCTGAGCCTCGTGTGCTCTTCACCCGCATATTATATATCCGGAGGTCTTGAACATAGCAGACCACGCTCTTCCGGAGTCCACACTGAGAAACGTCTCCATCGCGCTCGGTACTTTGCAATGGACATCTGGAGACACTGAGCAGAGCCCTTCGTATCTAATACTGATATCTAAATGCAGGATTCTGCTTATCCGTCAAACCCGCAAACGCTTTGCTATCTTCGACATCGCTCGTGTCGTTCGTCTCGGCTTCGGGACCGGCCTTGCGACTTCTGTGTCGATTGACGAGGACGTAGTAGACAACCAGGATCAAGATACCGCCGGCGCTGGCTGACCATGTCCCCACGAGCGAGACCCTGGCGGTTTGGTAGGTGGGCCTTTCGCTGGCTTTGAACGTCTGTTTGTGAGATGTCAGCGCGGCTTGTACAAAGGGCAATCTGCAGGCAACTCACCTGAGGACCGACAAGATTCCCAATCGAGAAAGCACTATTCAACATGGCGCTAAAGAACGCCCTCTTGTTGTGCCCGGCCGTGTTTCCAAGCACCCATTGATACTCCGTTGGTCCAGCACCTGTCAATGAATTCACGAGGTAGATACTCGCCAGCAGACCGGCACGGTTCCCATGCGGTATGTACGCCAGCATCGCCGCCCCAGCGATTCCAACTGCCGCCACGAACAACGAAAACGCCCAGCGGTGTCCGTAGTATCTAGAACCGATTCCTGCCACCAGCGCAGCCGCGATACTGACGAGTCCGGAAGGCATGAGCAGGAGAGCGGATATCTTAGGCGTGAAGCCGAAACTCGCGACGAGGGTGCTGGAGTACGTCGTTACGACGCCGCCGCCTGTGCCTTGGAGGAGGAGCGTGGCACCGATGGCCCAGATCTGAAAATCTGTCACTCCCTCCCAGAGCTGCTTTGGCTGGAAACGAGCGTTCTCGATGCCGGTTTGGTTGGCTTTGACATGTTGCAGAAGTATCACCTTTTCTTCATCGGTGAGAAACCAGGCTTTCATGGGTGTGTCTGGAACGAGAAAGAACACCGCGATGCTGAAAAGTACGGTGAAGAGGCCGACTGCGAGGAACATGATGCGCCAGCCTTCGAAGGAGCCTGTGACATACTGGAAAGCGAACGAGATCAGGCCGCCGAGGATCTGGCCGAAACCGAGACCTGCGAGAGCGTATCAGTCGTCGCTCATCACTTGGCAGGATATCTTGCTCTTACCGCAGTACCAGACTGAGAATCTTGTGGCTTGCTCGCGCCTCGTGAAGTACTGGCTGCTCAGCAACATCAATGCCGACGGCACACAACTCTCGAACAGCCCAGAGAGAACCCGCACGGTCAACAAGCCACCGTAGTTCTGAAGCGCCGCATGGCAGGAAGTGCTGATGCCCCAGCAAAGCAAGCAGATCGATAGCCACTTGCCAGTAGGCAGAAGCTGCAGCAGAAACGTATTCGGTACCCCAGCAACCGTATCAGCGATATAGAACGCCGACGCCGCATTCGAGAAGTCATTCCCAGTCAGGTGAAGCGACCTGCTGATGCCCATAACATTGGCATACTAGAACGAAAACAAGACCACATCAGCTCGCCATTCACAAAAAAACTCCATCCATAACTCGAGTACTCACATTATACAGCACCTTATCCAAAAAATTCAACGTATAACAAACCGTCAAAAACGAAATGACATACAAATCCACCTTCCTCCTCAGCCGCCGCACATACGCCGGGACCTGCGCGCCGGACGTCTCGACATCCTGATGCTGCCGCAAGAACACGAGCGCATCGTCGACGGTCTTCTCGTTCACAACAGACGACGACGCACTGTCGACGACCTCCTGGCGGGGAACGTCCAGTTTGCTATCGATGTCCATCGTCTCCAGCCCTCAAACCATAACCTGCACAAAGGCTGAAAAGAGGACCCTTGGATCCTAAACAACACCACGGGCGGGAGGCGGTGACATGCCGCCTTTTTGGAGGCGCGGGATCTAAGGTTTCCAGTATCATGCACCTCCCGAGCTCGAGCTCATCAAGCTCGACGCGTCTCGCACCATCTCGCATAGATTTCAAATTGTTGTTGATCGACCTCTCCGACGACGAAACAACTCGCAATCTGCATAGCGACTCCCCCAAGGAATCTCGCATTGAGCATGATGTTCCTGAATCCCACACGGCGGGACGGTAGGGCTGGGGGTTGTCGATCGATTCGGAAAATACTACTGTACTGCTGCTGCCGAATTGGAGGCCGCGAATTCTTCTCGATCAGGCTTGTGGTGTGAGGCTCTTGCTTCGGATTTATTGCCTTCATCCTTCCAAAAGCCGGTTCTGTGGGTGCGTGGGTGTTATGACTCTCCTAGCCCTTATTGCTTAAGGATTGCTAGTGAAGACAATGATGATGAGCAATGCTGCATATTCTTGCTGCAACGATCCATCAAGAAACTCAACAAGTCGGTCTCTGTATGAAATACGAAACAGAGAAACTGACACCACATCCCACAAGTAACCCACCAACCTCCCAGTCAGGAAATCGCAAAAACCACCCACCTCGAATCAAAAAGCAGGGTCCATCTTCCATCCCACTAAGAATAGAACTCCAGACAAAAAGAAACAACAAGAACCAAGTGAAGTCATCATAAGAAACCGATCGGCCCCCTCCCGAAAATGCATCGGCTCGCAAACCTCGCTCCGCTTCACGTCGCGGGATTCTACCGTACATCGTATAGACCGGCGGGCACGGGTCCGCTGAATGGAGTTCATCGCCCGAGGCAGGCCGGGGAAGACAAAACCATCAGAGGTGGATTTGGCGAGCGAGTGTTGCGAGCGTAAGCTTTCCGACGTGTTAGAAGTTTGTTCCGCAGTCAAGACTCAAGAGTAGAGTGCTTGTTGTGCTTGTTGTCAGGTCGTTCGTGGAAAATCCGTATCTCCTTGAATCCTTCCCTTTGCCGGCCGGCTGTGGGGCTGGGTGGTGTTACTCTAATCTCCCCGGTTCAAATCATGGACTTCAGCTCGCTGGATGAGCCGTAGTAGACATTGTTTGCTGAAGTAAATATCGGAGGATGCATTAGATAGCTCTGCCCTGAACGTTTGGAAAGGTTAGTCATTATCACCGTACCGTTCGGCGTTGACGACGACTGGAATTCCGCATGCGCGCGCGGTACGGATCGGGAAACGAAATAGCAGCGTGCGGACTGTCATCAGACATGAGATGCAACGCCAGCCCTAAGTTGTCCAATGTCGTGTTGGGTAGGTGGTAGCTCGGAACCAAAAAGGACGAGAGATGCCAGCTACTGTACTCTTTGTCATGGACATCTCGGTTTCGGTTGCTCCTTCTTTTCCGCATTCGAATGACTTTCTTGGGAAGTTTTTTTTGTCAGAGCGATGGATGGATGGATGAGCCTACAACGTGGGCGTGAGGCTGAGGTTTCCGTGTTGGGTTATTATACTGGTACACACGGGTATGAGGCGGCCGCCGGTCGTGTGTCGGCCGGGGTCGGGGACGGATCCGAGCAGGGCTCTCAAACGGGATAGTAGAGCGCTTCAGGACGCGGCCTTGGTCAGTCGGGTCGAGTCTAGTTAGAACTAGATGGGGGTTCAGGAATGTTATTTGTCGTGTCGGCGATGTCTCATCGTTCAAGGCTGAGAAATCGTCCACATCATCATCAGAGGGACTCGAGTCGGCCGATGGTCGTTCCGTGTGCTGCGTAGCGTTGCGTGTCGAGAAGAAAGGGTCAAAACACGACACAGAGTACAAAGGCGTGTAGATCGCAGCAGCACACCGTCCCTCGTGTGAAAGGATCCTCGTTTTTTGACCAAAGGAATCGAATTTGTCGTGGGTATTTTTGTGTGTCGACCCTTCGCAAGACATGTCTGCCGCTCGCAAATCTAGCAGCAAGAAGAGGAGCCCTGGGCCTCAGCCGAGTATATCCCGTCCGCGCAAGCAGTCGAGGTCATCATCATCATCGTCTCCGTCTCCCATTTTGCCTGGAATGACTCGCCCGAATATTCAGATGCCTCCTCTTAATGTCATCGTTGTTGGAGCGGGGATTGGTGGATTGGCGGCGAGTGTGGCGATGAGGAAGGCTGGCCACAATGTTCTTGTTCTTGAGAAGGATCCGAGCAAGCGGGAGATTGGATATGCGATTTCGGTGCCGCCGAATTGTTCGAGGGTGCTCAGGAGCTTGGGCATAGATCTTCAGAGAGCGAGGGCGACGCAATGGAATGGCCTTGATTACATTCGTGCAGATCGAAATCGCCCAGAGACCTTGCCACGAAGGTATATCAAAGCTGAGGACATGTACGGCGCGCCGCATTTGTGCTGTCATCGAGTGGATTTGCACGAGGCGCTGCGAGAGAAAGCGCTGGATCCGACTGTCGTGGGTGGGCCTCCAGTGACGATTCGAGAAGGCGCGAGAGTCGCAGAGTTTGACCCTGAGCGAGGGTCGGTGAAGCTGCAGAATGGCGAGGTCCTGTACGCAGATCTGATCGTGGCCGCCGATGGCATTCGGTCAAAGGCGCACAAGTGGATTCTGGGAGAGGAGCGGCCGGCAGAGTTGACCAAGCTGCGGAGTATACGGTTTATCGTGGCCACGGAGACGTTGCTGAAGAACCCCAAGACGAAACCTTTGATTGAGAACCTTCATAATGAAGGTACCCGGGCGGCGGTGTGGATTGGGCAATCGGACAAAATTGGCATATTCCAATCGCCTTGTCGAGAGTATGTCTTCCAAGACTGGATATCGCTGTCTGTTTCATCAGCAGAGCTGACCTCAACACAGCAACACCTTACAAAACTTCGTCATCTACGACATCGCAGATGCAAACCAGACTCCATCAACAGACTGGATCAAGAAAGCCGACCGCAAAATGGCTCTCGAGCTGCTCCAAAGAGAAGGGTTCGACGACTCTGTTCAGGAGATCGTCCGCTGCTCGAACGAGTATGACTTTTACCTGTGGAAAGTTGGCGACCGAGATCCTCTGCCAGCGCTTCAGTCCGGTAAGCTGCTGGTTCTTGGTGATGCTGCACATCCTATGCGACCGGATCATGGACAAGGAGCGAGCCAAGCAGTCGAGGATGCTGGGGTCTTAGGAGTCATGATGGAGAATGCATCTGGGCCGGAGGTCCCTGGGCGACTGAGGATGTGGGAAGCCTTGCGTAGGCCTAGAGTTGCAGTGGCACAGCTTTGCTCAAGAGCGGAGACACTGTCCTTCGAGATGGCCGAAGAGAATATCCAGAAGGTACAGGCTCTCGTGCCGCCGGATCAGCTTCCCGAGTGTGAGTAGCAACGCGTTGCTGTTAGATCGATGAAGGCTGACTCGTTGTGCAGTAACTCGAGCAGAACTGTTCCACTCGTTCTTCAAGTACGACTGTCTGGCTGAGGCGAGGCGTTTCCTCAATGAACAGATGAAGATCACCAAGTCGTTGGATGATCGCTTTTGGAAAACAGTGTTGAGTGAGACGTGGTAGTCTTGGTCTATGTCAGTCGTTAGCTATCTCAATGAATGTCAATCCCCATGCCGTGGGAAGACTCTATGCCCTAGCTTGTTTTCATCATCACCTGCGCTCGTTACAGAGCTCGACAATTTGACTTGGTTCGCTGCCCCCGTTTTCGATCAAACTGCCCACTTCGCAGGAAGAGAAGAGCCACGGAAAGAGTTGTGTTGAGTTCTTGTCCTTGAGGATGTAATCCCGAACCATTGCTGTGCCGTTCATGACGGAGTCGATTTGATCGTCCGTGCAAGTAGACGTATCGAGAAGGTAACAGAACTGCAGTGGCTGTGGCGGCAACTCGTTCTTGATGTGCCAGGTCGAGTCGGTCCCGACGGAGCTATAGACCGAGCCGTTGCTGGCAGTTACGTTGACAGTACCGGTTGCAATGTCCAGATTGTTCAGAGCTCGCATGAATATCCTGTATGAGGTCTCAGGCTGGTAGGAGGGTATTTCGTGCCCTGCCTGGTAGACTCGCGAAAATGATAGGTTACCGTACTGGCGGACCTGGCCACCCGAGTAGGAGTCATTGGTCTGTATAGCGGTATATCCGGCGGCATGAAATTCCGCCGTGTTAGTGTAGTTTATTGCGAGGGACACATCTTCTCCGCCGATCCAATTCTGTCGAAAGTCAGGGTTGTCTCGGAATGATGAACTTCAATTGCTCGCTTACGCATGCGAAGTCGCGATCTCCGTACGCCATCGTGACTTTGATACCATTCTCGAGCAGGTAGCTGAGGTCTTCCAGCCAGCCAGGCCGCACGTAGTCCCCAACGGTCCTAAAAGCCCTGCTCGAAGCCGAAGACGACTGCGACCAATTGAGAGGCACGCCGAGGTCCTGCTGCACCCATGCTTGGTTCAAGTAGCCCTTGTAGAAATTTGGCACGAAGGGATCTGGATCGAGTGTGGCCTGTTTGCGATTTTAGCTCTGATGGTTTCCTCGGAGACATATGGGGAAGACACATCATCACATCGAAAGGCTCTGCATGCGACTCGTGCATTGTCGGGGGTAGGGCATCATGCTTACCATGTCATAGTAATTTCTTCCCGACACCTCAAGATACGGCCCCCTCACGTCGCTGTAGCAAAAGTTCTCGGCATCGGCGCAGATCCGATTGACGGTGCTGTTGATCCCGATGTTCTCAGGATCATATATGAGCGACAAGTTCCGGCACTGGTATATTCGGTCGTTGCAGCCTCCTTCCCGATACAGAGCGTCCATCATTCCTTCGTATACGGACTCGTTAACCGCTTTGATGCCATAGGTGTTGTTGATGGCGATATGAGGGTAACTTGGATACATCACCAATCGATCGATGCAGGAGTTGATCAGCATAAGAGTGTCGAGATCTAGTATGTACTGCTCTCCTTCGACGTTCCATGTGCCATTCAAGATGCGTTCGTTCTGTTCTTGGAAATAGGCGAAGAAAGCCGGACCGTATCTGCCTCCATAGCTTTCAGTGGCCAAGCTGATCTGGTGGTCATTCGGATGGTGGCCGGGGAATTCCTGAAACCAGGTCTGATGATTGAGAAGGCAGGCAGTCAGCACAAGCATTTGGCATGGTAATTGTTTCGATATGGCGGCTTACCTGCAGAAAATGCCAAGCAGCAATGGCTGCATTGACTGATCCCAAAGCGGTTCGATTGCCATCTTGGCTGCCATATGTGCCGACCAGGAAAGTCGCATTCTGCTCTGGAATCGGATCTGTGGCGTTGAGAACCGCAGTACGACCCGAGACCAGATTGCTGGTGATGTTGGTCAAAGTGTCGTAGGAAAGACCAACCTGGGTGGGCTGGTCGAGAAACAACATGTTGACTGTAGATTGCTTAGTCAATGCTGGCAGCCGTCCGCATTTGATGTGACGTCTTACCCTCATTGTTCCACGACCACGGATTGAGAGTCGTCGAGTTGGAGTCTGGGTTGACATAGCATGGCCCGTTCTCAGCCAGCAGGCCCATCATGCTCGAGCTCCCTGGACCGCCTGCCACCGAAAAGGGTCAGCCAGCGTCGACGGATTTAGACTTGATCCCCACCATTCATCCACAAGCTCAGTGGAGCATTGAGAGGGTCCTTGCGCGATTCGAAGAACCAGAAGAATGTGTTGATCTCATAGGTCGTGTTCTCTCCAGCATCGGCTAGAGCTCCGGGAGGAAGATGCACGTATCCGGCGTAGGACCTCACACCAGGTGTCGTCTCGCATATCGAAGTCTGCCTTTTTGTCAGATCCAACCTGCGTTTCATACAGAATTTCTACGTACCTGCTTGTAACTGATAGTCACGTTGTTGTGGAATTGCGATCGGATCAGATGGACTCCTTCCGGCTCTGGCGGGAATTGGCCCAGTACAAGTCTACCCGCCGCGGCGGCGAGCAGTATTAGATTCCTCATGCTGTTACGATGAATGCAGCTGTCCTCTCAGTTCTGGAGTGCAGAGCCAATGCAGCGGCATATAAAGAGATACATGTAGAACACATGCAGAGGGAGCGTGAATGGCACCGGATCCCGGCCGTGAAGGTTTGACCATCTGGGTGCAACAAGCATGGCCCCTACCAGCTTAGCAGGCTTAGGTAGCATCTTGTACAAGCACCAAGTGCCATTTCGTAGGTCGAGAAGGCACGATTGTTATCGCAGCCAAGAAATGGGGTACTCTCAGAGGGGAAGGTGAAGCTTCACGGCATGTTGAACCCCGCAGGCCGCTGTAGTACGCCGGTCGTTGCAGTATGGAGTCGGTGCGGCGTAGGACAGTCCGCAGTAGGTAGTTCTACGGGCAATTCGACTTCGTCTAGCTTCGTGCAGGGCCGGGCAAGCCATCTTCGCAAATGTCTTACGAAAGCGAAGGATACGTAAAGCGAAGTCGTGGTTTGTATGACACCGGGATCTCGCGGCAAATTTCGCAGACAGTCGGACAGTAAAGCAGTACGTGATTGTTCTTAGGCGCGTGACGACGTTCCTGGCAAGCTCTATGGTGTAGGAATCGATGACTTTTCAATTGTTGTTGATGCGATGTTGTTGTTTTGCTTGAGCATCGAGAACCTTCAAGGTACGTACAGTTGAGCTTAGGTAATCGGCTGACTCTCCAAAGGATAAACAATTATCCAGACTTTCGCGTGCTTCTTCTCACTGCACGCATCTGAGGCGCACCGACAAAGAAGTCCGGCTCTCGAACTGCTGGCATCGCACATTACTGTCCCCTTTTATTCACGCCATGAGGAGCTGACTCACGATGAAGAAGAGTCAGGACTGAGATGAACGGGCACGCGTGAAGACCCTATCACGCCGCATCTGAAGCCACAAGTGTCCGGGTCTTGTTTCGCCGTAATGATACATTCTATGGAGCACAAAAGACCATGTCGTGTCGAGAAAAAGATTCTAATAAATTGCTGCACGCGGCACCGGGCTGACTTCTCGAGAAGTCGAAGACGATGATCCGTCAGCACGCACATGTTCCCCGCCCAACTGATGTTTTACTTCTCGACTAAATCTCTCCTGGAACCCTTCTCGCGATGGCGATGGCTCTCGTGAAAGTAAAACAGCCATTTCAGTACCGCCGGGATGTCTCTTGGAGCGATGGCAGCAACAGCACAGCTTTCGTGAAATCCAAGAAGACGGCAATTTGGCGTCGGGACCTTGGATGAAGCGGCCAGGATGGGAGAGGTTCCACACCAGAATGGCGAGAAACATCGGCATCGCTTCGAAGGCGTAGAAGTAACGCTCGTTGTACGGGATCGGGTTGCTCTCGTTTTCTCCCCCTGAGAACTCGATGAGGCGGAATATGATGCGGATTGTGATGAAGAGCAAGCATGCGTAGAGGGAATAGAGGAGAGGACGCCAATGGCGTTTCGAAGGTGCGAGGTGACCGGTCTGATGATAGCGGTGCTGGTCCCAGTGGAACTTGATCACGAGGCCCAAGAAGATCAGGATGAATCCCTCCTGCATACCAATGCCGCCCATGTAGATGTTGATGCCTTGTTTCTGGACTTCTGGCGATGCTCCTGGACCAGCTTGGCCTCCTCCGATTATCTGAACGATGAACGAGGCAATGTCGAGTGTGACGAAGATGACGGTAAGTATGCTCGGGGAGATTCTCCACACCTTGCGAGTGGGCGAGAAGAAGTGCACAATGCGGGCAAAGGCCATATACGCAAATGCATTGACCCCTACGATCGTCAGCAGGAGGATATGAGATGGATATCTGGATCACTCACAAACAGGTGCCACCAGTACTAAGAGTTGTGATGTCGTTGCAAGGCCATCGCTTTGTTGGTTTAGAGATGCTGCCGCCCTGGAGCCATATGAAGCTGCCTCCCAGGACACTGCCATGATGATCACCCAAGTATAGCCAACACGGTGGTAGATTGCTTGTACAATGTGGGCTATGAGGAGGATTCCAAACAGCACTGCAAACGCAGTGGCGGCGGCGAACGAGGGGGAGTATTGCCAGAGAGCATCACAGCTGCCAGGAGGGACGTAGCCATTCTTGTCGGGTTGTATGGTCGGCGTGCAGGTTGGAGTTGGGAGGTCGAGGGACAGAGAAGGTAGCGACAGAGTGGGTAAATCGAGAGATAGCGATGAAAGCGTTGGCAGATCGAGATCCAGCGATCGGGGAAATACTGAGTCGGCGACCACAGTAATCGATGGTAAGGCTTCTTGTGGTGTTAGAGCCGATGTGGACGTTGTTGGAGGCATCGTAGTCGCTGTAAGTATTGAAGAAGAAGCCTTTCCTCGCAAGGCTATATAGTCAGGAGGTACAGCAAGAATGGGCTTAGCGGCAAGTGATAGTAATGATATCCCTAGAAGTAAAGTCATGGTCATGTTGTCGTTCAATGAGGCGACAAGGGCGAAAAAGCCAAGGAATGCAAAATGCAGGAGTCGTCAAGACTCAAAAGTCGTTAATAAAGGACCGTCTACATGCACGGTGCAATTGACGCATAGGAGGCTATGCACGAGTACGAAAGTGTAGCCTATGCTGGAAATAATAGCTACTATGTATCCAACGAGCCAGCCAATAGGCACTGCGGCCTCGCCAAAATTTGGGGCGTCGATAAATCTGCGAAAGTGATGGAGCGAGCAAATCGTATCAGGAAAGTCGTTGTGGTTCTAAGCGACCGATTCGATCTATGTGGTGAGTCTTAGAATCCCCCAAATTGTTTCAAGCATGAAGCTCGTCTCTTGTTCACGAGCACTACTTTCCCAATGCATACATATATTTATACACTCTTTGGCAGGAGCCGATCCTTCGGCAGATCTATTCTCCGAACTACCACTTGCATTCCCCAGGCCTCGTCAGCCACAGCATCCCGAGTCTTCTTCACAACAACATTGCAACTCGCGTCTCGATGACGATGAGAATTTGATCAAATATCTCGCGCTCCACCAAATTCTGCTCGCACAAAAATGGGTACAACCGCGCCTGCTGCGACCCAAACGTCCGGATGCCCGATGGCTTTGTGCAACGCTCTGATGGCGCCGCTGTGCGTGGTGAGCGACACGAACGTCGCATCCGTGTCTCGGAATAGCTCGGTCAGAAAGTGGTGCATCACTGGGACCCGTTCCTCCAGAGTCTCTCGATGGTCGGGCTTCCAAAACTCGTCTTGCTCGGAGAATCCATGCTCGATTTCGAATTCTGGGAAACGCGATTGAATACTATCGCGACTGCTCCTTTTGTCGCAGGTATGGACACCATGGATTTCACGAAGTGTCTCTTTCACGACAGGCCTGAACGGGCGTTCAGGTGGCAAAGGCACATCCTTGAAAGTTAGCTGCACAGTCTGGAGGCATCTGGTCAACGGGCTGGTGTAATGTTTCTGGGGAGCTGGAACCTTCGACACTTTAAGAGCCTGCTTCCAGAAGACTGAAAGGTCTGTTGCTTGTCGCTGGCCTTTTCCCGTCAGCGGTGCATCAAGCCAGGTTGTGGTGCCATCGCCTTCCAACATGGCCCATTTGGACTGCTCTGATACTCAGCTACAGCTACGACATGGCATATGGAAACTTGCCTCCCATTCATGTCGCCCAACCTCTCGTTCTTTGACGTTGTGGAACCCTTCTCCATGTCGAGCAACCAGGAGCACGCGATACTGACTCTTCTCGGGATTCGCGGCGTTGAGGTTCCGAAGATGCTTCTCGAATCGTTGCCACTGCGTCAAATCGGGCTCATCGGAAATGCCATATGAACGTTCCAGGAGACCAAAATCTGGCAAAGTGTGCTAGTCTTCATTAGACAACCTAATGCATTTGAGTCCTCGACATGACCAAGACTTACAGCACGGAAACCTTTGTCTGGTCCTGTGGGCTGCTGATCATGTTTGAAAAATCCAGACACATACACAAAGCTTGTGTTAGAGGGTCCTGACTGCTCCATAATGGAAATTTCCTGCCGATATGCGAAAGGCGTCTTGATCCAGAGAAAGGCTCCAAGAGCTGTCAAGGTGGCAGTTATGATACCGGCGTGGCGACGGGGCCATCTCCAGGGCATACCGGATTCAAGGCGAAACATGTACTCCTGTTTATTGAGAATCGTGGGTTGAAGTGATAGCTGCAGGCGCTCAGCCCCCAGGCCGCCTATTGAAAATGCGGTGGGGCAAATTCAATGTACTGTCAACAGCAGCTCAGCTTCACAGCGCTACTGTGCTCTTCAGCCCGTTCAGCTCAGCCCATCAGTCTTTGCTGGACTCGCAAGAACATTTCAGTCACTGCCTCGTTCATGTGTAAAGCTCTCATCGCATTGCGAGACCTAAGTGATCTTGCGAATCCGTTGAAGTTCGCTGCTGACTCTACCATTCTTCACGCCAGTCTGGTCTACGCACAATCAACAATTATCTCAAGATGCAACTCCGGCCACTGTACAGCAAGATTCAGCTACCAGGGGAACCGCCTGATATCATACGCCTATTGAAGATTGAGAAAATAGAAGGCGACCGAATCATTTGCCATTTGGACCAAGCAAAGGTTTCTGAAGCGCCGGAGTACTCGACGCTGTCCTATACCTGGCGGTCTCCTCTCTTGAAGGACGATGGGTCAGACCCGTACCCCAGTAAACATGTCATACATTTCATCGACGGTGACTCTATCCCGGTGTTTGACAACCTTTACCAAGCCTTTCTACGCCTGGGACGCTCGGACTTCCGCGATCAGCATTTCTGGATCGATGCCATCTGTATCGATCAGGACAACACCGTCGAACGAAATCACCAAGTAGATCTCATGGCTCAAATCTATCAGCATGCGAAGCATGTCATTGTGTGGCTCGGTCCCGACGATGAACATGTAGACGCTGCTTCGAAACTCATCGAAACGTTGCCTCCTGTTCTTGAGACAATCCCGGAGAAAGATTGGAGCAAGCGAATCAACCCGTGGAAGATCGACGAAATAGACATTCCGGAATTAAGAAAGGCGAATGCCAACCAGCAACAGTCATGGATTTCGCTGGCGCATTTCTTCCGCCGCAACTGGTGGTCCCGTTCATGGGTAATCCAAGAAGTGCTCTTGTCGCAGAACCTCAAACTGTTTTGTGGGACAGAGCGCGAGATATCTTGGGGCGACTTGGAAAGAGTCTCACACTTTCTGTCTACGACTGCATGGAGACAGGTTCTCTCCGACCAAGGCTTCCTTGGTATTGCACCTGGCGAATGTTTGCCAGAGTACAATACTCCAACTTTTCTCAAAGCTGCCAGACGAGATTTGAGTGCTGACAACGACTTCCTCTACACCTTGATAAGAGCCAGAAGACACAACTGCCAAATGCCCATCGACAAAGTGTTCAGCCTGTATGGCATTGCCTCAGCCTATGCTCGTGATCGCACAAAGGTTCCAAAGGCGAACTACTATCTAACACCTGATGTGGCTTTCACGCAGACTGCCCGGTACATTCTGGAAAGCAGCAAAGACATGCATATTCTGGCCCATGTTGAAGGCTCGAAATTCCAGAGGTTGGCAAATCTACCGTCTTGGGTTCCAGACTGGACTGTCACAGAGCCTATGGGCCTTGGAATTACTGGCTACAAGCGTTATTATGCTGCCGGAGATCCTCAGCTCCACTACCAGAAGCCACAGTTTCCAGAGCCGCATATCTTACGTCTGGAAGCAACTCGTGTTGACCGAATTGCAGCGTGCAGCAAGCCACGAGGCAAAGACTCATTTCCAGATTGGATGGACCTTCTCCAAGGTCTCGAGAAAGACTACTTCAACAGACAATCATGCCACGAAGCATTCTGGAGGACCCTGATTTGCGACACTGACAACCACAAAGCATGCCCATCTCCACCCGAACTTGAGATATGCTTTCGAGCCTGGCTGAAGAAGCACGATTTGTCAAGGAGGTTTCAAGAGGTCTGCCAAGCCGAAGGCATTCAGCTGACGATAAACGACACTGATGGATCTTCCCATGACGCTGATCGCTTTGATCTCTGTCTCTCCCACCGACAATGTCTACGACTTTTTCGAACAGAAGAAGGATATCTTGGTTCTGGCACTGAGTGTCTCCAGGCTGGAGACTCCGTGTGGATGGTTCCTGGGTCGCGCGTTCCACTGATTCTGCGAGAGCGGCCATCTCAAGGTGCATCCAATCATCTCTACGAATTAGTCGGCGGAACTTATTTGCATGGCTTCATGAGACCTGAGCCGGCCGTCTTGCCTAGTGGTATCGTGCGCAAGGATGGGACAAGCAGGATGCTCAAGTACGAAGTTGTCGACATCGTATGAGCCAGCGACGTAACGCCTTGGTGAGCTGAACTTCGCCACGCTGCCACGATGGAATGTGTGCAATGCCGAGCGCTCTACACTAGAAACAGAAGATCTCGGCGGCGGCGTTGTACAACTACCCTCGTCGCACAAGAGCAGCACCGCCCATAAATGACGTTGCATGCCAAGCGCCAAGGACGTCTTTGTCTCAGCGACAGCTATACATATACCGCCCCGATTCACTTCTCAACTACGCAAAAGAGTTCCCGAAAGGCGGTGCAATAACATGTACGACAAAAGCTACGATTTCGATACCCAGTCTTTGTCAAGCACGGCACCCCTTCTTGATGACGATGACCGCAGCTCAACCTATCAGGCGCCAAGGAGAGTACCACCGGTGTACTACTTCTACAAAGGCAATGGGGTAACTTCAAAGGCTCGTGTTGTCTCAGCGGATGGTTGCGACTACTATCTCGACGCCGATGTGCACCAGTCCAAGGATTCGACTATCAAGCTGCTTGCTGGCAAGAACAACAAAGGCTCATCTTCAATTGGAACAGTTACATTTCCGCTAACCCACAACAACTTCCACATGAACCTGTCCGGCGCAAAAGACAGCCCGGACGGTACGTTCTCCATGATCCAAGCGCGAGCTCGTGTTGGGCACCCACATCCCAACGCATACAACATCAAGCTGCCCGCGACTGCAACTTCTCAAGCACGAGAAGTCTCCTGGACGCTATCCTCCCGCAACAATCCCAAGGTCGTGAGCTATAAGCTTTGTGATGATACGAATCGTCTCATCGCTACTTGGTCACTCGTAGCCGACCAGAAGTACCAGGCTGTGCTCCGATGGCACGTGGATCCACCCAGCGAGGTTGAGGAGAGGATCGTGTTGCTCTCGTTCATCGGCGGACTTTCACGACTGAAGCTGAAGGGCAAGGGAGAGGTCAATGACATGCGGTCCACCATGACCAGGTATAATGGTTTCTGGTTCATGGCTATCCTGGGCACCGCTGGCGTGGCCTAAAGCTTCAGGGCAGCTGAATGCAGCACGCGTTCGTTCAGTCGTGCAGCACCGCGAGTCCAGTCAAGACAGAAGTCTCGCTCTCGTACAATTTGTGCTTAGCCGCTGGCTTCTGTGCGTCGCAGCACCAGATTCGGCCGCAGAGGTCGGCCACCCATACGCATTGATTGACGTGGTCGAGCGCCAGTCCAATAGCTTCACCAAATCCCTCAGCCAAGATCTGCCGACCCTGCTTCCTCTCTGCTTCAGGAGTCTTCCCTCGAATCGTCTTCCGGTTCAATGTGTTTCCAAATGGGAACTCTCCACGGTCTGTCCAATACAGCGTTCCAGTATCCTCGTCAACCTCCAAATCGATGGGTTCAGGTAGCTTCTCCATGACGAGCTCGATATCTGGCCGTGAGTCTGGAGAAGATCTCTCCGGCATTTCGATGTTTGCGGAAAAAATGCGTCCTTGGCTACTCTTCGGTGCACCTTTTTGGGTCCAGAATATCTTGCCAAGTCTCCGCGATACCGCAATGCCGACGCACCAACGAGTCTGATTCTTTTGATGTTCCTCATTCTGCCAGTCACCGGTCTGGATGATGACTTCGTGGCCTGAGCCATCGGTATTGCAACGGTGCACTCGAAGACCTTCACGGTCGCAGAAGTACAGTTTCGAGGATTCGCCGTCGAGGACTATCTGCTTTGGCGTGTTTGCTACTCCGGGGCCGAGAACTGTCCTTACATTGGTTCCGTCCAGACTCGCACTGTAGACGGATCCGTCGTTCTTTCCAGGTGTGCCCATTTGAGTCCAGTACATGCGGCCGTTCTTCTTGCCGATGGCGATTCCATCGGGCATGTGTGCATTGTCGATGAGCGTTTTCGGTTGGCCTGCATTGTTCACATCCAGGACCTGAAGACGGCCTCTGTGCGTGATATCATCCAGACTTTGCGTGTCCAAAGGTACTTCTGGTGTTGCTTGATAGATGCTGAGAAAGAAGAGCTTTGTGGACGTTGGAGGAGACATTGTCGGTTAACGTGAGTATGAAATGGACAGTCTTACGACAAAGACCACAACCCACACCAGGCTGGTCATCATGGACTCTATATCCATTTCCAAGAATCTGACGGCATACTGCAACACGATCTCCGACAACCGATTTGATTGCAAGATGGGACTATCGCGGAAAACAATGACGCGCCACAAGTCAACGCATGAAACCGAGCCACTGTGCATACGCCACGAGCGATACGTGACACGTCTATGTTGGCTACGCACTGCTTCGAAAAGTCTGTCAAAAAGATCACGGCCCCTTCACGGGCGAGGAACCATTTTTGACCGTCAGGATCTCGGAGTTGGCTCGGATTCGAACACCCCTGGCTATTCCTACGTCACTTGTTGGCCTCAGGCACAGGCCTCAGATGCACCGTACGGTACACAATGATATACTCGCATTTATGGTCTGGCTCAAGGTTGAGCAGAGTCAGACGAGGAGAGTACATGGGGAACTCAGCATCGAAATGATCATTCATTCTACACAAGCGACGACTTGGTCGACTTGGTCTGCAGCAACTCTATCAACGCATCGCCCATCTCTTGCCTGACCCTCTCAGGCTCCTTCGTCTCAACCCACGGCGTGACTTGCTCCTGCAACCTCTTCGTCTCATCCTGCTCAAACGAGAACTTGTTTGCATCCATGTCCTCCTTCCAGCCACGCACCGCTGGACCAAGATGCTTTACAAAATGATAGAACCCATCGTTCCCTCCGCCACCGCCAAGTACATTCGTCATGTAAGGCCCCACCAACGCCCACCTCAATCCAGGTCCAGTAGTCACAGCAGTGTCAACATCCTCTGGCGAAGCGATCCCCCGACTGACAAGGCTATACGCCTCCGCAAGCAACGCCGCCTGTAGTCGATTCGCCAAGAACCCCGGCGCTTCCTTCTTCAGCAACACAGGTGACTTTCCAAGCGCCTCATAGAACGCCACCGCCTGCCGCACTGCCGCCCCAGAGGTTCCTGGGTGCGGGACGATCTCCACCAAGGGGATGAGATGCGGAGGGTTGAACGGATGACCTATCAGCACGCGGCTGGGATCCACTTGGCATTCTCCGATGAATTGGGAGGATGGGATGCCTGATGATGAGGATGCTATCACCGCGTGCTTGGGGAGATGTGCGTCCAGGTTGGCGATGAGCTTGGTCTTGAAGTCGGGACGTTCGGGGGCGTTCTGTGAAGTTCGTCAGTATGTCTTCTTGCGTTCTGAGAGGTTAAGAATTGCTTACCTCTTGCACGAAATCCACATCATGGAGATGTTGGGTGATGTCTTCGACGAACTCATAATTGCTCGGACTTGCGCCTTCAGCTAGACCGATTTGTTCTATCCTTGGCCATTCGCTTTCGATGTATGTCGACAACTTCTCGGCTGCGCCGGGAGCTGGATCTGAGACGATGACTTTGTAGCCTTTGGCGAGGAAGAGCGTTGTCCAAGACGATCCGATCACCCCAGTTCCTACGACGGCGACCTTTTTGACGGTGTTTTCTGCTGTCGCTGCCATTTTGTGATGTTGATGATATTCAGAAATCAAAAGGATGATGAGATTGATATGGGTAAATGGTCTAGATCGCGACTGTATTCTTCGCGGACACTGATCGCTATATCAACTCCACCTGGTCAGGCTGAGCCCTGCGTGCCGACATCATTCGCACTACACGAAGTAGCCACAATTGCAACTACGTCACCAGCAGCGACAACTTTCTAGAACATCGCCATAATATTCAGTGAACATGGCTGAAACATCCCTCGAGGTCGAAAAGATCTTTTCCCTCGGTGCAACCCCGGCACGGAGATGTCTCGCGTGCAGGCACCAGGGGGCCGACTTGCAAGCCGAGACAACACCTTTCGGGGACGTTGACGAGAGCGAACGCCGACTTTATGTACGCACAATGCGGCGTCGTACTTCTTTGGGTCCAGATCGATATCTGTTGTGGGATGTGGTAGCATTGCGGGACCGCAAGGGCCCGTCTAGATCCCGGTCGAAGGAGAGTGGTATGTTTCGACGGTATGATGTCGTTCGATCTGGGTTCATTCGAGAAATATATATCCTGCGGGCTTGCCAACGGCTCCTTGAGGCCAAACCTGCTTGGGAAGAACCTAAGCTCTTGACTCTTCGATATCCATCATGGCAACTCATGAAACCGTCACCGACGTCTACGGACCAGGAACGTTCACCGATGTCGACTTCACACCAGTCCCTCAAGATGCTCGAAGAGTGCTTGAGTACTTTGCTAAGAAGACACCGGGCTTCAACAGTGATCCCGCATTCCTGGACAACGTCAAGTTCACTGGTGGCGATCTGCCAATCCTCCCAGGGCCCATTAAAGCACAAGTGCTGGTACGTCTCATCATCCACAACCGAGCAGAACACATGCTTAATCCTTTCCACAGTCAGCAGTATGCCAAGGCATGATCGGCCTCGCAGCAAAAGAAGTCTCCGCTCTCAAAGGCATCGAGACAGGATCTATCCACGTCGACACAGACCTCGTCGGTCTCTACCCAGCAACCGTCGGACTCGTTGAAATCGACGGCATGGACGCCACCGAGATTCAGAAATCTGGCCTCCTCCAACGAGTAGGTCTTGACGTCGACAAGGGCGTCATCTCCAAAAATCCTATGCGTTTCCGCTCGTGGGCAATCTTCCCAACCCGAGAGGAGAACGTCAACTTCCAGATCTTGAGCAGTCTCGATCCACCTGGCTTCCTGAAAGTCTTTGGCTTGGAGGCAGATGACCCGAGTGTCAAGACGAACGAGGAAGCCTACGAGAAGATCAAATCTGTAACGACAAAGTACTCCGCCCGCGAGCTGGAACACATTTGTATTGAGCACGGATTCTGCGGACAGACTTGTCTCTCGCCACAGGCATGGAGGGAGACGATGATGGGCAAATCGCTGGCGAAGCACCCCATGATCAACTACAAACAAGTCCGTGGAACCGAAAGCATACCACCCGCCCCGTTACCCAAGACGAGCGACAAACGTCCTTTGGCAGGCATCAAAGTCGTCGAACTCTCCCGCGTCATCGCCGGTCCAGCAGTTGGCACCGCACTCGCGGCCCTGGGGGCCGATGTGATCAAAGTGCAGTCGCCCCACCTGCCAGACCTGCAATTCCTCTCCATAACCCTCATGGCCGGCAAGAGAGTCGTCCAACTCGACCTGACCAAAGCCTCCGACCGCGACCAACTCCTCTCCATCCTCGAAGACGCAGACGTAGTCGTGCAAGCCTTCCGCATGAAATCCCTCGAACGGAAAGGCTTGGGATTAGACGACATGGTCGAGCTCGCCAAGAAGCGCAACAAGGGAATGGTCTACGTCGACATCAACTGCTACGGTCCCGACGGGTACTACACCGAAAGACCAGGCTACCAACAAATCGCCGACTGCGCCTCAGGCTGCAGCTACGTCAACGGCAAAGCCTACGGTCTCGACGAAGGGACTTCTGTTCTGCCTTCCCTGCCTATCGCGGATATGCTCACAGGCGCCGTGGGCACGCTCGTCACCCTCCTCGCGATCCGCGATCGCACGAAGCAGGGAGGCTCATATCACTCCCACGTCGCGCTCGTCTCCCTCGACACCGCGCAGCTCGAACAGGAAGTCGGACTCTACCCACCTCAAATCGTCTCCCAGGTCCAATCGAAGTTCAACTTCGCGCCTATGAGACCGCAGCATATGGTTACCGATCTGCTGAATATCATAATTGCGGGATGGAGAGGTAACGAGGAGAAAGTGTCTGAGAGGGAGGAGTATTACGTGGAGTTTGAGACGCAGTTCGGGAAGAAACACAAAATCCTCGCTCCGGCGTGGAAGTTTGAGGGGGGAGAGGATGTTTCGCCTAGGTGGGATTGGGGGCCTGTGCCCAATGGGGGCGTGTAGGGGAAGCTGCCTTGGTTGGAGGTGAAGTATAGGATATGGAAGCGATTTATGTAGATGATGTCCCCGGAGATATGAGTGTATCCAGGCTATTGTAATGTATCAGCGGATCGTGGTGTTGATATGATAATGGGAGATAAATTCAAGAGAAGTAAAGTTCACGTGGAAAGACCTGCGTTGTGACCGCCTGGGCAAGGGCTATGCAGCGGTATCATTCACTTCATGATCTGGAGTGAACTAAGGCAATAGCGCTCTAACCCCAGTCCTCCATCTCTGTCCACGTTACTATATCGTAGGATGGGATGGTAGTCACGAGATAGGCCCTGGGGATGGGTCGGGATAGAGTGTACTTCACATGGAAAGACCTGCTTTCTGCGCGCCTGAGTGGGGGCTTTCAGGGGGTATTATTCTACCCAGAATCCTGTGTGAAGTCCCGTAACAGCGGTATATCCCCCAAGAAATGGGGAGGTCCATGTTGTCAGATCATATCAACATATCATAGCCTTGAGCTAGGTCCTGGGGATAGATGGGGATAAAAGGCAGTTCACATGGAAAGAGCAGCGTTCTGACCGCCTAGGTCAGGGCATCAACGTGAGGACATTCACCAACGCTTTGAGAGTGAGACAAGGCAGCATACTCATCATCCCCGCCAAACAATCATGTTCAATTTTCTTTTGCTGCCAAGGGCGGCACAGCCCAGCGTAACAACCCCAGGAAGAGAGGGGATTAGTCTCTCTTCCTCTTCTTCTCCACATCCTCCACCATCCGCCCCATATAGAAGGCACTCTTCTCCTCCGCGCTCCACTCGCTCATTCGGCGCGGGGAGCCCCAATTCACCGAGCCTCCGTTCTACGAAGACCCGGCAGGGAGGCCACCCCGGCCACGCGCCACCACTCCACCACCACCACGTCCACCACGTCCACCGCGACTGGCCAAATCCTGGGCCCGCCGGACGTCCCCACCCGCACGAGAGCTGAACGGATTCAGCTCTGCGCGCAGGGGAGGCACGCCCGCGTAGCCCGCACCACGGCGAGCGGAGCTCTCGAGCTCCTTGATCTTCTTGACCCCCTGGAGCGAAAAGCCCCAGGGGTTGCGCGTGGCGAGCGCGGGGTTGGCGTGGATGATGTTGCCAAGGGGGTCGATGTCTTGGACTTGGGCGGCGGGGGCGGGACCGGAGAGGGCGTGAAGGAGGTCGTCCTTCAGGGAGGTGACCTCCCGCTTCAGCTCTTGGTCGGCTTCTTGGCCTGTCAATAACGTCAGTATTGGCTTGGATTGTCATGGTTTGATGTGGATACATACCGCCGTTGGTGATGTTGTAGCCACCTTCTGGGAAGGCGGCGGCGCGGAGGGGGCTGCCGAGGGTGCGGCGCATGTGGAGGCCGTTGGCGGCCGGGAGATCGTACCACGGGTCTTCAGCGGCGCCGTGGTGGTGTGGCAGCGTCCAGAGGTCGGCTGCTGCGGCGGCGGCTTGGTCGGCGGCGGCCTTCTCCTCGTCCATGGCGGCGATCTGGTCGAGGGCTTCTTGCCACTCGCCATCATCGGCACGCTCGGCCATGGTGCGGAGGAGGTTGATGCGACCGTGGTCGATTGCATTCTGGTCGAGATAGAAGTCGAAAAGCTTCATGATCTCGGAGCCGCAGGTGTCGACGGGGTATTCGCCGCGCGTGCAGGAGAGGCGCCAGAGGCGGGTGATGAGGTCTGCGAGGTGATCTTCGATGTCTTGCATCTTTACGGTTTTGTATGTCGGCGGCAGTTGTGAGGGAGAGAGCGCGCGCAGAGCGAAAAAAACGTTGTGGATAGTGTAAAGTGCGTGCAAACGTTTCTGCGCTGAGCTGGGGAGGTTGTATGTTTGGTCTCTCGCGCGTGAGAGCCCTTCTAGCTCGTAGGTGCGGGCCGTTGCTTCGGTGACGACGGCATCTGCTGCGCGCGGCTTACTTGCTACACTTAAGGAAGTTACGTAGTCGAATACAGCAGCTCTGGCGTGGGACCAGGGCAGTATGAGCTTGATCAGGGCCGTGGTCGATTGCTATGCAACGGGGATGATTCAGCAAAAGATGCAAGCTGGCGCTGAATGTGCAAGTGAAGGAGAGGCCAACCTGGATGTGGCGAGAGGTGCACACATTGAGCGTCCTGTTTAACAGGCGGGCGAGGGAGTGCGCTTCAACCCGGGTCATGTTTGGGGGACCGGCACTGTTGGCCAGCGACCGCACAAACTTGTCCAGAGCAGGATCCATTTCGAAGGGCGTCTTAATCACACGAATTTTCTGAGCAGCCTATAGTCTTCGAAACCTCCTCAAAGCCTAGATTCAATCCAATATCGTTGGCATGGACGATGGAGAGTGAATCTTGGGAAGACCTGTAGTGAAAGCCCCTGGACGAATCGCGTGACAGAATGTACGCGGAGCCGGCTTTGGAAGATCCGCCAAGCTTTTTTTCGACCGTTGCTGTGACAGGCAAAGAGGAGGACAGACTGGCGGCAGAAAAATTCGTGGATTTTTCAAGAGAGACAATTTCGTTCGGAGAGCAGCGTCGCGATGACAGCAGGCTCGTAAAAATAGCCCTCAGGAGCACGGAGAGGTTGGGCAGTACAACGGTACAGAGGAGGGATTTTCCGAAAGTTTGCCGTACGGCTGGCTGGCTGGCGGATATCCGATGCTGCTCCTTGATGCTTTGCTTCGGCCAACATAGACGTAGGATATCGTATGAAGGGATCAAAAAGACGTCTGCCTCATCTCGAGAGTAATATCTGAGACTCATAGCTCCAACGTGACGTGCAGGAGAGATGGCGAAGGATCTTAGGTTCGGACCCTGCCTTGGGCGTGGATATCCTTCCGGTAGACTTCCAGATCGCCGCCGTGGTAGCCAGGTACGGTATTGCGTCAATAGGCCCACCACCAGCTGACCTCTGACAACCTTTACTGAGCGCCGTCGCCAAGCAGTGCGCACATACAGCTCTTGTCGTCTCCAGGCCGTAGAGGAGGAAGCTGCTTCTGCGCTGGCAGCAGAATCGACAAACAGCAGCAGGCACCATCGCGAGATCCAGCAACGATGCTGCATCTTGCCCGTCCACCCACCACCATAGATCGTTCCAACCACTCCCCACGATAACGACGATTCGAAGACCTACGCTCCCTGAGATCTTTAATACACCACCGGCAAGATGGGCGCCTCCGAGAGCAAGCTAGCCCTCAAAAAGCACATCTTCGAGCTCAACAGCAGACGTGGCATCCCGCACAATGACCCCATCTGGACCGCGGTAAGTGCATAGCAAAGAGCAGGACATCTCAGAAGAGCATGGAGAGCAGAGATGGCAGTGATACTCTTGCTGCGGCGTGGTCGCATAGGTATCTGCAGAGAGCATGTTGGCTGATAGGAGGTCCTTTCCCAGCTCTGGACACTTCCTGAACAAGTCGACGATGTCTTCCAGCTCTGGTCGCCGAACGACATAGCAAATCTGACGCATTCCAAGGAGAGACGTCCACAGGGCGTGCAAGCCGAGCCTGACAAGAACTTCGAGACGTTGGTCTACGTTCTCGTTGCACGCCTGCGGCTCCTCCAAACGACGCAGATCCACGCCGACGACCAGCAGACCAAGAACAAGGAGATCCTGAACTGCATGAGGACAATGACCCGTGTCATACCCTTCGCCTTTGGCGCACCACACCTCTGTCAATGGCTTCATCGTTTCCTGTGGCTCCCGCGTAGACCGGCCTTTCTTAGAGACAATTGGCCCAATGGACCCATCAAGTTTTTTGACGGTCTGGACCCAACGACGGAGTATAGCGGTGAGGACTGTTGGGAACCGATCGGGCCTCCCCTGGGAGAGACTATTCTCGACTTGATGGTCAAGTTCTGCTTCTTCCCGGGCTTCACCATCCCAAAGAGGCAGGACGAGGACGGCAATCCGACTTTGGACACCGCGATCAGGGTATGGACCAGCGGCATCGGTAACAGCAGGCCGCAGGGTAGTACCAAGGAGAACGAGAGAAACCAGCAGGAGACCAGTCGGCTGCTCATCTGTCTGATGAGCCAGGTCATGTACACCAGTCCGTGGGAGGTTGCAACGACCGACATCAAACCTCTGACGTACATGACCACCAAGCTGCCACAGCGATCCGTCAACGGTCTGCTGTGCTCGCTTCTCAATACGGTTTGTCCCTGTCGTTCATTTGCTTTGCTTGCCGATTGGAGCTGATGAAACGTCATCCAGGTCCTGAAGTACAACCCAGGATTGTGGAGTACGCCAGCCGAAGTCGTTGTCAGAGCCCACGAGAATCGAAAGCAGCTGGTCACCAACTGCCTGCACTTGATCCTTGTCTTGACAATATACGAGCCGCCACCCGATGCCATTCAGAACCAGTTCAGACGTGCTTTGAGCCAGTTGCACCGACCCAACGACTTCCAATTCATCCAAGCAGGCGTCAATCAGGCCTTGACACATCCGGTCTGTGTTCTTTTCGTGCATTTGAGTGTGACGCTGTTGCTCTGACGCTTGGCTTCCAGATATCAACGGCAGTCAATCCCTACTATTCGTTTTCTAAGGAGAAACCGATCCCCTGGGCTCCCGAGCTCATTGCGTTCCTTTGGGAGTTCGTCCAGTGCAATAAGAGGTTCCGGCGATATCTCATCGACACGTCCCGCATCTTGGACTACGTGATCATCTTGCTGTACCATGCGATCGATTCCAAGGACGACCCGTCCAAGCAGGGGGTCTTGCGGATGTGCATATACGTGCTCCAGACTCTCAGCACGGAAGACAAGTTCGCCCAACAGTTGAATACGTGGTTCCGGCATCCCGAGACGCTGCCTCCAGTCATGCGCATTGCTAACTTCCATGGCTCGTATGTGGACTTCTTGATATGTGTACGTCGTTCCTTCCTCCTTTTGCCAGGTGGTTGATGAGGCGGTGTACTGACTTGCTTGCCCAGTCGATCCATTCGATCCTCATGACTGCTAAGGGCGGCCTGGAGCCTCGATTCGATTCGCTGTATCCTGCTCTTCTGGCCATTCTCAAGAACATCGCGCCTCATGCCAAGAACCTGCAGCGGGCGACGAGCACGAAGCTCATGGACATCAGCCAGAAGTTCCTGGCGCCAGGCTACTTGCTTCGCAATGACAGTAATAACAGACTGCTTCTGGAGCTTATGGAGGTCCTGAACGCCATCGTGGAGAACCACGTCGCCGGTTAGTCTCAGTATTTTTATCCCCCCTTTTTGTCGACTTTTTTCCGTTTCTGCTGGGCCTATGGAGTAACGAGAATGGTGTGGCCTCGGAGGACTCGGGATTGTGTGTTGGTGAAGGTGGCGTTCTTTGTGGTCGTCGCCGGAGCAGCACGGTTCTGTCTCGTCGGGGGTGCTGCCTTTGTTTCTTGGGTCTGCCACTGTCTGGGTATTAGCTCGAGGGTTTCTTTGTTGTTATTGTTGCTGCAGTAATGAGAGACGCATGCGGATTGCTGACTTGGTGCTGCTTACCTTTCAGAGAACCGCCGCTTCGTCGAGGTGCTGGTCGCCAACAAGAAGCGGTTCAAGTCGTTGCAGGAGTACAACATCGATGGCGCTCTGGCCGAACTGGACCGTCTGGCTCAGCAGCGGAAAGACCGTGGTGAAGATGCATTGAGCATCAACAGTCCGTTGTCTGGCTCTCGCCCTGCGTCGTTCGAGAGTGCTCGAGGGCCTCCGCCCGCTGCCTCTGCTAGGTCTTCGTCGTTAGGTGATGTGCCGGAGAATGATAGGTTTGCCATAGGTGACGACGATGATGATCAGGAAGATGATGGTGGTGAGTCGGAGGAGGACGAGGAAACTCCTCAGGCTTCGTCAACAACAGCAACATCCAACCTAGCGGAAGGGACTTCTAGTCCGCGTCTCAGCGAGAAGGCACGCGGCAAGCAGCCCGCGACCACCACCGTCTCCATAGCCTCCGCCTCCTCACGAACGCCCTCGACGACGAGCATTCCGTCTCTGTCAAACAATAATCTCACACAGAACACCTCCAACACCACCTCTGAGACAACCTCAGCCTTCAGACCGACACAGGACTGGCTAGACACCTGGCTGCCCCGACTACAAAGCCAAGTCCACACCCTCCTCCAAGCCATCGAGCTCGCTGAGAAGAAGCAGATACATTTCGTTGAAACAGCACCAAGGATCTCCAATGGAGACTTTTCCAGCTCTGTTGCCCAGGAGAAACGATCAGGTGAGCTCGGAAGAGCAGCCCGTCAATCCGCCCAATTCGCCCGAGGAGAAGCAATACCAGCAGCGGCGGCGCAGACACCAGGAGCCGATGGACAAAGTCCTTTTAGAACTCCAGGTATGCTCATCTCCCTACTATCAGATGCACTACGTGAGCTAATCAAAACGGCGATAGGCCTTGAAACACCAGCAGCAACCCCCCCCGCCCCCAACAGCTACCCCAAAGAAGCCTTCCAGTGGACGCCCATTGCCATCGGCTGGTACACCGCGCTGATCTGGTCTCGCATCTATCTCTCCGAAGCCGAAGCCTTCCAAGGCTCCGGCGGCATCTACAGCAGCACGAACATCCTGCTCTTCAAGAGATCAGCGACGACGCAGGAGATTTCGTTGCGCAGCCCCAAGGGCGCCATCGACGCGGTGGGGAACTCGCTGGCGCAGAGGATAAGTAGTATATCTATGAAGTAGAGAAGAAAAAAGGGGTAAGACAGGACCCTTGAAGGGCATACTACTTCCTCCTCACCAACCTCACCCTCACCCCCTTCTCCTCCTCGTCCACATTGTACAGATCCTTCATTTGCAATGTCAAGATGGAAAAACTCTCCTGCATCCGCGCGTCCAGCCTCTCCTCGACCTCCCTCCTCGTCTCCCCCTTCAAGGGCACGGCTTCCAAGCGAAACTCCCCAAACAACCGCAAGAAAATCGACACAAACTCCACCTGCGCCATCTTCTGCCCTGGACAGACTCTGGGCCCAGCGCTCCAGGGAATGAAACTCCCCTTCGGCGCGGTCCAGAGCGTGGTGTTATCAGCGTTGAGCCAGCGCGTGGGGCGGAAGAGGAGCTCGTCGTTGTCCTTGGACTCCTCGCCAGGTTTGAGATTGATGTTTCGGTAGACTTTTTCGTCCATGTGGATCGCTACGGTGTTGACGTAAACCGTGGCGTTCTTCGGGAACCAGAACGTTTTCCCGCTGGAAGTGGTGATGGTTTGTTCGGCGCGGGTCTGTTTTGCGAGATGGATGAGGGGTGTGTAGAGGCGGAGGGTTTCGAACATGAGGGCGAGGATGCGGGTTACTTTTGGCAAGAGGGCGGTGTAGGATAGTTCAGAGCCTGGTGGAGGGAGGATATCGTCGATTTCTGTGAAGAGCCAGTCTTGCCATTCGGGATGACGGGCGAGGAGGACGAGAGCGAAGGAGAGGGTATTGGCTGTTGTGTCGAAGCCTGCTCCCATAAAGATAAAGAGGTTGCCGAGCATTTCGTCGTCTGATAAGGCTTTGCCGCCTTTCTTCTCGCCTTCGAAGTCCTCGGAGGCTTTGAGGAGTTGGCTGATGATGTTGCTTCGAGACTCGCCTGATCCGTGCTGCATGCGCTGCTTTTCTTTGTCGAGCAGTTCCCACGTATGCCGGGGGAATTCCTCGACTGCAACGTTCAGCCTCCTCAACAAGTCTGAGCCAGGCGCGAAACTCGGATACCACTCCAGAAACCACTTGGGCAAGACAATCGGCCCAGCAACACACTCAATCACCACCTTGACACACTCAATATAACTCATGCGATAACCACCCTTCCCCTTGACTCCCTCATCCTCATCCTCCCTCCAAGCAACACTCTCCCCCATGCCCGCCCCCGTCAAAACATTAATCGTAATCTTCTTCATCCCATCAAACAACTTCCCCGTCACTTCCCCTCCACCGACATCCCCCAACAACCCCTCCGTCTGCTTAACGCTCTCCTCAAAAATTGTCTTCGAAATCCTCTCGTTCAACGTACTCGCCACCACCCTCCTCTGCCTCACCCAGTCTTCCCCATCACTAGACAACAGATTCTTCCCAAACCGATCCAGAACCACGCCGATAGCATCCTGCTGCTGGAAATCCCTCGTCCGTCGCAGAATCTCCGTCGCGAGTTCTGGATCCCGTGTGGAGAACTCGTACTTGCCTACCGTGACCATCACGTAGCTCTGAACGTCCTGGCCGCCATACTCCTGGAACATGCGTAACTTTTCTGTGAATTCGAATCCGTAGATTGTGAGCACGAGGCGGTTGTAGATGAATGTTGGGAGGTTTTTCTTGAGCCAGGGTCGGAGTGGCACGCTGATGATCATCCAGATGATGTGGTCTTGTTCCCAGGGAACGATGAAGTAGGGAAATCCCGATTTACGCGCGAGGAGGTAGTTGCGGATGAGGCGGTAGATGTAGGAGGTGAGGTAGACTATGAGGAGGGTTGTGATGATTGTGAGGGGGGAAGGCATGGTGATGGTTGATTTGTCCGGGCCAGTCTTAGACGAAGGTATAGATTTCTTGAGGTCTGGTAATCTCGTCAGCCGGCGACAAGGCAGTAGGCGTCAAGTCCAAGGCCACTTCCAAGTGTGAGAAGGTGCAGGGAAGGCTCACAACAGCTGTGGAACAAGAAATCCCGGGTAGCATCGAGAGGATGAAGGACCATAAGCTGAAGCACGCAGCTGAAGTAAGGGTCTTATTAGGGCCTCCGAAGGATTCGTTAACGAGGCCGCTTTGGGAAGGAGTGGCTGGGCGTTGACTGTTTACTAGAAGAGGAAAGTATGTCGTTTTAAACGAATAGCTATATACATGTTTTCTTAAACCTATTGTCATCGTTACCTTTGCTCTGTTCTAGGGTGCTCGATCGAGTATATGTATCGTCTTCCAGGCAGAGCACGAGGCTCCATCCAATCGACAAGATCTAGCAAAAATGCCATACCTCACTTCGACGACACCAAAGCCAGAGCCAACACCACCTACTAATTCTCCCAATGTTCTTCCGTCAAAAAGCCCATCGACCTCGCCACCACCTACTCATCTACCTCGCAACCCTCACAACAACCTTCCCCCTCGCCCTGCCACTATTCAACCTCTCAAACGCGTCCTTCGCATCCTCAAACCCAAACACCGCATCCACAAAAATCTGCTCTTGTCCCAACGTCCCCTTCGCCTCCTCCAACCACTCATTCTTCGGGCTCAAAATCACCACATCATACGCCTCGCCCAGTCCCACCCGGCCCCACGCCCACCTCAACCACTGGCTCGCCGCCGTCAGGGGGTGCAGGTAGTCGTAGTACGTATACGGGCCCCCCATCATCGTCCGGCCCGTCTTATCGCCGACAATGGAGATATACCGCTTACTCGACGGCAACCCGATACACTCCGTCCCGCCCACACAATCAATCACCGCATCCGGCTCAAACTTCCCCACCGCCCTCCGCACCTCCTCCTGCGTATAATCGACATGCGCATCAGTATTCAAATCCTCCAGCACAAAATCCTTATTCCTCCCACTACTCGTCGCAACGACCTTCCACCCCCTCCTCTTCGCCAACAAAATCGAATATATCCCCGTCGAACTACTCCCCCCGAGCACCGCCACCCTCTTCCCCTGGGTCTTCTCCACCCAAGGCGCCACGTTCTCAATACACGCCTTGGCCGTCAACCACACGAGACTAATCGCCGCCGCCTTCTCCGCACTCCACCCCTCCGGCTTCTTCACCGCCGGCGTGCCCCGCAGGTCCAGGCACGCCATCTCCGCCAGCGCGCCCCCGGCAGGGAGGTACGATTTAAACGCCATGCCGAAGATCTCATCGCCTTGAGAAAATTGTCCTCCTGGACAGGCGACCACCGTCCCGCTGAAATCCATCACGGTCGTCTTGGGCGATTTGTCGCCCCACGGTGCCGTGAAAGTTGGCATGTTCATGATTTGGATGTCGACGGGGTTGAGCGCGCAGGCGGAGATCCGGACGAGGACGTGTTGTTCATCCACCTCGCTCTCTTGAGGCACTTTGATTTTCGACAGTTTCAGCGTGTCGGGGTATCCGCCTGTGAAGGTCCAGGCGCGGACTTCTTGTTCGGACGCCATGGTTCTTTCTGTCTTTCTTCTGTCCTGTCCGTGAGGTCGTCGGTATGTGGTTGTTTGGGAGACAAGTTTACCGTCAAGGCGAGAGTGTAAATAGGTAGATATAACAGGAAAAAAGCGCCTCTCCAAGTTTCGGAGATGATGGATTAATAAATCATTTCCTTTCTCTTTTTGCCCTCATTGACGAGGTTATCGTTGATTCGCATCTGCGGGGCTTGGTCCGCACCCCAACATTCACCCACCTGTGACGTGATGTGGGTACCTGCACGGGAATAACGACCTCGACTTCACTACTTGCCGATACGATCAAAGGGTATGCATTGATGATGCTCTCTTGAACGTCGAATTAAAGCCTTTTGTTAGACACTGAGCCTACCCCATCCTATCTTAATCTCAAACCCATTCACTCATCCATCATCCCACATCTATCTCTATAACACCCGAAGAGAAAAACCACCACACCACGCTATGCGAACACAAAACACACAACCACCGGTTCCTCTGTCGTATCAACTACCTCCTATTAAAATTCAAATACCGACTCCCCAAAAACAGCAAAATCAGATTACTCCCCACAAACGCACACAGAATCCCAAAGTCCCTCCAGCGGTGATCAAACGAGATCCCCAGAGGCTCGTAGAACTGGTCGCCGACGCTGTACGCGCAGTAGGAACAGTCCGAGGTCGCGTTGTTGGTGATGTAGCCGGGACCACCCGCCGCGAAGAAGGGTGCCATGTAGTCGCCGCAGGTGGTACTAGGAGGTGCGGTGAAGCGGTTGAGTTCAGCATCGGTGCAGACGACGGCTTGGCCGTGGAGTTCGTTGGAGACGAGGGCGGAGATGAGGCGGGTGAAGCTGGAAATGCAGGTTAGTGTCTAATTCTTGTTCGGTGGGTAGGGGGTGATGGAAACTTACGGATCGAGCTCATACAACCACGCGCGCCAGAATCCAGGAATCTGGGGCTTGGGGATCGTGACACCGCAAAATAGCGCAAAGACGATGATGATGAAGGGGTTCAGCAGCACGGCGATGAACGTGCTGGGCGTCAGAGCCGAGACCATCTGTCCCAGCGTGACCGAAAACAGCTCGGTAACCAACACCGTGAAGAAGTTGAAACCCGCGCGATCAGATGAGGAGTTGAAGCCCGGAATGTAGTACAGCGGCAGGAAGAAGCCCACTGCACAGAGAATGCTGTACGGCATCTCAGCCAGCACCATCGATGCTGCGAAGGGGAATTGCCGGTACGTCTTCGACGCAGCTTCGCGGTAGTAGATCAATCGACTGAGATCGTACTTCGGTTCGACTTGGGCCAGAATCAGAGCGGGTAAGACGGTGACCTGGAAGATGATGAAGACGCGGTACTGCAGCGAGGTGCGGGAGTCGTCGAGCTGCAAGAACATGAGACCGGTAAGCAGGGCGATGATGACGTGGTTGAAGAGTCGCGTGAAGCCGTAGTTGGGTGATCTCCAGAACGACTTGTGCGTCCGAGACTGGACCATCTTGATCTGGTGCCACAGCGGCGTGGCGAACTCTTTCTGGTCGGCGGGAGGTTGCGAGCCGACTTCACGGATACGCTCCTCCTTCAAGCGGATGATCTCTGATTTAGTCTGAGCCAGCTCATCAGACTCTCGCCAGATCTCACCCCAGTCCTTGTCGCCGATCCGTGGTGCTTGACCAGCTCCAATGGCGTCCAGCATCCATTCGGCAGGGTTGGCGTTTGGCGGGCAGTCAGCTTCATACTTGTGGAAATAGTCGATCAAGACATGTGCGTCTTTGCCAATGTCTCCAAAGTAGACCGTCTCTCCACCTCGTTGAAGCAGGAGCAGACGATCGAAGTTTTCGAAGAGCGATGCGTTTGGCTGGTGGATCGTGCAGAGAATGGCCTGTCCGGCACCGGCGAGCTTGCGAAGGAAGCGAACGATATTGAAGGCACTCTGAGAGTCCAGTCCAGAAGTCGGCTCGTCCAAGAATAGCAGTAACTCAGGTTTAGCAGCCAATTCCACACCAATTGTGACTCGCTTTCGTTGCTCGACAGCAAGACCTGCCTCAGGACTGCCAATGATCGCATCGGCGATGTCCTCCATCTCAAGCAATGCAATGATCTCCTCGACATAGGCATACTTTTCCGATTGAGGCGTCTCATACGGCTGTCTCAGATCCGCAGAAAAGCGTAGTGCCTCACGCACAGTCTGAGTACCCTCGTGGACATCGAGCTGCTCGGCATAACTTGTCCCTCGCTGGAAAGCCGTACCAGGAGGCTTCCCATCAATGAGCTTGTCTCCAGTGATAACGCCGATATTCTTTCGAGAAGCCAGCACATCCAGAAGCGTGGTCTTTCCAGCACCCGAGGCACCCATCAATGCAGTCAACTGACCGGGCTTGACGTATCCAAACACATTTTTCAGCAATCGCAACTGTCCAGACGCTACGGGCACATCGTAGCAGATATCTTCCCAAGTAAGGACAGCCTTGGACTCGATGCTCAGGTCAGCTCCACCGCCGCTCGAGTTGTCTTTCCGTGTGCGGGATTTCTTCTTCGCCTGCAGAGCTTCATTCAACTCCTTGGTTTCCTTGGTCTCCTTCGCATAGAAAGTGATGGTCTTGCCACCAGCACCCCACTTGATGTACTCGCCCAGGAACACATTCGTAGCCAGGAAGACAGTAACCAACACTACGATAATGCCCCAGTTGCGCCAGAGATCGCTGGGGTAGTAGCTGAAAGCAGTCTCGATATAGCTGGTACCAGTCACCGAGGCACTTCCACCCGTACTTCCCGCGAGCGTACACGTCTGATGCGAGATATTGCCATAGCCAGGTCCATAGGGAATCAGATACGTGCCATCGCACTCCAGGTTCAATCGACTGAATTCATTCTCCATCATCGCCGAGAAGCCAAGGCCCAAAGCGTTGATGTAGAAGATCCACCTCAGCCAGACCTGCTGCGATTGGTACTGGATCAGATATCCGGACGTCAGCACGAAAAGCGTGATGATTGTAGCAGCAAATTTGATGGCGCTGTCAAAGTCCGGGCACAGACATCCCACGGTTCGGAAGAAGAGCGTCATGGCGAGGTACCATGTGATGATGACCAGGTAGAATGTGAAGAAGGCGCCCGCGTCGTAGACCAGTCCGCACATGAAGTAGACCATGATCGAGAAGACTAGAATCTGCACGGCTGCGAATGCCAAGTCGACCACGATCTGCGCAGTCCATAGCGCCGACGGACGGTGGAAGGTGTACGCGCGGTGTTTGTTGACGATTGGCCGTCCCAACATGGTACTCGCCAGTTCACCAAAAGCCTGGAAACAGTTGAAGAGTAGAGCGATGAAGAGCACACCACCTCTGGTGAAAGCTCCGCCGCTGGTCTTGGGTTGCTGAAGCCAGACGGTACCGACGACAATGGCGATGACGATGGAGGTGATCCAGGAGACGACGAGCGAGAAACGATCCTGCCACTTCAGGATGAATTGGCGCTTCATCAAAGCCCAAGTTTGCAGGTAGAAGGGGATGCTGTAGACGGATTTCTTCGGCGCATGGCGCTTTCCTTGTTGAACGGCGATCTTGAAGTCTTCATAGACATGCTGCTCCTCCTCCACAACCTTCCGGTATTGAGACATTTCTTCCGCGAGCTTAGTAGCGTATGTGGACTTCTCGAAAGCCGCAACCAGATCATCAGGTGTAGAGGGGACATTCGACTCATCGCGGCCTTCCTTGTACTCTCTCTCAAACGGATCCGTGCAGCCAGTAAGGTAGTCAGGGGTGGTCTGTCTGGGCTTCTCGAGGAACCCAAGACCCTCGAAATATGCTCGTGCCTCTTGCGTTGGACCAAAGAACACCTGCCGTCCCTCATCGATGATCATGACCTTGTCGAACTGGGAGTAGATGTTCTCCGAGGCCTGGTATAGCGACACGAACGTCGTCGTCTTGTAGATGTTGGTAATCACACGAAGCGACTTCGCATAGTCCAGAGCCGTCGATGCATCAAGCCCTCTTGTCGAATTATCGTACGAAAAGACTGCACCTCCTGTCACCATGGTCTCTGCGATCGAAACACGCTTCCGCTCGCCTCCAGAAATCCCTCTCACGAAGGGGTTGCCGACAATCGTATTTCTCGTGTGCTCGATATTGAACATCCGCAGCAACATATCCACAACCTTCTCCCGGAACTGAGCAGTGCTCATTCCACCAGGTCTCTTTCCAGGCGTCTTCGTCTCCAGCGCAAACCCCAGCGTCTGCCCAACCGTAAGCGTTGGATGGTGCACATCGTCTTCCTCGCAGTACACCGCCTCGCCGCGATACTGTTTCTCAAACTCCTTGCTCGTGAAAGGTCCATACAGCACCTCGCCCTCAATATTCGTGTACCCAAACCTCTGATTCGAAATGACCTTCAAGAATGTCGTGCATCCACTCCCAGGTCTGCCCAGCACGAGCACCATCTCGCCCGGCTTAACAACCCCCTTGAAGTCCTGCAAAATGCTCACTTCCTTCCCCTTCTTTCCTCCGAGCCCCACCAGGCCCAGGAGCATTTTGACCGGGAATCCAAAGAAATCCACAAACGCATCCGGAAAGACACTGACAAAGATCTTCGCGCCGCCCATGCCCTTCACCGTCAACTTATCCCAAATGACCCCGATCCGCTTGCTCTTGATCCCCGACTCCTCCTCCAAGCTCTTGGAATCGCGCAGGTACTCTTGCAAGTCGAAAGGCTCCTCATCTTCGCTGCTCGTGGGCGATGTCGTCGCTTTCTCCAGATCCTGCACGAGGTCTTGCACGCGGCCCTTCTCTCCGCTCTTGCTGCGACTCAGCTTTCGCGAGATGTTGCTGAGTTCCCTCTGCAATTCCGCGAACTCCTTCTGGGCATTGGCGACGTTGACGCCATGGCGGTCTTTCTCGTCGAGGGAAGGTCGTCCAGTGGAAGGGACATAATCCTCTTTGAAACTCGATTCCGAAACCTCCCTCTGCTCTTCAACAACCTCCGTCGTCGTGCCGCCGTGCACGTGGCCGGGGTGGTTGAGATGGAGGTCTTTCTCCAGGACCTCTTTTGCGTGCTCCATGGCGGCGGCAGGAGCCGAGAGTCAATTGGGGGCGGAGCGGTGTTGCCAATCCCTGTTGACAGGCAGTGAGGGTTACTTCGGGATTCGGCCTGTTGGTTTGGGTGGTTGGAACGAGTGCGCTCCAATGAGAGTGGACAGAAAGGATCCCCGTAGGATGGATGTCCTTGGTCGCATGCACACTCCCTGGTGGAATGCGAGCAAGCAAGCAAGCAAGCAAGCAACCCAAACCGAGAAGGGAGGGAAGATGGTGGTGAAGAAGGAAAAAGAAACCCAGACCTCAAGAAAGAGAGAAAGAAAACAAACCCACCATCTACTAACCCATCCGCCTACCCACCTTCACACACACCTCGCACGCAAGCGTCGCCTATGCACTCGACCACAGACCAGTAGCAGGCAAGGCCGCAAGCCGTAACCGGTCGGGTCGAAAGAAAAATAATGCACGCCTAGCCCCCAGTCAACAATTCGCTTGTCCACCACACAACACAGCACCGCACAGCGCTGCATAGCATTGTCCGTCCCTAGCCTAGGCCATACACACACAACACCTACACACGCCGGGCCGGGTACCAGCAAGATCCATGAGCCGAGATCACAGAGTCACACAGACAAGCGGCGTGCAGAGATGGGGCCCAGAAAACGCCAGTCAGCGTCGAGGAAGCAGGTCGATGTTCTGGAAGCTAGAGCTAGAGCAGCAATGAGACGAGGTCAGGGTCTCTGGGGGTTGTGCATAAACTCCACGCGCTATCTCCGCATAAAAGGCCAAGTCCACAATTCTGCTTTCGTGTCGTATAGCTGTGGAGTTGGACCAACTCTATCTCGAGCTCATTGCATCGTACGAGCCGGTTTGATGAATAATTCCGCTATACCAATGAAACGTCTCTCGTTGATGGAGGAAAATAAAATCACTCATTGTACAAAAACTATGTACAGGACACAATTCAACAGCAATGCAATGCTGAACAATCACTCAATCAAAACCAGAGTCCACTTCCGTGCCTTGTCCCCTCTCGAGTCACCGCCCGGCCCACACGATCCTTGCATATCGCTCATTTCGCGCCATCGCCCGCTCAACGTGATACAGAAAAGACAGGCCGGCCAGGCACCGACGACACAACAAAAACAACCGCACTCTCGCCAAACAAACACTTCGCTTCGCATTCGCCTCGACGCGCCTAGAGATGTGCCAAGTGCAACTTTCAACCGTGCAAGTCCAGTGGATGATTCATCAAATGAAATGTCGGGGGGTGAGTGAGTGGGAAATCGGCATTCCGATCCGTCTTGAAGTCAGGCCTCCCTTGGTGGTGGGTGATGTTGAGAAGCTGCCGTGTGCCCACAGCACTCCGAACTCCTTTGTGGCCTGTGGATCGTCGTGGACAGCCACCGCACAATGCTGCACATGCAGTCTTTCTTGGGTGTGGGCACCAATCATCTGTCCTTGCTTCAGATCCTCATGGTGCCTGCATTACAAATTGAGTTGTACACAACTTTTGATCACGCTCTTGCAAAACTCGTCGTCGCAGCAGCAGCGCGGCGGTGTGTGAAACGCGCTATTTGCACAATCCCGCTCTGTTGTCACGGCTGCTGCATCTGCATTTCTTCTTGCGTGTCCCTCTGCCATCGGTTGGTCCGTGTGGGTGAGTGAAGTGCAGCGTGTTGCTGGGGACGTACAACATTCTCCCCGACGAAATCGGCACATCGCTCTTGCATTAATGGGTCCCTGTGATGATTACTGAGTCACGATGATCGTGGCTCAAGACTTCTCGCGTTCGGCTTGCGACTCGTTGGTGGAGGCGTCCTGCATCTGCTGATCTTCGACTTGTTGATCACGTCTGCCTACCGCCGCGAGCCAGCCTTCTGCGCTGTCGAGAGTCGCCTTGAGGACACCCGCGACTTGACTCATCATGTCCAAGCCTTCCGATGAGAAGTCAATCATACGTTGCGCAGAGCGACTGGTTTCAGAGCCGGCCTGTGTGGAGTCGACGACGATCCTCCAGCGTTGAGGAAGGGACATCAGTTGCAGTCGTACGAACTCGCGCGCGTTATGCGGCAATGCTGCACCCGTGTAGCTTGATACCGTGGTCACGGCATGTTGGAGAGTCGTCCAGATGGCTTTGCAGTGCTGGCTGATCTCCTCTGCAAGCCGTCTCGCACTCTCATCTTGGTCGGGCGTTGAAGGACGCTCGCCCTTCTCCAGAGCCGAGTCGCTGTTGTTTCGGTACTCTTGTCGTCGTTGCTCGTAGTTGCTCAGCGCGAGAGAAAGTGCCTTGCTCACGTGTTGGAGATATCCGGCCTGGGCGCTGAGGAACTGCAGGCACATCCTCAAGCTCTTGCGTGAAGTCGTGCTAAGAGCAACAGAGAGACCAGATGTGGAGACGAAGAGTTGCGATGACCAGCTGCGATTTGCTGAAGGTCGCTCTTGCACGGCGACTTCCCTCGAGCGGTTCGCCGAAGCTGGGCTGACCTCTTCGCGGTATGAGGGCGGCCTGCTTGCTCCGTATGGTGGTGGTATCGAGTTGTCTCGTGGACGAGTGACAATGCCCTCATCGATGTCCATGCTCGAGTCCATGTTCTTGTCTCCTCGCTCAATGTCGTTCGGTCGGCGAGCGTCCAGATAACGACGAAGTCCAGCCTCGACACCAGTGATTTGGCTGACACTACCAACTGCACTGACGACCGGCGTGCCAATGTTCCTCTCGGCGAAGTTCACACCGTAGCGTACTATGCGTGGGGAGTAGTACTTTGCCGTCTCGTACGCCGTGAGGGAGCCTTTCATAGTTCCACCAACCCATGGATGAGCCGCAGACACAAGCTCGAGAAGCGGTTCGGGATTTCCAGATACGCTCCGCCCATCCGAGGCACGTGCATCGCTTGCATGTGAATGCACGTGAATCTTGTCGTGACCTCGGGCAAATTGAGCTGCTTGCAAGTCAGCGTGAATCTCTCAACACAGTCTTCTGGTCTGATCAACACTCACTTGGATTGCCCAACCCTGATAGCGCTTCGGCTGCCATGCGTACGTCTGGGTCTTCCACAGACAGCGCCCTGCTGGCTGATCTCGCATTGGTATCCTCGTAACTCATCACACTATCCGTCTCGTTCGCACCGGCCATGATGGTGTCCAGACCTCTGCGATGATCTTGCACTGCGTGGTTGTACTCTGGACCTGGATCCATTCTCGGCAGGCTTCTGACTGAATTCACGGGACTGGCGACGCTGGGTTGTCTTGGGGACATTTGCTCGAATTCGGAGGAGAGGACGGTCTTGAGGTCAGGGAGGGTGATGTCGCTGCCCAGTCGCGGCTGCTCTGGGGCGTGCGGGAGGGCATGGCTCGGGGCGACAGGCCATTCGATGGTCTCGGGCGAGCGCTGACGATAGTCAGGCGGTCTATCCTGCTGCAACTCCATTCCTGCGCATTGGGGGTTAGCAAAGGCCGGAGTAGCAGTGACGTGTGCCGTCTCGGTGGAGTGGCAGAGCGGTCGCGGTATGGCGGACTGGCAGGCAAAGCGACGGGCGGTATGGCAGTTTGGCACGTCGAGGAGGGGGTGGTGTTGGTGTGGCAGAGACGTCAGCACGGAAAACTGGCAGCGTTGCGAGAGTATGCAGGTGGGCGTCGGCGAGTCTGGTGGTTGGTGATTGGGCGCGGACGCTGTCACATGCGGATGGCTTCCCGAGGCCGTGCACGGCGGATTGGCGCACAAGCGAACGCTATCGCCCGCCTGGCTTTTCTTTGACCTTTTCACATGCAAATCCCACCACTCCTGATGCCCAATTTCTCACCGAGATGCACACTTCTCGACATGAAACGAACGACCCACAATTGCAAGTGAATGAATTGATATACGACACTGCTCTCCTCCACTCAAACACTCCAGCAACGTCTCGAAATGTTTCGACTTCGCTTCGGGGAATTTAGCCGCGACAACAAAAACAACCTTTCGAGGCGTGCACCGTCTCAATTAGACCCCCACCTGCATTTTCACGTGCCCGCACTGTGATTTCATCGTCATCATCATCGGTACTTGCTCTTACTCAACTTGTACCAAGATCTGTCATGGCCGAATTGCTTTTCATCGAGCAGATCCGATTCACAATGATACCTTTCGGTAGTATAGAGGATGAAAGGATAGGTACATGTCTCGGTACATGCCTTGTACCATCGCTTATCGTCAGCCCATGGGCACACTCCAATGGCGGTTGTCGGCTGGAATGGCCTTTGCTGCAGTATGCTGGTTGTATGGGCGAGCTGGCCTGCAGGTGAGCACAGCTACCTGGTCTCTCACCAGCAACTCACTGCGAAGTGACTATGACCATCGAAACAACTGTCCTCTGTTGGGGTTATGGTTTACTCGATGTCTTCGTTCTATTATTACAGCGAGACGAGAATCTCGGGTGATCACTAGTAAAGCGTTGTCATGCTTGACATGTGACAGAACCTACATTCAATTCCGAATCAAATGATTGATTCTGCAAGATAATGCTCGATAGAGATATTGCTATCCTCGATAGAATCAAACCTCGGCTAATAAGAGGAAGAAGTTCCTTCGTAGACCATGATTACCCAGCCTCTTCGTCTTTGGGGTTCTCAGCTCCTCCTTCAGCTTGACCATCCTCCACCCGCTGCTCCATATCGCCAAAGTCGCCCGGGTCTTCTTCCTCGTCAGAGTCATCATCTCCAACGTCGATCTCTCTCAGATCCGCATCAATGCCGTCGTAATCAATAGCCGTGTCATCCTCGCCGTCGCCTTTTGCACTAAGAAGACTTCCGCCTTTCCTGCCATAAATCACCTTGATCATGTTTCGCACTTCAAGAGCGAACGACGCCGCTCTGTCGCCGTACACCTTCCGATCGAGATATCCGGCGGTGTGATAGTTCTCTCTGGTAATCTCATCTGGCATGTGCTCGGCAAGCGGTGCGTAGATCTCCTCTGGGGGTGTCTTGCCTGCGAAGAGGTACTTCATTTTGTCTTTCATGATGGTACGTCCCTTGGCCATGGTTGCGTTGTAGAACCAACCCCACTGAAAGACGTCACATTCTGAGCGGATGTTCTTGGTGTTGAAGACTTTATGCACAACTGGGTCCGTGAGATCGCAGATCTGCCAAGTCTTGCCATTGGCGGTGATGTTCTTGCCATCAAAGATATGCGTCGTGGGGTCGGCTCTGGTGTGGCGGAGTGTGCGTGACCACGTTGTGGATGCGGTCTTCTTGGATGCAGCTCCGCCCTCTTCCCTGGCAGCGACGTTCTCGGGCTTGAACGCTTCTTTGTCGACTTGAAACATCAATGTCTGGTAAAAGCGGTATTTCGGGTCTTTGCGAGGATCGACGCCGTACTTGATGAGACTATCGCGCCATGGGCCGGCCTTGAAGCTGTAGCCTACGTATTGAGTAGCTTCTTTGAAGATCGTTTCAGAACAAGGCGGCATGGCGTTCAGAGCGACGCGTTTCGTGACGAGCGGTCTTTCATCCAAGATCTTCTGTAGCTCCTTGATGGCTCGCGGTAGAAGATCGCCATTGGGACTGTGCCTGGGAATGTCGAGAGGAGGACCTTGGGGAACCTCATCAACATCAGCCGGCAGACCCCACGTAAGGCGACGAGCTGGAGTAGATATATTCTTCGAGGTGATATTGCCAACTTCGTCCTGGACGTATACGACACCGGGCGCTTGCAAGTACTCGTACTTGTATGGCGTGTCGGTGCTGATGAAGGACGGCGGGCCCGGGAATGCAGTGATGCCTTTTGATCCGGGCGTCAGATCTACGCGAAAGTCCTTGAATCTGTTGAAGTCAGGAACCATGGCATAGTCTCGAATTTGCCGCATTATGGGAAGCTCTGTGTTGCGAAGCTGGAAGTCGGGCAGCATCCGGAATCGATGAGTCTCTCGCAGCATGCCGACTGGCGTGATGCTGTAGTTGGCTTCATTGTCGCGAAGACGTCTGATCAGACGGGGCGCCGTGATGCTATTGTCTTGCTGTTCAGGCCGATCCGGTACCGCATAAGGCTCGTCGGATCCTCGTTTGCGCTTCCTGCCCGTGCGTTTGGGGACTGTCACTTTCACCAGCACGTTCCTCGTCTCGACACCCGTGGACGGTATCTTTTTGGCGAGAGGGTCATTTGGTCGCAACGAGACACCCGCGACGGGCTCGGGCAGATGGTATTGTTTGCTGCTCAACTTGGAGTCACCGACATGATGCTCGAGAACCTACCATTTGATGAGACGTCTACTATCTGGGGGCGAGTCTGCTCAAATGCACTACTCACATGCTTGAGTTGCGCCTCGCCGCCAAGCGATTTGCGACCGTTGTCGAAGTTGCGGATGATGCCTGGGTGCTCGAGTGCGACGATTCTGCGCCCGGGCACGCCGTGCACTTCGGCGAGGCTGTCCGCCATGGTTTGGAGGAAGTGGATGGTGTTGACGTCGATTTATGGGCACATCACGTGCATTGGTTTGGTGCCCTAGGATTTGTTGTTTTGGCGAATGAAACAGCTTGCGAGGGAGCAACAGCTGCACCGCCTCTTGAATCATTAGCCGCACACCACCACCCGCGAGCACCACACCTCGCCGCCCAACTCGACTCAATCAATCACTCTTGACGCAATGCTGGCTCCGCAGCGCTGCCAATTTCGACTCTTCGCCTGAGCCTCCGTCCGCGACACACTCTCCATACCCGTCCGCTCCCTGGTCTCTGGAGCTCAGCGTCCCCTGGGCTTTGCAGCATCGCGGGTCACGCCAGACGTGAGGCCAAGCCTGAGCGCCATTCACAGCGACAACACCGCCAGAATCCTCCCGCCCGCCCTCTCCGCCCCTGCGCCGCCGTCATTCTCCCTCCTCGCCGTCGCCAACACAATCTCGAGTCACGTGGGCCAGATCTAGTCCACGGCTTGCGACGCCCGTAGCGATCCAGCAGCAGCAGCTGTACAGACGGCAAGAGCTCGCGCCGCGCACCAGCATCAGGGCTCCGCCCTCTCCCCCGCCAGAGCAGCATTGGCTGTCTCGACCTACACCCACACCGATCCATGATGAAGGGCTTTAGACAACGAGTGGTAAGCAGACACTTCTTCCCCCGCGCACTGTGTGTTGCCGGTGTGTTGATGGCAGTAATTGACAGCACGAGCAGCTCTCGCGAGCCAAAGACCGAGAGGGCAACAAGCTCGCCAAGAAGAAGGACTCCTCCTCCGGCACCCAATCGCCCCATGGTGGCTCCTCCAACCAGTCGCCCGCCGGCTCCGCGCACGCAACTCCAACCTCATCGACGAGCAACCTGGTCGACCAGCGCAATAAGCCCCTCCCCACAGATGGCCCGAGCCAGTCTCACCCCGGTGCTCCAGTGCCTGGTCCGCAGCAGATGAACATGAACCCAGGCTCTCAAGGCTTCCCACAACACGGTACCGTCGGTGGACAGCAGCCAGGCGGCGGACAGAATCAGCAAGGCCCCTCGACGCCAGGCAGGCACGGCCTCGCTCCTAGTGTAGTCATCTCCCCCAGCGCTCCGGTTTGTCGGCCAGTGCGGTCATACTATAGTCACGATCATCTTGCTAACACGATGCGTAGCACATTCCTCCTCCAGGTGCCGCCGAAACAATGCCGCACGATCTGGCGCCGCCCAAGGCTGGCCAGAAGAGCCTACTATTTGACCGACTTCAAGCGACGCCCAAAGACACAGTGCCAGAAGGGATTAGAACCCCCAAACGCCAGCATTCCTCGCGATTCGACATCTCAGATCAGAGGCAGCGCGAATTGGAAAAGCTACCCGGATTCCACGAGGTGCCGCCAAACAGGCGTCAAGAGCTGTTCATGCAAAAGTTGGACCAATGTAACATCATCTTCGATTTCAACGACGCTTCTGGGGACATGAAGAGCAAGGAAATCAAGCGGTTGGCGCTTCATGAACTGCTGGACTATGTCGCGCAGAATCGACAGGTCATCTCCGAACCAATGTACCCGCGTGTCGTCGAGATGTTCGCCAAGAACCTGTTCAGGCCAATCCCCCCGCCGATGAACCCACAAGGAGAAGCGTTCGACCCGGAAGAGGATGAACCTGTGCTTGAAGTCGCTTGGCCACACATTCAAGTCGTTTACGAGTTCTTCCTGCGCTTCATCGAAAGCCAAGACTTCAACACCAACTATGCGAAGCAGTACATCGACCATGGTTTCGTGTTGCAGCTGCTTGAACTGTTCGACTCCGAAGATCCCAGAGAAAGAGACTTCCTGAAGACCACTCTCCACAGGATATACGGCAAATTCCTCAACCTGCGATCCTTCATCAGACGTAGCATCAACAACGTCTTTTTCCAATTCATCTACGAAACAGAGCGATTCAACGGCATCGCCGAGCTTCTGGAGATTCTGGGCTCCATCATCAACGGTTTCGCGCTACCATTGAAGGAAGAGCACAAGCTGTTCCTCACGCGCGTCTTGATCCCTCTGCACAAAGTCAAGAGTCTGAGCATGTACCATCCGCAGCTGGCATACTGCATTGTACAATTCCTAGAGAAGGATGCTGCTCTCACCGAAGAGGTTGTACTAGGGTTGCTACGGTACTGGCCAAAGGTCAACAGTACAAAGGAGGTCATGTTTTTGAATGAGGTGGAGGACATCTTTGAGGTCATGGATCCGGCAGAATTCGCAAAGGTACAGGAACCTTTGTTCAATCAGCTTGCGAAGAGTGTTGCGAGCCCACACTTCCAGGTATGTAACATTACGCCGTGTCGATGTGCATGTGACGCTAACAGAGAGGCAGGTCGCCGAAAGAGCGCTCTACTTCTGGAACAACGAGTACTTCTGCAATCTTGTCAGCGACAACGTTGATGTGATTCTTCCCATCATGTTCGCACCGTTGTACGAGAATTCGAAAGGGCATTGGAACAGGTACGTCAGCTTTGCAATCAAGGAGGTTCACCGACTAATCATTCATTAGGACCATCCATGGAATGGTTTACAACGCCATGAAGCTCTTCATGGAAGTGAATCCGCAGCTCTTCGATGAATGCTCGCACGAATACACCGAGCAACAGAACAATGCCGAAGCCGTCAAGGCCAACCGACAGGCGAAATGGGATCGCCTCACTCAACTTGCGGAGCAAATGAAGCAGAACGGCCACGCCCCGGCAGTGCGGCCACCACAATCATATGGCAACCAGTCGAAAAGCCCCATGCGAACCGACGATGGCGACCCAATCTCGATGAACCGACTACGCCTGGAAGATGACAGGAGAGCAGAGCGACATTCCAACTCGGTACGTGGATGAGATGCTCGAGCCTCCAATCGCCTCATCCCAAAGCATACATTATCCCCTACCTCCCTTTCTCATTTGTACATCTGCTCTCCCTCGCAGCACGCTTTGCCTGCATAGCGAAATCCGACGATGGTTTCCCCTCACCTCCCTTCATGCATGTGGAAAAGGCGTGTGTTTCTGATTGGATATGGCGCGCGTTTAGAAGCGTTCTCACGGCAGCAAAAATCTTCATCATTCGGCGCCGACTTCGACGCATCACTCGTCTGGAAGCAGATCGAGAAGTAACAGCGGCAAGGGTGGGAGTGCCCCCAATTGAAGGGGGCTTGTGGGCACGAGCAGGGAAAAGGTGTTACCTACTGTGGATGCATTCTCGCGGAATGTCGAGGAGTCGCGTTTGTTGTCGTTTTTCTTCTGTGGGGACTAGGAGATCTCTGAGCCTGAGCATGGCGTTTGAATACCTAGAGGGATAGGAGTTTACGCAAATGTATCCTATCAATTCATCATCAGCCGCACGCTCAAGCCTCAAGTCACATGCAAGACCCGCGCTAACCGCTTCCAATTAGCGCAATGACAGGGAAGTGCACTTTAAAAATGCTGCTCTTTAGCTTCGATGAACCAATCGCCTCACCATGTGACATCGCACTGCAACACCTCACTGCCTCTGGCATGAGGACTTGACACCATGGACACAATTCAAGATCAAAAGGACGGGTTCAAAGCCTTCCCCGGCTCATCCGCCTTCTCCGAATTCCGTCTGAAAAGACTCGAAAAAGCGATCGGAGCCAAAGATCTGCAAGCCATATGGGTTCACTACGTGGCTTCAAACAGGGAGTTGCGACCCGAAGAAGTCGAAGTGCTTGATCAGCTGCTAGAATATGGAAGTTATCCTGAGTCGACCAGCGAGCTTTACGGCGTTCTACTCAAAGCTGTCATCAATGGCGTGCCACCGGAAAATCCCAACATCAAGCTCTACTACGCGTATCCACGATCCGGGACGATTTCGCCATGGAGCTCGAAAGCAAAGAGTATTGCTCAGGTTTGTGGACTGAGTAATGTCGTGAGGCGCGTAGAGAGAGGGGTACTTTTCGTGGCCAAGTTCGATGAGCCTCCGGCAGAGGGAGAGATTCCAAGCCCGGATTCACTGCACGATCGGATGACCGAGAGCCTTGCCACTTCACCGCCGAGCATGGAGACTATGTTTGCACAGCTGCCACCTGCGCCTTTGCAGCGAGTCCAGTTGTTGCAGAATCCTGCTGGACCCCGAGCAGCTCTCGAAGAAGCGAATCGGACGTTGGGGCTTGCGCTTGATGCTTCTGAGATGGATTATCTGATCGATGCGTACACCAACCAGCTACAACGTAACCCTACCGATGTGGAGTTGTTCATGTTTGCGCAAGTCAACTCTGAGCACTGTAGACACAAGCAGTTCAATGCAGACTGGACGATTGATGGAGTCGAAAAAGGCAGGAGCCTCTTCTCTATGATCCGAAACACGCACAAGGCACACCCAAAGCATGTGATTTCAGCGTACAGCGACAATGCGGCTGTCTTGCAGGGTTACACCGGTGGTCAGTGGGCGCCAGATCAATTGACAGGCGAGTGGAAGCAGATCAAGGAAACCGTGCACTATCTCGCGAAGGTCGAGACCCACAACCACCCTACCGCTGTCTCACCTTACCCAGGCGCTGCGACGGGATCTGGAGGAGAGATTCGAGATGAAGGAGCAGTCGGCAGAGGATCGAAGCCCAAAGCAGGTCTATCCGGATTCACCGTTTCAGACTTGCTCATTCCAGATCTTCATCAACCGTGGGAAGTCGACGTTGGCAAACCACACCATTTGGCGAGCAGCCTCGACATCATGCTGGAGGCGCCCATCGGGAGTGCTGCATTCAACAACGAATTCGGAAGACCTTGCACTACTGGCTACTTTAGAACATTGACGATGAATGTTCCGGTCGATGAGGGCAAGACTGAAGTCAGGGGTTACCACAAGCCGATTATGATAGCGGGTGGAGTCGGCACTGTGAGACCAGAGAACGCATTGAAGTCGAAGGGTCTCGTCAGCCCTGGAGCGCATCTCATCGTGCTTGGAGGACCGGCCATACTGATTGGACTTGGTGGCGGTGCCGCGTCCAGCATTCAGTCAGGAGAGGGTAGTGTTGACTTGGACTTTGCGAGTGTACAGCGTGGGAATGCCGAAGTACAGCGAAGAGCACAAGAAGTCATCAACACTTGCACCTCGCTTGGCCCTCAGAATCCGATCCAGCTCATTCACGATGTTGGTGCTGGAGGACTCTCGAATGCCTTGCCAGAACTCGTTGAAGATGCCGGTTTCGGGGCCAAGTTCGAATTGAGAGAAATCGACAACGCTGACCCAAGCCTCAGTCCGCTACAAATCTGGTGCTGCGAAGCACAGGAGCGATATGTCATGGCAATCGCACCTGACAAGCTGGATGCATTCATCAAGATCGCAAAGCGAGAGCGATGCGGTTACTCGGTGGTTGGGAAAGCGCAGCAGGACAAGCGCTTGGTTCTTATGGACAAAGAATCGCAACAAGATCCAACGCCCATCGACTTACCTATGCCAATCCTGTTTGGAAAGCCACCCAAGATGCACCGTGTTGTCGACTCAAGGAAGCTCAGAATACCTTCGTTCGACAGCAGTCTTGCGACTTACCTGCCAAAAGAGCCGGCCACCGCCACAGCTATGCTTACACACGCTGCAGACCGAGTGTTGGCTCTACCGTCGGTAGGGTCGAAATCCTTTCTTATCACCATCGGAGACAGGACTGTTGGTGGACTCACAGTCAGAGACCAAATGGTTGGACCTTGGCAGACTCCTGTTGCGGATGTATCTGTAACAGCGACATCTCTCACCCAAGGCATCAAGACCGGCGAAGCCATGGCTATGGGCGAGAGACCCGCACTGGCTCTGATCTCACCAGCAGCCTCTGCACGTATGGCCGTGGCGGAGTCGCTCACGAACATTGCTGCTGCTAGCGTCGAGAACAGATTGAGCAAGATCAGACTGTCGGCGAACTGGATGGCAGCCAGCAGTCATCCAGGCGAAGGCGCCAATCTATACGAAGCCGTAGAAGCCATCGGTATGGAGCTCTGTCCCGACCTCGGGATCAGCATACCTGTGGGCAAAGACTCTATGTCCATGAAAACAAAATGGGATGGCAAGGAAGTAACCGCACCGCTTTCGCTCGTCATCACTGCTTTCGCACCCGTCAATGATTTGAGCAGTACCTGGACTCCAGCTTTGAGACGGCACGAGGAAGTTGGCGATACACTTCTCATGTTCATTGACTTGGCTGGAGGCAAGAAGGCACTCGGCGGCTCGGCTTTGGCGCAGTGCTTTGGTCAAGTGGGCAACTCAGCACCCGATGTTCACGATGTGGACTTCATCAAGGACTTTTATCACGCCGTCGAGCAGCTGCACGAGTCTGACATCGTTCTGGCGTATCATGATCGCTCCGACGGCGGCTTGTTCACCACCCTGGTGGAGATGATGTTCGCTGGACGTTGCGGTGTCGATTTGATGCTTGACCGTATCGTTAAGTCTGGCCGACCTCAGGATGTCTTGGAAACAATGTTCAACGAAGAACTCGGCGCGGTCTTCCAAATTCGCAAGAAGCATGAGAGCGAGTTCAGAGGTGTCTTCGCACCAATGTCGCCGCTCGTGATAGGCACTGTGCCCAAGTCGTCGAAGCAGGAACTTGCTGTGTACTACGGCGCTGACTGCATCTACCGTGCTCCCCGAAAAGATCTGCAGAAGAAGTGGTCGCACACCTCATGGGCGATGCAGAAGCTGAGAGATAATCCCGAGTGTGCAGACACTGAACGAGCAAACATCGACGACGATAAGGACCCTGGTCTGCAATACAAGCTCTCATTCAAGCCAGAGGAGAATATCGGTACCTGGAGTGCGACACTCACCTCAGCCGTCCGCACCAAACCTCGTGTTGCCATTCTCCGTGAGCAAGGTGTCAATGGCCAAGCAGAGATGGCGTTCGCCTTCTCAGCAGCTGGATTCAGCCCCATCGACGTACACATGACCGACATCCTCTCCGGCCGCTTCTCCCTCGCCTCCTGCCAAGGTCTCGCCGCTTGCGGAGGGTTCAGCTACGGCGATGTCCTCGGCGCAGGTCAAGGCTGGGCGAAGAGTGTTCTCCTTCACGATGGCGCACGCGAAGAATTCAAAGCCTTCTTCGAGCGCAAGGACACATTCGCCCTGGGTGTCTGCAATGGCTGTCAATTCCTCTCTCGCCTGACTGAGATCATCCCTGGCGCGGAGTCTTGGCCAACGTTTGAGCGTAACGTCAGCGAACAGTACGAAGCTCGCGTCTGCATGGTTCAAGTCACTAACCCGCCTTCGCAACCACCTGGCGTCTTCTTGCACGGAATGGAAGGCAGCTACCTCCCTATCGTCACGGCACATGGCGAGGGCCGCGCAAACTTCACCACGACAGGCTCCTCATCCCCACAAGGCCTCATCGACCAGGGCCTCGTCTCGATGCGCTACGTCGACAACTACCTCCAGCCCACGGAGAAGTACCCCTTCAACCCTAACGGCAGTCCATTGGGCATTACGGGTGTGAGGACGCCAGACGGGAGAGTCCTGGCTATGATGCCGCACCCTGAGCGTACGATTCTGAAGGAGGTGGCGAGTTATCTGCCCAAGGAGCAAGCGAAGGAGTGGGGTGAATTCGGGCCTTGGGTGAGAATGTTCAGGAGCGCGAGGAGGTGGGTGGGTTAGCCAGAATACATACAATGGTGAAAGGACCAAGGGACAACATGACTAGACTTTGGAACGATTTTTGCTGCCTTCTATGTCTCCTTCGATGAAAGGTTATCCTGTTGCTGTGGTTGCTGCTGTGTTGGTGCGGTCTCGCCGGTCTGCCGCTCGTAGTCTTCTTCGTACATGCGCCAGACTTCGGCGTCGCGGGCGATTTTCTTGCGGTTGCGCATGAGTTTCTCGTGTTGGATTAGGCGCCGGTCGGCTTCGACGATGGAGCCGAAGGTCATGCCTGACATTTGGAGAAAACTAGCAAACGCATCAGAAAACGAGTGTACGAAACGGGGTAGGACTGGTGCTTCGAACGTACACTTTCATCTGAATCGTCAACCCTCTATACAACGGACTGAACGTGAACGCCACCCCCGCCGCAACTGCCGAGAACAATCCCCACTGTGCCGTTCACGTTGTGTCAGAATCGGAGTCATATTGCTTCTCAAAGCGGCAATCACATCGCCACCTTGACATCGTAAATACGCACTTTGCAGGCTCCGACCGCGGCGCCTCTGGCGGCTACCCACGAGGCTTCGTTGATTTCTTCGTCTTTGGTAAGACTGCCATGCTTCCGCACCATCCTCTCGTCACCGCTGGAACAGGTCAATCATTGGGGGATGAAGTGAGGTCGATAGCGCACGTGAGAGGAGGGTAGGTGAAAGTTCGAACATGCACGAGATGGCGGAGCTCTGGCCAATGACGCAGTCGATAAGTCGGCTCACACGCAGCGGACTTAGCAGATTTGGGTGTTGGGGTTAGTAAGAGTCGGCATCGGGCAGGTCGATCCACGTAATAGTGGTGCGTGAAGAAAGATACGTCCTGCAGCTTCTACCTGCCTACTGCACTCACCGTGGTTGATCGATTCTTCTCCAGAAACGGGCGGCAAGAGGCGGCGTTGAGAAGTCTGCTTGCATCCGGAATCCTTTGCTGCATTCTCCTCTTCTACACTACACTACCTACATACATCTCTATACCTCCAGTCCCACACCTACGCCTAAGCCCATCACCGTTACACCGGAACCCTCCCTCCTCATCTGCGACACACAACCGCAGAGCAGGAGCTGGTTCCGCGCCCTGACACCGCCCCGCCAAATGCCAATGCTGGACGAAAGCCCGCTGCTCCAGCACCAAGCCGCCGCCCAGACGCCCTTCGCCTACGCCTCCACCTTCGACATCCTCTTCCCGCCCACCTACCTCTCCGCCTCCGCCGCGACCAAACACCCACTATGCGGTAACGCTGAGGGCTGGGGCCCGCTGAGCCCACACCGCTACGACCTCACCCCATGTTTCCTCGACATCTGGGTCCTCATCGTCGCCGCATGGGGACTCTTCGCGGGCCTCGCTGCCATCTGGTGGCTGTATCGCCAGACGCGTCCGGAGCCCGTGGGGCGGAATTGGCATTTCTACAGCAAGCTTGCGGTGGTGGGAGTGATCCTGCTCTTGACGGTCGCGCAGGCGGGACTGCAGATCTACGCGTTCGGGAGTGATGTGTGGTTTCGGGACTTCAGGTTCTGGACGACGGTGGTCAGTTTCCTGGGCACGGGGGTGGTTGGATACATGCAATATGCGGAACACTGGCGGTTGCGGTACCCGCATGGAGTGGTGCTGGTTTACTGGCTGTTTTACTTGATCGTGAGCGCGGTCAAGTTGAGGAGCTTGGTTTCGCAGAAGAATCACGTTTATCATGTGGCATACTTTGCGGTCTTTACCGCGACCATGGGGTTTGCGGCTGTAGAGCTGGTGTTGGAATGGCTGGTTCCTAAGAAGGTCTCTGCCTACGATGCGTTGGGTGATGAAGATGAGTGCCCGCTGGAATATGCGACGCTGTTCTCGTCTCTGACGTTCTCGTGGATGACGCCGTTGATGAAGTTCGGGTACAAGGAGTTCCTTACTCAAGACGATCTGTGGAATTTGCGCAAGAGCGATACCACCAAGACCACTGCTGGCGAATTCAACGAGGCGTGGGAGCATGAGCTGGAGAAGAAGAAGCCTAGTCTTTGGATCGCCATGTTCAGCGCTTTTGGTGGGCCGTACTTGATAGGCGCCATCATCAAGACTGCGTCTGATTGTCTGGCTTTTGTGCAGCCTCAGCTTTTGCGCTTCTTGATTTCCTGGGTGGACTCCTACAGACCTGGAAATGAGCCTGAACCGCCGATCAAGGGTGCGGCTATCGCAGTCGCCATGTTTGCTGTGTCCGTCGCCCAGACTGCATGTCTTCATCAATACTTTGCTCGCGCTTTCGAGACGGGCATGAGGATCAAGAGCGCGCTTACGGCTACGATTTACACCAAGAGCATGAAGTTGAGCAACGAGGGACGAGCATCGAAAAGCACTGGTGATATCGTCAACCACATGGCCGTGGATACCCAGAGGTTGCAGGATCTTGCGCAGTACGGCCAGCAGCTTTGGTCCGCGCCCTTGCAGATCACGCTGTGCCTGGTATCGCTGTATCAGCTCGTGGGTGTGAGTATGTTCGCGGGGCTGGGTGTCATGATTCTCATGATTCCCATCAATGGATTCATCGCCAAGATCAGTAAGACACTTCAGAAGAGGCAGATGAAGAACAAGGACGCCCGTACGCGTCTGATGACGGAGATTCTGAACAACATGAAGTCGATCAAGCTCTATGCCTGGACCAAGGCGTTCATGACCAGGCTGAATATGATTCGAAACGACTGGGAGCTGAACACCCTGCGCAAGATTGGGGCTGTCACTGCCGTGGCCAACTTCACCTGGAACTCGACGCCTTTCCTGGTCTCTTGCTCGACATTCGCGGTCTTTGTGGCGACTAACGACAAGCCGTTGTCGACCGATATCGTCTTCCCGGCGTTGACTCTTTTCAATCTGCTGACCTTCCCACTTGCAATGCTGCCAATGGTCATCACCGCCATCATTGAGGCTTCTGTCGCAGTCAACCGTCTGACCGACTACTTCACTGCGCCCGAACTTCAGCCAGACGCCGTCCTACGTGGGGATCCTGTCGAGCATGGCGAGGAATCGATCCGAATTCGCGATGCTACATTCACCTGGGACAACAACGACGATCGAAACGTCCTCCACGACGTCAACTTCAGCGCCCACAAAGGCGAGCTTTCGTGTATTGTTGGCCGAGTGGGAGCTGGCAAGTCGAGTATGCTGTCGACGATGCTGGGAGACCTCTACAAGATCAAGGGTGAAGTTGTCGTGCGTGGCAGCGTTGCGTATGTCGCGCAGAGTCCTTGGGTCATGAATGCGAGTGTCCGCGAGAACATCGTCTTTGGCCATCGTTGGGATCCGCAATTCTACGACAAGACTATCCATGCTTGCGCTTTGAAAGAGGACTTTGCAAGCTTGCCTGATGGTGACCAGACTGAAGTTGGCGAACGTGGTATTTCTCTGTCGGGTGGACAGAAAGCTCGATTAACGCTTGCTCGCGCTGTGTATGCTCGTGCGGATATTTATCTGCTTGATGATGTGCTCAGCGCGGTCGATCAGCATGTGGGAAGGCACTTGATCGACAATATTCTCGGTCCCAAGGGGCTGCTGGCTGGAAAGACGAGGATCCTGGCTACGAATGCCATTCCAGTCCTCATGGAAGCACACTTCATCGCTCTCCTGCGCGACGGCAGAATCATCGAGCGCGGCACTTACGAACAGCTCATGGCCATGAAGGGCGAGATCGCCCAGCTGATCAAGACCACCAGCAAGCAAGACTCGTCCGCCGAAGATTCCCTCGAAAGCCCTTCATCGCCAAGCACAGTCTACGGGCTGGAAGATCCGGAAGACGAAGAGGAGCAGGCGGAGGCTACTGATGGACTGGCGCTCATGGAGCCTATCAAGCCTGGTGGCGGCGCTCCTCAGCGCAAGACTAGCAATATGACATTGCGACGGGCTTCGACGGCTTCCTTCCGTGGACCACGTGGAAAGGTGAATGACGAGGAGGAGAACAAAGGTCTGAAGTCGAAACAGACTAAGGAGTTCTCGGAACAGGTGCGTAGACATCAAGCCAAGCCCGTGTTCTACCTGCTCACGGCATACCACATTCGAGATGCCATACGAGGAATGTTTGAGCACTGCTAACGTCATGACAGGGCAAAGTCAAGTGGGACGTCTACAAAGAATACGCCAAGGCCAGCAACCTCTACGCCGTCGCCATTTACATGGTGACTCTCGTTGGCGCGAAGACCGCGGAGATCGGTAAGTCGACACCGCGTCTAAATGACTGTTTCGTCTTGAGTGGCAGATCTTGGCCGCGAGATCTGCAAGCGTCTCGTGATTTCCCGCTCCACCAGAGGTTGTGGAGATCAGAGACGACGAGAATGCCAGCCTTTTCGTTGAGCTTCAGCGCAGCCGCGCTGGCCGACGACATTTTCCTTCGCTCGTTGAGGAAGGTCACGGCGTGTCTTGCATCGATCGGACATGTTCGGTGCTGAGATTCGAGATCTGGAGGCTAACGCATCTGCACACAGGGGGGAGCGTCTGGCTCAAGAATTGGTCAGAAGCCAACGACGTGGCCGGCGGCAACCCGAACGTCACCAGGTACATCCTCATCTATTTCGCCTTCGGCATCGGCGCGGCCCTGCTAGTCGTCATCCAGACCCTCATGTAAGTCGCGTGTCCGCATGAAACGGCAGGAAAATTTGTGGCGTCTGACAGTGAGGCAGTCAGTGGATCTTCTGCTCGATCGAGGTGAGCCTTTTTCCCAGGTCATCTCCATTTGCATCGGCACGACAGAGCGCGTGGATGCTCTGGCGATGCGGCCCGACGCAAGGCTAATGCAGGTGTACAGGCATCTAGGAAGCTGCATGAGCGTATGGCATACAGCGTAAGTCGACCACACTTGGTCCATTGACACAATGGTCAGCCAAGTGCATGTTGTGCTGATGTTGTTGGACAGATCTTCAGGAGCCCCATGTCCTTCTTCGAAACAACACCATCCGGCCGAATCCTGAACCGCTTTTCTTCGTAAGTGCCCTGCAGTGTCCCGTCCGTGCTTCCGTGGTTGTTATTGAGTTTCTCCGGCGACCTGGTCCACATGACGATGCAGCTGACCGTTTCTTCCTCTTGCGCAGGGATATCTACAAGGTACGTCTGCAAGCCAACGGCGACAGCCATCCCGCATCTACTACTCCGACGCTAACGCTCCACCACAGGTCGATGAGGTGCTCGCGTAAGTACATCCGGCTTTAGTGCATGTCCGAGATTGCCACTGACAGCCGGGATAGGCGCACCTTCAACATGCTGTTCACGAATGCCGCACGAGGTGAGTAGCCATGCGTGGGGTGGTGGACGATGAATCGCATCACTGACACGGTTTGCAGCCGCTTTTACGCTGGTTGTCATTTCGACGTCAACCCCTGTCTTCATCGCCCTCATCGTTCCTCTTGGCGCCCTGTACCTCTGGATCCAGAAGTACTACCTGCGAACGTCACGAGAGCTGAAACGCCTCGACAGTATCAGCCGTAGCCCCATTTACGCCCACTTCCAGGAATCACTTGCCGGAATCAGCACAATACGAGCCTATCGGCAGGCGAAGCGCTTCTCTCTCGAAAATGAGTGGCGTGTAGACGCTAACCTGCGGGCCTACTTCCCTTCAATCAGCGCCAACAGATGGCTTGCAGTTCGCTTGGAGTTCCTCGGGTCCATCATCATCCTCGCGGCGGCTGGCTTCGCCATTATCTCGGTGACGGTGGGCAGTGGTTTGTCGGCGGGTATGATTGGGCTTGCCATGAGCTACGCCCTGCAAATTACACAATCGCTCAACTGGATCGTGAGGCAGACTGTTGAAGTCGAAACTAACATCGTGTCCGTGGAACGTGTTTTGGAATACGCTCGGCTGCCAAGCGAAGCGCCTGAAGTCATTTCGAAGAACCGCCCGCCGAACAGTTGGCCTTCGAAGGGTGCCGTGTCGTTCAACAACTATAGCACGAGGTACCGACCGGGATTGGACCTGGTCCTGAAGAATGTCAATCTCAGCCTCAAGTCGCACGAGAAGATTGGAGTGGTTGGTCGAACGGGCGCGGGCAAGTCATCCCTGACGCTGGCGCTTTTCCGGATCATCGAGCCGGCGGAAGGCGATGTCACCATCGACGGCATCAGCACAAGCTCCATCGGGCTGTACGACTTACGTAGTCGACTTGCAATCATTCCTCAAGACGCCGCGCTATTCGAAGGCACTGTCAGGGACAACCTGGATCCAGGGCACATCCACGATGACACGGAGCTGTGGAGTGTTCTCGATCATGCTCGGCTGCGAGATCACGTCGCGTCGATGACGGGGCAGCTGGATGCGCACATCCAGGAAGGAGGGTCGAATCTTTCGCAAGGACAGCGGCAGCTCGTGTCGTTGGCGCGCGCGTTGTTGACTCCCAGCAATATCCTGGTTCTGGACGAGGCGACGGCGGCGGTGGATGTTGAGACGGATGCGATGCTGCAGACGACGCTGCGGAGCAATATGTTCAAGGATCGTACCATCGTTACGAGTAAGTACCTGCAGCATCGACATTGATCATTGCAGGGAGACCGAAGCTAACATGTGAATGCAGTCGCGCACCGCATCAACACCATCCTCGACAGCGACCGCATCGTGGTGCTGGACCACGGCACCGTCAAGGAGTTCGACTCACCAGCAAATCTGATCCAAAGCAGGGGCCTGTTCTACGAATTGGTTCGCGAATCGGGGCTTTTGAGCCAGGTCGACACTTCCGGGGCTGGTCAGTAGCCAAAGCAAGCGTGCATGCCATGCAAGTGTGTCTGTTTAGAGAGAGACTCCGACTACAAAAGCTTTGTCTTGCAAGCGATACGAATCAAAAGCGTTTGACGGCCGATGATCTTCTTCTTCTTCTTCTTTCATGCAGAACCGTTACCGGTACAGTACTTCCATGGTGATTGATGATGTAGGAGCCGAAGTGAATGTCAAACGCCACTGACATGTGAACGTCGCTAGCTTGACGAGCCGTCCGTTCCCCGGAGGATTATGCGCGGATTCCTGTCCTGTCCTTCATGCCCATGTTATTGCTTGCCCTCGACGATCGACGACGCCGCCTTCTTCATGCGACGCACCTAATAACTTTCACGCTTCAAAGTGAATGAGGACCTACATAGATGAACGTCAAACGCCACCAAATAAGCGACCCGCCTGTTCCCCGAAGGATTACACGCCCATGTGTCCGCCTGTCAACGGCGGTGTGTGGCTTGACATGTGTCTGTCGGCGAATTCTTATGGTGAAGGGGCAATTTGTGTGTGACTTCGTTTCGAAATCGGAGGGGGAGGGGTCGTGGGTGGGTTGGAGTTTGGGTTTTGTGGTGACGATATTGGTGGTTTTTGGCGTTGTGTGTAGAAAGAGGGGTGGGGAGAGTTTGACTGGGTGAGATGGGATAATGGGATATGTAGTGAGTGCTGTGTTTGAGGGGGTTGAGAACTATGTGCTTCTGCTTCTGCTTCTGCTTCTGCTTCTGTGTGTACTTTGGCTACATTTTGGGGGTTAGGTGGTACGTTGTTATTTAGTAGCGGCGAGACCACCCGATATTCGTTCAATACGAGATACAGTTCACATGCTCGTCAGGAGACTGATCTTGATCGCCTTTCGTTATCGACGTTCGCCACGACTCGGGCTCCTTGGGTTTCACGCCCCCGATTTCACACCCCTACCGACAGCAGGAACGGACCGTAGGTTTTAGCCGGCACAGCGATGCCGAGCCCGATGCGAGCCTTGGGAATCAGGGGTCTGGAGATCGGAGGCGAGGCCGTCAACACCATCATCAACATCGAGGCGTGGTTCGCGCCATCGTCAAAGACACAATCGACAAAAGCTGCTCCTCCCTGAACATTCTTCATTCACTTCCGTGTCTCCTGGCGCGTATCGCACCGCGGGATGTCCTCCCCGAAACATGGATCCTTGAAGGTGAGCTGGGGGTGTAGGGTGTGTGCATCTTCCTCGTTGGGATATCCTGGCAGGAAGTGCGAATGTCATGGATGTGTGGGTGGTGATATGTAGTGGAGATGGGTACGAAGAGGGGAGAGGGCTAGGGCTCAAGGCGGAGGGTTTCCGACAATTGTTCAGATTCGACAGGCAGTGGTGAGATTTGGGGGGTAAGGGGATACGTCAATGGGGGAGGAAGATGTCGGAGTGTCGTTGTGTGGATTGTTAGATCGCCGAATCGGTCGGGGCGGGAGGCACTCGCCGAGAAGGGGCCTTGCGTGAAGCTGGGGGGTGTTGCAGCAACTAGTAGGGGACCTCGAGCGGCTTTACCACATCGAGTAGTCGCATATCCTTGTGCTGCTCCAACGTGCTATGACCGCTGGTTGGAGGGCGAGGTGCCTGTCTGGGCGATCTAGTGTTTACGTAGGCCCTGTCTAGTTTAATGTATCGTTGGGCTCGTGAATGTAGGTTGTGGGTTGTTGGTTTGCAACTTGTTTTACCTATCTTAGGCTGAGAATTGCCAGTGTGAGGATACGAAGGGGGGAAGAGAAATTTGTTCACGGGCACGAGGACATGCTGTGGAGCAGGTTCTATGCTTGGTACTGCTAACAACAGGTTTTGTGCTTTGATGAGGCGAGACATCATGATACGTGAGGGGTCAAAGTGAGGCATTCTTTTGGGAGGGAGCAGCTTTGCTCGTGGGGTGTCTCTTTTCTTTTCTTTGCGCTGCGCGCGGCTTGGAGAAATGTCTTCAGCCCCTGGCCTGAAATTCGCCGAAGTCGATACGGCGTGTTCTGTGGGAGAGCATGCTGCTATCCGTCCTCGCGTATGCCGAGATGTTGGTTGAGGAGAGAAGGCCGAGAGCCCGTGAAGTCGGTGAGCCGTAACCGTGCTGCACTGTCGACATATTCGTCCCCTGCATGATTTGCGGGAGTGACGGCCCGTCGCCATCTCCCGCAGCAGGCAGTGCGACAGCTACATTGTACACTCTTGATTGCATGGCGGTTGGTGGTCTCATCGGTGCTCAAGCGAAGGGAGCACGCTTCAAGCACAAGGCTGAGATGAGCGTTGAGTGTGCATCGTTACACCGCCGCGCTGTGTCCCTGTTCTAGAAGACTTGATCAAATCTGCGAAGGCGGTCGCATCATGAGCGTGGTGAGGTGTAGTGCACTCCAGTATGTCTAGCTGCATTGCGTCGACCAGGGCGTGGTGGGAAGTTGGTCGTCCCTCGCCTCGTGGCAGCTGACACGATCAAAGCCTGAAATCTCCGCTCCTTGCCCGCAGCAACGCAACCGGATCAAGAGACATTTCCTCCTCGTTCTTCGATGGGTGCATGTTGTTACACCACATCTGTAAATCAAAACGGTCGATCGCGCTGCAACTGCAATGCACGCCCGGACTGTCCTTCCGCGGTCCATCCCGTCTCGGCTCTACAGGCCTCCTGGTTCAAATGGCCCTTTGAAATCTCGCCTAGATGCAGACACATTCCGGAACCCACCTCTTCAGATCGATGGCGATCGCTCACTGGATGGGATAGTGCGAATAGCGACAGGATCCCCCATGCTAGTAGCCCACAGCGTCGGGCTCACTTTTCTTTGAGAGATTGATTCGATGTAGGCACACGGACCTGGATCAGGGTTGTTCGATGAACGGGTGCTGCGTTGGCTGTGGCGGCAGGCACGCATTCCTTCGACCTGGTGATGTCCCTTTCACGACCTACGCGCCCGATGCGGGAAGTCTTCCCACTCTCACAAGAGGTATCGGCTTCTGGTGTGTGTAAGATCCAAAAAGTTATGGGTGCTCAACATATCCAGACTTTGGACCAATGTAGGTAGCAGCATGAACCATCGGTACTCCGGCCCTGCACGCTACTATTTGATAGTGCTGTAGCCACGGGCAAGCGTTCTTTCCGGATATCACCAGATTCTGAGATTGATGATTTCAGCAATCGTGTAGGTCCACATCTTGGGTCGGCGCTTGGGGTGGTGTCGTCCATGTTCCCTGAGGGTTGAGTTAGTGCCTGGGTTCTGGTCTCCACTAACCCGACGTTCGTTGACAGATGTCAAATCGTCCGAACATCCACGCGAGGACGATCTAGGCTAGTCGAAGAGTGTACGAGATCTCTTGCCCGCCCTTCATATTTCATCGCAAAGCCCACCCAACGATCTTCTTAGACCTCCATTGGCATACCACTCGATCGGTTCCGTCCTCAACTTCGACTTCACCTCTTCACACATTGACGTCGACATACAGTCGTTACTTCTGTACCTGACTTGCCACATACCCTTCCCAGCCATCTTCTTCTCGACAACCAATCTTGGACCAATCATTGACGACTCCCTCCATCCTCGCACTGAGACTCATTATTTGAACAACCCCAAGTAAGACACGTTGCCAAGGATTCGGAATCTGTACGGATGTAACACCGCGTGGCGTGAGAGCAGCGCTGACACCTATTAGCTTTCGACCACCAGCTCGCCAGTCCCGCACTGTCAACAGATGGCAGCATAGGGTCAGTACTATCGGTCCATTTGCCCAAAGTTGGCTAACGGTTGATACAGGATCAGCCGCAATTGGTCATTTACGAATTTACGGCCGCCATTACTGTCCATTGCAAGAACGAAGACTTTCCAGAGGTCGTTTCTTACCGCCGCAATGGTTGATACCCCGGACGTCTTGATGCACGGACGAAGTCTGGTGAAGCACACGCAGCAGGTCATCCATAGAGATGAGGTATGTATTCGATGGTGGCTCCTCTGAGATGACTGGCTGACCACTTGTAGACCATTCAGTCTTTCCAACATGCTCTCGCAGCCCAAGGAATTGACAGCAAGCAGTCATTTGCCTTCATCGGCTTTGATGAGAACGGTAACATCCGTATCCATGCCTCTGGCCAGGTAAAAGGCTTTCTTGACGAACAACAAATGGAGTCTGGGTTCCAGGAGGCATATGAGAAGGCCGTTCACGAGTCGTTCATTGTTCCAGAGCCAACTTGTAAGTCGCCCAGAGCCTTATTCGGAAAAGATGCTAACGCCGAGCTAGCAGCAATATCCATTGACGAGGATCAAGGATCTGACTATGGGGATGATGAGTTTCCAACACTTCCTCGAACATCCGGTGCCGCTCAGAGTAGAGTTTATCGTGTACCTCGCCAGCGTGGGGATCGTGAGCAGTCGATGCTGCCTTGCAACGCCTCCAGGCATGGCCTTGCTGAGCCTGTGCCAGAGTCACAGCTTGTACGCGAGGTCTCTCCTTCGGAACCGAACGATGAAATGATCCCACGAAAGAAGGTATCGAGAACTTTGCGGATGGACGACACCGTCCAAGTGGTCGATTTCTTGAGGACGAGACTCAAGCGGATGCAACAGCTTGCCGTCAAGAAGATCGCGAAGGCATGGATCAAAGGCATTTGCCCCAAGAAGCAGGCCAAGTTCCCATACCAAAACAGCAAGAAGTGTGACGAGGTAGAAGGCTTCAAGCCAAGGATACCTGGCTGGTGGCCAAAGCAAGGCTGTCGGTTCACAGAGCCAGACCACATCAAGCGAGAGGGTAAGTCAGTCGCTCCGCATCTCCATTCTTTGCTAATGATTACAGAGCGAATGACCCTGTGTCTCCATCTCCTACGCCTTCGACCAACACCTGCACAGCTCAAAGAGTGGAACGAAGACAAGTCCGAGCCCCATCCAACCCATCTCACAAAGGGCTGGACTGAGTTCTTGCAAGAGCTGGCCGGAGCCTCGGTTTTCGATGACCTTCAGAAGGAGGACAAGAAGAAGACGGAGTTGAAAAAGGAGCTGTTGCGTCATATGTACGAAGTTGCTGAGCTGGAAGAGAAATACTGCAATGGCGAAGTTGGTTGGTGCCTGACATTCGGTCCTTGTGATAGTCCTGTACTGACAGATAAAGCAGATCCTGACGCGAGCCACCACTGGCAAGAGGACGAAGATGAGAGCAGGACAGTCCTCACCAAGAGACCTCGCCAAGAGCTTCTCGACTTCGCGATCGACCAAGCCTCTCGCCAGTCCTCTGAATCTGTCGACTGCAGGCGGGTGAAGAGGCCCCGACGGGACTCGACTCTGGACAGGGACTGCAAGGACCCCTCGATTGCTCAGCCATCCAACATGAATATGCTTGAAACGCTGTCCAGTGATGACGCCGCCCATGAGGCGGATTCGAGCGCAACCATTGACGCAAAACCGCCGCTACACGCTCATAAGACAACGACTTCAACGGAAGCTTACAGGCGCTCCAGTAATGGCGACGATGAATTCTCTGGAGCGCCCTTGAAGCGGGACTCCAGCGCAGTTGGTCGATGGCGTCATTTTGAACCACCTGGAGGCAATTGGGTTGAAAGTGCCGTCACGACACATCCATTTGGAACACCCGGCAATCACTTCGCAATGCCGAACAATTTCCACGGAGACTCATCCAGACAGTTCAATTTCAACAACCACAGCGGATATACATACCCTCAGCAACCGGAGCAACCACAAATGGTCCAGGTCCATCAAGTCAGCCATGTTCCCGAGCCGCAATTCCAAGCGATCCAAAACGGTCCAATGTACTCCCCGGAAGCAATGATGCCTGTGCCTGTTTGTAGCTTCATTCCTCCTGAGTACAACGTATCCGTGTCTTCTTCGCAGCCTTACCCGAACAGCATGGCGCCAAGTCAGTACTTCATGCCGGCTAATGCAGATTCGATGATGGGCGACTACCATCCTCCGCCACCGCAGCCTCAATACGACCAACACGGTCTGGCAGAGCGCCACATTGCGCCCATGCAAGTCCACGGATTGCCCTTCACACAACCGTCAAGCTGGCAGGGCAGACCTTTCAACGGGCATTGCCAGAATTCGACCTGAGCAGGATTAAGCGACAGATACTTCCGTCAGCACGCCTGTGGGCTGCCTTTTCCCTTGTGGACAGATATGACTTGACGAGCGTTGAAGCGAAAGCGTATTTATTTCCGGCATTTCGAGCTTGTATGGGGGCCTGAATATTCTTTGCGGAGATTCTCAATCAACATTGTACAGTATGCAGCGTGTTTGGCACCGAACCCAGCTTGAACGCTGGTTCGGCATGAGAAATGAGCGATGAGGCCATGAGGTCAATGAGAGCGCTTCGGATGCTGGTGCTGGCACGAGCGCGAGGATAATGTCAATTTCGATATCGAGTCTTTGAATAAAGTGCATAATGGTAGAAGAAATGTCCATCTGAAAGTATCAGTGTCATGGCGTGATAGGAGGGTGAAAGTGGGAGAGTGTGCCGTGTGAACAGGTGCTGTCGAATTTGACTCGTGACCTCGCCGAAACTCAAAACGGCGCTAAGCCTTAGGGTTCTGGATCGGCGGGCTGTCACATCGACGCATCGGCACCAAAGAAAGAAACACGACGAGCACCGCCAAACAAAGCCATCGCCAACAATGCCGCATCGCCCGCCCGCCGAATCGAGACCTTGAACGAGCTAAACTAATGACTCTCATTCAGGTGCACACTCACATCGGCGACCATGTCGTCAGTGAGAGGTGGAGGGTTTCGCGGACGCGGTCGCGGGAACACCTTCAACGCGCAAAGCAACACACCGTTTAGAGGAGCATCCGACGCCCGTGGTACATCATTCGGCAATGCGCTGCGACGTGGGAACACTACCGGCCGAGGCGCATTCAATACAGCAGCTCGCGCAAATGGCGCACCATTCGCAAGAGGTCGAGGTGGTTTTTCGCGCGGCGGGGGCGCTTTCAAGCAACAGACCACGAAGCCTGCCGCAGGCGGTGCGATATCATCGGGCACATGGCAAAATCGACAGGAGCAGGTATGTGGCTTTCGCAAGACCGAGCCGCTGGAATACGCAGAGAATAACTACGTACAGCTCCAAAAGCATCGCGACCAAGAGAGGAAAGACGCCATTGTCCACGGCCTCATGTCCGATCCCGACAAGCAAATTGGTCTCTCCGAAGCGATTACCATTGTGGGAACCTGTCAAGATATGTGCCCAGAGAATGAGAGGGTGCTGAGGACAGTGCGCAACGAAGTGTGGGCTGAAGAGAAGGTTGGTTGAAATGGACACATTGAACCCGTGATGGTTGTTGATATATACTAGGACACAAACCAGGCCGCAGCCGGCTCTTCTACTGCAGAGCCAGACGAGGCTCGCATGGTCAAGGCTTTCAGAAGGTCTGCTGCAGGCGATGAAGTACAATTGCCCTCCGATCTACGCCCTCCAGCAGTGTTGAAGCGAACTTGCGACTATCTTTTCAACGAGGTCATTGGAAATGCGCCTGCTCTAGAAAAGGTGCACCATTTCGTCTGGGACAGGACTCGGGCGATTCGAAACGACTTCTCTATCCAACAGCTCACGAAGTTGGACGACGTGCGGATCGCCATTGACTGCTATGAGCGGATTGCGCGCTTCCACATGAGTTCGCTTCACGAGCTAGCCGGTCCGACTAAGCCGTATGCCAAATACGATCCTCAGCAAGAGAGGGAGCAATTGGATAGGACTTTGCTCTCCCTCATGCAATACTACGACGATACCCGAGGACGTTTGGACCTGCAACATGAGGCCGAGTTTCGTGCGTACTGCGTGATACTCCAACTTCGCGACCCCACTCCAGACCTTGAAGACCGTGTTCAGAGTTGGCCGTCTTCTATTGCAATGCACTACCGCGTTCGAACTGCCGTTGATGTATACGCAGCAGCTTGCAGCACGATCTGGCCAGAGGGACCCATTGACAAAACACAGCATGTCATTGCTCGACAGGACTGGGACAAATTCTGGAAACTCGTCGAGTCTCGAAAAGTGTCTTTTCTGCTGGCATGCGTCGCAGAGACTCATTTCATGATGATTCGTGAAATGGCTCTGAGTGCTATAGTGCGATCGGCGAGAGTTACGAAGAAGAAGGATGGCGTGTCAGAACCGAACACCGAATGGACTGTAGACGACCTGGATCGATTGTTCTTTTTCGACACCGATGAAGACTTGGAGAACTTCTGCGCTCGTTGGAATCTTCAATTTCAGACCCGGCAGGAAGATGGCACAACATATCTGGACATCAGGCATTTGGCCGGAAAGCCTTTGCCCCAAGGCGATGCTGCCAAGACAAGTCAGGTCAAATCGGTTCTTGTGAACAACAAGAGACATGGCAGAACGTTGCCTGCAATCATTGACGGTCTCGATGTGCGACAGGCACGAGAAGCTGGCATGATTGAGGAAGAAGATGAGCACGACGCTGGAAATGGAGTCGAAAATGATGATGCTGCAATGGTAGAGGAGGAAGAGGACGGGGATTCACTCTTCATCCCAGAAACCAGGCCAGCGAGCGAACAGCCACTCAAGCCGTCAGATGATGTTGGCGCTGCAGCGAAGCCCTTGACTTCAGGCTTTGGCGGCACGGCTTCTCCTTTCGGTCAGCCAAGTGCTCCCTCACCATTTGCTCAGGCCTCGACCTTTGGTCGCCCGTCTTCTTCTCCATTCAACTTTAAGCCGGCGGAGAATGGCCAGAGTAGTGACAACGCAGAGAAGAAGTCTCCCTTCGACTTTCTATCAGCTGCGCCCAAGACCGACGCAGCCGCCAAGCCTGCGAGCGCCTCGCCTTTCGCATCCTCAAAGCCCTTCGTTTTCAATTCGACAACCACCCCATCGACGCCAGGACTATTGGGAGGCACTTTGGGAGCGGAGTCCGCCAAGTCGGTATCCTCGCCGTTTGCGCAGCCCGCCACAACCTTCAGTGCGCTCGCCAACCCCTTTGCCCCCAAACCTACTGCCAGCAATGCACCATCGACAACATTCCCTCCAACAGCGGCACAGGAGAAGAGCTCAACTCCGGTATCTCCGTTCAGCTTTCCCAGTCTTGCATCGAAGCCAGAACAACCATCAAATCCCTTTGCACCGAAAGCCACTGCTGGCGATACACCATCGATGTCGAACCCGGCATCGGCATCAGCGGCACCAGAGAAGAGCCCAGCTCAGGCACCTTTGTTCACCTTTTCTGGTATTGCACCGATACCTGAGCAGCCATCGACCGTCGACAAGCCTTCATTCTCGTTCGGACTGGCAAACGGCGCACCTGCCGCGCCAAGCCTTTCCGCGCAACCTGAAACAAACCTTAAACCGCTTTTACAAGCTTCGCAAGCACCGTCACAACCTCACTTGCAACCTCCATCACAACTTCAACCGCAACCTCACTCCACCTCAAACTCGCAACAGACAGGACACACGACACAAAACGCGACCATATCGAGTCCTGGCTCGCAGTCACCACCGCGGCGCCCATCCACTAGCAGCTGGGAGGCGCACAAGACCAAGAAACCAAGTCCATTGTCAAATTCATTCACTGCTGGTGAAGACAATTCGACACTGCTGCAATCCAAGGAGCCCATTCGCGACCTGTTTCCAGACAAGCAAAGCGCCAAGCCGTCTGCTCCACAAACAAAGCCTGCGCCCACGCAAACTTCTGAAGCCGACAGCCAACTTCAGACACTTGCAGAGAATCTGACGTTCGATCCGTACAATGGTTTCCTCAAGCAGTTCCTGGATTTCACCGTGAAGCGAGTCATCCTTGAGGCTCAAGAGAAGGTGCTCGATGAGAAGTGCAAGATCAAGTGTCGAGCTCTTGAAGAGAGGCGACTGCTCAGAAAGTACGGTCTGTGGTGGAGAGCCTTTGCGCGTCATCGACGACTTGCTGCTAAGAGCCGTCAACGCCGAGAACGCACTCGGGAGAGACTACGAAAGTCAACAGCAGGAGGTTCCGTGGACGGTCTGAGCGATACGGATACGATATCGACACAACGCGAAAGCTTCCCACCTGGTGGACGACACCGGCGTGATAGAAAGGACGTGGTTGACGCCCTTTTCAAGTCAGTAACCGGCGACATGCAGGCCACTGCTGGCAGCAAGCGAGCCGCGTCATCAGATGGACGAGACATGTCCACCAACGGCGCAGCAGAGCACAAACGACAGAGAAGCATGAGCCATGTTGACAATGGAGGTCGCGTCAGCAAGGAAACGCCAACGAGCCACCCTGATACCGATCTGCTAAAGCGGTCGTCGTTCCTCGGATATTCGACGCTTGGCGATAGTACGAACCGTGCGAGCACCACCAAGACGACGTATTTTCGCATGAAAGCGCTAGGTGTGGGACAGCAACCGGGCAGCAAAACCGCCAGCGAGCCCCGTGGCACAAAGCGACAGCGGTCAGAATCATTCGACCTCAACAGAATCAGGTCTTCAAGACGAAGTACACCCTCGAGCGAGGCCCCCACTGCTGAGCAGCAGCGTGACACAGAGTCTATGCCTCCTCCAGCAACAAAGCCGAAGACGAACGACGAAGATGAGGTGCTTTTTGCTCGTCTGAGAGCAGCGAGAGAGGCACTAGCGGAAAGCGGGTCACTCATGATAGGCGAGCTTCGCAGAAGCACGAGCGGGTCTTTGTCTTCCAATGAATCCCCATCCTTGGAGACAGCACGTGCTGAGGCCAGACTGCGCATGTCACAAAGCCAGTCTGATTTTGATGGCTCGACGAGTGCACGAAGTGTCCCAGCGTATCAGCTTCGCGAGAGTCGATTCGTACCGCGGGAAGAGTATGGCTTGGCGAGAGAGCGTGCGCTCCAGAGACGTGAGTCCAGATCCCGCGACAACAGCCGCTCAGTCTCCAGGGCAGACGAGCGTGCTGTCGACACATCTAAGACGACTAAGCCGGATGCGACCTCGAAGGCTCCAGATTTCGGCGTTGCAGGCAACGATGCCAGCGCTTCCAAAATGGCGGCACCACCAAAGGTCAATGGCCAAGCCCGTTCCTTCCAGTCATCTACCACCAACACTGCAAACACCTTTTCTGGCTTTGCTGCATCTGGACCGGGTGCAACACCTGCGGCTCAAGCAACTTCGAGAAATCCATTCTCACAGTCGTCATCTTTCGCACCGCCTCTATCAGCTGGCTCAAACCCATTTCTACAGGGTACGGCGTCTAGCTCGTTCGGTGGCGCATTTGGTATGCCGTCAAACATTGGAAACGACCAAACCGTACAGCCATCACAGATCAATCAGTCATTGGCACACACTTTTGGTCGACCAGCTCCAAACGAGCCAACTTCGCTGCTCCCACTTCCGGACGATGGAGGGTTTGGCTTTGACGAGATCTCGTACGGCCAAGCGCAAATTTATGGCAACGGCACGCTGGGATCTGGCGAAGACCACAATGACACTCAATCCTTCGATGATGCAGATGCAGGTGGCCTTCTACCAGGCGCTGGCCACTATGCCAACACATTCGCTGCACTAGCGGGTCAGACCGGAGAGGACGAACGCTCAGACGTGGACTCGGACTTGGACGCAGACGACGATTCTGTCAAGAAGGAGGAGGACGAGGAGAACAGTGGAAATTATTTGGGCACAGACAATCACACCAACCAATTCAACCAAGGACAGGTTGACAGTTACCAATACTCGGAGGATGAAGACGAAGATGATGTGCCAAACGGATACTTCGACGAGGAAGTCGAGGAATATGGAGATGACGAGGATGAAGGAGATTTCGACGAAGACGAGGGCGACTATGACGAGGATGATGAGGACGATGAGGGTCCAGGTCAACCTGGTTCGCTCAGCCATGCCTACCAGCAGCCACCAGCTCGAGCAGCTTATCCACCACCGCTCAACCCGGCATTGCAAGGGATTGGCACTTCTGCTGAGGATGCTATTGAGCTCAGCGATTGAGCTTCACGCAAGATGGTATGCCGAAGCTATGTGGCCACTCCAAGTACGAGTGGCGTACCTTATGCGTCGACATCAAAGTGTAGTATAGGAACGAGGAGATGAAGTTGCTCAAAAAATGCAGATCAAAGTTTCTGGACGCTTGTCTTTCCCATTGCGTGTCTATCATGTTTGAATTGCTTGATCTATGTCTCTGTCGTTGTTTGCCGTCGGGTCACATCATAAGTCATTCCTGCAACCCAGTGATATCAAAGGCTGCTGAAGTCTCAGTACGGCGTGAAAAACCGTCTTGATCCAAAGTCATCAGCACTCATTACTTGGTCATCGTCACCACCGCCGCCAACCATACCCTGCACATTCAACGCCCTCAGTTGCTGCTCCATATCCGTCCACGTCTCAAGCCGTCGCCGTCTCGCACTCTCGGCCTGATCAATATCATACGTCGAAATCGGATGCCTCGCCACCGCATCCATCGCTTGTACAAGAAAGTTGACGTCCGATTCGGTGAGGCCTACATTGTATTCGTTCCCCGAAGACTGTTCCCGCATCTGAGCCAACGGCGTCGGAACATGCAAATGCTGCCTTATAACCTCCGCGAGAAGCTCAACGGACTCCAGCCGCATCCCGCGGATATCGCGAGCTACCGGGTAGGTTCCTGTCGTGACTTCCCAAATTCCCTCCGCGAGGGGACGGACGAAGTGCGCGTTCCATTCGGGCCGGAAGGAGGATGTTGAGTTGACGGAGGATTTGGAGGTGAATTTTCGGGGTTTCCGTCGTTCGATTCGCACGTAGAAGCCTACGTGGCCCTGCCATCGAAGGGGTTGCGGGATGCTCCAGTGGCGGGAGATGGTTAGGGAGCGAATCTTGGGGATGGATCTGGGGCCTAGGGCGGAGAGCCAGGTTTGGAGGCCGGTGGTGGTGGAGTTGGCGTCGAGGGGGAGGTTGAATGTTGTGTTGGAGGCGTAGATGGGGAGAGATTCGTGGCGGAGGGTTTGGCAGACGCGTGTTATGGAGGGGGTGAGTTTGGTGTTGGGGCGGAGTTCATGAGTGTTGGTGGGTTGGAGGTCTGGGAGGTAGGTGTATATATGGAGACGGAGTTCGGTGGGGATTGATAGTAAGGACATGTTTATATTCGATTAGAAGTTGGACTGGATGGTTTGAAGGGGGTATGTCGTTGATGATGGGGTTATCTCGGGGAGCTGGCTTGGGGTGATGTCGCAATGTGGAGCTATTTCTGATACCGGCTGCGTAGAACTCAGCACGTGGCAAATCGGGCACGACAATAAAGAAATAGTCTGACAATTTGTATGGACAATGTTTGAGGCCAGAAAGCCCACATACCGTCGAGAGAGGAGTGTGCCTTCCACAGTGCAGCGTTCTGTGCGGCGGTCAACAGCTCGCGAGGCGGACACGTGATGTGACGCTAGCGCCGGAAGTCTCCGAGACTCGTCAAGCGGCGCAGTTTGGCTGCTGTCCTTCATGCTGCTGGGCCATCGGCAGAGCAATCGCAAGTCATCCCCGCGGCCGCTGACATCCACGCCGGACATCGCCAACAGCCCAGCAACGGCGCGACGCGACTGCTCGCTGTTGACAGCACCCCAAATTCACGCCGCCCACCCCATTTTCTACCACCGCGCCCGTCGCCACCGCTCCTCGCCCGCCCACCCGTCCTCAGCCCGATCGCACGTCGCGACCTGCTCTGCGACTCTCTGCGACTACCCCATCTGGCATCCCACTCGCGAGTCCGACACGCAGCCAAACATTCACTCACCTCCCCGCCCGCCATCCACACCCCGCGGCGTCCTGCCTTGATGTCCGCCGCCCGCGCCCATCGCTAGGCAGAAATTGGAGAGAGGAGACGCGCGACCTCAGCTGGGGGTCTGCGCTGGGAGGAGGCATTGAAGCAAGCTCATATCCGCTTTACCAACACCCATCATGGCTGCAGTCCAACAACCCGGCATGCAGCAGCCGCCCAACAATGCTGGCATGCCCGCGGCTAATGGCATACTGCCCGCCGGCATGACAAAAGAGCAAGTCCAGGCTCTGTATAAGGTAAGAGAAAATACACATACACATACACACCTTTTGTGCATGGGGATGCGATGCTAATGCACGTTAGAAATACCAAGTCATGAAGCATAATGGCACGCCCGACACCGACCCCGAGATGATGAAGGCCCGCACTATCCTGCAGCAGATTCAGCAGCGAACCGAACAGGTCAAGCGCATGCAGATGATGCGCCAACAGCAGCAACAGGCCCAGATGAAGCAGCAAGGAGCCATGCCCAATGGTGCGCCTCCACAACAGCAGATGAATGGCGCTGCCATGGCCACCTCACAGCCTGACGGCCAGGCAGTCAACATGGGCGCAGCGAACGGGACTTCTCAACCTGCACCAGCTGGACCCACGCCAACAAACAGCCAGCCGGCCCAATTGGATGGTGCAAACGACCAAGCTGCCTTCTCGAAGGATCAGATCATGACCCTCCGCGCCCAAATGCAGGCCTTTTCACATCTTCAAAAGAACGTCCCCATTCCTCAGGCCGTGGCAGATCGCATCTTCCCTTCACGGCAAGATCAAAAGGCGCCGACTCCTGCTGATGCTATGGCTGCAGCTGGGAAAGTCCTGGACGATGCTGACGAGACTGGCGAAGAGGAGGGCCGGCCACGACATCGCTTCGAGACTTTTACCGACCCTCACGAACTTATCCTCAAGCAAATCAGCTTCGCAGATCACTCGCACCGTCCATACCGAACCATGATCCCCAGCATCATGCCACTTGGTGTCGATCCTGAGCGTGTACGGGAAGAGCGAGAGAATGTCGTCTACAACCGAGTGCTCACACGGAGAAGTGAACTTGGGAAGCTGTCTGCAAACATCGGTGCTTGGGATACCAGCAAGTCAGATATTCCAGAAGACAACGTTGACCTCAAGAGACGGGCACTTTTGGAGTACAAGATGCTCGCTCTGCTTCCAAAGCAGCGCGAGATGCGGCAGAAGATCGGACGAGAGATGATGTTGTCTGACAACTTGTCAATGACGGCGAATCGGTCCATGTATCGACGTGTCAAGAAGCAATCGTTGCGTGAAGCTCGAGTGACTGAGAAGCTGGAGAAGCAGCAACGCGATGCCGCCGAGAACAAGGAAAAGAAGAAGCACAATGAATACATTCGGTCGATCGTTCAGCATTCGGACGAGATTCGAAACAGCGCCCATCAACAGAAAGCACGCGTGCAGAAGCTGGGTCGTATGATGATGAACCTCCATGTCAACATCGAGAAGGAAGAGCAGAAGAGAATCGAGCGCACGGCGAAGCAGCGTCTGCAAGCCTTGAAGGCCAACGACGAAGAGACCTACCTCAAGCTGCTCGGCCAGGCCAAGGATTCTCGTATTTCTCATCTGCTCAAGCAGACCGATGGCTTCTTGAACCAGCTCACCACTTCCGTCAAGGAGCAGCAGCGCAAGATGCACAACCTGTACGGCACCGAGGTACCACCCGACGACGAAGAAGATCCCATCGTGGAAGACGAGATGGACAGCGAAGACGAAACCAAGCCAAAGGTCGACTACTACGAAGTTGCTCACCGTATCAAGGAAGAAGTCTACGCTCAGTCGAACAATCTTGTCGGTGGTACGCTGAAGGAGTATCAACTCAAGGGTCTGCAATGGATGATCTCGCTCTACAACAACAATCTAAATGGCATTCTGGCCGACGAGATGGGTCTGGGCAAGACTATTCAAACCATCTCGCTCATCACATACCTCATCGAAAAGAAGCAACAGCATGGACCGTACTTGGTCATTGTACCACTCAGTACGTTGACGAACTGGAACAGCGAATTTGAGCGTTGGGCGCCGAGTGTCCAGCGAATCGTCTACAAGGGACCTCCGAACCAGAGAAAGCAGCATCAGCACCAGATCCGATACGGCAACTTCCAAGTACTCCTCACCACGTACGAATTCATTATCAAGGACCGACCCATTCTCAGCAAGATCAAGTGGCTGCACATGATCGTGGACGAAGGTCATCGAATGAAGAACGCACAGTCGAAGCTGAGCAACACAATTTCCACGTACTATCACACACGATACCGCCTGATTTTGACCGGTACCCCACTGCAGAACAACCTGACGGAGCTGTGGGCGATGCTGAACTTCGTGCTACCCAATATTTTCAAGTCGGCGAAGTCTTTCGATGAGTGGTTCAACACACCTTTTGCCAACACCGGTGGCCAAGACAAGATGGAGCTCACTGAAGAAGAGAAGCTGCTCGTCATTCGTCGTCTGCACAAGGTTTTGCGACCGTTCTTGCTACGTCGTCTCAAGAAGGATGTCGAAAAGGATCTGCCCGACAAGCAGGAACGTGTCATCAAGTGCAGCCCATCCGCACTTCAGGCCAAGCTCTACAAGCAGCTCATGTTGCACAACCGCATCAACGTTGTCGGCGCCGACGGCAAGAAGACTGGTCTCCGTGGTCTGAGCAACATGCTCATGCAGCTGCGCAAGCTCTGTAACCACCCTTTCGTCTTTGAAGAGGTCGAGGATCAGATGAACCCGCAGCGACTAACGAACGACTTGATCTGGAGAACTGCTGGCAAGTTCGAGTTGCTTGACCGTATCTTGCCCAAGTTCCAAGCTACAGGTCACAGAGTCCTGCTCTTCTTCCAGATGACCCAAATCATGAACATCATGGAAGACTTCCTTCGCTTCAGAGGCATCAAGTACCTTCGACTGGACGGATCTACAAAGGCAGACGACCGCTCTGATCTGCTGAAGGAATTCAACGCCCCCGGTTCAGAATACTTCTGCTTCTTGTTGTCGACTCGTGCTGGTGGTCTGGGTCTCAACTTGCAGACCGCAGACACGGTCATCATCTACGACTCGGATTGGAACCCTCATCAGGACTTGCAAGCGCAAGATCGTGCCCATCGTATCGGTCAGAAGAACGAGGTGCGAATTCTTCGTCTTATCACGAGTAGTTCCGTGGAAGAGAAGATCCTGGAGCGTGCCCAATACAAGCTGGACATGGACGGCAAGGTCATCCAGGCTGGTAAATTCGACAACAAATCTACCAACGAGGAACGTGACGAGATGCTGAGGGTCATGTTGGAGTCTGCCGAAGCCGTCGAGAACATGGAAGCTGAGGAAATGGACGACGACGACCTCAACCTCATCATGATGCGCAACGACGACGAGCTTGTGACCTTCCAACAGATGGATCGCGATCGTATGAAGAATGAGAAGTATGGTCCTGACAAGAAATACGCTCGTCTTCTTGGTGAGAGCGAACTGCCGGACATCTACATGAGTGAGGAGAACCCGGTCGTGGAAGAGATCGAGTACAACCTGGGTCGTGGTGCTCGTGAGAGGACTAAGGTCAAGTATGACGATGGTCTCACCGAAGAACAATGGCTCGATGCCGTTGACAATGACGATGACACTATCGAAGAGGCCATTGCTCGCAAGCAAGCCCGGATCACCAAGCGTGTCGTAAACAAGGATGCTCGTGCGCGACGCGAGACTGGAGTCGATACGCCGCCTCCGGAGAAGGACAGCGAGGAAGAGTCCCCAGCACCGAAGAAGCGCGGTCGCAAGTCTGGCGGCAAGGTTGAGAAGCGCAAAGCTGATGAAGCGTCCCTGGATGGTACTGCTGAGCCTCCTGCGAAGAAGCGTGGACGCAACCAGAAGGCTGTTGAGACGTTATCGAAGGAAGACCGCGAGTCGCTGCAGACCATCCTCGACAATGTGCACGATTCGCTGCAAGACCTTGAAGAGGAGTCTACAGACCCAAATCTGGCCAACCGTGGCATCATCGACCCCTTCTTGGAGCTGCCGCCTCGACAGTACTACCCTGACTATTACGACCTCATCAAGAAGCCCATCTGCATGAAGCAGATCGAGACGAAGATCAACAAGAAGCAGTATCAGAGCCTGAAAGAATTCAACGCGGATGTTGGTCTGCTTTGCAACAACTGTCGGCAGTATAACGAGGATGGCAGCGTGCTGTATCAAGATGCTAATCTCATCGAGGTAAGTCTTGCAACAAATCAATTACTACGAATTAATACTAACATCTCCTTAGTCTGCATGTCTGGACAAGCTTCGCGAAGAGACGGCCAACTATCCCAAGTGGCAACAAGATCTGGAAGACGAGAGCTCGGTGGCCGATGGCAACTCAACACGTCCAATGTCGAGCGTCAGCACACCCCAACCAGCCAGCAAGCCGAGTATCAAACTCAAACTCAACGGCGCGAGAGCTAACGGCAACTCATCGCGAGGCGGGACTGAGAGTGCCGCGCAGAGCGATGAGGAGTAGGATGGCATTACTGCTAAGAAAAGCGACTTCGGTCAGCAGGTACAAGTGCAACGAAAGAAGCCAAGTACGGAGGTGTTATGGAAGAGGCGTTTTGTTGTTGACTACATAGAAAGTGACTGACGGTGCATGGATTATCACGACGCGGCGCGTTGGGTTGGGATCGATACATCTCAACTCTGAAGGGATTATTACGGGGCGTTTTTGAAAGGGAGGTTGGAAGTTGTGTTTTTGAAAGACTCTGCTTGCTCTCCTTTTGAGCAGGCTGGCAATATTGCTTTGCTTTCAAGAGTCGAAGTGTAACTTTATCAGCAAAATCCTTCTTCTAACTCGAAAGCTTTTTGTGTCATGATGCAACATCTTTATTCTACATGTTCTCTTCTCGACCGTGTCTATCGTATCCCCTCTACTCATATTGGTATCACATAAATCTCCTCCTCTTGACTAAAACAACACCCCCTTCGTACTCGGCACCTCCCCCTCCTTCCCCTTGACCGGACTAATCGCCATCCTCAACGCCACCGCCAACGCCTTAAACGCACTCTCCGCTCGATGGTGATCATTCCTGCCCCTCAAACAATCCACATGCATCGTGATCCCCGCATGCAACGCAAAACTCTCCAAACAATGCGGCAGCATCTCGCAGCTCAAATCCCCAATCTTCTCCCGCGTGGTGCCGAGCTCGATCACGCTGTAGGGGCGATTGGAGAGGTCTACGACGGCGCGCGAGAGGGCTTCGTCGAGGGGTGCGTAGGCGTAGCCGAAACGCGCGAGGCCCGTGGTGGTTTGTAAGGCGGCTTTGAAGGCCGCGCCGAGCGCTATGCAGGTGTCCTCGGCGGTGTGGTGGTCGTCGATGTGTAGGTCTCCTTTGGTGGTGAGCGAGAGGGACCAGCCGGAGTGTTTGGCGAGGGCGTGCAGCATGTGGTCGAGGAAGCCGATGCCGGTGTTGACGGAGATTTGCTGGGATTTGGAGGACTGCGAGGCGTGGTCTGTGCCGTTTGTGGTGGTTGTGGTTGTGGTTGAGAGGGAGGGCAGGGCGCCGCCGTCGAGGTTGAGGGCGAGTTGGATTTTGGTTTCGTTGGTGTCGCGGGAGATTACGGCGCTGCGGGCGCGGGGCTGTTCGGTGGTGGACATATTGGTGAGTTTGTTTTTGTGGCGAGGAGCGTTGGTAGGTAGGTGTTGTGGGAGGTTGTTGCTCTTGGTCAAAAGTTTCGAACTGACGTCGATTGAATAAGCTCAGACGCATTGGCCCAGACCCTTGCAGATGACGCTAAACCTAGAATTTAGCGTCCTTTTGGGTCTTTGCGACTCAAGATTTCAGATAGAAGTCATGCTCTTACGAACAAATCAACTTTCCATACGAGACCAAGACTTTTACGGAAACACGATGTCCAACGACGCCGAGATGACGGATGCGCAGGGCGGCGCCGAGGCGAACGGCGGAGAGGAGTTCGTCCACGAGAAGCAGCGGTTGAAAATTGTACGGCGAGCATGTGATCATGGAAACGAGCAGAATCGTATTAATTGATAGCAGCTTCCGGGCAGTTCAGACACCGCTGCATCGTTTGCGTTCGAGAAAGAGGACCATACCTTGGGCAATGCGCTCAGGTACATCATCATGAAGAAGTGAGTGTTGCGCACGATTGAGGGCTGCGAAGATGCTTTGTGCTGATGTATGCTTCCAGTCCTGACGTTGAGTTCTGCGGCTACTCGATCCCCCATCCTTCTGAGGCGGTCATGAACCTCAGAATTCAGACTTGGGGTATGTAGTCAACCAAACGCCGCTGACCGACATACTCGAAAGCTGACTAGCGATGAAGACGGCGTGAGTGTGTGGGACGTTCTACGAAAAGGACTGGACGACTTATGCGATATGTGCGATGTGGTGGAGGAGAAGTTCGCCGCATCGAGAGATCAATTTAATGCTGAGCATCCTGATCGCGTGAGCTCGAGATGATCGAGTGGTGGCGATATTAGGAACCGAAACTACGGATGATGAACACGAAGAAGACGCGCAGGGCTAAAGACTAGTTGGTCATTTTTGGCAACACGAGCGAAGTCCAGCAGCGCCGACGCTACCACGAATTTGGCGGACTTGTGGTGAGAGGTCTATGGGACTGGATCCGAGGTGGGCCGCGAGATCGGATTGATCGCGGGAGGCACAGAGACACAGGGGCCAATATGGCTTTCATGGCTTTTTTGCCACAAGTCGTTTCGGTTACGAAGAGGCAAGGCGTAGACGAGTGTGAAATGAAGCAGCCTTTCTACGGGTATGATATGTACAACAGTGCTGCTGCTGCGATTTGAAGTTTTTGTGGTGCTTTCTCAATTCCGTCCCTGTCTTACCATTAGTGATCATTCAATTACAAGTGCACGTGGGTTTGTTCCAGCTTACCTCTATGAAACCTTGAATGAAATTCTTGGGTAGCTTCGCCTTCGGTTCCTCCTCCGCTCTAAAGTACTTGAGCACGTGTGTGAGCTGTTTCCAGAAGTTCAGTGTCTCCTGCAATCGTCCGTCAGCTTTTACAACTGTACACTGTCCCGTGCGCCATCGTCTGCCCATCTGCCCGTCCCTGTCATTGCCCTCCTCTTGCTCATTGGGTATCGTACCTGAAACTCCTGATGACTATTGAAAAGCAACACATCCGCCGTCTTCAGCTGTGATACGTAACGGTGTCGCTCGAATTCTTGTCGGATCTTGGTTCGGATCGCGCTGACGGGCATGTTGAGGGAGTACATGGTTTGGATTTCGGGGGCCTGTAGTCGACAGCACTCAGATCAGCCTTTGCCCTTCTCACATCCAACCGACTATTCTCCCGCTCTTGAAGCCCCGCACGTACCGCCCTGACCCACTCCCTATAGCTGTGCAGCACTCTCGACTTCGCTTCGGCCCAGCTGGTCGCTGTTGTCCTCGTCAGTCTACCATCGCTCCTCCTTCTCCTCGGTTTTGGGGATCTGCGGCGTACAGGAGCGCGTCCTCTGCGCGAGATATGTCGGGTTGATCACCATTGTGCCGGTGTTGGTCGTGCTCGACGAGCAAGAGTGCCGTAGCGGACTGACGTCCAATGGACGAGGTGCGGAGCGGGATCTTAAGCTTGGACCAAAAATCACGTGATGTCTTGGTGCTGGCCAATGAAGTGATGGGGATTAGGGAGTTAGACTTTCGAGTTCTCGACCTCACTCGTACTCTCACTCCTTCACACAACACCGTCTTCCCACCTCTGTATCGGTCGAGCACGCTCTCCTTTTGCTACGCTGCGAAGACTGACAATGTGAAGCATTTACGTTCCGCAAATCGTCATGGTGTGGAACACGATGTTTCGAAGTCATTGCACGTGCGACTTCAGCTTCAGTGCCCCTCGATTTGAAAACAGCAGAACGCCCCGAACTGTAGACGAATCGAATTCGATCCGTCAAGAACTGTTGTGGCGGCGCGGTATCATATCCCCGACAGAAGCGCACCCAAGGTCTTGATGACAATGTCAACCGCAAGCTCGAGCTTCCCCGAAGACGGACGTGGCCAACAGCCTTCACGCTTCAAGAATAGCAGCCCTCCGAGACCTACAGTCACTGGCTCGCGTGTGTGCGCATCAGAGTGGCGAAACCGGCAAGTCTGAGTGCAATCGAGCTCAGCTTCCGTGATACCCAAGCCAGGTGATAAGATGGCCACCCTTTCCACTTGCTGCAGTCGCATCTCTTGCCTCTCCTCTTTGTCCTTGCAGAACTCAGGGCAAGCATTCAGCTGACAATGGCGGCTAAACCTGCACCGGCGCCAGCTGCGAACGTCGCCCTGGACGTGGGTATGACCTTCGACACTGAACAAAGCCCACTCTTCCAGCGCGTTTTTAATACCCTGTCTGTGTCACCACTGCTGATCCAGTTGCGAGAGGATCTGACCGAAATGGCACAGCGAGCACCGCGACAAGATCGAACTCACTGGAAAAGAAACGCCTCAGACGACGACTCTATCGTGAAGTTGTACGACCTATCGAACATCAACAGCATGCGACTAGTGCATGTATTGAATTGGGACCGTTTCGGCGACAGAAATGTATTTGCACAGGAAGTCAACGCCTTCATGAGACACCTTCGCAGCCCGATGGCAGATAGTCACAGCCGTATTGTCATCTTGAATCGGTATCAGGGTTCATTGCTTGATTTCGAGACAGCCTTGCATCTTCACATTATGATCGTGGAGCTTGAGGTACCGATTGACATGGCAGCAGGCTTGCTACACCTTTGTCAAGGTTATTTGGGACCTGGAAACACTCTCGGGGCGGCGGCCAACCTATGGGCTCAAGTTCTACCTCTTGGCCATGTGCGTTTTGGGAAAAGTTACTTACCTCCTATGAACTGGAACATCTCGGCTGTCGACCTCAAAATGTGCAATTTTTCCGGTCGTTCAGCCCACACTGGTCAGCAGCTATGGGATGCTTCGAGGATCATCTGCTAATCGATGATAGCCTTGATTTGCTCTGATGGCGCGCAATATCATGAATGTGTAGTCAATGCACTGGAGCGTCACGAAGATGACCAATGGTTTGCAAGACGCCAAGTCCCACCCCCAAGATTCCAAAGAACGGACACTCGAGGTGTCGTATCCAATGCGCTAAATAGGTGGCCTGCCTCTAACCTCGAAGCTTATCTAGCCGTGGACGAAGATGATTCGATCACCAGAGTTGCGAAGGGACAGCCAACATCACACTGGTTGAACGCTGTCATTCGAACCATTGCTTTTCGCTACTCGTGTAGACCTAGCAATCTACGAACCAAGCTGTCAAGTATGGAGGACGACGAATTTGAGGCTTTTTGCGACGAAGTGGCCACAGAACATCAGGCAGCAAAGCTAGACCTCTTCAAAATCGAATCCTTCTTGGCTCGACATCGAGATCTGGACCGTTCAAACTGTGCGTCGGCGCTCCAGTCGCTTGCAGTTACTGTCGAATACCTGAGAGCGGACTACGAAAATATATGCGCTAGCTTCGAGCGACGCTCAACCCTCAGAAGTCTCGAAATGGCTCGACGGTCTATTGACGAGAGCCGTGCGACAATCCGATGTAAGGTCCGCGTGCGCTCAGCTGTCCACCAGCTAACGGTAGCATATAGTGACTTGGCTCGCGACAGTATTCTTACCGATCAGCCTTGCTTCGTCCATCTTTGGCATGAACGTGCGTGAGATCAACAACCAAAAAACCGAAATCTGGCAATTCGCAGTCACATCGATCGCTTTGCTTGCTCTATCTGCCTCCTCGTGGTGCCTCATTCGGGCTACGCACAACTTCAGGATTTGTCTCAGAATGGACCAGAGCTATGACATGATACACTGGGAAAAAAGGATCTGGGTATTCCCGCCGTTGTGGTTCTACTTACAGCTCCGTCGCGGGTACCATTTCAACCACCTGATAGCGATGGCGTTCGTTCTGGGCTTCAAGAGATTGGACGATGAAGTGCTAATCCATCCACTTACTCGATACATGCGTCACTGACCCCGCCATCGCCATAAAGCGATCGAGACGTTCAGACTGGCGGAGAAGACTCCCTCCTGCTCTCCATAGCAACTGAGACTGTCTGGTGAAGACTGTGGGTGTATCTGCCCTCTAATGAGGATGATCCATGCACTTCTGATATTGGACTTCAAGACTCAAAAAGCTCCCCTTCTCTCCCGACATCTTTGTTGTACCAAGTTGAGCAATTAAGCCCTTCGAGGGGGCCGTGCAAAAGCCGTCGCACTGGACGAAAGTTCCTCCTTGTCTCATCAGTGGGAGTTGCGTTCGTCTGTGAAGAACAACCGTGGAAGAGTATGCACCTGGAAAAAGGAAGCAGCCAGACAGCCGTGACGAATGTGATTGCCCGAAACACAAACATATCGAAAGCAAATAATAATCTCTTCACTACGTTCATCGGATAGATAGGATGGTGAACCATGCATTCTCTCCATAGTGTCTATTAGAACTCTCTTAGAGATGCAGCGTTGACATTTTCGAGGAGAAGCTATCGATATGCGAAACATGAACAACGACCAACAGAACGCACTAGCCATTCATGATAAAGGTATTCCTTGCCTCCACAACCGTACTTCTCTGAATGCTAACCCCCCCTCCCAGCCCGCGAACAAGTCAACTCCCCACCCCTAATCTGGTCCTGGCAGCTCGCCGACGAAGCGCAAACCTGGGCCGATTACCTCGCCGGCAACGACATCGGCGAAGCTCGAAGTAGATTGCGCATGCCAGCCGAAGACCTGAACCAATTCGTCACCACGATACAACTTGCGAATCCTCGTGACCCTCTGACTTCCATAAGCTCGAATTGGAATGCGGACAAGGTCCATTGGCATGGCAAGGAGATTTGGGAGTATTGCGAGAGCCGGTGTAAGCATCTGTGCTACACTCAGGTGAGGGAATATCCAGGGAGGTGAGCTGCTGGATCGTGCTGATGATTGCTGTAGATGATCTGGAACAAAACAACGCATATGGGTATGGCCGCGGCGAGCAACGGTGCTGCGACATTTGTGGTCGCGCGGTATTGGCCTGCTGGAAATATGGTGGGAGAGCGTCCTGTGGAAGTACCTGTGAAGGGCGACAAGGTGTTTGAATCCTCGGAGACGGTCGTCTCTCAACGAGGCGGTCTGCGACATCCTTGCGTGTAACTTGCTGCGATTGTGTGTCTGTTCACGGCGGAGCAAGATAGTCGAGCAGCGGTGCAAATGGCTTCAAGTATGGCTTGACGAAATCTTCGATCTCCCTTTGAACTCCTTGAATGTAGAAGAATGCACGTTCCTGAGCGTTGGCGCCGGGGTTTTCGACTGGTTCCTTTTGTGGTTGTGCTTCTTTCTTGAATCTTGCACCGGTGTCTTTCTGGTAGGCGTCGAGGCCTATTCCAGCACATACGCAGTCTCGCCAAGCGGTAGAAAGTAGAAGCAAGAAGCTCTCTCCTTCAGGGCTGACTCCAGTGAAGGGAGTCTTGGACTTCGGCTTTAATGGATTAACCGCAGGCCTGACAATACCTTGATTGTCAACTCGTTGAATAACAGCTCTTCGCTTGCGATGCATCCAGTCGAGGTAGGTATCCTTGGCGAAGATTTCAGGTCTGAGGAGAGCCATTCGGTATGCTGCTGCTGCAAGGAGCGCAGTACCAGAGGTCTCGCCGCTCCAGGTGCTGTCGCCCAGATAATTTCTCAGCAAGCCCGAGCTGTCATCGTCCGTGATCACTGCACCGCTGAGAATTTCGGCGATCCAGGTATCCAGGTCGTTCTTTTCTTTGGATAGCGCTGCGTTGCTGGTTGGCCAAGCAGTGATGGTGGCCCTCACCCTTGCCATGCCATACGCAACCCAGGCGTTGCCGGTCGACCAGGCACCTTCGTCAGCGTCTTCAGTCGAGCCAACGACATGTCTCCACAAACCCTTCGTTCGGCCAGCGCTGATCCTCAAGACGTCTCTGTACAGAGCGATTTGCCGCACAGCTTCCCGTATGAGATCAAGATCCTCGGTGGCGACTCCGTAGTAGGCCAAGAAGGGAGGGAACATAGCGATAGCATCGGACCAAAGCTGGGGTTCGCCAAATACATGGCTGATGGCTCCATTGCTGTAGCGAGGAGCTTCATTGAGGAGAATGTCTTTCTGGCGTGTTGCGGCTTCCATGAGGTCTTTGTTGCCCCATTTTTGAGAAAGCATCAACGCAGCAATACCAACAGCTGCTCGATCAGAGACTGCGTTCTTCTCTTCTTTAAAGGGAACTTTCCCTTGAGGTTTCAGTTTCGGCTCGGCGAAGAGTGAAGCCTCGTCAAGCCTCAAGCCAAGACTTGGGATTTTGCCATCAGGAAATGGGTCTGATCCAAAGACCGATCGTTCGGGGTTGAAGACTTGCTGGGTGGCTTCGAAGGCATAAGCTACCTCCCAACTGCGTACGGCTTCATCGTGAGCTTGTTCGGTGGCCGCGTTGATGACGAAGGAGTGGTTGAAAGTGCTCATGCAAGATTCAGGAGAAGATAGGTCGGTGACAGGCTCGCTGAAGAAATGGTTCCAATAGATGGCGATGAAGACGGCGACAAGAGCAACGTATGCGGGTAGGAACTTGAAAGAGGCAGACCAGGTGCCGGGATCAAGCCATGTCGCCGGTCGTTTTTGATATTGGACGGTATCTTGCTGTGGAGCAGATGGGGATGGCGCTGAACGGTCCAAAGGGGTTGAGTCTGCCATGGCGATGGCCGCGATGTGGTGTCTAGGAGGGAAGAAGCAATTTGTTGTGAAGGATCCACGAAGACGTTGACGAAGTCGAAGTCCAGGAACACGTGCACGCCCAGTCCACCAATGAGCCACAGTCCAATCAGCGGCTGCCAAAGTGGTCAAGTGAGTCCTGCCAAGAGTCGACGCTGACCTCGCTCAATCTTCTGGCTGGACTGCAACGACTCTTCCTTTTCCCTCACCCACCCCCATATCCTCATTTTGCTGCGACTGGCCTTGGCGGATCTCGAGACCGGAGTCAGCAAGCACAGAGTCGTAGCCAGACGATGGCAGACGCGCCATCGCTGGCGATCTGGACGGACTCGCGACGGTACGAGGAGTGTGACTTGAGCCCGCAGCCTTGGGTCTGGCCTTGACGACAGGTCGTGCTGGTGGCATGGGGGTGCCCGCATCTGGTGTCTGGCAAAAGATGGCCTGCGAAGTCGTCGCCTGCGGCCTCGTCGCCATCAGCTCCATCGCTGCCTGCTGTGCGCGCTTCTCCCTCTTCGCTTTGCCGACCTTGGAGAACACTCCCAAAATCTCGTCCTTCACCATTCCCCGTATGCCCTTCGTCTTGAACGGTATGGGGCGGATGAGCGTTTCTCCACGCCGCTCGGCGGCTTCTTCCAGGAATTTCCAGGCCTGATCTCTACCCTCCTCGGTGTAGTCGAACCGGATTTCGTTGCCCTCGTCGTCGTACAGCTTGAAGGACTCGATATCAAGCTTCTTGCCGCCGACTCTTGGGATCATGCCGTTGATTTGGAAAGTCGAAAGTGGAATCTTGCCATGACGGGCGAGATATCCCTTCTCGTGGTACTCTCGCTCGTCGCGGCGCTCTTCAAGCCAGTCCATGAAGGTGACTGCCGGGATCATGATTGCGGTGTGATTGTGTTGATTGTGTGTTGAGACTTGCTGATGTTCTGATATACCAGAGGTATACGAAAGGAGGTAACGCGAGTTCTTCTTACTTTCGTGGAGGTGCGAAGGTGGTGTCTGTCTTGGGATCTGAAATCATTAAGAGAAATGCGACTTATATTCTCTGATTTTCGAGGTGGGTCGTAAATTTTTGAAATCCAGTTTGGGCGACTCTACCAAGGCATACATTTATGATGACCTCCGCGCACGATATGAGAGGCTAAACTCGCTTACCTGCTACAGTGACAGCGTCACCACTTCGACGGGATTCAGAAGCGGGATATCGCTCGTCGCCTCTCGAGCGAGTCATCTGTCGTCCTAGCCATGAAGCGCTCGAGTCTTTTCACTCAACGAACTAAGACGGCCCTCTCTGCTCCCCTCTAAATTCGATCCTGCTGGCCAGCTCCCTCAAACTCCTCAAATGAGATCGAAAGCCCAACCATGTCGAAGCGCGCGAAGACTGTGAAGAAGACGAAACCCCCTCTCTCGTCTGAGCACTAAAACCAGCGAACCGGCCCTCTGGATCCTCCTCGACATCGGCCTCCAAACCGGCACCAGTCATCTCCACCTCATCCCCATCACCACGTGCAGACGTCCTCTCCCCCATCCTTTCCTCCCACGGCGGCCCCGGCAGCATGCCCTCATACACCACCCTCCCCACCGGCGGCTCATCCCCAAACTGCTCCTCCTTCGCCACACACTCCCCCGTCACAACATGATACAGCCTCGCATCCCTCCCCAAACACAACGCCCGGTCCAAAAAAGGATTATACTCCTTCCTCCTCCGCGTGCGCCGTCTTTCGTGCCAGAACTCCGAGTTGAGCTCTTGCTCGCAGGCCTCCGAACAGGTCCGCGCAACGAGCGGGAGGTAGACCGTGCGTGCGTGTTGGGAATCTGGACAGGGCGTTGGGTTGGGACAGCGTTGCAGGCCGAAGTAGACGTCGTTGTGGGGGGAGTTGACGGGGCGGGACGGCGTGCAGGTGGATGGGCGGGAGGGGGCGTCGTGGCAGAGGTCGTAGAGGGCGAGGATTTTGCGGCACATTGTCGACAGAGAATTGTTCTTTTCTTTACCGATGGGATCGGGGGTTCGATTGATTCTGTGGAATGTAAGAGTCTAGACCAAAAAGATCTTTCGTCTTTAACGACGAGAGGAATTGTAATCCACAAGCTTGCATGCTCTAAGCAGTAAATAAACAAGCAAATAGATGAATAGGATAAGTAAGGCACCCATTCGCCTCAAAAATGTCGTTGTAAGGACATCTTCGTCCATTCGTTCCAAAGACGAGAATCTTATCAAACGGCGAATGGATCGATCAGACAAGCATGAGCTGGTTGCGAAAAACCACCACCGCAACCTACAACTACCATTCTCGATCGATCGATCGACGCCAATGCGCCAACGACCACAACCTCAACATGCCCCTCACCTCGCATAGCACGATTCATGAATCCAGCCTTCTTCGAACGAACCAACAAAATCACACGGAGATCTGTTAAGCTTATCTTTGTTCCGGTAAGTAGGCAAAAGGTTAGGTTGGGGTATAGGTATAGATAGGCGACTTGAAAAGTTAGTGTTCGGCGACTGTTTTTTTTTTCTCTAGCTTCTGGAGCATAAATAAGCTATGGGGTGCGAGTGTGTGAGTCCCCGAACGACTTATTGACTGCAAGGTCGCCGATACGGAGAGAGTCGGGAAGGAGAAGAGAATATGCACACGGGTAGGTGGTTGTCTTCTCTTGTGTTTCTCTCCGTTCTTCTCCTTCTTCTCTGACAAATTAGAGCTGTCGATACATCATTACATGCGTCTTCAACATAGCAATATCCAACATTCCCAGCCCATGTCTACTCCCCCCTTCTCTACACAACCGTAACATCCACCGTCCTAACATCCCTCCTCACCTGCCCACCCTCCTTGAAACACTCCCCATCCATCACCCCATGCAGATAACAATCCCCCACAAACACATACTTCGTCTGCTCGTTCAAATCCCTTTCCCCTCCTTCTTCTCGCTTTTTCGCCCGCAACACATAAGGCTGAAACCCCCCAATCACCGCCACGACCAAATCCCCAATCCGCACGCCGGGGACTCGCTGGCCGGGCATCGTGCCGGCGATGGCTTGGTTTAGCGCGGCGGCGGCCCGGGGGTCTTTCTGCGCGAGGAAGGACTGGAAGGCGGACATCATGCCTTGCCCGAGGGGGTCGCCTAGGACGGAGTCGAAGTTGGGGACGGGGGTGGCGTTGGGTGCTTGGGAGCCTTCGGGAGGAGTTTCGATAGTCGTCATGCCGTAGCGGCCGCTTTCGCAGGTGAAAAAGCGGCGGCCGAGCGTGTTGGTTTGGAGGAGGGAGTCGAAGTCCTGGCTTTGGCCTGGGATACCTGCGAGGTTCTGGATTTCGGGCTTCGCGCGCGCCTCCGCGATGCGTTCGGGGGACATTGACATGAGCTGTTCCATTGTGCAGCCTAGGACTTGGAGGATGCGTTCTTCGGCGAGGAGGCTTTGGAAACTGCGAATGACATCCTCTGAGGGGGCGGAGGACGTCCGCATTGTATCGCCGAATCCAGCTATATTCAGGATCAGCGTACGGGCGTATTTATCCATGCATTGTTCAGGAGTTGCGGCTTCGCGGGACGGTGCGAGTTTCTGGAACTCTTCCAGGCAGAGCCGGCGGTAGTTGGTTTCGGTGAAGATTTGGGAGACAGAGGAGATGCGGTCCAGAGGATGGGCTTGGAGGTGGAGGCCGTCTTCGTCGTCGACGTAGATTCTCTTGTTCTTGAGGGGATCGGCCCAGGAGCGGAGGCCGTTGTCGGGGGATATCAATGCGCTTCCTGTGTTGATATTTGGGCTGCTCCAGTCTATCGCCCATGATGGCAGGCCAGCCAATTTGCGGCCGCAGGGAGGTCGCTCGTACCACCACCTGAAATTTAGAAATTAGCCAAACTCTTTCATCTTCCTTGATTCATTTCTTCAAAACACTTACATCATCAAATCCTGTCGGTCCTCCAGAATATACCTCGAAGCCCGTTTAAACACCTCCACCTCACTCGCCTCATAATCCACCTCGGGCAGAGCAGGCCTCTTAGAATCCTTTTCCGTCCGCAGACAAGGCGTCGAGATCGGAATGACCGAAAACACAACCTCCCGCGGATCCCGATACGACGTCCCACGGGCGTCCTTGATCATAGGCAAGAGCTCCAAGCTCTCCCCATCACGTTTCCGACGAGTCGCTGTCTGCAGGCCCATGATGCGCTCCAAGGATTTCAGCAGCTTCGGATCGGGGGTCAGTCCCAGGGATGGCATGAGCATTGCGAAGGCTGTGGATGCTGATGCGAAGTCCGGCCACGATACTGACTTGTCGCCGACAGCGACCATGGGCTTCTTCGACAAGATGATCTCGGGGATCGATTGCGGAGTCTCGAAGTATGTCGTACAGAACAACCTCTGCACGGCCTCCCACAAAGCCTTATTCGTCGGCTGGAACCGCTCATGTCGAGCACCAATATACGCCTGAGCATCCCGCATCTGCTGAAACGTAGCTCGCGAGTGGACCTCGGGGTAGTTCGCGTGAAGTCGCGCCTGCGACCATTCGTTCGCGAGAGTCTGAATCATGTCGAGAGCAGCTTCGCGTTGGGCATTGCCGGAACTGAGCCATGCCGTCGTCTTGTCCGCGTGCTCGAAGACGGTCTTCATCTCGCGGGCTTGCGTACTTCGCTCCTCGACGTTGCTGCCAATCAAGAGATCCGCCCAGACGGTGCGAGTGCTGTCGAATTTTCGAAAGGCTTTCAGCGCCGAGGCGAGAGGTTTCGAGATTTTGAAGGGCTCCCCGTCGACTTCAACGTCCACAGTATCGAAGTCCTTGGACCTGTCGTAGGAAATACAGTCATAGCTCGCATCGCGAGGATTAATATCGACAATCTTCACCTTAACAACGTCATCCCCACGTCCCGGTTCAAGCGTCGCCAGCCTGACGGTGTTCTTCTGAAAAAGCTGCGAGAAAGGGTTCTTGTCGGCCATATTGGTGATCTTTGTGCGTCCGATGGAATTCCAGGAAGTCTGAGTGCAGAAAGCCGTAACCCGTGAGCTCGTTCGCGAAAAGAGCGGCATTGGTTTCTTAGTAGATATGCATTAGAGCCAGCAACCCGCAATACGCGTCGAAGGATTCGGGTACGGGTGATGCCTGGTTCACTGCCTGGATGGGGCGGCGCTTGTCGAGGCAGAAACAAGCACAAACAGCGAAACGAGAGCAGATGATTGAAGGCGATACACCCTTCGTTTAGGGAGGTTTCAATACGTCCCAAGCCATCAACAAGTCCGTCGATTTTCTTCGCGGCGTGGCAAAGGATTATCCGAGAAGTAAGGGGCTTTCGACCTAATTGGCACATGCGGCGTTCTGTGGCGTGCGGGTTGAAAGGATTTTTGTTGCACGCGAGTTTCCGTGAAACATGGCAAACTGTGCCACTATCTCTGCTACTGCGGTCCATCTCGACAACGGACCTCAGCTGGTAGAGGATAGCATTAAGATATAAGAGGGAAGAATGATCACGAAGAATCCCGGGACGTTACTGGCTTGCCCCACAACGAAATCTGCCTGAGGCATGAATTCTGCCTCCGCAAAAGCCATTGCAAACCCGTATCGTACGCCGCTCATCTCCCTTTTCTCGGCCACAAATAGATGAACCGAGTAACAAACCTGATGTACAGTACGCGCATTAGATGGACAAATATATATATGTCTCCATTGTCATTTTTATTTACAATCATACCCACATCCCCTCCTCGTCTCCTCCTTTCTACACTCAAAAATCCCACAGCGCAACCACCGTATGAACATGAACGCTCGACGCCAAAACCACCCACCCATCCATCCACACGCAAAACGAGGCTTTTGCAACCCCATCAAAACATAAACTACCGAAGCGTACACGAAGCAGAAAACCATCCGGGAACAAACGCCATGCAACCGCTAAAAAGAGAAGAAATGCTTCGCAACGCAAGCAACGCTGACTACTAGCCTCCCGTACTATACTTCACTTTCCTCTTTAAAGCTCGCGTGAGCTTCGCATCCTTTTTAAGCAGAATCATCGACAAGTTTCCTGGCGTCATGAGCCTTCTTCGCATCCTTTTCCAGGGTCTCGAAGTCCGCCCCGGTCTGCTCACACATGCCGCGGAAAATCCCGCCTTGCGTAGAGATCAGGTCGAAAGGATCACCGTACTCGATGACGGCGCCGTGGTCCAAGACGAGGACTTTGTCGTAGTCGATGATGGTTTGCAGGCGGTGGGCGATGGTGATGGTGGTGTTTTTGATTTCGCGGATGGTTTCTTGGATTTTGGAGTCGGTGGCATAGTCGATCGAGGCGGTGGCTTCGTCCATGAGGAGGACTTTGGGGTTCTTGAGCATGGCTCGGGCGAGGCAGAGGAGCTGGCGTTGACCTTGGGAGAGGTTGGTGCCTGATTCGGCGACTGGAGAGTTTAGGTTGCGGAAAATGTTCTTGTTCTCCAAGGTCGTTCCTGTCGGGCTGGTAGGGCTTGTCGAGGCTGCATCGACCTTTGCGGTTAGGGCCTGCCTGCTCAATGGAATGACCGGAGACGACCGGCGGGCCTGATTGACGGGAGTTTCAGGCCTGGAAGGAGCCGCGGAGTTGGTTGCTGAGGGTGCACCGATGAGCTGGACTTTTCGCAGGGCTGTGAAGATCTCCTCATCGGTAAAGAGACCGAACGGGTCGAGGTTGTTGCGGACAGTACCGGTGAACAGGGTCGGGTCTTGTGGAACCATGACAATGTTCTCGCGAAGGTCTTGCAAGCCGATCAAGCCAATATCGACGTCGTCGATGAGGATCTTGCCAGTCTCAGCTTCCAGAGCGCGGAACAAGGCGAGAGCGAGAGAACTCTTTCCAGCACCAGTCCTGCCGACAACACCGACTTTCTCTCCCGGTGAGATCCTGAAGGTGATGTGCTTGAGCACAAGGTCGAAGTCGCTTCGATATCTCGTGCTGTAGTCGATGAACTCCACAGAACCTTTGCTAGGCCAGTTGGCCTCGGGTCGATTCTCTGGCACAATAGGTGCAGCTTCCTGCTCCACATCCAAATACTCCTTGACACGCTCGACGGCGTTCATGTTCTGCTCGTTGTTGGCGTATAGGCGCACAAACCACAAGACATTTTCTGTGAACGTCACAGCATAAGTCATTGCCAGACCAGCGGCACCAGCATCCACAGTCCCCACACTAAGGATGACGAAGACACCAGTGAAGAATGACACCAGTGCTCCGACGACATCGACACGCAGCGCCAGCCACCTGTTGGCTGCCCATAGGTAGATGAACGGCCGAGAGTAGGTGTTGACACGATGCAAATTCTCACGAATGAAGCGTCGCTCGTCGCCGTAGGCACGGATGGTCGTCATTCCAGAAAGAGTCTCTCCAAATTGCTGGTAGAGCGGACTCCGCTGAACCGATTCGAGTCGCTTGAGATCTCGGCTGGAGCTGATGTAGATTCTACCAATGATGAAGTAGAGGATGGTGATGAAGACGCCCGCAATCAAGAAAGCTGGTGTGATGACCGAGATGAGGACGACGATTGTCAAGATCGAGAAGAGACAGTGGACGACGCCGACCGCTACCGGCGAGATCTCCTGGTCGACAGCTTCGATATCCTTTGAGAAACGGTTCATGATCTGCCCGAGCGGAGTGGCATCGAAGAAGCGGAACTTGGCATGAGTGACACGCTCCATCAATTGGCGATGAATGCGCTTCGATGCGGATAGCGAGCCTGCAAAGAGGACGCACTCGCGAAGGAAGGTGACGAGCATGTAGCCAAAGCCGAGGATCGCGTACACTCCCAGGTAGTATCCGGCGTTGACATCCGAGTTGAGAACCTTGAACGAGCCCAGATCTTGTAGCTGCTGAGTCCAGAGTCCACCCCATACACATGAGCCAGCTCGAAGGCAATTCGACGAGCTGCTGATACCGCCGCGGATATGTGTAATGGGGGATGATAATGTTCCGTTAGCAGTGGCCATATACTCGGTCTGGGTGTATGCGTTGGCCCACTGTCGTATCCAGACGTTGGTAGCGACTTGGGAAAGTTGCTGCAGAGCGAAGCAGAGCGCGGCAATGATCCAGTACACGGCACCGCCCATATGTCTGAGGTACATAGTGATGATCGAGAGCTTGACGGCACCAGTGGCTTTCTCTTCAGTGTAGGCGGTATTGCTCTCGTCGACTGGATTGTTCATGCCTGGGATGTCCTTTGAGATGACCTTCGACAACGCTTCACTGTTCGCTCTTTGGCTCACATCGGTGTCTCGACGGTGCAAATATCCGTTGGCGTGACCGTTGGGAGGCTGCTCCTTCATTGGTGTTTCTCCATCACGGCCAATGTCAGATGGAACTCTTGATGGCAGCACCGAAGTGGATCGAGAAGTTGGTCTCGACTCAAACTTTGAGACATCCTCTGCAAGTTTGCCGGAATGGATCACCTCTGAAGCGTTGCCTTGAGCTATCACTCTGCCGTTGTCGAGCACGACTGCAAACTCTGCTCGTGGAAGACAGAGCGCAGCGTTGTGGGTGACGAGAATGCACGTACGGTTGTACATGAGGGGGCCCATAAGTGCCTTGTCGAAGATCCACTTGGAGGTGTGAGAGTCGACAGCACTGAGAACGTCGTCCAGCAGGATATGACGTGCATCGCAGTACAAAGCTCTGGCCAGACTGATACGTTGCTTCTGTCCTCCTGAAAGAGTGACGCCCTTCTCGCCAACCAAGGTCTGATCGCCAGCATCCAGAATCTCCAGGTCTCGCTGTAGGGAGCAAGCAACAATCACGTTCTTATACCTCTTTGCATCCCATTTGCTGGCGAAGACAATGTTCTCTTTGATGGTGCCGTTCACAAGCCACGCTTGCTGGGCGCAATAGGCGACGCTCTCAGTAAGGCCAGTCGTGGGATCTCGCCTGACCTCTTCTCTGCTGCGGCCGCCGGGAAGATAGACCGACCCTCCTAGCAACGACATTTCACCGAGCAATGCCATGAGTAGGGACGTCTTGCCACTTCCGGTTGGACCGATAATGACATTCAATTGCCCGACCTTGAAGTACATGTCAAGATCAATCATCTTGAAGTCATCGGCATCTTTGCCACCCCAGCTAAAAGTAGCATCGTCGAAACCAATCAGCGGTTCACCATTCTCGTCAAACTGATCGTTCTGAAGTTGATGGTACTTGTCGGTCTCTGGTTCGTTGAGGTACTCCTCCACACGATCAACAGACACCTTTGACTCCTGAACGTGGGCAACCATGTCGGCAAGCTGGTCCAGGGGAATTCTCAGCAAACTAAACAGGGAAAGAGCTGTAAATGCAATCGAGGGCACGAGATCCTTCTTTTCGACGAGCGTGTAGACGAGGAAAGTCAGAAACGTAATCAGCACCGGGGCGCCAGACCAGATGGTAGCCGCAATGGCCCAGATGATGTATCGGTATCGGAGGTGCTTGAGCTCAACAACACGCTTCTCGTCGACAGTCGCCAGGAAACGTTGCTCCCAGGCAAAGTACTTGATGATGCGGACGTTCGTCAAGACTTCGTTCGTTGTGTGGATTCTCGAATCCGTCGCGGCCAAGATTCGCTTCTGCACAGTCGAGAACTGCTTCGCGATGTACATGTTCACGGGCAGTAAGAGAGCCATCATTCCAATGCCAACAATACTACTGTTGCCGAGGAAGAGGTAGAGCAGGAGAATGGCGAGAACGAATTGAACAGGTGTCTCAGCCCATAGGAAGTGTAGGTAGGCGCTGATTTCGGAGACCTTGAAGGAATCGACAGCCATCAGGTTGATGATTGCACCAGAAGTGACTTGCGAATCGTCCACGTCGGCGACAGCCTTGGATGCGTCGGGCGCGCCATTCTCGTTCGTCTTCTTCTTCTTCGTCTTGCCGAACGTAAGTACCTTTTTGATGAATCCTGGCTTTGGCTCATCATCATCGTCCTTCTTCGGCTCCTCGCCAAGAACCTTATCTGCTGCTGCTGCCGCTCGTCGACGCAGGGCCTTTGCATAGATCTCGCCGATGATGATCGCACGCAGTCTGATACAGACTTTTCGTCCGATCCAAAGCGCTTGGCCACTGGACAATGCGTTGATAACACCAGAAACGAAAAGCAGAATGACATATAGCCATGCCGCATTCTTTGGTGTGGACTCTGGATCTTCAATGTACCCCAGAATGACCTTGAGAAGAAGAGTCGGCACGAAAGTGACTGCACCAGAAATGGCAGCCCAGCCTGCTTGAACTAGCAGCGGACCTCTGAAGTATCTGAGCAGATGCCAAGCTAGGATATGGGTCTTCTTGAGCTGTCGATAATCGGCCAGCACCGCAGCAGCTTTGTCTTTGGGTATCAGATTCCAGACATCCTTCATGTCCACAGCCTTCCTGTAGCCATTCCAAACGATTGGATCCACCCAAGCAAATGTTGCGAGGGAGAAGAGACTGGCGAGCGGCTCTCTCGATGGTTCGATCGAGTCCTCATACTCCAGCTCCACCGCCTTGTTGCCTTTCCGCGAGGTCAAGGCGATGATCGTCAGAAGCGTAGTGAGGGCGAAGTGGGTGCTCATCAGTGCCTCTGAGAGCTTCGAGCGGGGATGGATGATTTCCGAACGGAACAGCATGACCACGCATAGCCATTCGAAACAGTAGAGCAACGCGGTGTGGTACCACAGCTTCGGGAACGACCACTTCGACAGGCTCGAAAAGAGTAGTCGCAGCGATGCCAGAATCGCAATGTATGCCCAGACAACAACACTCGCAATCGCCCCAGCTTGTCCTTTGGATCCCCATGCTTGCGACACCAGCGCGGCCACCTGTATCCCCAGTTCGGCCAACACAGCTAGCTCTTCAACGATGATGATTGCCACCTCGCCTCTTGGTCGATCGACGGTCAAGACCGATGCTTCTGTTGCCCGGCTCTTGGTCATTTCCAATGCCAGGTTTTGGTTCCGCTGCATCTCATCTTCACTGTCATCTTCCTCACTGTCACTGTCTTCTCCGGCCACCGCGCCATTGCCCTGCACACCGTTCCACACATGCTGCTTCAGGACGTCGTACCCGTTCCGCGAATGATTCGATCGTCTGACGGCGACTCGTAACAGTTGGTAGACCAGGAACAGCGCCGACAGAGCGCATGCTATGAGCGGGAGCAGAGCCTGGAGATAGTCATGTTGAAAGCACCGGGAGAAGTCGTCTGATTCCCAGATGGCGCCTTTGCAATGCGCGAACATGACCAAGGTGCCGTGTGTCTCGCCGTCGGCCAATCGCGTGTGTCGTCCAATCCCGATGGTGTCAGTTCATCGGACCATTCTGGTGAAGAGGGCAGTCGGCAGAGGAGAGAGGAAAAGCGTCGAGGTCGCAGGTGATGAGGGCGGATGCTTGACAAACTGGCGTAACGCGAGTCGTCCACACAGGTCGTCGAGACGGGTAACCAGGGAGGCGTGTGGTGCGTGTATGCAGTGGCGGGCAAAGAAGAAGAAGTTTGGGGCAGGTGCGATCTTTGCCCAAACGGTCATGACCTCACCAAGAATCGCTCCCACGTCGGCTCAAGCTGCTCGCCCTGGCCTGACACCTTGACACTCTACTCGATTGTTGAGGCGGATGCTCGCACTCGTAATCAGAAAATTGCGTGTGCTAATATCACAGCGACCGGCATCAACCGCGTTGTTTGGGCGACGGGTTCATGGGAGCTACTAATTATCTCTTGCAGGCTATCGCCGCACGCACGCTCGCATGGCACTTATCGCGCCGGCACTGTACCCGATGCAGAGATGCGGTCTGGGAGAGGGAGGTGACTCAACACCCATGTCACCTCAACGGCAGCTGTCTCTCATCACCTGCATGCATCGAGGCGCTGCCGTAGACGGGGATGCAGAGCAGAAGAGCACCACAAGCTACGCCCAATGCACTCTCCGCATTCGCACGTGAAATTGTGTGACCGCAGCTCGCATACCTTGCTTTGCTTTGCCATGGAGCTTGCTGCCGGTCACCGACCTTCCTTTACTGGCAATTGAACGGCTTGCTGGTTGCATTTGTATCGATTTACAAGACTCTTCATGATTGTTTTTCATTGTACGAGTGAGTCAACGGTACTTCTCCCCGCCCAAACGCCACGCCCGTTATCGGCTACCCGCGGTTTTTGGAAGACTTTGATGATCCTGAGGAAAACCGTTTCTTCACCCAAGATCGCTCATTCTCCGTTCCACATGTCGCTTCACCGGGGCGCTGCAATCGGTGTCCATGGCTGGTACTTGTTCTTGGTCCTGCAGAAACAGAGTCAGATGAATGCCAAACACAGGTCAAGACAAGCGAGGAGACTTACGTGCTGAACGTTTTGAAAGCACTCCTTGATGCGGACATCACAGGAACGTGTTTTTCTGGCTCCCACGCTCGTATCGAACGCTGCAAGAGCTTGTCTTCTGCCGGTGACTTGTCGACCATGTATGACATCCAGGCGTGCCTGACGCGATTAGTGCGTGTCTCTACTTGCCTCTATTGTGCAAGACATACCAGCCTGGCTCTATTTGTGACCTGGCGAAGCATGTTAGCCATCTCTCCCCATACCACTCGGCCTGTTATCCTTACGGGTCGAATTCATGGTCCTTGTAGTCTACCCAACGTGTCCGCACTGTATAGCCATTCAGCGCCAAATTCACCATCTTCCCACAAGAGACGTACGTGGCAATTCCTCCTCCAAGTTCTCAAAGTACTTGTTACCGTAGCGGTCAATGCCCACGAGGGTGCCTCGCTTGGTGTCGCCTGTCCTGCTCAGTATCTCTCCGACATCTCCCATGCTAGCTCTTTCATATACCGATATACTGCGCGTCAAGTCAGTCGTCCGTTCTGCGTTCAGGTAGCTCGTTTCGAGGTCGGGGGAGATCGTACATGCAGTTGGTGGCCGTACTCCTGTTCGCTGTTAGCCATGCTCTGCAACCGCTGTCTGGCCTCCCTACCTTCAAGCCGATGCTCCGCAGATTGCGGAGAGTCCGCATAATGGTCGACATGGCTGCTGATCAGGTCTCCCGACTCAATGGCAGACCGAAGTCGACGTGTTGCTGACCTGCGAATGGCGATGCGCGGATTCGACGATTGGCCCAAGCGCGCGCACGGTCCATCGATACCGACTTCACTCCTTTCTATCAAACACTTTTCTTGGTAGACGACATGCATCCTCGATGATCACACGACGAGCCCAAACCTGCTTGAGGCTATCGAAACAAACAATACGTACTCCTAGATCTCGATACAATGGGGCAATCCAGAAGCGATTTGCCAGCACCGCATCGGCGCCTGCAGCGACGCCTGCAAGCGCAACTTCATCGGCGTCCCAACTGGCCGTAATCACCAACGAACTGGACAAGCTCAGTCCACGATTCAGGGTTCCTGCAGATTCAATACAGATCTTGCGGTCTCCGTCAGAATTTTATGAGACCTTGAAGGTACGAAGGAGATGCGAAGTCGCAAGTACCGCTGGACAAGGCTAATAGAGGTAAAGTAGACGAAGATCCAAAACGCCGATAGACGAATCTTTCTTTCAACTCTATATATTGGCAAGAGCGAACATGAGCTTGTAAGTTGGTGGCGCCTATCACTATACACAACCTGCTGACACTCCCAGATTGACACTATTCGTGCTGCACTCAAAGCGAATCCGGATTTGAAAGTGTCCTTACTGACAGACTACTTACGAGGCACACGAGAGGAGCCAGAAGCATCATGTGCCAGCCTGCTCGCCTCCTTGGTGCGGGACTTCGGCTCGGATAGGGTGGAGGTATGCCTATATCACACCCCAAACCTGGTTGGCACCAAGAAAGCGATTCTACCCAAGCGCATTAACGAAGGATGGGGCTTGCAACACATGAAATTGTATGGCATCGATGACGAGATCATCATGTCAGGGGCCAACCTTTCCAATGACTACTTCACCAACCGGCAAGACCGATATCATGTCTTCAAGTCCAAGGAGATTACCGATTACTTTGGCAAACTCTACCGCACGGTCTGCGATTTGAGTTATCGCGTATTACCGTCCGAACGACAACAAAGCGGATTTGAAACCGATTGGCCCTCAGGAAACATCCAGCCAGCACCACTATCTGACCCCAAAGCATATATCGAATCTGCAACGAAAGCCTTGCAACCTTTCACGCAACCACCGACTGCGAATGCGATGACGGACTCCGACACTTACGTCTACCCACTGGTGCAGCTAACACCGCTCCTCAAACCAGACACCTCCACGGAGCTGCCAGCATTGACCGGCATCCTCGCCAAGCTCGGCACCCCAGAGCTTGCAGGCTCCAAGTGGACATTCACAGCCGGCTACTTCAACATGACCCCCGAAGTCCGCGAACTCCTCCTCCGCTCCAACCCCGCCTCCGCAGCCGTCGTCGCAGCATCACCCTGGGCCAACGGCTTCTACGGAAGCAAAGGCATCAGCGGCATGCTCCCCGCAGCATACACCCTCCTCTCCCGCCGCTTCCTAGATGCCGTCTCCCAACGCAACGTAAGCGACCGCATCTCCATCAAAGAATGGCGCCGCGGCACCGTCAACACCCCAGGAGGCTGGACCTACCATGCCAAAGGCATCTGGATCACCCTACCCGGCGACGCACACCCTAGCATCAGCCTGGTCGGAAGCTCCAACTATACCAAGCGCAGCTATTCCTTGGATCTGGAAGCCAACACGTTGATTGTGACCCGCAACGCGGATTTGCAGAAGAGGCTGGGCGAGGAGGAGACGTGGCTGCAGGAGTATGCGACGCCCATGACTCGGGACGACTATGCCAAGACGGAACGGAGAGTGGGATTGCATGTGCGGATTGCGATGTGGATCGTCACGCTGGTGGGCGGGGCGCTTTGAGATGTGATGATGAGTGAGAGTGAGGTTATCCTTGTAACAATTCCAGTAAGCTGGGTTGAAGAAAGAAAAGAGTTTCATTCGAATTGCTGTGAATCCAGGAATTCGCTCCTTCGACAATTCGACATCGCATCTGAGTCCGAAACTCTCATTCCAAAACTCAGGCGGAAGCATGGACCAGGTTTTCTGGGATCGGCTTTCTCCAAGATGTGCATATCACTGCAAACTTCTTCCCTGGAGGAAACCTCTCACCGCAGAAGTTTCTTCCAAAGTCAATGCCAACGCCAATACCTATGTGGTCCCGTACTCCGCTCTACGAGAAGCCTCATCTCATCATCCCTATCTCCTCCCCCCTCACCATCCCCCCTGCCAAAGTCGCGGTCCATTTCAAGAACCTCCTCGATTCGGCCCCGGCGTCATCATCATCGGCGCCGTCGGAGCTCGCGTCTGGGACTGCGGCTGCGTCTGAGGCTGCACGAGATTGCTGAAGACAGACTCCGTACGTGCTTGCCCCAGCGCAGAACCCCCATACGCCCCTCCGCGAGTCGGCGGACGGGTGGGGTCGCGCAAGTTGAGCTCGTTGATTTGAGCTTGGAGGATTTTGTTCGCTTCGTGGAGCTGGAAACACACGAAATGTTAGTAAGTTGAAAGGGCATTTGGAAAGGGGGGCTTCTGTGGATGGACACTTACGTCCTTAATAGCCGCCTGATTATCCCCCGCAAACTTCGCCAACGTCGCATTCATATGCTCGTTCTGATCCCTCTGTTCCTTGCGGATTTTCTCGCGTTCGGTCATGAAGGTGCCGCAGATCTGGTGGAGCTGCGCGGTGGTGGATTGGTGGGCTGCGATGGCGGTTTGGAGGTCGAGGATGAGGCGGTGGAGGTCGTCTTGCGTTATGATGGATTGGGGGATTGTGGTTGTCGGTTGTGGTTGTGGGTGGACAGAGCGAGGGCGGTGGGTTGATGGGGTTGCGTGGCGAGAGAGTGGTGTTGGGTTGAAGTTGAAGGTACGGGCGGCGGCGCCGTGGTGTTGGCTGCGGGCTTGGGCGCCCATCATGCCTCCTGACTGGTGGTGACGGTGACTGGAAGAGGAGGAGTTCTGGAACGAGGACCTGTGGCTGCGAGAAGCCGCCGTTAGAGTCGTGAATGCGCCGGCCTCCGTGCGACGATAGCCTCCACGCTCATCGTAAGATCGCCGCTCACCCAAGTCGTTGCCTCGCTCGACTCGCTGGCGCTTCGATGGAGTCTCGTCCATGCTCATGTCCTCGTCACCAACCTCATACCGGCTATCGCGGCGCTTGCTTCTCTGGTGACTTGGAGTGCCATAGTCTGGACGGACCGGAGCACGCTCGTTGTCCATGGTGTCGATGTCGATGTTAACGAGCTGGAACGAGCTTTGAGAGTCGCGATATGATGGAGGGTCTGGGAGGGCAGTTGGGTCTCGAAAGCCGCCGTTGCTACGGTGACCACGTCCATTGCGGTCGAAGTGGTTGTTACCATGATCACGTCCTTCGATGCTGTTCATGATGCTGCTCGGATGCTCTTGTTTGATTGACTCTTGACGCATTTGCTTGTGCTTACGAGAGTCCTGACCCACGCTTGGGTTGTTGTTCAAGGAACCGGTCCACAACTCTTGCGGTGCTGATCCCGGGTTACGGAACTGCTGGAGTCTGTTGGCGACGGCCTGTTCGTTGGAAGTGAAGCTGTTGGCGGGCAACTGAAAGGTAGGGCTTCGAGTGAGGTCCATGTCGTGTTGATCAGACGTGAGATCTACAACCTCCATGTTTCCGTCCATCTTGGTTAGAGAGAGGCTGATCTGTATCGAGGGTTGGTGTTCGTTGTGGAAGGAGGAGAGGAGAAGTTGCAAGAGAAGAAACGTCGAGAGTTATTTAATAGATGCCGCCTCATGAGGTTCAAGTGAAGTGCTGTCAGGGGCAGCCGTCACTGGCTGGCGCCTTAGTGAAGTGAAGTGAGCTCAGCATGTGAATGCGAAAGTCACTAGCGGCTCTCAAGACATGTGAGGCTGGTTGTTCTTACTGTCCCTTAGAAGAGTCTACAGCAGGATTGCTGGTCCGTTGAACGCAAATTTGAAGGAGGCAGACGCCGTAGTGCATAGAAACGGCTTCCGCATGGCCATGTCACTCTCAAATGTCAGATGTCTTTCTAGTCCATGTTTTCAGCTGAATTGAACTTTGCTCGTGACACCCACTGCACACTCCCAAAATCACCACATCCACTTCGAACCGAGCAATGTGTGTGTGGCCATTTGCGGACGTATTGCTCGAAGATCCACCATCACCGCCGCCGCGCAGAAGAAATACGAGGCACAGGTATAGCGAGAGGAGGGCAAAGACGGTTGAAGAAAGAACTGCGATTCATCAGGAGCCGGTGGTGAGTTTGCTCTCTCTTCTTTTTCTTTCGCACACTTCCTCCACCGCGACTCCCCATCTTGGACTTCCTTCCCTCCGTGGTCCCTTCACTTCGAGCCCATCACGTCACATGCACCGGCGAAGCGGCGACTCTTTTAAACCGCCTCAACCCACCTCATCTGAGTCACGCGACATCAACACCACCACCATTCCGTCTCCAATCAAATATCGACCTGCAATGGCTGGCGACGAGGACTACGAACACTGGCCAGACGGCAGCATCCGCTTCACACAACCAGCAGTCGCACCACCCGCACCCACCAACAACCTCCCACCTCCACCAGAAGCTCCAAAATACTCACCAGCCCTTCCACCTCACTTCCTGCAGCAACCCCAACCAGTCTACTACGCCCACCCTCCCTCGGCCATGACTTACCCGCAACCACAGTACTACTCTCACCCACCTCAGAATTACTACCCGGCTCAGTACCCACAGCCAGCGTACTACTCGTACAGCGCTCCAGCTCCTGCTCCTGCTCCTGCTCCTGCTCCACCGGCTCCAGCTCCAGCCCCAGCGCCTGCCATGGCTGCGCCTCCAGCAAATTACCACGTCTACCACCCAGCTAGCACGGAACCAAAGGCTGTGCCTGATGCTCCTCAGGCCAACATCTGGCTCGGTCGCACCAAAGAGCAGGTCGAGGAAGACAACATGAAGATTGCGAAGAAGCAGGGCGCGTACGACAAGCGCAAGATGGCGCCGGTCGACGTCAAGGATGATCAATTCTTTTGGGTTATCGAGCTTGATGGAAAGCCAACTCTTCGGTGAGTTTGGGACAGTCTTCTGTTCATCTTGACGACATTCCAAATGTACGATCGGTTGCTAATTTTTATCCACAGCGAGTGGCGCTTCATCAAGACGATCAAGGGCGACTGGAAGGAGGATCCTCGCTACCCGGACGCCTACTACTTCGTCCGCGAGGAAGAGAAGAAGGACAAGAAGTAGCACTTTTGTCGACATACTCGGACTTGGATACTGATGCGATGAACTGCGATTGGAAACGAGAGGAAAGAGGCCACGTGGGCCATACGACTTGCGATGAAGGATGAGACAATGATGATGATTGCATTTGGATTTGTGGCTGCCTAGACGGCTGAGCTCAAGGTGAAGATAAAAAGTGTCTTGTTGATACTTCATCAATGGGGATGATGTTTGTTTGTCTGATGTTGTTCCCTTGAAGTGACGTCTTCTCCTTTCTTACGGCATTCTGTTCACTCAATCGAGTCATATTCTGATATCGCTCGCCGTATTGCTGCTTGACGTCACCTTCACATTGGCCTCGATTCGACAGACTTCAGTCCAATGCCTTTCGACACGAACCTACGCAACACCTGCCTCTTCCTTGCAATTTTCATCCTCGCCTTCTTCCCAAACGCCTTCCAACTCCTCCTCAAACCTCTCCTCCTCCCCTTCGAACTCCTCGGATCCGACTTCACACCTCAAAAACCCTTCCTCCCAACCTGCAACTGCTGCCCACCATCCAGCTGCACCCAACAACAACCACCACCATCACAGCCCAGCATGTCTTGGTTCCAGAAACAATTCACCCTCCCCTCCCGCTCCCGCGGCTCCTACCTCATAACCGACCACATCCTCTCGGAACTCCCCGAACTCCGCACCTACAAAGTCGGCATCCTGCACCTCTTCGTCCAACACACCTCCTGCGCCCTCAGCCTAAACGAAAACTGGGACGAGGACGTCCGCACCGACATGTCCGACGCCTTGGACAGGATTGCGCCAGAAGACAAGAAGGGGAATCTGTACAGGCATAGCTGCGAGGGCCCGGACGACATGCCGGCGCATGTGAAGAGTGCGCTGGTAGGCGCGAGCGTGACAGTGCCGATCAAGGATGGGAAGTTGGCGACGGGGACGTGGCAGGGGATTTGGTATCTGGAGTTCAGGGCTAGTAAGCATACGAGGAGGGTGGTGGCTACGATTCAGGGGGAGAAGGCTTGACTTGGGGGGCGGAGTGGGAGTTTGGGGGAGAGGTTGTGATGATTGTGAGGGTTATGAGGATGCATTAGCGGTGGTGTTGGAGGGGAGGGTTTGGGAATGGACGAAGAGACGAGAGGAATGAATTTCATTTCTATACGCATGAATCACGACTCCAGCTCTGTCGCCCATCACTCCAGTCCGCCGAACGACTCGCTGACTTCCGTTCAATCAACTCTTCCGGTAAAAGCGAGACGATGCCGAAGCTGATGTTCCAGCGCTTGCCCACCAGAGCGGCGCCAACTACGACGCCGATCACGATGTCGGCGATGGCGCCGCCGCCGAGACTGCTGCCAGAAGTGCCTTTGGTTGGTGATCGTACCGGCACCGTTACTCTGGATCCAGGATAGAAGTGGTTCACACGCAAACAGGTCATGAAGGCTTTGGTCTCGATGGTGGATACTCGCTCGCGATTCGCGATTGGAAGGAAGATCTAGAGCTCGTCTGCGGACCTCCTTCCTAAGCTGATCGTTTGGACATGTATCTCACAGTCATGTACGTGAAGATGGCCTGGTTCAATGCATCGTAGTGCGAGTCGTTTGCGGGAGTGAACGTCTGCTGGATCCCCTACCACGCATGCCAATATCTACTGCCTGGCTGGATGGATGTCGTTTCTGCTGAGCAAACTCCCGAATGTTGATCTCTGAGCGAACTTCCCACCGACGTGAGCCAAGGAAAGCGCCTATGTAATTTGGCAATGGTGTTTTAGACTATGAGAAAGCTGGTCGGCGCTGATTAAAAATGTAGTTCTTCTTGCTATTGTATGAAGCTATGAAGATAGAGAGATGCTAGATCTGGGCACGCCATCGCCTGTCGAACATGTCGTAATTATGATCCATTGATAATAACATCCGCAGCCTTCTCACTAACCATGTAAATTGGCAGCGCAATATAGTACCCCGGAATCTTAGGAAAGACAGACGCATCGACGACTCGCAAACCCTCCACGCCGCGCACTCTGAAGTTTGAGTCCAGCACAGCCATCGGGTCGTCGTCCGCGCCAATCTTGCAGGTACACGAAGCATGGTGGCCCCAAGCTTCGTCTTTGATGAACTGCTTTAGGTCGTCGCCGGTGACATTCGCCCCGGGCCAGGTCTCGGTGAAAGCGCCATCGAGGGGAATCATTTTCTGGTAGGCTTCGCGGGCGAATTCCATGGCTTCGTAGACGGCTTGGAGGTCTTTCTCATCGGCATCGTCGGTGGTGACGCCGGTGTCGAAGTAGTTGAAGTCGATTTGGGGGACGTCTTGTGGGTTTGTGGAGCGGAGCTTGACGGTGCCGGCGTTATTACGCGCGTGTGCCTTGAGGATGATCCACGTCCAGTGCTGTGCGTCTTGGAGCCCGATTTTGGCGAAGTTCGGGTAGTAGCCTGGGAAGTTTGCGGGTGCGCCTGAGATGAAAAGATCTGGGTCGTCGGACTCGGATGCGGAGGAAGACTTCTTCGTAATGGCGATGGCGATGCCGTTGGTTGCGTACACGCCTCTCGACTCCTTGGTGTCGTTGTCCTGCCAGGTCTGGAGACATGGATCGGGCGAGGTGTAGCCGAACGTGCAGTCTTTGGTGATGACGAACTCTCCTGGGTTCTTGCCGACTACGCCGGTTTCGTATCTGTCCTGCAAGTTCTCGCCAACGCCAGGGAGGTCTTTCACGACGTCAATACCGAAGCTCTTCAACTCCTCTTGTGGCCCGACACCACTAAGCTTCAGAAGCTGTGGAGTGCTGAACGCTCCCGTCGAAAGGATGACCTCCTTGCCCACAGCAACATAGCCGGTAGATCCACTGGCAGCATCATAGCGCGGGTCAGCAGCGTAGAGGCTGTTGCCCTGGAGGTACTCGACACCCACGGCTTTCGGAGTCGCTCCGCTTTGGTCGAATCGAACTTTCGTGACAAGAGTGTTCAACTGGACGTCGAGATGGTACTTCCGCGAACCGTCAGCGTTGACTGCATTAGCGGTATCAAGGATGAAGTCGCGCGGACCGCTTCGTCGTGAAGCTGTGTTGTTGACTGCGATGGGCACTTGGTAGAGGTCTTGGGTCTGGTCTCGAGTAGCAGCAGCAGAGTTGATGTCATCTGTCAGAATGTGTGCGAGGCCAGTGACCGTCGTGATGAGGCTGGTGATGATACCCTGCAGCAAGTCAGTCACTGATCAGACATTCTCAAAGTCCGATCACTCACCTTGCCCATAGCAGTTGCCGCCGACAAAATCAGCGTCAGGAGCTTCTGATCTTCAACAACCAGGGTCAGAGAAGTCAAGCTAGTCTGGAGCCATCCATCAAATCCATGGCCCTCTGTTCCCTCAAGAGCGTATTCATTCCGCTCAAGCTTCTCAAAGTACGTCCTCATATTATCCGGCGCCCAAGAATCATCTCCAGTAATAGTCTGAAGATTCGTCCAATCGCTCTCATGCGGGTAGACCGTGATCATAGCATTGTGAGCAGCGCAGCCGCCCAGCGTTCCAGCTCTAGGATACAGAATACCAAGCGGTTCAGCGCCATTCGGTGGATTCTTGCCGGTATACAGCTCGCCATCGGTCTGGTTGTACACCATCTTGGAGTCCCGTTCCTGTCGGGTGAGGTTTGAATAATGGTTGACGAAGTAGTCCCATCTCTGCGGCTCGTATTCGACAGACTGCAATTGCATTGCTGGCACCATCTGTGCGATAGCATCGCCCTGGTCGTCTCCAGCGTCAATCAAGAGGACCTTGAAACCTGCGATGGCCAGACGGGATGCCAAAGGTCCGCCACCCGGTCCTGATCCCACGACCACGTAGTCATATTCTGTCGTTGAGTTGATGTCTCGACGCTGTTGGTGGTCATGTAAACGAGCGTGGCTGATGGAAGAAGCAGTAACGAGCGACAGGAGTGACGTCCACGTCAACCACCCAGAAAACAACATCTTGAAAAAGACACCAGCAACCTCAATTCATCGAATGTTCCTCTAGAGACACAATTCTCAACTTGAAGTTGAAGTCTTGGAAAGGCCTCACTTCGGTCTCGCTCACACCGTCCCCTTTCGAACAAAGCTTGTATACGTCCATCCATGAATGGCATTGATCACCACCGCCATGTTCTCGTGTAAGCGAAATGCATAGCTGCATTGGAGAGCAGACTAGTTTCAGCAGAATCCTCGGTAGTGGGATTAGCTGGCATGGGGTCGTGGAGCCGTGGTCAGGATCCCATCCTTGCGTGAAAAAATCCAGGGGTATGTAGCGTGGCACTAGCAAGGCTGTCGTGTGAACGGATCCGGGATGGAACACGTCGAGCACGCGGATAGCAGCCAAGAGATTCTTCTTGATTTCTTGTCTCCGTGCATTGGGAGCGATGGTGTCGATCGTCATTTATGCATATTGTTGTAGCTCGATGACGAATTCCTTCGGGTAAAGAGTATCTAATAGCTACTAGCCGATTATCTTGTTGCTATCCAGCAAGACCTGTCCGGAGCGCCTGTCCCCCGAAGCCGGTTGTTGAGAGTCTGGGAAATGCAATCGCTGTATCATAGTGCTCACATTGGTGAGACTGGGCGTAAATATGAATGATGATCCTGTGTGTGGATCGTACTGCCTCCTGCTGTCTGTGGTGCTGCGGCTGAACGTATTGTGTTGCCGTCCATGTCAACGAGAGGAATGAAGTTCTCCTCGTCGCTACTTCGAGGTCGTACTTGCACTTGTGGCTCGAATTTACCAATGCCACTGTTCACGGCCGTTGGTCCAGATAGTCCTGTGTTGTTTCCTGTCTGCTTGGACTCCTCGTACGTCGATCCCATGAGCCTGGGGAGAAAGCGTCGGATGATGTTGCGTATGGAAGGCATGCAAGCGCAGACAACGGCTGCATGAAGCTCTACTGTCGACCAGTATCCCACGGCGGTGTAATGCCCTGAGCAGTATTAGAATCGCACGTCCAGTAGATACAAGACCGTGTACTTACACGTCAAGTTGGAAGCATCTCCAAACTCAATCAGCACCTGCAGTCTCAAAATACTGACAACCGTCACAAATCCACCAACGCCGAACATGAGCATGACCAGAAAATTCTTCCGCTTATTCAGTTGCATTTTCCAAAGCATCGGCATCGGAAGACCGAGCACAATGATGTCCAGGATAACATTGAACGCCGCTGATGCCCATCCCTGCGCATTGATATTGTTGCAGCGACCCGTGGTCTCGCCATGCCAGTGAGTCCATGCGAAAGAGATGGGCCAGCATTGGAAGACGGAGACCAGAACAAATGCCATGCCGTAACATACGTTCAATCCAATGACGAAATACACGATCCAGCGGAATCGTTGCGAGTCGAAGATGCGCAGGTAGGTCAAGCACATGGAGATTTTGATGGCCGGGAGTGCGGTCAGGTAGAGATCTTCGTCGGCGTAGTAGACCTGTCACAAGGTCAGAAAATATGAAAGTATGTATCTGTCGTTGCGGCCTACCTTCAGGATTGCTGTGATGTTCTCGAATGGAAGTGTCCAAATGTCTTTCCCCAGTCCAAGATTGGCCACTTGTCTCGAGTTAGCGAGGAAAAAGAGACCGTGAATGGATAAAACTTACAATCGACTGACAGAATGCTCAACGGAACCACCAAGGCCATAGCGAAGGTCATTACCGCATCGTCCCACCACAGCTGAGTGCTGAACGTGAGACGACTGCACCCTTTACATGACATCTTCGACGACATTCGTAGTATGTAGGCAATGAGAGCAATGACCAAGCCAATGACGCCGCTGTAGGAGACCGCCTTCGTCCTGTCGCGGACTGGGCGTTGGCAAAGTGTGTCCGTAGTGTTCTGTGTTGTGAGCTGGTTCTTTATACTGCAGCTTTGCAAAACGCAGGCCTGGACCTCCGCCGTGATGGTGGCATTGCTGCAACTGCATGCTATGTCTGTCGACGAGCACGGGCTCGCCGCGATTGCAGTTTGAAGGCAACTGAGCTGCAATACGGGTTTCTGTCAGCACTCCTTCGGCTCGCTATCGTATCTCATGCAAACATACTCCACATGCGGGCATCGACGCAAGTAGTTGCAGTGCCGCTGCCTGTTGCTGCTCCTCAGCCGTACCTGCAGCTGTTGCCAGAGCGGCAAAGAGGGTCAACGAGACCCATTGTAAGACCCTCATGTCCATTCATTGACCCGAGCAGCTGGAAGATGGGAGACGCGTAGAAGTTGCGTGGGAGCTGATCAGGTCAAGAAGAGGAAAATCGCTTGGCTCACATCTGCCGTGCGAGTTATGGCCGCGTGCTCCTAGCATGCGGTGATGCGGGCCCCGTCACCGCCCACAGGAGGACGACAATGCAGCGACTAGAAGACAAGCGAAAATGATTTCGACGCCCAAGTCCAGCACCCCGGCAATAGCAAAATGGCAAGTTCCAGCATGTAAACGAGTCGCTGGAAACGTGCGCCCAAGAACTGTGAGCGATCATCCAAAACTTCGGCACTTCATATTGCTCCTGCGGACCAGGGTTGGAACTCCACGCGAGGCTGCCGGCGCCGGCTAAATACCAGCCCTGTCCATGCAACTCTTGGATCGCTCGTGTACTAGACCAAGATCGGTCTCCCCAAACGGCGGACTCATTTCTCCCGTTGACGATGATCATTGCGACGAGTGCTTGTTTGCATAAGCAGCGAATGTTGGAGGAAGAGCACGGGTGCAGTGTCTCCTAGCTGGGACCAGTGCGTCCCATGAGATGGGCTCTGATGGTAATCGTGTCTTACTTCCTCCACCTCATTGTTTTGTCAGGGTTTGATATATCCAAGATGTATGCGCCAGGAGGTCTCTTGTTCAGCATCACTGCTTGGTGCAGCCTTGGGCAACAGGTCATCGCCTTCTCAAATCTCCAGAACCTTCCACATTCCTATTTGCATGGCACGCATGCACCAGAGAAACGACTCCTCGTCAATGGATTGGACAAGCCAATTGATGTTTCTGGTGAACATGCTTTTCAGCCACCCACCGAGTCGGACCAGCGTGGTCCTTGTCCTGGTATGAAGATATGCGCAGGTCTGCCGTAGTGTTGTTTGGCTGATCTCCTCAGGACTAAACGCCCTCGCCAACCACAATTATATATCTCACGCTGGTATTGCATCGTTGTTAGAGGCAGCAACGGCCATCAATACGGTCTACGGCATGGGCATCGAGATCGCCACGATCCTCTCAGTGATGGGGGTTGTTTGGACTGGCAATCCGCTTTCGCTGAATCCTTCGTTCTCGATCGATGGTAACGACACCAGAATCGAGAATTTGCTCGATAATGTCCTTGGGCTCCTTGGTCTGTAAATCCTCTCCTTGAGCCCATCGCGGATACTGACAAGTTGGGAAGGCACCCCTCAGGGAATATCCTTCTCTCACAACCTCATCGAGGCCGATTCTTCACCCACGCGCGATGATTTATACGTGACTGGTGACCCCGTCACGATGAACATGGACAAGTTCAAGGCCTTGTATGAAGTTGCCGATTCGGAAGGAGTGATTTCCATGGATGCACTCGGAGGCTTTGCTGCTAAGCGATTCAACGAAAGTGTCGCGACCAACCCGAACTTTTATTTCGGACCTTTCACAGGAATGATTGCTCGCAATGCAGGGTACCTCTTCATCGGGCGTCTGTTCGCGAACCACACGACCGAGCATCCGGAGGGCATCCTGAGTAGGTACTTCGTCCCTAATATGACGCCAATGCTGACCGCTTCTGTAGCGCAAGATATCCTGAAAAGCTTCTTCGCGGTGTCCGGAGAGCCCTCGAACTTTACATACAAGAAGGGGTGGGAGAGGATCCCAGATAACTTGTACAAGATCCCAGTTGATTGGACCTTGGTGCAGCTGAACCTCGACCTGGTGGATTGGATACTGCAATACCCTCAGCTGGGCAGCATTGGTGGTAATGTAGGTGAGGTGAACACGTTCGCGGGCATCAGTTTGGCAGACCCCGTCACTGGTATCGCGAACGTCACCAACTTGCTCGAGGGCAACAACCTCGTTTGCTTCGCCCTGCAAGTCGTGAAGCTGGCTGCCCCCTCGTATACCAACTTGTTCAAGACGCTAGCAGCACCTTTGGAGTTGATCCTCAACACTCTGGCGACACCCTTGCTGGATCTCTCTTGCCCGTCCTGGACTGCACTCCAGAAAGGCGGCAAGCCACTTTGGGAAGACATGCAGGACAGGGTTCCCGGAGCCAATAGCTCCGCCTTGTAATGAATGCAAAATTCATAGCTGGCCTCAATTACCGAGTAATGTTTAATCAGAAGTTGCCGACCAAAGGCTCAACGTTCGGCCAGGAAACATCTTGCCAGTCGAGCCAGGTTCCTCCAGTGTCCATGAAGTCAAGATCGATCGAAGGGTGATTCAGAAAGTCTTGAAGAGGTGGGTTTTGTATGAGACCGCCGCCAAATGTAGGCGCAGACAGATCGCTCGGGATGTTTCGCGTCGTGTCTGCTGTCAACAAATCGTTGCCTTGCATCGATCGCCAATCACCATCGACTCGCATCGAGATATGCTCTTTCAACACATCTCGCAAAGCTTCGATATGAAGAAAGTATTCTTTCGCAGCAAGGTTGCCGTTCCGGTCAAGTTGATGCAGAAAGTTCGCTGCGAGAAGAAAGTCCTCGTGATCACTTTTCCAGCCATTATTGCGCAAGAAGCAGGATAAGGCTAGGATGTTTGCCGAGGAGAAAATGTACTGAGTGGAGAAATAGTCGAAGGCAGAGATGGTGCCGTCACTCCAAGCGGTCTTCAACAGCTTCATGGAATTGCGAGCGCATCGTATGCAAGCGTTTGTCAGGGATAACGCTGATTCTGGGAATGATTCTTGAGGATTAGATCCTTGAGCTGAGCTTTGTTGTCTCTGTCGAAGCAAATGCAGCACGATAGGCCGTGTCGTTACGATGACAGTCTGCGAGCTACGATCAACATCACACCAAGTGGAGTCTGGCTCGCACGTACCTGATTGAACGACAAGTGTAGAAATACAACATGTCTCTCATTTTGAGCTCCGCTCTCCTCAGCATTAAGCTGTAATCGTGACGGAAGGTCGTTGGCCCATTCACTCAATGCTTGTACTGTTGTCTGCACTCTCTCAGAGAAGGACGTAGGCTGCCGCTTCCTGACGTAGAGCGAGCTGACTGCATTCATTGTCAGTCGTGCCAAGCGAACAACGAAGACAATGTGTTCAGCATCATGAAGTTCACTGCGCGCTTCTGGTGGAAGGCCTTCATCCGATGGCAACCCGATTTCTACGCTATCGTCTGGAATGGACGGAGGCCAGCCGATTTTAGATGCCCACATTCTGTCGAAACAATAAGCGGTCCACCATAGTCGACATCGATGTTCACGTAGCGCCTGGTCCCGGACCTGCGACTCGCTAATTTCAATATGCAAGCCGAGAATTATGCTGACACGTAAGGCGTAGCTTGCCATGAAGGAAGCTGTGTGGCGGCGATTTATGGCAGAAGCGTAGATTGACTAGATTATGTTAGCGGACCGTTTGAGATTTCTTATAGCAGTCCTACCAAGAGGATATAGATCTCAATCAACGCCAGCCGAGGCCGTTCGCTGGGAATATGCGCCATCGCCATCGCCTTGGCGAAGTACTTCGATCCTGGGAAGGGCGCCTCAGGTAGTGTACATCGAGAGGAGTACGCCTCGCCCAGGGCAAGGAGCGCCCACAGTCGACATGCCGAAAGCCAATCGCAAGTATCTGGAGTTTGAAGGACAGTGCTGACACTCGCCATGATCTTCGACCTGCGAACAACATGCCAAGTCTTACAGACCGTGTTCAGCGCCACATCTACAAGGTACGTCATCCGAGAGGCATTTGGCCATTGCAAGTTGGGGTCAGTCAGAGATCGAAGGCTGTCGTCACTCATGTACTGAATCCTCGGCAAATGGCTCACGGGCTTCGTCGATGCAGTCTGGCGCAGTCTGGTCGCGAAGGCAGCATCTGCAGCCTCGCCAATGTGGATCGGCAGGTCAGAGGCATTGTGGGCAATGAACCACGGTCTTTCCTCAATCAATGGATTTCGGTCCGCATTGTCTGCTCTGGGCTCGGGAGGCTCGACCGGCGTCTGCGCTGCAGATGACGCGGGGGTATTGATAGACGATACAATGGCTGAAAGGTGTTTGTTCTCTTCGAGTATCTTGTCGAGATACCGCTGCCCGACCTTCGTCTTCCTATCTTTGACCGGATAAATGCATTCTGACGATGATTCCGCACAGGCTGTGCACGGTGGCCCACTGCCAGAGCACTTGACCTTTTTCTTGTGACAAGGACCACACCTGGTTATGGTCAGTGGCCTGAAGGTGTGGTAAAATGATGCTCAAAATGCTTACGCAGTGATGCGCTTGGATTGCATGACCGGCGAAGGTTTGTTGATGTCCGTCGGGGCCAGGGGCAGCGATGAAGTGTTACGGCGAAAGTCTCGTTTTCGCCGTGGCAAGGATTACGGATTGCCGACGGACCCACTTCCTGCAACAGCCAAACAGTGTCATTGGCCGGCGAGTTCATTCACTTCGCCGAGCCTACATGACCTCAGTTCCTCCATGGAATGTCGACCGCGTCGCCCAGAAGACGACACAAGAGGCGCCGTGAAGGATGAAGCTGCCAGAGCCTCACAGAATTCGTCACCTTGTCCCATTCTATATCGGAGTCTGGTTTGACAGACGAAATAGAATGCCTCTCGTCACAGAACAAAAGAACATGAAGTCACACCTTCGGGCGAGAATGTCCTTCAAAACCTTTCACTGCATCTCTGCACTGCAGGACCCACTATTCGGCGCTCAACGATAAGATGGCCGAACAAACAAGCAACATATAACAAACCTCAGGGCCACTCCTTTGGAAATGCTACGATCCTCCAAAACTTTGCAAGATGGGGAAATCCGACCTCGAAGCTCAAACGCCCCAATCCACGACAAGAGACCCAAGCCCTTCAGCATCTGATCTCGATGAAAAGTCGCCTGGCTACGATGTTTCGACTCTACAAAAGTGCCTGGTAGTTTTCACGACGAGCTTTGCCACTCTGGCTGCTTGCTTCAGCTCGACTTCGCTGTTCTCTGCTGCTAGCGAGATTGCCGACGAGTTTGGGACGACGGCGGATGTTGTCAATGCATCCAGTGCGGGAGTTTTATTTGCGATGGGACTGTCGAACTTTCTTTGGGGGCCGATATCACTGGTATGATCATGTCCTTTCCGGGGAATCTAATGCTAACGGTGACATAGTTGTGTGGAAGGCTCATTGCATTCAACACATGCATCGTTGTCTTGACGCTCTTCACCATTGCTGCAGCCTTGTCGCCGAATCTTGAATGCTTCATCGTGTTCAGAATCTTATCTGGGTTTCAAGGAACGTTCTTCCATGTCACTGGTCAAGCAATCCTGGCTGAGTACTTCCCGCCTGTAAGAATATGCCACCCACAGAGGAACAAGATATAAAGCTGACCTTACATCAGACTTCAAGAGGCACGGCTACCGGCTTCTTCCTCTGTGGCACAGTCCTAGGCCCACCACTCGGTCCGCTCGTGGCAGGCATCGTTGTGACCTACGTGAGCTGGAGGGTCATCCTCTGGGTTCAAGTTGGCATGACGGTGCTTGCTCTGATCCTATCTCTACTCGTCCTGAGAAAGGGTGGTAGCAACCCTCAACTACCAAAGTCGACTGGTGATGGGCATCCAATACTGCATATCCTCCGCGCATTCAGCCCAATGAACGTCATCAGGGTGATGAAGTATCCCAACGTTGTGCTCACGGTAAGCGTCGAAGTAACACTTATTACATGGCCTCGAGCTGACAGTCGCCATTCAGGACATTGCCTGCGGCCTCCTCTCCTGGTCGCAATACGCTCTTCTCTCCAGCCCGCGCCACATCCTCGTCTCGCAATACAACCTCACCTCCCCTCTCATCTCCGGTCTGTTCTATCTCTCTCCTGCTGGCGGCTTCTTAATTGGTACCCTCATCGGCGGTCGATTCTCCGACCACACCGTTCGGCAATGGATCAAGCGACGAGATGGCCTTCGTCTACCACAAGACAGGCTTCGTTCCGGCTTTGCATCGTGGTTTTTGATCATCCCAGCGGCGTCGTTGATATTCGGATGGGGCATCGAGGAGCATGTCGGTGGTCTTGCACTGCCTATTGTCACGGCGTTCTTTTCCGCGGCGGGGATTCTGGCGGCGTTTGCTGGGTTGAATACTTATTGTGCTGGTAAGCCGAGTGCAAGTCTTGACTCGAGACCCATCGCTAACGAAAACTCAGAGGTCATGCCACACGACCGACAAGCCACCATCGCAAGCAAACACGTCCTGCAGTACACCTTCTCCGCCCTCGCCAGTGGCGTCAGCGTCCCCATAATCGATGCGATAGGGGTTGGGCTACAAAGCACAATCAGTGAGGTCCTCTAGGACGAAATCTTAGGTACAAGAAGCTGACCGAAATGCAGGTGTGATTCTTGTATACATTGCTGGCGGCCTGTGCATAGTCACAGCGTTGTACGGCATTAATATGCAGATGTGCGTTGACAAGCGGTCGTCGCCCAAGACATGATCACGACAGGGACTATAAAACAAACAGAAGGATTTCCCGTTCATGGACGAAGTTTTGATGAAGAGAATAGAAACAGATCGAGATACCCCGGCATACGAACATGGATGGCGTGAAGAGAACAAGAGGCAAAAGGACGAGGTATACAAGTGGTTAACGACATGATACACCCTCTGCTCAATAAAAGTTCTTATGCTTTCAATAAGCATTTCATAACCTGGTGAGAGATCTCTAAATAATATAGTTTGTTTTAATTCAATCCCATCACCACATCAGCCCAGACTGATGTGGGAGGGACATGAAGCTGATTGATTGAATAGAATGGCGCAGTCGGAAAGCGCGTGACTTGGAAGCGAGTTCGAATCCCGGCGGCAAACAACAACACTTAAAAAAGAAAAACCATTAAGTTGGTTTTCTCTAGAACTCTGAAATATGGGTTCTAGTTCTTTTGCTAATTTTTCTGAAGGGCTGCGGGTGCAAGAGTGCGGGTTCGAGTCTTGGACGGGAGGAGGTGGATTTGGGATGGATATCGATTGAATCTTCCTATTTTTGCTTCTCGAATTCGTTTATCTGACTTGGGATGATTCGAATATACAAAACATCCTTTGTTAGTGAGGGAGTACCCAGAAGCACAAAAGAAATCAAAGACTTAGACTTTCAAATTGAAATCTACCATTAACCAAGATTAATAAACTTGACAGAAGGCTTCGCCGCATTCCAAGCCCTCTTCAACACCCTCCCAACACCCACTCTATACGCCACCTCCCTCCTCTCATCCCACTCCACCAGCAAGACATTCCACATATCACACTTCTCACTAGCCCTATATCTCGAACTCACCGCATCGTACCCCGTCAGCTGCGCCTCCGATACCACCACGAACTCGTGCCGTTCAGGGACGAGATATGTAGGCCCACGTCCGTTCAAGGTCAGGTGGCCGGCATAGGCACCCGACCGAGAGGACGCGGAGTTGATGAGGGCACGGAAGGCGGGGTTCGTGGATGTGTGGTTTTGGTCCGGTGGGCTGGTGCGGATGGTGATGCGGAAGAAGGCGCAGGAGGTCCAGAATTGGAGGTAGAGGCCGGGGTTGAGGGAGTGGTGGAGGGTTGGAGTTGAGTTGAGGCGGCCTGCTAGGAGCTCGAAGAGAGGGACCCAGAGAAATGTGTTCCGTGTTCGTGACAGGCCGAGACAGGCTTCTTGAATTCCGATGCCGGTGCCGTTGCGCTCCAGGATGCGCCATCTGGTCACGGGCACGACTCTTTCTCGATTATCGTCTTCGGTATCGTCGTATCGAGAGTGGCCGATCCATCCAGCCCATGACCAGCTCGGGCAGTCGTTCGATGAGGTGATTCTTCGCTTTTGCATGACCCCGGGTAGCCAGAGCAGTGCCTGGTCTAGATACGCTTCTGGGAGGCCTGCGATGAAGTTGCAGTTGAAGCTGCGCTCGAGGATGCTGCCGAACCCCTGAAATGCAGGCAAGAGATCATCCTGATAGGTGAGCTGGCGTTTGGTGAAGCCACGAACGATGGAAGAGTACTGTGAAAAGATCTTTGGCCGATAGAGGTGCGTAGGTTGAGTAAAATGGGTGACTGCGTGGGTTGCGTACGTGACACCGGTATCAATCTGCACCTGATCGAGACGGGTCAGTGAGCCAGCCTTGTTGGCGGCTTCTGTGTCTTCGCAAAGGAAACAAGATCCACACTGCCACATCACTTGGCCTTCTGAGAATATCAAAAACTTGCGAGAGAGGAGCTGCTCTTGGCACGTCCATCCGCGTGAGCTCCAGGCAGATTGCCTGAGGTCGGTTGGGGCTGAGCAAGAGACCGTCAATGCCAGATCTTCACCAACCACGTCTGTGAGCTGAGGGAGAGATCTTGATCCGGGTGTGATGCCACGTAGCCCGGCATTTGCATCTGGGCCGTCTGCTGCAACCAGCGTAAGCAAAGCCGCGCCGTAGATGACATCCATGGCTTGTAGCTGTGCTGCTTTGGTAGGCGAGTCTTGAACAATGCACAGTCGATCAACCCACAGATATCTCTCTCCCATTTTTGATACGACCATCATAGCATCTGAAATCGTTCGCGCATTGGTCAGAGCATGCTGGTCGAGAACGCCAGGGCATCCAAGCATCTCTACATTATCCAGCGTCAGACAAAGCGTTTCGATCTGCCCCCAGACATAGCTAAGAGCGACATAACGACAGCCGACGGGAGGCGAGACAATGCATTCGTCTCGTACGTCAACCACCCGAAAGTCTGGCGGCAGATCTGAGCTGAAATGAAGGACCTTGCGGCAAGCATTGGAATGCGTACCCTCACAATCTGCCAGCCAACGAAGGCAAAGGCTAAGGTCGATCTGAATCTCAAGCACGAAACGGGCAGAGACCGAATGCCATCCTTGGTCTTCGTCCAGCCACATGGGACAGAGATAGAATTCAATTCTTGCAGCTGTGTCGAACGGTGACGGCGGAGGCCAGATCCTGACGGACAGTGACCCGCCCCCAGCGACGATAGTCCCAAGCACATCCCTGACAGGCTCCTTCCACTTTCGTTCGAAAAGAATTGCATTTGGATCCCATCGCGGTCAGTAACATAGAACGGCCGCCCGATGATTTTCTTGCCAGTCGAGACGAGCAGTCGGCATATAGGGCAGTGGTGCTCATTTCCAATTGCATCTCTGATCGCGGTGGGCGGGATTGAATGGCATTCAGCCTGATGGCCGAAAATGAGGAAGAAGTCAATGCTGGTACAGTTCACACACCGTCCGTCGTCCGTCGTGAGCGCTGCTGACGCAACTGCGGAGTTGGGAGCCATCACTGTCGCTCAATAAAGTTGTCATTGGATTCATGTGTTTCAAACGGCGGGTGGTTCATTGCTGGTCGAACGGGATATAAGTTCTCTCGAGGTTGGGGCGCAGCAACAGCTGCAGCTGCAAACTTTCTGTTCGCGTAGATTTGATGCTTGGCGAGAGGCCGCACAGCACCCTTGCTATCCATCTAGAGATGCACCTGATTTGATCACCACTATCGAGTCCAGTTTACAGAGCCAGGGAAACAATTTGGACGCTCATGGATTTCAGCTTCACGGGGAAGTCATGTCCTCGACGAAAATGTCCTGCAGGCCAATATAGTAGCGTTGTTACTTCGAAAGACTCTTGACAGCCTTTGCTTTGGTCGCTTTAGGATCGATGCCTTTCTTCTTCAACTGCTTCTTCAAACTCCGCTCGATGTACTTTTGGTCCTCCTCCTCATCGAATCCACCAAACTCCTCTTCTTCAGCGCCGTCGACAGCATCCACCTCATCAGCCACATCATCATCCACGTATTGCTCTTCCTTGGTGCCGTTAGCATGCTGCTTCTTCTCTTCTGCACTGCCCTGAGCTTTGACGGCATTCGGCGGTGTTGGTCCAGTCTTCTTGAATTTCGCGACGAAGAAACCATCGACGTTGTAAGCGTGTGGATAGTAGCGCCTGGTTTCCTTCATGGACGGGTGGAAGCGCTTCGCTTGGTACTTGACGAAACCTTCTTTGCCAAAGACGAGACCGGTAGGGACCAGCTTGACATTGGGTCGCTTGTTGAGAACGTACTGTACGACCTGCTCATTCTCCTCGACGGTGACGGAACATGTACTGTAGACAATGTAGCCGCCGGTCTTGCTGGCATGGTCCACAGAATCGACAGCGGCAAGCAGAAGTTGCTTTTGAAGATGGGGCAGGCGGAGGAAGTCGGCTTCGGTCTTGTTCGTCTTGACGCTGGCATCTTTGGCAATGACTCCGGTTCCAGAACAAGGAGCGTCAAGAAGCACGCGGTCAAATCCACCCATTACACGCGGAAACTCGAGTGCGGAGTAGTTGCATACAATGGTGTTCTTGACGCCCAAGCGATGTATGTTTCCGATCAAACCCTTGGCTCGATCTTTATTCGAATCGTTGGAGAAGATACAGCCAGTGTTTCGCATGAGAGCAGCCAAATGTGTCGTTTTACCACCTGGAGCAGCTGCCATGTCAAGAACCCTCTCATGCTCTTGAGGCGCGAGGGCCATGACAGGGAGGAAAGACGACGCAGCCTGCAAGATGTAGTGTCCAGCCAAGTACTCTGGCGTAGCACCAAGCGGAACTTGGGATTCGAAAATTTGTAGACCAACTTTTGACCACTTGCCCACGGGTTCCAGAGTCACGCCGCGGTTGATGAGAGCATGAGCCAGATCTCGTCTGTGTGTGCGAAGGGTGTTTGTGCGAATGACCATTGGTCGAGGTGTTTCGTTGGCATCGAAGAAAGCCAGTGCTTCTTGGGGCGGGAAAAGCGAGAAGAGCTTTTCCGCCAGAAAGGGCGAGTAGCCGTAGTATGTGCAAATGTCTCGCAGGAGGGCCTGGGTGTATTCGGCCCTGCTCTTTCCAGGCTCTGCCAAGTCTTTGAAACTCGTCAAGACACGCACTGTCTCTGTTATCCTCGTCCTAAGCAGCTGCAAATCGGGGGCCAGCAAGCTCGCCTTCTGCCCATCTTCATCGTCCGGTATATCGGCTGCCGCGATGTTGGTTTGTAGTGCGTCGTCTTTCAGTTCTTCTTCCGCCTCTGCTGCCTCTTGTGCCCGTTGTTGGTCCAATTTCCTCGACAGACCAGCAATGTTGGCCGCCGTGAGCTTTTCCTCCGCATCCGAGTCTTCATCGTCAGACCACATCCTCTTATGCCGCACACCTTCGTCGTCCGAATCCACGACATCTTCATCAGATCCTGACAGCGCATTCGCGAAATCGTCTGCATCGTCGTCGATCTCGTCATCGTCTGCATCGTCGAGATCTGCCTCTTCTATCCCGTCCAGCTCGTCCTCCATGATATCTGGGTCATCGATAGCGTCGCCGCTAAGATCAGAGAGTCCATCATCTTCAGGTTCAGGCTCTGGTGCTTTGGAGACTTTCTTGGGAGCCGCCTTCTTGGCTTTGCCATTTGCGATGGGCTTCTTGATTTCGGCAGTCTTTTGCTTCTTGATCGCGCCATTCGTGGGAGCAGCCAGCTTCCGCTTTCTAGTGACTAGCGACTCGTCCAGCGCTGGCGGCGGACCCTGCTTCTGCATGCGACGACCGACACCCATGGCTGTTGTTTGCTGCAAATGTTGCGAGTAAAGTTCATCGCGAGAGCCAAAGGAAATTTTGGGACAGAGGGCGGACTCAATTCCGATGAGCCGAGTGCCAAGGAAGCCGGTTGATGAGGCCGTATTGGGACGAGATATCCGGTCGAGTTCAACTGGACTTCCTCCTTTCCTTCTCCCACTCACAACACTGAGGATCTCCCCCAATCACACAGCCTTGCCAGACACCACATTGATTGCCGATCAATACAAACTCCAGCAAAGAGTCTTTGGCCCCAATGAACACTGCCACAGCGTCCTTCCGCGGACCCGGTTTGGCGGCATGCGCTTGGCGTCACAGAATCCTACGCTATGAGGCAAACCCGTATCTCCTCGTCGCCTCTTAAAACGCTGCTTCTGCCTCATCTCTCGCTTCACTCTACTCATATTCCATACTAGTCCAACTTCTGTCGCGATGCAATTCACAGCAACGGCTGAAGTCTTGCATGTTATGCTCAAAGTAGGACAACCCGGACAGCCATATCCTCTGACACTAACAATCACCAGTCGTTCTTCGTATTCGCCTCACTGATATCAGACTACTTCCTCAAGTTCGATGAGTGGATTGTCACCAGGCCTGACTTCAAAGGACACCCTTCGGCAGAGCGTAAGCAATGGATTGCCGTTCTGAAGACTTCTCTGTCTTACGCCATCTTGGAACCGCTGTTCTACTGGCTTATGACTGCCATCTCCAGTGCCTCGCCCTGGTGGCTTCTAATGGGTAGCGTCGTGCATCTTTCAGCAGCACCAAGCGCTGTCGTACTCATGGGCGAGTGCATGCTCGACGTCTTCAAAAAGCACAACGAGATTTGTGATGGCCCCAAAGTGCCTCTTGAGGCGAAACAAAGCAAGGCCAATGAGAAGAGCGAGAATACGGAGACTGGCTTCCCCGAGGACGATGTGAAGTCAGAGGAGCAGGCTCCTTCGCCCAAAGTCGACTTGCGCCCATGCATGGATCGACATCCACTGCCCAGAATCTACGCCCTCGCTCCACTGTTGCCGGTAGCGTCGGCGGCAATGGCCAACGCAGGTCTTCTTTTCTACGCACGCTATCTGAGCACGGAAAACAGTCAGGCGTGGTACGACCGTTTCGCCTTCGGCTGGACTGTCATTGCTCTACTCTGCGTCGTCATGTTCACCATGAGCCGGTACAACAACAAGATGATCCACAACGCCTGCGGGCGTCCTCTGCACGTCACCAGCACTGTTCCGTGGGACGTCTTGAAGTATAGACTTCCTGCACTCGTTCTCATGGTTCTCGCACGCAGCGTTGTCCGCTTGATGTTGTCACAAAGTCCGTTCACCTGGTTTGCTTATTCCATTGAAGGCGGAATCCGGCTGCTTGGTTACGTGGACGCATCGGATGGGCCCGGTACATCTCCGGAGAAAAAGAAGCACTTCCTCGACCGCATGCTTGCATCCATCCCTCCGTGGGTGGGCACAGTAATTTCTATTCTCAACGCCGTCAGTGTTCTGGGCTATTATCTCCATTCCCGGTGGCAGAGAAGACGACAACAGCAGCGCAATGAGCAAGACAGCGAATAGTGACGGCAAAGGGGGACAGCAGCATTGTGTTGAGGTCGTGAACAGCCAGAGAGCAAAGGTTCGATTTTTTTAATGCTCGTCACTTCTTCCTCTTTCTTAACTCCCACTCCACGCTCCTCTTGAGTTGCTCTTCAACATCATTCTTCGGCACAAATCCCAAAGTTCGCTCCGCTTTGCTCTCATCATACGTCCACTCACGACACATGAAATAGACCACCCTCTGGTTGAACACCGCAGCACGCCTCCCAAAGCTCGTCAGGTACACAAACCACTCGGAAACCAAAGCCATGCACATGGCCAAAGCCTCAGGAACCACGAAGGGCTCCCTCGTCTTCTTCCAACCTGCCGCAGTCCACACGATCTGCGCCATGGTCCAGAATGGAAGAGCTCGAGTATTAGTGATGTAGAAGATCTGGCCGTGGACGTCGTTCCCTGGCTGGAGCAATCTGCGGAGAGCGAGCACATGAGCAACGGCGCCATCCTCTGCTGAAATTGTCGCCAGCCTGCCAGTGTTGTTGCCAATCTGTACCCCAGTCTGACCTTGCTCGAGTGTCTTTAGCAAGCTGGGCACGAAGGCATAGTCTCGCTCGCCAATGATCAACGGAAGCCTCAACGATACGGTTTGCAGGGTCGGAGAATCTGCTGCGAGCAGCTCGCGCTCGGCCGCAGCCTTCTTAATCCAGTAGGGAAAAAAACTCGAGGTTTCCGGCCAGTATGGTGCTGTCTCGTCGATACTGACATGCTCCCAGCCGCCCGCAACGTTCGCCGAGCTGGTGGTGATAAAGACCTTCGTACCGACGAGCCTCGCCAGATCGATCAAACTTGCCTGTGCCGTCACCAACACTTCATGGAACTCATTCACTGGCGTCGATCCATCGACATGTCCAGGAGCGGCAGTATTGATGATCGCTTCGGGCTTGACGTCGTACATCAATGTACGCAGGGTTTCTGCAGCTCGTACATCCACGGCTCTGTATTCCACAACTTCATGTTGATTTTCCTCGTGAAGCTTGCGATTGATGGATACAATGCGGCCGCATTCTGGCTGTTTGAGGAGTTCTTGAATGACGAAGTAGCCCAGTCGTCCGGCGCCGCCTATGACTAGGATTGTTCCCCATTTCTGCGACATTGTGGTGGAATGTTGTGAAAGGCCCAGGAGATCAGCCTTCTAAGGTCTTGCTTCTCTTGATCACCACCAGACGGGTGCTTACAGCGACTTCAGCCGCACGAGTTTGCTCTCGCGAATCGCGAGGTCAATCTCTGCGCCAAGCTTCAGCCTGACACTGACATTGTTTGGGGGCTCACTACCTGTTGCGGTACTCATTGCTGCGAGCTCGGTTGGAGGAATCTATGTCAGTCTGGCTCTCAAAGTACTCAGAGCCTGCCGATCGCAAAGTTCCTGCGAAGCTCATTCACAAGTCTGTCATTTTCAGCTATGTTAAGTACCCACAACGACTATTCCTTGTTGGCATTCTGTGCCCTTGGTACGGCACGTGCTTGTAGCAGTTGCAGATTCGGACTTGTAGGTTTCAAGCACATCGGAGAGCGTTGAATTTGGAACTCAAACGTTCATCTTTGAGAGAGCATGGAAGCGAATGCGTTCGAGATGAGTCATGTCCGACCTCAGCTTGAAGGTCGACGCTCGTTCCTCTCTAACACAAACATCGATCAACAAATTTACAAAGTCGATAGTACCGAATGCCAACCAATGCTATGGCCACCCCAGACCCCAAGCCTCAACTATACTGTCACGTAATCGACTCCAGTAACTACCAAGACGACCCCTCTGCAATCGAAAAGCTCTTCAACCTAAGCCAAGACATCTTCGACACAGTCCCAGGCGAAGTCCCCCAAGAACAACTCGACGAAGAAGCCAAACTACCCCCCGAAACCGCCCCGTCCAGCCAACTCGCAGCCTGGCACTGGGGCATGGCCCAACCCCACGCCATCATCGCCTACGCCAGCACCTCGCCCACCCCAAACCCTTCCACCGCACTAGCAGTTTTCCACGGCCTCCCTTGCCTCCAACCAGAAATCGGGTACGAACTCTTTCATCTCCGCGTCGCTGCCGTGAAGGCAGAGAGTCGCGGACTGGGAATCTTCCCGATGTTGATGGGGAGGGTCCAGAATCATGCGAGGGAGTGTGGGTGGAAGGAGATGACGGTGATTACGTATCCGCACAGGTTCGTGAAGATGGCGAGGATTCTGAGGAGCCATGGTTGGAAAGAAATGGGGATCAGGGAGAGGGGGCCGGCGTTTTTGTTCAAGATTTCGTTGGAGTGATGCGGTCGGTGTTGAGATGTGTGGTTTGGGATTGGGAATGCTGCGTGTAGGACTCTTGGGCGAAGGTACGTTGTGGTTCTCCCGCGACGATTGGATAGTATCGTGAAAGGCGTCTAGAGTCATTCAACGATGTGGGTTTTGGCATATATCAAGCCGCGATGAGCTTCTTCTTTCCTGCATCAACATCAGCCTCGAACTTCACACTCAAGCACCAAGACTCAACGACTCGAACTGCAACACTTTCAACTTCACCACAAGACAACAAAGCCACAATGAGATACCCAGTCAACGAGAAGGGCGGCGGTGGAGGCGGAGGCCGACAGACCGGCCCTTCAACCAATCCTCCAGGCTATCCTTGGGGCGGCTCACCATATGGCGTCTGATATTTCACACGACTATGAGGCCGATGCTCCATGAGCGATGAGATTCAGTTTTGACTTATTTTGAGCCATTCAGTATAGCTTCAAAAAAGATATCCCGTTTTGATTCCATAGTATATCTTCGCGTGAAAGGTAACATTCTCATACACACAAACAAGACAACCCATCGGAGAGGAATTGGGGTATTGTGAGCCAGAAGCAACCGCAAATTAAGTACTGACAAGCAAAAGGATTCGATCATCTGCCCCTCCGTCTCCAACCTCAGCATTCCTCGATCACGTCTCCGTACCGTCAACACAGTAGGTGTAGCTTCATGCAGATGGAGCATCACACAGCATCTTCAATATCCGCCGGCTTGTTCTTGCGCATGGACAACAGCGGACGTCGTCTGCTCCCAGAATCGCCCTTGCGTAGATCGTTCAGACCGGGTATGACAGTCGACAAATCTCCGAGAGGCAGAGCCAGGGGGAAGTCGACGCTCGGGAAGATGAGTGCCGCGTAGAGATACCAGCCGATGATGTTGGCTGCGAATAGGACGGCGCCGGCGGCCTGTGCAGTTCTCGTCAGTCACTATAAGTGCAAAGAAGGGAGAGATAGAGGTGAAGTCTTACCACTTGGCAATTATGAGCCTGATCCGCCTTCCCCAGGGCTAAGTTGTAGAAGACTCCAGCGATGCAGCCACATCCGGGAACGATGCAGGCGAAGAGTAAGACGAAGACGATGTTGGTTCGGAATGTGCAGATGAAGAAGAATAGCATCAGGATCGTGAAGACGACCCAGTAGTGACCTGAAAGATCAATCAACACAAGCCTCGACTACAAGCGGTGATGAAGTTACCGTAGCTGGCATTGAAGCTCGGGTCCGTCAGGCCTGCTAAAGGATCGCCGTTCGGATCTGCAGAGAAGGACTGATATGTCGCGAACCAAGGGATCAAGGTCGCTCCGTAGCTGCAGTAGAAACTGCCTACGGCGATTGTCAGTGATGGCAGGACGCACTGCAGCTTGGATCTTACCAAAGGACATGAAGACCAGGAAGGGGAAAGTATTTCCAAGAACGAACTCGAGCATACCGGCCACCCACATGAGCACACCGCCGTAGAAGATAACATTAGCGCTGTGATGTGTCAGTTCTGCTGTGCTAAGTGTCTTGAATTGATGGCTTACTTGTTCGCCGCCCTCGATGCCCCAGCTCCACGCCATTCCATCAGCTGCATCACAATGGGCATCAAACTCATCTCGAAGCCCATAATGCCACTGTACAACCCAATCAGCGAAATACATTCATCTCAAGAAGTAGAAGATCGTACTTACAGCGCGGTGGGATTCCCCAGAATCTTCTGCAACGGATGCTTCAATCCAACCCCGGCCATCTTCGGCTGCAAATACAGCCTCTCGAACAAATCCGAGGAGATGGTGACACTGCCCGTCCCGGACGTCTTGATCTGTCGAAGCATGTTCTCTGGATCATTCTCGTCCAGCTTGCCGTTGACGATGCCATCGTTGTGGTCTTGATAGTCTCGTGCGATGCTGTCGCCAGGCTGTTGGGTGTCCATCTTCTCCATATCAAGTTACGAGCTCGAAAAGGCTGGTTGGCGAGGTGCTCTCGGAGGTCAAAGTGAAGGCGAAGATGAAGTGAAGAAACGACACATCATGCTATCTTCAATGGGAGTGCGGAGACATTGGCATTGGTCAGGAGACATGACGATGGAAGGTAAGGTGCCCTGTGAGATTTCCTTTTATGCGGTGCGGAGGTCGCAAGGGGTGTTGAAGAGCAACGATGTTTAAACGGCATATCTGACATGGAGAGTAAATGTTCGGACCACTGGGCTGTCGACGGAACATGCTCTGGGTCTCCAAGTCTGATAAAAGCCTGAGCTCATGAATGCCGCTCTTTCGCAACGAGCACTGCACCGTTCATCGTCTTTTGTTTTTCTTATTCGACTCCTGAAATCGAGTAAGCTGGATGATGAGGACGGAGAAAGTCGAAACGTCTAAACAAGGTATACTGAATAGGACTGGACACCCAACCAGGCAAGGATCAAGGGTGGTATTGATCCAATAGTCAAGCAAGCATCTGTGTGGGGAATCCCTGCCCAGTTTATTGAAGTCGGATGATATCGTGAGTATGCGCTTGGCTGGGGAAATCATGTGAGCTCTTGGACTGCCCCAAAGGAAGAGAGTCGAAGCTGGGATATGAAGTCTATGGAGACTGTCCGTTCTGTTTTCCGAGTCCAAAGGTTGAATAATGTCATCTGATCCTGTCAATGATCAAAAAGGATCTCCAAGGCCGTATTTTCTGAGTGTCGATCCACAATGCAAGACGATGTACTCATCGCAAAAGACCCAAAGCCTTTCCAAGTCCTTCAAGAACATTGCGATCAGCGGCAGCCGTCGGAGAGATGGGGGAGAGCTCTCTCAGAAAGCACAATACATCCTCTAGAGTCTGCTGAAGATCCTCAGTGGGGACAAGCTGAGAAAGTCGTTCACTCTGCGATGCTGCCACCAGCAGTATCAGACTCTCGAACTGTCCATGTGCGTCAGATTGAATGTTTGAGACAACGAGTCGTGTACTGATGCCTGTGTATGCTGCCAGGCTCTGCTTAATGGCCTCAATGCAGAGCTCTGCAAGACGGAGAACTTCTTCATCGCCAGACGTTCGAGCTAAGTTGCCCACGGCACCGAGGATATGCCATTTGGTGTCGGTGTCACCTCGATGGATTTTGTCGCTTCCAGTTCCTTCATTCCTGCCAACCGTTTTGTCGTTGTGAAACGTGTAGTACAGGAAAGGAAGTAGAATGGTCGTCTTAGCTTTCCAGTAGAAATGCCTCAGCTGAGCGTGCAGTACGTCGTTAGATGGTTGACCTTGGTCGTCCCATTGTACCGCAGGCGGAAGTTGACTTCTCCATCGCTGTAGAGATTCGGCGTGGTGTTCGAATAATTGAGGAACGTCCTCACCAAGCATGTGGACGGCATCTGATCGTAAAAACGCCTTGATGCGATCAAACTTTCTCCACAGCTGTAGCTGTGCGGTATATATCAATCGTCGGTATTCGTCTGTCTCAGCACCCGGCAACTTATTCTGCTTTGTGCAAGACCCTCTGGCTGCTGGAATGGGTAGTAGTATAATCTCTCTGAGACGCTCCAGTCGGCTCTGAGGAAGGCGCAGTTCTGGGAGTAGCTCATCTTCAAGCTGAAGGCAAGCCCACGCCGCACGGAGTATTAGATCGTCTTGAGAGCTTCTGTACGGCTGAATCGCATGGAATGTCTTTTGTTCGATTCCTTGGGTTGATGTGACCGACTCGTTCTCATCGAATAGATGCCTTCGAGAGATCAAATGAGTAAGTACACGGCCGGACATGGAGTACCAACTTGATGCCTCTCTTGTTCGCGCCAGCTGGGCCTTGTACAAACCAGCAAGTAGGAAGATCTGAGCGTGTATCAACTCATTTCCGTCCATGTAGTCTCCAATGATGCTCATGGCAGCTGCGAAGTACCCGATTCCTGGGATCAGTCGCAAGCTTTCATGTTCCTGGCTGTAGGTGAAGGGCGCCAGAGGCTCTGACGTGCTTGAGAGCGGCTCCCGCTGCGTCGTTATTTCGCCGATTGCGAGTGCAAGTAGGATCATGGCGCTAGTTGGTGACCTTTCTATTGATGCTTGCTCGCACTCAGAGCTTCCAATGTGGGTTCTTCTTCTCTTGAGAGGTCGTCCTTCATCCGGTCTATAGGAAGAGATGCTGTAACCGGGATAGTTCCTGGATCTGCCATGTCTTTCGATAAAGCGGTGGAACACAGCACGCATGTATTCTTGGTCAAGGAATGAGTGGAAGATATCGAGATGATCCAGAAAACTGTTGAAAATTGACCCAATCTTGGTAATGTCCAGGTCTACGGCCATCGCACTGTTGGGCTGCAGGGGCGCCGAGATGTATTGAAGGTGTTTGAGATCCTCCTCGGGATGTACAGCATCTTCTTTGATGCTGTTTTGTACCGGCTCATTTGGGCGTAATCGAAGAGGCGCGCAGTCTTCGGCTGTTGAAATGTAGTCTGGGTCGGGAAGAACCCCTGTGGATGACAGAAACTGTCGTACCTTTCGGCCATTGTGTCACTGGTAGCCATGCGGATCTTGCATGCGTTTCGTGGCTGCCTTGACAAGATCCCTGCGTCTCATGTTCGCGTGATGACTGCTTCGGATGTAGTGGCGCCTCTGTTCGCGAGTGCAGATGTTCTGCCTTTTGAAGCAAGAACTCAAACTTGTCAATCTTTTCTGCTAACACTGAAAGTCCGCTCGCATGTGTAGACATCCACTGAACCATTGAGTCTACTAATTTATCAAGCCTCGAAGAAGTTAGCGCTCTTCGAGAGGGAATGCCAGCATTCAGTGAGGAATACTTGTTGGGTGTTATCGAACGGTAGCTGCATTCTAAGCCATATTGTTTGCAGAACGTGCAAGGCAGGCCTTCGTCACAGCGCTGCTTGCGATACCGACACGCTTCGCACGCCTAGTCTGCGTTAGATAGAGAGATACGATACTCGACCTATTTGTCCTACGAACCTGTATTGCGCGAGCTTTCTTTGGCTTACTGAGGCCCTCGGTGTTGTCAAAATCCTGGTTCGCCGGAAAGGGTATGTTCTGATAATGCTGGTCGATGCTGAACGTTGTACTGTGGTCGAAAATGCCCTCTGGAAAACATGGTTGCGAGAATGCCGCAAGGGTATGTGACGGCCCCCAGTAAGCGTTGGGATTGGCGTAATGGTCTGGGACGACCGTCGACCAGGGCTGCAGCATCTGTTGCATGGTATCCTGCATGGGAACGTAGCTGCCACCGGACATGAGTCCCAGGGAGGAAGGGTGTTAAGGGAGGTTTCGAGGATTTCGCGTTTGCTCAGTGTCTTTACAGAGACGACTTCCATGCTTCTTGACCAAAACCATCTCAAATGCCAGCCTTGGGGTGCTTTTGTTAAATAGCACTCTTGCCTCTCATTTGCACTTCGTCCCTAGCTAATGAAGGTTGCCACATAAGACGACGTCTTCTTTGTGGGTGCCGGACGGTACAGAGGGTTGCTTCGTGGGTTGGGCAGCAACTAACCGCTAAGAAGCATGTTCTCGCCTCCCGACGTGCAATCAGTGGTGCTTCGGAATATATTCGGCCAGCGGCTATATGTCCAGCTTTGTCGAGGATGAGCGTGTTCATTCTTCTGATTCTTGGCGGACGGCAACTGATGAAGAACTTGTCGTGATGCTTATCGTTGCCTAGAGTTGTGGCTTAGTATGTTGACTCGTGAAGCTCGTGTCGTTCTGGCAAGTGTCGTCTGCGCAGAGATAGAGCAATATACTAGCCTGAACCTTATTGAACGGATCGATGCGATCCGTATACACTCAGGCTACCGCCTACAACTTTAGTTGCAGGAGCATGGTTCCCACTAAGCATATTGCTCAAAGGCCCGTCGATTTTAGCAGAGCCGCCGCGCTGACGCAAAATCAGTGTATTCACTTCTCTCTCAGGTTCATAGTCTGCATTGCAGCTTGACATTGCACACCATGAATACCACCTCGATGCGGTTCAAGGGAAGTGGCCCCGGTTGGAGAATCCTTCGTCGTTTCGAGACACATCCACCAGCCTGACTGTGGATGCAGGTAAGATGGATAATGTGGCAACGAAACAGCAGGATCGAGACGGCACGGCGTGCCTCCCAGAATCAGGACATCGTGGCATGAGGATGAAACGAAGAGTCTCAGGCCCAGGTCGGCAGAACTGAGGGAATTTCACTGTGTGCCTAGTGTCGTACGTATCCATCTGAGACATTGCAGAGACCAACATCCATTTCTGGGACAGCTGCCGATGCCCTAGTATGAAACCCGGGAGAATGGAAACACGCCATTAGATCGTGAGCATCCTATCGCAGATCAACGTGGAGTGCCAGGTACCCGGAATGAGGTGTAGAGGTGATCTTGCCAGCCCAACCTGGAACCGCGGCCTTGAACTTGTCATCCAGACTGGCTTGCGTGATCAGAAGTCACATATATTAACCGGACTCGGGACTTGCGTCAGCGCTTTCGGATAGCGCACTTGCGAGCCATGATTCGCTAACCCTTTGGGCAGCAGTGCAATTTGATCTTCCGTTGACGCATCGGCAGTTGAAGAGGCCTCGATATATCTCGCATCGAGAACGAGGGAGCTTGGCAGGACGCTTTGTAAGGGTGACACGGTCTTGTTGATGTTGTGGAGAGAAGAAAGGAGCAAAAGGGCGGACAGGAAGGCGTGAGGTCTGAACAGAGCGTGAGTGAATGTACGCGTGATCATTCCCATAAGTTCGTGTGTCAAGCAGCTCCCTTTGAGCATTGCATAGTAGTCAGCCGTGAAGCATGTGTTATTTTGAGGCAGGCTCTCCAGGAGAAGCGCAAAATCAAAGTCTTACTGAAGAGAGTGCAAAGAACTACATGTGACGGCGCGTCAGGTGAAGTGAAGAAGCGGAGACAGGTCCGGCAGCTTACTCAGCCTTCACAGCGACATCATCGCCACATCTGCCTAGACTTGACCTTGTCTCGTTCTCTGACGCACTCGCAGCAAGCATAGGACAGCATGGCGGGCACGGAACGACCGAAGACGCCGCCGCGGCCGGCGATGGCTACCAACAAGTCACCCATCACCCCTGAGCAAGTCCGCCGCATGGAAGAGAACCGTCTTCGAGCCAAAGCCCTCCGAACGCAGCAAGAAGCCGCAGCGAACAGGTCTGCGCCGTCGAGACCTTCAGGAGCAGCACCACTCCCCATAGCCGGTCAGAAACGAGCTCATACTGCCATATCAACCCGCGATGTGCCAATCTCAAGTCGTGACGCCCGCAGCCCGGTCAAAGCACCCAGTAGCAACAATGGACTCGCTCAGTCGCAAGATACGGGGATTCGAGCGGCACGAAAGTTCCAAAAATTCGTCGAATATGATTTCAGTAAGATGACGGATACCAAGGGTGGCTTCATGACCCACGAGGATGATCCGCACAACAAGTCACTGCATGCGCCTGGCGAGGGGAAGCCGGCGAATATGACCTTGAAAGAGTGGGAGCATCAGCAATTACAGCGCAGGCTCCGAGATGCCAAAGCAGGGCCGTATGAGCCCGGGCTGTCGGTACTGGAGCAGAACAGCAAGAAGTGCAGAGAATGTGGGACACTGGAGATTGACTGGCAATGGGACGAGCTGCTCAACTGCCGCATATGCAACACCTGTAAAGAGAAATTCCCAGAGAAGTACAGTCTGTTGACAAAGACAGAAGCAAAGGAGGACTACCTCTTAACAGACCCGGAGCTGAAAGACACCGAACTGCTACCTCATCTGAAAAAGCCTAACCCGCACAAAGCCACGTTCCACGACATGATGCTCTATGTCAGGTATCAGGTCGAAGAGTACGCTTTCAGCGACAAGAAATGGGGTTCGGCGGAGGCGCTTGACGAGGAATTCGAACGTCGAACACAGCATAAGAAGGATATGAAGGAGAAGAAGTTCAAAAACAAGTTGCAGGAGTTGAAGAAGAGGACGAGAGTGGATGCGTACAAGCGAGCGAGAGGCGGCGGTGGTGGTGAGTTTGGGGATACGATTGGGAGGAGAAAGCATGAGCATGAATGGGGAAGATCCATAGAGGACCCCGAGACGGGCATGACGAAGAAGAGCTGTGTTGAGTGTGGGATGGAGGTGGAGGAGTTGGAGTTTTGAAGGATTAATATTGAACGGCTTGATGACTTTTTAACGCAGATGATACCCAAATGATTTGACCTTCTTCAGAACAAGAATAACGACGTTCCCAAAATGTCTATAAGGGCGGCCTTTCCAGGTGGGGTACGGCAGCTCGGTCGCAGAGGCTGAACGATACATTTCACTTTCATCTGGCCACTCTTCACAACGCCCACAAGTCCTACTGTCTCGCCGCTCGACTGCTCATGATATGCCATGCGCTTGATCAATGTCCACACACTCGAATTCGAGGACTTTTTCGAAGCAGGCCTTCCCAAGTATGCCATCCTTTCACACAGATGGACAGGACGAGAGATCACCTACCAAGACTTCGTCGAAGGCGGTAAGAACGACTCCGCTGGATATCGCAAAGTCGTCGAACTTTGCAACTTTATCCGACGACACAGCATCGCCAGCGCCTGGGACAACCCTGAGCCGGTTGAATGGGTCTGGATCGACACTTGTTGCATCGACAAGAAGAGCAGCGCGGAGCTCTCCAAGGCCATCAACTCCATGTATAGCTGGTATTCCCAAGCGCGGGTATGCATTGTGTATTTGTACGATCTCCAGACCAATGGGGAAGCTCAATTGCGACAAGACCTAAGCACATGTTCCTGGTTCTGGCGCGGTTGGACATTACCAGAACTCATCGCTCTCAGCGTCCTACTCTTCTGCTATGCTTCTTGGTCCGTGCGCGGCTTCTTGAAGAGAGCGAACAACTTGCGGTCAGACACTGCCGTGGAGGCTGTGGCGTCGTTTCAGCCCATCGATCTCCTCGACGACATCAGCTCGATCACGGGCATCCCACGCGCAGTCCTGACCGGCGAGAAATCGTTGTGGCAGTACAGCGTCGCGCAAAAGATGAGCTGGGCATCAAAGCGAACGACTACCCGCACAGAAGACACGGCGTACTGCCTACTTGGCATATTCGACGTCAACATGCCCCTCATCTACGGCGAAGGCAAGCGCGCTTTTCGGAGGCTACAAGAAGACATCATCAAACGCACGCCCGATCAATCGATCTTAGCATGGTCAGACGCCGATGTCGAGCGCTCCGCATTCAGTCCGCAGACTACGCTGGCTCAGAGTCCCAAATGCTTCGCAGAGTCAGCCGACATAGAATGGGACCGCCGCGCCGGTTCGAGCCCATTCGCCGTCACGAATCTGGGACTGGAGATGAACTACGACCTCCTCGTGCCGAACTGGTTTGGCTAATACAAGTATTTCCCGGAGTTGAACTGTGCGCGGACGGAACCTTCTGGGTCAGAAAGGCCCGTGATGCTGTGCTTGAGATAGTGGTACCCATACAGTGGGAAGAAGTTGCGAATGTTCACGAAGGTTTCCTTCTCGGAGGCTGTGGAGGAGGGGTTTAGAAGAGTCACCATGGACAGCCTGTTTTATATCGTCGACCCGATCGATCTTCGTTGGCCGTGTTAATGCTTCGTAGTGCAATGCAGCTATGCTTCGCTGGCCCGTTACTGATGGTGGCGATCTCGTTACGTAGCACTAGCTCACGTCTAACAGGCCAAAACACTAGACCTAGCATTTCTAATACCATGTCTAGACCGTGATAGTCTCCCCAACGTGACACAGCCCAGCTCCGCCTTTCTTCACATCGGCATCTGCACCGCCTCCTTCCACACCGCCTCCGCACCAAATGCCTTCCTTCTCAGCCGCCTTACGCCATCGTCGTGGAGGATCAGTAACCGGTTCGAACACAGCAGACAATCCACCTCGCACAGTGCCGTAGTGCATTCCAATGCTCAATTTCGATCCGACAGCTTTGTGGATCTCGAGAGCCTGCTCAGGATGCACATGGACCGCTGAAGCGAATTTCATCGGACTGTATAAACCGATGGGTACCATGGCCAAGTCGAAAGGTCCTAGTGTCTGGCCGATTTGCGTGAAGGCTGGGCATGGAGCTGGGGTGCCCAGAAGCTGGTATGCGGTGTCGCCCGCGAAGTAGAGATTCTTGTTGGTTTGGAGCGTCTTCATCGCCCAGGAGCACCAGAGTGTCTTGTTGCCGTCCCATACTGTTCGCCCCGAGGTATGTTGTGCTGGGCAACATGTCAACTCGATAGATCCCAGTCCATCAACACTAGCCTCTCGACTCTCCCACCAGTCCAATTCCGTCACTTCGTCATCGCTGCATCCAACGTGCTCCAAGAACCATTGTTTGATCCCGAGAGCAACGAAGAAATGTAATCTGCCTTTCCTTCGGTCATACATCGGCTTTACTGTCTCTATGTCGAGGTGGTCGTAGTGATTGTGTGAGATGGCGACGATATCCACTTCAGGCAGCTCATCAAGCGTGCAAGGCGTAGGGGTGTACCGCTTCGGACCAGCAAAGCTAAAAGGTGATGTCCTCTCGCTGAACACTGGGTCAAACAAAACTCTCAGCCCCCTCTCAGCTCCCTTCGCCACAGGTGTCTCAACGAGCCAAGAAGCATGCCCAATCCACGTTGCTCTCAATCTATCTCTCTGATCCACGCCCCAGCTTGGCTCGAGAACTTTGACGAGTTCGTCTGAACGAGTACCATTCGGTCCTTCCGGCACAGGAATGAAGTTTTTCTCCGGATGATTGCCAAACCGCATCTTGAACAATTCAAGCCTTCCTCCAGGCGGTTGTTCATATGAAGGCCAAGGATTCGCGAAAGCCGAAGGCGGGTTGCCCACAAGATGGGCTTTGGCTGTCGAAGGATCCGGATTTCGAGACGCCAATTCTTTGATGGATATTGCTGTTGACATCGTACGCTTTTCGACCGTTCTCATTGCGATCTTGGCATAGAGTTGCCTGGCAGGACAACGAAGGAGTGATGTTGAACACATTCCTCGGACTTAGTGCACGGGTCGTCTCCGATGCGCCAACGAATTACTCCGACCACATGTCATGTCGTCATGAGGCTTTCGCAAAGTCTTACGTGCGAAGAGGACTCGGGAGGCTATGAAAGAAGTTGAGCTTTCTGTTTAGTCTTTGCCAAGAAACAAGGATGTCTCGTGATGGAGTGAAGTGAGTGAATGCAAGGGGAAGTGGCAATCGAGGGTTATCTTAGAGGTGCGATGCCCCTCAGTCGTTTCAGGCTTAGGCTGTGGTTTGTTGATGCGCTTGTGAGACACGAATTCCTTCTTCCCATCGCCTGCAACAACATTGAACACCGGTATCATCACGAGAAGAAAAATGCTATTCATACAGCATCCAGCCATTGTAAGCTCAGCTCAGCGATACCATTGGCATTTCCCATTTTCTCTAGGCCCACACCGCCTTATTGTCCACCACAAATTCCTTGAAGGTCCTTGGAGCTTGCCCTGTGATGGCCTTGACATTGTTGGTAGGATCTTTACCTTCGCCCTTCGAAACCCTTACATCCAGCTCTGTCATGTACTTGGCCATGGGGTCGGTCATCCCATACTTGAGCATGAGCTTTTCGAATTTGTCCTCGCTAAGTTTGACGTGCTCGACTTTTCGACCAAGCACTTCGCTGAATATTGCAGCCACCTGAACAAGTCTGTAAGTATACGTTCTTCGTCATGCGAGGTTTACAATTTACTCACTTCATCATAGCTCAACGACTCGCCTCCCGTGATGATATGATCTGTGTTGTGCGGCTTCTCATCGATCAAAGTCTGGCGACCAGTTGCGGCGATGTCTTTGGCAGAAATGAACGGCTTCTTGCCGTCGCCTGCACAAGTGTAGATCTTGCTCTCGGACTTGATGGATTCGAGGTGGTAACTTTCCAAGAAGTTCTCTGCAAAAGGTCAGCTATGTGCACCGCTAACAAACCCAGACATTGTCATCGTACCCATGAAGAAATGTGGCCTCAACACAGCCCAGTCGATGCCTTGCCCGCCCAGTGCTTTGAGCTCGGCATGGACTCCTCCAAGCAGTGGACCGCCTTCGGGGTTCTCCCACGCGCTCAAAAGAGTGAAGCGGTTGACGCCCTTTTGCTTGGCATACTTGACGAAAGGGATCACTTTCGCTCTGGCTTCATCGATATCTGGAGAGACGAGGTAGATCGATGTGATAGGTGAGCTTTTGGATCGCTCATGAGAGAAAGGAAGCTCCCAGGTCGACTCATCCAGCCAGTCGAACCGAACTGATGGGTTAGGGGAGTCTTTCTTGGGCGACCGCGATGCAACTAAGATAGACCTCTTGTCGGCAGCCAGCGTCTGTGCCAGGTACGCAGCGGTCTTTCCGCTGGATCCAGTGATGAGTATCGTCATGTTGGGCGGTGTTGTTCGCAACCAAGGTTATGGACTTCGAACGCGAAGCAGTGCGAGACTATATACCTGACCTGCGGTGTCAATTACGGACTCAATCGGAGTTCCAATGACCCGCATACGGTGAAGCGCGTGAGGTGTCAAGAGCAAGGGCTGAACACAAGAAACCTTAAACAGGTTGCACTGCCTCTGGAGAACCTGAAACGGGACTGCCGACAGGCGGCTGACACATGCAAAACTGCAAGGAAAGTCGCTTGCATATGGTCTAGCCTCTTTGGTCAGCTACTCCGCCCTGGCCAAGCGGTATACCCAAATGCATGGTCGTATATGCGAGAGCGATTTTTCAGCAGTGACACTGCGTTGATACATCAATGCGAGTAGGAAGTCGTGGACTCAACGGCCCCTGTCTTGTAATCAACAGCCTGGTAGCCCTCTTGGGAGCCCGCCATCTCGGACCATCACCATCATGCCCAGCTTACCAGGGCACGAATGTACGGTCAAGACATAGGTGCTCCAGTTGTTTTTATAGTCGTGTTTCTTATCCTATGTGATTCAACCTCCGGGTTCAGCAAGCGTTGATCTACACGCTGATACCCATCGCTGAGCTCTTTGTATGCTGTATGGCCTGTTCCGTTCTTGCTGAGCGTGCTTTAGTCTGGCTGATTGCATCAAGTAGAAGCTACATCAGCCTTTCAAATATGCGGCGGTCGATTCAATCCTTTCAGACGATGATCAAAATCCTTCTGCGGAATGTCTTCTGCTTTCTCGGTTCGCTTCAGTTGCACTCCACTCCTCTTCTCCCACCCGACCAGAGCTTTGGTGTGATCTGCCATGGGTTCCACCTCTTTAAGGGCGTCGCCAAGATATTTTTTCGTTAGCTCTGGCAACGCAGTCTCAAAACCACTATGCTTCATGAAATCAGACGTGATGCCGAGATCCTTCACCAACAGCGCCAGTCCAAATCCACTGTTGTATCTCTGCGTCAAGCCATCTCGTCGAAATGTATCCAGTGTGGGGAAGCAGACTCCCGTTCCCACATTCAAGACGTCGATCATTTGTTGGGGATCCAGTCCGAACTTTTGACCGGTAACCAGGCTGTCGCTGAGAGCGCATATCGATGAAGCCATGATGTAGTTGTTGAGGGTCTTCATGGCATGTCCGTTGCCCAGCTTGCCCATGTGGAAGATGTAGCCAGCCATGGTTCTCAAGATGGGCTCTACCTTGTCGAAAGCTTCCTTGCTATCAGAGCCGACCATGAGTGTTGACTCACCTTCATCGGTGGCGCTATAAGACAATGACGACGATTAGCAGTGTCTTCGTGTCGAAGAAAACGGAACAACGAACTGCATATATGTCTGCGTGATTGGCGCATCAATCAATTGTAACGAGTGCTGGGCCAGTTCCTCTCCCAAGCCTCTGGTATCGAAAGGCGAAGACGAAGACGTATCAACAATGATCGTACCTGATCAAAGGCGTTAGTTCTGCACAGCTCCTCCAGGGCCACCCCTTACCAGGCTTCAATGACCTAGCAAAATGATCCTTGCCCAAAAGGACCTCTCTCACAACTTTGCCCTGTGGCAACATCGTGATAATCACTTGACAATCTGCGAAAGCTTCCGATGATCCGTTGGCAGGTGTAGTGTTGGGCCACTCGGCAGCTGCTTTCTGGACCTCAGCATCGTCGGCATCGTGGACGACAAGTTGATAGCCAGCCTTGGGCAGATTTGAGGCCATTGAGAAACCAGCATTGCCCAAGCCAATATAACCCACTTTCATGGTTTGGGCATGGCCATTGGCTGTTCCGTTGGGAGGCATGACTGAAGAGAATAGTTTTCTGTAGAGTTGTAGTAGAAGAGACTAGGACAATGCTACCTGATAGTTTGAGATGTCTTGAACGAAGCCTTTCTCTTCAAATTGCTCTTCCACGGTAATGTACTCGAGAGCTCGTGCGGAGTAACGTCAACATCGATGTGCCTCGTGTCGAGTTCGAACTCTAAAACGTCATTAGATCCGCCAATCACGTGGGATTGTCATTAGGTTGCGGAAGGAGCTCCATGGCGCGCTTGCTTCCTCACCGGGTAATCGTCCCACTAAGGAGAAGCAGCGATGTTCGCAGATACGGTTGCTCGACAGCGTACAACAAGCGACTCTCGGAGTCAGCATCCATATACCATGCCACCGGCAGCCGCCCCAGCTTGCGCCTTGTTCGCTCGTCGCCGCTCTATCCTCTTCGCAACATCATCAGAAAGTCACCGCCCACAATCATGCCTCTCCTCGCCAAGGAGGTGCTCCCGATTTCGTCGAAAGACATCCTGTCTTGGTGTTTCGAAAACCGCTCAGCCTTCCCTCAGGACAAGCCTGTATGCCATCTTCACCTCTCCATCTGGCCATGCACTAATGACTTGCGCAGATTTACGCCGATTGCGCAGATCCGCGTCGAAGTATTTCAGCCGGGCAAGCTTACAAGTTGGTCAGGCGGCTCGTCGCTGGACTTAGAGCGTTCGGCATCAAGAAGGGCGATTGCGTTTGCGTTCATGCCTTCAACGATATCTACTATCCCGTCCTCGTCCAAGGCATAGTCGGAGCTGGCGCTGTTTTCGTTGGCACCAACCCAGGGTACACCGACTTCGAGCTTCAGCACGCACTGAAGGTGTCGCATGCCAAATTGATCATTACGGAAGACGAGCTTGTGGGCACACTTCTCAAGGCGGGCCGTGATGTCGACATATCTCCTTCTCAGGTGCTTCTGTTCGCCGATCAGGATCAATCTCCGCTCCGCTCCTGGCGGTCCCTGCTTCAACATGGTGAACAAGACTGGGTCTCGTTTGATGACGAAAACCTTTCCAAAAGTACGACAGCTTTCTTGATGTTCAGCAGTGGAACCACCGGTCTTCCAAAGGCAGCTCAGGTCACACATCATAATTTGATCGCACAACATACCATCCTTTACGACAACCCTCGCCATCCAGAGGCTTTCGAAGATCGACGAATATACCCCATGCCCGCTTTTCATATCGCAACAGCGGGCGTACTGCATTTCTCGCCACTGAGGGCCGGGTTTGCATCATTCGTGATGCGTCGATTCGAGTTGGAGCCTTGGCTGGAGAATACCGAAAAATTCGGCGTGACATTGATGGTCCTCGCTCCGCCTCTCGTAGTCGCGACCCTCGCTCTCGCCCGTCAAAAGCCAAATTTTGTGAGGCATTGCCTGCGCAATGTCAAGAGAGCGGTCTGCGGTGCTGCGCCGTTGGACCGGACGACCCAGCTGGAGTTCCAGAAATTCCTTCCTGTGGATTGCCCATGCACACAAGGCTGGGGTATGACTGAGGCTTCGGGCGTAGGTTCGTTCTTCTATTATCCAGAGAGCGACGAAACTGGATCAGTAGGACGTTGGCTTCCTAACATCGATACCAAGCTGGTTGACGATCACGGATTGGAAGTTGGGCCGTACAATGCTCGCGGCGAGCTCTGCATCAGGGGCCCAACCGTCATCAAAGGCTACCTGGACAACCCCGAAGCTAATAGACGCGATTGGGACAGTGATGGCTTCTTTCATACCGGGGACGTGTTGTACGGTGACGAGAAATCGGGCCGCTTCTACGTCGTTGACCGCAAGAAAGAGCTCATCAAAGTAAGAGCGTTTCAGGTCGCACCATCGGAGATTGAGGGTGTCCTGCTTCTGCATCCACAGATCGTTGACGCTGCGGTGATCGGTGTTCCAAATGGCAATGGAGAGCTACCCAAGGCCTTTGTCGTGTTAAGCGCTGGCAGTAAGGTGCTCGAGGAGGACTTAAAGGCTTGGGTGGCGTCGCGGTTGTCCAAGTACAAGCACTTAGAGGGCGGCGTGCAGTTTGTCGATGCCGTGCCAAAATCCCCAAGCGGCAAGATCTTGAAGAGGCAATTGAGAGATGAAGAGGTCAGCCGAAGGCGAGAAGCCAAGCTCTGAGATTTTCGCTCTTCAACAATAGCCCGCCCAAAGACTCACACGGAGGCCCAGCTTCTGGCAGAAACAGAGGTTTGTGCTTTACGGTCCCATTCGCGATGGATCGACCAAGACCGGAAGCCGGATCTTCTCATTAGCCACCACGTTCTTGATGGCAGAGGACAGAATCGTGTGCCATGACGATATCCACCATCGATTGTGGAAAGGCTTCAAGATGGAAGCATATAGATCCAGTATGGCAAGCGCGATCGGTCTATGCTCCTGGCACTGCTCGTAAAATCCTTGTGGCATGAGGGCCGGAAACCATCCCATTGCTCGTACATCGTCATGGTCATTCCGATGTCTGGCCCAGGCCCATCTGATTTGTCGGACAGCTTCTGCGCATGACTGCAATCGATTAGCAAGAGAACGAAGCTAAGATCGGCGCTACCTTGACAAAGCCACATCCTTTTACAACAGAGACAATCTGCATTAGCGCAAAGCCGCCAGACACGACGGAGATCGTGCTAGCGGACCTTCCTCTCGAATGTCTCATTCGTAGCACACACGCAACCTGTACATACCTCGTCGATGTCTGGATGTTCGACACCAATCATGGGATTATCAGGACTCATGTACTCTGCTTCAGGCAAATCAGGTTGGTCGGGCAAAGCTTTCGGGAAGAGCGTTTGGATAATGTCCTTGTTGACGCCATTCTGATGGATCTCCCATAGAGCTCGAGGCCCGAGGAATAGGGCAAACATGTCGAGTATCTCGTCCAGAGTTGGTTGCGTCGGAGCTGATTGGGCAGATGCAAAAGCCATAATCACCAACATGATTGAAAAGATGAAGATCACATTCTGCTCACGATGTTCATCCCGGAGGAGCAGTGCTCGGAACATTGGCAAGGCGAGTTGCTGATGATGCAATCCTTTCGCCCGATAAAGAGCCATCTGACCCTGCTCGCCTTCATCAGCGGATGCACACGCAAGATCCATTGCTGCCAGCGCCAACATTCCATGCTGGAGCAGAGGATATTCTCTGGCGGTCATCGGTACCTCCGACTGCCACACACGTTGAGCTCCACTCGATGGAAGTAAGCATAACGAGGTGACAGTCGAGTATCGATGCATCAGTGTGAGATCAAGGGCGTCGAATGAATCATTCACGCTTTCCGCGGCAACCGGGGTGCGCTCCGGCTTCGAGTTCGATTCTGGTGAGCCCTCAGACGGATAGACGCAGGATGTGTTTCTCCTGATGCAGTTCTTGCAGACTGGGCGTTCCTCGCCGCACTTCTATTGTGTGTATCAGTTACAAGCCGTCGATCTTGTCCAGTGCTGGGACTACTTACCACGTGTCTGGCCTTGCAAGATGCACAGCCAGACCTCGTCTTGCCGTGAAATCTACGCGAGGGCATGGTGTTGATTTCAGCCGCCGGGGCTTGAGGAATAGCGAGCTCAGCGACATGAGCGGCGAAAGGGCACACGATATACGAGAAGATGTTTGTTGAAGGGGTGACGTGAAGGATCGAACACGATCCATGGCGAACCGTGTGCGAGTCCGAGAGGTGGACCTAACTCCCTGCTTGATCCTGCCAAACTGCAATTGGCTCAGCCACGTCGCAACTGCAATCCACCAAGGGCTAGCGCGCCATGAATTTCTCGGTGTTTTGCCAAAACTTGTGTTCATTGATCGATGGGGCACTTTCATCCGTCGCCGAAGTCGAGCCATTATGGAGCAGCAAGTTGTACCGTCGGATAGACAAACGACACAAGAATCGTACAGCCTGACTGAATGGCAATAGAAGAGGTTGTACGAGTTGTTCGACAATCGGAGTCATCAAAAAAACAGACAAACAGCATCAATGTTTTGACAACGAAATATGTCCCGTACGATATACGATTGTTGCAAGTGGTTCTCGCGTGTCCCAAGACCCACTTTCTTGTCGCCAATTCTTCAGCCGGATTCTATAAATTCCGCCAAACGATTAAGAAGACAATGCGAGCTGACGCATGGCATACAATCCGCAGCTTAGGCATCAGTGTTTCACCGGATTGTCAGGTAGGGCCCGTCGCCGAATTGATGAGAAGTGAAGTCAAGATGGCATACTTAAGGACTCTGGGTCCAGACCGGACCATCATCAAAAGTCGCATACAATCATTCTACCATTCGGTTTCTCCTCATCAACATCACCATGTCGGGCGCCTTCGATAACTGCACATCAGTAACGCCTCAATGCCCCGTGGAGGCAACAACCTACGGCTACACTCCTAACCTCGCTGGCAATGTCATTCTTCTTGCCGTCTTCGCTGCATGCAACATCGCCCAGGTCTTCTTGGGCATTTGGTATCGATTGTGGGCATTTGGCATTGTCGTTTCAATCGGCTGTCTTTGCGAATGGCTTGGCTACATCGGTCGAGTGTTAGTTTTTCGAAGGCTTCGTTCTGCAGACCATCGCTAATATTCTCTCCTCCTAGTATGATGCATAGCAATCCATGGGACGACGTTGGTTTCAAGATCCAGATCGTCTGCCTTATCATCGCGCCTTCGTTCCTTGCCGCCGGTATCTACCTCACTCTGAAGCACATCATCATGGCTCTTGGCCCAGAATACTCTCGTCTGCAGCCGAAGTACTACACTTGGATCTTCATCTCCTGCGACGCTCTGAGCATCGTAATTCAGGCTGTTGGAGGAGGTATTGCTGCGTCCTCTGACGGTAGCGCTGCCGATACTGGCGCAAACATCATGGTTGCAGGTATTGCAATCCAAGTCGCAACGATGTAAGCTATCGCAGCTCGTTGTTCCTAATCGTTCACTAACGCTTTGACCCAGGGCCATCTGCGTCCTACTAGCAATTGATTTTGCCTGGGCTGTATTCAGGTCTACCAAGAGCAGTGGTGCCAGCTCAGACGGAGCTTCGTTCGAGAAACCTCATCAATCCTACTCGACGACGAAGGGCTTCTACTTCTATCTCATTTGCACCTCCTTGGCGTTCCTGTTCATCTTCATTCGATGCATCTATCGGTAGGTGGCCCATCAAGCGATCCGACTTGACCATGTCTGACATATAGAACAGTCTTCCAGAAATGGCCGGCGGATGGGGAAACAAATTGATGCAGAACGAGACCGAATTCCTCGTTCTTGACGGAGCGTAAGTGCTTTCCAAACATGCTGTCTTGTTACTCTTCGCTGACAACGTCCAGTATGATCGCCCTCGCTTGCATTTTGATGAGTGTTGCTCACCCAGGCATGTTCTTCCCAGACATGCGCACGAAGAAGAGACAGACTTAGACCTATAACAACAACCTTCACAAAGGACATTAGCGAGGAGTCTGGGATGACAGCACGATTAGCGATAAATTGGGATAGAGTAGTTCGCAAGCACACAACTTAGAGTACGTGAATACCAACAGTTTCTCGCGACTGAGTATTACACGGCAAATAGGAGTTTCCGTTCGCCGCTTCTCGACGTCGACGACCACTGAAATGTGAACATCCCTGCAATGCCAGGATCAATTGTCCCAGCTTTCTACCATCGCAGCATCTTCGGTGCTTATATTCGGGATCGATAGGGCCGACAATCACTTCGACACAAGTGTGACATTGTCTCCCAACGTATTCCTCGGATTGTCCTTTATGCCGGAAGGCTGAGCTTCACAACCGTGGTGTCAATCCAAGAACATTCTCCGTCTTGACGTTCGTTAACCTTCGTTTCGATACAACCCAATACACCGAGAGGGACATGCAAGTGGCGATGTGGATGTTCATGGTTCGTCTTCAAGTACCTTGCTGACGACTGGGAATACAGCATCTCGAAAACACCGAAAGAAAGAAGACATTCATGGATTCCGTATGACTGCACATTTACTCCTGGATCGAAGTCCTCGCTTGAAGCGTTGCACCGACAAATGCATGTTGACACCGCGAGAAGCCTGGCAATCACTTCTTCGATCCATTTCGAGAATAAATAACGGAGTAATTGAATTGTGGGCCGGGAGTCGCAAACCTCTGGACAGCGGACGTCTCTACCCGTTTGGCCTGCATCGGATTGCCATACCAAAGACACTGCACTATGGCATACTCTCGACTCTGGACGAAGTAAATCGTAACATGGCTGGCCAATCACTCGAATCGGTAGAATACCAGTTGGCTTGTGCTTTGACGATGAGCATGAATGTATGGACGACTCCAGCGCCCAACATCTCGGACTTGTCGAGCTTGCATTCGCCTACGAAGGCTTCACAAGAGACCTTAAGATAGCATGAGCCCTATGAGCTAAAGAAGACCATCAATGCAGATGGCCTGCGAGGATTCGTACCTGCTTCGGAATTGTTGGGGTTCGACGTCAGCTTCACATTCTCTTCAGTCGCAACAGCCATGCCTCTCAGACCTGCAGAATGATGTCTGGACATTCTTTCCATCCGCAAGACGCTTGACGCAATCTTGTCGACCTCAGTCGTCTGGGCTTAGCGGAACGAAGTCGAGGATACCTGTCGTCGCCGTTGAGGAGGAATAAATCGTCGCGATGCACCACTTCAAGAATTGCCGAGGAGTGGTTCACGCACTGGGACACGCAGCCTATGACCGGACACAGTCGGTCGAACTTTACATACCATTGCGGTATAGAGCTTCGCAAGCACTACGGATTGGAAACAAGCTTGGTTCGAAGTTAGCCCCTTCTGGCAACGATTCGAAGTCGATCAGCCCTTCTTGAGGCAAGTGTGGGATTTACCCCATCATGTCTCAGCTGCATGTGAAGAGAACGACCTCACGTCATTGGCGAAGCGGATTCTGACAACAATTGAGGCTGGGTATATATACGGCGGTCAGGCAGATCCCCTGGTGTACGGCAAGTCTCTCCGCTTCTCTGGAATCACCAACATGCTCCGACATCCTCTCTACTGGCTTTCCGCAATCGCGACGCTGGCTCTGGCCGCACCGGCTCATGTTGCTCGACAAGCAGACACGTACCCCTGCACCGATGGGGTCTTCATCCTCGGAGCCCGCGGTGCTGACAGCTCAATGATCAGCCCGATAGGCGTGAGCCCAAATTACCAGGTATGGTTTTCAAAGCTTGGGAGTAGTATAGTAATTGAGACTAAGATGAACAGGATCTTGAAGGACTGGAAGTCATCGCCAACGCGCTTATCCAGCACGTTGGCAAAGGTTCCTATCTTCGGGCCCTACCGTACGCTGCGGCAATAGAACCCGGTGTGGATCTGCTCAATATCGGCGGAGGCGTGGACAAGGCGCAGTCGATCATCAAGGACTATGTTGGCCGTTGCACGAATCCGAGAATTGTCTTGCTTGGGTTCAGCACAGGTGCTCAAGTCATGACTTCCACTCTCATCGGAGGCCAACTGCGTGGAAACCTGGATGCATACAAGCAATACAGTAAGACACTTTCTAATGGATCTCCAGAACGGACTAACGCAGTGATAGTCACTGCTGGAGCACTCTTTGGCGACCCATCTTTCACAGCTAATGTCGAGCCCCTGGATGCTGGTAATTCTACCACGTCCGGAGCCAGTGCCAGAAGTGCGAGCGATGCGGCCTACTACAACCAAAACTATGGCAGCAAACTCCGGAACTATTGCCAAGCGGGAGATGCGGCCTGTGCCAATGGTGGTCTGGGCGATGCGGCGGTCGCCATCCATTTGGCTGCGATTCAGACCTATCAGCAAGATGCTATCAATTTCTTGACGTCGATTGTCTCCTAGGGAGCCCCGATGTGTATGATACTCTGTAAACAGCTTCTTTGGCAGCCAACACCGAGTCTGCATACTTTCTTTTGTTTTAACCACAGTTATTTGAGCTGGTCTGAAGATCCGAAACTCACAAATGAGCTGAAGCGATTCACTTTGGCAAGGACTGCGATATGGAGGTAGTTTGTCTTCGGTAAAAGGTTTCTAACCAACAAGGAACAGCCTAGTTTGGAGCAACATTAGCTTCGTTTTCACGATGCGGAGCGAGAAACCCAGCTCCATGGTAAGCAGTGAAGTGCCTGTGCTCAACAGAGCACCTCACCATCTCGGTCTGATCTCTCTCTTCCTTCGTTTGCTCTCCCTGAATTGTGAACTTCATCGTCGAGCGACAAGAGCTTCGTCAGCACGTGCTACCGATGAGCCTACTGCACCACTCCGAGACATCAGCTAATTTGCAAACCCCAAAGCTCAACCTGGCCAGAAAGGAGCTATGAGCATGAGCTCTTTCAACAATCTTCCCCGACCTCAAAGCGTGCAGTCTGGCCTACCAAAACACTTGATCTTCAGAGTTCGACGTGTTCCACTTGATTCACCGGGGGATCTAGTAGCAGCAGCTCATAGCCCGAGCTACTTTCAACTACAGGCTGGCCCAGCAGATATTTTGTGCCTACCAACAAGTGCAGAAAGCGCAGAGACACTCATCCCGTATCTTCTCGAAGCGTTAATCGTTGGCGACGATCCCAAGTGCCACGGGTGCAAGAAAAGCAGCAATGCTGTAGCGGAGACGCGAAAGAAGTGTTCTGCCTGCGCAAAAGCTTGGTACTGTTCTCAGGATTGCGAGAGTAAGAACTGTAAGAGCCACGAGCTTGCATGTCTTGCCAACAGGCAAGGTCCGAACAGCACAACTTCAGCATCAGCATCCGGTCTGCGTAGCAACGAGTGGACTCAAGATCCAGTCAGCTTCTTCACGAAGGTCGCTTATACGAAGCCAGAAGCTAAGGATCTTGCGAGGAGTTTGAACATACCTCTACCCACCTCTAGGAACGACTTCGGAGGCACAATGTAAGTCTAGCATTACCGTTTAGCCAAGTCCTACTGACGATCAACAGGAAGCCCATGCGTCGCCTGGTAGTCACAGGCAAAGACACCCCCGAGAACATGGAGCTCTTATTCGGACCAGGCTGGCGAAACACTCTGCTAAAAGACCAAGAAGAAGCCCGCCTCCATGTCCTGCTCAACCCTCCCCGCGGCTCTCCCAGTTATGCCGTGGATTCAAGACTCGACAGTGGCGCACCAAACTGGTCACCACGGCCTGCGAGCGACGGTGAGAAGCAGAAGGTTGCAGAGGTCAGAGAGATGCAGGAAATGATTCGTAACAAAGTCGGAAGTGGTCGCTCGCCATCCAATGCCGACACGCGGGAAATACTGAATTCTTTTGGTGCCGCGTGGGCGGAAAAGACGGAGATCTACACACTGGCCCTGAACACCATGGACCAGACCGTTGCTCCTTTGCCTTAAAGGACTAGACATTTTGATCCGTTTGGATGGTGATTTGCGGTAGTCTTCCATTAGACTTGCTGTCTGTTCTATGCGGTCAGTGTGTTGGAAAGTCAAATGAAAAGTCGATCGATGTCCCGTCAGATTCAACTTCCATGCATGTTACCCCTATTGGGCTAAAATCCAGCTGGCGATTTGCGATAGTCCCAAGGCAACTTGTAACCACCAGGTGCTCGTGTCTGAAACACCCCCTCTGGATCATACTTCCTCGACACCTCAAGCATAGTCTTGAGGTTATCCTCGCCATAGCTCGCCAACACATCCTGCGAAGCATCGGCATAGTTCATGTACCGATAGTCCACAGCGGCACCAACATCGTCACTATACTTCTCCAAGGTACGCCTCCATGCCAGCATCTTCTGTCGTCCCATGGCTTCTTGGTCGATTCCATTGACAGCTAGAGACCCAAGCAAGACAATGGCGTTGTCTTTGAGTTTGTCGATGCCAAGTGTGTTTCCGCCTTTCTCCGCGCCACGCTGGCCGACGATAGACGGAAGCGGCTGGAAATAGGCTTGCGTTTCGAAGTCACCGTCGCTTGAATCCCTCTTCATGTCTTCGACGAGTCTGCGGTGGAGATCGACAGCTTTCCGGATCACACGCTCGTCGTTCTTGAACGTCACGGTGAACCAGATGTTCCTAGAAAGATCAGTCTCACGGCCTCATGACGAGAGGAGAGCCTACTTACCGGTATCCTTCAGCCTGGGTAGCTTGAGCCGAAGTGGACATATTGGTAAGACCGGTATTCGAAGAGATGTAATCAGGTATGGCGAGAAATTCTTGAACTGCTGGAGGATTAGCCTGGCTTTTCGTATCGCCCATCTCTGCAATTATGATCGTCTGGCTGATAGCTGGGCGATAGGTCCACCAGATATATGCATAGTTGCTTGGCAAGGCATCCGGATTGTCGGTCCAGTGCTTCAGGCCAAGAATGTGTGCCTCATCGGTCTCCGCGCTAGAGTTGTACTGTCGAGAAGCGGACCAAATCGGAAGTCGATCGAAAGTCTCCATATCGTAACGTGTGACGACACCGAATCCACTTCCACCGCCTTTGAGCGTTCGCCAGAGATCTTTGTTGCTTGTTGCATTCGCTTGGACAACGCTGCCGTTGGCGAGGACAACCTCGAAGTTGACAATATCGTCGGTGGCGAGCCCGCGCTGGTAAAGGTAATTGGCGAAGCCACCGCCCAAGAGAAGACCTCCTGCGCCCACTGAGCCAATGCCACCACCCTGAATACCCCTATCAAGGGCGTCAAAGGTGCGGTACACCCTGAGCCATCTTGCTGCTGGTTGTATCGAAGCAATCTTCGTGGCGGAATCGTAGCTGGTGCCATTCATACGTCCTGAGACTTATGTCAGCATTGGAAGACGACGTCAGGTGAATGCCTGCAATACCAAAGTCAATCGTGACCCCTTCCTCGATGTTGTTGGCACAAGCATTGGATGAGTGTCCTCCGCTACGAATGGAGAACTCGCACTTTGTCTTCTCGACCAGAGACTTGACAATGGCCGACACTTCCTCGGTATTCTCTGGCTGTACGAAGCAGCTGGGCGTCAATTGGGATGTCAGTGACCAGTAAGATTGGACCCGCTTGGAGTAAGTCGCGTTGCCAGGGAGAAGGACATGTTTGATGCCAGCCTCTTGGAGCACTTTGCACTGCACAATGCCAGTAGCCTAAAAGTATTTCGGATATAGAAATTACAGTACACAATCAGTCTGATGAAGAGGTTTCTGCAGAGCAAATGTGCCCAACAAGAAAGGGGAAATTGCCACCAGCAACGTAACGCTCAGCATGGCGGGCTCTTGAAGGATCAGTGTCCCTTGCTTGAGTATCGTGCAGAAGCAATCCTGAGCGGCATCTGGCTCGTTTTCATAGCTGTCTCGTATATAAGCTCTGAATGTTATACTCCAAAAGGAAGAAGTCCCAGTGGAAGCGGTGGAAGTCCCACCGGCAAGGCGGTCCGCGACTCCGTGCGGAGAAGCTCATGATCGTCCCGAGAAAGGCTCTGCGGTTGCATATTATTTAGGCTTGTTTTACTTCCCTCTCATCAATCCGCATGATGCAGAACAATGATCGTTTAGACGTTCTCCTCATAGCGATGAGAGCGGTGCAGTATCGTCGTTCATATTGGCCTGTGTTGCGAAATTTGCATCACCAATTTGTCGTGTAAGTGCGATCAGATCGGATTCAGACCAGGGACGTGAGTGATTGCGTCCAGATTGATCTGCCCCTGCTTCAACATTTCACTATGTGCGGAGTGTTGATGAGAAGTTAGTGGTCTTGACAAACAAGTAAATTTCCAATATAAAGCTTATTCTAAGAGACGGAAAACTCTACTAGCAACAAACTAGACAGCCAATAGATGAGGCATATGAAACGTTCCACGACTTCCCAACTTCTATTATGGTCAGACCACGCCACGTAAGACAAGAGCATCAAACTGCGAAAGAACTATGAGGGTCGAATCTTGCTTCGGTACGTCAGTGAATGCTGGGGCTTGCGACTACCCGATGACGGTCGCAGTCGTTTCCACGGTCGAGAGAGAGATTCAAATTGCTTTGTGCATCCATTCTAGTAGTCGACACACCGCTTTCACTGGATCCAACGAAGGAGGTTGTATACCTTCCTAATTAGGAAGGAGCGGGCATCACGATGCATTTGGCAATGAGGTTGTTGTTTCGGCTTCAAGAGGCTTTATTGCAAGGTATGATAAGACCGAAAGCCTATTAGAGAGTATTGTAGGCAATAATAGGTAGTTGCGTGTTGCGGTAGTCACGTTGCTCTGGCTTCCGACCAAGGTACACGACGATAAGTCTTTCTTGATCGTGTATCTCCGTGAGAATGGACTTCTTTATGTTGACAATAGGAGTTTAGGACGCCTAGCATTGGTAATTGATATGGACATGTTTGTTGAGTGAGTGAAGTCAAGCCATGTATCGAACTCAAAGACGAGGACATCATCGAGGTTTACTAAGCTCCTGACGACTTGGGGTCGCCCGTGAGAGACGAACTGAGAAGAGGACATTGCAGCGCTGGTATTCTCATGCATAGAACGGCGTGTGAAGTGAGGTAGGTCAAAGCCAGAAGGAGGATGAGCTTACCTAAGAAGCGCAGTAGTACGCCATATAGCATATGCAAGAACAGGATGCGAGGTTCTCGGTCCTTTGAGAAGCTCACGCGCGGACCAACTCTACCTCCACACTCCCTCTCTCACATACGTAGCCCGTAACAACATGTAGAGATATATGTACGACGCCATGGTCAAACATATCTTCGCGGGGATACCGTTTCGAACTAATCCATCTTTGCCCACGAGTTTAACAAAACCATGGCATCCAAAGAAATCACCTCAGCAGACCACATCGAGAACAACGAACCCAAACCCTCCCTACCACCAGAACTCCAAGACCTCAAAATCATCGCGGTAGAAGAACACACCCTCGGCCCACCACACATAACCGCCAAGTTCCCCAAATCAGACGCCACCATCCAGTACGCGGCATGGCATGCGAATACGACGTTGGATTACCCCGGCTTTAAGGAGTACAGCGGTCCTCGCTTGATGGGGAAGATCCCGCGGACTAAGGATATGGATCAGCACTTTATTGCTGTGCAGATTTTGTCCAGGGCGGCGGCGATGAATACGGGGAGTTTGGACGGGGAGACTGCGGCGGAGTTGTGTGGGGAGTTGAACGATGCGATGAAGAAGGAGAGGGATGTGGATCCGAAGCGGTTCAAGGCGCTGTGCGAGGTGCCGTTCCAGGCTCCGAAGCTGGCGGCGGAGGAGTTGAGGAGATGTGTGAAGGAGATGGGGTTTGTAGGGGCGATGTTGCACGGGTCTGTGGGTGGAAGGTTTCTCGACGATCCTTTCTTCGACGAGGCACTTTCAGCTTTCGAGGAGCTGGACGTTCCCTTGTACTTGCATCCTGGCATCCCACCGAAGGCCGTGATCGATGCATATTATACTATGCCTGGCAAGGATTCCATTACGGCCATGCTGGCGTCGGCTGGATGGGGCTGGCATACCGAAGTGGGAATTCACATTCTACGCCTGGCGACGTCCGGGGCGCTGGATCGTCATCCGAAGCTGAAGATCGTGACGGGTCATCAGGGGGAGATGTTGCCGATAATGATGGAAAGAATAGGCGACATGTTTCTCCCACAAGCCTTCGGACTGAAGAGAAGCGTGCCGGAGATTTTGAGGAGCCAGGTGTGGATAGCCATCTCAGGCATGTTTTCGGTGCAGGTCACGGAGCTCTCAGTAAAGGCATTTGGGGCCGATCGAGTTCTTTTCGGGGTGGATTATCCTATGGTGTCTTCGGCAGCCGTTCCTGAGTTCGTGAGAGCCTTGAGTGAGGTTCTGTCGCCGGAAATCATTAGGAAGATCTGTCAGACAAATTCTGAAAATCTGTTCAAAGTGAAGGCTTGAACTGCGAACGAAAGCAGAGGACTGTTGGTGGCTTCATGAGGAGATGGAAATCAAGATTAGACGGATCGGTAACGAACTGGTAGTATTAGCAACGACGTGGCTATTTTACCGCCGTACCGCCCTTGATAGGGTCACTGGATTGGAAATCGTTGAGAATCAAGTGATCGCGAGACTGGAAGATGGGTCAAATGATCACCCAGGTCTCGAATGCGACATACTTCATAGCGAAAGCGATTCCGCCGAGATATGTCGTGTTCAGTTCACGGCAACGTACCCAGGTTGCCGTGCTATCCGTTCACACCAGGCCTGGACATGCGGGAATATGGACAAGTCGAAACCGCCTTCTGGTGCCACGTGTGTATAAGCGTAGAGAGCAACATCCGCCACTGTCAACTTTTCCGCCACGAAGAACATTCTCGTAGAGAGATGTTCGTTCATAATAGCCAGCGCTGCGTCGCCCTGTTTACGTTTCTCGGGAATCGATTCCTTCTGCTCCTGCGACAGGCTTTCGAGGTCCCTCTTCGCGAGCCAGAAGCGAAGGGTTCCTGCATATGGCTCAAAAGAGTATTGCTCAAAGAACATCCACTGTAGCACTTGGGCGCGCTGCAGGCGATCGGTGGGGAGCAAGTTCGTGCCGTCTGCAAGGTAGTGGCATGCTGCACCGCTTTCAGGCAAAAACGTATCTTCGCCGATTTGGAGTACTGGAATGCGGCCGTTCGCGTTCACCTTGGACAGATATTCGGGCGTGCGTGTTTCGCCTTTGAGGACATCGTATTCCAGCCGGTCCTTAAGCTTGATGCCCAGAAGTGACGCAGTGAGGCGGATCTTGTAGCAGTTGCCGGACCAAGAGTACTCGTGAAGGATGAGATCTGGCATGGCGACGCGTTGATGGCGGGGTGATGTCGTACTCAGCGCAATGATTACTGTGTCCGCGGTGAGGTGTACTTATCCGCCATGACCCACCTTAGTCAGCTCTGGCACTGGAACGCCCTACGCAGTACTACCAGCGCCACGGCTGTCCTAGACGTCTGAAGCTCGTCATATGCCGTGACTCTGTTGGTTGATATGTAGCCGCGCGCCTGTTCGATGCTCGATGTCCGCACATTGCAGAGTCCGGACACAAGATCGTGGGACGGAGCGGAGGACGACAGGTGGTATGCTTCAGGATAAGCATGATGGCGACCAGAATAGATCTGACAGGGACTGATGGCCAGGCATCCATTATTATTTACCCTGAGGGAGGTGTAAGAATCATTCGGCCGTTGCTGATGATCGTGGCTTGCAGCGCTGTGCAGCTCCTGGGATTCCGGTAGGCGAGCTCGCATCACGGCGCATTGTCCATACACATCGAGGCACGCGGCAGAAGGATGCTACGCAGTCCGATGCGGCGGCGTTCGTCCGTACGTACATAGCACCTTAGCCGCGATAGGCAGGCTCTGCGGCTAGACAAACAGAGGGTGAAGTTGAGAACGCGAATACGGTTCGGCGGGCTGATTTCGGGGTGCCATGTGGTCCAGCAACGCCAAGCCCTACGGCGGACTCAGCCACGCCATGATCCGTTCGCTCGTTGCTCGCTTTGCATCGCGAGACGTCTAATTTCCCTACTTCCCTACTGCTGTTCCTCATACAAACCACCACGACGACTGCTTTCTTCACCGTATCCCTCTCCAGCACCGCCATAACCGCCCGCCGTCGCTCCTTTGCCATGCTCGCCTAGCTCTCCGCCGGTCTGGACCCCCGAACCCCTGATCGCAGACTTTCCTGTGCGCCGCCCCGCAGTCAACACTGCAGCGTGCAGCGCCGTTGAACTTCGACGACAAAAGCAAGCACCCATCCACACCTCCGCCCACGTGCCAACCACCACTCTCACACTACCACCGCTATGCGGCGCGGCGTGCTCATCTTCCTCATCTGCAACATCGCATTGGTCCTGTTCCTGCTGCACTCCGTCTGGACCCTTCTCGAGCTGCTCGTCTTCAATGGCATTGAGGATGCAATCACCAGGGAGGAACTGCCGGCAATAGGTGCTGAGCATGACGATGCAGACGAAGATGAACAATTGATCCCGAAAATCATACATCAAACCTACATCAACACGAGCATACCTGAGGTGTGGCAAGAGGCGCAGCAGAGTTGCCTGGACTTTCACAAGGACCCTGAGTGGGAGTACAAATTATGGACGGACAAGGCATCGCTGGAATTCATTGCTGAAGAGTATCCCGAGTTCTTGGAGACATTCCAGAACTACCGCTACCCTATCCAACGAGCAGATGCCATTCGATACTTTGTGCTGGATCATTTCGGAGGCGTATACATTGACCTGGATGACGGCTGCAACCGGCCATTGGAGCCTCTGCTCAACTACCCTGCGTTTGTGAGGAAGACGGTTCCTACAGGAGTCAGCAACGATGCAATGGGCGCTGTGCCGCATCACCCATTCTTCCAAAGGGTGATTGAAGAGCTGCAGAATTACGATCGCAGTTGGGTGCTGCCTTACATCACTGTCATGGCAAGCACGGGGCCGCTGTTCCTCAGCATTATATGGAGACATTATACCGATGAGGGGTACAATATTGGAGATGGGCCGGATGGAGGGCGGATCAGGATTTTGTTCCCTGAGGAATACAACAACTACCCTTGGAGCTTCTTTACGCACCATTTGGGTAACAGCTGGCATGGATATGATGTGCAGCTGATCTTTTGGGTGAGTGTCATCATTCGAATGGTACATATTTGACAAGCTGACTTTTACACTAGATGGCCCGCAACTGGGTGTTCCTTACCGTACTTGGCTTCATCCTAGGCGGCGGTGTACTTTTCCTCGGATGGTGGAGCTACCACCGATACTTCCTCACATCCTCAGATGTGCCTCGATGGAAGAGTCAATCAGCACGGTCAAGAATCCCATTTTGGTCACGGCAAAGGCATCGATCAGAATATGAGCTGGTCAACCGCCATGAGCCGTAATCGCCTGTCTGTCGTCACAGCGTTTCGTTTTCACAAGCGTCGGCGTTGGTGGAGTTAGCATAGCGAGCACGATGCCGCCTAGGATATCTGTAGAAATGGATTTTCCATGTATGGAGAGATACAATTACCTCCAGACGTGCTCACTCAGCCGTGAATGGTGTAACTCGGCATGTTCCTGTTGCCCGACACTTGATATCCTGTGGCGGTCTCTTGATGGAAACGGTATTGGTCGACCGCATTGAAGAGACTCGTCATCGGGCAGTGGCTACATACTGGGAACTGTTGTACCCATCAAGCTGTTGATAATTGGGCCACGGTTGATATCCTCGTTGTCCGGCTTAAAGTGAAATGTATGTGGACTGCCATCTCTCCGATTTTCCATATACTGCGCTGCTGATTGCACTTCGATAGCCTAAGAGTAATACATAGGGATAAGTGTGACACCTTGATTAGAGTAACGAGGCAATCAAGTGATGTGATGCCGGGTCACAGCACAATCCCTGCTGTATCACCGCATGTTGCGTTACGTCCTTCGACGGACTCGTGATAAAAGACGTCATGGCCGGATTTGGACGTCTGCTACACCGCACATGCCACAATACTTGGAAATTGAAACAAAAACTAATTGCAGGCATACATTGCCCGTCGTCTTCTCTCTGCATATTGCACACAGCATTGACCTGACATTCACTCACATCATCGTCGTTGCCTCAGGCATAATATTACTACTTCTAGAAGGTTCTCGAAATCACGTGTTTAATGCGTGGGCAACCGCGATCTTGATTTCTGGAAGCGACGACGCGGACGAGGGCTGTTTAAACTCTTTCCCTGTGCAACTCATCCATTCGAACGTCCAACCTTACAACAACCAACTCAATTCGCATTGAGCGAACTACTGCCATTGACGAATCACAACTTGGCCTGAGAGTGCCAGCCACCTCAAGCATATCATATCACAGCAACGTACAACACAACGACAGCTTCCTCACACAACACCACACACCACCATGGTCGCCGACACCAAACTCTATGACCGCCTCGGCGTGTCAGCGACCGCTTCACAAGAAGAGATCAAAAAGGCCTACCGCAAAAACGCCCTCAAGAACCACCCAGACAAAAACCCGGCCGGCGCCGATAAGTTTAAGGAAGTCTCGGAGGCGTACGAGATTCTGAGTGATCCGGAAAAGAGACGGAACTATGACAACTACGGCTACGATTTCATCACGGGCAAGGCGGGGCCGCCGCCGCAGGAGGGCGAGAATCCTTTCGCTGGGGCTGGGGGCATGCCTGGCGGGATGGGCGGGATGCCGGGTGGGTTTGGAGGCATGGGTGGAGGTGGGGGTGGGACGAGGACGTTCCATTTCAGTACGGGGGGTGGAGGACGGGGAGGGTTTGGCGGGTTCAGTGATCCGAAGGATATCTTTGCGGAGTTTATGAGGGGTGGTGGGGCGGGTATGGGTGGTGGAGGGGCGGATGATGAGGATATCTTTGGAGGGTTTTCGAATTTTGGTGGAGGTGGGTTTGGTGGAGCAGGGGGGAGGCCCAGTGGAGGGAGGAGTGCGAGTGGGTTTGGAGGTAGGAGGAGGGAGCCGGAGGTCGAGACGACGGTGGTGGAGAAGCCGTTGCAGGTGTCGTTGGAGGATACGTTCAACGGCACAACGAAGAAGCTCAAGGTCCAGCGCAAGACGTACGATTCACAATCGGGGAAGCAGAGCGTCGAGGATAAGATCCTGTCGGTCCCGATCAAGAAGGGATTGAAGGCGGGCAGCAAGATCAAGTATCCAGACATGGGCGATCAGGTCGAGGGTGGTGTGCAGGACTTGCACTTCATCGTGAAAGAGAAGCCACACCCGCTGTTCACCAGGGATGGAGACGACATCAAGCATACCGTGGAGATCGACCTGAAGGAAGCCCTGACAGGCTGGAAACGCACCGTGCAGACCATCGACGGCAAACAATTATCCGTGTCGAGCGCAGGTCCCACGCAACCCGAATGGACCGAGCGGTTCCCTGGACTGGGCATGCCCAAGAGCAAGACGCCCAGCAGCAGGGGTGACTTTATCGTGGGGGTGAAGATCAAGTTCCCGACGAGCTTGACGGCCGACCAGAAGCAGAAACTGAAGGAGATTCTGTGAGCGGGGCTGAGAGTATGATTTGATTGATGATTGTAATACAGCATGATGTTTCGCATGGCGTGGCGCTTGGGTCGGGGCTGGTGTTTTGATGTGTGTCTTTTAGCGATGGAACACTCGAGGAGGGTTCTCTTGAGGGTATGAGATAGATGTTGTGAATGACATGAAGAATATTCAAATCAGGTGTGAGCGCTTTCGTTTTGTACCTGAAAGGTACTGTTGCTGACCCAATGATGGCCAGATAGACCCGCGGTCGCCCTACTTCTCATCATCCTCGCCCTCGTGCTCCTTACGCTCCTTCTCCTTATCCTTGCTCTCCTCACCCTTGCTCTCCTCGGCTTCACCCTGCTTCTCCTCGCCCTCGCCCTCCCCTTCCCTCTCCCTCTCCCTCTCCCTCTCCCTCTCCCTCTCCCTCTCCATCTCCCTCTCCCTTATCGCCTCCCTCGCCCCCTCCAACACCTCCCGACAATTCCTCGCCAACGTCGTCTCAACATCCGTCACCCTCTCCCCCACAACTTCCCAAATCAACTCCCCAACCCTCACGCCCTCCTCCGCCCACACCAAGAAATTCTCCTTCTCGGAACATCCCAGCACCATGCACGCCCGCGCCCGGATCCAGAGGGGGTCGTCGGCGTCGGCGGCGAGGATGCGGGCGGTCGAGACGGCTTTGGCTTCGGCTTCGTCGGTCGATTCGCGGTGGGCGAGCATCATCTGTTTTTGGGGTTAGTCGGTTAGGGATAGGAGGGGATGGGATGGTAGTGGGATGGGACGGGAACAGATGAAAGATTCTGGGAGCTGCTAGGAGGTCGGAAGCTTACGGTGATGTCCAACGCATAGTACATGCGTGCTTGGTTGCTGAGCTGTGATGGTAGCGCGCTGTCTTGTGATGATGAGGCCATCTTGGCATGTGATTGTGGAGTGAGAAGAAATTTGCTTGTGAAAGTGGGAATGTGAAGCATGTGCGAGCATGTGAAGTCGGATATTGGAGTGCCGCTTGGCGCACATGGTGGTGGAGGACGTGCGCTAGGCTTTGTTAGCGGGTTTCGCTCCTGCCTGATTTGGATTTCATCTGGTGTTATCAACGGGCAGCCCGGTATTAAACTGTTGACTACTTCTGGAATCTTTATTTTCACCTTAAAGTCAGCCAGTACTCGTGACATAGTCTTATCAAGTCGGTAATGGTCTATAGCACACATCTAAGCGAGCTCGGTAGAGTAATTGTTTCCAGCGCTGTCACAGCATGAGCCTTTCGTTCTAGTACGTATATGTCCGACAACGGCTTTTCTTCCATTATTAACATATTAGTTGCTCCTTCATCTCCAAAGCCGGCTTTCTGCAGCGTTGCATTGCAAAGACGTAGCCTCGTCCAGCGTGCAGCCTTGGCGTCTGTGCAATATCTCGAGCATTAGGCTGTAGGTAAATATTTCTCGCTCAAGGGAAGCCGTAATGTGCCAGAATTACACTTCCTACCATTGGTGCCACACCGGGGGCAATTCCAGTCGTTGTGTTAATGCATCTTGTCGATGTTGAGGCTGGCTGAGTCTAACGCCTGGTTTGAGGCACAACGCCAATTGTTCTTTGTTCTTCAGTCTCACTGTGCCTCGCAGAACCGTTTCTCTATCGTTGACGAGGCGAACTACCATGCCTTGCATCGGTGCAAATAAGGATCGTCGGCGTCGCCGTGGCTTGGATTCGGATTTGTTATATCAAGGCTGGAAGGGTGTCTTATGTCACGAAACTCGCACACCTCGATGAATCGTTGATGGGGCCCTCTCTCTTCATCGTTCCACCTTCATTGCGTCGTATCTCAATCTTGTTATCGATTTCCAACGAGCTGTAACTAGACTCGTTAAAGGTGCCAACCCAGGGCTTGTGCACTACTTCTGTTGCTCTCTTTGCAAACCAATGTTACTTATTTCTTTCAGATGACCCAGTAGAAGGTCTCTGTGCTTGGCATATCAAAAAGAGAAGCGTTGGTCCGCTGAATCGCTCAAAAATCGACCCAGACGACCCAAACTTGTCCCAAACGTCCAGCAAAACGTATGCGTTTGCCGAGACTCGAACTCGGACCACAAGTACTTCCTTTACGGTGGGAAACTTGTATTCTCTGCGTTCCAGACGTTAGAATTGAAGCCAAAGTGATTATAGTATCGGTAGGAGACTCACACCCCTAAACTACAAACGCTGCTTGAGTGCGTATTATTCAGCACGGCTTGACAACAACGTATATAGAGTAGTAACAAATTAAGAGCGATATCGGAAGAGTCAGAACCTGAAATCGTGTCTAAGTGTGGAGCTGAGAGCTTGTGGTTCAACGACGGCTTTGCCCCGGGTGAAAGCTTGGGATCACGGCAGCTCAGCGACAAGCAGAGCAAACCAAACAAGCAGAGCACCAATCCCATTGAGGAACCACAAGATTACCGGCCCAACAGCGTCAAATAAGTTACAGGTTCGTGGTCTTCACGTAGTCGGCCATTTCGGTTCCCTGTCGAGCTTGTCCATCGAGCACTCGACGGACGACGACGATGAAGCAGGAGAACGTAAAGTTTGTCTCAGCATGTTCCAATGAATACAAGGACGACATATATGGGCTGAAACTCAAGCTAGAAGAAACATGATCGTAGCAAGTGACACAATCCCAGAAAGCCCTCCTTTCCAACCATCGAGTCCGCCCGCTGCGATTCCTTCGTACGCAAAGTTCCAGCACTACAAAATTATCAGCATTTGACCTTCCAAACACAATATCCGAAGAAGCAAAATGTTCTGGACCTGAGTTGAACCTACCTTCCCATCCCTCTCGTTGACCGCCGAGGCGTCGTCAACTTTGAAGCTTGCCACGCTATACGGCAATGCACCACACTCCCCTTCCGCAGAACTACTGCAAGTCCAGCCTACCCACGGCTGGACTTCTGGTTCTCCCGAAGGTATACAGCCTGGTGCGTTGTAGACCGAAAGGTACCTCACAGCATCTGTTCCCGCCGCTTCGCCATCGTTGTCGTTGGTCACCGGTTGCTGATAGAGGACGTTCGAGTAATTGGCTTGAGAATCGTATGCATCGACGTTTTCGATTCTCCAGTAAAGGCCAACTGAGTCTTGATCAAACGAAGTCGAAGGAGTCTGATTGCGGAAGCCAAACGTGCTGTTCCCGGCGAAGAGGTCCGCAAGGTTGAAGCATTCGTTGGTATTGGGTACGCTGGCCGTGGTGAAGCTGATCCCGTTGGAAGTGCTGTTGCAGGAGTCGCTGGTATCTGGGTAGAAAGTCACAGTGAGGTTGAGGCTACGCTAGTGGTCAGCGGCAAGGCTGTAGAGCGCGCTAGAAGGAGATTCAACATACTTTGCTTGAGCGTAACTGGGTTTGATGGCGTTGAAGAGAACAAGCAAAAACACAACGATTGAGTCTTTCAATGCCATTTTCGTGACTGGGAGGGACAAGATTGAGACTGAGCGTTCGACGCAAGGAAATACATGAAATGTAGTACACTACCTGTGCCAGCAGCACGGCACATGTCACCAGGTCACACAACTAAACAGATAACAAAAGCGAAGCTGAAGATAGCAAACACCACGAGACATTGCGATGCCATCAGCCAAGCAAGCGGTTGATAGTCGGTGTCTCCATAGTCCAATATGTTGTTGCTGCCAAGTAACGAAGGATGGCACCCCAACACTGTGCCACACATCTCCCTTGCGAAATGATGCCTGAGAGCTGAAAGGTGGAGAAGATGAGATGGAGATGGTCAAGGGAGTGAAACCAGGAAGAATCTGGGCACGGATCTTTTGACAAGGTTTCGGGCGGCTCGGGAGAGGAGTTCCGTGGGGCCTTGGCTTCGACGTCACCTCCCAATGCCGATGTCGCTCACGAGAACTTCAATTTGCAATGACCATCACCATCGCGGCATCCTGGGATTTATCGTGCAGGCCACAAGCCACCCAGACACACGTGTTCATGCAGACACCAATGGCGACTGCTCAAAATAACCAGTTTCACAAGCTTCACGAGCACCGCAAGGAATGATATTCAAAGCGGCGAAGATACGACGGCATACCATTCGTATGGTTTTGCATTGAAAGCACGATGAAAGATACAAGCCACGATTGATACAAGATACGTGCATTATGGACTTCATTGTTGAAATTCGTGTCTCGAATTTGCTATGCTATCTATCTGTGCACACAAGGCAAGATCTCGGGTCGCCGATCCAACTCATTTCTCTCCAACCCATCGACAATCCGCCGCTCTGTTGTACACTACGTCAGAAACGTTATCCATCTTTCCATCATGTTTATGACTTACAAACACAGCTGTACTTGTATCTGCCACCGATACCAGGCAAGGCCTGGGGCGTACAGTCCAACTTGCAGATATCGCCTTTTGTGTCGCCTTCTGCGTTTTCCGTTCCGAAGCAGTTCTCCTGGCATTCGGCGCCTGGATTCAATCAGCAACGCCGAAGATATCGTCAGATAATGCCTCGCCTACCAGTGTTGTAGGACTCGCCATTGCCGGTGCCATCAACACAGTCTGCAACGTCGTTTTGTCGGTGCTTGATGTTCAGCGCTGTAGTGGCGGCGACAAGGCCGAAGAAGAACACGGTGAGCTTCATGGTCGATATTGTATAGAAGATTGACTGGATACTGATAACGCTGAGAGTAGGGATGTCTGAAGGCTCGAATTTGAAAGATCTGAAGAACAAGTCTCCGACAGCCAGCTAATATAGGTTTGCTCATGCCAGTCATCGGGCGTCTCTCGCGAAGATAGTGGTTGCTCAGCCTCACAGCGCTCGACCGCAGCTATGTCATAGGACCTCCAGAACATCCGTACCGATGTCCGCAATGTATCGTTCCCACGTGCATGGCAAGACTGACGGAGGCATAGACCGTCAAAGGACTGTAGCGCCAAGTCGGGCATTCCGACGAGCCGTGTGCCAACACGATTCGATGTCCGACAGGAAATATGGAAGACGTGCTCTGGCCGGTGGCCCTGGTAGTAAGTGACAGCACTCGTGGAAGCATGATTGGACTACAGCACTGTTGATTGCAGTCGTCGGCTGAAGGCAATGGTCGCCAAGGACATGTTACAGGAATGAGCGAAGGAAGTTGAGCAAGGCTCACAATCGAGCAAGACCAGGATGAACCACCAGGAGCTCAATCGGCTAGCACTCGTAGCCTGGCCGCAACATCCAAGTGGAACCGTCTCCCCTGATTCTTGGTGCAATGAAACTCTGCAGGAACGGTGTATGGGGCTCAGGATGCTGTGTCTTGGCAAACTAGCGGGCGATGTTCCTGCTAAGCCGGGGTGTTACTTGGTCAGCTGTGCCGTCCAACTACATCGGCATTTCGCGTGTACTGATCCAAATGGGTACTATTATCACGGCGAGCGTCATGAGGAAGTCTGTGATGGCAAAGAAGATTGGCATCCTTGAACATACGGAGAACATCGGAGCATCTTCTTCGCTGGAATGCACGGTGTGTGAGGTTGAAGGACTACCGCTAATGATATGCTGTGCAATGACGGTTTGGGAAGAACCTGGAAGAACCCATCGACCTTGCCGGCATCGACGCTTCTAGAAATACGAGGCCTCAGCTGAATCAACCCTACTCGGCGACGACGACTTCGGGAGAGCTAAGTGATCTGAGACATCAAGGATGCTGTTGTCACTATCCTCTATTTCCACCTGCATTCAATCAAGGTACAATGCCAACATCCATCCTTCGCTCAGCTGGGGTATTGTACGCATCCATCGTTCGACCTTGGCAGCCTCAACGACAGCTTTGATCGATCGATTGACAACAATTGACCATTGGTCGAACTACAGGCAGCAAGGCCAGTCTGGCAACATATATGAGCGTCACGAATCCGCAAGAGAAGCCGTTCATACCATCGACAACATCTCGAATTCCGATATCCTCGTTCCGACCAAGTCTTCATACATTTGGACACCATGTCTCTCGTTGACACTGTTGGCTTTGTATCCGGTATCTTTACCATCGTCGGCTTCTTTCAAACCAACTTCCCGGGCAGTGCTCCAGAGGGTGCCAAAGTCCAGATCAAAGCAGGCTTAGGGGATGACAACAGCAGCGAGCTCGTAAGTAAACACGACAAGCTGACGCGGTATAAGGAGTTGGCTAACAGGCGCAGGGAGGGCAAGTCCAAGCCGTGTATGGATTTGACACTGGGAACAATTTCATTGGCGAATCTGGAAGTGGCAGCATGTCCGATGGCGGCATCACAGAGCTCACGATCGACCAAGACACGCCAGGTATTCAAGCCGACTACGTGAGCATCTCCAACGGCAACGATGCTACTTGCATTGCTTGGATCTCCGTCACTCAATACGACGGCACTGAGGGCGGCTCATGAACTGGCGACATCGGTGCCAACTGCGGACTGACTTGGTACTATGGAAATCAGCTTGCCGGGCGTCTTGAGGATGATTCGGAGTTCAGGCCCAAGTGTGCATGGCTCGATGGTGACCATACCAACGACATCACAAATGCAGCTCTCAAGTTCCGCGTCAGGGCCTATGGCGAGGAGGCAGAGGACACTGTCAACAACGACCAGGCGTGTGGATCAACGCTCTTCTTTACTGAGACTGGGCCCATCAGCGGTATGTGAAATCGTTTATCTCTGTCTCACAATGGACGATACTGATAGAGTTTGGCAGGACAACCAGCCAAGCGCGACACATCTGTTCGCAAAGCTTGGATGGAAGACACGATCATCATATCCAACTTCACCGATCACAGTGCTGAGGGGCTTTGCAATTCTGACAGCTCCTGCGGCCCTGACTTTGTTGGCCCAGATGGCAAGTTTTGTGATATGGCAACGAAGACTCTAAGTCCTCTCTGCTCTACAGCCAACGTGGACGGGTGTGTTGGCGTTGATGCTGAGTCGACGACAGTGACCAAGCGCTCCACGGTTGCTCGTCGCAGCGTCAATACGGTGCACAAGAGCTATGGCAGAGTCTCGCAGTGGGACAACTAGATTGGCCCTGGCTGGACGGGTATTGAGGGTCTATTCGGTGCTTTCGCACGGAGGACGTTCGGGGGTACGGTTGGTTCCTGGATTTACTGTGAATGTTCGAGTCAACAGACTTGAACGCTCGCGGTCGCGAGGAGATGGCAGATTGAGACGAAATGCGCAGTTTGCAAACAATTAGCATTCAATTGCCCAATGGTATCTCATGTAAAATTCTAAAATCGCTCATGGTCGACATGCAATGCAACTATCCGAAAACCTCCATCAAGAAGTCATAACGAATTCTCAAGCCCATATCTCTTGCTTTCGCTGTCAGCTCATGGCACTTGTCAGACAAGATCTCGCCCACAACAGGAGCGCCGCAGTAGAACACGCCGACTTTCTTATCTCTAATTCCATCATCCACCAAGTCATTGAAGTGCTTCTCAAGAATGGCATCGAAGTCTGGTCGCCCGAAGTGGCTCCTTTGCTTCAGGCCAGTCAATGCTGAGTACGGCGCCGCTGAAGTTCGGTAGCCGTCGAGAAGGTATCGAAACACGTGGGTGGATATGTTCTTTCGCTTTGCAGTGATGTGGGTGTTGATATTCAGATCGAGTTTGCTCTGCCTGGCTAGAGGTTCCGCACGAACGATTGCTCGGTTGAGCAGGTCAGAAAACCAGAGAAGATTGTTCTTTTCTCGAACAGTCCAGTGGAAGTCGACTCGTCGCTCGGGGTTACGAGGTCGCCGTGGCATGGTGTCCTTCTCGTTTCTATCGTTCCGAGAGCCCACTGGCGTAGTTGCTTGAGAAGTTCGACGAGAGCGGGAGCCAGGTCGTGACATTGATCTCGAGCGCCTGCGCTGCTCCCATGGGTCTCGTTCTTGCGAGTAGTGCTCTTCAAGATCGGTCAGAACAGCGGAGAATGGTGTTATGCCGATGCCTCCTCCGACAATGATTGAATAGTCGTAGTCGTAGAATCGCTGAGCTGGCGCTCCGAAAGGGCCATCGACTCCCACATGAATGTTTTCATTATCCGGCAACTTATCTCTCAACTTCTGTGTCCAGTCCCCATCGACTTTGATATGCACCTGCAGCTCATCGCCCCGGCAGGATGAGATAGTAAAGGGGTGCCACTGGAAGAGTGAGATCTTCGGTACCTGGAGCAAGATGTATTGGCCAGCACTGTACTTCCAGTCTTTGCCACGTGGGTGTTTACAAGTAAGCACCACTACATCGTCGTCGACCATGATTTTCATTGTCGCGGGCACGCGGATAAAGCCTCGAATAACTCTCCACGAACGTTCAAGAATGACCAGAAGCGCAGGAAACGCCAGCCAGTACCCCAGCATTGGCGCCTGAAGTAAAGCGGCAGTACCGTGTGCACAAAGCAGACCAATCATTGGAAACATGAGCAGATGTCCGAGCTGGAAGATCTCGTAGTACCGCTTGCGGATGAATGGCATGCTGAGCAAGCTGATGATCCAGAACAGTCCTAACGCCGTGATGCCAGTCCAGCCTGGCAAGCTCCTGACATAGACAATGTAAGGCCGCGGTACAGAATTAGGACCTAGATATCTGGCGACGGCATCCTGATGCGACGGTCTCGATCCGTAGAGCATGGATCCGGTAAGATGTCCAATAGCGTGAAGACTGGCAAAGAACAGGCCGCAGATGCTCATGTAGATGTGGAATTTTTGGTGGAAATCCCAATTAATGAATCGACTCAAGGCATAGTTTCTTCGCAGGAAAGTCGCAAGATGTCTACTCATGCTCAACAGCATAAACACCAGGGTAGGATAGAAGACTCCGGCGCAGGCTTTCGCGAGAATGACCCCCCAGCCCAACGCTGCTCTGGCTAAGGGATTCTTGATGTAGATGACCATCTGCCAGAGTCCAATACCCAGTTGTAAAGCAACGACAAATGTAGTAAAGGCGATGTTGGGGCCATGAACGGCCAAATACGCTCGTAATCGCCTTCGGAATGGTAGTCTATGCTCTTGGTTTTGATCTTCCTTGTCTTGAGTGTTCGAGTCCGTCTGCTTCTGACTTGGTACCTGTAGTTTTCTTATGCTCTCGACGAAGTCCGTGCGGTTGATTTTCGCGCTGCAGTCTGGGAGTAAACCGCAGAGAAAGACATGCTCATCGGCCTCAGAATGCCCAAGATGCTTTTCAGGGTCTCGTCGGTCCGGATGAAGGAGATGATGTCGTTGCAGGGTCGGCGCAAGCTCCTCATGAACTTCGTGGAGCTTCTTCTCTATTTCTTCGAAAGTCACATAGCCGTCCTTGTCGCGATCCAGGTCATCGAAAAAGGCATTGATTTCGTCATCGCTCAGTGGAATGAAATCGTTTGTTAATACGGGCTCGAGACTGTGTAGAAGAAGTGGTGGCGGGTTCTCCATTGTGTTGTTCTTCTGAAACCTTACCTGTCAAGCCTTGAAGGGAGGCCATCGACTATATATTACGCGCATCACTCCTCGGACGCATCTTCGCAGCCCTTCGCGGCCAAGTCAGCTTGGCAGTGAGAATCTGGGCGCTGCAAGACAGTCTAGAGACAAGACTTGTCCAACACGTGCGGCCAAGACAAGATGAACGTATCATCGTTCGGCTTGGTGTAAGAGTAGGTCTGGATAAGGTTTTGGATCAAGAAAGGTGGCGATCGTGATCTTGGCATGACGTCGGTGAAGGAATCGAAGTGAAGCCAATTCTTGAGTCCGATTTTTGCCAAGCTCGTAACTCTCCCAATGGCAGTCGTTTCGCAAGAATCTTGAGGGAGGTTTTCTTGTGATACTCGTAAGCCTGTCGTTGGGGTCATCGAACGTTTATTATAGGTACACTTCGCCAGGGCACAAGCTTGCCTCTGCGCGAGGTCGTTCGCCCAGAGCCTTGTATATGCCCTCGAGCTGAGACTGTCTCGGAACGCAGGTCATGTATTTTCTGGACTCGAGTATCTTTTGGCGGCTGCCGCAGTCGCCAACCTGGTCGTCCTTGTCTGGGAGCTGTCAGTCAAAGCTATTGTGGGCCTGTTTGGCGAAACGTGGTGGCCACCGAGCGTTTGGTTTCTTGTGGCCATCATGGTACACGGCTTGGGATTGATTACCTTATGGCAAAGAGTTACACTGAGCACGGAGACCCGATCTCGAGCCGATTCGAAGATTACATCCTTCCTCGCCGCCGAGTTCCTGCCTTGTGCAATTGCATCCGCGAACGACCTCGCTGCATATCAACAATGAGACATTTCTTTTCATCGTCGCTTGGGCGACATCGATCCTCACAGTCTACCACGTCTTCTATGGAACCGCCATGTTCTCGAGAGTCCTATTCGTTGGTGGTTGGGACGCCTTGAAGCCTGCAGTTCGTTGTTTGACTTCTAAAGCGATTTGCAGGGTCATCTTGATGTTTGAGCTCAGTGGCATGCACAGGAAGACAGTCGTTCGTGATGGCCCTAAAGACGTAGATACAGGTATCGGATCAGAACCGAAACATCTCGCCATAGAATCGTTCGAAGTCAGGCTACCGCGTCTTGAATATCTGGAGTGAGGAGCTTGCCTTGCAGAGTGAATGCGTTCCAGTGCCTGAGGTTGCGAAGGATCGAAGCAGAAATACTGCCAGGCTTTCTGTCCATGAAGAATGTGGTACAAATATCCCTCCTAAGCAACAACACTGTCGATTTCAAGGGCCTCGAGACAGCATGGTCAGGCATCGTTTCTTGGGATTGAGTCAATCCAAGTCAACACATTCCCCTCATTCATCAGCGTAGGAAGTCCGTAGTATCCGAAAGAGGACCATACCTGTTGCAGCAACTTCACTCAAAATCACGAGGACGACGGCTCGTATTGGGACCTCTGACCGATTGCGCTCTCATCGTCGTTACGCTCAGAGTAGAACGCACGAAGTTAAAATCTTTTCTCTTCAACGTTCCGCAGGTGACCATACCTCGAATCGCAGTGTTTGCTGACTAGTCTGATCAGCACACTTGTGAGAGATAGAGATGAATGTTTTTGAGATGAACACCCAGGGAACACTTTTGCCACCAGAAGTGCCTCAGGCATTAAAAGTCCGAGAGACCCACAGAAGGATTCCGCGGGCTAGGAATGCGGCGCAGGCAGTGCTCTTGACCCATCTTTAATCAACGCGGGCCCATCTCCCTCGTCCCTACAACAACAACAGCAATACGCTCAAAACCACGAAAATGGGCATCCCTCAAGAAGAACAAGACCTCGAAATGTCAGAGAGCCTTCCGCTCTATTCCGAGGTCGGCGTCAAGCCCACAAAGATCCCAGAGGCGACAGCGACGGCAGACGAAGTCCGTGAATTCTTCAGGAGCCTACTGCAGAGCCACGCTTCCAACGAGGACGCGGAGGCTATCGCGGCGAGATGGCAGCGAGGCACCGGAAATGAACTCAAGGTCTACCCACCGCAAATGTATCTCAAGATCTTTGGACCTGAGGACGGGTGGTTCTTATACAGGGAGACGAAGTTGATAATGAAGCGGGAGAAAGACCCCACTGGAAAGGTGCACAAGAAGCATGGATGTAAGTTTTTGTCTCCCTAGTGCCAGCCTAGACACTGACATGGCCGGTATCAGATATCACCATTGCTTGTTTAACTGTGTTCGAGCTTGCGATGGTTGCAATTATTGTACTTTCGTGGAGTCCTCTCCTCTCCGTTTTTGCGGTGATTGGCAACTTGCTCGGTGTCGTGGGTCTAATTATCGCGTTCGCGGTGACTTTTGGAATGCCGTCACCGGAAGCCCAGGTGGAGGCGGAGCTTCTCAAGTGCATGGAGAGTCGTGATAATCGGTCATAGATGCGAGTTGGTAGAAGCATTTTAAGTCGCAACATTTTCTTGGAATAGAGTGTTGTTCCTGTTGGCACAGGCACTTAAGCGGGCAATGGAAAGACAGCTGGACTTCTTTTGCCATCTTTTCCAACCGCTCTGACCCCAAATTGAAAGTCATCTTTGCCCAGGGGTACCGTCACGCTGCCAGTGTTGCCCACGTTCAGCACTTTCGTCCACTGCAGTGCTCCGCTGGGTCTCCAGACAAGTTCATACCCGCTGACCAGAGTATCGTTGCCAGTATTCCACGAGAACTTGCTGTCATTTGTAATGATTTCCGGCGGCGTGTCTTCGCTGTCTGCCGGAAAGCCGACATCCCTCGATATTGTCACGTTGGTCGGCATAGCAGGGGCGTTAGCTGCTGACCACATACTTGCGAGGTTGACCTTGGCCACGCGTGCGGTATAGTCGAAGTCGACAAACTCGATAAGATCGCCGTATTGGATGCCATCCTCCTCTCGTGGGTCTTGATGTTGATGAGCGAAGTTCTCGACAGCTTCCGTGAATCGAACAGCAGGGAAGCCTTGAGTGAGGAAAGATTGGTGGTCGCCTCCTCGGAGAAAGCGGTCTGGACGATAGATCAATTTGACTTGCATGCCCACATATCTTGCAGCCCCTGCCGCCACTTCAGCGATAAATCGACCGAGATTCTGCGCAGGCGAATCGTTCCAGCCTCCGATTTGAGCGATTGTTCGGCCTAAGGCGTACGAAGATGCGTTGGGATAGTAGATGCTCGCACCAAACAAGCGGACCGTGTAATCGTTAATAGGCGCAAAAGGCTGAGATTTCCCAGTGCCGACGATATCATTATTCCAGTTGCCCTCGACTCTCAGACCAGCCTGCTTGAGTGTCTTGGCCAAGTTGGCTGATCCGTACAGACTCTGCTCCTCTCCAGCAACTACAGCAAAGATCATGGTCGCCTTCGGCTTCTTCGTTGCGCAGATACGTGCCATTTCCATGACAACTGCAACTCCAGTAGCATCATCATCTGCGCCAGGTGCATCGCGTGTGTAATCGAGGATGTCGATGCGTCGACTATCGTAGTGGCCAGTAACCACATAAACACGGTCTGGGTCGTCCGTGCCATTGATCTGCACTGCCACGTTCGTGATGTTGACTGGAAAAGTAATTCGATCCGCATCGACACCTTGAATGTAGCTGTTGAAGTAACCCTGCATGGATCCATTCGACGGCTTGGCCAGAGTCTGCATCTCTTTGTAGATCCAGTCTCTTGCAGCACCAATGCCTCGAGTTGTGGAGTTCTGCGTAGATAGAGTATGGCGCGTTCCAAAGCTCACCAGCTTCTTGATGATATTTTCAATCCTCGACTCATCGATTTGCTGAACCATCTGTTGGAGTTCTGCATCCGGTTGCTGCGGCTTTATTTCACTGCCAACCTCTGGTGATGGCGGCCAGCTTGCTTCGACCGATGCTCCCCATGGTCCTGACACTTGATATATACTACCGGGCAAACCCATCCATGACGGGTTGTAAGTATCTCCACCATGGCCACCCCAATGGCGCTGCGCGGTGAGAAAGGATGGCAAAGCTGCCAGAACTGCAAAGGACTTGCGCATGTTTGAAGGGTAGTGGATGTTAGAAACACAAGCAGCCGAGAACTTGGGAAATGTGAGGTGTCTCTACCAGGTAGGGATATAGTGACAAGTTCAAAGTCTCGCCATGTCAGCTTCCTCTCGCGGCGTAGCATGCTCCTCGCGTGTCAACATGTCGTTGCATCATCTGCAGGTACAAGGTCGCGCGGGCCATTTCATCTTGGGAAGAACACACAAGATCTGCCATGTGGATCGATTTCAGTCGATAGAGCGATTGAGCTTCCTCTTCCGGCAGGTGGATGGATGTCGACCTGGCGGCCAAGGACACCCCGCTCACACCGAGATCGCGGCATTGATAAGAGAGTGAACAAGGCCATCTTCCATCACACGTTGCGAGCTACGGCGGAAGACTTCAGCAAGACGATAACGTCGACCTGAGAGATCTTGGGCCAGCAGACAGCGCGTATGCTATGTCGCCCGCTGAGAAGGATCGTGGCATGTTGATAGAAGTATGGCACCAGACGGTCGATCTCCTGTGGCCTGTGGAGTGGAGGGTCTTTAGAGCTGGGGATTGGGTGATCGAGAGTAGGGGGAGGTCGACTTTTATATCAATGTTCTTCTCCAAGGCACCTTGATGGCATCAGAGGCCAAGCAAGAGCCATGCCATTTGGGGCTGCCTTCCAAACATCATGGCACAATATCAGACCCCAGACAGCGATATCGAGATGCCAGCATGGTTGAAAGTAGGTAGAAGCGCTGTAGACAGACGTAGCTGTATTTGTGTTGTCGATGTTTGGGCTTAAGAGTCTTTCACATGTGAGGCTGGTACTCGGAGGCGGGCTCCCAAGCCCGAGGCTTGGCCAACGGGCGTCATCACCGCCAACAACTTTGTCCGCAGCAACAACAACAACCTCAGTCAACAACTCGGCAGTGCTGCAGCCTGCTTGAAATTAACCTGTATACACCCCAGCATGCCGTAGCATCTACCCTCGAACGCCCACGCCCGGCGCACTCTTTGTACAGACACAATGTATCTTCCGAACGCATACAGATCCGCCGAAGCCGCCATCTCCGCGTCCACGCAGGACGGGTCGAAAGGCAGCAGAGATGGGTGGTCCAGCCTGATTGGCGTTATTACGGCCATCTGCGGCAATATCCTCATATCGTTCGCGTTGAATACACAGCGATATGCGCACATGCGATTGAGCAGAGATCGGGAACAGAGATTGCAAGAAAAGCGAAAGGCGGCAAAGAGGAGGCACGCGAGCTATGGCACACAGCAAGAGCAGATCGCAGAAGAGCGGGCAAGGAAGAATGCGAAAGGGGAGGAGTCTAATGGGTATCCAGAACAATCCGGCGAGACAGAACCTTTGATGGGACGCGAAGACTCGAGGAAAGGTTCAGGCGCGGGATCGGACAACACAGCACGGCCGGAGGATAAAGACGACGAAGAGAAGGAGAAGTCGTATCTGAAATCGCCAATCTGGTGGCTCGGAATAACACTCATGGTCCTTGGAGAAATTGGCAATTTTCTGGCATATGGCTTTGCGCCCGCGTCCATTGTATCACCACTGGGCGTCGTGGCTTTGGTCTCAAACTGCATTATTGCTCCACTACTGCTAGGAGAGCAGTTCAGGTGGAGGGACGGACTGGGAGTCATTATTGCCATCGGAGGCTGCGTGACCGTCGTCCTGAGCGCCAGCGCGAGCAACCCAAAGCTCACACCCGATGCCATCTGGGAGCTGGTAACGACGTGGGAGTTCGAAACATACCTGGGCATCACGTTATTCCTCATAGTGGTGCTACTGGTGCTGAGCAACAAGTATGGACACAAAACCATCCTCATCGATCTTGGCCTGGTGGGTTTGTTCGGCGGATACACGGCCCTATCTACCAAAGGTGTGGCCTCCCTCCTGACCTACAAAATCTGGAGAGTCGTGACGTTCCCCATCACATATTTGCTGCTGGCAGTCTTGATCTTCACTGCTGTCATGCAGATCAAGTATGTGAACAGGGCGTTGCAACGATTCAACGCTACCATGGTCATCCCCACGCAATTCGTACTCTTCACTCTGTCCGTCATCATTGGGAGTGCGGTCTTGTACCGGGATTTTGAAAGAGAAGCACCTGGAGATGCGGCCAAATTCGTCTCCGGCTGTGCGCTGACCTTCTTTGGAGTTTGGTGCATTACGTCTGGCAGGAAGCAGGAGTCTAGTCAAGACGATGAGGATGAGGACGAGGATGCGATCAACCTTGTCGATGAAGAAGGCGCTATGACAGAGGTACGGGATGGTGACGATGCCGCAGCAGTACGGCAGTCCTCATTCGCTACGACTGCCTCGAAAGACTCGCCTTCGTTGCGAAGGTACCAGTCCGAGTTGACGGACTCGACATCGAGGACGTCCCTCGCCCGAAGCCCTCCGCAACCAGAGGCAAATCCACTCTCAGAGCAAATACCAGACATAGCGCCCGGTACAGCAAGCGCGATTCACACTAGCACAGCAAGCCAACTACACTCACAAGCCAACGTCGACCCACCCAAGAAGCCCGCCATCCACGCCACGACCTCAGAGCCTGTTGTACCTACGACCCCCAATATATCAGCTCTACGACCTAAGACGCCACTGATGAGGACACCTTCCGGTCCACCAACAGACACTCCATCTCCTGACCGTCGTCACTTAGACTCTAACACGATTGGCCCATCGCCGAAGTTACTCAGTCGGCACTCTGTTTCGCTGCTGCCAGGTCCTCTGACATCACCTCTTAGCGGTTCGCTCAGCGCGATTGTCGCTGATGAGCTCCGCCGAGGCATTGATAAATCGCCAGCTGGTGCTCTTCGAGCGCGGAGGAAGACGCCTACGCCCAGCTCTACCCTCCGACCAACAAACATACAGTCAAATGCGGCTATAGGGTCCAGCAGTCTCAAAAGACATTCGATCGCAAGCGGCGAGATGGACTTCGACAGCGAAGAAGCAGCCGAACTGCGTGCCGCAGCGGGCAGTCCTCGAGAAGGCGGTGTCACTGGCAGAGGCCGAAGTCTCAGTGCGACGCTGAGCGATATGTTTAGCTCAGGGTCAGGGTCAGCCAAGAGGCAGCGAACAGCACTTGGCGGCACTGCCCAGAGGAATCTCGAAGCTGCTTTCGAGGAAGACACTGCTAAGAGGAGAGGGGAAGAACGATGAGGGGAACTTGGCCGAGAAGAGACAGACTTGTGCATGACTTGTAGCGAACGGATTCACGAGTGTACGAACTGCTTGGATGAGAAGCATGTTGATAATACCCGCATGACATTATGGCGTTGCGTGTAAGTATGCAGACATGACATTGTGACATAGTTGAACAGTACCACAGCAAATCGACGAAGTGTGTCGGACAGTACTGGCCTTCGTCCTTTCAGGTCCATCCCTTGCTAACGCCTACCCCTATCAAGCCTGATCAACTCTCAAAGGTCGCCAGGAATGGCTTGGCCTCTTCGTGCGCAGCCACGATTGCCTCTTCATGCATCTTGGAACGGACTTCAATCCGAAATTGGAAGGGCAATGGACCAGAGATGAACCCATCAGAGTATCCGGTCTCCATGGACGAATCAATAGTATGTCCCGGTTCAGCTTTGAGATCAAACGCCCACGCGATGCGGGCCATCACGAGCATCTATTCGAAAGTCAGCCTGCAATATTTGATTCCTCCACAAAACATGAGACTTACGAGCGAGTTCTCCGCCATGTTCTGGCCCGGACAGACACGTCTACCAGCGCCAAACGTGTACGTCGCCCGACGACCGTCTGCCTTCTCAGCAACGCTTTCCACTCGAGTCCCTGTGGCTGGATTCTTCACCCAACGCTCCGGCCAGAACTTTGCACCGTCTTCATAGTCATCCTCGTCTTGGTGGATACTCCAGGTATTGGCGAAGAGCATGGTCCCTTTCGGCAATACATACCCCTCGTACACGTCGTCCTGCATCAGCTTGTGAGGGATTCCTCCTGGGGCAACGGGCCTCCAGCGTAGTGTCTCGGACATTACTGCTCGTAGATATGGAAGATTCTGGAGATCATTGGCGGATGGCATACGGTTCCCGCAGACTTGGTCGAGTTCTTTCTGGCTAGCTTTCAACACTTCTGGGTTTTCGATCATGGCGATGCACCAGGAGTGCAGCGTTGACGATGTCGTGTCTGAGCCGGCTTCCATCTTGACACGCACCTCAGTCAGTCAACCCTTCAACCCTTACATGACACGCACTACTTACCAGCGTTCCCCCAGTATACATGACCTGCTCATCATTCAACCCATGCTTCGCCCCAGGCTCCAACAACTTCCCCAACAAACACCCTAACGCGCCCCTCCTTCGAATCCCCTCCCTCGTCTCCTCCAACAAAGCTCTATACAAACTCCTCTGCTCCTCCCGAATCTTCAACGCCCACTTCTTCCACGAAGCCGGCACCTTCTGCAGAATCGGAAAAATATCCACCGGCGGCGTCGCCCCCGCCTCGAGAATCGCGGTAAACTGCTCCTGCGCATGATACAGCGCCTGCACCTTCGGCATATCGTACGTCTTGCCGCGTTGGCCGTACACGGACGCCAGGACCACGGCGGTGGCGTATCGACGGATATGGCGATAGCTGTCCTTGGCATCACGGAGCATTTCGAGCAGAAGCTGCGTCGATTCCGCTTCTTGGATCGGCAGCAGAGATTCGACCGCTGTAACGCTGAGCAGGCTTTGGATGGATTTTCGAAGTCTTCGCCATTCGGGGCCGTAGTCTGCGAGCAGGATTTGCGCGTTGTCGTGGGTGATGATGTCTTCGCCGATGTGGTTTTTCGGGCGGCCGTTGTAGAGGGCGCCGCGTTTGTCGAAGAGTCTGGAGAAGTGGGTGTTAGGACTGGGTGAGAAAGGGGAGAGGTGGTGGGAGATACTCTTGGACGTGTTTGGCTTTGTTGAGAATTACCACGTCTTGAGGGCCGAATTTGAGGCCGACCATGGAGCCGTATTGCTTGCTCCATTCGTGCCATCTGCAAAGAATTTGGTCAGCAGTGGGTTACTCGAGCATGCCTGGATTACTTACTGGAAATACGCTTTCTTCTGAGGAATCTGATGCAAGTTTCCTATGACCGGAAGACCTGCAGGGCCAGGTGGGAATTGGCTCCGTCGTCGACTTCTGATAGCGTATGAGAGGAGGATACTAGCGAACGAGCCTAATGTGGCCAGGAATACGACCGCGATGGTGATGAAAACCACATTGTTGGACAGGTTGAGTTGACCAAAAGCCATGTTTGCAATTCTTCCGTCTCTCCTTCAAGTCTTCGTCTCCTCTTCTCAAGAAACAAAAATCACCATTGGCATCACCTTGATTACTTATTGTTTCAAGTCATCGCATCTAATGCCATGAAGAGAGTCAGCTCTCATCTCGCCTGCATTACTACAACACCTGCTTCCTACAGGAAGTGTGCCCAAATGTGGAGAGTGTCTGCATCTGTCCGGAAAGGCAAACCCCAAACGCCAAACCCTAAAAGTGGGCCCTCAATGGAACGGCCAAGGATCCTGCGATATGCGGAGTATAAAACGGTGGTCGTGAACCCTCCAAATGGCGGGCAACGATCCTGCTGTATTGTGCACGAGGAAGCCCTGGCGGTGTTTGAGGTGGCTTGCGAGAAGGGATGTTTGGGCGAGATGGTGGCAGGTGGGACTGACTTGTGGGACAGGAGTACCATGTGTCTGTGCGAAGATTGGTTTTTTGAGCCTCGCAAATAATGCATCCAGGTTGAACACTGCGAAGATCGCAGAAAAACATGCGAGGAAGATAAAATTTGATAGAACGAGTATATAGCAGCAACAATCCTACTCGCCCTTCGCAAGCTTCTTGTTCTTCCTTACGGACGTCTTCCACGCCGGTACCCCCGATGCGAAATACTCATCGATTTGTTCCAATGTCAACTTGGCCGTCTCTGGCACGAAGATGAAGGTAAGGACGAAGCTGACGGCGTTCACAGCGAAGTAGAAGTAGCCCACGTTGGTACCCCAGTTGCCGTATTGAGGTTGCAGCATGTACGGTGTCCAGAATGTTGCGGCAAACCCGAAGATTTGGTAGACGGTTGCTGATGATGCCTGGCCGTATGTTCGGAGACGGACGGAGTGCATTTCTGCTGATGCGAGCCTGCATATGCTGTCAGAGCAATTCATTCGTGCTTGAATGAGGAATGTGTCTTACCAAACGGCTGAGCCAATACCAGCTCCGAACGTAAATGCCCACAGACACAAAAAGACAACTAGGACTGTGTGTGAGACTGATGAGTTCGATCCCAAGCCCGATGCCACAGCCGCGAAGATGAGCATGCATAGAGACATGACGCTGAAGCCGACGAGAAAGGAGCCGCGACATCCAAGATACTCCAAACACCAGGGCGTCAAAAGCGTACCAGCAAGGATGCAGCAACCTAGGATGAGGTTGACTACGAAGACATTTGAAATACCTACATCCTGTAGAAAGACGGTCGCGTAAGAGAGGGCGAATTGAATCCCGCAGATGGCCAGGGCAGTGAGAATGAAGCCAGAGATGACTGTTCGTCTGAAGTTGGTGCCCGAGTAAATCTGCAGCCATGAAACGGAGCGTTTGGTTTCCAAGTCGTGTTGGAGGTTCAGTTGAGTCTGCGCCATTTGGAGATCCACCTCTTCTGATTGCACGTCTGCACGATAGAAGCGTGCGAAGGCTTTGCTGGCCTGCTCGGGGTTGGATTTGGTTGCGAGGAGCCATCTACAGCCTCGTTAGCACACGACGAGTCCCAGTTGGAATCATTCTTACCTTGGGGACTCAGGAAAGAACCAGACTAAAGCTGCGAGAAGGACAGCAATGGGGATCTGGCAGATGACGGGCGTCTTCCATTGTAGAGCATTGCTTGGAGACAGCTTCGACGAGCCGACGCAGACTGCGGCAACGACAACGTTGCCCATCGCGAGAGCGACATCTACCAAGCGTTAGCGACAGGAGTGTCTGCATCATGTCCAGCTCTTTCCCTTAGACTCACTGTACACGCTCAGAAGAGCACCACGCTGGCTTGCTGGTATGCACTCCGTCCCGTACACGATTCCAACTCCAAGCAGTAGGCCGAGACCGACTCCAGATATGCATTTGCCAACAAGGAATCTATTTGCGTAACGTCAGCCTTGCAGGAGGGTTTGCTTTCATCTCAACATACTTAGCATAGCTATCAATCCCAATCATAACAGCCGCGCCAACAATCACTACGAGACACCCGATGTTGATAGCCACGCGTCGACCAACATACGCTCCCAGAATACCAGCCAAAGCTCCACCGATTGCCTGGAAGAGATATGGAATAGCAAGCAAAGACTGCTCAGTCGCTGTGAGCACGCAGCTCCTGCCGGCTGGTGTGTCTTTGCATTCGCTGCCGAACGCGTTGTTGAAAGATGGCATCGCCAGAACGACACCAGAGAAGCCGCCATCGAAATTGACCATCCATGGTACGAAGCCCACGACTCCGGCAAAGGCGATGAGGTACGGCGTGAAAGGGCGTTTCTGGTTCAGCAGTGTGTCGTCCACGATGGGCTTGTCTTTCTTCATGTCCAAATGCAGTTCGTCTTGAGACTGCAGTTGCTCGAGGTGGATCGGTCGCTCCTTCGTGTCTGCTTGTTGATCCGTCGTGTCCATGATGATGATGGGAGGTTGTCGTTCCTCGAAGATGAAGTTGGCCTTGTTTTACTTTACTAGTATGCGATGAAAGTTGGAACGATGAGAGACGGGAGTGGGGACGAGGTGAAGTTTATTGGGACGATGGTGCGATGGATAGGGCATAGCCTAGACCTCAAGAAAACGGCCGAGTTTGTTGTGGGAAGCATCGCACCTGTGTCATGTGTGCACAACCTCGCTCTCCCGACGTCCGGACTGCATCTAGAGCCAGGCATCCAGACAACACGAGCAGGATAGGAGGCAAGACGTGATGAAGGATTGAGTCACAGCAGCCCCAGGTTTAGGCGATGGTAGCGACAGAGTGCATCCTGGAGGCTCACAGACGCAGAGGATCCGGCTGGCTTCAGCCGAGATGGAGGCCAAAGCTGCAGGTGCATTTCACGAACAAAGGTAACGCCACAAAAGCGCTCCTTCTTTCTTTTCTGCAGACGAGAAGGAGTCCGGCTTTCCAATTCACTCCGGTGGTCCAAACCAGAAAATCATGCCGCCGACGGAGCGTGTTCTGGCCGAATGTGAGATTCGATCGTTGATTATCAAGGAACGGTATTATCGAGATAGCAATCAATGGCAGAAGCTCAGAGGTTGTTATCATCCGGATGCGAGTCGGACGTGGTTGAATATCTCATGGTAATAACCCATTGCTGTCGCAGATTTCGATCAAGCTAACAATCTTGAACAGGTTCACCGGCGACATCGACGCCTTCGTCAAAGGGTCGATAGGTATGGCCGACGGCGGAACGACTTCATCACATAACATTCAGCCTGCCGAAGTCCAGATCAACAACGACAAAGCGTTTGTGGTATCAACAGGCAACATCAACATCCGGGTTGAATTTGACGGCGTCGAGTACGAACTCATTTCAGCAATGCGTCTTTTGTCGCGGCTGGAACGGGTTTCTGCACCTGGTGGATGCGGAGAATGGTTCATTGTTCGGGTGGAGATTATCTACGATCGCGACTACATCATTCCGACAAGTCCACTTACTGGAAAAGAACCCACGTTACAGTTACCGAAGGACGCGAGACCGAGCTATAAGTTTCTGGACTATGTACTCAGTCGGCAGGGGTTTAGTATTAACAAGAATCTTGCGGGCACCGATAAAGCAGGTCGCGAGGCTGCGGCGAAGTTGATGGAGGAATCCGAGCAATGGTTAGCGGCGACGTGAGATCAAGGTACTTTTGGACATTTTCTATCCTTTAGTTCATGCATTTGAGCGTGGGAGATCGATACACATATATCTACGCTTTCAATGTGCATTGTTTTTGGCCTTGCCAGTTTCCAGATCGTTGAACACAGTCTTCAACGACTGCGCGAAGTCTTTGGGATAGTACCAGAAGCCAGTGTGCGGCCCAGGAAACACGTAGTACGGACATTGAATGATATCCTTATGCTCCTTGACCGTTCGAGCATACCAAGCGTCTTTGCTGTCCTTGCCAACGGCGACTGCAATGGATACGTTGTTGGTTCGGATTCGTCGGAGATCCGGACTAGATTTTTGAATGTCAGAAGCGATGTCACAAGCCAGAAAGTGCTCCGTCACGTACCACCAAGTATTGAAGACGATGTATTCCCATTGCCAGAAATTCGACTTGTCTTCAGACGACGGATCCTCGCCAGGAGCCAGATCTTCGTAGCCCGTCAACATGCCTGCAAAGCTATTCCAAGCTGCAGCGCTGCCTTTTTCTTTATACAGCGCCAATGTTCCATACGTCCATTCCGTCAAGTCGACTGCATCTGGCAAAAGAGATATCGTCGGAGCCTCGTGTGAAATGATATGGCTCAAGTATTGAGGATAATTGACAGCGAGCGTCAAGCCAATGATGCCCCCTGCAAAAACTTGATCAGCAAGGCTGCAAGAACCTTGAACACGATTTCTACTCACCACCGCTGTTCCCATAATAGTGCATCTTCTCACATCCGAGAGCTTTCATCACAGCGATCACATCGCGGGCTTGTTGTGCAGGGTTGAGGAATGTGTATTTGCCTTGTTCGACTGTGCTCCCTCCGTTCTGTCGGCGGTCCAGTGTACAAACATGGTACGAGTCGGCCAAGTATTCGAAAAGACGATTGTACTGCCTTCCAATGCCACCTCCTCCAGGCACGAGCATCAAAAGGGGACCAGATCCTTGATGCCAAAATTTGAGATCGCACCCTTCATTGTGTGTCGTTCCGTATGTCGGTTCAAAAGGCATATTGAGACGATGTGAGCAAAAGCATCAGGACAACTCAAACGACCATCTTCGATTCTCACCAGAGCAATGGTCATCTTTGGGTCATGACCCAATCCGGCTGTAATACGTTTTCGACGTACTGAATTACGACTGCCGATCCGAAGGATGGCTGGCCGACAGGTTCAGGGTTCCGCTGGGTTCTCAAAAAGAGGAGGCGCCGGTCCGGCTAGCCAAACTCGAAATCTGGTCTGATGATGCGCGATGAGTGGAGTTAGCCCGGGGCCGTGGTCTTGGACGGCGTTCCTCGCAGACCTTGCCCATCTGCTCGCCGCATCCTTCAACCCAGACACGGCAGGCTATCATTTGCTGCAGCGGCAACCCAGCAGAGACTGCGACACTCGGCCCGATGAGTGAAGCAAGCACAGAGGATCTTGATGCCCTTCGTCAGGATGGCCATGTGGTAATGGACACGAAGGATGCGCGTTGCCGAGGTGACACTCCGACGGCTCTGCATCTCGAGCAGCTCACGCTGGGCCTGTATGACGCCTATGACCGTCGCGACTTCGATAAACCGCTGCGGAACTTCATATGTCCTACGGTGCGTAGATGACATCCGATTGTTCTGCGGAAAGCACTGACATATGGGTCATCTTGTCAGTTCCGAAATGCGCCGCGCTCTCCAACCTCCACTGCGCCGGATCAGCGTATGCAGAAGCATCGAAATGCGACCTTCTCGTCCACTGGATATGATGCATTTGTGGAGCTGATGAACCTGGAGTACTTCCAGACCGATTTCCGCATGAAAGGTGAACCTCTTGTGGCAGCCTTGCGTACTTGATCGTGTTGCTGACAGGCTTATGTCCTAGTCACCGAAGTCTCTGCAGATGTCGACGAGGACGCAGGAGTTGCCCGCGTATGGAAGGTCGGCCGTGTCATAGGTCTTCCGGAAGGGCAGGAGCGCGAGTCTGTCACCTGCCTTGAATGGAAGCGACAGGCCAACGGTGACTGGCTGTGCGTAATGCACTTCGGTCTCAGCGGAGTTCCCATGGGCGAGCCTCCTTTAGGCTCATAGGTATAGAAGAGTAAGTCTACGACAGGCAGACTGCACATCAATTCGCAGATATGCTGACAACAGGACCTAGCTCATGCGGCTTATTCAACCCCGAGAGAATCTTGCTCTATGCCTTGGAGAAATGTCACGGCATGGGGAGCCCCATATGCCACCGTTCTAAAAATGGGCGGTTCTCACTTGCATCTGTACATGGCGTACACTGAAGCCACTGCCATCATCAATAGCGGCCACAACTTCGAGGCTCGCTGCTCGTCCAGGCCCTGGTCAGCAGGCAAGAGAGCACGCCCAAAGACCAAGGCTGTGTATTGCGAAGAGGCCAGAAGTCTTCCACGATCAACGAGGATGACTTTCTTGTCGATTCCCAACGGATCCACAGAGCAGCAAGTTGCTCACAGCCTCGATGCAATGTACCACATGCCCTGGCTGCAATGACACGGGATTGGAAATTAGCAGTCCTTCCGGCCCCCATGGCAGGCAATGTGGCCCAAGATCTGGTCATTGGACAGGCTAGAGCAAACGCCTATTCGAGATTGTGATACCACAAGAGAAGCAGACGCATCTTGTGAGGAAGGCTCCGAGTTGGCACTCCTCAACGAGAACGTGCAAGGGGTACTGCAGGTATCATGGGAGCGGGTTGCAGGGCGATGATGAGGGCGTGGGAGATGGAAGAACAGCATGTCGGCCAGGGAGACCGATCGTGGGACTGGATGTGTCCTTCGAGACGGAACGTATTGAAGCTGCGGAGGCATCGTGGCCATCCACGACACGAATCCATTGATCATTCTACTACCAATTGATACACCGGAACGATATGCTCATGCATCAGCAAGCAATAGCCAAGAAAATACAACCCACGACACCCAATAGCGCCCACGCATAAAGCTGAACATACCATCTGCCCATTCCGTCCACAATCACGACACCTCTCGAACAAGTATTCTACGACCTAATGTAGCCAATGCCCACGAGCTACAATCCCCGCCTTAAATCCGTCATAGTGGAGTAGCTTGCATGAACTGCAACGACATCGCTTCATGACGATGAAAGCAGAGAGCTTCTGTAAACATCACCTCGACAACTCCCGTCCCGTCAGACATTTATGCCCTCACGCCTCAGAGAAACCGCCTCTCGCAGAAAGATCGCCATCACAAGCAAGAAAGGATAAAGACACCCACTCACCAACCATGTCAACCACCCCCAGAGTCATCGTCTTCGGCCCAACAGGCAACACTGCCAGCGTCGCCTCCACCACCGCACACTCCCTCGGCGCCCAAGTCTACCTCGCCATGCGCGACCCCTCCAAACCCATCCAAGGCCTCAACGACTCCGACGAAAAATCCGGAAACTACACCCGCCTCCAAGCAGACCTAACCCAACCGGCCACCGTCCTCGCCGCCGTGCAACAAAGCCACGCAACGCGGGCCTTCATCTACGCCGCGCGCGGCAGCACCGATCACATGAAAGGCACGATCCAAGCCCTCAAGGACGGCGGAGTCGAATACGTCGTCTTCCTCTCCTCCTTCACCGTCACCGACCCGGCCTCCTCCGTCCCCCCGGCGGAACTGATAGGCCACCAGCACGCGCAAATCGAAGTCTCCCTCGAGGACGTCTACGGCAAAGAAAACTTCTGCGCCATCCGCCCCGGCGGCTTCGCGACAAACTCTTTACAGTGGAAATCCGGAATCCTCGCAGGTAAGCTCGAAATCCTCGGTCAGGACTTCAAGATGGACTGTATTACGCCGGGGGACATGGGGCGTGTGAGCGGGAATGTTCTCGTCAAGGGTTCGAATGAACATGCGGTGTATCTGTACGGGCCGGAGAATCTACCTTGCAAGGAGATTGCAGTGAGGATTGCGAGGGTGTTGGGGAAGGGGGAGTTGGAGGTCGGGCCGCAGAGCGAGGAGGACGCGGCGGAGGAGATGACCAAGGCTGGGTACCCGCCTCCGGTGGTGCAGTATATGGTCAAGGCGAGGACGAGGGAGGATCTGGTGAGGCCGCTTCTTGAACAAGGGGTGGAGAATGTGGAGAAGTTCACTGGGCGGAAGGCGATGGGGTTGGAGGAGTGGGTGGAGGGGAATCGGGGGCTTTTTGTGTAGTTTGATCTTGATATTTCATCGTTGCTTCGTGTGATAAAGGTATCTACGCGGAAAGGGACGTGATTAGAGGTTAAAACCATTAGATCCTCATCTCCTCCGCGATGACTTTATATTCCTTCCGCTTCTTCGCGGTCCGCCTCATCTTTTGCACCAGCTTGCCGAGGATCCTCGCCATCCGTGGGAAGATTTGGCGTTCCGCCAGATACGACACGAAGAATGCGCCAATGGCGAGAACCAAGATGAAGATGCGGAAGTCGGCCGACATCCAGGTGAGCTCCATAAAGTCTTCAAGCCAGGGTGCCGGGTCGAAGAGCATGTAGCTCGAGATGGCGAGCGCAACGAACATCGTAACGACGAACGGCAGGTTGTGAGCCATTGACTGCCGGAAAGGTTTTCCAACGGAGAGGACGATGGCTGAGAGGATGTATTGGAAGCACGACACAAGGAAGAGCGCCGTGTTCTCGGAGTTCTTCGAGTTGGAGTGGTTCTTGTCGATGACGGGCGGTTGGTACCAGGGCTGCCTTCGGACAAACCACCACGCGATGAATTGTGTGAGTATGCAGAGGACGATTTGTCCCAGCAGTGGCGTCAACACCTTGCGTGAGACAAGACTAGCCGTTGGGCGTTTCCGCGACAGCGACTGGTACGGCCCTGACCAGCCCATGAAGATAGCGATAGGCAGGATGAGAAGCAGGTCGATGTAGAGGAACTGGAAGTCGCCCAAGTTCGAAGCCTTGGCGTACAGGAAGCTGACCGAGGTGAACTGGATCGCCGAGTACAAGCTCATGTACTTGAAGCAGCTGAAGCTGGTGACGAGAGCAGCACGGCCTTCTCGAATGACTTCTGGCACACAAGAGATGTCGAAGACTCGGCTAGTGAAAGGTGCTGCGACAGATGCTTCTGCTTCGGATAGCGAGATACCAACGTCCGCAGCTTTCAGGGCACCACAGTCATTCGCACCGTCGCCGCAGAAGCCTGCACAGTAGTCGATGCTTTGCAGTTTCTCGACCAGTTCATGCTTCTCGTCAGGTGACATACGAGCAAAGACTTGGCCAACGACGAGCATCTCTCGCAGGATTTTCGGAGATGCGAAGTCCACAATCCAGCGGAAGACATCGCCAGTGACGGCGACTGAGTAATTGCGCAGATTCGACACATCATATGGCAAGGACGAGTCGTGCTCAGCAGGGGGTGGAAGTGGCTTCAGCGTGTTCTCGTCGAGCTGATACACAGGATTGTCGACACTTTCCCACGCCAAAGTCGAGAGTGCCGTGTGCGCATTACCCTCGACGAAATGTGGCACGAAGCAGTGAGCAGTCTTGTCGATGACACCGCACTCTCTGGCCACACTGATGGCCGTGAGAATGTTGTCGCCGGTGCACATCACAGTCCTGATGTTGGCCTCTTCGAGCTCGTTGATGATGTCGGCAGATGTGTCCTTGAGCTTGTTCTCGAAGACAATGAAGCCTGCGAACTCGAGATTCGATTCTGCTTCCTCGCGCTTCATCTTCTGCACCTTGAGCCAGTTTAGCTTGAAGATGTGCTTGGTCGCGCATGCAATGACACGGAAACCACGGTGAGTGTAGTAGGCTAGCAGATCGTCGTAGTCAACGGGGAAACTCTCAGGACGGCAGATATCTTTCATGGCCTCTGGCGCGCCTTTGACGAAAACGTCGCCGCTCTTATCACCGAACTGCCGCACGATGACACTGGCACGGCGAAGTTGCGACACGAACTCGAACGACTTCAGGACACCCAACTCGATAGCTCGACGACTATTGGGCGAGTCTTGTTCTTCGTCCAGGTCAAACTCCATACCTGGTGGAGGTCGGGCAACAGAGGGAGTCAATGAGTTGTCGTCCTCTTCTTCGCCAGTGCCAGTGATCTCTGAGCCTTCCTCGTATTGCCATCCAGTGAACTCAAACATCTTGAGATCAAGAGGATCACCGATAAACTCGTCATCAACCACACGGAGTGAGTGGCAAGTAGCCATGGTGTATAGGATGGCCTTATTGGCGTTGTAGTCGATGGTAGGATCTCGTTCATACGCAGCACCTGGAAGCAGGCTCGAGGCATCAGTTACAATTTCGCTGAATCTGTTGGCGGGACGCGAGACAACTCGCACACCAAGCACGTCTAGACCATCTTCCGTCAGTGTGCCTGTCTTGTCAAAGCACATCACGTCCAGCTTGCCTCCAACATTGACACGCTGAGGGCTGATGCAGAAGATCTGCTTTCCTTTCAGGCGTTGCAAGGCGAAGTTGGTGCCGATTGTGAGGGTTGCTGGCAATGCTGGGGGTACGACGATCGTGATGAGATCGAGAGCCCGGACGATGATCAGATGTGGCGCCAGCCCGAGTCGAATGAAGTTGGCAAGCGATGCCAGGAAGCCAACGGCAGCAATGCACGCCATGACCGAGATGTACCTGAATGAGTCTCGATAGAACTTGAAACCAGATGGCTTAGGGAACAGCATCGAGCGCACAAGAGCTCCTTTGGTCGTATTGAAGCCGGTCCTAACAACGAGCGCCAAAGCAGCTGCTTCGTCGTTCTTGTCGTCTTGCGGTCGGCGAGCTCGTATGATCTTAGTACCGCTGAACAACATGTGTCTGGCGACGTCAGCGTGGATGGTCGAAGCGCTCAAGTTGAGCATCTCAAGAGTGTCATCGTTAGCTGGAGTCTTGGAAACGGGAACAGACTCGCCGGTGAGCATGCTCTCGTTAACAATGCAGTCGCCAGAAAGTAGGATGCTATCGCAAGGCAGCTGGTCAAGGTTGGGATCTGTCACTTCGTAGATATCGCCAGGTACAAGCTCGCTTGAATCCACGTAACGCCAGAATCCACCTCTCATTACTCGGATGTCGCACTCAAATCGAGCAATGTCTCGTAGCCGCTTCATAGTCTGGCGTGTCTCGATGAGCGTGGTCGTGATGCTGATGACGGAGATCACAAAGATGCAAGCTGCATAATAGTAGTACTCGTCCAGCGACCAAAGAATCATGCTGGCGATCTGGAAAACGTAGAATGGATGGAAGCACTCGTCGACGAGTAGCTGGCCAGTGGTCTTCTGCTGGATATCGATAGAATTCTTGCCGAAAATGCGTTGCCGCATCTCTTGCTCGTCGCCATCGATACCAGCTCTCGCAGCGATCACATCCGTCCATGCTGGATCTTTCCAGGTATTGCCGAGAACGAGTTTGTCCTTTAGTGGGTGGTAGCAGAAGCGAATGTAGCGGTAGTCCAGAATGCGAAGCTCGTCCATGATAGGATCATCGTACTCGTTATAGTCCTGAAGTTTGCCCTTCGTGACTCCAAAGACGGAAGAAAGCGACTGGCCAAACTCCTGCCTGTTGATATCTTTGACCTCCATCTCACCCCACTGGTTTTCGATGACCACCCAGTCGCAGTGCGACAGCGCAGTCTTCTTCCCGGCGATTTGAACGTACCATTTGGGCAGCCATCGAAATAGCAGATAGGCAAGACCTCCCGTGAGGACGCAAAGACAGGCATACAGTGCAAAGCCTACCATCGACGTCTTGAAGCCGGCAACCACAATATTCATGTCCTCGGTGACGATGTATATCTTTTGGCTCATTCGGCCACCACTTCGGAACCCACTAACATCCGAGTCGCCTGAATGATGCCGTCGAAGTAGGGGACTCTCAGCCGATCGCCGTGAGGAGCCTGATCTTCGCGAACTTCTAGAGTATCCAGAACTCTTTCGACTGCCTCGCCTGGGCCTAGATGCCAAAGAAGCATCTTCGCTGCTCCCTCGCTCCAGGTCAATATCGTCCACCTCGGGCTCAATGAAGGTGTTCTCCCCATTCAGGCTCTGGCTGTCTAGCTGATCCTGATCATCGTAGATAGCCTCTTCAGGCCACTCCTCCTCATCGAGCTCTTGATCCTCCTCCTCGTAGTAAGCGAAACTTGCGGTGGAGTCGGCTCGTGATCGCCTGTGAAAGAATGAACTAGATGCAGTGGGCACGCTCTCCGACATGGGCCCCGAGAAGATCTCATCCTGGGCCATTTCGACATCTTCGAGAAAGCTGGCCTCACTCATGTTGGATTGGCGGCGGTAGAAGGCGCTGCTGGAGCGCCTCTCGGGCACATCGTCGTCGTCCATCGGGCTGGGCGGCGAGTTGCTGCCGATCTGGGTGGTGGAGCCTGAGTCCATGGGGTCGTGAGACTGCGGTCTCCTGTGCTACGGGAGCGTCAGGACATGGTCGGGAGTAGGAGAGTCACGGCACGCGACTGTGATCGTCTTCAAGTTCTTAATGAAATCTACGTCAAAGTTCCTAGCGCGATAAGATCGTTGATGAGAGGCGTCCAAGCAAGTCGTGGTTCTTTACCTAACACATTGAACATGGAGATCAAGAGCAGAGGCAGGAATTGATAGGCTCAATGAACCTATGTCGATTCTTGGCTGTTTTCGCAGTGTTTGCCTTGCCTTGAGTGATCTGAGCATTCACATGAGTATGAGCATGTCGTCGATGTTGTCCGCGACTTGTTTGGTCGTGCCTCCTTGCCATTCAGCACAGGCCCACGGCTCGTCGGCGTTCCCTGGTCGCATCTGCCGACCTCAGCTCCTCTTCTCCAACCTCCACCGCCAGTACAGAGCCATTGAACATCGACGTCAGGCCGCCTCGATGCATAATTGTTGACACACCCGCAGCATCCTCGCGCCGTGCTGCCTCTTGTAGACCCTTCCCTCAGGTGAGACTAGGCTGCCTCGCGCTCCCTGTCAACTCTCGGCCGAAGCGCTCGGAGGGCTCGGATATAGAAAAACTTCCCTCCCAACAACGGCGACCTCGCCATCCCTCACGTCTGTGTATCCCTCCATTGGCACTATCTACGTAAGCTGGCCTGTCCATTACGCATCGGCGGTCCCTGAGAGTGGCGACCATCTTATCAGATCGTTCGACGCTGGCCCAGGCGTCAGGCTTCCGGAATCCACCCGAGCTGAGCATTTGATCCTCTGTCGCCCAGTCCCGTCTGCGGCCTCATACTACTCCCGCCGCTCGCAGTGTGTCGAACAGGATGCCTACCGATCCGTTTCTGCCAGAAGGTCGAAGGTTCCCGCGCGAGAGGTCTCCAGACGGTCAGAATGGCAACGACCGAAAGCGACGCCGGAAAGTGCTGTCTTGCTACGACTGCCGACGACGAAAGCTTCAATGCGACCGAGCTCTTCCTGCGTGCGGACGTTGTACTAAGGCTGGCCAAGCTGCAAATTGCCTATACCTCGAAGATGCCGCTGATGCCCCAATACGAGAAGGCGAAGGCCTGCCAACGCCGGTCTCAACTGTCGGTAAACAGCCTCCATTCTATGGACACTCCAGTCGACCGATAGGCATGTCTACACCCGCCGGTCCCACTGGCGACCTTTTGTCTCGAATCGAATATCAAGATGGCAGAATCAAACAGTTGGAGGCCCAATTGACACAAGCAGGCCAGCCCGTCAAAGCCGGAAGAATACCTCCAACACCCGAGTCAATGGTTGGAGGTGAAGGTATTGCGCCTGTCCAAGACCGCGAGACAACACTTTTGCGTGGCAAATCCTTCAAGACTCAATTCCATGGACAGACACATCCAGGCGCGCTGATCGCTCGTATCCCAGAACTGCATGGCTTTACCCGCGAGACCTTCGAGCAATTCCCTGCATTGTCCAGGATCAAGGAAGACATGGGCGCGCTGGAGGGTCGAACGAACTATGCCGGCTCGAAGCATGGCCCGACGACAGACGCAGATCTCAGGGCGTTACTGCCAACAAAAGCGGAGATGGACGAGCTGGTGGAGATATATCTGGATAGCTACGGCACGCTGTACCATGTCATACACCTACCGACGTTCTGGGAAGCGTACAACAAGATATGGCAAGATGTTGCTAATGCCGACGTACGTCAGGTTGCGCTTGTGCTTGTAATGGCAGCCGCTGCGCAGTGTTTGACCACCGCGCAACCATGGCTATACACCGCCAACAGCTCTACCGCGCGCGAGAAGGCGGTCGTCAACATCCAGGCCGTGGATGACTGGTTACTCACCCAGAGCCAGAAACATGTGGTGGCCTTGGACTTCCAGATCCGTGTTTTGCTACTCATTGCCAAGCAAGTCGCCGCACGAAAGTCGAAGAGGACCTGGACAGACTCGGGCCACCTACTGAGATTCTGCATGGCAGCAGGTCTACATCGGACGCCAGACCTTATTCGAAAGCCTACAGCTCTGCTGGATAAAGAGCTCCGCAAAAGAGTGTGGGCGGCAGTCACAGAACTCGAGCTACAAGCTGCATTCGACCGTGGCATGGTCTCATCACCCTGGGCATTACAAAGTGACTGCCCATCACCAAACCACCTTCACGATGACGATATCGACGAGACCACCCAACACCTCCCAGCTCTTCGCCGCCCCAACGACTTCAACAATGTCTCCTACCTCTCCCTCGCCGGCGAATCCATGATCCTCCGCCAAAACCTCAACAACTACCTCAACAACATCCGCCAACCCGTGCACTTCGAAGAATTCAAACGCTACACCGACGAAGTCGAAGCCCACCTCCAATCGATCCCCGAATGGATCGGCTCGAGCGCCCAAATCCCCACCGTCATGCTCTCCCTCAACCTCCGCCAATACCTCCTCGTCCTCCACGACCGCCAACTCCGCGTCGCCGAAACCAAAGCCGAAAAGGACTTCTCCCGCATGGTCCTCATCGAACAAGCCACCAAAATGCTCGAAGGCCACAAATCTCTCACCTCGAAAGGGATCTACGCCCTCGAACTCCTCTGCTGCGACCAGCTCCGCGCCGCCCTCTCCCTCTGCCACATCGCAGCCATGAACCCCCACGCCGACGACGCCCTCTCCCGCGCCATCGACGAAACCGCCTCGCGCCTCATCCCGGACGCCATCGACATGCTCACCGACAAAGTCATCCGCTTCGGCCGCGAACAGCGCCAATTATGGATCCTCCTCGCCGCCAACGGCTACGTCAAATCGAAAAAGGACCCCTCCAAACGCATCGTCTACATGCAGGAAGCCGTCGATAAAATCACCCGTCCGTACTACAAAATCATGGCGTGTCAGGAAGATAACCCTTCCTCGCAAATCCCCACGACGATGCCGCCTTCTCAACAACCCAAGCCGGGTGTGCATCACGGCATGTTGGAGTATTATCCCGAGGGGCCGGCGGCGACGGAGATGGGACCTACGGATCCGACGTTGTTGGATTTGGATGAGATTGCGGCGTGGACGTTTGAGGATTGGAATCTGAATCCGGGGGATTTTGTCGGCGCGCAGGTGGGCGCGTTTGAGGACGATGGAGGGGCGCAGTATCCTGCGACTTAGCAATGGTAATGATCGTGGGGATGAGGTTGCCTGTTTGTAGGGCTTTGAGATGGCGAGGGAAGAGGCGTTCGTGTAAGAAATAGTATGTGGAGTTTCGGAAGGAGGGTTGGACCAATAACGATATAACGACAGCGAAGGCGCAAAAGGAGAAACTGGGGAGTGATTGAGACACAACAACATGTTTGTGAATTCGGGGGTCAACGAGAGAGCACATGAGAGGAAGAGCACACCACTCATTCATCAACTTTGAACCAACTCAACCTCAAGCATCGGAACTTTCCCTCCCAACAACAACCACCATCTATCTATTCCCTCAGCCTATCTTTCCAACCCTCCCAATGCACACAGTATCTTCCCTTCCCTCATCCGTCTCGATTGACAAACACCACAGGCAGCCTAGCGAAAACACGGGTTCTCGATATGCCCGAATCCGAATCTCCACCCAGTCCCAGCCTTGTCAGACCTTGTCAAACTCCCGGGAGGCCCCTTGCTACATATCGTTTCCGCCGTGCCATCCATGCCCGTGTCATCGGCTGAGGCGAGAACAAGATGTTTCCCTTGTTGCGTGCCTTGGAAGTGGAGTTTTCGAGGGGGTCGGTGTCCGCGCGCTCCATCCCTCTTTTCCTCCCCGGCTCTCGTCTCAACCCAAGGACTGGATTTCAACCATCTAAACCAGCGCAAGGCAGCCTGGTAGCATAGAGATTTTCTTCCCGAATGAGTTGAGCTTCCTCGTCGTCATCGTCGTACATCCCAAGCACCCTCCTTGCTGAGAACAGCTCATCGAGTCCCGAAGTAGAGTTTCTCCCCACAAGTATTGAGCAGAGTAATAATTCTTCCCTCCATCCCCCTTACCCCCTCACCGTCTCGCACCAAAGAACCCAGTGAAATCAATCTCCTCCGCCTCACGGCTCTCGCTCTCACTCCCCCACGAGATGACCGAGTCGGATCGCTTGTTCATGCCGCTGCCTCCTCTCTTATTAGTGGCAACTCCCTCAGAGGAAGAAGTAGTATCGGCGTGATGGTCATACTGAACGGCAGGAGCAGCGTTGTCGTCGTCGTGCGAGAGCCGTTCGAGGAGTTGGTGGATGGTGAGGTGGTAGGTTGCCATTTTGAGGGTTGATAGGGTGAGTTGGGAGTGGTGAGTAGTGTGGTTTCTTGGTGGTGGATGGTGTCGACAGTGGAGGTAGTGTTGTTGTTGATTGTTGTTGTTGTGGTGGTGTGTTGTTGGTATTCTTGCTTGATGTTCTTTGCGAAATGTCTCTTGAGCATTTGCCAAATACAAGAGCAGGTCAAGCAAAGGTTATATGCCTGAGGAATAAAACAACAAAAAGGCTTGGGTGTATACGAAAATATCCAAACAGAAAAAGAAGGAAACGAAACGACCTATGTATATACCATCCCATCCATCCATCCCACACACCCAAACCAGGCACTCCGCTCCATGGAGCTCACAAGCACAGCCTAGCCATGACGCTTGATCTAATCAGATCGTACGAAGCAAAGTCCGACCAGGGGGACCGACCACACGCGCAGGCAAGCTCTGTTGATCCTGCATGCAAGAAAGCGTGGTGTCGGCGAGTATTTGCGCGCGTGCGTGCGGACTTTCCACGGCGTGCGGCGGTCGGCTTTACATCCAACCTCCACGTCCGTGTCCCGGTGAACTTCCATCAATCACCGCGCTGATAACTCCACCAGGCAGCTGGATTTCGCGCCTGTGGCGGGCCTCCTTCGCGTATTTACGCCTCTGTTGGTGAGCAAACAAACAGCGCACGCAGTGGCTTGCGACTGTGAGTCACGAAAACGCCTGCGGTTTTGGGAAGTGGTTCTTCTCGCATTCGTATGCAGGCATCGTCAGTCGTAGTTGGCGTTGCGCAAGTTATTCCTCCGCCTTGAGCCGCTATAGGTGGTGATAAAATGGAGAGCTCCATGGTACGTCTTGACGTGGGGGTGTCAAGATGTTTCACGCGTCGAGGTAGAGCTTTTTCTTGGTGTCCTGCAACTAGCTACTTCTAGTCGACCATCTTGCCATAAAAGGGTACGCCGATGGCTTGTAGCAGCATTCGTGCATCGTAGTCCGTCGTCGCAGACGTGTGCACCGTCACGTGCAGGCCTGGGATCATCTTGGGTGGATACCTATGGTGGAGTTTAGCAATATATTCGATGCAAGACATCCCACTGCGATGTGTTGCGGCATGACTTACATGTCGTAGTTGACCTCCACCTCGGGGAATAAGGCGACTTCTTCGGGCGTAAAACCGAAAGAGATGTGGCCTGAGGAATCTCCAGAACTGCCCTTGACGCCCTTGTAATCCTTGATCTTGGGCATGACCACGTCCACGACCTTGCTGAGGAAATGGTACATGTCCTCGCCGTAAAGCTCAGACGTGACACTCACGTGTTTTCCGGCTCGCAACCCAAAACCGGCCACGCTCTTTTTGACAGCATGAGTCGTCACGCGAACATTGCTGATATTCTGTACAATCATCCCGGCAACGTGTAGATACGCGCTATCATCCGCCGCGCCTTTCAACATCGTATGCACCGTGACTCTCTCCAACTTTGGGATGTTCCTGAAAGTAATCGGCTTCCTAAGCAAAGGCAGCACATCGTATCCTCGCGGCCCACGACGCGGTCTGTTCTTGAAGTATGGCGAGTCTCCCACCCATTCTCTCAATCGCTCCCCCTTTTGTGGTCTCTCGAAGCCAGGTGGGTAGTGCTGATAAGTGAGGGTCATCACATCGGGCGCAATGGTAGACTCGTAGGTCTGTTGAAGGCGCGGAAGCGAGAAAGGACCGGGGATGAATTCGCGAGACGCTGGATCGGAGGAAGGCAGCGGTTGATGGGGGTGAAGAGGGCCGCGGTAGTATCTAGGAGGCCGAAACTGGTATCTGTGGGAAGATTGTAAGGACATCTCCAGTTCAAGTCCCTTTCGAGCTATCATACCTGCTAGATGGTAACTGTTCCTTCCTCAGCTTCGCATTCTTAGCCGGATTGTATTGCGACATCATCTTGCCAGCTGCTTCCGATGGTGTTGCTTGATGGACAGACTCTTCCAGCTCGCCCAACTCCTTTTGCACATTGCCCGTCGCGTATTTCCTCAGACATTGGAGTTTCCATGCCTGTTTGAGAGGTGTTTGAGATGATTGCATACGCCTGATGACGGCGTTCGTGACTTCTTGTAGCGCCATCGTGGTGGGTGCGGTAATGTTCGTCAATAGATGCGGATTCGAAACGGCCTGTGGAAAAGTCCTCTATGCCTCAGGCATCACTCCCGAACTCCGCAATGCGGCTACAGGCGAGACCTAGTGAATTATTAAGACATTAAAGTCTTCGATCTACTTCACTTATTATACTGTCAATTATTTTATACTATAATATTATTATCTAAACTAATTCTTAAGAATAATTTGCTAGATTTTCTATATATTATTACGGTTCTAACGCGCTATAAACCGTATACGACTTAGTAACTAAGTAGCACGTAACTAAGCCGCCTCGACTACTTAGTCGGGCTTACGCTCTAATAGAGCGGACGGAGTAAATAGAGTAACTAAGTATACTAAGTATACTAAGTATATAGATTAGGACGGATCTTCTCTTATATATAGAGAACGATATTATACTTATTATAATAGCGTTTAACTTACTATTTAATCTTACTATTTAGTTTATAATTATACCTAAACCTCTACTTTACTAGATTATTAGTAGTCTATCGACTCTCTCTCTTTAACGAGCTCTAACTAAGGACTTAAGCTTAGTACCCGTACTAAGTAAGATTCTAGGATTAACGAACCGATCCTAATATATATATATATATCTCTCTATACTTTTATACAAGTACTTCTAGTTACACTTCTAAAGACATAGACTTAAATCGCTATTTCTGAAATTCTACTACTTTCGCCTACTTCTAACGTCGGCGTCTGTCTCGCATACCTCTTAGAAACAAACCAGAGCCCGCGCAATATCACAAGCCAATGCTCCCGCCCCCGACGATGCAGTACCCACAAAATTGCTCTACGCTGCACAGTGCAGTCATGAAGGGCGACCGAAGCGAGACACTGGCAGCTTTAGAGGACAATCCTCAACTTGAGGAGCGATCAAGATCGATGACCCCTCTTCAATCGGCTGCACATTCTGGCCATTTTGATCTTTTCCCCCTGCTACTTGCAGGTGGAGCAGAGGTCAACGCACCGCCTTCGGAGCTTGGGTGCGTTATCCAAGCGACGATATCGTCGCTATGGTTCGGTGGTATTCCTGACAAGATGGCATTCAGGGAGGAGGGAAAAGTTCGGCAGAAGAAAGACGCACAAATGGAAGCTGTGAGGTTTCTGCTGGAGCATGGAGCGAATCCTAATACATCTGGCGGCGAGTTCGGGAGTCCAATCGCAGCTGCAGCTGCCTTTGGTAGCCTAGACATCGTGAAGCTTCTCCTTGCGAATGGCGCGAGTCCAAATTCCCCTGGAGGAAGGTTTGGATCCGTATTGCAAGCTGCTTGTGCACAAGGCGGCATGCCTGTAGGCTGGAGCGTCAGCTGTGCTCTTCCAAACGACTACAAGGAAGTGCAGGAGATACTTCTGCAAAGCGAGGCCCAGGTCAATCATGTTGGCGGACTTTATGGTACTGCTCTGGAAGCAGCGTCTTTCCTCGGTGAAACGACCATAATCTCTAGATTGCTTGAGAAAGGAGCCGATCCAAACATACGAGCTGGCAAATACGGGTCAGCGCTCGGTGCCGCTGCCGACCAGGGACACTTGTCGGTGGTGAAAATACTGTTGGAGGCTGGCGCCTGTACGAAAAACGAGGAAACGGTGAAGCCTCACGATCACGATGATTGGTACAGATGGCAGCCAGAGCCCATTTCATCCTTACTTCTGAAGTATGGAGCACCCTTGCCAAGCGCGACTATTTCCATCGAGGAACAAGCCATACCAGATTTCGAGAGCCCAGCTACGCTGGCCGATCGACGCGGTCACTTTGACGTCTTGCGAACGTTGTCGAATAACGACATTTGACTGGCATACATGATTTAACTCTCTGATATCTCCGCGCCGCAGCTCAAGTACTTCAGTATCTTTCATTCTGGCTGTAATCGTTGAGATCGTACCATTTCGCTGGTCTCCCGATCGAAATCGTCTCCATCTTGCCAGGGTATGTCTGCTTTGGTTCGAGAAATTTTCGACTTGAGCAACACCACGAACAGCCCGTTTTCACTCGCCTTCGTAGAGAGTACCTTCTAGCCCTAGCTCATCGTGGAAGCTTCTGATCAATTCGCTCCGATAGCTGGTGTAAGGCTTGGTGAGGTCTGAACTGGTCTGCACCCAAGGAGAAAACTGCTCACATCACCCTATTCGTCACTATCATCGACAAGATGTCCTTCTTGCTATCGATTGCGTCCTCGCAACTCCAGTGCGAGGCTCGCATTGGCAACCATCTCCGTCTTTCCCTGCTCGCATGGTGCTCTCACTACAATGCCATCGCCTAGCCGTGTTCCGCCAGCGTCAAGGCGGAAGGCGCCTCTATGACCCGTGGTCATTCGCTGGTCATTACGTTTTGAGCTTCGGCCTTGGAGAACCTCCCCAATTGCCAATGCTGCCGCCGTGAGGCTGGTACGGAGCCTGTTCCGTCGGCTGTTGGTCTCAATTACTAAGCTTAGTCTTCTGAGACGCGGCTTTAATCTATATATTTCTCGTCACTATCTTCAGACTGACTACACCACCCACTCCCAATAGCGCCGCCAATAGTAAAAACACCAGCCCCGGCACGGCGCTCCCTGCACCCGCATCGAACACCGCTTCGAAAACCACCGAAAACGGAATCGTCATCAACTTCTGCAAGAGCCCAATGACGCCCAGCAGCCGCGCAGTCTTCCTCTGGTCGACATGCTTCGTTAGATCACTGTGCACGACCGGAGTCGCAATATTGCCGAAGGAGACAAGCGCGATGGATACGAGAAACAGGATTGGGGTAGGTGAGATGGCGATCCCGATATAGCCAATCGCTTTAGTGATGAGAGCGCCACGTATGAGAACCAGGTCGAGATTCATGCATTGGGAAGACTCGTCCGGTCGTAAAATTCGAACAAGTACCGGTAGAAGGATGGCGTCCGCGAGAAATGTTGCCGCATAGGATACCATCGTCAGTCGGTTCAGCTTGACGGCAACCCAGCCAAACTTAACAAAAGCATGGCGGATGATCGAGGCGCTTCCAAGACCAACGCCGAAGATGAGAGTATCGATGATAGCAAGTGAGACGATGTTTCTGCGTGCTCTGGGTGAGTCGCTGAAAGACTTGAGGCTAGACCACAAGCGTCGGGGCTCTTCAGTCGGCTGTGGTGTATCGTCTTGAGGGATGACCTCTGCGGCCAAAGACTCCGGCACCAGCAGCCACAGAAACGCCAGTGCCAAAACAGCCAGCCCGAACGTTGCAGAAAAACGTGCTACCATGCCATCAACCATCTCCTCAAGAAGTTCAGCTACGTAGGACCCTGCGGCCGACCCAGCTGCAAGACAGCCGTACAGATACGCAAAAGCCTTGGTTCTACCCGCAGCACTGGTGCAATCCCGGAGGTAGCTCTCAGCAACACTCGTAGTAACCAAAATATGTCCAGTACTCCCCTTCAACCCTGCTCCGAGCAGAAGGAGGTATGTCGGAAAGGTCTTTTGGAAGGTCGCCGCAAATAGTGGGATCATCTCGCTGGCAGTAATGCCGGCAATGGCGATCAGGAGAGGCCGTTTGCGGCTGTGGTGATCGGAGACTGCGCACAAGTACGGCACCGAGAAGATGAGGGGAAGGCTGCCGCAGAGGGCGATTGAAAGATTGAGGATGGCGAGCCGGGTGTAGACTTTTGGGGAGTTGCAGTCACTGTCGGAATGGTCGCGAAGGTCGCGACAGACAAGGTCGAGCATTAATGTCTGCTTTGAGGCCAGCGTACTGCTCAGAGCTGCCGACACCAGCGTGATGGGTATAAGAATCCATGGTACAGCTGGTTTTCGTAACCATTCCTTCTTGGTTTCCCTGTGGCCTTCAAGGTGGTTCCGTCTGCCCAAAAGTGGCTGCATTTGCCCTCCATCCGTCCTCGTAACATCTGCCATAAGTGAGGTTGAACAGAGGGGAAGATGTCTAGTAAAGACTCTCTTTGGCGCAAAAGTCGAGGTCAATCGTCCTAAAAGCCTTTGCTTCAGGTTTAGTGTGCAGCGTTTATTCCGAAGTGTTTGAACTATACCTGTATTGTCTGGGTAAGTAAAGTCTGGTGCAGCTTGTTCAGGCAACAGCTATTCTGAGCATATGTCATCACGCATTACATGTAGAAGGGTGGACAGGACGCCTGACGCTGCTTCTCGTGTCCGTGCGTGTCGTGCTCCCCTTGTTAGCGTCGTACAGTCCTCGATAGTATTAGTACATAGTACCGACCTCTATCTTCGCAGCGAAATTTCTACTTATTCGAAAGTTAGCATAATGCGCTCCATTTCATGCCTATGTACAGCCACAAATTATCGCATCAGTCAAAACGTGGTATCATGCCGCCTCAATGCCATGCCAACCACCATGTTCACCACCCATTGCTCTGCTCTGCCGTCGAGACAAAAGCTCCTACCCAAACGCCAACGCTATGTACTCATCATGTCACCCATCCACCATCGATCAATCCGCTGAAACGCTCATATCACATAACCACACACTCGCGATCGTCCTCGCCCTTGCGAGCTTTCTTTTTCGCCCGTTTTACCGCCTCCTTCTCCTTCTTGGTCAAAGGCGCATACTCTTCTTTAGAAGGTCGAGCGGTGTCAACGCTTTCTCTGTTCTCTCTAGTCGAAGGCTCAAGCGATGCCGGCAATGGATGGCTGAGAGACGGCTTTCGACTGGCAGGTCGAGATTCGGTGCGTGCGGACGACTCATTGTCCGCAGGAGGAATTTCTGTTACCGTGAGAGTAGCTCCAGATGGATCCGTAGATTGTACGGCGGGAGCTGATGGCGCCTGACTCTCGCCTCGGCTCATCTTCTGCGTCAACTTGCTCATATTCAAGCTGAACCGAGTAGAGCCGCTGTCTGGGCCAGTACTAGGAGGCCGACTCTTGCTGGTAGAGCCTTTGGACTGACGACTACCCCGACGGGATGAGTTGGAAAGCTTGTTGGCAACAGCAAGGAATCCGGTCGCTTTCTCGTCCGGCTTCTCTTCATTTGGCGTCGAAGGAATCGACACAGTCGCATCGGTACGCAAGCTCCCGCCACTCACGCTGCCAGCCACGCTCGAGTTATCGAAAGCGAGGCTTCGTCTTCGCTCGTCTCCTTGGAATGACGATCGCCCTCGCGGCCCATCTAGTGCTCTCGCAACGTCCAGACTGGTTCTTGCCGATGCCGACACATGTCTTGGTGCCCAATCTGCCGTCTCGGATCCGATTCCACCGTTCGTCGAGGGTGCCGTAGAGCTGGGCACCTGCTCCAATGCGTTCTCGCTGCCAGGCGGTTCGTTAAGGTACGGCTTCTCGGATGGATTGACATCACTTTGAGCCCTACTCGTTGCTTCCGCATACGATGGCAAATCGTGTATCGAATGCCCATCATCGCCGATGGGTTGGACTTGATAAAAGAGCAAGTACGGGGTCTCCTGCTTCAAGGCTTCGCGAATATCCACGTACGTGATACGGTCCTTGGCCAAGTCGTCAAAACGCATCCAAGGATCCTCGATCTCGTCGCTATCATCACTTCCGCGTCGACTGTCTGTCGCATTCAGTGCTGACCCGCGGGAAAGACAGACGTAATGACCAGAGTGCACCGACACTCCTCGGTGGCACACCACTGATTGCAACAATAGCCTGAAGTTCCCCACCAATGGACCCTCATCCTGCATGTGCTCATCGCTGACGAAGTTGGGTACCGCAATCTCCAACGGTATGTCGATGTACGTGTTCAGCCTCTGCGCCTGTCCTGTATTGGTGTAAGAATAGCGTTTCAAGCAGATGCCCAACACCGGCCTCTTCTTGGAGAAGTGCGCCGCAACCTGTGCATCCGACGTGGGCATGTGATCTGTGTACCATGGCAACAACTTGAAGAATTGCCACGCCGGCATGAGAACCTCCGTCCTTGTGCTGAGCTTACGCTCTTTGGTCGGGAGGTCTGACCCTGGAGGAGCATTTGGGCCATCCGGCTTCCATTTCTCAGGGTCCCTTCCTTCAATGAGCTCGACTTTTCTTTGGCTGAAGATGCTGTCTCCTCGCTTTCGGCCGCTCGTTGGTCTTATGCGCTCCAAAGGGTCCTTGCTTTGCGATGGAGTTGCGGGCGTGTCCGAAACAGGTGTTTGTACGATGGGCGTGTCGGGATCAGTCATCTCTGCCACTTCAACGTGGATGCCAGTTTCTTTCTCAATCTTAGTGGGATTCTCGAGCACATTCAGATTGGCTGACTTGAGCGTATTGCGCCGCTGGTTTTCCAGATGCCTCTTGACCTCTATTCGATTGTTGAAGTAGTGCTCGAGGCAGTCTTCCAGTGTGATGACATTGCTGCCGTCAGACGGCTGCTCGGCAATGGCGACTTCGAGCAAACGCTCGTTGACGAACTTGTGATCATCTTGGGGATCCTCCTTGCCCGTGTGGTAGAGATCCATCTTCAAAGTCAGTAGAGGAAGCTCCAATTTTCCGGTAATGAAGGTGAAGGCTTCGGATGGGTCCTGTTGCTGGAGCTTAACCGCATCGTCCCAACCACAAGCTGCGAGCGCCTCCTGCAAGTGTCGCGTGATGTCCACCGTAATCAACCTGCCACTCCGCAGCATGTTGACCCACAGTCTCAGCAACCCTGCAAGCTTCTTCCGGGGTACATCTTCGAAGCTGTCGTAAAGCATGGCCTCGAAGCTATCAAGCCTTGCGAACATGGCGAACAGCAGGGCATCGAGATAGCATGTTACAGACTCCCTATTGACGGCGCCGAGGAGCTTCGTGTTGGGACTGTATGACTTGACAATGCCTTCGTACGTCTCTTGCAAGAGCATCAACAGCCTGAACGCCGCCTCGCCGTCGCCTTGCGATGAAGTGAGACGCAGAGCATAGCGGGCGTTGGCTTCGACCATGGTATCGATTCCATACGCTCGCAATCGCTCCAATATGCCCTGGATCTTGCGCTCCTCATCTTTGTCTGGTTTGACATTGGGTCCATCTTCGATCGCGAAGACGCCGCCGAAGTGGTCGGGGCGGTGCTTGGGTACGGGAGGGCGTGAGTGGGAGTGTGAGGAGGAGGAGTGCTTGCTCTCCTTATCCTGTGCCTTGGGAGTTAGCCAATTGTAGCAACGCCTGATGGACGCAACGAGTGTGGACAGTAAGAAGCGAGGATAGGCTCTTCTCTCTTCGCAGGGTTCGCTGGGCTGTGCCATAGATCGACAAGGCTATCCCGCGGAGAGTCGAGGAGCGCTGGCGCTGGTGGGAGGACATTTCGAGCAGCGGTTGACGATCGGGGGCCGCATTGTACTTGGATTGCGGCAGTAGGGAATATGTCTGATTGCTCGCGTGCAAGCAACGATACGGCAAGCAGCGCAACATGCGGTGCGTGGCCAGCAATCAATGCGATCGATCAATCAATACGTGCAGCAGGCGGGAGAGACATACTTTGCCCGGGGACGAGTGTCGCGGGTTCTTCTTGTCTCGACGACTCAAGAACCGGTGAACGCCGCTCATGCTGTGTCCATGGACGGTCGCGGTTGCTGCTGCTCGAGGCTGCGGAGAGGAGGAGGAGCGAGGGAGGCAGAGGAGATGTATGTGTGGACAAGTGCCGTGTTGAGGCTAAGGTGTGCTCTATGAGGTGGGCGGCGCAGGTCGACGTGGGGTCTGGCTGGCCTGCTCGCTTCAGCCTTCGCAGTGGTGATTGCTTTGCTGGCCGCTGCAGCTCCAGGCGGAAGGATTGTCGCCGTCGTGTTTGGCCCCAAGAACAGCACCTGGCTGCGCCGTTCTGGCAGTCATAAGCAGCGCATGACTTTTCTCCGTACGAACAACGTCGCCTCCGCCAGGCATACACCGGAGGCAGCGGTAGACGGGCATCATCTCGGCGGAAGAAGGGTGAAAGCGAGGGCGGTGCGACGATGCTCGTTCGGCAGCGAATTCTGGGCGCCAATTGTTTTCATCGTTCGGCCTGTCGAAATCTCCAGGCGAGACCGAGACCACTATTTCTGCTGTAGCTACTTTAGGCGGCTCTGGCCCGCACTCTGCATTCATTCACTCACTCTCCCGTGCCTCCGCGTTGATGCCTGAGGCATTCTATCTGGGGTTGACGTCTTGTCTTGCAGAAGAAACATACACATTACGCGCTGTAACATGTATGTCTGAGAGTGCCAATAAAGTAACAGGCGAGTAGGTCTTTCTCATGCTGCTACTCGTAATCTCATCGGTGGACGCACTGCACTCGAAGCACATCGAAGGCTTTCTAACAAAGCAGATTGGTATTGGTATCGGAACGGGCGGTGCTATTCTCCAGTAACCGAAAGATGCTGGCTTGCGCACCCAGAATTCGTGAGTCCTATCCAACATGATATTTCTTATTGCCATCACCTCTTACCTCCTTGGTCAAAGCCAAGTTGTGCGGCGGGGTATATGAGTCGATAAAATGTCAGCTACACCTAACATGAGATCTCTTTCCTCAAATATTTCTATAACAGCAAACTCCAAAGATGCCACCTCAAAGGAGAGGTCAACAGGGTAAGGCCAGAACTCCTATCAGCTGGACCAAGGAGATGAAGACCGCCTTGTATCTGCTGAACTCCGAATTCGAATTTACTCTGCGTGAGAGGGAAGTGGTCTTCAAATCGCTGTTTGCCGATGACTTGCGGCATGGTGATCAGCGTCAGCATCTCAATCACCGGCATCCGTATCAAATCATCAAACATCCCGGTGCCGGCGACATAATTCGTATCACAGATCCTCAAGCTCAGCTCCTTCAACCTCCGCAATGGTAACTCGAAGTTCTCTCCACGACCCACGCCATCGACCGCCCCATCACCACGAAACAGCGTGTGCGGCCGCAGCTTCATCAGTTCCGCAAACAGCGGCGCCATGAGTCCCATATGCCAATCGAAAGATGCCGAGACGTCGAGCATCTCGATGTTCGGGCAGAGGAAGAGGAGGAAGCCGACCTGTGCGTCTGGGACGTCTCCCCTGGCGAACTTCTGGAATTCGTCGACGAGTCGAGCGCTGAGACCTAGACGAGCCACGCGGTGCTTCCAGTTGTTCTGGTAGCTCGCTGCGAATGGATCCAGCACCACTCGCTTGACAAGTCTGCACTTCCCAGGGCTCTCCGAAGGGTGCGCGGGAACTTCTTCATTTCTGCGAGTTTCTGTCCAGGATAAATGTTATACAACATCGGCGTTGTGATCTTGCATAACGCCTTGTTGGAGCGGGCGACGGCAGACAAAGTCTTGATCCTGGCGGCGTACTGGTCGTCATTGGTCGCGAGTTTGGCCATGTAGTCGGCGGAGTTCATATCTAGGGTCGTGCCGCATTCTTCGTCATTCTGCCGTTTGAGGTGCTCCCATCGTTCTCGGCCGATGATTGCTGGGGATGGAAGTTGGAGGTGGGCGAGGATTGAGGATAGGAGTTCTGGTGGGAGTTGGCGGCTGGGGTTGGCCATGACTGAAAATGTCAAGGGTCAGTTTGCGGCGGTGTTTATGGGAGAGAGTGCAAAGAACGAAAAATGAGTGTGGAAATGCGTTTGACCTGGTAAACGAGCACAGCTGCATGTGTGTATCCGCTCGCTGCTGCAGAGCCTTGTTCATGAGCAGGGATCGCAGCGGTTACGTGCATGTTCGAGCTGTCAGAATTGCGACAGAACGCTCTCGGTATTGTCACTCGATATCAGTCTGTGAGATGTTGAAGTGACCATTGAGGACTTTCAATGAGATGTCGACTAGGATACCCACCCTCGTCGGAAGACGAAGTTGGTCTGGGCTGACGAAATCCTTCAAGTGCTACGTGGTCTCATTTGTAAGACCCGTGAATCCAGAATGGAACATATTACCAACGGGAAACACCGCTTAAGAGGTCAATACGCAAGTTCGAAAGGTGATCACCGACGCCAGATTTCGTGACGCTGAGGTTCATTGACGCAAGACCAAGAGAAAGAATCAATCAACTCCGCTGCATAATGATACGCTTGGGAGAATCAGAAGCCTACAAGTTCGGGCCAAATGAAAACCAAATTGGCTTCAAGGCAACAAAGAAAGAGAATCGATTTTCGTACTATGAGTAGCTTACACACCTTACGAGCCAACGAACAGGCTGCGACTGTTCAAGCTGAACGACCTGGCCAATGGCCACAACGGCACAGTCGTTCAGAGGGCGACTTTATGTTGGTGCCTAGTGTTAGAGACGTTACTGGCGCTGTATCATGGCTGTCGCGGTGAGTGACATTGAGCGAGTTGCCGGACCGCTGGCCGGCACGGCTGTGCTTGAAGATGCCGGTGGGACAAGGCTGAACGACGAGACTGGGTATAAGAGAACTATAGAGCACCCAACGCAATCCACAGCAAGCAGAACACAAATAACTTCGACTTTCAAACCCAATCAAAATCAGTGTGCAACAATGGCCAAAATCGACCTTCGCAACCCCGGACGCCCGATCCACGCCGGCATCATCTTGATGGGCGGGTAAGTCTATCATCGTGCGGCAATGTTTCCAACAGTCTGACTTTTCGATTAGAGTCACCGAGATTCTCGACACGGCACCCATTGACCTCCTGCACGGTCTGACCAAGTCCTTCATGGAACAATTGCCTCTTCCAGACGAGTTGAAGAAGCAGGCCATTGATGTCGACTTCCACTGGGTGAACGAGAAAGGAACGCCAGCGTCAATGACGTCTGGAATCACTCTGCAGACTACAGTGAGCCGCCGTCTAGTGTCTGAAGGTAGAGTGTAGCTTGACTACTGACCTGATCGATAGGACTCCTTCGAAACTTGTCCACCCCTCGACATCGTCCTCATGGGGGCCCACTGGGGCCACACGCCCAACGAAACCGAGCTTGCATTCGTCCGCAAATCTTACCAAGACTGCTCCGCCTACCTCTCCATCTGTGGAGGTATGATGGTGCCCCTAATGGCCGGCACTCTCAAGGGCAAGACTTGCACCGGCCCACTGCCTGTACTGGCGCAAGTCAAGAACGACAACCCGGAGGTCAATTGGGTCGAGAAGAGGTATGTGATGGATAGCGATGGCAAGACGTGGACGAGCGGCGCTTTGTTGAATGGATTGGATTTGATGAAGGCTTTTGTGGAGCACACGTGGGGTGGGCCGGGCTCGTTAGCTGAGCAGGTGATTGGCATTGGGGGATGGCCTGTTAGGAGTGTTGAGTATCGCGGTGGGCAGTAGGGGCAGCGCTGTCGTCGAGCATGCATGAGTTGTGCCATGTCTCTTCCAAATAGATGACTTCCTTGAGTATGTACTCTTCGGTCATTACCATAGACTCTGTCTCGATCGTCTCTCGATACAAGGCTGAGCTCTGTACTGCACTTCCTCAATGCTCTGCAAAACGTCGCTTGTCGCAAGGTAGATTTCACTTTGAGGCCTGATAACTTCCACATCAGACCATCAATCAGTCACGAGATCTTGTAGCGAGTTGGAGCGTGATTGTGTGGCGTTGTTAAAGCAGGGAGCTCGACGCGAATGCGGACGCCACGACGATGTGCGACAAATGCGATGGAGCTGCACTTGGCCTGTCCCTTCCTAGCGCTTGTAGAGCCGACGCTTTCTCCAAGTATATCATGTGCAAATAGGACTTGGGTCAGCGTCCTGCAGAACCTATTCCTTCGTTCTGCAAGGCATGGCGTTGCCAATTGTGATAATCGGTGCGGGCATCACCGGATTGTCCACTGCAATTGCACTGAAGAGAAACTTGCCAGATCCAAAACCTACAATCACGATCGTCGAAATCCGCTCAGCTCCTTCAACAATCGGCGGTGCTGTCTACCTAACTCCCAAAGCTCTTCGATATCTTGATCACCTTGGCGTTCCGGAGACCCTCCGGGCAGAAGGAGCAGGCGCCGAGTGCAAGGCGATCGAGCTCTTTGACTTGTACACAGGAAAAAAGACGGCCGAGGTAGACTTCAGAGGGCGAAATGGAGATTGGATCGGCAAAGCAGGCTCGAAGAAGTACTTTGCTATGCGAGTAATGAGATGGCAGTTGCAGAAAGCGTTGCTGAAGGCGGTCGAGGATCAAGAAGGCTGTGAGGTTCTTTTCGGGAAGGAACTGGTCGAAATCCACGAATCCGTCAATATAGTATGGGAGTGTCGAGGCGTTTGTGTCGTCTTCATAGAATTGAGTCTTGTGGTCAGTGACACGGCGTAAAATATGTAGAGGTGTATTATGACCTCTTTTCAGGGGACATGCTCGGTCCATGCCAGCCCGGGTGCTGACCAGAATGATTGAAGTCCTTGCCCACAAGACTCAGGTCGGTAGAATGACATACCGATTGACGTGTGATCTCGCGGAGCTACTCACTCCGAGTCTTGCCACCACGCTCCGTAGCTCATCAGGCTTTGTCGAGAGCTTGCAGGGCTTGGCTTTCATGATTTAGTTTCCGCGGCCTTGGCGTGGCGACGCATACTATACTACTTCACGTACAGTGCCCTCTCACTACTTCCTTCTGCAATCCTTCGACTCAGGTTCTTCACTTGAAACGCTATTGGCTCCGACATCTTCCCCATCTGGGATACCACTATACCCACTTGACATACCAATGTGCTTGGCATATCAGGATACATGCCGCCTTGGCCCCTTTAGCCCAGCATGGAGTTGTAACGTTGATCCACACTGCTCAATGCAAGTACAGCATTGCCGCGCTCTTTACTCACGATGGGGCTACAGTACCTTCCCGTCAAGATGGACGCTGTCTAAACGAGCCATCACATCAGCATGTTGTCGGTTGAGAGTTTGCCTCAACAACTTGGCACGCAGCCTCGCGTGCTCTTGGCGGCCGAGAAACGAATGCTATGCCGATCGGTCGATGCACGCACGTGGAGGCATCGTGTCGTTGTACACGTTGATAGTTGCAAAGTTTCGGCATATTGGCGAACCCCGTCGAGATCGACGATATGAAAGCGCAGGATATAAGCTAGAGCGCAGGCACAGAACTCTCCAGGCATGCCAGACCTCAAGCAGACATATAAAGCCGTTGAAGCTCCCAGTGAGAATCTGTTCTGCTCATCAGTCCTCTCAAATTCCTGTATAATCACCTTCTCGATACTCTCCAAGCCCATCGCCAACATGAAGACAACCACTATGCTTCTGGCTGGAGCCTTGTCGCTGCTCTCTCAAGTTTCCGCCACTCCGGCAAGCAGTGGAAACTCCTCATGTCTGCGAGTCCGTCAAGACACCAACTTCGACACCGAGATCGAAATCGGCGACAACACAGTCACTGCCACCTGGGTCTACACCGAGGACTCTGGCACAAACAGGGACAATCACCCCGGTACTGAGGCTTTCACTGAGCTCTTCGACAACATCTACGACATGTGCGGCCCAACACAGTGCGGCTTGGATCTTTCGGAGCCCATGGAGTACTGCACCACGCCACTCAACTCGGACCTCGCCAGCCCGGGTGCACAACAGATTTGCCTCCAAGCAATGGGAAGCTTCGGCTCGGTCTCCAAGGACGAAATCTTCAACCTGGGTCGTGCGGCATTCGATGGCAGTGTCAACCGTGTATACTCAGACCTACCGGACGTTTTGATTCCGCAGGTTGAGGAGACAGGCGCGAGCTTCATCCATGTCGTGACTGGCCCAGGTAACGCTGGTGGATCTGGATACGACCTCAGCTTCAACTTGTTTTACATGTCTCAAAACGAGGGTTGCGGTCCGATTATTGATCGCATCACCGAAGCTGGTTCCGTTCTTGGCGGTCAATTCGCTCCAGCGTTTGGGGTCATCGGATTGGTCTGTGGTTATGTCTCATAAGGACTTGTAGCGGCGAGGGAAGAAAGATTTGCAGAGCCGAAGCTTGAAGGAGGATTGGTGGAGAGTTATGTGTCCTCGTACCTGATTTGAAAAGATCACGGTACCAATCAAGGCACGGAAGAACGTTCTGTTGTCTTACTTTTGTGTTTGGGAGTCGTTTTGAAGTTTCAGGATGCTCGTCCTTTCTGTCGTCAACAAAAGCCTTGCAGATCGACTATGCAAGTAGAAACAAACAAACATATAAGGAGTACACGATTGTCTCTCGGGACTTTCAATGCTGCCGCATCCAGTACACGCGTGTGAGTTGTTGATGAAGTGCGCGTCGAAGTCAGTCCCAGCCACCAAGATTGTTCTCTACGGCCGAGACCAACGCCACTTCCCATCAGTCATCGCTGACCTCCGCGCTAACAACATGAACCTCAACCTTTTATCGAACAGGATCTTTCATATCTTTGCTCGGCCGATCAAGTTCGTGAGTTCTCCATAAAAAAATAAAAAGACTCTCCGGTTTCGATGTTGCGGCCTTAAGAGCTTCACATGTTTCTCAATGTGAAGATGGCCCAATTCAAGATAAGCCTAGAGCTCGATATGTGGCTTGCAATAGCGCGGACGACCTCAGCCGCATTCCACAGTATAAAAACCAAGTGACACAGACACCTCCCATTGTGAAATAACAAGAGTAGACTCCTCGCACTGCATCGTACCAGACGACACCTTGCATATAAAGTTCGACCTTCTACAAAGCCAGATCGCAAACCCCTGAGCGAGATGGACTCCACAGAAGCAGCCAAACTTATCGCCATCCCGGCAGCACTCATCGTCTCCGGATACCAACTGGCTCTGTCCCAGAACTCCTTACCCATCGTTCTCAATGAAGCAGCCTCAGTGTCAACGCCAATCTTCAAGCAAGTCTACAACCGCGGCGCCGTCATAGCCGTCCCGGGAGCTCTCGTGGCTTCCACAGCCTTCGGATATTTGGCCTACACAACCCACAACAGCACTCACCGATGGCTCTTCACGACCGGTGCCATCTTGACCTTTGGAGTCCTTCCATTCACCAGGCTCGTCATGTACGGCGGAATTCAGAGGCTGATCGAGATAAGCGGCAGCTCGACCGTGCAGGAGAGGTCTGGGGCGGAGGTGACCAAATCACTGAAGGCTTGGACTGTTCAGAACTGGGTGCGCTGTGGAATGATGCTGACAGCTGGTTTTGCGGGGTTGGTGACTGCGTTTGTTTAAACCATGTCACGGTGACAAGGCTGTGGAAACCTTGGCTGAGTCTTGGCCTTTCCCTCCGTCGATGTCTTGGAATTGTATGGGAGTTGAGTACCGTCAGTACAGATAATTTTGACATCATTGGCCTATTCCTAGAGGGTTCTTGTAGGCTTTTTGTTGTTGCGAATTGGTGTGCTGTTCCGGCTTTTGCGGTTTCTGTGGCCCTTTGTGCCCCCGAATTCAGGCATGAGGTCAATCTCCAAAGCCCGTCCATGCAGGACTCATATATTCCAAACCACCTCTGTTTTGTAGAGCTGCATAGACACCAATTACTTGGTACTGCACCATCGATCTACATTCAAAATCTTTGCAATGCCTGCCCCATCGGATGTCCTACAGTTCATTCGCGGACAGCTGTTCCAAACACCTCAGCTCCCCAGCACGAGCTTCGTGGGCAAGACAGTCGTGATCACAGGTGCCAACACTGGCCTGGGTTTTAAATGCGCAAAGCATCTGCACGTGACAAAGCCGTAATCCAGGCTTTGATGCAGCTAACCCTTCGGCAGTGTTCAACTGAACGTCTCGAACTTGATCCTCGGCTGTCGTAGCATTCACAAAGGCGAGGCTGCCAAAGAGAAGCTTCTCGCGAAAAGCAAGAACACAAATGTCCAGGTATGGGAGGTGGATATGGCGAAGTACGATTCGGTGAAGTCGTTCGCCCAGAAAGTCAACCAGAAGCTTCCTCGCATGGATGCTGGTGAACGCCGGTATTTCGACAAACGAGTATCATGTCGCGCAAGGTTTGGAGGAAACCTTGACCATGAACGTCGTCTCCTCGTTCTTGCTGTGCTTTCTCTGTCTGCCAAAGCTACGACAAACCGCGGCAGAGAGAAGAGAAGCAAGTCACTTGATAATAGTCGGATCCGTGGTACACTGCTTCGCCGACCACGAACAGATCGTCCGACCTAAAGAAGGCAAGCTGTTCTCGACACTCAGTGACAAGAGCCATGCAGATATGGAAGCGAGGTACTTCATCAGCAAGCTGATAGTCTTGCTCTGCGTGCAGGAGATGTCAAAGCAGATCTCGAGGAGCCGAGGAAAGTCAGGGGAGGCTCCTGTCATCTTCAACTGCCCAAACCCTGGGTGGTGCAAGACCGAGCTTCTCAGACAGTACAACGGTGGCGCCTTTGCACGCAACCTCCTGAGACTCATTGGGAGATCGCCAGAAGTCGGCGCTCGTACCTTGACGTCGGCTCTCGCCGCGGACGAGAGCACTCACGGGCAATACCTGAGTGAATGCCAAGTGAAGCATGCTTCAGTTTGGGTAAGGAGCCAACGAGGGCAAAATACGCAGTTGAGGGAATGGAAAGAGCTGATTGATCGTTTGGACCGGATCTAGCCTGGTGTCAGCGAGGCATTGTTGCTGTAGATGAAAGACAGCAAACTTCTATGCGGAGTGTACGATACTGTGTCGATTATGCGTCAAAGAGTGCTGGGTTTTCGAAATCTTCGAGCAGAAGATCCCAATGTAGCCAGGAATTATCTGTAAAATTGACAATTGTTCCCAGCACAGGGTCGGATAAACCCTGATCATCATCAACCTGCATTGTACCATTCTGCATGCTAGCTTTTGTATGGGCTTCCAAAGCAGCCCTTTCTTGCTGTCCGCGACGTCTTTAGCGTAATCATCAAACGACAACTGCGCGACCGTCCATGTCCTGGCCGCCAAGGGTTCTTGGTAAGTGACGCACAGCTCAGCTAGCACTACAGCGAGGGCGTACCATTTGACCCACTGGAACCAGGCCCAAAGAGCATACTCGATTTGGGTGCGTTTCATCTGCGAGCGTTCCAGTACCTCCGTAGCGGTTTGAAGAATGTCAAAGTCCTCGTTCTGGAAATCGTCGGGAGGCATGCAGCCAGCACAGCGGCGGTGCAGCGGACGATGAATCAGGAGACGCATAGCCACTAGACTTTCTTTAGCAACAGCAATCGCATACTTCTGCAAGGAAGAGGGTTGCAAGCTGCAGACTGTCGAAAGCTGATGGACATGATTCTCAACTCGGCAAATGTCGCCAGTTGCTCATGACGAGCCGTGCCATGGTTTTTTTGACCATTTGCTCCCGCGAGCCCGATTTCTGTTAGACGCCTTTGGCAGAAACCAGCTTGGTAGATGATTATGCTCAGTGACATGTCAGTCCAGGGACCCTGCGTGGTGAGATCCGCCGGCAGGTTGGATTGCGATTCGAGATCGAGATCATTGATATTCATGGGCAACGATTCCAGGTGGTGAGAGCCATGGGGTGTGAACCACGATCGAATGCGCTTTGTAGGTCGAGAACACCGATGCATTGCCAAAGTCTTCGTTGAACATCTATCTCTACTGATAGGGCTCCTCCAGCAAGGTTCGACGGAATTCCTTGCGCATTGGCAAGTCGTGCGGCGAGTGCGGTCAGTGTCCATTGTTGCGCGTTGGCTTGACATGCTCGGACGCCAAGCTAATCAAATCAGCCTGGTTCAAAAGCCAGTAAGAGCAACAGAGAGGATCCGTGCGAAAGGAGACTCACGAAATACACAACAAAAGCTTGCAGCAACATGAAGGAGGTCGTTGTAATATGGCCTGCAGTCACGAGTGCGTCCTCACATTCGCGACGCAGCTTCTCAACAATACTTCGTCGCCCATTCAGTTCGTGGTCAAAAAGTGTACAGGCGCTTGTGAAGTAAATGGCAGATTCTAATGCATGTGATTCTTTCTTCGTGGCGTTGTCTTGACAATTTTGCTGATTGAGGATGATGAGGAGGGTAGAGGGCCAGTGCAATGGCTTGAAAAGGCAATCAACTCTGTCCTTGTACACGCTGAGCAAATGACCTTTCAGGGCCGGCGGAAGATCCAGCGTAGTTTCTGCTGAGCTCCCACTCGCAAAGAGAAGACGGTGAGCATCAAGGGCCCCGTCCGAGTCATCCGGAGTCGACTTCGCCTGATTCGGCGAGCTTTCATCCGTTTCTCTGTCATCTTCATCATATATATCAGGATATTCCAAGACTTCTTTCAGACCAGCGACTGCGCCTGAGAGGTCCGCCCAGAATCCGGGCGCAACGAAGGCGTCCACCGATGTGGTTCTCGCTGACACAGCCTCTGCGGTTTCTGGCAGTCTACTCTCGTTATCGTGCTAATCCGTGGCTTTGTTAACTCATCGTGTCTGAACAGAGACTGAGTCGTACCAGATCTCTCTCGTGTTGCTGCGGCTGCTGGAGCCCCTTCACAAGAGACTCGAGTCGTTCCACTCGATCACGCAGCGCTCGGCGAGTTGTTATATCGGCCCTTTGCTTGCCACTTCTGCCTCTTGGGAGCCTCTGTCGTTGAACTGCAGTACATTGAATCCCTGCCTTTTCACATGCAGAGCAAGGAGTCGTCTTGCTGCACTTCGTTTTGCGACGTTGGCACTGCTCGCAGCTGAGCTGTGCAAGAGGCACACTCATTGTGATGTTGGAGGCTGTGTTTCGAAGGACATGCCGGCGTCATGTTGATGGGAGACGCGCAGAACTCTTGCACGCGTCGATGACGGCGGCCAAAGTCGGCACGTGCTCGGAAATCATTTTGGGGAAGGTTTGTGTCGATTCGGACCCGAACTATTGCCTCAGGCACCCAGCCTTGCTAAATCGCGACTGCTCGTTTCAAGTGTTTACTCCTCGCTTTTCGTTTTGTTTAAGATACTATGAGTAGAAAGTATTATTTTCGGGCTTGCAATTCCGTGGAAATATGCAGACAGGCCTTCCAACCTGCCCCACAGCCACAAAATACAGCGCATGTCAATCCTTGCCGAGTGAATGATTTTCTGATCATGCAGACTCGTGAGACAAAATGGTCAACAGAGTCCGATATGATCTTGCCTACTCTCATCAAATCAAAAACGCTGACCGTCTTGCTCAGTATCACTTTAATGTTATCTGACGAGCTCCTGGTGTGGGACAGTCAACACCTTCCCCACCAGTTCCGGATTGCCCCGCTGTTCTCCTCACTTGCTTCAAGCTTAGCCGCGGAAGGACATCGATTCCCTTGGCATCCATAGTATCCCGCCGGCGATACTGACACAATGCCGCTGACGCGCCAGCTTTAATAATCGTATAATCCTTTACCGGGTCGGCAAACCGCTATAGTCCCGCAACGAGTCAAAGTGCGAGAGAGCTCGGAATCGCTTCTTTATCTTCTGGTAGCATAAATTATTTTTGACCACCCGGATCCTCAGTTTCACTGGTTCAGCAGAAGCAATAAGACGAAACAGAGACCTTCAAGATGGCAGAAGTGGCAGTGCCTCGAAAGCTGTGGGACCCGCCGAATCCCAATGGAACGTTGGCGTACAAGTTCATGCAACAAGTCAACAAGAAACGAGGGACAAATCTGCACGCGTGGGACGAGCTACAAGCGTGGTCAACTGATCAGAGGAGCCAATTCTGGGAGGAGCTTCTACAGCAATATCCGATCATTCACGATGGAAGCTATAGTCAAGTGGTTGACGAGAATGCACGAATGGACTCCAATCCAGCGTGGTTCAAGGGAGTCAACGTCAACTTCGCGGAAAATTCGCTGTTCTGGCCTGATGAGAGGGATCCGAGCAAAGCTACTACCTATCGCAAGGAAGATCATAGGATAGCTTGCACTGAGGCTCGAGAGGGCGGCACAGAGATTCGACAATGTACGTGGAAGGAACTGCGAGAGCGCACCGCACTCTTGTCAAATGCAATGAGAGCCAGAGGTGTGAAGAAGGGAGACCGTGTAGCTGTGGTCGCATCTAACTCGATTGACACGCTTGTCGTATTCTATGCCATCACGGCGCTCGGCGGCATCTTCAGCAGCTCTAGCACCGATATGGGGACGAAAGGCATTCTCGACAGACTACGACAGATCAAACCTCGATATGTGTTCATTGACGACTGGGCCCTGTACAATGGCAAGACTATCGACCTGAGATCCAAGATGAATGAGATTGTCGATGGAATGAAGGGAGTGCATGAGCTCAGCTGCATCGTGAGTATGCCACGAACGCAGTCGAAGCCATTGGATATCTCTTCTGTCAAGCGATGCGAGACGCTTGGTAATTTCCTCGAGGCCGCGAAAGGTGACAAGACGATTCGATTCGAGCGCATCCCATTCAGCGACCCATTCTTGATCGTGTACTCCAGCGGTACGACAGGGATGCCGAAGTGCATCGTCCACAATGTTGGCGGTGTCCTACTGAACAGCAGGAAAGAATCAAGTCTTCACAGAGATACAGCAGCGTACTCGCCAGACGAGCTATGTACGCTGCAATTCACAACAACGGGATGGATTATGTATCTCAACAGCTGCTTGTCTCTGGTTAGTAGCGCACGGGCGGTCTTATACGACGGGTCTCCTTTCCAGCCGGATCTCACGTCGTTCTTGAAGCTTGTGCAAGACCAGAAGGTCACGGACTTAGGAATCTCGCCTCGATGGATGCAGACATTGGCGACCGCAAAGCCACCAGTCCTACCCCGGGAAGTTGTCGATCTGAGCAGGCTGAGGCGAGTCATAAGCACTGGGATGGTCCTGTCCGAAGCACAGTTCGAATGGTTCTATGACCAAGCATTCCCAGCCCACGTCCAACTTGTAAGTTCTCTCGCCATCAAGCCACCACAAGACCACTAATCCCCCATCCAGGACAACATCTCCGGCGGCACCGACCTAGCAGCCTGCTTCACCTCCGCCAACATGATGCAACCCGTCTACAGCGGCGGCTGCGTCGGGCCCTGCCTGGGCATGAAACTCGAAGCCTACGACCAAACCATCGAAGGCGGCCGCGGAGTCAAAGGCAAGCCCCTCCCACCCGGCGAGCCCGGCGAAATGGTCTGCACGCGAGGCTTCCCGACGCAACCCGTAATGTTCTGGGATGACCCTGGCAATGAGAAGTATTTCAAGTCGTACTATGAGCGATTTGATAATGTCTGGACGCATGGAGATTTCATTTCTATCCATCCCGTCACGGGTGGGATTACGCTGCATGGTCGCGCGGATGGAGTGTTGAACCCGAGCGGTGTGAGGTTTGGGAGTGCGGAGATATATAATGTGATTGATTTGCATTTCGGCGAGGAGGTACAGGATAGCATCTGCGTAGGTCAGAGGAGGCCGCAGGATATGGATGAAAGTGTGATGTTGTTTTTGCTGATGAAGCCTGGGAAGAAGTTCGAGACTGGGTTGGTGAAGAGGATCAAAGATGCCATTGCAAGGGATTGTGGGAGGAGGTGTGTGCCGAAGTATGTTTTTGAGACGCCGGAGATTCCTGTAAGTTGTTGCTGCGGATGAAATGGAGGGCGCTATACTGACTGTATTATAGACCACGATTAACTTGAAGAAGGTCGAGCTGCCGGTCAAGCAGATAGTGTCAGGCAAGACGATCAAGCCCTCGGATACGCTAGCCAACAAGGAGTGTTTGAACTTCTACTACCAGTTTGCGGAAGTTGAGAAGGTTGTCGAGCCCAAGAGCAAGCTCTGAAATCTCTCTAACGAACGCCCTTCCCGCAGATCGAGGCTCAGACGGTGGCAAAAGACAGACGACAAGATAGATAGATCGAAGAGAAATAGAGTGAAGAACCGACAAAGCTATTCCCAAATATGTTGCTAAAGAGCCAGAATCTAAAAGTCTAGGTACAAAAGGAGTGTCCAGTGAAATCCTCCTCGTTCCACGTGTCGCATGCTATCGTCAACTCCCTGGCAACCAAACACCGAGGCAATGATCAGGTCGAAAAGTCCTGGAGAATCATCGAGAAGAGTCGTCCAGTCGAGGGTAAACTACTCCTTGCCGTAACCCTTTGGACCGCAGACCTGTAGCACGAGCATCAGCACCGAACATCATTGCCAACAGGTTAGTTCAAACTCACCTCAGTAGTCGTCGAAATCTTGGTAGTAATCGGCTTAGTCTCGAGCTTGGTAGTGAGGCTGGTGCTCAAACTGCCCTTGCCAGTCGTAGGCGTGCATTGCTTGACCTCCGTGACGGTAGGAATAGTAGTGACCTGGGTGTATGTCTTGGGCTTGCTGTCCGTGTAAACGGAGGTGATGGTCGTCTTGCCGGAGACCGAAGTGGTGAACTTGGTGGGCTTCTTGATGGTGGTCGACTTGGTTTCTCTGAGGGTCGTGGTGATGACGGTGGGCTTTTCGATCACAGTGGTGCTGGGCACGAGGGTGTATGTGTCAATGACGGATGGCACGAGGCCGTCTTTGACGATGGTGCTGGTTACCTGTTTGGGGGATTAGAGATCTGAAGGTCTAGGAGATGTTGTAAGATGTTGACCACTTACGACAGTGTCCTTCTTCTTCGTGACTGTAGTGGTCTTTGGGATGTTGGTCGAGACTTGCTTCTTGGTGCAAGTGCTTCCCGTCTTGCCAGGCACACTGATGACCGTCGACTTGATTACTGACTTGGTGGTGGAGCCGACAGAATTGGTCCAGATGGTGCTGACACTGCAGGTCGATTTGGAGGTGGTCGATGTTGTCTTCGTCGTGCCGTAGCCGCCTGGAGTCGTCTTTGTGGTGGAGGTCGTCTTTGTGCTGCCATAGCCTTCTGGGGTCGTATTTCCCGGCAGGGCGGTTGCAATGCCGCTGAGGGCAAGAGCAAAGGTAGCGAGCTGGATGGGAGAGTACATCTTGATGTGGATGAACGAAAGATAGTTTATGATCGATGAAGATCGGAACGAATGAGGATGCAAATGCTGGGTGCTTTGCTGAACAGGATGCTGATGCTGTGCTGATGAAAGATGGGAATGGGGAGGAGCGAGGCTACCTTTATACCTTTGATCATCACTCTCTGCTTCCTGCCCGTACCTGCAATAGCCTAACGAGACACCTACCGTGTTGACACACCCAGCACGACTGCAATCAAGTAGCGGTCCACGACATCGAGCGGACCTGCATCGATGGTACCGTCGTGATGCTGTTCCCGCCACCCTACTACTGGCTGCATAATACTGGAAGGCGAATATGCGGTGATCTATTGACGACGAGGGTGTCGTTGACCGGAAGGCAGATCTCGTGAGTTGCTCTTGGCGACAACAGACGGAGAAATCATGGTACCGGGTCATTTGCAGACGAGTTCTGGCTCGAAAGGGTATTTTCAAGATTGATGAGCTCGCAGAAGTCTGCGTCGGACGCGGCAAGTCAGCCACCAAGACAGAAGCCCTGGCTGGTTGAGAGGGATCGTTTGAGACCGCTATGCACGTTAACATAGCTCCACAGGCAACTATTTGTTGGCTGTCCTGCGGGCAGGCGATGGTGTGTATGACTGTTGAGACTTGCTTCCAAAGATAGAGCCATAATTCGCAACGTGGGTGGGTGGAAATGACACACCGACACGTGGGAGTCCAGCCTCTCCGGTACGCAACAGACCTGCAGCGGTGATGTGTCACTCGAACAGTTTCTGGCCCTCGCATGGACGAACCTGTATCCGATTTTAGTTCCTGGTAGGCGATCGACGGCCGAAAGTGCGGAGTGCAGGCGCTCCGATACCTTGGAATAAGTGTTTCACAACACGAGTTGACCAGGATTGAGCTTCGAGAATGGAATGCCAGTGCGCTCGTGTTTCTTTCCGACTGATGCAGTATGAGGTCTGCATGTAACCAGAGGCGTTTTTCGAGGCTGTCGTGGTTCTCTTATGTGGCGTTTTGCGAGACGCTGAAGCAGGAGCCCTTGCGCTTGTACTCGCCGAGAGGAGGTAGTCGAGCGAGCATAGTAATAACTCGCAGGGCCACCATAAGATGATCGTCTCGTATTGCGCTGTAGTAAGTCCATGGCCCCTATATTGCAATCGATAGCGTGATGCGAGCTGTATACATCTCCAAATCACGAGATGTGGAGAAGTGCAGGCGGGAATTTTTGACTGTGGCTTGATGGGGCACTTGCCAGAGGCTGTCAAAGAAGCCCGCACCGGTGCTTGTGTCCGCCAATGGCTGATGTGCTCATTTTATCGACGACCCTTTGGCATCATTCAAGAACAATCGTCTTGAATACAGTCTTGAGCCTTGGAAGAGCTTCTAGTTGTGAAGGTCTCACTCTTGCGGGACACAACAGCTTTGGATCACCAGATATTCGGCCTTGGGAAGCTACTGCAGCGGATTCTCGCAGTGCAGCGTCAGAGCGCCACATCTCCAGCGGTCTAGTGCATCTCAGCCGTAGTTCATTGAATCTTCACCGCGGACCTGCCGCAAGTCTCTGTTGTTAGTCCTGGGTCGTTTCCGGTTTGCAAAAATGTACCTGCAGATATGAAATCATGGGCCTGGCGAGCTGATTTGGTGGTGTACTGTCTGGTGGATAGATTCCTCAAGTTTCTGAATGCCATATGACTCCAGAATACATTGCAGATCAATGTTCCCGATGGTAGGCGCATTTTCGTTTTCGAATCACCTTGCTTGGGCTGCTGCACAAACAGCTCGATGACGATGAAGTCTTGTTGGGAGATACCGCGAAGCAAGTGCAGGTCCACGTACTGTCTTTTTAGTCGCCATCATTGGTGCGATGAACGCCGCGGTTCTGCTGCGTTTTGAGGTCTTCAAATTTGGAAGCCTGGGAATGGATGGGTACTGGGCCAGTTGTTCCAAGGTCTTAGGCCGGCGAACTTGAACCGCTAAACGAACATACGAGGAACACCTGTTCCAATACTGTCTCTTTTCCAATAGGCTGTCGTCAGGCAGTTGTCAGGCTCAGCTGAGCACCCGGAAAGCGGCGCGGAAGGTCTAGAGCGGCGGTCCAGTCTGTTGCACAGGATGAGGCGTTTCGCGCCTCTAACGAAGTTCTCTGTGCTCCTTGCTTTTCAAGATTGTGCGAAGCCAGTGGTGTCGACTATATCTCTTGCTAAAAGATGTCATTACCAGCAGAAAGGACGAGGTGAAGTGAAGAAACGCGGACTGATAAGGTTCGAACAAAAGAGGTCTGTGCACAAGATAGCATAAACCTTGCTATTCTTATGCAAGACTGCATATCTCGACAACCCTATCAAGAACCGCTGTGCGGCAACAGGGCGAAGACATTCAACGACCCACAACAACATCTGCTCTCCACTCAGGATGGCCCAAATACACCCCAGTCTTCACATCCGGATACTCAAAAAACACCTCCCAACGCTCCGCATCCTCGCACCACTCACAGACTTCCACGCCTTTCCACCTCAAAGCCAAAACTGCATGCGCCTGCCTCTCCTCCTTCAGCCCCTCATAACCAAGCCAAGCCGCCGTCGGGAATCGACCGGGATGTGAGGCCATGATGTCAAACGTCTGTCGCGTATCCTCAATTTGGCCTTGGATGATACGGACGACTTGTTCCGTCAACTTGTGGTGCTTCGTTTCAATGTGGGTGGAGTTGCCGATGTTGGGGTTCTCGTTCGGGTCGAAAGGGATCCAGACACGGCCTACTTTCTCGCCTGGATGGGCTTGCGAGAAGTTCCCTTGGACGAAGTGCGCTGGGCTTTTGTGGTGGTGTGAGAGGCGGCTAGACGGCTTGAAGTCAACGTGGTCAGCTCACTTGAAAGGGAAGTTGTTATGAAGATAGAACTCACTCGACTTGTCTCTGCACTTCTTCGTTCGCCTCCTTCCAATGCAGTTCTGGACTGTTCGGGTACGTGCTGAGCTTGGCGAGCTCCTTGAGATGTGGGTTTGGCGGCTCGCTCTTGAAGATACTGCTTTGGCGGTTAAGCTTCTTCTCCGAGTAGTGGCCAACGAGCTTCAGGAGGCGATTTGCGGAGTTCGCTACCTGCTCGGAGGAGTCCGTTGACGAGAAGCTCGTGTCTGTGTCGCCGGCCTTTTCAGTGCCATCGGATGGGCGTTCGCTGGAGGACTCGATGTCGATTTCCATGACTGCGGGCGGTAGCAGCGATGCGAGCGGATTTGTTGAGAGTTAGAAGTAGTGAGCAGTGGTGAGAATTGAGTTGGGTTGTTTGCACGCAGTGAATGCGATTGAGAGTGAAGTGGAAAGCCGCTTTCACCCGCGCGTGAATCTTCTCATGTCGCTGCCGTCAGACCAATCAAAGGCCGCGAGACGACTGCAGCCTAGAATCGAAAATTGATGTAGTCCTCGATGTTAGCGAAGACTGGCAAAGCCTCAAGCTCCATGCCCCTCAGCTAAGTCCGTATAGTGCTCTATCAAGCGAGACTTCCTACCCATGTCGCCTGGAGAGAGAGGATTGGAGAAGCGAGCAGATCTTGGCTACCATTCGTTTCAATTGAGTAGTTGTGTGACGAGCTCTGCGGCACCGTAGCTCTTCTTGCCAGACTTCACTCGTGGATTTGTCCTCTGTTCCTGCGGCCGCAACGCCGTCCCCATGCTGAAATATACACTCGAGCCGCTCTTATCTGCTCGTGCCCCCTTGAGCCAATCCACAATGTCCTTTCCGCGTGCCATATCTCGATGAAGCGCTCAATGGTCCCATGGATGTCTCCAGCCAAGAAGTACGGGGAGGTCGTATCGCGCTCTGTAGAACAACTGAGACAAAGTCAGCCCTGTGCTATCGCCAAACTACAGCCTCTTTCTTACGAAAAACCACATTGAAGCTCCAAGGCCGACCGCGGCGAATCTGTAGAGAGGTCGGACGGGGTGGACGTGGATAGGGTGGCCGCCGTGACCCCGGGCTGGACCGTGACCGCCTGCCATTGTCGCTGAGCCCGTTTGTTAGCAATGAACAGTACCAGGGAACTACTGAGCTCACTTGGTTTGTGCAGGAAGATCTCGAGGTGAAGTTGGGTGAATGGCAGCTGCAGTAACGAGCCAATGTGTGGACGTGAAGTCGGACTTGCGTCCTTGCCAAGCCGTGAGCTACGCCAGATCGGGCGGCTGGTTCAAGATCCCGGACCCACGCAGCGCATCTTCGCAGATCGACTTCTTGTGCCAAACAAACACCACCACCTCGCCGTTCTTCACCTGCTGGCCGGATTCTGTATGGACTGTACTAATTTGCTGCTGCTTCCTGTTCAGGCCACTTCCTCACATGCAGCGCCATTGTTGACGAGTCCTTCCTAACAAAACGACCGCCGGCCTCCAAATGCGCACCACGACCGCAGGACTGACATTCTGTCTGCAGGCCTCAGTCACTTGAGCGCATCACATCTATATCCGCCGGACCATTGGCCACATCTATACAGACGGTCTCGAGCGACCGTGGCGACGCTATGGCGGCACCGACCACTCCCCCAGCGGTCGCCGAAGGGATGACCGACCCAACACAAAGGCGCTTTCGAGGCAGCGCAAAGATATCGGAGTACGATATTATGAACGAGAAGCTTGGCGAGGGGACATTCGGAATTGTGACAAAAGCAAAGTCGAAACGGACGGGAGCTATGGTGGCCCTCAAGAAGATCTTGATGCACAACGAGAAGGATGGATTCCCGATCACGGCATTGCGAGAAGTCAAGCTTCTGAAGATGCTTAGCCACCCGAACATCTTGCATCTGGAGGAGATGGTTGTGGAGAGACAGCAAGGTTCGCAAACCAGTCTGCGGCGGCAGGCGCTTTGTAAGAGCTTCTACCAGGATACTGATGCTGTTGGTGCAGGTGATGAGAAGGGCAAGTCTGGCAAGAAGCGTGCCACATTATACATGGTCATGCCGTATATGGATCACGACCTGAGTGGCATGTTGACAAACCCCGAGATTCGCTTCACCGATGCGCAAGTCAAGTGCTATATGTTGCAGCTGTTGGAGGGCTTGCGCTATCTGCACGACGTAAGTACGGGCCTCCCCTGGTTTACGAAGCTAGCTTACCAAGGCTCGCCAACAGTCGCACATCCTCCATCGAGATATGAAAGCCGCCAACATTCTGATCTCGAATCGAGGGATCTTACAGATTGCGGATTTTGGTTTGGCGCGGCATTATGAGGGCCAAACACCACTGCCGGGACGTGGTAATGGCGAGGCTGTGCGGGATTACACGAGTCTCGTTGTTACGAGGTGGTACCGTCCGCCGGAGCTCTTGCTGACACTGAAGAGATACACGCCGGCTATCGACATGTGGGGTGTTGGGTAAGTCTAGCTCAATGTACTTTGCTTGGCCGACAAGCTAACAGATGCTCAGCTGCATCTTTGGCGAGATGTTCGAGCGTAAGCCTATCTTGGAAGGGCGCTCTGATGTGGACCAGTGCGTCAAAATCTTCAAACTCATTGGTAACCCGACCGAAGAGACTATGCCCGGTTGGGTCGACTTGCCTGGGTGTGAAGGCAACAAAGACTGGGTCAAATCCCGCGGCGACATCGACGACCGATTCAAGAAGATAGGAACTCAAGGATTGGATCTTCTGAAGAAGCTGCTGTGTTTGGACTGGAGAAGGCGAATCAACTCGATCGACGCTCTGCAGCACGAGTACTTCAAGACCGAGCCACTGCCGGCGAAGCCAGAGTCGCTTCCCCGGTACGAAGACAGCCACGAGCTGGATGCTCGTCGACGTGGCCACAAAGAGAAGCAGCGAAACCTCCCTCCTGCGCCCGCCGGTGGTACTGTTGGCATGGGACCAGACGACTTTGGGCCAAATGGCGTACCGTACCAGAACGGGTTCGGTGGTTATGGAGACCGAGGCCCTCGTGGTGGTTATCGCGATCGCCCACCGCCAGGTGCAGGACCTCCGCCGCGAGGGTATGACGACAGAAGAGGACCACCTCCAGCTGCCACAGGAGGCAGAGAACCTACCTGGCGACAGGGTGGTCGTCCCCCGCCACAGAACGGCCACTCGCTGCCACAACGCCCTGATACTCTGCCTGCAAGGCCGGATGTTCCTCGAGCTGGCGGCGCACCTCCACCCCCACCAGCAGCAGCGGCAAGCAGAGCCAACGTCGATACATACATTCCGTCCTATCAAAGCGGCCAAAGCTACAACGATGGTCGACCGCCACCACGCGATCGTGGCGATCGTGGCGACCGGGACCGGGATCGCGACGTCTACGATCGAGGTCGACGAGGAGACAGTCGTGACCCAGAGCGGCCAAGATACCACGATTCGGACGCCCCTCCGCCACGACAGTATCGTGATGGAGATGCGCCCGGTGGTCGGGGTGGAGCGCCGCCACGGGACTCGTACAGAGATCGTGCGTACCCGCCTCGGGACGAGACCAGGAGGACTCGAAGCAGAAGTCCCGATCGCGAACGGCGTGAGCGACTGCAGAATCGCGAGCGCGATCTCTATCGGAGATAGTGACTTCAGATGGCAGTCGCTCTGCCATCAGTTGATGGGACCATCGGAGGATCGTGGGTAGTCACGACTGCGTGCGCGTTTTGCGGGCTTTATGGGAAATATTCAGCGCGGCGTACAGGTACAGGGAGCAAAGGGCAAAACGGGCATAACGAAATTAGTGATTTTCACGTCTGGGAGGCAAGTAAAGGCGTCGTTTAGACATTTCAGCGGCGATACCCATGGGCACGATGGTGGTGTTCATAGGCGCAATTTGTTTTCAAACCAAGTACCAATGGTGTCCATTGTTGATAGCTTTGTATTGTACATACTGAGCCCTGCCCGAGCGTCTTCCAATCCGCAGGCGCATTGAGGCTCCATTATCCGTCGCCGTTCCACCTCGAGCCCAGATGGTAGTCTTCATACCGTTCCCAAAACGCCGCCTCATAAACACTACCAATCCCCCGTAACACCAAACATCCAAGGGTATCATAGTCGTCACACAACCGCGAGACGCCAGTTTCCAGTGTCTAGCTTAGCCATCGAACGCCTTCCTTTTTGCTTCACGATATCAACACGAATAAGGCTACTTGCCGCCGTATGTGAAGTTGCCGAAGCCGCCGCCGCCGAAATGGCTCTGTTGCGGGCCTGGTGTCTGTGTATTCAATCCAGCGTGGCTTGTAGTGGGTGTCGAAGGGTTGTTTCCGCTGGGCGTAAAGTGCGAGACACCTGGAATCGTACCCAATCCAGCAAGTCCTCCCTGGCCGGCACTTGCGCCGTTGGCTGCTGGTGTACCCTGTGCGTTGAGGAACTCCTCGCGGTACTGTTGCGACGCAGGTGCCGGAACACCGTGAAGGCCGTAGATCTGATCTGATAGAGAGTCGTCTAGCTCGTTGGAGAAGATTTTGGTCTTCATGGCCCAGAACACGGCTCCTGTCAGCCAGGCATCCGAGCCGGCTGTGTGTGCTTGGCCCACGCGTTGACAACCCAGTTCCTCAGCCAAATCCGTCAGTCCCGACTTCTGGCCTAAAGCAACCACAAATCTCGTGGCTTGCTCTGAGAGGCGGCCGCTGTTGTGAAGGCGTTGTGCGTGGCGAAGGAGGAACTTGATGTCCCACAGCTTGGGAAAGAAGGTGGTGACCAGCTCGAAGAACTCCTGTTGATCTTGTGGAAGAGCATCGTTGGAGAGAAGCTTGATGAGGTAGCCGAAATCGTAGCCAGAGTGGAAACTCAGCCAGTGCACGTCGGGGTTGAATGCAAGCCCCGACGTGGTGAGGAGGGCACCGAACTGCTCCTGCGAGATGCCCATCTCAAGGTGTCGGCTGAAGTCCACACCGCTCGACTTCAGTAGCTCGATGCTTGACTCAGCATACATGTCCTCCTCAAGGCTGAACTGGAAGTTGAACACCCAAGTGCAAGGAATGTTCTGGTTCATGAGGTTATTACCGTAGGAGAGCTTTCCATTGATCGAGGTGGATATAGAAGGGTCCTGCGTAGGCGGTAACTCGCCTTCGGAAGTCCAGAGGGTGATGCCCACCTGAATCGGCTTCAGGATGTCGACGTTGCAGCGAAGAGTCTGGTAGTGGTATTCGGCCTTGCTGCCAGCAAAGTTACCGATGGGTCGGGCGACGATACCAGGGAACTCAGCATCCATGGAAACGAATGGGTACTTCTGTATCATTTGGCGTAGCAGGTGCATCTCTGAGTCCAGATTGTGCCGCCATACTTCTCGTATCCTTGCTGCTGCTCCAGTCTTCATGCCAATCCCAGCTGCCTCTATTTGATGACCATGCTCTTGCATCGCCGCACCCCTCGCGAACCCAGCCTGTGCTGCTGCCGACCCGAGTCCTTGGCCCTGTCCACCCAGCATGCCACCGTTGAAAGTCGAGGTCGCTCCTCCAGCACCAAATGCGGAACTCGCGTAGGGTGAGCCTGATGGATTAAACGGTGATATTCCACCATTGAGTGCACTGTTGCCAAAGCCATGTTGCGAGTTGAAGCTGTTCGGTAATTGGGTGGATTGCGACTGGTAATGAGAGGATTGCGGAATCGAGTGTTGTGGATTGAGATGGGCGAATGGGTTGCTCATATGCGAAGGATGCATACGGCCCACGGCGGGAGGCATCGCGACGAACTGTGCTGGGGGCGGTACCCACGGAACGACAGCCTATGTCTGTTGTGGAGGAGGATGTATTTGGACGAGGGGGTAGCGAAGGTGGGTTTGGTGGCCGTGTGGATGCTGCTGCACTAGCTCGTGTTCAGCAGACTAGCAAACGGAAAGATCGGAGAGGTTACTAGTCGCTGGTTGTGAGAATGTCGCTGAGGGAGTTTCAGTGCAATTTTCGCATTCTTGGTCGTGATGGTGATGTTGTTGGCTTGTGGTGCGTGTGGTTTGGAGATGTGAAGTGGCTCGCTAGCTGCGGAGACGGAGGAAGCTGCGGAGGTAGTCTTGGCACCGACTCCAAGCTCATGTCTGGCGCCAGCAGCATCACCCGCTGACTTCTGCTTGCCATTGACCTCAGTCCAACAACAAACACACTCACAATGGCGCCGCCGAAACAACCCAACCTCACCGGCTTCGACCCCCAGAAATTCGCAGCAGCCGCTGGTCAACCGAAAGCCGATCCATGGGCACGACAGTACGACCACTGTGAATGCTGCTACGAACTATATGTACTAACAACGCGACAGTGAAGCATGGCGATACACCGGCCCTTTCACGCGATGGAATCGTTTCAAGGGCGCATTCCCCGGCCTGGGCATCGCGACTGTAGCGTTCGCGGGCTACCTTGTATACGAACAAATGTTCCTAGCACCAGCACACGGCGCGCACGGCGAACACGATGACCATGGAAAGCATTAGAGGGAGCAAGACATGTACAGGTGTGCATTGTGCATTGTGCATTGTGCATTGTGCATTGTGCGGGGCGTTATGGAGTGTGATATCAAGGAGGCTGGTTGTATGTGGAACATTCGAAGACAATGAATATGCGGAAAGGAGACATTGAGCCCTGGAGAAGCTGCTGAGGAGGACCAAGAGAGACGGATGAAAATATGCCAGCGTGAGAGGCGTTGCTGGTCATAAAAACCGAGCAGGGTATGCCCTCCCGAGCCAATATCTCAACAGTCTGCCTCCTGTGCAAGAGGAAGATAGCATGGTCCGGTCCAGCGTCAATGGATTTCACATGTCAGCATTCACAAGTGTTCCTGTCACGATCTATTGCCTATCGAGCCGTTCTCGTCGTTTCGAGCATCAACATGTCCTCAGAAGAATCGCAAATGTTTCCGCGCATGTGAAATGTATATATACAATAAAGCAAGGCACTTATCGCACTCTTGACCATGTTTCTCTGCATATCACTATTTATACCTCTCTCACACTCTGCACTGCTAGCTGACTATACCTATTCACGGACTGATTACATTCACTCACTCATCTTTAATCAAATGGCCAATCAAATGCCATCAAAAGCTCAATCCCCTGACCCGGTTCGGCTTACCACTACCGGCAATTTCAAACCGCACGAGCATCGTCATCTGCATTTATCCGCTGGCTGCTCGAGCTCACTCCTCCTTCGCCGACCCCGTCCATCATTCACTCGCACCTCCAGCGTGTACAGGACCCCGCGTCCTCGGACCTATAAATATGATTCCAGCAGCATGACGAACTCCACGTACAGAAACCACAAGCAGCGACGATGCCTCGCGTCTACCCACCCCTCGAGGGTCGCCAACCCACCGTCGCTCTCTCACCCTCCCTAGTCGAGTCCGTGGCAGGCTTCACCGCAGGAGTCGTCAGCACCCTCGCCGTCCACCCTTTCGACGTCGTCAAAACACGCCTACAAATCGAATCGCAAAGTCGAACGCGACCCGGCGGAACATGGCGCGTCATGCGTCAGATTGCCCACGAAGCCGTTCATGGCATGTCCCCCGAGAAACAGATCCGGGTGCGAGAAGGTATGATGAAGGAGAGCGGGGCGTTGGTGCGGGCGTTTTACCGTGGCTTGATGCCGAACATGATTGGTAATTCGGTGAGTTGGGCGTTGTATTTCATGTGGTACGGGAATATCAAGGACTTGGTGCGGGCAGCGCGAGCGGCGGGCGAGCAAGAGGGAGGGAGAGAAACATTGACGAGCTCGGACTACTTTCTCGCGTCGGGGATCTCGGGAATCTTGACGGCGGTCTTTACGAACCCGATCTGGGTGATCAAGACGAGGATGTTGTCGACGGCCAGAAACGCTCCTGGAGCTTATACGAGCATTGCGCACGGTACAGCCGCGTTATATGAGAGCGAGGGTATCAAGGGGTTCTATCGAGGATTGTTGCCAAGCTTATTTGGTGTCAGCCATGGGGCTATCCAGTTCATGGCTTACGAACAACTGAAGAATCATTGGGCTCTCAGTCGGAAAGGAGGAAGAGAAGGGTTGACGAATTTGGACTATCTCACACTCTCTGCCGTCAGCAAGATGTTCGCTGGAAGCATCACATACCCATACCAAGTCGTGAGGGCGCGACTGCAGACGTACGACGCAAAAGAGCGGTACCGAGGAGCTTGGGATGTCGTCAAGCAAGTCTTCAGGAACGAAGGTTTTGCTGGTTTCTACAAAGGCTTGGGACCGAACATTGTGCGTGTTCTGCCCAGCACATGTGTAACTTTCCTGGTCTACGAAAACATGAAGTTCTATCTGCCGAGGATGTGGCAGGAGGAAGGACCAATTGATGGATGAAGATGACCGAAGAACATACCAATAAACAGAACCTACTATGGACTCAGGCTGCCAACGACTCATGACTGGCCGAATCCGCCTCGAATATCAAGGAGAAGATGCATGTGCCGAACGTTGGCTAAGTTGCTTAACTCTGGAGATACGAATCGACACTGGTCACCAGAAACAGACGTACTATGGAAAATGTTTGAGCGACAGCCTTTGACTGAGTCGCATTTGCCGAAGTCTGCAGAATCGGTAAGCTTACTTGCTCGGACGATTGCGAATATGTCGGTGCCAAGGGATCAACGTTGACAATGGATTGGCGTTCAGGTGGAAATGGAAACCCGCTTTTGCTGAAGTGCTCAGCTGCGGGATAGGAGGCATCATTCATGGCGTTTGCTTTTGCTCTTGCTCATTTCAGTGACCTCCGCATTTTCGCAGTTTCTTGTGGTCCCACTATCAAATAGACATAGACAGCAGACGCTCAAAAGCCCATCAGTTCAGTGTACAAAGCAAATCACCTGTGGATCTGTACCACGAGTCTTCTGGACTGTTCCTTCCCAATACATGCACTTTCAACGCTCCAATCACCCTCCTGGAACACGCACAGCATCCCAAAATTGAACCCACCCTCACTCACAAGGCCATCCGATACTGCACAAACTCCTGCGTCGCCAACTCATCATACAGCTTCCTCGCCGGATTCCCATTCTGCGTCGTCCACTGCATCCGAAAACACCCCTTCTTCTTCGAATCCGCTGCCACAGCCTGAATCAACTTCCTCCCATACCCACCTCCGCGCACAGCGGGGTCGACGAAGAGATCTAGACATACACACATAAGCTTCTGGATAAAGACGGTGAAGGTATAGACATACCATTAAACAACATAATCTTCCCTTCGCCCCAAGGCGTCATGTGCGGGAAGTAGTGCGCTATCCCAAGGAGCTTACTCTCGTTTTCCCGCAGAACTAGTCCGTAGAGTTCGTTCTCCGGGTCTAGCAGCCTGGCGAAGGTTTTGGGGTATTGCTCTGAGGGGATGGAGGTTTTGTAGAATTCGAGGTAGCCTGTGAACAGGCGGGACCATTCGGGGAAGTCGGCGGGTTTGAGGGGGGTTATTGTTGGTTCTTGGGAGTTGGTTGAGGTTATGGTTCTGGTGATGTTGCGTGTGATGGAGGGGATTGGATGGGGTCGGAGGAGAGTCGCGGGTGAGAGGGTTTTGATGGAGAAGGGACGCATGATTTGTATGTGGAAAAGAGTTCGATGGTGTTTTTATGTTATATCAATAGGATGGTTGGTAGATGAATTCGAGAGTGTTAGGCCTCAAGTAGAAGTTCTAAGCGGTATAAAAGGCGTCCAAATCCTTGCTTAAGATGTGATCGATAGGGCGTGAATACCCACTTCAGCTCGTTTTGGAAAGTCACAGAGAACGGAATACTTCATCTGACAGCGTGAATACCACCTCTTCGCAGAATTGGAATGTTAACAGCTGTGACTGGACTTCCTAGTGCCATGCACATTGTTTGAGTAAGCAACTGACCAACACCCTAATCAGGCTCCCGCCCAACAGGTCACTACTAGGCCTTGTGATCGCACCTCACATGCCATGGATTTCACTCCCGATAAAAACATTCTGCCGTCAAGATTCTTCCAACTTACCTCCTACATGCGAGCGGCTTCTGCTTTCTTCCAAGACCGTGTGCGCTTTCTAGCCTTGTAAGACCCGTGGTGAACGGCTGGTAGTGTTCAAAGAGCAGGAGGTCTATAAGTAAAAGCATTTCTGCTCGACGGACTGCTCTTCTCGTCAGCATCATTCGCTATACTTCATCATCAGCTATATATCAGTGAGTGAACAAAGTCAGCGTCACGACAAGCAGGGAAGTAAGACAGGGCGGGAGCATCCGGAGCTAGCACTATAGAGTTTGCGCTAGTGACGCACCGTCTTGCGCCAAACAACTCCAATCTGTCCACCTTCACGCGTCCAGGACGACGTCCAGGACGACATCAAGGATCTTCACAACGTCAAACAGGGATGATTTCCACGAAGGCCGACAATGCTCTCATTCCGCTTCGAGAAACTGAACGCCTTTCAAGGCAAGTCAGCTGCCATCAAGCGACCACGTGAAATCACCGTGTTTAGTTTCGACGACTCGCACAAGCATCACCTCGACGGCCGCAGCCTGCGCTACTACTATCCACCATTTGTGCAGGTCCCATACATCACCGAAAAGAATCGTATCGATCTCTCGCAGGGGTTCGAGACGTTCATCAAGCACGATGATAGCGTGAATCTTCACCTCAACCCGCTGCTCGACACCATCCAGCACTACGAGGAGCAGACGGGGGCCAAGCTGAAGGCAGACATACTGACTTGGCGTGGCATGATGACGAAAGTTAGCATGAGGTTCTGTCCCTAGAGATTGAAAGAGCATAGAAGCTGATCGAATAGATCTTCATCGCCCCTTTCGACATGTTTGGCGAGTTTGAGATGAACGCAACTTGCTACCAGGTATCACTCGCACAGCCTGACATTGTTTGACATCTACTGACAACCGACATAGGGCACCATGCAAGCCACATGACCTCGTACGGCCGAAGCACATCTGACAGTGTACAGATACATCGAAGAGAATCAGCTAGCCAAAGCAGCCGAGTGGAAGAGCAAAACCCAACGAGTTAGTAGCTCGTTGGAGAAAATGCAGTTCTGGGGTGAGTGGTGTAATTTTCGAATTCTGCCTCAGCTTTCTAATTTTCCGATGCAGGCTACAAATTCGAGACGCTCGCCACGCTACCCAAGCAGTGGCAAGACTGCACACGCGGCGAGATCGAGGGCAGAGACACCGAAGTTGTCAACAACAACCCGCAGTACTGTTCAGTCGTCCGCACTGGCATCGGCAATCATACTATCGTAATCGGTGGCGAAGTTGATGCCGTCGAAGGATGCAAGCCAGACGATCCCAACGATTCCATCCCATACATCGAGCTGAAAACGAGCGAGGACTTTCGCGGGGACGACGACTTTGCGGCGAAGAAGTTTGAGAGAAAGATGTGCAGGTTCTGGGCCCAGAGCTTCCTTCTTGGAGTACCAAAGGTAATTATTGGATTTCGTAGTAAAGACGGTCATTTGCAGCGGCTGGAGGAGTGGAAAACTATGGACATCCCAAGTTTCGTCAAGAATCGCGGAATGCGGACTTGGGATGGTAACGTGTGTATTAACTTTGCAGCTGCTTTCCTGGACTTTCTCAAGCAACACATCAACGACGAAGGCACCTGGACGATCGAGCAGAAGAAGGGCGACAAGCAGATTCTACTGTCCAAGATTAGCGACGAGTACAGCCGGGACATTGTTAGTACCAAATTCCGAGAGCACCGGGCGACCTTCCAGTTTAAAGCGACGTGTGAGGCGAAAACACAAGAGTAGGAGAGAATGAGAGAATGAGAGAATGACAGAATGCGACTTGGTATACCCCACAGGTTAGCGTATGAGCTGGATCAAATCCGAGACATTATGACCTTCGATGCCATCGATGACCTGGATTATCGCTCGCGCCTGCTTCTCTCCATACACTGCTCCAGCAAGGCCAAGGAACTTCTCATCGACCTTATCTCTCGTGAAGGGACGCTGCGTTTCACCGAGAGGATACTCCAACTTGTTCTCATCAACCTTGACGCCTGTCCATTTCACGTGCAGCCTTGTGGCAAATCCTTGCAGAGATGAGTCGGCCTCCACCGTCGTTCGACTGCACAGTGCTAGGGTAGCCGGATCGTCCAGTTTTTGATAGGCTTGGATACCAGTCGCTGATCCATGAACAAGGGCGTTCGCAGCCTGAAAGTACGCTGAGAATTGTGCGTCTATGTTGTTCGAAGGACGAAGCTTGTTCTCGGTTCGCTCTCCCACGATGGTGACAGCATGCGGGCTCATTGTGAGAACAATCGCTTCGACGTCTTCTGCTCGGACCGCGCGAGAACTGTGAATGTCGCCGGCCATCTCAATCAATCCATGCGTCCATCTGCAGGCGGGATATGGCTTCAAACTCGAGCTCATCCACACCCATTCACTACCAAGTCCGGACACCATTGCCTCCAGGTCCTTGTTCGGTTTTGAGGAGTAGCCTTTCAGAAAGCCCATCTTGCCCTCGAAAATCTTCGTCGCTCCAATAACACCTGCTTCAGCTAGCTCGACGCAAACGATTGCATCATGAACAGCAAATCCAGGATTCAGGCTCTTGTTCCAGGATCCATTTTCAAGGAACTGCAACGATCCTGCTGCTTTGCTGCCAGCAATACCGAACGCCATCTCAACCACCTCTGCCGACATATTTCTCAAGACTGCAATGGCAGCTACAGCTCCGAAGATGCCTGCAGTCCCAGTGTTGTGGAATCCACGGTCGTACGCATAGGTCCCAATTTCTCGACTGAGCCTACAGGTCACTTCATAGCCCACCGAGATGGCCAGCATAAAGTCGTCGCTGCTGACACCTTCACCGAGAAGCTCTGCTTGTGTCATCGCGGCTGAGATTGCTGTGATGCCAGCGTGGAGGACCTGAGTCACAGGCGGATCGTTAGCGGATACTTCGTCTTCAGTCATCAAGCACAAAGCATACACCCTCGGCATACGTATCGTCAAAGTCCCACGAGTGCCCAAATGCCGAGTTGAGGAGTCCAGCATACTGTGGCAACATATGCGGCTCTCCTTTCCCCAGGACCGTGCTATTGCCTCTGTTTCCCTTGCCCTGGAGTGCGCTGATGGCATTGTAAATGGGCGCTGAAGATTCGGCATATTTCATGCCACCGACTACTACGCCGATGTAGTCGATCAGGACTTCTTTGACCTTCGTTCGAAGCTCGGGCGTCAATTGCTTAGGCGATGCATCTGCTACGAAGGATGCGAAGATCTTGGTGACTGGTACTTCGGCGCTGTGGCCGTTGGTCGTGCCGTTCATCGTCAATGGATACCGGGTCCGGCTGAATGACAGGAGAGAGAGTATCTACGAATTGTTTTACTGAAGTAGCTCGACGATGATGGACTGGACGTTGCGCTGATGGTACATTCTTACTTCACTCTCCGACAACGGTACACACAGCTCTCTGGGCCGCTGATCGACCCCTCACATCCAGGATGAGCTTCTGAAGGAGTGCGACGTCCACAACTTCACTCGCTCGAGTAGCGACGTTCATTGGTAAGACTACAGCGTATGTTTTTGCATGTCAGCGAGGCCGGAAATGAAGCACTCCGGGCATAGCACTTCAGATGGTGTCTTCAGCCGATCGACTTGTCAGCGTGCAGCCAGTGATTCAAGTCAATACGCTGAGCAGAAATGTCATGGAGTGAGGCTCGAGCTGTACGATTGAACAGGACTCGGATCTACAACAAAGCAGCCAGGAAGAAACCGAAGACACGAGTAACTAACCCAAAGGCCCCTCACACCATCCCTCAATCAACCACGCAATCACCCGCCAAGCCCGCCAACATCGCCAACACCGTCAACATCGCCCACCACCAATGCACCACGAACCTGCGCACGCGATTCGCCCTCGTATAGATCTTGATAACGGCCTTGGTCGGGATCCTGCCAGTACTACCGTAGTGGAAGGCCTTACAGGAACGCGAAGAAGCTCTGGAATGTTCGGAACATGAACTACTGGCTCGGCGTGACCTGTGGCCAAGCAATGCCAACTCCGAGCGGACCGGAGGCGTGGCAGGCCGAGGCGAAGGGTATCCCTGGCTATGCTTACTTGTGAGGCTTGATAAGGGCCTCAGCCTCGGTGGCTTGGGACGCGGTGGTGATGCTGGATTTGGGGTCGAGCAGGGGAGGTGGTTGGTCATTTTGAATGAGGAGGTTGCTATTGGAGGAGCGAACGACTCGACATGAGTTCTATCACGACACCTATGAGTGTTGTACCAACTCCATGAACTGCCCGGTGGCGTCCTTGGCCTTAGTCTCGAAAATCTTTATCGTGACCCTGGCGAGACGCTCCGTCTCACTGATATCGAACAACCAGTCATCGCTCTCCATCATCCCAGGCTGGATGATTCCCTCCTTGACAGCATCCGCATCCACCTTAGATCCAAACTCTCAAGCCCCGTCCCACTCGGTCTGTACACCAACACCTACGACAGCGGGCGTCTCATCTGGCACATTTTTGAATGCGACCTCGACATGAACGCCAACGACATCGCCCAGATGCGAGCTAACGGGTGGGTATGGATCAGGCGACTTCGGACTGTTGATGGCTAGTAAAAGAGCTTTATTCGGCGACTACGTCTGTTCCAAGCCGGCTAAGGTCTGAAAGATCATCTCTATCGAAGACGGATCCGACAGGATTTGTGAACCCACCTAGCAAGTTCCAGGGCACTTCGATATCTATCTCTCTAGCGAAGTGCCGTGGTAAACACTTCAAGCTATGTCTAATCTTCGATAGCATGTCCGTGGCTGGGACGTTGATCCCCTGATCAGAGCTTGGGATGCAAGGCTGTGCGTTCTTGGATACACCTTTGCTGGAGATTACCACCAGTGTAATGTCGACGTGCTCAATCGGACTGGCCGGCCGCGCAGACGTTGGAGTAACGACTCGAGGGACGATCAAACACAACTTCGAACCAAATGCCTCGTTACGTCGATGACCAAACGGATTGCTACTCACTCAACTCCTGGTTCGTCAAGATCGCATACGTGGATGCGATCGACGTCGGGCCCAGATCCAGAGCAACCGAAGACGAACTCTCAACCCGGCACAGCATAGCACTCAAAACATCAAAACCTCAGAATCTCTTACCCGCTACCGAAAACAGACCTTTCCCTCTTCTCACCAACACATGAACTCTTCAAAACTTCTCTTTTGAATGAAACGGTTTGCAACTGCATGAGTATGAGGATGCGAAGTAGGTCGTCGCGGCGATCTTGAAGGACTTCTTGTATTTTTTAGTGTAGATTTGGAAGGGCGACGTGTGGCGATACATTATACCGTTCAATGGAGTGCATGAGAATGGGAAGGATATAAGGAAGGTTGGCTGGCTGAGGTTGAAGGTCGGGTTGATGTTGAGAAGAAGGGATGGAATCAACTATCTCGATCATCAGTATTCAGTATTATGCCCTTGTCATTCAATGTATCAAAGCACCAATGGTCGAGGGGTAGTCGTTAGTGTCTCAATACGTACCTGAGCGGAGCTGATATGTCGCAGCTCGAGCAAGTCTACCAAAAGACATCACCACCTCTCCGAACGAGTTCACATGCGGCTGAACACGCAGTACAACGAACAGGTCAATCACCACTAGCCTATCATCCGCAATACGTAAAACTCACTACCCTATCACCATGCCCATCACCACTCCACTCCACTCCCCAAAAAATCCTCGACCAGGAACAACAACGGTCCAACCAAAATGATCCTCCAAACAGAACAGTCCAGACCACCACCAACAAACCACCCACGACTCCAGCGATGTAATCAACAACAAATCTCGTATCCTATGTGTCGAGCAATTGAACGACCCTAACCGCACGAAACCGCATCGAGCAGGTGATAAGAAAGCTCGCTCGCCAAGGGTGCCCAGGAGTAGCGGTCGATCTTGGCGAAAGCGCGTGGCATTTTCGCGCGTGGCGGGGAGGGATTCTCGTGGTGCATGCATGAATGCATGCAGGTTGCTGTTGTGGAAGGGAGGGATCTTTTTGGGCGGTATGCGATGGTGTGTGGTGGTGGGGAGATTCCGCCTTATGGAATTGGGGGATGGGTGGTTGGATGGGGGTAGTTGATCTGTGTTATGTGGTTCTGGTTGTTTGGGGTCTTGGCGAAGATGGCGAGTTCGCTTCAAGCGAGATTGATGACTTTCACTTCTCGTGCGAGATGGTAGTTTGTGCATGGGAGGAGGGTAATTCCACAGGCTGACTTGCTTCCTGGGCTGCCACTGCTCGCTCAGGAGATCTCCAGGTCAGGCGTCTCCAGAGCGATTTCTCTTCGAACTCGCTCTCGATCGTTTCAAGACTTCGGCCGTTGGTCTCAGGTATACGGATACAGACTAGAGCTGCGAACAGCGTTGTCCCGCCAAACAAGAAGTAGGGTCCGCTGGGTGAGGCACGTAAAAACAGAGGAGCCACGAGAGTGATGGCGAAGTTAACCATCCAGTTCGCGAGCAGTTCGACAGCAGAGACCTTCGCTCGGAGTCGTGTGGGGATGATTTCAACTGAGTAGATCTTGCCGACCTGGAGATCATCATCAGCACAGTGGCAAGATGTCACGATGAAGATAACTTACCACCGCCCAAGACCAAGAAAAGTTAGCCACAAAGGCATAGATCATGACGACCACGACCCATTGGCCTGCCTTTGACTCCATCTGCACACCTCCCTCGACTTTCTTGCCAAAGCTGGCATATATAGCACCGTTGATGATGAAACAGACTGACATGAGAACGCCACCAATTATGAGTGGCATGCGACGGCCCCAGCGATCGATCCAGATCTGTGCGGGGATGGTGGCTGCCAGCATGATAATGCCACTGACGCCTGATGCTAGGAAGCCTGATTTCGAGGAGCTGAAGCCGGCTTGGGCAAAGACAATCGGAGCATAGTATAGCACGACGTCCATCTGTCGAATGTGTTAGTCAAGGTGTACCTAACATCAAGAATGTTATCACCCACCCCGGTAAGTTGCTGAAAGGACATGATGAAGATGCCTAACAGCGTCCGCCCGATATACCGGCGATGAAACATCTCGACCCATTTCGTTGCTTCGCCGTCTCCGTGTGTGGTGACCCCAGCCTGCATCTCCTCCATTTCACTTTCAACAGCCGTCCAACGGCGCATCTTCAAGAGCACCTGTCTGGCTTTTTCAAAGCGTCCTTTCTGACACAGCCATCGTGGTGAAAAGGGTAATAACACCATTCCAGCGGCCAGAATCACCGCGAAGCAGGCCTGAAGTATGAATGGAGTCCTCCATGCCATGGATCCTTCCAGGTTCCGGGATCCGAAACATACGAAGTAGCCGACTGTGACCCCGATCACCACATACGTCTGCAACATACATGTTGTGACGCCGCGGATATTCTTGGGTGCGATTTCGACCAGGTAGACCGTGGTAACCGCAATTGCCTGCCCTAATCCAAAGCCTGTGATCAGGCGACCCACAATCAGTGCAGCGAAGTTAGGAGCGCTCGCCGAGATAGCTGTACCGACGAGGCTGAGGATGGCACTGGTCAAGATGCCATATTTACGTGAAATAGCATCCGCTACGTGGCCGCTGAGTAGAGATGAGAGTGAAGACGCCAGAAGAATGCAAGCCACGTAGATACCCTGCTGGTTCGAAGACAGGTGTGCGATTGAGTCTCGGAACTGCTGCATTTCGGTGATAGGGCCAATGGAACCTGATCAAATACTCAGTATCTCTCCAACCCATCGCCCAGCGATATGCCGATGGTGTGACTATACCAATATCCAAGCCATAGAGAAACCCAGCCAGCGAGACATGGGCGCCAATCGCCAGCGCTCGAAGTTCGATGAGTTCCATATTCTGCTATTGTTAGTCTTACTGCCCAGGAAGTGTCAGAATTGTCTTTATGTGGCGTGAAGTTGGAAAGTATGGATGAGATTCTGGTGAGGAGATTAGGATTCGTGAGGTGGAGCTCGCAACATCAGCGTCACAATAATGCTGAATGTAACATCGATGTTGCAGCGCACGTTGCCCATGCTCAGTCTGGTAAGATATACGCTCGGAAGCCATCATCATCGGCAGTATTGTTCGATAGAAAGTGGGCAGAAGAATAGCCACAGATTTTCGCGTTCATGGACTATTAGTGAGTTTGGGCGCCTTGCAGGCCTCAATGCCGGATTCTAGCACCTGAACATATCGATGAGACTGCCATGCTGCAATATAGAGAGAGGTAGGTTGATGAAGACCTTGTTGATGTAGAGAAAGAGGATAGAAGGAGTTGAAGGTGTCGAATGTTGTTGACACCGCTCAGACCAGCTCGGTTGGGCAGCCAATCACTCACCATTCACACACCTCGACGTCTTGCCTACAAGTCCCTCTGTACGGCGCATGTTCCTCTGACAAACTGCATTCGCACCCCGCATTTCGATGCGGAGACAGAGTTTTGCGGAGAGGCTCTGTGGCTCGTCTATTTTAGCTCTTGCCATGTGACATATTACCTAACGGTTAGTCGTAGCCTCGATCCTTGGCCTGGAGTGCGGTATTCTAGAAGACGGATGGCTGAAGGGGGTCAGACCACGCACGTCTTCCCTCCTGCTCTTTCCAGCCTAATGGAACCGCATAGCAGCGGGCGAGGAGACTCTGCGAAATGATGCGGCAATACCAAGCCCGAGCTGAGAGGCGCATCGCATCTGCGAATTCTGCTCGCGTGGACGAAGGTCTTTGACGGCTCGCGCCAACAAAGGATCGCGGCGTCACTACCCATCGAGGACGGCAGGGCCGCAAAGAGATAAGAGCTGATAAGTGCCTTGCCGTCCAGATTGGCTCCCTGCCCGCCTGGGGTCCTGGTGGTGGGCGCGTGGCAAAGCCCGCCAAGGCTCCGCCAAGGGCTCCCGGGTACTTGGCCGAAGGGGAGGGACAATGAATGCACATGCACTAGCGCGGCGGGCCTGTCGCGAGTACGGCCTGTCCGCTGGCGTTCGGTGGTGGTGAATATAAGTAGTCGCTGGAATGCGCGCGTGAAAGAAGCAGCCGCGCTCGAGCTCCATTGTTGTCGTCTGGGCCTTTTCTCCATTCCGACGCCCCCCTCCTCTCTTGACCCTCGACATCCCTTCCGTCACCACCATGGCCGACATCGACTACGAGAAGGCCGCCGAACCCAAGGCCGCCACGGCCACCACCGCGCACTCTCGCGGCAGCGACGATGCAGATGTCATCGATGGCATGTACAGCGAGCGACCCAGTCTGGCCACCCGCATGGGCATCACCCCCGAGTCCTTCAAGAGGCGCACCCTGGCCGACAAGCACAACCAGCTGAACAAGACCCTCAAGTCCCGCCATCTTCACATGATCGCCATTGGCGGTTCGATCGGCGCTGGCCTGTTTGTCGGATCCGGTAGTGCTCTGTCGACCGGTGGTCCGGCTTCTTTGTTGATCTGCTTCATGATCATCGGTGTTGTAAGTTTGCGCTGGATGGCTCGTTGAGGAGAGGGGCGACTGACTTCATTGTTAGATGATGTTCAACGTTGTATATGCTCTCGGTGAACTCGCCCTGCTCTATCCCATCTCCGGAGGCTTCTACACCTACTCGACCCGCTTCATCGATCCCTCATGGGGGTTCGCCATGGGCTGGAATTACGTCTTTCAATGGGCCGTCGTCTTACCCCTGGAACTGGTCGTAGCCGCTCTGACCATCAACTACTGGGGCGCCAACATCAACGAAGCCGTCTTCATATCGGTGTTCCTGATCATCATCATCATTATCAACATCTTCGGTGTCCTGGGATACGCTGAAGAGGAGTTCTGGGTCGCTTTGCTGAAGCTTTCCACGATCGTGGTATTCCTTTTCATGGGTCTGATCTTCGTATGTGGAGGCGGCCCAAGTTCCGGACAATACGGTGAATACTGGGGTGCTCGGTTGTGGTACGATCCAGGAGCTTTCGCCAACGGCTTCTACGGCTTCTGCGGTGTCTTCGTCACGGCTGCCTTCTCCTTCTCCGGCACGGAATTGGTCGGTCTGGCGGCTGCGGAGACTGAGAACCCTCAGAAGTCTCTTCCTGGTGCAATCAAGCAGGTCTTCTGGCGTATCACTCTGTAAGTCGTCCTTCACATGCAATCTGGTCACACTCAGCTAACAAACGCCAGCTTCTACATCCTGGGCCTTTTCTTCGTCGGTCTCCTCATCCCACACACTGACGAGCGTCTTCTCGGTTCCGGCCTCATCGACGTTTCGGCTTCACCGTTCGTCATTGTCGCCGTGAATGCGGGCATCCCGGCGTTCGGCGACTTCGTCAACGTCGTCATCCTTCTCGCTGTCGTCAGCATTGGCTTGTCCGGTGTCTACGGTGGATCCCGAACACTGACTGCTCTGGCTGAGCAAGGCTACGCTCCTTCCATCTTCAGCTACGTCGACCGCGCCGGCCGTCCCCTCTTCTCCACCATCGCCATCATCGCATTCGGCCCGATCGCCTACGTCCAGCTCGCAAGCAGTGGTGCCGAGGTCTTCGCCTGGTTGCAGGCGCTCTCCGGTCTCGCGGCGCTCTTCACCTGGGGCAGCATCTGCGTGGCACACATCCGATTCCGTGCCGCCTGGAAGTACAACGGCCGCAGCACCGACGAGATCCCATTCAAGGCCATCTTCGGCGTCACCGGTTCCTGGATCGGAGTCATCCTGGTCGTTATTGTGCTCGCAGCTCAGGTCAGTCCCGAATACCTTCTTGGAATTGAATATCTGCTAACATCCCACCAGTTCTACACGGCAGTCAAGCCCCTCTCCGCCGTGGCCTTCTTCAAGTCCTATCTCGCCATCTTCGTCGTCATCCTCTTCTACCTCGTCGGCTACATCTGGAAGCGCGAGAAGTGGGTCAAGATCTCGGACATCGACATCGACTCGGGCCGCCGTGAGATCGACTACGAGGCCTTCGAGAAGGAGAAGGCGAGGAAAGCCGCATGGCCGAAGTGGCGTAGAGTGCTGGATCATTTCTTCTGATCGTTGTCGTTCGTGCAGAGTGGGAGTGTGTCCTTGAGGTTCGAAGAAGGCTTGTCTTCTGGTCGAGTTTGCTCGTCTCTCTAAGACATGAAGAATTCAAAAAGACACATGTTGTTGATATTAAGTTTCTGTGCGTCTCGCATCATTTTCCTTCTCGCGTTTCTGGGGCGCGCTCGCACTTTAATGGTCTTTTGGGCGTGAATGACATGTCACACGCCCTACGTGCCGCCAAGGAACAAAGACAGTGGCGATGCATGGCTCAGCACTCGGTAGAATTTTGCCTGCCTGCTGATGCGGCGGCTAAACAGTGGTAAGTTTTACGTTGAAGTGTGATGCCCAATCCTGGATTTCTCGTCCTGCTTCCTTCCATCACCTCTGTCGCTCCCGTCTTCGCTTCCTCCCTAGCGGCGATGCACCTCCGGAAATTTGCCGTATTGTTCTTCATCTCTTCCTCGACGCTCTGCAACACCTCCCTGGTCTCCCATACGCTCGGTTTGTGAGACGCAAGATGGACACGTTAGGGAGCCTGGATATTTTCTCTCGACGAAGTATCGGTACCCATCATCGGTTGAAGAAGCGAGGTACAGGAGGATATACTTCTGTGAATCACTTCTTCTAAGCCTCTGGCCTACAGTTTTCGATCATTTGAGAGAATTGCGTGGCATGGTGCCTCGGGAATGGGGAGAACAACAACCTTGAAGTAATTGGCTCTGTTTTGGGGGTTGAGCACATCGGGCTGGGAGTAGCAACGATTACGATTTGGACTTTGGCTAACGCTATTACAGTCTCGCCGGATAAGTCTGCGTTCTTGGCATTCCTTTACAACCACCCCTTGTATTCAACTCTTCATATCTTCTGAAGTACTTGTCTGATTAACAAGCTGATCGATTTATATGAAAGCTGAGACTCTCAGCTCTCTTGTAATATATATAGGAAGTTCAGTACTTTGTTTGCCAGCCTCCAGTAGCGATGACTGCTTGTATCCTTCTTGGCATTGACCTTAACACATTCACAACGATATTACGACGAATTGCCCTCCATGCCTCTAGCAGTACTTGCTGTAGAATCTCTAGTTGACGGTCTTTCTTATGCTCGTTGTCCAGATCCGGCCGGAGCTCGTAGACCTTCTGCTTTAGATGAAACCATATATGCTCAATTAGATTCAGATCCGGACTGTAGGCAGGCTTAGGCACGAATATCCCCCAGTGTTGATGCTACTGCCTCGTATGATTGGCATTGTGGATAGGTTCGTCATCTTGCTGGAAGGTCTGACCATCGTAATAAGGCAGTAGTCCTTCTTCGAGTGTCTGGGTGTAAGAATAGGCTGTATAGCTATTCCTTCGAGCACTCTCGTCCCTCTCCATTATTATGAGCTCAGACTCTTCTACTGACTCTCCGATCATAGCCCTGATCATAAAAGAGGCTTGCTTGCCCTTCGGATAACTCTCAATTCGACTGGCAGTCCACTTCTCTAACGGATATCCGAATGCCTACTGCCTCTGCTTGCCGGCTCCTTTCTCAACTAAACACTCGTTAGAGAAGAGCCAAGTTGTCCAGTCAGTCTGTTGATGTTAACGTGCCCAACGCAGTCTGGCTCTTGCGTGTTCCGGTGTAAGGTGTGGACGCTTCTTACAGCGCCAATAGACCAGTCCAAAGTCATATAATATCGTCCGAAGCGTGTCACTACTATAGTTAGTACCTGTCTCGTCTCTTATCTTCTGATATGTCCATTTTGGGTTAGATCGTGCTATACGAAGTACTCTGCGAGCCGTCTGTGGTGTGTACGTCTTCGGCCGGCCGGATCTTGTCTTATTTTGTACGGTGTTGCGTTGTGAGGTGCGTTGAATGGTGGTGTTAACAGTCGACTTTAGGAGATTCTCAGCTGTCGCAATTTCAGGCCCGGATTGCCCTGCAAGCGCACGCCCATATATCCTGCTTTTATCCTCATTTGAAAGCTCGTGTTTCGGCCAACGATTTGAATCAATTTCTGCGAGTAGGCGACGTAGTGGCATCGCGCAAGAGGTTGTCAAAGTTGAGGTGTTGAAGCGCGTCCCAAGACGCGCGCGTGCACGGACGTAGACTTAAGCCCTAGTACTGTATATGTGCTGATTTGATACAAGCCTTACGAGGCTTGCTTGTAGGCCCTAAATCTACCTCAGCCTGAATGAATTGTTCTTCTCTCATCCATCTCACATCCCCATAGGGCTATAACGATACTTCCAGCGCCCTCTCATCCCAGACACACTAACGCATAGCCACTCGTCTCAACACCACATTCCCCTCAACCCCCATCAATCAAGTTCTCCAGCAGCACCCATCACCCTCAGCCTCTCAATTGACGACAGCACTCCAATCCTCGCATCCTCCACATGCTTCTTCAACAACTGCACATACTCCTCACTCCCCTCCCTAACATCCGGATACCTCCACTCGAACGTATACGTCATCCAAAAGTCGTTCTCTCCATTAGGTCCATCAGAGATGGTATTGGTGAAGACCGCACCGTTCGGCTGCCAGAAATCGACCTGCGCAGTTCACCTGTTAGCCACGCACCTCTCCCATAACCCACACAGAAAGAAAACGACGTACCCTAACCGGCCAATAACTCCTAAAAAATTCCCTCACCTTCAGTCCCCCCTTGAAATGCGCCACTCGTACCACCTCGTCCACGCCGTTGTCCTCCAGCACCTCTGTGGCTTCGATAGCGACTGGCACGAATTCCTGCGCGTTGCGGATTTTGCGCTGCAGGCCTCGCCAGATTTGGGACCGGGTGAGGAGGGGGGATGATCCGGTGGGGTTGATGGGAGAGGTTTAGGCGCAGTTGATTGTGACCATTTTTGGGGGATGAGGGCGGTGGGGTTTCTCTGGGGGTTTGGGAGGATGGGACGTTTGTTCTCGATAAGTAGAATTTTGGCTCGTTCGTTATATAGATAGGTGCAAATCCCAGCGGAGCGAGGCTGACAGCCTGGCCAGATTTCACCTTCCTAAAGCAGCTTGCTTCATGGTGACATAAGATTTGTAGTTTAGTGGACTGCGGTAGCTCACCCCATTGGTAGATTAAACCTGGGAATGAAGCTTGAGGGTTTGATGTAACTGCTTGCAGTAGTTGTCACTAAGGATCCCCATGCGAGGTTCTTCTGGCGGTGCTTCGTACCGGGATTGGAGAGTGCATGGACTGGTACTGGGGGTAAGGCGGGGTTCTTCAAGGCTGCAGTAAAATCCTTTCGACGATCTTCACTTTAAAGATCGACGACGAAATCTCCTTTGTGCGTGCTGACCGTACCATGACTAACGATGCTGTCAGCGGGCCAGGCCTGCTCGATCTTGTCAAGTTGATGGAAGAGGTTGGGATGATCGACTCTGTTGATGAGACGTTCGTCGAGTTGAGGCTTTGCTGTGTACGTTCAACGGACGCACTTGAACAACCATCGTTAGGGGCCTGCTTCGAAGCTGGGATGACGAGTTCACCCATTAGTTGGAGTTCGCCATAGCAATAGAACGGAGTTCTGGCGCGCTGTCGAGCGAGAGGGCAGGAGTGTAGGCGGGAGCTGATGGTTGGATGTTGTTGGGTGCTGTTTAGTTGGTGGTCATGTCGAATGTGTTGTAAGGTGATGACCATGTACATCGATAATAGATGTTCACAAGTAGGAGGCGTAACTTCCTTTCCCCATCGCTTGTCTGCAGCAATTGTAGCAGGCAAAGCACAACATCGTCTCATTGACTGTCTCCCTTCAGCATCAGACGACACAGCAACCATATATCCTTGACTCGCCGGAGCAAAACCACAGATGAAGTCCCCAGACAAACACCCATTCCCAACAACACCCCCATCCCAAACCCCCCGCCCCTACCCTTACAACCCCTCCTCCAACAACGGATGCCCCTTCCACCCCATCGCCCCAACATACATCTTACAACTCTCCAGCAACCTTCCCTTGACCCCTCCCGTGCCTCTCGCTTGCTCGTTAGGCCGCGTCCGCACATCTTGGCCGGCGAAGGCGCCGTAGCAGGCGTGGAAGGTGAGGGGTTTGACTTGTCGCCAGATGGAGAGGATGGCGTCCGGGTGGAGGGGGATGCGGTTGGGGATGGAGTAGAAGAAGGTGAAGCTGATTACGCCGGGCTAGGAGAGAGGCGGAGGTGTTAGTAAATGGTAGCCGTCACTCGTGTCGATGGGACATTGTCCACGACCACCCGCACGCCTCACAAGACTGTTCAGACTCGACCCAACTCACCTTCCCAGGTACCGGATTCGTCGCACTCGGACTCGTAAAGATCGTATCCGCAATAAACAACTTCTCATCCCAATGCCTAAATCACTCCACACGTCAGCACAACACTCTCCATCCCCATCCCCACTCCCAAACCCAAAACTCACAACAACAAACTCCCATCAAAATGCCCCCCAGCCAACAAGACCGTCACCCCCTCCAAAACACCCTCATCATACTTCTTCGTGATAAACCTCACCTCCGCCCCAGGACTTCCAACCCTCTCCAGCCAGATTTGATCAGGCTCCCCGACGTACACGGGACACTGGAATGTCCGCGACCACTCGGACCACGTGGTGTAGTAATGCGGATGGGATATCACGATGGCGTGCAAGCCGCCGAGCGAATGGATTTTGGCGACCGTCTCCTCGTCCAGCAGCGCGATGAGGTCCCAGAGGATATTGCCGTGGGGCGTTTGGAGGAGGATGGCGCGTTGGCCGATGGCGAACTATATCACACAATACCGTTAGCATTAATCCCAGAAATCCACAACTCCATCCGCAGTAGGAAAAGATAAAGCAGACGAACATACCTTCGGCTCGGTCCTCACGAACCAAATCCTCTCATCCTCCTCATCCTGCTCCCAGACGTTTTTATACCCTTTCTCTTTCAATTCGCCCAGAGTTGTGAAGACTTGTCCCGTGGCGGGGACGTATTGACGGGGATCGTCGCAGATTTTGCATGAGGTTTTATTGGAGGAGGAGGTGACGGGGTACTGGGTTCCGCATTCGTTGCAGAGGAGGAGGTCGTCGGAGGTGTTGAGCTTAGGTTGAGGGGAGGACATTGTGGCGTGGAAGGAGATGAGATGGGAGATTGGGTGTTGTGCAGAGCTTGACGATGTGGTCATCGAAGGAAGCTCGGCGCCCTTCTTATTATCTCAGAAACATACATTGTTCAGCATCAGAGCGGAATGACTACCGTCGAGAGGTTGATGAACTCATCTGTATCATGTCATTCGAACTCTATAGCTGGCTCTGTAAGGTACCTGTTACTCCTTCGGGAGCTGTCTTCAGCTAGGCCGCCTTGGGAACGTGTTTGCGAGACCCTCTCCATTCGTAGGATTGCTTCCACGTGATCGAGCTCGGCCTAAAGTTGATGGTGCTGCTATTTGCTGTCACGGTATTTGATCAAGACTTGCGCAGCGCATGGAGGCAGACCCGTCTCAGCCGCTTTTCGATCTTCTCGCCTGTAGATGCCGATTTTGCTGGTTGCAGATCCGCCGCTGGGAGGCGAGTGGCGTGGTGCCAACTTGTCGTTTGAGAAGGCTGGAATTTTCGTATTTCCTTCCAAGGGTATCGTCATCAATCATCTTCCTCTCATCATAAGGACATAGCTCTCGCCCCTCCTACTTCCCTTGCGCTTCCTGCCACGCCTCATGCAGCTTCTTCTGTCGCTCCCAGTCTTTTCGCAGCTTCTTCGACTTCGACTTGGCAACCTCTTTACCTTCTGCATCTTTGGTCGGTAGTCCCTCCGCATCCCATTCGGTGTACTCGCTGGTTCGGAACATATCCAGATGAGACTGCTTCCCCTTTTCCAGTCGTTCTCTGTCGGCAGCTTCTTTGTCTGCCTTGGCCTTCTCCTTGGCGGCCGCTTTTGATGCTGCCGCTGCTTCACGATCTTTTCTCTCTTGCTGCAAAGACACAGAAAGTGGCCTCACAAGGGCATGTCGTCCTTCTCGATCTTCGAGGTAGATTCCCAGGTCCCAGAGCACGCTGTCTCGCAGATGATCGCAAGCCGCGAGGTATTCTTGCGGTGTTGCGTTCTTCTGGTGAAGCTCCACTACCTTCCTCTGGAAGTCTGCGTTCGCCCTAGCGTATGGTTGCGAGTCATCGTACATGGTGTCCTTCTCGTCCAAGCGGCCTAGTGACTGCAAGTCGACCCCTCCCTTCTTGGTCTGCTCACGGATCTTGTCTCGGAGCGATGATAGGGGATAGACGAATGGCTTTGCCTTCTCAGGAATGTCAACGCCAGACCAGCCCATCTGACCTTGTCTGTATTCGCCATCCAACCCAAACATTACCACAACCTCGGTGATCCATTTGCCAATTGCTACGGAGGTGGCGTCTGGAACGCTGGCTGTCGAGTTGTATGCGGTTATCAAGTCTGACAAGATACGCATCGCCGTGGGGGTGTCAAAAGAATCTAGAAGTGCTTCGTCGAGCTTTTGCTTGGAAGACTCAAGGAGTGCATCAAGCTCATGGGTATGAGCGGTGGTGCCATTGCTGAGTCCCTCAGTCAGGCCACTGGATGGATGCAATTGAATGTCGCGCACTTTCAGGAAGAAGTTGTCGACTCTTTCTTCCCAGGCAACACTGGCTTTCCGTAGGTCTGGAGTGATTTCAAGCCCATCCCTCCAAGCTCCGAGGAGAAAGATGACGCGAAGAGATCTTGGAGTGAAGTCGCCCTTGCTGAGTGCCTCTTTGATTGTGGTGAAGTTCTTCAAGCTTTTGCTCATCTTGCTGCCGGATATGCTCAAGTGACCCATGTGCAGAAAGTAGTTGACCCATTGCTCACTCTCCTTGCCCGACTTGGCCCAGTAGGCTTCAGACTGAGCAAGCTCGTTGTCGTGATGCGGGAATGCGAGATCGATGCCTCCAGAGTGGATGTCAATCTGCTTTCCAAGAACATCTGATGCCATTGCACTGCACTCGATATGCCACCCGGGTCTGCCCTCGCCCCACGGCGACTCCCAGCTAGGCTCGCCTGCTTTCGATGCCTTCCAAAGCGCAAAGTCTGCGCCCGATTTCTTGAAGCCTGTCTTCTTTGCAGACAACGACCCTTCGCCATCAGCTTGTAGTTCCTTGTCGTTTCGGTTCCATGGCTCCAGTCTGGCATAAACACCTCCAGTCTCTTCCCAGGCAGACGTATCGTAGTAGACGGAGCCCTCGTTCTCGTATGCGAACCCGTGGTCCTGTATTTGCCTGACGAATTTGACAATCTGTGGTCCGTACTCGGTGACACGGGTCAATTTGTCTGGGTCGAGGACGTTCAATGCGTGCATGTCGTCAAAAAAGCGACCTTCATATTTCTTCGTGAGCTGTGTGAAGATGTCATGGTCTTTGCCCTGCACTGTGGACGATCGTAGAGAGTCGATGTATGGTCCAAGAACATTGGCGGCCTTGGTCTTGAAGTCTTCGAAGGATGTATCCGACTGTAATGCCTCTGCAGCTGATGATGCTTCGTTCAGGTACATCTTGACCTTCGCCTCCTTGTCGCCGGGTGGTGTGCCATCATTTGCCAAGCTCTTGCCCTCTAACACATGACCATACTGCTTCTTTGATTCCTCCTTGTATGACTCAGGCTTTGTGTCACCAAGCAAGGGGAGATTCTTCGCCAAGTATGCTCGATATGCCTCCAGTGCAGTCCTCTTGAGCTCATCGTTTACGGACTTGTGTTCGGAGAGGAACTGATTCAGGAGGTATTGCTTTCTCGCAGCCAAGATGATCTTGTCGTCGACGTCCGTAATGTTCATGACGAAGGTGACATCAAACTTGAAGTAATCCTGCATGATCCGTCGTATGATATCTTGCGAGACGTAATTCCTCGCGTGTCCCAAATGCGAATCATCGTATACTGTGGGCCCGCAAGCATACCAGCTCACCTTCTTGCCTTCTCGAGGCACAAAGGGAGTCTTGTTTCGAGTTAGAGAGTTGTAGATGGAGAGTTTTGGAAGGCCGGTCTGGGAGGACGTCGGGGCGCGCCATTCAGGCTGCGCCATGGTTGCGAGGCTGCGAAGGAGTGATGGTGAAGTCAAGGAGCGGCGGAAGAGAAGCGAAAAGTGCATTGAAGGGGGAAACAAGAAGGTGGAATTCGAGATCTGAATAGCTGGCAATGCGGGGCGTGAGTCAGCCAAACATGGACAGGGATCAGCCAGCCTAAATCAATCTAAATCAATTCAGGGTACGGTCCGCAGAGCCTCATGATGGTGGCGCTTGCTATTTTCACGGCGGTCCATCAAGTCTCGCCACTTCACCTTCAACTTGAACAGAGGCCGTAGCAGTAGCATTGTCGCATTTGAACTCACATGCCAGAGCTATCCGTGATTCACGCCCAACGGAAAGCCGTGTCGCCATTGACAGTTCTCAGCCATGCATCAGTGAAGACCGACAGCTCATGTCAACCGTACGTTACGCCCTCCATGCCATGTGCTCGAACGAGGTATTATTGAATATTTGACTCCAATCATTGTTCGACTGGCGAGGTGCCTGACGTCGCCTGCCGCAAGTGCCGAAAGCAGACTAGCTGCCGTAGCGGGGTCCATCGAACGACGACAACCACATGCATTCGTTCTTTGAACTTGACGTTGAACATGACAACGACGCCCTCTTCTGATCTCGCAAACGGTGAAGATCCAATCGGCCGTTCATTGAGCCGCAGTTCGGCGACAGGAACAAAGACACTGCCCCAGCGAGTCGGCAAGCCAAACGTGCTTGCCAGTTGCGGGCATCGAACAAAGCATTGTCAAAAGGTAATCCTCACCCACCAAGTTGGAGACTTTTTGGACACCCTTTCCTTTCCAATGCACTGCGCCGGCCTGTCTGTCACCTCGTATTACTTACCTTCAATCGCGTGCACCTCACGCTCAATGCACCATGGAGATCTTACCTCTTGTCGAAGCATTCGTTCCGCTACAGCCTCTGGCGGCGCCATCCAATGGCGCGCTCACACATACTGATGCAGCAGGTTCGCAGGACCCGACCGCGGCAGCAAAGAGCACTAGCAGAGCAGAGCAGCGAGAGCGCATCACAGAAGCAGAGCCGGAGCCGCGATCACTTGAGGCGCAGCGTCCTTCGACACCCGTTACGAACGCTCCCGAAACGACCGTCCACGCGAGATCAGAGCCACCTCAGAAGGTCGCGGATAGCTCGGATCCAGTATCCCAGGTGAAGCCCCTCGAAGACACTCCGCTGCGAGATGTTGTAGACTCTGAGAGACCAACCAGTTCCCCAACAGAGCCAACGCAACCAGGCGACACTGCAATCGCAGCGCAAGAACCGAAGCCCAACGAAGGCGAGCTAATCGAAAAGCCTCAACACAAGGAGGTTGCAGCATCTGAGTCGGAGACCGATCCTTTCCACGAGCCTGAGGTCCTTTCTGGCGCAGTACAGGAGGAGACATCTGCAGAAAGCCGCGATTCACCGCATCTTCCACACGAAGGCAGCTGTACAACCGCGCATGATCGCATAGAAGACCTGCCAGAACCCGCGCATCCCACAGAAGCGGTAGACACTCCTGCGGCAACTGACAGCAGCCGTACACCTGTTCACACACCCAGCGAGCCACGTGCGGATGATCAAAGTCTCGGCGCGCCAATGCCAGGAGGGAACCCACGAAGCCTGAACGTAACTCTCAAGTATAGATCTGAATTGGCGCAGCCAGCAGAAACCGCCGGCGCATCGCCTGAATCTTCATCATCGACTCTCGATATGGCAGTGACCCGCCAGTCAGGAGCGCAAACGGCGGCCGCACAGCCGGAGGTCGCAATGCCGAATCAAGCTCCCGCATCGCAGCCTCAAACCAACCTCAGCAGTGAGAGCTTTGCACCAGGACTGTATGCCAGGGAGCGCAACACCAGAAGAGCTGCGACAAAGGCATTTCGAGAGCCCCCCACACCAAAGAAAGCACAAGCGCCAGTCCTAAGTGAAGAGCTGGCGGTGAAGCTCGTGCTGTCCCCGCAACCCCAGCCAGAGGCAAGACCGGCAAAGCGCAAGGCACCCGAACCAAAGACAGTCGTTGTGCAGAAGAAGCGCAAGGGCAATGACGACTCGTTGAAGGCCCGCCGCTCCACTCAAGAAGAACCCCTTTCAACAGACCGATTGTTATCCCTCGCGAGTTCGCAGGCAGACGCAGGGGAGCAGCGGCCTTTGCGAGATCAAGAGACGGATGAAGCTTTTGCAAAATTGGTGTGCGATGGTCTGAAGGTCCAGATAAAGGCGAGAAGAGCGGACATGGGCAAGAGGCAAGCGGTACGGATCTTGGAATTGCTGGAATTGGGCGCATATCCAAGTGAAGAAGAGGCACTGTTCCTGACAACAGAAGAGGCGACTGCAGAGGTTGCGCAGGGCCAGTTCACCAAGCGGATCATCGTCACCACAGACCAGCAGAGAGTGCCGTTGCAGACCGTCGATCAGTTCCTTGGAGAGTACTACGACGAGGATGCTTTGGTATGGATCCAGGATCCTGAGGTGAGACCAACCAAGAAGGCTCCCATCACTCGCCAAGTCAAGATCAGCCAGGTCAAGGAACGCTTCGCTGCTGAGCCGACGAACAAGCCATGGAATCTGCTCGAGCTAGCCACGCATTGCGACGATGGATTGAGGCCGATGTTCCTCAACAACGAAGACTGCCGTCTCTTGACCAAGCTGAAGATCCCCGAATCGCATGCCGGACCCGAAGCTCGTCGTCGAACATACCTTCCAGGCTACAAAGAGGTCGAGAAGTGGGCCCTAGTCGCTGAAGCCGGAGCATTGACCGAACCGCACCAAGACTCCCACGGTTACAGCACCTTCATCACGGTCAACATGGGCCTCGTCGGCTTCGGCTGGCTCTCCAACCCCACCAAAGCCGACCGCGACGCCTGGCGCCGCAACCCCTCCAACTTCCGCGGCGGCCAATGGCGCTACATTGTCCTCAAGCCCGGCCAAACCGTCTATTTCCCCGCCGGCACCGTCCACTTCGTCTTCCGCCTGGCCGCCGCCGGCAACACCCTCGCCTTCGGCGGCCACATCCTGCGGTGCTCCAACATCGTGCACTGGGTGCGGACCCTCCTCGAAGAGCGCGACCAGAAGGAGGTCACGAACGAGGACCTCACGGACTCGGCGCCGGGGTATCTCGCTCGCGTGGAGAAGTTTGTGAATCAGGCGAAGGTCAACGGCACGGCGGAGAAGTGGGGAGGGGAGGAGTCGATTGAGGAGTTTTTGAGGTTGAAGAAGGAGTTTTTGAGTCGGAGGCAGAAGTGATGAGGGGAAGGAGAGGTGAGGTGAGGTTTCACGACGCGACGCGGAGGATCATGCAGAAGCTTGTTTTTGGATGTCGATGACAGCGCACGGACGCTTACTCGACGATCATGATGAGCGTGGGCATGGGCGTTGCGGATGTTTGTTTAAGCGGAGTTTCGAATGGGAAGATACCAAGGCAAGGGGATGCTATGCATGTGTCGTGTTCGCACTTCGTAATGAATGAGTCTCGACGTTTCTGTTGCAAGAGGCAGGAGCCTTGATGGTTTCATTTCTGGATACTATTCTTCCTCACTTCATTGCCGTTAAAAAAGTGTATGCCAACTTCCTAATCGTTTTGGCTCTCGCCATGAATATACTAATAACACAACAAGACGCTCCGGCATTTCCAATTCCAATCCTATCTCGTTCTCGCCCGCTCGATCCCAAATCCAGCTTCACCCAAACACCACGCTAAAACCCAGACAAGCACAATCAAAACCCACACTCATTGACGACCAGCGTCGTTGAGCAGGTATAGCAATGCACACACTTTTCAATCTAATCCCACAGGAACGGTAGTCTGTAAGTAGCGAATAGAGCAAGAATCACGTCTCAGGATAAGGCTGCTGGCTCGGCGTGCGTCCACGAGCATCCAACCTCGCGGCGGTCTCATCCAACCTTTTGCTCAATCCCTTCAACGCCGAGGACGCACTCGCCCGTGCATAATCCCTCAGTCTGACGACCTCAGGATTCGGTGATCTTGACGTGCCTCGAGACGCGATGGGGTCCGCGGAACCGTCCAGGTCGTCTTTGGGGCTGGCGCCGGGCGTGGCGTCGGGACTGGAGAGGTTGGAACTGCGTTCTGCTTCGGCAACAGTGGCGCGGGCTCGGTCGCGGGCATCGCGGACGAGGGCGGCGAGGCCTCCGTTGCGCATGCGGGCTTCGGCACGGCGGGCGGTGCTGCCGGCGAAGAACATGGCGTGGTTGACGGAGGAGGAGAGGACGTTGGGGTGTTTGCGGAGGCGTTCGATGTGTTCGACTCGGCGAGTGAGGACCAGCTGGGCACCTTCGCGTTCGGCGAGGATGCGTTTGATTTCCTGGGTGGTGTTAGCATGCTAGAACAGTGATGACTGGTCACGCTGTACTTACCTCTTGATACGCTTGCTCGTAAATGTCATCGTCAACGCCGCCAGGGCTCTCACTGATGATGGGCTCTTCCATCGGATCACCGCTCTCAGCAATATCAGCTCCGGGTCCTATCCGCAAGAACAGCCTATCTTCGAGCGGGTCGTGAGCATGGCCTTTAGCTTTCTCATCCACAGGAAATGTGCGGGCTCGTTGAGGTAGCACATCGGGCTCTGGGTCATCCGAGTCAGAAAGCGTTGACTGGTGACCTTCGGTCTCACGACGTTGGACCTGGTGAGCCTCTGACTCGTCGTGGTGTACTTCAGCACCGCCAGTACTATCCAGCGACGCAGGCGTTTGTGTATCTGACTTTACAAGATCAGCTTGCAAGATATCTTCATCGACCTCACGATCAATGCCGTCAGCTTGGTTGGCAACGGCTTCGTGCAGCGGCCGTCGTTGCTGGGTATCAGCGCTTCTACTGTGACCATGCACCGAGTGAGGTGGAGCAACCATCCGAGATTCACGACCAAAGAAGCCATCCATGAACTGTGCCCGCTTCAGTAGTCTCTTGAAACGTTTCGCTGCCTTGACGACGACCATCAAGTTGGCCATGTTTCCAGTAATGGCTTGGTCCATCTCAGCTTCAGTCGGTGGCTCGATCAGATCTGTGCAGTTCTCTTCCGTCGAAAGTAGCTTGTCAGTGCCTCCCTTCGTCACCCAGGGATGTTCCTGCATAATGTCAGCTCTGGGCTGGCAAATCGAAATGATCATCGCGCGCGCCATATACGTGGCTGATACGTACTCTGAGCTCTTCCATGGTAATTCTCTTCTCCGGATCCTTCTCGAGTAACCTGCGCATCAGATCGGCAAACTCGTCGTTTTGTTCCTCTTCAATTGGCACATCCTCGTTCTGTACCACATCAGCACTCGGCCTCATCACACGTTCTCCCCATGTCTTCTCACCTTGATGCTCTCATAAAGCTCCAACATGCCCGACTTCTCAAACGGAATCTTGCCATACCGCAGACAATACAGCGTAACGCCCATACTCCAGATATCCGCCGCCTTGCCGCTCACTGCACCATGTCGTACAACACAAAGCTCTGGGGGCATGAAAGCAGGACTCCCTGCCGATTTGGCCGTGTGCATGTCGGAATCCTTCTCAAACATCTCGCTCACACCAAAGTCCACGATCTTCAACACATCATCGTGCGTGATTAGGCAATTGTCGGGTTTGATGTCTCGATGTATAATACCCTGCGCGTGGAGGTACTCAATGCCCAGGATCATGTCACGGAACCAACACCGGCAGGCTTCCTCGTTGTATGGTGTTGCTCGCTCGTCCAGACCTACGTGCATAACCACGCCCTTCTTGCACATTTCCAGAACCATGTACAGCGAATCTTCCTGAGGATCGTCCAGCACTTCGATCAACTGCACGAGGTTGTGGTGGTCCAGCTTCTTCATAATCGCAATCTCCTCCTTGATCAGCTCCAGCGAGTTGTTGTTCTCCCCATTCAGCTTATCCGAGCTCGACAGCCGATGCAAAGGCGAATTGAAGCCCAATCCCGCAGCGAGGTTCTGCGGTCGACGAAGCTGGTTCGGCTTGCGCAGAAGATTCGACTGGGCTCGTTTCCGGAGTCGCGATTTGGAGAACTCCTTGACCGCCTACGTGTCCCTCGTGATCAGTATGCACATCCCATACTAATCCTTTGAAACAGGAAAGGGCAGTCAGAAAGGTGTGCATGTCCTCACATATTCATTTCCATATTGGTCCACGGCCAGATGGACTGCGCCGAAGCTGCCTCTGCCGATCTCTTGCTTGATGATGTACTGGTTGATGCGGTGGATGGCCCCGCCATCGTCGTCGCTACTGCCGTAGTGGGACCTGGCGTTCAATGTCTCTTTCACGGCCTTGGATCTTGAGGGCGCTCGCTTGTGGTGTCGGGCGGGGCTTTGGTATGCCGGCGCAGACCTTTCTCCGTGAGCACAGTCGTCCATGTTGACGGTGTTAGTGGATTGGTCTTACATGTGTCTGATGGGCAGCGGATGGTGGGCATCGTTGGCGGTGGGCGTGGCCGCATCGAGGTTGATGCTGATGCCGTGGGGAGGGATGATGCCGGGGAGGTGCTGGCGCTGCGACGGAGGCACCGGTGTGAGCGTGGTGGACGGCGGGTCGGAGCGTTGGTCGGCCATGGTGGTGAGGGCGGAAGCATTCGTAGGGCAGTGAAGGAGGGAAGAAGAATCATAGTCGGGCCATTTCTGCTCGTTTAGAGACTGCTACAAGGCTGCTAGTGTCCATCATCAGCTGTTGCTACTGGCAGGCCTCACAGCACAAGCGCGACCTCGTCCTCCACCTTCCCTGTCGCTTCCCGCCGCGGGGCTGCATCCTGGAGCCCACCATCCAAAGCTTGGCCTGCCTGTTTAATTGTCCCTTCGTCCCCCCTCCGCCAACGAAACCCACGACACTCCATCACCCGAACTATATCGCCGGCGTTATATCTGCACGTTCAGGGACCCGCATGCAGACCCGACGGCCGCGTGGCAACGAGCTCGGAACCAGACAAATGGACTAGGGCCATGCCAGCCTCCTGATCACTCACTCACCCACGCCAACAGTCACATGTCAGCAACAATGGCCACTCCTCTATCCGTCTACTCCTTCTTCATCTTCGACCGCCACACCGAATGCATCTACTCCAAACGCTGGACCACACCTCCCTCCCAAACCTCCCAAACTCAACGCACAACCCACGGCTCCCTCCCCAATGGCACCACAACCACCGCGATATCCTCGAAACGCGCCAACAAAGACACAAACGATGCCAAACTAATCTTCGGCACAATCTTCTCCCTCCGCCGCATGGTTCGGCAACTCGGCGGCCAGGACGATCTCTTCCTCTCCTACCGTACCGGCGAGTACAAACTGCACTACTTTGAGACGCCGACGCAGTTGAAATTCGTCATGTTGACGGACACCCGTGTGGGGAGTATGCGCACGGTACTGCATCAGATTTGGGCGACTCTGTATGTTGAGTATGTGGTGAAGAGTCCGCTGGCGCCGGTGGAACACAAGGCGGGAGTGGGAGTGGCGAATGAGTTGTTTGAGGGGGGTTTGGAGAGTTTTATGGTGAGTCGGTGTTTCTTTCCTGTTGTTCTAATCTCTTGAGAAGAAAAGTTTTGATTGCTGAAGTCAACGGTACAGAGGTCGATATTCTCGATACCGCAGTGAGGCGGTTATGTCAACTAGAAGACATAAACGATAGAATCGAACGACGTGCAACCCGAACAAGGAATTACAGAGAACCGCCTCGAGGGAAGCTGGGATACGGCAGAAGCGCGACTGATGAAGATATCGATATCCGTTTCGTCGAAAGCGAAGGTACAGAGTGCTTTCGGGGTGACAAAGAACACAGTGACTACCATTGCAAATGGCAGTGCTGCAACTTGAGGCTTTTCCTCAATTCAGGGTGTCATTGCGTCTCTGCAGGGTCCAGGTCGACTAGAACACCACTCTTCTCGGAGATGGCAACTGGGGACAGCGCTTCTCTAATGCTCTGCTTCGTGGCTTCAGTAACTCCAGCTGCGCTAAAATATCCCGTCACGCTGCAATATTTACCCTCCAGACGATGCTTCAGCTCTCTTGCCCAATGGTCGTCGAGTCTTTGCTCCTTTTTGTCGGTGTCGTTGGTCGACAGAAGTGGTTGCTCAATCTGATCCAAAACTCGCTCAACATCGGCTCCAGGCACATCCAGAACGAGAAGAAGCAGAAACAAAATCAGCGAGCTATCGCTACTCCCCGGCGTACCGTCACCATAAAGCAGGAGCGGAAACGCATTCGGGCCCGCAACGACACTTTTGAAAATGTGTCCGACGATTCCAGTAGACGCAACCAGAACCGCCAGCCCGTCTTCAACGCGACTGCGCGGCCGCAACAGCCTCTGGGCATAGTCCACGAGCTTTGGGTCGTTGCGATTCGTCGACACGCTGGCTTTGAGGTTCAGTTTGCTATACACAAAGGTCAGCCACCGTACCCTGCGTTGACCGGGGGAACTGTACTATCTTTCTACAGCCGGCACTTCTTTCAAAAGACCCTCCGCGAACGCTCTTCCTAGCCGCAGATGGACATGGCACGAGGTCACTCCCAATACATTCTCAACAGTACAGCTCTCTGACTTGTATGCCCCCGCGTCATCCTTGTAGTATCGCAATCGCTGAGGGTAGCGGGTGTTGATGACGGTTTTGATTCCTAGGTTCTCGCGGAGGATTTTATTGTCGTTGCTTGAGGCGTTGTCGAGTGATGGGGTGATGAAGAGGAGATTCTGTTTCAGTTGAATGGTGTTGCCGTTTTTGTTGAGTAAAGAGCCAACATCGTAAACCGGAATCGTAAGTCCAAGATCGCTCACAGTGGCGGCAGACATCATCAACGGAAGTAGGAGCCAAGGAATTATGAGGGTGTTTTGAAAGGAGGAGCGAGATCTGGGACGTCAGAATTGGAGCTTGCGGTTAGTCGGCATCATGTACATGTGCTTTGGCAAGTGGCACAGTAGAGGAGCTTGTGAACTAGTACATGCAGACCTGGAAAGAGCTGGAGGGATTCGAAGCCCACCATGGCGTCCACGACATCATCGCTTTTGATATGTTTCTACTCTTCTTTCTTTGCCTTGCGCTGTCTGCCATCCTGTCCCCCGTGGAAATAGCTCATCGTCTTTTGAAGATTGCTTGAATCCCTTTTCCATCTCCATTGTTTCTTTTTTCTTGATGCTGAGTATCATCTCCCGTCGTTCAGTCTATCCTCGAACGATCGAATTCGTAACCAGTTCCAACTACGTTCTCAGCCCCTATCTCCCCTCATTCTCCTCACCCGTCTCATCCTCGCCCTTCTCAACCAAACCCCCCTCATCATCCTCATCCCCTCCCACACCAGCACCAACCCCCCCTTTCATAAATCTCCCCATACTCCTCAACCCAATCACCTAACAATACACCACCATCAGGAAGCCCCACACCCATCTGAACACCCTGCCCAGCGTCTCCGCCGCCACCGACGGGGGCTTGCTACGGTCCCTGCTGCAGATGTGGAAAGTGTACATAATCTCGCTCAGAACCAGCATACCGAAGAAGATGAGCCAGCCTTCGCCTTCCGGGATACTGAAGCCCAGGATCGACGGGGGGGCGGCCCGAGAGGGATGAGAGCGTTAGCGTGGCGAGCAGGGCTGAGCCGAGGGCGAGGAGGGTCATGAGTACGATGGGCCATTTCGTTGTTGCGGTTTCATGGGGAGAATGGGTTTGTGGTGGTTCGGGGCTTGGAGCTGGCGCCGGAGCTGGAGTTGGAATTGGGGTCGGGGCCTTGGTATGTTCGACGAAGATTACGCAATTAGGATCGCTATTGTCGATGAGGAGGACACCGAGACATGGCAAATCGGTGGAGGTGTCAAAGGCGAAATAGGCGCAATATTCCATGCAGTCTCTAAGTCCTGGAAGCTTAGTGTAGGTGATGCTTGAAAATAAATACCGCGTTCATCACACAGAGAGAGGCTGTGTTGTAGCAAGGCATTGAAAACAGAGACAGTGCAATACTCCGGCGAGGAAGTCTTTCCCATAGAAGCGTGAGGCGATACGTCCCTTGCGTGATGGTGCTGCAATGCGACTTGGCGTTTGTGTTACAAGATTGAGATTTCATGCTCATGGAACGTATGGCTGGCAGGCATTGATATGTGCCTTTCTGAGCGATTGAAGCGTCGTTCATCCTGTCATCGTTGTGCCTTCCACCTCCCGTGAGCCCTTAGCCCACCTCCTCTCGAGTGTCTTAAGCTCTTCCCAGTGTTCAGCCACAAACGACTGCGCCAAATCCGGGTCTATAAACTCCGGCGGGGTTTCATCCGGACTGTTCATGAATCTTCTACTTTTCAAGAACCAGAAGAGTTGCGACTCAGCATCGGAGTGCGGCTCGGGGAGGACGCAAGGCTTTGTACCGCCTAGGAAGCAAACCCATCTGCGGAAGGCTCGCACAATCTCTGCCAACTTCTTATCCTTCGCTCCGCTTTCGGCGGCGATGATGGGCTTCAAAAGACGCTCGACCCATAGATTGCAGATCAACCGCTGCAAACCACCAAACATGGTCCTGTACTCCTCTTCCTTGTCGAAGAATTTGACGGCCTCGTCACGCAACCTCTCTCTCTTCTCCCATCGCATGCGGTCATCATCTCTGGGCTCTTCTTGTGGCGAGTCACACACTTGATCATCTGTGTCACTTTCCTCGTCTTCTATGCCATAGCTTTTCGGCAGCCATTCCTCGAAGAATTTCGAATACAGAGTGCGCTTGCTCTCCTTTTGTCGATCTCTTGAGATGTTCCGTTTCTTCCTGATAATGTTGAGATCAATCAAGCGGCATTCTCGGAGCCATCGAAAGAATTCCGAGACAGTAGCGAAGCCTTCTGCATATCGCCTGAAAGACAGGCCCAGGAAAGCCATGACTCTGTCTGGGTCATTCGACAGGATCAACATGCCGTCCTTGTCCGCGACTTGCTCCAACCTCGTCTTCTTCGCGTAGTCGAGCTCTTTGAGGCGAAGGACCAGTCCTTTATCGCTGATGGTAAGTCCAAGATTGCGGGTAATATTGCCGAGAAGTGCCCCCATGTCGCCGTATGAGCTGTAGAAGCTGTGCCACCTGAAGTCTTCTGAAGAGATGACCTCGATGTCGATCTGAGCGTACTCCTCGACGGTAACAGTAGTAGATGGTTGAGCTTTCTTGGAATTGTTGCTGGAAATATTCTTGTAGACAACAGTCTCATGAGAACTTCGAGAGCCATCTTTCAGAACACCAATCGAGCACATCTGGTGTTTACCACTGCTGGAGCATATGACCCCGGCGGCGCCGAGTTTGCGGGCGACGTCTATGAAGTCCACTTGGCCATCGGATACGACAAACAAGTCAAGGTCGCCATAATCGGTCTTTTCAGGGGCTTCGACGAGAACTGACACGGCCTTTCCCGGGAAGCATTCCTGCAGGCGACGGAGATAGGTTGTCTTGAGATGTGCGTATTCGGCCGGGCTCATCCGCGGTGTGTGCAGCGTGGGTTGGCCCTGCGCGGCCGCTTGAGCGAAAGCTGAGCCGCCCATGTTGGATAAGGCTAGTCTTTATGACTTCGGTTGCTATAGCTGTGTGGGGTGTATTGAATGTTCGCTTGGTGTATTGATGAGCTGGCCTGTGAGGATGTATGTTTTGTCGACGTGGAAGAGGATGTTTGCTGTGTCTTGGACTGCATTAGCTTTGGAAGAAAGAACCTACCGGTGAAGGCGCAGCACGAGTGATTCAAATGTAGTGGTGACTGTGAAACGGCAGCTGCCGCCAAGTGAATAGAGCAAGCTCGTGTCGCATGGCAGAAATTCCCTTTTCATCTGATTGCAATGGTGTACCGCATCAGGCTGAAGAGGAGGTCTCATGCCTGCCGCATCATTTTGTAGATTGTCGAGGCTGAGGAGTGCCTTGGTGCAGCTGGGTTCTCACGACACTGTCACACACTCCCAGCTGTTGTGACTCCGATCACAGCTAAGTTGCTGAGAGCATCCACACAATCTCATAGAATCGCCAAGTCTGGTCGATTTCTCGCATTGACTTTGATGGAAGACGTGGCGTAGAAGGTGGTGGCTGCGGCGAGAAGGCCGAAAAGAAAAGCTAAAAACTTAGCGGCGGGTCGGCACGGTGACGTCGCCTTTAAATCCTCAATGCCTGCGCTTGGGCGGCGTTTTCACATGAACGCCTTACGCTCACTCAACCTTCACCCCATGTATTCGTACCACCATGAAGTTCGCCAAAACCCTCCAAGAAGAGGAGGTCGCCGAATGGCAAGACTACTATCTCGACTACAAGCTCGGTAAAAAGAAGGTCAAGGCCGTCCAACGCGCGATCAAGCAACTGCCGGATCTCCGAAGCCAGAGTTCTACCAGTCTCCAGGCCATCCAGGAGGTCGACACTCGCCGCGCAGACTTCTTCAAGTTCCTCGACGAACAGCTGAAGAAAATCAATGATTTCTACCAGGCGGAGGAGCAAGAGGCGGGACGACGAGCCGAATTGCTACGAGAGCAATTACAGACGTTGGCAGAGGGTCGGCGCAATGCTGCTCTCTCAGCACCGCCTCAACCTGGTCCCACACAGAATGGGAATGGACAGCAGTCGAAGCCCCCTGTCCCTCCCTCGCCTGCTCGACCGACATTTCGACAGCGACTCATGAGAACGTTCTCAGAACAAAAGCACTCAGTGCAACATGCCTTTGGACATCATTCGACTTGGGTTCCGAATGAGCACCAGCGAGACTATTCCCGCAAGCCCGAACGATTACCACCTCACCATGTGGCCAAGAGGAGGCTCAAAGCTTTGATGCAAGAGGAGTACCGGCATCTCGAGATGATTAGGTCTTTCTCAGATATGAACCGGACGGCGTTTCGCAAGATCATAAAGAAGTATTTGAAGGAGACATGGCAGCTGGATACTGGTGATCGGGTGACCTACATGGACGACAAGGTCAACAAGGCCTACTTCGTGACCTCGGACGAAGTCCCGAAATTGTTCGACGAGTACGAGCGATTATATGCCGAGCACTTCGAGAGGGAGAATCGCAAAGTCGCGGCAAGCAAGCTCCGCGCCAAAAACGTCAAACCCATGCAGTATGTTGCACCGTGCGGCCGGGCAGGATTCGCTTACGGGGCCGCCTTTGTCCTTGCGATTTTGGGCATTGTCTACGGCGCGGAAGACCTCTTTGGAGTTCAGCCGTACTCGAGTCAGGCCGTCTACCTCTTGCAATTGTACGGCGGTTGGTTTCTGGTGCTGTACATGGCTGCGCTGTTTGTCGTCGCCTGTGCAGTGTTTAACAGATACAGAGTCAACTATGGCTTCATCTTCGAATTGGACCATAAGTCGGCGCTGAATTGGTTCCAAATGTCAGGTGAGTAGATCCTGAACTATTTATTTACAAGACGCTTGCTGACTGCAGAACAGAAATCGTAGCCTGGCTCTTCCTTGGCTTAGGTCTTGCCATGGCCCTCAACTTTGCCTTTCAGGTAGGAGGGGTGTATTTCTACCGATACTGGTTCGTCGTTCTCATCACTGGTAAGTACTCAGTCATTCAAATAAACCTGTATCGCCCCGATATTGATATTATGATAGGCACACTTCTGGCCATGGCACTTCCAGCGCCCTTCTTCTACCACCGAGCACGCAAGTGGCTGTTTTTCACTCTCGGCCGCCAGCTTGTACCGTTGTTCATCCACGTCGAGTTCCGGGACTTCTTGGGCGGTGATATCCTCTGCTCCCTCACCTACTCCCTCGGCAACCTCTTTCTCTTCGCCTGTGTCTACGACCACGAATGGAACCGCCCCTCCCAGTGCTCCTCCTCCCACCACTGGGGCATCGGCATAATGACCTGCATCCCAGGCACCATTCGAGCCCTCCAATGCCTCAAACGTTTCTGGGACGAGAAAGCCGCCTTCCCCCACCTGGTCAACTTCGGGAAATACTGTTTCACGATCGGCCAATACGCATTCCTCTGCGTCTACCGCCTGAACGTGAAGAAAGACTGGACCCTCGCCCTCTTCGCGGCCGTCGCAAGCATCAATTCAATCTACTGCATAGTCTGGGACATCCAATACGACTGGTCGCTAGGCAACTTCGAAGCGAAACACTGGGGCCTCCGCGAAACGCTCATCTTCCGCAAACACGTCTGGGTGTACTACGTCGCCATCGTCGTGGACATCATCCTGCGCCTCAACTGGATCCCCTACTGCATCTGGACCAAAGACGTCCAGCACGCCTCGATCATCTCCTTCATCGTCGGCTTCTCCGAAGTCACCCGCCGCGGCATGTGGATCATCTTCCGGCTCGAGAACGAACAAGCCGCGAACATCGAGCGCCGGAAAGCTGTTAGGGACATGAAGCTGCCCTACAAGTTCATTTCGCCCGCCGCGGGCCCGCTGCAGCTCGATAGTACTCCTGCTGTCGAGGTCGCGCCGAGTCTCGAGAGCCAGACGACGCCGTCGACGCCTGGCGCGAGCACGTTGTCGAGGATCGGGACGAGGATGCGCACGGCGCATGTGCGCGATTACCAGCGGAGACCGGAGTCGACGAGGGAAGAGCAGTGGCGCGCGGGTGCGGATGATGATGATGATGACGACGACGATGATGAGTGACTGTATGATTGGAATTCCTACGACAGTGTTCATGAGATGACGACTTTTTGAACGTGGATTGGGACCGGAACCGGAACGACCATCCTGAGATCCCCCCTAAAAGCGAGCGTGCGAACGTTTGTTAAACATATGTATTGTGTTGTTTTGGTAGTACATAATGTACAGTTTCACATACGATATACAGCTCCGACACTGCACTCTCCGAATTGATATGAGTAGGGCATGTGACTTGTTTGATCTGTCATTTCATAGTTCTCATTTCATTTCATTCATTGCTGTCTTCTCTCATCGAACCTCTCCACAGAAGCCCGCTCAAGGAGAAGCACCCACCAACGCCATCGCTGAACCGCAAACCGCAAACCCTCACAAAACAAACCCATCACCCCAACCGCTGCCTCTTCCCCCCACCCCCTCTCTGCTCCGCAAGTCTCTTCCGCTCCATCTCCTCCTTCATGATCCTCTCCATATTACTCAGCTTCTTCTCCGGTTCCACTACTGCGGCGGGTTTGGCTTTTGCGAGAGGGTTCTTCCTTGCGAGCGGGTTGGAGGTTTTGGCTTTGAGGCCGAAGGAGAGGGCGGGTTTGGCTGGGGCTGCGGGTGCGGGTGCAGGTGCGGGTTTTGGGGGGAGTTCGTCTTCGTCTTCGTCTTTTGACTCGCTCTTCTCCTCAGGTTTTGGGGCTTCGGTGGATTTGTCGGCGGAGGAGAATGTGTCTATTGCCACGGGTTGGCCTTCTGGTTGGTCTTCTGGGGTATCCTGCTTCTTGGCCGGACCCTTCGCCTTCAAACTAAACCCAGGGACCTTCACGGGCTCCAGAGCCTTCTTCTCTCCGTCCTCTTCCACCCTCTTCTCTCCATCCACATGCGCACTCTCCCCACCCTCCTCCCTCCTCTTCCTAGCCTCCTCCTCCCTCGCCCTCCGAATCTGCGCCTCCAACAACCGACTCTCCACATCCTCCTCCCCCTGCGCCAACCTCTCCTTCCGCTTCACATCCTCCCTCCGCCTAATCGCCTCCGCACTATCATCAATCCACGCAATCTCCAACCCCCTCTCCCCCTCCTCCACGCGACAAATCCCCTCCCTACCAAGATGTTTCCCAAACTCCGTCAAACTCGGCCACCGCGTCGCGTTCATATGCACATGCTCCTTATCCCGAATATACTCCTGATAGAAATTATTCATATGCACCTTCTTCTCGCCGTGCGCGGTCCTTAGCAACTGCAAGAAATCCCGCTGGAACTGGCGGGAGAATTCTGCGATGTGCTTCTTGGGGTCTTCGCCCACGAGTAGCATCGCCCGCACGTGGCCCTCGGATTGCGTGTGTTGTTTGAAGCCGTTTTCGTCCCGGCATTGTTTCGAGCAGATTTGGCAGTACCAGCGTAGGCGCTGGAGGCCTTTGGCTTTCATTTTGTTGGCGACATATTTGGTGCTGCCGACTTCGGCTTTGGGCATTTTGGCGGTGCGGGCGTGGTCGCGGAGGGGTGGTGATTGGAGTGTATTTGTGGTGGTTTAGAGCTGGGTTGGTGTCGAGGAGTGGAGCAAAGTGAACGATGTGCGAAGTGGCTGTTGGAGGTGCTTCTGCGAAAGTTGCATGACTCAGTAAATATGTGCCTCAGGCATCAATCGCTACAATCACATGTCAACGATCAAAAGAGAGTTCACGCGAAGTATGCATTAATCATTAGAATCTAGCTCTCCTAAAGTCGTACAAGTAATTCCAATGCTGTGTCCCATGGCCGCCATTTCTCTTATCCCTGAACAAGTACCTCTGCCACTTTCTTGCTATCATAATTGGTCTCCCGCCAGCTTTCGTTTCTCTTCCTCGATCATGCCGCTGTGCTGTTACTATAGCGACGCTGAGAAGATGTCGCCAAGGTGACAGCAGCTGTCGATGCCGGAATTGGGAACGTAATGCTGGCTGCCACAGTCCATCCAGCCGCTGATCCAATAATCGAGATATCCGTGTACAAGCCACAGCGAGTCTCGTATCCAAACTGGATGCCATCACATTGTGCAGTGCACGATGCAGCACAGGCAGCAAAGTCGGTCGCGGTCGTGTACTGTGAGTGTGCAGCTGTGAACATATTGTCGCATGCCACAGCGAAGTAGTTGCCGCTGTCTGGCACAACGTACACGCTGTGGTTTGAAGCTGGACAGGAGACAGCTGCGATGTTCGTGATTGTGGGTGGCAGCGAGCTGCTGGTCAGGTGAATCACTGAAGCTGTCGATTTTGCGCTGGTCACGTTGATGATGGAACCTCCTGGGTTGATCCGCGTAGCACTCGCGATCGATGAAGGGATCACAGGTCCAACGGGTCCCACAGCGTTGACACTGTTCGTTGTGAAGGGTCTCGGCAGATCTGTGATGCTACGTGTGACGGGCGGGACCAAGGTGTGTGTCGGATTGACGGTCGTACGGTGTGTCGTTGTTGATGTTGTTGTCGTACCGTCATCATCATCGCCGTCGATATCGGCAACCAGGAGCACGTAAGTGAGTTGCTCCGACGTGCGGTTATCCAATTCCACCCCCTGTCGACAGAGATGACAAGCATTGTATTCCGGGAACCATTTCAATCCCAAGCAAGTCGCGTCTTGATCGCAGCTCTGGATACAATACTCTACATTCTCAGCTTCTTCGCGGAAGACAGAAGTGCTGACACAGTCGGGCTCCACACCACACATGACTGTGTATGAGCCATGCAGTTTGTCGACGTATGGAAATCCGTCGCATTGGGGGCAAGTCGGCGCTTCCAGATCGCAGCCTGAGCTGATAGGCAGAATCGAGAATGTCGGCTCTCCAGTGGACGAAGGCTTCGTGTAGTTCGCCGGGAAAATGGTTGGGAAAGCGCTTGGGCTCGTCTTCGCAGCAGCTGCAACTTCTGTCGAAACGGGCAGGAAAGCAGTATAGTCTGCTTTGGACGTTGGAAAGACGTCCTCTCCTCGAGCAAGCTCGCAGCTGCGATCATCGTAGTACACAGTTCCCTTGCACCATTCGAATTTGTCACACTCGGTCAAGCACTCGCCTGGCGACATCCATTCTTGGGGGGAGTAGCTCGAATTTGAGTACAAGTCTGACTCGCAGCTGATTTTGTACGCTGACCCATCCTCGGTCTCCACTTGTCGGCCATCGCATCGGGGGCATAGATTCGTGAGTCTCAAATCGCATGTGGCCGAGCTGCTTGCTGCTGGTGCGGCAGAAGTGGTGGAAGTAATGGAGACTTGGGCTGGCGGAGTCGCACCAGGGCCATAAATGGTTGCCGTGATTTTTACACGCGAAGTCGAGGTGGAAGTGACATCTGGCTCGTCGTCGGAACCTGCTAAGCGAACGAGAGAGGTAGTGCCTGGTCGTCTTGACAAGCCTTTGGGATCGCCAGTGACAAGCGTGCAAGAACCGTTTGCAGCCAGGTTAACAGCCCAGCAGTCGTCATCATCATCGCATGCTTCTATACAGATCTGGGGGCTCGTGTCACCCTCGACTGGATCCTCGTCCTCAGAGGAGATGGACCAACCGCAGGACACTGCCCAATCCTGACCTCCAGTATCCGTGACATTGCCGCCGTCGCAGGTCACGCAGAGATCGTCGGTGAGCTTGCAAGTCTCTGCTCGAGGCTTCTGAGTCTTCAAGGAGAACTTGTCGAAATTGTCGAACTTGTCGGAAGGCTTGAAATGTGCCCTATGCTTGGCCAAGGCAGGGATGGCGGAGGCCGTGAGGACAGCAGCGATGGGAAGCAGCGACTTCATCTTGAACCGCAATAATGAAAGAGTGGACGCCGAAGCAAAGTAACGAACGTGTTGAAGTGCGTTGGGTTGGGCAGAAAGGAAGAAGTTGCAGTTTGTCGAAGATTGGGACTGCGGGAAGGAGAATTGCTGGTGATGTCAAGGCACAAACGCGTGACGGGATGCAAGGCGGGCAAGAATGAAGAGCGACGAAACGCGGTCCTTCCTGACATTGTGTCATTAAACAATTTGCAATTCCATCGAGACCTACATTGAACAGATGGTTGTGTCCGTCCCTTTTGCGATACCTGCGGAAGTGCTGTTGGCGTGCGGGTGAGAGTATTGGAAACGCTGGGTGGTACAAACTCCCCTCGCCCCGCCAGCAAACAAAGAGATGACCAGAACGATGCCATTTTTCATAATCAGATGATGCGGCAGAGTCAAGATGACGATTTGGAGATCCATCTCCGTCTGGTCGGTTATGCAGGTCATGGTTTGTAGGGTTGGTCCACGCAGACGCCGGCAAGGTACTCTGTCGTTGTGACATTGATTCCGAAAAAGGTATCGTTGCGAAGGCAGCTATGAGTCTTGTCCTGCGAATGCGAGTGCGGTTGAACGAGTGTCATAGGCAGATGCAATTGCTCGCGGGTCCACATAAGTCCAGCTATCCGTACCGACGGAAGAGCGTATCGTGGGTCATCAATTACATAGTGATGCTGAGTCTCCTCTGGTACGGATGTTCCAAGGTACGGTGCCTATGCAGGTGCTGGATTTAGCTGTTGGACGGGCAGCGAGGAGGAAAGAGAAGTGAGTCTTGTTGTTGTGAGTGTGAAATACCTGTGGGACGGTCCTCGCGGTCCTCACCCACCGGCACCCCGTCCCAAGCCGTCGGATGTTTGAGTTTTGAGTTCAGTATTTTATTTATGCAGGCCACCAAAGCGGCGATTGTTACTGCTTCTGTGGTTGTGACGCCTTCCAGTGAGGGTTTTGCACAACTCCTGCGACTCTCAACAAGACTCATCGAACCCCGATACGAAGAGTACGAACACGCACAGGACCGGTTATGCGTCCGCGGGGCGTGGCCGACGACAGAGATGGCAGCAGACCAGACAAAGCGAGGCCACGCTTTTGTCGCACTCGCACATGCTCGCGCGGTGATTGGGTCGTTTATCGCATTCATCATGAGCGAGACGGTACCTTATACTTTCTGCTCGGCAGGTCTCCCATCCGCGTATATCGACATCACCACCGCACACGCTTTATATCTCTGTGCAGGCGCAGAATCGCCCCGAGGGTTAGTGGCGGTTTGGTCTTCCACATGTTCCTCTGACTTCCTACATCTCTCCCGCCTTTTCTCATCTCTCCGGGCGTCCAAGATAGCTGAAACCAGTCCAATTCTCCGGACAGGCCACCGTTGATCTCCAGCCCACCTGCTCGGCTTGGACGAGCCTTTGGTTCCGCCTGGACCACTACCGCTGGAAACAGTTAAACCTATTTTTTGGCTGCCTTCTCCGCCGTTGCCCTGCAGGCGTTGCAGCGTAGCTAAAACACGCCCGAGCGAACGCATTCAGCAATCCACCGAGGCCGTTCGGCCACCATCACCACCACCTTCGCTTGCCGCAACACACCCACCTCTTCTCCGCCGTCCAACATGGCCGTCGACATGGAGAAGAAGGACTTCAGCGAGTCGTCGAGTAACGACGCCTCGCGCGAAGAACTCACCATGGCCGATCCAGAGAAGACCGCTCTGGGCCAGACACCTTTCCCAACCACAGCACCCATCGAGCCCGCGCCGCCCCTCCAGCGATTGGATTCGACACTGCCCAAATCAAAGGACGAGAAGAAAGAGGAGGACGATGTATTTGCACATCTACCAGAACACGAGGCGAGCATACTTCGAAGACAGTTGGATATACCGCCGGTCAAGGTCACGTACAGAAGTCTGTACCGCTACGCGACCAGGATGGATCTGTGGATTATGGCCTTGAGCGCCATCTGTGCCATTGCTGGAGGTGCCGCCTTACCGCTCATGACCATCGTATTCGGATCGCTTGCTGGGAACTTCCAGGATTTCTTCAACAACCCAAACTCAATTACCTCGGAGTTTTCGCACATTGTCGCCCACAACACTCTGTACTTTGTCTATCTGGGTATTGGCGAGTTTGTGGTAACCTACATCTCGACAGTGGGCTTTATTTACACCGGCGAGCACATTGCAGGCAAGATCCGTCAACAATATCTCGCGTCAATTTTGCGCCAGAACATTGGATACTTCGATAAGCTCGGTGCAGGCGAGATCACGACCAGGATCACCGCTGACACCAACCTGGTTCAAGATGGCATATCGGAGAAGGTTGGCCTGACCTTGACCGCGATTGCGACTTTCATCGCTGCATACGTGATTGGCTACATCAAATACTGGAAGCTGACACTGATCCTGACCTCGACTATTGTCGCCATCTTCCTGACCATGGGTGCTTTGGGACAATTTATCGTCAAGTGGAACAAAAAGTCGCTGCAATCTTATGCAGAGGGTGGAACGATCGCCGAGGAAGTCATCAGCTCCATTCGCAATGCCATCGCCTTTGGAACACAGGACAAACTTGCAAGGGAGTACGACAAGCATTTGGCCATTGCTGAGAAGTCTGGCTTCCAGATGAAGGCCATGACCGGGTCGATGATTGGGTTCCTCATGTGCTACGTGTATCTCACGTACGCACTTGCATTCTGGCTGGGCTCGAGGTACCTCACCGAGGGTGAGACCACCCTACAGGACGTTCTTACAATCCTGCTGTCCATCATGATTGGCGCCTTTGCACTCGGAAATGTTGCGCCTAATGTCCAGGCCTTCACCACCTCTGTGGCCGCGGCCTCTAAGATCTATGCTACCATAGATCGCGTTTCACCACTGGATCCAACCAATGACGAAGGAAAGAAGCTCGAACATCTGGAAGGAACCGTTGAGCTTCGCAATGTCAAGCATATCTACCCATCACGGCCGGAAGTCTGCGTTATGGAGAACGTCAACCTGGTCGTACCGGCTGGGAAGACGACCGCCCTGGTAGGAGCTTCTGGATCTGGAAAGAGTACGATCGTTGGTCTCGTAGAACGCTTCTACGACCCAGTAGGTGGAGACGTGCTATTGGATGGCGTCCATGTTCAGGACCTGAACTTGCGATGGCTTCGACAGCAGGTCAGCCTGGTCTCTCAGGAGCCCACTCTTTTCGCAACCACGATTACCGGAAACATTGCTCACGGTCTCATTGGTACCGAGTACGAGCATCAATCTGAGGATCAGGTCCGCGAGTTGGTCGAGAGTGCCGCCAGGATGTCCAACGCCCACGATTTCATCTCCGCATTGCCAGAAGGGTACGAAACAAATGTTGGTGAACGTGGTTTCCTCCTTTCTGGTGGCCAGAAGCAACGTATTGCTATTGCACGAGCGATTGTTAGCGATCCAAAGATACTTCTGCTAGACGAGGCCACTTCAGCACTGGATACGAAGAGTGAAGGTGTTGTGCAAGCTGCGCTGGACAAGGCTGCCCAAGGAAGGACCACCATCGTCATCGCCCATCGTCTGAGCACTATCAAAGATGCCGACAACATTGTCGTCATGTCTCAAGGCCGCATCGTCGAACAAGGCAACCACAATGAGCTTTTGGAGAGGAAATCTGCATACTACAACCTCGTCGAAGCACAGAGAATCGCTGCAGAGACCGAGCAGAAGCGTGAGGAGGAAGTTGAGATGCTGGATGATTTGAAGGACGGCAACCTGCTCGAGCGAACTCCAACCGAGAAGATGGAGGAGTACGAGGAAGATCCCAACGATCTCGAGATTGGCCGTTCGAAATCCGTACAGTCTGCTTCCAGCAAAGCCCTCGCCAACAGGAGCCAGGACTCGTCAGCAAAGTACTCACTCTGGACTCTGATCAAGCTTGTTGTATCGTTCAACAAGACCGAACTCCACTATATGCTGTTGGCCTTGTTCTTCGCGATCATCTGCGGTGCTGGCAACCCAGTCCAGGCCGTCTTCTTCGCAAAGTCCATCTCTGCGCTCGCTCTACCGCCCAGCCAATACGGTACTCTCCGAAGCCAGGCCTCTTTCTGGTCGTGGATGTACTTCATGCTTGCGATGGTGCAACTGCTTGCATACATTGTCCAGGGTGTTGCATTCGCATACTGCAGTGAGAAGCTCGTCCACCGAGCACGAGACAGGTCGTTCCGTACCATGCTCAGACAGGACATCGCATTCTTTGATAAGGAGGAGAATTCTGCCGGTGCTTTGACTTCGTTCTTGAGTACGGAGACGACCCATCTGGCTGGCATGTCTGGTATTACTCTGGGCACGATCCTGCTCGTCACCACCACTCTTGTCGTCGGTTTCGTCATCTCGCTGGCCATCGGCTGGAAGCTGGCTCTTGTCTGTATCGCCACCGTTCCCGTTGTCTTGGCTTGTGGTTTTTTCCGCTTCTGGATCCTTGCCCGCTTCCAAGCTCGCGCAAAGCAGGCATACGAGAAGTCTGCCTCTTACGCCTGCGAGGCGACTTCGGCTATCCGTACAGTGGCATCGCTGACGAGGGAAGACGACGTGTGGCAACATTACCATGAGATGGTCGAGCAGCAAGAGGCCAAGTCACTGAACTCTGTAATGAAATCATCGCTCCTTTACGCCGCTTCACAGAGCTTGATGTTCTTGTGCATTGCTCTGGGATTCTGGTACGGAGGCACACTCATCGGCAGCCACGAGTACAACATGTTCCAGTTCTTCCTCTGTTTCTCCGCCGTCATCTTCGGCGCACAGGCAGCAGGAACGATCTTCAGCTTCGCACCAGACATGGGCAAGGCAAAGCACGCCGCCGCAGAAATGAAGACCATGTTCGACCTGAAGCCTGAAATCGACACCTGGAGCAACGACGGCGAAATGATCGACACCATGCGCGGCGACATCGAATTCCGCGACGTCCACTTCCGCTACCCAACCCGCCCCGAACAACCCGTCCTTCGAGGCCTCGACCTCGAAGTCCGCCCAGGGCAATACGTCGCCCTGGTCGGCGCTTCCGGCTGCGGCAAATCCACCACCATCGCCATGCTCGAACGCTTCTATAACCCCCTAGTCGGCGGCATCTACGTCGACGGCAAAGAAATCTCCTCGTTGAACGTCAACTCCTACCGCAACCACATCGCGCTCGTCTCGCAGGAACCGACCCTCTACCAAGGCACGATCCGCGAAAACATCCTCCTCGGCGCCGATCGCAAAGACGAAGACGTGCCTGAAGAGTCGATCGTCCAAGCGTGTAAAGACGCCAACATCTACGACTTCATCATGTCCCTCCCAGAAGGCTTCGACACCGTCGTCGGCAGCAAAGGAAGCATGTTGTCCGGCGGTCAGAAACAGCGTGTCGCTATCGCGCGAGCACTACTCCGCGACCCCAAGATATTACTCTTAGACGAAGCAACCAGCGCTCTCGACTCCGAATCGGAGAAAGTCGTCCAAGCAGCACTGGACAAAGCCGCCAAGGGCCGCACGACAATCGCAGTCGCGCATCGACTCAGCACCATCCAGAAAGCCGACATGATCTACGTCTTCGACCAAGGCCGGATCGTGGAAAACGGAACTCACAGCGAACTCATCGCCACGAGGGGGAGATATTTCGAGCTCGTCAATCTTCAGAGCTTGGGCAAGAATTGAGCGTGACAGTGGCCATGGCTATGGCTATGGCGACTATCAGCGTCTTTTTGGGTTTGTATATGAAGCGAGGCGTTTGGGTTAGATCGGGAAACTGAAAGGGGACTTTATTAGATACCTATATGGCCAGCATGAAAAGGGATGTCTCGGCCTGGGAAATTTTTGGATGATGTATTTGTATGTGCACGACAGTTCCAAACTCAATAGTACGACAGAGAGTATGAAGATGGAGAAAAGGTTTCTACGCTTTTCTTGATATTCACTGCCCCAGATATGCGATTCTTCCGTCACCCGGTCAGATTGGTTTGACGTGGTGATGCCGAGAAGAGACGAAATGCCTCGCTGCAAAGAAAGGAATCGCAGTGCCATTTCGAATTGTACACAGAGAACCCGCAAATCTTTCCATCTCGAACAATCAGTCGAACGAAGCAGCATTCCCTCCCATTCCCCCTCCAAACGACCTCCTTAATCTCAATCCCAAGTTTGGGCGTGTGAGGGAAGAGACTAGAACGTATTGCAAAGCTGCCACAGCCTCTTGATATCTACCACATATCAAGTCAGCAAACATTCTCATCTTCGATGCATGAAGCATTTGTGTGCATGAAGAAGGCAAAAAAACCTACCACCCTCCCGTTTAAACTGCCCCACACAACCGTAACATTGTCCCAGATTCCCGCAGAAATTCGGCGTGCTGAAGAGGCAGTTGAGGTAGTTTCCGTCGGCGGTGAAGGGGACGTTTACTTTAATACCGGTAGGTCAGTGTTTGCAGAGAGAGATATATGTGGGGAGGGGGGTATGCGGGGAGTGTAGGAAGGGGGAAGGGGTATGCAGGAGACGTACGATTCCGTGGACACTGCGCCGCTGGATAGATTGCTGCCGCGCAGGAGGGGTCTTGTTGGCATTGGAACTGTTGAGGGGGAGAGGTGTTAGTTGATGGAGTTGGTTATCGTTGGGGATGGGGAAGGGAAGGGAGGCGTACGGGCACGTCGCCGGCGAAGTCGACTTCGGATTGTTGGGCTGTTGCGAGGGCGGTGAGGCCGAGGAGGATGGGGAGCTGGAGCTGGAGGGTGAGTTGGAAGTGCATGGTGTGCGGGATCGGTGAATGAAAGCTATTCTTTGGTGATGATGATGTTTTGTTGATACTGCGACTGTGTCTTGTTGGTGTACTTATACCCTCCCTATATCCTCTCCCTCTGTCTCTCCCTGCGAACCACCTCCACACTCATCACCGCTCATCACACCGTCAGCACATAGTCTGACACCAAGCCCGAAAGGATGATGCCCGGATGCAGGTGTTTGCAAGCGGTCGTCATCGATCTCGAGGCTGTGAATACACTTTCTCCTCAGTCGTCCCTTGCATAGCGCAGGGGTCCAGCCTGATCCGTACGCTTCCGCCACGAGGTTGATGCAGGGTTGATGGGTGTATTCTGGGACGGAGGCGGTGTTTCAGCGGTGGTTCGAGAGGAGGCTGATGTTTCGGGGCGTGTTTCGGTGGCCGTGATGCTGGGCAATGTTCTGAGGTGGACGTTGACGGCGGCGGGGTCACTCGCGTAGCTTTGTGGCCAGGGAGGAAGACGAAATCCTCTTCTCTAGATCAACTTCAAGTGCGTGAATGAGCAACAAATCTTCTCCAGAAACCCGGCGTCGTACTTCTTGAATCTCTACGAACCACTCCAGCAGCTCAAGCCGGTCTTGTCCCTGATCGAAAACGTTCGGGAGAAACCACTGTCCGTCTGGCAAGGCGATGTATCTCTTGACAAAAAGCATCGTGGCGCCCAAAGCCCAAACATCACCCGCTACTCCTTTCTTCTTGTCCAGGAACTCAGGTGGAACATATGGAGGTGTCCCACTCGGATCAAAAGACACAACGCAGTTTGGCGAGATGTACCGAGCGGCCCCGAAGTCGATGAGCACAGCTTTGCACGTCTCCGGATCCCACATGATGTTGCTCGGATTGACATCGTCGTGGATGATATCTTGAGCATGGACATGAGCCAGGGCATCCGCCATTTGCGACCAGAGGACGTCACTCTCTTCTACCGAGAGACAACATGTCCTCGTGTGCACTGTGATCCACGAATCTAGACTTCGAACAGTCTCACGGCGGAGGATGATGCTGAGATCACCAAAGTCCGAGTCAAACAGCATGGAGATGCAATCCGGCCCGCCAACTCGTCTCAGCGCAGCTACCTCGTTCTGCCATTTCAATGTAATTTCTGCCGTCCGTGGGCAGAGTTTCTTGACCGCGACGAGAACACGGTTCCTTTCTTCGAACTCGATCGTCCGAGACTCGGTTTCCATTTCGGAGCTCATTGATAGCGCAGGTTGGATGAGTGAGCAGCAGTGCACTCGACGAGGTCGGGAGATCTTAGAGCTGGGCGGTGTCCGGCTTTGGTTGGCGGTCTTTCGATTATTGAGGTGAGGTCTTTCCGGTCCGTCGAAGCGACGATTCGGGAATGGTGCAAGTCCAGGATGGAGTAAGATGCTCACACAACCCTCCTCCAACCCGCATTGTTTACATCATTCCAGCATCTTTCGACACATTTGCTATCATGTCTTGTTTCTCTCTGGGAAGGCCTTTCGCAAGACGATGAACTATTGGACGGATACTCGGGTCAGAGCATCTACAAAGAGAAGAAGCGATTTCTTAGTCTGACAGAGCAATAGCGAAGCCCATAGGAACTTTGGGCATGATCGAAGAATTACAGTCTCCGTATCATATTGCCAATGTTGTTACTGTCGTCCTTGGAGACTGCTTCTCATGTGGAAGGCTGGATTCCTGGGCCTCGCAACAGAAGTTCATCGCGTTCGAGCTTCTACGAGTATCAAGATTCGATCGCTTCTTGATTCTCGGGCGGTGTCCAGGAGAATGATTGACGCACACTTTCTTGTCAGCTAAGCCACAGAGTCGTCAAGAAGTTGCCGGCGAAAAGGGCACCGTTCTTCTGAAGGCATGCAAGGTACAACATTAGCATAGATATGTTCTTCAAGCTTCATTCCTGATGGTGTTGTAGATAGTTATGTGTCGAGAAGGAAGTGCTGGTTCCACGAAGACGTGTCGTCTCAGGGGGTGGATCAGTCATCCATGCAAGCGCCGCAGGAAGCCCCAAGCACCGGGAAGCCGCCCGGTTCTGGAACTGAACGATTTCCTCTTCTCCATCATCAACGACAACATCTATCGCTTTACATCCGACACCTGCTTCGGCGATGCGTTCTATTGTCCAGCACGTTCGCCTCTCGCCAAGTCAACATCGCCCTACGCGGACTCCAGCTGATCCCGCTTCGACATGTGCAAGTCTTGGACTTCCGCCCCCCTCCATCCAGCCACCATCGCCGTTGAGGACCACGTTGGCCTCCTTCCCTTTGCTTCTTACTACGGAGATAATACTGTTTCGATCGTCTTAGCCCGCCTTGTAGGAAAGATCTTTGTATCGACGTCGTGTACACCCTCTTCCGAAAGCACTGCGCCTCAGCCAAGTCCAGTCTTGCCAATCTCCCCAGCCGTCGCTTTGGGAAAAGCCAACGCCGAGTACACCCAAGATATTGGCATTGTCTTGTACGGTCCTCTGGATCCCATAGCCTAGCCCACGTGTCTGGCATTATCGTAGTTGATGGTTCCTTGACGACTGCCATGGCATCTGGCCTCTCGCGAGCTCTCGAGAGGCGATACACCACATGGCCTTCGTCTGCAAGCCATACATGAGGTAAATATGGCATCGCCCCCCTTGCATATATCCCTTCCTTGACCAGTTCGCATCTCAATTGGAAAAGCATATCGCTTCGCGAACTGCGCTCGTCGCTGCCTACTCGTTAAGTCTTTGGCAAGATGAAGACCAGTCTTCTGGACACATGGCGCATGTACGCCCCCGAGGAGAGGCGCAACATCATGATCTACATCGTCGGGATCATGTTGTACAAGTTCGGCCTCGAGGCTTTCAACGGTTCGGTCATTGCACTTGCGACGAACAGATACGACACGATCGAGGGCGGCGGCAACACTTTTGAGCGAATTGGTTTGTTGACTGCGCTCAATCAGACGTTCCAGTGTATCGGTTCCATTCTCATCGCGCCGCTCATCAAGCGATACGCAACCAAGAATGTTCTGTCGTGCGCTATTATCGTCTTCGGGCTTCTCACGGCCATCCTTCTTATTGTCGACGCCGCAACTGGTGGTCGGATTAAGCCAAGGTACGAACGCGATATCTTTTTCAATTGTTGGAATGGGTTTGCTAACACGTAGCGCCAGGAACTGGGATGCAACGCACGATGAGGAGGACTTCAGCTACTACGGCGACTGGGACACCGACGGCATTATTCCAATCTACTGTATCACTGGCATTGCCTATGGTATGGTTGAGTTGATCCGTCGGGTCATCCCCCGTGACATTGTCGGCGGTAATGTCCAGAAGCTGAGACGTATGGACGCTTTGGTGCACATCTTTTATGAGATCGCTGGTACTGGAGGTGCATTCTGCACTGCCCTTGGTCTGATCCCATACTTTGGCAACAACATGTCCTTCATCATCACGTAAGTTCGACCATCAACTCCGACATGCCAGTACTTCGCGCTCATACTGTCGCAGACCCATTTGCTTCGCCTGTGCCAGTATCGTTTGGTTCTTCATTACCAAACTACACTTCACCCGACCTGAAGCTCTGGAGCATCAAGAGCGAACATTTGCGGGCTACATGCGTAGCATTGGAAGGAGTGTTTATCTCTTCTTCATGTCCGCTTACACCGGAGCAATCATCGTCTTCAGTAGCCGCAAGTTCGTTTGGCTCCTACCAGGTGAGTTCAGCCTGTCGACCAAGTGAAGAGAATGACTTCTGACTGCTCTTAGGATATGCCTTCGCCCTCTACGGCCATCGATACCTGGAGAACGGCATTGCGCCTCTCATCGCCCGTCGATACTTGGGTAACTCAGCCTGGTCTCAGATCATGGTCGGAGGATCCAACCTTGGCGAGCTTCTGGGCGCTCTCACTGTGTTCCTCTTCACCAACCTGGTGCACACCCCGATGCCTTGGCTTCGCCTCGACGCTTTGATGCTTTTGATCGTCTGGTATCTTGCTTTCTGGTACCCACCACAAGAGCAAGTCGCTCAAGCCTGGATCGTCGCCGCGACATTTATTCCCATCTCCTTCGGATGGGCAGCCGGTGATGTCTCGCTTGCCGCCTACATCCAGGCTTCGCTTGCCCGTATCGAAAGCAAGACCAAGGATGTCTCAGCACTTGGTGCCGTCATGTCTTTCTTGTACTGCACATACATCGTCATCTACGCCATCTGCAACCCACTTCTCGGTCGCTATGTCGATGGTGTCTACGAGCGTTCGGGGGATACGGACATCCATCCAGCTATCTTTAACATAGCCGGCGTGCAGTTCACCGTCCTATGCGGCGTCATGCTTCTCGCCACGTTGGTGCCAAAGGTCAGTTATTACCAACGATGGAACGTCTTTGTTGTACTGACCCACTGTCGCAGGGAGCCATCAGCTTCAACCCACCAGCCCTTTACGGCGAATCTCTCGACTCCGACGTCGACGGCCTCGTCGACAAAGACTCATCCGACATGGACGAGAAAGAGAACGGAGAATACCGAAAGGGAAGTGTCACTGCCGGCTTCGAGGACGCTATCATGCCAGAAGAGCCTTCTTCTCTGCAGCCCGTCGAGAAGACTTCCAAGATCACGCATCATGAGCGTTAAATTGGCTATGTACTAGCAAGCCCTCGAGATACCACTATTGCGATCCGGTTCTTGGTAATGGATACATGAGAATTAGCAAGCACATTGATTGAATGTATTAGGTACGGTAACGATGTGATGGGATCTGTATGCCTTTTTTATGGCAGTACATTCGAACTTTCGTTATAATCAACAGCAAAAGCGAGCGAAACGTTTCTGCAATCATGCGCCCATTGGTCTCTCGTCCACAGCACCTTCACTTTTCCGCGAAAGCTTTCTCAACTTCAGCAGCCATATCACCCAAAGTCGGAAACCTCCACGAGAAGGCCACCTTGCCATCATATTCCTTCACATTCCCTCCCATCGCCGTACTCCCTCCAGGACCCCTTGCAATCCAAACGCTGGTCAGCCCCAACTCCTTTGCCGGAACATGATCTATTGGTAAGCTCTTGGCGACATGCAGAAGCTGCTTCTTCTCTACCCCAAACTTCTGCTTGACAGTGTCGAAGAGAATCCGGAAGTTGTTATGGTCAGGCTTGTAAGCGCCCATGTCCTCGGCTGTTAGAACGACATCAATGTCCACGCCAGCAAAGGGGCCTTCCAAGGTTCGCTGGACATTGTCATTATCGACGTTGGAGATAATAACGAGTTTGTAGTACCGCTTCAAGACCTTCAAAGCCTCGACGGTGTCCGGGAACGCCGGCCATGATCCCGCGGATCTGCCAAAAGCTTCTGCTTCTGCTTGTGTGAAAGGAATGTTGGCCTCCTCTGCAAGTTTCACGAAGCATCCGGCCACGCCGTCGTTATATAGCGTTTTAGGGTCCTCTCGCTGGAACTCCCGCTGGAACACATTGTAGCGTCTAATGAGAGTATCTCTATCCCGGAAAGGATGATTCTCGGGAAGACGGCTGACAAGAAGCTGAAGTTGCGTCCATATGCCAGTCTCCCAGTCGATCAATGTTCCATAGCAGTCGAAAGATAGGGCCTTGAAGTCGGTCAGATAGGATGGCATCTTTCCTCTATGGACTAGATGAAAGTCTTAAGGTTGTCAAGGTTCGTGTAGTACTTAGGCTTGGCAGGAGCTTTGCGGAAGTACGCCCTGTGAGTTCTGTTCTTATCAGTGCAATTCGAAAGGCGTAGCTTCATACTCAGCATCTGATCCTTCCATCGGCAATTGGACGAAGGTATCGGCCTATTCGTGCGTGTGAGTCGATCTTGTTCGGACTGAGAGTCTCCCGTGCAGAAAAGATATGATAAATGCGAACTCAGTACGCGCATTGATCCGGCTCTGGCGGTTACGTTCAGATGTCTCTTCCGCCACGTCGTCGTCGTTACCGAAAGAGGAGCAGGTCCGTTCGGCCCGGTGTTCCGTACCGAAGACTGGCCCGTGCCATCCGACCTCACCTGCTGAAAATCAATGCTGGAAGTCAAACCCAATACCACTAATACTCTCTACTCGAACGCAATACTTGCCGAAGCCAGAGACTCATGTTACACCACGTATTCGCTTAATGTTGTGCCACATGATGGGGAGCGAATCGAGAGCACCTCGAGTGTCGCCAGCCGAGTGCCCTGGTTCGGCAACCTCTGCTACAAGTCTTCTCCTGCTGTCAAGCTTCAATTGACAGTGTAGAGGGAGCAACGGTCACTTCGGAAAGGAACAGGCGTCACATCCCGACATGCATGATATGCAGCGCTAAGCCCGCTGGCTTCGACAAGTGGCACTGTAGAGCTGAGCTACTCAGCCGCATGGGCCTTCGAAATGCCTTCTGGTACCGAATTCGTCTTGTATCACATACACCCATGTGTAATCCAGGCCGATGAGGTTACTCAATATTCGCACCCTTGAGCTTCGAGAATTTCGGGTCGGTGGATTACCCAAATATGTCATTGCGTCGCACAGGTGGATCACCGACCAGGAAGCCAAGTACAAAGATGTCCAGGAACGCCAGAACACCGATACACTTGGATATCTGAAAGTCAAAGGCTTCGCACAATATGTTCAAAATAACATTCCTGAAGTGGGCTGGTTGTGGATCGATACTTGCTGCATTGACAAGTCAAGTAGCCAGGAAGTCAGCGAAGCTATCAACTCCATGTTCAGATGGTATTCCGAGGCTGAGGTCTGTCTCGCATATCTTTCAGACGTTGACACGCTCGATGTAGAGGACTTCATCCTTAGCGAGTGGTTCACCCGAGGTTGGACGCTACAAGAACTTCTTGCGCCTAGTATGGTTGTGTTTCTGGCTAAGGACTGGCGAATAATTGGTCACAAGGGGCCAGATCATGCAATCACGGAAGACGTACCCTTCAGCATTGGCCGATCACTTAACAAGCTGATATCCTTTGTGACAAAGGTTCCGGAGACGATCTTGAAAGACTTCGAACAGAGCAGAAGTCTCGACGTGGACGAGAAGATTGCATGGACCTCGGGTAGGAAGACCACACGTGATGAAGATATGTCGTACTGTCTCTTTGGCATCCTCGACGTCACCATCGGCGCCAATTATGGAGAGGGTGGAGATAAAGCGAGAAGACGTCTACTCAGGGAGCTTGCTGAAAACAGTCGGGAGAACCACGAACCACCACGTATCCCAAGAATGCCGTCGCCTAATACTGCTGCGTTGGGCATGGCAGTTGTAGATGAAGAGACGCAACATCAAGCTCTACGACCAAAACTGCTTCAAAGTCTGTATTTCCCGCGTATGGACGATAGGAGAGATCACATCAGTAGGGCATATCGTGGCACCTATCGTTGGACACTGCTCTCCACAGCGACAACAGACACACATTGGGACAACTTGGTCGCATGGCTAAGTGACCCTCTTCCCGCCAGTCGTCTCTACTGGATCAACGCAAAGCCTGGCGCAGGCAAATCAAGCTTGATACGCTTCCTTGACGAGACCCTCCGGGAAGATCAGCACATGCAGCCATGGGCCGCGCAGATGACTGTCTTTCGCATGCATTACTACTTTTGGGGCCCTGGAAATATGATGCAGAAAAGTCTGGAAGGACTCCTTCGCACCTTTCTGTGCCAAGTATTTGAGCAGTCCCCAGATATTCTCCTGTCCTGCCTGTCGCTCCGTAAGCGCACCGAGCTGGGGGCCGCTGCTACGGCCAGCGAAGTGACTTGGAGTGATCTTGAGCTGCGAGAATATCTCAGGCGGTTCATCACGGTCTCTTCGACGTCGGCTAGGATCGTAATGCTGGTCGATGGTCTGGATGAAATCGCGGGCGACGAAGACAGTCGCGATGAGCTCGTTGAGCTTTTGCGTGATTTTTCTATCTCGCCCAGCGTCAAGATCTGCCTCTCTAGCAGGAGATGGACTGTATTTGAGGATGCTTACTCAAGATGTCCTCAACTGCGACTTGAGGATCTTAATGCCAGCGACATTGAGACGTTTGTACGTGGCCAGTTGATGGCGCAAAGACGCTACGAGCAGATGGTTGCGTACGACCCAGAAGCTTACCGGCTTGTCCACGACATCATAGCGAAGGCCCAGGGCGTCTTCTTGTGGACCCGCCTGGTTGTGAAAGAGCTGGTGCGCGGCATTCGAGATGGAGACAGCTACGACACACTGAGAGGAAAGCTTTCGACCACACCTTCAGAGCTCAACGACTACTTCTCGAGGCTCATGTATTCAATCGAGCCCTACCATCGACGAAAGGCAAGCATTCTGATCCAGGTGGCTTTGTACGACGAGCACGATTTTATCACGCTGAACCCACTCAGATTGGTAGACTTGATCTTCCTCCAAGACGCAGATCAAGACTTCGCGTTGTCCAGGGCGAAAGATCACTACATTCAGACTTTCCTTCACGCCAGACAGCTTATGTTCGCACTTGATGGCGCCGTGCGTAGACTCTCCAGCCTCTGCAAGGGATTGCTTGAATGCTACTTTGACGGCGGGTCGACCTTGCGTGATTTCGTGATTGAGGACGACATTTTTGGAGAATACTTAGCTGACGAGTGGGGAAGTGAGACTTGGAGCACACGAGGGGAGTCTGTCCGTACTGTAACGTCTCTTCCGCAGACATTTCTGCCTGTCCTGCAGCATCACAAATACGCGGCGGCTGACTTTCGAATCGACTTCATGCACCGCTCGCTGAAAGACTACCTGCTTCAGCCGGCGTCTATGGAGTTTCTCACCCAGCAGACCGGAGGCCCATTTGACTCAAGGAATTATCTGCGAAACGCAAGGCTTGTTGAGATCTCGATGGCAACCAGCGAAGGGCTCAAACCGGAAATCAGCCTTGGGTTGGCAAGCTATGTGATTAGTACACTCTCGGTCCCCTCCTTTCGCAACGATGCTCGGTGTGTGGACTTTGTCTTGACGTTTCGCCCCCTGCTACCTTACATATACGCAGCCGCCTCAGCAGAAGCAACCTTCTGGTACATTTGTCGGTCTATTGAATCGTGGGACTACGAGCAGAGCAACTTCAACACCTTGGCCATTGACTTTGGACTCTCACGCTATCTTGCCCAGGCTCTGACTCTAGATGACGTACGCCGGAAACGTGGACGACCCATGCTGGACTATGCATTGAGAGTCCGGTTTGCTGGCGTATTGACCCACTCGAGCACTTCCATCGGCCTTCAATTTCCTGACCCTGACCTTGTCCGACACATCTTGTCTCTTGGGGCGGATCCGAATGGACTTGTCGGCAAACATTCCATGTGGGGGTTATTCCTGTCGTTTGCCTACGAGTACATTACGCTGCATAGTACCTCCGAACGAATCTCCCCGGCGGTGAACAGGGCGCTCGACGGATATTTTCATACACTCCAAGCCATGATCACGGCTGGCGCAAGCCGCCTTGTCAAGTTCTCAGACCTCTACGCGCCGCTCATGTACGGTATGTACGCTACAAGACAGGAACACCGCCTGACCAGTCTCTCAGACCGGTGGCCAGAGCTTGTGCTCAACCTTCGGTTCGACGACCCAGGCGGAACAGGAGTCGCTTCTTCCGGCATTCACCTCGAGCTCCATGACATCCTTGAGTGCCTGAGGTCTGCGTTGGGAGACCGAGTTGAATCCTTGAAGACGATAGCGTCAAGTCAGCCGGGTCTCGCATGAGCACATGCTTTTGTGCATTGTTATATCAGCAATGGTCGAAGGCCTTCGATCAGTGGCGGGTGTCGAAGGCTTGAGGTCGGCCTCTGCACGACAAACGTCTGTGACAGGACAATGCACGATAATCACATTGTGTGTATGTGGGAAGAGTCACCTCCCTTAAGCACGTCCAAATCATTCTGTGCGCTAACATCTAACGCAGCATCTGGCAAGAGAATAACATATCTCCACGGTTCCCGCAATACAAATGACACTTCTGTGTTCATTTCAAAATTCAATTCATGTCCCATCGACTATCACCTACCCGTACTAGCCTTTGACGGTATTGAGATTCGATTCGCTCTTTACTGGGACATGGGCATAACACTCGAAGGAGATAGACAAAGCCATTGTCTCGACTGTGCACTTCACACCAGGACTCCACGCACAACACATAGCTATGTGTTATTACTATGATGCTGCCTCCACATAAAGCATCCGAAATACAGCATCCTATCGTCTTTCGATCGCCTCGCAATCCCCAAACCACCCAAAAGCACCTTTCCAAAACGCCCAGAAGCACCCTCCCAACACGCCCAAACGCGCCAACGTCCAAACGCATCAACGCCCAAACGCACCAACGTCCAAACGCAGCACCCTCCCAACAACCCTCAAAATGCTCACCTACTTCCTCAACCTCCTCTTCCCCAAATCCGCACCCCAACCAACCCTCCTCTCCCTCCCCCCAGAGACCCGCCTTAACATCTACACCACCCTCTTCCCACCCCTCAAACTCCACCTAACCCCCCTCACACCCTCCAACCCCCTCCCAGAACCCCCCATCCTCCACACCACCTCCCTTCTCCGGTCCGAAGCCCTCCCAATCTTCTACTCGGCCATCGAAGTCCACATTCCGACGTTCCACCGCACCACGCCGCCGGAGCGGGTTGGCGTGCTCATTGGGAAGATCCCTGAAGGACAAATCAAGCAGATCCGAAGATTCGTGGTTCCGTGGACGTTGAGGTTTGAGGTTACGGTTCAACTCTCTCCGAACCCTTGGAGGAGAGCTCAGAGCGATGGTGCTGATGGTGGTGGTTTAGCGGTGGGAGAGAAGCACTATGTCGTTGTGCGGTCTATGCGGGCGAATATCAGCGAGGAGTTTTGTGAGAAGTTCACCGAGGCCGTTTTGACGTGGATCGAGGATTTGCTTGAGAGTCATGAAGAGAAGGGGTTGTATCTGAATGCGAAGGATTTGTGCTCCTTGGTTGCGAACATCAATCGGCATGCGCCGACGATGTTGAGGCAGGTCTGTGGGATCTCTGTTTGAAATGAGCTACTCACAGCGAGCATGTGATCCGGGAACTTAGTGAAGAGGGAGGATAGGAATAGATAGCAGCACTTGCAGGGTGAAAAGAGAGCCCTCGCATTTGGCAACAGAACTAATTCGCATCATCAACACTGAAACCCTCATACAAGCAAGCAGATAAGAGATACCACTCATTATAAGCCATTACCCTGCCCTCCTGAAAAAGAATCAGAAAACAGTAAAACTTCGCAAAACTCCCCATTTCTTATCGCATCACAGCCGTCAAGATCGTCACAAGGCAAGGAAAAACAAAGCGCGCAACAGCAAGTAAAGACATAGAATCAGGAAAAGTCATTCTTTGGGTATCCTTGTCGTATCGTCACCATCCCCAAAACCCTGCGTGCCGCGGTACTGCCAAGCTCTGTTGCTTTGCCCAAAAGCGCCTTGTAGCGCCTGTCGTTTCAATATCGTCAATTCATGTGCTTCGTGATTCGTGTTCTCGAAGCGGTATGGGTCTACCATCGGCTGGTGTTGCTGCGGCCTAGGCCGGGTCGTGCGGGTGGGAGCATAGCTCTTCTTACTGGACTTCCAGTGGAGCGATCTGGCGCTGGCACTGCTTGTGTCGTTTGGCCAATCTTGCCAAAGTCTTGGAAGATGTCAATGGCTTCTTCGCTGCCATCGCTGTGGAAGTCGACGCCGAAGAGTTCGGCAACGTCGTTGTTACCTGCATCAAGTGCAGGTTGAGTGTTCTCACCACCAAGACCAACGTCAAACCAGCTTGCATCATGTTGGTCGTTGGATGTAGGTGGCTTGTGTGAGTTTTTGAGTGGTGAGCCCAACTTGGCAGGTGACTTGAGCGGCCCAGACCTGGCAATGAAGGGAGAGAGTGAGAACGGACTACCATTGCTGGGTGCGAGCATGAGATTGTTACTCTTTGCAGCGCCGGTGATGTCAGCAAGAATGCCACTGCTTGTTGTTGCCCGAACAAGAGACGGTCGACGGGTTGACTTCTTCTCGGGTGAGCCGCGAGCCGCGACCTCCTCTTCAGGTGCATCGACGAAGATATCAAACGCTGCGTTGTTGAAATTGAATGCATTTGAGTTATCGCCGAGAGGCCTCCATGGAGTCTTGTTCTGCTTGAAGGGCGAGATGAAGGGAGTGAGCCCAGCCTGGCCTTCATCATGAAGATTGAAGGCAGGACTCCATAAGTTTGCCTCTGGTATCGGACTGAAGCCTTTGGCTGGCGAGCCCAGCAGTGCGCTGACGGCTTTGCGGTGGTCACGCAAGTTTGTGTTGGGAGAGATGGATGGTGGTGGCCGAGCAGGCTTCTTGAAGACCACAGCAGGCGTGAGTGGGTTGTCGTCTCGATGAGCAGGAGACGAGCCGAAGACGCCAGGCAGGCTTTGGTAGCGGCTCTGATCTTTGCTCGGGCTGTCGAATGATGAGCTTCGCATTCGAGCAATCTCAGCCTCTGCGCGACCTTTCTTGATGCGGTGGTTTCTGACTTCAGCTTCAGAGGCAAGCTGTTGGGTGGCGCCTCGAGCGGCAGAAGACTCGATGGACGACCAGTAACCACTGTCATTCAGACCGGCAAACTTGCGTCTCTCACCTCGAGAGCGACTCGAAGACGGGAAACGGGAGGCCGGAGGAGGCGTACCCTTGCGAGGTGGCATCGCGGGTGGTGAAGAGTTGAGATCTGGAGGTGGAGGCGACGAGCGCATCAAGGCAGGTGGAGGAGGCATAGCGGCGGCGTCATCACGCTCAGGCTCATCTTCTTGGAGAGCGGGATCAGATGCTGGAATGGTTCCGTCTGAAGACAAGTCGGCCTCGTCAGGGAATGTCGCAGAGTCGATGTCCTTGGTCTCGAGTTTGCGAATGGGATTGGGACCCAGGGTGAAGTTGCTGACGGCGGGTGTGTTGGCTGGTCTGAAAGAGGCCGGGTCAGACGGAATCGAGATGCCATACTGGGAACCATCTGGGTTGATGATCTTGCGAATTGGCTGCTTCTTGCCAAGCAGGAAAGGACGCTCTTCGCCAGCCTTGATTGCCCAGTAGTTGCCCTTACCAGGGTCATCCTTTGGTCGCTCTTGCTTGATGAAGTTCTTGTTAAGACTGAGGTTGTGTCGGATGCTGTTCTGCCATCCACCTTCAGCTGCTCTGTAGAACGCGAAGTTGTCAGAGATCCACTTGTAGATCTGGGCGAGGGTCAGACGTCGATTTTGTGAGCGTAGGATAGCCATTCCGATCAGCTCCGCGTAGCTGTGTGGTGGCTTCTGGCCGTCATCGACTATCGCTGGCATGTCCTCTGGGTTCGGTAGTTGGAATGGTTCGTCTTCCTTGAGCTTGAGCTTCTTGGCAGGCATCTTCATAGGCGCCGGCTCAAGCAAGGGGCGTTTGTTGGGTCCCTTGTAGACATAGTCGGGTTCTGGGTACGGCGGCACACTCAGGTCGCCAAAAGACGCGCCCTCGAACATGTTTTCCTTGTCGTATGCCGTATGTGCAGGATACTGAGGGTAGAGACCCCGCTCCGGTCGGGGAGCGACTTGCTGGTACATCGAGTAGAAGCCGCCGTTCTTCTGCGGCGAGTCGGTCTTGAAGTTGGGTTGGGGCGGCGGAGGGAGTCTGAAGTCGGACAGGCTGTGCGCGCTCATTGGCCGGAGAGGAGAGCTGTCCTTCTTGGAAGGGGAGGAGCCGGGTTTGGTTGAGGTAGATGGGTTCAGCTGCACATTATGCTTGTTCGACGCGTCGCTGAGGGGGCCGAGAGCATGAAAAAGGGCGGCCTCGACGTCGTGATCCTTGGATGGGGCGTGGTAGGTGTCCGGGTCTTCATAGACCTCCAGCGGCGGAGGCCGACGCGTCGTTGCCATTCAGGAGGGCGCCAACGGTAGTATATGAGGTATGCGCTGGGTTGCTTGCTTCTATCGACGCGTCGAATGCGTGTTCCTCGGTCGTGGGACGAGTGTCCGTGGTTGAATAATCGTGGTGGCTTCGCAGTGGGATGGCGATCGATCGTGTCGCTATCGTGGCTTTGTCGATCGCGGTATGGCGGTGCTTTAGGTCGGCGGTGGTGTAGCGATGAAAGAAATTTCTGTTTACTCTTCATCAGCCTTGGTGCCCAAAAGTTGGTAGGCGGATTGCTAGAGCGGGCGTGTTCTTGGACGAAGCAAGCCAGACCCCAGTTCTTTCCACGCACGGTGCGCGTGCGAGAGGCAGTGCGAACGACGGTGCGGCTGCCGTCGGGACTGCACTTACCTGCGAATTGCTCTTTCCTCGCGAAGTGTGGTGAGTGGGTGGAAGCGACGACCAGCAGGCAAGACTGCCTCAGATCAGACGTGTCTCGCGCAATGGCGGAGGAAGGGACGATGTGCGACTGGCGAAGTGTGGGAAGGCGTGAGCAGAGGAGAGCTTCACGGCTGAGGCTCCGACAGCGCGGGGAGCAGTCTTGCGCACTTGTGCCCAGGACCTGGCCGGAATCCTGCTCCAGTCGAAGCCGAACGACTGCGAAACGGAAGCCTGCAAGGGAGACGCAGAATCGAGCCAACGTGGGGCGGTTCAATTGGCTGCGCGTTGGCCGTACAAAGCGCTTGCGACGTTCCTTGCTTCAGGCCGCGGTGGAGCTCTGCACGCTCGCCCGACGCGTCGATCGAGCGATCTGGCTGCCGGCGATGGGCGCTTGACGTCGAATGAAATTGCCGTCCAGATTCCCGCACGAACGCTTGCTCTGGTCGTTGTTCTGGGTGTTCGCAGCGAGCAGAATGAAAGATGATGAAGCAAACCGGAGAATAAGACGTGACTGCCGTGGCTCAGCTGAGACGTGGGAATCTTCACAGGAAGCTGCGACCCAGCGGCGCTTATGCTTTTAGTGCGCGACTCATGATACCATCGCCCAGGATCTGCCATCTGACTTGTCGCGAAATTGATGCACCGTCACGTGCGCTTGACTTTCGACTACACTCTGCGAATCCACCCATCGAACTCTGAGACATTCTACTTCAGATCGGGCTCTCCCGCCGATCAACGACATACAATGGTCGCAACGTACGTTAATTTGTAATCCTTGATTATGCCAGAATACATTGTGACGATCCGCAGACGACGCTCTCTGGCTCTGGCGGCCCAGGAACCAAAGGTCGAGCAAGAGTCTTCTGCCGAGCCTCCAGCCAAGCCCGCAGAGCCCAATGCGGCCGACAAGAAGAAGCAGCGGAAGAGGAAGGCGGAGGGCATCAAGGAGGAAATAGAGGAAGAGGAGGAGAAGCCAGAGGTGGATGCTTTGGAGCAGGCACGGAAGACTGCAGAGAAGTCCAAGAGAGCCAAGAGGACCAAGCGGAGACAGCGTGCTGCTTTGAAGAGGGAAGACGAAGGCAGGACGAGAACTGGCAACCCACGCCCGGATGCGGAAGGCGTCAAGGATGAGAGCTGAGGATCTTTGGCATTTCTTCTTGAGAATTCACGGCGCCTCTTTCTGGATGGCCCCATCGCAGGCCAAAGCGGTACTTGCCTCCCCCCGTTGGCAACGAGACGGACATCAACACTCTCGAGTATGGCCTCTGAGACTGCACTTGCGGCTGTAAAATGACACCTTGAGATACTCGAAGACGGACTTTCCACTTGGACGAATGTGTACGATACGAACGGACAACGGCCTCGATCACGGCTGGCACATAGAGATAGACATTCTGGCATTGTATTGTGTATGGGCTCATGGTGCCTCTGTCACCTGGCGATGCATTCCCGTCCTGTCCAAGATTACTTTCCTCCTATCCTGAGCACTGTCCAAGGTGCACTTGCCGAGAAGCCTAACGCAGCCTGAGCTTGATGGCATTTGTAAGGTCTGTTTTGGGCCAGGCGAATCTTGTTCAGCATCGTCAGCGCCTCCCTCCCTCCTCATCCCGGACAACCTCTTGGATGGCCTTCGCAACGTCGTCGTGGGCCAGCAGCTCTGCCCAGTACTTCGCGACCCTCTGTCGAACGAGTCGATCGTCGGGATCGAGCAGCCAGCGATCCATTGGGCTTGGCCCCGAAGTGTGTGTACTGGCTCGTTGATGCGTTGCCAGATTGGAGTGGGTCAGAGGGTGACTCCCGCTTCCCTGAGCCTGAGAAGTGCCGACTTCACCAGCCCTGGTAGCCGATGGCACAGCAGATCCACCGGTGGCGGCATTGCTCAACATTGATCAGTCGAGTTCGATACACGACATTGCGTCTGCACTTACGACTTGTTTGTCTCTGGTGAAGGCATGTTGAAGAAGACTGTTGATCGTCTCTGAGTATGGCAAGTTGATGAGGTGAGGCAAGTGCTCAGGCCTCCTGTTGTTGCTTGGGGGTTCAGACAAGGACTGCTTCTCACAGAGCAGGCAAGATCATGACATTTATATTCGGAGGACGACAGAAACCACCCCCGATCGTCGAGGCATTATACGGCTGGTCAGCAAGGCGAATTGCAGCCATTCCTCGAGACCTGACCGCGCCCTTGAGTTGCAACACCAAAACGAGGTCATCGCGAAGGCTTGTTCCTACCATGAATGCACTTTTTACGCAGAACAAGAGCGAATGCTGGAGCGGCAAACCTTGCTTTTGTGGAGTCAGGTTGACATGAGTGCACTTTTTACGCAGTATAGGAGCGGATGCTGCAGCGGCAAACCTTGATTTTTTGGAGTCAGGTTGCTCAAGCCTCTTGTCGGCTGGCCCCCAGCCTGAGCATGAACTTTCGAGTAGCCTTGCCATACCAGAGAGTGCACTAAATGTGCAGTATAGGATGCTCGTGCAGAGACAAACCTTAAAAAGTGAGTGGCTACTGCGCCTCGGGCTACCACATGCCAAGCATCACCTGCTGCGGGAGCTAGAGTGCGTCCTGGAGTACGCTTTCTGGTGATACATGGCTGTATGATACACGAGGAATTTGTACTCCGGTGATCTGGACCTTGTGCTAAACCTCCGTTTTACAGTCGTCTGGACAGTTCAATGGGGCTTTCAGATACGATTCATAGTTCGCGAGTTTAGGACCTCAGGGTTGGCTCAACACAAAGAGGACACAGGTACCCGCTATCGTGCGACCGGATCAGCTCCTGGAGGACATATTGCACTGTGCTGGAATCATCTTATTGGTCCGGATGGCCGCCGCGTGTGTGCGTTAGCGCAAGGCAACGAATATCCACGGCAGGGCTGCGTGGGTGGCTTGCAGCAGCTCGTCAACAGGGGGACTGGTCCCCGTCGCCGGCTGAGATATCTGCACTGTAGCACTTTGTGCACCTTTCTGCTCCTGAAGCCTTCTTGAAGGACTATCAATAGACGCTGGACAATCATATGCTACGACTTCCATCGCTTTTGGAACATCCTACTCACCTCATTTTCCTCAACTCATTTCCCGGCTGTCCCCTGTCCTCGTCCCAACAAGGCTGAATAACATGACGAAGCCCTGGGATTTCATTGAAGATGAAGCTCGCCGCCTGTACTCAAGCGGTAGGAGCTTGGAAAGACTGCGTGCTGAGCTTGAACAGAAGCACGGCTTCCGCGCATCGTAAGTATCAGGTACGAGGCCAACGAAATGGCGACTAACACACCGCAGCACACGAGCTTGGCGAAACAAGATCAAAGAATGGGGTGTCATGAAGCATCGTGCCTCCAACAGCCTGGCACCATCGAGATGTCCCAACTGCGATGGCGAGACAAGAATTCACAGACCACGGCGACCGCCTTTGACACCAGTCGAGCCTCTTGTTGCAGACCAAGACCCTCAACATGACCCAATGATCTTGGACGAACGCACTGCTGGGAGGCCGCTTCCAAACGACGAATCAAATGGATCGTCCATGGAGCTGTCCAGTCAAGGCCCTCCTGGTGGCCTTTTGAGTGCAATCGAGGACAACCACCCGTTGATCCAAGGCAGTGAGAGATCCATAGCACCTTCGATCAGTGCTTCGTTGCCGACAGTGTCGAACAAAGCCATTCATGAACGCCTTTCCGTTCACATTATTTCCGACGCTGAAAGAGATGCAATACTTGACGATGCTAAGATCAATCAGGGTGAGGAAAACATCCTTCATTTTGCGGCTCGTCAAAGGGGCTCTCACTACAATCTCTTGGCCTTGAAACATATTATCAGATACATGCGTAGCCGGGATCACCCGCTGAACATGCTGGACGGCACTGGACAGACCGCGTTGGAGATTGCCATCCGAGTCGGTAACTTAAGCGTGGTCCGCCACCTGTGTAGAGCGGATTCGAGTCTTGCAAACATTGAGCATCAAGATGGGAGTTTGTTGCACTGGGCTATCCACTACTCGGGCGAAGGCATATGCACCCACCTTCTTTATTACGTCAAGGATGTCGATAAAAAGGATGCTTTGGGCAACACGCCATTGCAGCTTGCCGCTCGCCAGGGCTATGATGATCTCGTAAAGAAGTTACTCAATCGTGGCGCAAGGTTAGACGACGAAGCTGCGGAGAACGTGATCTTGCACTCACGGCTTGACATCGACAACGAGATCGAGTTGCTTGATAGAGGCTTTTTCGAATACAAGGAGCCGACTCAGATCGATGGCGCCTGCCGTGGGATCGTCCAATTGTGCTTGAGGGGATCATATCATTATGATTATGATGTGGTCTTCGTTCAAAAACGCTTCTTCAGTCTCCTCAGGCACATCTGCGGTAACTATCTGACATTTCTGTCAGACGACGACTACAATCAAGGACAGCTCTTCCAACTGTTTCAGGACAAGGTGGAGGCAATTGATGTCGCGTCTGATTTTGTCGACATTATCGACGATTGCGTGAGACTCTTCCTACGAAAAGGATTTCGACCACCTTCACATGACAATTTTCCATATACTGGCACGCCATTCACAAACCGTCGCGGCATTTTGTCGTACACTTATGTCAAAGCATGCGTGGAAGTATGTGACATCGACGACTTCGGGCAAAGTTTGTTCGCTCTACTCGAATATCTTGTCGAGGATCAAGTAATCGGTCTTTATGAGCCCGACGAGTTTACCTTGTGGTCAAAGTCAGGAGAATCGAAGCTGTTCGATCTCCTACAAACCTTAGTCGATCGTGGGCTTCAATTGCTTAATCGCGTCAATTTCCTGAGCTTTGTTTTGAGAAAGGTTCCCGATACGAGGATGGAGCAAAAGCTTCGTTTGCTTAAGAGCGCTCTTAGGATCAATAAGCATAGTCCAATAGACGCCTGCTCCAAGTATGGCCACCCACTGGATCTGCTTGCTCAGACCCCCGAACCGTCATGCTGGCGATACGCTGAAGTGTTGTTGGACGAATGCACCATGGCCCAGCTCCTGGACGGACGGTCCCCTGCGGAATTGGCCACTTTCTGGGGTATCGTGACTATGCCGAGCTTCTACGACCACACACAACATTCACACGATCTACGGCGATGTGCTGTACACGTGCTGACGAGAAATGCGGCCAACAAGCTCTCTGTACTTCCAGGAGATTCACACGTACGCTTGATGGAGATCTTGTCGGTCAGGCGAGTGTACCAACTCCCTGAACTCGAGCTAAGGCTGGGCGATGATGGACAGCTCAGCCTAATCAAGGAAGAGGAGCACCCTGCGTCGCAATCGGACATTTCAGAAGAGCAATGACCAACGAGACTTGCGTAGCTTGACAGTAGTAAATTTCATTCATCCCGTTAGCCTCTCTAAATCCCTCCCTATCCTGTCGGCGTAAACTTCGACCTCGCCCTTATCCTCGCCCCATACTTATAAAACAACCATGGCGCCGGCGCAAACAGCAAACAAATAAACCCCAACAGACTCGCCCCCCACTGTACCCCCATGCCCTCAAACATGAACCTCGAAAACAAAGGAAACGCCGCGCCCGCCAAACTCCTCGCAAACGTATTCACCGCAATAGCGCTATTGCTATAGAAGCCATAGCAATCAATCAAGTACAGCATACCTTCCCAGAAGGCCACGAGGAAGCCCATCCCTAGGAATGCCGTAGCAAACACTTGTGGGATCCAGGAGATGGAAGGGAAGGACGTCCAGGCCCACCAGAAGAAGGCGATGGGGAGGACGACGGCGCCGACGATCATCGGCGGGAGGCGTTCTTCCGGGATCGGGCGGCCGTGTTTTATGTAGGCGCGTTTGAAGTTTGTGGCGGCCGAGTAGGACATCATGCCGGCGCCCATGAAGATTCCTACGACGAAGGAGATGAAGGGGAGGGCGGAGACGCCGAGGGACCAGCCGCGTTGGTCGTGGAAGGAGATGGGGAACTAGGTGTGGTTATGGTACAGTCAGCAGAGGTTGGGTTGTGTGTATGGCTCGTGGGATTTGCCGTTTTGGGAGGACTGGGTTCAGGGGCGAGTGATAGGGTTGCTTACGGCTTCGAAGAGCATGTAGATGACGCCGTAGAGGTAGGACATGTATGCTGTTATGAGCGCCAGGATCGGTTCTTTCACGATCATCACGAAAGGCCGGGCGAGGTAGACGGTCAGTATCGTCTTCGCGGTGATCCGATTCTCATCGGCTTTGGCGTGGAGAGCCCAGTTCTGCGTTTGGTAACGCATCTCCTTTGCTCGAATCTGAAGAATCCGCGCGGCTGATGTTTCAGGGATGACGATCAAGCCTATGAAACCGAAGAGAGCTGCCATGATGAGTGTAATCCAGGCAGTCCATCTCCAACCCAGGTAACTCTCCACAACAAAGCCGCCAATGATCGGACCAGCTACAGGACCGACGAAGGCGCCTGCTGCAAAGGCACAGATAGCGTATGCTCTCTCAACAGGATCCCAAAGGTCTGCCATAGCACCCCCAACCACCGCGAGGGGCGCCGACGCCGCAAAACCACCCAAGAAGCGACAGATCATAATCGTCTCCACATTCTGCGCAACAGCCACGGGGATCTGGAAGATCGCGAAGATGATATACCCCAAGAAGAGAGGGACTCGACGGCCGTAGACCTCGCTGGCTGGACCGAAGGCGATGGGGCCGAAGACGAAACCCTGCAATCAACATCATCAGCAGAGATATCATAGAGCAGAGGGATGAATGCGTACGAGCAAGAAGAACGAAACTCCCAACGTAGCCACCACACTCCCAATGCCAAACTCCTGACTGACAGGCTCAATCGCCACGGCGAAAATCGACGACGAAAACGTCACGACGAAGGTCATCCAGCCCATGGAAATCGTAATCGCCGCTCGTCTTTTGACGGACCAGTTCTTCGGATTGCCGGGGTCGTCTGGGCCATCGAACTCCACCAAATTAGGATCCTTGGGCAGTTGTGATGGAGGTTGTGGTTCTCCTTGTGGTGGTGTCCTCTCATTCTCGCCCTCCATCTGCGCCTCCAAGTCCTTCTTATCCTCGACAGGGCTCGCCAGACTCTCCTTACTGCTCTGCGCGGAAACCTCCATGTTCGTGCGCGGCTGCGCCTGGGGCGAGGTGCTCGTTTCGAGAGGCATGCTCCAAATCACCCTCAACACGGAGCAGCAAATCAAGAACAAAAGTCCAAACTAGGCGGGGTTCACATGAAAAGAGCTATATACTCTCGCAGCGAGGTAAACGAACGAACTTAACTTATCTCCACCCTGCATGTACATACCGCCTTGCCGAGCCGCACATCTCTACGCCTCATTAATGAACCCTCAAAGAACACGGGAGCATGTGCTAGGAGTGCGCACGTTGTACTGCTATCTCCGCCTTTGCGAGTGCCGAGCAGCCGAATTGAGGGTGAAAGGCGTCGTTTGGTAACCAAGCGTGCTGCGACTTCTCGCAACTCCGGGCTCATAGCTTTTTAGTCAGATCTCCAATGGGTCCCATTCCTGCAAATAGGCAGATGACTTTCGAGGCTTGCGGAGTGTCCGTGGGCTTAATAAGGGAGACGATCTGCTGTTCACGAGTGGTGATGTGTTGGGTGTGATGGTGTGCGAGGTTATGCTCTGAATAGAGGTCGGCTTCGGCATGCGAGTCGAGTGCCGAAGGGACCGAGTGTGATAGCTGCGAATTGTAGCTATAGATGCGAGTACACTTTTAACAGTATTAGATGAACTATGCAGTCTTCTTCATACATGACTCACAATGTCTAACATGTCGGAGACCACATTCAGACACCGTCGCTGCATCAGTCCCGTATACACTTCTCCCACGCAGTCAGCGCTTGTTCGGCATACGTTCCCTCCGCTGGCTGCTGTGATTTCAGCTGCTCTGCAAGTCTTGATATAGTCGACTCGTATTCTTGAATGGCCTTGATCGCCACGCTTTGCTCAGGCATTTCCTTGCCAAGGATCTTCTGGGCAAGAGTGAGGCCGTGCCAAATGGATGTAGCAAAGAGCATGGGATACTGCTTGCCCTTGTTGAGGAGCTGGACATCGTTGGGCTGCCGATCGTTAGTATAGACATCGCACTTTACGTTTCGCCTCCAACTTACTCCGGATTCTCTATCCTTCAGATTGCTCAACAGCCTGCCAGCATACGCCTTCACCAAACCTTGCGTGTCCTTTGCCTCTTCAAATTTGTACGCATACACTGCCGTCAACTCGAGGAAGACGCCAAGCACCTCGGGTCTGGTCCTAGGATCGTTTGGTGTGAGTTTCCTTCCAGTGCCATGCTCCTCGCTCTCCAACAACAGTGAGACCACATTCGCATCTCTGAGCGCTCGGCCTGTTGCAGATTCCGACCAGTCTGAGCCCACAGCCAGCTCATGTAAACCAGAAATCACACTCCGCAGGACATGCTCATTATTCAATGTCATGCCCGTCTTCCCTGCTTGCTGCAAGCACTGTATGATGATTCCAATCTTGCCATTCTGTAAAGCTTTCCGCATGATCTTCTCCATCTGTTCTGGCGTCGCTGGCTTCTTCACTCCTTCGTTGAGCGCCTGTAGCAGTTTTGGTAGATTCTGCCAGTCGGATGATTCACCCTCTGCGATCAGGTTGAGAGCCTGGTTGACGAGATCCTTCCTGGCTGGAATGTCGCGATTTCGGTCAATCCATTGCAGTTGGACCTCCTCTTCACCGAGGTACACTGTCTGAGGGTTGTCCTGGAGGTATTGTTTGAACTCATGTTTGAATATCATCTTGCGCTCTTGCTTGCGCAGGTATGCGGGGATGAAGTGTTTCTCGCGTAGTGTCGCAAGGACATTGTTCAGCTCGGGGTTGGAGGCCTCAGTGAAGGTGGGCAGCGTTCGTTGTCGAGTAGTGGTGCTAGAGAAAGTTCGTTTCGAGAGGGTTGGTATTTCTGCTTGGGCCGCTCGTTGCAGACGCAGGGCGCATCTATGGCAGATTGATGCCATGTTTGACAGACGATTGGATCGCGAGTAAGACGGGATGAAAAGGTGGCAGTCAATGCGATGTGGTTGAAGTGAAATTGCGATTCCTTGTGCTATGCTGCACGCGACCCTGGACACTCCCGAAGTCTCCGCAACTCTCCTCCAATTCCTCTGCGAGCACCAACAATCACCACTCCATCACACCTATCCACCATGTCAACGTCAATACCAGCATCCCGGCCGCTTGCTGGCCTAAAACAGGCGTTGAGGCAATGTCGAGCAGAACGGCAACGATACAGAAGCTATGCTACAGCGCCAATTGTATCATCGCAATCGCAGCCTCCTCCAATGCCCAAATACCCGTCCCTGGAACCCAAGTACAAAGGGCCCAGATCTGGATTCCGACCTTCTCAGGCGATTAAGCAGAACCGTATGTCAAGATAAGAGGCTTGACACGGGACAAGCGATACTGATCATATTCTAGGTTTCGAGGAAGGCCTTCGTAGAATCCGCTCAGTCCCTCCACCGCGATCGACTACGAAAGCATGCCCCGACCCTATCAGCGAAGTCACCAAAGCCCAGCTCAGCGTACTCGACCCCACAGGCGCGCGAACACGTCTCTTCTCCGAGGACAATCCCGAACGTGTTCAACCAGGCGATATCCTTCTAGTTCGCCTAAAATCAGGAGATCCCTTTGCTGGTGTGGTACTGAACATTCGGAAACGAAACTCTCCAATCGATACTTCGATCTTATTACGAAACCACTTGACGAGATTGGGAGTCGAGATGTGGTATAAAGTGTACAGTCCGAATGTGGAGGGCATTGAGATTGTGCAAAGGAAGGAGAAGAGAGCGAGAAGAGCGAAGCTTTACTACATGCGTCAACCGCAGCATGATATCGGCAGTGTGGACAACATTGTGAGGCAATACCAGAGGCAGCGAATGGGCGGACCTATGGGTTCGAGGGATGCGAAGGGGCGGGATGCCAATTCGAGTAAGAAGAAGAACAACAAGAGAGGGTCGAGGTAAATCAGCAATGAAGGCAGGATGTTTGTAAGCACATGGCGATGGCGTTGAGGCAATGGCAGGGCAGAGATTGAGATGAGACGGGAAGTGTACAGCTATACAGGGGCCTGCATCGTCCGCAGGCAAATGCAGTCACCGAGAACTATCGTCCGCCTCCCCCGATGCGGTCCGCGCGAACATCACTCGAAATGGCGACCGGATGGAAGACGGTCGGTCGACTCCGGACCACATAGAAGCAAGATAAGGCCAAAGGATCCGTCCGAATTACCACAATGATGTACAGCCTCAACACTTTCAGACAGCCAGCTCCACATTGCACCTCGCTCGGTAGATGACCTGACTTGGGTTCCAGCGAAAACCATCCACTGGCAGCACGACAGCTTCATCACTCGTGTTGGTGAGTGAGTTGGTACAACACTGACTCCTGCTGTGCGACAGAAACCGATCGTATGGCGAATCGCGAATCCCGTCGCTTGCTTTCCTACACAGCCTCATTATCACTGCTACAGTGCCCGTCTGCTAAGAGCACAAAATGTCTGCACACGAGACCCACGACCTGACCGCTGGATTCCGACACCCTCCCAACACGAACCGAAACAGTTTGCAGGATCTCGTACCTTACAGCTGACAAGCTCAGCGCGAAATACCCTCCGCCCAAACTATCGAAGCAAAACCAAGATCTGACATCGCAAACCTTGCAAGCTTCGTCGTTACTCGAATCGGAAGACTTTGTCGCTGTCCCCAAACAGAACATTGATGACGCTCCATCGGTGTAACTTTGCGGCCGGCGTCCAACCACTCACTACCTTGACAGCGGTGAACGTGGTCGTAGCGTGCACATGTAACGGTTGTAGCGAGTGTTTGGGTGTTGGTCGCTGTGTCGATTGACGTCGATTCGGCGAAGTTTGATGGGTAGGATCTGGTGTGGATTGCGAAAGTCGGTGTTGCTGTTGCTGTATTTGGAGTTGTACGGGCTGACAAGACAAGACTGAAAAATCTTGTTCGTGTTGGGGATGCGACTGGAGCTGGATGGATAGGGAGGATGACAGTAAGCTTGGAGGTCGTCCTTGCCGTGAGAGGTATATAGGGTGTGGTGCGCCTTCTTTGCTTGGAGCGGTCGTTAACCACAGGACATCGAATCGACGTTACAATCACCACAACACACACCTGTAACTCAAACCACGAACCACCAACAAGCACAACGACCACCAAAATGCTCCACGAACTCCTCTCCCTCCTCGCCCTCACCTCAACAGCAACCTCCCTCACCATCCGCCAAACCACCGGCCCCTCAGGCGGCTCATCCCCCTACGCAACCTCCACCAACATAACCTACTACCAAGGCGTCACGGCCTCCACCGGCTCCATCCACCAATCCAGCTACACCGCCGACGCCAACGACTGCGGGCAGTACGTCTTCGCCGGCACGATCCAAGCCGGCGTATGCACGAAGTTCACGACTCAAGGCGTGGGGATCTGGGGCAGTGAGAATGGGAGTTGTTCGTTGACGTTGTATCGCGGGAGTGATAGTTGTGGGGAGGATGCGGAGAAGGAGGTTGTCGCCGTGGGGAATGGGGATGATGAGGTTACGTGTGTTGCTACGGGGGTTATGGATGGGGGGTTGCATTATCATGGGAGTGGGGTTTGGGTTTGTGGTTAAACAAGAGAGGAGATGTGATTGAAAGAGGGCGTTCATGGGATTGTGGGATGTAGATGAAATGGGTCTGGCGTTTGAGAAGAGGGTTCAAGCAATTGAGGTGATAGAACGATGAATGCGAAGTAGATCTAGGTAGTTGTTTCTCTATGCAGCCTACCGTCTGCGGAACAAGGTTTGATATGTCCAACAGTACAAGGATTTTCCAGGATATATCGTGGGCACAACGTCGGCACCAACCGGGCATCTGACCACCCTATTGATAGGTGTTCCTTGCAACCAACTATCAATGTATCGAAGACGGTGAGAAAAGAAGGTGACTTCCTCTCAACGGTACTTAGACCTCAACAATAGACTAGGCCTCGTGTTCCTTACCCGACCACGAGGCAAGGATATGAGGGTGTCGAGTCGGGCCGGAACGGCGATTGGCGGACATGGGCTGGCCTGCGTGGCGCCGTCGCTCAACTCCAGACGGGCGATGCGGGGAGTGGAGGAGTTGTGAGCGAGCTGTGCAGAGCTGCTGGGGAAAGCTGCGTCCAGATCAATTTTTGTCTCTGCTGAGGCATTGGGGCGTGAGATGGGATGGTGTCCCCAACCAGACATGAGTTTGCTATAACTCAGCTCTAGCCACTGCTTGTGTCTTTGTTTCTGATCATTTGATGCTGCCATCGGTTTGCTGCGACGACAAAGAAAGACTTGGCCGACGGATTGCCCAAATCGAACTTCAGCATAACGACGTCACGCTCCAACGGCTGAGGGCACGTTCGGCGGCAGGGATCTGAGCTTCAGTCTTGCGTGAGAGCTCGGACGGTCGACCAGCCATCGTCTTCTCTTCCTCCACCACGCCAAAAGGATTCCGTCCTTTGTATACCACACTCCACGACACCCGAGTCAGGCTTCACGTCTCCAGCAGAAGGTACGCACCACCGCTCCTCCCCCATTGGCGTGCGACGACGCTCGTGGTTGGATCTCGATCGCCCGCTACCTCGTGGCTCTCCGCGTGTCTGGCAACCGCGACCACCACCTCTTCCCCGCCGCCGCCCGATCTCTCTTGCTTTCCCTGCATCAAGCCATCTGACACCCTTCCACTGACTTCACCCTCCAGAGCTGCCACCTCCCGAGACATCCTCCCCTCCTCCAAGCCACGACACAGTCTTTACCTCCACGTCTCAACTGCTCCCACACTCTCCACCATGAGTGACTCGCCCAAACGAGACGTGCGCAATCATGTGCTCTTCGAGGTGGCCACCGAGGTCGCTAACCGAGTCGGTGGAATCTACAGCGTCCTCAAGTCGAAAGCCCAGGTAACAACGGCCGAGTATGGTTCTATGTACACTTTGCTCGGGCCCTTGAATCGCGCTTCGGCTGCTGTCGAGGTGGAAGAGATCGAGCCCAGAGATCCCGCATTGATTGCGACCATCAAGAGCATGAACGACCGGGGCATCCAGACGCTGTACGGACGATGGCTGATTGATGGTGCTCCGCGTGTGCTGCTGTTCGACACCGGTACTGGCTACTACAAGCTTGATGAGTGGAAGGGCGATTTGTGGTCTACTGCTGGCATTCCAAGTCCACCAGATGATCATGAGACGAATGAGGCCATCGTGTTTGGATATTTGATCGCATGGTTCTTGGGCGAGGTAGGCAGATTTCAGTCCACATGCTTGAGCTTGTGTGAGCTAACGTTATCAGTACGCGTACCACAACAAAGAGAACGCCATCATTGCACAGTTCCACGAATGGCTTGCGGGTGTTGCATTGCCTCTCTGCCGAAAGCGGAAAATCGACGTTACCACCATCTTCACCACACACGCAACACTCCTCGGACGATATCTCTGCGCTGGCTCGGTCGACTTCTACAACAACCTGCAATACTTCGATGTTGATGCGGAAGCTGGCAAGCGAGGCATCTACCATCGCTATTGCATAGAGCGCGGTGCTGCTCACAGCGCAGATGTCTTTACCACCGTCAGCCATATTACGGCATACGAGAGCGAGCATCTGCTGAAACGGAAACCCGACGGTGTGCTCCCCAACGGTCTCAACGTCAAGAAGTTCTCTGCCACGCACGAGTTCCAGAATCTCCACCAAACGAACAAGGACAAGATCACCGACTTTGTACGCGGCCACTTCTACGGACACAACGACTTCGACCCTGAAAAGACGCTCTACTACTTCACCGCCGGCAGATATGAGTACCGCAACAAAGGTGTCGACATGTTCATCGAGTCGTTGGCTCGTTTGAACCACCGAATGAAGAGCGCGAACTCGGATATGACTGTCGTGGCTTTCATCATCATGCCTGCACAGACAACATCACTTGCTGTCGAGGCGTTGAAGGGTCAAGCAGTCATCAAGTCCTTGCGAGATACGATCGGACACATTGAGAGGAATGTGAGCAAGAAGCTGTTCGAGAAGTCGCTGGCGTGGCATGAGGGTACTGAGGTACCGGATGAGAAGGATCTGCTCACATCCCAGGACAAAATCATGCTTCGAAGGCGGCTGTTTGCCATGAAGCGGCACACACTCCCACCAATTGTCACCCACAACTTGGTTGCCGACACCGAGGATCCTGTTCTGAACCAACTTCGCCGATGCCAGCTATTCAATCACCCTTCGGATCGTGTAAAGGTCGTCTTCCACCCAGAATTCTTGAGCTCGGGTAACCCAGTGCTGCCAATGGACTACGACGACTTCGTGCGAGGAACGAACATGGGTGTTTTCAGCTCGTACTACGAACCCTGGGGCTACACACCTGCAGAATGCACGGTCATGGGTGTGCCTTCGATTACGACTAACTTGTCGGGATTCGGTTGCTACATGGAGGAGCTGATTGAGAACGCTTCCGACTACGGCATCTACATTGTGGACCGAAGAATGAAGGGCGTCGATGACAGCGTCAACCAGCTAACCGAATTCATGTACGACTTCACCAAGAAGAGCAAGCGACAACGCATTAACCAGCGAAACCGAACGGAGCGACTCAGCGATCTCCTCGACTGGAAGCGAATGGGCATGGAGTATGTCAAGGCGCGGCAGTTGGCTTTGCGGAGAGCATACCCTGACAGCTTTGGCGACGATAACGAAGAGCCTGGCTTCTTTGACGGGACTGAGAACATCAAGATCTCGCGACCACTATCGGCACCAGGCAGTCCACGCGAGAGGAGTGGCATGATGACGCCTGGCGACTTTGCTTCATTGCAGGAGGGCAGAGAAGGTCTGAGCACGGAGGATTACATTGCGTGGAAGTTGCCTGAGGATGTAAGTCAACAGCAGTACACTGAACCCATCGAGAATGGCATACTAATATCTTCACAGGAGGAAGAACAAGATTACCCCTTCCCGCTGACCCTCAAGGCCAAGAGCAAGGAGCCTGGTCAAGGTTTGGGTCTCAGCAGCGGCAGCGGAACGCCCACCATGGTTAACGGCAATGGCTCGACTTCCCTGCCTCTGCGAACGCAAGTTTCATCGTCCTCTACGCAATGATCAACAAGTCAGGGAAGTGGAAAGTGGATGGAATGAAGTTGGATTATTCACATCTGCCGGAGTTTCACAGCACGGCAGATGTTGAAGCGTGTATCGCCACACGAAAAACGACTAGGATTTTGTGATGGTTTTTTGTACTTAAAGCACATAAGTTCTCTTTACGACTCGTCTTTGTAGAAGTATTCTCGGTATGCAATGGATGGGTTGATGGATCGATGGATGGGTTCTGGACCGAACTTTCACTTTAGTTTTCTTTTTTCTCCAACTCCGCGGCTACTGCACACACGAGCAGCCACGACGCACCCCATCCTCAAGACTTGTGCAGAATTTCCAATACAGGCTTGCATCCCAAAAACAACCATCGTATGTCGGCGTCGAAACCACTGCGGAAGCCAACTCCTCTCGCGCAAGCCACCCGCGCGCATCTAGCCTCACAATTGGGCGTGCGCGGTGTCAAACTAGTGGGTGTCAGGAAAGGCATGGGTGAGACAGTGATGGTGTTGCCGGGGCCGGGGTGAGACATGCGTGGCTAATGCGTGTGTGTTTCGGGTGTGTGAGGATGTGAGGGCGGGAAGGGATGGGAGGGGATGCGTGGTGAGGTGGGTGGTGGATGGGGTGAGACATGCGGCGCGTGAGACTTGTATACGAGGTCCTCGGGAGGGAGGGAAACATGACTAGTAGTAGAGGGTAAGATTTGAGTATAGAGGATTTCTTCAATCACTTAACACTTCTTATTCATTCGCCCTATGCAATCTCCACCGGCTCAACACTCCACCCCCACTCCCTCACCAACTCCGCGCACCGCCCCTCGGTCGAACACCCCGTATCCTTCTCAATCGCCCTCAACAACTCCAGCACCACCTTCCTCTCCTCGTTCTCCTCCAAACACGCCCCCGCAATCGACAGCGGCAATAACATCTCCACGCGAATCGCCGGCTGCGGCCGCCCCAGTGCGATCCCGATTATTTCGTGCGCGTGCCGGATCGCCTCGTTGGACACTTCGCGGTATTGCTTCAGGCGGTTGCCGTAGATGCTGTGGGAGGTGGTGATGGGGCGGTGCAGGAGCAGGAGGATGCGCGCGAAGTGGTAGAGCTGGAGGGCCGCGGCGCAGACGTCGATGCTGAAGAAGGATTCGGTGAGTTGGGTGCTGGCTTCGCGGTTGAGAGGGTGGCGGATTTGCGCGCAGGGCTGGTAGGTCGCGGGCAGGTTGCCGTACCAGTGGTCCAGCTGGCGGGTGAGTTGGTCCCATTGGGATTGGCGCGGAGAAGGGTTGTCGTCGTCTTCGCTGGCGAGGTAGTTCATCACGCGCAGGACGAGCCAGAGGAGGGTGTGGGCGACGAGTTCGGCGAGGATGCGGCAGTGCGTAGGGTCGTTGCGGACGTAGTCGGTGGATTTGTAGAGGGAGCCGTCGGGGTGGATTTCGAGGCCGCAGCTGCTCCAGAGGGAGATGTCTTCGGTGTCGAGGAGGGTCTTTTGGTGGTTGATGTAGGCTGCTTGGTAGTCTGCTCTCGCGAAGTTCCAGAATGAGGCGAGGCGGCCGACGGTGAGGGAGGGTGTCATTTGGTTGTCCATTTGCTGGGAGGGACTTAAAGCGGTAAGGAGGCCTTTTAGTCCGATGAGATGTCTGTCATGGTCAGTATAATATACTTTTTCATAATACAGAACGCAGACTTACTGTAGCCATCCAGTGTCGGTGTTGTCCAACGACTCATATAGCGAGAAGATCGAGACTGCAACGAGCAGGTCGTCAGAGTTGGCAAGTGACAACGCAGCATGAGTATTCGGTGATGGCGGATCGCTAGTATTCAGTCCACCTGAAACTGCCTGTAGGTACTGCCGTGAGAACGCGATGGCTTTGTCGTAGTAATTCGCAGCTTTGTAGAACCAGTCGACATCCGCTGACTCGTCAAGCACCTCCATGGCAGAAGGTTTCTGGGTCTGTAGGTTAGAGAATGGCTTCTGTCCTTTCACTCGACCAAGTTGCTTGGCTGCCACGGCGGCAATGGCGTTTCTCAGTAAGGCATCTCGCAAGGCTTTGAGTGGGACCAGATGTGTGAAGTGCTTTTCTCGGTCATACAAGTCCATCCTTGTATCGCTCTTAGCATAACATGAGAACTTGGGAGCGTAGATAACTTACCAAGGACCCACGGATTCTGTGAAATGTCGAATGAGATATGCCATCTCATGATCCCTCTCATGTGTGATCTTCGCACTCGTGTTGAGTTGCGACTCCGGAGCCCACCAATTACTGTCGCTTCCTGAGAAGATACCGGTGGATCCTAATCCAGTAGACAGCGGCGTCGCAGATGCTGAGTTACCGCCTACTAGCATATCTGCTTGATCGACCTCATCAATAATCTCAGGAATGTTTGGGATGAAGCCACAAGTGTTGCCAGCTGCAGAGTAGTATACATTTGGCTGTAGGTCAAAATACTCTGGGTCGAAGGCCTCATTCTTCCAAAGTTCATCGAGCATAGGATCCGTGTCGGTGAGTGGGAGCTGCGTGATACCCTCTGCACGTAGCATTGCTTCGGTCAAGGGGTCCATCGAGACCGAAGGCATTGTCGAAGGAACAGCATTGTGAAGGCCGCTTCGTGCATCGGGTCCCAGGATGGATTGACCGTCAATGTCATTGTTAGGAGGCTGAGATATTGACGGCTGTGGTAGTGCAAAGACTCCGGGCTCCAATGTGTTCTGAGGCACGCTTGGAGGCGAGGCATTGCTGGGTTGTAGTGGAGCGCCTGCTGTAGTACTAGAGCTAGAGCCACGGATCTATAGCCGATCAGCATCAATGCAAGAACTTTATAGAAGGCTGGCAAGGGGAGGATTATATCATACAGCAAAAGTGGCTTGCTCACTACTTTCCGGACGATCACCCGTGCTCTGATACTTCTTCCGAAGCGTTACACCCTCATCGACAAACTTTCGTTTCTTGTCGTAGCCTGGGCATGGCTTGCCCAGTTTCTCGCAGCGGAGGCATGTTGGCTGGCGTTTGTCACACTTTAAAGCGTAAATGTCAGCCCATCGTGTGGTACAGCCCTGAAAAGCATAGAATATATGGCTCACCTTCACACGCCGCTCTCTGCACCTATCGCAGGCCCTCTCCGACGTTTCTTGAGCCATTCAGGGTAGGAGAGGCCGAAGCACGCCAGGCGAGAGGGAGCGCGGCGGGCATGCAACAAATACGGACCCAGGCAGGTGAGTGAGGTGGGTAAAGTCCGCTGGATTATTCCAAATCAGTCGCCGGGGGCCTGGCAGGTTGCAATGGGTGAGCATGGGGGAGTACAAGAGATCTCGAAACCGGCGTCGAGTGAGGTGAGGCGTGATTACTCCTCTACGGGGGGCTAGATCAACACAAGAGCCCCGCAGCGCCCGCCCCGCAGCATGATTTCCAAGCGCCTTCGACTCTGCTTCGACGTTGGCTCGGCGGCGCTGCGGTTTCGGACTACGACCGCCTGGCCTGATCTTCTATTACATACCGACCCTAACACCCATCGTCTGGGATCAGACGTCTCGTGTTGTGACGACACTCTGCTTCTTTCCATTCACTCACATGCAGAGTCGCATGCACCCGGCTCCATAATGAAGATCAAGCGAGTACGTCAGCACGCCGCCGATGACTGTCGCAATGTACGGCTTCAAGATTGTGCAGAAACTGATCATAAAACTAGCTCTTTATATACCCGGTCAAATCGCTTCGCCCGGTCGAAGTCAACGCCGCAGAGATAACAAACGAAGGGCTACGTTTCGACCGCCAGTATGTCCTCGTCAAGTTACCGACAGCCGAGACTCAAGGGCTGGCCGAACACATCACCATCAAGAACCATTTCGAACTTGGACTATTCCATACGATGATCGATAAGGGATGGTCGAAGTTGACGATAACGCATGTGCATTCCGAGGAGAACAGCGCCATCACTCTACCTCTCAGCCCTTCACCGATGAGCCTCGTCAACAACGACGTCTTCCAAGTCAGCATTTTCGGCACTATGGCAGATGGCATCGACATGGGACCCGAGTCCGCGAAATTCTTCTCTTTTCACTTGAAGAAAGAAGTCCGCCTACTTTACATCGGCGGAACCGGCCAGCGAGAGATCCCTGGAGCCATGTTCATGCCCAAGCAGAAGTATCGAGCTTTGTCTATGCGAGTGAATGATAAGTTACAGCCCCAGCGCATTCGATTTGCGGATGCTGCACCATTGCTGGTGACTTCGAGTGCGTCAGAGGAAGATGCACGCCGACGACTGCCACCATCTGCCCGCGGGGAAGACGTCATCGTGAGATTCAGGCCGAACATCCATGTCGACGTTGGAGATGAACAGGAGCCTTATGAGGAGGATAGCTGGACCATGCTCACAGTTCGGTCAAAGTCTGACCCAACTCAAGAGGTCTCGATTCGATGTCTCTTCAGGACCGTGCGATGTCTAAGCCTGAACGCCGACCTTGCGAAAGGCACCATGATCAATACCAACCGACAGCTTTACGGGCTTCTCGCCAAAGACCGAAGAGTGAATGAGCTGTTCCCTCGTAAGATTCTTGACGCAGTGAAACGACTATACCGCTTGCTGACCATGCATATACAGATAAACCCGTCTTCGGCCAATACGCGTGCGCTGGACCGGCTGGAGCGGTCTTGCGTGTTGGTGACGAAGTCGAAGTCACAGAACGTATCACTCGACCTGGGACACCGAGCGAGAGTTCCATGTCTCCAGCTATAACTCCCATCGTCACGGAAGACATACGAAGTTCGGCAGGACCTATGACAGCGTGAGAGCATATCAGCAGCTTCACCCTGATAATCATCTTTGTCGTACAGCTGCGCCCTTGCACATAATACGCGGCAAGCATCACGTACGATGGATTTCGAGCCTTCAACGCAGCCAAGCAATCTGCTATGTCCATAACTCGGTCTGAAGCGACGGATCTCCGAACACCCGGGCCGAACGTACCAGGTTTTCGCCAAGAAACCACTTCCACCGTGATGTGGTCGCCGCAAACGTCACTGGACATACGACTTGTCTCATCATCCTGGAACACAGACCGCCTTGGCGAAAGCCTTCGCTGACGAAAACCAGCGAACTTCTGTCCTGGGCGCTGCTGCAGTCGACCGTAGCTCGCTATAATTTAACCGAAAGCGGTATAAGACAGCGAGCTCACCGTCCGGAAACATACCAAGGCAATCTTTGCGATGTCGGCTTCGAAATCGTATGAGAATGTCCTCAGAGGCTCGAAGTAGGGCGTCAAAGTCTTGTTGTGACGCTATGTCGACATGCGCTGTCGTTATGGCCTCTTCGGGGACATGGCAGCGCGAACGCGAGCGGCAGTGTTCGGGTCGTTGAGAACTTCGATGACTGACCACTGGTTCTTACAACATGTCAAGGCTGATAAGCCTCAATCTCTGGAGACTCCCAAGCATGGCCCGGAAAGGAACCACAGATGATCGTGGAGATAAGTTGCCGGCGCGAAAACGGCGAGGGCGCTGGAGCACCGTGAGCTTCCATGGCGAAACAATGTTGGACAGAAGGACAGGACCATATTGTCGCATTTACAAAAGAGGGCGGACTGTTCAGATGCTCAAACACAGCCTTGTTTTAGTCGGTGTCTGAATTGGTAGAGTGGCGTGGCTGAGTTGTCCGCATTCAGTGAGTCAGCCGGCTTTGACAAATGCAATGAAAGAATTGCAGTGATGTATATAGACTCGACTGTGGCAAGATCTCTAGAAACTATCCATCTCAATATACAAATCGATCAAATATGGCCAAAACCAAAACGAATCGGAGAAGTAACCCAGACGACGACTGGGACGAAATTCAGCCTGAGGCCGAAATTGTGGCCAGTGCTTCGTCTCCAACCTCGACCTCACTTCTCGCGGGTCGATGTTCCTCAATCTCAAAACCACCCACGAAATCCAAGGTCAAACATCGAAAGCCTTCTCTGAACGCCCAGCGTATCGCCGCGACCCTCGAACCCGAACATGCCGCAATAACCCAACCAATGCCCCCCACAAAACCCCTCCCGCTCCTAATCTGCAGCATCGGCAACCCAGGCACACAATACGCCAACACCCTCCACAGCGCCGGCCACACTGTCCTAAACCGCCTCGCCTCACACCTCAACTATCCTACCTTTCGAAAAGAGAAAACCTGGGGAAATGGGCTCCTAAGTAAGGGCGATGGCAGTCCCCACGACTGGACCCTCTGGCAAAGCACATCCTACATGAACGAGTCCGGCAAGGGCGTTCGGGCCGCGTACAATACCTGGAGTAAAAGTTTGCCTATTGGCGAGGAAGGGAGGTTGGTTATCGTGCACGATGAGTTGGAGAAGGCGCTCGGGAGTTTGAGTGTTAAGACGAAGCAAGGGTTGAGTGCGAGGGGGCATAATGGGTTGAAGAGTATTCTTGCGCATTGCGGGTGTGGGATTGAGTTTGTGAGGGTGGGAGTTGGGATTGGGAGGCCGGTTAGTCGGGATAGTGAGGATGTCGCCCGGTATGTGCTGAAGAAGATGAGCGAGGGGGAGAAGGGGGCTGTGGAGGGGTGTGTGGGGGAGTTGGTGGAGAAGCTGAGGGGGTTGGAGAAGGGTTGAAAAGATATGGTATGCCTGGACTATGGGAAAGAGACTGATGTGGCATCGCGGCTTTGAGTGCTTTGCTCTTCGGTTACCGGCTGGCTGGCTGTGCCGGGAAGCATTCACGAGTCAAGGTCCAAGTCTGCTGCGACTTGTGGCCCATATTCCGCCAACGCAAGATCATCCATTGGATCGAACGAAGGAGGTTCTGATTCCACCACGCCCGCCAGCCACTCCTCTACTCTCTGGCTGCACACGTCCGTGGCTCTTACACTGAAATCCATCTGTGGCCCCCGGAGGTCGATGGCGTCCAATTTCGGTACGTTGACTTCGTCCCCGTGGTGTCGTCGGCCATGGCGCCTTAGATCTTTAGGCCATTGGAATCCTTTACCGCATTTCAGGCATATGTGTGGCCTGTGATCCGAGTGAACCTTTTCATGCTTTCGGAGGTCGCAATCCCGATCGAAGACCATTGAGCAGTCTTGTGCTGCACATGAGTAACCGCCGATAATCTTGCTTTGGCGCTTTCTCTTCTTGCTTCTTCCACCAAGGTCACCGTACTCCGAGCTCACCCAGGAAGTCGCGCTCCCCGCGGACGAATGCGCGGAGCGGCCTGTACTACCTGCGGAGGAGAAGTGACCATGAGCTGAACCGGCCGCTGAGCTCGAATTAATACTGAAGGCTACGTGCAGACGGTATTGCGGCCCATCCACGAAGCGAAGATAGTCGCAGGTCACAGTGGGCCAGCCAGATATTGGCGTCTCAATTGCAACATAAGATCTCATAGCGTCAAACACGCTGTCGAAAATGAGGAACAAGTCTCCCTGAGCACTGACCTGCACGTCCTGCGGAAGTGGGAGCTTGGCCTCTGTCAATTTTGCCATAATCTCAATCTTCCGGCGCGCTAGATTGGCTCCCAAGTTCCTGACTACCACGAGTCTGGGGTTGATAGTCCCTCCTGACCAGGCGTCGTCTGCCGACAGAGTCCGGATCTTCACACTGGAGTCGAATAAGGTCAGAACGGCACACTTGGCGATCAGGACTCTCTGAAACTCCGAACCAGGGCGACCATCATAATAATTCGTTCGGCTGAGTCCCAGTAAATGACACATCGAGTGGACGTGCTTTCGATCAGCTCGCGACAGCCAGTTGGTCATCATCGTCATATGCTCATCGTTGCGCAGCAGCTGTTGGATCTCTGTTCGCAGCTCACAAGTTACCCACGTCTCCCCCAAATCACAGTCCTCCCAGGAACGCTCGCTTCCTTCCCCTTCCTTGCTTTCGATCCCGAGTGAACCCATCAACGACTTTTGTTTCTTCGTGCGGTCGGGCCGCTTGCAGCTTTCTCGAGCCGTCTTCTGGGTGCTGTGGTTCGCCGGCGGTTGTAAGGGGTGCAACGGTCCCGTGAACAGTGAAGGCTTAGGACGGGGTGTCATCCTCAACGTGATTGGGGTTTCCGATCGCTGATTGTGCCCAAAGAGCCCAATCACCTGGCCTTGATTGTGCGCAATGCCTTGAGTTGTTGAAGGATCAGGCTCGTTGAAAGCCATTTCGGTAAGTCCGACGTCGTTTGACGACACCGCCACATCTTCGTCTTGAGCCGGAACTGCATCGATCATGGACGGGCCTGCACTTGGGTCATCATCCAATGTGAACATGAAGTTGTGTGTATCAGTGGTGGAGAACGCTTCGCTAGGATCAAACAGCCCGGAGAGACAGGCATCGTCGTCATCCTGAGCGCAGAGATCCGGGGTGTTGAAGTCATCTATCTGCGCAAGGTCATTCATGTGCGTCTGGTTCATCCCACTCGCCTGCAGAAGGCCGTGTGTCTGCTCGAACAAGCTTCTCCCCTGCAGGAAGCTGTGCGTCTCCTGGAAGCCGTTCCCCTGCGGGAACTCGATCTGTCTGAAGCCATTCGTCTGCGTCAAGTCGTTCGTCTGGCGGAAGTCGTTCGTCTGCAGGAAATCATCGAGCTGATTGGAGCCGTTGGCTTGTGGGAAGCCGCCAGCCTGCAGTAAGTCGTTCATTTGCAGGGCGTCGTCGATCCGAGTAACGTTGTCCATGATCGCTGCACTGAATCCAGTAACGTCAGGAACAGAGACGAAATGCCAGAACAGCCCCCAGTCGATGCATTCAAGTATTGCCACTACTGCCGCCGGGTAACTGTTCCAGTACAACGAGCGTCTAAAAGTGCCTGACAGTGAGGCTACGGATGCCGCCTGTCAGCTGCTTTGGGCAAGCGGCCGGCGCTGGGCTAAGAAGTCACATGCTCTCACGCTTGTGCTGTGCATCCTTCCCGCTCAGCTGTTGATTGGATGGTGTACCGCGTCGTGCATAGTGGCTCTGTGTAGAGGCGGCTGCGGGGGACGGGAGGAGCTTTTCTAGGCCATGCTGCGATTGTATAGGAAGGCATTGTGTACGTTATAAGTCAGGTGGACGTTCGACTTCATTAGTTTGCTGTCAGGGATAAAGTGTACGAGCAAGGGAAGGCCGCTGATGGGGACTAGGTCTTCTACCTTTATACCGGAAAAGGGGTGAAGAGGATGTTGATTCTTGGAAGAGGCATACTCGACTACGAAAACGCCATGACAGGCCGATTACTGACAGTGGGCTTGCACGAGGACATCAAGCGTGCTCACACTGGTCATGCCACAGAGGTCGCTGTTACCTGATCCTCTTGATGGCCTTGATGATGCCTCCTTTCATGCCGCTTCAGATCCTTTGGCCACAAGAACCCTTTCCCACATGCTAAACAGGCGTGCGGCCTCTCGTCGGTGTGGATCTTGGCGTGCTTCTTGCGATCGCACTCCCGATCGAACATCATGAAGCAGCCGTCCGCCAGACACGGATAGCCTCCGATGGTTTTGCCCTGGCGTTTCCGTTTCTTCATGCTGCTGGCTGCCGTCCCGTAGTCTTCATCTACCCAGGAGAAGGCACTGTCAGCGGACGACTCGCTCGCACTCGCGCTGGTTTCTGAGTCGTGGTGGTCGCTGGTATCGAAGCTGGGTCTTGACCTCATCACAGCCTCGTTGACACCAACATCACCATCCCTTGATGAGGAAACGGTCCCGATCGGTTCGCTTATCGTCGACTGCGACTCCCAGTATCTGCAAGTGAGCGCTTCTCCATGATACGTAAAGCGACCTTGTTGGATTGCGTCCAACACCACCATTGCTTTCGACAGCGTATCGAACAGCAAGAACATGGTATGCTCCCATTTGAACTCTGTGAAGATCGGAAGCGGCAGACCAGCTTGCTGCAAAGCCTCCGTGACATCCCGACCGCTACTGCTCGACAGCCTCGTCCTCGAACTGCTACTGTTCTCCACAACGACGAAAAACGGATCCACGAACCCCGTCGTCCAGCCCGATCTGCGAGGGTTCCAGAGTTTGACGTCTGTATTCACGGTCGTGCGGAGGTCACATTTCGCAATCAGCATTCGCTTGGGCCCTTTGTGCTTGAGGCTGTTGCTGTCGGGAATGCTGACGTGGCTGAGGTTCATCAGGTAGCACATGGAATGGACTTTTTTCCTCTCGTGCGAGGAGAGGGCGTGCGTCAGTGTGGTCAGAGGTTTCGTCTGTAGACGGAATTGCATCAGGAGCTTCTGTATGTGGAGGGACCATTCGTCTCCCTCATCTTTCTCATTCCATGAGGAGTCGCTGTCTTGCAACGTCTCCTTCCTCCATATCCTTGCGGATAGGCGGTGATAATCAGACCGAAATGGGAAGAACCCGTCACCTGGTGGTTGATACGTCGAGCTCAGCAGAGCGTTTCCTGCTGGAGCGTTGCAGTCGGTCGTCGTGGCAGAGATTCCGGGCATGATAAAAGCGTCAAGCCTAGTCTTTTGGTGGTTGTTGCCACGGAGTCCTCTGAAGTCTCGAGGCGTATCTTCGAAGTCTGCGTCTGCCCACGTGGCATTGTATTTGGCTGTGGCCGTTTCGGTCGCGTACGATTGAGCGAGGAAATCGTTGGGCGAGCCCAGAAGAGTGAAGTCTTGTTCTTGGCTGAAGTCTTGTGACAGAGTGAAATCCTGTGGTAGACTGAAATCTTGTGGCAGATTGGTGTCGACGAATTGTTTGAAGTCGAACACGTCGGACCAGTCGGGGTGGCTTTCTTCTGCCATGATGAAGATATGATGTCCACGTAAATGAGGGTAGAGGTAAATGGGCTTGTGGGCCGCACAGAGACGATGGTGAGGAAAGTGAGGTTTGAGGAGTTGGAAGTTGGGCACTTCAAGTTCAAGGTCGGGAAGGCTGTCGATGCCGCCTGTCAAGCCCGCTTCGGCGTGTGGCCGGCTGCGAGAGCTGAACGTTGTTCCACAGTGCCTGTATCAGCTCCACAGCCACAAAACCCTGCATTAGCGTGGAAAGCGCGCTACGGACAGTGGGCAAAGTCAACACACCCCATTGGCCTTGACGTGGATTTCGTGGGCAACACTGCACAGCCCGAAGACAAGCCTCGCTTGTGCTGTGCAACAGCCTTCACCGTATGAAGTCGTGTAACGGGTTGAGCAGTCACCTTGAATTTTTGATTGATAGACCATGAAATCGTCTTGCAACCAGCTCGCGCCGTCTTCTATGGACGACCACCTGTTGATCTATTAGGCATAAGCAATCGTGAAATCCTCCCTTATCCTTCCTCTCACGCCCAACTTCACCTCTCCGCCTGCCACAGCTGGGCCTGTCACCACGAGCTCGCCTTTTGGCTCTTGCGCTCCAACATCTGCATCATTACCGGGGCTCAGCACCTTGATCTCCACACTGCTCAGTGGAATGCCAAAGTGCGAATGTGCGGCACCTTCATCCCTCCTGTAATCGAACACATTCGTCTGCGCTACCGCACCAGCAACCTTCGCCGTGGTCAATGCGTAGATGATTCGCGCACGGGTGAAAATGCGCAGGTCTGAGAGCATGGTCGACGTGAGAGGTGGGCTACCTGCGCCCAAGCGGTCGGAAGTGAGGATGAGGCGAAGTTTGCCGGGCTCGCCGCTCGAAGATGAGGGACCGATCAATTTGAAGAGGAGCCCGTCCGTTGGCATGCGACCTGCTGACATTGTCTGGTCTTGTGTGTATTTACCGAACTTCTGAAGACCAGTGCTGATGCCACCAAGCTCTTGCTGGTGCAGCTTCGCCAGAGTCTCCGCGGATGCGATGACGACAGTTGGTGCGACACCGCGGCGAGCGAGGTTGAGATCAACGCCAGGTACGGCCACGCTGTTGATTGCAAGGCTGCAGTGAGTGAAGAGCGCGGCGAACGTCTGGCAGAGGACGTAGGAATGGGTGAAGGTGTCGGCAGGCAGGACCAAGTCTGCTGGGGTAAGGCGTTGCCTTGGCGGGATCGCAGAGATGAGTGCGGCAACGGCTGACACGATGTTTTCCTGCGTGAAGGACACAATCTCGGGTTTCGAGGTAGAGTCAGTTGGTTGCCAGACAGTAATGACATCGCCTGGTTTGTCGTCGCTCTCGTTGCTTGGCAGTTCAGCGCCTGCTTTAGACTTGTTCTCTTCAACCACATCATGCCAGACGCTGACCGAAAGACGTCCTTGCGCTGAGTCTGGAGCTCCGTTCCAGTCCATGTGTCTGCTCGTCTTCTCCACGACCCAGGCGAGGGACTTGATGTTCTTGGCATGCTGCGGTAGATCGTCAAGCGGGACTGTTCCTGCACCGCAGACAAGGCCATCTGCGCCGGTAGCGTTCAGGAGCTCATAGAGCTTTGGATGTGGCAAGTTGAATGGTAGGAGAACTGGAGTCAAGCCGTAGAAAGCACATGCTGGTCGCAGTCAGCTTTACATCCTTCCTTGCTTCTTCTATAACTCACCAAAGACGGTTGTCAAATACTCCACACTGTTAGGCAGGTAAATGGCGACCTTCTTGACGCCAGCCTGCTTGATATGTTGTCCAATAATGCCGATCTCCTTGGAAAGATCTTCAATTCCGTGTTCCACGATCTCTTCTTTTCCAAGCACCGTCATGATCAATCCCTTGGGAGTCTCCTTGCCGTCACTACCATTCTGCCCACCTCGCTGGACTTCTCTCCAAATATCCCGAATATCGCCATCTTTGCCGCTCGCCCATCTTGGAGCTCCTGCATCTTTGACATTCAAACCCGTCTTTAGGGGATATCCATGTGGTACTTCTGGACTTCGGTATACAGCTGACTCGCCCTTGTTTCTGACAGCTGAGGCTGTGCCTTGTCGGGCTAATAGTAGAGGATGGGTATCTGGCTCATCGGCGAACACGAGCGGGTATATCAAGAAGCCGGCGATCACGAGAGCAAGGATGGTAGTCGTGATTGACCAGTCGGACAGTACTGCGGCGATTTGTGCGTCGAGGCTTTGCAGCGAGGACGACATTGTCATTCACTCACTCGTCACCCCTTTTGTTGTTGATCATGCTAAGTGTGCTCTGCCAACTTCCAGAGTCGTCAGATGTCAGCGTGTGAAACAGCTCGAGTGGGGCTGGTGAAGCGAAGCAGGGCGAGCTCCATCAATGTTTAATAAAGCTTCGATTGAAACCCCTGTGTGGCAGGTAAGCCGAGCGACTTCACTTCCCGTAGCAACCATTGGTTCTCCTTCAAATACACCACATCACCGAGCATGCATTGAACGCCGACCAACACCTTCGACTAATGTACTAACACCCCAGCATAGCGACCAACTCCGAATCGACGCGACCATGTCTTCAACATCACTGGTGCGGTCCACCTCGTCGCAGTCGGTCACGCAGACTTCTGCGGGCAAGACGAGCACTTCGCCAGTTCCGACCACCAGTTCGCCAGTTCCGATTACCCTGCCTTCGCTCAATATCACGCCCAAGAAGAGTGCGAGCTCGCCTGCGACAGTTTCAACACCAATACGCGCCAACCAGAATGGCTGGATACACCCGCGCATGGACGAGATCATCCGGCGGCGAAGCGCGACCAACTTCGATGGCCGCAACATGAAGAACATTCTCCTCAGTGCGGGCTTCCTCCTCGTCACTTTCTTCGTTCCCGGTCTACTATACGACATGTAAGTATCGAGGAAGGCATAACATAGTGCAGTCCTAACATATCCGCCAGCTTACCACACCAGTGGAGTCGCTTAATCCACCCATACCCCGTGTATGTTCTTTGGATTGCTCGACTTCTCTTGCTTGTGAATATCGGCGTTGCGACTGCACCGCTGTGGCGCACACCCGACGCTTGCGAAGACATACCTCTTACGCCCTCACAACGCGAACTCATGGGTCTCCCACCGATGTCCCGTCCTGCAACACCACAAGAGAAGGAGCAGTATGTCACACCACCTCGGTTTTCTCGGTCGAATACGCCACGTTCTGCTAGCAGTAGTGTTCGTGCAGAAGTGAGCGGTTCGCCATTGAGCGGCCGCGGCACACCTCTGGACAACACTGGCTCCTTCCTGCGGACTTCGCCATTCGACAGCCAGCGGAGGACCAGTGGATCGTTGTCGCCCTTGGCAGCTGGGAGCGCACTGAAGAGTGGAGGAAGTGAGAGACGGCGGCTAAGCTACACGAGCAACAGAAGCTCGCCATTGAGCGTCAGCGAGTTTGACAGCTCAGGCAGTCTGCAGACGCCGACGAAGGGGACCAAGTCGAGCATGGGTTTAAACAACAAGTGGTTGTATGAGAAGGGGAGAGGCAGCCCAAGGGCAAGCCCAGGCACAAGCAGAAGCAGTCTGCTGTTATGATTCTGGATGACGAAAACTAGCGAGGCGCTGGTGGATTGCATAGGATACCCCTAGTCCTGCGGAACGCGGTATGTATTAGCGACCTGTTCTCGCGATTCTGACTAAATGCAGATGCCGCTTGTCTTGACTATCATGAATTATTTCCTGTGGAAATTCCCAAGTGCTATCTCTTTCCTTGCGACGCGGCGTTTCCTTGTCCGAAGCTTGCGAATCTTGTTTAGGACCAACCTCAGACCTGGCAGTTATTCGGTTCATGCAATAGCCAAAGTGCCACACGACACTCTGACTATGGTGCAAAGATGGCCTTATCTATTCCAATCTTGATTCCGAGACCGGGCATCTCGGCCTCTACGACTGTTCCATGGGCTAGCCTTAGTCTCCAACACACGTGGCAGCCTAAGGATTCGCCGGCAGCCTTCCCGCGTCGAAGTTCCAAAAGCAGAGCTCCAACGACCTGAAAGATAGTTGACGCTGATGATTCGACCGTATGAACGCCTTCATGCCAAGACACGACGAGGGCAGAGCAGTTGGACTTCTGGTGGCCACATCGTCGGAGAGATGATCTTCATGGTCGATCTACCCTCGTTGTTCTGTTCAAAAGGAAGATCCATCCCTGTTACTCCCAAGCCGTCTGAGCAGCCGGGAGTGCAATCAGTAACGCACTCGCTTGTGAAACCCCGGAGACATGGCAGTTCAATACCTTCCACTTGAACCGGAACAAGGAGGGTAAATCAAGAACAAGACATTCTTGCTCTTACCCTCACCCTCCGTGTTCCGCTCAAATGGAGCATTCATCCCCATCTCGTGCAGGCCGTCTAATCTGCCTACAACGTGAACGGAAGCGCAGTCGCTGGTGAAAAGGCGGAGAGACGGCAGCTCAACACATTTCACCTTGATCGGAACGGGCAGGGTAGTTCTCTGCAAGTGCTGTTACTGGGTGCTGCAATCTCCCGGCCGATAGTGACTAAACACGGCGACACCGACGAGGTACTGTACATGGCTAGCAGCGGCTTCCGGGATGGCTGAACACGTGATCGCTGGTGGCCTCGAAAGTGCATCCGCATCGGCCCGTTTACTGATTGTGCCTGGTCAGGCCATCTGCACCAATGAGGACGACGGCGATATCGTGGATGTGGCGAGTTCTTGAGGGATTGAAGATTACAACAACAATTCCAACGCCGCAGCAATCGGGGATGGGGCTTTATAGAGACAAGACACCGGTACGTCAACAAGCTTCTAAAAGATAACGGCTCGGCTAGGAGATAAGCTCTTGCCAGCAGGAGCTTGTGAAAGGCATAGACGATCGTCAGGCTGTCCAACCAACTACACGTACGCAAAAAGCATATCTGTCGCCCACAGCAATCACCTGCCCAATCGGGGCGGTGGCTTTCCCTCGCACATGTCGAGGATGCAGGCGGTCCCGCAGCGCACGCTCTTGTATCTACCTATCTCTCAGCAAGAACCTTTCACTTTTGCACTGTACTTCCTTGTTTCTCCCCAAAACCTTGGTTATTTAATTAACCATGAGTCTCGCACGCGAGAGTGTCGATATTGCTGAGAAGAATGGCCACGAGTTCCCTCCCAAGGAGCCCGCGCCTCTGGCCGACCATGTTCGCGGTCGGCAGTTCAGTATCGATGTAGAAGATACTGCTATCGTCGTCGCCGATCAGAACAAGTTGCACCGGAATTTGAAGGGGAGGCACATGCAGATGATTGCTATGTACGTCCTGTTGAAGCTTAGTCTTCTGTTATTGCTCTACTGATGTGTCCTCTACAGCGGTGGTGCAATCGGCGCTGGTCTCTTCGTCGGAACGGCCAGTGCCTTCCAGACTGGTGGGCCGGGAGCCGTGCTCATCGGCTTCATCATCATCGGTGGTATGATCTATCTGATGATGCAGGCGCTCGCCGAACTGGCTGTCATGTACCCGATCAATGGCGCATTCACTATGTATATCACTCGCTTCCTCGACCCGTCATGGGGCTTTGCTTGTGGATGGCAGTACGCAGTCAGTTGGTTGACCGTCTTGCCTTTCGAAATATCGGCCGCTTGTAACATCATCCATTACTGGAATGGAAGCGCGGGCATTTCAGACGCTGCGTGGATTTGTCCGCTACTCTTCGCCCTGGTGGTCATCCAGTTCTTTGGCGTCAGAGGTTATGGCGAGGTTTGTGTTGCCACATGTTTTGACTGAACCCGAGCTAATTGAGGCAGGTTGAATTCGTGCTTAGTCTGCTCAAGATCATTGCTTGTCTGGGCTTCATGATCCTTGGAATCATCATTGATTGCGGTGGCGTTCCGACTGACGATAGAGGTTACATTGGAGCGAGATACTGGTAAGGTCATATAGTCGGGATTTCCCGCACCCTACTAACATCACGTTCCAGGCACAACCCAGGCGCCTTCCTCAATGGCTTCCACGGATTCTGTACCGTCTTCGTAACAGCGTCCTTCGCCTACACGGGAACTGAACTCACTGGTCTCGCCGCAGCGGAAACTGACAACCCAAGGAAGGAGATCCCACGAGCTTCCAAACAGGTGGTGTGGCGTATTGCAATCTTCTACATCGTGAACCTGTTTCTCGTGGGCCTCATCGTCCCAGCAAACAGTCCGTTGTACGACACTGATGGTGCCGATTCGCGCCACTCACCTTTCGTCATTGCTATCCAGCTCGCTGGCATCAAAGCTCTCCCGTCGATTTTCAACGCGGTCATTCTTATCTCGGTCATGAGTGTTGCCAACTCGTGCACTTTTGGCTCGACGCGCACGATGCAGGCCTTGGCTGCGAATGGTACCGTGACCCGCAAATTCTTAGCTTTTGAGTAACGCTAATTCAGTCGACAGGCATGGGTCCCAAGCTGTTCGCGTACGTCGACAGAAAGGGTCGTCCAACCGTCGTGATCATTCTGCAACTCCTCTTCGGCTGCTTAGCCTTCATCAACTTGGCTGACAACGGTGGTGTCATTTTCACATGGCTCTTGTCCCTGTCGGGTCTGTCTGTCTTCTTCATCTACGGCAGCATCGCGGCAGCTCATATTCGTTTCCGCAAGGCTTGGTGAGCCCTAATACCGCAGTCCGTTTTGATGCACATCTGCTAACACACAACAGGGCTGCCAACGGCCACTCCGTCGACGAGCTCCCATTCAAAGCCATGTTCGGCGTCTGGGGCTCCTGGCTCTGCCTCCTCATCAACGTCATCTGTCTCATGGCCCAATTCTACGTCGCCCTCTACCCCGTCGGCGGGCCCTACCTCGACGCAGAGCTCTTCTTCCAAGCATATCTCGCGGGTCCCTTCCTCCTCGCCCTGTACATCGCATGGAAAGTTTACAGCTGGTTTGCATATCCGAGCCACCGCCCGTTCTTTATTAGGACGAAGAATATGGACATCTACACCGGCATGAGGGAGGGTCAGAGGACCATGATCAGTGGAGAGGATGTTAACGCGGATCAGAGGCGGGCGAGCATTGCTGAGTTGCAGGAGGAGAAAAGGAAGAAGGGCCCGAAGGACTGGGCCATGGCGGTTGTGAGGAGTGTCTTCTAAGCCGCACTGAACTCATGAGCATCAGGACTGTGAGCTATGTGCGGAATGACGGACTGACTCGACCAAGAGGAACTGCTCAGCAGAACCGATCGATCGCTATTAACCAAATCGACGCTATTTGCAGTGTTCTCTCCTCACCCCAGTACTCTTCCACTAATGGATATCCCATAGATCCTCACTCCGCACCCCTCGCCTGCCTCACAAACTCTTCGAACATCATCAACCTCATCCAAGACGTCTCCTCAAAAGAGGTGAGGTCAAAAGAAGCATGTCGCGGAATCTACCAAGGCTGCACTCCCCGAAACCTATTTCCCTCCCTTACAACCTCGTCTCGGGAAATGTACTCCACTTGCACCTCATCACTTTGCGTGGACGCAATTTCGTTCGTGGTGAGTGCTTGCGAGCCGATGTTGATGATCTGGCCGTTATAGGGGGAAGGTTGTTCGACTAGGAGGAGCTTTGAGAGAATGATCCCCATGATTGTGGTAGATACTAGCCTCATATTCTTTGCTTGGGGCCTTGCTGTCCTTTGAATGAACTGGGAGTGCAGTTCAGGCCAGTAGTGTTCTGCTTACTAGCCTGGCAAATGGGACATGGCAACATGGATCAGCCCGGTCGGAGGATGCTCCACAATTCGAAGGTGAGGCTTCACGCTGGACTTGTACGAGACGCTCGATGGTGTATTTGGCGCTGGAGTAGCCTTGCAGTTCGATTGTGGACGTTTCGTCCATGGTTTCGGAAACGTTTGAATAAAAAGGGCAATGAACAAGGCTGTATGGCGGTCGGCTGATGACAGCCCTGGAGGAAGGAAGGACAATTTGTCATCAGCCGCCAGTGCCGTCGACATCACGACCTCTTCGTTTCCTCCTACAAATGCATACGAGAACACCATCCATGGATCCTGAGCATTCAAATGTCATTCAGCGCCGGAAACGGGGCAGGCCGCGAGCAGACCCTCAGGACGATGACTGGTATGGCATTGATGATGCTCGGGAAAGGAAGCGCAGGCAAGACAGACTAGCGCAACGAGCAAGAAGTACTTATGGCAGCAAGATGTACTTGGCGGAAGAGGCACACTGATATGATCCAGGAGCAAGACTCAAAAACGGCAGTGAGCCAGAGTCCACGCTCAGCGATGGGCCTGGTACACTCGGCATCGAAGATCAATCTTCCAATAAAATTCCAAACTCCCCAGAAGGTGAAGCGGAACCATGGCACCGAAGCGATCTAACACCGTCAGTCACTGGAGAAATAGGAGGGATCAGGTTCAACACTCCATCTGAGCAGATCTCCCTGGAAAATTTTCTCTTATCGCTCCCAGGCCATTCGCTCTACGCAGCTCTGGTGAGCCACGGTGCCATTCTAGGCCTGACGCGTGCCGGATGCCACGGAATGGTCCAGTCCTTACGAGCAAGGCCCGGAGCTCCAGCGTCTCTCCAACCAACACCGTTACAGCTAACGACACCTCATCTTCCGTGGATTGACCGCTTCCCTTTCCCTCGCATGAGAGACAATATGATCATCCTCCGCGATGTGCTCAACCTTGACTCTTTCTGTGGCGAGCTGTTCAACGGGAATAGTTTTTATCTGGAGCGTAGTAGACCTTCCTGGGACCCGAAGTCTTGGACGATTGATTCGGGATTTTCTGGGAGATGTGGTTTTCTGCTCTATTGAAATTGGATCGTTATTCATTATTGCCAAAAGGTCTTTCGACATTTGACATACTTTTTGAAGTCGCTCTCGCCATCCCGCCATTTATATTGCATGCCAGGGAGCTCCATGTGGTCCATGTGGATGATCGGATATCGTTGCTGGAGAATAGGCCGTATAATCATTTGATGACTTCCAGCTCTTCCGACAAAGTCAAATGCGGTACTGTGACATAAGTTGCAGAGATATGAGATCGCCTAGTTCAAATAAAGATCCACTGGTTTAGGTTCGAAATGAACGAATAGAAAGCGGCTCGACACCTGCTCCAAGACATCGCTGTATTGACAAACCCTTTCTGCCGCTGTTGACTCTTGTAGTACGGACGAGATGGCAGCGAACAATGCGATTACGTAGCCTCGTAGCCTTGCGAGCGGAATGACCCCTAGACTGAAAGCTTTGCCTGTCTTGTTGGGAGATCAAAAGACGTCGCTATGGGGATAGATAGCAAAGCCCAAGCTTGCCCGCGTCTTCTTTTATATAACAGCTTCTAGATACGAACAATCATTGTTTTAATACAGCCCATTGCCCTGCTTACAAATTAGAGTTTATTAAGATATAGTATGTCAAACCTTAAATCTGCACTAGACTACATCAGGCAAGATATAGTTTAATATATAAAGTAAGGTGTACTTTAAAATATCTCAAAAGAAACCTTATTTCTCTTGTTTATATAATAGCCATTCTTCCCCCTCGACTTGTTCCATCATCTACTCTCTACAATTCGCATCTACTCTGCCGAGTCTCTCCAATATTGAAGATATATCGTTAATCGTTGAACGTATCTACCCTTGAGCCGTCACCAAGCTTCACCGTTACCAAGCTTCACAGTAACATCCTCGACAAACATCCCTACTACAATGTCTATCCAATTCAGCGTAAGCATTCTTCCACCTCTTGCCACAACACGACTTGTTAACAGATATGACAGGACAACAAAGTCTCCAACGATGCTGCGAAAGCGATCGCTAGAAAGCGACTCCGCCAGCTTGGTGTCGCCGTAGCAAACAGTCAACGTAGACACCATATGGCTCTCCTGCAGTATAAGGTGTTCCGAGCAGCAATGGCCAAGGCCGAGCAGAGCGAGAACTATGAAGACCTTCTCAAATATCTATCCATGACCGACCCAGCTCGTGGAGCCAAGGCCGCAGCTTGGATGATGAGCAAGCTGCGGAAGTCGACTGTCGAAGGCGACTCATCCCAGTCTGAACAGGATTCGCATGTCAACGACGCCTATGTTGAACTGAACACTCCAAGCGAGGCTGTTGCGCTCAATGAAATTATTACTCCCAAAGACGCAATTGTAGCCATTGAAACACCAAAGCCGAAGAAGCGTGGTCGGCCTTCGAAGGCGGACCTCGCTTTGAGGCTTGAGCAGCAGGTCGTAGCTAAGACAGCCTCGCCTGCTATCTCTGGAGTCTATAACATGACTACGCCGCCTAGAAAGCGTGGTCGCCCTTCGAAGGTCCATAAGATCGGAGGAAGCCAGTCTCAATCCCCAACCAAGCGACGTGGTCGCCCGTGGAAGGCTATCTTGTTGCAACGTAGCCAACGCTCGCAGTCGGAGGATATCGCTGGGCTAGGCCTGTGTGATGCCATAGCGAGAGAGTGAGCCAAGCCGTGGGCATGAACCAGAAAAGTAACTTATACCAATGGTCTCAACGTCGAAGACCTAACGCTGACATCTTGACAGATTGCAACTTTTTATACGCTGAGGTTGTCATCGTCTCGCCATGCTCTGATACATCGAATGCCGATGCAGATTTTGTGGAGATCGAGAAGGTTTTGATTGAGGTCTTATTGTGATTTTGAAAATGCGCTGGGCAATCAAGGAAACAAATTGGACATCAAGATAGTAGATAATCTCTTAGCTGGTTCTGGAATGAAGTCATCCTTTTGTTGCCACGACGTTATCTGTCTATCTTGATGTTTGCGTCAGATAGTAGTCATAAATCGAGACAAAGATGGTCGCTGGGCAGGTTGAACCCGGGCTCGGTCGACCACTCCCATGTCTGTAGTATGATGATCAGCGTACTGTGAAGCCAGAACAGATGACCTGAGAGGGTTGTTCGAAGGGGTGTAATGGACTATGATTGTGATCATGCAGTCTTTGTCCTATTTCAGCCCTTGGTACATGACTGGAGCACCAAGCCAAGAACGTTGATCTGCCTCGCATGGTGTTACACTCGACTTCTCCTCTGTATGGTCTGGGCTCAAATCCCATAACCTGCCAATGAACAAGTTCACTGCCAACCACAAGAGCGGACGACCCGTCATTAACAAAGATGCTCGGAGCCCAAAGTACCTTCAAGATTACGAAACCTGTATCCCAAAGTAACGTTTCGATCCACTCGCCAACACTACTCAACCTTCCTCTCTGCGTTCCCGGGCGGTTCCCGGCGCTCATAATGCTCTTAGCAAAGTAGAGCGGCTTTGTCGTCGCAATCAGTCCAATAGTCTTCATTTGCGGCGAAGAGAGGAATGGAAGACTCTGACAGAGGGAATCAGCACACTCATCCATTTCCACTCGCAGTTCTCCAAATTTGAATCCCTGGGTAATGTTATCGTTGTTGTCCGGAAGAAGGGCCAGAACCTCGAGAATGGCTCTGTCCAGTTCGAGAAGACACATCCAGTAGATTTGATGAAGCCCGGCGTCTTCAATGCTTGCGAAGTTGTAGACCGTGGGGAAGATGTCTGAGAGCTCGTTTCCAAGCCAAGTGTGAAAGATCGGATATTCCTCGAGACTCACTACGTCGACGGCGTTGCATGTGTGAAGGCCATATCCGTGCAGCTGTTCTCGTAGCTGTAAAGCATCGTCAATTATCGGCCTCGCTATAGCCAGATATGAGAAATCCGTCAACTCTGCAAGGGCCTCCAAGCATCCCGGCACCTTGAACGCAATGTCTGCAACACTTCTCGATTGCGGGTCGTTTCCCTCGTCAATGTAGAAAGATGGAAGGCCTTGTCGCTGCACAAGTGCTCGACTCAGAGCCATGGTGCGCCAAGTCTGCAAGCCCGGGATACTTTGCAGCTGCTCGTCGGCGATAGTAATTGCTTCTGGTCCTGACGACCGTAAAAGGTCCAAAAGCCCTCGTGAGTGCCATTGCCAGAGAAAGTCCTGGTGAGAATGACATTTCATTGCTTCTACAAGTGAGAGAATGTAGTTGGCGGCGAGGATATCTCCAAGGGCCCTGCCTTTCAGATGAGTGTATGTCCTCTGCCGGAGGGAACATAAGGCTTGATGATAGAGTTCATAGAAGTTTTGAAGCGCTTTTCGACTTCCAGAGTCGAGAGCAAGGTTTAGAGTCGTCAAGGCGAGACTCACCATGTCTCCATTTCCGCTGTTTGCGACGATACTCTTTCATGACGTATGATCGCACTGTCTTGCGTGCATCTCTGTCGAGCTGTCCTGACTCAGTAGTAGCTCGTACAAATGTGAGGTCAGTTCTGGATATCATCTGGGCTTTTACCCTTGCAAAAGTGATCATACGAATAGAGAATATCGTCGCTTGGAAATCAGTAGGCAGGATCTTTGTTGTTGAGAATTGAGACCTCGATTTCGCGGAAAGTCAAACGGTCGGATTGGTACTCTGTACTCAGGAGATCGCCTTCAGCTGAACAATGCCCTAATGGAGGCAAGAACCACCGCGACAGAGGGAAGAGAGTTTTGAGCTAGTCTCCGTGAACGTTAGTAACAATCACACAATCCGCAACACTTGCCGCGCTCTCGCCGAATGTGCCAAATACGAATAGGACTCCAGAGAAAAATCTTGGTTTAAGATCCCCACGTGGAATATAGTCCTTGCGAGAAGTCAACCTCGGCAGAATCTGAAGCCGAGTGACGCAGCCTTGCGGTCATTCTGATGCCAAGGAAAATGGCTTAGTCAACTCGAACGCTTCCAAGGCTCTCCATGCCCAAGTGCATACTTTTTGACATAGATTGCATTAGACTGAGTGTTAATCGAGAACAGTACATCCAAATATTAGGGCCAAAAGGGAGAGCATGCCATTACTCACAAGGCTCCTCGAAAATGTACATAGGCTCAGTCAGGTGAATTTCTTGATAGACGCAACAGAGCACGAAAGTTTATCGGTGCATCCACATTCGAATGTAGTGGATAGGACAATGCTGTTCATGCACGCTAATCAGACGCAGACAAATTCAGCGCCGCCAGTCGTTGCATTACCAACGAATGTCTGCCGCGATGGATAGGGACACAGCACTCGAGTCCCAACTTCGCCAGTTGCGTTCAGCGTCTTTGGTACTTTGCCATGCTCCACCCAACTCATCAAATCATCAAAAGCGCTTCATGGAAAAGGGCCTGGACCACATGCACAATGGCCGACACCAGGGGCTTCAAAGAAGCGGAAAAAGTCAGATGCGTCTGGGTCGATGGCCAGGACTTCCTTGTAATAGTCGATCGTTCCTGCTGGAGGGATGGTCTCGTCCGCAAGACCGTGCCAACTGATCATCTTGCCGCCAGTGGCTTTGAACTCGGATAGATTTGGGTCGGCAGAACCGAAGATGGGACCGAGTTCTCGATGAGAAGTTCTGAGATGAGCCAAGAATTGTTCGTCCGTCATGTTCGCTGTAGTATGCGCCGGGTCTTTGTTTAACAAATATTTGAAAAAGTCGTCGAGGAGCGGAGAGGCTGCCAGGCTACATCCTCGACTTTGTTGTGCACACGAGGTGGCCACGTAGTTTGCCGTTAATGAGGTATCTTTGTTCAGGCCCGGCCAGCTTATGTCTCCTGAGGGGCTTGATGGACCACGCCAGGCGGCGGCTACCACTTCTGCGCCGGCAACAGAGAGAGTGATGCTCGTACCGTTACAAGCAACTTGCTTGCCCATCACTGAGTGGGGATTGAAAGAGCAAAGATCTGGGTGCGAAATAATCCCATCACGAACACCATCCAAGCCATCACAGGCATTGACAGCTTCTTTGATATAAACATCAATCTCGCACGGCGATGGATACACGTCCATATCGTCCATGACTTGCCTCGCCCACGAAGCCGCGGGAAGGAAAGTGTCAAAGTATATCGCCGGTGCTGCCGCAAGGATGCCATCGTAATGAGTTGGGAAGCGTTGTGCAATCTCCAGCCCCTGTCTTCCACCTTGCGAGCATCCACTGAAATATGCAAAGTCTGGCGTGCGGGCAAAGAAGTCTTTGGTAGTCTTTTTCCCGATGGGCCCCATCTCGCCCAACGTCCGCAAACCGAAATCGTAAAGTAGCGGTAAATTCAGATTCCCTGGGCTGGATAGGGCCCAGTCCAGGCGCAGTGCATTCGTAAGACCTGCCGGATGTCCCGAGTCTGTCATGAGAGCAGCAAAACCTTTTGCAACTGCTTGTGTCATATACAGCGAGCCCACCCCAGCCGCAAATCCAGACCCTCCGACAGCCCAGAGTCTTCCGTTCCAAGAGCTGTTGCTTGAAGAATTGGAGAGTGGCAGCCACACTGATACGTTGATGGTGTCGTTCCAGCCGGGATGAGTGTAGGTGACTGTCACATTGCAGAAGTCGATGGTATAGCTCGCCCCATCTAGTGTGGCTGGTGGAAGAGACATCGCCGTAAATGCGAGCTCGGCATTGGCATGGATGGCCAGGTACTGGACGCCGTCGATATCTGGAGGCTCGAAGGTGGAAGGTTGGCAGTTTGAAACTGCGTCGGCGCTGACTGTCTTCAAAAGACAGAGAACTATGCCAACAAAGCTGCCGGCCAAGGATGCGAGCATGGTTCTTGGGGTCTGGGCGGCGAAGTCGAGTGTGTCGTTGCTGGACGAATGTGCTGAGGGAGAGACTACAGCGCAGAGGCTGTGAAAAGGAGAGGAAAACGAAGGGCTTTACGCGCGGTGGCCTGGGAGTTGGTATTGGACAGGAGCTGCAAAACGGGCCCCATGCCCTTGGTTTTATTCTCGTTCTATAGTCCATACAATCTTTATGACATGCGAAGATTACGAGTATAGATGGACGTCTCCCCGAATACGACCAATACGTTGGCTGGTCGCATCCAGTCGCTCGTACATACCCCTTGTCAGGTCAATCAGGCAACAAGATTGATACTTCCAGCCAAAGTATCTCCGACACCGAGCCGACAGATTTTGAACTCCACTGTGCGTTGACGCTAAAGGCTGGCATGATTGTCCTCTGCCAGATGGACTGAGCATTGAAGGTCAACCAGTTCCCGACCCGTTGGACATCCTCGTAGAATTGACCATATAGCCAGCTTCGTCCTTCAATTCGTGGAATAAGACCAGCAGGCCTGCGCCCAAAGAAGATCGTCGAACGTTTTCTCCCCGAAAACACAAGTTGGAGTGAAGATCCAATGGTATTCTCGTGAGCTCTCTGTGTGACATCAGCCCGGGGAAACCAAAAGAACATGGAGCCAGAGTGGAGCCAGACCTTGCTGCGGTCCCAGCTCTGGACAAGTGACCATACTTGGTGCAGCGACCTTTAGGAAATGAGAACGATCAAAGAACATTGAAGAAACTGTGTAGCTTGTTATTGTTTGTAGAATATCTACCGAGTCTCCCCTTTCTCGCCGACTTTCGGCGCCTGACCATTTCGACCGCCCGTGGCAGTCCCACGACTCTCCCAAGATCTTCTACTCCACCCGCTCGGTCTTTATGACGGTGCCAGACTCCCGCTTTACCGTTGGCCGTCGATCCTTCCAGAGCTCATGCAGTTCATCTTCGAAAGGATTGACAACGGCCCAAGAGTCTGCTCCTTCCGCAAGATTGCGATTCAATCTCAGCCCGAGACGCTGTCGGATGATATCAGCGTCGTGGAAGCGCTTGATCTCTCCCCGCGATGCATCAGGTCGGTGAAGTTCTGCAAGGCGTGAATGCTTCCATCGTCGCTGTTCTGCTGCTGGTATGCTTCGTCCGCCCAGCTGACCTGCCATTGCCCGAGAGTGGATAACCAGGATGCATGAGCACCCTTAACGGAGGCCATGCGGTCGAGGAAGGTCTTCATCCGATTCGTGGTATCTCGCCGGCCATATTCCGTCTTTGGCATCATGGAATCAACCACCTTGGCCATCTTCTGGTCTCGGTCGATGTGAAAGGCAATCCAGTGCCCGCTGCCTTCGTTGGCAACGCCGTAGACGTTGACGACGCCTTCGTCCGGTCGGAACGGCAGACGACCTCGCTGTGCCAAGCCTTGGAAAATCTGGTCTCGAGCTGCTGCGTAGACGCCGTTCATATGCTTCGGTACGGCGACATGACCAAAACCGCGGTCTTGGATCGCCTGCCTTGTCCATGAAGCATGTCCTGTCGCTGAGCTTGGAGTCTGGGCCGCTGAAGAAGCTCCATAGCAGACGGTGCACTCCAAGGTCAGGGTTACCATACGGCGATAGCCAGTCATTGCGCATTGCTGACGTCCACGAGTCATAAAGCCTCTGCTGCTGGACTTCGTCCCCAGTCTGGATTACCGCTGGATTGGGAGGAGCGCTAGCCGGGATCGAGTGCGCGAAACTGGACGCAGCATCAATGCCCATACCATCACCGTGTGGAGCGGACTGAGCAAGCGGAAGAGGATGCGGCTCGGGTCGAGTAATGGCCATGTCCATCAACCGATGCGGTCCCAGGCCTTTGGTATTGACTTTGAGCGGACCTCCGCCGCTGGATTCCTGCACGTTGTTAGAGGCGTCGCCATTGTCCAACCGTGGCTTCTTGTGAGCAGAAGGAAATGCCCCTGAGCTGCATGGTGGCTTGTTGTCCGGCTGGGACAACTCTGTCTCCTTTGCTGCTGCTCTCTGGGCATCCTCCCTCTTTCTCTTCTCTCTGAAATCCACCAGCCTGGCCTTCATGTCCGCCTGGGCTTTGCGTTGCCTCATTTCCCGGGCCTCTGCAGGTGTTGGCGACCACAGGCGGACTACCGGCGGTCCAACTTGGATTTCGTCCGGCAAAGGCTCACGCGAACGCGATTCTAGGGCTATGGGTGGGTTCGGCGGTGCCGATCCTCCGTTCGAGCTTGGCTTGCGAGGCGAAGCAAATAGCGACATGGCGAGGGGATGTAAAAGTTGATACAGGCGGATGCCTGACCAGATCACTCAATTAAAAGTACAGAACTCGACCCGGAGGGAGTTCTGAGAGAGCGAGCTGCTCGACTGCAATGAAGGAGGAGCGGCTCGGGGGGAAGGTATGCAAAAGTTGATACACGCAGATGCGTGACCGAGACGACTGCTCAAGCCCAGAGGCGAGCGGTCAGCGAAGCGCTCGAACCCCAGCGCCTGGGCAGCTGGGGTGAGCACAACGGGGGGAGATGTCTGCAATCTGGCACGAAGAGGGGCGCACAGCGGACGCTGCCACCCAAACTCTTGTTATTGCTGGTCGTGAAGGGGAGGAGGGAGGACGCGGAGCGACGAAGCTGTCTGGAATTGGCTGCGTGGCGGGGCGTGCCGCACGCCAAGCCCGGATCGCGGCGCCGACGACGGCAGCAGAATTGGGGGAGCTGAATCTCTCTGTTGCCAGCACCTTGTTTTAGATTCCTTCGTCGCAATGCTTTCCGCCGATCGGACTTCCTACGTTCTTCGCTCATGTCGACACATCCCGTGGTGGCTGACGGGAGCCTCTCGAGCCGACATCACCCTCCTGGCAAAGTTTCACACATACAGATAACAAGAAGAAGACATCAAGCGCCTGCAACATAACTCTCCGTCTGGCAAGGAGACTGTCAGGGCCGGAAGAAGCTCGAGATGGCATGGTGAGACATCAGTTCCTCGGGGATACTGTGAACCAGGACGAACCGATAAGCACTACCACCTTCATCAATTTGGCGAGCTTTCAGACAGCTATGCCAGCTTTTCGAGCGACTCGTTGTTCTCTCGCGGCGAATCTCGAGCATTCTTCTGGAACTCGCCATCCTTTGAAGCAACAGGTTCAACCTTTCTCGGCGCCAGAAAGGCCTTGAAGCGTGGTGCTTGGGATTGAACGTAGTCGTTCTGTATATCAGAAAGGGTTACTATCATTCTTTGATGGCTTTGAGGTTTGGAGGATGCCATCATGGACCGGCGAGCAAGAGGTGAGGTCGGCTCGTATTGAATCCGACGATACCCACTCTGAATGCGGGAAAGATCCGCCTCACAACAATAGACAACACAAGAGTACATCTTCCAACTTGCTCTTCAGCAACCATGGCTTCCATCGCCAGCACTTCCGCCACATCGGGTCATTGCAAACGTGTCGCCGATTCCATCGAGATCACCACGATCGTCACCATCTTAAGAGCCGGGAGTGGAAGTTGAGAGAAGAGCGGCAAGAGATGGAAGCTTGGTTCGCACGGTTGGCATAACAATGATCAGAGAAGTGACAAGGAAGAAATTGGCTCGGACTTGTGTCGTATGAGATGTACAGCATACACTGGAATCGATACATTGCCCACAGATTGGCAGCAGTCACCTCTTATACTTGCGTTGCTCTCTTACGAATGCCAAGCCAGCATTCGTCTGGCTTCTTCGAAAAACCCTCGTGCGATTCCAGCACCTGCTGATACAGCTCGAACTCATACCGATGGAACGCAGTCCCCACAATCAGCGCCAGCTCCATGTGCGCGACATTTTGTCCAACGCAGGCTCTGGGCCCGAAAGAGAAGGGATTGAAGCAGATCTTCTGCCTGGGTGTCAGGTTTCCTGGAAGCCATCTGTCTGGCTTGAACTCGTCCACATCATCTCCCCAAACTTCGGCATCGTGATGGATGGTGTAGCTCGGCACTGAGAGTACCGTGCCAGTTGGAAAGAGCGTGTCTTGATGTTGTACTCCAGTCGCCGACGTTACGATCCTCGGAAGGCCGATAGCCGATGTGGAGTGCAATCTTATGGCCTCATCGATGCACCTCCTCAGGAACGGAAGGCTCTTGACTTCAGCGTGTGATGCGATGTCAGCAGACTCTGGAATTGCCGCATCAAGCTCAGCCTGCAGTCGCGGGATGATGGTCCCTGGAGCAGCACGTTCGCCATGCAGGATCCAGTAAAAGACGGCACAAGCAGTGTTCGAGACGGTGTCACTGCCTGCGATCAGCTGCGTAAGAGCTTCCGAGATGAGTTCATCCCGTGGCATGGGATTTCCTTTCGAATCTTTGGCTTGGACCAACATGTCGAGGATGTCGTTTCGCTGCTTCTGACCCTTCTCCGCCTTCTCGTTTGCGTCCAATCGCTTTGATACGGCGGCAACAGCGATCCCATGAAGGTTCTTGACTGACTTGAGGCCGTTGGAGAAGAATGGATCCGGCAGATACTTTGCCCACGGTCGAAGGGACAGCATCAAACCCAACGTCGAGCTGACTTCTCCTCTTCGATTGAGTGTCTCGGCACCTGGAGCCAGCACTATGGGACCATGAGGCTCAAGCTGGGCCTCGCACTCATCACGACCCTTGTCGACCATGCCGAATGGAGCTCCAAAAGCAAGATCTCCGATGATGTCGAACGCAATGTAGGTACACCAAGGCATCATGTTGATCTGAGCGAAGCCGTTACTCTTGGTAGGATACGAGGCGATGCGATCGAGTTGCCTTATCCAGCGCCGGAGATTGTCGGCCATATGTGTCTCGAATGCGTGGACTGCGCCCGGAGAAAAGGCATGGGCAATGATTTTGCGCTTGCGAGTGTGCTCGACTCGATCTCGCACGTTGAAGACCCCGGGCACACCTGAAACAAACGCTTCGTAGAAGTGGCTGGACAACGTCAATCCTTGAGCTAACAGGCCAGAAACCAGGACTCACTCTTTGAGAAAGCCATTTCCATGCGCATAGACAGTCTGCAGACCTTCCGGCTGTGCAATCGAGACATGGTTGAAGCCAATTCTCACTACTGGACCATACTTGCGATGAGCCCAATCCACCCACGCAAACTTCTTGCCATTCCGCGCTCCCAAAGCCACCCAGATATTGCTGAACTTGGCGACCACGGGCCCGGGAATGTGTTGAAGGTGTTTGTAGGTCGTGAAATAGGGGAGAACGTAGTAAAGAACGAGCCATACCGGCGCAAGGACGCTGGCCAGCACGAGGAATCTTTCAAGGCCCATGTTTGAGACTTCTAGAGCTGACAAGAGCTGAAAGGACGACAAACAGAAGGAGCCACTGGCTTCAGCAGCTATATTGCTTACCGCGTTGATGCTCAATGCTGGATTTTGCATACATGCTAATTTGTCAGATATCAACGCTGCCTTGCAGCCCCACTCTTGTAGGTCGTCTTGAGAGCCAACAAGGCGAGATGCACAAGGTTAGAGACCAGGTCAAGGGGCATCGAAGCCATTGAAGTGTTGTGTTGATAGCTGACTGCTGAGCTGACGATCCTTTTCCCCGCCCCCACCGTTGGGGCAGACGGAGCCCTGCAGGCCTATCGGCGTATCTCTGCTCACGTTCAAGCAGCTTCCCAAGAGAAAGGTGATGTGAGCAAACAGAATGGGACATTTGGAATTTCGCTATTTCCTCAGCAAATACCAAAGTATGCTGACAAGCACACCCAGTCGGTGTTCTGCTATGGTAATATCTTATGTGAAGCCTTGAAATTTCTTGTGCACATCAGGCAAGTCCAAAGTCTTGCTGTCGATTGTTGGTTTCCAACACTGTTCAGAACTTGGACCGCACAATGGCCATATTCAGAGGCGTGAAAGTCCAGAGACAGATACAGCGTCCAGTCGACGAAAGATTGAACGTGAGTGATGCTCTGACAAATTCGCCAGCCATTGAGCTGACCTAAGCAGGTTGTCATAGTTGGAGCCGGCCTTGGAGGTCTCGGTGCAGCAATATCGCTCCTACTCGCTGGCCACGAAGTCCATGTTTTGGAATCAGCCTCGCAGATTGGAGAAGTTGGGGCGGGCATCCAAGTGTTGCCGAACAGCTCGAGAGTCTTGATCCAGTGGGGCTTGGGACCAAGACTGGCCAGGCTCGCCACCATTCCAGAGCAAGTCACCATGCTTGGATGGAAGGGCAATGTGTTGACGACCCACGACTTCCCCGCGACGGCCAGAGAATACGGAGCGCCATTCTGGGATTTTCATCGCGCGGACTTACACGAGGCGTTGCTGGAGCGGGCTCAAGAACTCGGGGTCACCTTTCAGACGAATTCTCGAGTAGTCAACGTCGACTTGTCGAGACCTGATATCTCAACTGTGGAACTAGTCGATGGAAGACGAATCTCAGCGGACCTCGTCATCGGCGCCGACGGCATCTTCTCCAAGTGTCGAGAAATCATGGTCGGGTACCAAAGCCCCCCAGTCGCTACAGGAGACCTTGCATACCGCGTGCTCCTCAGCACCGAAGGCATGCGAGACGATCCCGAGCTATCGGCATTCCTCGAAAGCCATCACGTCCGCTACTGGATGGGACCCGAAAAGCACGCCGTCACCTACGTCCTCCGCAATGGCGATCTCCTGAACATGGTCCTCCTCGTCCCGGACGATATGCCCCCTGGAGCCCCCACGATCGACGCCAGTGTCGACGAAATGCGCGCTTTGTTCGCGGATTGGGATCCGCGCATCTCCAAGGTGCTTGGGTTTTGCAAGTCGGTGCAGAAATGGCGGCTCTCTTACAGGCCGGGACTTGAGACGCCGTGGTATAACGAGACGGGGACGTTTGCGTTGCTGGGGGACGCGGTGCATGCCACGCTCCCCTACCTCGCTTCGGGCGCTGGGATGTCGTTTGAGGATGGTGCTGTTATCGGGCATTGCTTTGGTCGCATCGGCGATAAGTCCATGGCCTCGAAACTGGCCGCCCTTTCCATCTACGAAAAATGCAGGCGGCACCGCACAGAATCCATCGTTGATCGGGGTAATCACCAACAACATCTCTACCACATCGACGACGGCGAGGAGCAGCGTGCTCGAGACGAGCGGTTCAGGGCGTTTGAGCAGGTCGAGAAGGAAGTTCGAGATAAAGGCTTGAGAGGCGGTGGGTATGTTCTGCCAGAGGGTTTGGAGGATGGCACGGACCCGCTTGCTTGGAGGAGACATGGGGTTGGGAGGTGGTTGATTGGGTATGATTGTGAGAGGGATGTTGAGGAGATTTGGCCAAGGCAGGAGGGCGATGTGGAGGTTGGAGGTGTGAGGGCCTCGCTGTAAGAGGCTGCGTACGTAATGAACAGAAGGTGTGTTTGATTGCGAAGAGCCTAGTACAAACGACAGAATCTTTGGAAAGTGAAGTCGAAGTATGGCTCTGAGGGTCTTGCAGACGTATTTTCAACGATGTCGTTGGTCAACGGATTGATGGATTAGAGTGTTTACTCGAACCTCACGAAATAGTATTTGTTCGGTGGAATGGAGTAACATTCGAGCATATCGCTAAATCTCCAAGAAGCTCGAGTAGTACTCATGTACCACGTTCGCCGCATCGACAGCCCTGTCCTTCGTATTATCCCAGCGATGCAAATGCCCAATGTACCCATCCGGTCTCACATTGACAACAGCACACTCACTCCCAGCCATACATCCAACCCACTTCTCAAAGCAGTGCTTCGAATCCTTATTCTGTACCGCACAGTCATCAAGATACACCGTCCAGGGGCTCTGCCGTAGCAGCTGAGGAAGATCCGAGATCTCGAATTCGGCCTTGGGGGTTGCGGTGATTAGGGTTGGTGTTATGAGGTTGTTGAAGGTTAGGTAGCGCTCGGGACGGACGTATTCATCCAGGCAGTTTTGTGTTCGAGGTTTCTTCGTGTATGATAATGCTGACGCGGAGGTTGATGACGAAGTGGATAGCTCGTCGCAGAGAATCTCCAAAAATGGCTTGACCTGCAAGATATCGGGACAGATGAGGTACATCCTGAATTGACCGAGCATAGGGATATCCAGCTGGAGGTCAACTGGATTTGCGTCGAGATACCTGGTCGCCTTGACAGGCGTTAGAAGTTGGCCGGGTTGTAAGGGGCTGTCTGACAGTGATGGCTTGTTCAAAATATTGCTCGTATACTCCGCTCCTACCCCCGAGATAAATCGAATATTCTTCAAGAAGTTCTGCGCGAGAGCTTCCGGATCGCCTGCGTGGAAAGAATTGGCGTGTTCGAAGTCGAAGTTGATCAAGTCTTGGGCGACTTTCCGTCGCTCGTGTTCGTAGGTTTCGAGGAGGTGTGGTTTTGCTAGACCTCGTACCGCGAGGTTGAGCTTCCAAGCTAGGTTGAGGGAATCGTGCATTGAGGTGTTCATCCCTTGAGCTGCTTTTGGGCTGTGTGTGTGGGATGCATCGCCTGCGATGAAAACTCGCTGTGAGGCGTCTGTAAAGTGGCGGGCGACTCGTTGGCCGATTTGGTAGATGCCGAACCATTCTTACCAGATTAGCACATATAAAAATTGCTGAGGATTTCAAACTTACCAACACTCGTCCACTGCAGTCCATAAGGTTGGAATATCAACCGCGCCTGCTCCATCACAAACTCCTTTGTCGCTCTTTCCTTCGGCAGCCGACTGCCATCTTCTGACTTGAGCTCAATGTACAGCCTCGTCATCCCTCGCTCTCGCGGGATGCATAATACATTGCCGTACTTGTGTGAGTATACCACCGCTTTACTCCAGAGATCGGGAAAGTCGCTTTCGATCTCGCCGTCCAAGACTCCCCAGATAGCCTCTGATGACGCTCCTTCAGCTTCCACGCCCATTGACTTGCGGACTTTGGAATGTGCTCCATCGCAGCCGACGAGGTATCGACTTCGAATGGAAGTCGGGTTGCCCGTTGTTAGGTCGTCGTACAGGACCTCAGGTGCCGCATCGTCGCCCTCGTCCTGCGAATACGAAGAGAAGGCCGCGTTTCTGACCACATTCACCCCGCGAGATTGCAAATCTTCCAAGAATACATCCTCGACCATGCCCTGGTGAACAAGCAAAATGTACGGGTCCAAAAGATCAACAACCGGAGGATAATGCACTTCCCGACTCGTCCGTCTCAGAGGAGTCTCTGCCGTGGAGCTCCAGAAACAAATGTCGTGGATTCTTACGCCTCGTTTGAGGAGATTGTCGGCTAATCGCATCTGCTTCAAGGTTTCGATGGTTTTAGGTTGCAGGCCATCTGCTCGGCCAGTGGAGGTTTGACTTGGTCGGTCGTCAATGATTGTTGTCTTGATGCCGAAGCGAACAAGATTTGCTCTGCAGAATTCTCATCAGCTGGCTTTCTCAATTTGGTTCTCTTGAAAGTACTCACGCCAGCATCAATCCAGCCGGTCCGGCGCCAACGACAACAACATCGCAGATACCTTCGGCACTTGCACTCTCATCATTCAACTTCCCAGGAGACATGTTCGACACTTGCTTGGCAGAAACCGACGAGTGGCCGCCATTTTGGACAACTTCTCCAGCCGCATTTCTCTTTCGACTCGATGCCATGATATCCCATCTTTCATGAACAGGCCTCAGGCATGAGCATGACTGTGCCGAGAGCTGGCGAACAAACTGTTGAGGAAGCTCCAGGAAGGAGCGATAGGCCGAACTTTACTCCCACTCTTGCCCGAGCTTCAGGGGTGAGCTCGCCGTGTAGAGTGGGGCTTTGGATCCGATGCAATGCAGAAGGTACGACTTCCACCACCTTCATCGCAGAACTACCTTCGAAGGCGTGACACATCGTAGTGATGCCTTCAGGTAACTCTTTCCACTATTGGTGGCTGCGTTATCCGTGATCTCGCATCTAGCCGAGATTCCAGTCTTGCCCGACAGCCTCGCCTCCGGTCTTGGCACTTCGCGATGTCGCCAGCACAACATGGAGTCTGCGAGATCCCTTGGGGTGATGGATTCCAGTTGGTTTGAGTGCAATCGCAAATATCATTACGAGTCTGAAGTCAACCATGGGCAAAAAGCGTATTCTGGTCAGTTATGGTAAGTCAGCTTGCTTGAAAATTTGGAACTTCGCTGACGTATCAACCAGGCGTCGACATTGATGCAGTGGCGGGCTGGCTGGGCTCATATGGCGGAGAAGACAGCACGTCTGATATCTCAAGAGGCATCTGGGCTGGCACACATGGTACCAGAAGACTCCTCAAGCTCTTCGACAAGTACAACATCAAAGCAACATGGTTCATTCCAGGCCACACCCTTGAGACCTTTCCCGAGGACTGCGCCGCAGTACGAGATGCCGGACACGAAATTGGATTGCACGGCTACAGTCACGAGAACCCAGCAGACATGACTTTGGAGCAGCAGCGGGATGTCCTGGACAAGACCTACCGCTTGTTGACCGACTTTTGTGGAAAGCCACCTCGTGGTTCGGTTGCCCCTTGGTGGGAGACCAGTCTAGAGGGCTCTGAGTTGATGCTCTCGTATGGTATCGAATATGATCATTCCATGAGTCACGAAGATTGTCAAATGTACTGGCTTCGTACTGGAGATTCGTGGACGAAGATCGACTATTCCAAGAAGGCGGAGGAATGGATGAAGCCACTCGTTAAGGGTGAGACGACGGGTCTTGTTGAAATTCCAGGATCTTGGTACGTGGATTCTCAATTATAGGTTCCTCTATGGTAGTCTTTGCTAACATCTGTTGTAATAGGTACATTGACGATCTGCCGCCCATGATGTGAGCCTTACAATTAACATTGGTGATGGTCGAACTTGCATTAACTTTTGACTTCAGGTTCATCAAGAACAGCGCCAACAGCCATGGGTGGGTAAATCCTAGAGATGTGGAAGCAATTTGGATGGATCACTTCGACTACTACTACCGAGAGTTTGACGAGTTTGTTTTCCCAATGACAATTCATCCGGATGTCAGTGGACGACCTCACGTATTACTCATGCACGAGAGAATCATCGAACATATCAATAAGCATGAGGGGGTGGAATGGGTTACCATGGAGCAGATGTGTGATGAGTTTAAGAAGGCGAATTCTCCTCCCCCTGGCGCTTTGCTACCTGCGACGAGGGAGGAGGTTGAGAAGCGCTTGAAATTGCAATGAGAGTTTACGAAATTCGATGTTCTCAAGCATCAGTTATATCTATACGTAGCGTTATAGAAAAGTGCTGTGTGCACGGCTTTGACCGTGATGCTGTTCTTGCACAGGACAAACAAGGCTGAGAATGCGGTGCACCCAAGCACCGAAATCTTCAACTAGCCTCGTCCTTCCACTGCCCGTGATACTGCAAGGCCTTAATCTTTCCGACAGGATCAATCTAGGCAAACCTAGACTTGCCGTCAGATATGGTTGGACAGCGAAAGGTAGTCGGGATGCAGTCGGCGCTTCAAAAATAGTTTTGCCGCGCTAAACCTTTGCTTCCCACCCTTGAATACGGCAGACGTGAGGACTTTTTGCTTCTCAATTGACTTTTTTATTGTACTTGGACAAGACGAGTACACTAATTTTGAGAATTGTATCTATTCTCCGTGATCAATCTATTCGCAATGCCTTCCGCACTCACTCCGCCACCCTACGCTCCTCTGCGGGACACCAGCCTCTTTCAGCCCGTTCGAATCGGAAGAATTGAGCTTCAGCACCGCATCGTTCAGGCACCTCTTACGCGAATGAGAGCAGTGAAAGAAAGTGACGGCGTACACGTTCCTGGAGATCTGGCTCTCGAATACTACACTCAACGGGCGAGCAAAGGAGGCTTGCAGCTGACGGAGGCCACTGACATCTCACACTACGCTTCTGGGTACCCTGGAGTTCCTGGAATATTTACCGAGAGTCAAGTCGCTGGATGGCGGAGAATCACTGATGCAGTTCATGTTAAAGGAGGTTTCATCTTTTGCCAGCTTTGGCACACCGGCAGAGCCTCACCTCCGAGTTTTCGAAATGGCCAGCAGGCCTTCAGCGCCAGCAACATTGCCATATCAGGCAAAGCTCTCGATGGCACGGAGTATGGCGACAATCCCCCAAAGCCAGCGACATTGGAAGATATCCGAAATACCGTCAAGGCCTTTGAGACTGCTGCTCTAAAAGCGATCGACGCTGGTTTTGATGGGGTCGAAATCCATGGTGAGTCTTAATGTTTCTCACTGAAGAAGTCTTGCTGATTGAAGCCAGGTGCCAACGGATATCTGTTGGATCAATTCCTTCACGATAATGTGAACAAGCGAACAGACGAATACGGAGGATCCGTGGAAAACAGATGCCGATTCCCTCTGGAAGTCGTCCGAGCCGTCAGTAAGGCCATTGGTGGCGAGAGGGTTGGGATCCGTCTCTCGCCATTCAACTACTTCCAAGACACCAAGGACAGTGCTTCGGTGAAACACTGGACATATCTTTGCGAGCAGCTGGCAGCCTTACCCGAGGAGCTCAAGCCAGCCTACGTGCACAGTGTCGAGCCTCGCTTCGATGAAGTTCTGGACGAGCAGGCAAAGCTGGATGCTTTATCTGCGTATGCCAATGGCCTGACCCCTGAAGCTGAGGCAACACGCAAGACGGCATACTCTCTGGATCCACTGCGACAGACGTTGGCTAAAGGCGGAATTCGGTTTCTTGCTGCTGGCAACTTCAATCGCGATAATGTAGTACCGAAACTTGACGCAGATGGAGCTGATGCGATTGTGATGGGGCGATGGTTCATTGCGAATCCTGATCTGCCTCGTCGGCTTGCTGATGGGTTGAGTTTGAATGAGTACGACCGGCACACCTTCTACGGAGCTGATCCACCTGAAAAGGGGTACACTGACTACCCATTCTTCGGCACTTCGTCTGCATGAGATGGTGCATGAAAAGAGGGATTGAGGGTCTGGAAAGGGCTCGCAGCCTTGTTATTCGCCCGAAGCGGAAGAGATGAAACGCATCTCATCCCCAAGGTGTGGAGGGGGACCAGGCTGAAGACTGCAATGCGAGCGGCTCGACTGTTCGGCAATTGGTGGAGAGCCCAAGGTTCAATTGAAGCGGAACAAGCAGGGTCTTCGGTCCTTTGCAAGGGAAGGTGCAGCTTGTCGAAGCATCTTGATAAGCGTAGATAGCAACCCACTTTCCGTACATGCTTATCGTCCCCCGCTTCAGATCTCACCCGTGACCCTCCCATTCGACTTCACGTTTCCTCCATCACTCCCCATTCATGCGCACCTAGCAGCGTACTCTTCATTCACCGTATACACCTCGCTGTCTAGAGCGAGTAGCTTGTAAAATGCAAGAAAACGAACGATTTCCTTGCCAATTCGACGGCTGCAACCGGTCCTTCAGCCGGCAAGAGCACCTCCATCGACATGTGCTCAACCATGCAGATGGCGAATTTACTTGCGATCGATGCCGGACCGTCTTCAAGCGTCCTGATCTACTAGAGCGTCACATGGCCAGACATCGTCGAAAAGACGCTGAAGGGGGAACTTTGATGACTCGCAAGAGACTCTGGAAAGACGTTGATGGACGTGTGGTCAACCGACCGGCGAAAGAAGCCCGAAAGTTTGCTGCTACCACAGTAGGGCAGTCCTCGAGCCAAGAGCCTGGTTCATACCCGCCATCGCCGCCAAAAAGTGCGTCAGATCTTGCCACATCGCCATCTTCTCTGGGAGCGGTAGCAGTGTCCGGCGACCAGCAAAGCAACAAAGGGTTCGAAGGCTTTGGTGTCAAGAATTACTCTTACACAGCAAATGAGGACTTCCTTTGGGACACTTCGCTGCAACCGGTCTACGATTCATCTTACTCCACTGGTCCTTTCGATGACATCTTTGCGCCTGATACCGCGAGCTCCTTTAACATGCCATACACCACTATGAGCAATTACAATTGGCTTTTTGATCTGAATTCAAATCCGACTGCAACTCTCGGAAACTTCCCAGTGGATCCAGCGAACACAATGTTCACCATCGTCAACAGTAACAGCAGCTCTGCATTGGGCCCGCAGAACGGCTCTCCTATCGCTGGCCCGCAGTGGCATTACCAGCAATCATCACAACCTTGCATGGCTCGCCAAGAAATCGACGTCGATAGAAATGAGGTACCCTCTACAATCAGATGCTCGTCTCAGGAAGAAAGTGTGAGGATGCCCGTAAAAGTCCAGAAGGCATCGGCACTTAAACAACTCCAAGAGGCGCCAAGGATTTTGCTCCATCCCGACACAGATCTTCCCCAAATTGACGATATGTCTCATGAACGTGTCCTGGATATCATCGAGACCTCACGACCAATCACGCCGGATGGAAGCCTTGTGACTGTGGACCACCCGCTATTATCCTCGGATAGTCTTCAAGGCTGGCTTGATCTATTCTTCCTGCGATTCAACACGGTATACCCGCTAATCCACATGCCAACGTTTGACCCCAGCCATACGGAATCAATCTTGCTGCTTTCCATGGTCCTACTGGGAGCAACTTACGCAGACAAAGATGCCCATCAGCTGGCCGTTTGTATACACGATGTGATCAGACCGCAGATTTTCTCAAACCCTGGCTTCTCTGCAAAGCCTGAGCTTTGGGTATTGCAAGCCACGCTTTTGACGGAGTGTCTGGGCAAGTCTCGGGCTGGTCAGAAGCAACACGATATGAGCCATCTTTTCCATGGGCTGTTGATCAACTTGATCCGTCGAAGCGATTGCCAGTCCATCGTGCCAGAAACAGAGAAACATGACGAAGGCGATGTTCAGGCGGCGTGGAAAGCATGGGCTATGTCCGAACAGAAGAAGAGATTGGCACAGCTCTGCTTCGTCTGGGACGTTCAGCACGCAGTGCTTTTTAGCCAGTCTCTGTGCATGTCAGCGTTTGAGCTTCGCTCGACACTTCCTTGTGCTCAGCATATGTGGGAAGCACCATCGGCTATCGAATGGCGAAAAGCATTTCAGCATGCGCCAAATGCGCCACTCCTCCTCACAGAGCTGAAGAGGTGCCTCACTGGTCAATCGAACCCTTCAGAGGGAGTCAACCTGCTTGGACACGTTATCATCCTGCATGGACTTATTTCTATCTTTTGGGACCTGACACGAAGAGATCAGACATCTCTTGGTCTTGTTGCAGACAAACTCACTTCAGGCTCCTGGAGAGATCGCATGAAACAGGCTTACGACCACTGGAAGGCCGGATTCGAGAAGTACAGCTCAACTGCAAGGCAGAACCATGACCGAATGGATACCCTCGATCATGCACAACGCTTGAAGGTCGTTAATGGATTCGAGACCTACCTTGCTTCGTATGTTGCCCTTTACCATGCGGCCCAACTCATATTGGCTGCAGATATTCTGGACCTTCAGATCTACGCTGGAGCTCGACACATACTGGGCCGATCAGTATCCAAAGTCGACTACGTGCGGTCGCAGAAAGTCATCAAGGCGTGGGCGAACGAAGATACGAGTCGGGCGGCCTTCGGAACCTGGCATGCAGCACAACTCTTGCAGCTGTCACTTGATTCAAAATCAGTCTCAGTGACTGGAGATATCTTTCACCACCCGTGGACGTTGTTCCTGGCCAACGTAGCCGTTTGGACTTTCTACCAGGCTAGCAAAAGCTGTGCTGGGAATTCAGTCGATGATGAAATGATCTGGGACGTTCAAGACGAGATGAAGAGCCTGCTGAAGTCGATGACAGATTCCAGTCCGAGCCAATTGACCGCAAACTGTAAGACGTCTACTGCTGGCTTGACGGCTGTGGTGGTGAAGCACCTGAGTAAGATCAGATGGGGCGTGATTCATGATGGCATGCTTGTTCTTCGCGGGCTCGTTCAGTGGCGGTTGATTAACGATGAGGATAGTCGGGCATAGATTACATCATTTATTTCCAGCTTGTCTGCCCCCAGGGACTTTGTTTGCATCTGCGAAGTTTAACATTTTAAATGTAGGAGAAACAGCTCTTCAGCGGCCAATATACTTCAACTCCAAATACCGCAGCGGTGGGAACAACAAAGCAGCCCAGCTGGAACCAACAAACAATCCCATATCAGAACCGTCATCGCCGATGAGGTTGGAAATCGGTCCAACATAATACACTTGATTCATGCAAAGTACTGCGCCCGCCCATCCGATGAGGAAAGCCGCCAAAGCCGCGAGTCCTATGGGTAGCTTCGACTTGGTGTTCCAGTCCGCCCAGTTATATCCAGACTTCCGACGGAAGATGAGCTGCTCTTCCAGCGTGAGGACGATCCATATCGTGATCCAGTATCCCATCAGGGATAAGAAGTTCTGGAAGATGTCGTACAGGTGATTACGTCCGACAGCTCCGCATATCGTGTATATGATGACGCTCAAAGTCGTACAGAAAATTCTGGGCACCTTCAGCGGCCAAGAGCCCAGACATTGAAAGCCCAATCCACACGCATAAGTTCCCGGGACGTTGTTGGCGATCACGCCAAGCATGAGCACGACGGCACAGAATTTGCCAAAGCGATTCAGGGGATCGAAGCCAGCCACGAGAACCGCACCCGGACTGATGTCGTCCGCTGCCGCCCAGTTCTGCTGATGGGGTATGCCGGTGGCCAGACCGATTCCCAGCAAGAGCGCAAACATATACCCCAAAGTCTCTCCCAGCCAGGTCAACAGGAACGTCATGGACCTGGAGGTGTCTTCAGCGAAGTAAACATAAAAGTCAGCACCTGCTGAGGCCCAAGAAGATGGTGCACTGAGACACAGTGCGAACATTGACAGGCGATTGCCGGCGATCGTCGCTGTATTACCGGTAGAGGGGCTTATGATATCGAAGTGGGGTCCTGCGCAGCCGGCCAGAATGAGCAAGACAGCGGCCTGAGGAATCCAAGCATATTTCTCATACGTGTGAATCACGGGCATCCCGAGGACTGTGATCAGCCAGCAGATTACCTGTTGTTGTCAGTGTCGATATCACCGGGAGTGCCAAGCCAGTCACTGACAGCAATAATGACCACTCCAGCAACAACCGAAACCTCTCCATCGGCGACGGCAGAAAGTACCTGGCCACCGATGATCGTGTCGATGCAGCCATAGCCAAACATGATGACGATGTTGAGCAGCGCGCATATACGACTGGGCCACCAGCCCATGGTGTACCGGGCAATAATCTGCGACTATGTTAGTCGCTTGGTCGAGGAGAGACGATTTTTTGCGCACCATAGACCTATTACCAGATTGCGGTCCAAACGTCGCAATGTAGCCAGTACAAGCTGATCCAACAATCACGCCGAAAGTCGCGCAGAGTGCTGAATCCAAAAACGAGAGTCCGTACACGCTGGGTCCGAGAAGCCCGAGGGTGACATGGTTGGCCGTGAGGTTCGCACTGGCCCAGAGAGATATCATCTGGACGTATCTCGAGACGGATGGCTGATTGAGTCAGCGGCTGGTAGGCTATGCAGACTGATTCAACTTACCTCCTGCCTTTCCTCTGGTGGTACCCGCTGAACCCCTCTCGTCTCGGTCAACTCGAGATACAGAAATTGCCAGCTGCGAGCTAGCAAAGAAGCATGTTGCTCAACATGATCATCGCGGACTGAACAGGCATCCTGCCCACTGCTTCCACTATCGTGGACCTCAGTTGCGGCTTTGCCGTCTGCCTTTTCGATGTCTGCGGTAATGTTTGCCATCTTGCAATGTCCTGAAAAGGCTGATTGTTGGGGAAATTGGAACGACACTCACCAACATCGTAATGCTCATTCTCTGCGTCCATCTTTTTCACCCCTACCAAGGGGCCATAGGCTGGATCACATGCTTGTGATTGGATGCTTATCAGCCAGAGATAGTCTGTGTTATCTCAAACTCCCATGCATCACTACGCCTGCACTTTTGAGGATCAGGCTGTAGAAGATGCAGTGACAGAGAGAGACTCAAGAAAGCCTAATTGTCGTCAACATCACCTGACCCGTTCCTTCCCGAAAGGTGGGGAGTGACTTGTCCTTCGGCCAAACTCCGCCATCGATAGGGTGTCGACGTGAAGATAAGCATTTTCAGGGCCTCGACACGAGCGATTGAGCTCTTCCTCTTCCCCCCATTCTCTCCGCGAGTAGATTGCGGGGCTTAGCAACAGCAATCGACCTGATCCAGCCGAAGAGGACCCTTAAAGAACATTGAACAGCGTGCCGACCTCGCAGTCTCAACATCATCAGTGACCAACCCATCAACATGCAGCCCGAAGCAGTCTCGACAGCAGTATCAGAGGATAACTTGGTGATACCTCTGATCGATTTTTCTGCATTCCTGTCCGATGATCCAGCAACGAAGAAGAGCACAGCTCAAGCGATACTGGCGGGCTTCGAGAGCGCCGGATTTATATATTTAAAACGGCACGGAATTGCGCAGTCAGTAGTCGAGAAAGTTAGACGACCCCTTTCCTGCCACACTTCACAGCCACTAGTCCATATACGGATCTATATTTAGCCTAAATAAAAAGCCGCCTTCCCTCTTTCTCCCCTCACCCTTCAATCCAACAACACCATCAGCTCTCGTGATGGCATGGCCAAAGCTACCAGCCAAAGCTGCCTATTTGGCCTTGAACAACCCTCAGCGTCGCAATGCCCTCTCTCTGTCAGTCTTGCGACGCCTGAAAGACCAACTGATCAGCTTCAACACGTCGCCGGGAGATGGGAAGTTACGGATACTGCCGCCATTCCAACCGCGGATACTCGAAGACCTGGAAGCTATTTCCGCCAATGCTGCAGCAACTACGCTACCAGACGAGAGAGCTACCGAGCTGGGATGGCTTCTTGATGCCGATGAATGGCGCAAACACCGCAGACACCTCCCAAATGTCCTCGTATTGCGGAGCGAAGGACCAGTATTCTGCTCAGGACATGATCTCGGCGAACTACGAAAGCTCTCTCATGACGAAGTCAAGGGGACATTCGCTCTCTGCGCTGAAGTAATGAGTCTCATCCGCCGATCTCCAGCGCCTGTAGTAGGCGTTATTCAAGGACTGGCGACAGCTGCAGGAGCTCAGCTGGCCTTGACGACGGATCTGCCAATAGCTGCTGCCGATACGCATTTCCGACTGCCTGGTGCTGCCATAGGTCTCCCTTGTACTTCGCCTTCAACAGCTGTGTCGAGACGCCTTGGAGCACCTTTCACGTACAGGATGCTGGCGCTCGCAGAGCCCGTTCGAGCAGATCAGCTGCCTGGAGGCGCAGTGGAGTGTGTGGCTGACTACGAAGCCCTGGAAACAAGGGTTGGAGAGGTCGTCAAAAAACTTGTCAATGAGAGTGCGCCGCAATCGCAAGCGCTCGGTAAATGGGCCTTCTATGTTCAGAATGGATTGGCTGGAGGCGAGACTGGTGGTGATGGATACGAAGAGGCTGTCACCTGGGCTGGTCGAGTCATGGCTTTGCATGCACGCTCTGCCGAAACGAAGGAAGGCGTTGCTGCATTCTTTGAAAAGAGAAGACCCGACTGGAAGCTGTAATGCAGGTCTGTTCTACTCAAGCGATCTAACAGCATCGAAATCAATCTCCCTTCAGGATCAGGTCGGCAAAGCTCTCTGCGACAGCATAGACGGTAGCCTGGGTTGTTGCCGAGACTGGCACTGGAAATACGCTCGCATCGCAGACCCGGAGCCCTGTAACACCCTTGACTTTCAACTTGGAGTCGACCACCTTGCCCATGGCTGCTGTTCCAGCCGGATGATGGATGGTCATTGTGCTCTCCCTTACCCTAGTATCGATCTCATCATCGCTGGATCTCGATGTCAAGGGCTGCTTTCCAACTGGCGGGACATCACCAACGAGGAAAGGTTTGAGCGCCGCCGTCTCGGCGTATCTCAGCGCTTTTCTGATTCCAGCCCGGAGTACATAGCGATCATGATGGGTTGAGTTGTATCTCGGATCAACAACAGGATCGTCCTTCGGATCGCTCGACCGCAGCGTCACATTTCCTCGTGCAGTTGGCTGGAAGTTTAGAATGCTGATGGAAATGTGTTGGCCGTCGATTTGCACGTCGTAGCCCTCGCCAAGAGATAACGGCATATACATGGTCGCTATCCAGTGATGAGCTCGTTCAGCAAGAAGAGCGTGGTCGTCCGAGATCTTGGTACTTCCAGCATCGGCCTGCAACGCCGACTTCAGCCCGTCTTTGGGTAAGCTATCGATGGCCATCCACTCAGCGGTCAAGCCTTGGAGGTGCACCGGGTTCTCCATGAACTTCGCATCGCCCACTGCAAGGCCCTCTTCCGCTTTCTTCGCATCCAGCTTGAAGACGAGAGTGGACCCCAAATGGTCGAAGAGATTTTCACCCACGCCTGGAGAGTCGACGAGTGTCGATATGCCGAGCTTTGAAAGCTCCTCCGAAGGTCCAATCCCGCTGAGCATCAACACCTGTGGCGTGCGATGAGAGCCGCAGCTCAGGATGATCTCCTTCTTAGCGGAGAACATACGGCCGTCAACCAACCGTACGCCCGTCGCCCGAGGCTCGCCATTTGCGGTGTCGAACTCAAGCTTCTGGATCGTGGCCCCAGTGTGAATCTCGATTCCTTTCAGATCATAGGCCAAAGCAGAAGGCTGTCGAGTCGGCGACCAGTTCTCAGCCCAAGCACTGATTCCTAGGGGGTTGCCTGAATTCGCATCAGGATTATCTTTGAGTCCGATCTCCACCAGTCCACCATGAACAGCCTTGCGAAGTGGAAACGCTCTCCCAGCTGAGGTCTTGATCGGTCCATCGAACCCATGCTGACTTCGGTCTCCCTCGGGATCCCAGTGAGTCTCAGAACGCTTGAAGAAGGGCAGCAAACCCTCATAGCTCCATCGCTGATCTCCAGTAAGCTCCGCCCAGTGATCGTAGTCTTTCGATTGACCTCGCATCCAAAGCCCATAATTCACAGCACTGGATCCAGAAAGAATATTGCCAGCGTGAAGCTCAAGTGTACGATCGTTGAGATGCTTTTGCTTGACGGTGGGATAGACCGAGTCCAACCCCACGTCTTTCAGCTGCGCTGCACCCATCGGATTGAGGACCAAAGGGTGGCTTCTCTCATCGGGACCACGCTCGAGAATTGCTACGGAGAGGCTTGGATTGCCCTGCTTGAGTCGAGAAGCTACAACGCATCCTGCAGTGCCTCCTCCGCAGATAATGTACTCGTATTCAGAAGATCCAGACATGTTGTCGTCTTGTTCCTCGGAGTAGAGCTAACAAGCGAGATCAAGAGGGGGTTTGATGTTCCGAAAGCTGATCAGAACATGAGCAAGGAAAAGAACGTAAGTTGAATAGTGTACTTTAAGTATCGCAGCTGGACCTGAACCTCGCTGAAACGACCTTGCAAGCTGGCGTTCAGCTGGCTCGATTGGGTGGCGGCGCGCTGCCAACCCGAAGAGGAGAACGCTGGCACGAAGTTAGGGCTGTAGGCTTTCTTGCGAACGAGACCGACTTAGTGAGAAGCTTAGTGGAGAGGGAATCGGTGGGAATAGTGAGTAGCCTATTATGTGGGCTAAATGGATGTTTGAGTGTACAGAGAACGAGTGTGGAAATTTTGCGGTAAGGACAGGTCAAAGCAGTCGAGGAGCCGTTAGTAGCATTCACGAAGCCGAAAAACGGCGATCACAATCCTCTTTCGACGACGATTCTTTCAGTGAATCGTACTGAACCTGCCGTCTAGAACTTTGCCCACTTCATGTGCAAAGCGATCAGGATCACCGGCAGTACACTCACCAACTCGCCCAGCCCAGCATATTCTGGTGGGATTCGGAATTTGACAAAGGCTCCAGCAGCCAGCAGGATGGCAAAGAGATTGTAGATGCCGGCCCAGGCGAAGTTGAGGACGATGCGCCGGAAGGCAGCGTTTGAGATGTCCATCAGCTTGAGAAGACCGGAGATATCCGGCCTCATCAGAACTGCGTCCGATGCGCTGCGAGCGACGTCTGTACCCTCGCTCATATGCACTCCAACGGTGGCCTGCGCCAGAGCACCAGCATCATTACTTCCATCGCCGCAGAAGATGACGATGTTGTTTTTGTCCTGGGTCAATTCGTGGACGTACCGCTGCTTGTCTTCGGGGGTGCATCTTGACCTGAGGTCTTTCGATTCGATGCCGAGCTCGCGGCCAATCGACTGAACAGGTCCGAAGTCGTCGCCGCTGACGATCGACACCGCAATGCCACGGGATATGAGAGCCGACACGACGGATTTGGCCTCTGGGCGTAGCGTGTCTGCAAGGCCAAACACCGCTTGCGGCTTGCCGTTGATGGCGAAGCAGAGAGTCGTTAGGCTACGAGACTGGAATGTCTGAACTTGCTCGAGTTGCCCCAGCCCCATCCATTTCGCATTACCAGCTCGAAGCAGCTTCCCGTCTTTGTGACCTTCGACCCCTTTGCCAACCACGGTCTCTAGAGAGTCAAGCGGTGCTGCTTGGACTTCTTGTCCCGTCAAGTGCTTGGCCAATGCTGTGGAGTTGGGGTGTTTGTTGCCGCTAACGAGTCCGAGTAGCAGGGAACGGGTATCAGCTGACTCGGAAATGTACGCCTCTTCAACCACTGATGCATTTCCTTCCGTCAGAGTTCCTGTCTTGTCCATGATACAATGTGTGACCCTGTGAGAGGACTCGATAGCTTGGGCAGACTTGAAAACTACCCCATGCTCGGCGCCAACTCCGCAAGAAATAACAATCACCATTGGGACGGCAAGACCCACGGCGCAAGGGCAAGACACGATCAGCACCGCGATAGCATAGGTCAGAGCAGAGACGACAGCGTCAGATCCCGATTCATGACGGATCAACATTCCAATGGCAATCCAGATGCAAAAGACGATAACTGTGATGGCGACAATGACTGGAACAAAATAGCCGGCCACTTTATCGGCGAACTTCTGGATCTTGGGCTTGGAGAGCTTCGCCTGATCGACCATGTCTGCAATGGAGCTGATTGTGTTCTCTCCAGGGAGACGGGCCACTTTGACGTGGATTAGTCCCGCTCCATTGACTGAGCCAGCCACGACGCTCGACCCTTTCTTTTTTTCCACAAGCTTAGACTCGCCAGTGATCATAGACTCGTCAACTTCGGAGCTACCGAAGTTGACCGTGCCGTCTGTGACAATGCGAGAGTCGGGAAGGACCTTGAAGGTGTCACCATACTGCAGCAGTCGAGAGTCGATCTCTTTGATAACATCGCCTTCCCCGTCGACAAGCGTGGCAGTGGTAGGCTGTAGAGACGGGATCGATATCGACTCCACAGCCTTTTGCCGGGCAAATGCGCTGATAAAGCGACCTATCATGATGAGGGTGACCAGAAGGGTGCTGCTTTCGAAGAACTCGCCAGTCGATAGAGGTTTGCCAGCCATGTAGCAGGAATAGGCAACGACCGAGAATATGTATGCTGCGCTCGTGCTCAATACTATCAGCAAATCCATCTCGATCACTTTGGAGAATATGAGAGATCGAAGAGCACTGCCGTAGAAAGGGCCTGCAATAACGACCTGCACGATAGTCGCCAGACCCAGAGACGCGGATTGGTAGGCAGTCTCGTGCTCTGGCAATGGTGCCCAGGCAAACACCAAGACTGGTATTGTCAGGACCGCTGACAGTACTGTCATAAGACCAACATGGCGAACATGCTTTGCCCCTGCTGATATGTTTTCTGGTGGTCGCAGAGGAGCCAGTTCGAGCTTGAATTCGAACGAACGTTCCAGCAGGTCTCGCCGGCCTATCACATTGGCATCATACGAGATCCCAAGAGTATGTTCATCGACACGGCGGACGTCGAGAACCCCGAATGGCAACTTCGAGCTCGTCATAATTTTGCTTTCAGCTGTCGCTCTCACGTGCAGTTCATGGCCACCTGTAGATAGTTTCGTGAGAACAAATCCTGTGGCGCGTTCCAGCTGCGCTATGGCCTGCTCAGAAGAGATGATCCGTGGGTCGATGTCAAACTCGGCACGAGAGAGTACAATGCTGGCTTGAGCGTTGGTCGCCGAGTCAATCATTTGGATGGAGCGGTGCAGCTTCGTCTCACACCCTGTGCAAGTCATGCCCTGGACGCTTAACACGAGGTGCTCAACAGAAGCCCCTGATCTCTCGATGTCATTAGACGATGTCGACAGCTCATCGATGGTTTGACTCGCATTCTCCGCAGGCTTATGGGAGATCGATTCGATCTTCGGCTCGCAGCAACCAGATTTACAATCGTCGAGGCCAGCCTTTGTTTTCGAGCAACACATGTCATCAGTGCTTCCCTGCCGGTTGGGGTCCTTGCGGCTGCAAGGGGTCGCTTTGCGAGATGAGAGAGACTGAATGTTAGATCCATTGCGCCGAACTGCGGTGGAGATCCCCGATGATTTTGGCGGGCAGCACTTGTCCCGGTTACGAGAGGATGGCGCATTCCTAATGCGCTCAGCGGAGAGCTTACGTTTCGTCGTGCAGCACGACTCCAAGCCTTGAGCAAGTAGAGCCTTGCACAAGCAGGTCATCGCGCCAAACATGGTGGTGTAGCGTCTTCTTGCAGCTTCGAGATGGCTTTTGCATGGTTCTTCCTTCGTCTCCTCACTTCCACAAGCTCCAGTATTCTCGTCACAGCAGGTACCTGTCGTCCTCTGATTGCCTGAGCCCGCGTAACCGTTGCCCGTTCCAGTCTCCAGTTCTGCCGAGCAGCACCCATCGCGACGAGTTTCGCCAGCAGCCGATGATGATTTGATCGACGCCTCCGAGGTGACTTCTCTCACCTCAGAGCTTGCGTTCTCCTTTGATCCGCAGCATCCAGCCTTGCAGCCTAGAGGCTCTTTACTGCTTGGTTGAGCCACGGAAGTCTTGCAACATAAGTCGGCAGCGGAAGATTTGCCATCCGTACAGGTGTTGAGCACTTCGTCCTTTGACTTGCACGGGGTAGTCGCAATCTCACCGGCATCTGCTGGCGAAGAGGCAGCGCAGCACGATGCATCGTTCACTTTGTCGTCATCTCGAGCCGAAGTGCCACAGGTTCGCATGCAGTCCTGCAGTGCAATGGAGCGAAGGCAGTTATCTGAATACCATATCGTCAGCAGGAAATCCCTTGGTGACGCCGATAGACTTACCATCGCAGCAGGATTCGGCCTTCACGTCGCTTTCTCCACAGCAGCAAGAGCTGCCCGACTCAGCTGCTTGGTCCGTGAGCGGCACCTTGATGGGAATCGAGGGAGCCTTGTTGTCGCCACAGCATCCGCCGCCACAGGCCATAATTGCAGTCTTTGTCTGAGTTTTTCTGTTCTTCGATGTAGAGTTGAGGTTCGAGATGGTGGAAAGATTGAGTCAGTGAGGCCAAGAGCCGCCCAGGAAAGAGGTGAGGTCTGGACTCCGATCGCGGAACCGGTCATGGGAAGGGACGGCCCGGCATCGCTCCATCAATATTTGACTAGTCTTAAGTAAATTCGTAGAGTTTGAGGAATACGTGAGAAAACGAACGTCAGTGACATGAGTTCCTTACAGCCATGCACATCTCGAAGCCCATGAACGGTAAATTCGAGTCTTAATGTGCGCTTTGGCGTATCGAAAGTGCACCGTCTTGCCAATGTGGAGGGCGCAGCCTCGTGTCCCACATCTTCTGCAATCTGAACTTTGTATTGACAGCCTGGTATAAGAGGTTGTTTGGTGCTTTGAAATCTTAGACCAATCGTCTTCAGTGCCCTGCTTTGCAGCTCCACCTATGTCGGTTGTTCCTTGCGTGACGAATTGAGACAGTAGCGACGCCCAGCTGCAGCCTGCATTCAAATATCCAAAACCATATGTCTGCTTGGGATCACCCTCTCGGATTCGGTTGTAAGAACGAACTGGGCGTCTTGGAGAGTCATTATGAATTTTAAATCACAAGACGTCGACCACATGGGATCGATGCCCCTGAACGTGCTAGCTTCAGTTCCGCCAGCCAACCAGTACCTGACGCTGATCGTTCAGCCACTCGCTGGTCGTGCATGAATGCCAAGATGCCAAGATTTGAATATGATACTGTCGACTGTATGTTGTCGACGCCAGGCTGGTGGATGTTCATTTTTGCAGATTTTCGGCAATATTTATGAGTCGAGGCTCTCATTACGTCTTTCAGACGCCTCAAAATATCGAAATGCCCGGCGATGTCCAATGACTTGGCGATGGATTCTACTCGGATTGGCATGCCAATGTTGCATTTGAAGCAGGACGACTCAGGTCTACACAGCTCATTCTAATACCCAGGACACTCATAAGAGCTGTCCCAACATCACCTGCCCTTTTTCATATCAAGAAAACTGATCCGTCGCCATGAAACCAACGCCAAGTCATGGTATGACTCTTGGCACTGCATGCCAAGTTCAGATTGGATATGATTGTTTCAAGCCGAGAGCGAATATCTTCACTCTTCGAGAAACTTTCTCATTGGCGCGTGGAATATATTGCTACACTCGAGGTGTGCTGTTCTTGACGAGTACAAACATATTGCGGAAGGACTCACATGCAAAAGCGTGCCTATAGTCAGCTTTTCTCTATGTTGTCGCCAGGAACACTGCCTTAGACAATCTGAAGGAGTGGACTTTCCATGTGTCCTTGTGGAGCGCCTCTACCGCCGTTGCAGCTCTTCAACGATGTTCTCTTTACGACAGCCCATCAGGCTGTGTTGTTTGACAGTTCAGCTGCGCCTCTCTCCCGGCGAGGCTGTGCAGCCGGATTCCACGGAACACGCGAACGCAGCAGATGTACTGTACAACATCTTCTGACATTTGCAAGCCCGAATCTTTCAATATGGGTGATTGGACTTCTAAATATTAGCAATGATCGGTTCCTTCGACTTCTCCGAATGCGAATTCTGGGACCAAGTCTGGATTGAAAGAGGCGGAGATGATCTTCTTTCGTTTACGAACCAGAGCTGGTCAGGGAAAAGTACGGCCCTTCTGACAGTACTGGTACTTATAGAGGCGATGTTCAGCCTTATACTGGCGCTACGCCATCAACCGCCGGGGACACGACTTTGCAGGAGTCCCTATTGTATTTACAGCATCGCTATATTGATCTGCTTAGCTCTTCAAGAAGCGACTGTCTTTGCACGAGCATTTGGTGCCTGTATTGCTTAGATAGAAAGAAGTCTATACTATTCACTTATTGTTTAAAATGCTAGCAAGACTTCATGTGAAGGATAATTCTAATTGTCTGCCTTGGACTATTCACTTGTATACTTGTGATCGTTATGTAGAAACTTCTCCTCCACAAGTACAAGCAATCAGAAGCGGGTGTATATATTCTTCTATATATCAGAAGCTTTCTCAAATCAGAAGTATATCCCGCAGATTCATCTGCTATTATTTACCTTGACGCACAAGGCACACATGTCGAGTATCCGCGCTGTTGGGTGCTTTCGACGGACTCTTTAAATAATTCCATCCGTGGCTCCTGCTTCTTTTCCCCTTCCTCCTTGCTATACACAACGATTACGCATCTATACCCGTTGGATACTCGCGCGCGGGCTTTTATTGCCTCGGAGCTGCCTTGGTACGTGAAATGACATTGGTGCGCCCTACATTGGACGATGCTAATGATGACATAGATTCCTATCCATACCACGTCGCCTCACTTTGCCATGGCGTTCCCAAAGATCAACTACCGCTACACCTGCACAGCCTGCACCCTCTACGACAGCGACGCCGCAGCAGAAGACGAGGAGGAGCACATCAGTCGCGCCGAAGAGCATATCATCTATCTCTGCCGTGTCTGCAAGAAGAGCTCGTGTACAGCAGAGACTCTCAGCTCCCATTTCGACGACAAAGACAGCAACAAGGAATGCCAACGATTCAAGTGGCACAGCATCCTCACGATCCAGCTTTCGTCGGTCATGCAGGTGTTGAGAACATCAAACGCACCAACTTCCGGCATTAAAATCCATCGTGAGGTGGTCACCGCTGCGGATCATCTGGCCAAGCAACGGGAGGCTCTTCTTCGCATGCACCCCGAGCTGAACTCTTCGCTACTGATGCCGAGGACGGAATAGGTCGGTAGAGAAATGCACCTATCTATCAAGAGCACGAGAGTAGACTGGCTACCTGAAGTAAGGGACGGAGGAAGAAATCGTCACCGCGGGAAAGCTTGAGGGTGGCTTTCATTCATCTACCAGTCTTGGCTTTGCGCTAACTACCGGGCTTAGCGTGCCGCGCACAGATGTGGCGAGACAATTTTGAGCTTTGAGACACGTCTTCCTCCAGCTCGCGCACTCTACAGCGATCTCCAGCTTCTCCTCTTCCAGATTCCCTTCCAGCAGGTTCATTCCACCGTGAACAAATTTATCGAAGCGCAGAAATCAGTATGTAATCTTCACCCTGCTTGGACGCGCGCTTTCACTGACTCGAGCATAGAGATCGCGACTTGACTTCAAGACTCCCCCTTGAGCGACGCCTTTCGGATCACATCTTCGCGAGTATCAGACATCTGTCGTCATGGCAGACAAAGACAAAGACGCTCACCAACAGCGCAATGAGTCTGTGCTTGGCGGAGGGGGCGATGGTGCGATGAGGTTTCCGACTGCTGTCAATTCTTCAGGCAAGAAAGAAGAGTTCATCGAGCGCATAGAAGAGGGCAGCATACCAAATGCGGGGAGAAGGCGCCCTACGGCCGACAAGGGGACTCAAGTCACGAAGGAGGACATTGCGGCGGCTATGAGGAGAGATCGGGAGAAGATGCCGCCACCGCCCGTTCCACATCGCCTGCAGGAACCCAGTATCACCCGTCAGTCTTCGAATGGCATCGCTTCCTCCAATCCTGCCAGGTCTCCCGAGCAAGTTGCTCCGCATGCCACCAATCTCTCGAGCAGCAGTACCGGTCCTGCCACTCAGATCCAGGCTGGTCTATTCGGCCAGATTGGTGCCACAAGAGGCCAATCTCCTGCTTCAAGTCTACTCTCTGGGCGGGCAAGCTTCGACAGCGCTTCTCCATCATCCTCCGCTCCAGTGAATGGCAACCACACTGGTGCCAGCGCTCCTCAAGCATCCGGTCCGGAGAACCCAGCGCAGTGGTATCATCGTCTTCGGCGTGAGTTTGCTGCAGCTGAGATATAGCGGACACAGCACCCAGCGACTCCTGAGACGGAGAGTTCTGAGAACACCGCTCTTCGTAGCGGTACCTCTACCTGGCTGCTTCGGGATCACCGCGAGAGCTCTGTCAGCTTGAACGCCCGCCAGAGCCAGCGTTCGCGCCGTGGCTGTCGTTATGGGTGTGGAATGCCTGGTGGAGAGCATGGGGCGGACTGTCCGGGCCTCATGGATACGAAATCCTAGACCGAAGCGCTCGATGTACGAACAGATCTCGAAGTCTTAGCTCGTCAATTTCATTTCCTTGACGCAGATCGGCCGTGGACAGCGAGTCTTTGTGAGGAGGACCAGTCAATTGAAAGACGGACCTGCGTCGAACAAAGGGGGAAAACTAAGGTGGACAAGGGAGTGGGAGTGCTGTAGGCAGATTACTGCAAAATTAAATCCTGCATGCACTGGCGTTTCTTTCCAAGCAATCAGAATGTAAAGTTCTGCTACTAAAGTCTCAATCTCTCCAATTCCTCTCATTCTTTCAAAAACCTTATCCTATATCTTTATCTGTCGATGGTGCCGCCAGCCTATAAATTGTCCCTATTTGAATTTATACGTCCACAGCCCTTCGATTCATCGTGGGAAGCTGTAACCATGCCGTTGCTGCAGTTTATATCGGTAATAGCAATACTTAGATCGTCTTTCGATCCAGTGTTTAAGGCCGGTCATTATTAAGCACGTATAAGGGCATTGCGAGTTTAATGCCTGGTTCAGCTTTTAGGCTGGTAGAAGACCTCATGGTATTGTGAATCCTTACCCCTGAGTTTTCATTCATTCACATTTCTCAGCACCGCGCTAACAGAAACTTAAGCTGACGCTTGGGCCACTGCGTCAACGCGCCGAGGACTTCTCGCAACGAGTCGCGACTTTGGCTGCATTCGAACTGCTCGAGAAGACTTCATCTTCCTCAACATCGGTCGCCACGTCGCACAACCACTGCTCCACAGACCGTTCTCGTTCGGAAGCAGCCTTCACAATACAGTACACATCAGCAATACGCCAACGACCACATCTTTCGCGCCGCGCACAGGAAGTTTGATCCGTCTCTCCACCGCCCGCGCCGCCGCCTTAGTCATTTGCAAGCCTACGATCGAAGCATTACTTCCCGTAAGCATCTCGAAAGTTTCCCTTTCTGCCGTGCCATAGAAAACTGATAGAACTACTGGATAGCCAGTGGTGTTGACGAAGAGAGCTCTGTGCGATCAACCTAAAGCGCTGTCTTTGCTTTTGAATCAACTCGAGTCGCTGCAGTGCTTTGTTCTCGACAACAAGGAGCATCTCCACCTCGAAATGGCCACCGACTCCAAGAAGTACGGCTGCTCCTACTGCGACTTCGAATCCAACAACTTCACCAAAGCAAAACACCACATCTACCATTCGAACAAGTCTGGTGGCCGCTTCATCTGCTCTTGCGAAGAGTTCAAGGCTTGCTTCTTCGAGCAGCTGACGGGTGAACACGGCCACTTCTCCGAGTGCGATGCGTATGCCTGGGAGTCTCGCACCCTTGGCATCAGCCTCGACAATTCAGACCAGTTGAAAGAGACATGCGACTTCAGCAAGAGGAGGCCACGCGAGGACGCGACTTTGTTAGCGCTCTTTGGCAGGGAGGAAGAAGATGAGGGCGGTCAGAGCGGCGAGGATGCGGACGATGAGATGAGTGCTTCCGGAGAAGATGAGCAAGCAGTAGATGAGCATTCCAGCAGCGGATCTGATGATGAGGTCTCGATTCGCTCTGATTCTGAGGTGGGCTGTGAGGGCGTGGACACATAACCCGGTGAAATGAAAGGGGTATCAGGCCATGTCCACAGCCAATAGTGCAGGCTGCTCTTATTCCATCATGACATCGAATTCTTGGGCAAACTTCACACTCAAACGCTCTGGGATCAATGGAACTGAATTAACGCCAGTAAAAATGAGGCTACAGCGATAGTTGCGGGTCTCGATGCATATAAATCCTCAAGCGCTTTGACCGCGAGCACGCTTGGCTTGGGATTTCCCCCGAGACCTGGTATCTGAGAGAATGATAATATTGAATTCAATTCGAATGATATCACGAAGAGGGTGGTGTATATTGCTTCAAAGATATGGAAGTTCGACGGCGCCTTGCTGAAGTTTTGAACGAAAAATTCAGGGGCATCTTTTGTGGCAGATCGATCTGCGCAGATCGGCATTAGTGTCAACATGAATCTATGTCAGACCCAAGTAAACCCTATGCGTATTGAGTATTTCCCTTTTTCTTTTTTGCCCCCTATCCGTCGAAATAGAAGGGAACAGGCTTTAGACATGCGCCATCGGCTCCCTAACGGATTCCTTTCTGAGTGACATGGGTTGCAGTAAGTTTGCCAATTCAGTCCTCGGTATTTGGCACAACACCCCCGAAGATGCCCTCATGCGAAACCTATGCCCTGCAGCAAACACCTAGCCCACTTGATGAGGCTTGCGAGCTGAATGTTAGTAGAGAGGAAGGTTTCTCTCCTAGACTCTTCCTTTTCCTATACGATCTTCGCTCCGGTGATTTTCAAAGACACAAAACACACAGTCCTACTTATCCACTGGAGTACCGTTTGCTGTTACATTGATAATTCTTTACCGGAGGACGTCGCTCCGAAGCCTGAGATGCCCGAGGAAGCAATTACCGTTCTGATCTCTCCATGGCACAGACCACAGCAGCATCAGCAGGTTCAGGAGCGGAATTGGCGGATGCTGACGCTCAGCGACATACCACCTTGACCATTTCGGCGCCACCCCAAACGCCGACTGCTCAAGCCCCCTCGATACCCGCTCGACGCCCGCAAGCCACGAGCCTTGGTGCCCGACGTGGTTCTTGCAGAGAACAAGGGCTGAGTCAAGTCCCGACAAGATCGTGCGTCCGCTCGCTTTGTGTTGTTGGTTTTTCTTTGGCACTGTTCTCATGAAAGCGCTCCACCAGGACACCCCTGAGTAGCAATGGCGAGAGCAAGATGGGCGCAGCAAATGTACTATAGATTGCTGGGCTCTGTATTATACTATATTATACAACGATTCGATAATGTATACTGTGCTGTTGCGGTTGTACCGACTTCAGGGGCCGCTGTCAGCTTGATGGAACATTCACTCAACACGCGAGTCACTGGATTTGCGGGGTCATGAGTTGTGTGTTGTGGACTTGTGACTCGCTCGCTTAACTTTCAAAGTTTGGAAGGTGGTCTTCCCTTCTCTACCGCCGCCAGACGACTTGTTTTTTACCAACACAGCAAGCCGCACTAACTCAACCTCGATCACGCACTCTACCGCCATCAGCATTTGACACGACTTCAGAACCATCTGCCGTTGCCTGTCTCGAGTAAGTCTACCTCGAGTTGATCTCCTCCGACATCTACTGATATTCCGTAGGAAGAAACGCGCCCTCGACCTCTTCGAGCACCCCCTGCAACGCGGCGTCACTCAACATGGCTCCAAACAGACCACGCTGTCAGCGATGCGTCAACATGAAGAAGCTATGTGAAGGTGGACACCCGTGTGCTCGTTGCTCGAAAGCCAACACCGACTGCATACCCCATACGACCGACGTCAGCCGCTCCGCTGCCGCCAAACCTCCACGTCGGCAAATAGCGCGGAAGGCTCCTGTGCAACCATCTCCAGTCGAAGAAGATTCCGATCAAGACGATCAAGACGCGTCCGACGACGACCAGCCCACTCCAGCTCCTCCGGGCTTGCCACGCCTCACGTCCCTACGTACGAAAGCGAGTGGACCAGATACGTGGCCGGATCTGATGTGGTCATATGTGGGAAACGGTCAATACTGCCGAAAGGATGGTCGCGATCGTGTGATGATGATGAGGAGAGGAGCTGCCGCGAAGAGGAGCAACTTGGTTGCGCCAACAGCTGCCGTGGAGAGTAGTAGCTCGGCTGGAGGTCTCGGCGACAATGACACCGCATTTCAAGGTGTCATTCCTGCGGCATTCGGTGCGCCCTTGGGGCCTTCCGCAAACTCCGCCTCTGCTTCTGAAGTCCCAGAGGAGCTCAACGAGCTGGGCTGGAACTGGGCGCTTTGGAATACACCTATCGACAACACCTCGACTCGGCCCATGCAGAGCGACTCGGTCCCTCAGCCCTCGAACACAGAAGCTCAGACCGAAGACAGGCCAGCGCACGGAGATCTCTCAACTGCCGCGATCCTCAACCCCACCACCGCCGAAGATATCTCCCTGGCCCAGCAACAGCACGAAGACTTCTACACACAGATCACTGGCATGGAGCCTTCGACCTTGAGCGAGAATCGCCAGGGAACGATGACCGGGCTGAATCAAGACTCACGTCCACGCCTTGCTTCAAGTGGGCCGCAATTGACGAGCTCACGTTCTTCAACTCAGGCGGTCGAGTTAGAACATCCCTTTGGCAACATCCGCAACACCCATGCCACCGAAATGGAGTACGCCAATGTCCCAACTCAACCCTTGTCTCAGCGCATGGAGACTCCGCCATTGCCAGGACAGCGCGCCGGCATAGAGTCTGGTAGCACACGCATGCAGCCTTTGGGCGAAGCGAGTACTGTTCACGCCACGGAGGCTCTCGCTACCGCCTCGCAAGCTCACCTCATCAACACACAACCGCCTCTCAGCCTGGCTGGCAGCAACGCGACGGGTAGCGCGCTTTTAGCTCCGGCGTCCTCTGCACCCGGCACGCAAAACGCTCCTTCCTGGTCAATGGCTAAGCGCATCGGTGTCACGGCAGAAGCTAAGTGGGGTTTCACTGTCATGGAAAATGGAGCGGAAGGGAGGGGTAACATGAAGGGCTTGAAATTGGGTCTTGCGTTTTGTATTCTTTTGAAGACGTGCTTTTGTTTTTGATACATTGCCGCTCCGCGTTCTGAGGCTTGCATGGAGTGGATGGGAGGTCTTGTTGCTCTACGGGAGCAATGAGTTGGTCTTGCGTCTATGGAAAAGTTGATTTTGTTGCTGCAAGGATGTTCCCCTTTCTCCGTATGGTATCTTCTTCACCGTTAGATAGTATCATTGCCAATGTCAGAGAATTGAGGCGTAAAAATTGTGAAAAGATATTCATGCTCACGAGCAAGACATTGTTGCATCGTACGACTCAGGCCTATCCCCATTTTAATATCCTTTGTGAAATCGAAGTCTTTGCTCTTCTCCTTTGTTGCATGTAGAACATCGTCGCTTTCGTCTTTATCATCACAAATGGCAGCCTAGGTACATACTAAACGTGTGTGTTAGAAGCCTGTATGATCTGTTTCGTTGTTCGGCTATCTATAGAAATTCCGATTCTCTGACTTCATGGCGCCAGACTTAACTTGCTATAGACTATCATCTTTACTTTGACCATACTTTGAGTATGTACTGTCAGCTATCAGGCCATCGAGTCCCCTAGCATAATAGATGCTGCTTGATTTCCTGAAGGAGGGAGGTGCGAGCGAGCCATTTAGCTGCGCAAGGCGAATTGAATATACACGTAGGCAAAAATACTGCAGTGAAGTGGTCGTACTGACACTTATAGGACTTTTGATCCCATGTATATACTTTTACCCCTAGCAACTCCGCCGCTTTAAAGGCGAGTGAAAATGGTGCCTTCCCTTCTCGGAAGGCTTGGCGATCAGATGCTTCTCCGCTATCCCACCGGCGGAAAGTCAACTCGAGATTTAAAGCGCACTTCCTGACAAGCACCACAAGACTCCACAACACCATCGCACACCACGCCAATAGACCACCAGACGCTCTACGGCAAGTGCTTGGTATTCCTGGATACCGTCGCGTGACTATGATCCTTTGGCGCCATTCTCCGTCGATTCGCCTCGCCTGCACAGGGCTTCATTCGACATGGCGCGACACAGCTTCAAGAGCCTCGACTTGTCTCTTGTCGAGTATGCTCAGCACCTCGAGAAGCGCCGACTCCCGTCGACAGTGGTGGTGAGCTCACCCATCGAGGCGACCGACCCACAGACTAGTCAGCAATGGAGGTTCCACATCTCTTCGATTCTAATACTCCAGCGGCTTTCGTCAGGTATGTTAGGCTCCCCCTCGAACTAATAACGCACGTCGACTGACAATCCAGCAGATGCAGGTCACGTCGAGTTCCGGCAGCAGCAGGGGATGACGGTCTACCGGGCCAGCGCCGCTGATGTGATAAGCTCTGCGCATCCCACGGCCGACGTGCTGGCCCAAATATACAGTGGCAACAACCACATCTGCGCTATCACCAAGTCGAAGCTGAATGCGACGAAAGCCGCCTCACCAAAGCCGAACTTGAACGATGTCGAGCTCCGAGTCCTCGAGGCTCGCGCTGTCCACACGCAAGCCTACCTGATGGGCGTCGAGGGAGGTATAGTTTCGCTCAGCGGTGGGGAGAGCTTTGATGCTGGCAAAGCCATCAGCATGGACGGTCAGTACCTCTTGATCTCACAAGACCTGCGCATAAGCTGACACCCCCAGATTTCGTCGTCATTCGAAAGACTCGACAAGAGGAGCATGCCATGGTCAAGAAGGCGGATCTCGAAAGCTTCTCTTCTCTCTTTCTCGACGAGTCCAACCTGCCATCTCTTCGGGACGGAGAGCAAGATTTCGTGACCTCCGAGCCACAAATTCAAGAGCTTCGTCTCGTCATTGAGGACGTCTACGCTTGTGGGAGTCGTGGGAGGAAGGTGCCATTGAAGAAGGGTGACAAGGTGTTGGCTCATGCGAGAAGCACCGATGGTAAGATTGTATTGGACAGGACTCGAATACTCTGCTAATGTGTCTGTAGCTACTTGGCTGAGGGACACCAGAGGACGATCGTGTGTATTGGCAGCAAGTTTGGCAAGCTCTCACCTGTTGAACTTGAATGTCGAAGACCAAGCGATCAACAGAGCCTCGAGACAGACGAACTCCACCCTCGCAAACACCACAGAAATCCCATGGACCTCACATACGGCTCACAATGATCAGTCCGCCACGGGAGGTCCGCAGGGTCTGCAATCAGACCCAACACACCCGACTACGCAACACCCTGTTTCCAGATTCCCTCGCAGCAGAGTAGGGCTTCCACAGCCTCCTTCCAGTTGGTCCCCGTCTGAGCATCGACTTTCAAACGGCCAAAGCCCCTTTGGAAACTGGGAATACGCCTCGTACTTTGACAGAGAGGTCGCTGAACTACTCGACGTGACAAGCGCCGCTCGCACCGTCTTCGCCGCGAGTATGGGTCGGCAGGGCCTTGGTCTCATCAAGATCAGTTGGGTGCCAGGTGAGGTTGAAGGCTCTCAAGGTGCGGGCTTTGGTGTCTGCTCGGGCTACATTCACGCATACATGATCAACTTTCGGCGAAAGTGGGCGTACGATAAGCCAGCAGTGCCATTTGGGGAGCTTCCCGTCTATACCGGAAGCGATGAATTCTGGGTCGAAGCCAAGGGAGCGAATGCCAGCTACTTGGATGACTTTAAGACACAAGGAACTCCAAATGCTCTACCGACAGAGCCATCACTCTTTGCAGAGGCTCGACATCGGCAGGGTTTTGCGGCCAGACAGTTGCCCACACCCACTGACAGCCTCATACCAAATCCGACGTCGGTTGCCGCCAGACAGTGGCAGGCTGTACTACTTCAGGCGTCTGATAGATCTGTTTCGATCGGGCAGCGGTTGGTGAACGAGCATCCGATTGACGGCAATCAATCATACGCCCTGAGGACCTCATTCCATCCCCAGCTGACGGAGTGCGGCTATCAAGTCAAGATGCCGAACGGCAACTACCTTCTGCAGGATCTGCCATCCGTCAAGGATGATGTCTTTGCGCCGGGAAAGAAGTCACTCTCGGTGATACAGGCCGGCTTTCCCATGCTCAGCGCAGATGGAGAGGGCACCACTACGATCGTCATGGTGCAGACGCACCAGATTTTCGAAGTTCAACTCATCGACATCCCTTACCTGCCGAAGGCCATCGCGGCAGATGAAGACTTATCTGTACTCGAAGCCTTCCATCGATTCACGAAGGACTGGCACCAGATCGGCGGTCGAATGAATGAACAAGAACGCATCTACACTAATGCGTACAACTCAGAAGCATGGAAAATTCGTCACACCTACCGCCTGATCGACAAGCAGACTCTCCAGAACGAGCAGCTCAACAAAGACGAGAAAGCTCATTTCCGAGCCAGTGTCGCCACCAGACCGATCACGCAGGCTCACCGCAACATGAACACTCTCCGAGGCTGTGCACCGGGCAAGATCAATCCAACCTTGGCGGAGAATGCGGTTGTGCAGGATCCAGCTGGCAACCAGGTCTCCAACTGGGTCCCGTATCCTGATTGTGACCCCAAGCCCACCTAGAGACTGAAGAGACAGCATGAACAATCGGAAAAGAAGATTCTCAAGAATCGTTCTGAGTTGGTGAAGACGCAGGCGGAGGCTCAGAACGAGGACTCGCAGGACGACGAGGAGTCGGAGGATGAAGATGCTGAAGGCGAAGATGAGTAACGGCCAGCCCCGGAGAAGCGTGAAGGGTCAGACAATCATAGAGTCAGGAGCTTGATGAATCCCGCATTTCCCAAGACCGCAGTCGTACCGGACGTCACTGGAAAGAACCTCATCAACTGGGTGAGGTACCCTGCGTGCGACTGGCACCCGACCGAGAGACTGCGGGGACAGCAGGGATCGCTGAAGAAGAAGGACTTCGCTAAGAGGAGGTACCTCATCAAGTGCCAAGCTGAATTGCCGCAGGGCTCCACCGAGGAGGGATATGACTCCGGCGATGAGAAGAGTGGGAGTGGGGATGAAGATGAAGATGAGGATATGGACTAGCGAAGTTGTTATGAGAGGGCGGAGGCAGAATTGGGAGCAGTTTAAGAATGTCCATGCACTGAAAGTTATTAAGTATTTGACCGTTCCAAGAATAACCAATGTATGTGACTCCTATCTCGAAGCTGTCGAAAGGATCGAGCTTGGGATGTGGGTTCTCGAGAAAGGGGAGAGACTTAGCCCTATTATGCACGAGCATCATTTTCCCATGTTCGTTGAGTGGTGCCACACATCGTCTCTAGTCAACAATACCCACGACCTCGTTTCCCGGTACCTTTACAATTCGAAACAGCTGCCTGCATCTCGGCGATGATGGGCTTTCCCAGCTGCCTGAGGCTATCAACAAGGCTTGAGGTGAAGTTGCGAGTGAAGCCATGAGTGACCACGAACGAAACGTAAGTGAAGTGGTAAGTGAGAACAGAAGTGAAGCTACGATTGAGGCCAGGGATGAAGTCAAAGTAACCTCGCAGTGAAGATGTCAGTGAGGTTTGGAGTAAGTGTACAGGTAAGAAGAGGAGTAAAGGCCGAGAGACGGGTAAGGGATAAGATCTTCTAAAGCACAAGTTTTTCTCATGCAAACCCTTCTCAGCTTCAAAGGGCTTATAGCCACGGCGTTGTGGTCCCTCGCTTTCTGTATTCTGCCCATCACGCCCGGGTAGCTCCCCTAGAGACTAGGTCCTGCACTCCTCTGGTTGTGCCCTCCTTCCCATTCACTGCTTCATGGTCATCCTTCAACGAGCCACACTGTGTACGTGCCATCTTGTCCCCATCGGCTCGTCGATCCTTCTATTGCCGCTTCCTGTCATCCTGCGCACCCTTCGGCAGTTCTGGGATATCTTCCGGGAAAAGTAGAGACTGTGCGTGTCTTCGGGTCGTCGGATGCTTCCACGGCGCCAATTTCGCGGATGTGCTGATATACTCCTCGATATGTGTCCTCAACTCTCGACGGAGCTTGTGGACGGTGAGGCGAACGACCCGCAGCATCGTAAAGTACTTGCAGTGGACGACCGCCATCAAGGTTCGGAACACATTCTCGAACGACCCTGGCCCCGCTCGCATCACAGGATCCGTGTCGTCCAGCGCCTTGCTAATGATTCGCTGCGCAAAGGCGCGCCTCTCGTCTTGGGCGTCAGTGTCCAGTAGATTCGACTTCCCTGCTACTACTCTCGCTCTCTGGTTCATCTCGTCAATGACATGACATCGGGGCGGTCGCTGGTAGGGCCTAGCTCTTGAATCACGTCCTTGAGTGTGCGGCGTTGTCGTGTCACCGGCAACACAATCTCTTCGGCGCCCTCGAGGTCACAGATCATCCTCATTGCCATCCTATGCACCATGCATGTGTCCCTGGTGACCTTGACCAGAATGGATTTGTTTCTGAGCAGGATGTTATGGCACTTTTGAGCTTCGACCATGTTTAGAACCAGTCTGTCGAACAGAGTCTCCGAAGGGCCGGCGTAGTCAGCGCCCCTTTGACACACAGCTGGAAGAAGGTTCTTCATGTCTTCGACCATCTCCGCGGTGATTGAGGATGTCTCTAGGACGTCGCCGTACTCGCCTTCACTGATCCTGCCTCTAGCATCCTTCCTTCCCGCCAACTCATCGTCTGCATAGTCCCCATCATTGTCATCGACTGCTGTTGGGTTTCTCCGTGGCATTTCAGCGTCGACCTCCATCATGACAATGTCGCCGGTCGAGTTGATGGAGGAGATGTTGTCCAGTGCCGCTCTCACGTCGGTCGTTGATGATGTAGTCGCCGTCGCGTGAACTGTAGGCGTTGACGCAAATTGCTGTGAGGTTGAGGGTTGTGATGCTCCTTGTTCGTCGGGTGATTGCGCCTCAGATGGTCCCGTGGCTGTCGTCGCCTGAGGTTGTGAATCATCCAGTGCACTCCAGTCCCGTGACAACATTCGACCTTTCTTGGGACCGGAGGGGGTGATGACAGGCTGATCCATGCTGCCGACGGCAATTACACTGACCGGCCTGTGGCTCAAGATGGTGCGACTGGTGTAGGTCGTACGCAATAGCACATTGCTGGCCAGCGGCCAACGACAATGCAGCGTGACGTGGCGTTTGAGGAAAGACACAGAGAGAGTGGAACAATAAAGAACTGAAGCGAAGTGAAGTGAAGTGAAGTCGACGCGGACGCGTTTCGCGCAATCACATGACGACCTATAACAAGTCGCGCGCACATGCACTGGGTCGGCTGGATCAGCACTCCCATATTCCTTCTTGCTTTGCTGCTACATCGCGCCCACCACACAGTCCCACCCACCATGGAAGACACCAGAGCCATGGCGCCGTCTCAGAGATATGCCTTGGCCGTATCCGAGGCACGGAAGTTCGTTCCAGAAACACCTACTCAAGTTCCAAATCCAGTGCCGACACTTTCTCTGACGCTGACGCATGCCTTCTAGTAGCACATGATAAATAGCACGTGCTTGTGACGTCTCGAGACTTCCGTGGCTATCGCTGAAAGATTTGCCAGAGGAAAAGAAACTCTGTCACATGCTTAGCGCAAGCTTTGTGAGTAGTCTTTCTCCGAGCTTCTTATCATCTTCTTTCCTTACACCTTCCTACAACACTGCAACCTCTATCACCAACAAGATGGTAAGCTCCCACTTTCCACACACCGGACTGAACGCCGACTGACCTTGACTCACAACTAGCTTACTAGCAGTGCACGCCACGACGACGACACCGCCGCATCCATCACGAAGTCGACCAGTGAAGCCATTCATATGCAGGCGCGGGCAGGTTTCGATGATGCCGCAGATGCAGCTGCATCTGACCACGCCACGAACTTTGGGGTTGAAGACGTCGAGCCCTACCGACATCAAGATGATGATGACGCCAATGGCCACGTCGAATTCGATGGCAATCCACGTCCTCCCAAGCTCAGAAAAAGAACGGCGATGTCTTCATTCTACGATGATCTCGAGCAGCAGACGTCGACACTTCACCAGGATGGTCGACCTGTGATTGAACCTGACAGTCCGCAAAAAGAGAACGAGGAAATTGCGGAAGACGACGAGGACCTCAGTGACGTGGGAACGGAGGAGGGTGACGACGCAAACCTCAGTGACGAGGAGATTGAGGAGGAAGATGAAGACTTCAGTGACGAAGAGGCGAATGAGGATGACGAAGACCTCGACGAGGAGCTTGGGCTCACCTCTGATGAGCAGTGGTGGGATGCGTACAATACGGGCAAAGACTCTATCGGAGAAGTGTTATGGCGGGTCGGCGCTCAACAGAGGATTGGCCGAGGCTTCGTGAAGAGGCTCACGCCAAGTGCAGATAAGTCCCAAGAGACACACACCATGCCAGACCAAGATGTCCTGGTTGGTGCCTGGCAACAGCGACGGAATCTCTATCCCAGCTTACTTGTCGAGAACATCCCGTCTTGGAGGTTATGGGAATATCAACTAGGACTTGGCTCCAAGAGAGCAGGCGTGGAGGAAATGCAGCCAAGTCTCGAGGAGATTAGGAAGATGAAGGCAGAGCGTAATGCGCGCTTGGCGAACTCCAACAAAGGACGAGAAGAGGTTGAAGGACAATACCAGGGAGAAGGACGAAGCGTCAAGGAGGGATCAGACGTCGACAAGGGACCAGGCGTCGACAAGGGACCAGACGTCGACAAGATACCAGACGCTGGGAAGAAGAGAGACGCTTGAAAGAAGCGGGAGTCCTCCCCAAGGCTACTTAAAATTGATCCGGTACGGGTGAGGAAGGAGAACTTTAAGAATGATCTGGAAGAGCCGACGTCTGACTGATCGAGCTGGGCCTGATTGAGCTGGTGTATGTCTGAAGGCTTTTATGGGATAGCCGACGTCTTCTTCGCCGAAGAGACATTGTACAATACATTCCCATAAGTCCTCCAAAAGTATGAATGAAGTACCACTTGCTCATCTTCCACCCTATTCCTCATGCTCGTCCGCGCGCTCATCAAACTCATATCGTTCATCCTCGGGCTCGCTGTCCATGTCACTTTCAACCATACTTTCGTCAAAGTTCATGTTGCGCTCTTCGTGTTCAATCGACTCGTCATCGGCGACAATGAAGTCGGCCGTCTCGCTATCTGAATCCTGGACGGTTATGCCTGGCTCGAGACGGGCTTGTTCCTAGGTTGGCGTTGAAGTTCTCGTCCAATACATCCTCACCCTGGCAGTACTCACAATTCAACTCCTCTGCGTTGACTGCGACGTCTGTGAGTCGATATATTCATCAAACCAACGCCTTCATCATAGGAGGGAAAGGTTCATCAGGCTTATTTTCGAGTGATGTTATACGGGAATTTCGCGGGGCAGCGGCTGATTACCTCCATCTGCAAGGAAAAAACATCCTTGTGCGATATGAAAACGCATTCTTCAACTCATGACTTGGTGCTAATTCTATTGAAGTGGTAAGGACCTGATCGTTTTGGCATTCACCTCCAATTTTATCTAATACTTCGTGTTTCTCGTCGTCCATCCGCCTTGCACACAACTTTCGACCGGATCGTATCCATAACTCCCGTTCTTCGGATTTGTTCTGCCACCAATCAGCTAGGAGTTTCCCGCAACAAGGCTGCTCACTTTGCCAGCTGGTTTCATCGACGATTCCCACTAGTTTGCCAGAACACTCAGACACCCCAGATTAGATTCCCCCTTGGTCTTCCTCCCGCCATGTTTTGGCTGTTGTTTAGGAGAAGCGGAGTAGCTTGGCTGAGGTTCGTAGCCTTGTGCGTAGCCTTGTTGGGGTGGAACGCCCGCAGATGGTTGGCTTGCTGCATGGGCATTGGGATCAAACGATGATTTGGAGCCTCCGCAGCCCATTTTGAGAGTGGATTGACAAATTTGTCGCTTGGTTAAACGTGGTGAGGAATTCTACGGGGATTTATCGAAAAGTTGCAGCGTGCTGACTCTTATGGCTGCTCCGATTCACAGAAGCCTTCGAAGGACCACTGCCGACACAGTGCGTTTAATCTTCAGACGACATACACTTCCGGCAAGCAACAAGTCAATCAAAATCTACGGAGTCCTTCGACCAAGTTTTCCGTTCTTCCGCGGCGACCAGCACACGGAATTTGTTAGAACGGCCCAGTGATCGGGAATGCCCTTAGGATTCCAGTCATAGGATCTGTTACTCTAATTTCTGCCATCCACGTCCTGGACTTCAGCCGCACTGCCGTTACCCGTCCAATCGAACTAGCAGTGGCGAAGCAGTTTAGTAGCTCGAGTCAATCGCTGTCGTACCCAGCTCGCTAGTAGCTAGACTGCGGCGTGGAATGCAAATCATGAACCGTCGAAGCAAGTATTTCAACCCCGGAAATGTCCGCATGGAGCAAGTCTTTTGAGCTTTACGGTCGGGCGAATGGGATGGAATAAGTTCTGCCATCATCGAATCTCGAGGATTTGTCGACGTCTAACAGCTCACATCAGCGATCTACGGTGAGCTGCCGGGCTGAACATCCTCCACTGGCGACAGACCATCTCTCATAGGTTCCGACTCGGTACTTGAACCGCGATGATGTTATGACAGCCCCAGACTGCCAAAGCAGATGTAAGTCCTCCCTCGGCAACAGTGTTCGACCAGAGCCAGATCAGAAAAATCTACAACTACCCTGAAACTGTCTTTTCAAAGGAATCACTTTTCAAACTAGATTTCCGCTGTAGTCTCGGCTGGAAGGACTAAACAGGGGCTGGAGGGCGGGAAACCTTGGCTTGACAAGACTGAGAAGCCATCAGATATCGAAGATACTGCTGTTAGATGACAGAGGCTGAGGAGAATCATAAGCTTCTGTCTCCATGGACTTCTTTGTTCTCGTGTGGGAACTTTTAATACGGCAACTTTCGTTCATTGACAGACACAAAGAGATACTCGGCAGAGCGTACGAGTTAATAGACTACTAGCATCTAGAAGCCATGGCAGGTACTCAGCCAAGATTATTACATTTCGAGACCCACGATGAATGTATCAGCCAGCCTATGCTTACCTAAGGCCGGATCTTTTGGTATCGATACACAAGTCTTATGGCACCTGCAGCGCTTTGAGTTTGTCAGCAACCACAATCCGCCTGTAGCAAGCGATAGAAAATGCCCAAAATGCCCCCAGAGCTCCGCTGTATAACTTCTGTTGCTATGTTATGATCGGTTGCATTCATGCGAATTCTAATTCTTATCTATATTACCCCTTACCCCTAATACAGATTTTTGCTCAGAATATAAATTGAGATCGGTATTCACGACCGTCGAGATGTCATGGGAAGAAGTCCGCTGGTGCACGTGAATTGCGGGTCCTTGGGTCTTCACGACCTGGGACCAGTTCCGCGGATTTGCCGACCAGCACTTTCTATTTCTCACGCCGGCCGACTTGCTACCCTCGACAAACAACAACACACTCCGAAAGCTTTCGTCACCCACATCACCAGCATCTCCATCGACCAGCACTTCGAGACCGACCTGTCTGTCGCCATCATTCCTCTCCTTGAGATAGTTCGCCATTCTTGGAGGCTTCTCACCACACGCCATCACCCCTTTTCCGAGTCATCATGTCGCACACCGGTCGGGTTCTGTCTGGCTCTTGGGGCAGAGAGCGAACTGTCTCGGCGTGGTTCACGGCGTACGAGTCGAATCCTGCTGGCTCACGGCCAGTCCACATCCCCGCTGGCAGTCGGATTCGGATAGGCGACTTCCAGAGTGCAACAGGTAAGATCTCTCCTGTGTTTACAGCGCACGACGAGATTGAGAGTCCTACAGGCATCCAGGAGATCAAGACGCAGGATGGTCTCGTCCTTCGAGTCCGTCGGAGTGAGCTCGAGGGCCGAAGTGATGCTGTGGTCGCTGTGGACGGCATTGCGATCAGCGCAGGCGCTCACAGCCGGGCACCACAGCCTGGTAGTTTCACAACGCGCGACATTGACCTTCTGCCTTTCATGACTACGCTCAATGGTCGCGCCATCCCCGCAGAGATCATTGTCACACAGGCATTCGTCGCTCGCAATGCCATGGCTTCAGGTCCAGACGTGCCTTTGCAGCTCGGCGCAAGACTCTTGCTGAAGGGCTACCGTCATGGTGATAGTGAGTCTCGCATACCGCACATAGCTCGAGCAAAGTGCTAACTTCAAATAGGGCAAGTAGGGCTAGCATCAACGGCGACTGGGTGGAGCGACCACATTCATTGGTTCGCAAGCCTCACCACCGTCTCATCGAGCTGCCTGCCAACTAGCGGAGCAATGGCAGAGTACCGTACCCCAGCAGCTTCCCGAGATCCATCTGTTCCAACAAACCATGGTGAGGTTGAAGAGCCAGCTGCCACGGGTTCTGGCGCCGCCCAAACACACGATGAGAGCGCCCAGGCCACAGAAGAGGAGGACAATACGGCGGTAGTCGCTCAAGCGCCAGCGCCTGCACAGCAAGCCAGCTCCAACCAGATCATAGCGGCGCTGCAGGCTCTCCAGCCTAATGGCACCTTTACTCGACCTTTTCTCACGCGCGACGAGCTACGAGCGCTCTCCAACGTCGATAGCAAGTGGACATTGCAAGACCTACAGTTTCGGTTGGCATCCATGGTGAACGAAAACTTCTTCACCGGCTTTGGAGCAGGCCGCCTGAGCGCTCTCCTTGAGCCTGTCGACATCCCACAGTTGTTGCCGATTCACGATCTTGATCAACCCCCAAAACGAGAGCTTCACCTCGAAGAGCGGCCGCAGCTACGTGACGACTCGCGTCATGAGTTCAGCCCAAGGTCGAGTGGTCCATCAGGGCCAGAGCGCTTTCACACAGTGCCAGAAGTTCGCCGAGAAGGGTTGGGGCAAGAAGAGATATTGCCAATGTGTTACGGTAGCAGATGCCGCAGGCAACATGGTCCTCGGGGGCGCCTGCTCAAACTGCGCACATGGAGACCACCCAGAAGTCTGCAGTTTTTATCAGCCGACTAGTAGCTTGATATTGTCTGGGCAGCGTGGTCACGAGTAGGCTCGGCGGGATTTCAATGAGAATGGCAGTCTGGGTTTGTAGCAACGCATTAAACTGTCCGATGTAAATTCACGCTTCAAGAGAAATACACAAGGCCCAGGCTGGGATGTGGCATAGATGTCAAAACCATTGGCGTAGACTATTGAAGCAGAGAAGTTGAGCATTCATTCACCGTGGGGGATCTCACGTGGATTGTGGAGACGGCGTGTTTCGTGTCTGTGCGTTCCCGCATTTTGACTGCTTCTACCGCAAAATCGCATCAGATTCGCCTCACAGTAGCAGCTCGACAACCAGCACCCGATCTCACCTGCAGTACTGCCAAATCTGCATATCTCTCCGCCATTCTCACAGCGACCATACCAACGATGGCTTCCAACACAGCTCAGTCGCTCAGCCTTGAGGAGTATTCGAGGTTGTCCTCCGAGAAGTCGTTCCCCCTCGAAGTCGTTGTGCTCGCCGCCTTCGCCGTTCGCGGTCTGGTCGACGACACCTAGTCGGCGATTGCTCCTGGACAGGTGCTACTCATCGGCGTGCCCATCTTCGGCAATGGTAAGTCTTCTTCATCACCTCGAGCATGATAGTCGCTAATGGCGACAGACATCTTTCAAGTCGCGACCAAGGAAGATGGCCGATTTCTGTCTGGCGCGAGAGGTGCTGACCTCAAACGCTGCGTCGCGCCAACTGGGACTACGAGGACGTTGGCATCTGGCCAGGTTCGACGGACTATGCGGGCGGGAGTCGAGTACGAGTCGCTGCTTCAACTCATCCAGCCCATCAAATGCCGTAGCCTGTCGGGAGAGGTGAAGGAGCTGCTGCCAGGTTCCTATCTCCACTCAGGAGAATCGAGTCTTCTCCCGAGTAAGATCCTCTTATCACAAAATCACTCACAAAAGCTGACATTTCGCAGACCACATGCTCATCACTCTCCACCACCGCGACCAAGCCACCCAAAATGCCCAGCCTCACCTCATCCTGTCCCGCGACATCCAAATCTCTCTCTTCCGGAACAACGTCCTCGTCGCCGCCACAGGCGGTCCTGTCACACTTGGCAACCAGGGTCGCGACTTCACCAAGAGCGACGATGTACAACCGGAGAGATACGTGGCTTGGGAGACATTCGATGGTTGCGGCGTGTTATGCGAGTCCGTTCACGTTCAGAGGTTGGAGGAGGTCACCGTGTTCTGCAAGAGCCACGATTCATCTGGTAAGTGGAGCCCCTGAATTACCCCTGAGACATCTGACTGACTTGTCCCAGCGCTGTGGTGCCGCAACAACACGGGAGTTGTCGTCATCCACGACCCGATCACTCAGCCTCAGGTCAAGCTGGTGAAGGTTACTCCGCCGGGTGTGCTGAACATCGAGCTCAGAGCCCGGCTTCAGGGGATCTTCGACTGGCCACAGGAGAAGGTCCAACACTACGACGAGGCCTCGCGGGAGATGCAGAGGGTACAGGGACCGCATCCGCTGACGTGGAACAACCACAGTCAGTGTCATGCATGTAGTCGGTGGTTCGGCAGACACTCGGCAGGGTGCACTTCTCAGACGTGGTTGCGAAGTAGTCGGCGGACGCCTTGAGCTTCAGGGATAGAAAAGGGGCAACATCGATTTTCTTTCTTTAGCGACAGCTTGAATGAGAATAACACAACTGCATTAGCTCCAGCAGATGTCTTTGTTTTGAATCCGCTCGCCTTTATTCTAGTCCATTGTTAATGCGTACTGCTCTGCCATTTCCCTTGCCGTAGCAAGCTACAGGAGCATTGAGCACGACTATATGAGTACGGCCATATTGTAGCTATTTGACCGCAGACTCGACCGAGCAGAGCTACGATTTCGCCATGATCCAGCGGCTCCACCGCTCCATCCACCAGCATGGGATCAAGAACATCCCTCGCCTCGGCCCTTCGCTGCAGCCATTCCTCGATCCTGCGAACAATGGCGCCTTGTTTCCACCCTCGCAAGATCCGGACTTCTCCACCCAAGGCTCGAAGCCGAAGAATGTGATCAAGCTCTCGAGTGGAGGTGCCTATCTCTACTCGATGCTTGCGCAGTGCGCGCCGTCAGCGGTCACATACGATGGAACAGACGCCTGCAGGCGTTGCCAGAACGCGAAGAGTCGGCGATATGCCTCGTGTCGCCGTGTTTTCGACGCGCAAGGCCATGCGATCGCGAAGGGAGCTTGCATGGCTTGTCACAGCACCAACCATGGCAACGCCTGCAGCTTCGTCGTTAGCGATGACAATGATGGCGCTACTCAAGCCACGGCGGACCAGGACACTCAAGAAGGAGAAGTCGGAGGCCACCTTCGACCTCGAGAGATATCACCATCTCTCCACGATGAACAGGTTCGACTTGACCATCTACGTCAACGCTCCTTTCCCGATCGTCGAAATAAGGTCACAAGATGCCTTTGAGATGCCTGCAGCCGTGACGCTTCGATTAGGGGTTCGTCTGCCTGGGACAGGTAAGGTGCACTTATTACAAGAATGAAAAGAGAGTGAATACTGACTGGTTGTAGACGTATATCAAATCGAAGCCCCAGGGCTTCCGGCCTTTGCACTAAAGGCTGAGGACGAAAATCTCAGAGAAAACGTGCGACCTACTGCAGAATCCGAAGCCTGGGCAACAAGTCCGCGTGGCTCGTACACTTCTTCTGCGGACTTCCACATCATGAGCCTCATCCGCACATGCAAGAACATTGTCTGCCGTGACCTCGCCAGCAACAACATTGAAGTCGCCGCAGGCGGTGTTCTGCTGCTTGGAGAAGCCCACCACTTGCCTGGGTTTTCAATGCTAATGGCCTATGCCCAAGCCGGCGACGACGCCGACACCAATCACTTCATCCCATTGCCTGAACACCTGGTAAATGAGCACTTCGTCAAAGGGGCCTTCGAATATGCAGATGCCATGAGGCCGCTCCCGTTCTATGGCACTGTTGACTTCACGGTCGGGGACGTCCTCCGTGGCATCGATGATACCAGCAGGGAGGATACCATCGCCTGTGGGGACCAGTGTCAGAGTGTCTTGATTGGGAACGGCGAACCAGTACACTTGGTCATCGAGGGAGGGATTGTACCACTGTACTGGGGGAAGAACTCGAGGGGTGAAGTGTTCGTTCAAACTTCATAATCAGACAAATTGAGGTCAGCTTGTGTTTCTCATCAGTGAGACTTCTCCAGATCTGTGAGGAGTACATTGTCACAGTGATAGTCAAAACATCAGAAAGATTGTCTAGAACCTCTGTGAGTGTCGTTGCGTTGGAAGGTACACTCTGTTCTTGAGGGCTTGATTAAAGAAGTCTTGTTGCGAGCTCAACATCATCCCGACTCATTTGGAATCAACAGCGGATGCAGGTACCGTAAAGAGCATGAGATAATACCAGAAGCCCTAAGTCCCAGTCCTGCTGCAGCACTGCTGACCTGCAAGTTTGAGAAAAGAAACCCATCTAAGATTAACGTTGATCAAATTCCCAGACCGAACGACCCCGAAGCATCAAAGGAATATGATCTCTCAAAGACCTCGGAAATACAAGATAAAGTAGCACTTGAGCTCCTCACAACCCGCACACATCTCCCTCCCCAAAACCCTCATCACCCATCCCTCCCCACAACAATCCCACAAAACCACCACCCAAAATCCCCCGACGTCACCCATCCCGGCACCTCGTACCCATCTCCCCCAAACTTTCAATAGCCACCACCGCTCGCCCACGCATTGCCGAACCCGACCCAAAAGCTGCAGTGCCAAAATCCTACAACTTCCCAATCCGGCGAAACCCAATCGCCACGTCCGCCAATCACAGAAATTGCCGACGGCGTGGCGGACCCTGCGTTTTCGTATTTTGCTTGCGGCTTGCAGCGTGCTATACGGATGTGTGCGTCGATAGTGGCGGGGTTTTGAGGTGGGAGTTCTTTACGAGGGGGGTGGGTTTTCTTGATGGAGAGATTGGACTGTCTGTAGGAAGGTTGTGAGGGTGAAGGTGAAGGTGAAGTCCAGAAAGCGCCCACGCTAACCTCGACGCTCAACGGTCAGCCGGCACAACGGTCGGACGATTGGCTTACCCGTTAACGGTTTCGCCAGCCTCGTTGAACGCTCGGACGTCATCGGTACCGTGGTCAAGATGGTGCTTGTTCTCGCGGGGCGAGCGCGGTACCGCAAGAAAGTGTGAAGATGCGGGTGGGGACTCGTTCCGGTGTGTTGGGTCGGAAGGGGATATGGGAAAGTGGCGATCTTTAAGGGCTGGGTTTTTGATGACAATGGAGAATATGGAGATAATGAATCTGGGAACTTTCGACTTGGATGATTATAGTAAATAACCATACAAACAGACAGATACATGGGAGATGCCATCAGGGCATTCTAGACGAGGAAGAGAACTTCTCAAAACACAAAACTCCGTGAACGCTCGCAGATCCCACGACGCTCCTCCATGCGTAAACGCCCATCAAACCAACAAATCCCTTACACACCATGAGCATACGCCTTCCACTCCCCAGAGGCCTGCTCAGTGAGCCCATCCCAAGCGAAGAGGTCCTCGCCAGGCTTCCTGCATACATCCCACCTGCTCTTGCATTCTGCCTGGGTGTCCTTGATCAAGTTTCCACCCTCTGGACATTCGTCCAAGATATATCGCCTCTTCTCTTCACTCCTGACCTTGACGTCGCACTTGAATGGCTTGCTCATGGTGATGACCCAAGGTGCAGTCTCGTACCATGGCAGAGGAGCACCTTGACCGCGAGATCCCTCAGGACGTTGAATGTTGAAAGCCCACAGCATAGATCCGACGAGTGTGGTGAGTTCGCAGTAGGTGAGATCGACACCGGGGCAGGAGCGGTTTCCGTAGCCGAAGGATCGATCGCCGACGAGGTTGGGGAATTCGGTGAGAGGTTCTTTGTATGTTGGGTATGATGGATCGAGAAAGCGCTCGGGGTTGAACTCGCTGCCGTTCGGGTAGACAGACTCTTCACGGGAGATAAGGCTGGAATCAAGTCAGAATGCGTAATTTCGGGGAGAGTCAGCAAAACTTACTAGTGGTTGGCGTGCAGGATTGCGCCCTTGGGGATGTGATAACCCTCGTACACATCATCTTCAAGCGCAACGTGTGGTACACCAAGAGGAGTGGCCTGTCGCCAGCGTAGAATCTCCTTGACAGTGGCGCGAAGCTTGGGGAGCTTTGGGAAATCGGTAATCTCTGGTGGACGGTTCGGGCAGACTTCATCAATCTCGGCTTGCACCTTGGACTGCCATGATGGGTAGTGACACATCGCCAGGAAGAAAGCGTGAAGTGGGCCACCGACCGTCGCGATAGCAACGAAAGAGCTCGATCCAATAGCGTGTGCGGCTTCGTGGAAGTTGAGGTGATCAGTTCCCTTCTCATTCTCAGCCCATAGCTTGCTCCAGCAGTCCGCCACGCCGCCATTCTCAGATTTGGTCTTGACATCTTTCAGAGCCTCGCAGAACGCATCGGTCATCTCCTGCTTTCGAAGCTTCTCCTGCACCTTGAACGGCGAGATAGCTTCGGGCAAGTTGGCCAGGAAGGTAAGCTTGTTGATGATCGGGCCAGCAGGAGACACAGCCTTGAGAATGACCGGGATGATGGTAAGCAGCTTGCTTCCATGTTCTGGATCAGCCCAGGCAACGCTTGCAATAGTACGAGCGCAGTGAACGATCATAGCCTCAGACCAACGATCAGGCTGCTCCAACACTCGTCGCAGGGTCCTCTTGTTCTCAATCGATGGCCAGCCGTAGAAAGCCTTGGGGTTGGCATGTCGCATGATCAAATGCATGAAGTTCTTGTATCGGCGGAATTGCTCGCCGTATCCCATGAGTGGCAAGATCTCTGACCCTTCCCTCACACCGATGGCGGCTGGCAGTTCATTCCGATCGCAGTAGTTTCGTTGACGGGTGACGAAGAGGTCTTTGGCGATCTTGTCGGTCTCGATCCAGATGTGGATAGTTCCCATGACCTGAAGTCGTCAATGATTGCCCTTGGATGCTTTATTTGTATTTCCTCACCTTCCACTCATAGATTGGCCCCATCTTCTTGTGCAAATCTCCAAAGTGCCATGCTGCTTCGATACCCGGGGATGGAACATCCCAAAATCGTCCGGCGTACGGAAGGCCTGTTCAGTCAGCTTCAATCCAACACATGCTTTTGAAATGTCTTACCTGGCAGTCGTGGAAGAGGCTTAACACCCGCTGGCAGTTTTTGCTTCCCCAATCCGAAGAATCGAGCGAAGATCGGCAGTAGTAGCAGGCAAAAGAAGAGGTATCTCGGTTGGAGGAAGGAGAATTCAGGGTTGACCGTTACAGACTCAGCCTGAGGAGCGAAGCTGGCCGTAGCGTTGTCGTTAACGGCGTACATCTGAACCCCTTCGACCAGCGAAGCCGCCATGATGAAAGATGTCGATAGAGAGTAACGAGACGGCTAAGTATGCTTTCTGGGAAAAGTCCACCGTTGGCGCCCGGGGGTGCAACGGCCTTCTTATCGAGGGGACTGACACAACACACAGACCTACCGACGCAAGGCCCGCAGCACAAGCGAGACGTATTCACGGAGTGGCACAGGCGTACCGTAGGCGAGGGTCGCGGAAGGGAGCAGAGATGGGCCATTTGGGGGAGCAACAGCGGACAATTTGGCGGAGAGCCGTCTGACGCTGGGCGAGGCTCGGTATGGGCGTGGATGGGGAGGATGCGGTCGCCGTGTCGTGCCAAGTATCGACCAGCATCTCCCCATCGCCCCCGCCCGTGATTGGCGCCAACGCGCAGGAATCTGCGGGTCGTGCAGCGTTAGGGCGAAGGAGTGCGGCTGCTCCCTGCTGCAACGGCCGGCTCAAATTTAGAATATCCGAACCCTGCTGCTGCCGCATCAGATTACCTTCTTTTCTTCTTCATGCAACACGCGACCAGCAACCATCCGCCTGTCTGCTGTCTCGCGCAGGCCCGCTGCGACGGTATGACGTCCAACCTTCGTCTCGGCACCGAGATGATCGAGATTCCGTCCTGGAACGTCGCACGAACCGGAGGAGCACGCCCGAGCACGGTTCCAGACTCCATCAACCGGCCCATCAATCTTCAATCAATCACGCACTGAATCGGAAACTGCGCAACAGCAGCCTGTCGACTCAGACCATTCATGAAGAGTCCATGAACCGCCCGCCAGAATTGAATCCTAACCCCTTACTCTGCGCCTGAATCGCGCACACCACCCTTGAGACAATCTCCAAGTCAGAGAAACACATCCATCAAATCTCACCCGCAGCATCTCACACCGAATGGAATGCACCGGGACCGAGACTGCAACTCTCACCTAGAATAACATGCAAGGCAGACCATCGTGCAGATCCGGTTCTGTAACACCAACATGCCATTTCGGGAAACCACCCTCGCCCCAATGGCGCGTTACACAGCAGCTCAGTCGGCGTGGTGGCCTCATGGGTGGCGGTCATCTCTCTCGTGAGAGGATGCCAGGATTGCCGGCTTCTTGCATCTTTAATCCTCTAGATATTAACTTAAGAAGTGAAGGATGCCCATTCTCCGTGGGATTGTTGCTAAACGAAGTTTCCTCGCTTTGCTGTATCTCTTCGACAGTCCACGTTTCAGAGCACTGGACTGCCGTTTCATTCAGGTTCGAGATTGAGCGTGGCTCTGGACCAATATACTCAGTCTGACTGATTGTTCGCTAATACCCTGCTGTAATCTCCATCCTGGTACATCTGGTGCTTTACGCTGACGCTTCATTCCAAGATCGAGTCGTACGCACACCTGTCATGTACGGTCCCAGTCAGGCCCGCATTCGAATTCGTTTCCTCGCAGCCAAATTTCGCTGCAATATATCTTGATGCGATTTCCACACCCTGACGCTTCAATCTCGAAACGTCAGGTCCCGATCTCTTGCACGAAGTAGCAGTATATCATTGCTCGAGACTTGAACGAGGAACTCCTTGTTCCTCGGTCAAAGTCCCGCTCGTTCAGGCGAAGCGCTCACCCTCTGCAGACCCCTTCATCGGATCTAGGGCTTGTCCCAATGCTGTGACAGTCTCAGCGCCAGCGTCCCGCTCGACAAGAAGCCTTCTCGTAAAGACATAAGCGGCCGGGTGCCCAATTTCACAATGTGCTTCTCTAAGCTTGCATAGCCCGCAGCGATCCATTGGGGACCGCGCGCCTGAAGATAAACGTCGCTCGGCTTCCCGTTGCGACTCAGCTCAGCAGCTGACAGTCTCAGCCGTCGATCGATCGTGTTGGGGAAGAAATGGATGCTAATCAATATTTATCAATCAGGACTGCAATCCTCCACGCGAACATCATCATGACTGACCACTGTCGAAATCGCCTCGTCCTCTCACAAAAAAACCTCCTATCCACCATGCATCCTCAAACCTCCAAGACCATTTCAACCGCAAAAAGAAATCTCCACGGCTCCACTGCGACTCGAACGCAGGTCTCCTGGATGCGACCTCCGGCCGGAGCGAGAGTAGCAATACAAACGGCGATCAAAGGCCAATGCCAGATGGCATGGCGCCGGGGATCAATCCTTGCGGAGTTCGACCCGGCACGCCTCATTTTTGCCAGGTGTGCTAGACCACTGCACCATGGAGCCCTTTAAGGGTTAGTGGATGATGGGGCTTTGTGATTTTATGTTGTATATGAAGGTCTGTACGAGGCAACTTTGCAAGTCGGCGACGAATCGCTTGAATTCCAAGCTTCCTTGCATGAGAGCGCATGCTCTCCAACAGCTGTACCCAGCTCATCTATAGGCGGAGTTTGTTATGGTGAGCATACTTCGCCGTCTAGCTGGGCCTGTCACAAACGATGGTTTAGGCATGCTGAGAGTGAGTGAAGCGTTTCGATCATAGATGTGGTGGCCTTAAAGTCGCCGAAGCGTTAAAGGTATCGCTTTCTTTTCAATTGTTCATTCACTTCTCCGTTGGTTCTTACTCTTCCTTTGCAGCTCTCAAGTTCTCCCTTCCTTTAGCCTACCAGATTTGTATAACACTTCAAAAGCCACCATGGTCGCCGACTCTTTTACAGGGTCAAAACGGCCGTTTTCTAGTCTTAATAATCGATCTCGAGTAAATGTATCTTCTGCCTGGGCTCTATACCTAATCAAAGTACCCGAAATTGTCTTTGTGGGGCTGAAGAGGATTCTTTGTTATTGTATCTAAGCCTGAATTACGATTCCTTTCAGGTTACTATAACAAAGAAATTATGCTATCTTGCTGTACCTACGGAGGAGATTCTCCTTCTCTTGCCTACTTTCTATCTTAAAATTTCGGCTACTGTGCTTCCTGCATGTTGTTCAAGAAGTGCTGGCTCTCTTATGTCGCAGATCTTGGACGAAAATGGCCTTCAACAGCCTGCTATCGCTGGCGTTAGTTAGATTGCTGCAGACTGCAGCCTCTATTCTTTGTTCTGCGCACACAAATCTATGACTGTTTGCTCCGCCGAGATTAAAAGTCGAGAAGCTAGCCTGTCTGCTTGGTACATGTTCCTTCAATCGATATGCTTTCGGACAGCTCGTTGAGTCCCACATCATAGCTACAGTTTTTCAGAGTATACACTTCCGTTTCTAACAATATAGATCGAACACGACGACGCCATCGCGCCCTATCCACCATACCTACACATCGGGTGCATGACGGCTCTCGAAGTCCAGCCCACCCCTCTGGAATCTGGATTCACTCTCTCCTTCCCAGTTGGGCCTAGCTCAGCTTTCACATGCTGCTACTATCCACGATGCAGATCAGCAGTAGAGACAAGGCCGAAGGGCACCATTTTTAGCAGGTCAATATGTTCGTGATCGGACATTGCCGCAAGATGGACGCCCGTACGTGGGAGGCCCTCCTCCGCCAGCACCTTCCCGTGGTTCTGAGGCCTGTGCACGGACCTCGTAGCATCACGCTCTCCACCCCTGCCCCCGGTCGGCGCTGGCCAATGGAGGCCGACGTCGCTCTCTGCATGAAGTCACGAAGCGACTTTCGACTCTCCTTCTTTTCTTCAACACCACTGTCGACAACCACGAAGCAGCATCACGTCGGAAACAACAGCTCAAGCTCAACAGATTTTCAGCACTCCTTCGATCGATCGCTCGCGCCTCGCTCCACCACGTCTCACAGTCCTCACTGATTGACGATACGCCGTTTGCGCTTCTTCCGCTTCGACTCTGCAAGGACAGTCGTACGTCTACCTCGCACACATCCTCACCGCCTTGCACAGTCAACTGACTTTCACATAGCTGCCGAAACTTGCGCCAGTGGTATTTTTTCAACCACCTACTCTCTTCCTCCAAAGTAAGTCTTGAACGGGCGATTCAGGGGGTAGAGACTAACGTCGATTCCAGCGCCCACCTCTCGAGATGTCGACCACCAACACCGACCGTGGCCGCGTTCCTCGCCGTGCCGTTCTTCCACCAGCAATCCTTGAAATCTTCAAGGAAGATGAACCCGGGCGGCGCCAGGTTGTGGCCAGAATCACTCGAAGAAACAAATGCGTAGACTGCGACTTCCTCGGCGCTGCGCCTCGCGATCTGAGGGCGCACTACAGCAAGAGAGCGAGTCACGGCTTCGTCGCAAATGGCCCAAGAGAGCAGTGCTTCCTATGCGGTGAGCAATTCTGCATGCGACAGACCTTGGATGGCCATCACAAGGTCATGCATACGGCTAAAGGTCCGTTTGCGAAGTTGAGGAGCAATGGCATCACTTTGCCGGGAGAGACGGCCGCTCAGGCGCAGACTCATTCGATGGCGACTGCGGCTACTCCATTGCCGGCAGCTTCGGTGCGGTCAGGACAATCCGGTCCACCTGCGTTCGTGGCTTCACCATCTCTCGGAGCTGATCCTTTCGACTCGGCCATCGACCAAGAGCGAGACCACCAAACAGAACAGCTTGAATTTGGGGAGCGCACTCAAAGAAACGACCGCACCAATGTCCATACGCCAAACCAGAGCACTTCACACTCAATAGAAGCTGCTGGTATGGCGTTACTCCACCAATTCATGGCCGCAGAAGAAGTCGATCACCAGAGCAGTCCACCACGAGGTGGTGACGTTCCCACCGAGTATCAGCGTCCGGACACCAACAGCACCTACCCGTCATCAGGTGTGGAGCAGCGCGGAGAAACCGCCGTAACGCGGCGCTCTGGTGACCATGGCGATCAACTCATGGGTGAAGTTGCTCTCCTCGACGCCTTCGACGCAGAGAATGGGAATTGGGATGTTGACATGGCAGAAGGTCTTCCAGATCTTACAGGAGGACCAACTCCAGCAGAGTCGAGCGAGGCTACAACGCCGCACTCCATGGATGATACCAGCCCTGAGTTCGGCAGCCAAGCAGACAATGGGTACAAGCAGGGGCTGTGTACTCCAGCTTGCGTAGGCAATTACCACGCCGAGTCCTGCTTCTTGTGGCTGCCGGACTTTTGAGAGCTGATGAGGAAAGTCTGCGAAGAAGCCACTGCGATGGGAGGAGACTCGGTGTATAGTTCACGCAGGCATTGGCCTAGACGAGGTATAGATAACAACAATGGTCAATGACTTCGCATTATTGAATTGTTCTTTTACCTAATCTCTCATCTTTCTTCTGACTGCGATATGCGTACTCGAGTTCGTCATTACCTTTCCATTGACATTCAAATGTGGAGCGGCGAGTTCCTCACAAGGCAGCACATTTACCACGGCACTCCCTTGCCGTTGTAATAAGCCGGATGCTTCTCCTCCCAGCCCGGAACATGAATGTTCAAGAACTGGCCATTCTGCTTCGGCGTAGCCTCGTTCATGATCCGCAGAACCTCCTTAACACCAACCTCTGGCTCCAAGTCGGCGTAGGATGATCCGAGGTCTGTCTTGAGCCACTGTCGAAAAGAGTCAGTATTGGCGAATTTAAAATGAACTTGGAAGTGGTGCTTACGCCTGGAGTGATCAACAAGAAAGTGAAGCCTTCCTCTTCCTTCTCGTGTGCGTAGAATTGGTTCAACATGCTCAACGCAGCCTTGGAGATGCGGTAGCTGTGAGCAGCACTGGGTGGCCAGTCACGGACTCGTGCAATCGATCCCAGCGTCGAGGAGCTGCAGATATCAACATTGGCCTCCACAATCAACAGTCCCTCTCCGAGATTTAAACTCACATGTTGAAAACCTGCTTCTTCTTCCCGTTCTCCAACAACGGCAAAAACGCCGCCGTAACCCGATTCACCGAAACAACATTGACATCGAAAACCTCATGCAGCGTCTCGCCGCTCACATTCTCAATCTTCTTGTCATCCCAAGGTAGGACTCCCGCATTGTTGACGAGGATATCGAGGCCTGCACCGCCGAGTTTCGATTCGACTTCCGCGGCGGCCTTCTTGAGGCTGTCTTCTTTTTGGACTTCGGCGACGACGTTGACGAGACGGTCTGAGTTGGATGAGACCAGGTCGTTCAGGCCTTTCGAGCTGTTGTTGCGGGTGATGGCGAAGATCTTGCCGACTTGGCTGGCGGGGAGTTCGAGCAGTTGTTTGACGAGTTCGAGGCCGATGCCTTTGGATGTTCCGGTGATGACGTACGAGGCCATGTTTTTGTGTACTTTGTTTGAATGTAAAGTCTTTTTTCTGTGTTGTTGTACTTCTGTGATGATGTGCAAATTGTGCAGAACAAGTAAAACCAGGCACACGAAGTAGTTGTATAAATGCTCCCTCACGTGAAGTTGGAATTAAGCAGTCCCGGCCGAGAGGTTGATTAGTAAGAGCACTTCAGCCACTCCTTAGCAGACTAGGGCCGGTTCTGGAAGGAGTCTGATGGACTTCATCATTCTTATAGGCCTTTGTCATCAACAAAGGCAATTGCGCGAGCTACACAGGCAGAGAGAACACGCAACGTACGGACTCGCGAAAACCCGAATCGATGCGAAATTCGTACGAGTCAAAAAGGTGAAGGATCCATCTGCTTTGAAAGCAATGTCTTCTTTTCGACGCTAAAACTCCTTCCAGTATACGCTATTTACTAGCTGTGGACAGTTTCGTAGCAATGTCCTCGCGGCGCTCGAAACCATCGCATTTGTTGCTTTATTAGGACCACTAAACGTTGACAGCTTAAGGCCGGCCCCTGTCAAACAAGTATTCTTGGCTTCTCACTTCCTTAGCAACAGTGGGGTACATCGCTGGTTCCAAAGCAAGCCAAGACTACAGTCGCTTGCGTTGACCACGAACTGATAGCATTTGCTGTGACGACGTCGTGTGACCGGTGGTAATGGCGACAACAGGTATGTTGGCTGGCTGTCGAATTGCGTAAGCATTATCCAGCATTCGAGACTGTTCGACCGCGAATACGTATCGCCAGACGTTGGATGGCCTCCAACCCATCGACAATGGCTTCCAAAACTTGCCAGACTTCTGCTGAGTCGGGGTGGTCATCTCGACCGACCTTGACTTGGTTGAACCTTTCCTTTCGAAGACTGGCGAAGGGCCGATCGTCAACTGCGTTTGGCGTGGATGATGAGTTTCGTCGATGCCGATTGGTGTGTAGCTAGTCGTGGCCTCGGCAGGTCTACTGTACAGAACAATTGCTAATGTTGATTCTGCAGATGGAATTGCATTGCTGACTGCGATGGAAATCATAGCAGACGGAGGCGTCGTGGCGAGGGCAGCAGTGCTTTCCACAGAGCGGCTTGGCATGTCGATACTGAGACAACTCCAAGTGAGGGAGGTGATCGACACAGTCTCAGCTTGCGTGATGTGGCATCTTGGTCGTTGCGATGGCGTGGTGTCGACATCGATAGGTTCCTCGACAGAAAGGTGAAAGTCCCGCTGATCCATCAATGGCTCGGCACCGCCATTGTACGAGAGAATCAAGATCGACCAATCTCCAGTGTAAACGTTGATCCCCTCGCAGTCGACTTGGTGTAAAAGTCCATCAGGCTGCATTGGTGTTCGATTACACCTTTTCTCGTTCCCGCTAGGGTCGATCAACAGATTGTCTGCAAAATCGTTCTGGCAATCGGAAAAGTATTGCAGGGCCGTGAAAGAGAGGCTGCGACTGGCTTCCAGAAAGTAGCTGCCTCCATCTTGATAGTCAATGCCGACAGAATGGCATGAAGGCGAAGACTGAGAGAACGGGAGACCCAAGAACAAAGTGAAAAGCATCATTTTCCTCGACAGCTGGTTTCTGGAGAGTTCGGTAGATGAATGGATATAGAGCTGATGTGCTGATTCGTGATGTTGCAGCTATACATTTCTCCAGCGTCTACCAGCTCGTTATATGCCATCGCCAGTGATCGAGGCCTTCGTCGTCTCAAGGGGTGTGGAAGATTGCACTGGCAGATCGATGGTGGCCACACTCGAGACGCCTTTGGCTCGTCAACGGGTGACGCCGATCTCACGAAATTGCTGAGGAGCAGCCAAGCAGCCCATGTGCGTAAGTCAACTGCTACATCGTGGCATTCGAGCGTTTACTGTTGAAATCAACTGCTTACCGTTGATCAGAGAAGACCGTAGCGTGAAGACGTTTCGAAGTACAGCCTGCTGGCAACTCAGTATATTTCATATGCCTTAGGGTTTGGGCTCATTCTTTAGCTATCGCCGCAGCGAATGCCACGTCGCGTGTCTTGAAGAGGTCTGTGACTTCACGCATGCCGCAGTGCCCCGTAATACCGCTCCAACAATAGAACAAGTTCCAGACTTGAAGTGTTCGTTTGGTTCCTCGATCAGGGCACAGGTCTGCTGGCTTGCAAGTTCCACGGCACAGGTTCCGTACTTATATACGGGCGGTGCGTCCAACGGATCCGTTTATTGCAGTTGAGGAGGCCCATTGGGCGGATGGCAAGGAAACAAGAAGCCGACGCCAAAGACCGCTCATCTTCCGCCAGTATAACAAGCCGTCCAGGTACGTCCGTGGATATTCTGCTGGCCTAGTTTGCGCACAGCAATATGTTTGGGCGTGCATTGCATCAAAAATTCCAAAGACGAAAGATGTGTGTGTAGAGATCGGTCAATAGTATTGGAGTTGAAGGAAGCCGAAAAGGAGGCTGGCAGCAGCTCCACCCAAATAACTCCCGACCATCGGCCAACGCTACTGCCACACTTGTTGGCCAAGTCATCCTCTCAACGACATCTCCTCCTCACATACATTGGTCGCAGCAGATGGAAAGTTTCATTTATTTACGGGCTGTCAAGGACAACTACTCGGACAGCCAACTCATTGCCTTACGACTTTTGAAAACTTTCTCCATCCTCTTTCGTCTGTTTCAACATACGGACTGACCGTCTCGATCCATCTCGCACACATCTCTCGGCACCAATCAAGACTACAACACCACGGCTTCATGCGGGCGGTGCCAGTCTTGTCTGGACGTCACAGTCTTCACCTTCCATCACTTCCGAAAGGCAGCCAAGAAGATTGAATCGTACTCCGGAGGCATCGACTTTGCTCTCTTGCTCCTTCGAGAAAGCGGACGCCGCTCTCCGGTAAGACCTGCAGAGGCAGTGTTATGATGCTGGTCTTCCAGAAGGCACGTGGGAAGCACGGCGAAACATTTTTGAAGCTGCACGTAGAGCCTATATGACTGCGAACGAATAGGTAAGTCTGGATTCTCATGGTTCATCATGTAACCATGCTGGCCCTGGCGAACTTTGCAAGAACTACTTCTATATTTGCTTCACCTCTTCCCTGCTTCACACGTTTTCGTGGAAGTCTAATCACACAACGAACCTTGCATCGACGCTCCAGAACTTCGCCATCTTGGTATGGCCCCGGCAGACGTAGTCGCTATGCAGAAGTTATGCCACTGCCACGAGGCTGAGAGCATGGGACATCCATTACAGCAGGCCGAATCCCAGACGCTATGATGCAGCCAAGAGCTCGCAATGGCAGCGAACAAGAAACACGGCCTATGCGGAGTCGGTTCAGTCATGAGAATAGCATTCGCCGCGGAGGCCGAGATCAGAGATCACAGATCTTCGCAGATATATAAGATACCATCTTGCCCGCCTTTACCAACACATCAGCGACAACACCCACCGCAGCAAGAAGCCCATACAACCAGCACCAATAACCTCAAGCTCAAATCTTCGCAAACTTCCAAGATGCAGATCAAGACCTTCACCCTCCTCCTCGCCTCCTTCGCCGCAACCAACGTCCTGGCAAACCCAGTCCCCAACGCAGAGGTAGATCACCCTTAATCACGCCTTCACCTTCTACGCTAACACCTCACCTCAGGCCGGTATCGAGGCTCGTGCCGAACAGGCTGAGCAGGCCCAGCAAGCTCAACAAGGCGAGCAGGCAAAGCAAGGCGAACAATGGTGGCCACGACGCGGCGGATGGCGCCCTCAGAACGATTGGCGCCGCCTTCGCAACCCTTTCCCAAGTCAGTTTGGGAACCAATTTGGTTGGGATGGACAGCAGTGTCCGTGGCAGGTGCAGTCGTGCTGGAATTGCCAAGGTAAGCAGGACTGTCAGTCATCGAGTGTCCGAGAATACGTGCTGATCTTTCTCTGTTGCAGGCTTCTTCCAAGGCAACCAGGGCGTTTGTGGACAGGGCTGGTTGCGTGGATGTCCTTGCTTCTAGGTGATGGTTGATGTTGGACGGGAGTGTTACGATGACGAGGTTGATGATGTACTTCATACCCAAGAATGGTGTTCCAGCTTACCTCTGAGCTTCTGATGGGTTTGGGGTTGGGGTAATCGAATCCATTACTGTCGTTATACCATTCCAAATCAAGCAAATCACAACACCTCTATGCTAGATTTTGTTCCCGTTATTTGGCAGCTTCGCCCTAAAAGCGACAAAAGGCCTCTTCCTCCGATCAATCAGCGGTAAGCCTTGGCCGGGGTAGATCGCCGGCAAGTAATTGAGCTGATTGACGGTGAAGTACAGGTATCCGTCGCTCGCGATGCTCATAGTATCGACCTATTCATCGTGTTAGAAAGCTCGACAACACCACAGTTTTGGAATTTACTTACCCAATTAATCCTCGGATCCCTCACAAAGATCGTGGCATAAGTAGTCTGAGGGCTATACATCGAGATAGCATCCTGCTCAACATTCCCGGCATACACAATCCCGTTACTATCAGTCTCCAACCCATCACTGATACCCTTCTCCCCCAGGTTCTTGACTTGGGCTTGTGCTCGAGCCTGATATCCATTACGACTGTCGCGGAGAGCAGCAGTAGGGACGGAGTACAAGAACCTGCCACCAATGACAGAGAAGTAGAGGGTGTTGTAATCCGGAGAGATGGCGATGCCGTCCGCGCCGAAGGTGATGAAGCCTGGCTTCAGAGCGGATGCGAGACCGCTGACTTGGTACATTGGGTCACCCCAGACGTATGGGACGCTGCCGTAGATAGTATGGGTCTCCTTGAAGGCGTTGCGGGTGCCCTTTCCGGTAGCCAAGTCGACAAAGATGATGGCATTGTCACCTTCGAGCGAGCTGTCGGTGATGTACGCTGCACCTTGGCCGGAGGTCCCGGAAAGCTTTGGGTTTCGATCGATTCGAACGTCGTTTAGGTAGGAGTCTGGGTGGACGAGGTCGGTGTTGAAGATGATTGTTTTGACGATTTGGTTTGTGTTTAAGTTGATGTTGATGAGCTTGGGACCGCCAGGGACGGTGGCATTCAGTATGGGATGGTTCGGGTCCTGGAAATCCTGGACTCGGCCGGTGTCGAGGATCCACAGAGTGTCCTGAGAATCGATGATGACGGACTGCACACCCAAGAGATGCTTGCTGTCGCCTTTGGTGACGGCCGGGATGGCAAGTCGGTTTACAGCACCTCCAGGACTTTGATTGTACGATGCGTTTGGATATGCGACTTCTGAGTCCATGTCTGTCAATTCTCCAACCTGCATTGTAGGCACCAAGCCATTATATGTGTTGGCGACATCAAGTGCAGAAGGATAGCAGGAGAACTTCCTTCCTACGTTGGATACAGCAATACCCGTTGGCCATTGTCCGGTGTAGTAGTGGACCTTCACGGATTAGTCAAGTACATGTTCACACTTCCTGCCTACTTACGATCTCAAGCTCTGGGCCTTCCGTCAATGGGTCTGTCCGAATATCTTCAGGTCCGACAGCAAACGCAAGCTGAAGAACAGCCAGGCTGGCAAGGGTCTTGATTGACATCTTGGTCGATGTCCTGATAGAAGCTTCGGAGGCTCAACAAGTAATTCTTGCATGGCGACCAGGCGTTGCCTATATGTTTGGCACTACGGGCCTCGGCATATCAAGAAGCTTTACCTCAGTCAACTTTCTTCTAGTTTTTGTTCGTGAAGCGGTTTAGTACCTGCCGAAAAGAGAGAAATATCAGCCTCCGCCCCGCAATGATCGCCAGGTACTTTTGATGCCTTTTTTGTGATGAGCCTATGATGACGGAGGCGCCTCTTTGGAAGCCGAACTCCTCTGGTCGTTGATGTGCCCTATGTTGCGGCCACCATGTTTCTCTGTTGTGACATCTATCTTCGCCTCTACCACGCGGTGAATTTTATATCGTTAGCTAACAGGCAGTTGCAGTAGCTAAGCATGTGTTTTCACTGCTATACACTTATGTACATTCTCGTCTCTTCATACGTCGTTTCTGCCAGCTGGGATCTAGTACTCGTACGTCGTAACGTTGCTGGTGATGTTCCAGTGGACTGGAGAGGCATCTGCGGCAGTCTGCTCGTAATACCAGATAGCACCAGTAGCGTTCGAGCAGCCGCTGATGGCCGGGGAATCAACAGGCACATAGTGGTAGTCCTGAGGACGTCCGAGCACGTGCATGTTGTACCAGACCTCGCTCAACACAGTCCTGCCCGTGTCGTTGGTACGGCTATTCCTACCAGCCGTCGTCTCATTATACCTCGGGCCAGAGCAGCCAAGATAAGGCACAGCTCCATGCTGAGCAGAGAGAGCGTCCTGAATATCGATGAAGTTGTATTGTGTGCTGTTGCTTGGCGTGATGCCGTACTGTTGCAGCCACTGGAAGGTTGGGAACTTCTTGTAGTATCCAATCGTTGTCTCGAAGAAATCAACCACCTCTTCATGCTGCTGATAGTTTGGTCCGTAGCAAGGGATATCGAAGGTGGAAAAGCAGGTTGCGTGCTTGCTGAATTCGTGGCCCCAGAAATCGGCGTTGGGACCCGTTCTTAGGAGTGTCAGTAAAAGCACGATCACGCACTCGGTTGTAGTTGGACTCACTGCGAGATCCAGTACTTGTTCATCCAGGCAAGCAGATCGTATCTGCCTAACTTTTCGACGAATGTGCCGATGTTGCTGCCATTGTACGCAGGTACAAAAGTGCCATTGGGCAGTCCATTGGTCGTGTTTGGCGAAGGGACAGGATCGTACTGCCTCGACAAATCGCAATATTGCGTGTATGAGCCGTTGCAGAAGTCAGGCCACAGACCGTGGAGAGTCCAGGTATTCTCAGGCAGCTCCTTGTCCGCCCAGGTATCCCAGAACTGGGTTGCGAGCAGCAAGCCGCCAAATGTCTCCGTGCAGCAGGTATCAACAGTCTTTGGGTTCGCCTTGGCCGAGCAAGAGAGGTACTGCGGCTGGAGTACGCAGGTATGGTTGTCTGGAGAGATGTTGTAGAGCGCCGCCGAGGCTGAGGCCGCAAAGGCTGCTACAGTCAATGTGCTCTTCATATTGCCCACTTGTATGATGAATGCGTATGTAGAGGAGAGAAGTTCTCAAACCTTTTCGCGACCTTCGTATTATACTCAGATCTAATGATCTACCACCACGTGGGCGACCTCCTCCCACGTGGGAGCGGAGGGATCAAAGATGACTTCTTGGGGCGGTGCCTGCATATTGAGATAACCTCGTGCTCTGTGTACCTGCAGCGATAGGCCAAACGAGTTTTCAATTGCGTAGAGTGCTGAAGCCAAGGCGTCTAAATGGCGGCGGGCAGCGTCGTCAAAAGGATCTCCTGCCCCATTCGCTGACGTCGATGTTGATTTTCCGTTGAGCTTCCAAAAACAGGCCATTAACCGAGCCGGCATTGCCTTGGCGACCGAGTAGCCGGTGTGAAACCTTGTCGAGGGTCTTGTCGACTTCACTTGTTGGTTGCGATGTTTACAAGCTCTATCTGAACATCAAGCTGCTAGAAGCAAAGATTGAGACGCCTTGCGATGATTCCAAAATCCGGGTTCATTTAATTTCAGCCATCTTGCAAAGCATTGCCATTATGAAGGTTCTATTTCGACGACGAACGATCACTCGGTAGCTCACAAAGCGGACTGGCCTCAACCTCAGGAATGATACCGATGGCCGATAGTTCATGCCTACCAACATCTTCGCCCCAATCTTGAAGTTCTGGCATTGCTCCAAACTCGCAACCTGCTTCGTGGACGGCTTGCTCATGCACAGCCAACTCGGACAGGAAGTTCTCACTTCCGGCTCTTTTCATCGAATGAGCAGCATCATCCTCTATTACTTCAGAAGTAGTGGCCTGAGCACCTCGGTTCTGTCGCTTTTGGCGCCAGAAGAAGAGCATTAACGCGATTCCAAGCAGCACGATCCCCCCGAGGACGACCCCAGCTATGGCACCAGGCGAGAGTTGTTTAGCAGGCCCTTCATCAGTCCTAGCTTCATCCGTGCTGTTCGAAGCACTAGCCGGTGGCTCAATGTCGATAATCTGGGTGGCAGAGCTGTCGTGTAAGAAGCCCACTGGAGAGATTGAGAAATTGCGGCGCTCGTAGTCTGCAATGATCTACGCTTCTTGCAGAAAGACTCTGCCAAGGATATACTGGCTGTCGTCCGCAGCTCTTTTCAGTGGGAAGTATCGAGATACATTGTTGACCGCCGGAGCGCTGACGTTAAAGTCGAAGGCCGCGTATGGAATCGTTATGGTGATCTGATCCTTCTGATCCTCCGACTCGCTCAGCGAGAATGTAAAAGTTGGGTTCTGCTCGAGAAGTGCAGTGTGTACTGTTTCATCGAGCAAATAGAGCTCGGTATCGTTGTTCCAGGTGAGGTTGAACGCTTGTTCAAAGCGCTGACACACCGCGGGCGGCAACCAAAGATGAGGGACCAGAGAATCGAGAAACATGTATACCCCCTGAGTCAGGAGCGCCGAGCTTCCGTACGTATCGTATGTGATTGAATTCAGCCATACAACCAAGTCTCGAGACTGATCAGCTCCAAACGGCACCTCGAGCGACCGGCCTCCAATCTTCAGCTCGTCAAATCCTCCCAAAGTCAGTGAGACATACGCTGGCGGATCTTGGTAATATGCACCAGCTGAGTACGCCCATGATCGACTTGGGATGCGTGCCTGGTCGACGAGGGATGCCAACAAGCTTGGTACCGACTGATCCATATCCGTGAAGTTCATACCTATTGGACTCAGCGGAAAGAATCCCAGCCAAAAGTCGTTCGTCGCGATTCCAGCTACCAGTTGGTCGGACATCTCCACACTGTCGCCACTGCTGGTGTTAAAGCTCATAGTGTCGAACCCGAAGTATGCATTCCCTTCCAGGCCAAGTTCGGCTTCTGATATCATGAGAAGTTCGAAAAGCCCGCCATTCGCAAGCCGACTTGTCGACCAAGAGCTGGACTCGTTTCTTGCAAACGTATTGCCACGTGAGTAGAAGCATTCGGTCATGTTTGGGTTGGCCAAAGTGCAGCCTTCTTCGAGCACGGCCCATACCTCGGTTGAGGAGGTCGCGGATGTGCCTGGAAGCAGCCTGACTTGTTGAGCTGCTCGGGAGCGAGGCTCGTCATCAGCGGAAGTTGAGCGATGACTCCCATCTCCGGAGCATGAGACTTACCTGGCGAGCCAATATTCAGTAGCACAGTCGACCATTTCCCATCGTTGCCGTCCCTTTAATGGCGTCAGTATGCGTTTCAGTCCTTTTGCGTCGACTCAGTTTACCACTGGCCGCTGGCTGGTATTGACAGAGCCATCAAAGCTTCCGATGTTCGACACTGAGGTCTACAAGCACCAGCTGAAGATCGCAAGAGGTGAAGCCTCTGGTTGTTCCACGACATACTGGGCCAAAATTCCGTGGAAGGCGCAGCATTGCAAGAGGCCGGTCACACAACTTACGCCCCATGTTTCGAGTTGCAGATTGGCCTCCCAATCACGCACTACAGCTACGGAAGCAGGCAGCATGCTATTTACGACGTGGTACAACATACGCTGCCTTGCCAGGCCATGTCTTCAGCTCATAGTTGATCTGGACCTTCAATCTTCTTTTCAGCAACTTTGGAATCAAGCTGAACAGAACAATCAACCATGAACATGCAATCTTGTTGCAACATCATGTTCAGACAGATTATTTTGGTGCTCTTGACAGCCTGCAACATCTTTGCTATAGCAAGCTGTACGTCGAGCAATGTCTTCATCTAGCAGCGACTAATGCCGGTAGCCTTTCCCAACTCTACGCTGCCTTCCAAGACCTCAATCGGCGTAAATACCACTGCTAGATACACTAGAACTACGCCACCACCCTCCTTCAACTCAGAAAATGCGTGCGGTGCGTGCGGTGCTGGACTTCTCAAGATATCGACTTGGCAATGGTCGCAATGGATATTTCCCCACACTGTTGGTAGGCTTTAATGTGAGGCTTTGATTGAGGCATCAGCTGAATGTAGGGCAGGGAAGGTCTTTGTGGTCATCGATGAAGCGAACAATGTCACTCGGACCAGCACTTCGCTAGAAACAGTCGCTATTACAGCCGGAAAAGAGACGCTCTCAGCAACAGACTGGATCAAGAATGGGACATTTAGTTTGGGCAGTCGTCGCACGGCAACAATGACACATGTGATTGATGGATCTACCACGCTGTTAGTAGCCTGTTGGCCGATAATCTTAAACCCGAGGAGATGACTGACCCTCTCAGGGCTTATCCTTCTCGGCTGGTTCGGATAGATTCAGCCCAGCTCACATGGAATGGACAGATTGAGATGCTTCAAGGCAATTCTACGCAGTGCCTGGACGCGAAGACGATTGGTAGTTTCACCATGACCACAGCCTTGCCAAGCCTTGCACCGCAAGATCTCGACCCTCAAGACACCCTGGGCGAGTACTATAGTGCAATCGATTGGAAAGGCGAGCATATACTCGGGCCAGACGAAGTTGGGACCTACTTTGGTCCTACAGCAAGTGCGGTGTACAGCTCGTGTACGGGCGAGGGCGTTCTTCCTGCCTCTTGGGCAACGAGTGCTTTGTTCCTTCTGGAGACTTCGACGCAGCGGATCAATGCTCAAGTCAAGGCTACTTCATCTTTGGCAGCTCCCATACCGACGAACTCTATACCAGCGCCGGTACAGCCCAACGAGGCCTCTACTACTGCACAACCGCTAGAAACAGGCTCTGGGGTCAACGAAGCTACCGTATTAGTCAGTGCAACAGCTGCCAACTCAATGGTCACTTCTCATATCACAATCTCCTTCACGCATCCAGGCACAGTGGCCTCGTGGGCGGAGGCCGCTCAGAATTTACTATCCACGCATGTCACGATATCGACGCCAGATGCCACTCCTACTACCAGTACAGTGGACGGAGATGCTGTTGCCGATGTAATTGCATCGATCTTGGGCATGAGCAAGACAAAGCCAGTAGTGGAGCCCAGCCATGAGCAATCTGACACGCATCCGATTTCTCCCACGCAATCGATGGAGGATCCCAGAGAGACGAACAACCCAGCCTACCTCTCAGCCCTCACGTCCTCTGCGAGCGCAGGTGATATCACTCATACCGAGGACACGATCCCTCAGACCCAAACCAATCCTTCCAAGCCTCACACATCAATTACCGCAACAGCACCAACGACGGATATTGAAAAGTCGCAAACAACCAGCGACGGGTCGTTTTTGTCTGAGGGCCATGAGACATTCGAAACAACTGCCCTCAGCGCCGCTCCCTCAGACAAGTATCACGGTTCCACATCGCGAGCCGCTGAAGCAACTGCCATCGCTGGCGGCGACTCGCAAATGGCGACACAATCCGAAGCTACTCCTTCCCCCGACGTATCGACAGAGGACAGTGACACCAACGTGCCATCTCCGTCTTCTACAAATTCTGGAAACCCACATACCGATGATAGGGCGTCGACGCTACCTGGTAGCGCTACTCCTCCAATACCATCTGCGTCGAGCTCAGTTCTGACGATGCAGAACGATATGCCTACGGACTCTACAAGCGGCACCTCGGCGACTGTATCATCATCAGCACCAATACAGTCGGATTTATCTCCAAGATCTGAACGTCGAGTCAACATAACAGTCGTACTGCTGTTAGCTTTCTTTACTGCAAGTGTGTGGGCCACACTTTGAATGTACTCTATCCGTGCGGCAAGTTTTCGATTTCTTGTTTTAATTCACACATGAGCGCAACATAATAGCCAGGATCTGAGGTCGTGTGCCGTGTTACACAATAGTCATAGATCGTATCAGACGTTTACCCCTTTTCCCGTCCCCAGGGCCACTCAAGGGTCACTCCTGACTCATTGAATTGAGAACTCCGTCCCTTCCACCGTCCTTTTGGGTGCTCTGTGTTTTCAGAACCTCATTCAGGGTGAAATCAGCGAGCCCAGATTATTCAGGGAACAGTTCGATGCTTTTGGGCCCCTATCGTGGGAATCTTTGCCGGCGAAGTTGGTGGCTTCATCTAACAGTACTGTCCATCCACTAGAAGCACTCTTTTAGCGGCGTAGGATCAGAGCCAACATTCTTTCAATTCAAGCTCCAAACACTGTCCAAGAACATTTTATCTCGCTCAGAGGTGTCACTGCCCTTATGGCTGTACTACCATTCGCCAAACGCCTGAACAGATCTCTATCAGTATGATATCCGTAACCAGCTAGTCAATCTAAAAAAGCTACGAGGCAAACTACATGTCATCTCCAATATTACCCCTGACGGCTACCGCAATAGGTTTTCACAACCTCTAATAACTTCACCCTCTTCTGCCTTTGCTCAAAAACTTGGCCATGGTCCGTGCTGTCAAACCAGAGAACTTCCAATCCGTCGCCGGTCCAGGGACGATCCTGCCATGCTTTCCGGTCGGCATTATCTGCTTCCTTACTAGAATGGCCGGGCTCTTCGCCGTCCGGAGGAACGTTGGCGCTGGCGACTATGCCTCTCATGAGGTAGTTGGCCACCGCTTCCGTGTTCACAATGAGATCTCTCCCACTGAGACTGACGCTCACCCGCATTCCACCTTGTACGAGTGGCATCAAGTCTTCAAGCCAAAGCACGTTCTCTGACCAGAAGAAGCGTCGCCCAAGGGTGTGCGCCACACCGGGGTCGAGGGAGGCGAAGTACCAAAGCTGATATTCATTCGCATGGATGGGCTTGCGCACCGTGAAGTTGTATGCCACGTCGGGATGTTGTAGCAAGAAGCAGACGGGATCAATGAACAAAACAGAGTCGATCCTCTCGCGCACCTTAGCGTCGTGTAGCATGTGCGATGTGATGATGCTGCCGTAACTATGCGAGACGACAACGCATTTGGTGTAGCCGTGGTGTTCCAGGATCGTGGCGATCTCGCGACAAATTTCATGTCTTCCCAGGGCAGGGTATGTGATGCGGAAGCTGATGGGCATGAGTTCGATAGCGAGAATGCCGACTTGGCCTTCTTTATCTTCGCCGTCATCCACGTGCTTGTAGAGCTCGCGAAGGAAGTTGACGTATGGGTACAGTCCAATGCCTATGCCGTGAACGAAGATAACAGGCAGTCGAGTCTTCGAGGTGTGGCGACGACACCAGTACGTGGTGTGCTTAGCTGGTGAGCGCCTTTTCGCAGTGAGCGCTACCGGTCGGAATGGGAAGAGTGAGAAGAAACTGCCCAACGGTTGTCGATGGAAATGGTAGCCGTTATAGACCAGGCGCACATAGGCGAGCAGATCGACAAAGCCAACGCACTTAGAAGAAGTCAGTGACTCAGGAGAGGCCTTGGATCAACGGGAAGTATACGAACACAGTACCAGGTCAAACTCCTGTAGCACGTCTTAATCGGATCCAGGGTCAAGCGCGAGGGTGTCGCTTTGCCCATGCCCAGGGGAAACTTCCTCCCCAACAGCCTTTCGAAGTCCACCGTGTATTCTTCCAGCTCCTGCGCACTTTCAGAGTCGTCGGCTATCCTACCCTCGAAGAAGGCCCAGGCCAACCAGCTTTTGACACCATCACGCCCAATATCTTTAATATTCGCGCCTTTGAACCAGAGACAGATATCATACTCGAGGTCGGAGGAGCTACTCCCGGTCATGGAGCGTCTGAAGAGCTCCTTTCTTTCTGCCCTTGAGCGCATTGGCGGGTGCACTGCGTCTCTCTGGAGGTAGAGGAAGTACGGGAGCTGGAAGGCAAAACAGAATATCGTTTCCATCTCCAGCCAGATTCTGAGTGGAGTAGGTAGGTGCCATGACTTCGAGACCAGCAGAACATCATAAGCAGTATATATGACGCTGAGAGGCGGAATGGTTTGCAGGAGAAAGATGCAGGCGCGGATGAAGGCGTACTCCGCTGGCGTGTGATTGATCATCTGGCTGACATGGGCGCAGGAGGAGATAGATGACGAGGATGGTAGTTAGCGACCAGTGCGTAACAATTCCGGAGCTGAGTGTATCTCTACGTTGCCATTGCGGACTCCTTACCATGAGAGCAAGTCGACACATTGATGTTATGCATGAACCCGATGACGACAGGCTACCTCAGGCCTGCTTACACCGAGCATGTGAAGAAGAATGTGGCGGGTACATCTGAAGGGGTGGATGTAGATATTGAGAAAGACGTTGAGGAAGGTGTGTTTGATGGGATTTGCTCAGCAGCATGCCCTGGTTGGGCCCAACTACATTCAGTGGTAAATGTGGCGAACGTGGAGCTCTCGGTCTTCAACAGACCCAATACACTGACAACGCAACCCACTCAACCACCTTAGGTCGCTTATCTGTTGCTTAGCAGAGGGTTGGGCTAGACGATAGATAAGTCTCAGGTTCAAGCACCTCGGTGATATATATAAAGATACGGTAACGCCAACGAATGCTTGTGTCGTGAATCCTCGGAGCAAAGTCCGCTGTTCGGGGCAACGGGGCAACATCCGGCTGTGTACTTGCATGTGATGCTTTCAACAGCACCGAGCAGAAGTCCCTCACACATGCTTGCGTGTCGAGCGACATTACGCTCGTCGAATTCTTGAGGCCCACATCATGCTTCCGTATCCGGCTTCTCTTGGCCCCCTTCATCAGCTAGGCGCTGCCTTTCCTCTGCCACAGTTCCCTGTCGTTTCAATGGTGATGCCACTGGCCTCTGTCCTCCAGTTGTCGCTGGATTCGGCGCCCCTGGCGCGGCAGCAGTCACTCCGCTCATTCCCCAGACCTGACTTCCGAGATTTTTCGCCACGAGGCTGAAGACCGCAACACTCATGAACGGGCTGACGCATCGATTGATACAGAAGCCGCAAAGTAGCTTGACCCAATTTTTCCTTAAGTGGGCGTTGAGAAAGCATACTGCGAAAGCGAACCAGAAACTTGGAAGGAAGGATACGGCCAGCAGCGGCGCCAATGCGACGATGCTGAAATCGCTGGCGACGCCGTATAGAAAAAGCCCAGTGTTGAATACACGGTAGTATACCATCGTCAGCCTTGTGATCTCGATCAGAGCCGCGATACGAGTTATGAGAATCATGTTCTCGCCCGCAAAGTAGAAGTAGTTGTTGAAGTAGGCATTGCTGCCCCATCTGCGTCGTTGGCTCAGGTAGTGTTGCAGGCTCTGTGGTGCTACTGTCTCTGATCCAGCTTCGGGAACGAAAAGCGTGTGCAAGTGCTTTCCCTGCGACAGCATCGAATATGTCAAACGGCGGTCGGTTCCCAGATATTGCACTTGATGACGCAGCACAGGAAAGGCTGTCACTGGTTTGGCATATTTCTGAATTGCACCAGCCATCTCTGGGCGCACGACGATCATGGTGATACATCCTGGGAGGCATGTGACTTTTCCAACGAAATGCTCTGCTCCACGCCGCACGATCTGCCCGAAAGAGTACTGAAATTGCTGATAGAGATTCCAGACCGACCATTCGAGCCCAGGCTCGTATTCGACAAATACGAAGCCGCAGGCAGCGATAGACCTTGGATTAGCCAAACAGGCGTCGGCCAATCTGGCCAGTGCGCCTTGGTGGATCGTGGAATCCGCATCGGTACAGAAAACGAGGTCGAATGTGTTGAAGTTGGGCTCTTCAGTAAGTTGCGGCAAGATCTCCGACCACAGCTTCTCTCGTAAACCAACGATGCTTGGATCAATGTTCGAGCGCGGATAGTTAAAGAGATCGTGACAGAGAATGAGCGAGTCCTTTTTGCCTGCGTTGGGGCACTTGTCAATGCAAAGCGTTGGAATGTTGTCCACAAATCCCGCAACGATCTTCAGGGTGCCAATTTTCCACTTCAGGGAGACGTACTTCCATTCAAATGATGCGACCACTCTCGTCATATGGTCTTTGATTGGACGTGGCTTCCCATCAAGTATGATGCACATTACTTGGCGATGTTGCTCCATGCCATTGTCTCGAAGGGAGAAGAGGGTTTTCACGATTTGCTCTTCTGATTCCGAATATGCCGGGATAAGGCTCAGGATCCATGATGCTCTTTTCGCAGGAGCGGTAACAATTCGTCGTTTGATGGCGTAATAGATTCGACAGAATATCTGGATCCAGACAGACAAGAAGTCTTTGCTCTTGAAAAATAGGATCGCGCAGAGTACCCATACCCCTGAGTAGCCCACGGCGCTCAAGATTATGCAGACTGCGTTCAGGGAGAAGACGATGCTCCCGAAAACCAGTCTCTGGTGTAGAAGTTCTCGCTTCGTCAAATTTCTTTTGGGGTTGATTGGTCCTTCGTCTTCAACATCGCCACCCTCAAGCTCGATGTCAAAGGGTTGCTCTCCAGGAGATTGCACCACCGGCAATGAAGGCACAGAGATGCTGCGAACTTTCATGGCAGGTAGACTCCATGCACGGGTTCTTTGAGTATGTGAGCTCCAAGATCTTCGTCGCTCGTTAGTGGGTAATGATACTCGGTCGGACTTGTTGTGCCAGACCAAAGCCTCGAGGGATACATCGGTGCTTTTGCTCTGGCTAAATGAAGCACTGTTCCCACATATAGATTGGCAAGTCCGTTCATTGTAGAACGTCGTTGATCGCTTGTGGAAAGCCGCGTCTGGCGGGCTCACGGATACTCGGGCGCTGGTTTGAGGCACTCTGATAAGGGGCTGGGGGCAAGCATGAACGTATTCGTCAGGATCCTCAGACGTTCCGGTCTCCGGGTTTGATACCACGCTTGCTTCGTTGTCTGACTGGATCAAGGTCGATCTCAGGAGGTGTGAAAAGTCGATATTTCTATCCGGCTCGCGTGAGAAGCGCATAAGAGGATCGATCGAACATCAAGATGTCAATGTTAGTCAAGGCAACTTGTCCGGGAAGCGGTAGTCGACTGCAACAGATCTCGACACAGTTGTTCGGGCCAGTCGCACAACTCGCATGTGGATAGGTCGTACAAATCTGCAAGTTGCCATGCCAGGTCGCTTCGAGAGGAATGCAACAAATTCTGTCAAAGATATTATCCTTACATTGCCGTTGTACCCGATCCTCTTCGAAGAATCCAACCAGCAGAATCCAACGTCGATCACAAAGAGATGAAGAAGACCAAGCAAGAATGTCAAGTGTCAAAGCATTCGAGAGAGCTCGTGGAGCAGTCATCAACGACCCAACGTCTCGGCGTCCGAGTGAATGCAATCCCTGCGTCTCACTTTCGAAATAGCTTCCGGTTGATCACGAAGAACACCCTTGAAATCGACGGCTTTCTGGGCTTCGCAAACGACAGAATGAATTGGATCACGGTCACAAGAGGCAAAAGACTTTGTTGTTGCTCTGCGAATATAGAAAGGGATAGACGCGGACCCGGTGGCGGGGGCCTGGTAGACGCGATTTAGCCGCCGGCTGCTCCGAGATTGGGATCCGCGAAGGACTTCCATACTGCCCAGGATTTGCCAACCTCCCCAAGACAAGCTCCACAATGCTGCTCAGGTCCAATCCACTCCATCGATAGCAAAGAAGTCATCTTCTGTAGCACTGATGTGCCTTACAGCCTCGACATGCCAACAAAGCAACGGCATTTGGCTCGCCGGGGCGACCCGCCCTTACCAGGCGGCGATACTCTCGACGATTCATTGAGACTGCCGCATTCGAACCCGGGGTAGCGAACGAGAGAAGCTGTGACTACTGGCATTGGCAAGCACGGATCGTGTATCATGCTTGTTGGGCCTGAAATTGTGGCCAGGTCGAAAGGAGAGATGCTCATTGCCGATCTACTGGCCAGATAGACTCCCTACGATGTTCACATTGCAGGATGTGCGCTGGACAAATGGTAACCCCATTGCCATTGCTATCTCGATGGTCAGGAGCCCAGCGACCTGGAACCTCTCTCGCCTGCGTGCATTCTTTCATCTCTTCCAAGGGGACGAGTACCTAGATCATGACGACAACCTACCTCGGGTAATCTCTTTCGTAAAGGCGATGAGGAGTCCTTGTTGTCCTCTCAACACTCCTCTTGCTTTCTCTGCTTGCGCCTACGTCGACTCTCATTGTGCACGCTTTCAGCATCCTCTTCTGCACCGCTCCTGGACGGTGTCGCTGGTCTGGATCGCAACGATGATCTACAGGCTTCGGCAGCCTTTGTGCTCCATGGCAGCACCGAGAACAGTGTTAGCTGGAGGCAACAAGATCAAGCGGAGGCATTTAAGACGTAGGTAGTGGCGTTGTGGGCCAGGGAAATCGGTCGGTGAAGCCATCATATCGAAGGCTCATCATTTCCACGAGCTACTCGTTCTCCAGCATTTACAATGATGTCCGTTATGGCTGCGCCCGTGATGGTGCCCCATGTCGAGACTGACGAAGAGATCGGTGCCCCAAAGATGTTTGGCGAACGACGACGATCTTCTGCTCTAGACATGAGTCTGATGACAGTGTAAGAACCCTGATCTTAGTACCACCTTGGATGTTCAGCAACAAGCTCACATTGTACAGCGATCCTGCACTCGAGGAGGGGTATGAAGTCGTCGAACAACATGCCGGGGAGGTCAATCTCAAAGCCTTCGAAGCCAATCAAGCCATCAAGAGAGTCATCCACACATCTCCATCGGACGAGTCCCCTCGTATGTGCATTGTTGGCGTTGGCTACGTCGGCGAGATCCTGCTCAAGGAGTTTGGTTCAGTCTTTCCGTCGATCGGCTTCGACATCTCGGACTCGAGGCTTGAAGATATCAAGCCGGACTTCGTGTCCCTGAAAAACGTCCGCCTCACTTCAGACCCATCTATTATGAAAGAGGCGACACATTTCTGCATCTCCGTACCAACCCTTCTCCGGGACGACAAGTCAGTCAACACCGACCACTTGGTTCGTGCTATCGCTATGGTCACCGCCAACGCCCGCCCGGGGTCCACCATTGTCATTGAGTCCAGCGTCTCTGTCGGCATGACCCGTGCGCTGTTGGGACCATTTGCCAACAAGTTCCACTGTGGCATGTCTCCAGAACGTGTGGATCCTGGTCGCACCTTACCCGCCGCTCACGACATACCTAAGATCATATCGGCCCTATCGGAGGCTGCCTTGCTCAGCATGCATAAGGTCTACTCGCAAACATTCAAAACTGTGGTGCCCGTGTCGAAGCCAGAGGTGGCAGAAATGACCAAGCTCTTCGAGAATTGCTATCGTATGATCAACATTGCATACGTCAATGAAGTCGCCGACGCTTGCCACAAGCAATCCATCGATGTCGATGAAGTTGTGTCCGCAGCTAGTACCAAGCCATTTGGGTTCCAGTCGTTCCAGCCTGGACTCGGTGTCGGTGGCCACTGCATCCCCATCAATCCATTCTACCTCATGGCCAACAACGATCTTCCCCTGTTACGCAGTGCAACCGAGGCAACTTGGACTCGACCTCAATTGGCTGCCGCTGAGTTTATGGCCAACTGCAAAGACCGTCTCGGGGGAAGGGCACCCCGTGTACTTGTAATTGGCGTTGGCTTCAAGCCTGGTCAACGAGTGATCGATTGCTCTCCAGGTGTTGCCTTCGCCAAGGAACTACAGGACCGAGGATGCCAGGAACTAGTCTTCTATGACCCTCTTGTCGAGCAGAGTCAACTCCCCTGGATCAGCAAACTTGACGAGGACGACTACAACTCTGAGAATGTAGACAAAAGCTTTGATGCGATCGCAGTGTGCATCAAGCAGGAGAAGGTGGACTGGTTGGTTCTGAAGAACCTATTTAATACAGCTGTGCAGTACTATTAAACAAGAGTCATAGTTTATGGGATATGTGTTTTTCTTCTTTGCGGGTTGTGATTAGTCTCATCTACAGAAAGCTTTCAATTCATGTGCCAATTGCAGTATCTTATATGTGTTGTAGTTGATGACGCAGAGACAACTGCGTCTTCAAACAACCACCTCGATCCAGCATTCCACAGAAGCTTCGTGTTGTACCTTGAGAGTCGGAAGAATTTCTTGACAACACGCCTTGACAACAGCTTTGTCATTCGGGAATTTCTGGCGTATGAAACTTGCCACATGTTCTCGATCTGGTCTTCCCTTCCTCTCTATTGCGACTTTATTAGTACTCGTTGTGGGTGCATCCTGCCCAGTTGAAGATACGCTCCCGGCCGTGCTCATTCTTGATTTGACTTCGAGGCTCCAAATGATGCATGCGAATTCCATGATGTCGATTTCCGCTATCTCATCCCTCGGATCAGCGACTACATCACTAGCAATCCACCCATCTTCAGCTCTAACTCACGAAAGAAATGGAAGCACCACATACTCTTTCAACCCAGCGTCTCAGACCAACATTGCAGTCTACTGGGGCGCAAGTCCCGCAACGACCTCAGACAGCTTACTAGCTCTATGTCAACACCCCAACGTAGACATCGTTATTCTCGCCTTCCTAGGAACCTATTTCGGCCCAGGGGGCTATCCATCCCTCAAGATTGGTGGCTCGTCATGTCGGGCTGCGACCCCTGAGCAGCAAGCCATTGCCCCTGGTTTGGTAGACTGCACAGCAATCGCTCCATCAATCGCAGAATGCCAACAAGCCAGCAAACCTGTTCTTTTAAGCTTGGGTGGCTCCTCGATTACATCGTCCTTCGAGTCGGATGAGCAAGCGAAAGAGTTCTCGTCCACCCTGTGGGCACTTTTTGGAGCAGACACTGCGAACGAAACAACTCGATCAATCCGCCCTTTCGGCCCAAACATCGTTCTCGATGGATTCGATCTGGATGCTGAGAGCGATATGCCGCAGCATTACCTTGCCTTCACGCAAGCTTTACGAGCGAAATATTCAAAGGACCCAGGAAAAGCTTACTACATTTCCGGCTCTCCTCACTGCCCTATCCCAGATACTAGTCTTCCCCTGGAGGCTATGCTGCTCTTGGACTGGGTGTGGCCGCGGTTCTACAACGCAAAGAAGTGCAACGCAAACAGCAAAGGGTTCCTGAACTCGGTATCAGACTGGTCGGTGCAGCTGAAGACCAATGGGACCACGAGGCCAAGGCTGTATCCCGGCGTTGCCGTTTCGAATCTGACTGGAAGTGGAAGCGTACGAGCAACGGACTTGCACAAGCATGTGAATGGCATTGACATTTCGAAAATGGGCAATTTCGGCGGCTTGATGCTTTGGGATGGGAGTCTGGCGCTTTTCGAGGGTACTGACAGGATGAATTATTTGGACTATGCGAGAAATGCGCTTGTGAAGCTTCAAGACACTGTGAGGACAGATTAATCTGTTCGTACCAGCCTGTGCTGACGAAATGTTCAAGAGCTATGCCAACCGAGCGTCTAGGAAAGAAACAGCTGCTGCAAAGTGGACCGTTGCAGCAGTTCTGGTCTTGAGCATACTTTTACATGTGTGTGGACGGAGATGATGGATTAATATCAATGACCATTTTGTCTGCTTTTTGACCTAACGTTCCTACCGCCAAACTTACTGTCTCTTCGCTCAGAATACAACTACCAGACAATCTCCCAAGCCCCTATTTCCCAGCCCTCAACCCACTCCAATCCCCATTAATATGATTCTGATGCCATCTATACTCCCCACCCGCCTCTCTAACAAGCCTCTCCACAGCCTGTACACCAGTCTCCGGCTTCCTACCCAAAAGCACCTCCAGCGCCGGATCAATGACCTCCGCGTCCCCCTTACAAACACCCTCCACAAAGACCAGTCTCGCCTGGAACCAGGGCGTACCCTTTCCTCCGATGTCACCATCTGCCGAGGTAGCGATCCAGTCTTGCGGGGAGAGGTATTCGATGGGGAGTTTTGGCTTGCTGGGACGTGCCTTGTCGATGGCGGCGACGAGGTCGACCATGGAGTCTGTGGATTGCGAGGTTAGGAGGACGATCTTCTTTTCCGTCTTGGGCGTGATGCTCGGGAAGGCCCCAAACCCCTTAACCAACAACGTCGCCATCCCCTCGCCCAATTCATCCCTCGTCGTAAACGCAATCTGTCCCCTCTCAACCGGCGGATCCACATCCGGAAACAAAACCCTCTCACTCTCGGGGTACCAGTTCAAAAACAGCGGAAACGCATCACTGTAGATGCCCGCCCTGAGATTCACAAATTCCAATCCAGACTGCGCGAGCAACCTCTCCGTCTCGTAGTGGGCCTGCTGGAAACCGATTTTGGAGGAATCCGTCCAGCCGCCGAAGGCCAGCGAGACATACCAGACTCGCCCGACGCCGTTCTTCTTCGCGGCTTCGATCACGTTGAGATGTTCGCGGTTGCGGGTTGTGTTGTCGCGTTCGGAGGAGGACATGAATAATAACTCCTTGACGTTCTTGAACGCTGAGTCGAGAGTTGAGGGGTCTTTGTAGTCTGCGACACGGAAGTGTAGACCTCGAGATTCGTACTGGATGGCATGGTTAGCACTGTCGTAAGGGGATGAATTGACAGAGTTGACTTACTTTGGACCGATTGCTGTCGGATCTTGAGGTCGCAATTATCTTCGAAGGGTCGATTTTGTGGACATTGAGCATGTCTTCGAGGATCTTTGCTCCTAGTCCGCCGGTAACGCCAGTCAGAAGGAAGGGGGTTTGAGAAGTCATGATGGTCGATTGGTGGCGATGGCGATCGTTGTAGATGGGACTTTGAGGTGATTGTGACGTCTTTTTGTGCTGTCCTCCATCTCGTCGACTACTAATATCCTTATATCTCTTAGCCATCAACCGACAGACGATACCATTAGAATTACTGTACAAGGAAGAAAATATGAGCTAAATCCAAATAGGAAATAGGTGACCTTCTGCTGCAATGAGGAAAGCGCGACCCGATTATGCAAGCATTGGGGCGTGACGTACCTGGCTAAACATCGCACCATTTCTTTCTAGGAAAGAGGTGGAGTGGCGGTCATTGCTAATGTCAGTATTCAGCATCATTTGCGAGCTCCACATGTATCGACACTTTAAGGAAAGCTTGCTAACCAATTGAAAATGGACACTTGAAGGTGAAGCTCGGACATGTCTCGATTTGACTCTAGTTACCACGTTCCTGGCACTATGAACGCCATGCAGCCAAGCCTATGCCGCAACCTTCGCTCCCAAACCCATGTAACAAACAATACGCTTAGTTCTCGTGAAGAGTAGCCTCGAACGAAGCCTCCTTGGCGATGGGCTTCTCGTCGGCCTTGACGTGGCCGAGACCCTCCTTCGAGTATGCCTTGGCGTATGGGTTGAGGCGGAGCAGGACCTGCTTGTTGTGGAGCGGGTTCTTCTTCTGCACATGGGCGCGCTTGGTGATGGCACCGCCCTTGACTGGTCGCAGCACAGACTGCACTTCGGAGCTGTTGATAAGCTTGGCAATGTCTGGCTGTGCGACGACGTTGGATGGGAGGAGGAAGTCCCTCTTGAGCTCAGATGGCTCGGTGGTGCTGCCGTAGACGGTGTCGAGGGCGGCGAATGCGGCGGAGGTCCAGATGATGAAACGACCGAGGTGGCCACCTGGGGCGAGCTGGAGGAGGTTGAGAGCGTAGACGGTGCTGGTCTCGACACCTGGGATGTTGCGGAAAGCGCGGATGAGCTCCTTGCCGTCCTTCTCTGGCTCGTAGATGACGAGAGGTCCACGGCGCTGCTGGTGGCGGCGACCCCTCAGCTTGCCCTTACCGGCACGCAGCTTGCGGGAGTTCTTGACCTTCTCGAGCTCAGGTCCAGCACCGACGGCGTTGAGGAGAGCGACGGCGGCAGAGGTCTTCTTGATGGCACCACCGAAGGCAGAGGACGAAACGACGAGTGGGACCTCTGGGATGGTGGAGACGTGGTGACCGCGGGCGAGGAGCAGAGCAGCGCTCGAAGACGCAGCAATGGCAGAGGCAGTAGCGAAACGCTTCTGGCCAAGGTTGATCTTCTGGTGCCACTTGCGCCAGACCTTGGTGGGAGCGAACATGCGACCAGAGCGACACTGGTTACCGAACGCGGCCTGACCAGCACGGTGAGTACCACCACCAGAGACACGCGGGATACGGGCGACAGCACGTCCTTCGGAGTGTCAGTATGGTATTCTCGTTTCCATCTCTTCTTCATATCTTCACATACCAGTTCCCCACGACTCGGCACTGGTCTGGTGGCCGGCCTTCTCGCTCACGGCGTATGGCTGACGCTTGTTCTTAGCCATGCCGGTGTGGACGCTCCTGTCAGTGTGTCAGCCATTGCGCTGTTCGTTGCTCGTTCGCTCGTGATGGATTTTTCGTACTGGACAATGTCCGGGCGGATGGGCGCCTTGAAGACATTGGGGAGCGGGTGGGTGTCGTTGGAGGCAGCCCCATCGGCGCCGTGGACGGTGACAGTAGGACGGCTGGCCATTTCGTCGTCTCGTGTCGGAGAGGTGGTGTGTTTGAAAAGGCGCTGCAACGAGCTTGTCACGGTCGAACTTCAAGTCGCTGAATCCCAAGAAAGTGTGTGCGGGTACGAACGGGCCGAGCCAAGCGAGACAAATCTTGGCACCAGCATCCTTGCACCGCACGTCTACAGCTCTTTCCACGAGCTTCAACAACTTCTCGATTGAGCAGATCATATTGATGCCATCCAATCAATTTTTCCTTTTTCATTCTCTATCATAGCAATATTCCAGCGATGGAGGCGGAAAAAACCAAGTAGAATGGCATGCTCTTGCACGAGAGGCCGCAATTTGGCAGACTCGAGACACACCGGTCACATCGTTCCATCATTAAGTACAGAAACTTTTACAAATCCAGTGCAGTACTGCATCCCAGCATCGAGACCTCCCTCTCAATCATCCGAAGTCTTTAAAATTTACAGGACTCCTGTCGATTTCTCTTCCCACATACATGGACTCGTCTGGTCAGCGTTTGAGACCATCGACAGCATTGGTCAATCGACAAGCAAGAAAGTCCCAACGCTAAGATCTGCCACGAGTCAACTGTGGCGTCTGAGACAGAAGAAAGCAGACAACTCCCTCGGAAAGTAATAGTCGTAGAACGCAAGCGCAGAAGAACCATTCAGCTTTGCTCTCGACTAGCTCTCTCCCGCCCTAGGATACGGCTCGAGCGTACACAGGAGCGGTGGCTTCTCCCAGAACGTAAACACTTTTTGATTGGTCCAGTCCTTTGCTTCAGGGCAGAGCCGTAGATCGAAGTGCAAGAGAACGACGGCGAGCAGGAGTCGCATCTCGTGCCAAGCGAGGTTCTTTTGGGAGCCGTCAACGGTCCGATGGTAATTGAAGAGGTTTCCTCCATTCACATACCTTGCCTAGGCAGTTCGTTGGTCCGAACGAGAAGGGCTATGGCCATAGAGTCAGGTTCTACGACTGCGTGCCGTTGAGGTACATGATGCGAACCTGGACAGCAGATAAGTTGTCGTCTCTGTACGCTTCGTTCTTGAGCCAACGCTCCGGCTCGAAAGAGTCGGGGTCTTTGAAATTCGCCGAGGATCGGTATGTTGCCACTAAAAAGCGAAATTCAAAACGTGTTAGTAGATGTCCAAGGACCGCGGTGAGCAGTTTCTGAAGAGCTCCACGAGAGACGTACGATGTGGGATGCTGATCCTGATGTCGCCGGGGATGTATTCGCCGCATATCGTCGCCCCTTCTGGCCCAGTTCTGCGTGGCCTGCTTGATGGGACGGGAGGGTACATTCTGAGTCCCTCATGTAAAACCTGGTTTGCCACGGCATTCAAATTAGCGAGAGACCAATCTATGGCAAAAGAAGGACATGAAGGTCCAGGGAGCAGACAAACACTGTTGAGGTATGGTAAATGAGCGAGACTCTCAAGGTCCACTGTGCCTGGATGTGGGAAGGCACCGCGGAGTTCAGCCACCATCTTTTGCATCATCCGGGGGTTTTGGACCAGATGGTAGGTAGTCCCAGCGAGGGCCGTGGCGGTGGTCTCGGTACCCGCGATCATGAAAAGAGCTGCGTTGGAGTGATGCTCGCCCGGCCGCAGGCCATCCTCTTCGCCTTCATACTTCGTAATGTAAGACCACAAGTCTGCGTGTTCGGGCTCTCGCTGAACACGCCTCTCGATGCGATCAGCAGTATACCGCCAGTGCTCCAGGCGCTCTCGTCGCAACGCCTTGCTTTTTGATACAAGATAGTTGACGCCCCATTTGCTCCACTGACCAAGAAATTGGATTCCTCTAATTTATGTTACCCGCCGGGCATTTTTGAAACACCCGCTACCCATGGAGTGTATTTCGAGTTCTCCAGCATGTGAAGGCTCTCGCTGAATGTCAAATCGCCTGGATATTCCATTAGCACGTCGTAGTGTCGGGCATGAATCCTGTCAATATACATGCCCATGATATCAAATGTGGCGCAATTGTACATGGTGGCCATATCGACCGCGGTTGTTCCATCTGCTCGTTCTGCCAGTTTCTGTTTCAAAAGCATAGCCCACCTCTGCAGAAGCGGTTCCTGTTGTTTGAGTGCTCGATCGCTGAACGCATGAGCCAACGCCTTCCGCTGCCTTGCGTGATGAGCGCCATCAGCGGAAAGGACAGAGTGGGTGCCATTCATCGACTTGACGGAAAAGTCGGGATCCCGCGGCAGTGGATTCTTGAAGCCATATATGTCCTTCCATGCGTTGTTTCCCGGGACTGGAATGACTGATAGCTCCCGTGGCCCTATGCGCACAATTGCACCATATCTCTCATGCAATTTTGTCCATACTTGAGCGTCTTGGCCAGCGAAGACCGTGGCGACTCGAGGAATGTAGCTCGCTGCCCAGGACCGGGGGCCGGGAAATCGTGACAGGGGTCCGAAGAAGACATCGTAGGATCGTGGCCTTGCAGCGTCTTACATTAGGGTCGTGGCCTCGCAGCTCTCCATATTGGGCGAACGAATTCGAGGTTCGAGAACATATTGTTGAATTGTTGCTAATGTACATAAAGTGCGTGGAGGATGATTTCGCCATTGCCCGATAGCAGTCTACTATTGCCTTCTTCTCTCGCGGTGTTGATAGCTGCTATTTGACGGCTTCTTTCGAGGTCACATGTAGCTCTAATCATGGAGGCGTCTATCGTATGAGAAGCGCAGTCCTGATCAAGAATGCGGCCAGCCTCCAACCTCATAGGCGAGCGGTTTCCCAGTAACGATGTTGCGGCCGCGGACACTTTAGGCACGACCACAATACCCATGGAATCGTTCTTGAACGGCATTGTAGACCTGAGACCAGACTGAGCACGAGTGGCTATGATGCTGAAGTCGTCAGGGCATCAGACAGCCTCGATGATATCTATAGTCGTGCTTGCGGCTCATCCGTATGGCAGTCGGCGTTAACAGCTGGGAGGTCTGGCATGTGCAGGGTCCAGATCAAGATCTCCGCAGGCTGTTCAATCGCAAAATGCGAAATCTTGCATCAAGTCTGCGGCTGTGACATCGATTCCGCCAGCTCTGCGGTCTTCCATGCCAAAGGTAATGATGATATCATCATCGAGATATCCATGGTCTCCGAGACCCTTCTCCTTCCAATTCATCGCTGTGGTGAAGACCATTTCACTCTGATTCTGTGGTTTTCCGATGTCTCCTGGTCGTTCGGTCCAATGGCCCATCGGTACTCCACGCCCATTATACCAGAAAGGCTTGGATGAGATGCCGTAGATCTCGAAAGGTGCTGTTCGTCGGAAGAGTAATATGAATGGCGAGTACACACCATGGAAGTAAAAAGTCTTCTTCTGGATGATGATCATGTTGAAGGTATTGTCGTCGGTCTTCACGCAGTCTGGATCAGCTCGCTTGCATAGTGTGATGGCCAATGAGTTGGTGGACTGATGAAGCCATTCTAGGCCATTGTCTCTGAGCTTGGGAAGGCGGTCCTTCATGCACTTCGCATCCTTCTCCTCAGCAAGCGGTGCCAAGTCCTTGCCAACGGTGCCATCAGCATTCAGCTTGGCAAACACGCGCTTGGGCACTATATCATTATGAATGTACATTGTATTCTCCGTATCCCAGAAAACAAACCAATTCTTCTCTTGCCTTCCAAACGGTGGAGGTCGTTCGAGCTGGGTTGGCCAGAAGAATGGTTGCTTGCGATTTGTGACAGCAGTCGAGCTGTAGTCGAAAAGCCGCCGAAAGTCGTGAAGCCATTGTCCCAGACAGGTGTCTTTATGTTGGGACACATACATGAGATATGGCTTGGTAGGGCCATGGAAAAGGCGGGCATCATGTGGTCCCATCATGCGATTCATGTAGTCGTAGTCACCGCTACACTTGTCGCTAACAGTCGACGCAATGGGCAGAATCTTGGGTGACTGCGTGCAAGTCATGTTGTCATTCTTGAACTCCAGCTCGCAGACCAACTCCACGTTCCAGATGTCGCTTGCATCTTTTGCCTTGTTCCTTTGCGCAATAGCTATCCATGTGTTCTCCTTTTCTGGGTGAGGAATGATGCTGGGGTTGAAGCCGCCCTCGTCCAAGAAATCAATCCTAAACCACTTCTGGTCACTCGTCATCTTGGACCGTAGAACGTTATGTTCAATCTGCATGTTCTCGTCCGAAGCCTTCTGTTGCTCTGGCGTGAGATTGTCCGCCCAGTCATGGTGCTCCGGCTTCTCTTTATTGCCACCCTCCCCTTCCTGATCGAGGTCGACATCCGTAACTCCAGGAACGAAGCCATTATCGCCTTGGAGAGGTGAATCGGAGGACTGGCTGGGAAATTGCTTGTATCGGTCGGGAACGTGTTCGAGGATGGGTTGGCGCCAGACATATGTTAACGCGACAACGACAGATATGAAGAGCAACGACGCCGCGACCACAACGACGCTCTTCCGACTGGCGGCAGGCATCTCGACGACGATGCGACGTGAATCAGGAGCCCGAAGCTGCACCGTGGTCGTACAAGCAAGGATCGAGCTAGAACGAGCCTCGGCGTTCGGAGAAACATTTTGCCAGCACCGAGTTGGGCTGAGATGAGACTTCACTCCGTCTTCTTCAGCACCGACAACGTTCACCTTCCGCCAATGTCGATCGAAGAGATACCAGCCATATGATGCTTACTCAAACAATGTGGTATGGCCGACAGACTAGTGGCCGACCGCCATCATAGCTTCTGTGTGTAACCGAGCTTCCGCGGATGACACAGCCTACTCCTTCTCCACCGAAGGATGAACCACCCCAACACCTCTAAGCCTCGCAAGACCTGTTCAAAATGCAGTCGTTGCTTATGGTAAGTTGCCCTCGGAAGCCTGAACACAATCAGGCAATCCTTCAGGCGTCACCATAAGCTCTCTTTATTAAAAATCGCTGTCCCGTGAGCGCGACCCTCTTCCATTTTAGTCTGCTAATGAAACACAATGCTCATCTTGACTGCGTTGCTGGCAACATGTCTTTGCGGTGGTACCTCCTTTCCAGCAGGTTCGCCAACTGCTATCCATGAGGAACGTCGTGGACTTTCTGTCGGGCGATATGAGAAGCTCTCGAGAGTACATGGCGATGCCGTAGTCCCGGTGCGAATCGCTCTGGTCCAAAGCAATATTGATCGAGGATATGAGCATCTCATGGAGGTGTAAGTTGAGCAATTCGTTCGACTGCTTCGATCCAGCTAAGACTTTCATGCAGATCTCATCCCTCGTCTGCCTCGTATGGGAAGCATTGGACCGCACAGGAGGTTCGGGATGAATTCGCTCCATCAGACGATACCATAGACTCAATACTGACTTGGCTTGCACAATCCGGTACTCAAGACGTACGAACAAGCCATGACAGACTTTGGATTGCCTTCAACACTTCAGCATCTCATGCGGAAAGTCTTTTCGCCACCGAGCTGCATGAATACCGGGACTGGCGAGAAGGAAGCACACATCTTGGCTGCGACAGATACTCAGTGCCGGCTCATCTCACTCACAGCATCGACTATGTTACACCTGGTGTTAAGCTTAGCTTGCCTCTCTCAAAGGCCGTTTTGAGTGACTACCCAAAGAAACTCCAGAGCCCATCTAAAGCCCCTTTCAAAGCTCAACAGGACGTTGTACGTCGACATGGCCCGCCTGGATACGGTGGCGGCTTGCCTCCAGATCTTGTGAATTGCGGTAGAAACATCACACCTCCATGTCTTCGAGCACTTTACGACGTTCCTTTTCCAAGGAAGCAAATAGACCATGGCATCCTTGGAATTTACGAAACAACCGATACGTACGCCCAAGCGGATCTGGACGCATACTTCGCCAAGTACGCACCTTACGTGCCCCAAGGCACAGCTCCGACATTGGTTTCCATCAACAATGCTACCGCTCCGGTGGCCCCTGGAAGCGGGTACAACGGTGGCGAGTCGGATGTCGATTTCGACATTGCCTACTCGCTTCTTGGTGCTGTTCCGATCACGCTCTACCAAGTCCAAATCCCTAACAGCGCATATGCAAACGGATACGCAGGAAGTCAACTGGCAGATCCAATCCTGGCAGCAGTGGATGGCGCGTATTGTGACGAAGCTGATCTGAGAAAAGACGGCTTTCAATGCGGAGGTACAAATCTCAGCTCTGTCCTCTCGTTCTCATACGCTTTCCCAGAAAGTCTGTCAACCTACAAGGTCCAACAAAGGGCGTGCAACGAATTCATGAAGCTAGCTCTTCAAGGACACACGATTGTCGTGGCATCGGGAGACTTCGGCGTGGCTGGTGATGCTGGTGTCGAATCGCCCACTGACAGTGCCTGCGATTCCAATGGGTGTCTCCCAAGGTCTTCATCAGACCAGCCCACGACAAACAGCCCAATCTTCAACCCGAGCTTCCCGCAATCATGCCCATATGTGCTGTCTGTGGGAGCGACGCAACTCAACAGCGGCGACGCGGTCCAAAGTCCGGAATCCGTCATGTTCCAGCCTCAACTTGGCTCTCAAGCTAGTGAAAACTGTACGAAGAGAACCAACTTCTTCACCAGCGGCGGTGGATTCTCGAACTACTTCGACCAGCCGGCGTACCAGAAAATTGCTGTATCAAACTACTTCAGCGAACATAATATCGGGTATCCTTCGTTCGATCTCAGCAAAAGCCAGCAAGAAAATTTGACTTCTTTCCCTGCCAGCGGAATCTACAATCGTGGTGGGCGAGGCGTAAGTATATCGCAAGAAACTCTCCAGGAGTCATAGCAATTGACGTAACTTCATGCAGTTCCCGGACGTCTCTGCCAACGGCGCCAATTTCAACCTCTTCGTCAATCAGACTGCCACTCAACAGGCTGGAACGTCGCTTGCGGCACCCATCTGGTCTTCCATCTTCGCTCTGATCAACCAAGCTCGAAAAGATGCGGGAAAGAGTGCAGTCGGTTTTGTCAATCCTGTCTTGTACGAGAATCCTGGCGTCTTCCACGATATAACAAAGGGATCGAATCCGGGTGAGTGGAACAGCTGGTTGACATCTATACTTCGACTGACATGATTCAGGATGCAACACAGACGGATTTTCAGCCGTTCAAGGCTGGGATCCTGTGACTGGACTGGGAACTCCAAATTTTCCTGCTCTCGAGAGGTTGTTCTTGAGCTTACCATGACGGGCAGAACTATACAGGTGCGGAAGTACAATTTGCGCAATGCAATAACTGTCAAGCATCTATTCGACCAGATACACCAACTTCTTCCCACTGACCCTGCCCTCCCTCAAACGCTTCAAACCATCTAACACCCCTTTCAACCCACCACTCCCAAAGTCCAGCTGATGAGCATGAATCTCGCCCTGCTGTAGTAGCCGCTCCGCGATCTCAACATGCTCCTTCCCAAATTTGAAAGCCTCCTCGTCCACCGGAATCGGCATCCTGTCCGGACCATACTCATAATACTCACCCATGGTGGTGGTAGCGTCCATGAAGATGACCTCGACATCCTTACGAGGGAACGGGACTGGTAGGAGCTCGACGTATCGACCGCCTTCTGAAGACATGGCTTCGGCGCAGATCTTGGCTGATTGAGGCACGGCGACTGTGTCGAGGACTAGACGAAGCTGGTTCCCGGTGAGTTCGTTTATTGCGGCGGCACAGTCTGGTCGATTGTAGTCCAGGACGTGAGTTGCACCAAGAGCCTTGACACTTTCGATGTTGCGAGGGGAGGCGGTGCTGATGACTGTGTAGCCAGATCTTTTTCATCGCCTTGTCAGCAAGAAGTTCACAGTCCAAGATGAGAATATATTCACTCACCTCACAGCCATCTGAATCGCCATACTGGCCGTCGCAGTGCTCCCGCCATAGACCATCACAAACTGCCCTTTACTCCCAACCTCAACCCTCTCCCTCTCCTCCCTCAACCCCAACTTCAACCAAAGCGCCATATTCGCCGACTGCACGCCCGCCGGCAGCGCAGCAGCCTCCTCAAACCCCATCCCCTGAGGAATCCTATACACAAACTCCGCCTTGCCCAGAATATACTCCGCGAACGCACCGTTCTCCGGGTTAAGGCGGTCGCCGCCGATGGTGTAGCCGAAGACACGATCTCCCTTCTTGAGCGGTCTCTGGACCTCGGGGCCGACTTGTTCGACGATGCCGGAGTAGTCGTGGCCGAGGAGGGTGCCTGGGGCTGGGAAGGAGTCGACTTTCATCCAGTCGATGGGATTCAGCGCCACGGCGGAGGTTTTGATGAGGATGTAGCCTGGGCGGAGCTTGGGGAGAGGTCGGTCGGTGACATAGCTGACTTCGCCGAGTTCTCCTTTGACGATGGCTTTCATTGTGGTGGTAGGTTTGGCTTCTCGATCAAATGGTACCTGTGTGGGTAACGGCGCCTGTGATGCTGATAGGAGAACATTTGTAGTCTTTGCGGCTCAGGTCTCTTATATGATCCAAAAGCCTGCGTCTGCCAGGCCTGAAGGCCGTCCTTTGAGTTCCCTGCAGAGACACGAACCAAGAAGCCGGCTCATGCGAGAGGAAGCCGAGCAGAAAGAACCCGAGGAAGCCGAAAGGGGCGGCCGAAAAGGCTGAGAATGCCGAAGAAGCCGTAAGTGAGACAGTCCGTGTCTTCTGCCATAAGCATAGCTCTGATCGATTTCTTAGGCCATCATGCACTGAAAATGCCGCTGCTGCTTTAATCGATAGGGTGACTAACTAAACTCGATACGTCGATCGACGAAAAGCTTTCGAAGGCTCCATCCAGAACACTATCAAATTGTACAAACCCTCCCAACACCACAGTTGCTTATATCACAGGAATGCATGGCATATCGAACACAAACGCCAAATCAAGCACAGCCTTCAACCTGGGTGACTGCATCTCTTTGTCCTCCCCCGGATCCCCAGCCTTGGCGAGCATGAACAGCCCTCTTGGCGGACTTCGCCCTGGTGGTACAAAGGGGAGCTGAGATACACAAGTTGCCTGAGCGAGTTGACTTGTATATGCTTAGCCCACGATAAGATGGTGCGCAAGTGTCTTGCTTTACGAGGTTAAGATGCCTCAGGCGTGATATCAGGCGATGCGAGAGCAAAGACATGCTACGATGGGACGGGTATAAGAGGATGAAGCGTGCACATCGAGTCTTCGTTAGCCAGCGAATGCTCATCACGCCCGTTGATCGCGAGTAGCCTAAGATGTGTCTCAAAACGCTCGCCCTTGTCACCCTTTACGCCTTCGCAGTCTATGCCGCAACCAACGAACCATGCTACGGACGCAATAGCAGTCCAGGTATGCCTCTTCCTTTCCCCAGAATCAATCCTCTTCCCCGACCAACACTCACCCTCATCAGGCCTCTGCGTCTCCACAACCACCTGCAAAGAAGCCGGCGGAAAATCCCACACAGGCGCCTGCATAGGCAACGCCCGCGGCAGCGGCGCCGACCCCGGCAACATCCAATGCTGCGTCAAGTCCACCTGCACAGACAACGGCGCCTGTCTCTGGGAGAGCCACTGTGGCGGGGAAACAACCTCTAGCCAATGTCCCGGCCCGGGAACCTTCAAATGCTGCTCGAAGCGAAAGGGCGTCTTTGGGACGTACAAGACCCCTTCGGTGCCGACTTCGAACTGCGCCGCTTTGTCTGAGAAGGGAGCTAAGGCTGTGATGAAGGAGTTCCCGGGGCGGACTAGGGTGATGTATTGCTATGCCGGGGATGATCCGAGTAGTGATCATTATACGGGCATGGCGATTGACTTTATGATATCTGACGCGGGAGGCGTGAGTTTTACTTATGTACGCCTGTCCACTCTGTTCTTAGAAGTGAGCCTGGGAAAGCGTCGGGATCTATCTGTTCGATTATGAGCACACACTACCATCGTCTCTTCCGCCCATCATCACTCCATCAAGCCAGAACTCGATAAATCGGATACTCGTCTCCCTCCTCCACAGGCATGATGTTAAAACTGACATAAGAGTCAATGTTCTCCGGCTCCAGCGCCACAAACGCCAAAGCAGCATTCTTCTGCCTTGTGCTGACCCAGAAGCCCCCCGCCGGAAGCTCGATGTACCTGGATGAAGCGCTAGTCGTGATGGTAGTCAAGATGGCACCTTCGTAGTACGAGTCCTCGAAAGCGAGTGAAGTGATGTTAAGAGCCTCTGCGCTGTCGCGGTAGTCGTAAGGCAGACGTTGAACTTCGAGACCAGAGGCTTCGAGACGAGCTGCGACGTCTGCCCAGGCGCGGGGGATGAGGTATGCTTCTGGGCGGGAGCGGGTCAGGTTGGCGGTGGTGGGAGTGGTGCTGTAGAACTCGACGGGGACTTGGACGACGTCGCCGCTTTCGTACTCGACCAGAGTCCAGTCTCGCGTAGTCTTCTCCGTGCCGTCTGTGACGACGATGTCCTCTTTGCCGTTGACGAAGTCTTCTATGCCCTGCTCAACGACACGAAGCACCTCGTCGGCATTGTCGGACGCCGTCTGTACGATCCCCTCAAGCATGTTGAGTCCTGTGGCAGTACGTCTTGCAAATTGTTGATCAGCCAGCCCAATACCTCGCATTTCGCAGAGGAAGACAATCGCCTGGCTGAGTCCCATGCCATTACGTCCAATCTTGGCGTCGCTTCCTGCTTCGTAGTAGGTGATGGTTGAGCCCGACTCAGTGCTGCTCTCTCCAGTCACATAAGGCTCCCACCTGAAGCCTTGCTCCTCCAGATGCGCTGCCACGGCGGGAGCAAAGAGCTCCTCAGACAAGTTTCGAATTGCCGGGTCGATATTCAAATTCTTCGCTGCACTGTACAAAGCATCCGCTCCAGGTAGGTAATCTCCACCATATCTGGACGTGGCACTGTACTCATGCATATCAACGGCAACATGCGGTGCAAACTTATTGAACGATCGCTTGATGTCGCGGGTTTGCTGCCTCGCCAGTTTGATATGGTCGCGGTTCGGATCAAAGTTCGTCGCTAGTGTTCGTTGGAAGTAGGAGACGCCGTCTGGGTTGTAGCGTGGGAGCACAACGATGTCGATATTCTCTAGTAACGAAGCAGCCCAAGTCTGGTTTGCATCCATCTTCCCCAGAAAAGCGAGGATAGCCTGGTCACCAGCAGGTTCGTTGCCGTGTACAGCACCTTGAAGCCAGACCCGCACCTTCTGTCTCGTATCATTCCGGTCCGAACTCCATGGTTGTGAAGAGTACCAAGGTTGCGAGGATGTCCACGGCTGAGACGATGTGGACAAGTATGCGTATCCAAAGCTGCGTCCTTCCTCGGATTGGTACGTCGCTGGGTAGTAAGTGAACCAGAAGTTCTTGTCTGCCAGCGAACGCAGAAAGTACTCCATCAAGGCGTCGCTTGTCGGAGGAGCGGTTCCATTTGAGAACTTTGCCGGTACACTCGAGTTGTCAATGAATGCTGGAGAGAACAGTTGAATACCCGGATCCGGGAATGCAGCCTCGACTTGTGGAGGATCGCGGCGGACAGTGACATGATTTTCGCCATACTGATCCGCCAGCACTCCACCCATGAAACAGGCCGCCAATACTGTCTTCCACGCCATGTCGAGTAGATCCGTACAAGGACGAATCTTTCAGCGCCGCTCGCCGTCTCTTAAAGAAGCGACAGCGGCCATCGCTATCAGCCGACCCATGGCAAGTGCGGTTTTGCTGCAAGCAGTTGTCTTGGACAGTACTTGCCACACAATGTACATCGTCGTATGAGCTAATAGATACTGATCTACTCCCCGCGGCGACGGCCACGCATGAAGTGGAGTGAGGTGCGAGGCGGAGGTAGTGTCTTGGCCCGCCAAGTCAATTGTCTAAACCAAGTCTAGCCGGGCTTTTGAAAGAGGTCCCATCGAATTTAAATCATTCGTTGGCTGACGACATGTGGTCGTTCGTTGTTGTATTGGACGAAGCTCTCTTGAACGTGTTTTTTCCAAGATGGTTCTGAGTCGATGTGCTCTTCATTCCCCGTGTAAGAATCGTCCAGCGTCCAATTCGCCGGCCTCAAACCCATGGCCTTGCCGTCAGCCTTGGCCTTTCTTGTCGACTGCCAGCTTCGGTGCAAGTCCATAATGGCTATCACTTGGCAATCCGCAATGTTCCTGCATAAAATGAGGCACATCCATCGTCACCATGCGACCTCGTGTGACCTTACGGGCAAGTCTCTCCCCTTCGGCCAGGCAACTCGGGCAAGATGAAGTCGACAGAGATCATCCAGAGAGCGCTCTTGCTGGGCAGCTTGGCAGCCACCGGGTCATCCAAGACGATCGAAACGGGCGATATCCTCCAAGGGTATCCGGTCATATCTTCTTTGGATGTTGAAGATGTGCCAGCAAACACCATCTCGCGCTTCTGGCTCTCCCCAGCAGCAGGACAAGGAGGCCTGCCGTACTTCCTTCCCATATTCGTCGCGCGAGGCACACCAGAGTCCGCACAAACCGGACCAAGACTCTCCCTCTCCGCCTCCATCCACGGGGACGAGCTCAACCCCGTAGCCGTCGTCCAGCGCATCTTCTCCCAGCTCAACTCTTCAATCTCCTCAGGCACCTTCAACGGCACCGTCATCGGCCTCCCGACCCTAAACCCCCAGGGAAACTTCCTCAACCAACGCAACTTCTTCACCTCCTCCTCCAACGGCTTCTTCACAGACCTAAACCGCAACTTCCCGGGAGCGAACATCTCCTCCGGCGGCTCCCTGCCAGAAACCTACACAGACGCCGTCTGGACGCACGTCTGGGGCAACACCTCCAACGTCGACGTCGCCGTCGATTTCCACACCCTCTCGACCGGCTCGCTAGGACCGCTCTGGTGCTATGCCGACTATCGCGCTCCCGGCGTGCAGCGGATCGCTGAACTCGCTGCGCCGGATATGATCAAGATCGATCCCGGCGAGCCAGGTTCCATTGAGACAACATTTGTGGAGAATGGCATTCCGGCTATAACGCTTGAGATTGGACCTGCGAATCTGTGGAATCGGACGCTTATCCAGAGGGCTGTGGATTTTTCGTTCCGGTTGATGGGTGAGTATAATATGCTCAACTCCAGCCTTCCAGATGTTGGCTTGGAGAACACGTATATCGCGACAAATTTCTCAAACCCGAGGGCGTCGTATAGCGGGTGGGTGGAGCTGGATATTGGCGTGTTGGAAGATGTCGAGGAGGGCCAGGTCATTGGCAGGGTTGTCAGCTCCTGGGGCGATAAGTTGGAAGATATCATCTCAGAGGTGACGGGGCGTGTCTTGACGGTCTTGGTGGATCCTGCCGTTGAGATTGGCGCGAGTGTGGCGAGCATAGGGTATACTGCCACTGCTGAGGAGAGTTAGATAAAAAGCACGTGTATAGAGAAAAAGGGTGGAGGGGGGTAGAAATGGTTAATCGCTTGATTCATTTTATACAGTATCGCTTTCCTGGGATATCATGTTGCTGGTATCAAAATGCATGTCTTTTACTTGAATAGCCTCTTGCCACCCATTCGAGGAGCGGAAACCTCAGGTCTCTCCAGACTTATGCCCGTGAAGCCGACCGTTCCACCATTCCTCGACTTCTTGTACCGCCGTAAAGCTTCTCTGAGGTGGTCTGGAAGTAATGGGCCGCGATCGCACTCGTCGAGATACTTTGACAGACCCCACGCGCTGGGCTGTAAATGCTCGGCTCCCTCCAAGTCATCGTCTTCCTTCTTGGACTCGCCATTCGTCTGTGACTTTTCGGGCTTGCCATTCGGCTTTCCATTTGGGGTGCTGTTTGGCTTCTCGTTCGGACTGCTATTCGGCTGCGTGTCGCCTGGGACGTTGTTATCTTCGTCAGGGTCGTAATCACCATCTGGCATCCCGTCACTCTTGCTCCGATCCTTGTCTGGAGTCTTGGCTTCGCCGTTTGGAGTCTTGTTGCTAGACTCTCCATTAACCTTGGGCGACTTCTCCGAATCTGGCTTCTCTACATCTTCTTCCTCGTCATCCTCGTCATCCTCGTCTTCTTCTTCTTCCTCATCCAGATGCTCAGGCTGCATCATTTTCAATCTCTTGTACGCCCTATTCTCCTCTCCGTCTGGTCGCTTTTCACTGACCGCCATCCACTCCGACTGCACTTCCCTCGCGCTCTCGATCAGCATACCCGCGAACATCTTCGTATACGCTCCCACCACCGTGACGACATTCTGCGGCACACTCTGGCTAAGAGTCGCGTTAACCAACCTTCGAACATCTGCAGTCCTCAGCTTGACCTTGTTGAACGAGTCGTAGCGATTCTGATGCGCCGACCCAACAGCCTCACGAAACAGATATCTGTGTCGATTATCCTGCTCCAGATCCAGCTGGTTGAACCCCTCCTTGTCACCACCCGTAGCAGCATCCTCATCCTCGTCTTCCTCGTCTTCCTCCTCGGCAGCCTCAGCACCATCACCCGTCACCACAGACGGCGCACCCTTACTCCCACCCCGTCGACTTCCCCTCCCATCCTCCCCATTCACCAAACTGACACTCCCAGTCCTCAAACCCCCAAGCGCACCCTTCTCCTTCGCGGGCCTGCCTCGGGGCCGCTTTTCCCCGCGCTTACGCTTCTTGGTCGCAGTCGCGAAGTTCTCATCCGCCGCGGGCCCGCTGATGGCGCTCCGGATCTCGGTGTCGCTGAAGTCATCGAGTGATCCGTCCTCGCCCGGCGAGAATACGGACTGAGCCTCGAGGCTATCCGGTGGCGGGAAGGAGGTTTGTCGGAGCGGATGCGCTGAGGGTGTTGACGCCAGAGATGGTTTCCGCGATTTGGAGGGAAGGACGAGACCGAGGGGCGGTCGTTGACGCGGTAAGGCGAGGTTTGATGAGGGCGGCGACCCTGCCGGAGGTGACGCCATGGTTGGTATGTTGGAGGGAGTGTGTGGTCAGAAGACGGATGTCTTGATGTTGGACGTGTCACAGGCGTGGTCTGCATAGGGCAGGTATAGCGAGGCGCTAAGGGAAAGTGTGGAGAGGCCGACGATCCGGCCTGCCGGCGCAGGGATCTCAATCAGCATGAGTGAAGTGAAGCACCTCCAGCCTCACCAAGCGAAACCACTTGCACACCACACCTCACCACGCCGCCATTACGGTCCCTTGAGCTGAGCTCATCGTTACGAATTTGATGACTGATGACCGACGCCATATATGCATATCTGTCTTCTAATCTGAATTACCCCCCCCCCCCCCCCCCCCCCCCCCCAACCAACAACATCCACCACCACCCAACATGTCGACCACACAAACGATACCCACCAAAGAGCGAGGGCCCATGGACAACGAGAAGAAGGAAACCAAAGTCAAAGTCGCCGGCCCAGGCCCCTCATATCTCGACCACCACTTCCGCTCCTCCCTAAACACAGGCCCGAGAAAAACACCCACAATCCCTAATGGCGGCGTATGGTCAGTAGTAACCCCATCACAAGACCACCCCCAACAACCCCCTAACTGCCTCCCAACAGGTCCGTCTACGCCGAAACCGACATCCCAACCCCGCACAACTACCCCTACCAAGCCATCATCCAAATCCACTCCTGGCGCGACTGGAACACCTTCGTCCCAGACGTCCTCGTAACGAAACACCCCAACTCGCACTCGCGCACCATAAAAATGGAACAAGGCACCTTCATGACCTTCACCGTCCAGCTCACCCCGAGCGAGAGGGTCCAAACAAAGACCGTCTGCCAACACCTCGAACCGCTCAAACACCGCGCCGATGGACACAAATCGCACGTCGCGGGACACAACATCACGCGGATACGATGGACATCCGACAACGCCAACCTCCTCACACCCGGCTTCGTCCTCAAACAGGAGTGCGTCAACGAAATCGAGGAGAATGACGACGGGACGTGCAAGTACCGGACGTGGCTGACGTTCGCGGGCATGGCGAGTAAGAATCTGAAGAAGAAGTTTGGTGAGGCGTATCAGCAGAAGATGCAGGATTTCGTGAGGGATTTGCGGGAGAGGTGTGTGCAGTTGTATGAGGAGGATAAGAAGAGGGGGACGGTGGATCTGGGTGCTGGGAAGGCGGGTGCGGGGGGCGAGAGGATGCAGCCTGTTACGGAGATCCACAGTTCGACGACGGCTTGATGTGTTTGACTTGGGTAATGGAGGTTTTATGTTTGTTCTGTCCGTTCCAGCGCGGCGAGTAATTTCGGTTGGCGGTGTACACAATTCATGCACGAACATGTTTATATCATCAGGAGAACACGAATGTACGAGACGAAGTCGAATGTTGAGGCATCACGGGTCCCATTTTTCTGTGCTCGAGACCGCTAATTGGGGTGATCGGTGGTGCATCTTCTCGTAACAACGTCAAAATTGTTCAGCGCGACTATTCCAAGAGGCCGAATGCACAGCTGTGCCTCTCCACTGTCGCATTACCATTACGCCGAACCCGTGTACTCGCTCGGGGTATGCACCACACTATGCTCAACTTCCTGTCATGCGATCAACGCCTGTACCGGTCGGCGTGCCCAGTCTTCATCGGGCATGCTTTAGCTCGCCTAGCCGAGAAAGCACTCCCACAGCGAGCCCATCCTTTGTGGGTAGCCAGGGAGTGCGGAAGTCGGTCTCCTGGACGCATGCTAGACGCTCCTCGAGCTGTTCTAGCCCTTGCGGCTGTGCTTGGAACCCGAGGACCTGTTATCATGTTAGCATCGAGACCCAATTATTCAACGTGGAATCGACTCACATTGATATTCTCCTGGCAACGCCTGCGAGTTGAGTGTCGTTCTCGGCTTCTCTCGAAGCACGCTTGAGAGCCTCGTCTCGCGCATTTTCGGTGCTTCGGCGAACTTCTTCCTGGCTGGGTGGCAGGCGCTCGTTCTGCAAATCCACCTTTCTCGCATCCTCGAACGAAGTGATGGCTTGCTTGATGCCTTCAGCACCAAGCATCAGCGTACCGGCTGGCAGTCTACCACCAGACGCAGTCTTGAGTTCAGTCACACGCTCAGACTCCTCGCGCAGGACTTGGAACACTCTCGAAAGTCGACCAATTGCCAGAATCTTGTTCTTGATCGCACGACGCTTGAACTCGGTGCTGTCAGGATCCATATTGGCCAACGAGTTCGGTCCCCCAGCGAGAGGCGGCGACGATGGTCCTGACGACAGAGGCGTATCTTCTTCGAGCTCTTCTTTGCTGCAAGTGTTGAGGATGGCAATGAGCATGTCCGTGATCTTCTCTCCAACGAAGGGCAAGGACCAGGTGAACACATCCATGAAGTTCGGCAGCCAGTATGGGTGAGGCGTGCAGTTGAACTGACGAATGTTCATAACATTATTCTCGTACTTCAGAACCGCGGCCTTGTTGTTGTAGACGTCAAGATAGTTGGGCGCAGAGAAGATGGTCATCACCGAAGGGAACCCGGTCGTCCTGGTCTTCCTGTACATGCGATACCCTGCATCCTGAGCTTCGTGAGCACGGATGATGGAGAGGAGGTTGTTCTTCTCGAGGAACGCGCATGCAGCTGGGTAGCTGAAGAAGTACGAGCACCCTCGAACGTGGTTGTGTACGAAGTATTCCTGGGTCTTCTCTTGTCCAAACTCTTCCAATGGATCGGCCCACAAGATGTCGCACATGAGGCCATGGGTCGGTGGCTCTCTGAATCTGTCCAACGCCTTGAGGTCTTCCAGGGTATGCAGTTCGGGGCTCAGACCACCATGAATGCAAAGGAATTGCTTGTTCATGATCGCAGCCAAAGGCAGTGCGCAGAACGACTCCATGCAGGCTTCGTACACCTTCTCGCTGTATTTATGCTTGCATTCAAGCTTGAAGGTGAAGTAGTCGGTCAAATGGCGACACTCGTGATTCCCGCGAAGCAGCCAGAGGGTGTTGGGATACCACATCTTGAGCGCCCACAGGTACAGAACGCACTCGATGGAGAAGTATCCACGATCCACGTAGTCGCCCAAGAACAGGTATCGTGTCTCAGCAGGATCGCCGCCAACTTCAAAGAGCTTCATCAAGTCAAAGTATTGGCCGTGAATGTCTCCGCACACGGTAATTGGGGCGTCCATCTCGAGCAGGTTAGGCTCGGCACGAAGCAGTGCTGTTCCCGCATTGAGAATCCATAGTGCTTGCTCTTCAGTGAGGCGGCCTTCTCGGTACAGATGCTGCTTGAGGAACTGGAGGTTGGGCTTGGAGCGATCTTGAGGCGAGAGGATCTGGTCTTCTGCGGGTACATTGAAGGCGGGCGCTTGCACGTCTGTAGAAGTCAGCCATCGTTCCCTCTTAGATGCGATTGAGGCTGGCGCTGCGAAGAGGCCGCACGAGCTGTTCAAATCGCTTGTCGAAGCGCCCGACATCATTTGACGTACCTTTGCAGACTCGCTCTTGCGTGCTCACTTGCGTCCCGTCCTCCATAGTATGCAGTGTGAAGTCAATCTCAGGGATTTGCCTCTTGTTCTGTACCGCGCGGAGCGCATTGTCAATGTACTGATCTTGGGCCGTCTGCCCTTCCATCTTGGCTAGTCTGCCTCGTTCTTTCCCTGTGTGGCTGCCGTGATGTCTGTCCCAGCTAGATGGTCTCGTCAAGAACTACGGGTCCGAGCTGCGGAGGAAGTGAAGACTGGTGTGGCTAATACAGGGCCACGCGACTTGTTTCGCTGTGGCGGTTCGGCAGGCTGAAATGACGGACCGGTGTGAGAGTTGGTCTGCCAAGCTCGTGATCAGTGAGGGCGCTGGTGCGACGAGGCTGATAGTGCGCAGTGAGCTGGACTGGAGAACAATACGGCGGGCGTAGAGGCGTGCGGGCGATCAGCAGGAGAAAGTGAAGTCGAGGTTCGGTGTCGATTTCCCCAATTAGATTTGGGTGACGGTGTGGTGACCGTCGACCCCAAGCTGAGAGGTAAAGCGCCACTCGAGCCTCGCCCCGCCAATGAAAGGTCGATTCTCAGGGTCCACACGCGATTGACACCTGAGGCACACATCCCATTCGGGTCAGCATTGAACCAGCGCCGAACGACGACCTTTCACTTGGTTGCTTGATCATCCACTTCGCTTAAGGCAGATTGCCAGTGTTATGCATGTGACATGGAAGCTGGGTAGCCAGTGGCAAGACGACTTGCCACATTATCTTCTTGCCGCGATCGAGCAGAGGCCAGAGTTATGGCAGTGAACATAAAGTCACGATCGAGACCGCTTCGGTCCAGTCTTTCCCAAGATGGCTCCAACCAGTATGAAGACACTCACTTCATCATATGCGCCAAGATTCCACACGTGATCTTGCCGCTGAGCCATTGAGCGGTACCCATAAAGCCTCAGGCTAACTTTCATGATCACTCCTTTGTGAAACAGCTCCTGTAGGCATTGCCATATGAGTTTGCATTGCGGCACCCTGCTTGTTGACATGTCCGTCAAAATCTCTGGCGGTTGCAAGCATGATAGCCTTCAATGATAAGTAATGTGGAGCAGTATGTTGGCACTATTGTTGGGCGCTTCGCCGGCCAGGCCCTGGGGCGGCAATTGGAACGACTGTGCCAGTTCGCAACTCAAGATGAGAGACATATGTATGTCGCAGTCTGACACCCGCAATGCCACATTCTGAGCAATCCTTCATTACTGAAATCTTCAATCAACACCCCTTCTGAGCCTCATCCAAATCCCGCCAAGAGACCCAATCAACCGACCCAGTCTTCCAACATGTCTTCGTACCAAGCCAGCTTCGACGACGAAACATACCTATTCGACGCTCGGTCACCATGCTCGACAACTGCACCATCATATCAGTGCTCACTGGCGACCTACTTCGAACAGGAAGACCTTAAGGCCAAGAAGCGCAGGCAGACGCTACTAAAACCCATCACATCGAGCCTCGGCGTCGCCAGAACGAAGATCTTCGGTTCCAGCCTTCGAACTCGACACGGTGGAAGACGATACTCGACGATAAACTAGCATCGATGCTGGCCAACTGATGTCGGCCGCTGGCTGTAATTCGTCGTGCCAGTACAAATTCCAAGATCAGACATCGACTTTCGATGGCATGAGTCCTTCAAAGACCAAGACACCGACGACAGAGCATACCATCTGGAGTAAGAGGAGGAACAGGCCGTGTCGCCCGTCTGGACGCGAACAATCACAAACGCACCGTGCTGTCGCAAAGAACACGGACAAGAGCGAACCAAGCCATGATATCCAAGCGAGGTGATGGAAAGGTGAAGTGCGTTTCGAACGCAGACGGTGCGGAGAATTGGCACGCGAGACAGGCTCAGAAAGGATAACGCGCACGGCTTAAGCGCCAGTTTGGGCCAGGTGTAACGCTGCGTCGAGTCGACTCGTTAACTGGTGTCGCAGATGTGGGCTCGTGTTCGCTGTAGGCTGCACGTATTGCTCGCAGCAAAGTCTGCAAGAAACGTATTCCTCCCGTCACATGGCCATTGTTCTCCACCAAGAGTCCACTCATGGGCGGCGCTTCCACGGGTTGGTCTTGGAAGAGATGGTTTTGACGTGTGTGTTGGAGAGAAGAGGTGGGAAAAGACGTGCGCTGAAACAATCCCCAGCCAAGCTCGATTGCACCAAAGGCGGGAGCTAGCCCCTTACGCCCTCCGGCAGCAAACCTTAAATGCTTGCCGCCGCCTCCTTTTCCGACTTCAGCTGTCGACCGCCGCGACGATTGGACGCTCTTGACCGCACTTCTGACGACGAGCCCAGTGGCTGCAACGCGAAAACCCCTCTCACGCCAATTGATACTCATATCCTCGCCATGGACTCACCGACCTCAAGTACGACGACCGCACGCTTCCACCCCTGGCGACAGCGACCCGTCGTATCATCGCGCGTGCGAAAACCTGGCGCGGGACACTCGCCCGCCTACGGTGCCACCCCGAGTCTTCTCCTTTAATACTTGGCAGCGGGACGGCGATGATCTATCATCCACAGCCTTCAGGGATTCGCTACACCGAACTCTCCCACACACTCCAGCGCCTTTTCTGTAACCACTGTGCGACGCTCAGCCGAGACTTTCCAAGAGATCGCGCGTGTAACGACGACCCATTCCCCTTTCGCCGCACTGATCTGCCGCAGTCACACCCAAGAAGTCAAGGACGCCATGGGTTTCATTCTGCCAGCATGGCGCCTACTGCCTTTTCTGCCACCCTGATCCATGACACCCAGGGGACTGCTATGATGTCGATCGCGCCAAGCGTAAGTCTTAAGAGCATCAAGACTCGCCCTTGTAGCAGTTTTGAAGTTTTGTTTTCATCGTCCCTACGACTCTCTTGTACATACCCGCTTGCAAGCCTCTGAACAGCCGTGCCCGGTGCATCGTGCAATCGTCACTCATTTCTGACTGTCTCTGCGAGACTACCCTGAGCTAGACTCTCCTTTGCTGAACAACAGTGTTCTCGAGCGATTCAGAAGCATCTTCGAACGAACGACTAGGTGAGCAACTCCATTCACTAGAATCGTCGAGGCGTGGCCGGATCTCGGAATAGATCTGTGACATGTCTCAATAAAACACAACACTCGAACGCACGACACTTGCGATTCAAGCTCTATTTGAGACCGGCGAAGACCATCTCGAATCCTCATGCTCACACTCGCCAGATCCTCGAACCAACACTCCTTGAACAAGACGATCGAATAGCCGGACTATCGATTCCACAGCACCTCAACGACGCTCACGACTCGCATCCACTCATTCACATAAACCCGCACGATGTTCACGAAAGCATTCTTCTCAGCGGCAGTTGCCTGTGGCCTGCTCGCTTCGTCTGTCAACGCACATATGATGATCAAGTCTCCCGTTCCCTACGGCAAGGATTCTCTCAACAACAGCCCCCTCGCGGCCGACGGCTCGGACTTCCCCTGCAAGCAGCGATCTGGTGTCTACGATGTGACCCAGATGAACAACATGCCGGTTGGTGTGCCCCAAGAGCTATCCTTCATTGGAGGTGCAACCCACGGCGGCGGTTCTTGCCAGGTCTCTGTCACCATGGACAAAGAGCCAACCAAGCAGAGCAAGTGGAAGGTCGTCCAGTCCATCCTTGGTGGCTGCCCATCCAACGTGACTGGAAATCTCTCTGGTAACCCCGACGGCACCGACGCATCTGTCTTCCAGTTCTCAATCCCCAAAGGCATGCCCAACGGCGAATACAGCCTCGCCTGGACCTGGTTCAACAAGATCGGCAACCGCGAGATGTACATGAACTGCGCGCCGATCAAAGTTACCGGAGGCTCCGACAGCCAAGACGTCTACAACTCCCTGCCCGACATGTTCGTCGCCAACATCGGCAATGGCTGCACTGTCGGCGAGAGTCAAGACTTTGTCTTCCCACAATGCGGCAAGTACGTCGAGACCGCTGAGAAGACCGCTCTCGGCAGCTCCACAAGCGGTACCTGTGCGACTGAAGCCGCTGGCGGCGGTTCTGGCTCTGAGGCATCCCCTACCGCAAGCTCCGGCTCTGACTCAGGCGCTGGCTCTTCAAGTGGCTACGGCTCAAGCAGTGCAGCCGCCGCTCCAACCGGCTACGGTGCTGGCTCTGGCTCTGGCGCCGCACAGACAAGCGCTGCCCAATCCGCTCCAGCATACGCTGCTCCATCCGAAGCAGCCTCTGCACCTGGTGAGTCGGCTCAAAGCACAAAAGCCCAGATCGCAACAATAACAACCATGGCAACAGTGACCGCAAGCGGATACGCACCCGCAGGAGCTGCGGCACCGACCGGCGCTGCGGCGGCTTCTGCGCCATCCTACGGCACCAGTGGCTCCTCGGGCGTCGAATCGTCTGGCTCTGACGCCTCGAACGGTACTTCGTCTTCGGGCAGCTGCGAGGGAGGCGCCGTCTCTTGCGACAGCGACGGCAGCGTCGTCTGCATTGGCAGCAGCCAGTGGGGCATGTGCAATGCTGGCTGCGCGGTGCCGATGGCCCTCGCTACGGGGACTACCTGCTCTGGTGGTGTCATTGCCAAGCGCGAGATGATCAACCATCTTCGTCGTCACATTGCACACGCACACAAGTTCTGAGCTGTCGCAGAAAGCTGGTTCACGGGGGAAAGGGCATAAGTAGGATTGGTGTTTCAGCTTCTTTGGGGAACTGAGTTTTGCAGGAGGTTGAACGTTCATTGATATTCGCAACACCCTTGCATTGAAAGATTTCTGTTGATTGACACGACGCATGAAGGAACGAATGGGAGGGGACTCGCCATGGCAGGCTGGATGGACGGGCAAAAAGATCAGGTTGTATAGCTTTGTCAGGCTCACAGTACGAGTATTCATATGCTCATCAAAACGCACTACCGCCTTGAAATCACCTCAGCCCCATCACCTCCTTCGCCGTCCACCTGGCAGAACTTCCCCTCTCAAAACCGCCACAAACGGCTCCCTCTCAATCCCCGTATGCGTCCTCCCATCACTCCCCGCAAACGTCCCATAGGCCCACGTCCACTCCCTTCCCCTCCCACCCTCCCCAATCTCCCGCAGCACATGACTTCCCGCGAAGAAAGCGATGTTCGACGCCACCGTCGACGGCAGCCTCGGCAGAACCTTCCAGGGCCTGCGAGCGTAGAAGAAGATCGTGGTGATGATGTAGCAGAGGAGGATGGCTTCGACAACGATGAAAGCTGGGGTGGAGAAGACGATACGGGTTTCTGGGGTGATGGTTGATCCCGGGATGATGGATTGGGGTCTTGCGGTGTTTGAGAGGAGGAGGTCGAGGTTGGAGCCGAGGAGGATGGCGAAGAGGGTTGTGTAGAGTGGGGAGAGTCTGTTCATGGCGTGTGAGGCGTCTGGAGGGGGAAGCGAGGGATCTAGGAGGGTCGTGTCGTTTGTGCTCTTTTTGATCAGGTAGTTGATGTAGTCGGATGGGAAGGAGTCGTTGTGCCAGGTAGCGCCGTTGTTGGTCAGGAACTGGTTCGCTTGGGCGATGAGATCCTGAGGTGATGAGCTGAAGTACGTGTCGATATCACCAGAGCTGAGGTTGGCAGATATCGATCGCTGGACTTGGCATCGACTGTCCACGACAATCTCAGCCGGGCCGATGTTCATCTTCGGCTTGCAGAGAATCATGGTCTCATTTCGTGACACGATCTTCATCTTTCGGAGGCCAAGATCAGTCAAGTCGAACCTGTCCCCTACGTATTCCAGATCGGCGCGCATCCATCCAGCGACGTAATGCTGTCTGCAGAACAGGTCGTGCTTCCCGTTACGCTCTTGCAGCATGGTTGCCATCTCGAGAGCAACGTGGCCAGGCTGGTAGTCCGAGAGGTAGCTGAGGCCTGGACGATCGTCTGGCGTAGTGTCCTGGGGCAGAGGCTGTTGGCCAACTCGAAAATCTGTGCAATTTACAATCCCGTCGCCGTTGTTGAGGGGGACCGTCAAGTTTGCTTCTGAAGCATCGTTGGAGAAACGTATACTATATGACTCTTCGTTCAGGGTCTGACAGTCCAGTTCGACACCAAGAGCGGTTGTCTTGAATTGAAACGAAGTATTGACGAGGCTCGATTCGGTATTCAACGGTAGGTATACCGTAGTGCTGTCTGTCCAAGGGGGCAATGGGGTATTGGCAGTGAGATTCGACATATCGCGATAGAACTGGTCTGAAGTAGTGCCGCCTTGGAAAGTGTTGGATGTCTTGCTGTTGAAAGGTAACCCAGTTCCGTTCAACTCCTTGAACTTAGCATCCCGGACCGGAGTGAAGGTTGATGACGTTACAATAGAACGTGTCGCCTCGTTCATCAGACCACCAAGCGCAACAGCGAGTACATTGGCCGCCAGGACCATGAGGCAGACCACCATCAAAACGAAGTGGCGCGCTCTGACGGCTTTCCAGAACAAGAACTGAGGTGGCAAGGAGCTGTAGTCGAGATTAACCGAACGTCGTCCAGGGGCATTGCCTTTTCGAAGCTGCTCGTAGGGCAACAGCAGACAATACATCTTGTTGAGCAGAAGCCAAAAGGGTTCTATCAACGTAGCAAGTGCAATGGGAATGTAGTTCTCGAGAAGCTGCCTCACAAACGTCGAGTTTGACGGCAGCGCCAGCCCTACAAAATCAGTGAGTGATGTGATATGCTGTTGCGAAGCACTGTAACGCACCATTCTGTTGACGTGCTTTGAAATATAGCACTGTAAAGGTGATTATCGCAGCGATTTGAAGCGACAGGAAAACAGCACCAATGCCGAGCTTCATCTCAATGGGTCTTACTCCAGGTCCCTTTGAAGTCGGTTCGTTGTCATCCTCGCTCGATTGTGAGAGTGTAGTGCCAGTCAAGGGCATTGCTTCTAGTCCGACTTCGTCCTCGCTGTTTCGAATGCGCAGCAAAGGTCCTTCGCGACATTCATCGTTGTATTCTAAGTACAGATGCGTGTCCTGCAGCGCCTTGTCAATCTTAGTGGAGTCGGCGTCGTCAAGATGAGAGAAAGTCTTGATCAGCGCTGGATCATGGGCACTGAAATCCATCAAGCTTCGAAGGGTAGCAACATCGCCTGTCAGCTTATTCGGGCGCCGCGTTATCGTGGCAAATATGCCAATTGCCAATACGGCAATGAGAGCCAGAATGGCAGTAGCAGCGTAAGCAAATCCAGGTATGACAACCACAGCCTGGGTAACGTACGATCGGCGAGCGAATTGATCACTCGAAGTATCCAGATCTGAGCCGAGAATCTCAGTCAAGTGACGTGCGAACAGCAGCCGATATGCAGCCTGGTACGATAGGCGGAGGGTTTCGTGGTCCAGGTACGACTCAAGCGGGAGTTGAGTAGTGGCAATAGCAAACGGTGCCATCTTCGAGATGTAAGCAAGATTCAGGGGTATGTTCACCAGGTATGCTTTCTGGTCGGGGAAGTTGCTCGTGGGGAAGTCGATGCGAGCATCGCCGCCAGTTCCGGCACTCATTTGCCATTCGAAGGCTGTGGTGTTCACCATGTTCAGGGGAAGGGTTTCCCTCTCGCCGAGTGCACCGACTCCGAGGACAGCCTTGGAAGGGAGGCTAATTGACGCATTGTGCGCTTTCTGCTTGTAATATGTCGGTTCGCAGAACAGTGATGTCTCTTGGATCTGCTTCAGGTCATCGAAAGTGCCGTTGAATATTGCTGCTGGGCTGCTTTTCGTCAACCTCACGAAGAACGAGTGCTCAAACAACTCGTTGCAGTAATTTGACAGATAGTAGTCTGCCTTTCCATCTTGGTTCGAGTAACCCACATACATGGTGTCGAAGGGCTTCGACGTATCATTGCCTCCCATTGGTCGATAAGTCGGTCCGTAGAAACTGCAGCCACGAGAGGTGTTGTACCAGACGATGCCTGCTTGTTTCTCCCAGCGCACAGGCTCTTCGCAAGATATGTCAAGGCTGTAAAGATATGTCTCACCAGTTAAGATGGCATTGCGGCCATCTATCCTCTCTTCATCGCTAGAAGAACCGAACTCAGCAAGCACAAAGTCCCTCGTCATGAACGGTGGTAATGTCTCATTGAGCCAGGCAATGTTCGAGACGAACTGGGCGTACTCTCCAAAGAGATCGGGCTGCTGATCGACCGGAGTATACGAAGAAGAGTACCCGCTTGAAATGTCTTCGACAGCGGTCACCGTGCGAACAGCAAATATTCCAGCCTGTAAAGGTGTGATACCCCAGAGAACCAGCATCATGATTGTTGACGCCGACAAAACGTGCCAATGTCGATTTTTGAAGGCGATGAATGGCACGTTGACCAGGAATTCCAAAGGGTAGTTCAACAAGACTGAAAGTCTTCCCGTTGCTCCCCCCTCCCTCGAAACCTGAAACCAAGGCTCCAACCGCTTCACATCCAAATCGACCCACGTCCACAGAAACCCATACACCACCGAAACAATCGTCGGCAGATACAAATAACAAAAAGCCCTCCTTAGCGGAAGCTCATTGATATCCTCCGCGAAGATGATGCCTTGGTCTCGACGGCTGACGTATAAGAGGTATTGGACGATGACGATGAGGACGAGCGTGGTCAGGATGAGGGCGAGGAGGTAGGGTTTGCGGAGGGTGAGGGGGAGCCATGGTCTCTTTGATTGTGGTGGTTTCTTCTTGTCGGTGGTGGGCGGTGTGTTGATTATGGTTGTGGTGATGAAGGGTTTCCAGTGTGGTTTGATGGATCCATGAGACATGTGTGTATTGATCGAAGTTCGATGAGATTGTGATGAGGCCGCTCAGCAAAGAAGATCTGTATTGTCTTTTTTGAAGGACCATCGTAGGAAGCCGAGCATATACTTCTCGTTTCCGTCAAGGCCAATGTCAGTAAGAGGCACAGCAAAAAGATCCACAATACGTTTTTAGAAACTTAACCGCCGGAGAGAGCGTAGCGATATGCAGCCTCGAGAATCGATAGCCAGGGTCTTTCTGGGAGAGACATTGCTGCACCTTGGACTGCAGAACAGAGTACAATAGATATCATCACGTTTCATCTCATCCTCTTTTCAAGACCATCTTCGTGCTGTTCGAGAGAAGTGAAGAGTAGTCATCTTTGAATGCTGCTGATCGGGCCAAAAGCCTCCGTGAAGGGCCAGCCATGGCACTCTTGGTACGAGAGTTGCAGATAGAGCCATCGTGTCGAGAAGCGCCATACCGATAATGGGCGCGTATCTGTTGACCCAAGATATTCGAAGAAAGCAAGTCCGCGTTTCACGAGCCGCCGTCTCCTCAAGGCGATGTGCACGGGCCGCCACGACCAGGCCTGCTCTTGACCACACCTCTCTCCAGGTGAACGCAATCCAAAAGACTAACCGTGCGAGAATATCAAGGATGTAGGAAAATGCTCATTCATAACTTCATACAGCCGTAAAAATCTCCACTCTATATCCAAACGTCAAAAGATCAAGCCCACGAGAAGTGCTCCATATGCAGATAGATCTCCTTCGAGCCACCCTCCTTGACAATGTGCAACTGTCTCTTCGCAACTGCGTTCGCGACATCATTCTGCATGCTCAGCGGGCCACACGTGAAAACACCCAGCGTCCTCTCATTCGCCTGGACCTCGTTCTCCTTGGCGATGATCAAAGGCAAGTTGGGGCGATTGACTTCATGCTGGATGCACTTTGGTCGACCAGCGGGTTTGGGGCTTCCTTCAGAGTCGGATTTGGAAGTTTCAGACACTTCAGGCGCGGAGATCTCGGGTCCCTTTTCGGGATCGTTGAGTTTTTGGAGGAATTGGCCTGTGAGTTTGGGTGCTTCTGCGTTTTGAGACGAGCCGGTGTAGTACATCTCGACGCTGAGGTTGGCACCGGCGAGGGTATCGACAGGGCAGGCGGCGAGTTCCTGGGCGACGGCCTTTTCGAACCAGGTTTGTGTCGCCAGGTCTCGCGTGGCCAGGATGACTCGCAGCGACAGATTGCTTTGCTTCTCGACCGTCTGCGTCTGCAACCGTCGAAGGAAGGCGGCAATGAGAGGCAGGATCCAGCCAGCGCCTGATCCACCAGCAATGACCACGCTGCGATCACACGCTGCCAACTTCTGCATGTCGATGCCGCCGTACGGGCCATCTAGAATGACACGCATCTGGCTCTCTGGGTGCGCCTCGACGTATCTTGCCAACTTGGCTGTGAATCCTCCCTGTGGTCGAATGTAGAAGACCAATTCCGACTCCGCTCCAGATGTTCGGCTCGGGAGCGAGCATGCCGTGAAGGGATGAATCGTGAATGCGTGCAGACCGAGGGACATGAATCGGACGAAGAAGTGTTGTCCTGCCTTCCATCTTGCTTGAGTCGGCACGCTGACTCGGATGAAGCCGTTGGCGGCAATGCTGAGGGTAGCGCGGTGGTTGACGCCGTATTGGAGGTAGATGCGGAGTTGACGGTGCAGCCACGAGGCGGCGAAGAGGACGACGGTGACCACGAAGTATTGTCTGTGATTTGTCAGTGCGACGTACCGTTGGTCATGTACTCATCAACACTTACGCAGATGTCAACGTCCAGTCGCAATGAAAGAAGAAGAACAAGCAAAAGATAAGAGCGGCCAGGAAATGCGAGAACTTGAACCACTCGTAGCAGAAGTTCCTAACGTCATGTCAGCCAACACCCACAACCACCATCGAACTTCACACTCACCTCAACGGCCCAAACGAAGCAAACGTCAACCAAGCCTGCGCCAGCAGCGCAACAACCCCGGTCCAGTAAAAGATCGAAGTATCCCACTGCTCCACCATATCGCCAATGCGAATATGATACACGATAAACGGGAACGTATGGATCAGCGCCAGCACAAACATAGCATACGAGATCCAGCGGTGGAAGACCTGAAGTTTCTCATGCGACACGCCGGTGACCATCGAGATGAGGTTGCTCTTGCCGGCGGTCATGATGACGAAGGGCAAGCAGCCTGTCGCCAGCCAGCCAGAGCGGGTCGCGATGGGCATGGAGCTGCCGTAGCTGGGTTCGCTGCCGTTGTAGTTGGGCCAGTAGTAAGGCTTGGGTCCGAGAGTCATGGAGAGGAAGTAGATCAAGCCTGCGCCGCCGAGGAGGAGGATACCGAGGGGTGCGGAGTTCCAGTTCAGGGCGTTGATGCGCCAGCTTCGGTAGGATAGCCATCGTAGGCGCGCCATTACTCTCCGGACGGGTCTTGATCGCATTGTGCTCTTTGGGGTGAATTCCGTGAGGATGAAGCCGATGGCGAAGAGGATGATGGCTGTCATGAAGAAAGCCACGGTTGGCAGCGCATATCGGTGGTCTGCTTCGTACCAGAAATGCCTTGTAAATACGTTAGTTCATTCTGCGCAATGCTGCTTATGCCGCTGAATCGCATACCAGTATCCAGTCTGATACTCGCACTGCCACGTCGTGTTGAACTCGCACTCATACTCGCGGGAGCCATCCAGTGTGATAGGACTGTCAAACCACGGCGTGCCGTGCATCATCATCATGTCGTCCATGGCGGGCTAGTAGACGTCGCCGTCGCGATCTCAATCAATCGTATCTCACTGAAGCAAGGGTGTGTCCAGGCTAGCAATTCGTAATAGACGGTCGTCGCGAACTGGACTAGAAAATCGCAGAAACCAGCGAACAAGAATCCGTGGATTACTTCCGGGACACTTGCCACATGGCACAGTAGTATTAGAGTCCTAGTAGGGTAGTAGGGTGCAAAAAATTGGAGATGAGAAGGTTTCAGGCCCAGACCTGAGGACCCCGAGGCAAGGGTCACTCAATTGCCTTTCCGGGAGTGGAAACTTGCTCAGAATCCTCCCTATGGCTGCGCAAGTTAACGGCCTCTTCGCCAATCACGAACAATGATTTTCTCAACAGTCAACGACGTCCACGGCTGACGGCAGAACACCTCGTGCAGCTCTGGGGATCGTGGGAAAGCATGGCCAAGGCGTGCGAGGCTAAATATCGTTCGCTTGGCCTGGCGAGGGTTCGACTTCGACCAGGCTGCGCTACGCGATGACAATGGACGTCTTAGCATTCGTTGTTGGTCTTTTGGGCCTTGTGTCGAGAGTAGCCGCGACTGGACCAGTGCCTGTCACTAGGAGTGGTCTCGCTGGTATTCAGGGCTTTTACTTCTACAACCCATACTGCGGCCATGGGTGCTTTCGATCGTTCTCGCCCTTCGAACTCCAATGCTCGACGACAATCAGCGAGGGAGGCCATACAACCAGTGCCACATCTGCCCACGATCTGGCGGTATGTCGTGCCTCAGACTTCCCATACCTGAGCTCGATAGCCTGGTGCATGCACGAGTTCTGTCCGTCGAGTGTTCGAGCTTCGACGATTGAGGAGTTCTGGGAGACGGAGATCACTGGAGATGTTAGCATTCTTCCGCAGTGGAGCTATGGCGAGGTGCTGGCGAATATCTCCACTCCACCGACGATGGCCGCGAACTCGTCGGACATGATGATGGTCTTGAACATGACCATGCTCACGACGGAAGCCAACTTCCAGGCGACGTGGATCACACTGTATTACTTCTTCCGCGAGACTGCTCAGGAGTCTTACTATGGGTATGCTTGAAGGGATCATCCTGCAATCTTGTGAGCTTTCGCGCTGACGACGTTCTCCAGACTCGCCATCTGCTTGACCTCGTTCGGCCTACCACTCTTGCTCACATGGCTGCAGTACCCTCGCTCGATGTATGGTCTGGTCCAACGGATTAGACCATACATCTGGCCCAGCACAGTCGGAAGCTACCACGACCGACCACTGCCATACCTGATCGGCAACGCCCCGACAGTCGGCCAAGGATTCTACATCGCGGTGGTGACAATCCTGAACATCATCTTCCTCTGCATTGGTTACAAGACCGCGTGGCCGCGACAAGAGAACCAGTGGTATAAGAACCGATATCAAGAGCTCATGGCGTACTGGATGTGGCGCACTGGTGTACTGGCGTTTTGCAACATGCCGGTTTTGTTCCTGTTCTCGAGCAGAAACAACATCCTGTTGTGGTTGACCAACTGGTCGCATTCGACTTACATGGTGCTCCATCGGTGGATTGCCAGATTGTTTCTCTTGCAGACCTTGCTGCACTCCATCCTGGCTCTAGTGCTGTACACCAACACCGGATCTTATTCCACATCCTTGAAGACTGGATGGTGGATATGGGGCTGCGTCGCGACAGTGGCTGCCGTCATCATTGTGCTGACCAGCTTCCTCTTCATTCGCCAACAAGCCTATGAGCTCTTCTTGGTCACTCACGTTATCATGGCTGTCATCGTCGTGGTCGGCTGCTGGTACCATGTCTACATTGGATACGAGAACACTTTTGGGTACGAGACATGGCTGTACGCCACGATTGCCGTCTGGTTCTTCGATCGACTCGTACGTATCGGCCGCATCATTGACACGGGAATACGACATGCAAAGGTTACTGAAGTAGGCTCGACAATCGTTCGCATCGACATACCTCGCATCCGGTGGGCGGAGCCTGGTCGTTGCGTTTATGTGTACTTCCCGTCGCTCAGTCCGTTCAAGCCGTGGGAGAACCACCCGTTCTCAACAATCCCCACAGAATTGCTATCCAGGCACAAGGACAGTGACGGGTCTGCCTCATCATTCAAGGATTTGGAGAAGAGCGACCCGGTGACTGTAGCCCCGGTTTCCTCGGATACAGCAATCGACAGCAAAACTTACACAAATTCTGGCCTGACGTTGTTCGTCCGCAAGAGCACCGGGACCACGAGATATCTGAGAGAAGACAAGAGGATGCCGGTGCTTCTTGAAGGTCCATACCCGACGAACCCGACCAAGGCAGTTCTACGAAGTGACCGTCTACTGCTCATTGGAGGCGGTATTGGCGTCACCGGTCTGATGCCATTCGTGGACCGCCATCCTAACATCAAGCTCATGTATGGCGTGAAGGCTGCTGATCAGTGCTTGGTGGATGCTCTGAGTGGCGTGTTGGAGGATATTCGTGAGAAAGAGATTGTCGTTGGCCAAAGACTTGGACTAGATGCCATGCTAAGAGCAGAGGCAGAGATGGGATGGTCCAAGATTGCAGTGATTGTGTGTGGCCCGGCCAGCATGTGCGATGATGTGAGGTCCATTGTGTCCAAGCTTGGAAGAGAAAAGGCGGGAGAGTGTTCGTTCGAGCTGGAGATAGATGCCTTCTCGCGTTGATAGTCTTGAAATGATGCCACGGCCGATGTTTAGCATGTGAAGGAAGAAGAAGTGAATGACGCGACACGTGAAGAGTGCGGGCGCCGGAGCCAGGTCCGCTGTGATTACGTAGCGGGCCAAAGCTCCAGTCGGCCATCTCATGAAGCCACACACGACCTCTTGACCTCCGCCTCTTCTGATCATTACACCCTCACCGACACCCTCATCCTCGACGATACCTTCCTACTACCACTTCTACCCCATCATCCCTGCCTATCGAGAACATCCACCACAATCATGGTAGGCACCACCGCCTCCCCTCCATAGCTCATCAGCTAACATCCCCCACAGTCGTACTACTACGATGACACCGACCCGATGCAAATGTACCGCAACGCCATGATGAACCGGGGCGGTCGCGCCCGCCGCTTCGACGAGTACTACCGCTGCTACCCCATCGCCATGATGCCAGGCCCGGAGCGCGAAGCCGCCAACCACGGCGGCAAGATCTTCCTGCCGGCGTCCGCCCTCGACAAGCTCACGCAGCTGCACATCACGTACCCGATGCTCTTCGAGCTGATCAACGGCGGCAAGGGCAAGAGCACGCACGCGGGTGTGCTGGAGTTCACGGCGGAGGAGGGACGCTGCTACCTGCCGTACTGGACGATGACGGTGCTGGGGATGGATCCGGGGGATCTGATCGAGATCAAGAGCACGGATTTGCCGCCGGGGAGGTTCATCAAGCTGCAGCCGCAGAATGTCAATTTTCTGGATATTAGCGATCCGAAGGCGGTGCTGGAGACGGCGTTTCGGAATTTCTCGTGTTTGTCGCTGGGGGATGTGTTTACGTTCTCGTACAACGACACGGTGTATGAGATTGCGGTGCTGGAAGTGAAGCCGGATGGGGAGAAGCATGCGATTAGTGTGCAGGAGACGGATCTGGAGGTCGACTTTGCTCCACCGGTGGGGTATCAAGAGCCGCAGAAGACGAGTGGGACGAGCACACCGAGGAGTATTGGGTCGACGATGGCGAGTAAGGGAGGCGTGATGCACACTGAGGGAAGCATGGCACAGGCGATCAACTACTCCTCCATCGCGCCAAACTCATCAGAAGCCGCGAAAGGTGCAGCGAAGGCGTCGTCGAACTTTGGTGGTTCAGGACAGCGTCTGGTTGCGAAGAAGGGCAAGTCAGCCATCGCCACTCCCACATCCACACCCGGCACATCGACTCCGATCCCAGGCTCTGGCAGCTCAGTGAGCATACCAGGCATCGGCAAGACGTCTAAGAAGCGTAACGGACCACAGCCCCTGCGATTACCGCCCGGCAAGCTCTTCTTCGGCTACGAGATCAAGCCGCTGAAGAACAAGGACGAAGAGGCGAAGGAGCAAGAGAAGAAACACTACTTCACGGGCGAGGGACAGACTCTTCGGAAGAAGAAGGATCAGAAGTGAAGGGAAGATGATGAGATTGGAATGGCTGTGACGATACCAACAGCGCGACAGGACTGTACCGGCGCTTGATGACTTTTTCTAGATAGACACCTTGGAGCATAGCGTGGCGTTGGGAGAATAGGAATGAGGAGATCATGAACCACCTCGAAAGGCCCGTAGCCTGAGATTGAAGCGTAAGCTCAATGATAGCAACGCAATCCAAAAAAAGCCACCAAAAAGGCTTCACCATCATCCATCACTGCTTGACCTTCTTCTTCTCCGGTCCCTCATCCTCATCCTCATCCTCATCCTCCCCATCACTAACCTCCGCATAAATCGTCTTCGGCTGCGTCTCCTTCCACGCATTCGTAAACAAAGGATCCTTCTCCGCCTTGTCCGCATACCGCAACAACGCCTCCCTCGGATCCTCATCCCGCAGACTACTCAGCGGGATCTGACTCTTGACATACTCCGCATCGGGGTTGCCCTTCGCGAAAGGCGTCGTCGCGGGCATATGTGGTCTGCGCGGGTCACGACTGCGACCACTCGCCGTGAGGCCTACGGTGGGGTGCCGCGAGGCGAAGGACGCTGTCGCGGGGAGGGAGGAGCCTCCGGGAGTGATGACGGCGTCGCCGGAGATGCCGTGCGAGGTGTCGGTGGTGAGGCTGGGGTCGTCGTCGATGTGGCGGCGTTTCGGGGCGCGGGACATGACGGTTTTGGCGCCGGCTTGTGAGGTGGACGGGTTGTAGAGGAGGTGGGTTTCGGCGTTGGCGGAGCCCGTGAGGATTTGGTTGAGTTTCGGGTGCCAGAGGACGGTGATCAGCGGGGAGGAAGGGGTTACTGGTGTGATGAGGTCGGGCTGGAGGGTGAAGGGGTTGAGGATGTGGAGGTTTCCTTCGGCGGAGCCTGTGAGGATTTGGGAGCTCGTGGGCGAGAAGCGGATGTTGGTTGTCGGGTATTGGGAGGCCGTGGAGGGGTGGGAGATGCTCGTGATGGGGGCTTTGAATTTGCGTGTGTCCCAGAGTTTGATCGTGTCGTCGCCGCCTCGGGTTATGACTGAGCGGCCGTCGGCGCTGATGTCCAGGCCGCTGGTCCAGGTGTCTGGTGTGTGGGCGTTTTTTATTTCGGCGGCTGGTCGTGCGTATGGTCCCTCGCCGCTCCACATTACCAGACTGCCGTCGAGGGCTGTGGAGACGAGGAGGTTGTTTCCTCCTTGCATGGGTGAGCCCCATACGACTGCGGTCATTCTTGACCGGCCTGCTGAACCTGCAGCTCTCGACTTGTGTACGATGACCTCCTTCTGTTGTCTTGGGTTGTTGACGTCCCATATCCGCAGAGTGCTATCCGTACCCGCGGTCACACAGAGATTTCGGTCTGTCGGATGCCATGTGCCTGTGGTGACTTCTGAGATATGTCCCTTCGTATTGTGCATATCCCGCAGATACATATCACCCTTGGCAAACTCAGTCACTATCTCTCCGTCTCTTGATATGATCTTTGCTTGTGGTAGGGCGGTCGCAACCAGCACGTGGCTGGCAGAGAGCGGGTTGAAGAGGACCTGATTAACTGGATGCACTTCCACATTCGCAGAGCTCTTGGAGGCGTTGGGGTCGATGGATTTGAAGGCGCGTATGGTCGTAGGAGTCATAGAGGCAAAGTCGTGGAACTTGAGCGTGCAGTCCATAGAGCCAGTGATCAGTCTTCCACCTGAGGGATCCAGTGTCGCGGCGGTGACAGGTCTATCGTGCGTCTTGATGACCATCTCGTGCGATACCGGGAACTCATCCTCGTCGTCCGAATCATCGTCGTCGTCGTCTGAGCCGGGATCCCTCTCCTGCTTGCTCTGGATTTGCGCCTGGCCTGATTTCTCGTCCTTCGCGGGTCTCTTGCTGAGACCAATCTGCTTCTGCACGTTCGCCTCTCGTGATTGCTTGCCGAACGATGCTGTACCCAGGAACTTTTGAAGCTCATCGTCTTCCTCGACCTCGATTTCGGGGTCGCGGTCGTCCATGGTTGACAGCTGGAATCAGGCGAAGATGCAGGTACGAGAGTCAGAGAGCGAGGAAAGGTCGCACTTACGACTCCAGTCCGTGTGCTCGCCAACACCAAGGCGCGACTGATGACTCTAGTTGTGGTCTTCAGAAAGATGATTGCCGTTTTACTTGTGTAGTGGTTCACTTGGCAAGGTACATGAAGTGAGAAGTGAGAGCTTTATACCCAGAATCAAGAAGTGAGGTCTAAATTTTGTGGCTGGATGTCGCAAATTCTCCAATTCATGGTTCATGGGCTCTTTGGCGACAATTTGGGTATCAGAATAATCTTGAAAGTGCCTAATATCCGGTATTTATACCAGCTTCGTTTCAATGCATCTCGCGTGTGAGATATTGTCGTCGTTGTTCTTTTCGCTGCAACCCCAACAACCCTAACGCTAGTCAGAGAAAGGCCTCGGCTTCTGGCGGCATCTGCTTTGTTAGTCCCACCGGTTCTTTGTCCCGCTTTGCTTGAAGACGCGCCGACTCGCGTTCACATGCGTCGTCCTTTCCCTCACTCACTTCTCGTTCTTGCCACGACATCACGTGTTGCACAGTCCTCCTTGGATATTGGACTGCCAACATGTTCGCTACATTCTTGAACCGCTCGAGAGAAATTCCAATAACAACTATCATCACCACACATTACTCTTGAGCTATGCCTCTCCCATTCGGGGAGATATGCACATTACTTTCGCGTCTCGAGGAAATCGAGACAAGCGACCCTCCAGTCCTCCCGAAAGACAAGTATCCCAGGACCAAGGAGATCATCGAGAGTTGGTTCAAGTCGCACCGACGACCGATCAATGAGCTCGATGCCGAAGGGACGGCGGCCTTGCTTTCGACATTGCTCCCAGAATGGCGGACGGATCGAGTACATGGTATCCAGACCGCGAACCTGTACCGTATTCTGTGCCGAGCCATGGAGCTGGGCATAACTAGGAGACCCATTCTGGAGCAGTACAAGCAACCCGGAAAGGGCGACATTGGATTATGCTTGGAGCGGGTCATGAGACTCGGAGGAGGACCGCCAGCCAAACCCGTTGTCATGGTCGAGGAAGTTGACGACATGCTGCAGATGCTTGCGGGAGGTAGTCGACACTCAGGCCCTTCAATACCTCGACTTCCACCAAGCTCTTCAGAACAACGGGACAAGACCATCGGTAATATCCTTTTCAGATGTGAACCAAATGAAGGCAAGTGGCTTGCCCGACTCATTCTCAAAGATTTTTCTCCCGTCCGTATTGATGAGAAGCTTATCCTCAAGAACCTCCACTTCCTTTTGGAGGACCTGCTCAATTTTCAGCGAGACTTTCATGCCGCAGCGACCCTTCTCAAGGGGGAATTTCAAGACTACCCCTGTCGACCGGACCCAATGTCCGAAAGGCTTCACAAACGGGGAGTAGCTGCTCGCATGCGGCCGGTCGTTGGTATCAAGGTCGGTCGGCCCAAGTTCGACAAAGCAAGAGATGTCAAGTATGTGCTTTCGACTCTCGCTGGAAAGGAGTGGGCTTTGGAGCGCAAGTACGATGGCGAGTATTGCGAGATCCACGTCGATCTCCAGAAATCAACGGACCCAAAGCAATGCATCACGATCTTCGCGAAGAGCGGCAAAGACTCGACTCAAGACAAGAAAGGCCTCCACGACACGCTGGTCAAGAGCCTGCGTTTGGGCCAGCCGGACTGTCGCTTCGAACGTCAAGCAATCCTTCTCGGCGAGATGGTCGTATACTCCGACGAAGATCGAGAAATAATGCCGTTTGAGAAGATCCGAAAGCATGTTACTCGATCTGGTGTATCCATTGGCACCGATGCCGACTCGCAACCTCATGACCATGAACATCTTGCGATCGTCTTCTTCGACTTGCTTCTCTTGGACGATGAAGTAGTCATGAACAGGCCTGTGAACGAGCGCCGCAATTGGCTGCGTGAAACGTATCTCAAGATACCTGGACGTGCCATTGGCGCGGAATGGAGGACTGTCGATTTCTCCGATATCGAAAGCGGCGAAGAGAAGTTGCTTCAGCAGTTTGCTGCCGCCATCGCTCGTCGGACAGAAGGCCTGGTGCTGAAGCCTTTGAATGTGCCCTACTTCTCCTTGGAAGGTGACGCTCCTGACAAGCGGTATATCAAGGTGAAGAAAGACTATCTCAAAGGACTCGGTGATGAAGCAGACTTCGCGGTCATCGGCGCGAGTTACAATGCTCAGCAGGCAGCAACCAGCGGCCTCAAGGCACATGCGGTGAAATGGACAACCTTTCATCTTGGCTGCCTAACGAATCAGGAAGATGTGCGCAGAAACAACGCACGACCGGACTTTCAGTACGTTGGGTCAATCGACCAGGAGAAATGCATACCAAGACCTATTCTTGAAGCTGCCAACAACGAAGCCACGTTCCGAGCGAAGCCTTACGACCCTTCGAAGCAGCCGGAATCGTTCGATATTCGAACATTCCAAGTTGTCAAGATGGACCATGTATTCAACGAACCACTCGTGTTCGAAGTCCTGGGATCCGGTTTCGAGAAGCCATCGAATCGGAACTTCTTTATGCTGCGCCATCCTAGAGTCAAGAAGATGCACGAAGACCGCAGCTGGATTGATTGCATCACCTTTGAGCAGCTACAAGAACAGGGCGAGGTTAGCAGAGCAGCTCCTGAAGACTCAGAATTTCAAGAGACTCGTAGATGGATCAAGAGGCTGGAAGAACTGCTACCTAAGCATAGGAGAAAGGTGGAAAGGGAAAAGACTGCGTCGCCGAAATCAAGGAAGACCATTACTCCTCCTACGACCGGCCCAAGGCGACCCCGACAGCTGCAAAGTCCAATGGAACCGCAACTCAAGCGAATGGTCAATGAATTACCAACGCCATTGCCGTCATTTGGAGTGGAGAGGCTACCAAGCTCGCCATCACAAAGACCACCGCTGTTCCAGCGCCAAAGCTCCAAAAGACAGCGCGAGGATACTTCGAGACATCTACCTCTTCCCAAGAAAGCTCGGATTGAGTCAAATGAGAAGACCCCCGACAGCAGCCGGTCTTCAGTCATCTCGACCCCACTGGCGGAGCTGTCTACTAACATTGACCCTCCATCAGCCCGAGAAGCGTCCCGACAGACCCAGCGTTCACGAGCACTCTCAGAGCTGACACGAAAAGTAGCAGCATTCATCGGCCCCAGCCGGACTCCCTCAACACCCTCAAACAACGCCTCTCCCACCCCACCCTGCTCAGGCTCAAAATGTCCCTTCGCTAGCGCTACGGTCTACCTGACTCCCTGCATCTCCAAGACCCTCTACATTACGGAGGACCTCCTCAGCATGCACAACATCCACGTGGTTACCTCTCTATCCCATTGGGACCGCGCCAGCTTCGCGCACTCTCCACTCCCCGCCACCGTCTCCGAATCCCAATCCCACCCGGGCATGCGCAAAATCGTCCTCGTGGAACGCAAACGCCGAGCGGCGGTTCGAGATGTCGTGAAGAGGATCCAGGGGTTGACCGGAGGAGCGTTCAGGGAGAGGGTGGAAGTCTGGGATTGGAGAGTTTTGGAAGAATGCAAGAAACACGACAGAGGCACTGATAAAGTCAATAGACATTTCCTTGGGGCGACGGTTTGGGATTCTAGAAGGGAGAGGCCGATGTTTGTTAAGGAGTGCGATTGGCTTTGAATGATTTTGTGATACCCCTGCTTTCTGCATTGTCTTTTTGGGCTTGAGAAGTGCGTTCGGGGAAGAGGTTTGGGCTGTTGTTGATTCTGGTCATGAGATAGCGGCTTGAATGACAACCAGGAGATTTTTACATCTAGCCCCCTTCCACGACGGCTTGGGCGCAAGGTGACGAGGCCGTTACCCTCCATGAAGATTCCGCATGACGACAACCCCATCACTCATCCGTCAATCCATCAACCCCGACCTCCCTCGCAAGATCCGCATCAACAACAAACAACATCTTCCCTCTAACATCCGTCCCCTCCACCAAAAGCTCATGAGCCCTCACCGCATCCCTCAAAGGCAACAAACGACCAACAACAGGCTTCAGCTCCCCGTCCGAACTTTCTTCAAAATCTCATAAAAGTCTTGTCGCCAGACGTCGTTTGTCTCTTGATAGTACGCCCTCTCCACGCCCCAGTAAGTCATCCTCGGCCCCAACCGCTGAGCAAGAATTTCATCCGCTGATGCTGTAGTAGTCATCCCACTTCCGTCGCTAGCAATATCGCCCATGATCCCGATGGCTACGAGACGGCCTGTTCCGTCTTTGGTCGACTTGAGGCTTTGGCAGAGACTTTCCACGCTGCCTACGGCGTCGTAGGCGACGTCCACGCCTTGACCATTTGTTAGAGAACGGACTGCTTGAGAAAAGTTTGGATCTTTCCTGTCGACGGGTCTGACGCCTAGAGATCGCACGTAGTCGAACTTCGACGGGGAGCAGGTGCGGATCATCTCGAGGTCCATGTTGAAGGTTTTGACGAGCTGGGCTATGGCTGTGCCGACGCCCCCTGCCGCGGAGCCGATGAGGATGCTGGATTTTGGGGGGAGGGTTACGCCTGGACGAGCTGTTAGCCATCACCAGCAGAAGAGGGAGAATACTAGGCGAGAGAGTGACGACACATACCACACCTCCTCAACATCCCCCACGCCGTCATATAATTCAACGGCAACGCACAAACACCCAACACATCATCCCCCTTTCCCAACCCCAACAACTCCCCAAACTCCATCTCAAGATGCGTCGCATGCGCCCCGATCATACACATCGCCGCGGCTCGATCCCCCACCGCAAAACCCCCACAATCATCGCCCAAGGCAACGATCTCGCCCACCAGGTCGTAGCCGGGCGTGAAACCTGGCGTGCGGCATCGCTCGTTGGGATAGCCGCCGACTCGTTGGATGTTATCGGGGCCGGCGATTCCGGCGACGAGGATGCGGAGGAGGGCTTTGCGGGGTGGGAGGGTTGTTGGGAGGGGAGAGGTGGTTTGCCACTGGAGGACGCTTGGGGGGCCGAAGCGGGTGATTGTCCAGCGGCCGGGGTGGGTGGGTGTTGGTGCTGTTGTGAGCATGTTCGCAAGAAGTGCTTTCCGGAAGAGCACACTCTGTGAAGGAAGTTGGGAAGGGAAGGGAGGGGGGGGCATGTTTGTCTTGACGTGGCCGTATCTGGGTGGATGCAGCCTTCCCGGCCGAGAGGGAGAATGTCCGCAAATGTCCGTGAATGTCCGCAAGTGTCCGTGAATGTCCGCGTTTTGCGCACTTCGCAGCTTGCAGAGCATGCCACCAACTCGATTTTACCTCTCCTCACACCACTGCTGAATACTTGGTGGCCACTTTCACCACAAGATGCCCCTCTCATGCCGCTATTGTCGCGAACTCAAGCGCCGCTGTGACAGACAGAAGCCCGCTTGCTCGTTATGCGTCAAGGCGGAGCGCGAGTGCGTTTATCCACGGCGGAAACCGAGAGCGGCAGCAGCAGTGTCTGGCCGCGATGAGGCTCCTACGACTCGGCATACTGAAGATACTGCCATGGATTCAGCACTGGGCGCGGATGTTGAGGTTGACAATGGCAACAGATATGTGCCGTTCCTATTTCTGGACTCGGCTCTGGCAAGACAGATACGACCTTGCGCAGCCTCGACTGTCCTGTGGAAGGATGTTGCGCCGCCAGAACTGCAGTATGACTTGCTTCAGATCAAGGCCATTAGTCAAGGATACTTCGAAAGTACCCATCAGTGGTTTCCCGTCGGTGTGTGCCTGAAGCTTTTTCCGTTATCAAACCTCGCTGCTGACATGCATCAACACTCACTCGGAGGCGTACCTTACGCCTACTCACGTCTATGCGGACAGTCGTCAAAGCAGAAGAAGGCGTTCTATTTGCAGCAATGGCGCTGTCTGCCTCGCCATCGCCTTCTCAGCAGCTTTACGAAACTCTCAAGGCCGCCATAGCTACGTGCGAGAGCGCGGGAGATATATCAACAAATTTGCTCGCCGCCCAAGTTCTCAAAGCCTTGCACGAGATCGCTAGTGGGCTCTACCCTGCGGCCTACTATTCAGTAGCGTCCTGCATCCGTTCATGCATGATACTTGGCCTCCACAACAAACGAACAGCAGCAGCCCTAGGCCCCAAAGTCGATGCATGGACTGAGCTCGAGGAGCGGCGACGACTGTGGTGGGCGTCACTAATCTTAGATCGATACGTTCATGCAGGATTCACATATCGCCCCCTTTTCTATCCAGTTCTGGATCGAAGTGAAGTGCTGCCTGCTGATGATACTGCCTGGGATTGTGGATATCTCTCCTGCAACTCTTTGCTCGTGATGAGTTTCGGCAGCACGGGAACGGTAGCGCCATTCGCACGGCTGTGTCAGGCTGCTCACTTACTTGGGAAGTCATGTCAGCATGCCGACGATCATTTCTCTGCAGTTGACTTGGACTATCATTCGCAAGAAGCGTACTCCTTGGGACGTGCTGCCTCGTCGTTTCTGACAGTTGTCGAGCAGGAGCTTGCCAGCACTGAAGAAGGCTGCAGACATGTCCTTCATGGCGCCTTTGCCCTCTGCTGCAGCGCCTTGCTCTCGCTCTACTACACCCATTGCTGCTTAGACGATGACGCCTTGGCCCTCGCAGATGAAGAGGCAAAGGTCCGGGACCAAGGCATCCGCATTGAGTTGCAGAGGTTCGCCATCGCCGGGCTCGCGAGTATCACCAAGACTGTGCTCGACTTCAGTCAGCAGCTGTACGCCTTGTGCGAAGAGGGCAACGCGCATCAGATCAACCCTCTTACGTTGCATTCGCTGTATCAGGCAGGCAAAACGTGTGTATGGCACGCCAGGGAGACAGGTGAGCCATTTTACCAGGAGGGCCTTCAGCAGATCAGGCGGACTTTGCGGGCTTTGGAACCAACGTGGGCCAGTGCAGGTATAGTACAATAGTACAATGAACCGTGAATAGGCGGACTGTGTGACTCCTTGCTGACTGTATGCTTTCAGGCCAGTATCTGCAACTCCTGGAAATTACCCAGAGAGGCGCCTGTGAGCCGTTCTAGTATGTCCAAGAACGTCCGCATAAGCCCCTTGTCCGCAAAAGTCCGCTTGGGGCATGTGATGCGAACATTCCACTACTCAGCTCAAGAATGGCCCTATTACCTGCGGACGTCCATATATACATAAGACACCTGCCTGTAGTGTGGCTGGCTTGCAGCAACAGCAAGTAGACCAACCTATTCTGCCCACCATGTCTTCCTTCGTCATCACAGGCACCTCCAGGGGCATCGGCTTAGAATTGGTCGCGCAACTCCTACAATATCCGCAAGCAGAGGTCTCGCACATATTCGCCATCACCCGCAGCAACCCGTCGCCTCAACTACAAGACCTCCTGCAGCGCCACCAGGGCCGTCTCTTCAACGTCATCGTTCAAGACCTGACCGACAATGCCCGCGTAGCGTCAGCAGTGTCCGAGATTGAGGCTGCGCTCCTAACTGGTCAAGGCATAGACTACTTGATCGACAACGCTGGCATCATGCCTTGGACTTCGCCCGTTTCCGCCGCGAAAAAAGAGGTGCTGCTTGACTGTTTCAATGTCAATGTCGTTGCGGCGCATACGATCACTTCTGCTCTCATCCCATTGTTGAGTAAAGGGGATAAGAAGACCGTTGTGAACCTGTATGTCAAAGACAATCACCTTCAACCACTCGAAAAAGCAATATCGGTGAAAACCTTGGAGCTGGTCACTGATATGCAGCAGCTCGACAGCGATGGGCTCCATAGCCTACACCCCCTGCTACACCTTCGCCCAAACCCCCGAATACAAAATCTCCAAAGCCGCCATGAACATGCTCACCGCCCAATACGCGCTAGAATTCGCCGATCAAGGCTTCACATTCCTTGCCATCTCTCCTGGCGTAAGCTCCCCCTTCCTCATCATCAAAACCTCCTTGCTAAAGCGTGCATTATTGCAGGGGGTCAAAACCGACCTCGGTGGTCCTTCAGGCGATCTGGAGGTCTCGATAGCTGTTCAAGCGATTCGCGAGATTTTGGTCGATGAGGGGAGGAAGGAGAGGAATGGGAAGTTCTTCAATGTTAGGGTTGAGGGGTGGGAGAGTGCGGAGGGGCCGAATCAGTATGATGGGAGGGAGATTCCTTGGTAAGGTAGGTGGGGGTTTTGTCAGTGATTGTGCGAGGGCTATTGCTAGAAGGAGAGCTGGGGACTGAGTCGGGGTTAGGGGCTTTTCAGGCGGTTGTGGGTGAAGGGTTTAGATTCAACTCTCGCAGCCTGATGGGGATGCGAATGCCAAGCCATGACGCTCTCACATGCAGCCAGCTGTGCCGCACTCCACACACACACTCTCTCATCCGGCTGTCTTCTTCGTACGCAGCAACTTACTCGATGAGCAACACCCTGCCACATTCCCACCACTCTCCGAGCCCGGCCTCTCCATCCAACGATTCTACACCATGGTCGCCACAAGTAGTCCAGCTGAGCTATGGAGCTATATTTTTGAATATCTAGAGAGACCTAGCCTTCGAAGCCTCTCAGTCGTCGACCATGGATTCCGCTCCATCGCTGCACCGCTCATGTTCAGGGCCATAACCATCCACCAGGATCAGGCGCCGCAGTTTCAGCTAATGCTCCAACAGACAGCATACAATAAACACGTCCGGGTCTTGGAAGTCTGCGACCAACTAGAACCAACTCTGGACCAGGAGGACGCTTTTTCCAAACCTGAAAAAGTATTTGCCTACTTGCCGGACTACTGGCCTCCTCAGAAGACGCACGCGCGAGACCCATCTTGGCAACCCGTCGCTGCCTTGCTACGATCTCTTCCAGTGCTGACCGACTTGATCTGGACATGTCCACAGCAGTTTCCGACTTGCCTCTTGAGGAGTTTGCATGATAACGTGCGTTTCGCGGCATGTAGACTACATCTACGAACGTTCCGACTTCGCAGTCTGGCTACCACAGAGACCATCATTGATGCGCATGAGTTGGAGCTTGTACAGTCTCCTAACTTGTACAGCATTTGGGTTTGCTATGATGGAGACGATGTCTCGGGCAGTACAATTCGATTACCAGAAGCTGTATCTTGCGCTATGAACGGCGTAGCTCCTAATTTGCGCGTTGTGCGACTACGACAGGCAATCATCCAGATGCTTCCGGCATTCCCATTGAGCGCGAGCCAAAATCACGAGAATAAGAAGATACGAGGCTTGAATTCTCTTCTCCCACTTCAAGAGCGCCACTGTGGCAGTGTAGAGCAACTTCAGCTTATCGGAGCTGGCCCAGCGCTTCGAGCCGAACAAGTGGTGGGTTGGTCAGAATGTACTGATTTCAACTCTCTTCGAACACTCATACTGGACGCCGATATTCAGGGCGAGGCTCTCTCTTCACTTGCGGGTTACAATTTCCCCAATCTTACCACTTTGGCCCTGTCGCTACAGATCGAGGCTGGTATGATGAGTATCCCCGAAAATCGACCCTACGACTCCATCTCCGGACCGGCTCGAGATTTTCTTTGCAGCCTACCACCACTTAGGAAACTAAGGCTGAAGGGAGAAATTCGACATAGCTCTTTACAGGACGTGCTAGTGTATCATGGCCCAGCACTACGAACCTTGCAGCTTATCCCGAGCGGATACAGCCCACATCGGCTCTCACTTCTACCCAGGGAAGTACGGTGGATAGGAGCCTACTGCCGAGTCCTACAGAATCTCAGTCTCCAAATCCTCCGGTCTCGTGGAGACGCCGACGAAGTGGCCGCATATTCGTCCCTGGGAAGTATCCCATGTCTCCAAACGCTAGATTTAAGACTCGATGCATCAGACTACATCGCCCTACGCAACGAGGAGGGCATCGAAGAACCGGACCCAGACCCCGCTCCTTGGGCCCCAATCCTCGCCCCTGCGAAGCCGCATTTCGACGACTTCGATAGGGAGTTCGGGAGCTTTCGGGACAGCGGCGGGCTGCTGGATCCGCTTAAGGGCCAATTCAGAGACATGTTCGTCAATGCTGCTCTGGATCGGAAGCTCGTACAGTCCATCTTTGTGAAACTTTCTGGAGCGAAACCCGCTCGGAGCATGCCTTTTGATCGAGTGGAAATTCGATCTGTAGGTGGTGGGGATTTTGGGAAAGGACCGACTCCAGCTGCTATCGCTACGGTGATGAGAGAGATTCAACGTAGGTGGCTTTTTCAGACGGAGTGGAGCTCTGACGAACCGGGCAGGGGCTTTCGTGTTACGGAGCTCGAGTATAACGAGACGTTGAATGATACTCACCTTGATCTTGTTGGGAGCGACTTGGGCAACGAGGACGGTTTAGATCCGAGAGCGGCTTTGATTTTCAGAAGGTTGTGGGCGACCGAGGGCGATTGGCGAAGAGATTGGCATAGTTTCCCTCTGGCTTGACGCGAAAAATGCCTTATGGGGACTTCTTTGTCCCTTCTTTCCATTTTGGAGGGGAGGTCTAGCCATGTGGTTTGTCGATGTTGTGGTCGCTGGACAAGGTGTCTTGGAAATCCTTTTTGCCCCGGGGGTTGGAGTTTTGTGCTGTCCGTGATTTTTACAAGGCCAGAGCCTTGCTAATAATGCTAATGCCAACGCCATGCTTGAATTGGCGAGGGACAATGATACAGAGCGCAGTCTGGGACTTTGAACCCTGGGCATAGATGGTGGTAGAATCGGAAGTCATCGTTTGTATTGATGTGAAAGAAGGTACGTGAAGCTACTGAATTGAATATCAAATCCTATCTGTCACAAAAATCTTGACTGAGAATGAGCCAGATACGAATGTCTCATGCCCGGTGCTCAGAGGTAGTGCTAGACGCAGAGCCGTACGCTGAGTCAGAGTCAGGGAGAGGAATCGTAGCTGGGTCTGGACTACCCTCACCAACCTCCTCAACGCTGGCTCGCTGCGGAGTCGTTGATGCATCGTGCTCCTGCTTAATACCAGAGAGAGTGCCAGGTCCAGTAGAAGATCCTGCCACACCCTCCTCCGGGGCTTCCTCGTGCTTCACAGGCACTGAACCCTCCCCAGCCTCCTCCCCCTTTCTCGTCCGCTGAACATTCTTAGACAGGTCATCGAAGAACTTGCCCAGCTCCAGTCGAAATTCCAAGGGGTACGACTCGAAGAGTACTCGCCCCATGTCGTTGATTTTGTCGGTATGGTCACCATCTCCGAGGTCGGCGTCTCTGACCAGCTCATTGAGTTGCATGAGGACCAATTCGGCTTTCTGTGCTATCGCTCTGGTCTCCCGCTGCTCCGTTGTCATGTTTCCCTCTGGATGAGCCTTGGCGAGATCTCCAATGTGGTCCCAGATTGCATTGTAGTCGACGTCTTCGTCATTCTCGATGTCGACGTCCGCGTTGGTTGCCTCGCTGGCCTCGCCACGAGCTGAGTTTGCTGAATGCCGGCGCCGATGTGTCGGCTGTGCTTGAGAAGCACGGCTGCGTGCGTTACGATCTCGATGAACGTTGACCAAGTGAGCGAGGTGTTCGGACGCGAATTCCTCAGAACCTGGCGGCCCATGCTGCGCACACAGGCCAAGCCTCGCAAACTCCTCATCCCTCGGAGCATCAAGCAACATATTCAAAAGAGAAGTCTGCACCTCCACCGTCAAGAACGGCATATGACGACGGCCCTCAATGCTCTCAGGCAATGGGACTCTCCTCACTGGGCCATTGACATTCCGCACATAGTCCTCTCCAATGAGGACAATATCGTGCAACGACCCCAGAACCTCGCCGATGCACTCCTGGATCTGCTGGACCTCGCCGTGGGCGTGGGCGTGGAAGAGCCGTTGTTCGGCGGTGGTGGAAGGGTTCTCGTAGAAACGTCTCTGTTCGGCTTCGAGGAGTCTCTGTCTTGCGATTGCGTGGAGGGTGTTGACGATGTATACGAGCCAGTCGCTTCTCGCTTCGATGCCGTAGAGGGGTTGGCTATGTCTCGTGGGGTTCGACATGTTGAGAGGTGTTTGTTGGGTTCGTCCAAAGTATGGTATGGTCTCGATGGGATTGTGTTGTGTTGCTGTGGTAAGTGTTGAAGAGGAAGACCGTTGAGAGTATGGCTGTTCGTAAGAGGACTGGGGTGCGGTTAAATAGCAGCGACCTGTGTTCTTGTTACAACATTGCCCACGTTGAGTATCAATTAACACAGCATCTGCGGCCATCGTACGTATTCAACATGACCTTGTCGTAGGATATCGAAACTGCACCCCCTTTCTATGTTGACTGAATTAAATTCGCTACTTCGTTTACGTGATTCAATAATGATGAATACATGCTGCTACAGAGAGCTGGCACAGAGAAAATCAACAAGAGCTTGGTAAAACATCAGTCACAACCCCGGAAACGTTTGATCGTGAAATCTACCGCCCAGCACGCCGCTCAGAGTTGGTGGTATTCCGAGAGCCTTGGGTTGACTTGGAATTTCGAGGGGATATCATCGCCGAATCGGGGTTTCCCTGGCGACTATGTTGAGTATCGGCTCTGCGAGAGAGGGAAGTGTGGGATTGACGGGCAGGAGCAGCCATTGCGCCAGATCTCGTCGATGATCCAGCTTCGCTTTCCGTTGGGGCGGGCAATGCCCTTCTGCGATAAGCCTTAGGCACCTTCTCATCTATGCATCTGTGCAAGGCAAAAGCTAAATCCTGCATCATCAGCATTGGCTGTCTCTGTGAACCAATGTTGGCGATCGCATGTTCCTCTGTGCTGTCGTCCCTCCCTTCGTTGTAAGTCATCGTCTGCAACTCATCGAGTCCCGCACGGAGATTGTCCACTAATTGCTCTGCTTTCTGCTTGCATCGCTGTTGAAGTAGAGGCTGGCTGTCGGGGCTAAGTTGGAGCCATTTGCCCACGGTCTGGGTAAGTGAGTCGACTTCTGAGTCCTCCATTTTCCATACACCATGGTCTCCTAAAGCATTCTCGGCGGTTTCCACATCTCGCGACTTGAATTTGAGAACATCTCGAGCAAATAGATCATTCTGTAAGCCGCATACGTACAATTTGTCTCGAGGCCTGTTGAGCCTGTGTACAAGCGAAGGTGCGGCCAGTTCTCGCGAAGCTGGTCCACGAAGGACATGGCTTGAGGGAAGTCCATAATCCTCCCGGTCCAAAGGGCTGATATGGCTACTAGCCATGTCCTTCCAGATGAGGTCCCGGATCTCGGGTGCCAGGACTGGCACATGACAAGAAGCTTCAGCACTAGAGGGTCGTGGAATCATCCTGTGGGCAGGGAAGTGTACTGCGTAGTTGTCGCCCATTTCCATGATATTCTGGTAAGTCGAACTTAAGTCACCCCTGATCTTTTGGATCTCAGAGTTCTCATGGTCGACATGAGCGCGATAGTACGTTTCCTCTACGGCTGTTGTGCTCAGTTCTTTCCTCACTCCCTTCCTGAAGTGTTCGAAATCTGAATCCTCAGCTTCCAGAAGTCTTAATCTGGCTACAACCTCGATGATTTTGATGGAATACTTGAGATATTCAAACCTCGCCGCGAGACCGTAAAGCGGCAGGGAGCGCTTCATTCGCTCGGACATTGTGGATAGCGTTCGTTAAGCTCGTACAGAGGTAGTGAGGTTCTGATTCGATTGTTGAATGCTGATGAGTCGTTTGTGGATTTGCAGTCAAGAATGCAGTAGGTAATAAGAGCACTGAGCCGGTCTTAAATAGGAGAGATCAGTGTCATGCTTACAAGAGGGAACACTGCCATTGTGCGGTCCTGCGTGATGTAGTACGTCCCCGTGCCGTTTGCAAAGCGTCTCAATGAAGTCATGTATGTTGCCAATGGAGGTTCCTCGTGCTATGAGAAAAGTCGTTATGTTCCCACAAATAGATTGTGAGCAGTTCGCGCTGCCTGTTGTTGACGGCTAGCACGCGAGTCCCTTGGGTGTGGTCTCCTCATATGGCAACGGACAAACTCTTCACGGTCGACAGCTGACCGGGAGGCAAGGATTGCGTGTGCCACGGCAGTTCTGAACAGCATGTAGTAGCATAGTGACCTGATCATGCCGGCTCGTGGGGGATTTGTGTTCGTGGGCGATAGCAAACAGACTAAGCTTCGTGAAGAGTGTCTGACCAGCTAGTTTGCTCGATCGATAGCATAGAGCAAAGAGATCCCGATTTTGATTGTGTCCACACATCGGAAAGTGCTCTTGCTCTTGCTTTCCTCCTCAACCCTGAAGTGCTGTGCCAAACATGTCCGAGCTGCGATCAGCGTCCAACTCTTCTTCATCATTCTCCCTGCCCAGCGTCCACTTCACACGAGGCGATGAAGCTCGCCGCACCGAGGTGCCTAGCGGCAGCTCGTCTCCAGCTGATGCCGCCTTTGCAGACGCGGCCCAGCGACAGGGAGAGGTGAAGATCACTCTCCACGTTCTACCTTTCCTCCAAATCGACAGTACAGTTCTCGAAACCGCCGACGACGAATACTACCTCGTGCCCTGCTACGCAAAGAGGGTCATTCTCCGCCGCCGTGGGGAGGAGTTTGCGCTAAGAATGGCGGACGTGCGAGTGGAAGAGGTTGAAATGCGGCTGGGCGTCGGACAAGGAGGCGGGAGGCTGGCGATTGAGTTCCAAGGGAGGAAGCGACAGGAGTCTATCGTGCTCAAGGACCGAATGGCAAGGATCTGGAAGGAGTTGGATAAATGTATGCTTGCAGCTGTCGATGTGCGGAGTGTTGTGCTGGTGATGCGGGAGGATGAGAGTGTGAGGAAGAAGAGCATGATGAGGTCGGCTGTCCGCTCCGTCTTTTCGAAAGCGACGGCGAGATAGCCTCAACTAGCATCGCTTGAACATATTTTCTTCCTCTGAACGCCTCATCACCCGCTTCTTGACCAACTCAGAATGCCCGCGAAAGCTTTGCAAATGCAGGCGATGGCTGTCTGGCTGTCTGGCTGTCAAGGAGAATGAAACGCCTTTGCGCGAGGCAGAGCAGTCCCCAGGCGGGCCAGCAAAGGACCGCGGATACATCGATATCGTCAATTCAAGCCATCTTTCTGGACGCACGAATGGCCGTAGAACGACACACCTTTGCCGAGAACACCTGAGCAGTCTGCGAGCTCTTCGCCCAGCAAGCGATCAGGCGAGGCAACACCAGTCTCTATCGTCCTTGGCTCGCAAGATGAGCGATATGGATCTCCACCCGTGATCAAGGAGCGAGCCACAACCTGGCACTTCAAGGAGCCCGTCGAGCAAGAGTTGTTTCCTAATGGGAATGGGAGCGAGATTCAGTCTTTGGGGGCCGACGGCGAAGACCCCATAAACGATACATGCCAGCTTAAGCATGATTGGAACAGCTCTTCCTCTGAAGTGATGCTGCCGATATGGCCACAAAGATTGCAGACGAGGCCAGGCATTGGATCGCACAGCCAAGACTCATCGCTATGCGCCTTGACAAAACGCACCAGGTCTACGATGAATCGAAATTCCACGGAGTATGCCATAACAGCGAAAGAGCAGTAACCCGACCTAGAGCTGGATGCAAGCTAGGATATAGCAAGGCTACCTCCACCAGATGAGCAATTGCCAGACCATCCGACGTGAGCAAACATGGTCCGAACCACCAGTCCGAGATGTTCCTCCGGCGCTCGGCAGAAATATGATCACGAGGAGACGGATAGCGAAAGACCATCGACCAAAGCCTTTCCATTGAAACCCTCTGATCGGATAATATCAGTTCCAAACGTGCGAGTACTGTCCAAGACAGCCCCAGAGAAGAAGCATCCATTCTATTGCTGGTTCCCGAAGGACCAATGTGCTGAGCACCATAAGAAGAGGTGACGAGACTGGACGCAAAGTCGTTCCGCATCCATGACAATCCATTGTATGCCACGGCAGGTCATCTCGTGGTTGAAAAGAAGCCGATTTCCGGTATAACGCTGGCCAGGTTGTGCGCCCTTGGTGCCGCACAGTAGTCTTCCGCAATGCCTGGTTTGATGTTGCCAATCCGTCCTGCGAGGAGAGCGAGGTGTAAACGCAGCCTGGAGTCCGGTCTGGATGATAACTTCAATGTCTAAGGACGGACACAATCTTCGTTTTCGATGCCCCTGACTTGTCCTGTGGTTCCTAACGATGGGGACAATCATGCTGAAAAGGCCCTCTTCTAGATTGGCAGAGCAAAATGATTCGCTACCTGGCCTTGCGAAGACAGCTTATTGACGATTCGGGAGCATCCCTGTGGTCAGGATATGGAGAAACCTCCCAAGTAATGCTGCCCTTCGAGCGCAGAACTGCACCGTCCGGTCGCGGATGAAACTCCAGGACGCAGGCCTGAGGTTGAAGCAGTCGTTCGTGCTTAGCAACGAGGAGCCATGCTCTGATGAAATGCCTAGGAGACAGCGCTTCCCAGCCGAAGTCTCACTGCCTCTTCCATCGGCGACTACGTCAGAAAGAAGATTCATGTCTCCCTGAGCTCAGTCCGGGTCAAGTTGTCCACTGGGTCCGTCTCATCTTCACAAGCCTCGGGGAGAGGCTCTGGCCTACGCCTCCCGATCCATGAACGAGTTCCGTTGGCCTTTTGGTTCTGCATAGATATCCAATTCTATCTTCTCGTCCATCAAGTATGGGCCCAGGCGCTATCAACGCTTCTATTCTTTCGTTCTCCTAAATTGTACGGCAGGCAGGACACTGAGGACGGAGGGATGCGCAACTGGAGCAGAGACGATAGTTGAATCGTTGACGACTCGATGATCGGGGGCGGGATATGGCGTTCGTATAGGCGATGAGAGTGTCTGTCCAGAGTGCCGGCGAGCGAGGGTATGGGAGCAGTTGGATTCAGTGAGGCCTGTTATCGTCGTTCGAGCGGTGGTGCCAAGACATCTCCGTCCGCTTTCTTTCAGCGAGTCTCTCGAGTCTTGCTCCCCTCGACCACCACCACGAAAGTTAGCAACAGCGTCTCGCTCGTGCCGGCAGCCGTCAGCAGCGTGGACATATACGTATGCGAACGTTCTTCAAGCAACATCAGCTCTTTCTCTTGGTCACTTCGACAACGGTAAGTGAGGCGGACGGCAGGCGCACCTCCTCCGTCTTCAGTCATTTCCACCGCACCTTCTCTTCTGAATCCTCCATCACGACTCACCTAGGCGGCCCATCAGAGCACAGGCTCGCTGCTATTACTCGGTTTGGAAACGCTCACATGTTGTTCACGCCTCAGGTTCGTCCTGCTTCGTGCAGTGTCCGAAGATGCCTACGGTCAAGCCAGCGCCTTCTGACACGTAGCCAGCTACACAACCCGTCAGAGAAGACTGGTCAACAGTCGACCTTAACACAGAAGAAGCAAGCAATGCAGATAGCAGGACGTCCATCAACCAGCGAAGTCAAATTAAAGGGCCTGAAGATCGGCCTCTCCCGTGGCTCGCCAACGGTCCCGTATCAAGTCTAGCGCTAGGACTGCTGGCATTGCACGAAGAGGATATCCAAATGAACGACAGACCATAACCTCATCAGCCTTCTCGAAATCAGATCTCAAAACCCGATGAATCTGAAGAAGACCATCGAGACCATCGCTGTATCGAGCTTCATGTATATTGAAGCTCGCTGGCGGGCTCTATCGAGGCCTGAACTCCAGCGATGAGGCCTACTCGTTTGGGGTTACTCTGGCACTGTCCGAGCCACATAGCCGCCCAAGAGCCCAGCAGTCTTCGAGGCAAGGCAGAAGCCTCGCTGACTGGATGGCTGTGATCAGCTGGTAAGTCTTGCATCCTTATGAGGAACTTCTGACAAGTTTTGGCTTACCGTGAGCAGTCCAAGGCCAGACCTCGAAGCTGCACGGAGACTGCTCCAGGCAGGCACACCGGCTCCAACTCCCCGCCTTACGGTTTGTTCAAGTCCTTTTGCTCTCCAATTATCTTTCTTGTTTGTTTCACTTCTTATGAGAACCTGTCCTCACCTTCTATCTTCACACATATCCCCTTTCGCGGTTACAACCTCAAGGCCGAGGGACAGCCTTGGCACTTTGACATACCCTCAGGCTTGGTGAGCAGTCTCCCGTCTTTGTTTGATGGAAACATTTACAAAGGCAGCTGACGTTCGCAGAGAACCTTACTGTCCACCGAAGACCACTCAACGCCAACGATACTCGCCCCGACTCGATCATCGTCGCCTTCCCCTCCCTACAGTCCAGGCCCGCACGGACCTACGCATATCTCGCCTTCTGATTCGGTTAGCTCCGCCGAACTTTCCTGCCCTCTGGCTGGACGCGCGCTTTCTCCAACCCACAACATCGACCCCAAGTTCGCGCAACTCATCGAAAACAAGACGCGCCGACTCGAAACACCTGCACAACACCCGTAAGAGCTCAGCAAACCACATACACCAGCACTACTATCAATCGGCGAAATGGCAGGCGGAAAGGGTACGAAACGATGCAGCTATGACACAGTGCGCTCGTTTCTAACATCTGTACAGGCAAGACCGGTGGCAAGACCGGAGGAAAGGCGGGCGGCGCAGACTCTGGCAAGACCCAGAAGTCTCACTCGGCTAAGGCTGGTCTTCAGGTATGTTGTGAGCTCTGTTGGACACTCTATCGAGGGAAGCAATCTCGCCGAGGCTGGCGCGTCGCAAAGCACATTCCGTGACTCGGTCGCAAGTTTGCGCTGCAGCATCGTGCCGGATTTGCAGCGTGCTTGCTCAGGCGATGATCCAGCTCACCCTCTTCTTCGCGCGCCTCGAACATTCACATCTGGACAACTTACTAATCTGCGGCTCTAGTTCCCATGCGGCCGTGTCAAGCGTTTCTTGAAGTCCCAGACGCAGAACAAGATGCGCGTCGGAGCGAAGGCTGCCGTCTACGTGACCGCGGTCCTCGAGTACCTCACCGCCGAAGTCCTCGAGCTTGCCGGAAACGCCGCCAAGGATCTCAAGGTCAAGCGTATCACGCCCCGCCATCTTCAGCTCGCCATCCGCGGAGACGAGGAACTCGACACCTTGATCCGAGCCACCATCGCCTTTGGTGGTGTCCTCCCACACATCAACCGTGCTCTCCTCCTCAAGGTTGAGCAAAAGAAGGGAAAGAAGCTCGAGGCATAAGCTTTCCACAGGATTCATCATTTGCAAAGGATACCCCCCCAGGTTGCGGACTGCAGACTGCGACCGATGAGGCACGGATGACAAGGAAGGCTGTGCAAATGAACTTATGGAATGGAGTTACGAGGCGGTTCGTTGTGTGCTTGGGGACTATGGCGTGAATGGGGAATGTGGGCTTTTCTTCTTCGTGTCCTCCCTGTAGTAGTACACAATCAACGAGTTGTTGACAGTTTTCTCTCTACTCTTTCAAACGTGTTTGGGGATGTCTCGCACCCATGTGTATGACAGTGACCATCTGCGAACGAGCCTTGAAGGCAGACAAGCATACAACGATTCACGGAAACCTTTGATTTACATTGCAGTGTTGACGCCTATGACTCGTTGCGGCTCGCCCGTGAGTATGTACCGACGAGCATCCGTTGAATGTAAGTGAAATCTTTTCGGATTCGAAGGCGCGGACCTCGCATGTGTCATCTACATAATACTGCAATATCAGAAGATAACAATCGAGTTCAAAACTATTGCTCAAAGGTGAATACATGTGAACTGAAAGTAAGTTGTTGTTTCTGTCGCCTGAGGCACGCAAGCTGGTCTGTGCGCTTATCGATCCGAAGTGAAGGGCAGCTCGCTCGTGACTGGAGCTGGAGCCTTCAACTAAACACACACACACGACACTTTCTGACAAACCCACCGCCTTCAAATCAAGCGCCTCCCACTATCGCCACTCCAGAACAGCATCCCGACCGAATCTCGTCATCCACATTCATACCGCACATCCAACACCATGGCCGACGTAGAAATGACGGACGCAGCCCCCAAGGCCAAGAAGGTTGGCCCTAGCGGAGGCGATACTGACGGCAAGAAGAAGTTTGAGGTCAAGAAGGTAGGGAAATACATGTACAAGGGATGGAGTTGGAGATGCTGATACTGTGTTATAGTGGAACGCCGTCGCACTGTGGGCGTGGGACATCGTCGTTGACAACTGCGCCATCTGCCGCAACCACATCATGGACCTGTGCATCGACTGCCAGGCCAACCAGGCGTCTGCCACGAGTGAGGAGTGTACGGTGGCGTGGGGGATTTGCAATGTGAGTTGACAGCGAAAGACGTGGAAGATGCAGCTACTGACGAGGATTATTTTGACAGCACGCATTCCACTTCCACTGCATCTCCCGTTGGCTCAAGACTCGTCAAGTATGCCCGCTCGACAACCGCGACTGGGAGTTTCAAAAGTATGGTCGTTGAGAGATGGAGAGGAGGTTTCTGTGTTCGTGGGGCATTCTTTGGCGCAAAGGGGAGTTTGCGAGGGAGCATTTGCATGGCGCTACGAGGGCGCTTGATACGAAGGGCATGAAGGGCATGAATATGAGGAAAGACGCGGCAGCAAGACACAGCGGCGAAGATGCTGCTATGGCATGGCTTATGAGGTGGCTATGCGTGCTTGTTTGCGCACTAGACAGCTGAAAGTATTGATCTTTGTGATCATCTCATCCCGTTTTCCTTCTGTAACTCCAGAACTCCGTGCTTCAAGTCACATATCCCTTGCCCACTCAGCTCACTTTCTTCCCATCAACCTCAATACTAATGCCCTGCAACGCCGAGTTCGTCGTCCTGGCCGGCAAGAACGGCTGCGGATGCTTGTTGAAGAACGGCCACGGCGGCACCACAATCAAGAACGTCAAAGCCGTGCCTCCCAACCCGATGTACAGCGTCTGATAGATGTTCTGCGTGGCAAAGCCGACGAGGAAGGCGATGGCGCCGGCGACGGAGAGGAGGCCGTAGGTGATGTATTCGGCGAGACGTTGGCCTTCGAAGTCCTGTTGTGGATGACAGGTGGTCAGTTTGATGGAGGGGGTATTGAGTGTAGGGGAGCGGGAGGGTTACAATTTCGCCTTCGTAGATGGTGCGGGCTTGTTCGAGGATCGCGTCCATCTCGGATATGTTTGCGGAGGGGTCTTGTCTGTTTGGGAGATGTTGAAGCGTGTCGAGATCGTGGCAGTGGATCTGCACATGCAGCTGCTTGACGAGCCAAGCTTCCGCGCTAGTCCAGGGCGAAACGTCACTCGATGCGAGTGTGATCGTGCCTGGATTACGCAGAAAACAATTATTTTCTATTGTGTCGGAATGACAGGCATCTGGGCGGTTCACGAGCCGTATCTATTTGCAGACATGTGATGTTTGAATCGTAGATTCACCAGTTCGCCCCCCACGATGTAAACCAGTGCTCACTCATTGGCGCGGAGTTCAGCGCCCAACGTCCAGACCTGGCCCGTTCTCACGTGCAGAGAGCGGCTAGCGACGCCAGTCTCTTCGAAAACTCTTGTTCTGCTTTCTTTCTTTCTTCTTCCGCCCCAACGACTCCCTGCTCGTTTCCACACACGCACCACCACCAGGCCCACCTTTCGGCACCCACACCACACTTCAAAAACAACTCCAATCGCTGCAGCAAATGTCGCATTGTTGACTATCCGACCGACTCCTCCATCAACCCGACGACACCCAGCCGAAGCTGGCAGCCACTAGACCTGCGGCATTTTCGGCCTCCCTCCACCACACGCCCGTACAACCCCGTCGCGGCGAGCGCGACTTCGACTCCAACACCACCAAGTTGGCGGGACTTCAAGTGCTCCAGTTCTCCCACGCCCGACCTCTGCTCGGACCGTTCTGGTTCGTCTGCGGAGGCGACATCAAGCAGCCGCCATAACTGGACCGAACCACGACCTCGAGAGATCAGTTGCGACTGGAACTATCCGGCGCAGGCAGGAATAGAATATTCATAACCGATGGGTTAATTTGCGGGCCTCAGGAAAAGGTTGCGAGAGAGTAGAGACGACTCCGCGTGGGAGCGTTTGAGCCAAGCATAGACTTTGGACCGGCGTGCCACGAGTGCCGCTCATCAGTCCACCGGGAAAGAAAAGAATATACGCCACATACAGCGACATTATAGACGAGAACGACCGACGCAATGGCATTCACACCACGATCCGAGCGGTCGCAGACCAGATACTCCACCCCGGAGCCGGACTTGGACGACCATCGCTTCCAAGCAGAGAGCTTGCCACCACTCAACGATGCGCAACTTACTGGACGTCGTGGGACACTGGCCAGTCTTGTTGATGGTGAGCGACCACAGCGACCGACCTTGAATGTGCCACCGACCGACCACCCTGCATCGCACGGTTCACAAGCCCGCGACTTCTATGAGCAAGCGATTGACGATGGAGCGAGCGTCAGGAGCAAGAACTCGGCGCGTTCCACGAGGCTGCGCTCTGCTGATGAGGACTGGCACCGAGTGAGGCGTGAGACTGCCGAGTCGTCGAGCCCTCTTCCTCCACGACGCAGTCAGTTGCGTCGACCAGTGCACCCACGGAAGGAGGGAGATGCAGAGTCAATCCATTCACAACAAAGTTCTGATCGTTCTACTTCTCCACCCAACTCTGTTGACGCTTTTGCGCCTGCGAAGAGAGGACGATCTGGTACCGTCAACAGCAAGGCACCATCTGCGGAGAACTTGTCGCTGCACCGAACCAACTCGAATGGCACCCATCGCACGCACCCTCGACGTCGCCCGACCTTCACCGAAGAGAAGGAGAACGCATCGCTCGTTGCGCCAGCGCCAAACCTTCGATCCGATGGTGCATCTCGACGTAGCTCAGTTCAAGCTGATGTCTGCTTCCCGCCAGAGGAGCCACCGAACACGTACACGATCGATTTTGAGGATCTCGAGGAATTCGTCTCGCAGACTCACACCAAGACACCTGTTGCTCACCCGTTCATGCCGCACTTCACGAAGCAGAATGAGGAACAGAGAGTCTTCCTGGATGCTCGCCACAACAGCCAAACGCAAGGCTACTTTCCCGACATCGAAAAGCACGGCACTCAGACCGACGACGAGAAGACAGGTGCCAGCGAGTCGTCCGACGACCTTCGACGAGTGCCGAGCAACTCCGAGCAAGTTAATCGCTGGACTTTCTTCTCTTCGGAGATTGACGAGACGATCCACGCTCCAGAGCTCGGCGGCCTTCTGATGCCAGGCGAGAGCTTCCGTGATCTTTTCGAGCTTGGTCCAGAGGGTGGTGTATGGTGGCTTGACATGCTCAATCCATCAGAAGAGGAGATTTTCGCCATCTGCTCAGCTTTTCGTGTCCATCCTTTAACGAGGGAGGATATCACCACGCAGGAGACTCGCGAGAAGGTTGAGCTGTTCAAGAGCTACTACTTCCTCTGTTTCCGGGGGTTCTATGCTCTGGACAAGACCAGCGACGACTATCTCGAGCCGATCAACATCTACGCCGTGGTCTTCCGAGAGGGCCTCCTCACATTCTCGTTCTGCCAAAACAACCATGCTGCGACTGTTCGCAAGCGTATTGGACGTCTTCGAGATTATGTCAATCTTTCCGCAGACTGGGTCTGTTACGCCTTGATTGACGAGATCGTCGACTCTTTTGGACCTGTCCTCCGCGAGCTCGAGATTGAAACCGACGCTATCGAGGATTCGGTTTTCACTGCGCGCTTCGAAGATTCGCGACAAATGCTTAAGCAGATTGGCGAATGCCGGAAGAAGATCATGGCTTTGACGAGGCTGATCGGAGGCAAGGCGGACGTCATCAAGTCCTTTGCGAAGAAGTGCAACGAGGCATACTCCATCGCTCCCCGCGGCGATGTTGGTCTTTACCTCAGCGACGTTCAGGATCATATCGTCACCATGATGTCCAATCTGGGCCACTTCGAGAAGATGCTCAGCCGAAGCCATACGAACCACCTGACCCAGATTACGCTTCAACACACCGAGCAAGGTTCGCGAGCTAACGAACTTCTCGGAAAGATCACTGTCCTGGCTACCGTACTTGTTCCAATGAACCTGATCGCCGGTCTCTTCGGTATGAACGTCCGAGTTCCTGGTCAGGATGGCGATAACTTGGGCTGGTGGTTTGGGATTGTAGGGGTGGTGCTCTTTCTGGGCATCACTTGCGTGACGCTTGCGAAGAGGTTCAAGTTCATTTGATTGTTGTTGCATGGCATGGAAGAAGGGAAGAATGAGAGTTGGGGGGTTCATTGTTATTCGTTTTTGGGCATTTTGTTTCGGCTTGTGTTTTTTGATGCATCAGAGATCTGAAGATACGGCAGTGTGGTTTTCACATTAGATGTTTCCGCAGTACATAGATGATGAATGATACGTACAGGATACTTGAATCGCAAATGTATCAAAGAGTTTATGGTATACCTTACCAGGTTTGCTTGACGTCGAATCGCTGGCCCCACACGTTCTTGAAGGATTCGCCTCTGTTCATCGGCTCCATCGGATGATGCGCATTTCATAGCGTCGCCTCGTACAACTCCTTAGCCTTCACTGACCTGTTGGATATTGATGGCATTGATCATTCACTCGTTCTACACATTCATCGACATGGCCCTTGTCTCGTAGCAGCTTCACAACCCAGGCGCAACCCAGCACCCAACCATTGGCGGGGCGGAGATTAGGCGGAGCTAGAACGACCACAGCTCGTTCAGGGAATCAACCATGGCAGCTCCAAACAACACCCCCAAACCTGTCGACACCGACTACGACGAAGAGAACGCCATCCTCGAAAGCCACGGCCATGGCTTCCCCTCGCGCTACCGCGACGACTCGGACGAAGATGGGAGCGACAATGCCGACGCCCCTCTGACGGAATTCGATGGGTTGTCGGGACGAGGAGCAGCGGGAGGAGGGAGAGCGACATGGCAAGAGAGGGTGAGCGAACGGATACCCTCTCGATTGAAAGACGCTTGGAGCAAGACGGTCGAGTGGGTTAAAGGACCCAATCCGCCCCGAATCTACAAAATCACGCCTATATTCCCGAATATCCAGCACGCGCCCATCGCATTGCTGGATCGCTACGCGCCGAAGCGGAGACAGAGATTCTGGCTGCTCATCCTGCTGTATGCGAGCTGGCTCTTCGTCTTCTCGCTCATGCTCTGGAAGAGCTCGTTCGCGGCGCAGATCCCCGGGTATGGCACGCCCGTGCGCCTGAGCTGCAGTGCGCGGTACTGGAACGACGGGAATGGCTGTGGGTTGAACGGGGATCAGTGCCGGCCGTTCACGAATGCGACGTTGGCGTTTCGCTGTCCGGCGGATTGTCATAAGACGCTGCTGCAGAATCCACATGCGGTGGGGGATCAGGAGGTTGTATATAAGCCGCTGGTGGTTGGGGGCCCGATGGAAGAGGACAAGACGGGGTTTGAGGAGGAGTTGGTGGAGAATGCGGTTTATCGTGGGGATAGTTTTGTCTGTGCGAGTGCGGTGCATTCGGGGTTTATTAAGGATGTGGAAGGGGGTTGTGGTGTTTTGAGTCTGACGGGGGAGCAGGCGGATTTGAAGGGGAGTAAGAGGCATGGGATTGAGAGTGTGGGCTTCGACAGCTATTTCCCGCATACGTTTGGGTTTCTGAAGGGGACCAGGGCGCAGTGTCAGGATTTGCGGTGGCCGACGCTGGTCCCTTCGGTGTTCTTCACGGCGTTGCTGAGTCTTTGCACGACAGACCCAGGGGTCCATTTCTGGAGTCTGTTCGTGGCACTGTTCTTCCACGTCGCGCTGGTATCAGATCCCCCAGCGAACACGACCTACTACGGCCTCCTGAGCATCGCCTTCGGCCGCTTCCTCCCTGCGTGCTTCTGCGCGTGGGTCACGTACAAATACACCGTCAAACGCTCCCTCACGAACCTCACCGCGCAAGTCGAGAAAACCATCCTCTGGCTCGGCGCCGCCTGGGTCGGCTCCCTGAACAACTACACCTTCGACCGCATCCCCATCCAACGCCTCACGCCCCACGACATCAAAGCCCAACCCGGCGCCGTCCCCGCCCTCGTGACCATCATCCTCGCCCTGATCTTCATCGCCCTCGGCCAGGCCTGGTCTTTCCGCGTCGAAGGCCGCATGCCGCGCTACCTCGCCATCTACGGCCTCTTCGTCCTCACCCTCCTCATCATGCTCATAATCCCCGGCTTGAACCTCCGCATCCACCATTACATCCTGGGTTTACTCCTCATCCCCGGCACGAGTTTCCAGAACCGCCCCAGTCTAATCTATCAAGGCCTCCTTCTAGGCCTCTTCATCAACGGCGTCGCGCGGTGGGGATTCGCGAGTATCCTCGAGACGCCGGCGAGTTTGCTGAAGGGCGCGCAGCAGAACACCATTTTCCCTGCGGTGGAAGTTTTGAATATCGGCGGAGTGCGAAACATCACGTTTGATATGGGCTCTCTACCGGCCTACGATGCGAAGAACGAGGTTTTGTATGATGGCATCAGCGTCCTCGTCAACGACGTTGAGCGATTCAGGGGGTATGGTGATGATGGGGCTTATTGGGACGACAACGATGGCGAGGGACAGAGGTTTGAGTGGACTTGGAATCGGCATGTTCCGAAGAGAGGGCAGAGTGAAGAAGACGAGAGCGTGGATGTTGGAGAAGGGACGGAGGAAGTTGGTGCAGAGAGGAAGAGAATCCTGCCCGAGTATTTTCGATTCGGATACATGGCGGGGAGTCGAGTGGGGGATTATAGTAAGGCTGGGAGGTGGGATGAGGAGGGACGGTGGAGGGAGATGGAGAGTGGGCCGAGTTTGTAGGGTATTGTATAGATAGATCGATTGGAATTATTTTTGTTCTTGTGGCCCTCTTTTCTGGGGTTCAGGGTTTAGGTGAGTTGTATGCTGTGGTATGGTTTTTGAGGGGGCTTGGAGGGGAGGATGAGTGGCATGGGAGCGTGGCTGACGTTTTTGCAGTTTGTCTGTCTTGTCTTCGGTGGACTCGTGAGATAAGGCTAGCAGGGTAGCTGCAGCGGGCACAGCCATGTGCAAACACACGAGCTCCCTATATTTTGCTGTCATTCCTGACTTCAGCCCTACCGAGAATTGTGCAACCACGCCGACCTCTGCAGATCTGAAGACCGCCGATGGACTGTCGCCAGCTGAATTGCGGATTTTCACTACACTTTGTCCGTCGATTGAAGCCACGAGCCTCGCCAGTAACATCATCGGTATACGGCGATGTACCCCCTTCCGGGGTCCGATTGGATTCGAATTGTCAGGCTCTTACACGCCGACCAGGGCCGCGATGGAGGGTCTCTTTTGTGTGCAATGGAGAACCAGCAGTTGAATAATGGCGACGACGCCTTCATAGCCCTGTCGTACAGCTGGGCTATGGCCAACGGAGACGATTCCAAATCACGATCCGTGGTAGTTGATGGACGGCGGCTCCTTGTGACTCAGAACCTTTTCGAAGCTATGCTTCAGGTACGGCAGTCATATGGTGCGGTTCGCCTTTGGGTCGATGCGATATGCATCAGCCAAGAGGATATCGAAGAGCGGAATGAACAAGTCTCTCGAATGAGCAGTATTTATGCCAGCGCGGCGGAAGTCATCGCTTGGCTTGGGGCGGAGGAAGACTTACAAGCCTTCCGCATCCTAGATTGCCTTGGGTCGAATTCATGCGACCTCAAGACTTCCACCATACATACCTTCAAAGCGTCCGACGGCAAAGTGATCGGTTTGTGCGAGTTTCGACACGAAAAAGAAACGTCGCGCAACGACCTCGATCCTGACGCTTTCCCACTGCGGTCCTACGCCCTTGAGCTTGCTACATGCGTGAACGGTGTCTTGAACCGACGATACTTCAATCGTCGCTGGGTCGTGCAAGAGCTGTTCTATGCGAGACACTTGCGCTTCCTCTAGGGTTCCAGCCAACTCTCTATGGCGTCGCTCATATCCGGCTATCAAGGTCTCCTGCAAACACTATATAATGTGGGATGGCAAAACGCGCATGTCCAAGTGTTCCCTTCCCTTGATATCCTCGAGCTCCGGACGAAAGTCAAGCTGGAAAACCAAAACGTCCCGTTCTACGACGTCGTTGCTCAATCCACCGGCCTGAAATGCTCGGATCCGCGCGACATCGTTTTCGCTCTGACAAGCCTGAGTCCGACTTGCGGCATACAGCCTGACTACAATCTGTCATACACGGACGTACGTATCACGTTTTCGCGTTACGTTGTTCAATCTGGACATTTCGGGATGCTCCTCGACACGATCCAGGACCTCAATCTACACCTCCGCCACGGAGTAGCAACCAACGACGAGGGAGGATCTCGCTCACCCGAACGCACCGACCTGCCTAGCTGGGTGCTGGACGTTCGAAGGGGCCTGAGAAGACATCACAAAGAACCCCTTGTGGCCGTGGTCAACCCGGACAACTCTCTGAGCTGCAACGTTCATCGCATTGGGGTGATATACAAGATCGAGGGAAACTACCTCTGGTTGGGAACTCACCGGGCCTGGAGACCCCGAACATGCATCCGTAACATGAATATAGCCAAGACTTTCTTCCCGTACCCCGTCTTGGGCAGACCAGGCGATGTGCTCTTCGCGTTCGAGCACTCGCAGGCCGAGTGCCGTGATGTTTTATTACTGCGGAGGACGTTTCGACTTGGAAGCTATCGGCTGTTACATTGGAACCGACGCATACGCTTGGAGCTGGATGGGCACAAGATGCTCCTCCCAGACCGGGAATCGACAGCAGTGCGAATTTTCTAACAAATGTACCATTGCGAATGTAGACTGTAAATGCCTAGCTGGTCAGCGTCGCCTCCACCAACAGCTCTGCAGAAGGAGGCGAAGTTGGCGGCGTTGGCTTGCTGTGGCGCTTTCATGCTCGACGCCCGCATACATCCACCCCACCTGACCACCACTCTGTGGTAGAGGCCTCGATTGGTCGCTTGATGTTGTGGCTGCTTGCAGCGCCTCTTTGCTGTGTATTCTCCCTTCAGTATGATATGCTGGGGAGGAAAGCTTTAAGAACTGGATAACGCTTCCTGTGCAACTTCGAATAATTTGGCTTCAAGCGGAACACCAAGCTGTGACAGAACGCTCAGCGACAAAGGGCTACACACGGCAGTGCATCCACTATGGATCAACGGTCAGGATATCAGTACACACCTCTTCCTGGACCTGGCTGGATCCGACTCCTGACTATCTACTCTCGCGAGGTCGTTGACAATCAGGACACCTTTTTTTGCCTTCTCGACGACCATAATCTCGAACACAGCGACCGCGATGGCTATATTGCCTTATCATACAGTTGGGCAATGCCTGATGGAGACAGCTCCAAGAGCCATACAATCTATATCGGCGAGCTCAGAGTGGCAGTCACGCAAAACCTCTTGCTTGGCCTCCGCAGGATCTTCGGACCTGACCGACCGGTTCGCTTATGGATCGACGCCGTCTGCATCAATCAAGCCGACATTCCGGAGCGAAACGAGCAGGTTGCCCAGATGAGTCGGATCTATGCCAGTGCGAAAGGGGTCTTTGCATGGCTTGGAGAAGGAGGTGACGAAGAGGCCATGTGCGTGCTGAGTTGTCTAGGGAAAACCCAGAAGGCGAGGTGTGAGCAACGACATGCGTTCTCAGTCTCGGATGGTGGGATACTGGATCTTTGTGAGCTCCGGCGAAAGGGCACTTGGACAACGGATCTCAAAGGTCGAGGGTTTCTTGACGTTTACAAGATTGAGAACGATAAAAGCCGGAGGACATAGGTCACGGAGATGGCAGAGGCATTCTGTGCACTTCTGAAAACGCGGTACTTCTCTCGACGCTGGATTGTTCAGGAGATTTACCATGCGAGAGGTGTGTGGTTTACTGGGGATCCCAACGATTTTCGATGAGGGCCGTTGCTGCTTGTCTGTAAAGCCTCTTGGATCTAATCAACGAGTGCATGGAACATCCTTCCGACGTTGGGGATTCCCTGAGAATCTTCCAAAGTACGCTGCGCATGCTCGAAATGCGGCAAGACGCCGAGAGAGAAGGCAAAGTTGTGCCTTTCCATGAGATTGTAGCCAACACCTCGCCGCTGGCATGCTCGGATCCACGAGACATTGTTTTCGCCTTGACCAGCTTGTGTCCTAACTGTGGGTTGCAACCAGACTACAACTTGTCAACAGCTGCGGTGTATACTGCCTTCTCCAGACAGCTTATTCGACACGGCATGTTCGAGATGCTCCTGCAAAACCTGCAGGCCGACAGACAGTTGCAACGAAATCATCGCCTCGGATTATCTTGGATCGTCACCAAACCCACTCTGGCCACTGATAGTGACCTTGAAGATTTGCCAACATGGGCCCTTGACCTGCGGAAAGGCTTCAGACTATTCGCGCCCATAGAACCATCCTCGTCACCAAGCAAATTCCCAACAGGTCATCCCTCCGATGTTCGCTTTAATCGCAAAGACGATTCCATCACCTGCTGCGTCTACTTCATAGGCACCATCGCCAAGTCAACGAAGGACAGCTTCCGTCTGATCGAGACCGTCGTGAATGGCGAGTACAACCGAGCAGAAGCACGAGTCAAAGTCGAATTCCCGGATGCACCTTTGGCCGGGAAGGGCGACATACTGGTTGCATTCGACCAGTCTAAGTCCACAAGGTACTCTTACTACAATGTCATGTTGCTCCGGAAAATGAAAGATAGAGATGCGTATGCCCTGTTGCATTGGAGATATCGTGCGAGTGTGGAGTTTGTCGACAGTTTTCTATCTCCTCCGACGGTTCAGGAGAAGAGATTCGTTAGGATTGTTTGAAGATGGGAGAGTGAATATGCTTAACGATCCCCCTCCGGCAGTGCATCGGCACCACTCTACCCACCGCCGCGACCTGGATCGGTTAATAAGACTTGCAGAGGCGCTTGTCTCCAAGGGGAACACCTCAGCATGGTGGAGTAGGGCTTTCAAGCGAACATCCCAAGAAAAGTACACGACTTTTCAGTCCGTTGGAGGATAAGTGGAGTACTGCATCTTCGCACATTCTGCGGAGGACCTATAATAAGCTCTTGGCTTGGTTCGGGTACCTCGTCTGGTCTGATCAGTTGAACTTGCAGGAATCACGAACTCTCGGCAGCGCCAAAAATACAGTACAGCGTCTGATCACTTCGAAAATGTGGTCCCTTCGAGAGTGACCGGCGGTTCAGCATTTCCAAATTCGACATTGACGCCAGCGAACCCCTGCAAGCGAGTGACCATTCGCTTAAGCACCAGTCCAAAGTATGGTGCTCAGACGCAATATCGAGGCTGAGATGCATGACACATCCCACCCGTGCAGATGTAGCACAGGAGCTGGCTTCGCTTGGAGACGGACTTTTCATACATCGTGAGAGCCGCGGTCGTCATCTTGCAATACACCATTACGTTACAAGGACAATGGCCAGCGCTCTGTATCAGGAGGCTTTGAGGCAATTCCGCGATACCGTCAAGCCACAGAAAGACAGAGATCGAGAGGTCTTGAACAACTTCCTGCGAGAACGAGAATGCCCGGAAGCCGTGAAGCAGACCGCCGTGGAACTGAAAGAAGGCACAGACGGCAAGTACGAACGCGATCTGGGTCCTATTCCCAAGGAATGAATTTCGAACATTCTTGGTAACATTCAGCGCGCCATCGACATTGGAGATCTCGCTGCAAAGGGCGGTGCCGAGTCAGGTACGGTCGAAGCATGAGGATCTTGTCCGTGCTTTGCTAACCATTGTAGTTGGCATGGCGTGGATGGTTGTGAAATTGACTCTTGGCGCTATCCAGGAAAACTACGAGCTGTACAAGTTGTTTGGGATCGGTCTTACTACTGTGACTGAAATTATGACGATCATACCACACTACGACAAGATGTACGACAATCGCGGAAAGGCTGGAGCTGCGAAAACCGCTTTCATGGACGCCCTTTTCTCCAACATGAAGGATGCATATTCTGCTACTTTGATCTTCTGCTATACCGTGAAGAAGCACGTCAGAGCCCGCAGAAGAGACATGCTCGGTCACGCTATCAAGGACTTCTTCGGGGTTGAGAGACAAGACTTTCAGTCCCGCCTGGAAGCGATGATCAATTTGAAGAACAAGGTTATCGAGTATACTGACGGGGCTTTCCAGGAGAAGGTGTTTGACAAATTCGCTGGTCTCGGGAACGTTGTCCAAGGGCTTAAAAAGGATCTGCAAAATGTGAACAGCTTCGCGGAAACAGCAAGTCGGCTGCGAGAAGGCCAGGAAGAAATGTTGAGCAAACTTGGGGAGACTGAGATGCGCCTACTAGCTCGATCTGATACCAACAAAGAGGAAATTGTGAGGGCAATCAAAGAGAACATCAAGCCTAAGACGCCTTGGGAGCTTGCTGAGGCTCGCTACGACCAATTGATGAAGAGTCTGAATCCTTCAACCGAGCCCTATGCAGGTATTGACGGAGAGACCGAAGATGGATTCGGCAGGACGATCATTGAAGATGAAAGGTTCCTCAAGTGGAGGGCGGATGTGTTCGAACCACATATCTTGATGCTTGTTGGAAAAGAGGGCATGCAGAACCTTATTCCATCCCAGAAGAGACTGGCTGATACTTCGCAGGCTCTGGCAAGACGACGTATACCTCAGCCTTGAGCAGTCACCTTTCGAACGAAGTCAGGTCGAGTCAACTTGTTCTCTCCACGTCTGGCACCAGGACTGAATCTGGTGAGCAGCTAAGTAAAGGCCTGGCATACCAGTTGAGCACCCTCATGGTTCAACTCTTGAGGCATATTCACCACATCGCTGCAAATGATGAGGATGCAGAACTTTTGACCAGGGCCATGGACTCAACGCGCATTTCCAAGACCGAAAAGGATTCCAAGTCCGGCCACAATACGCAGAAAGCGGAGAGCAAATCCATAATGACGGCCAAGAAGGACGACGTAACTTCATTGACAACATTGTCTCGAACAGCACGTGTTCCCATCGGTCGAATCGACATGATATATGTTTTGATTGACAGCATCGATAACTTGACTCCAGCGGACCAGACCGAGCTGGCCCAACAGGTCCGAGGCCTCCCTGCGGGATGGCCGCACATCAGAATTGTTGTAGCTTGTGGACCAACCTCACGCTTCTACGACGATATGATGGAAGACGTGTACTTGTATCCTCTGGGCCTCGCAACCTTGGAAATCGACAACAGTGCAGATCTTATGGATTGTCTTGACAGAGCCATGGACAGCATTCCCAACTTGCCAGTTGAAATTCTTGAAGAAGCAAAAGGAAGAATCCTGAAGAAAGCAAAGTCGAACTTCAAGTATCTCATGCAAGTTGCAATACCTCACATCCACCAACCATACCAAGGCTCGCTCTTGGCTCACATTGACAACCTCCCGGAGACTGCAAGTGTGTCATATGCGAGGTTCATTCAAGGCTTGGATCCAGGCTCGCTCGAGCTCCTACGGGCAGCGCTATCTCTAACACTCCATGCTAAGAGTCCCATAAGAGTGGATGAAATCTTTGATTTCTTTACAGGAATTTACTTGCAGCCATCAGAGGAAGGGCCCGTCGCGAGATCGGAGCCGACGAAGCTTCAGATTGACCAATTGAAGAACGCCACAAGACCTTTTCTCGTCGTCGATACGACAAAAGAGGCGGCATCTGTTCGCCTGACCGACGCTGAAGCGATTATGTCCTTTTGTCAGCCCCGCGGAGAGAGTCCTTTGGTTGAGAAAGACAGCATATGCGCCAAATGTAAAAGCATGATACACGCCGAGCACTCACTCGTCATCGATGAGGCAGAGTGGCAGGTCGATCTTACCCTCAGATGCCTTCAACATCTCAACAGTCGTCTATTTCAAGAACGTTTTGGTTTGGCAGCAGGACCCGAACCGGATGAACAGCCTATCTGCTCAACTACAGCCTCTTCTCGTCGGCCGAGTGTTCAAGGGCTTGACGCAGAAGGCTCCGGGGTCATGGACCAAGGGCTGAGCGTACAAGAAGCCAATGATCGAAGTGGACTCACTGCAAAACTTATCCCCCAAAAAGCGGGCGATGAAGCAATTCCAGTTCAAGATGCGGAACAGACCAGCGCAGATGTAGACGAACTTAGCGAAAGCCAGCAGGCGCCAGCATCCTCTGAGGACGAGGATGCCGGTGACGAGGACTCAGTCGTTGATGGGAGCGATGATGTAGACTCATCTGAGTACGGTCAATATGGAGGAATGAACTACTCTTCCTATGACTGGCTGGACAGCCGATATGAGATAGACTATTGGTACGAGCACCTGCTCGAGGCCCAAAAATTATGGACCAAAGAGAAACGCCAGTCTGAACCCAATTGGCAGACTATCTGGGACGAACTGGATAAGTTTACCACCGACCATGAAGCTGCCTTCATCCGTTGGCAACACCGAGTCTTCACACGTAGCGAGATTGAGACTCAGCCGGAACCGTGGAAGCCTCTCCACGTCGCCGCATTTCTTGGAATCACATCTTGGGCCGAGCATCTTATGGAAGTGCATAATGTAGACCCCAATGAGCTCTCTTGTGGTCGAAATTCTCTGCAAGCTGCTGGCAAAGGGACAAATGACCTTGGTGTGCTGGAGTTACTGCTGGGCAAGGGCGTCGACCCGAATTTGGAGACTACAAAGCTGGCATCTTTCAGCTCGTGGTTGTTATCGAGTCCTCATCTGGCGACAATCGAGGCATTCATACGGCACGGTGCGGATCCCACTATTCCATGTGCACAATGGGAACAAGACTATCCTCTGCACAGCTTTATGAGCAGCGGCGAGGACCCCGAAGCACTTCGCTGCCTGATTTGCTCTGATGACCCAAAGCGAAAGCCAAACATTGATGCAAGAAATGCTAATGGTCAAACTGCACTACACGTGTTACTAATGCGTTCCAGCGTGCCAATCAAGCTGCTGGAGGCTTTCGTATTTGAACATGGAGCCTCTGTGAACGTTGAAGACAATGACTCAACACGGCCTTTGCAGCTAGCATGCTTGTGGGGCGAGGCAGAGGTGGTGAAAGTGTTGCTCAGAAACAACAACGATGTCAATGACCCCGATTCCTTTGGAAGAACGGCAATGCACACTGCTGCCCGAGGTGGGCACCGGGACTGCATCGATCTCCTTCTTGAGGCGGGAGTCCGTCCGCACACCATAGACAACCACGAAAGGACTCCCTTGTTCTATAGCTGTCTCAGTGACAGCAGCGAGACCGCGATGCAGATTCTCCAGGTTTTGCAAAGCAGCGGCATGGATGGAGTCGAGATCAACAAGGCAACAACCTTTGGGCAAACGCCAATCCGCCAAGCAGCCGCGCGAGGACTGACGGATGTCGTCGATATTCTCCTGCAATCACTCGGCTCAGAAAGCGAGTCAAAAGCGTCCCTTATCAACAGATCGGATGTGAAGTATTGCCGAACTGCGCTCCACCAAGCAGTCAGCAACAAGTACGCTGACACTGTAGCTGCTTTACTGAGCCATGGTGGAGATGCTTCCCTGCCAGATCGTGATGGAAAGACTGCACTTAAGATTTGCCACGAACTGCTAGCTTCGACCCCGAGTGAACCTCTTGAGGACATCGCCGTACATCTGATCATGGACAGCCCTGAATCGGCGGTGCGGGATACAGAACTGGCAGCAACGGCAGCAACGGCAGCAATTTGTGGAAGCACAAAAGTTTTACGTTGTTTGCGAGCCCATGGTGCGGATCTTACATCCTTCGATCGTTTTGGGTGGAGTCCGTTGGCTTTGGCGAAGCGATTCAAGCGGACTGAAGCTGAAGACTTTCTGCGCCGGCAGACTGCCTGGGTCAATGCCTTGCCGACTCGCTGGATCGGTGGTAGAGATGGCACGACACTTTCAGGCGACGGACTGGTAGTGAGCAATACTGAACTCAGCAAGTTCTGCCTGTCCACGGAAAGGCCACTCCCGCCAGGTCTCGAGCGCTACTACTTCGAAATGACGCTGAAAGCGATGACCCCATCACAGCCAAATGAGCACCCGATCGTGGCGATTGGCTTCTGCACGCACGATGCATCTCAGTTTCGATTCCCAGGCTTTCGACCATCGAATCTTGCGCATTCTGCAAAATCTTGGGCGTATCATGGAGACGACGGTCTCAAGTGGTGCAATGGTGACATTGAGTTCGGCACAAGTGATGACTGGCAGCACCGTTATGGTGTCGGAGACACGGTAGGGGCAGGTTTCGATTCGCAGGATGGTATCGTGTGGTTTACGCGCAACGGGAAGATCGTGGCAGAGGGGAGAATGTTCCCCTTGATTGGAGTTGATGACGAAATTGTTATTGAGACGAACTTCGGACCAGATGGCCTTCAATGGAAGGACACGTTGAGTGGCAAAGGAGCATGCCTCGAACCTGTGGTAGAAGAGGGGGATGGCAGTCACAGTGCTGATGAAGAGGTGTCCGAGCCAGACAAGACCGACGGATAGGACAAACATGCGACTGGACTGGAAAAATTCATTGTTGAGGCGAGAGGTGCTTGAGCGGCCCTGACAAGCAACGACGGCTCTGGAGACTATTGCAATCCACGTGTACATGGCATGGGCTAGACATGGGACTAGAGGTGACGACTTTTCTTGTGCTTCAAGCAGTTCTTTGTTCTCGCCTTGCCGCTTTACGCTCAGCGCTGCCGGCTCTGCTACGTACAGCAGTAGGTCAGTGAGGGATGCTCGCGGCAAGACCGGCGGACGGAGTATCTTTTTGGCCCACAAGGAAGTGCTGCCGGGCGACTGTCACCTGCGCCGGTGAACGTGATGCTGCTTTAGAGTGGCTTGGAGTCTGTGTCTCGAGTGGACGATGCTGACGACGGACTCAGCACTGGCAATGGCGCAATGTATGTAGAGAGCAGGCCAAACATCGACCACAACGCGAGACAAAGCCGCCCAGTCCTCGCGACAGGTTGTATACAGAATGGAAACACAAGTGGCCACGCAACCTCTACACACCAAAACGGGCAGTGCTGACGGCTTCATTACACAAAGCCGCCAAGAAGACGTCAACGAGCAAACAATCATGGGCGGAGTACACACCAAAGACCAGGGAGCCACAAGGCAGAAAGGTGCGGCCTCGCACCAGGTGAGGTGCTTCGCCACAAAGCTGGAGCTGTGAGAATGGGCGGCTTGGCCCCCAAACCGGTGTCAGCTGCTTGCTGAGCTAGGGGCCGCCTCAGGCAGCCGGCCTCATGGAAACCTATCGATATGGCCGCCAGTACGAGGGCGGCGGTTTTATTTTATAAAAGAGTCTAGGTTTCGTTTCTGTTTCAAGAGAAACTGTTATTTGTTCGAGACACATTGTTTTGGATTCGAACAATCGATCAAGTCTACGACAACGATAAAATCAACAATCGACAACCAACCCTCTTGCATTTTGAGAGAGACTTAGCAAGCATGCAGAACGACGACCCCGAGTATAGTATCGCGAGATGCCAGATACTCGTCAGAGATGCCCAGAGAACCCTTGAGACCGCCGGAAAATGGAGCCTTTCAGACGGCCTTCTGGATGTGCTCAACCGTCTCCCACAACTATCCAGTCGATTCCGTCGAAAGGATCAAGATGTCAAAGACCTTCGTCAAAAGCTCACAGTCGAACATCAGTCCCGTCTCGATACACAGCAACGAGAGCAGGCGCTTCTGGAGAAGGTCAAGCTTCAAGAAGACACCATCAAGAAGCAGCTTGCCACACTTCGAGCTCTGAACAATGACCTCCAGGCTGCCAAAGTTGATGCCAAACGACAATACGAGAAAGGCTTCAAGACTGGTCAGGAAGCTGAAAAGAACCGACAGAACCAACCAGATAGCGACTTTGAGGATCTCATTCGACGTCAACTCGTCAGGGGCACTGAGAAGTTCAATGCTTATGACTTCGCTGGTGCTCTGACGCTGTTGAAAGAAGCTCAGAACAGCATTCTATCGCTACCAGCTGCTCGAAGGCCACTGTTCGACAACACGAAGCTACGTTATCAGATGGCAATTTCTGGAGCGTATGTCAACGACCTGGCTGCCTCTGAGAGATCCCTGTCGAGCTTTGTACAAGCGACCTTCTCCAATGCGAGCAGTCGAGAGGAGATGCTGAACCTCGCTCATGCCCAGCATCTTCTTGCTCAAGTCTACATTGGCCAAGACAATGTTCAGGATGCACAAAATACTTGCAAACATTCGAACGAGATTCGATGGCAATACCTCCAATCGACAGACAACCGCCGATACCAGTCTGCTGCATTGTCTGCCAGGTTGGTCGAGTTGCAAGGCCAGAGAGGAGCAAGTCTACTGAGGGAAGCCATTCGCGACCCCGCGGTGAGAGATGTATTGAAGGAGGCGTATTCGAAGCTGAAGCCGTTGCAAGCTGGAGGCAACCCCAGGAACGAACCGTATATCTTGTCTGAGCCGGCCACCGAGTTGTTACCCATCTGGACGATGAAGACGCAGGCGAAACAACCAGTCAACAATCCACCAAAGGCAGACGGCAAGGACAAGGCCAAACCGCAAGCACCACCCACCGTCCCCCAGGCCAAACTCACCGAATGGCTCAACGCCCTGGATCTCAGATCCCACGATAACGAATTTCTCGACCGCAGCCTCGAACAAGCCATCCGCAGCTCCGACGTTCAAAAAGTCTCCCAAATCCTCTCTTCCTCACCACCAATCCGCCCCGTCGCTCCAGCCCTCCATATCGCCGCCCTAGCCAACGACCTCCAAACCGCCACACTCCTCCTAGCCCACGACCCATCGCTCGCCAAAATCTCCTGCACAGCAAAGTCCGCCGCTGGCAAGAACCTGCACGGCGTCCTGCCTATGCACCTCGCCGTCGGCGCTCAACACGCCCAGATGATCCGTCTCCTGCACTCTCACGGCGCAGACCTCCTCGCCGTCTCGGACAAGAAGCATAAGAACTCCGCCCCGCCTTTGTGGCTCGTGAGTGAGCGATGGCTCAGTTGGACTGGGAAAGATAAAGTTGAGGAAGTCGTGGGGATTTTGGAGTTGCTGAGAGGACTTGGATGGAGGAAGGGGGATCGGATTAATCGAGAGGGGTGGAGAATGGGAGACTTGGTGGTGAGGAATTTGGAGAGTAGGAAGGCTTTGAAGAGGGGGTTGTTGGGGTATTTGGATTCGATTCCTCAGTAGCGGGTTTGAGGTTCTGGGTATACGTGACATGGGAGATGCTCATCGTGTCTCTCTCTTTCGCTTTTGCTTTTGGGTCTGGGTTTGGGCTTACGTGATGAAGATAGATACCCCGAAGCGTGTTTCATGGTTGTGTTTCACAGGAGCGTTATGAATCAAGTAAACAAGTCTAGACGTACCTACACATCAAATTCATGCTCTCAATGCCCAATCTACCACAACGCCACGCTAACAGCGATGAAAAACGCAAGAATTGCCAAATCCATCTTTTGCTTTCCCTCCATTCAGCTAGGGAAAGCATTCGCCACCAAAATCGAACAATCCTGCATCGTCCTCTGCGCCCTACTGGAAATCCCCAACAGACTCAACGCCTGGTAGGCACTCGAAAAGCTCGCTCCCCAAGCCCCCTGCTGGCCCACAAAACTCTTGAACTGCTTTCCCACCGCACTACTAACATTCTGACTCAAATTGATATCGCTATCGAACCGCGCCATGCCGGATACGGGGTAGTAGGTCTCGTTGTAGTATGACACGTCCCATAGACCGGGAGTGTCGTCTTGAGGGGTTCCCACGGGAATCCCGTTCGCGGCTTCGAAGTTGGCGATCGAAGTGCTGTGGGCGCCCAAGAGAGCTGCGAGATCTCGTGCGGTGAAGCCTTTGTCGCTGAAGAGCTGGAAGATTGTGTCGTGGTCGGAGCCGGGGCCGAAGGCTTGTGGTAGGAGGCCGTCTGGTGCGGCAGTTGTGGTGTCGGTGCGTCCTACGAGGACTCGACCGATTTGGCCTCCTGGACAGGCTTTGACTCCTAGTGCGCCGGCGACTTGGATAAGGTCTGCGGCGCCGATGGCGTAGCCTGCAGCTTGGTAGTCTGCGAGCTTTTGCTTGATGGTTCCATGATAGTCGTGTAGACCATCATTGTCTGTGCGGTTGATTTCGTTGGCTGAGAGGAGTAGGGAGCCATCTGCGCCTCCGGAAGCTGGGGCGTAAGTCGGGAGTTTGGAGGAGTAGGTTGCTGCGTCGTGGAAAGCGTATCTGATGGCCGCTCTTGCCAGATTTGTACACTGTCCATCGATTCGCATTTGGGGTGCTAGGTCGGAAACGACGTTTGACCAGAAGCTTGGACAGACTGTTGATGCTGGAGATGTTGATGTTGATGTCCTGGAGGACGTTGTCGTGGATGATATTGTCGACGTCGTTGTGACGATTAATGTTGATGAAGAAGTTGATGAGCTGGATGTACTCGACGATATCTGGGAGCTAGAAGTGCTTGTGGTCGTTGAGCTTGTACTGGACGAGCTGGGCGTACTCGATGAACTTGTCAGGATCGTACTTGTTGAGCTGGAAATGCTTGAACTCGATGAAGACACCGACGTCGTGCTCGTTGTAGTAAGTGTCGAAAGTGTCGTTGAGGTAGCGCTGGCCGTACTTGTGCTGCTGCTCGTGACAGCAGGCGATGATGAAGTAGTCGAGCTTGATGCTGAGCATGCTGAAACAGCTGTATCGGGACCGGAATAGTACATGTTGAGACGGTTGGGACCTCCACAGATTTCAGCGCTATTACCTTTGCAAGGCTGATAGCAGCTCTTTTGATCTGAAGCACATGCGCCTCCATTTTGAAGCGAGTTGCCGCAGAAGCATTCCTGTGCATATTCGAGGCCGCCATACAAGTAGCCTTGGCTGCTACAGGCGTTGAGACATCCTTTGACAGTCATATTCGAAGATCCGCCAGCGACACCAGGCGAGGACTCTAGTGTGCGGGAACCTGCGTTGTCTGTATAGCATCCCAGGGCGGCCCAGCCTGTGGGAGCCCCTCCATCTCCAGGCCCAGAAGCGTTTGCCACTTGGTAGACGTTGATGCGATTTGAGCCACCACAGTATTCGGTCGAGTTCCCAGTACAGGTCATGTCGCAACCGCTCTGTGCGACTGTAGCACCGTTTTGGATAGCATCATCGCACCAGCATTCACGAGCATATTCAACACCAGCCATGCCATAACCAGCCGACTTGCAGGCATCAGTGCACTCGGCGATCGTCAGGTTATCTGCTCCTGCACTGACGCCTTGAGAAGTCCGCAACGTCCTCGCATTGCCGCTGTCAGTGTAGCATGCGAGGTACGTCCAGCCAGGAGGTCCGGGATTCGTTGATGGTCCAGTATATGTGTTACCATTGTAATAAACGCTCAATCTATTGCCGTTGCCGCATATCTCAGACGAGTTGCCAGTACAGGGCATAGAGCAATCCGAGTCAGGCTCTTGCGTCGCTCCAGATAGCTGGTAGTCACACCAACATTCTTGGCTGTGGAAATAATCAGATTGTGCGGTCTCACTTTGAGGTTGTGGACCGACCCATATTCTAGACCAGCGTAATTGAAGCCATTCGCCTGGCAATAACCCGTACACATCTCAACCGTTTGATCGTTGAAATCTCGACCAGAACTGTGAGTCAGAGTTCGCTGGCTAGTGTTATCTAGATAACAGCCTTGATAGTTCCAACTCTGAGCGGCACGGTTTGTGAGCAGGATGGTGTTAGCAGACACCGCCCCCAAAAAGGGTGCCAGATACACGAAACGCATGATGTGTACGAAGTACCAAAATGACAGGCATGAGAAGATGAAAAAGAACTGTACCGCGGAGAGGAGAGCTTTTGCAACACGAGAGGTGGCATTCGTCGAGGCCACTATGAGTGGGACTCTGCTCCTTCGCAGGGCATGGCGATGCATGGCATAAAGACGCATTCTGGGCCATCTGAGCGCCGCGATGCTGCAACAGAGAGGAGGAGGGCCATGATAGGTGCGTGGCAGCGGATGCTCTGCTGGAAGCGTCTGGTGCTTCACGTTTTGGGAAACACGCTGCTGCACTCGTGTTTGTGGCGCTTGATCTAGCCTCCTCGGCCTGCAGGCCGAAATTAGAAGCAGTCATCAATGTCATCAAGACAAAAGGTCATATATCAATTCTTGCCGTCGTGTACTTGGAGGAGGTAAGGAGTTTGTTGATATTTGACGAGGTGAAGTCTAAAGACAACTTGGTCGCACAGAAAATGCTGATCTTCGCTCGGCGCGGATCAAGCAAATTCTCCGAGCGGCTGAGCATCACGTGGCAATAAAGTTTATTGGCAGCTCCTTCAATCGAAACTCGACCACACCTCCTCTCCCTTATCTCCATAGAGCAGACATACTCCTCCCCAGCACATAAGCGCTATTACCTATACTCACTGCTTACGACCAAACATGTGGAGAAAGAGGAGGAGGCGTTGCCGCTGGATCATGCCTACGTGGGAATGACTGGAGGCCAGATCTTTCACGAGATGATGTTGAAACATGGCGTCAAGCATATTTGTGTGTATCCTGCCTCACGCTCTTCTGCACTGGCCGGATGTGATGGACTGATGGTCGGTCATTCACAGTTGGCTATCCAGGAGGCGCGGTGAGCACATGTCCCGGCGAAAGGCTGCCCAAACAATCATGTTCCTTGCGTGGTGTTGATAAAGTCGAAGATCTTGCCCGTGTTTGACGCTCTTCACGAATCCCCCGTGAGTTAGTGTCCGTGAGATACAGCAGCACAGCTGCGGCTTACTACGAAGTACAGGTCATAGACTTTGCCTTGGTCAAACACGAGCAAGGTGCAGGCCACAGTGAGTTCATGTCACGCACAGTTCCACTCGGGTGCTGAAAAGCGACTGACAAGCGACCAGTGGCTGAAGGGTGAGAAGGCGCTCTGCGTCCATACCATGAACCGGTGCTAACAATCAATCGTGTCTTCGTTTAGCTATGCCCGAGCGTGCGGTAAACCTGGAATCGTAGTGGTCACATCTGGCCCTGGAGCCACGAACCTCATCACACCCCTCCAAGACGCCCTCATGGACGGCACGCCAATGATCGCCTTCTGCGGTCAGGTACCGACGTCAGATCTTGGAAAGGACTCGTTTCAGGAGGCAGACGTCATGGGACTCGCCAGAGCGTGCACGAAATGGTGTGTGCAGCCTCAGACCGTCGATGAGCTACCACGCTGCATCGACGAAGCATTCCAGGTTGCCACGACAGGAAGACCAGGCCCTGTGCTTGTTGATCTTCCCAAGAATGTCACAGCCTCCGTCCTCGAGAAGTCTATACCCCTGTTACGCCAAAGTAGGAAACGAAAGCCCCTGGAGTCTCTGCTTGAGCGGCATGCACTCACGGATAGCTTGAATCGTGCCGCATATCTACTCAACCAATCCCAAAAGCCAGTGATATATGCAGGCCAGGGCATACTCTCCCATCCCGACGGACCTTTACTCCTCAACCGCCTCTCCCAAATCGCACAGATCCCAGTCACCACAACGCTACTAGGTCTAGGTGCATACGACGAGGAAGATCCTAAGGCTCTGCACATGCTAGGCATGCACGGCTCATGCTACGCCAACATGGCTATGCAGGAGGCCGATCTAATACTGGCACTCGGCGCCCGCTTTGACGATCGCATCACGCGAAAGCTGTCCGGCTTCGCTCCAAACGCACACAAGGCTGCAGCCGAGGGCCGTGGAGGCATTGTCCATTTCGAGATCTGGGAACATAACATGAACAAGATTGTAGAGGCCACTGAGTTGATTCGAGGCGATGTAGTTCAAAATCTTTCTGAATTTGTAAAGCTTGTGGATGAGGTGCCGAGGGAGGCCAGAGCTGAATGGTTGCAACAGATCGATGGGTGGAAAGCCAAGTATCCTTGGGCATATGAAAAGGAGGGCGCGAGCGGAATCGTTAAGCCACAGACTGTCATCTCGGTGCTCGATGATTTGACGTCGGATGTCAAACACGAGACGGTCATTGCAACTGGTGTTGGTGCTCACCAGATGTTTGCGGCTCAGGTCAGTGACATGCAAGCTGCATCGGCATAACGCAATCGCTGACAATCCCCAAACCAGCACTACCGATGGCGGCATCCCCGTTCGATGATTACCTCTGGTGGGCTAGGAACGATGGGTTTCGGCCTGCCTGCTGCCATCGGCGCCAAGGTCGCCCGACCTGAAGCTCTGGTGATTGATGTAGATGGAGATTCCAGCTTCGCCATGACCATGACAGAACTCACCACGGCCAAGTGCCATGGCATTGGTGTCAAGGTTTTGATTCTCAATAACGACGAGCAAGGCATGTTTTGAAACCCACCGACGCAGCTGAAGTATTTTCTCTCGGAGGCTGACTTTTGCGCCAGGCATGGTTACACATTCGCAGCAAATGTTTTTCAACGATCGCTACGCACACACGCACGGCGCCAACGCCGACTTCGTCAAGTTCGGCGATGCCGTGGGAGTACAGGCTGATAGAGTAGAGACGATTGACGAGTTACGGGAGAAATTGCATTGGCTTCTTTTCGAGACTGGAGACGCCCCCGCGCTGTTGGAAGTGAAAGTCGATCAGAAAGTTCCAATCTTGCCCATTGTAATGCCTGGAACAGCGTTGCATGAGTTTGTACCCTTTGACGAAGGTGAGCCGTTTTCACGTCCTGCTGTCGACGAGGTTTGTTTGCTGACTTGGTTCAACAGAACGAGAAAAGGCTCGGCGGATACTGACGAGAGACAGAAGTGGGAGATAATGACCTGGCATTCAATAGAGGTAAAGAAAAGTACATTGGTATATATATACACGGCAATACATTGTACTTCTCGCGATATTGCCGCCTGTTACAAACAATTCGTGTCGCTTCTGCTACCCTTATACCATAGTAATCTCCTAGATTTATTTACTACAACTATTTTTATAGTTGATACTACACGGGGCGAAGTTTGAGACCGCCGCCAGATCCTACATCATCTGGATCTGGAAAGACCGCATCGCATCTGGACATTGATCAATGGCTGAAACGCAGCCTGAATCGCGAAAAAGCAGACGTCAGGGGTCGTCCCACGAAATGCACGTAAGACCAACTCCTGCAGCCGACTCTGCTGGACCACGTCGAACTCAAAGACATTGCCTACTTTGGCGATATAAACCAGGATCAGCCCAATCCATCAAGCTCGTCATGGACGCCAATACAGCCAAATCCGAGCTGTGCGACAGGGGAAGACCTGGTTTCGCGAGCTGTATTCCAACGTCAGCTCATGGCAAGGCAAAGCGACCTGCTCCGTCTAATTTCTTGATGCACGACACGAGAACGTGGATCTGTCTGGACTGATTCTGTGGCTACCATTCTTTGGTAAGACACATATTGGAGCGCAGCTAGAATCCGCCTGCGGCTTCAGATGGCTGAGTAGACCCGAACATGGCTTGAGTTTACCCAAATGGTCATCCATGCGAGCTGAATAGATGTAAGCCTTCCTGCATGGATGAGCAGGTACATAAAGACGAGTTTGTACATCCGTGATTGCTCACATCTTCACTCTGACCTCAGATCGAGCCCAGGCGTTTTGGAAGTCCTTTGTCGTCCCCATCATCATGAAGATCACTATCCTCACCACAGCCCTCGCCATGCTATGCACAGCATCCGCTGCCGCCACCAACAACAACCCACCACCCTCCTATGGCGGAGGCAAATGCGTCTCGCAACAGGAAGGCCAAAACTTCCTTCAGAAGTTCATCGGCGTCCTCGGCAGAACCGATCCAAACTACGCCGCTACCGCCCAAAAGATCATCGCGGACGACTTCGTCGAGTACTCCAACTCCATCCTGTCTCTCCAAGGCTTGCCCGTAAAGACCTCATCACCCTATCCATTCACTCACAACCGCACTAACCACTAACTCATAGCTCAGCGCGCCACTGGGCATCGCCGCTCCGTTCAAAGATGCCTGGATCCAAGGCGTCACACAAGCGCCGGCCTTCAGCGGCATCAAGACCCTCGAGGTCATCGTCACCTGCGACCGGATCGTCTGGTACTGGGTCTTCACGGGCATCGGGAGCGCCAAGCACCCTGCGGCGGGCTTCAATCTTTTCCATTTGAAGCGCAAGGGCCCGCAGTTACAGGTTGAGAAGCTGTTTCTGGAGTTTGATAGTATTGCTTGGGGACTGGATACGGGGATTCAGGTTACGTATCCTAATGGGACGGTTTTGCCGCCGAAGTAGATGGGGGTTTGAAGGCAAGGGGACGAGTTGTGGTTGGCCGGGCTTTGAGGTTTGGACGCTCCTTAAATGAGAATGACTGTATGAGTTGATGTTATTGACTGTAGTGTGCTCATTGACATAAGTACGTATTTCGTATTCATCACATGCAGGCAAAACGTACCCACTTTAATCGTCAGTCATCCCAATACCCCATCCTAATACGCCATCCCAGCCGCAATCAACACCGGCCCAAGCACAACACAAGGATAATCCGCCTCACTCAAACTCCTCGTCTCCTCCCCAGTCGGCCTATTCCCTCCCCCAAGAACCCCCAACTCCTTTCCCCCATTACTCCCCAACTTCGGCCACCCCGGCCCAGCCCCCGGATTCTTCGCAAACCCACTCCAAACACCCTGCAGATATTTGCTCAACTCCTGCTGCGTCTTCGTCGCGCCGTTCAGACTGTATGTGCCCCAGACCGAGGGGATTTCGGACGAGTGGTAGGCTCCACTGTTGGGGAAGGTCGCGGTGTTGGGGAAGGAGGCGTCGTAGCGGTAGCGCCAGATCGGGGAGTTGTTTGGGCCGGTGGAGATGGCGGTTGAGAGGGATGAGGCGGGGCAGGTGAAGAATGCGTCGGTTATGATTCTGGGGGGTGAAGTCAGTATGGATGGGAGTTAGGGGATATAGGGACGTACTGCGAGACCAGGGCGGATGATGTATTGGCTACGCCGCCGGCGAGGTATGTGGATATCAGCTTGTCCTTGACGCTATCCAAAAGCGGGATTCCCAATGGTTGGAGAATGTCGCTGATAATATCCAGATCACTCCCCAAACCGAAAATCTCGGCAAAGACAGTGCCCTCATTTTTGTTCGTCCCCATCAAAATCGGCACATTCGCAAACTGGCCCGACAAAATCGACGGCAACGAGTTATACCCGACGTTCGTATTGTCGTTCACCGGGAAGAAGTTCAGGGCGTTATCCGTGATGAAGGTTTGAATCGCCTTCCCATCGACCTTCCTCAGACAATTTAGAGGCGACAGACTTAGTGCACAGCCAAACTTGGCGGCAACCACGTTGTAGCTCACGAGGCCATTCCCCGTCGCAGCCGTGGCTTCAGACTCCATGATCGCAGCTCGGAACGGTAACGGAGAAGGAGGCTGAGCGAGGAGCTGTTTGGCGCAATTCCCTCCCGCGCTCTCACCAAAGATGGTAACTTTCGTCGGATCGCCGCCGAACTTCTTGATGTTGTCTTGGACCCATTGCAGCCCGAAGCGGATGTCGAGGAAGCCGGAGTTCTGCTGGTTTTTGGGGATTTCGGGGGAGTTGGAGAAGCCAAACACTGCTCATATCAGCGATCAAATACACAAATAGACATTCCCCCGGCCATTTGAGCGAGAGAGCGAAAGACGACTTACTGTTCGTTCGATAATTCACCGCCACAACCACAACATCATGATTGACCGCATACGAACTCCCATTATAGTACGCCAGACTCGCCGTGCCGATCTGCAGATTTCCCCCAAACGTCCAGAACAACACGGGCTTCAAATTGTTGGGACTCGCATCCTGCGGCGCGAAGACGTTCAGGTACAAGCAATCCTCACTCTCCGGCGGCGGGGGAAGTCCAGGATTGTTGAAGAACGTCTTCTCTCGCTCGCCGTCGTTGCCGGGGAGGAATTGTTGCAGACAGGCTGGCGGGTTCTTTTGGGCGTGGAGGGGTTTCGACCACGCTTTCGGGGCTTCCGGCGGTGCGAAGCGTAGGGGTGGGCTTTTGGCGAAGGGGACGCCTAGGTAGGCGTTTGCGAGGCCAGTGACGGTGGGCTGGTTGGAGACTTTGGTGGCTGTGCCGACGACGACGCCGGAGGCGATGGTCACGGTTGGGTTCGCTGCTGGTCGTGGCGCACGCTGGGGTATCGCGGAGGAGAGGAAAGGGAGGGCGAGGAGGGCGAAGAAGTGGAACTGCATCTTGTCCATTCAGGTCATCGAGTCGTCAATGGCCATGGAGTAGGTCGAAAGAAGAATCACAGCCTGCTCCTCGTTTCCAACCTTTACATTCGAAGAACTAGGATATTATGCTGCAGGGCGCCCTACATCAAACTTAAGTCCTCTCCAGTCGAAGGACGGGAGAGTTTGACTCCCCCACAAAACACCTGATGTCAAAGGGATCTCGCGGATAGCCTTCGTGCCGATCTCGTGGCTGTCGATCGTCGTTCCCTCCAGCGGGGATCCCCAATGGGGTAGATGTACGTACGTTACATCCAATCAAGAGCTTGGTATAACCCTGATAAAGTGGTATGTATCGCCATCTAGCTTGGACCGAGGTACGCCATAGATTGTGGAGGCGAGAAGGCGAAGGTGGCGTGTGTGTTAGGCTTTCAAGGCGTTCTACGTGGATGACCAAGAATGCTTGAGTACGTACGAGTCGGCCTGATGGAATGGAACTGCTTGCATTCATCAGAAGATCGAGACATCACAGCGATTCGAAAGACTCATCTACGCTTTTATGCTGACTTGCTTTTTGACAGGGACAACGCCTTACCATCGACCCTCAGTTCTGGAAGGACGGCTTTACGCCACAGCCCAATCCCTCATATTGCCGTGACCGTTCGCTGGAACTTGGGAAGCTCCCGCCTAAACTTCTCAGGCTGGTCCCTCGCGCCCTCCTTCCAGTACTCGTACTCCATCCAGGCGTCTTCCGGCATCTGTTCCTCCATTGCCGCGATCCAGTTGCCCAAAGCAGGCGCAAGAGGGATGACACCCGTCTCCAGGACGTACTGATCCCACATCTTGATCATCTTCTGCAACCGCTCTGGATCCTGCTCAGCCAGATCATTCACCTCGCCAGGATCCTTGGCCAGATTGTACATCTGCCACTTCTCGGGACCTTTGGGCTTGGGGATGAAGACGATCTTCCAGTCGCCGCAACGAACGGCAGCTCGACCACACGTCTCCCAGCCGTTGATGAAGTCGGCCGGATGGATGGAGGGTGCAGTGCCGTCAAGGTACGGAACCATGCTCTTGCCGCGCATATGCACAACCTCCCGGCCTTGATAGGTGGGAGCAGGGTGCTTGACACCAGCCATGTCGAGAATGGTTGGTGCAAGATCCATGATAGTGGAAAACTGGTTGGTGATGCTTCCCTTCTCGTTGGTCACATGCGAGCCAGCGCCTTTACTCTCCACAACTCCAGCGCTCATGCCCTCGCCGTCCGCTCGCACGGCCATGTTTGTTGGAAACTTGGCCAAGAACGGTACACGAACACCGCCTTCAGTCGTGAAAGCCTTGTAGAGACGGCTGGGTGCGGTAGCTGCTTGTGCCCATCGGGGTCCATACCAGATGAAGCTATCTCCGCGGCCCAGGTTCTCGAGGGCATTGTTGTAGTACTTGGCAAGATGGCCGATCATGCTCCCTTGAACGATCGGGTATGCTTCGTACGCGGCACCTTCGGCTCCATTATCCGACATGAAGCAAACAAAAGTATTGTCCAGCTCCCCAGTCTCCTCCAAATACTTGACGACCTTGCCCACATTGGCGTCGATGCACTCCACCATGGCAGCAAACACTTCCATGGCTTTGCACGACTTGGCCTTCTCTTCTGATGTCAAGTCTTTCCACTGTTTGACTTCATCTGCCACCACCGGATGTGGTACCACGTCTTCTGCACACAGACCCATCTCTTTCATTCGCTGCAGACGTCTACCGCGGAGCACATCCGGTCCGTCGTCGTAGACGCCCTTATAGTGAGCAATGTATTCATCGGGTGCCTGAAGAGGCCAGTGTGGGGCTGTGAACGGGAAATAGGCAAAGAAAGGACGCTCGTCCTTCTGCTCGTTGCGGTCTTTGAGGTACTGAAGCATCTTGTCGCCGTAGCCGTTGCTGCTGTACCAACCTTCTGGGAGCTTTTTCACATACTCCCCGTCTTCGGAGTGCAGGGCAATGAACGACATGGTCATGAACTCGGGGATCTGATCTTTGCCCTCGAGCTGCGGCTCGTAGGCGTAGTGGTTGGAGCATGCTGGCAGGTGGGCAAAGCTACGCTCGAAGCCTCGCTTGTGTGGGAAGCGCTCTGGGGTGAGTCCAAGGTGCCACTTGCCTGCCATAAGGGTGAGGTATCCAGCGTCGTGCAGAAGCTCGGGCAAAGCGGCCACTCTGTCATTGAGGTAGCCTTCATAGCCGGGCATGCCACGCTGGGGAGCTGTCGACCAGTATTTGATCTCTCCCTCGGAGGGAGCATTCTGGTCTGAGCGGTTGGTCCATTCGATGAGGTTTCCCAGTCCAGCAATGTGGTGATCAGTGCCTGTCATGAGCATAGCACGGCTGGGCGAGCAAGCAGCTGCTGCGTGGAAGTCGGTGAAACGCAAACCATTGCTGGCGAGTCTGTCGAGGTTTGGGGTTCTGATCTCGCCGCCGAAGCAGCTCAGGTCGCTGAAACCGAGATCATCTGCCACAATGACCAGGAAGTTGGGTCTCTTGGTGTTGCTTTCGCCAGCGGTTCCGCTTGAAGCCTTTGACGCGCTCATGTTTGGTTCCGACGAGCATCAAATGAAATGGAGTGAGGTGTGTATTATAGGGAGGAATGTCTCGACGTGCCTGAAAGTCGGAAGTAGTAAACAAGAAGGAGCACGCAATCGTTTCAGGGCACAAGATAAGTGGGCTGTTCCTGGCAGCTGTCTGACTTTCACATGCCCCTCCACACGTTTCAGGCGAGTTTAAGCAGCTGTCTCGTGATGGCCACGTGCTGTGTATACCTTGATTTGACCTCTTCATCTTTCACCTTGGTGTCTCCTAGGTAAGTAAAGATGTATGGAGAATGTGTTGACCGCTTTCTCGAGCCTTGTTGTTGTCAAGAATCAACTGGTAAAAGACAACCCTGCACAAGGTGCACAAATCCGCCTAAACTTGCCCGGCGCCGTCGAGCACAAGCTCGTACCACCTGGGGCGTCTCAGATCCTCGGGCTACTGATTCCCTTCCAGCTACACGTCCTTGTCAACACGGCTTCAGTCGCCCCGCAAAGCGAGTTTCCTTTCAGCGGGAGAACATAATCATGATCATTGTGTGGTGAGCCGTGCCAGATTGACAGTGTGTAGAGACTCTTGTGTATATCATACTAGTCAATCGACCTGTACAAGTCGAAGCTATGCCAATCCTCATGCCAGAGGCTATCATCAGCCTTGCTGGGCCACAGATGCCGAAACATCGATTCTACCCTTGGATCCAATCTATCTCTCGGCTCGATTGTAGTCTCCCCCAAGCCTTGGCCAAAGTCTGTGTTCACGTCCCAAGTGCGAAGATAATTCGTGTGTTCGCGCTCGCTGATTTTTGGAGCGGTATGCTCTGAGGTGAGCGCATACGTTCGCTGGAAAAGCCATCTATGCTGAATCTCATTTGCGACGATGGCAATCGCCGGAGGTGTAAAAACTGTTCCAAAGTCGCCACATCCGTCAGACTGAAGCTCCACAGCATGTAGATCAAGGGCTCGAGGAGGTCTGTTATCGATTAACAGCGAATATATTGACCGAGCGAGCCTTTCATCAAGTGCTGCGTTAATGAACATATCCAAAATATGACCTTTGCGGGGATCTTGAGAGGCGTTATACTCTTCGAAGTCGGCGTTCTCTCTGCCGAAGTCGTCAAAGTGTGCTCCAGGTCTTGCCATGTAGCCTTCCGATTTTTGACCAGGACCACGCATGGAGAGATAGTCCGAAGCATCGAGCGTAAGAGCCAGGGACTGAAGTGTCTGGATCTTGCTAATCGATAGGTAGGCAGCGACCTCCGATTTATTCCCCTTACAACGATGCATTGTAAGACGCAGGCTTTCGAGAATACAGCAGTGAGATGCGATCCAAGACACCTCCTCTGGTGGAAGAGATAGTCGAGAAGGGCTAAATCCTCGCGGTTCGACGTGCAGTGTGCATAATGCCCGGCCGTGATGCTGAATTACATCTCGGAAGTAGTCGTAAATCATTTCGCCAGCTAACTTGAGTTCTTTCAAGGGCATTAGGCTGCAAAGGAACTCTCTGCCTGGCCTTGAAGAGTCATCAAGGGGACGTCTAAGATAGTCAGAGTCGCTCGATTCGATCGTGAGCTCCAAGGCCAAGGCCGTCAGGTTCGAGAAATGACTTCCTGCGAGACTATTAAGTACAGCTGGTTGTACGTTGCAGTCAAACATCAGCTTCTTCATTACGCTGAAGTCCGTGCATTTGCCCCATTCCTCTACCTTTGCCACAGTCAGGTCTTGAGCCGCTCCTACGAACTGGAGGCTTTCGAGACGACCTTTTCGATGAGAGAGCTTTGATGTGGCAGACTCCAAGGGTCGTATCAGGTGGGCATATCTTGAGTAATCTGGCTCCGCTCCCATCATATCTTCGGATAACCGGACTTGACGCAGATTTTGAGCCAGCCCTTGTACGCTACGAGACACAGCCTCGGGCAAATGATGCTTATTGTTCCAGGTGTCGGCGATGCAGTAGTTGAACCAGATACTGTACAGATTAGGAGATTGAACTAACATCAGTTCATGCGGGTCGGCGATTTCTTCGAGATGCGTTTCAAAGCTGCGCAAGCTAAAGGTTCGGAGGTGGAGACGACACGAAGAAAGAGGCTCATGTTCGTGAAGTGAGCGTAGTAGACAAGGTGGAAATTGCTGTGGACACGTCCAGATCAAATCTCTTACACCAGGGAGCATTTCCAATAGGTCCGCTACCGGCCGCCAGGAAGAATCTTGAGCGCGCACATCCCATGAGCGCTGCATATCGGCCTTGAATCTGTATAGGAACTCTGGATCTGGGAATGTCTCCTGATCATAGCGTATTGTCGATGGCAGTCCGGTCTTGACTTCGAGAGTCCGGACATGCTTGAGATAGCCTTTTCCGTGTAGGAGCTGCCTAACATGGAGAGCATGCTGTGGTTCAATAGAAATAGCCTTGAACAATGCTGGCACAGCTGACGAATGACACGATTTGTCAGCCAGAGAGATGTTTTGAAGGCTCGCGGTGTCAAGATATTGGCATATGTGGCCGACAAGCTCGCTGGGAAGTTCGGTGAGGTTCATGACTCTCGCAGTAAGGTGAGTTAGCACCTGGGGAGAATGCGGCACGTCAAGAGGCTTGCTGTATGCCTTGTCTCTGCCTTGGAGACGTTAGGGCCCGAAGTTGAATCGTCCGCAAAAGTGTGCAGTGTGTTAGTGTCTGCGAAAACAACTCTCTTCGTTAGCGGTCGCAGTACAACATTTGCCACAGTCCCGGTCAGTTGACTAGCGACGACATTCGTCCTGCGATTGTGGTGGAGAGGAAGACGACGCGTCTGACGAAGACTGTGGAGCCGAGAACCATTGGCCAAGTCAAGGGCGCGCTCGGTGCTCCTTGCTCAAAGACCCGGCTTGTCGCTATAGACGGTAATCATTAAAACATATTATGGTACTTTCTGGACTGACACTAAAGAGAGTGAACGTCTAGGCAGAAGAAGAAGACCAGGCGACGTGGACTTCCTCGCGTCCGGCTGCTGCAACGGATATACCATTCCACAAATGCATCAGAGTTTGCGCCATCTCCGCAGCCCTCGAACCTTGCCCCGGACATCCATCTCAACCGGAGTAGCCGACCGACCGCTACCAGCGACACCTTGTCACCGAACCCATCGACCAGGAGATGTGCAACGAAACGCGCTTCGTCGTGGCCTCCCTTCCACCCTGATCCCGAGCCCACCGACCAGCTATGTCGCGCATGTTGCGTGCCAAAGTCCAATCAGAGCCTCGCATGCCCTCAGAAAGTCTCCTTACTGACTCTTATACGTCCCTGAATTGTTACACCTGAACCTTTGCTATTGTTTGTCACAGACATGGCCGTGCATTCATCGTCTCGCAAGCCTTCTCCTTCGTCTGGGCCAAATGGTCTACTTGATGACTCCATCGGTCCTGAGCAACCATTGCTGGGCAGCCAATCTTTGAAGGCGAAAAGCAGCACGACGAGAAGCATGACGAGGCTAGGAACCTTCAGAGCCTACTACCTCGGCGCTGTGTGTTGCATTGGAGGCTTTTTATGTATGTATGCGGCCATCTGAAGATCTCCTAAGCCATTCCCATTCAGCACACGTAACACTTCATCTTTCCCCTCAGACGAGTGCAAGCAAGTCATCTTCACGCCTCTAGTATTCAAACAGAAATCGTGCATTTCAATTTTGTGCTTCAAGCGCTAACCCCTCCCAGTTGGCTACGACAGCGGCATCATCGGCGGCGTTCTCACTTTCGATTCCTTCAAGAACGACTTTGACTATTCCAAAAAGAACGAGACCAACGTCACTGCTCTGGCAGTGGCCCTCCAACAACTGGGAGGGTTTGTAGCATGCTTTGCCATATGGCCTTTCACCCACCGTTACGGTCGTAAATGGGCTCTGGTGCACTGTTCCGTCATCTTCTGCATTGGAGCCCTGATACAGACCATCAATACACACTCAAGGCCGGCGTTTTACATTGGCAGAGTCATCGCTGGTATTGGTCTAGGTGGAAGCAGTGTCATCGTTCCGATGTATAGCAGTGAGATGTCGCCTGCTCGTCTAAGAGGTCAGATTGGGTAGGTGTCAATTCCAACGACCGTGAGGCAATGACCAGAAGAGTTGCTGACCTCGCCGCATAGCTCCTTCTATCAGCTGCTGTTCACGCTGGGCATTTTCACTTCGTAGGTCTCGAACGTTGGATTACATGTCGTCATACTAACGTTACTAGGTACTGGGTCGACTACGGCGTTGCCAGCGACATCTCGAAAACCAAATCGAGCCAATGGCAGATACCAATCGGACTTCAGATCCTTCCGGCTGGGCTTCTCGGTCTAGGCACGCTCACTCTCAAGGAGTCGACCCGATGGCTTGCCACCAAGGAGAAATATGATAAGGCATGGGAGTCACTCAAATGGATCCGAGCAGACGACAGCGAGGAGACCAATCTCGAAATGGACGAGATCCGTGCAGGCGTAGAGTACGAGGCTCACGCTAAAGAAGGATTCAGAATGACAGGTACGCCGTGTCTCGCGAAGCCTTGTTTCTTCGTGCTACGAACCCGTATACGAGGCTGACGAGCCCGCAGAATTGGTCGACAGGCACAACTTCAAACGTGTGCTCACTGCCGCAGCGGTCTTCACAGCACAACAAGCGACTGGTGCGACTGCTTTCGCTTACTTTGGACCACAGTATCGACTTCCCAATCAACATGCGCACACAACATCCACTGACCCAACCCGAACAGATTCTTCAAACTCCTCGTCGGCGACGAAGGCACGACAGACCTCCTCCTAACCGCCATCTTCGGCGCCGTCAAATTCCTCGCCTGTTTGCTCTTCGTCCTCCTCATGGCCGACAGATTCGGTCGTCGACAAACTTTGACAATCGGCGCCTTGTCCATGGCTGTGTGCCAGATCACGACAGCCATCGTACTAAAATACAACCCGGTCCAAAAAGACGAACCAGTGGCGTCGAGCGGGATCGCAACTGTGGCTCTGATCTACCTCTTCGTCATCGCCTACAACTTCTCATGGGGCCCGCTTCCGTGGCCCTATGTTGCGGAGATTTTCCCTGCGCGGGTGAGGGAGCCTGGCATTGGGACGGGGGTTGCGTCGCAGTGGTAAGCATGCAAATCCCCAGCGAGTGGACGTCTGACTGATCAACATTTGGACAGGCTGTTCAACTTCGTCTTCTCACTTACAACGCCCTACATGATCCGCGACATGTACGTGGAGTCAACTCGCAAATACCTCACCGTGATCTTGACCTTGAAACGCTGACGAGTTCTACAGGGGTGGCTGGGGCACGTTCCTCCTCTGGGGCCTCTTCGACTTCCTCGTCGCCGCATACGCATGGTTCGGACTCACAGAAACCCGTGGCAAGACGCTTGAAGAGATTGCAGTCCCTGTCGACCAGCGCAGACCCGGCACGGGGAGCTCAAGAGTCCTCATCGAGGAAGGGGAGGGTCTTGACCCGAAGGGACCACAGGTCGTTGTGCGGTGAGGTGAGTAACGATTTGATGACGGTCTTATCTCTTTCTACAGTCGTAGAGGTGTCTACCACCATCCATGCTGGGAATTACAAGTCCCAAACTGCACCCTCAACGGATGCCCCTCCGTGTTGAACACAAACTCATCCAGCACCACCAGGTCTGTATCCGAGAAGGTAAGATACAAATACTTCAATGTTTCCGCGAAGTAGTAACTAAATCACAGACGTCAGCAAACCATCCACCATCCACGTCCAAACTTCAGCAGCCCGTCCAAGGCTTATGACAGTACTCACCTCGGCAAATTATCAAACTGATCCCCACCCAGAGGCTGCTGAACATCCCACAGACTCGACATCGCCGTCCCACCCCGATTCCCATCCCTCTCCATCGCCTCAAACACCTCCCACACATAATCCTGCCACTTCGTATCGCCCGTGACCCGCCACGCGTAGAACATACTCTCGATGGGCTCGGGGTAGTTCGTGTACAGACCATTGACGATATAGAACCCGTTTTCGTCGTAGAAAGATTGCTGGTCGGCGGAGGAGATGTCCGCAGCGTTTATATGGTAAGGGTGTTGGGTGGCGTTCTGTGCGAGTTGAGAGAAGACCTGCGGGCCGAGGGTGGTGCCCAGGGCGTTTTGGGCGGCGTTGTTGGCGAGGGCGCTGGCTGGGGCGCCGGTGGAGTTGTTGGGGCCGTACCAGGCGAACTGGAGGGGATTGAGGCCGGAGACGGTGGCGTTGAAAGTGCGGTGGCAGGAATCGGCGTGCGCGAGGCCGAGGGCGATGAAGTCCTGGCGGTCGAGGTATGCGCCGCCGAGGAGGAGGTTGCCGCCGGCGAAGCAGGCGTAGTCATCTTGGAAGTGGCGCGAGACGCCGGATTCGTTGAGCTGGGTGATGAAGGTCAGTTCCGGGTGCTCGTAGGGGTGTTCGACGAGGTGGCGTTGGGTGGATTCGACGGTCGTGGTCCAGTAGTCTTTGTATTGGGATGCGGTGGCGGCTTTGGGGTTGTAGATGGCGGATTTGATGAGGTATTCGTAGAAGGAGTCGATGCCGCTTTGCCAGCCGGCGTCGAAGGCGAAGAATTTGCCCGTGTTGATGTCGAGCATGGAGCCGACGAGGTTGGGGTAGATGGGCTTGGGGTTGGGGTTGACGAGGTTGGAGTTGGAGCGGTCGGAGATGCGGCGGTATTTATCGTTGCCAGTCAAGTCCGATAGACGATGCCATTCGAGGATGTTCGTACCCGCGATGGCAGTGTTGATGACGGCTGTGTAGGTAATGTTGGTGAAGGGATCAGTATAGGGGTAAGGACCGTCTGTGATCTCTCCAGTCGATGTGTTGTAGAAGAAGTGAGGCAGGCCAGAAGGAGTGTCAAAGACGGGCTCGAAAAGATCTGCCAATGTCTGTGCTCCCTTGAGAAGGGCATTGACTTGTGTGCGGTTGTAGTGTCGAGCGTTCGGCACCTTGTTGTTTGTGATGAGATCGTAAGCACTGAGAAGACCGCCAATCCATCTGATCGTCGTATCGAACACATTGGGGAGGGTGTCTGATCGACTGCGAACTGTCAGTAGAAAACGCCACAGCCTCACAGCTCACACTCACGTAAAATCAATCGTCTCAATAAACGCCAACTGCTTATCCACCACATCCGTCAAGCCCATAATAGCCGCCGTATCGAGTCCATCCACAATCGTGAGGCCCCAGTTGATGTACGGATCTCTCGGCGCATGTGTCAAAGGCAACAACTCATCATGCCCAAATGCATACTCGACATACTCATTCCACGAATCCAGATACGCCTGCTTGACACGCTCAGCTCTCGGATCGGGTTTGCTAGGCCGTCTGCCAAAATCATGCTGGATCTGCTTGCAACCACGATTACCCCAAGAGCCCCAGCCTGGCGGTCCTCGAGGAGAGGCGAGCGCGCTGGTGGCAGCGAGGAAGAAGAGGCTCAATCCGCGCATGGCTTCGATCGCTATAGTTTGGAAGTCGACGATGCCGAAGAGGACCTAGAGGAGTCATCGTCATGCTCATATAACCAACCCAAACCCTGCCTTCCTTCCCCTCGCCCGCGGGGAGAGAGGAACACAGTGCAGCGAACATCGCTACTGAGAGCGCATGCCAAGTATGGAGAGCCTACCGTGCACAAGAAGCTCTGCATCGCTAGCGTCGCTCCCATATGGAGTGTGCCATTCTGTGCCTCATCAGCAAAATGTGGAGGACCCGCGAGGGCCATATCGATTAGGACAGATCTTCCTAGCCACTTACTTGTTCCTGGAGAGGGTAGCTCCCCAGACGCAGGTCCTGGACTGGCAGTGCATGCTCGAGTTGCATTTTGGGGCAGCAGTCTGCTCCTTTGGTCGATAGGTCGTGCAGACACGATCACGGACGGGAAGCGGCAGAGATGCGGTCTCGGCGGGGACTGATGACTTGTGTCACACGCCTTTCATCCGGGGTTTTTTGGCAGCTGCACCGGAAGGATCTGAAGTGAGGAGAGTGGTGAGGTGCGAAGGAGGTTCCGTTCGAAGCTTTGTAAGAGTCGTAGCGTGCTGCAAGTCTGAACTTTGACAAGAGCGCTAGTGTGATGATCTGCTCAGCCGGCATGTGGATGCTCGATGAAATGCTTTTCAGAATGACGCTTTTCATACTGTAGAGAACCTCTTCTCGCTACACAGGAATCCGACTGCCAATGCTTCGCAAAAAGTCACATCTCCTTCCAATGCCTCCCTCCCACGTATACCCATTCACCTGCGTGAAGTTATTCATGAGCCCAGGATCCATGTACTGAGCAGGAGACGGAAGCCCAGAGACCTGTGTGAAAGGATAATACAGCACACCTCCCGTGTTGTTCAAGTTGATGGCCTGCCACGAGTTTCTTCCATTAAACGTAAACTCCGGCCAGTGACTCGCAGGGTTTGGCGAGGTGTCCCCCGTGCTGTTACCATTTGCCAGCAGGTTAGAGATGGAAGGGTTGCCAGTCTTGATAAAGTTGCCCCAGGCAGTTGTGAGCGCGGCGTGCAAGTCGCCGCCAATGTTGGCGACCAAGCCATTGGGATAGTCGATCAGTGATTCTGCGACTTGGTCCAGACCGTGCTTGCCAGATGGGATGGAGAAGATGTATTTGTATCCGGATTTTCCCCGGCCTGAGTATGAGCCAGCGAGCCAGTAGCTGGGGCAGTCGAATGTGGCCTCAGAATAGAACTCAATCGCCCTCTGCTGGTGTCCTGTTGCAAAAGTGCCCACGTTGATAGCATTGGGTCCACCGCAGTTTCCGCACGTTGCGAATGGCACGTCCGACTCGTCTTTGTAGGGGTAGTAGACGTTGTTGATCTGATCAATGTCCCTCTGCGTGAGATCTGGGTATTCAGAGAGCAACCAGTTATCGAAATCGCTCGCAGTTTTGATAGTTGGATCGACGAATTCAGCACCCTCATTCGAGTTGTGACTGGTAAGCACAACACGGCCATTGACTCTTCCAGCCACAAGCTGATTGCTCGGAAGATCCTGTATGAAACCACCATCGACAACAGCCGGAACAAACGCCCACGAGCCATAATTGATGCCGCCGCCGACGTTGAAGTTGGCCGTCTGGAGCGTGGCGCTGTCAACATTCCTCAGGCATCTCAGGATTGTTCGGTCCGCATCGCGTCGCACGGTGGTACTGCCATTGTAACATCCTGCCTCTTGTGCCAGCTTTAAGTAATGCTGTTCGGGAACTGGATCATTGTAGTGGTATAGCACCGGAGTGTAGGGAGACGCTGCGATGCCCTTGTCGAAGTATTTCGTTCCATCTCGTCCACCGTATGCCAGAGCTTGCATTTCGACAGACCCAGCACCTGCTGACTGGCCAGCGATTGTCACTCTTCGTGGGTCGCCTAGCACATGTGAGAAGCGAAACCTTGAAATGATGCTCACACTTACCACCAAACTTAGAAATATGCTGCTGTACCCACTGCAAAGCAAAGTGTTGATCCAGCAGTCCAGCATTCGCAGTCCCATCATTTTGAACAGCAGTACTCGCCAGGAAGCCGAAAGACTCCAGACGGTACTGTATCGCAACACTGACGAACCCATAATCATTGACCTGTGTCAATTGATCAAACTGCCCCGCCGCAGCGCCCGCTCCATACCCACCGCCATGAATGTTGAAGAAGACAGGTAAGTTCTTGGCCCCCTCCGGCGCAAAAACATTCAGAAACAAACAGTCTTCATCCCCAGTATACGACAAGTCAGGAGACACGGGCGACTGAAACGACTGCGGACATCTCGGCGGAGCAGTATCGGCTTGTATAATTGTGCTTCGATTGGAACGGGGAGATTGGGGAGGTCGCCATCGTTGGCTGCCTGTGGGTGGTGCTGCGTAGCGGATGCCCATCCAGGCGTTCATGCGGGTGTCGGTGGTTTCTTGGAAGCCTTGATATTGGGCGTAGCCTAGGTCGACGAGGAGGGGACTGGAGTTGTTGTGATGCGGTGGAGGGGGTGGTCGGTGCCATTGAGGGGAGGCATGGACTGTAGCGGCACTCAGGCAGAGAAGAGTTGTCAAGGAGGACATGTGGTGCATTTTCGTCGTTGGACAGAGCGTTTGCCTTGTCCGGCCATCTCTTCACAAATCGACATCGTGACTTATATATACTTGGCAAAGTCGTGCTGGCCGGCAGTGTCGCTGTATCTCAGGTTGTACGTCTCCTCACGACTCCAATATTGATTGAACACGCATGCTCAGGTACAACTTCTTCCAAAGGCAGAACGTCGATGATCCTACAGGAGTGATCCGGGTGGAGGACCGGGCTGACCTCTTCTGTCTTTCCCCAGGTTGCATGCACATGGAATCCTGTTCAATATAGTCATCTCGGAGTTCATTGGTCACGCACGACAACATCCGCATCTCTTATGTGCGGTCGCATCCCGTGACTTCGATATTTCCCCGCGACTCCTTCTTGCCGCTGTGGACACCAGGTAGACTTGAACGGAGAGAGTTGCCGTGTCGCCGCCTGCCCGGCCGATGGCATGTATTGTCGATCCAGCCTTTCCGGAACTGAGTACGAGTGGACTTGCATGACTTCGGAAGCGTTCAGATGGCCATTCTGGAACATACAGAACAGGGTGTGTGGATCCATGGCAAGCTCAAAATGGTGTTCGCCGTGAAATGTGCAAAAGTCCAAGAACTGTGTGCAACTCGCATTGGCATGGGGCGGTGGAGCGAAGATTAGTAGCTTGCCCTGCGTTGAGGTTGTATTCTGCCGTTCGCTCAAGCAAGTCGTGCATCGGTCATTTTCCGTGGAGTTCATCTCTTGCCTCCCTTCCCTCCCTTCCCCTTCCCTCCCGACCTCTCAATGTTCCTCACGTCCTTAGAACTCAACTTCAGAGTTCCGCCTCGAAACTTGCCGATCTCAGGCCCGCCAATACCTCGATCCCGTTTCTTCGTCGACTTTGCAACAAACTTCTGCTTCTCCAAAATGACACCATTCTCCACGGCTTCCTTCCTCCGACTCGCTTCGCGGTTGGCGCTTTTCGAAGTGATACCTTTGCGGTGAGATAGTGGCATCTTCTCCTGCTCTAGGGCTGAAGACTTCGCGCCGAGATCCTGTAATCGCATGTCCAGCGCTTTCAGGCGGCCTTTACCTTCAGGCGTGGAGGCGGTCTTGCTAAAAGAGGATGGGTCCAGGAGATGGGATTCCTTCAGAAGTCGTTGGAGTGCCAGGTCGTTCTTGAGATTTGCGGATTCGGTGCCAGTCTGTCCTGAGGTCGCCTCCTTGCTGGGTTTTCGGGTTGCTTTGCTGAAGATTTCATCAATCGCGGGCGGTTTCGACGACTGCATGTCCATCAGCGTCGAGTGCAATTTCCGTAGCGTAGAGACGACAATACCATGAATGCTTTCTTCCCAAAGTCACCACCATCCTCTGCATCGACATTGGGCTGTGAAAGCTCTACAACTTCGACAGCATCTTCATCTTCGGAAAGCCCACTCCAGTCCGATTCCAGGCCCTCATCATCATCCAAATCGTCGGACTCGTCATCTTCATCCCTCGATTCTGTCTTTTTCGACAACTCCAAAGGTCTGAACTTCGCCTCAAAAGCACGCTGAAAAAGCGCTCTGGCAGTCTCATCGTCCTCCGAGTCGCTCCTGCTCCGTTCCCTCTGGCGCGGCTCCTCAGAACGCACATATGCGCGCCGCTTGCGCTTGCCCAGGGTGACCGCCATGTGACCCGTGTCGCAGAATTGCGATGTGATGGAACAAAAATAAATTTTCAAAGAAGCGAACTGATCGTGGCGCTCAAAGCTTGAACATCCGCCCAACGTCGAATCCCGCAAAAATTGGCAAGACAAGCGGGGATTCCCGCGAATGCCAAGACGCATTTGGCTCGCAAAACCTTGTTCTATCTTTAAAGCAAGCATTGAAACTGTTCCATCCTTCTCCGCCACAAGAAAACGTTTTTTTCCATCTCGTGACGCGTGTTTCACTTTTTCAGCTCGTGTCTGCAACGGCAGCGAAACAAGCTCCAAAAGGATGACGCGCTTCAGGCCCTGCATCGACCTGCACGCGGGCTCTGTGAAACAAATCGTGGGCGGGACGTTGTCGACCGACAACACAGGGCTGAAGACCAACTTCACCTCGGAGCATCCCTCGGCCTACTTTGCGGATTTGTATAGGAAGAATGAGTTGAGAGGGGGGCATGTGATTATGCTAGGGCCGGGGAATGAGGACGCTGCGAGGGAGGCGTTGGCTGCGTGGCCTGGGGGTTTGCAGATTGGAGGGGGGATTAAAGATTCGAATGCGAAGGTGTGGATCGAGGCGGGCGCTGAAAAGGTGTGTGAAAGAATATAGATGTGGTTGTTGTGTTGTTGTATGGTTGCTGACCTTTCCGCAGTAGGTCATTATAACTTCCTTTCTATTTCCTTCAGGTTCGTTTTCTCTCGAACGACTCCAGTCCGTCCTCGACGCCCTCGATGGCGACAGCAAGAAACTCGTCATCGACCTTAGCTGTCGCCGTGTCGGCGAAGGTTGGCGAGTCGCCATGGACAAGTGGCAGACCATCACGGAATTCGAAATCAACAAGGGTATGCTTTGCCCACGCTTTTTACCACATGTGCCGGAGACCAGACGCTAATGTACCTACCTCCAGATAACATAGCCTTGCTCGAGCCGTACTGCAGCGAGTTCCTGATCCACGCGGCCGATGCCGAGGGCTTGCAGGCCGGCATCGACGAGAAGCTAGTCGAGTACCTGGCTGAGATCTGCACCATCCCGGTGACATATGCAGGCGGCGGACGAAACATTCAGGACTTGGAGCTGGTGGAGAATTTGAGCAAGGGGAGGGTGGACCTGACGATTGGCAGTGCGCTGGACATTTTCGGGGGGAAGACGGTGACGTTTGAGGAGTGTTGTCGATGGAACGAGTCGCGGAGAGGTACGACTGCTTAGGCTGGGGGAGAGCCATTGGCAAGTTGAAACGAGATCTGGCCTGGCCTTGTGACAGGGACGGGCTAAGTTGACTAGTTGATTGCGTACATACCGTATTCCCACGTGGCTGGTACACTTTTCTCTTGGGCGGTACGCTTTACTCGTGGGCGTAGGCGACGGCGAGCACAGCAGAAAAGCTTGCCTACTAGCCTTGCCATGCATGACAGATCTCGGTCCACGTCTCCCTTGCGCTCGCCCTCCTCCTTTCAGACGATGCAATTCGACCAATTGCACGCCACTCGAGACAGCACGCGACAGTCGTGAACGATCCAGATCGCCTGCGAAGGTTCTCGCCACGGACGCTACGTCAGGATTAACAAATATTCAAAGAAAAGCCATCAATGTCATGTGTGCTGTGTGACGACGTCTCGTATGAAATTTCCAAACAAAGACCTCACATTCTAGAACGTTGCCACGGCACTAAGCAACAATACGCACACGTACTCGTGATGAAGAAATTCTATTCCAGTCCAGTCAGTCATCATTCAGCATCTCACGAACAATGAAGCCGCGCGCAAACAATGCCAAGTCACCAAGTCGTCACGGTCGCATCAGGTGATGATACAGTAAGTGCGATCTGGAAGCGATGGTCGTGTTGGTTGGCAGCCAGGCGTGGTCGTAAACGGGCCGATTGCCCGCAAATAATACCGCCAACCCCAGAGGAACAGATGCATGCAGCAACTACACGGGGTTTGCTCGCGCCCGCGGAGAGTCGGGGAGTGGTGGGCGCTTGACTTCGCTTCGGAGGCGAAATCCACGTTGCATGCTTGCCTGTTTGCGAGATTTTCACGATGGAGGAAATCCTGGCATGACAACGTGGTGCGGCGAACCCGTCGTAGTAGGTCAGGGGATTAGTCTCCATACCCGTGATGAGCGGGTGCAGCAAAATTTTTGTCTCCATGTTCCTAGCGAGGTACCATCGAAAGTATCGCAGTATGTAGATGGAGAAAGGGTTCGGTGCAGCCATGTGTCATGGAAGAGTTCTGGAATGGTCCGCTCCACCTGCGATCCCAAATGCGAGATCCACCAGTCGTCACGCTACAACAAGACGCACCAGAACCAACAGAACACGCTCGGCTCTAGCCAGTAATGTACGCTGCATCCCGATCCTTCTGTACAAGAGCTATACGGAGGTCGAACGCGGCAGATGGTCACCTACACGGCGCATGTCCCATTTGGGGAAGCAACGCCTTGCTCTGCGTGCGACTCTGCGGCGTCGAAGTGGGGAGAGCTGTGTTCTGCGGGCAGTGCGGGCGGCTGGGAGACATTTTCTTTCGATTTCTGGCGCTGCTCGTGTCTTGGGGTTTCGGTTCAGCTTCCGGCGATACCATGGCAATCATCAGACCCATGCGGTGCGGCCGCGACACGAGGTTGCTTGCCGAACGGTGGTGCTTGCGACAAACAGAGTGCGGTGTGCGACTTGACGATCGAATGCGAAACGTCTCGCAAGGAGGTACATCTTGAGAAGGTGATTCGAAGCCAATGCCTATCTATAAGGAGGACGGATGGAGGTACAGTTTAGCAGACGACGATCACTGCCTACATCTTGACGGCAGGATCGAACGACTCGAATGTCTCACCTCGCCGACAAGCTTCCTGCAGGGAGCATGCTACAGCTCCAACACTCGGCACCGGTCGTCGTCGTGATTTGATTGTTCGGTGGTGGCCAGTGGCAAGAGTTTGCGCCGCCCGAACAAAACCACGCGCCTGTCATGTGGTACTGCAGTGGGTTCGTCGCTCCAGCTGACCGACGCTCTCGACTGCATCCAGATTGGGCCACACAAAGACGCAGTGTAACCCATCCGACAAAGCGGCCGGGGTGCAGCTCTAGTTTGTTTAGACGAAAGGCGCGCCGGCCTGCGAGTGAGCCTCGGAAACGCAGTCCCCCAGCAGCTGTACTGGAACAAGGTCGCGTGAATGCTACGCCGGCTTCACGCATTCCGCGATGGTGGCCGGACAATGGTTCGACGAGTGCAGTGGCCTGAATGATTGCGATGGGCAACGCGCGGTATGGAAGTGGACAGAGGCACGGGCAGGTGTTCGTCTCGCTTCGCAACGGCACAGCAATGCCCATCTATCCAACCGTGCAACGCTCTCGTGCCAAATTATTCACCACCAGCTGCTGGTCGCGAGAGAAGATTCTTCACAGGCCGGCGCGGGCGTGCATCGCGTGAATACTGTAGTCAGTCAGTAGTTAGTCCGTCCCATCGAAGCAACATGGCCGCTCCTCTAATTTCAGCCACCATTCGACGCTATCGAGCGTGCGGGCCGGCGCTGATTGGCTGGCTTCCCCACTGCCCAGATTTTGGGGCCCCTCTAGACCGCGTTCATTCGGCGGAGGCCAGAGCGCCACGTGACGGGTTCACATGCAATTTGCGCTTTGACGGCACGGGAACCCGTGCGTTCACCTGCAGCCAGAGGCTCTGTCCCCGCGAAAGCCTAGCGCGCCTGCTGCTGCTTGCGCTCCCAGCTGCCGTTCTGCTGCTGGTGCTTGTCTTTTAATAAGCTCGTCGGCGCCCATTGTCTCTTCTTCCTCTCGCGTGCTCCTCGAGTCTCCTCTACCACCACCTGGGCCCCTCACTGCCATTGACAGCCAGCATCGACAGACACTGCCGCAGCGCCTCGCCTGCCAGTCACTCCCACCTACCAACACCACCCCACCGCCGACATGCCTGCCGGCGCAGGCCTCGCGGCCACCAGCGATGTCAATCGCATCGAGGCCCCTGTCACCTGGAAGGCCTACCTCCTATGCGCCTTCGCCTCGTTTGGCGGTATCTTCTTCGGTTATGATTCCGGATACATCAACGGTGTCACCGGATCAAGTGTCTTCATTCGACTCGTCGAGGGCCCTGACCAGGATGCTCTCCGCGGTTCCTACCAGTCCCTGATCGTCTCCATCCTGTCTGCCGGTACTTTCTTCGGTGCACTCATCGCTGGTGATGTCTCCGACATCATTGGCCGCAAGTGGACCATCATCTCGGGCTGTCTCATCTACATCGTCGGTATGTCGGAAACACCATTCCCCACGCAATTGATCGTTTCTTCTTCTGACTCGATTTAGGTTGCGTTCTGCAGGTCGCTACTGAGGGCGGCCAGTCTGAGGTCCTCGGCCTGATCGTCAGCGGTCGTCTCATTGCAGGTATCGGTGTCGGTTTCGAATCCGCCATTGTCATCCTGTACATGTCCGAAATCTGCCCCAAGAAGGTCCGTGGCGCCCTCGTCGCCGGATACCAATTCTGTATTACAATCGGTCTCCTCCTCGCCTCGTGCGTCAACTACGCCGTCAAGAACCGTGTCGACAGTGGCTCGTACCGCATTCCAATCGCCCTCCAGTTCGCCTGGGGTCTCATTCTGGGCGGCGGACTCTTCTTCCTGCCAGACTCGCCACGTTACTTTGTCAAGCGCGGTCGCGTGGAGCAAGCGCGCAGCGCCTTGAGCAGTCTCCGTGGCCAGCCAGCAGAGAGCGAGTACGTCGAGGCCGAACTCGCTGAGATTGTCGCCAACGAGGAATACGAGCGCTCCGTCATCCCAGCTGGCGGATGGTTCCAGGGCTGGATGAACTGCTTCACTGGTTCGGTCTGGAAGTCCAACTCCAACCTCCGCAAGACCATCCTCGGTACCTCTCTCCAGATGATGCAACAGTGGACCGGTGTCAACTTCATCTTCTACTACTCGACCCCCTTCCTGCAATCGACCGGCGCCATCGACAACGTGTTCTTGATCTCCCTGATCTTCACGCTCGTCAATGTCTGCTCTACGCCAATCTCGTTCTACACCGTCGAGAAGCTCGGCCGTCGTCCTCTGCTCGTCTGGGGTGCCCTGGGCATGTTGGTTTGCCAGTTCATCGTCGCCATCGTTGGCGTGACCGTCGGCTTCAACAAGACCCACATGGTTGGAACTGGTGAAGATGCCGTTGCGGTGGCCAACAACGTGTCGGCTGTCAACGCCCAGATCGCCTTCATTGCCATCTTCATCTTCTTCTTCGCCTCCACCTGGGGACCTGGCGCCTGGATCGTTATTGGCGAGATCTTCCCTCTGCCAATCCGTTCGCGTGGTGTCGCTCTCTCGACCGCCTCCAACTGGCTCTGGAACACCATCATTGCCGTCATCACCCCATACATGGTCAACGAGGACGAGGGCAACCTCAAGTCTAGCGTCTTCTTCATCTGGGGTGGTCTCTGCACATGTGCGTTCGTGTACTCGTACTTCTTGGTGCCGGAGACCAAGGGTCTGTCCCTCGAGCAAGTCGACAAGATGATGGAGGAGACCACCCCACGAACCTCGGCCAAGTGGTAAGTCGTGAATATCCTGTGATGATTGATAACATGATGGCTAACAACCCTCCAGGAAGCCAACCACCACCTTCGCATCCGAGATGGGCATGAAGGAGGGCGAGAAGCTGGATGTCGAGGTGACCGCGGACGTCGAGCGGAAAGGCAGTGTCTTCTAGAGCGACAGTCCCATCAGCACCAGCATGAGCCATGCATGTTTACGGGCGAACATGAGACACGATGCATGCATATTGTTGAAAAGAAAGAGCGTTGTTGTTTGTGTTTTTGATGCATATCATAATTGGATGTTCTCTGGATGAAACGATCCAACAGGAGAGGAGACAAAGAGACATGAGATTCCACCTTTTGCGATGAAATGGAAAGACAAGAAAGAAAAAAAGAACACTTTCGTATTGACATACCATGATTCACACATCATCATCATACCTACCACATGGGCAGAGTAGACGGGAGTGTAAGGAGGAGGTGAAGTGAAACAAGCTTGGCTGACTGCTGCCAGGCAACACGTAAGTATATCAGCACTCCTCACTTCGTATTTCGTCCTTCCTTCCCTCCACGTTCCTTCCGAAGAACCGTGTTGGTGGTTGAGATGCTGTGGTCGTCAGCCATGGTTCCGGGCGTGCCGGATGCCGGACTCGGATTCTGGGGTTTGTCCACTTGTGCGAGCGAGCGAGCGGTTGCTTGTTTCGTTTAGGCTGGTTTTGGTTGTTTGGTTATTGAGAATGAGCTGTGGTTGCTGAGCAGGTGGAAATATGGTGAAGTGGTAGAGAGTTGTTTTGATGAGAGGGATAGAGGTCGTGGTGGTGAGTATGTGTGTGTGAAAGTTTTTGAGTTTGGCGCTAGTGTTGATGTACACCAACAAGAACAATACTACACTGCACTATCACACGACACGATTTCGCAGATGAATGGTGTATATCGTCTGCAAGGACGAAGCAATTCTGCTCGGCCTTCAAGCATGGACGAACCCGAACCGGTGGTTTGAGAAAACCGCTTCCATGCCTGTCAACAATCAGACAGACATCTGATCTATGGACGAACACCCAGAAAAGACGTCCGGAGCTCATGATCTGACCTGGACGGGGATGACTTGGCGCGCGCGTTCCACGGTCGATGCCCTTGACATGGACCAACTTCGAACTATGCAGAGGCAAGTGCCTAGACTTCCGGCCCTGTCCTGCGTGCAAGACTTGCTGACGACGACGGCTATTACGTCCTATGTGTTGCGGAGAAGGTATGTGACTGATGGCTCGAGTTCGTGGAATGTCGAAGTCATCCTGCTGCACCCTGTGTGGTCTTTCTAGCAAGGCGGACTGGTTCGAAGTAGGTCTCCTTTCACCGCTTCATTCTTGACTGACAGACCTCTACCTGGCGGCCAAAAAATTGTATTTGAACTCGGCGACACCAAGAGCCGAACCAAAGTATCATCTCGAAAAGGAATTCGAAAAGCCGAACATGCCTCTACAATCACTTCTACTGGTCGCTCGCCCCGATGCCCCCGGTCTGGCATTTCTACGGCTTCGACAATGTCTACTACGCCAACACGGTGAGCGAGACAATCTCCAAAACCAGAGACGTGCTGGCCGCGAAATGATATAAAAGGCCCCATCACGAGGAAGGGAACAGGACCTCAATACAGCGAACCAAACCCACCCACCGCTACCATGCACATTCTATTAATCCTCTCCTTCGCCCTGTCCGCACTCGTCGCCTCGGGCGTCGCAAGGACCTCCAACTCCTGGTGCAATGGAGGAGACGACCAAGTGTCTGGCGGTTGTGCCGATGGTCAGTTTCATTACTGCGTACGTCGAACTCGCTTCGGAGGAGCGCCAGAAAACCTTCTTATATTGACGGGCGGGCCAATGCATCGACGAATCGCAGGGTCAGCAGGATCCTTTCAATATCTTCCGCACGTGCAGCTCGGCTTTTGATGTTGATTGTGAGGGTGGGAGGGGAGAGAATCGATGTTGTTAGGCGGCAAATGGCAGAATGATGAAGAGATTGAGTGCGTGAGGGCCTTCTTTCTGGCGATGATGTCTTCGCGAGATGCGGGATGCGTACTGTCCTCCAGACCGCAACGTTCAGCTTTGCCTTGAGCTGGACACGATACTCATCAACTTTGGGAAACTTACCATGTACCTCTTTTTGGGCATCGATTGGAATCCCAGAATGGATTCAGGTTTGGCGAACGTTCAGTCTTCGTCGAGAGACGAATCGAGGTCAACCTGTCAATTAAGACGGAGCCGATGGACGACGGTGACCATAAAGGCATTCTGTTTCCTTGCCCATCGACCAATGAACCCGGAAAGGACAACCTACCAAAGTTGAGGTCTAACTTCCTCTCGTATATCTCGGATGGTTGGATCTTGGATCAGGGTAGCTCTTTGCACTTTCCATCCCAACTCTCGAGATGGTCCATCACCATCCTCCTTACCCTCAAAATCCATTCTGTACAAAATAGTAAGTCACTGATCCTCCATCTCGACTCTGGCTGATTCCGCGAAGCCTATCGCACGCAGGTAGCTTGGATGCGCTCCTTCTGGATCACCACCGTTTTGCGAACTTCGCAAAATCATGACCCTCGTAAAGGCGACAAACCGGTGCGTCCAGTCGAGTCAGCCCAGTCACTTCACAACTTTCGACTGGGTGCCACGTTCACCCTGCCTCGCTTGCACGAGATTACGCCCACAAACCACGCAGCCCTGGAAAGTTAATCAGCTCTTGGGAAATCCCTTTAAGGGAATTACATAAGGGGGTCGAGGGAAGACTTTTCACGTAGATGTAAGACGCGAGGAATTGTCTGCTTCTGATAGATCTTACGCGAACGACGACGTGCAGAAGTGCAGCTCTTTCGTGGCGAGATGTTTCAATTGCTGCAGTCGCCCTTTGTGGGTGTCGTGCTCTGTATTACTGTGCTTGCGTATGTCGGACGATGGCTTGCGACGGGTTATGCCATTCGACGCAGAATTCATGGGAAGGTGAGTTATCGCCCCGTTCTTTGGGCAATGGCATGAAAGCTGATGATTTCGTGTACAGCCTGGACCGCCGCATTCTATGCTCTGGGGCCACCTGAAGGAGATGGGCGATGTAGCAATGGCGAGCCCTCGGAGGGCGCATCCTCATGGTATTGTGTAAAGTCAGGGGATATATCGTGATAGCATGTACTGACAATAAGTAGTGTATCCCCATCTCCTCAGAAAGAAGTTCAACCTAGGATCGGTCTTCTTTGTGGACGTCTGGCCTTTTGGATATGATCCCTTCATCGCAGTCATGGACCCGGCAGTCTGCCAACAAGTTTCAGACTACAACGCCAAGAAGCACCATTCGATGCAGTCCTTCCTCATCCCGCTGCTGGGTCGTGACGATATGGTGTCTACGAATGGTGAGCTGTGGAAGCGGTGGCGCACGATGTTCAACCCGGGCTTCTCAACGCAACATCTCATGACACTGGTGCCCGGTATCGTCGATGATGTCTTGGTATACGTCGATAAGCTCAACGAGCATGTCGAGAAGGGTGACGTCTTCCGACTTGAGGAGGAGACGACCCGCCTGACGATTGATGTTATTGGCAAGGTCGTGCTGGATCTTCACTTCAACATGCAGCGAGGGGATGACCCGTGCATCGAAGCTCTGCGAGAACAAGTCCACCTTTTGCCGAATGAGGGGACGCAGAATCCGTTCGAGACGTGGCATCCTTGGGGTATTTATCGCAGGTGGAGGAATGATAAACTTGTGAGTGGAGACTGTCCGCTCATATCCATCTCACTGACATGATACTCGACAGATGAATGACTACATCGGCAAAGTTCTAGACGACCGATTCGCCAGCAAAGGCTCCACGGCCGTCAAGACGGAGAGGAAACGCACCGTCATCGACCTCGCCTTGTGGAACTACGCATCCGGCAAGGAAGACGTAACAGAACTAACCAACGACACCACAACCCCCAAGATGGACTCCGCATTCAAACAAGGCGCCATCACGCAAATCCGCGCATTCCTCTTCGCGGGCCACGACACCACCTCGTCAACCATGTGCTACGTCTTCCACCTCCTGAAGAAACACCCGACCGTCCACGCGACCCTCTGCGCCGAGCACGAAGCCATTCTAGGCCCCGTCGAATCCACCGCCGACGTGATCAAATCCCAACCCCATCTCCTGAATAAACTCGAATACACCCTCGCGGTTCTCAAAGAGACCCTCCGACTCTTCCCCGCGGCCTCCGGCGTCCGCCAGGGGGAGAAAGACCTCAACCTGCACCTCCCCACCGGCGAGACTTTCAACACCGAAGGCTACATGGTCTGGCTGCTGCACTACGGCCTCGGCCACAACGAAGAAGTCTGGGGCCCCACCGTCAATGACTTCGACCCCTCGCGTTTCCTGCCGTCCAACGCGCACAAAATTCCCGAGGGCGCGTGGCGGCCGTTCGAACAGGGACCGCGGAATTGTCTCGGGCAGAACCTTGCGCTGCTCGAGTCGAGGGTTATTATGGCGTTGGTGTGTCGACGATTTGACTTCGATTTGGCGTTGGATGGGATTGGGGAGGTCATGGGGGATGGGAGTTTTTATGCGAGGAATGGGAGTTTTAGGAGGGGGCCGCAGAGTGTGGAGGGCGAAGAGTTGTATCAGATTTTGGTTGGGGCCGCGAAGCCTAGGGAGGGGATGCCGGTGAGGGTGAAGAGGTTGGATGGGAAGGTGGGATAGGGGTAAGTCTTTGATTCGGAACTTTCGATACCGAAACCATCTCATACAACTCAAGAGCAACTCTCCTCGCCCAACTATCACCCAACCGCCTTACCACAACACCACACACACCCCAACTCCCCACCCCTCTCACGCAACCAAAAGCGGCTTCACAACCCTCCCACTCCTCATCTCCCCAACCGCGCGTCCCAACTCCCCAAACCCAAACCTCTCCACCACCAACTCAAAAGGGAAAACCCCCCTCTTCCACAACCCCACCAACTCCGGAACCATCACCCGACTGACCGAATCCCCCTGATGCGTGCCCCGAATCGTAATGCCCCGGATCAAATGCGTCCCGATCCCGATATTCAGCTTCGCCGTCGCCGACGACCCCACCGTGATCAGCGTCCCCAGCGTGTCGAGACAGGCGTGCGCGGCGAGGATGCAGGACTCGTTGCCGATGCATTCGAGGGCGTAGTCGACGCCCATATTGCCGGGAGTGAGGGCTTTGATCGCCAAGGCGGTTTCTGTGGGGGTTTTGTGGGTTGAAGTGTCGAGGACGTGGACGTTAGTTAGGAGGGAGGGGTGGATGTTTGAGAGTTTGGTGGGGGACTTGTCGATGAGGATTAGGTGCGAGGGGGATGTGAGTTTTGCGGCGAGGAGGGCGGAGAGGCCGACGGCGCCGGCGCCGAAGATCACGATTTTGGAAGAGGGGGTGGGTTTGGCGATGTTTCTGACGTTCAGACATCAGTACATGATGGATAGGAGATTGGCAATAGGGGAAGAAGACTCACAATATCGACCCAGCACCCGTTTGGATGCCGCAACCGAGCGAGGCACACAGTTCCAACTCCCTCTTGTCTTCAACATCCACCTTAACACAACTACTCTCATGCACAAGCGCCACCCGACTCATACTACTCTGCCCAAAGAACCCCCCCTTAACATGCCCCCCATCCCCATCCCTCACAACCCCATCCCCACTCCCCGCAAAATTCATCCCCACCAACCCATCACAGAAAGCATTCTTTCCCAGCACACACCTTCTACACCGCCCACAAGACGCATACGCCAGCACGACCGAATCCCCGGCCTCGACGTACGTGACTTGCGAGCCCGTGGCGAGGACGGTTCCGGAGCCTTCGTGCCCGGGGATCATGGGCGGTTTGAGATGGAAGTCGCCGGAGATGGCGCGCAGGTCGGTGTGGCAGATTGAGACGGCGGCGATGGAGACGAGGACTTCGGTGGGTTGGAGGGCGGAGTAGGTGATGGGTTCGAGGACGGGAGGGGAGGGGGCGTTGGGGCGGGCGATGTAGGCTTCTGTTGCGAAGGGGAAGGTGATGGGGTTTGAGGTGGCCATATTTGGCTGTCCAGTTTCGTATCTTGGTGTAGGGTAGAATAAAGAGAGGAGTCAATGCTTTCAATGAAGCTGCAAGAAACGTTCAGGGTATTAGGTATTATACGACCTCAGGTTAAACGAAGCGAACGCGCTTAGCGATCTCGCCCAAAGAGCATCCGAAGAAGACCATCAGATGGATACGTTCTCGATGTATACCCTTTCAAGCTAGATGCCAGCTGCGTTCGATGGAGAGGGGCGGGGCTAAATCGGGGCTCGGGGCCGTAATGAGACTCGTGAGGATGATGAGGTAGGGTACATGTAACCTAGCTGAATGAAAAGACGAGCTGACGTGAAGCTTTCTGACGTAGGGCACTGCCCTGCTTTAGCAGCTTTGAGCGGCTGTTGGTATTGATGCCGACGGGATCTTGAGATCCCTTTGGAGGTAGCCATGGATTTCCTGTACAAGTAAGGTTAGCCATAGGTTCTGTACTTACTTGTGTTAGTCTCTCACTTTTCCCTCGAGTCTTGACAGTACCTGAGGCCTCACTCTCCATCCTCAATCCCAGCGTGACTCCTATCACTCACTTCTGGCCCTGGGCGATTGTGAGTTAAATACGCCAGAACATCGTCGGAAGGTCGGCTTCGATCTTGTCACAACTTTTATCAAAACGCTATCAACACACTATGTTACATTTTGCATACAACGACGGGCAGTAGCAGACCATCTGCCCACCCGCCCAGCAATGCGCCGCTTCTATTCGCCATGCATGCCTTTTGTGTTCGAGAGCGGAGAATATGCGTCCTTTCTGTGCAGAAACAACAAGCGCGAAGGGTAGTGTGGTAGGTAGGTGTTTGTACAAAATCCGGGGGCACACATGGCAGGGCGTGGGTATCATGTCACACTCAGTCGTCGTGAGGTAAGGTTCTCCAGAGGGGTTGCACGGGGCATGTTTACATCATGCCACCCATGCCTCCCATGCCGCCCATTCCACCCATACCGCCCATGCCGCCTCCTGGTGGGCCCTTCTCTTCTGGTGCTTCAACAATGGCGACCTCAGTCGTACCGAGTAACGATGCAACGCCAGATGCGTCAGTGAGACCAGTGCGGACAACCTTGAAAGGATCCAGGATACCAGCAGCAATCATGTCGGTGTACTCGCCCTTGGCGCTGTCGAAGCCCTTGTTAAAGTCTTTGCCAAACTCATCCATGAGCTTGCCAACGACGACAGATCCCTCAGTACCGGCGTTCTCGACGATGGTTCGCGCTGGGCGGGTGATGGCGTTCTTGACGATCGACACACCAAGCTGCTGGTCGAAGTTGGCTGGCTTCACATTTTCAAGAGCGTTGGCAGCAGCCTTGAGGAGGGCAGTGCCACCACCTGGGAGGATACCCTCCTCGACGGCGGCACGAGTAGCGTTGAGAGCATCGACCATGCGGTCCTTCTTCTCGCCGACTTCGACTTCAGAGGAGCCGCCAACCTTGATGACGGCAACACCGCCAGAGAGCTTAGCGAGACGCTCCTGGAGCTTCTCCTTCTCGTAGTCGCTGGTGGTGGGGTCAGCCATGACACCACGAATCTGTTCGCAGCGCTGGTTGACAGCATCCTTGGTGCCTTCGCCGTTCAGGACGACGGTATCCTCCTTGGTGATGGTGATGGAGCCAGTTGAGCCGAGCATGTCTGGGGTGGCCTTCTCAAGCTTGATGTCGAGCTCGTCAGTGAAGACCGTGCCGTTGGTGAGGACAGCGATATCGCCAAGGATGCTCTTGCGGTTGTCACCGAAGCCTGGAGCCTTGACGGCAGCGACTTGTAGTTGACCACGCAGCTTGTTCAAGATGCAGACAGCCAAAGCCTCGCCGTCAATATCCTCCGCGATGATGACAAGAGGTCGGCGCATTTGCTGGGAAGCCTCGAGCGCTGGGACGATGTCCTGGACAGCAGAGATCTTCTTCTCGGAGAGCAGGATCAATGGCTTCTCGAACTCGACCTTTTGTGACTTGGTATCGGTGATGAAGTATGGCGAGATGAAGCCGCGGTCGAACTTCATACCCTCAGTGATCTCGAGCTCGTCTTGAATTGTCTTGCCCTCCTTGACAGTGATGACACCCTCTTTTCCAACCTTCTCCATTGCGCTGGAGAGCAGAGCCCCGATGTGTGTGTCGCCGTTGGCGGAGATGGTAGCGACCTGGCTGATCTCTTCCGAAGTGGTGATATCGCGCTTGTTCGCTTGCAGGTACTCGACGACGGCCTCGACGGCGGCCTGGGTGCCGCGTCGCAGGTCCATTGGGTTGCATCCGGCGGCGACGTTCTTGACGGTTTCGGAGAAGATGGCGTTGGCGAGGACGGTTGCGGTGGTGGTTCCGTCACCGGCGACTTCGTTGGTCTTGCTGGCGACATCCTGCAGTAATCTGGCGCCGAGGTTCTCAAACTTGTCCTTGAGAGTGATGGCCTTGGCGACAGTGACACCGTCTGTGATGTACGTTAGTGGTGGTTGAGTGATTGATGATGGAGTGGGCTGACGAACCCTTGGTGATCTTGGGGGAGCCGTAGCTGGACTCGATCAGGACATTTCTGCCCTTGGGTCCCAGGGTGGTCGACACAGCTTTCGCCAAAGTCTCGACACCATTCAGCAGCGCCGCTCTGCCCTCAACACCGAACTTGAGCTCCTTGTGTGCAAATCTCTGCTGGATGAGCGAGCCGGGTCGTATTCTGTTGGTCGAGCGAGCTACTGCCCGGGGGGCGGACGTGAGAGCGCGCTGCATGGCTGATGGGATTGATGGAGGAATTGATTAAAGAGCGATTGAACTGCCGGACTCCAGATGGCAGCACAGCGATGGGGAGCGTCTCGTGATGGGAGGGAGGCTGGCGGTGGTGGATGGGATGTAAACAGTTTAAATCCTCGCCGGCTCAAGGAAGCGTCTCGAAAATCTGGAGAGGCCAAAGCGCTGCAAGCTCTGGCCAATCGCATCACCCGAGGTAGTCGAGCCCGCGACCTCACCTCCGTCTTCGCCGCATTCACTCACCTGTCACTATCATGTGCAATGAATCACTATCACGAGCGGACTGGGCCATCTCTGCATGTGCCAGGCCTTGGTTAGCGTAACAGGTGCCGCTACCCTGGTCTTTCTGCTCGAAGTGGAACACATGGCATCGCAATCCCTTCGAATTTCGAATCGACCAAGCTTCCAATCGCGCTCCAGATGGCTTGGACAGTCCATGAGTAATGGGGATGAGCAAAATAAGGATGGCGGTACCCATTCGATCCTGTTGATGCTGACCAGCTTGCCTACCGCAAATGGATTTTTTTCAAGACCCAAATTGGATGCGGGAAGACTGTAATTGAGCTTCCGCTGATTCGCCCAACCCAAGACATACCAAAATCTTCACCCAGCGGCGTGGCTCTGGCTTCTGAAAAGGTTTGTCTTGGCACTGGCGGAAAGCAGTCGACGACGAGGTCTGCACCCTCCGCGCCTTCGAAAAGAGCGATGATAGGGTCTCAAAATGCTCACATCCCCGACTCTAGTGTAGGTTCCAGGGCACTTAGAAGTCGACGCATGTCTCAGAGCAGTAGGTTAATCCAGAGATGAATGTCATTGTTGACCACGAGTGACTTTCCACTGCGTGACACTCCGCGCCTGTGATTTTCCTATTCACCGAGCTTATTTCGTACCTCTTATAAGTCAGACTTCCTCACGCCTTTCTCTCTGGTGTACTTCACAAATAACACTCACTCAAGCGCTACTCCCCCAGACCACACACTCGGCATTCAAGCAGTACACACTCACTCGAGCCAGTCAGTTTCAACATGGCGCGCTCAAACTCACCAAAGGTCATCGAGGGCAACGGACGACCAGTAAACTGGCTCACGCATACACCACCAGAGACCGAAACTCACGAGGAGCACATGGCAGTGGTGCGCCGCAGCAAGAGCGAGCACGAGGCTGCTATGGCTCACCAGAACTCGATCAACAAGTCGAAGATCGGCGCACTCATGGCGCACCTGAGCGCTGAGCTCGAGTCGATGCCGGAGAAGGGAACCGACCTCGAGCAGGCCGATGAAACCCACCTGCCGATCCCAGACATCGACATGAGCAAGACCTACTCGAACGAGGTGAAGCGCAACACCCGCGAGTACTTTCTCAGGGAAGACAAGCGCTTCATCGCCAGCAGGCTGGCCGACGAGGACTCGGCGCTCCCAGAGAACGGGTTTGGTTACTCCTCTCACATGGTCGGCATTCTCCCTCGCTCTTCTCAAGGCCGCGACTCCAAGGTCATAGGCGACAGCATTGAGCAGCTCGAACTCATGGAGAGAATGGCCAAGGTGAAGGCGGAACTCGCCCGCAAGACCGCGGAGCGGGAGGCGAAATCGGCCAACGCCGCCTCACATGTGGGGGTCGGGGCTCTCCTGTGCTGCCCACAGAAGGAGAAGGCTCTCCTGTCGCCCACTCCAGAGCGTGTGAAGAAATGGCTCTCCCGGCCAGAATTCAAGGACCGCTATTTCTGGGAGAAGGAGGGCATCATGAAGAGCGTGTTCGCGGGAGAGGACAATGATGAGGATGAGGATGATCACCTCCCGCAAAAGCGGTCCCCCGCCAGCAGTGTGAGCTCTCCAGACTCGTCCGTTAGGCGCAGCGCGCGCACCTCGCGCCCGTCGCCCAAGGTGGTGGAGAATAACTCGTCGGGGTCGTCGGGATCGGAGAGACCTGCGTGGAAGCGTAAGAGGAGTTCTTCCTCCCAGGAGGGAGAGGAGGCTCCACGGCGCTCGAAGCGCACGCGTGCTCCTGATAGCGCGCTGAGCTCACCTGGGTCTTGAAGGAGGCTGTAGCGCAAAGCTATATGGCTGAGTGAAGCAGCAGGACGCGCGTCGCTTACACCAAATGTGAAGCCGCTCACATGAGATGTGAAAACGAAACACCATCCCCAAATCCCGAAATTATCCCCGGGGACACGAGCAAGGAGAAAGCGATCGTCGGCCTAGAACATGATCTCGGAACGGAGAAAGATGCGCAAAAGACATGAAGAGGAGGGGTGAAAAGCCTCCACAAAGGCAGGCCATCGCGCCCGCGAAAAACCACCACCTACCATCCCTCACCGCAGAAAAGCGCGAGAATCCCCAGAAATAAACGAATGGCCAAGCTGGTGATGACCTCTCGAGCATCGTTGTCAATGGGTACAGCTTGGGGATATGGATTTGCGGGGGTAGGGAGAGGTTTCATCTGTGTTGTCGTCTTTCACCTAAAAATTCCGCGAGGATCCCCAGAAAGGATCGTTCGACCGAGCTGCTGGTTTGTTCTCTGACCCTTTCGTCGACGACCGGCTTGTGGGGATAGTTCGAGGTTTCATACGTCTTGTCGTCTTCACACCCCAAAACCAGCGATGATCCCCAGGAACGCTTGATCGACCATGCCACCGGTATTTTCTCGAACCCTTTTGCCAACGACGGGCTTGTGGGTATGGGTATGGATACTCAAAGGAGAGGGACATGGATGAGGCTTTGATGGCGAGATGAATTCGAGAATGCAGACTTGGATATTTGCTTATGCTACGGACAGTGGTTGGATCGAGGACTTTCACAAACTGCTCGCCGATGTCACAAGATTACAGAGTGAAGAATCGATCGCCGAAGTCGCCAAGACCTGGGACGATGTAGCTTTTGCGAGTAATGTCAGTAAGGAGAAAGAGACACTGTGTGATTCAGAAATGGGTGTCACGTACTTCTTGTCGTTGAGACCCTCGTCCACGAACGCCGTCACCACACGGACTTTGGGGAACTTGTCCGCGAAGTTCTGTACACCTTCTGGCGAGGCGATCAGGTTCAGGAAGAGGATATGGTCTTCGGGAACACCCTTTGAGCGGAGCACGTCGACGGCCATGAGAGCTGAGCCGCCTAGGAGAAGAACATCATCAGCTTCAATCGAATGAAACTGTAAGTAGTGGAACATACCAGTAGCAAGCATCGGATCCAACAACAACACCCATCTCTCCTTAATATCCTCAGGCAACTTATCATAAAACAGCCTCGGCATACTCGTCTCCTCATCCCTCTGAATGAGAATCTTCCCGATGCGCACGCTCCGACAGCACTCCCGCAGGGCCTGCTCCATGGCTTCGCCGGCGCGCATGATGGAGACGCCGCAGATCTTGCCTTCGAATTTCACGCCCGCGTAGGTGCGGCCGGCCACGGGCGTGTGGACGTTGTGCGGCAGCACGGGCAGGTGGTTGAGGGCTTCTTCGACGAGGAGCCGGCTGATGCGGTTGCTGTGGAAGATGAAGTCGGCGCGGCCGGTGTGTTTGTCGCGGATCATGCTGGGGTTTGTGTTAGATTCTATGCTTTTTGTAAATGGGGATGGGAGAATGGCTGTACGTGAGGAGTGCGATCAATTGAGGCGATTGATTCAAAATGTGCAGGTTGTTGATCTTCGGCGCCGTGGATACCGTCGCAGTGGGCTTCTCTTCCGTCGGTCTGTAGTCTGGGCCCAATTGCTGGCTGGGAGCCCGGATCAATGGCGACGGTCGTCCCTCAGGCATTGTGAAGAGTTTGTTCGGTGATGATCGAGGTTGGTCGGGGTTGGTGATGGCACTGTGTGTAGTAGCGTGAGACAAGGCTCTGAGCAAAGGACATAAGAATGTCGAGCCAAAAGACGGCTCGTGATAGGGCAATTACTACATACTGAAACCAATAATGGAGAGTGAGGAGGTGCGTGAGGTCGGAAACCGCCTATCGCTCAGGATAAGACAAGCGAGCGAGCCGGGCCGAACTTTAGCTCCCGTTACGTGAATTCAGGGTCTCGATTGTTGTTGATATGCGTCAGTCCGGACTTTGACTTCATCGCTCTGGACAACCACTCTCTCCGCGCCAAAACGTCCGACAACAGACACGAGTCTCCACTGCACAGCCTGGTTGCATATAATTTGCATGAGAAAGGTGGATATATCACGCGCTGCACAAATTCCTTATCCGCGACGCGCCTCGTTTGTTTCGCCGTTTGCGCCGACACTCATTGACAGAGAAGCGGCGACTATGATGGCTCTTCCTTGATCGCATTTCTTTGGCGAAAACACCAAAATCGCAACAACGCAACGCTTGAACATGGCGGAAGTATCAGCCTTTCCACTGCCGCGGAGAAAGAAGCCAGTGACTTATGGCAAAGCATCACGCACCACAAACACCTGGAGCCTTGATTCGCTCAAGGACGATGATACACATGCGCCCACGCCGAAGCCACTGGCACGGAAGGATACAAAGGTGAAAGAGACATACACCGTGTCGAAGGTCGAGACGAAGACGCACACGCTCAAGCCGATCAAACGCCGAGAGCAGAAGAGAGATGCATTCGATGTGCCATCGTCTGATGACGAGGAAGATGTGGAACCTGTTCGACGCAGTCATGCACCCAAGCTCATGCCAGGCCGGCGTCATATGATAGAGCCGGTGCCAAAAGCGAAAGAAGAGCCGCTTGCGCCATGGGAGAGGAAAAGAGCCGGGCAATCACAGTCTGAGAAAGAGGAACGAGCACGAAGAAGGAAACATTTTCCAGCAACGTCAGATGCACAGCTCATGTCGGAGCTCACGCATGCACTGGAGCAGGATCAAGATAAGAGCAACGTGACAAGTCCACCAAAAGAGCGCTCAATCGAGCCGATGCAGCTAGACGCCATGTCGCCTGCAAAGGTACCAAGCCCAGGCAATGGAAGTGCTGCGGCGAGGCTACGGGCGAGGAAGCAGCTCAACGGTAAAACGATTGCATCGAAAGGAGATCAGACCCCAACGCAAAAACGTCCAGGGCAAGATGCGGACGCTGCGACCGCTTCCCCTCGAAAGAAGTTGAAAGCCGAACAATCGCCCCTGACCGGTCATTCCGACGTTGTCATGGACGATGCAACAGGCAAGCCGGCATGTGAGCATCCACAGGTCGTAATACATCCTTCTACCGATAGCATGGATGTGTACGACCTGCCAGATTCAAGTGCTGACGAGTCTATCAAGAGCACACCGAAGGTGGCAACTCCCAAGCTTGGTGGAAACTCTCGACGGGGAAAGCTCACGACCTATTCAAGATCATCCCCACGCAAAATGGATTCGGCTCCTGCCCGCCTGAGTGACATGGTTGGTCCAGAGTCTACGGATGCTACATCGCCCTCTGCTGCGAATAGCCCAACCGAAACTCCGCCAAGATCTGCTGCTAGCCGCGTGGCCACGCCCGAGACTGCATTCAAGGATGCAGGGACGATGACGCCGAAACAAGCTCGACTTTGGGATCAGTTGCTGGACAGTGACAACTCTGCAGCGACCCCCAATGTCCTTGCTATTCGGGACCTGACGTTGAACACAAGACGAGTGGTGAAGACAATAAATGCGGAATCGCGGTCGTTTGTTAAATCCAGCTCTGATGTAGGCCCGCGGCGTCGATCCAAATTGGTGGATCGGTTGAAAGCTTCGGCGCCTTCGACGGACGCTGAATCTAGCGACGACAGTGATGACGATACTACGAACTCCGATGTCGAGATGGAGGACGATAATGCCCCAACGCCAGTCGAAACGGAAGCTGCGCAGCTCTCGCAGTCCCAAAGCCAAAGTCAAAGCCAAAGCACTCGTGGGCCGAAGGTGACCTACGCTAGTAGGTCTAGATCGCACCTACCAGAGGATAGTCTTGAAGATGGGCTCATGTTCAGCCTGAGCTCAGAGACGCCTCAGCGTAAAGGCCCGACCTCGCGCGACGTCTCGAACAAAGGCAACCCAGCGTCCCAGAAGTCAGCTTTCGACCTAGACGACAGTGGAGATGAGGCTCAGTCCGGCCGGGTACAGAACATTCATGAGTTGCGAGCTTCCGGTATAAATATACGCTTCGCGAGTGATATGGACGCTCTATTGCAAGATATTTGTGATCACAACGCATCTGCCCGCAGCAGAAGGAGGACCGCGTTGGTGGATCTTGCCAACAAACTTGCAGACAATGCGTTCGCCGAAAAGTTCTTGCGCCAGGGCTACGAACAGAACCTCGTTGCTGAGATGGACACTGCGCGTGACGGGATCGCAGACCTTGCAATGGCGTCTGCCTTTGCGACGATGTTGGCTCATGAAGTTCCTGAGCACGTAGCTCCCTCACTTCGCGATAGCGGCCTGGTATCGTGGCTGGATGAACTGCTCCAGGTGCGGGTCGACGCAACGAAATTGGCCAAGGATCGAAGATACAACATGTCGAAATCGGCACAAAGATCGTTTGTCGACTTCGCAACAACACTCAAGAGCCGAGAACTCGTTTGGGGCGAGACGACACCTACCCTCATCAGTCCACGCATTATCGCACTCAAGATCCTCGACAATCTCGTTGGCCGACTGCGACGCTCTGGTGATCGGAGCGAGATTGTGAAGATCAACGACCTTCGCCACATTGTCCCACAAGAGGATGAAGTTGGTGGGGACTCCGACCCATCTATCGACGTGACACTGGCTATATCAACTCTCGAAGCACTTTCTACGACTGCCTTGTCTTTGGCCTGGCCTAGTGAAATTGTTGACAGATTGAGGACCGTACTCGTTCATTCGACGAGCAAGAACAGCGACTCGCAGCAGTTGCTTTTCTTGAACTTACGACTCTGCCTGAACCTCACAAACGAAAACGCGAAGAACTGCAAAGTATTGGCAAAACCACCCACCGTGGCCTTCCTCCTCCGCGCGGTGAACGAGTGCTTCGCCAAACTCCACGCTGACGTCGATGACGAGCCACGAGTGCCCAACCTGGACCTGCTGGTCCTGTCGATGGGCATCCTGATCAACCTGACCGAACACAACGACGACGCGCGCCAACAGGCAACGACAACAGACGCACGCGCACTGCTCAGCTCACTTGTCGACGTGTTCCACGCCGGGCAGCAACGGCTCATCGAGGCGGAATCGGTCGAGCAGAGTGTCACCAACGTCGCTTACGGGTATCTCGCCGTGGTACTCGCGAATCTCTGCAGGAACGGGGAGGCCAAAGCTCTCGTTGCTTCCAAGCTCCCCGGCCACGATCTCACGGCGCTGGTGGACGGGTTGGCGGAGTTTGTGTTGCAGCATCAGACGGTCGATACCACGCTCGAGCGCGAGGAGGGGATGGAGGTGTGGAGGGCGTTTACGGAGAAGCTCAAGGAGGTGTTGAGGATGTTGAAGGTCGAGGCTGGGATGGTTTGAAGACGAAGACGAAGTTGTTGTGGGATTATGAATGAACATGGATGTCTCTCTCTCTCTCCTTTGTTAGTGCTGTCAGAGATACCCCGAAACTCGAACGAATGCCACAGCTTTCCAACGCTGCAACGGGGATGGATTCTTGTTTGTCAAAGCGGCGGTCAGGTAAGGTCAGGCTGGGCGGATGACGGAGGTGGATGCCAGCACGTCGTTACACGGCATGAAGACAACATAAAGACTGCCGTTTCCTGTCAACTGCATGTGGTTGTTTTCGGCTCTTGCATCACATGGTCCATGTGCCGACCACGTGCAGGACCAACAACGACAACCTACTACTTGCCACCATCCACGCGAGGGCGTGTGTGTTCATCCATCCAACCACCCAACCCAACGATCCCGAATGGAACGGTTGCATCTCTCCTATCCTACACCGCATCGTCGTCCTCCTAACCGAAGCGTCAGGGAATCAAGGACGTGTGCAACGGATGTTGTTGGTTTCATGCACGATGGATGCGTGGTTCGGCAGTAGTCGGCGATCTTGCATGGCTACCCGAGGCAGCGTATGCCTGTCTGTCAACCTATCTGTCTATCGGTCTTTGGTCTGCCTTCTTGACCGCTAGATGGATATATCACTATCTGGTTGTGGTTTCTGGTAGTGGATGTAACGCAAAGTAAGGAGTAGGTTCCCCGTTCCCGCGTACCGGAGTGTGGTGAGAAGAAGTGATGTGAGGTGTTGGACCCTGGACGAGAGATGGAGAAAGGACTGGAGGAATTGGTGCCCTGACCTGACCGAATCATCATCGACTCGACTCGCATTCTTGCTCCTTGACCCAGGGAAGCTGTTCGTCCTGCTCCGGGTATTCTTCGTCTCAAGTACGTCTCGTCTCGTCTCGTCGCATCCCTTTCTCCAGTATTCGCGCCTTACAAGACTAGAAGAGAAAGTGCACAGCTTCAAGGTTGTCATTGACTGACCTATTGATTACCTACGGCAGCTCCTTCATTCCATCAGAACCCACGGGCTGTTGGCAACTACCACCCAGCTAGTTGCCTGACTTTACGTACTAGCTGCTCACCTTTTGACGAAGCTTTTCCGCCCGCCGCCCAAACAACAGGTTGGAACCAGACCGTTCTTCCAACAATTCGCCGTTGCTTTCGCTGCTGGAGACTTGTTTCTGTTCTCTGTACCTCTTTGCGCGGTCAACGATATCTGTTTGTCTGCTAGAGAGAGAGGCGCATTCGATTGACAGTTGAGACTGAGCTTTGAGACGGGTGGGAAGATGCCGCCGCAGCAGAAGCAGCGGAAGATGGCGATTGTCGGTATGCGAAACGAACTGCGACAACAACACTCTCGGGATTGGAGAAAGAACGCTAACATGGACATGCAGGCAGCAGGTCTGTCGGTAAGTGAACCAACACAGCACAGCACGACCCGCCTTCTAGAAAAGGCACAAAGAAGCACCAACGCGCCCACGCGACACCCAAAACCGCCCTCCCCTGCAGCAGCCACGCCCACTATCCCACGCCCACCACGTCTAACCCACCCACCTCGCAGGCAAATCCTCCCTCACAGTCCAATACGTCGACGGGCACTTCGTCGACTCGTACTACCCCACCATCGAAAACACCTTCAGCAAAGTGATCCGCTACCGCAACCAAGACTTCGGCGTCGAGATCATCGACACGGCGGGGCAGGATGAATATACCATCCTCAACAGCAAGCACTTTATCGGCATCCATGGGTATATGATTGTGTATTCGGTCGCGAGCAAGCAGAGCTGGGAGATGGTGAGGATTATTAGGGATAAGATTTTGAATCATTTGGTATGTATTATACATACATACCATACACATGTTGGGGAGGTATTGATTCAGGTGATGTTTCCTTTATAGGGCGCCGACACAGTCCCCATCATGATCGTCGCGAACAAATCCGACCTGCGCCCCGAGCAGCGCCAGGTCAGCCAGGCGGACGGGAAGAAACTCGCCGAAGAGCTGGGCTGCGGGTTCGTGGAGGCCAGCGCGCGGTATAACGAGAACGTCGGCAAGGCCTTCGAGGGCATGATTGGGGAGATTGAGAAGGGTCAGGAGGCCGGGCAGCCGAAGGAGGGGAACTCGAAGTGTGTGGTCATGTAAAGAGGTAGAGGCGGGTGATGTGATATGATATGTGAGGACCCGGGCGCAGGCCGAGAGGGAGAGGTCGAACGCGCATGATTATGTGGACTGCAGAAGGAAGGGAATACGAGATCGTTACGATTGAGCTGGCGAAGCTCACTCGCGAAGTACATGCACGAGATGGGAGACGAAGACGGCCGTCACGACGATACAGATTACGGCCAGTTTGCGCGAAGGAGAGGAGAGCGAGAGCGTGATACCACATCTTTTTTATTCAAGTCGAGGGACTGGCGTTCGGGATAAACATTATACGTTACCTTTATGCTTGGTCCACAGGCTTGAAGGGATTTGCTTTTCTGGGCGTGATTATCAGGGTGGTGATGCTTTTTGTGTGGGTTTGTTTGATGCAGTCATGAGGTTAGGTTGATAGAGTGGTATGGTGTGGTATAGAGATTTTGAAGTTTGATGAGGTTGTTATTTTGTGCGGCGGTAAACACTTTCTTCTCTTCTTCTCACGTTGAGGAGTAAGGGTTGCAGGAGCTGGGGAGATGGGCGTCGTCCGACGACCACGACTGTAGCGTTTTTCTTGCGAGTCTGAAAGTAAGTATGATTTGCTGCTGGTGTTGGTGTTGGAGAGGATGATTCACATGTGATCCTTGGCGCGCGTGCGGGCGTTTAGGGGAGCTTAGTGTTGTTATACGTGCTGACAGCTTTCTGAAGGGTCGACTTCGTGGGAGTGGGTTTCTGGAAGGGGCCAAAGAGAAGAGAAAGGGAGAAGACATCAGAAGGGGGAAAAAGGTGAAGCTCAAAGCAAGATCTATTGCCGCGAGACGAGCGAAAGCCTTCCTCTTGTATCTATCTGCAAGCTTCTTCTATCAGAGACTCTTGCTTTTGCTGTTCCCATCTATGTCCCAAGTCCAAGTCCACAACGCCAACGCTCAAAAGGGGGTATCTCAACATCATGTCATCACACTCTCTCTTTCTGGTCGCATCTTCTCATCTCGTATGCACTGTCGATAACCGCATCCTCTGCACAAGACTCAAGCGCTTCTTCTTCGGCTCCGCCTTCGTCAACTCCACGCCCGTCTCCGTCAACGCCTCCCGCTGCTTGCCGTCGGACGACGACGAACCGCTGTGATCGCTGCTGGCGAGCTCGTGGTCGTCGACGACTTGGTCTTCCGGGCTTTGGTCTGGGATGGAGATGACGACGTTGGGGCGCGCGTCGTGGGTGCTGTCGACTGTGGCTCTGCGGGTGGGTTTGTTGTGTGGGTGGTCTTTCTCTTTCGATGACGAGGAGAATTTGCTGAAGACTTTGCAGACGAGCGAGCGGGCTTTCTTGGCTTCTTTCGCGCAGTGCTCGCATTCGGGGATGGGGTCGTCGGGCGTGGGCTCGTTCTTGGGTCCGACCTCTGGTGTCAAGTCGGTCGTCCGTGGGCCCCAGTTGTCCCAGTCGCCGAAGCATTTCTGCTGCATCATGTCGTACTTGGGGCTCTCGGTAAATCCAACGTCGATCTTCTTCTGGGTCTTGGGGTCTACCTCGCGCTCTGGGAGGTGTTCCGGGTGGACAGAGTAGTAGGTGGCGAGAGCTTGGCAGTAGCGGTCTTCATCTTCCTTGACCATTTTGTCGAAGGCTTTCGTTCGCTCCTCCATGGTCATGTCCTTGGTCTGCTCCTCGAAGATGGGTACGAACTTCTGGCGCCATTCTGCGATCGCTTTGCCTGCTCCTGGTCCGTCCTCTATCCAGAGGCGGGGGTGTTCGCGGTATGTTCTGATTGGAGTGGATGGTTTGAAGCTGCTGGCAGCTGAAGCGGTGGTCGGTGGGCGGGAGTTTTGCGACGTCTTTACCGCGAAGCCTTTGGACTTGCGTTCCTCCGGCAGCGCTTTAGACGGCTGGTCTGAAGTCGGAGTGGCCGGCTCTGCAGGTGTGTTGGTGTATGAGTGTTGTAGAGGCGTGTCGACAGGCTCGAGCGAGAGTTTTTGGTCTTGCGACATGTTGATGTTGATATGCGATGTGGGAGCACGGTCGAGGTGTATGTCGGCGGTGACGTCTTTCGGGGACTGGCAGTCCTCAACGTGCAGTGCGCTTGACTTGCTCCTCACGGGGAGTGTCTCCACGGTAGAGAGCAGCGGGCCGCCAAAGTCACCCATAGTGAATTATATGTCTCGATGACGGCCGTGAAGGCTCCAGATTGGCTAGGCAGATGTTGCGGGCGAATGAATGTCGCGGTAATCATCTAGTGATGGTGGTGAATGGGTGAATTATCGGATCGAGAGTTGCAATTCGGACGATGTGCTTTGGGTCGGAAGGAGCGACGAACTGCGGTTTGGTTAGACATGGTTCTACCGGATTTTCAAGGCAAGCAGTGGTGGAGGACGAAGGCGCAGGAAAAAGGTAATCACGATGATGGAAGGAAGATACGAAAGTCAACCGCGCTATCGGATAGCTCGGAATGTGCGCACCTTGAATTGACGCAGTCAAAGGCCGATTTCATTGTCCTATGTCATATCATTCCGCGGCTTTATTCTGCACTCCTTGTGTCTCCAATCCCGGGCTGCCTTCGTCTTTGGTCCATGTGATGATGCGCGAAAGGGCGACGTCGAGACGCAATCGCGAGGGCGGGACGACGTGGTTTTGATGTTTCGGCCCCATGGGCGAGCCACGGCCAACCTGCGACCATCGCCAACTCACCTGAGTCGAACGTCACAGAAGCAGACTGTTCTCCGTTGCCATGTGCCGATCGTCGTTTCGCGTGCGCTTCTATTTCGGGATTTCGGCTAATGTGCCGTTTGAGCCGCATCTCGATTGTTCCTTGTCGGGCTTTGCGAACGCCTTCATCCGCGAGATGTATCGCCCTTCACAGGTCAAGTCCTGCTTCCTGATTGCCGTATGTTCATGCCTGTTGGACCACCTTGGTCCTGTTGTGATTGCTGGTTTGTTCTGTCGCAAATGCCCTCCGCCTCGGCGAAGCTCAATCTTCGTCTGCATAGTCCGCCTCTCCATCCGCCTCATCATCATCTATGAATCCGTCATCTTCCGCGGTGTACTTCTCACCAGGCGCCAGGCCAGCTCGCGACGAAACTTGAGGCTGCGACTGGCGGTAAGAGGAGGCAGGGGCTGCGCTGCTGGTTCCAGCGGTCTCGTTCGCGACAGCTTCGCAGGCATCGACCCAGTCGGCGTAAACATCGACAGGCTGTGAGAGATCTGATGGCGCATTAGCTGTTGTCTTGCGCAGTTCGTCTTGGAAATGCCATACAGTTGACACCACACTGGTAGTTCTGGCCACACGACTTGCAGCTCAAGTTTCCGACGCCCGCTTTCTTATCGATCTTGACCGTGACGGAGGTTTCGCTGTTGCAGAAGACGCACTTGAAGGAGGTGGGGAGGGGGTCGCGCTGTGGTGTTCTTGTTAGCGGTTGAACACTGCGACACGCGACAGAGGCTGGCAGACCTTCTTGGGGCCTTGAGGACCGCGCGAGCTCTTCTTGCGTTTGCCCTATCTCAGGTCAGTCCTCAGTTCATCCAACCCAGCGCGAGTGTATACATACCATGTTCTTGGTGTGGTGTTTGTCGTGGTTGTCGCAAATGAGAGAGCTTCAAAAGGAATGATGATGCTGGATTGCAGGTGATCACAAGCTTGAGCCGCTAAGTGAGCCGCACGGAGACGGGACCAACCTAATTATCGCCTTGTGAACACGTGCATCGGGCAACTGCGACAACGATAAGACCGGCTATCAGTGGGACAACACCTTCTCATTACCTTAGCAACTTGATATCCTCAACAAGTGGCACACTGCTTGTAGCTTTCCCTGAGCTGTTTCTTTGTTCTCACCGTACCATGATTGCCTGACCCCTAGACGCCCGCCTCCTCACTCCTGCCACCCCTCAACACCGATAGAGAACACCGGCTGACTCCAGCACTACAATCTCGCTCTCATACCTTCACTATGTCGTCTTCAGATCTAGCCGACAAGCTGGATGTCATCCTCGAAAAGCTCACCAAGCTAGAGAAAGGACAATCCGAGCTGAGACAAAGCGATGTCGTACTGAACACCACGGTAGACGCAATCCAAGGCCGCGTAAATGCGCTTGCTGGAGTAAAGCAATCACAAGACGGGATTGCTCACGATGCTTCATATCCGAGCCCGCGGCTGGGTCCAAACAGCCCCAAGATCCTCCCTCGTAGCCACCAGAAGCGAGACAGCCTAAGCTCGATGGATGGTCAAGCCAAGGACACCAACGGCGATTCAGCTTCGCCTCCTCCCAGACGCTCGAGCATCACGTCCAAGATCATTCTGACTTCGTACCCCGGCCAAGCAGGTGTTGATCCCTTGCCGATGGAATGGGGTGCAAAGGATTCCAAGAAACGTGGGCCAGTCGTCGTCTCTCGCAACCCATCTACCATCCGGCGGCGAAACGCAATTGGTGCCCACGGCGGCTCTTACAGCATCTACTATGCACTCGCGGTCGCTTCGAAGCAGCTAGAGACAGACCACAAGCCCGATTACACCAATACCGAGCCGGCAGAAGACATCGGTCCTTTCCCCGCTTGGTATGACCCCAAGAAGATCGTGGCCATGGATCCGTTGGGACATCTTGCCCCTTGGCTGTACAACGACTACATCAAGGGCGAGAATGTTGAGATTCGTCCTACGATCGCTGTCACGAGAGCACACATGAAACTGCCCGAGCTGGAAGAAAGTGTACGAAAGGGCAGATTAGTACCTGACGGCAAGATCTGTCTCAACGAGCAAGGCGAGCTCAACGTCACCAAGTTTGCTGTCGAGCCTGTATGGTATTTACCCGGTGTAGCCGAGCGGTTCGGTATCGACGAAGGTACCCTCCGCCGCTCACTCTTCGAGCACACAGGCGGCAGCTACCCTGAACTCATCACACGAAACGACATCAAGTTGTTTCTTCCTCCAATAGGAGGTCTGACAGTGTACTGCTTCGGCGACCCTAAAAAGATGAGCGACCCGAACGTGAAACTGGCCCTGCGTGTCCACGACGAATGCAACGGCTCTGACGTGTTCGGCTCAGACATCTGCACCTGCCGACCTTACCTCATCTTCGGCATCGAAGAAGCCGTCAAAGAAGCCCAAAAAGGCGGCAGCGGCGTCGTCATCTACTTCCGAAAAGAAGGCCGCGCCCTCGGCGAGGTCACCAAGTACCTCGTGTACAACGCACGGAAACGTGGCTCCGACCGCGCGAGCGAGTACTTCAAACGCACCGAGAACATCGCTGGCGTCAAGGATATGCGGTTCCAGGCGCTGATGCCGGATATCCTGCATTGGTTGGGTATCACCAAGATTGACCGGATGCTCAGCATGTCGAATATGAAACACGATGCGATTGTCGAGCAGGGGATTCCGATCCATGAGCGCGTGCCGATTCCGGATGAGATGATTCCGGAGGATAGTCGGGTAGAGATTGATGCGAAGATTCATGCCGGTTATTGTGAGTGTTGTATACGAGCTGCATTTTCGTCGAACGTGTAACTGACTGATATATTCGTAGTCACGACCGGAAAGGTCATGACGGTCGAAGAGCTGAACAACGTCAAAGGCCGCGCTTGGGAAGACATCGACGTAAGTCCCACATCTGGTTGTGTTGTGTGTTTCCAACAGCCCGCAGTAAGCTGACAAGTCGTGCAACAGCATTGAGTTTGACGATGAAAATCGATAAATCTGCGTGTCTCCACAGCCCGGGAGCGAGGATGTCGGGACGGCACAGCAGGAGAGAAGTAGCTATGTACTGTACCCATGAGTGCGGGTTGATGGATAGATTTGTCGTGTGTCGATCAATGTCCTGCTTTGGCAGTCTTGGTCTTGGAGACGGCGCTGCAGATTCCAGTTCGTCGATCGCAGGAGATCATCGATGGACGTGTTGATCTTTGGAGAACTGCACGCTTTGCCGTGTGGGGTGATTGAATCCATAAAACGTGTGTCTACTTGCTCTCTTCTCTTCTTTCGCTTGGGTGATGTACCACGATCGTAGGTCGAATTCGCAGGATTGCTGAATGAGAATGGGCATGTATACGGTTGTTGTTTCAGTAAAGAGTAGAGCCGCACCGATAGGCACACCGTCGCACCTGCCTTTGGAAGATCACTCACATGTGCCTTCCATTCTCGCTTCACCCGTAGCTTCACTTTCACTTGGATGGAATTTTGACCTGCGTCTCTACGTGTTTCCTTTCTTCCTCTTTCATTTCTCCTCTACTTCCACATATACTTGTATCTTTCCCTAACAGTATCTTCATCACATCTCCCCGATGCATCTGCTTACATCATACAAGCTCACACTTCCATGCGCGATTATTGCATCCGGGCAAGCAAGGTTGGGCCTGCAACGTCCCTTGGAGATGGTGGAGTGAATATCAGCCCTGCACGGTCTGCAGCACAAGGGTTGCAACACAATCTGTCATTCTCGGGATCCGGAGAACGACATTTATCGTGCACGCTGCGTGGGATATCGCGCTCTGCAAAGCAGGATTCTGTCCGCATCCTTCGACCAGCAAGCAAGGTAAAATTTTGCTTGCCTCGACGTGTTTGCCAGCGAGCGTCACGACATGGTCAGGATACTACAGTCGGTGTGAGTCTTAGACGTCGTCTAGCTCACATCGAAGTGCTGTACCTGTGGGAAGGCTTCCGCGAGCATATCTCCTGCTAGACCGGGACAGTCCTGCCCAAAGCGGGTCCCGAACAGCTGGAGAGGAGGAGCTCGGCGTGGGCGAGGTGGCCGTCAGCCACTCGCGGTGCCTGAGAAAATGGGCCGGCAGTTGTCCGAATCACGCAGCGTCGAGAAAGAGAGTTGCATGCAGATGGCAGCCCAAGTCTAAATCCAGGCGCATCGCTCTCGTCCACATGGCAGCACTGGCGCGCCGCAGCGTGGCAGCCCTCAGATCCACAGTGAGCAGTAAGTGGCGTGGCATCAGACAGAAGGCCGTCGATTGGTGGTCGACATGGAGGCCCGCGGTGCTTGCTGGACTGACGAGTCCACTTGGGGAAAGCTTCCGTGTTCCCCTAGCCACGACACACACGACACGAGCGACCAAGCCCGGCGGCTGGACACGCCTCACGCGACTCTCACTCGCCGCTGGGAGGATGGGAAAGAGGAGAAAGAGGCTGCTGCTGCACGCTGCGGGCGGGCGGGCTCCAGCCGGAGACCAAAAAGGCCTCGCCAGATCTTGTTGACAGCGCACTACGACGCTGCAGCAGTGTAAGCGAACGGGCTGCTCTCCCGGTTCGTCGAGACGTCATCGTGATTGGGTCTTAGACGGCTCACTGCGGCGGATGGCACTGGGCAGAGGAACAAGGCCAGGTCCAACTTACGAGCACCCCCAGATACGTATCCTCCTCCTGAGAGGCGCTGCCCCCCAAAAGTTACTTTCATATGTGCCTTTTCTCCCCATTCCCCCTCCTCGTTGCAAGCATCTCGTTCCCAACATTCAGGCCTTTTTATCATCGACCTACACCTCTGGACTTGCTGAACGAGACTGCGTTTCATCACTCTGGTCTGGACTTCATCGACTCAATACTACCACAACACCCACGCACAATGGCCAAGTTCAGCTCATCGTCATTGACCAAACCAACCGTCACGCCGCCCCATCTCAACCGTCACCACTCCTACAGTACCAAACAGGATGGCGGCCGCTCACAGCCTGGCGACGCCACCACAGTCCTCGCAAGCGTAGCATCAAGAACCACCTCTCCCGGCAGGAAATCCCCAACAACAAGTCCGTTGCCTTCGCCGACAGAAACACCAAACGGCCACAGGCGAACCAGCTGGGAAGACTGCAAACTCAAACGTGAAGGCTACACGAGTTTCCCGGACTTCGATCAACTCCAGCACGACACGAAATCTCGAGCGTGACAATTACCAGACTCCGCGAACGCTGGATGAGACCGAAACCTGGAGGGATTGATGAATGCAATTTTGGGCGATCCCGCCGCCGTCGGAAAACGATTCCCGCCCGAGCAAGCAGCAAGCAGCAAACAGAATCGCCTCCAGCGAGGCGACTTGGTTCCAGCACGAACACCAGCAGTATACCCCTAAAATAACCTCAAGGGCGAGGCATCTTCTCTATTACCACCCGCGACGAATTACCAGAAGTGCAAACGAGTACTTCTCCCTACCGAACGAACGAAAACGAGTCACTCCCGCGATTGGACTCGACCAGCCGGTCGTCCCCGAGGCTGTACAGCACTGCAGTCGCCTCCTTTAGGCTGCCAGAGGCCTGGTCGTCTGCTCCGCCACCTGCGCAGACTCACCACGCCTAGGCCCTCGGTACTCTGAAGGATTGCATTGCAGCGCAGTCTCTGGTCGCTACTGGAGGGGCGCGTGTGGTGATGCAGGGCTCTTTACGTACTTGCTTACTGGGCGGGTGGATGGGGATTGCGACGTGGCACGAATGCAGGGGCGGAGGGGAGGGCTCCGCGGGGGGAGAAAGCTCTTACTTGCGTAGCGAGGAGAGAAGCTTCGGTTCTTGACGATGTTATGATTGATGAGTTCATGATGGAGGAAAAGTTGTTTGATGGGTTGGAATAGCCCGCTGATAGATCTTTAATGAAGTTGATTCGATTCATGATGGTGTTCTCAATGTGCATCACTCGGGTGTTCATGTGATGCTTCACTTCTTCCCTCACTGTCTTGTTAGCTTCTGGTCTCGCTTGTCGCCTCACTGTCTTCTTCCCTGTATCCCTTAGATGTCTTCTCACATGGCTCCCGATCCTTACTAGTCATATCGGTCGTCTCCTCACTCTCTCGCTCACCTACTCCTTGACTGCAGTTGAAACCGAGACGGGAAACGGTTTTGTTGCGCTGGACCAGCCAGCTATTTATTATATTATTAATTACCTCCTACTCTACAAATCCCATACCCTCCAAGCCACCGCCAACCTCACCCTCCCACCCAAACCTCCTCATCTCACCCCGACACCGTGCCCGCAGATCCCCAACACCGAAATCGACCTCGCTCCCCCATCTAACCCCTCCAATTCCGATTCCTTCGACTCCCAGCCGGCTTCCCCCCGCAGAACCTCTTATGCGTCTCGCAGACGCCGTCCTCGCACACCGCGCAGAAGTACTGGAAAGGGGGGTGGACGGCGCAGCGCTCGTTGTGTGCGCATTGGGCGTTGGTGCCTGGTGGAGGGGGCTTTGGGGCTGGAAAGACGGGAGCTGGGGCTGGGACGGTTGGTGCTGGGGGGCCGGTGAAGTTCATGTATGGTGCTGGGGCGTTTGGCTGGTTGTTGCCGTCTTGTTGGGTGCCGTCTTGCTGAGTGCCGTCCTGTTGGGTGCCGTCTTGTTGGGTGCCGTCCTGCTGAGTGCCGTCTTGTTGCGTTTGGCCCTGTTGGCGACCGTCTTGCTGCTGCTTCGTATGTCTTGGCTTAGCGCGCTTTGCGGCCGTTGCACTGCTCTCAGGTTGGTTGCCGCCCTTGTGCCACGCTCCGCCCTTGGTGTGAGCTGCAGAGCCCTTGGGACTGGCGGGTCTCTTCGCACTCCGCTTTGGTTGCGTTCGCGGTGGTGACAGCCCTGACTTTGGAGTAGCCGGTCTCTTGGCACCGCGAGACGGCTGCGTCCGAGTAGGACTCATTGTCTCCTTGACCTTGCCTTTACCATTCCATGTGCCCTTCCCCTTGACAGTGCTTGTTGTGCTCACTTCATGCCCCTTCTTTGCCTTCTTGGGCGATTCGGATTCGTGCTCCTCATCTTGAGGGCTCTTGCGCTTGGAACCGCGGGGACTGCTTGAGTTGGGGCCTTCGGTCGGTGTTGAGAGGTTCGAAAGTTGCCGGGCCTGTGTCAGATCGAGAGTAGGACGACGATCACGTCTTGACGTTGACGGACCGGCTTCGTTCGTTTGAGGAGCTGTGTTGACATTCTGAATGGCTTGCTGGTTGTTGTTGCCCTCGTCGTTGGGATGCGTGGCACTGCCCCGGCGCCCGTTGTTCTTGTTGAAGTTGTTCTTCATGTTGACGTTCTGAAGGCTCACACTGGGATTTGGAATTCTTGATAATGCTGTGAAGAACACTGGACCGGCAGTCTTGAAACCAACAAAGGAAATGCGTATCGTCTGGATGTGCTTGTAGTTGAAAAAGGAAACTGGCCAGCAGTCGATTTTTTGAAGAGAGAAGGAAAATGTTCACAAAGGCGATGATTGTTCGTGTTGTTGCTGATTTCGCGATTCTGGTGCGATTTGGCCCGGCATTTGTACTTGCTTCGACTTCATCTGGGCCTCCTTGGCGTCTCTACGACGATGAGAGACATGGCTGTGTCTTGCTCTATTCTCGCACGTGGAGTCTTACTTGTGAAGTCGCTGAAATTGTGAACTTGAAAGCCGAGCTGGCGGGTACTGCGTCTCCTAGAGCGCCTCGAAGGGTGCTTGTCTCAAGGCAGCTCACATGTCTAAGAGTTTTGAAGGTCGTTGCCAGCACAACTGTGAGCCTGAGAGACAACACGCACCTTCGAAGTTCTTGGGAGTCGTCTTGGACCGCGACATGTCTATTTTTCAGGCTTGGCATTCCGCCCCGGGGGGGGGGGGGGGGGGGGGGGGTTCGCGCAAGGAGTTGAAGCTGCGTGATTTGGACGACGTCCATCCAGACGTACTGCTGTGGTCAGACAACACATGCAGCGGTTCACCACAAAATCTGAAACATACCGAACTAGCACAATGACCTCAAAGCACCTCTGCGTCAGAAGCCCTTCCCTGTCTCAACGACAGCGCCCTGCATTTGGTCCGACAGACCCTTCTTCTGCACGTTTGCGTAGCAAGACCGCCGGTCGTTGTGCTTTGAAGTTGGAGACTTTCCCAGCAGCTGCCACAAGCCTTCTCTTCATCCGGCGTGCATGAAATCAAAGGCCAGATCTTCTGGCACGTCTGTCGCTGGAAGGACGTCGTCCAAATGGAGAGGGCTGGCACGATCTAGGGTTGGGAATGGCTATCTTAACAATACAGGTGTGAATTTGAATAGTGGAGAGAGGAAGAAGACGGTGCACGTTGAGTGCACAACTTACCGTATTAGACCTTGTGTGAGCTGTCCTTGATACTACAACGTGACGCAACGAGACTGGCAAGAAATGGTTCTGCCTCGATACCCTACCTACTTGCCCGCATGAAGTCCTGTGCAGGCATTGAAGACCAGTCGTCTGGCAGAGTTTTGTTGCGTGCTTGTCGTCGTGTCGTTGTTCTCCCGTGCGTCAAGTCTCGATCCAGTGGGAAGATTGTAAGGGCGAGTGTGGCCAACAGCTTCGACCTTAAGCCGGTGCGAGTGCAGCACAGCTGTCGGAAATGTGATCCTGCCTGGCGTACCTCGAGCCGGCATAATTATTGAGGTGCATTCGGCAGCCTCCGATGGCGTTTGCTGGCCTCCATTCCCGAAGTTCTGCTGTGTATCGTGTGGCGCTGCTGTATGGAACTCTCAGCCGTAGAGAGAGTCTGGTGGCGCTCAACGACCCAGAAATTGTGATCGTAGCCGACGACATGTGACAATGTCCTCAGTCTTCGTCAGGGACGCCTCCCAAAGTACCGCCAGCCTTTGCTCTCTGTTTTCGAGACTTCTTGGAAGCTTTCGACTTTTCGAGCTTCTCCTCCTTCTCGCGCTGGGCTTTCTCCTCTGCCAGTGCTGCTTCTTGCTGAGCAGCGGCAGTCGCCGCCTCGTGCTTGTCCTTTATCGATTCGTTGATAATTCCCTGAGCATGTTCAAGGTTGTCGTATCTCATGAACACTGACATGTCTCTGCCTGTCTCTCGCGAATAGTGCTCCAAGTCCATCGGTTTTCCCGTCGACTTGCCCATGAGAGCGTTATCAACACGCTTGGAGTCCTGCTTCTCCTCTCGGTTGAACTTGGCTTTGATCATACGCCGATTTTTGCCCGGAAACATCTTGCTGATGATGAAGAAGTCACTTCCAAACATTGCCAAGGCATCGTAGAATCTGTCCGTCTCCTCTTCAGTCCATGGATCGCTCTTCCATTTCCAAAGTGGTACTCGATCGATTGGATCGCGGCGATTGTTGTTGATCCATGTGGTGCGATTGAGGTGTGTAGTGAGATCGTTCACATCTTCCACTGCCCCAGTCTCTGCTGCTTGCATGGCCTGCGCTGTGGCATCGTGCCGTACGGTCGCTTCGTCGAGCACGATGTTGCCATCAGCATCCACTAAGAAAGCTTCATTACCAGTATTTGCACCGGCCGCCTGCTGAGCTGGTGCCTGTTCCGTTTCTCCTGCTTGCGTTTCAGCAGCAGCACCATCTGGCCCCTCGACAGATTGGACCACCGCGTCGGGAAGCCCCTGTGGTTGATTTGCCACAATCGCTTCGGCCTCGTCTCTCCGTTTCTGGGCGACCTCGTCCCAGTCGATTTCCGCCATCTTTTTGCCTCGTTCAGAAATCTTTCCATATCTCGTATCGTGACTCAGTTGGAACAGCGATTCGGCGCTGGGATCGATCTCGTGTAGCTCAGGATCCGACTCTTCTGACTCCTGCTGTCCGTCGCTTTCACCGGCCTTTTCATTGTCGCCTGCACCGTCACCTTCAACCTCTGTATTCTCGGCAATCCTGACCTGCTTTCTTTTCCGTCGCTGTTTCGCCTTCTTGGGAGCTGGCGTCTCAGATGAGATTTCGTCTTCAGGCGATTCTGGACTCGGAGCGGCCTCGTCTTCATCATCAGAGTTGGTGATAGTGGCTGCACTTTTCGTCTTCGATCTAGTCGTGCGCGTGGTTGTGACCTTCTTGGCAGGTTGCTTTCCTCGTGTCCTTCGGGTGTCGACAGGTGCTGGCGTAGCGCTGCCGTCGCCAGTATCGGCAGGCGTCGTCGCTGAACTTGATGCTGCGCCGTCATCTGCTTGCACTTCGGCTTGGACTTTCGCGTTGCTTCTTGCCGAGCTCTTCTTGACTCTTTTCGCTGGTCTGCTTGTCGTTGATGCAGAAGCCCCATCACGGCTTCTCTTCGTGGTTGCTTTGACGGCTGACGCAGGTTGCAGCGCGGATGTCGGCTTCACAACATGTGGAGTTGGCTCAGTGTCCTCTACTGCCCTCTGCTGTGGATCTGGTTGCTGAACTGGCTCCTGCGATGGGGCCTGTTGAGTTGGCTTGGGATCAGAGACCGGCTCAATTGGCGTTTCTCTTTGCTTCTCCGGCTCTGCAGCATCTGCCTCTTGCTGTATGTCTACCTGGGCAGTCGCAGGTTGGATGACGCATGTGGCTTCCCTCTCTAGGACAGGGGTCGCATCGTGGATAGCTTCAGCTTCGGGTTGCTGTTCGACAGCATCTTGCTGCGTTTGCTCGCGCTGGAGCTCGGATGTAGGCTGTGACTCTTTCTCCGCTAGCTCGACTCTCTCTGTTGGCGCTGATTCCTCGACTGTCGGCGTCTGAATGGGTGGCTCGGTAGGCGGTGGCGACTGGGGAGCGACACTGGTGGGCGCACTGGGGGTGGTCTGCGAAGGCGCTGCTGGGCCAGGCGCGGCTGCTGGTCGACGACGGACTGCTCCCTTGGGCGCTGCCTTCTTGCCCGCCGCCGAACTGATCAGCATGGACGACATGGTGTCTTCTGCCGCAGACACGTGCTGCGGGCGTCGTCGTTAATCAATATCGCAAGGGTTGGTCCATCAAACGGCTGGTGGTCGGTGTTGGTGAATTGACGAAGTGGAGAGCGACGCGCTAAGAAACTGGCGTGGCGGGAAGAGCCGCGACTTGAGAAACGCCAACTCCTTTCCTTCGCTGACTTGCCTCGACACTTGGAATGCTGCACACACGACCACCCCCCAACTCTGCGCCATTTCTATCGCCGTCGCCGACGTGAGTCGCTCCATCGGCACCCTCTTCTCTATGCGGACGTGAAGTTGGCTGGACTTCTGGCGCACGCCCTGGCGCAGACGGCGCTGCAGTCTGGAGCCTCGTTTTTTCAATGACCGCCACCAAGACCGCCCTGCCTGCGCTCCCGTCTCTGACCAAGATCGAGATGGAGGACCGCAAGAGGTCGCTCGCCAACGATGTTGACGACCTGGCCCCAAGTCGCAAGCGGCTGAGGGACGAAAATGGCGCCACCATGAGGATGTCTGACGAAAAAGAAAAGGACGTCGAGGTACGTCAAGACACGCCCGCGTCAGCTGTGTATAGCGACGTGTGACTGCTCGAGACTGACTTTGTGCGACTGCAGGACTACCAGAAAGATGCCATCATGCGGCAGATGAAGGAGTACAAGCGGCAAAAGAAGGATGCGGACGAGCAACTTTCAGAGCTGCAGAAAAAGACCAAACACCACAATGACCACCTCCGCACCATCGATGCCTGGTTCGCCCAGCTGCTCGATGAGGTCCGAGTCCTCGCGTCAGAATCGCTGCCTACCCCTCCTCCCAGCGCGACTTCCTCGACCGGTATGACAAGCCCTGCACATCACGTGAGAAGACCCAATACTGAGTTCGTGACTAGGAGAAGAGATGTACACCTCGGCGCTGTTATTTGAGGAAAGCGAGACTTTCTCGGAACATCTCAAGACTCGGTCTGGTGCCATTAAGAGTGCCATTTCAGAGCTGTTCGGCAGACTCCCCTCTTCTTCTCCAGAGGTGGAAGATCTCAGGAAACAGCTGAATGAGCTTCTGGCCAAGGAGAAGGAACATGCCGTGGAACTCAGAAAGACCATTGACGAGAAGGACTCGCTGTATGAGCGTCTGGAACAGGCCATGGCTCGGTACATGACCGCCGAGAGGAAGCTGGATCGTGCCAAGAGTACGCAGGTTGCAAAACTGGAAAAGCAAGCGACTATGGGCGGAAATGGTGGCAATTCCTCTCCGACCAACGGAAAGGCAGCGGCAATACCTAAGAAGGAACATGCGGAAGTGAACGGCGAACTGGAGAACGGTATTGCTAGCGCGGAAGCAGAAATCGCTCGAAAAGAAGCCATCGCAGCTGCTGAGAAGCAAAAGGCACAGTTGGATGAGATCGAGACAGAAAACGAACGTCTCACCAACGAGCTCAGTGCTGCGAGGACGAAACTCGCCAGCCTTTCAGACGATGATTACGCCGAGACCTCTCTGTTCAAGACTTTGAAGTCCAAGTATGAGGACCTCATCAAGCGAGTTAATGATCTAGAAGCAACGAACACGCACATACGCGAGGAGGCGCAGAAATTCCAGGCTGAGCGGACGGCCTTCCGGACCCAGATGGACGAGGAGAATCGTAACCAAACCAGCGACATTGAAGCGGCGAATGCACGGGCTGAGACTGACCTGGCGAGAATACGGCACACTCGAGACCAACTTACGTCTGATATTGCGATACTGAAATCCGCAGAGGAAAAGTCAAACATCTCCATTGCCCAAGCCAAAGAACTAGCTGAAGCCAAGGACGAGCGAATCTCAGCCCTCGAGGCCAACGTGAGGCGACTGGAGTTGCAGCTTGGCGAGGCCTACGCTGATCTTGGAGACCTCGAAGGCCTGGATGCTGATGAGCTTCGAACGAGACTCCGTACTCTGGACAGCCAGTACTCCATCCTCAGCAACGAGCTGCCTGCACTTGAAGCGGCTTGGAAGAAATCGTCGGCCTTGGCCTCGAAAAAAGTAGACGAGATCGCTGGTTGGGAAGAACAACTGGGTCGACTATCAGCTGAAAAGGCAAAAGCCGATCAGAAATACTTCGCAGCAATGAAGGCCAAAGACATGCGTGACGCCGAGTTGAGGGCATTGAAAAGCCAGAACACTCGCTCAAGCGAGATTGTGACCCAGCTGAAAGAAGGCGAGGCCAAGACGAAAGAGTTGTGTGTCAACTATGAGCGTCAATTGGCTGATGCAAAGGAGAGCCTGGCGAAGTTGGAGACCGTGAGCCGGACAGCAGAGCAGAAGTTGAAAGAGACCACAGCATCTGCCGAGGGGTTGAAGAAGAGCGTCGATGAGCTGAAGGCGCTCATTACCGTTAAGGACAGGGAGAACCTCGCAGTGGGAAAAACAAAGCGAAATGCCGAAGAAGAACTAGAGAAGTGCAAGGCACGACTCGACGATGTCAAAAAGCAGATGGATGCCTTGCGGAAGAGCAGAGCCGAAGTTAGTGCCACAAGCTCAGACGACTGGCGGGTGAGTCTAATTCACATGAATCCGAAGATGGACATAAGTACTGACCCGAGAACAGAAAGTTGCTATTTGCCCTGTCTGCAACGCTAACATTCGCAACACGGTGCTAAAGCTTTGCGGTCACGTATTCTGCGGCAACTGCGTCAAGGACCTCATCTCGAACAGATCAAGAAAATGCCCAAGCTGTGGGAGAGGATTCGGAAGCAACGATTCGATGAGCATTGTACTCACGTGAACCTATGCTCAGACCCGGAGATCGCTCTGGGTAATTTTCGTGTGTTTCAAGAGGGATAGGGCATCATCGACACGGCCACTGCGGAAGGTCGGCTTGCCTTGCGGACGCCACGCCGCCGAGGAATCGGTGGATAAGATACCCCTGCGCTCTTCGTTGCCGACGATAGCGAGCGGTCGTTATGGCGAAGTCGTGGTGCCGAGACCAGGCAATGGTTTCCGATCAGGCGGTGTGGATGGACGCCGCTCATTGTTGTTTCTAGACCGTTGGCACGGTTGGCTTGTTGTATTAGTATGAATAGCACGAACGTAGTATGTTGTAGTATGCAAGGAAATGAGAAGAATGAGGAGAGAGAAAGCAAGACACATTGAAAGACTCTCGGCGCTGTGGCCTCACATGTGTTATCTCTGGTGTTCGATTTTATGCATTGCGTGAATGGCTCCTGTACATCGTGATACTACTTTGTTGCTGCAGGGATTCACTTGCTAGTGAAGATAGTAGTATGAATTGCATACATGGCTCATCGAAAGTTAACAGCGTGTCAGGCCGCTCGTTCACTAGAGGTTAGAATAAGACAGAAGGGCAGAGCCTAACAACAACCTATGATGGTGAAGTGAGTCGTGGAGTGTCGGGTGTCAGGATGAAGAGCAAATTAATGGTTCCAAGTGAGCTGTAAACTGAGGGATGGAGAGAACGCGGATTTTGTGCACATGGGTGGAACGACTGATCATGAGCTTCACCGAACGAAGGGGTGCATTGATTTAGAATCACATGTCAAAGGAAGGGGGCGGTTCTTGAGTGTCTCGCCTTCGTAGTATATATGAAGATGGACGTCGTCCGAAGCTCACCATGTATATCGATCTAAACTTCTTGTTGACATGGATAACATGGATCATAAGAGCTCTATCTCCCACTGTACAAGTAACGTTAACACCCATCGCTCAATGCCAATCCTCCTACGCCGCGACAAAACGCCATTCATTCATAGCCTCAAAGCCCTTTCCTTGTTATCAACGCATCTGCGCTTCCTTCTGAGCCAGCTGGGTATGGCTATCTCTTGACTCGGTCCTTTCCTTTCCATCCATCTTAGATCTCTATCCTCGATAAACTCCTATCCATCACACTGTTCCGAAGTTTTTCGATGTGCCTGTTATCAGCGCAATGCTATTTCGCCCCGTCCGCTTTGTCGTTTGTGCATGAACGCCTGGCAGCCGCAGAAGAGGAGGAAGATCTAGAGTATCCCGAGAACTTGTTAGCGAACTCTGTGTCTCCCATATCCAAGACCAAGCTCCGTCTTGATGGAGTTGCTTACCGCGTATACCACCACAGCTCCGAATACCGCTGCGGCGACTTTTCCGCCGTCTTTGGGGTCTTCTTCACTGCCCATCATGCTGTGGTGCCCGCTGGCGAACATGCCGCCGATTGTGCTGAGGATTACGATCGCGAAGACGGAGATGACGATGCTGTAGAATGGTCTTTTAGCTTGGGTGTCCGTATACATGCTCGATGATGCTCTTTCCATACCATGTCCATGCGTTGAATGCAGATACTACGGGCTTCATGACTGCGGTGTTCTGGCGCCTGACGGGCGCGGGATAGGGACGAACGTTTAGAGTGGCGGTCGGTCGATGGAGTTGACTCGATTGAGGGCGTGAGATTTATCGAAGTCGTGCAGGTCGTTGGATAGCGAACGTTTGGGCGGGTGGGAGTCGATGGAGGCGATGATGGCGTGAAGTGAGGTTGGTGAGGTGGGCTTGTGATGCCAGCCGCTTCGAGGCGCGGGTCTTGCCGATGATCCATCAAGCTGGCGACGACGCTGCCCGCTGTTGCTTAGGCACGAGCATTTAGCTACAACAACTTTGAACTTTGAACAAATTGAAGGCAACAGTGGAGGAACGTATATATAGCTTGTAGGTGATTCCCTAACGACCTGCCTCAAAAGCGGTCATGCTAACCAAACCCACAGCACAAGCCAAACCCACTGCCTACAAGGCCTCCACCCACCATGCCAGCCTACCACTCCGTCTTCCTTGACGAGCCCAACCAACAACTAGTCGGGAACTTCGCCCTCCTCCCCCTCCGAACACGAACCCGTGGCCCCGCCCAACAACTCCCACCCCTCGCGGGCGTCTCAGAACTCGACATCGAAGCCAGCAACGAAAGCTACGACCCCCTCGACGAAGTCCTCTCCCTCTTCCGCGCCAACACCTTCTTCCGCAACTTCGAGATCAAAGGCCCCGCCGACCGCGTCCTCATCTACGGCATCCTGTACGTCAGCGAGGCGCTGGGTAAGATCAAGCCTGGCCTGAGCCGACGGGATGCCGAGAAGGCGGTCATGAACACGGCGTTGGATACCAACTTTGCGATCCCTGGCGATGCGGGGTTTCCGCTCAATCAGATGTTTGAGCCGCCCAGGGATCGGAATGAGGCGGAGGTGTTGAGGCAGTATATTATGCAAATGAGGCAGGAGTTGGCTGTGAGGTTGTTGAATCGGGTTTATGCGGATCCTAGTGGGTTGCCGAGTAAGGTGAGTGGGATGCGTGCTTGAGAAAGGCTACATTGCATTGAGGGTAGACAGTGGACTAACGAGTTCTACAGTGGTGGCTCAGCTTCCAGAAGCGAAAGTTCATGGGCAAGGCTCTATGATTGCGTCTAGGATATGATACTTCTCAGGCGAGCGTCGGTCTCGTGACTTGAACCGCGGATGGAGGATATCAAGACATCGATCTTTGCGATTACGACAGCCTCTCGCAGAAGTTCGACCGCTTCAAACGAGGCGTCTTGCTTCCAAATGCGAATGCGGCACGCTATGAGGGCGACCGCTTCACTTGGTCGAATGGGTTCTATGGACGAGCGACGACCAGATCAGGTTCGCGTCGATGAGTGAATGTCTCATGACCTCGATATGCGGCAAAAGCTATGAATAGAAGAGTCACAGATATGCAATGCAAGCCATTGACGGTGTGTACAGTCTGTCCCAGGCCCCTCCAATCATTCGAGCGACGTGTTCGCCTGTGCTGTGGGAATTACGAAACTAGGCCGGCGAGCTGTGCTTCTCGCACGCGATGACACCTACTGTGCCGCCTCGCGATTGACTGTCTACTACACCCACCCTGCGTCTTGGGGATCCATTGGTTCCTACGTCAGAAGCACGTGATGGGGAAATGTCTAAGCCTCCGCCCAGTCCTTCGATGCATGACGCTAGAACGAGTCTATCTGCACGCTAACCCACCGGGCGTCCACTCAGCCTTCGGGCGAATTCCTTCGCTGCACCAGCTGTGCCAGCGCCATGTCGCCCAGTTGATCAGCTGTTTTGAATTGGCTCGATTGCTGCATCAGGCGTGCAGTCGGGGACTCGTTCTTGGTACGATACGAATTAGTACCTCTGCTGAGCCCTGTCATCGGCTATGCGGATGAAGGATTCATGCCTGAGGCGAGGTTCTGACTGTTGCTCTACATAAGATCTGTACACCTTCAGCCTTTGACTATCATCTTTATCTCTCGCCACATGGCTACAACGCATTCATTCTGATCACAAATATTACCATGCCCAACAGACTATCGAAGCTATTCTCCTCTTCTGCCAAGGAGAAAGAGGCTCTCGCGGAAGCAGAGCGCAACCGTTCTTCGCCACCTCCAGAGTACGACCAACCTCCGCCAGAATACGATGAAGATAACGTCTTGGACCCTCCAGATATCACAGCCGGCTTCACCAACCTTAACATCTCGAACACATCACAGTCGCCTGATGGCTTTCCACAGCCTGCCGAATGCATAGCCCATCTCAAAGTTTTGGAGTGCTTCTACCGTTTGAAGCAGACTGTCGGCTCGACGGATGGCCTTTTCGGCATCGAGGACAAGTTCGTGACCGGACATACCATCACACAAAGCGACAAAACCGGCGAGCTGCTTGCCAAGCTCGCCGAAAAGCGATGGGCTGTCTATCTCCACCGCGCGGTCGATCGATTCGAGACTTGGTCCGCAGCAGTCACTCCTTCTGCTCGCATGGCGACTCGACCGAAGCTTGAGACACAAGGCAAGAAGGACTGGCTTCTCAAACGTGAGACGATGGATGGGCCTGTCATCAGACTTGACAAGAGCAATATGCCACCTGCAGACGTGTTGATGGTGTGGCATGCTTACATGCTCAACCCACGCGCATACCTGGAAGACTGCCTCAGATACGGTAGGATGCCGCTCTGGCATACACCAATGCCGTGGAAGACGGCGGCTGATTGTATCAACTCCGAGACTTTCGCGTACGAACCGGAAGCTGGCGCGGAACAGTCGTTCACGAGCCTCACTGGACTTCCTTGGGACAATCTGGCAGATACCAACTCCAAATCAGTACGATGTCCTAAGTGCAACAAAGCGTCATACGTCCCGTGGACGACTTGTTTTGGAAAAGCTCCCAAGGCCAACATCAGCGACGACGCCATCCTGGAGCGCTCAATAGATGAGATGCTCATGGCCGGTCGGGGATACTGCGACAAAGACTTTATCCACAAATGCTTCGACTGCAATGACTACACCACCCACGACGCACTGCGGGCTGGCAAATACCGCAATGACGTCAAGAAGCTCATCCACGATGATGTTCCCATGGCAGGCACGGTTCTCGGACACAAAGGCATACCATGGATGGCCTTTGGAAAGAGAGACCTCGAAACTGATGCGAACGACCTACCGAATGAGCTGTTCAAGGGACGCCTTGGCAAATACGTCCTTGCCGGCTTTGACCTTAGAGGTAAAGGACGACCTGATACCGTCGAAGCCATTAAAGACCTCGTTGAAGCGGCTATCAAGAACAGCTCTTACCTGCGCGAAGCTAAGTCTTCGTTCAGTACGAGACTTACAAGATCCGAGCGTATTGCCATTCGCAAGATGATGAGCCGGTACTGGGAGAACAGCTCTCCATTCGCGCTCGATCTTGTGGGTGCTGTCATTCGACAGGGCAGCTTTATCGAGAAGATGCACAATATCGACTGGTTGCACTCACCCGCCTTGCCGAGCACGATGGCTAGGCTGGTCAAGAAATACCAAACCTTCATGACTATCATGGCTGACCATCCTCTCAACATGGCTGTACCAACCCTGGACGTTGACCTCGCTTGGCATACACACCAGCTGTCTCCACACGACTACATGGAGTACACCGTTCTCCGCACCCGCCAATTCATCGACCACGACGACAAAGTCGTCGAAACAAAGCTGAACGACTCCTTCGCCTGGACCAGCAAGATCTACCAGAAGATTACCGGCGAGCCCTACTCCGAATGCACATGCTGGTACTGCGAGGCCATCCGCGAGTCCAACACCTCAGCGACCAGCCGACTCTTCAATACCTCGACCGCTAGAGCAAACGACATGGTCCACGCCGTCGACCAAGACCCTCGCAAGAGCGTCCACATATCCGCACACAATGCCGTGCGGCCTCACGACCAGGACAAAGCCTATGACCTTGACTCTCGCGCCAAGGCCTACCAGCTCGAGAAGCATTACCAGAAGGCTTGTGAGCGAGCTAGGAAGAAGGGTAAGCCGGAACCGAAGAGGAATGATTACTACTACTCCGATGCTTGGGGATATCCGGTGTATATCCCGGCTTATTCGCCGTACATTGGATTTGTACCCTACGCGCCTATGTACTATCCTGTCACGCCTGGATGCATGGCCGTCGGAGCTGGAGCTGTGGGTAATTGCTGCTCTGGGACTTGTGGAGCTGGAATAGCTGCTGGCGGTACGTGCGCTTCATCCGGCGGCTGTGCTGGCGGCGCTGTAGGTTGTGGCGGTGGAGGCGCAGGTGGAGGCTGTGGAGGTGGAGGTGGAGGTGGAGGCGGTGGATGTGGTGGCGGAGGAGGTGGAGGTTGCTGAGCGCGAGGTGGCGGTGGAGGAAATTGGCGTTGGTATGGGATGGAGATTTGACATGCGATACCCGTTGGCACTGGTGGACAAGCAGGCTCTAACTTCTTACTTTGCTGATGTTTAACATGGATTACCACATCATTTTCTGTACATGAATTCAGTGTTGCCTTTACTTGTGCCTTTGCTGCTTGCCCGACTTGTGCTTTTACTCCTGATTTCATTCTTAGCTTCACCTGTGCCCGCACTCGTAAACGTACAATCTATTTACTTCTAGTCTCATTGTTAGCTTTACATAACAATCTATTTATGATCTGACTGCTATCTTCAAACCTATCTTCATTCGTAGCATCACTTTTCACTCGTGGCTCGCCTTCATCTTGTTATGACATCTACACCACCATTGCTTTTGGTCGATCGAATTTCCATTTGTCGTCACTTATTGCCACAGTCCCATTTTCTCCTCAGTGTTCGTATCATCAGAGTTGGGTGTGTGAGATAATGTTTTGCGGTCGATATAAGATAGGGGCTCGGAGGGGTGTTGGAATAATGGACCGCGTCCAAGCATAAATGAAGTCATATAGTCCCATCGAGTACACAGCTAATGTCCCATGTGCTATCGAACATATCAACATTGTCATTCTGGGGGTACAGGATGGAGGATCGAAAGATTTGAGACCCGGTGAAGTGGTCATACAGAACGCGCCAAGCCACGCTAGTAACCCTTCGAAGATGGACTTCGAGGAAACCTCGAGTGGCAACCCTTCTCTGCCCCATTCCATCCCATCAGCCCAATGCTGGCCAACGTCGCGCATTCGCCGGCATGGAGAAGTCAAGGCTACGTCTGTCTGGCCTGTCGACGTCAGCGTCTTGCATCCGACCGCCGCCGTCACCAACGTAGATTCAACAGCACCGAGACCGATCAGTCCTCACAATCCTCCCATTCATGGTTCGACGCCTTGAACGACATCAGCGATGATTATAGCACGAAACCGAATAATAAAGCGCGGAACTCTGCCGTCGAAAAGACGTTCGTCAACAAATCGGTCCCCGCGAAGAAGGAGAGCACTCATGGCCGCAAAAAGGGCAAGATCGATGGGCTACGCTCAAGGCTCGACAAGGAAATCTCTGACGGTGGTCAAGAGAAGGTCTCAAATGAAAGGCTGATTGATCTCCTCAAGGAAACAGAGCCACTTGCTACTGCAGAGGCTAGCAGAATCCACAAGAGTCTACGGAGACCGACGAAGAGGTTGGGAGTCGGGCGTATTGGGGCATCACACAGACATGTGCAGCTGAAGGGTCAAATTGGCCTGTATGCATCACGCAAACGGGTTGATCTGAAGGCCAGCGCAGAGCCGGAGAAGGATTCGACTGTCGAAGAGTCGACTGAACAACCTTTGGCAGATTCAAAGTCGCAGATCATTGCGGATTTGATGAGCCAAGCGAAGAAAAGAGCGGACCAACGGGACCAAGATCCGGTAAATCAGGACAAGAGCGAAGGGACATTTGACGAATTCGCAGCGCTACTTTCGAGTATAAGTCGTCCAGCATTCCGTATCAGGAACATATCGTCGACCTCAACACGTCGTCCATGGCCCACCCCTTCCCACTCCAAAGATGCTCAGGAAGCGAATGATAGAAACAAGAGTCGCCACCCATCACGTACGAAATGGCAGTCGCTGGCCGAGTCAGACGACGCCCTCACCAACGCCAGCGTGCATAATGCGGATTCATCACCCATGGAGAAAGCAGCTCAAGCTGCCAAGTTTGATCGCCCGATGACTCTGGTGCAGCGATGGCTCATGAATCAGAAGCGAACCCAGCCCTGGGGCGTTACCCAAACTCCGGAGACCGTGCCTGCCAATGATTCTGCAGCATCGAAGAAGGTCGTCCCCAAGAAAGCATCCGCTGCTAAAGAAGACTCTATTGCAGCTTATGTAAATGCGAAGTTGAAGCAACCGCCTGCACTGGGAGATGAAATTGCCAATTCGAGCAAACAGGATTCCTCTTCGAGAAATCCGGAGTCGATTGGAAAGATTCTGGACGATATGAGGAAGAGAGCTGGTGCAGATCAGGTTATCACTGACGCGGATGTGGCAAGCGCAGTTCTTCAGGCGAAAGATCGGGTGGCAAAGAAGAAAGAGCGTGAAGTGAGTGAGCGTGTGCGGCGGATACTGTCATATGGCCCCGAGAGTTTGCAAAAGCAAGGAGCACAGGTGACCATGGACTCCGCGACTGAGGAGGTGCCGTTGTCTGGAGCATTATCTGTCCCGTCAGAGGAGTCACCCAAGACAGCCCCCGAGCAGGCGAATCTACCCGAGGAATCGTCAGTGACTGAAGGCATCAGGACGTCGGAAGCGTCGTCTGATTTAGCAGCTGAGCAAAAAGCCGATGTACTCACGGAGTCGGCGGTGAGTGAGGATGTATCTTCGTCTGATGCAACCTCTGCTCCACCTCAAAAGCCGGTCACACAAAAGGTCGAATCAAGTGAGAAACTAACGTCACCTGTAGGAATGACTGCGCTCGAACCGTCAACTACCCAATCCCAGGACCCTCCGCAAGTGAAGGCCGAGCAGGACGAAAACTGTGCGCCCGCTCATTCGAGACTTGGTAGTCTATGGAAGCAACGCGAACCTGTCGCTGCCACAGAACAGTCGACAGAACGGGAATTGCATACTTCCCAGAGCTCGGCACCTGCTACTTCCTCATCGAGCGAGCAGAGTGCCCCAAGCCATGGCAAGCCTCTTGTCAGACTCTTCCATACCAGAAGCTCCAAATCTGCACCTGTCTCAGAAGCTGCGAAAGAAGAACCTGCCGAGGAACGGGACGAAACACCGTCAAATGCGGAGATCAAGTCTATTGAGACATCTTCCCTTGAAATCACGCCGCTTGACATCCCGCAGCCGCCGGTGCCTTACCTCGAATACGGCCTGGATAGAGTTCTGTTCAATCCCGGCGTATATCAACTACAGGATCCCGCATCACGTGTTTACAACTTTGACCCATACCTTCAAACGATCATGCCCGTGGCGGAGTTCGACTTTGACGCGTTGAAAGAGTACAAGACGTCATCTCAAGACCAAGCTCTCGCCGAACTGGCCAAGGCACAAGGCAAGAAGTACATTGGCTCGACGTCCAGCATGACAAGTTCGCTGGCGCACTTCCACTTTCTGCTGTCGAACTGGCGTCCTATCAACTTGAGCATGCTCACCAACGGTTTTGTTGGAAAAGGCACCAACGCCAACTTCACCGAGATCAGCCGAGCTCCCAGTGCCATCTTCCTTCGCTGGAAAGACGGCACATACGCGATTGATGCTGATAAAGAATACGATGGCGCGAATGTGTTGATGCTGCTTGGAAAGTCCATGGAACTGCTTCTCACCTTGCCAACTTCCGAGTACGAGCGATATCGCAAAAGTGACCCTCGTCAGGTTCCAGAGGCGTCAAAAACGGCACCGGAAAGTTATCAATACACAACTATGCGTGACTTCCTGATGCGATCGCAGCTCGATGCTTACGACCCGCGGCTCCCTGGCAGCGGTACTTTCGATCTCAAGACTCGCGCGGTTGTGTCCGTTCGCATGCAGTCTCAAGACTTTGAGCCAATGACCGGCTACGAGATCTTCGGCCTACATGGCAAATGGGGTTCATACGAGCGAGAGTATTTTGACATGATACGTGCCACAATGCTCAAATACATGCTGCAAGCGCGCATGGGTCGCATGAACGGCATCTTTGTCGCGTACCACAACGTTAAGCGCATCTTCGGCTTTCAGTACATCCCCATGCAGGAAATGGATCTTGCGCTGCACGGGCAAGCGGATACTTGCCTGGGAGACCAAGAATTCAAGGCTAGCCTGGAGGTCATGAACGAGCTCTTCAACAAGGCGACTGAGAAATTCCCTGGACAATCACTTCGGTTCCATTTCGAGACGCCATCGCAGAAGAGCAATGGATCACCAACTGCGTTACATGTATTTGCTGAGCCCATGTCAGAAGATGACATAGATCGCATTCAGAACTCCCAGAAAGCGAAGGTGCAGGAGTTTGAGCGCAATGTCATGGGAAAGAGCGGCGAGCCCACTGATGCTGCACCATTGGCAAAGACTTCGAAGGCAACAGACACAGGAACTGACAGCACCCTAAGCCTCTCTTCGACGAATTCCGACGCCGACGTCAGCTTTCTCGGTTCAATTTCCTCTACCAAGTCTGATGCCAACCTGAAGCCTCTTTTCTACGCCACCGTGATTGTTCAATCAAAGGTCAACGACGAAACGGTACCAAATGATCGACCGACCAACCTCAAACGAGGAGATAAATGGGAAATCGATTATATCATCAAAGACTACGAAATCACAGAGCACGAATGGGCGATGTACGAAGACTGCCGTGCACGTCGCAAATACGCCCTTACGGAACGGGATGATGAAGACGGTGCCGATCCGGAATCTGATGGCGAGCCGCGAAAAGAAAACTCATTCATCAAGTACTTAAAGCAGATGGCTGCGGAAGGCAGAGCTTTCAGAAAGAAGATCGATGTTCTCGAGGCTGGCAAGGATATCGTGCGGGTTGATCAGCCATTGCCGAAGGAGAGGGAGAAGATTGATGATCTTGACGATTACATGGCGTGGATGTATGGGTCGAAGTGAGAACCGCTGGGTTGAAGTGGGTGTACAGTACGCATTTGCATCGTTTGCGGTAAAGGGCGTACAGATTTCGGCTGCTTGCATGTTGCATGGGCGAGTCATCTGTACTTTTATCTGTCCTGCATCTCTATGGAGTTGTCACAGCAAGCTGCCGGAACCCTGAGGCGCGGTTCCTTCAGAAAATGGCAGACCATTTGCAGAATCGGGCATAGCAACTGTTTTTTTCGGACGAGGTAGCCACGATTGCTAAATAGTCATGACATCGGCCAACTTTGTCGCCGGCATTAAACACCTATCTCCAAAACATACGGATGAACTACATCCCGGGTTGAGCTATATGTTTGATCTAAGAAATGTAGGCAAAGACATGTAGCCAAGAGACAACCTTTATTGGTCTCAACGGCAATGGCTTCTCCGGTGTCTCCTTACAGACCATATTTGGCTGTGCACGAGGCGTTGTTGAATGGGGGAAAGGATGAGCGACCGACTGCTTTGCAGGTCGTCGCGGACTGCAATGCTTTGGGTTCGCTGAGAGGGCAGAGTGTGCTGATTACGGGATGCTCGGGTGGGAGTAGGTTCTCAACGACTGGAGGAGACTTGTATCGATAAGAGCAGTGCACAGCTGACATTTATCATAGTCGGCAAGACGACCGCTGCGGCTCTGTATGAGACTGGTGCAGCTCTGTACCTGACGGCGAGGGACTTGTCGAAGATGGAGGATGTCATTGAGGAGATCGTGCAGAAGTCTCCTTCGAAAGAGAAGGGGTTTCCAAGACCTGTCCCCATCGAACTGCACCTGGATTCTCTGGAGAGCGTGCGGTCCGCGGCGACCACGATCAAGTCGAAAACCGATAGTCTCCACCTCCTGATCAACAACGCAGGCGTCGGCGGAGTCCCCCACGGCACCACGAAAGACGGCTTCGAAACGCACATGGGCGTGAACCACTTCGCGCACTTCCTCCTCTTCCAACTCCTCCGCCCACTCCTACTCAAAGCCCACCAAACCACGCACCGCCCCTCCCGCATCATCAACGTCTCCTCAACCGCCCACTTCCTCTCCCAAATCTCCTTCTCCGACCTCAACTGGCAGACCCGCTCGTACCAGAAATTCCCTGCCTACGGCCAATCCAAACTCGCCAACATCTTCATGACCACCGAACTCACGCGCCGCTACAGCTCGCAGGGCCTCCTCGGCCTCGCAGTCCACCCCGGCGGAATCTTCGAAGGCTCCCAGCTGACGCGATACATGACCGAGGAGGACTCCGCGGGGTTCACGAAGGAGTCTATGGAGAGGATCCAGAAGGTTAATAAGACCCCCGAGCAAGGGGCCGCGACAACGGTGTGGGCGGCTGTGAGTGGACGGTTTGAGGATGTGGCGAATGGGGGCAGGTATTTGGGGGATGTTGGGGAGAGTCCTTTGGCGAGCGACGACGAGGTTTTTGAGTATACGGCGGCTTATGCGGGGCATGCTTTTGATGAGGAGGGGGAGAGGAGGTTGTGGGAGGTTAGTTGTGAGGCTGTTGGGGTGGATGGGGATTTGTAGTTGTTCTTGTCTTCTCCATTTCGAGCGGCAATAGCAACCGCCAATGAGACACTCTTCCAGCTGTCATTCTATACCGGCTGCTCTTGGTCACGTTCTTTGTCGATAATTGCTCATTCATCGAATTAGTTTGATATAGCTTCCGCTCAGGCTTTCTCTTTTTGTGGTATGTTCTTATTCTTAGCCATGGCTCTTCGACAAAAATCAAGGAGGAGCAACGTCGACATGCATCACAGCGTCAGCGAGTCGGCCTGGTAAAACCAGTCTACATCAGCCCGTTGAGTTGCAAGGCTTGAAGGATCTAGTCCTCCTCTTCCAAAGATCTCCGCGAACAGGTAGTCCTCGTTGCTTTCTGTGTAGTCGCTACCGCTCAGGACTGGGTATTGTGGGGTTGGATACTGTTGGCTGAAATCAGGCTGACCAGAATCGTCGAGCTGCTGCTGGGGATCGGCTAGTTGTGTGCCCTCAGTAGCTTCTTTGGTACTGGTAGAAGCGTCAAACTCCCTCTCTGGTGTAGCTCTCTTGCTGATATGGCCTCCAAACTCCTCGCGCCACATCCACAGGAAGTCATGAACTAAGCTACCGGAGAGGCGAGTCCGGAGTTTCAGGTGAGGCTCTCTGTCACCGGCATCTCTCGAGGTGTAATCCATTGTTCGGAGCTGAGACAGCATTTTGTGCACTTTCGATCGATAATCACCCGTCGTCGAGACACACTCGCGTAGTTTCACCATGCAGACATCGAGAGCCGAGTCGCCAGCCGCCACATCGACATCCTCGGAGTAGCTGCTTTTCATCACCTTCAGAAGGAAGATTGAGGCAAATATGATGGCGTCTTGATAGATGACCGGTGCGTAACGGAGCGAACCTGTAGATCCGTCGACTTCTTTGAGCAGGCTGACCAGCAGCAGAGCAAGCTGATACGCTCGTAGGATGCCCAGACGTCGACCAGCAGATGTGCGTCTTTCGAAGAAGTAGTACACACGCATTTGAAGACCAGCGAAGGTCAGCATCACCCTTGCTTTAGCTGGAACCAAGTCAGTCCGTGAAGAAATATATCTCCGAGCAGAAAAGACCACTGACCGGAAAGTCTGTCGTCCAAGTTTGACCATAGAGTCTTGAAGTCTCTCTCCATCAATCTGAGAATCACTGCTCTCTCACTGTGGACATCTCCTGTCTCTCTGCTGACAGATGCCATAAGGCGATGCACACGATTGCTGAATACGAAGATCTGGAACAGATGATCGAGTTGAGATGGAAGACCGGCCCCAATGGCTATACTCAAGATTTGATCCGAAGTCACTTCGTCTCGAATAACCGATGGCTGCCCAATGAAGCCGGTGACACTGTCAGAAGGTTTAGTGGAAATTGAAACAAAAGTAGATACGTGACCAGCATCTCACCTCTCCACAGCAACAACACACGCCGCCCATGTCTTTGCAGCTTTGAGCCTGTCTATATTTCTTGCCCCGTGCTTCAAGTGCGAGAAGTCTCGCATGTTATCCAGAGAGTGTAATCCGATTTGCATAGCTGCACTTCTTGTAGCGGCAACGAGAGGAAAGCGAAAGTCGCTGCTCATGGACGGTGCTGGAAACGGCCACAGACAAAGCAACAGCATACCTTGTATGTCGCCAACTGAGTGTGGAGGTCGTGCGAATGTCGTCCATAGTAATTCGGTGACAGCTGGAGCCAACGTCACTTGCAACGTAGAGTTCAGGCTGTCATGCCGGCTTGCTACAGCGATGATGGCCCAGAATAGGAGTGGTGATTGGGCGTACGTTCGATCGGGGAAATCATGCGCATCTTGAAGGTCTATGAATGGATGTTGCATCTCAAAGAATCTGGTGTGTGTCAGGCCACGCGGGAACCCTCGATACAAGATTGTAGCTTATCAAAACTCACTTCGCGAAGAGACGAGTGCTCTCAGTTCCTGACATGGCGACATTACCAAGAACACGATCGAGCGGTGTGATGTAGCTATCTTGCTCCCATGCAGGCGGTGCAGCGGGCGAAGAGGGAGGTAGGATAGGCGAGGGCATCTGGTCGATAACATCGTTTGGAGAAGGGCGTGGCGAGCCATAGTGTTGTTGAGCAAAGCCAACATGTCGTCGCTCAGAAGACTGAAGAGATGTCCGCGAGGGCGACGGACCAGGAGTACCATTGGTTCCAACAGTAGCTCGAAGTAGTTGTACCTCGTTGACAAGCTCCTGAATCTTCCTCTTCTTGCTCACACGTTTGTAGTCAGCGTCGTAGTCACACAGAAATCCTTGAGCCGCACAGCGTCGGCAAGGCTGGCCGCTCTGATCGTTGTCACACCGAATCTGTGACTAATAGTCAACTCAGAGCGAACGTGAGGTGACCAGAAGGTTGGGCAGGCACCTTTGACTGGCGGCATCTCACGCAGGCAAAGCGTCGAGACTTTCCATTGGCACGCTCGGGAACGCGAGAAACGGAGTGCTGCGATGACTCGGCGTCTGGGTCCATCGCAATGTTGGCAGTAGCACAGATCAAGGATGCTCTGTTGGAGAAGCGGTGTTCAGAGCTCCGGACAAGCCTGATTGAACCCGAAATTCGGGGCGCCTCCTCCTTTTTGTTGCCCCAGGAAGCTGCGTTCTCGGCTTGTTAAGTCCGTATTCAGCAGAGCCGTCCTCGCTCGTCAACACCCCAGCACATCCTCCTTCAGGACATAATACCGCAGGTAATAATGCTCTCGGGGCACTGTCCGCCATGGAACTTGTTATTATCGAGGATGGGCGGAGAGTTGTGAAGATATCCCCGTCCGATACGTCATTAAAACAAGGATATCTGCATTGACACGATTTTGGGCATTCTCAATAGCTCGCCGTGCTGAGTCCTCTGTGGATTACCAAAAGCCGATTCGAATTCTCTCTATAGCTCTCCAGCGAAGTTGAGTTATTTCTCGCCCAAGAACTTCATTCGAGTCATGGCCCACAGAGCACCTTTCATTTGGCTCCATTGAAGGTATGCCGTGGCAAACTGCTCGACCTCTTCCGCCGTCGCAACTCCATACTTGATGGCCCTCTCCCCAACTTCCGTCGGCATTCTCTTCGAGTAGAGCTGTCCCCACCACCTCACCTGCTCGGTGCCAAAGTACCGCAGAACGTCACAGTCAACATTGACCTTGTCCTGATCAAACCCGGCTTCCAACGCCCATGTCGCCAAGTGTCTTCCACAATTTGGCTCGACATTCTCCCGTCGTTTCAGCTCGCGATGAACTTCGATCCAGCGTTGTAGGCGAGCGTCGTGAGGATGTATGATGCAAGTCCCCCAATCTGGTTCCCCGGCAGCGACGTAGCCACCTGTCTTGCATACTCGACGCATCTCTCTCAATGCTGTAGGAACATCTGGAATGTGGACTAGAACGGCGTGGCAGTGCACAATGTCGAAAGTCTCATCATCGAATGGCAGGCTGTGGGCTGTTCCAGTCTGGAACGTAATATTCGTAATGCTTCGATCTCTTGCCTCATTCTGAGCTGATCCCAAGGCCGCCTCACTATAGTCGACGCCGAAGACTTGTCCTTGGGATGCGATTCTTGCGAAATCGCAAGTGATGGTCCCGGGTCCGCATCCCACGTCCAGTATACGGCTGGTAGCTGTGATCTTTGGCAAGAGGTAATCGGCTTGTTTCTCGGCCGAGCGAGTACGATGCGAAGCCAGTACTGACTCGCCGTGCCCTTGCATATATGCGCTTCCGTTCATCTTGCCCAAGTGGACAGAAAGGTCCTTGATCGCGGCTAGCGAATAAATATGCCCTCCCTTCGGGATTATAGGCAGCTCGTCTCCAATGCTGCTGTGGCCTGTATATCACCCAATAATACAGTGACAAGCTTAAAATATTGAAAGATGGAGCTTTGAACCAACTGATGTCCGGCTTCGGGGCGAGAGAATTGCTAATCGCTCCTCCACGTAGCCTCGCCGAAGCCTTGTGAGTGCTGGTCATACCCCTCCGTCGCGGATTGAATTCCTAAGAGGAATGTTTCACCATACATTAGCAATTGGCGATGTTGCATCTCGAATGCGGAGAGGAATGATTCCGTGCAGAAACCCCTCACCCTATATCGCTCGTCTTGCCGATCATCGCTCACAGTCAGGGGCGGGGGGCCGAAATTCGGACCATAGTCGAGACCAGGCTCTCGGCATGCCGAACCACGATGCATAGCACAACGACAACACGCTCACTCATATCCATATGATTGATGATCAATGTATAAAGGTACATCTGGAAACGTACAATAAGATATTCTTCTTCTTTTTTTCGGTTTACCGCAATCATGACAGCACCACGGAAAGTATGCCAGATCTTCACGCCTATTGGCATGATAGGATACGGCTTCAGTGTCGAAGAAATGCACGAGACTTTGTCGGCACTCACTGCAGGCTCTGACGTTCCAACTGCCATAATATGTGACTCCGGTTCGACGGACAGCGGACCTCGAAAGTTGGCAACCGGTGATATGACCTGCCCACAAGCCGCATACAAGAGAGACCTTGGACGACTGCTCGAAGGGGTCAAGAAATATAAGACTCCCCTCTTGATAGGGTCTGCAGGTGGCGCGGGCATTGATGAGCATGTGGAAGAGCTGACAGGTATCCTTGACGAGCTGAGCTGGGAAAAGTAAGTGCAATGAATACAGTATCAAGCCGATTACCAACAGAAGATGCTAAAATGTAACAATTTGGATAGTGCGTACGACCTGAAAGTAGTCCAGATTTTTGCTGGCATCGACAAGAGATTGATCGCCGAGCGCCTTACTGCAGGAGCCATCAGTCCATGCGGCACGGGCGTCCCACAGCTCGAGCAGCGAGACATAGATGGCTGTCCCACCATTGTCGCTCAAATGGGACATGAGCCGTATCTTGCCGCAATCGATCAACATCCAGACTACGATGTAATCCTCGCCGGCAGGGCGTACGACCCGTCGCCCTACGTAGCTTTTGCCAATGAATGTATTCGAAAACTACAACCGGACTACGAACGACTCGGTCAAGAACATGTGGCTCGAGTCCAAGGAGCTATGATGCATGCGGGAAAGATCTTGGAGTGTGGCGGACTTTGTGCAGTACCCAAGAGCATTGGAGCTGTCGCCACCATTTTCGAAGATGGTAGCTTCGACGTCCGTCCTACAAGTCCGACTGCACGATGCACAGCACTGTCAGTAGCAGCACACAGCCTCTACGAGAAGAGCCGTCCGGATCTGCTCTTCGGCCCTGGCAGGTACCTGGATGTCACTCAGACAACTTTCGTTGACAACAGCGATGGTGTGAGTGTGCACGTGTCAGGCAGCGTGTTCCGAACCTCTGCCGGGGGTGGCAAGCCATACCAAGTCAAATTGGAGGGTGCTCGTAACAAAGGCTATCGCGCCATCTACACCGGCTTCATTCGAGATCGTGAGTTCCACTGTGCCGATTTTTTGGGTTGTTTTGCACTTTAACTGACTTTAAAAAGCGATCCTGATCAGCCAGATCGACTCCTACCTAGAAAGAGTGAACAGTGTTATGAATCAACTCAATCAGATCAATCTGAGGCACTGATCTGATTGAATTGCTCGCTGATTCGCTCACATTGCAACTAGTTGCAACTGATTGATCGAATGTGATTGCTGAGCATTGAGGGATGTAGCCGTTATGCCACGCTAAAACACGCTAAAACACGTGTGCACGGCCGCCCTTAGGGGTTTAGGAGCATAACGGCTGCCTAAATAGGCAGTAACGGCTGTCTCGATCAATCTCAATCAATATTAGTCGAGTATTGACTAATTCCAGCTATTAGTTGATCAACGTCAATCAATTTACAGGCCGGATCGAGTTGAGTTAATGAATCAATTCAATTCGATATCGATTGTGATTGAGTTGACCGAGATCACTCTGAGTGAAAGACTTGGTAAAGTCACAGATGAAGGCGAGCCTGGCTGAGGGTACTTGGGATCTGGATTGGCATATCTATGGACGAGACAGCAATGGCAATGCTTCTGGCGATGTTTACCTCGTAGGTGAGAGCCGTGCCCAGACGCAAGAACTTGCACGGGGGATTGTGGCCGCTGCGAGAACCTGGACTATCCATGCGAGCTATCCAGGGCAGAAGGCTACGAGTGGCAGTTTCGGATTTGGTGTCGGCGGTGTCAACGAGATCGACACCGGGCCTTGTTCCGAGTTCTGTGTATATCACTTGATGGATCTGGAGCCGGAAGAAGATGTTTCGCTGTTTCCATTCAAGCTGGTTGAGATGAAGTATGGCGACAACATTCCCAAATGGCGCGGCTATACCGAAAACAGTACATCGAAGAATGGCTCAACAACGCGCAGTAACGGCAAAATGCCTTCGGTACCGACACCTGAGTCTCGATGGCAAGACGCGAAGACGCTGGGTGAAGCGGCTAAAGTCTTGCGCTCGAAGAATGCAGGACCTTATGAGATCACATTTGACATCATGTTCGACCGACGCGACGTGTATGATGTGATCAAGTCGTCCGGTATTCTTTCGGCGTCTGTCATCGCAGACCTATATGGCCTGGAAGTGGACGAGATCATCTGGAGCGGCTTCTTCGATCCCGCACTGGCGTTCAAAGCGACGGTCCCTAGACGCAGAAGAGGACTTCCGGCTGCAAGTGGTGGCTATTTTGAGGATGATGTTCATGGGTCGCAGATGTATCTACCGCTTATGCTTCTTCCATTATCGGAAGACTTACGGGCAACTTTGGCAAAGCTGTAAAGTGCGGAAGCCAGAAGATGGACACTGTGTTTTCATCTTATAGGAGAATGTACCTCTAGTCCTCATACGAGCCAAAGGCATGCTGACATTGTCCCCTTCGAATCTTAGCTAGGTTATAAGTATAACGTTGTATCTTTGGGCTATAATTTTAGTCTCATGCTGCACCCAAGCTAATGTCTTACTCGACTAGAAGCCCCTGAAAGCTGTATTAAAGCAACGCTAGCATCCGCCGATTCGAAAAAAGCGATTTTTTTTCTTGTGTTGGATGAGAGGAAATGATTTTCCAGTGACAGTGAGCCGCATTCAGTGCTCTGAAACTCATGGAATTGTGTTTTCTGATCGAGCTGTGAAATTACTCGCAGGCGTGGAAGACATCGCGACGTCTTGATCTATTTGTTTAATCCAATTGATCGAGTATACTGCGCATCGGAAGCATCAATGAATGATTACTGGCATTCTGATCAATCACATCACAAGTCAACAGCTGGTGTCTCGTACAGCAGAGTTTCTGTTGCACCTGGGAAGCCGCCACGCACAACACCAGCTGTCTTGTCCGCGAAGAAGCCGCAAGATGGGCTGAGTTGCCTGCTATTCTTTGGCGCGAGCCACATTCGTAGCAGATGTCTCTTGGTGTCTTCGGTGTCGCCATCTGTAAACTCAGTACGAGCGTGGAATGTGATATGGTTGTTCAAGAACTGGATGCCACCAGGCTCGAACATCATTCCGAAGTGCATATGCTCCTCGTTCGCGACCTTGTCAACAAAGTTAAAAGCTTCCCTCTGCTTCTCAGCAAGTCGTGGAACCTCAGGGAAGTCCTGCGCAGATTCAATGTGGGGCGGAACCTGGCGCGCAGAGAATTTGCCATTGTGCTCAGTGAACACTGGTTGTTTATACCATTTCGGAAATCCAGGAGGTCCGCTTCCTTTCCAGCTCCAGTAAAAGTCCTCGTACAGGACCTTCAGCAGATCAGGCCGGCGCCTCGCAATCTCGTTGCGTACAGCAATGGAGCTGCAGATCATGCTGCGGCCGCCTTCCGGAGCAGTGCGAAGGACGATCAAAGATACGATGTCCGAGCTGTCCGAGTGAAACGACAAGCCGACATTGAGCATATAGACTCTCCCAGTGTTTGCGTTTGGTGTCGTCTTCTGTCCGAAGTTCTTGACGTCGCCGAGGAGATCGCCCTTGCCGCTCTGCGTCACAGCTGTCCCAAGATGGAGGCCGATACCCCAGTAGAGCATTCTCAGTTCAGCCTTGCTGTACCTCTCGACTGGAATGCCGCGAATCACGAACATTCCCATGTCGTTCTCGACGTGGTCAAGCAATTGTTTTAAGACTTCGACCATGGCCGTGTTGAGAGGAAAATCTTCCTTGGTCATTGTATCGCAGGCCGTATGTCCTCGTGATTGGGTTGTTCGAAGAGCGTGGTCGAGACCATCAACTTCAGCGGATGTCAGTCGGTGCATCCACCTATCCTTGTTTGTCTCTGCATCTTGCGGCATCCATGCTGCGAGACATTAGCGGTGCATTGAGGTCTAGTAAAGATAGTGTATACCTCCATCGAGCATGCCGTGTGTCAACGTTTTGTCGGCCATCTTTGACAGTCCTGGAGAGATTTGCTCGGAGTCAGATTATGTAGCTCGAGGAGCTTATATGTAAAAGGTCAGTGAGGTTTATCTATTGGCAAGCCGTCTCCTGACTTTAGCATCTCCATAGTCTGGATTGAGTAACTACATCCCTGACCACAGGCGATTGCGCCCCGGAAACACAGTCCTCTTCGGCGAATACGATACAACCAGATTCATCGTGATCGACGGTGCGAAATCCGGGCCGAGTGAATCACCATCGTCGCCGAAACTCGCACAAGTCGCACACGGTCTTGTTGATAGTGAGTGGGCCCCAATACTTTGCATGTGTGCGCAAAATTGGCTGGGGGAATACTGATTTACGAGGCTGGCCCCAATCGATGCATGGGTCTTTTCCATCTGTCACGAGATCTATACAGCTTCTTCTCTACGGTGACTATAACGGCAAAGGGTCAGGAAATGTATCCAATCGACCGGACTACCCAAGATATCGGGAGCCTGTCGAATGAATACAAGGCTACTTTGTCGCTGGTCGGTTCCGGTTGTCTATTCGATCGCGACGACTGCAGAATCCACAAATGGGCAAGGCTCTGCGCAGCCTGGCCGAAATTCGGGGTCAACGCAATCAACTGTCTAAAGCCGCGTACGCATTGTGATCGACAGGCCCAATGCTCTTCCCCGGATTTCCCACAAGCCATTACGTCTGATAAGTCCAGCCTCATACATTCGCTGTCTTCTCTAGCGTTCCTTTCCGTGCGCAAAGAAATCCAGCACAATGTCGATCGAGGCGGTTCAGCCAGTGCGCCGAACTGACAGCAACAAAGATGCTGTCGAGATGCTCGAAGATGTTGCGGGCTCACGGACTCTAAAGAAATCCGACGAGGAGGGCAGAGTGCAGGAACATGTTGAGAGGACACCTGAGGATGCGAAGCTAGAGCGCAGGCTGCTGCTCAAAGCTGATCTTATCATTCCCCCGCTCATATTCGTGGCATACCTGCTGGATTTCCTGGTATGTGCAGCCACGTCAGTCACAACGAAGATAATTTGAATGAGGCTGACTGCTTTGTGTGGCTAGGATCGCTCAGACGTTGGCAATGCTGCGGTTGCCGGCATGACGCAGGATTTGAAAATGTCGGCGCAGCAACTCAGTACCGCAGCGTCCATGTTCTATGTGACCTAAATTATCTTCCAGTTACCTGGCAATCTCAGCCTTAAAATAGTGCAGCCGCAAGTCCAACTTGCCCTTGGACTTGTGATCTGGGGGCTGTTCAATACTCTGTCAGTACAATGCCCGCGTACGTACTTTCTGACTTTTGCTGACACGTTGAATTAGCATTTGTACTGCCAAATACTATGCCACCGTTCTCGGGCTTCGACTGGGAGTTGGGCGGGCGTCCATCACATTCTGTTCTAGCTCTGCAGCAGGGGCTTTCAACGGACTCATCGCCTACGCCATTGAGAAGAATCTCGATGGGAAAGACGGCCTTGCTTCCTGGAGATGGTATGATTAATGCTTCACACCTATCTCCCTGCAGCAATGCTGATACCCATTTGCAGGCTATTCATCATAGAGGGTTGCATCTCCATTGGCTGGGGTCTTGTTATCCTGCTTCTGTTGCCCCCAGCACCAGAGAAAGCCCGAATGTTCTTCACTGCCGCGGAGAAAGAACTAGCTGTCAAGAGAACACGCGAAGCATTCAACGAGCCGCATTCGAAGATTCGCTGGGGTGATCTTCCCAAGATATTCCGAGACTGGAACTTTTACCTGTTCGGTGAGTTGTTTTACCGCATGCAATAGCCATGTTGGGAACGAAAGCTGATAGCACGGAAGCGGTCGTATTTTCGTGCTCGAACATCAGCCTGGCATCTTTCAGCACATTCTTGCCCGTTATTCTTCGAACGCTAGGCTTCTCGACGCTCAACTCGCAACTCCTCACAATTCCAGTCTATGCCGTTGCCGCGGTTTCGACGCTTCTGATGGCTCTCTTCTCGGATCGTCTTAAACGTCGAGGCTACTTCATGATCGGATCGTTCGCATGGCTTGTATTGGGCTGGCTTATCCTTCTCGTTAGCAAGAATCACCGCCTGTCCTTCGCAGCAACCTTTCTGATCGGTGCCGGCACCTATCCTTCTGTTGTGCTAACATTCAGCTGGATTCTTAACAACTATGCGGGTTTCACCAGGAGGTCAGTATATCCTTGTGCTCTTGCAGAAGACCGAGTAGCTTATTGAAAGTGCAGAGCTGGCACGTACGCAATTGTTTGCATGATAGCCCAAGCATTCTCCATCGCTGCTACGCAGATCTACAGCGATCCGCCAACATATTACCGTGGCAACGGCTTTGCCCTGGGCTCGGCAGTTGTAGGACTGTCCGCCTGCGTGGTAATCGTGTTCAGGCTGAAGCGAGCAAACAGGAAGAAGAGGGAGGCCATGGACTCGGAGGCTGCGCAGCAAATGCGACTGCTGAGCATTGAGGAGCTAGGAAACGAACATCCGGACTTCTACCACTTCGTCTGAGGCGACGATAAAACCGGCTTTGGTATAAGCCGAAACGTCTTGAAGAAGTTCGGCCATGTCCGCGTCATGGGCTCTGTACTGCGAAGCAAGAGCATATGCACTGAAGTCTCGTTGACGTGCCGAAATTTGATTCGATGGCATTCTAAACGAGCAGCCTTACGCAACCAGTTGGAAGCTTCATGTTAGTTCCACGTTAGGCACCAGAATCAGGCTTGGCAACCCCCGACGGGGCACTAGTTGAGGGTGAAATGCGAGGTCGGCGCAACTATAACTGTATTGGAGTGGGTCAGTGTTCAGCCGCTTCACTTCGTCATCCATCGTAGTACATTTCTCTTATGCCCCTAGCTGGCTAAGGGTCCATGAGCTGAACAGATCGTGGTTGCCTAAGTAACAACTCGTATTGCACGCTTGCATCAATCTGGTATGCAGCGCGAGAGATGAAAAAATCGAGTTTCAGTGGGATTAAGTCGACAATGTCGCGACATAAAGTCTTGACGGCCGCACTGTGTCAGCTCGATTCATTCACATTGGCCACTCAAAACCACGATCTACCATGCACGCGAGATACCCCTTAAACGTACTGAGTTTTGCCGCAACGGCGTTGGCAGCAGCAATTGATTCACATCTGGTTGACACAAGAGCATTGGCTGTCCCAACAGTCCATCTGGCCCAGCCAGCGAATGTCACCTTCAAAGGCTCGAGTTCCGGCAAAGTCGAGTCGTTCCTGAACATCAAATTCGGCTCAGATACCAGCGACCAGGCTCGATTCGCACCTCCTCGCTCATACACGTACCAGCCAAATAGTTTTTACGACGTCAACAAGCCCGGCGCTGCATGCCCACAACAAAAGGTCCCTCTGGGCGGCATTCCACTTTTCGACAACGTGACGAACATCTCCGAAGACTGCTTGACCCTGAGGGTGGATAGACCAGTGGGAACGACTCAAGATGCAAAGCTGCCGGTGATGGTGTACATATACGGCGGAGGCGACACCGTAGGCCAGATCTATGATTCCGCTTATGATCCCACCAATCTGGTCTCCTCTGCTGCAGAGAAGGGCTTTCCAGTGCTCTACGCAGCAATGAACTATCGTGTGGGCATCTTCGGCTTCGCAGCTTCGCCTGCTTTGAACGCCTCCAACTCCCTCAATGTTGGGCTTCTGGACCAGAGACTTGCGCTTGACTGGTTTCAGGAGAACATCTTTGCTTTTGGGGGAGATCCAAATCGAGTGACCATCTTTGGTGAAAGCGATGGCGCGACGAATGTTGGACTTCATATCACTGCGTTTGGAGGGGATGTCGAGAGACCACCGTTCCAGAGGGCGATCATGCAGTCCGGTGCTCCAACTGCTGACTCAATTGCAGGCAACACCTCTGCTGTCAACACCGCTGCCGTGATTCGCTTGACGAATTGCACGGCGGCCACAAGCGAGGAGGAGCTGGCTTGTCTCCGGGCACTTCCTCTCTCGTCCTTGCTCAACACTACCGTCATGTATGAGTTTAGTGCTGCGCAGCTGGGCCTCGATGTGTACATACCGACATCGCCATCGCCTTTCATCCCGGATAGTCCTTCACGACTGCTGAACTCTGGTCAATTTGCGCACAATATCGACATTGTGACTGGCTGGGACGAGAACGACGGTTCATTCTTCACGCCGACGACCATTAAGACCGATCAGGATGTTGCCGCCTTCTTGGTGTCGTCGATAGGCTTGGCAAATTCTTCAGTTGACCAGGCTCTTCGTCTGTATCCTGTCACAGAATTTGAACAAGACGCCTCCTCAAACATCTCGACTCAGTACTTCCGTGCGAGCCAGATGTCGCGAGACTCGGAACACACATGCCCCAGCCTCCTTATGGTCCAAGCAAACAGCAGATTTTCGAGATGTTCGACTGCCAACTATCTCTTCGCCCTGAACCAAACTGTCTTCACACCAATTCTCAGAGCAGAAAACGCTTCCTACTACGGCGTTCCGCACTTCAGCGACATCCCCTTCGTCTTCAACCAGGCTTCGACACGATATGCAGAAGTCTCATCCTCGTCTGATGATACCATCTCAAGTCTCATGAGCGGTAGCTGGGCAGCATTTGCGGATCGTGGCCGAGTCTCAGGGGTCAATGGGACCCTTCCTGACTGGCCTGGTAAGGAACAGCGATGCTGTCCACGCGAGGAAGCGGCGAACGTTCGTGTTATCGGTGGTCCTAACTCGGGCCTTCGCAGTGTGAATAGCTACGAGCATCTAACACGGCGGTGCGAGTTCTGGAACTCTCCTGCTGTAGCCGAGCAGATAAAAGTCTAGCAAGTTGGAAAGTCGGTCTGAGTAACAGTGCTCGGTCTGGCGCGTATGTATAGAGCACTGTCCATATCTTCTTTGAATACTTCTGCCGGTGTGCGTCCCTGAAATCGTACTCTCCACGAGCACTGCGATTGATCTTGCTATCAAGTTGCTCCCGTAATCTCCGTGACAGACACAGCTTGCCGCTGTCTTCGAACCATTTTAATTGCCTTGAGCGATCTGGAGGACGGATCGATGGTCATGGCCGGCATATCCGATTCCTGTGAGCTCGATTTGCGTCCTCTGTGGGCTAAATTGAGGGTGTAGCTGACTTCTCCATTCGCGGCCTCGTCTGTGGCGTCCTGTATCTTAATCTCTTGACCGCCGCCAAACGTTCCCGTGCTTCGATGTGTGAACATCAGCAGTTCAGTAAAAGATGGTCCGTCCCTGAAACCTGCGAGTTTGCGGTGGTTGAGATACTTGGCGTTGCCGAGTTTGTTGCCACTGAAGTTGGTCTTTGCATCTGGATATGCTATTAGTACAGGTACGCCGGTATCTTAGTCTCGAGGTGTAAGTATGTATTACCATGTATGGTCTGGTTTTCAGACTTGATTGGTTTTGACGTTGCAAAATTCGCCAGAATAGAAGGATTGCCCTCTGCTTTCTTCAAGTCGGCCAGGCCGCTTGCTTGGGCATTGGTGCTCTCTTGTTCTGGAGTCAAAAACCCGCCTGGCCCGTTGGATCCTGCCACCCAATGCGATTAGTTGAATACGATGGAAGGGCACAAGCTACCCAACACATACCGGTCGCCCACTCTACTCTTTCCACAGTGAACACTTCCTGGCCAATCTGCAAGTCGTTGAGGCCTGGGCGGCGCTCGACATAGACCATTCGTCCGACATTCGCTTTGCCGGCACCAGGCCTTTCAGTTTTGAAGTTCACAGGCGACAGTTCAATCTCAATCAGACGCGCTGCTTCTGGGACATCGGAGCAGAGCAAGTCAACGCCAGGAGGTTTGCCCGTTATAGCTCTGGCACGATCTTCTTCAAAATCTGCGGCTATGTGGATGAAGGCAGCAAGATAGCCGCTGTCCATTACACCTTGAAGGTTGATGGCCTTGAGGAGGTTCAGACATCGGCGTCTGATTGCAGTATCTCGTGATTTGAAGGCAATCATTCCAATGCAGGGCACAACATCGGTGCCAACCGTGAAGAGGTGGCCGATGCGACCAAGCGGTCGAGGCCCAGCACTCTCACTTGGATTTGGCTTTGAGTCTGCTGATTCGTGATCGGGAAGGCCATCGCTGTGTAGTGCCACGTATTGCTCTGCCAGCTTGACAATGTGATCAAACTCGCCACTGAAGCGATCAACTAGCATCTCGCTAGCGTCACGTCGACTCATGACAATGAACCAGACATAGAAGAACTGAATCTGGCACAGTAGGTAGCCAGACGGCCGCTGTTCCGACATAGAAAGCCACTCGCAAGCAGCTTTCCACTGACGCAGTTGATCTTTGAGCTTTTGAAGACGTGTCTCATAGGCTGTACCGATGTTGATAGACCGAGAGTAGGCACTCGAAAGACAGTTGCGCATATCTTCGTCCATTGCCCAAAAGTCCTCGCGCTCCAGCGTCAAGTATTTGGAGGTGAGCGAAACAATGTCGTGGCATAACTCATGAGCTGAAGTCGCGATTCCGTCGAGGCTGACCATGGCTTCATCAATTGATAAGAACGTGGATGGTACCTTCTCGTCGTAGATTGGCGATAGATATGGGCCTTCCTCTCCCGAGGTGGTCAGGTCGCCTCCCAAGCGCACGAATGCTTGCATCAGAACATCCATGTTGCTCCGAGGCGTCGCCTGCATTCGAACGCTCCGCCTCATCCGACCCTGCGTGCCCGCCAAGGACTTTGAGGTAGAGAGTTGTTCACGCTTTTGGGTTCGCTCATACAGTATCCGCAGGCCGTTCCGTAGGTGTACCGTAGCTAGCGCGGATTCGTTATGCAGAAGTTCAAAGCAGAAGAACAGGAGCGATGTGAGTAGTACGACTTCGACGCTCGCATCCGACCAGTTGTCCCCACTTGTCTTCAGGTATGTCTGCAGACGGCGCATGGCTTTGCTGTATTGCAGCAGCGCCAAGTCATACTGGTTGGAATCTATCATGGCGCCTTCATCGGATCCCATAGCTCTATGTATAGACCCAAGGGCAATAGCAGCATGAGTGACAGACGGCTCGTGGTCGCCTGCCTGAAGTGCCAGACGTTCCCACGAGAGATTCCATGAGCTTCCGGGCAAGATCTTGAAAGTATGTCGCCGGAAGAAGTCGTAGGCATTGGCATCGTGGTCGGAAACATTGAGGGCTGCGATTGACGGCCTCACTATCAGGTCATGGCACAGATCCTGGACATTCTTCTTCGGGAGAATTAGGCTTGGGTTAGGCGGCTTAAGACTGGGTAAGCCCACACACTCCTTGCCCGAGTTCACGCATCTTCGGCAGGCCGGGCGACCCTCGTCGCACTTCAAATGACGAGCTCTAAGGACACAGCTAGTTAGACGCCACTATACGTGCGCTCAGAGGGGTTCTCACCTGCAGGTTAGGCAGCCGGTCTTCACCTTCGGCTTCTTCGCTCTCTTCCGTACAACCGGGATCGTCATGGTGTGGCCCCCTGCCCTAGTTCAATCTCATGCCGGATCTGCCCGCCGTAGGCTCTGAGGACGACTGAACGACAGCACTCGCAGCCCCCGGCTTCCTTGGAGAGTGGTGCTGATGTTGATGTCTCCGACCTCTGCAAAGGAGACCTGAAAAGCTTTGGAGATGACGTCGGGTGTCAGACTCCCGTTGCACGTCTCAAAGTCCCGGCGGGAAAACGGAAAGCCTTCCGAGCTCGCAGCGAATCAGACAGCCTGCTATACGAGTAGTGGGTCGCCAGATACTACTTGTTTAGGCTAGTTCTATATTTAACGCAGGCGATCATGAAGGTTAGTACTTATATGAGCGCCATGAGTCTTTCGATATGCTAAGAGGAGACAGACACTGACATTGACGTAAAAGTCATATTCGGTCAACAAGAGGCCGAGACGTTTCATGTGAATGACTAAATGGTGGTACTGATTGGTCAGCGCCGGTGTAAACGGGTGGTTTAAAAAAGCAAATGCAGCGACATGGATCATGGATCTGTTCACAGACCGATATTGTGCAGAGGGTGGACGCTTTGGACTGGAGTTCTAGGTCAGCCTGATGCTCTTGTCAAAGACGCTAGGCCAGTGTCTCGTTTTGGACATTATGGACTGTTCGCTTGGGTCATAACTGTCGTCGACGGGTTCCCTGCACTGAGTCCAGCAGCTTGAGATACTGGCCAACAAGGCTCTCCACCATCTCTTTCTTCCCTGCGAAGCGGAAGCCCAACGCCTCCTCACTAGATCTCACATCAAACGAGGTGAGCAGGCTCTCCTGTCCAGCCACGGGGTTTAACCTTCCATAAGCAACGTCCTCAGGAAAGCGTTCCCGAATCTCGGTCCCAAACTCGTCCCATGGAATGCCTCTTCCACCGTTGCCCGCAACTATGAAGTTCGTATGAGCTCCGCTGGCTTTCACACCTGGAGACAAGCTAGCGACGTGGGCTCCTGCAACATCGTCGAGAAAGACTTGCCCCGTGAGCTTTGCACTTGGCACCGTTTCTCCAAGAGCAATGCATGAGTGCGTTGTTGGAGCCATTTCGAGCGTCTGTGGTCGACTCGTTGAGTTCGTTTGCGCCTTGAACGTAGCCGGATGTAATGCGTATCAAGCCGAAAGAAGGTCGGTGGGCTTCGAAGAATTCCTTGGCAGCGTGATGCGCGAAAATTTTCGACAATGCGTATGCCTCAACACGGCTGACAGAATTGTCTGCATTGGACTTTGACGGGGCTGGGATGATGTCGAGGGCTATTGATTGTTCTTATGTGAGTCTACCAGGGATCATTTGTCTTACCCCCTGCTGTCTTTCCTGTGTTCCAGCCCTCGAGGACGAATATGCTGGAGGTTATGACGACCCGCTTCACAGATGATGATTTTGTCGCCGCTTCGAGCATGCTAATGGTTCCTTGAATAGCAGGGTCGTAGAAGAGGTGCGACCACGTTTCCTGTCACATCAACTCAGAGGTGGCCCTAAAGACAATAATTTGGCTCTTCATATACGAACCCCTTGATTATTTGCATTGCTGGCAATGGGAGAAGCGCAATGAATGACATAGTCTACCGATTTCACGGCGTTGACATAAGCATCCTTTGCCGTGATATCAGGCACCACGACGAAGGTCAAATTCTTGAGGTAAGGCTGTATAGACTTGACCCTGGTAATTCTCAACTCTTGCTCTGCCTTGCGGATCGCGGCTTTGACTTCATATCCTTCTTTCAGAGCGAGAAGCAAGACTTTGAAGCCCAAGTGGCCGGTTGCACCAGTCACCAAGACGAGCGAGTTGGCCATGGCAAGGTAGGAAGTGAGATCGTTTCATTGGCATTCTGGAGTGGCGTTACGTGAGTGCAGGTTCCTTAAATAGATTCTATACAAGACTGTTTCGCGTAGAGAATGCTTATGCTAATTTTCAGGGCTTGGTAATGATGTGCTCATGGCATGCCTCGGTATGGCACTGCGTTGTCCCATTTCGGAAATTCTGCTTCTTGCGATGAAGCAAATAGCCTCGTCGGCATCCGTGGAACTGGTATCTGATACTACGACTTCTAGACACTATGTAACCAAAATGTGTACTGTGGAGACCTCCTCACTTCTGTATGATAAATCCATGTTCACGTCCACGGAGATGCTCACCTGCTTTCTTCGCATTTGTCTCGTGAACTAATTCTATGGTCTCCCCATCAACCCACTCGGTGTGCTGCTCCTTGTCTATTCATGCGACGCGACTGGTGTCTAGCGCGACGACCTTGCCTCCATCTATACCTGTCTTTCCTGGATACGCGATACCACCGTTTGTAGTGATGTACAAGACATGCTCATCATTGGACGTCCTTCCGAAGGCAGCTGATGTATCTCCCGCAATGGTGGGATCATTGAGTCCGCCAGCAATAACCCTTGACGTCCCCTTCGTCACATCTACTTTAGCGAGAAGGTTGGACGGATCGGCAGTCACCCATATAGTCCCATCTTTATTGAACGCAAAATCGTCGCCATGATCGCCCGTGTTCGTGGGCCAAGGTGACTCGTCGATCACTCGTTCTACCGGCCCAGTTGGCTTGCCATGCTTGTCGATCGGGACACGTCCGATGGTAGGTCTCAAAAAAGAATTTGTGAAATACAAGTATCCGCCGTGCACTCGTATGCCATTGATGCCTAGTCTTGCTGCGGTCGTCGTATTTGACTTGAAGGCTGGGTCATCAAGCCAAATGATTGATGATTTGGCGGCCAGATTGACCTGGTAAATGACACCTTTGTCAGAATCGCCGACGAGAATGGAGTTAGGCCTTCCTGGTAGAGCGCAAAGACCGTTCAAGAATCCAGCTTGAGGCACGTTCGTGATCTTGGTTACCCGAATGTGAGGCGGTGAGAGACCAGCACTCCTGGGTATCTCCCTGAGATCGACTGTCCAGATACTGTAGCTTCCTGGTGTTGTTTTGAACGTGACGTCTGACCAGTTCCCAACTGCAATTGCAAAGACATCCTGCTGAACCTCAGCGATTCCGAGAGCACTCGTGGCGTTTTCAAATCGAGTGACGAGAGTTGCGCTCTTCGATACGGGATCGATCTGCCAGACTTCTGGCGAGCTGATCAGAGTTGCAAGAATGTGTCCGTCTGCACGTATCGCCAAGTTTTCAACCCACGTCTCATTCGGGAATTGGTAGATGGTCTTGACCAACCGGTCATTGATGGAGGCCGAGGGTAACGCAAAGGCGACGCCAATCAAAAAGGCAAGGATATGTGAGAGATGCGTTTTGGAATTGCTGATGTCCTCTTCAATTGGACAAGGCAATGAAGGAGCCTCAAATTGTTGCTTATATGTGAAGTGGCAGGCTGCACCACTCTAGATTGGTTACAAGGTTGATAATGTGAGACCTTTCGAAAGCTAGAATCTGATGAGCTCTGATTTTCTGTCCGTGAAGGGTCAACTTTTACCGGAAAAGGAGTGTGGACGGCTTAATGCATTACTGATCGATCGATCCAACGTGTGGATTAGTCGAGATGCAATCCCGATTCGGTAAGAGCATTGTTCATTCGTTGGGAGGCGAAACACAGTCAGTTGGAAATGCAGTCACAGGCGATCTATCACGGCCACTGTCACCTTGAAGAGACTTTGAGATGACAGTTTGAGTACAATTATTTGGAAAGGAACGATTTGCTATCAACCATCTATATTCTTTGGAACTGCACGCATTACTTTCTCGAAAAGGTTGCTGAGGGACACGACCTTATTGGCATTGATCACCATGGCAGCTCGTTGCCTTCCTGGTCCCAGAATCTGCCACTGTGATCTGCCTTTGTCGCCTTGTCGACCACGTTGACAATGCCTTGGACGCTGTCTTTGATCGTGACAGGCACATCGCTTGCCGACATACCAGCGACCTCCGCCGCCCGCTCTCCCATCGAAGTCTGAACCCAACCAGGCTGTATGGGGACTACCACCACCCTCTCTTCCTCGCGGTGAATTTTGCCTGCGATCCAGTTGGCAGCCGCCTTCGAAACGCCGTATGCAGAGAGTGGCATCGGATAACCGTCCATCTTAGCGTTTGAGCCGAGAGTGGATGAAATGATGAAGAACTTCGGGGTCTGCTTGGAAGCATTCAGCAGATTGGTGGTCGCCTTGTAAAGCAAAATCGGGCCCACTGTGTTGATACGGAAGTGCTCGACGAAGTCTTCTGCCGCACTGTCTTTGACAAGCTTCGAGTGCCTCAGGATTCCAGCATTAGCGATGACGATGTCCAGAGACTGAATGTTGTAGTTGGACTTCAAGTGCGAGATGAGCTGTTCGGCAGCAGTCTCGAACCCGGCGTCATATTGGGCGACGATGATCTTGCTTCCAGTCCCTACTGCTGTGGCTGCGAGTGATTTGGCAGGGGAGGAGTCCACTGCGTCACGGATAGCTGCAATAACGGTGTGGTTTGGTCTTGCGGCAAAAGTCTCGAGGAGTGCTTTGCCAATGCCAGCTTTGGTTCCTGTGATGAGGACAGTGCTTGAGGAAGACATTTTAGATGAGTGAATTGTTGAGTGGTTCTTGTTGTTGTTGTTTCTGCTGAGTCGGTATCTTGTTGTGTATTGTTGTACATCGTTCTGCAATCGACGGAGCATGAGCTTTTGTATCTGTTACCGTGTGACACATACAGAGGACGACTTGAACATGACAAAGACTGCCCGCGCTTGATTCTCATCGTGCCAAGTTTGATTCCACAGCCTCTAGAATGTACATTTCTCGTTATGGTAATTGACGGTTCTCATGCAGTTACATCTTCAAACGCCACAGACATCGCTTCGTGAAACAGACTGCATATACGTGATGATGGCGTCAATCGCCTGATGACAAGAAGAACTGGCTGACAAAGTCGATCACAGCGTAGTAGCATTTGAACGAACTACTGGACGAGGCTTGTCGCCTAAATCAAATATTTCCTGTTTGGGGTAATGGAGCACACGCTTGGCGGAGTGGTCTGCTTTGTAAAGTCTGCAAGGCGCTGCCAAGTCTTCGTATACAGATTACTGATCGGGATCTCAATGTTAGACCGCGGACCAGTCTTGAACAAAAGGCAGGTGTGTTCATGTTTCAAAGTTGACGTCACGACCAAGCCTCCATTGCATCCATGAGCTTGTCTTTCGTGGAAGCATTCGTCAAGGATGTGCCAGGCTATGCCAGTACGTTCGTCAAGAGCAAATGCTGACAAAAGGTCGCACAGTACGTCAACAAGAAGCCTCCGATTCTACACATCCGACCATAGAACATTGGAAGGCTCTCAAGAAGCTCGATACTCAAAGCAAGAGCTCGAATAACCACTGTCGATCGATCCAGGTGATAGTACCTACAGTCCACTGCTTTGGTCGAACTTGCCGGCAGCCGTGCAGTTATCCGTGACGAATCCAAAATGCGACTAAAACATGTAGAAAAAGCCGCAACACCACTAGACTGGTTGCAACTGCCTGCACGAACGCTCGATGGGAAAACCGGAGGCGATCACTTGGGTATCTTCAGCCCCTTTCAGATCGATCTTCAGATGTTGGCGACGTGGTCATCCAAGACGCATTGCGGTTCTGACTGAAAGTTGGCCATGACGGCTTTCGGATCGATGTCATTTCGTACTAAAGCAAAACTCCTGGATCACACAAGAGATCAAGCATCTGATCAAAGACTCTGGTCAGATATTCTGTATTGCATAGAGACTTCGCACTATGTGTGCTGAATGCGAATGAACGTCGATGATCTTTGACTGACAAAGCCTTCCCCATTGTTTCCTCGCCTTCCTACAAAGGTATCTCGGCAGTTCATTTCAGGGGGCATTCAACTTAGGCACTGGGCTCTGAAAGTGCACATCAGCAGATGGAAAGCTCCATAGTCGAGTAAGAGCTAGCAAACTTCTCAATCAGGTGAAAGGAACGACCTGAAAGTTGAAGTTGCAGATGTTGGAAGGGAGACTGGGCTCAGACGTGACCGCATGACCTCCAGCAGCTGAAAGCGCTGGCGTGTTGGAGTTGGGGGCGTATATATCCGCGCGTTGTGTCCCCATGTTCAAACCCGGCACGGCGGCATAGTTTAGTCCAGGCTGCAAGGTAAACGTCTGAAGCTTCGTCGTACCACTCGTAACAACAAGTGTGTAACCATGAGCAGAAGTGGGAACAGCTACTGCAAAGTTGACTGAGTCCACCGCCGAACCTGCACCATTCGGTCTGCCCATCGGATCCTCGGAGCATGAGGCGTTCTTGGGAAATGTCCGGTACCACATCGCTCCGGCGGGCTTTTGGCCGGATGCAGGAAACATCGACGATGAGTCTTTCCCGCTTTTAAACGCGTCGATGAAAGATGCAACCAGGGATTGCCAGCCAAAATGCGGCCAGTCTTGCACGTTTCCATAGGCGAGTTCTTGTGGGTTGTACCCCTCGCCCCAGATGTTTCCGATGTAGTGGCTCTCACCAGCATCGTTCTGGCACGTTTGTTAGCTCGCGAGTGAATGAACTGTGCAGTGTTTAGTACCCATGTGATCACTTCCACAAAGTCTGGGCGTGGGTTCATGCTCAGGATTTCTTCCATCCTTTGAGGAAGATTTATTTCCCCTATGCGGAAGTAGTGGGCGTGGATAAATGCGAGGTGCTTGTATTGCAAGGAAGAAAGTCCTTAGATTCTCATGAGCAATTCAGGGGGCCGTAAAGTCGCGAAGCCCTAGGCAACAGATTCAGAAACCGATTGCTGAGAGAAAACTCACCTATCATATACGTCTTCCCATTTTCATGGGCATTTGCTAGGATATATTCATCTTGTTGAACACTTGTATTTGCCGGTGATTCCCGTGGCGAAGGCCAGGCAGTCTCCTAACTGAAGGCGCCGTCGATCACACTATTCCAGGTGGAGAACCAGGACGGAGAGTTGGAGTAATAGTTTGGCGAGTCGTCAAAATCAGGCACAAAGTAGACCTGCTGGGACAGCTGGCTCTTGAAATTGGAGAATTCGCTCGGGGTGTGGTTATTGGCGTTGAATGTGCTGAGGAAGGGACGATTGTTCGCTCCGCTCCTGTAATACGCGGGATGTCCGAGATATGTGTTAACGACGTTGACGAATTGGCTGAGGTTGGGCTGTTGGGCGAGATCCATACTGAAGAATAACTTGAAGCTTGATGAAGATGCTGTTTCGAAAAGCTGAGACAGGGTATTGTAGGTATAATCAGCTGAAGGATTGCCAACATTGAGGGTGAAGGCATCGATACCCAGTGTGGCAGCGTCTTCGACATCGGACTGCGCATGACTGTTGCTCACGCCGTCAACCTGTTAATGTGACCCATTAGCATAGTTGGTGCCGAACAAGTTAGGGTGGCTTTCAATGTAGTGGCAAAATACAGCCTGAGCATTGGTAGTGACGGCCCCTATGGCCAAGACCAGAAGAAACTTGATCATGGATTGCATAATAGTGAGTTTCCCTCTCCTCGAGCGTGGTATATCTCTCGCACCAAATTGAAGCAGACACCTGCCTTTATACTGGCTGGGCTTGTCTTCTCCGTAATACACTGCTCTTTGACTGAAAAGAAGTTTAGACTCGCGCACAACGGTGTGATTTTACCACTCTTTATCAGCGCTTGCAACATCAATACTAACCCAATTCGTGCATTCTCCGCTCGTGCAGGTCGAGATGTTCCAGCTCCCGTTGTTGTTGCCTCACCAAATCTCAACAGACGCAGTTCCACGCCAAGGAGACCAATTTCTCGGTCAAGCAAGGCCTCTGTGCGAGTCCTCTAAATCTCTATCGCTTTGGGAAATTCAAATCTCTCCGCTCCAGTCTTTGGATACCACCTTCCTACATAGGCATGAGCCAGCCGATCTCAATGTAAAGTTTGAGTTTGAGTTTCTTGCGAAATATGTGTAGGTAGAATCAAACATACGTCCCTCCAGCTACCAACCATTGTTCAGTTCAGTCCGGGTTGGGACTTATCAAGAGCAGAATCTATAGTCTCTTTGCTGAAGAAGTGTCGTGCAACAACGCCAACTAGTTCTTGTTACAAGTACGCTTTGCTGCTGTCTACCAGTCCACTTCGGAATCGGAATGAATCGATCTCCATTATCCTTCACTCCTTCCTTGCGTCCGCATTCGATATATCTGCCATACCACGTCAGGTGCGCAATCCTCTACAACCGGTTGTCCCTGGCGAGCGTGCATGTGCAGGATTCGAAGAAAACGCCAGTGTGACATCGCAAGCATTTCCAAACCAGGGCAAGGCGTTCGGGGGGTTTTATATTCTGCCTGCTAAAGCCATGAGTAAGAATGAACTGCACGTCTGGAGACCGAGTGCGCAGGGTGAACAACAGCATAGAACACATCGACGACACTATGCGCAGATTCTGCTTCATTTAACATCTGTCAAGAATGTTGTCCTAAGAGATTGTATAAGTGTTTAAAAAAGCTATGTGTTAACTTTTACTTCTGCAGTCAGATAGCTTTAATCAATTACTGATGTTGATTAGAAGCCTGCAAGGGCTCGGTGACGACTACATGAGAGCCTGGAGTCGAGATTGTGTTCGCGGCCTGTTCCCATACGAAAGGCAGAGGTCTCAGTCATACCAAGTGGAGCTGGATTGAACTCGTGTTTAAACACAGCCGCCATATCATTAGGCTATAAGAATGACACGGCCAGGCTCTCGAGCTTTCCTGACCGTACCACACTAGCACCAAGGTCGTACTACCAATAGGCGTGTGGAGCTTTCTCCGGAATACATACACTTAGGCATGCTTAGTGTTGAGGCAGGTTGATCTCGTTTTACAAATACGACAGATTCAGCCTTCGCTTGCCTGATCTATCGGGCTGTAGGTATTCGACAGTTGTCGAACGATGTTGAGCGACACTGTGGAGATTTGACCGCGATCACAGTTTGTGAGATTATTGGAAACCATTTCGAAAAGGATAGCAAGTAGTGAAGTTCATCAAGGAATTCTTTCGGGACCGGGTGAAATCGCCGCTGGAACTTTGCAGCCTGGTTGGCTTCTTCTTTCTCCGCTGCCATCTTTAGCCTGTTGTCTCGCCCTTTTGCCACTAAAGACTACAGTGCTATATCGTGTAATGGTTCACTGTCTCGTCTCGGCCACTGCCGTGGATCTTGTCAATCTGTTTGTCACGCGCGCATTGCATGCGCTGTTTGACTCGCCATTCGCTCCCCTATCGGCGTGGAAGTGTCGGCTCTTGACACTCTGATGCCCGAAGATACCATGACTGATTATATCTGTCGTGCACTGTGGATTCCTTAGGCAGCTTTTCACTGGCAGTGCTGAGGCTGAAGATGGATTCGAAGCGAATCACACCGACAACTCACTGATCATAATCGCCATTGCATTACAGCCAAACTAACCGCACTTGTCCGGCTGGGCAGACCCCTCAGCCAAGAAGAAGGTCTTATGCACGTCATACCCTGGTCGTTCCTCACAGCATGCAAGATTCATCAGCAGAAGCTCGAATCCTGAAGGATCAACAAGGCTTGCATGAAGGATCCACCAACGCAGGCACTGAAGGAATGCTTCTGACAGCTGAAGAACCGAATAGCAATATAAACATCTCGCGTCTCGCTTTTTTTTTCGTTGACTTTCGACTCTCACACACATCTCATCATGGCAGGATCGTATTTTGTCACCAATTTCTGGACGTTTGCCGCGTACGCTGTGGTCTTGTTCGTCTCGTACAAGGCTGTGGTTTACACTCAGAGGTATGTCCGAGAAATTATTGGTACGAGGTACTACAGGCGTACTGAATCATTATAGACTATTCGTCCACCCGCTGTCCAAGTTTCCCGGCCCAAAAATTATGGCAGCATCGAGAATCTACGAGTTCTATTACGATTCATATCAACACGGACGACTATGGAGACGATTGCCCGAGCTGCACAAAAAGTACGGAGCAATCATTCGTATGGGCCCCGACGAGCTGCACATTCAAGATTCGGAGTACTTTGATTACCTATTCGGCTTCAAACCCTTGGATAAGTGGCCTATGTCTGCAAGACAATTTGGACTTGACCATGCCATGTTCGGTACAGAGGATTATAAACTGTATACGCAGCGAAGAGCGGCCTTTGGCGATGCGTTTTCGAGATCCAAGACTTTCAAGCTGCAACCTTTGGTGAACGAGAAGACGGAGAAAGGCTGTGAACAGATCCGTGCAGCAACTAGAAGAGGTGGTTCGATCGATTTGGCGTATGTGAAGTCCGCTTGCCAGTTGGACGAATACTAATGGGCTGAAGGTATCTATATCGAGCTGTAACGGCTGAGATAATTACAGAATACATGGTGAGTGTAATAGCTTATAGACCCCAAAGATACGCTAACGAAGTGTAACTGCAGTATGGTCAACAATACGGTTTCTTCGAAGACGAGAAGACAACAAAAGGCCTCTACGACAGAAGATTTGATGCACTATTTGGCTTCACGCATCTCGGACGATTCATCCCATTTTGGATCCCCATCCTGCTTATCTTTGCGCGAAGTCAGATACGACAAGTTCTGGGGGTCCAAGAGTCGACCGCGAGTATGGTCGCATTCAGTGGTGTGAGTTATCCTAACCTATAAAGCGCCTTGGCTAACGCTTCTTAGTTCGCGGACAAGATGTTGAAGAACATTGTCGATGAGCATGGAGTCAAAGAAGACGTCTCTGAAAACAAGCAATACAAGACCGCCGCAGAGGTCTATCTCCACAGCTCGCTTCCAGTGCACGACAAAACGGGCCAAAGCCTTACGCAAGCTACCATGGCAGCGTGGGCTGGAGGTTGGGATACGACAGCTTTCTCCCTTACACAGACGTCTTACTATTTGCTACGATACGACAGTGTCCTCAAAAAGCTGAAGGCCGAACTGAACAAGGCTTGGCCACAGCAGGCCACCACCCCAACATACCAAGAACTGCTCGAGCTTCCTTACCTGGACGCTGTCATGAAGGAAAGTCTGCGGCTGATGCATGGTGCTTTATCACGGCTGACAAGAATGAACCCTACATCCGCCGAGCAATATAAATCTTGGACAATACCTCCGAAAACCAAGATATCCATGAGCACATCAGACGTGAACCTCGACAAGAGCATCTGGGGCGACGACGTGGAAAACTTTCGACCGGAGCGATGGCTTGGACATCCAGAGCTTGATAAATGGTTGATGACATTCAGCAAAGGAGCGAGAGTCTGTGCCGGCCAAGAGTTAGCATGGATGGAGCTGAAACTGATCGTAGCTACGATCTTTCGCAAATTCGACATGGAGATACCGAGTGAAGCGAAGGTTACGGATGCCGATATCCTGCCTTATTGCGATGGGTTCACGCCTGGGCCTAAGAACTATATGCAGAGACTGCCCGTTGTGCCGACGTTGGTAGATGGTTGAAGGGTCTCTGGCTCGTGCTTGAGGTCTATCGGAGTTTTCAAGGAGTACGACTTTAGCAGTTCTTTAATATAGCTACCATAGGCCAATTTGACATGGGTGACGAGGGAAGTTAATGTGTCGTCTCGATTTCAATCCCTAGATCGCTGTAAAAGTCGAAAACTTCCGGCAATAATATCAATTGACCTGACTCGTTCGCTTCGTCCCCTTTGCAGCAGTCTCCCAAGACTCCATGTTCCTCATCCAATTCTCCATAGTAGGATTTGGAATATCTTCTCGATCGAAAAGTCCTGGATAATGGGCATGCTCGTCAGCATAACTGCAAGTTTTCGAGTACAAACGCCTTTGGACCCAATGAAATAAAACACCTACCCGCCTTCAAGTTCGTTCTATCACCACTTGTGTTCCGTATCCAGATCCCAGCTCCGCATTCATCACACCAAGCTCGCTCCATCGAGTTGCCGCTGTCCGCTTGAATGGTACGAGTCCGAGGTTCTGGTCCAGTTGATTGAATATCTACGGTCTTGATCAAAAGATGGGCCGAATGACTGGCGCGAGATCAGTTCCTTGGAAGGACTATGTTAAGGTCTCTGTACCACGTACAATGCACCGGCCCACTTGCAACAGTCCAGGCAATCTGAGATATCCCATGGTCAGAAGAGCTACGGAAATAGACCCTTCTCTACTTACGGCACAGATTCATCTCTGACGGTCTCGGTACGGTAAATTGGTGTCGGCCGCAGTTGCAGGACCCGGTTATAAGGACAGACATGGTGGTTACAGGGATATGTTCGAGGGTTGGTGATGAGACAGCCAATGGTGGAATCGAAGCACGGTCTCTAGAAGGCGGCGGCTGAGCTCTTGGAGGGGCTGCCAAACCCTACGTCACCGATGATTTTTCCCTCTAGTCGTTCGTCTTTCCCAGCGTCTGGGCTTGATCATACTCCTCAAGCTTGGAGAAGACGTAAATTATTCCATCTCCTGTAAATATCCATCAAGGTGCTGTACATCGATATGGGCAGTCTTGCTGATAAGGCTGCTGCTCGACGGTCGTACGAAAATTCAGCATCACTTCGGGGCCAACATTTCACAAGCGCTATTGGCTCAGGAGGCACAGCGAAGAGCCATGTGTAGTTCTGACAATTTTTGAGGTGTGCGAGTAACAAATACTTTACTCTCTGCGACGTTTGCACCGGCCTTTGTGTCTCATTGAATTGACAGTGCATACGGATAGCGCTCTCGAACTCTGCCGCCTGCAATGCGCCAGATCGTCCAGTTCAAGTGATTCATTCTGCCAGACTCTCATTCATATTTGAAAAGAATTTGTTTTGAGACCGCCGAGACGTTTGGCCGTACTGAAGAATCTATGCCTGAGGCATGAGTAGGGCTGTGGCGGCCCGCTGCAAATGTCATTAATTCGCGTGGCTGGGCAGAGTCCGTCCTGCAAAAGACTTCCCGTTTTCGTCGAGTTTTCGACCGATACGTGTACCCATTCTCCTTCCGTGCCATCCCCATTCTCTCGGCAGTTGGTGGCGTATATTGCGCAGGAAGATGTAGCTCATGCCGAAGCGTAAATTGTCGCGGATGCGGTTCACAAGGTGCGGTTAACCTTTCTGATGGTCGTCGACTTCAAAGTCTTGCTCGTATTCCGCAAGCGCTCCGCTGCTCTTAAATCGCAAAACCGCGGTCCTAAAAAGCCGCCTGCCAAGACTTTACCCACCGCATCTTCGAATACCTTTCTCTCTATTACGATGTACGAAGTCATTCGTGTGAATATGCCAAGGTACTAGCCCATAGTAGAACTCCTACCAACATTTTCCGCGCTCGTTCTTTCGAAGGAGCCTTGGTCCAAAGTACGCTTCAGGCTCTGTTAGGCAGCTATGAGTAAAACAGGCTGTTGGGGATCAGGAGGCTTGTCTTTTAAGAATCAAGCAATTACAGTCAAACCTTCCAGACTTTCTCAATATCGACACGAACGAGATCAAAGTTTCAATATATCATCCATCGCATCATTTCACATTGTCTCACTTCTGATCGCATCCAGCCGCTCTCCATATCCTTGACGTCCATCTAGTCATCCTTGATGTCTCTCGGCCATTCCTGCAGTGACAACCTCCCCTGCACGTCCCTTCTCCGTGTCACTCTGCTCACACTCTGCAGATATTTGTGGAGTCAGGCCCATCTTTCTAGCCCTTCTGCGGAAGAATAAACGCTTGCCAAACTTCCAGGCCTCAATGCCAAGGAAGAACAACAAAGCCGAGATGAAGACGACGCTCCATTCCCAAGAGATGCCTTCGTGCTTGAAGACGTCGTGGTTAATCACGGGGATGTAGAGCGTAGGGAAGATAGTGACGAAGCCAGCGATGATGGCCCAGAAGAGAAATTTGTTTCTGCGCACATCATACCACCTGGGACTGTTTAGCACAGGGAGCGTTCAGTGCGGACAATACGATGTGGGCTTACCATTGAGTAAAATACTTGTTTGAGCCAGGCTGCATTCTGAAGAAACTCCTGCGCATATCAACGAGTTCCCACGCCAGGAAGAGAGCGAACCAGGTCAAGCACGCGAAGCAGGTGGCTCGGGCACGGAAGACCGTGTCGCATTGCTCTGAGTAAGCGTCATTGCAATTCTGACCAAGTTCGCCGTCACCAAAACCAAAAACGACTACTGAGAAGGCGCCAAGGCAAAGCGCCGCGACCCAGAGGCCATAGACAACCATGTCGGCCATGACTTCAAGGGTGAAGACTCCGCGTTTGAGACTCTGAGGTGGACGACGCATGATGTCTGGTTGGGCTTGTTCGAATCCGAGGCCCATGTCTGGCATGCCCGACGTGATCATGATGACCTGCACCACTCGTCAGCACAAGCTTCATTTGTGTTGGGCACACCGTCTGTCACGTACCCAGATAATCTCAACAGGTGCCAAAGGGAAGACGGAGAGTCCGCGCGAGTCCTTGAAAGCCAAACCGATCAAAAGTGTACATGCCTGAGCAATGTTTTCCGCAAGCAAGTGAAGAATAAACTTTTGGATGTTGTCAAACATGCGGCGTCCTTCTTCGATTGCGTTGATAATCGATGCAAAGTTATCGTCAGTCAAGACAATATCAGAGGCATCTTTAGCGACATCGGATCCAGCCTGGCCCATAGCAATACCCACGTCGGCTCGTTTGAGTGACGGAGAGTCATTGACACCATCACCAGTCTGTGAGATCTAGTCAGCTACACTTAACATTTCAAGAGCTTGTCCTTAGCGAATCGCTGGTGAAAAGCTCTGCGCATTTGGCAACACTTTCTCATCTCCATTGTGCATTCGGGCCAATAACCCCCCCTCAAAGGTTCGAGAAGACTTGAAGGCGGTGAGATGAGTGCGCCTTGCCATACGCCAGCGATCCGCTATCGACAACATGTCGCTCAGGACTTACCATAGCAGCAAACTTCTTTCTACGATGCAGAGCCTCAATCATTCGAACTTTCGTGTGCGGTGCGCACCGTGCTACCACCAAAGGCAATGATGGAAGTTGGTCAATCTCGTCGTCAGAAAGCTTGTCGAATTCGCTTGCAGCCATGACCAGAGCGTCAGAAACATCTTTGGGCAGCTGATTCAGTTCCCTTCTGGAGGGCAAAATTCCAACTTCGATGGCGATTGCTTTGGCGGTACCCGGATGATCACCAGTCAGCATGTGTACATCGATTCCCGCATGTCGACACTGTCTAACCGCGCCAGCCGATTCAGCTCTCGGTGGATCGTAAAGACCTCAAAGATGAAGCTGTTAGCAGGGGACGTGGAGAAGATGGGTTGCATGTCTCACTTACCGACTAGTCCGCGGAACGTCAAACCCGTCTCAATCTCATTCCTATCTACCTCTTTCTCATAGTTTGTATTTGTTGGTGCGTCGCGGCTAGCCAAAGCGAGCACACGAAGGCCAAGGGAAGCAAACTCCTCCATCTGCTCCAAGATCCGCTCTCGAACTTCATCGGTCATGGCAGCGGGCTCCGGTGTCTCGCTGCTGACGAAGAAGTGGGAGCAGGCCTGAATGACCCGCTCAACCGCTCCCTTCGTGAGAATATGCAAATCGCCCGTGTCAATATTTTCCATGAGAACGGACATCTTCTTCACGTCGCTGTCGAAAGGAAATTCGAGAACAGTCTTCCAGATTTGTTTTTTCCCACTGGTGAGCTGTGTGCGGTCCCACTTGAAGCGAAGGGCAAAGACGCTGATGGCAGTCTCAGTCGGGTCTCCTCGTCCGACCCATTTCCCTTTCTGATCCTGGTAAACAGTGGAGAGGTTTGCCAGCGCTGCCACGTCCAGGAAATGCTTGAGGTGAGTGTTGTCTTTTAACATATCTTCTCCAGAGATGATGTCTCCTTGGGCAATACTGTTGGAGCGTTCGCTGGCATCGGCAAAGCGCAAATCTCCCGAAGTAGGATTGAACGGTTCTGTAGAATTGTCGACGGAATAAGTGCCACAAGCGGGGATCCATGCCTTCTTCGTGATCATTTTCCCTTGCGTCAAAGTACCTGTCTTGTCTGAACAGATGTCTGTCACAGCCCCGAGAGCTTCCAGAGACTTGAGATTGCGGACGATAACATGCCTGTCGACCATCGTCTTTGTACCGGCTGCCATTGTAATCGTCAACACGACGACGAGTGAAGCTGGGATCATACTGAGGCCCGTAGCTACTGCGTAGATAATGACCTCCTGCTCGCTAGCAAAATCGTTTGCAGCAAGCACGATGATGGCACACACTACTGCGATCCAGAAAAGGAGAACTGCAAGTCGTGAGAGCTTTTTTTGCAGAGGTGTGCCTACATTGACGCCAAGGAAGCGGCCAACTGCGTCTGTGGTTGTCAAACTCCAGGCCTGGAGATATCGATGAGGACCAGCTCGACCCTCCTTGTTGCGTTTGACGGGGCGAATTCCAGAACCCGAAGCTCTAAGCGCAGCAGCGATGGAGCCTATCTCAGTTTGCAGACCAGTAGCATAGACAACACCACGAGCGCGGCCTTTGGTGACGGCGGAGGAGCTGTACGCAACATTCAAACGATCACCTGGACCAGTGTCTTCATCGCAGATGAGCTCAGGATCCTTTCGAACGGGAAGGGACTCTCCAGTGAGGAGGGCCTCGTCTGTCTCAAAGTTGACAGCTTCGATGAGTCTGTGAGAGCGCATCAGCAGGCGCGCATACTTGCTCTACTCCTCTGGCAAACCTCAAATCAGCTGGAATTGTGTCTCCGGTCTTCAGCTCCACCATGTCACCGGGAACAATTTCGACCGTTGGCACAGTGATACTTTCGCCGCCTCTGACAGCGGCAGCCGTCGGCGAAGATAGAGATCTCAACGAGTCCATGGTCTTCTCAGCATTGAATTCCTGCCAAAAGCCAACCGTAATGTTCAAAATTATAACAGCAGCGATGACACCGCCTTCGATCCAGGACCTGATGCCAAAGCTCACCGCCATCGCCATTACGAGGACCTGAGGGTCCGTGGATCAGCTGTCTCACCGCCAGAAGGAGGGAATGGATGCATTACTAGAGTCATAGCGTTGGCGATTTGTCGGAGAAGAATCTTTGGCGCGTTGACGCTTCCTGCTTCGCCCAGGTCATTCTTGCCATACCGATCCAGGCGCTCTTTCGCCATGGCGCATGAAAGACCGTCGCGGTCAATGGCCTCTAGCTCAGCAAGGACATCTTGGTGTTTCAATGCGTGAGCTGGCTGGGACAGAGGCAGATTGCCGCGCGCAGGAAATAGCTCCTGAGTCGGGTCTTTTTCTTTGCCCATCGTTGATCAGAAAATCTCCAGAGAAAGCGACGGAGCCGAGGGAGCGAAAGATGAAGGTGCTTCGAGGAGTGTTCGCAACATCAAAGCAGGAACTGGAATACCGAAGGCGCATAGAACCCTTTTCAAGTTTCTCCCAAATCGACGAACGCCGGCAACCAAAGTGGAACCTTACCTGCAATCCGCGGAACGTCCAACCGTCCTGGCTCTTGGCCGACTTCCACGTGCCTTGGCGAGAAAAGCCGATGTGGCATCTACACCAATAAACTCACCTCTCAACCTCAACATCTCTTGTCTGCCAATACCTCATGGCACACCATCCATGCTGGCCGAACGCAATCGTTGATGAAGTTTTCTCTTGGCAGGTATTGGAGTATTTGCCGCGGTGACATGTAGGACTGCCGTCACCCGCGCCGCTGGCGTTGCGAGAAGCTGAATGAAGCCGAAGATGTCTGGACTGCGCGCTTGGACAGGCTTGGAGAGCATGCTCATCAAGAAACGCGGACTTGTCTGGGCCAGCGTCTCCATCTTTTGAAGGAGGTGTATCATGCAGTCTTCGTGAAGTGGCGACGTTCTGAGCTTCTACAGTCTCTGGCATAAACGTTAGCAACCCCTGCTAGCGTCTTGCAAACAAATCCTGTCTGTGCGATTGAGCACTGACAGCGTGTGCGTGTCGACCTTTCACCGTTAGGCTAGCAGGGGTTGCTAACGTTTGTGCTGGGGACTGTAGAAGTCCGATCGCTGGGCTGGACGCATTGTGGCCATCCGAGGAGTGACGGAGGTGGCCACTGGACAAGACGCCAAGAGCATGAGATTACGGATTCGGCATCGCTAGACGATTACGGCGTTGTCCGCGGGCATGGCATGGCCACACAGGGAACCTTCGACAGTGTGCGAAAATGTTGGACATTTGTGATGAAGACGCAAAGAGCAGTCAGTCAATTTTATAGAAGCAGGCAATGGTTGCGTCCTGACAAACCCAGGGAAAAGACAATAATAAGTCGTGCACCTGCAGATCGCTTCTATTCGGGCGCTAAGTACGACTTGGGCCGTAACAATTCAAAACGTGGATGGCGTAGCGCGAGAGTATAATCTTGCATCTTTAAGAAAGAACGTTAGCTTTGCTCTACCAAGGACGGACAGCATGGTTACAGGCTATGTTCAAAACCTCATGATGAGATAGCCAATGGTGGAACGAAGCATCGTTGTGAAGGCAAGCTCTTGGCATGCCTGAGGCACCAGTAGGGCTGTGACGGCCCGCAGCACGAGTCAGCGTGATGATTAATTCGCGCGGCTGGGCTGGAGACTTCCCGTTTTCATCGAGTTTTCCTTCTCCAATTCCATCAATGCTGTGCTTCACGATCAACGCCATCAACACCATCATCGTGATGACTTCAATAAGTCGTGCTCAAACCACGCTCCGCAAGCCTCGTTTTCAATCCGAAGAGACGCGCAATGAAGCCGGACATTGGCCTCGTACGAGCACAGGAGAAGACCTATTTTGACGCTTAATGGCACTAGTCTGTCTGTGCACAGTGGCACAGGAACCCCCGAAGAAACATTGGTAGCAGTGGTTGGATTTATTTGCTGGAAACCTTGCGGGTACGCAACCTAAGCACGCCATTAGAATGGATATTCTGATCAGGCCTTGGCAACGCGAAGCCCTGTTACGTATCTACAGACAGAGCGCGAGCTCCGACAATTGAGCATGCCGGGTAGAGTATTTGATAAAACCGATTGCTCAGCGATATTTCCCTGGTAAGTCCATTCTTTCTGCTCGTCCATCATGCGATCCTTCAAACTGCTTGCTGCCAGTATTGCTACATTTCTTCCACTCGCTGTATCATCCTCCAGGCTCGAATATGCTCAAAATGACCTGCCAATCGTCAATTCAACCAATGGTGCCCTTCGTGGAATGAAGTCTCCGTTCCGTGGAGGTGTGACAGTCTACAAAGGCATCCCATTCGCTGCACCGCCGACCGGGCTGAACAGATGGACGGCACCAACGTCGCCTTCTCCATGGACTGGCGTACTCAATGCTACGGAATTTGGCCCTCAGTGTGCACAGACGACATCAACTTCAGCTGGGATCTTTAACAATGGAAAGAGTACATGGAGCGAAGATTGCTTGACCTTGAACGTTTGGACCCCTGCAATTGGCGAGTCTCAAGAAGTGTACCCGGTCTTCGTCTGGATCTACGGTGGCAGGTTCACGGGTGGTAGCGGAGATGTTTTGACCTACGATGGGTCCGGTCTGGCCAGTAAGGGAGTCGTGGTGGTGACATTCAATTATCGCCTAGGTTGGTGTATACGAACTAAGGGAGGAGACGCTTCATTGACACGGTATAGGTCCCTTTGGCTTTCTTGCGCATCCAGACCTCTCAACAGAGTCGGGGCACAATGCTTCTGGCAACTATGGCATCATGGATCAGCAATTCGCATTGCAGTGGGTTCAAGACAATATCGAGGCTTTTGGAGGTAATAAGAGCCAGGTCGTCGTGGGTGGTCAATCCGCCGGCTCAGCGAGCGCACTCGACATGATGTGGAGTCCACTCACGCCAAAGGGCTCCATCAAAGGAGTGATCCCAGAATCCGGCGCAAGAGGACCTCATGATTCTTTGACCGGAAGTCTGGCCACGAGCTATCGCAACAAGACTCGTGCCGAGTCTCAAGGGCTAGATTTTGTTGTATCGATGAACGTTTCATCAATCGCAGAGCTCCGCAACGTGTCGGCTACTACCCTTCTAACAGCTGACAACGACTCCGACGAAATTTTCGAGGGCACTGCATTCGAAAACATCACAGCAGCATTTATGGACCCTCCACTCTGGCGCCCCGTCATTGATGGCTACGTTCTCAATCACGGCTACGGCCAAGCTCTGGCAACAAATGATCATGCTGATGTTCCCATCCTCACGGGCAACAACCACGACGAATCTGGCGCCACACCTGATCCTGGTCTCACAGTGGCAGACTACCAGACTTACGGCCAGATGTTCCGCAACTTCTCGAGCCAGTTCTATTCCTTATACCCGGGCAACAACTCCACCCAAGCAGACGCCGGAAGCAACGAGTTCTTCCGTGACCTCAGCCGCGTCCCCACCTGGAGCTGGGCTAAAGCCTGGACTGCCGGTGGTGCAAAGAGCAATGTCTACGTCTACTTCTTCAACCGTGCTCCTGCGGAGATCAAAGCTAGTGGAGCCTACCATGGTAGCGAGCTTTGGTACACGTTCAACAACATCCCTTACGCAGACTACAGCAATGTCACCTGGGAGTCGTACGACTACGAAGTTGAAAGACAGATGTCGGAGTATTGGTACAATTTCATTGCCACCGGCAACCCGAATGGTGGTAATTTGACCTACTTCCCACCGTCCACGGCTGAGGAGAAGCAAGTGATGTACTTGGGCGATAGCTGGGGTTCGGGAGTTCTGAGTGCTTCTGAGGAGAAGTTCGACTTTATTCAGAATTGGTTGTCGACACTTTTCGAGTGGTAGAAACAGAAGGCACAGGGACATGCCAATCCAAATCAAGTCTTTGTCAGCACATATGCGAATCGATCTGGTACGAATCGCGACGGCGATGAGCGGACAGTGTCGATGTCGCCGAGTATCTCTCAGGCTGCCCGTGTGCTCTACTATCGTCCATAAAAAAACTCAACTGAAAGCTAGGTCTCACCACACTCGCATCGAGCTTCGCTGGTGAGATCACTCTTTCATTGATGCAAATATCTCACAAGCTGAGGTACATTGAGTTTTCGAACGTCCAATTCTCTGTTGCCGGATTTTCACGATGGTCGGCCTGCAACAATTTAATATCGAACCTGGACTATTGTGCGATCTTTACTTCTCTGTTCAACGATTTGTCGGTTCCGAACGGGGTGCTCCGTCGGACTGTATTCATCCGTCAGCACCGCCATGTTTAACGAAAATCTCTAGCAATCCGCTGTGAGGTGATGGCGATAATTCACCCAGCAAAGCCACGAGACCAATCCAATTCCTCAAGATGCAAGAGACCACCAAGAGACCAAACTTTCCCAGGCCCGACTTCACGACCAGCTACACCGACAAGCAACAGCGAAGACTCCCGCAATGCATCGCCCATCGTGGTTTCTCAGCCCGGTACCCGGAAAACACCATGGCTGCATTCAAAGCTGCCGTCGACGTTGGAGCCCATGCGCTCGAAATGGATCTGCAGCTCACCAAAGACGGAACTGTAGTGGTCAGCCACGATCCGACATTAGAATCTCAATTCGGCCGCCCCGGAAAGATCGCAGACCACGACTGGCACGACATCAAAGACCTGAGGACGATCAAAGCGCCTCATGAGCCTGTGCCAAGATTCGTCGATGTGCTGACATGGCTCTCGCAGCCCGAAGCGCAGCACGTGTGGGTGCTGCTGGAGATCAAAGTCGGCGGCAATGCGAAAGAGATCATGCAGAATGTCCACCAACTGTTCCGGTCACAACCAGCTGGCCAAAATGCCAGAGCGTGGAATGAGCGGATTGTGATCACGGTGCTCCCACCCTCCTACCTGACCCTGGCCGCCGAGTACCTGCCCGGCTTTCCAGTCGCACACGTTGGCTTTTCGTGGTCCTGTATCAGAGACCTCCTACCGATCCCCGGCCTGAGCTTCAACATCGCATTCCCATTGCTCGTGCTGCCAGGAGGGAGTGGGCTTTTGACGCAAATCCAGAAGAAACACGACAAGCCGGTGTATGCGTGGGTGGTGGATGAAGAACACACCCTGAAGTGGTGTATCTGGCGGGGACTCGATGGTGTCCTTACCGACGACTCCGAGAAGTTCCTGGAGGTTTGCAGAGGGTTTGATTTTGAAGCGAGAGAGCCTTGGTTCCCATTTACTGTCAGGACTTATTGGGAGGCGGTGGTTGCTGTGGCTGGTATGGCGTGGAAAGCTTGGACGATGAGGACTGTACTCACTGCTCCTCGATATAAGTAGAAAATGTGGTAGAGGACGACATCGAATACTAGACGGCAATTTTTTTTAAAGGCATAGTGATTGCGAGAACACAAATACAAGCCCATACAATTTCCATTATTGTTGACTTTTCGGCCACCGTAGCTAGCGGTTCCAGCCCCTCGTTCACCTCCTGCCTTGGAGACTCTGCACTCTTCGCCATCACCCGAGAGAAGCTACAAAAATGAGACAACGAATCACGTATCTACTGCCACAGGGCACTTCGGTAGACCCAAGCACGATCAAACTCACAGACGATGGCCTGGACTTTGACGACTTGGAAGCTGCAGCAGAAGAAAGACGAATCACCATTGGCTTGACCCAGCTCCCGGAAGAGGTTCGACAATGCAACACCTCACATCATTGTACATGTACTGATACATATATCAGATCCAAACCTTCCTCGCAGACTTCCACGAGCTACACATCCGCATCGCCTCAGTCCTCAACCACCCCACATTCTCACCAGCAGTCTCCCGACTGCCACCTGGCCTCCACGCATTCTTCACCCCCAGGACGCCCAATGCCGACACCGGACTATGCGATGGCCTGAGGAATATCCTTGGCGAGAGAGTGAAATGCTCCAACTCATCCGAGTCATTCAGCAAGCCACCCATTCTGTCGGAACGCTTCGCCGCTTCGTCGACGTATCAATTCTACAACTCGCCGCTGGATCTCGCTGTTGTTTCGCAGGTTCTCAGGGAGGGGATATGTGGGAAGTTTGAGGAGGGATCTTCGTTGCACACGCTTTGTGGTGTGCTTGCGGAGGCTGAGTCGGCGGTCAATGTGGATTATGACTTTGATGTTATTAGTCATGCTGTGACTATCACCATCTTGTGGCCTCCTGTCACGAGAGAAGGCACTATCCGGCCAAGGGTAGCAGCGAAGAAGTTGGAGGCGGAAGATCGACTTGAAGTTGGCATTCTGTCGCCTGAAAAGGCTGATGAGCCGGAAGAGCTGTCGATGGGAGGCTACCTGACTGTGATTGGAGAGGACGAGCGACCGAGTAAGTCACCAAACTTCACCCTCTCATCACCTTGACTAACCCCACCGCCAGACCCCACAATCTTCTCCTTCCCCTCCCGACACCACCCTCTACCCCAACACGACAAAACAACATACACAGCAACCTTCGCACCCCCAACAGGCCTGCACCCAAAACTAACCCTCTCCCTCCCCGCATCCACCCTACAACCCCCCAAAGAAGACTCCTGCGCCCTCCACGCCTACTGGACTCTCCCCACCGCCCTCTTCATAGACCGCTACCAACTCTCCGACCCGCTCTTCCTCGCCTCTCAAAACCTCATCGCCCTGCGCTCCCTCTCCGGCGCCCAAGATCTGGAAGCGCCAGATTGGGCCGTGAAGCACCCCTGGGGAAGCGCGGCATTGTTTGAGCTCGCAACACCCAACGTTACAACCACCGCCGAGGATGGGTTCTGGAATATCACCATCCCCACGCATCTCCGCTACGTCAACTCCACCCTCTCCATCGACGGCAAAACACCCTTGGCGATTCCTTGGCCGACAGTTTTCTGGGCGTGCGAAGCGCAGGAAGGACTCAAAATGTCCACGAACCCGTTCGATCGCGTCAATCTAGGCTACGATGGACTGTTCGGGCCGAAGACGATGTTCTACCATGTCCCGCCCAACGGAGAGGTGGAGAAATTGGTGGAGTTGCTCTGGGTGCCGACTTTGGACGTGAAGAATAGTGGGTGGGTCAGCTTTGGGACGGTGCTGGCGGTTTTGCTGGGGTTTGGGTGGGTTTGTTGGAGATTAGTTAGGGGTGTGGGTGGGAGTGAGAAGAAGGAGGGGGAGGGAAAGAAGGAGCAGTGCTTCTGACACGCTATAGCCTTCTCCATTAGCTATATACGGTGTCATTACAGCAGCACAGGACCACAACATCCTTTCTCCAGCTCCCGTCCCATAATAAATCTGTGTGAAAGTTGAAAATTCGCCGCGACTGTCGGACCTAGTTATAGACGGCGATCGACCACCTCACAGCAAGATCCGACGTTAGATATCGCTCATATCATCCTCATCAGAAGCCTCTCCGCCGGACTTCGTATCCCACGGGACATCCTCCTCAGAAACCTCGACAGCAGTGAGATAATCCAGCTTCTCCTTCCCCTCGAACTTGAGTCGCGACTCCAACAGCGGAGCCACAAGGCCTGCAGCTCGACCCTTGAGCGTCTTAAGCGCAGATCGAATCGTATCAGCGTCGTCGTCCTCGAGTGGAAAGTTGTCGCGATCCCAGTAGTCTTTCAGCAGCGTCTCCACAGGCATGTACGCATCGCCGCCCTTCTGAATGAGGCGATGGAAACCGGCTACGCTCAGGCATTCACCACCGTCGTGGTCGCAGATTGCGGTTTTGATCTTCGGGGCGCCTTTGTCGCCGGAGTCGAGATGTTTGAGATGCACGGCGATCCAGGCGCGGAAGACGCTGATGATGCTGAAGGCGATGGGGCAGAATTGGTGACGGGCGTGGGCGGTTTGGGTGGACTTCGCTTTCGATCTGCTTGGAGCATCCACCTGCTTCGTCAAGGTCTGACACAAAACTTTGCGCTCGACGTCTTTGCGAGTTTGATCCAGCGCCAGCGACTTGGTTGCGATGCTCTCCAGGACGGTGTACGGGATGTTCTTTTGAGGGACGCTCCAGTGCCACTCCGGATAGCAGCCGGCGACATGGGTGAATGCTTCGTTGTAGATGAGCAGGTTCTCCAAGTTGATGCCTACCAGCAGCCAGCGAGCGGCGTCTCTGGCGATGGCTGACCACAGTTGCTGGCTCTCCACGAATTCCAGGAAGGTATTGTTGACTGCAACAGAGATGGAGGAGACAGCTTGGGTAGCCTTCGCGATTTGAGCGACAAGCTCAATCTTCTCGAGGGCCGCCACGATGTCGGTGTGTGAGATGCCTGGATTAATCCGCGGGAACGCAATGATACGGATGAACGTTTCATAGGTCGCGATCCAGTCGACTTTGGGCGGGTCGTTTTGCGCGAGTGCGTTTGCTTCAACTTCAACAAGATCCTCTTCGGCCTTGATCTTCCTAGACGGCTTTTCCTGTTGCTTGTCATCCACCAGGACAGTTGGCTGCTTGTAAGCCTCGTCTTCGCAGTCAGCACTCATGGTGTCTAGAGACTTCCGTCCCAGACAGGGCATCACACCATCTGCAACTGGCTTTTGCAGAATGAACAAATGCTTGATGCCATGACCGCTGGCACCCACGACAGTGTTAGTGGCGAGCTCGTGCTTGAAGATTGGAGAAGCTCGTTCAAGATCTTCAGATCGTAGTCGGTACGTCTTGCTCAGATCAGCAATGTCCAGAATAATGACAAGGTCGCCGTCTTTTTGCAGTTTCTTTGGTCTTGCTGCAGCCAGGGCATCGTCGAGGAGTGTGGCCGGTTTTGGTTCACCCTCCTCGACGACGACATCAGGTAGTTGCTGGTAAGATTTCGATAGCTTATGCGTGATGAAGAGTTCGACTGCTTTTTGGAGGTTGCCATTGGTCTGCAATAAGTATTTGTCGGCTTCGAGCTCACTGGCTCCGGTGAACTTGGCAAAAGTTGAAATGGAGTCGGTGCAACTGTTTACGATGGTCTTCGCTCCAGCGCCCGTCTTGTCCATCTCTTCATCCTCCATGAATGATGCTGGCGTGCTTGCTTCACGGACCGCTGCAAAATCTTCGTCGCCAGTTCCTTGTGCTGGAGCGACTGGCTCTATATCCGATCGCTGAGCCGGAATGCAGCCAGTGAGAGACTCTTCTTCATCGTCTATGACTCGGCGGGTCTTGGCGCGACGTGTGGCTGTGTGCTGCTCAAACGCCATACCACGGATGTTCTCCGTGTCGGATGTAGAAACGTCGCTCATTTTGATTTGGCGTGGAAGTGAATTGCCCGAGCCTCAAGTGTTTCGTACGATGGCGAAGCAGTGGTGTTGGTGAAATATTGTGATGCGAAGAGTTCGCCGTTGCTTTTGTGGCCCCGTGCTTGAGGCTGTCGTCACTCACTTCACTCTCGCCGTGTGGAGCAGATGTCAGACTTCCTGCGCCTGTGAGCACAATCACTTCTTTCTCACTTTTTTTTCAAGGCCCGAGCTTGCGCCTGGCAAAAGTATGCGCTAATGTGCAGCTGCATGTGATGGTCAGGCTCGATCTTAATCTCGCCGCCCATTCCCGTGATTCCGTATGGAGTGACGACGTTGTACACAGACGGCAAGGCCAGTATTGCTGATTAGCGGATAGCATGTGATGACCAAGAGCTGGGTAGAAGTGAGAAGTTAAGACCCTTTTCACATGCTTTGAGGCCACATGTGACACGATTGCCATCAACAACTGCTATGCATACCTCTTCATACATCAGTTCGCGTTCATGCTGTAGCGGCCTCTCCATGCCGCGCGCTTCCCATCTCGATGACCCCAGGGATCTGCGGCTCCATTCACGCACTCAATGCTGAAGACAGGTTCTCCCACTGGCTGGGCAAGCTCAATGATGGCCCCGTGATAGCGCCTCGTGGCTGGGTATGAATGGGTCCCTGCAATGCAATCGGACGTCGGGTGCATCTGAATATCGACCTGGTGATGACTTCGTTCATGAACCACACCTGCCTCTCAAAAGCGAATCTCATAGCTGCCAGCCCTGGTCATATACCTCACCCACTTCACGCTGGAGTAGTTGCCTTTCTCAAACACCTTAAGATATCGAACAAGCAGTCCCGAACTCGTGAACATCAGCAAACTGAATTGCATGCTCAGAGGCGGTCGACTCCAGGCTTTGTGGGTGGTCATGGCGCTCAAGTCCGCTTCTGCGGATAGTACAAACTCACTCTGGCCGGTGAATCGTGCGATTTTCCATTCGATTACGTTCTCACTAGGAACATACTTCGCCTTGCCTTGGCTTGTTCGATGTGTTGTGTTGGCTGTGTTGAGCGGAGTCGGTATTCGTACTACGACGTTGGTTGCGAAAAGTTTACTTCCGTAATTTGAGCGGATAGCTATCGAGTACTCGACTTTTGAGCGGCCGATCTCGTTGACAATGGCGTGGACCTTGAATGGGAGGTTGACGTTTTCGGAGCAGCGGTATGTCATCAGTTGGAAGGAACCATCAGGCGGGATAAAAGAGATTGTCCGGTCGGTTGTGAAGGAGCTCAGCTTGACGCATTGATGGAGCGAGACATCTTCCAGGGTTACGCTTCCTGCTGCTGCTTTGGTCGCCTTGTTTCCGGACAAGTTGCCAGTAGGTCCTGCTTGATCTAGTCCGCCAGAGTGAGATCCAAGAGTGAGAGCGTCATTGAGGCCGAACTTGCATTCGGGTGTCCCTGAGAGGTATGCACGCATCTCAATGGCTCCGTTCACATCCGCTCGTAGTACTGTTCCTGAAGCAGACACCAGCAGGTTGACATCTTCGATGACATCCACGAAAGCCTCGTTCTTGCGGTATTTGATGTTGTCTCTTCGCCAGCTCAAGGCTCCGGTGGCCTGCATGGTAATCTTGCTGCTGTCTTCCAGTGCCCGCTCACTCTTCACTCCCTCCGTCGTGATGTACATCTTCAGCGTCTCAGTCTCCGTATTTTGTGGATATCCAAAATCCAGGATCTCGTCCAATAGTTCATAAACCATAACAAAGTTGCTCTTCACTGCCTCCTCATCGAATCGTCCAAAGTAGCTCTTGCCCAGCTGAACCAGCTTGTACAAGAACTCAAAGACCAGCGCACTGTTGACATTGCCCTTGCTCACGCCAACAACGTATATGTTCTCGCTCTTGATGTGGCTGAAGGTGGTGCTTCCCAAGGTGAGGATGGGCGACCGGATCTGAGGATTGCTAATGACCTGGATGCGGAAGACGTCGGCCAGCCGAGGGCGCATGTCCTGACGAAAAGCGCGCAGGATGAGCAGTTCGCCCTTTTGGTTGAAGAGCAGCACGCCGGACAGCATCTTGGCGGCTTGTGTGCGGGTATTGATGTGGTGGGTGGTGATGATGGGGTGAGGTGCAGAGGTGCGAGTCGGAGGTTCGGGCTTCGGATCGAGCTTGACGCCAGCGCGTCTTCGCAAACGCGCCTCAATTTGATGATCCCTTTAACCAATTCAACATACCACAACTCGAGATGCCGAAGCGGCGCAAAACAGAAGACGATGTCGAAGATGATGACCCTACGCCTAGGAAGACCCGCCGAAGTGCCAAAGGCGAGGAGAAGCCATCGAGTCCAGCGCAGACAGGAACGCCCTCGAGCCGAAAGTCGATCTTGAAGAATACCCCTACCAAAGCGAATGGTCTCAAATCGGTGGAAGCGACCCCGAGCTCGCTGAGGAAAGTCCTATTTTCAACACCGCATGATAGGAAAGCAGTTGAAGAGGAGGAAAATGAAGAGACGCCAACCAATACCCGCAATGACCGCTCGGCTCGTAGGAAGAGTCAACGGACGCTGCAGAAACAGATTGCCGAGACAGAAGACAGCGATGAAGAGGAAGATGAGCGGGAGGAGGCTATTGCGCAGGCAATATTGGGCGAGGATGAGGAAGACGAGGTGGAAGATGCAATGGATGTGGATCCACCCTCTGCACCGGATACACCCTCCAAAACAGGACGACCTCGAGGACGACCGAAGGGCAAGCGGCGTGAACGAACACCCAGTCCACCACCAGACCTACCGCCACACGAGCTGTACTTCTTCCAGAACAGAGCTGGCGGCAACAAAACTTCATCCAATACTCTACCATCGCATCTGCTCTTGAACCACGAGGACTACTTTGCCCAAACCAAGGATTATAAAGACCCTCATGAGCCTGACATGGCACGCTTGAAGCAGCTTCACAAACGATCGTTCGATCAATGGATCTTTGAGTTGGAGGAGGGCTTCAACCTGTGTCTCTGCGGGTACGGCTCGAAACGCAATCTCGTCATGGACTTTGCCGAACACTTCTACGCCCAGTCCGAGAAGACACCCAAGATTGTGGTAGTCAATGGCTACACTTCGGGTTTGGTAGTTCGGGACATCCTCACAACTTTGGCGGGCGTTGTGCTTCCGAAGACTTCGAAACTTCCAGCCCAGCCAACTGCACTCCTGGACTTGATCAAGGTATCCATTGCCACGCCGGTCACCCTGATTATCCATTCGCTCGATCACCCGAATTTACGCAAAGCCCAATCCCAATCTATCTTGGCAAGCCTTGCATCTCACTCGAAGATCTCACTCCTGGCCACCTGCGACACGCCGAACTTCCCACTCCTCTGGGACATCTCACTTGCTTTCCAGTTCAACTTCCTCTTCCATGACACCACCACGTTTGACCCTTACACAGCCGAGATCGAAGTCGTGCAGGACGTCAACGCTCTCCTAGGTCGGAGTCGACGGACCTTGGGTGGCAAAGACGGTGTAGGTTATGTGCTGAAGTCGCTGCCGGAAAACGCGAGGAATCTCTTCCGAATCCTCGTTGCAGAGCAACTTGCATTGGCCGTAGATGGAGAGCAGGGATTTGGCGTAGGCATTGACTCCGACGCCGAGGACGAAGATATTCTGGGCGTGGAGAATGAAGACGACATCGGCATGGAGCAAGACACGCCGTCAAGGAGGAAAAGAGGTAGGCCGCCGAAGAAGAAGAAAGAAGCAGCGCCAAAGCCTGTGCAGACACAAGCCGTGGGCGTGGAGTATCGTACGCTGTACCACAAAGCTGTGGAGGAGTTTGTGTGTTCGAGCGAAGTCAATTTCAGGACGTTGCTCAAGGAGTTTCACGACCACCAAATGATTGAGTCGAGGAAAGACGCCTTGGGCACCGAACGACTGCTGGTTCCGTTCAGAAGAGAAGAGCTCGAAGCCATCTTGGAAGAACTGGTCTGAACAAGACGTGCACATGCATCGAGGTTGAATACTCTATGCTACTACCTATGAGGTCTCGCGGTGAGGCGATAACGAATCTGATCAAACGCCTATTGCTATGCGTGCTTTTTCGAAAACCATCATCCCGCAACGACGTGGTCTACCACCCTCGCTTGGCCAACTTGTTGGTCTCGGGCATCTTCTCAACATTAATGCCCACCATGGCCTCGCCCAATCCAATGCTAACCTCAGCCAGCACCTTGGGATCATTGTAATGAGTCGTCGCCTGCACAATCGCCTTGGCCCTCTTCGCCGCATCGCCCGACTTGAAAATGCCCGAACCCACAAACACTCCATCACAGCCCATCTGCATCATCAACGCCGCGTCCGCCGGCGTCGCAATTCCACCAGCCGCAAAGTTGACCACAGGCAGCCTCTTCTGCCTCGCCGTCTCCTTCAACAGCGCGAAATCACATTCCAACTCCCTCGCCATCTGCCGCAGCTCGTTCTCAGACGCACTGCTCGCCCGCGCAATCTCCGCGTTCACAGTCTGCATGTGCCTCACAGCTTCGACAACATCCCCAGTCCCAGCCTCTCCCTTCGTCCTTATCATCGCAGCCCCCTCGCTTATCCTCCTCAACGCCTCTCCCAAGTTCCTACACCCGCACACAAAAGGCGTGTTAAACCCACTCTTATCCACATGGTGCGTCGGGTCCGCCGGCGTCAACACCTCGCTCTCATCGATATAGTCCACGCCAATCGCCTGCAAAATCTGACACTCGACGAAATGTCCAATTCTCGCCTTCGCCATCACGGGAATGGTCACGGTGCGCATGATATCCTGGATCATGGACGGGTCCGACATGCGCGCGACGCCGCCTTGCGCGCGGATGTCGGCGGGCACGCGCTCGAGGGCCATGACGGCACAGGCGCCCGCCTCCTCGGCGATGCGGGCTTGTTCGGCGTTGACGACGTCCATGATCACGCCGCCTTTGAGCATTTGGGCGAGGCCCGCTTTGACGGCGAAGGTGGATTGGGCGGGGTTGGAAGTACTAGCGGCGGCGGTGGTCTTCTTGACGGTGGAGGGGTCTGGGCCAGGCGTGCTGGCGTGGCCGTTTGTAGCGGTCTCCATCTTGACGGCGGTGTTGTTGTTGTTGTATCGGAAAGCGGAGGGGGTGTGCTCGGCGGTGCCGTTGGATGCCATTGCAAGTTTATAAGACAAGACAATCTGCTCTGACTCAATGGGTCGTCTGCTGTAGTGACCGTCCTCGCTGTTGCTGGGGTGAATCAGGAAGTGCTATCCTGAGGGTGTGTGAGGGCAAGGGCGTAGGGCGTGGAGTGAGAAATGGAATGGGTAGCTGCGGGCGAAGTCGGCATTGGCAAAGAAAAAAGTCATCAAAGTGTAGCAGTCATGCTCTGAACTTTCCCCGCCGCGGGGTCCAGATCTCGCTCGCCCTGACGACGGCGATCGGGCTAGCTACGGTGGGCTAAATTATCGGATTGAAGGGACTCGCTTTCTTTGTGCTTTGGTCACTACGACCTCCTTAGCTAGAACCTACTTCAATATATTGTTGACTCCGAAGCCCAAGATCTTGATTCTCCAAGATCCTTACTTGGTACGCCGTCGTCGATTGCGAGGACAAGCGACCGCCTGAATAAATTTCAATTTACGCGCAGTCGTAAGAGCTGCAGCAATCATACGACGTGTGTGCAAGGGACGTGAAAACACAAGATCCCTTACATGCTCGCGTATGCTCAGCTTTTTGGCCTCCGAGAAAGGTCCAGCATGGTTCCACCGTTGCTCTCGCTCCCCAGGCGACATTGCCAGCCTTGTGCTTTGGCGCTAGTGCTGGGCTAGTCTGAATGCAGCATTCGCTGCGGAAAAACGACCAAAATGAAGAACTCCCAAGACTCGTTATAAGACATGTGTCGGCACAGGAAAGTAGTGTCACTCCTTACAAAGATCGAACGCTCTCTGAAACGATGTAAGTACAGTGAGGACGACATGCTCGACTCTGTCTAACAGAGAAAGCACAGCAACTTTCCCGTGGCTCGATGGAGTTCTTCGACAGCGCTCCTACATACACATGTTGCACCAGCAGCAGCGATTTTCATCTCATCATTCGAAACCTGGGGTGCATTCCTCTTATCACGATCACACCTCCCTTCGCGAGCACGAGCCTCCCCGGCTATCGAGCAAGAAAGCCGGTCAAGAAAGCCGAACAAAGCCGAAGGTTACAAATCCCCTTCAACGACGATAGGCATTGGGAAACTCTATTGCAGCGCAAAGGGGGTTGTATCTCAATAGCGATTTCTATCATTTGTAAGACCCGTGATCAAGCTATGGCATTCTGCTTCCACGGAAGTCATGCTGCAACGTCTGATTCTCCCAAGGAGAATGTACTCAAGAGGCATTTGAGGTGCGTGTGTCGATTCTACCCTGGTCTCTTTGATTGGGCATTGAAGCTGGCTCCCCCGTCCAGTCAATCGCAGTCACATCCGTCCAGCGAGCGAGTCTCGTCGTGCCATCTTGATTCGCAACTATGTCGAACCTCATCCGCGACGCGCCTCTCGGGCAACTCATTCGACTTATTACTCGGGACAAATACCTGCGGTACGCTGAGGAGGAACCCGACTTCCAGCTACCATTGCCCTATGTCGAAGCTCTCGAGACGCTGCGACAAGAAAAGTACCCAACCACGAACGCATTGTTTCCAACCAACCCGTCAAATGAATCGATCGACTCATGCTGCAAGAAAGCTCCAGACAACGAGTCGACGTCTGGTTGCGAGGCACCTCAAGACAGGACCGTACTACACAAAGACTTCCAGCCCGCCAGCAAGACTCTCGATACGCCAAGGGTTCTCCCCGGCGGAACAATTCTCGTAGACTGGTATGGGCCCACAGATCCCGATAATCCTCAGAACTGGAGTTCGAAAAAGAAGGCATTGGCAGCTGGTATCATCGACCTCTATACCTTGACCGTATATGCCGGCTCCGCAATCTGCACTCCCAGCTACGAAGGCATCATGGAGCGCTTTGGGGTCTCGATACAGGTCGTCTCACTGCTGCTGTCCATGTACGTCCAAGCATACGGCATCGGTCCTATGCTTTGGTCACCACTTTCCGAGATCCCTTCCATCGGACGCAACCCTCCGTACATCATCACCTTCGCGGTTTTCACGATCTTGATCGTCCCGACCGCCCTGGCCGAGAACTTCCCTGGTCTCGCCGTACTTCGCTTTCTCCTCGGATTCTTCGGAAGTCCTTGCCTCGCTACCGGCGGCGCGTCAATGGGAGATTTATACGACTTCGCCAAACTCCCCTACGCCTTGTCTCTGTGGGCTTTCGCGGCAGTCTGCGGGCCCGCGACAGCTCCGCTGATCTCCGGCTTCAGTGTTGCCGCTGAGAATTGGCGATGGGCCTTCTGGGAGATGCTATGGATGTCAGGACCAATTTGGATACTCATGTTCTTGCTGCTACCAGAGACGTCTTCTCCGACGATCTTGCTCCGTCGAGCTCGTCGATTACGTGCAGCCACTGGCAATCCGTCCTTCAAGAGCCAGTCCGAGATCGATCAATCCAAGATCACAGTCCACGACCTCGTCGTCGAGTCCCTATGGCGTCCGATGCAAATGATGCTCCTCGACCCTTCCGTTGCCTTCACCGCTATCTACTGCGCCCTAGTCTACGGAATCTACTACTCCTTCTTCGAATGCGTGCCTCTAGTCTTCGGCCAAATGCACGGCTTCAATCTAGGAGAGCAAGGCTTGATATATCTATCCATCCACATCGAGGCCGCCATTGCAATTGCGTTCTATTGGATCTATATATGCTGGTGGGTGGAGCCAACTGTTCGAGCGAACAATGCCGGTCCACCAGAGCGTCGCTTGATACCAGCTCTCCCAGCCTCGATTCTTATGCCGGTCGGTTTGTTCATCTTCGCGTGGATTGCCTCGCCAGATATCCATTGGATCGCACCAACTATTGGAATCACCATTTTCATTAGTGGCATCGTCGCCATTTTGCAGTGCATCTTTCTGTACCTCCCTCTGTCATACCCGCAGTATGCAGCCTCGCTGTTTGCTGGTAATGACTATGCTCGCTCGACGCTGGCGGCGGCGACCATTCATTTCTCGCAGCCGCTGTACGATAATCTTGGGGTTCCGAGAGGTGTGACGCTGCTGGCTGGCCTGACCGTCGGATGCATCGCTGGTGTCTTTGTGCTATGGCACTATGGGGACAAGCTAAGAGAGAGGTCGAGATTTGCTCCGACGTAGTGGTCGATGGAGGATGGGTCTTCGTCTTGATATATCAAACAGCCTGGTGAGCTGCTGAGAGATTCAGAATGGTGGCTTGCTCCGGGATATTTGTGGGCAGATATATTATATCATACAACTAGAGATATCATGTATAGGAAGGCGGACATGACTTTGTTCTCAGGCTATCTTCGCAACATGAACCCTGTAGCATGCTTGTATTTCCAAGAAGTCCTTCTTACTGCGAACAGAATGTAGCGCCTAGTCAGCAACGTATCTTCCTGGTAACATCAATCAATACCTCCATCGCTGACTGCAGTTATCAGCCCAAGCAGAACAGAGCCAAATAAACCAGGACCAGGTTTAGTATTGTCTGTATTGATGCAATATACAAGTACATTGTGTTCTTCGTCGTCATGGACCACCACTCAATGAGCATCTAATTGCTTCGTATCAGTCCTGCTTCAGACTGATGCGTCCGACCAGGAGTTGTGTACCTCGTTTCTTTGGGCTTAGATTTATTCCCATCAAGCTCTCCCTGGCTTGCTACAGATCAGCATTCGGAACATTGTTTTTCCTTTCTGTGGCTCCTTACACCATTGTCTGAGCATGATCCGACAAAGATGCGTTGAGCATCGATGGCGAACGATCCTATCGATCCAGTGTCCTGAGACCACACCGGAGCTCTGAAAGAGTATCATGTTGATGTTGGGACGCGAACCCGGATATCGGATCGCCATCCTTTCCGTGCTCTAGCGTATTGCGCCCCAGTGCCAGGACAAGGCTACAAGCTGCTGCTCGTGGCTCCAACTTAATAAGGTTCTACACATTGAGATACGTGGCACATCCAACACTCTGGTTGCTCAAGCACTCTTCCCTGGACGCGACAATTTCTTAAACTCGTATCTTGGACGCCGATGACGATGACTGATGCTACTCCTCCTTCAGAAAATACAGCCCCCGCCATATCATCCAACCACGAGCTCTCAGTCCAGCGAAATCTCGCCCTACCAACTCCAGCCCATGACGAGCTGTTGATCAGAGTCATATATTCTGGCATCAATCCTGCCGATATCAAGCACAAAGCCCTTGGCATCGTTGACACACACCTTGGTTACGATTTCTGCGGCGTTGTGCATCGCCTGCCACCCTTCGATAGTGGCTTCGCTGTTGGAGATGTCGTTGCAGGAACAACTCCCACAGGTTACGGGGGCCCCAAGAAATATGGCACACATCAAGACTATCTCGCTTGTCCTGTGGACATGGCTTTCAAAATTCCTCCGAACCTCCCCGTCTTGGATGCCGCTTGCATATGCGTTACGACTATGACAGCGGCAGACATTTTGGTCGACCTCTGCGGCTTCGAGCCGGACGATCTGGGTTCTACCTCTGATCGTGCAGGAAGATCTGCAATCTTAATCTGGGGCGCTTCAACAGGCGTGGGCAATGCTTGCGTACAGTTCGCCCGCGCACTTGGTATCAAAAACATCCTTGCTACAGCCTCTCCGGCTCGCCACGCTCTTCTCCAAGATCTTGGTGCAACGCATGTTTTCGATTACAACGATTCATCAGCGGTCGCTCGAATGAGGGAGGTCGCCCGCAACGGCAGCTTCAACATAACCCACGCCATCGACGCAGTGGGAACCACAGGCATGTTCTCCAACTCGGCTACGCTCACCAAGGAATGCTGCGTGGATCATCCCTCCGCAGTTTTGGTCTCCACGGTTGTTCGACCATTTGACAAGGGTTTCAAAATGCCTCTCGCGACGAAGAACAAGCGAGTTGACATTCGCCTTCTCATCATCCCATCTCTGAAAGCGGTCGACATCGCGAAAGGGTATCTACCGACCATCAGACAAACGATTGAGCCAGACCACGAGGCTCACAATAGGATGTGGTCTGCGTTGCTCTGGGCTGAAGATCACTATGGAGAGAGATTAAGCTACCACGAGTGCAAGAGATTGATTCTGGCTTCACGGCCGAGCGTGTGCTTGTGGAAATCGATCGCATTGCAAGAGGAGCAGGGGGATTCGGAAAGTATGTCGTGAAGCATCCTCTTCATTAGGAGCATTATGCTACAGAAAATGATGCCGTCGCTCGCAGTCAGATACTATGTACACATATGTCTGTTATGTACCTACCTTCACGGTCCTTTCAGGGGCAAGGCCCAAGAGATCCCGAGCCTTAAGTCCTTATCTCCGAGGCTCCGGGTACCTACGGCTACCTCGATTGGAGCTGTCGTTCTGCATATTCTACACTCGTCGAAAGGTCGCGATTTATTAACATGGCCAAGAGCTTTTTGTTCATCGGTAATGACCGAAAAGATGATGCTGCCAGGCGTAGAGCTCGTTCACATGTCATGCAAGGCAAGAACCTGGGAAGGAAGATCACTCGTCGCTCCCGACTGGCCGTCACAATGGGTCCATATGAGAAAAAGCCCACAGGACGTGACTCCTGTATCTCTAAGAAGGAGAGTGATATCGTAGAGGTATATGCAACTCCAGGGCGCGGGATTGGGCATGCGCTGGGCAGCCTTGTCTCCCCGGTGGAAGTCACTGCGGAATCCGCCTATGCTATCAATCAGTGTAAGCAAGACCGGCCTGCTTCATACTACAAAGAGGCTGACAGCAAGTCTCATCTTGCCAGTCTTCAACTCTACTGCGGAGAGAATGTACCCCGTCCATCTTGGCATCACCATCGAGGCAGCAAAGATTATGTGGTTGCAAGTATTGTTCGTAAATGAAGCTTGTACGTGACAGATCCGGGTGGCTACAATGCATCACGCTCACTACTTACAGCATATCACTGCCACGTTGCCTTGATGCAGACCTGTAACGAAGTATACGATTCGAACGACAGCGTCTCGCCGAGAGCATTATCCCACATCGCCCGAAGTCTTCCCCGTGTACAACGGATCCTCAACAGCGACGAAGCCCTCTCCGATGCGAGTATAGCGATCGTGTTGTCGCTTATAAGTCAGGAGATGATCCGAAAGTGCAACGAAGAAATCGAGATCCACTTCCAAGGACTCACAAGGATGGTTGACCTTCGTGGAGGACTTCCCAAGCTTGAAGATAATCGCGCATTGACTCTGAAGATCTGCAAGTAGGTGCACTTTCTCACTAAGAGATCTTGCTTCTCAGAAGCTGACCTGTTCTATCCAGAATTGACGTCGTCTGTGCGCTTCGGAGCGGCCAGACTACAATCTTCTCCCGAGACACATTCCCGACATTGGATTCGCCAGGCTCATTGCTTATGCCTGCAGGTGTTGATGCACTAAACCACGAATTACAGAGCGTCTTCCACGACGCCATGGTATTCTGTCATTCACTGCAGGATCCTTCGACACAGGCCCTAGATGTCTTGACGTTCGAGGAGGCTGTAATCTCGCTCTGTTACCGACTCTTGTCCTTTCGAACCCTCCAGGAGGCAGGACGCATCATCGATATCAACAGCCATGCTCACCTTGGCTTGCTGCTCTTCTCAATGACGACGTTTCTACAACATCGCGGCCGGCAGATCATAGACTTTCCCATGCTGTCTCGATGTCTACACGAAGTGCTAAGAGGCACAGCGAGCGGGTGCGAGCCCGAAACCGTTCTTTGGCTTTCACTTCTTGGCGGAATGTGGACGGTCGACGGCACCGAGCGAAGTTATATTACTTCCTCGTTAAGTAAGGCTGCGATGGCTATCAGCCTGAAGTCATGGTGCGAGGCGAAGCGAATCCTTTCAAACAATTTTCCCTGGCTACCGGAAATACATGACAAGCCGGCGCTGGCTTTCTGGAACTACACATTTCTAAACGGCGTTTCCGCACACCGAACTTAGGATGAATCCTTCTCATGACTCCTTAAGTCACGGCTGCGGGGCTTTGGTCAACCCCTAATTCAAAATCCGCTGGAGATATGGGAGTGAGTGCGTTCCTTCCTAAACGGGTTAGCTTAGATCTTCCGGGTGAGCATGTGAATACCGAGCCCAAGAAGTGACACGTAAAGCAAGAATGGGCAGCTTCATGGAGGAAACGCGTCGTCCCTAATTCTGTGCAGTAGCGGTCTTCAAAAGAGAAAAGTTAGACTTCAAAGCACTTCTTGAGGAGATTCAAGCTCGGCTGCTCAGATGCCGTGTTCTGATGCTGAGCCTTTCTCTACTGGCGCGATTCATTCCTAGCAGATATCGATGTAAACAAAAATAGAGAAAAATGTCACTATAACCACTGCAGCGGTATTCTTGACGGAATTTTCCATCAATGTCTTCGCATTCCTTTCCGACAACATGTCTCTGCAACAGCTCTTCTTCCAAACAACGGTAAAGCATAGTCTTACAACTCGGAGAGACTGAACATCATACGCTGGTGGGAGATTTATTCAAAGGTGTGACGGTACGTATCCAACAGGTAGTACTTTGTGACTTGAGACAGCTGCAGACTGACGCAGCTGGTAGGTAATGCAAGCTGTACAATACTGCTGCCTAGCCCGCCGACACAACATTCCTCAGTCTACTGCGACATCGCCACTTCCGACTGCTCTATCTAGTCTCTCACAGCACAGACATACCCCATCGTATACCCACAACGAATCATTCAAACACAACAAAATACCAGACGATGGCTCAACAGTCCAACCAAAGCACAGCCAGCAATGCGAATAGCGCAAACCATAGCGACGGCTTGCCTCCTGGCTGGCAAGCCATGGTGACCAGCGATGGAAGAACGTACTACAGCGACCACGCCTCGAGGACCACCACTTTTGAACGGCCGCAAGCTCAAGCGGTCGAAGGGGATCTACCATCAGGATGGGAAATGCTACGCACCCGTTATGGGGTCACCTACTTCGCAGACCACAACACTCGAACAACAACCTTCGAGGATCCAAGGATCAATTAGTGGAAGAGAAGAACGATTGGTTGTTCGGTGATAAAGGCATTGAATGGGGGTCACAATCTGTGTTAGCAAGTTTGGTCGCGAAATAGTCAAGATTGTTGATAAAATGCAGTACTTGGGAGGGTGTCGATTTGAATGCTGGTCGGAAGACGTTAAAAATGGCCGGCTTGTCAAGTTCTGAGTCCACGACTGACAGTTTGGGACTCCGCATATATATTCGCCATTCGCAGGCGAGTGTTGAGAACAGTACTTGCTCACGACAACACCGCAATGCACTCAATTTCCACATCAGTGCCTCGGGGAAGTTCTTTGACCGCCACGCAACTAGTCATCATTAGCCACAAATTGCAAGACTTTGTTCGAAATCGACGGTACTGACGTTCGAGAAGGCTTCTCATCTCCCCAGTACAGTTTATAGACTGCATTCATGGTACTAAAATATTCCATATCCGTGATGAAGACGTTCACTTTGATCACTACATATGCATTAATAAGGCTTGCCTAGAACAGCAGTACTGACTACTTGCTCAGTTTACTCACCGTTGTCGATTGAAGTACCGGCGGCTTCGAGCACATGGGTCAGATTCTTAATACACTGCAGTATGCGTGCGGTCTCCGATGTTTCCTTCAACGAGTCGTCTGGTGATAGGGTCCAGGGGTACTTGGCCTGAACAGTATACGGTGCCTTTGGCGACAATAGCTTGACTATAGACACCTGCTATGGGCTTCGGTGCTGAGGCAGTCATCACGACTTGCTTGGGTGCCATGGTCGAATCGTATGCTCGGAAGAGCTAGGTGGGAGTTGTGGGTTGAGACGAAATATGGCGAGGAAACAGCACTTGATATATGGCAATACTCCCTGTGCTCAATTTCGCGGCGGATATCATCTATTGTTGTCGTCCTGCAGATTCATCCACAGATTCGCCTACTAATGATGCTTACCAACTCATTATTGCCACCTCGTTTAGACTACTCATTGTAAGCCTGCCCCTGCAGATCTTCATCAACCGCGCAAGGTCAAGGAACGTGCCACTTGCAAGGAGCCTCGTGGGCTTGAGCAAGTGCGAGTGCGCTGTATCTACACGAATGTTCATGCGCTTGGCTAGTCGGAATCCGATTGGTTTCATCACCAATTCGAGCTCTGCTGTGACTAATTGCAGGAAAGAGTGATCATCAATACATCTTTGTGGACTGCGTGGTGCAGGCAAACGAAAGGCTTCATCTACTCAGCTAGTCGCAAGACTCAGCAAAGGACATGCTCCACGAAGACGATCGCTAGCAAATCTACGAGAAATCTTCATTCAAGTCTACGGTGCTGCCTCTAACCTCCCTATTACCCTCTCACTGACTTCCCGAAGCGCTCTTCCGGCCCACTCGAAATCCTCTATGGTGAGGTAGATCTGCGCGCTCAGTCGCACCCACATCTCGCCTACATACATGAATATCGGCATGAACGTATTGTACTCCCGCACCAGCGTCAGAGGTCTGAAAAAAAGGGGTTCGTGAAGCTTACTGCGCGACTTCGATCGTACGGAGATGAGGCGGGATAGACAGTCGGACGTTGGCGAACGCGCACTGCCTTAGCGTACCCTGTTCGTTGTCCAAAACTTCGGTATCGAGAATGCTAGCAACGCGGTCACCGCCCTCTCGGGCGAGTGAGAAGCAGTATGCGCGGACTGCGTCTTCGCCTTTGAGGTGTTTAAAGACGACTTTGCTCCGCCATTTCAACGCGGCAGGTACTGCGAGATACGGGGACTTGTCGATGGTGCCAACGAACTCGAACAGTGTGATGAAGTTGGCATTGGCGGAGCCCGTGGTTGGTTTGGCGATTTTGGATGTTTGCGGCACGAAACCGTTGCTGGTGGGCAGGCTGGAACGCATAAGAGGATGGTTGCGTGCCGCCACGTACATAACGGCACAGCCACGGCGAGCGAAGAGCCACTTGTGGCAGTTCAAGACGAAGAAGTCTGGATCAAGAGTCGTAAGATCAAGGGAGATATGGCCAACGCTGTGGGCAGCGTCGAGGACGCTAAAGATGCCATGTCGCCGGCAAAGGCCAGTAAGAATCTCGAAGGGCACACGTACGCCCGGCAGGGAGACGACAGTGTCGAATATGGCGAGTTTAGGACTTTTGCCAGAAGCACGAATGGATTGGATCGCTTCTTCGAATCGTGCAACGAGGTCGGCATCAGTGATGGGGTAGTCGCAGCGAATGCCGTGCGCCTGAACGGGCGTAGTCTCGACGAGATACTCGATGGTCTTGTGGCAACTGTCGAACACACTGGAGAAGTGGATAATGACGTCGCCTGGTTGATAAATGAGGAATAGTGTTAACTCTGTCGTTGCGTTTGGGACAAATACGACGCTGTCCACAGGTGCGTTGATCAACTGAGCAATTGCAGCGCGGGCTTCGTCGTTGCGAAGACGAGACTCGTAGCGAATAAACCAGTCCGGTCTTCGTTCGCTTTGTTCGTGGAAGTATCGTGCAACGGCTCCAACTTCTCGAGGCAATGTTCCGTACGAGCCTGAGGAACGTTAAAGCCCTGATATGCTCTTCCATAGTCGTGTCTTACCATGATTCAAATTTCTCCAGCCATCGTCGAAGTAGAAGTGCTGAGCCGCTTCTTTTCCGCACTCGATAGTGCTAATAGAGTCGATGACTGTGTACAGGTCTCCTTCTTCTTTCGGTTGTTTGCTCATGATGGTGGCGGAGAAGTTCGAGCGAACAGTGCGACTGCTGTTACGAAGTAGCGTAAGTCAAGAACTTTTTTCTTGAATTGAGTCATGGGTAGATGAGTCAAAAACAAATGCAAGGCGTAGGGCGTGCTGATAATCCAAAACAAGGCTGTGGGATTCCAGGGCTTATTAATTGTGCTTCTTCGCGACACGCCAGTAAATTGACCCAAGCTGTGTTAGCGTTAGAGCGCCTGTATTATTTAGCGATGATGAGGTCATTTAGCATGATACATAGTACCTAGATGGTTCTGGTATAAGAGGTTTTGAAATGCTGCAGTTGCTTGCTCGCGCAACAGCGATTCAAGGCAACACGCCAACTCGAAGAACTTGAGCGAGTGGATGGAAAGTCCTTCGCGTAGAACCTAATGCATCAAGAACGGGACGATTGGGCCATTTACAAATTAGACGACTCTCTCCTTGAGTGTGCCAATTCGCTTGCGCTTACGTATTCACAGCAACAAGCAGACACTTCTGGTCGCACTTGGCTCTCCGTCTCGAACCAATCCGAGCGCTGCAAAGCTCTCTGAGTTTCTTGGACTTCTAACTGCCTATTATGGATGTGTGTAGGGCTGAACCCTGAGCCCAAAGCACGCCAAGGATAGCTGCCTTTTTGGGCGGGAACTAAACCAAGATGAGCTACTCGTAGGGCTGAAATCAAATCCTGCGTATTGGGGCTGGCTACCATGCTCGGTCACCTAGTAATTTTGTCGATATTGGTGTCTCTCGAGCCATCAACAGAGAATTCCCATGCGTATTTCCGCCACCATCTGCCCCAGTCGGAGGGTTCGGCCAAGCCAATCAAGTTCAGATGACAAGTGGCGTGAAAATGCGAGCACGAAAGACCGACGGCAATACATGCGTAGATGATCAGAACAGTCGCTTGAACAGCCTCGGTTTGCTGTGTCACTTGGTACTCCAAGCCAAGCGGGCTTCTACAGGATGGAAAAAGCGACTATCTGCTCTTTTGCAATCCTCGCCTACTTTACGTTACACAGGCACAGGAAGAGCTTCGCTTGAACAGGTGTGTTTCCACCACACCCAGTTCTCGTCTAACGACTCATCTTCACCTTCTGTCATACCTCCTTCACGTCTCCAACTGAGCGAGAACATCCTCTATACTTTCCCAAACTCTTCAAGTCTGTTCACGCGCAGCGCAATCCATACTTGCGCGTACCCCAGCGGTAGATCCACCATCACCGACACGTTCATGACTTTCCAGAAGAAAATTCCTTCTTGCTTGACCACAGCGTCTTCGAAGTGCGCAATGGTCTGTTGGCGGTTCATCATGAGGATTTGGCCGTTTGGAAATGGATAGTGACACATATAGTCCGGGCTTGTGAAGTGCTTGAGGGGTGTAGCAATGTCACCGCAGTTGATGAAGTCGACAACTGTGAGAGATTGGTCTATGAGTCGGTTTTCGAGCTTGGAGTCGCCTGAGACGCAAAGCGTAGTTTTCGTATTGTCGATGCCCATCTCAGCTTCTTCTGCTCAAGATAGTCTGTTCGTGATATGATCTATGCCGAGAAGACCATGTGTCGTTAGGGCGGCATAGAATGAGTAAGTGTTGGAAGGGAAGGTTTGAAAAAAAACAAGAGCTGGACGGTCCGCAGTGTTTTCATCCATCGCCTGTCAAGCTGTCTAACGATTAGGTTTCAGTAGTGCGGCTGATCCTTGTTTAGATAAGAGTTGCGAACCTTTCTTGCTACATAGGTAAGTGCACCGCGTCCGGCGCGCTTCTCAGCCGCGCACGCAGGATCGAAACCCATGCGCATGAACATTCCACTTTCTTCCGTTCAGCAGCTTGTTCTGGGCGTAACAAGTGGCCGGCACGCCCATCCACAAGCTGCTACACGAAGCCCTGACCAGTAATACAACGTTCCTGGCAACAACGACTAGTACACTGACAGGTTTCTGCCGTCAATGGCTGTGAGTCGAGAAGTACCTGCAGTGCCACTGCGAGGCAGAAAAAGGTACGCTAGTGCTCAGAAGTGATGACAAGAGCATATGGAGATCTCGTCAAGTTGATCCTCTGATAAAGTAAGCGAGATAAGACAGCCTTGCCACGGAATATTGGCTTCCTGTGCCTATTCGCAAGACGCTTCGCCTCTGGACCTCGAATTTTCGCAGTCGTGTCATCAGCACTCCCTTGCTTAGGGTCAGTCTTCGAGACGTCTCTCCAAACACTTGGACAAGACATGTTGCCTTCAATATCAAACAATTCCGGCAGGATTTTCGAAGATTCGATACCAAAACTAAAACACCAAACATGATTAGGCGTCGGACTTCTATTGCGTGTGAACATGAACTTCTCCAAACGGAGAATGTCCAAAGAACAGAATTGATTTCCTCGACCATTCATACCCACGTATTGTCCCGAATGAAGTCCTCGATGCATGTCCTGGAGACATCCGGGTGCTTTGTGACGTGCTTTGGCCCAGGGTTATAAATTCCTTCAGCAAAGCACAAGCCGTACACAAGACCGATGTAACCTTTCCAGCGCGTATGTATGTCTCCAGCCTGATCTGCACTAGCTCTTGCGTGCACCACCGCTTGCTTGCAGTCATCGATCGTCATAACCTGATGGAGAGAACACTTCGTCCCCCTAATTCTGCTATACGCCTCCGCTAAGTGTTGAAATGTGAATTCATCAGAACAGAACTCATAGTAGCCCCCATTTTCCGCATCGTCTGAAGTGATGATGGCCAAACTGAACTCCGCTACTTCGGCTTCCAATGTGAAAGGGGTGACCGTGGTACCATCGCCAATGACCCTTAATGTTCTTTTGCCATCGTTCCCGTGTATCCAGACAGCACTTTCGTCCTGCAACGATCCGGCGCCGGGCCTGCCGAACAACGCCGAAGCGAATACGCCGCAGAAGACGTAAAGTGGCTTCATAGTACTTGTGAGTGCTGCCTGCCGACTGAACGCGATCAGTGGATCGTAGCTTTCGACTGTCCCAAGCGGCATATTGCTCCAATTTAGGGTCCAACATGCTGCGTGAAATCGTTTAATGCCAGCGCGCTCGGCGGCACGCAGAAGGGCCAATTGTCCATCGAGTAGGAGCACAGGATCTGGTCCATAAGCACAGATCACTGCATCTGCACCCGCACAGGCGATTTCGAGGTTTCGTATATCATGGAAGTCATCGATTTGAACAAAGCTTTCGATTTTCTGGCAGATTCCATCGGGTAGTTTCGAGATGGCACGTCCGACCGCCCGAACTTGATGGCCGCGCTTCAAGGCTGAGCGGACGACAGTCAAGCCCATGTTGCCGCTCGCTCCGGCGACGACTATCAGCATGGTCTCTGGCAACGAAGAAAAGGTTGGAAGGTGCTGTAGTATTGATGGTCGAGTTAAAACTTCATGTACAGCATGAAGTTGAGAGTATGGTAGCCGATGGCGAAGCGAGGGCAGGAAGACCTGACGCAACGTCGTGCTTCGTCTCACTTGGGCTTATCAAGATTAATTATACTTCAACGTAATTCAGCTGATGATGAATAGCTTACATGGCTGTGCAGCTTCTGTTTAACAACGCAGCGATAAATGTCAAGTCAGAGTGCCGGTGAGCAGAGAGGAGGCCCAAGGCTGCGTAGGATTCTTAGCACTGTCTCAGCACACGGCAGTTGTAGATACTGTTGTGCTAGTGGTGATTGGCTGCTATACCCTAGATCACCCCGACGCACGCGCCAACAGCCCTGGAATCTTGGTGGAGCGCAGGATCGATCTGGACTTCCTCAGCTGTCCCGTTGCATTAGCGCAAAGCCGAAGCTGAATACAGCAAAAGTCGTGCCGCACGAGGCTGAATATATGGCACGCTCGCCTCCAGCTCCTGGCAGTGATCTCGCTGTGCCCCAACTGGCCGATTTTAATGGAATGCCAGCAGACCTCTCCTTGTCTGGAGGGCCTTTCTGGCTTCTCGAGACTCCACACCACCGTGCTGGCGAGAAAAAGGACGACCCTTGCGTGATGACGGCAACGAATATGGCTTTGATTCATAATTGCTGGATACGTGCGCTGAACGGGTTATATGTTCACGCTCCATCAGTTCGCCCCACTGAATTCAAGAACTTCGTTGGCTATGCATCTCGGGTCTATGCCGCCATCAAGAAGCACCACGACCAAGAAGAGGAGCTCGTGTAAGTACACTCTACTATGCTTGACTTTCAACGTACTGACCGTCCAACAGCTTCCCATTGATTGAGGAATGGACCGAGGCAGGGGGTTTGATGAGCGCGAACGTTAAACAACACGAAGCATTCGAACACCCCTTCAAAGTTTGGGGCTCTCATCTCTTCGAAATGCTGGAATCTGGGACGACATCATCATTCAACGCATCGAAATTCCGCGACCAAATTGACGCTTTCGCAGTTCCTCTCCAGACACATCTCGTAGACGAAATCGTAACACTTGAAAGGCTGGATCAGTACCCCAATTGCGATATTTTAGCCTTGGGAAAGAGGATGGAGGAAGAAGCCGTCAAGCACATGGAAATCTCGGAGCTTCGCGACAATTTACCGGTGCTGCTACTCAACCACGACATCACGTTCGAGAATGGCGCTCACGCGACCTGGCCTCCTCTGCCTTCATTGATGGGCTTTGCCATACGGCGTCTGGCTACTTTCTGGCATCCTGGTTACTGGAAATACACGACCTACAGTGCCTCGCAATCACCCAGGGACTTTGAGGCTGCAAAGAGTTGACCGGTACGCGTTTTAAGCAGTAACGTCGCATATTGGGCGACAGTCCATGGGGCCGACAGTTATTTAGACTGACTGAGAGCCGGGAGCAGACTTCAATAAACCGGGCAGGCAAGACAGAGTTGCAAATCTCATGCTGGATTGCAAGACTGCGCCTAGATCAGCAAGAGATGTCGACCAGATAAACCAGTCAGGATTATGTGACTCTGGGTTCAGCGGAGGACAAGTCTCGGGCCACTCTCTATAATAAAAAGGTCAGGATCTCTTCCTCCAGGATGCCCCTCAAATACCCTGACCCATCATATTCGCAACATCTCCATCACCGATCCAGTGACTCCCACCAGCACATCGATACCCATTCGCCTGCTTGATCCACTCATAGCCAACAGGACATCGTCCAATCTGCATTAGCATTTGTTTCTCCTTTGCCTCCTGACGTCTCTTCTTCTCAATCTCCTTTCGCTTGCGTGCGAGCTCCTCCAACTCTTTCTGACGCTGAGCGTCTGCACAGTCCTTGAGCCACTGTGCGAGCTTGTGTTCCTCCTCGAGCAGCCGCTGGTGCTCCTTCTCGGCGTCCTCGGCCTTCTTGCGATCGAGTTGAAGCTGATACCAAATGGCATCGCTGACACCGGCGTCACGCTGGACAAGAGGCTTGGCATCTGGGCCACCAGAGGGTCCTCCGTGTCCATTTGCGTCGGAGGGAAGCGGTTCCTCTTCAGTGACTTCTTGTTGGAAGTCTTCTCGGGTGGCCATGCTGGAAGAAACCTGCACCGTTGGGGCTGGGGTATGATGTTGATGTTGCATCGGCATTTCAGCCGCCGATGAATCTCTGAGAGCGCCTGCCATGGTAGCATCAGCTTGTCGCTTGCATCTCTCGGCGATCATCTTATCGATAGACTCCAATACCAAGGTCGACGTGACCTTCATGCCTTGATTGGCTGCATCTGGGTGCTTGACGATCTTGCTATAGATCGACTTGGAAAGAGTCTGCACGTCGCGAGCATTGGCGAAGTTGGCAGAGCCAGTTAACGTTGCAAACCGCGGGAGGATATCAGAGCGCAGAGTCGGTCCCAGGGCGGACAGGACCGTGATATCGAGACCCTTCTTCTTGCCCAGCGTCTTGGTCAGCAAGACAAGGCAGTCCTCGGGTTTGAGAGGCTCAAACACGATAGTCTCCGGGAAGCGAGAAGTCAGGCCTGGATTCGAGGACATAAGCCGATTGATGTCAGCATCATACCCAGCCAGGATGATGATCAGCTTCTGGAAGAATTGCTCCTTGGTCATGCAATCCACGAGCTCATCCATGGCTTCTTGTGCAAAGTGACCGCCCGCCAGACGATAAGCTTCGTCAATGAACAGGACTTTGCCGAGAGCCTTTTCCAGAAGTTTGCGGGTCCTGGGTCCAGTCTGTCCAACATACTCACCAACAAGGTCAGAAGCTGAGCAGCTCATAACTTCTGCTGAAGCGAGAAAGCCCATGTCGTAGAATACCTTGCCCATTTTACTGGCCGTTGTCGTCTTGCCTGTTCCAGGAGGCCCGCGAAACAAGAACGAGAAAGGTATCTGCTCGCGAGGGTCCTGGTCAAGCTTCTTCATGTTCGCCACGATGTTTTGATATTCTTGCAGCTGGTTGATGATCGTCTCGCAGCCGATAGTCTCCTTGAAAAGCATTGTGATGTTGGTGAGTGCCCGCTCGCCCCTGTCAAACTCAGGATCGATATCAACTGCTTCCAGGATGCCTTTCGGTGCGTTCGTCTCGCGAGAAATGCGCTTCTGTTGACGAAGCTGGGCGTCGTTCAGCAATATATCCACTTCGCCTGCATTGCCGAAGTGTGGTCGATTGCGGGCTCGGGCTAGCATCTCCAGAGCAGCGACTCTGCCTCGTGGGGTGATTGTAAACGCCGAGCCTTTGAGCTTCATATCGAACATGGCTGCCATGTCGTCGTTGTCGAAATCCTCAAACTGGAAGCCAGAATCAATGGGAAAGCGTCGAGCGAGGCCCGGGTTGGCGTTCTGCATCATCTCCTCCATTTGGTGCTTGTAGCCAAGCAGAAGCACACATCGGTCATCTCCCGGCACGCTTTGAATCTCCGCAACGATGGTATCGATGACAGCAATTCGATAAGGGTCTGTATTTGAGCCGCCACCATAAAGTCCGTACGCTTCGTCGATAACTAGGACCTTCCCGACTGCAGCATCCAGAATGCCCTTTGTGTTTGCTTCTGAAGCCCCGATGACTGCTCCGATGAAGTCCGCGGGCTTCTTGATGACCACCTCAGCGCTGGAAAGCATACCTAGAATACAATGTCAGCGCATGGTTCATCTGTTATGTATCATGGAATTACTCCATGGAAGCAGCAAGGGGAGCATCAGCACTTACCCATATCGGCCAGGATCTGACCGTACATCTTCGCAACTGTCGTCTTCCCAGTCCCAGCATTGCCTAGGAATACCTTGTTCAAGCTGAATTCGACAAGCGGCTTCTCAGCCAGCTCTTGCTTGTAGTTGTAAACCAGGGAGTCAATCAGCGCCTTGACGGAGTCCTTGACAGACTGCAAGCCGATGAGCTTCTGCAGCTTTACCCAAGCCTTGTTGTTCGTGAGAGCACTTGATGGCTCAGGGCCAATCAGGTCTTCTTGTGTCAAGAGCATGTCATCGGGCATTGGGTCGTCTTTCTTGGTCACTCTCCGCTCCTTTCGAAGCCTCTTCGCTTGTCGAGAGGCAATGATAGAGACAACATTCTCGACCTCTCGAGCATTGCCAAACCCCTCTTTGCCGCGTCCTCGGCCAATACGTCGTGCAACAATTCGCGCAAACAGCCCATCAGTGCCATCTTCAAGTTTCATCCGGCCTTGGTAGCGCTTCTTGATGTTGTATTGCATAATGGCGAGTAGCTCGTCATCCTCGTAGTCAGCGAATTGCATCGTGCGAGGAAAGCGGCTTGGTAGCCCAGGATTGTGCTGAAAAAACTTCTCCATCTGCTTGTTGTAGCCCGCCAAAACAAAGACGATCTTGCCTGTGAGATTCTCCACTTCGGCAAGTAAGAAGTCTAGGACCCCAGCTCCCCCGATGCTGGACCCCGATGCAAGTTGGTACGCCTCATCAATGAAAAAGACGCCTCCGCCCTTCTCCAGGAGGTCATCGAGGAGCTTCTTGGAGCCCTGGACACCTTCATTTGCCAACTTCGAACCAGTTGACTCGACAAAATCATCTCCTGGTAGTGCGCCGACCGAGCATAGGAACTTGGCGTACAGCCGAGCAACAGTTGTCTTGCCGGTACCTGGGTTGCCCAGCAAGGCCGCGCCAAAACGCTCTCTCTCAAGTTGGGCAGAGAGGTCTTGTCGGATAAGAAGATCGACCTTGGATTTGATCTCCAGAAACTGTTGTTTTACTCCTTCCAGGCCAATCATCCTTATGAGGTCATCGAGAGCTGGGTTGATAGCCCCTTCAACGGTCTTCTGATACTCCCAATCTCTATGCGATTCTGAACCGGCCGTTTTGCCATCATCCGCGGTATTGGCGGTCACGGGAGAGCCTGGGCCACCCTCGCTGTCGGAAGCGCCCTGTTGCTGGGAGTCTTTTCGCATTTTCTTGGCGTGATCAGCAGCCTCCTTCTGAGCCTTGCGTGCTTTGGCGGTTTCAAGGTCTTTCTGCCGCTGCTGAAGGAGCTGTGCTTGCTGCTCTTCCTCCGTCTTCGCCTTTGAATCCTCTCGAATGCGGGTCAATTGATCATCGATGGCGGCAAGCTGTGCCGCGTATGCTGCTTGTCTTGCTGGCCGCTTTTGTTCCAGCTCCAAGTCCCTCTCCTGCTTCGCCTGCTTGGCAGCTGCTTCAGCATCGCAGATGTGACAGGATGCTGGGTGGCCCTCGGAGCACTTTCTCGTCAGCACGTGGCCTTGAGGACAGGTCTCTCGCATGATATGGTCACACTTCATCTTTGTGTGATCGGCAAGGCGATGGCATTTCCGCGGACACTCGTGCAAGCCGCAGCTGAGCAAAGTGCCGCAGGGAGCAGAACAACCTCCGTCAGGACAGAATTTGTCAAAGTCGGCCGGTGATTCAAGTATCATCTGTCGGTCTGGGTGTTGCTGGCAGTGCACCGGCAGTCCATGAAGGATCGAGTTTGATTTCGCCAACAGGTCGAAGAACGATTTCCAGAGCTCTTCGCCTTTGCGACTCGCCATAAAGGTTGCTGGATTTCCGATAATGATGAGTGCTTTGCGAGCTCTTGAGAGGAGGACGTTCAGTCGTTCTGGAGATATCATGAAACCAATGTCTCCGTCAGGATTGCTTCGAGTGAGCGATATCACAACAATGTCGCTCTCTTCGCCCTGGTAATTGTCAATGGTCGAGAGGCGAAGAGGTCGCTTAGTCTGCGATGCTGTGGCTGGAGACACGAGTCCAGCTTTGATCAGCTCGAACGAGTCGAGATCATTCAACACAGGGTCATTATCTCTAGCGAGCTCTCGTCGAAGGAGTCCCAGCTGACCAAGGTATGGAGTTAATACAACCTGATCAGAAGTCCCATATCCTTGCTGTGCCATGTACTTGACCACTTTCTTGACGACCTCAGCTTCGTAGGGGTTCTGCTTGCTCTTGGGTGAGCCTTGGTCTCGACGGTCGCTGATATCGCTGAGTAGCTCCTGCTTCTCGTGCTTGATGAACACTACCCGCTTCTCAAGCCCTCGTAGCGAATCTCGAGCCGTGGTAGAAGGTGCGTCTTGCAGTTCAGGGTAGGTGAGGTGGCGCACCAGACTGGAGATCTCCGGGCACATGCGGTGTTGTTGCTTCAGTGTGGTGTGTGGGAAACCAGAGAGCACCAGTCTCTCGAAAAGAGATCGATTGAGATCGAATCCGTCTCCCTTCTCGACTGTGAGCTTGTAGTTGTTGACCTTGGGCCGCAGCTGTTGATGGTCGCCAATGAGAATTAGCTGCTTCGTGCTGGGCGTCAAGGCAGTCAAGACGTGGCTCTCCAAAATTTCTCCGGCTTCTTCGACCAAGACAATTCCCGGCGAGGCAGTCTGAAGTTGCTCAGTATACATGGCTGCCGCGGTGGTTGTGCATGCAACGATGCGCTTCGAATGAATCAGTTCGGCATCCTTCTGCCCCAGCGCCTCATGCAGAGTGTGCTGAGCAGAATCAAACGCTACAGCTGTGGCTATGATGCCGTCGGTCGCTTCTGTCAAGATGTCGAGCTGCCACTTCTTCAACTTGTTGGCTCGCGAAGCATGATCCATCGCCCAAATGTCTACATGCCACGGCGACAGGCGCTTCTTGAATACGCCTGGGTCTTGGTATTTCATCCAGCGATCAATCAGATAAAGCCTGTCTACTGCCTTGTTGCCTTTACCTACCATTTGGTAGCCATTCTGCTGCTCAGCGAGTTCGAAAGCTTCGAAGAACTCGTAGTCGTCATCAGAGAATTCCAGATACTCAAGGATTTGTGACTGTGAAGGCCTGATGTCTATGAAGGCTTCGGCTTTATCTTGCAGCGCCGACGCATGCTGATTAACTTCCTCGTTGAGGCGATTAATGGCGTCCCAATTCTCTTGAGACCGATGCTTGCCCGGTGCTTGTGATCGGAGAGTAATGTGCTGCGTCTTTGCGGATGACTTTGAACCCAGCCGGACGATGTCATTCGAGGGGATGCCGATGGTTAACAGATCGTCCAAGAATTGATCGAGCGCGTGGTTGGTGAAACAAATCACTAGAATGCTCTCGCTCGTGTGGTCGTAGAGAGCTTTGGCCAGCAGTGCACCGATGAAAGACTTGCCGGTTCCTGGTGGGCCTTGAATCAGGCTGATTGACTGACGAAGGCCGGCAAGAAGAGATGCGGTCTGCGACTCATCCAGCTTTACTGTCTTCGACAGGCCCAGCAGTGCCTTCAGATCCCTTGCAGGCGCAGACTCAACTTGACGTATGACTTCGTCGAGGCTTTCGCTGTCCAGTTGGTTATCCAATTCGATGTCAGGTTGTTCAGGAGCGAGGAGTTGCTCGGCCAGGGGCAACTCCATTTGGGCCTGGAGACATCGCAAGACGGGTTCGTAGGCAAAGACTGCTGTGTCGATGAGGACAAATTCCACAGATCTGGACATTGCCAGCGCAAGAACAACTTTCTGCATCGCACCACTTCCGGGAGTCCGTATAACTGCAACAGGGGGATCTTGGCACAATAGATCTTCATCCCTGACGACCTTGCCAAAAGCGATTATCTTGCCCTGGTCAACCAGATAGCCGAATGAGTGGTGTCGGAGAACGTTCGGATTGTCACGAAGGAACTGTCTACGATTCAAAGCGTTGGTGATTTGGCTCAACCCCTTGTTGACAGCGATTTTGAGGGCGCATGGTTGACGACTTCTTTCTCCTCCACAATGCACGCCAGCAAGATCAAGTACTTGTAGTCGTGTGCGTTGCCGACGGAAGGATGACTTAGTCTTGCCACTGGACGCATCAATGTCTTCTCGAAGCTCGGCAAGAAAATCCTCTCTCAGAAGACGAAACTGATTGTCTAGATGATGTCCAACTCTGCTTGCAAGAGGTGTCTGTGTAAGCGCATGTGCTGTGTTGTAATATGGCCGGTCTTTGCTGGTGAGTTCGTCTTCCGTTGGGTAGACTGCGATACTTCGATAGTCGGCGAAGTCATTGTCGTGGCGACCTCCTGGGCCAGAAGGATGAGATGTTGATCCAGATGCCTTGGTCTGAAGAATACGTTCGATGCGGTACCCAATACCGCGAAGCTCACGGTCGTCAGATTCGAGAAAAGTCTTCTTGCTGGTGATTTCGGCAGCGGTTCCGTCGACCTCAATAGGGCGATCGCCGCTCCATGAGAGAAGTTCCAGCAGGAGCCAAGCGAAGTAGAGCTCGGCTTTTGGCGTAAGTTGCTGTTCTTGCTGAGCCTTGACCATTGCATCCCAAAGTGCAGGCGGCGAGACGACGTGAGAGAGGATCCGCTTCAAGAACTCGCCATTGGCAAGACGCTTGACTTCAGGAACAGCGAGATAGGCGAGGAGCTCGGCGAGAGCACCATTGATGAATCTGGCGGAGATGTCGAATCTGAGGCCTTTGCGTAGAATCTCCAGGCCCGACTTGCTGCACCCTATCTTCTCGACACATGTTGCATGATCTTCAATGTCGCAAATGGCTTGCAGAAATTGCTGAACATCTCGCGAGGATTGCACAGGCTTGAGTCCAGCAAGGAAAGCGTGCAGGAGCCTCGCAAGTCGATTGCTACGCTGCGACACATTGCTTGCACCAGCTCTAGAGTCCGCCATTGGCACCAGAACGTATGTAGATGTGATTCCAGTGATTACGAACAGCGTGGTGAGGAGGTGAGAGATAGGACAAACGCAGAGGCCGCGTGGTCCGAGCTCCAAAGGGATGTCTTCCGTACGGTATTTTAGCGCATGCAGGCTGCCGCTGGCCTTGGTTCAACGTATCAAACATGCAGACGAACCTCATTTATCCTTGCGGGCCTTCCAAGGCATTCCTGGGGCGACCAGAACTTATGCATAGATCCACATTTAACACCTGCTTGCATACTCGCACCAGCCGTTCTCCTTCACGCTTTGCCGTCTTCTGCTATCCAACTCTTGCTAGACAATTCGTCTTCACCATGTTTCACCGAGCGGGCATGGGCCGTTCACGGTCTTCTGGCACACGAGGGTGCAACCGTGGTGGTCGTGGCAGAGGCGGTGCTTGGTCAGGAAAGCCTGTCTCGCCTGAGACTTCTCCACCACCACGAGGACCACTGATCGAGAACGTGACGGATGAGAGCCTGCTGTCGCAAGCAAGTTCCCTTTCAGCGCGACTCGCCATCCAGTCATGCACTTACTTGGCTTCCTTCAGCTGGTTAAACGACAAACAGCCCACGATCGTGGTGCCCGGTGAGTTGTACATTTGCAGCTGCGTATTGATCCGCGTTTTGACTTCATGCAGGTATGCCGCCACGATGGGCGCCTCTGGACGAGCCACGCAAGCTTGAGGAGGATTCTGGCTCATATTTCCGAGACATCAATGCTGTGCATTACCCTCAGCATCCACTGGAGCCCGCTGTCAGGGCAGTGCTTGCGCAAGCGCCAGATCTGGACTTGGAAGAGATCGACGTCTTCGCTTGTGGGAGCACAATGGGCAACCTTCTTCGCTTTGCTCAGAAAAGCGACAAGCCGTTCCAATTCGTTATCGAAACTATTGGCGAGACCGTGTTTCTTATTCGCCGTGAAAACAGTCTCGATGAAAAGATACCGAGCGTGGTTGGTTATGGCCACACCTTCCCGCGCACATACACCAGACTGGACGATTCTGTCACAAATGCAGACTCTCATCAGCGCATGATCAAGTACGACTTTGCGGGCTTCCAATGCATCGTTCGCTCTGAAGCTGATGGATTTCTACCGCAGCATGTCAGCGATGACATGCAACCGGAAGTCATTCAGGCCTTGCCTGAGCTGAATGACCTGAAGCTCGTCTCAGGTGGCAATGTTGTTCCGCAAGAGGCCATCCTCGAAATCAAGACCCGTTCAGTCCGCAAACAGTTGACTCTGGAGCAAGTCCTCGATGGCGAGATTGGCAGATTCTGGGTCAGACAGGTCAAGAACTTTGTACTTGCATACCACTCCAACGGCGTATTCAACGATGTCCAGGTCCACGACGTGCGGAATCAGGTTGACGACTGGGAAGCGAGCCACCAGGACGATGTCAGACTGGTCTCAGGCTTGCTGGCAAAAATAGTCAGCTTTGCAAGGAAGGATCCAAGTCGTAGGTTCGAAGTCTGCTACAGCGTTCCGGGCCAACTTGAGTTTCGCCACGTTGGCGGAGAGTTCCCAAACGCTTTGACTGATGACACGATGCGCCTCTGGGCACCGAGAGGGTCAGACGAGTCCGACGAGGAGACAGATAATGCTGTCGGGTCCGATGCCGAAGCTGGCGGAGAGCTTGAGTCGGACGAGGAAGAGGAAGACTTTACAGCATGCTCGGAGGGCTGCGGATACTGTGGGAGATGTAAGTATCGCTGATCCGAGAGATTTTTGGTTATACGAAAGGAGTTGGTGATGTTCTTGGAGTGAAAAGGAGGTTGAAAATGCAGTCCGTGCTCAATGAGCTAGCTCACATTTGCTGTAGCGCGAAACCTTGTCTAACTTCACCTCTTCTCTAGCGACACTTTCTGTGCAGCATCAATCAAAACTGCAGTCTACTAAGCTCGTGATCATGAAGATCACTCCCGTAATACTCTTGCATAACTTTGCACTCTTTCATGTTCAGTCGCCTCACAAAACTCAAAGTCGCAGAACATTCGCAGTGTCCGAACAGAGCGTCCTCAATGAAATCAAAGAGAATCTTCGCACGCCTGCCGTTTATCGCCCCCACAAGACGATTTCAGACTCGCTCTGCCCAGTCGACATAAGAAACCACGTGCATACAGGGAACTGCGAGAGTCTTGGGAGTAACGGTCAAAGTCGCCTGCGAGAATTGACCGATGGGATTGAAAGATTCTCGAAATGATAGACAGGACGAGGCTTATCTGCGAGCAATCGATCTCAGATCGTTCCAGCCACATCTTCGATGGGCACCCAAGAAGGCCGAATCTCAGACTGCGGCAGAGCCTTGGCAGGTCGGCAAAATTTGAGCACCATGGTTACCTGCTCCATGGGGTTCCAAGTACCAGTCTTTGCTGCTCCAGCGATCTGGATGATGGTGTAGGGTGCGGTCCAGCGCAGCCCACAGACATCCTTCGCATAACCCTGACCATCCGGCATAACTACCTCGGTCGGCACTCCCTCCTCACGAACGCTGTTCGTACCTTTCCAAAGTGAGTAGTGTCCAGTGACTACAATTGACGAGATGGACGAGAGATCTGGCTTGAAGCTTTATGCGTCAGACGGAAAACATGTTTATGCTCCACAAACTTGTCCAGAAGACAATGCCGAATCTCTAGCCAAGTTCTTCCAGTGCTTCTAGGATCAGCCGAATACAAACTCCATCCATTTCTGGAAGAACTTCAATTTGGCAAAGCCAAACTCAGGGATTCGGCCATCGACGGAATCGCTCGTCCATTCAAATGCTGCTTGAATGAACGAACACGGCGTGTAACGAGGCACTACGAGTAACCCTCGGGCAGCATTGGTTTTACCCGCCCTGTCTACTTCCTAGTTCTGCTGTTGTTCTGAGAGACACGACGACCGAGTCACGCAAATGCCTACTCAAGCAAAATTCGTTGATGTTTTGTCAGGTTGCGGTGGTTTCGGAGCTACAGGGAGCTTTTGTAGCATGTGCAAGCTGGCCACTAACTTCGATTGCAGATCATCGATCAAGTGGGCCAACAACAGCAGGCAGGCTTCATTCGCTATAGATACTGCATCCGAGCCACCCATATCATCGACGGGTTCGTAGGCTGCACAAAACTGTGACCGCACGGCATACCCACGAACAAAGTATAATTACGTCCTCCTCGGACATATTACCTCTCCCCTAGCCAGAACTCAACTGCGCAATTTCGAACTTCTCAGCCTCAGAGCTTGATTACAACCTTCTTCGCAGAAACACCTTTCTTATTCACCTCCAACCCTTCCTGAACATACTCCAAACCAATCCCCACAACCATGGGCTCGGGAGCAGGCACAAATTTCTTCTCCGCCAGCGCTCGAGGGAGAAAGTCTTGATAGATCATTGGTCCCAGCTCATTCCACGCCGGATCAGAACCCCAGATGAACTTCATCGAGACCCCATTCTGCTTAGCCTTGAGCATCGAACAGACGCCGCGGTAAGTCATCGTCGCACCGAACGGTACCATTCCTGGAAGAGAGCTTGGGAAGCCACCCTCAGGTAAAGTGACGCTGGCTTGAGCGATGAATCTCCGACCTTTGCACTTTCCAAGGATGGATATGCAGGCTTCCGTGGAGTAGTCTCCGATTGCGAAGGCTCCAGCGACGGTGTGTGATTGCAGGGTTTTGACGATGTCGGCTACGACGGTGGGGCTTTTGTAATCGAACACTTCGGACGCTCCGAGTTGGCGCAGTAAGGCGTGATTACTCGGCGAGGCGGTCGAGATGACTTTGTAGCCTGCGGCTCGAGCTAGTTGGATTGCGTTGCATCCCACGCTACTAGAGCCTCCCCATATCAGAACTGTCTTGCCCGTGGGTTTGGGGTCCAGTGTCGGAGCTTGGAGCGCAAGGAAGTCTTTGTCAAAGAGCCCACAGGAGGCCGTAGAGAGTCCAAGAGGGAGAACACAAGCTTGTTCATATGAAATCGTGTCCGGAATGGGAGAGCTCACCACCTCGCGGAGCACTGTATACGTCTGGAATGCGCCTTCACTGGACTTATTACTCCGACGATCCATGCCCACCGCTTGGCCCGTAGCGCGATCGCCAATCTTGAACCGATTGACGTTGGAGCCCACTTCGACAACCTCTCCAGCAGCGTCGGAGCCCATGATGAAGGGAAGCTTAATCCAGCCGAATGCAAACCCGCCTGCGTCTCGCTTGAAATGATCCAGTGGGTTGACTGCCACGGCTGCATTTTTGATGACAATTTCGCCTTCTCCAGGAGGTGTGTATGTAGCTTCTCCGACTTCCAGAGGCGCTTTGCCTTTCCGCAGCCATGCCGCCTTTGCTGGCAGTGTCTTCGACATTCTGTTTATGTGGAGATGGTATTCGCAAAGGAAACAAAAAAACGAAGAAAAGACTTCTTAAATCAACACGACAAAAACAATTCTACGTCAGTGACATGGAGCTGAGGGAGTCTCGCAATAGAGTCTCGAAAGGGAAAGGCTGGTGGGATGAAGCTATACTCCAGTACAGCCCTAAAATCCTGCGGCCGCACTGCATGTCAGGCTACACAACGCAGCCTCGGTGTTTTTCCGAACCTTATCCATTCATCCAGTATCCACAGGGGTCGTTCATGTGTAGAGCCGAGAGGACCGCATTCAAGTCTCACCACTCCCGAGTTTCCCAGTCGCCGTAGTAGTTGCCGATAAGACGCATTCATATAATCGCAATCTCGACCTTTGAGTCTTCTCGTAATCCGGGAAACAAGTACATTAAGTCGTCACCTCTTCCACCTGATGCGTATACATGTTGTAGTTCCCGAGCATCAGGTTCATCTGTGAAGAAACCAACTCTTCGGTAGCCGTAAGTTCCCTCGTCTGTTCTAGTAAGCACCAGACCATGATCCCATATTGTGTCGACATGGCTGTTCTCGTGGCTCGTCGATGTGCGCTCGATGTCGGTGCGGTATTCACGCCGCACCAAGAAACAGTAAAGATTTTGGTCGTGTTGAGTGGCCTGGTCTAATCGGCAGACAGCGGCGTTTCGAGTCTTTTCTTCCGGGTACTCGAATGGATCGAGGAATATGACAGAAGCACCACTGCGCTTCGCCTTTGTGCATCGTTTTACGCAGCGTCGCAAACGCCCACGCAGCCGCACGACGTCAGACAAGTCATCTTGTTTCTGCCTTTTGCTGAAGTCTCCAGTCATGCTTGCGGTGAAGTCAGTCGCTTTTGGCGGTTCGACCACATCTGCTGACATCGAATCCACCAAGCGATGCTCTTCGCCGATCTCGCCCTTGTGCAGGGTGTTGCTGCAGAAGATTTTGCAGTCTCTGAGGTTAACCCAGGACCATGATGGTGCAATGTCAAGGTTCCGCGTAGTGTCGTTTGACACAGTGTCCACTGACCAGAGCAACTCATCCAAAAGGAACGCAAGCCAGAGCCCGTAGGAAGCTTGTATCTCGAACTTGTGTTCCAGAGATCTGGCCAGACCAACCATCGCCACCAGTCGATCCTTCTCAAACGACAGATTGGTGTCGAAATATCGTTCCAAAACAACGCCCCATAGCTCCCGAAAGCGAAAAGACACCATAGGGTCCGTAAGATCAGAGTCTAGCTCATTGATTGCCACATACGTATTCTTCAGAGCATTCTGAGCGTGGAGGCCATCATCTAATGCTCCATGTTTTGCCGCGACTTTGGGATAGTACTCGCAACCAAGGCCACCGCGGCATTCCCAATGCAGACCGTTGGATCCAAAATAGAGAGATCGTGGTGACAGTAGACGTTCTTGAAAGCACCACCCTCGAGCATCGAGTGCAAAGAAGCCAGGAATATTTTTGCCATATTCGCAGAAAACACGGCCCTCGACATATGTTCGGTAGCAATGCGAGTCGCCAAAATACAATGGACAATCCATCCACGGCAGAGGATTTCGTTCCTTCAGGAAGTGCTCTGTCGTATCACGAGCAGCCGCCGCAACGAGAGTCACGAGCGACCCGGCATAGACGTCTTCCATTCGAGCAGCTTCTTGCTTGAAATCGCCGTCTTCGCCCTGGACTATGCACATTGCGTCGATCCAGAGATATCGAATCGCTAAAGCGCGGCATACAATGATCGCATCTTGGGCTACCATGGTCAGCGATGAGACAGGGAGGCCGCTTTCGAAGTTGCTGTAATTGGAACGAAGAAGCATCAGTTGTGGCACCTGGCCCCAGCAATAGCTCAGGGCTGCATAATTGGCACGTGGGCTGGCTGCGCCGGGCACCAATTTGATCATGTCGCCATCGCCGCTGATTTCTAACAGTCGGGTTGGTTTCCGCAAGCCAGGACGTGGCCGGCAAGACTCATGTCGAGTTATGCACGCAGCAAGCCAGGCTTTGACAAGTTGCATGTGCTCATACGAGTGGGTCCAAGCAGAGAGCCTTGTCCGAGCGATGTCCAGGAACTTAGACTGAGGTTTAGGCGTTTCATATTCAAGCTCACCTTCCAGATTGTGCATAAGGTGGGCAAGAGCCGCGATTTCTAGAGGTTCCGAACCATCGGCTTTTGTCGTTCCGACGCATATGTTGAAAGCTTTCCAAGGATGCTTCGAATACTTTGGAGTTTCTTGGAGATACGTAATCAGCACACGGTTAGAAGGAATGAGATTTGTGGTCTTCGTCTTCTCAATGATCGCATCGACTCCTGTAGATTCGTTACGCTCCTCGAGATTGACGAGCAAAATCGAGCACAAGTGGCATTGAAACTCCTGTGCCCCTTGGATCAGCTTCCTGATGTCGTCGAAATGCGAGTAGAACCTTTGCCCGTTCTCTGTTGCATCGTCGAGGTCACTCTGAAGGTTCAAGACGAAACGTCTGCACCATCTGCATAACGTATGTGGCACCACCGTTCTGTTCGCACTCGAGGTCGGTGGCACTTCCATTGCGACGTGAACCTAGAGTTGTGAACTGACACGGCTCGGGACGAAGAAGGTTCCGGTAGATGCTCCGTGCACCACGCTAAGCTCTGTTAGGCACAGCTCATCCTCCCTCACTTTCACTTCTGGCTGCTCCTTTCCAAACACTCGAACGTGGGCATAAGAAGATCCAGTATATGACAGCCAGCTTGAGGGAGAGAAGAAATGATTACTGTTACAGTATGAAACTCAAGCGTAAGTATGGCTCTTGATGCCTATCTTCTACTTCGCCACAAAGATGTGGCCACGCCTTATCGACATGCGTCATTCCAACCTCGTGCATCAGCAGCTGCAGCTCTGCCTAACGTATGCCTAACACTATAGGCCTCACTTTCGACGTGCTGCATGTGTGCGCTACCTGTGCTACTGAAGCTTCGCTGGCGTTCCAGCTGCACCTATCACATCGACTGTTTGTTCAGTGATTGCTATCTCGACTTCAGCTGGCCCCACAGTCTCACCGGTTTGTCTTTACGACTCCTTTGCCTTGCTTCGCCCAGTCGAGGCTCAGGCATCTGCCAGCCCCAGATCAAAGGTACAAAAGTGAGAGCATACCACAAATAATAGCAGCACTTCATCTTCCAGTCTCAGCGGAAATCATCTCGACCATGGCTCCGGAACAAGACGAGGCCGTCACGGCCGGACGACTACCGCTGCACTTCACTGCTGGTGATTTAGCAAACACGTTGACGGAGGCCAATCGAGCGATGGGCGACGAAGGTGGCAACGACGATGCGAGAAGTGTTCGGTCTCAGGACGAGAACAGCAGCGCCATCGACGACGATGACGACGGACCTCTCGGAGAGACAGCTGCATCCATCGAAATCTACCGCCAGCGACGACGCTCATGGAGCAAGGATAAGCCTCGCCGCAGGTCAAAGCTGCGCATCCCAAAAGACAAGGCCATAGTTGTTCGCTGGCAAGAAGACGAAGAAACGAGTTCCTGGAATATGCACTCCATCACGATCCAGAGCCCGTACATTCGACAGGTTCTTCACAAAGTCTTCGAAGACTATGCAGGTGTGAGCACTGAACTGAAGGATCTCACTTTCCGAGCACCTTTCCACGAGTTCTTCTTCCGGTGGCAGAAGTTCCAAAACTTGTTGCGTGAAGAACAGGACGAGAAGGTCAAGGAGCATTGCGAAGTCCTTGTTGAAGCCTTGAAGGACCAACTCAAGCCTCATCTGGACCGTACCGCCGATCTTCGCAAACATGGACTGGTTAGCTTCGACTATCTTTGGGCTCTGTACGAACCAGGTTGCGAAGTCTACGCCAAGACCGACGAAGGAGAGCGGCTGTACATTGTGAATGACTCCTACGTCACAAAGCAGAACAATGCCGAAGTTCATATCGTGCTGTGCCGATTCATCGAGTTTGATGGCGACAAGCTTGGTTTCGACACGGCAAGACGTAAGATCAGCCCGTTCAAGGGCGTAAAAGCTGTCACCGACCTGCCACTCTACCCAAGCAAGGCACATCCCGATCTCGACGGCGTTCGCGAACGACTCGAGCGGCGAGGCCGCAAGTTCCTGGAGCACTGTGGTGTCCGCTACAAGCAATACTCGGGCTTCTTCTTGACCTATGATGGCAGCATCTTCGGGCCCAAGAAGCAGCATATTGGTACAGGCAGAATAGTCATTGACGTTCAATCATTCGCACAGGAGAATTACAGCGATTCGCCAACGGATCTGGACCCTTTGAGCAACGCCGTACGAGCAAGATCCCGCAGCAGCAGCGTCACCTCGTACGACAGCAGACGCTATCGTAGGCGCTGGTCGAGTCCAGGAGGTAGAAGCGATGATGATGACGACGAGAAGTCTCCCGAGGTTGAGCTTGACGATGAGCTCCTTGTCTACTGCAGTCCTATGGTTCGTGGCTTCAATCTTTCTAACAAGAAATGGGGTGCGTATACCATTGCTGGAGGTAACCAACCCATTACTAACAACAATCATCAGCTGGTTTCTTCGTCGACTCAATTCATGAGATCGAATGGAGCGTGCACGCTTTCGACAAGTTGCTACTCCGTCAACAGTACAAGAAGATGATTTTGGCTTTCGTGAAGAGCCATCTCAGCTCTGTCGACGACTTCGACGATGTCATCAAAGGCAAAGGTAAGCTCGGCGCAACTTACTGTGTTTCCCTATCATGCTAACAAATACCAAGGCCAGGGTTTCATCATGCTGCTCTGTGGCGATCCTGGAGTCGGCAAGACGCTTACCGCCGAATCAGTGGCCGAAGAAATGAAGCAACCACTCTACGCCATGACGGCCGGTGAGTTAGGCAGCACTACTGACGACGTAGAGACTTCCCTCCAGAGGGTGCTCAATCTCTGCGCCAAGTGGCACGCAGTGCTTCTGATGGACGAGTGCGACGTCTTCCTCGAGCAACGCTCAGCCACCGATCTTGAACGTAACAAGCTGGTGTCAGGTAGGAATTGACCTCGACGTCTTCTTTAGTGAGTATGCTGATAGCAAGTTAGTGTTCCTCCGCCTGCTGGAGTATTATAAGGGCGTGATGCTCCTCACCACGAATCGCGCGTCCGCCGTGGATCCCGCGTTCCTTTCTCGCATCCACCTCTCCATCAACTACCCCAACCTGGACGGCAAGGCACGAAAACAGATCTGGCAGACGTTCGTTCAGCAACAGGCCAACGACCAGGTGAATGCTCAGCCGATCACCGACTCCCAATTGGACACTCTCGCCGAATTGAACTTCAACGGCCGAGAGATCAAGAATATCGCGAGGTCAGCTCGTCTCCTTGCCGCGCAGGACAATGTGCCCCTTGGCTATGAGCATCTGCAGACGGTGCTTGATGTCAAGACGGATGCTGATGCTGCACGGATCGCTTGAACCGCGTGGTAGTACGAAGTGGAGAACTGTAAAGACTCACAAGACTACGATACAAGACACGACAATCTCCATACATAGACTGCGGAGTTGACTAATTGAACAGTTTGGCGAAAGTCCTTGATTGATGAATAACGAACAGCAATCGGACTTCGTGACTTGATGCGTCAATCTCACCCCTGTCTGCAAGACGGACTCGTCAGGCGCGACTCTGACCTTCCCCAGCGGTGCGGGGTGAGTGACGCCGAGGAGCTTGTGCTTGTGCTATAGCAACAACCTCGCGTGGACAAAACACTCTTAAATACGCCCGAGAACTCTATTTCGATACAAAAAATCGAGAATCCAGAATTTGACCTTGATACTTCGCCAAAGAAACAGAAAAGAAAGACGATAGAAGAAGAACTTTTTATCCTCCCCAGCTTTACTCCCCTCAATCTCCCATCTCCTACAACAAACAATGTCCCAATTCCACATCCACGACACAGACCTCGCCCCCCTCAAAGACAGAACCGTCCTCCTCACCGGCGGCTCCTCAGGCATCGGCCTCGCCACAACCCAAGTCCTCCTCTCCGCCGGCGCCTACGTCGTCGTCGGAGACACGAACCCCTGCCCCATCACCCACGCCCGCCTAACCTTCAAGCCCACCAACGTAACCATCTGGCGCGACCTCCTCGACCTCTTCGCACTCGCCCAAGAAAGACACGCCCGGATCGACCACGTCTTCGCGAACGCGGGGATTTCGGGACGCACGAACTATCTCGACGAGGTGTTTGACGAGGGCACGGGGGAATTGAAGGAGCCGACGAGGGCGGTTTATGAGATTAATCTGATGGGGATGATTAATACGTCGTATCTGGCGCTGCATTATATGCGGCGGCAAGATCCTCCGGGGGGAAGTATTGTTTGCACGGCGTCGGGGTCGTCGTTTCAGCGTTTTGGCGTGAGTGATTATACGACTACTAAACATGGCGTGCTTGGCTGGATGCGTGGCGTGGTGCCTAACCTTCTCTCTGAGAACATCCCCGTGAGGATAAACTGCATCGGCCCCTCTTGGACAATCACAGGTCTGGTTCCGCAGGATCTCGTGGATAAGGCGGGGGTCGAGTGGCAGCCGGCGGAGGCTGTGGGTAGGCAGGTGGCGTATTTGATGAGCGATGGGGCGAGGAATGGGCAGTTTATTTATTCGAGCGGAGGGAGGAATTATGAGATTGAGGAGAGTGTGCTTTTGCCGGCGGCGAGGAAGGCTTGTGGGGTCGCGGAGGTGCAGGTTAATGAGCAGGAGGCTTTTGAGAAGCTGAAGCAGTTGGCTAATGAGATTGGCTTCAATGAGGGACAGAAGGCGAGTGCTTCGTAGTGGTCGAGGAGTGTGGAGAAGGGATTGCGTAAAGTCTTCGATTCTTGTTTTGCATGTTCAGCAACTCTTGCCCAGCCACAACGCCTTCGCTAAAAGATTCTCATATCAACATGTTCTTAAGGAGTGACATCGTCTTACTGACCTGGTCTCCTAAGCTTTCACCTTCTCCATCATGCCAACTCCACTCCTGATAACGCCCACGAGCCCTCCGGTCTGTACACTCTCACTACCTCCTCCACTGAGACGGTATTCGATATCGGCCAGTCCTTCGAGCCACGCTACTCGTGTTTGAGCGGGTACATCGATCTCGGTTAGCTGTTCGCCCATTGCTGTGAGAATGTCCGCCAATGCCAACCCCTTCTGCTTCTTCAAAGTGTTGATTGTACTCAGACACGAGCCCACATTCTGCGTCGTGAGCAAAGTCTGCACGATTGTTGAGATGTCCTCTGGGTGCGGGGCCGCGATGCAATCATAGATCGTCTCCTGGGTAATCAGGTCTCGCTGTATGTCTTTGCTGTCCTTCACCTTCTCGCCTGGTACATGCAATGGTGTTGACGATGCATGACATGCCTGCAAGACGTTCAACGCTCGTCGCATGTCGCCTTTACTCAGCGTCACCAAGCTATCCACAGCCTCCGGCGCGATATTGACATTCTCTTCTGCAATGACCCTGTCCACTAGCTGTCTGATGTCCGCATCTTTCAATGGCGAGAATCGAAATCTTGTACATCTTGAGAGTAGCGCAGGGCTCAGCTTGTGTGTGTAATTGGCAATGATACAGAACCGGGTATTTGCCGTGTATCTCTCCATAATCCTTCGCAGTGCCATCTGTGCCGTGCTCGTCATCGCATCTGCCTCATCCAGGATGATGAGTTTGAAATTGCCAATGCTATCCTGCTGCGCGCTCTTGTCGAAGGAACCAGCGAAGATCTGTTTGGTGGAGGAGAAAGTCTTGATCTGCTCGCGCACCACATCGATGCCTCGATCGTCTGAGGCATTGAGCTCCAGCACCATCTGCCGCATGTTCTTGTTGCCGTATATCCTCCTCGCTAAAGCTAGGACTGTGGAAGTTTTGCCGGTACCGGGAGGTCCGTAGAGCAGCAGATGGGGTAGACGATTCGAGTCGACAAACTTGTTGATTGTCGCGAGGATATCATGATGACCGCTGACATCAGAGAGGGAGGTAGGACGGTACTTTTCCACCCAGGGCAGGTTGTCCTCGAGTTCCACGGGGAGGTTTGCTGCGCTACGCTTGCCTTTCGAGTCGGTGTTGTTGGAGGAGAATTGTATGTCGTTGGAAGACTTGGGGACATCGACGTCCATCTCATCGTTATCTTCGTAGTCTGACATGATGGCGGTGGTCGGTGTTCTTGTCTCTGCTGGTGGTGATGTGGGACGGAGTTGGAGAACGCGTCTCAAGCGCGTCAAGAGCTAAATTGGAAAAGTTCGTGCCTCAGGCATCAACAGCAGTGAAACTTGCTTCTCCGGTGGCCATCGTTTCTTATCAACAGTCTCCCAATTCAACCTCACCTCTTCATCTTCACTACTCTTCCTCCATATCTTCGACATATTCGTCCTCCAATTTGCTCTCTATACCATTGTCTTCACCATCCCAACCTCCGCCATCCAAATGGTGATGTTCCAAAGACCGTTCAATACCTGAACCAAGGCCTCGAAGCCATTACGTACAACTTACGATCCCCGCCCGCACATGACCCTTCTTTACGCCGCCTGAAGTCTGACGTTTCCGGTCGACCAGTTTTCTGGACAATTCTCGCAGATTGAATATTCGACCGCGTCAGGGCTAAGAACTGGGAGAATAGACGGAAATGAGGCCAGAAGTGAGAGGTTGTTCTGCGCCCATACCCTGCGAGTTGGTGGCAGCATAGTCCCTCGAGAGGAGAGGAAAGTTCAATATGAAAATGGACGACCGGCAAACACTCGGCATGGCCCTCCGAGGAGACGTTCTCTACAAGAGCACGTCACCTGCGTTGTAGTCCGTAAGAAGAGCGGTGGTGACATACAACTGTCGGTAGGAGGGAGGTAAGGAACAAAGCATTCCAATTGTCTCTTTCGCCCGCTACACATCCGGGTCCCACTTCTTCACTCTCAGTCAGAACCTCAACTTTGTGCGCTTCTGAGTTACACTCGTGGCAACTTCGATAGCGCCAATTCACAGCAGAACGCAAACGAAGATGGAGCAAGGCGTCCTCGAGCAACTGCTCGATTTCGATGTCGACCGCTACCTAAACCCATGGATCCCTCATAACCGACTCTACATCCTGCCGAAACCGATCTCGCGCTGGCTCGGATACCGCTCAGAACCTGCCAAAGAACCATATCAAGTCCTCCAGTGGCCCATCACATTCGCCGCCACAGTTGCAGGACTATGTCTCGTGGGAGGAATCGGCAACTACGCACCTGGCATCACGACATGGCATCCGCCTGTAGTCATCGCATCTCTGGGCGCCAGCGCAGTGCTCGACTTCAACACGATCAAATCACCACTCTCGCAGCCGCGGAACTCAGTGATCGGCAATACATTGGCTGCGATTTGCGGCGTGTGTATTGCGAAACTCTTCCAGCTCAACTCGAACTTCAACAACATCCAATGGGTCTCGGGAGCCGTTGGCTGTGCGCTGGCATCGTGGGTGATGAGCTTGACGAATACGATTCATCCTCCAGGCGGCGCAACGGCAGTCCTCGCTTCGACGGAGATGCATGTTATAGCCATGGGATGGCGATATATCCCTATCGTGCTGCTGGATAGTGTGCTCATGGTCTGTGTTGCGCTCATCTTCAACAACATCTTGAGGCAGTACCCCATGTACTGGTGGTCACCGAACAACACGGGTCGCAAATTGAAGCAGGAACGGCGTGAGGCGAAGGAGGATAAAGTTGCAGAGGAGAAGCGGGTTGAAGAAGGAAAAAGACCAGCGAAGCCGATATCAGACACGAGCAGGTATGTGTCCAACTACACTTGTGATGCGTTGTCTGTATACTGACTTCTTCAGTGATCGAACCCTTCGCCGAGAGTTGAGCAACCGCGTCGACTTCGTCGATGGTATCGAGGATGTACGCATCCGTCCATATAAGATTCAGCTTCCACATCACGTTGAGCTGAGCGATGAGGAGATCATGGTGGTAGAGAGGATTCAAGAACGACTCAGGACGCATGGCGAGGTTGGATTGTAACAACCACGAGCACTTCTTCTTCTTCTTCTCCTCGTCACCTTGTGAGCGTTCAAGCGGAGCATCAAATGAGGCATTATGAAGCATATTCAGCATCGAGACTTTGCACGTCTGCTATAATGCGGGAATTGTGTAAACGAGTCAAAAGACATTCATGGCCGCTTTTGCAAGTGGTGGTGTATCGGCATTCTTCAGGTCGTGTTGAGTCCGACCAAACTCCCCTTCCGCAATCATCATCTTCTCGTGAAACATCTTCAACTCACTTCGACATCAGCCTTCCTAAGCCGCAGCCAAGCTCTCGCGATGCTTCAAATAATCCTTCCTGTATGGGTTCTCGTCCGTCTCCTCGCCTCGGTTCAGCGGAGTCCACTTGGGGTCCTCCTTGAACAGGCGCATCGCCTTGGTATACTACCACACACAAGTCAGCATCCCCTCACCCTCCCCAAAATATCCTCACCAAACTCACATTCTTCTCGTCCGTCGTAAACCGATGATAAATCCCCGCCGGCATAATCATCAAATCACCCTTCTCCAGCCGAATCCTCACCCAATCATCCCCCTCACTCCTCACATCGAAATACCCGCCTCCATCCAGAATATACCGGATCTCCTCATCTTCGTGCAGGTGCTCGTGGAAGAAGTTTTTGACTTTCTCTTCGTAGTTGGGGAGCGTGGTGGGGCTGATTTCGATCTCGTCGCGGTTTTTGTAGGCGCGCGATTCGGCGATGGCGTTGACGCTCGAGAGGTCGCTGGGGAAGTGGTAGTGCAGGATGCCGAGTTTGGAGAGGTATTCGGGCGAGACGGTGCGGCCGGAGTCGTGGGCGAGGCGTTGGTCGCCCTGGTGAGAGGTTAGCTGTTGGAACTCGGACATAGGTTGTGGCGGGTGGGAATCGGCGTACGGGGAGATTGTCAAACCAGTATGCCTTCATCTTGACAGTCGTTGTGCTCTGCGGTGATGCCGTTGTCGCGAGAAGAAGCTTAACGGCGACTGCTAAGTAATATATGGGCTCTGCTTCGCAGCAAACTTTGGGGACCCAGCGGGCACGTCATTCCTGCCCCGCATTGGAGCATGTGATTGGTCCGTGTGCGCGGCGAGACTTTCCCTCGCAAGTGAATGTAGAGGAACTTTGTCAGCTTCGTTAAACCTCGTCCAGGCATTGCTGCGATCGTGGCTGAGATGATCGCGGTGGGAGGCGGCTTGAAGGGGTGAATGCTGGGTGGTGGGGAGATGGGATTGGTGTGTGGATGAGGTGCCAACAGGATCCTTCTCAGAAAGCAGCGATGACGTTTGAGAACGGCGGGAGTGAATGTTCGAATGCTGGATGCTGGGATTCTTGGAGGAAGAACAGTGTCTGCTGGACCGCATTAATAAGTAAGTCACTCGCTCCTGAGCATATATAGAGGTCTACTGAGACTTGCTGCACTGTCCCTTGAGCCTATACATTGGCGGATCCGAGAGACGCCCGAGCAACGCTTTGATAAGGTCCAAAAAATTGACTTATATCTTTTGGCAAAGACAAGTCGTATTGCGAGTCCAATCCAACCCTGACCTATTCACCAGACGAGGCAGATGAGAGGGTCGACAATGTCTCCATCGAGCTTGACATCTTTCCACCGCTCTAACTCCGTGATGGCTTCCTCTCGAGCAAAGCGAGCAATGGCAACACTTTCAAATCGAACGGAGAAGATCAAATTCAACTGCATATCCGGCTTGCGACATGCACGCAAAACGACTCCACATGTATTAACTCCGTGCCCTTGACAATATTTTGCATTGCGGGATGGTCGCTCAATCCGGTAGCAAATCTCTCATTGGATCCCTGGTCGTTTTGCTAGGACCGAAAGAGTAACAAGTCTCCCATTGGTTGAGGTGGAGACTTGGGAGTGACCTCACCTGTGGTGAAGATGTATATATTGACGCATGGTTGAGGTGTTGGGAATTTCTGGGAGCATCAAATCGGCCTTCCAGTGTTTCAAGAGTCCAGTCTCAACATTCGACAAAAAAACCAATTATTTCTCCCACGATCGAGGACTTTGCAATGGCTGCAACGACTCACCCAAACTTCAACGCCAAAACCGAAGGCAAAGAAGTGACTGAAGCCTTCAAAGATGTAGTCGCTGGCAAGACGATCATGGTGACGGGCGTCAATACTGGTGGAATTGGGTTCTCGACCTCGCAAGCCCTGGTATGTCCACTAGATATTCGTTAGCATCGCACGTCTCTCATTCGCATGACCTTGCAGGCATCGCAGTCTCCAAAGCACATCATCATCACCGGCCGCAGTCCCGACAAGCTGCAAGCATCCATCGACGCCCTCAAGGCAGACTACCCAAACGTAGATTATCGCTCTCTGCAGGTCGACCTTTCCAGCCAGGCCTCAGTTCGCAAGGCCGCAGAAGAACTCCTGTCGTGGAAGGATATTCCTACCCTCGATATCGTGATCAACAGTGCGGGCGTCATGGGCGTGGCAGAGCGAACGTTTACCGAAGACGGCATCGAAATGCACTTCGGCACAAATGTGGTTGGGCACTTTCTCTTGACGAACCTCATCATGCCCAAGCTCATCGCCGCATCGAAGAAGAACCCAAAAGGCGCAACTCGAATCGTCAACGTGAGCTCCCAGTCGCCAGAAGTCTCAAGCATCCGCTGGAGCGACATGAGTTTCGACAAGAAGAACAAAGACCTCCCCACCTCAGAACAGCCCAACTACGAGTATCTGAAAGGATGGGGCTACACCGGCATGGAAGACGTCGCCTACGTCCCCGTCGACGCGTACCACCGCAGCAAAGTCGGCAACATCCTCTTCGGCATCGGCCTAAACAAACGCCTCTTCGCGCAGCATGGCATCTTCAGCACCGGCGTGCACCCGGGCGTGATCTTCACCGAACTCGGTCGCAATTTCAGCGAGGACACCATGAAGTCCATCCTGGATATGATGGAGAGCGGGAGGTTTGTGCCTAAGACGCTGGGCGCGGGCGCGTCGAATAGCTTGACGGCGGCGTTGGATCCGAAGCTTGCGCAGGTTGTGGGCGAGAGGAAGGATGGGAAGGACAATTGGGGCGCGTATATGGTGGATTGTCAGATTAGTGGGAATGCGAATCCGCCGGCGGTGTCGAGTGATGAGGCGGAGAAGTTGTGGAAGTATTGTGAGGGGGTAGTGGGTGAGACGTTTGGGTGGTGAGGGGGGGCGACGGCAGCAGTATGCGACGGGGACGGTGACGGTGACGTGAGGGGTCGGTGGCAGTGAGTTGTGATGGCAATACTTCGGCGGGGACGTGTTTAGCTATATATTTAATTTGTAAGTAATCATCTCATCCAATCGCTTGAAGCAGGCAAAGTTAATTGAGGTCGAAGCTCTTCGAAAGGGCGTGGCGGTTAATGGCGTAGCGCGGCGAGCGGTTGGATATTAATTTGCTTTTTGCACACTCTTTTCAAGGGCCCGGGTTCGAATCCCCTTGGTCGACCGAATAATATTTTTGTTTTGGTTGCCAATATTCTACTTTTGACGGTTAAATTTCGATGGTATTTTTTGGACACGCGAGACGGGGCATTAGAGCGATAGATCGATTGTTAATTCAATGAGGAGTGTATCTAATGGGAAGCGGGACAGAATCGGCGTTTGATGTACGGAAAAAGCCGTGCCTTCCTAATACGGAAGGAGCAACAAGATGCACAATAGGACATCCCCGAGTGTTAATTGAGGACAATAAGTTTATGATGTTCTCAATAGCAGGGATGTATGGAGATCTATGGAGATATTGTGTGGAAAAGTGAAGTTGAAACTGAGTACTGTTGTTGCTATAGTGACTGTATGTGGTTGCTATTGTGACGCGTCGTATTGTCAAACGCTTCCCAAAACTTCATAAGCCCGGCTCGTCACAAGCCAACCATCACTTTTACACTCGCATCGCTCGTCTTCACATGCTAAGAACGCCCTTTCACAAGCAAATTTTAATCATCACAAGCAAATCACAAGACAGCGCCCAACAATCGCTCACTCGCAATGGCCGACCCACTCTCCGCCGCTGCCGCCGCCTCCCTCGCCCAAGCCGCCATCGAGCACAAGAAGCATGTGCTCTGCGACGTCGTCGCCGAGCACGTGCGCAGCGGCGAGCCCGTCACGGGCTACTCTCACTTTTGGCCGGTCGTCGCGCAGACCCTGAAGGAGCGCCACGGCATCAGCGACAGCTACTCCTCCACTAGGAAGGAGTACATGGGACTGCGCGCCTGGGCCGTCGCCAATCGGTACGTCTAGCATGTGAATATCAGGCGCGAATGTGGAGCTGACATGTGATTCTAGCACGGGCAAGGACGGCGATGAACGCAAGTTCATCAAGAGATCTCTCCGTCGCGCGGCTCGGCAGCAAGCTGCCGTTACCCGGGATGGTGGCGTGGTGGGAGAGGAGGGAGAGGGAGATGATGAGGAGAACGAGGACGGAGGTGAGGGAGGTGAAGGCCCCTCAGCCTTCCACGCGAACCTGGCGCTGCGTCAGGCTGGTCCGGCGCAGCAGCAGCAGCAGCAGCAGTCTCCTCCACCAGCAGGTGAAAACATCACCTTCTCGTAAGTTCCCCCATCCATCCCCAACACCCACCGATCGATCAAGCTAACGATACAACCCCCAGGCTCCCAGTCCGCCCCAAGGAGACGTGAGAACACGGCGCGTTTTGATAGTGAAAAGAAATTTCACTACTGCTTTGCCCACCTCCGGGAGAGGCGCATTCTCCTCTGCTACTCTGACGTTTCTATCTCTAACATTTGCGCTACGCCTGCGCGGTGGATTTCTTTTATCTTCAGGCCTGCCTGGGTGAGGAGGTGTTCCCATTCGCTTTTGGTGCGCTCTTTGCCGCAGACGTCCGCCTGTACGCAGAAGTTAGCAACTTCTCTTGAACAGATCACCCCCTGATCTCCGTTGTTCTCAAACTGCTGATATATTTATTCAACAGCATAATCGGCCATCAAATGCCGGGGATGAACGCGCAAAACCAGAGCGCAAAGTAAAGCAAGTCGAGTATGCTCACCGCACGGTCATCCCAACAATCTCACGGACATCCAAGCGCAGATACATCGTCCAAGTAGCACAATCGAGCACCCATTCTCGAGGATGAACGCGCAAAACAGAGCGCAGGGCATACCAGCAAAGAATGCTCACCGCAAGGTTATCCCGCGAACTTGATCCTTTCCCCCAGCGGTGATACAACTCCTGAGCAGCATAATCGATCATCGAAGGCTGGGGATAGATATCCCACCAAAAAAGAAAAGTCTCCAACTCACCAACATCCACAAATCCTGACACGCATCCGCCAACCTCGCCCCCTGATCCGGCAACACCCAATCCGCAACCAAGACCCTCGAATACCCCTTCCTCATAGCCCCCCTCACATGCCCCAAAATCTCCAAACAAGGCCCGTCCGTCCAATCGTGCAAAATCGCGGAGAGGAAATAGAACGCCGCGCCGTGGACGGGTTGAGGCGCGAACATATCGTGGGCTTGGAACTCGATCCCGGTCGTTTGCGTTTCCTGTTGCTCTTGTTGGGAAGAAGCGTGGGCGACGACATGCGGAAGATCCTGCACGATGGCGCGGCCGGGAATGGAAGGGAATTTCTGCTGGATCAGGCGGGTTTGGTGGCCCATGCCGCCGCCTATGTCGACGAGGAAGACGTCTTGCGGGGAGAGGTTTAGGGCGGCGGTTTCGGTGGAGAAGGGAAAACACTCGGCGGGGAGGCCGCGGGCGGTGTGCGAGACTGTCATGCCACGGTTGAAGGCTTCGGCGAGGAGAGGTTCGGCTGAGAGGCGTTTCCAGAAGGGCGCGCCGAAGGTGAAGGCGTGGGGGCCGGTGCCTTGGGTGGTGGGTTCGGTGAAGGAGGTGTTGGTTAGGTAGAGGGGGAGTTTGGAGAGGATTGCTGTGACGGTGTCGGTGCTGTGGGTGTGGCAGCTTAGCTTGGATGAGGGGATGAGGGAGGTGTAGGGAGGACGTACCTGTGGTTGAACATGTCTACTATGCCGGGCTGAAGGAGTGTGTTCATAACATCCGTGGATGCGTAGGTCTGGAAGCCTCCTTCGCGAGCGATTTTGCTGGCGGTTAAGACTCTCATGATACGAACTGTCTTCCGTGTCAATGGCCATGTTATACGCCAGACAGAGACGATGAGACTCACCAACGACACTCTTGTCACCACCACACCTCTCCACCAACTCATCTGCAGTAGTGCTTTCTCTCTCTTTCAACACATCCGTCCAGCCTCCTGCAATCGCCACTCTCAATGCAGCAGACACACATGGTCCCTCCAGGATGACCCTCACGGCAATGTCAATGGGCAGTTGACAGGCATTCGTCATGTCCATGGCAGCGGTGGAGAGCTCATAACGATCTTCTTGTGTCGCGAAGCCACTTTTGATATACCCCTGCGCCAGAGCCTGAGCGGTCTGGATGGCTTGGAGGACTTCTTGCTTGGAGGTGAGTTTACTGCCCATTGTCACAGACTGATCAAGGTTGAAATGATTGGTAATAAGAGTCTCGTCGCCTAGGTGTGAAAAAAAGCAAGAGAGCTTGCGGTTGCGAATGTGGTTCACTGCCCTCTTTTGTGTTGCAGGGCCAGCCGCTACAGCTTTTGCCAGACCGGGATATTGCTCAAGAAAGGCTGAAGTTGAGAAGCGCAGCTTGGTCATCCTGGAACCATACGGTGCCAAAAGGGCTCATCCTGCAACGTCAGTGTTTGAGGGTCTACACGAGTTATAGGACAAGCAGACTGCAGTTAGATGCAGTATATACTCGCAGTGGACGAAGGCTTCGAGTGGATAGAGGAACGGTAATCGGACTTAAGGGCAGACGAATTCGTTGATTTCCGTACCTGAAGCGGACATTTGGAAGAAGTGTGGGCCTCTACGAGTCTTTGACACTGGCGAGTAGCCTGAGAGAGGCAAGGTGAAATGTTGTCCCGCCTCAAAGATGAAATCATCGACAACTTTTGCGAGCGGCCAGGTCGATAAACTGGATCAGGGCCAATTACCATTGCGCACGACCTTACTCTTGGACGATTTCTAGGAGCTCGTTGATTGATAGTCGGCATCGCTTCACCGAAGCGCACGATGAGCAATATCCTTGCGGTACTGCATTCCTTCGAACTTGATCCCCTGGACGCCCTTGTATGCATTGTCAACCGCGTCTCGAAGCGTGCTGCCGGTCGCGGTTGCAGCAATGACCCGTCCACCGCTCGTCACCAAGTTGCCATCCTTGATCGATGTGCCAGCATGGAAGTAGTACAGTCCAGCATCTTCGTGAGCATCCTCGACTTGCATTGGAGTGCCTTTGGGGTAGGAACCAGGGTAGCCACCAGCCGCGACCACCACGGTGCAAGCGCTCTGAGCTGCAATGTCCATTGACTTGGATGAGAGGGTACCTTCGGTGCATGCTACCATCAGCTCGGCAAGATCTGACTTGAGAAGGGTGAGGCAAGACTGGGATTCGGGATCGCCGAAGCGGACGTTGTACTCCAGCACTTTCGGGCCATTCTTCGTCAGCATGAAGCCGGTGAAGAGACAGCCAACGAAGGTCATGCCCTCATCACGCATGCCCTTGATGGTGGGTTGAAGTGCAGTCCTCTCAATCTCGTTGAGAATGTCCTTGGTAGCAACCGGTGCTGGCGCATACGTGCCCATGCCACCAGTGTTTGGCCCCGTGTCGCCGTCGCCTATCCGCTTGTGGTCTTGTGCCGGGGGTAGCGACAGAATAGCTTTGCCATCTGAGAGCGACAAGATGCTGATCTCGTCACCCTCAAGAAACTCCTCAATGACGACGCTGTTGCCAGCCGCACCGAATTCCTTGTCCAGCATGATGTCCTTCAGAGCCTTCTCCGCCTCTTGCTTGGTCTGTGGTATGATGACACCCTTGCCCGCAGCCAGACCATCCGCTTTGATCACCACTGAATAGTCAATCTGATCGAGATGGGCCCTCGCAGAATCATAGCTGGTGAAGTTCTCGTATCGTGCCGTGGGAATGTTGTGCTTCTTCATGAAGTCTTTGGAGAACGTCTTGCTACCTTCCATGCGTGCAGCCGCCTCGCTTGGACCGAAAACACGAACATCTGGCAAGTTCTTCTTGAAGTAATCGGTGACACCAGCAACGAGGGGTGCTTCTGGGCCTGGAACGACGAAGTTGAGGTTGTTCGATCTGGCATATTGGACGAGTGCGGGAAAGTCTTCCGCCGAGACTGAGGCAATGTTCTTGCATTTGGGAACACTATCAGACAGTCAGCTTGTATCGTGTGCGACTTGAAGGGCACTGTTGACCTCTGCTAGTGGAACCTACCCAGCCGTGCCTCCATTGCCGGGTACTACGTGAATCTCCTCGACGCGGCTGCTCTGGGCGAGCTTCCAGGCGAGGGTGTGCTCACGGCCGCCATTGCCAATGAGTAAGATCCGTAGCTTGTCCGCCATGTTGTGGTGTGTGATCAGGCTGTCACATGTTAAAAAGTCGTAGTCTTCTGCAAGTGAAGTGACTTTTTCTACGCCTGCGCCACACCATCGTGGGGAAACGGTCCTGGCCGCCACACAATGACGCAGCAAGGCGCAGCACGGTGATGCTTGCTGCTTCGCTTGCTGGCTGGCTTGGACGTTGAGGAAGCTGCGGCGAACGCGCAAGCTCACTGCATCGACTAATATTCCTTCGCACGCCTCACACACGACTTCGCCGCGGAGAGCAGCTTCACCGTCGTATCCCTCACCGAATACTGCCGCCTGGTCGACACAAAACCTCCACCGCGCCTGCCCGAACCATCATTCACATGCCTTCCCCGCCTGTTCGACGGTGAAAGTCTATCCGCAGCCGTAGGCAGCTGTATACAGAAACATCCCAGCACCACCGCCTCACGTGCGACTCTCCCGCCCTCCATACACCCAACATGGTTACCAGGAAGCCCGTCGCCCCGACCATCTCCACCGCTCAGGCGACGAACCCTGCCAATGCCGCTCCTCCTTACCCCCAGACGCCCACCGCCGAGTCGGCCAAGACGTCCAGTAGCGTCTACTCCCAAGACTTGAAGAACAGCCCGGCGTTTGACCTGATCGATATGGACGAGGCCCAGAAGAGGCCGAGAAGAGACTCAGATGTTAGCTCGCATGGGACGTGGGACTCGGATGGCACAGAGAGGGACGACGAAACCGGCGAGGACTATGTCGATGTCCCTTCGCCCTTGAAGCTCAGGAACAGTCAGCAGAATGATAAAGAGGGAGCAGATGGCAAGAAGGATAATGAGCTGCCCGCTGCTCTGAGGCCTGGGCCGGCGAATGGGGCTGTCGTCGGTACAAGAGCGCAGGAAAGCAAACAGTACGAGGAGGAAGCCCAGAGTAATCCTTGGCAGCTGGAATCGAACAACCCATACCTACAGAAGACTACGCAGGCGAACGGACATGTCGACAACAGCCAGAAAGTGTGGGAACAGCCTGTGCAAAGTCACCCACACCAACCATCCTATGCTCCTCCGCAACCGCCCAGTGCACCGCCGCCTGTACCACCTGTAGAGTTGCCTACCATAAGATCGCCTACAGAAGAGCTGTCAAAACTGTCCTTGGGCGAGAGCAGGACGTCGGCAGGGACTGCAGCATCATATGAGACTGCTGAAGTGTTACCAGTACCTCAGCAAGGGCAGTCACCATTTCCTCATCCTTCACAACCTATACCGCCTGCTCTTCCATCCACGAATCCCTGGTCTGACGATGAAGGACATGCGCCTCCTGCGGCCCCACCAAAAGAAGCGTTGTCTCCTATCGCCCCCAGACCGATATCCGAATACGAGCCTCCTCCTGGTCCACCTCCATCACAGCAGGCCCCGCCGACTCCAGCAAGTGCCGGTCCCTTGATTGACCACGCTGAGCCACCTAGACCTCCTCCAATATCTACCCAAGCTCCCACCCCGCAATCCCCAGGCTCAGTCCCAGAGACGCCAAACACTCGAGATCGGCGGCAAAGGAGCGAACACTACCAGATCAAGCATGTCAACTGGTTTGACTCGTCGTCGGGCAAGGCTGGCATGCGGAGATCGCCCATTCTTACACAAAACGCTAATGGACCTTGTCCACTACTAGCACTGGTCAACGCTCTTGTACTATCAACACCACAGAATTTGGACACTGCACTAGTTGAGACCCTGCGAACACGAGAACAAGTCAGTCTGGGGTTGTTACTGGACGCTGTGTTTGACGAGCTCATGTCGGGACGCAGAGGTGATACTGCCCATCAGTTACCTGACGTAGGTGACTTGTATGCTTTCTTGCTGGCATTGCATACAGGCATGAACGTCAACCCTCGCTTTATAACACCAGCAACCACGCCACGAGGATCGTTAGATGGCCACCCACCGGAATTGCACAGCCTGCATCCTTCTGAACGCTCACAGAACAAGCCCGGCTGTTTCGAGGAGACGAGGGAAATGCGACTATACAGCACATTCAACGTGCCTTTGATCCACGGCTGGACCGCACCGAAAGATACCCCTGCTTATGCTGCTTTCAATCGAAGTGCACCCTCATTTGAAGACGCCCAGAACATCCAATTCGCTGAAGCAGAGCTTGAAGATAAATTGCGAACTGAAGGTCTAAGTTTCCAGGAGCAACAGACCCTCGAAGACATTCACACAATCAAGAGCTTCTTGCAAACATGGCCAACTCAGCTCACAGACTATGGCTTGGAAACCATCTCTCGAAGTCTCAAGCCAGGACAAATCGCAATCTTGTTTCGCAACGATCACTTCAGCACACTGTACAAGGAGCCCAGACATGGGGCCTTGATGACGCTGGTAACGGATGCCGGATACAGCTCACATGACGAAATCGTGTGGGAGAGTCTGGTTGACGTGAATGGTGCTGCAAGTGAGATGTTTAGTGGCGACCTCCGCACTGTGAGCCATGGTTCGGACTCGAGGATGAACCAGAGCAGCTCCGCTGGAGGGAATGAAGGCAGGCAGACGGTACAGAGTAGGTATCGAAATAAGCGGCAGTCAGCGCAGAACGGCGCTGCGGAAGAAGCGCCCCCTCCCTTGCCTGGACCACGGCCCCTTTCCCATACGGAACCAAATGCAGGTGCGGCAAACAACGGACCACCACGCACAGCAAGCGAGCAGGAGGATCATGACCTGGCACTTGCACTTCAGCTCCAAGAAGAGGAAGAAGACCACCAAAGACAAGTTGAAGAGCGCCGCAGACGGGAACAGCAGCTGTCAGAACAATTCCTTTCCAACGAGAACGAACGACCTCCAGCAATTCCACCTCGGCGAAATCAACGATCTCCACGAACAAGCCAGACAAACATTCCCATCAGTGAAGGCAGGAACAGACAGAGCAGTGCGCCCCAGGCACGTCCTGCGGTTCATCGACCGGCCCAAAACGAAGATCCAGACGCACCGCCATCCTACGAACAAAGTGCTTCTGACAGGCCATACCGACCTGCAGGAGCCACCGCGCCGCCCTCGCAAGGAAACCCACTCAACACCTTGGACGCCCTGCGTAGACAGCAGTCGGCGTACGGGCAGCAGAGTACTACTTCCGTCAACAGCATCCCAGGTTCCCCTGGGCATGGCCGACGGCCTTCAGGTAATAGACTGCAGAGACGCTCGAGTCAGATGAATCCTGACATTGGCCCTTCAGGTCCTGCGCCGGCTTATCCCGGTCGAATGAATCAAGCGGCCACGGTCAAGGATGCCGAGAACGATAAATGTGTCGTGATGTAGTGCGTCTTGATGTGAGTCGGCTCTTGGCGGTGTGAATGATATTGAATTGATGGCATTGGCGTTGGCTTCTAGATACCCTTGGATAGCGATCGGTCGATTCTTATGTTCTGGATTACCTCTTCAGTGTTGGGTATTACATCTCTTCGTTACGAAGCTTTCTCTCGGGCAAGAAGTTCCTCCTTATTGGTACATTCCTGCTCGCCCTCCATCCACTGCTCCAGATCTCATCGAACCCAGCACCCTCCACTATACATCCTCCTCCCCTTCCAACCCCAAAATCCATCCCACAACCCTCCTCCCACTCAACAAAGAATACTATGCAACGGCACATTCTGATACTCCCCATAACACCTGGTCAATTCCTCCTCATCCCACCCCCTCTCCTCCTCGGTCCCCGCATAATTCCCCTCCTTATCCCGCGCGAAATACTTCTTATACTCCCGCCGCGGCATCTTGATGGCTTTGTAGCGCTCCTCTTTCTCCGCGCTGTGGTCGATGTTCATGCGGGTCGAGAGGCGGCGGAGGAAGGAGCGGGGTGGGGGGCTAGAGAATACACACATGTTAGATGGGAGGAGAGGGGTTGTTTGTTGGGTAGGGAGTGGGGTTTACCGAGAGGGTAGTGACTCCGCCCCTTCAATCGACGACCGCCGGAAGGGATTCTGCAGCCGCACCGTGACGATTATGATATCGTCATCCGAGGGCGCGGGGAGGTCTCGTTCGAAGACGACGCCGGCGCCGAAGGGCAGGCTGCGCGTGCGGATGGAGCGGGGGTTGCGGTGCGCGGCGAGGGCGCTGTTGTTGTGCGTGGGGATGGGTGGGACGGAGGTGTCGATGAGGAGGTCTTGGTGTTGGTGCTGGTTCTGGTGGGCTCGGCGGGCGTCGTCGCGGGGGCTGTATGCGGGCACGAAGGTGGGTGGGGTGTGGAAGATTGCGCCGGCCATTTTTGGGGTGGAGATGGGTGTTGGGGTGTTGTTTGATTTTTCTGAGGGTCCTGAAGTTCTTTGTTTTTATGTGTGAAGGGAGGGAGTGTCGGACATCGGGCTCGATCCTCCAGGAAGAGCAATACCGCCTGCGGTGAGTGAGGTTGAAAGAGGAAGAGGTATGTGCTCCACGGCGGAGTTCTTGGAAGAGGAAAGAAGGAAACGTAATGGAGGAAGTAGAAATAGGAAAGGACCGTGCTGAAAGTGAAAGGTATCTATGATCGGCGCCGCCTTGCAGTGCCTACGGCTTCTTCCTTCTTCCTCATGCAGTGCGTGGGAATGCTTGGTTAGACCACGGGAGGGTAGATCAGCAGCAAACAAACAAGATAGCATCACACCACCTCCAGACAGACACTTCGCACCCTACCTCCCAATGGATTCCTCCCAAGCTCTGAAGGGCTTTTCCGTGGCTTGGATATCGAAAGCTTGCGGGAGCTGGCATGCAGCGACGTCACTCCGTACCTTTTCGCGGGGTTGGTGATGAGGTGCACAATGCCGCGGCGGGACGCTGTGAGATGTAGTGAGGTCGAGCAGCTGAGCGGCAACTCCCAAACTGGACACCGCCGACGTCGACTTCTGCTGACTCATCTTTTCCGGCAGGTCTGGATCGGGATTCGAAGTCCGACGTCACGTTGTCGCTGGCGTGAGCGTTGGGAACGGGAGTATTATTCGGAGAGACATTTGCTAGTGTGCGTGGAAGAATGACGAATGATGGTGTGCGGAGTGTGGACTTTTGTCGTCCCGGGAAAGTCTCCCAGCTGTAGCCTTGTCGTTGAACATTCTGGCAGAGCGGAGCGGCTCAAGGGCGGTCGTTTTGCAAGGATATCTGCCATTTTGGGGTAAAGCGGCGGCTTGGTTTCATTCGAAACCTCGACGGATGGTCGTAGAGATGCGTGCAAATCCCTTGAACACTTGCACCATCTGGCGAACAGAAATAGGTTAGGCTTCCGAGTTGTTTGTATTGAGACATGGGAAACAACATCGGGCAAGAACAGCTATCTTGCGCGAATCGAGGTCTAGGGAGGTCTTTAGATATCGTGTGGGCGAGTAAATGAAGAAGGAGGTGAAAGCTAATCACTTGCACATTGTCAACGACCAAGCTGAGAAGGCTTTCCAAGAGCCTGATGTCAGCAGCACCAAAGTTCACTGTGAATTGTGGGCCACGAAGAACAACTGTCTCTGCATTCCGAAAAACCAAGCTCTTCTCACCAAGCACTCAGCACTCTACATACCACGCGAGATCGCTCTCCGGATCCATCTCCAAAGCCGTAAAGCCGCTCCCCAGGAACCTGAATCTGTTCGAGCTATTATACCGAATATCAAAGTGTTCAGTCCTAAGATCGCCCAGAAGACGTTTGTAGAGCATCCCATCTCCCGCGAACAAAGCAGTGACTCTTCCATTCTTACGACCGCGTTTATACCAACTGGTGCAGTCTGCCGGTCATATCACACCAGCTCATCAATCACTCGCGTGTTCAGCACAAAAGATTTGATATCTTCCAGTGCGAACTTTTTGATCCATTTGACGAAGTAGTCTGCATTCCAGCTAATTGCCTCCAGAAGCGAGCCGTGTCCTGCGAGGCGTTGGGGCCTAGGGTGATGAAATTTGCATGAAGGAGCATCTGCATCGTCGTCTGACTCGCACAACGCCAGTGGCCAGGCCAGCTTCGTCAAATGGAGCACCCGCTCCTGGGAAGAACAACTCGCGGTCTTCGAGGGAGCTGTGGCAAGATCGCCAAAATAAGAGCGCATACATCGTGATAAGAACCCTTGGAGTCGGTCGTGGAGCCGGCGACCCGCTGATGCATTTAGATGATCGGGCCTCCATCGTCATTCTCATTGCCCTGCCATCACTAATCTTCATGATCAGACCCTTTCAGCAGACCTATCAAGCCAAGCACGTGCTAGGTCTACGGTAAGTGTTTGGGGTAGCAGTACAGAACTCTGCTAATCTGCGCAAGGCATTTTGTATAATGGGGCCAGTGGCGGATGTACCGGCACTTCTGTCGATACCGAATTTGGCAGCAATCTCTGTCTTCAAGCCAATGCCACCGGTGCAGAGTGGCTCCAATCGACAGGCGCCAAGCGTGCGACTCAAGACAATTGCACCGAAACTGCCGTTAACGAGCTGAGGATCGGGAGTCGAGCGTTCGCAATATTCCAAGACCATGTGCCAGAGGACATTTCCCAACAGATGCTTGCATTCTTTGAAAATGGGACGGATCCTACAGGCGGCGGAACCGACATTCCAGCTTCTTTTCTGCCATATGAAGTTCTTGGGTAGGACTGCGAGATTTCAGGTGGTTATTGGAGAATTGAGCTCGTGTACCATGTTCCTCGCTCGAGGCAGATAAATTAAAGATCTACGCGGCAGAGCTGGGTGCTTTGGAAAGTGATTTATCTATTAAGACGCAGTGGTGGCATCAGTCAATCAACTTGGTCTGTTTTCATTGATTAATTAACGCAAATACCGACCCCAATTCAACCAATAACTAAGCAAATTAGCCCGTTAAGCATACGTTCCCTCAACGGGCAGCTGATGTATTAAGCCGCCGTTTAAGCAGCCCGGCTGCGACAAGGCTGTCGGCTATCGGCTAGACGTGAGACGGCAGGATGACTATCGATAGACGAAGAACGACCAGTTCTCTATGCTTCTCAAGAAGTTGCCTTTGATTTTTTTCTCAGATCACGCTTTTTGGTTTTCTGTACAGTAGACGGTGCCGAAATACGCGCAATCTTCACTCTGTCCCTAGCGAGCTCACCTTTTCGCTGGTCACGTTCGGCTGTGCATATATCTCGCCCGCCAACGTGCCCGCCGAGTTTGCCTGTCAGGCCCTGAACAAAAAGTAGAAACTCTGAGAGCAGTACCTCGGTCACTCGAGTGCTGACAGTTCACGGTAATAGGTGAAGTGTGACCTGGTTGTTCGGAGTCATTCGAGAGACGCTGCTTGCAGCTCATGCGTCAAGGATGGAGTCGGCTGCCGGTCAGTCTTCCATCCCGTAAATGGTATTCTTCAGCTGACCATCAGATATCATGGATCTTCAAGCGTGAGCAGAAAGCTGCCAGCCGGCTGGACCGCGAGCAGCGCATCAGTGATCGGTCCTTTGGGTTGCCGGGGACCGATTCCAGCGAAACAAGAAGATCCCCCAAGTTGGCCCAACCACCACGATAATTGCATCTGGGTCCTTTCGATGTGCAGCACAACGAATCTTGTGAAGGGAGCGCTGGGGGTTATTTTCCTTTCGCGATGCGAGACGCGAGCGCTTTAACCGCGAGCGAGCTGCTGGACCTGTGTACAATTCCGGGACGGATGTCTCCTGGATGGATGACCCTTGGGTAAAAAATCCAATTCTGCAACTCCAGGCATGGTCAGACGATGGCATGAGTTTTTAGTAGTCATGTGTTCTACGAATTTGTGTCGACGTGCCGTCCATACCCTTGTTCACCTCCCACCAAACTCCAGCTTCCTTCTCTGCCTCCACACCCTCACCCTCCCCGTATCAATCGATCTCCCCTCATACAAATAGTACTCGATCTCCTTCTTCGTATCCTCTCCCCACCGTCGCATCACGTTCCTCCGAGCATAGTCGCCACTGATTCTTGTGAACTTCTGCTCAAACTCGCCTTCGTACTGGAGCAATCGATCCCTCTCCGTGAGATCTTCGAGGTGAATGACTTCAAGGCTCATATGCTTGCCTGTCAAGCAGTAAAACACCGGCTTGAAGGACCCTCTCTCGATGGACACGTTGTTCAACTCGACATCTCTTAGCCTGGTGCTGTGGTTTTTGAGGAAATTGACCAGCTCGTGATCGTTGACGGGGAGGCCTGCTAGTCGCAATTTACGCAGATGAGGAAGAGGCGGCATGCGCGACATGTAGTGCATGTACTGTGCTCTCATCGTCTCCTTCCTATCTTCCAAGTCGTGGACCGTTGAAAGTAGAACGTAGCCAGATAGGTCGAGCTCTAACAGCTCCTGACAAAGCTGCAGCATCTTCGTGAAGTTACTGTAGCTCGTCTCGTCCTGAATCCGAGCCCGCAACGGAACGAGATCCCGCTTCTGGTTTACCAAAGCGAAGTCGAGATGTTGCTCGGGGTCGCCGCAGCCCTGAGCTTGGTACTCGTCTCCACAGACAATTGGGTCGGAAACGCTGATGAGCATGGTCTTGAGTCCGGAAAATACAGGCGCAAAGGTCGGGACGTTGAAGTCGAACGGGCTCAGGGTTTCGCACGGCATACTGCAGGCCAGGGAGACGGGTTTCTTGTGGAAGATGTCCAGAAGATGGATGGGTACTTGTGTGTCACGGAGGCAAGAAAATGTAATCTGAAAAACTCTCGACGCAGCTTCGATTATCCATTTCCAGCATTTGACGTCCGAAGGTGGAAGTTTGGTTGCCATGTCGTCTCGATAAACCATGACCTCCAGTGATAGTTTTCTCAAGCCACTTCGTTTCTGCATAGCCAGATTTGTGAACGCATCCCTGAGTAGGAGCACATCGGACGCTTGTCTTTGAAGATCCTCATCCTCCGCTTGACGGCGGTTCATCGTTTCGAGATCGCCTCTGGCCTTGCTTATCTCTACTTCCGTGCACGAGAGTCGTCTGCCTTGTAGCTGGTGGTTTTCGGCGAGCTCTTTCTTCCTAGCATACCTGTACCCGTTCTTGACAATGTTTTGCAGCGCAAAGGGGTTGTACACTACGCCCACGAGAGTCAAGTCCTCAACGCGGCAGCCTAGCCCATTATGCGATGTCAAACGGACAAACGAGCTCAAGTCTGATTTAATAAGGTCAACATGCTTAGCTCTGAAGAAGGACCTGAAGGTGTCTTGTGTTCCCTTGTACGCTGTTGACCTGCTCGCGAGGCGAAGATTCTTAATGTCGTTCAGTTGTAAATAGGAGACGACGTATTCAAAGAGCTCGTTGGTCAGAGATTCGAGAGATAATGAGTTCATTCTCACGACTTTAAAAGGGTCGGATATCTGGGGACGAGCAGATGAAAAGAGGGTGGGAGAAGATGATGGTTCTTATACGTCTGAATAGGCAGCCGCGCTAGTCATCGGGCCGACCCTGGTCTGCTCCTTTTACACATTGAGGTCGTGTGGAGAGTTCGAGGAGGATTGCCTGAACACGGTCCATTGTACTCGAACCCGATGCGAATGCTATATGCACCGCAGTTCAGTCCACTCCAGGCCGACAGCTGGTACAACGTCGATGAAGACCAGCCTTCTCTCATTCATCATATGCTGCTACACCAGGCGCTCGCACCTTCTTCGCTGCCTTCTTGTTTGCCTTGTTGTGTTTCTTCGAGTTCATTCGGACTTCCGCAGGGTCGAGACCCTTCTCCAGCGCAGTCACGGCCTTCAGCTTTCGTCCCGTCAACTGCTTCCCTTGTTCGCTGTACTTGTAATGGAACGGTCGAACAACATTGCCGTCTCCCTGGCCTTGAGCGAAGAACGCCTTGTCCAGGCTCGTGCCTTTCCTGCCCTGTGGTTGAGGTAAAGCTGCAATCTCAGATTCAGCGTCCATGAGCGAAGGATCCTCGCTGCCTGTCAGAGACATGATATCGGATGCAGCCAATTGCGCTCGACGCTTTTGAGGTAGATGAGCCAAGTCGTAGAGTTCCCGGTTGAAGTGTTTGCCATCAATCGGTGGAGAAGTCGGTGGCGGGTGGCAGTAAAGCAGCTTGCCTTTCACGTAATCCTTAAACACAGTCCTTGCCGCACGGCTTTCGTCCGGCTGACCAAGACCTGTGGTCCAGAAACCCCGAGCTCTCGCAAAGGATCGAAGCACTTCTTCTCCAGTAGGCGTCCCAGTACCGCCTTCTTCGAGAGGTCGTGTGATGATCTTGATACCATATATAGCCTCGAGGAAGTGCTTGGGAATACGTTGCGCGATAAGAGCCGCAGGGCCGGTGTATTCTCGCATCTGATCAATTGGCAACACACCAGCGCACAAAAGCTCCGCCTTGGTGGTCGCGAAATTGGGGAAGACGAGACCAGGACAATCGCAGAGGATGACTCGTGGCGACAGGTGGATAGTCTGGAAGTGCTTTGTCTTACCTGGGGTCGCGGAGACGGACACCTTCTTTGCGCCTAGGAGAGCGTTGATGGTGGACGACTTTCCGACGTTGGGATAGCCAACTAGTCCTATTGACGTTTTTCGTTGTGGAGAATCGGGATCTGAAGATGCAGGTGCTGCGGGCGAGTGCTCAAGGAAGAGTGCTTCGAGATCTTCAGTCGTCAAGATACGAACTGACTCCTCGAGAGAAAGATGCGTAGGGTCGGAGTGGGGAACGGCGTTGGGTTCTGGATCGACGCTTTCTTCGTCAGCCCACTCCTCGTCGTCCTCAGCCTGGTCTTGGAGATCAATCTTCTTTGCCTCCTTTGCGAGGACATTTCCATCTGCTTCTTCGATTTCCTCCTCGACGTCACTATCATGGATTTGATCGTCGTCATCCTCGTCATCCTCGTCATCTTCATATTCTTCATCTTCATCATCCTCATCATCCTCGCCCTCGTCTTGCAACTGATCGAATGCGTTCCTGTGGCCAACTTCTTCATGTCCGTCCTCTCTCGCTTCGTTCATTTCCCTTGCCAGCTCGGCCGAAAAGAACCTAAACGCGATATTTCTCTCATGGAAGAACTCGGCCCAGATTCGCCTCTGCTCCAAGGTCATCATATCTGCCTTGTTGACAAGAAGCAAATTCCTCTTCTTTCCTCCATCCAGTTCTTTGACGTAACGCTCCAGATCTTCGCATCGGTATAGAAGCGGATTTCTCGCGTCCACAATCTGTACCACGAGATCTGATCTTTCAATCACACGCCACAACTGCCTCCACACTTCCAGATTTCGCTCGAAAGGTGTCATGAGCAGATCATCGACCTCCTGTAGCTCTGCCAAGCCTCGTCGCCACTGCAAGAGTGCCTCCTTCTCCCTCTCGTCCAGTTCTCTTGCCGTCGTGTTTTCGTCCCACGGTGGTCGCCGAGGGACTGTCAGACGCGCCCGCTTTGCATTCTGCTTTCTGACCACGCCTCTCTCTTCTTCGCGACTCAGAAGGTACGGATTCTTCTGGTCGGTATGAATGATCTTGACGTTGTTCATCTTCTCCGCCGTGAAGTCTGTGCCAGCCAATTCTGCGGTCGCAAGGAACTCGTCGAGCGCGCCTTGCTCTGTGACACTTCGCATCTTGACCCATTCAGCCTCCTTCTTCTCGTTGGTAATATACTCATTTCCGTGGGCGTCGGTTCGCGTGATGGCCTTGCTCGACTGGTTCCCGCGATGCATGTTCGACTTTCCCTTGCCGAACCGGTCGTTCATGAGACTGTTGCCCAGCCCGACGGCGTTCTTGCTCTTCGGTAACACCATTTCGGCGGCGTTTGGTGAATGTTGTTGAGTTGGTGTGAGAGGAAGAGAGGATTGTTTAAAGAGGCCGCTTGGTAATTCGCGGCTTATCTTATCGGTTAAGAATGACGCACCGCCACCAAAATTTGGTGAGAAATTGGCGACGACACTTGAATGGATTTCCGCCTAAAATAAAACTTCGCCCAGAACACTACCACCACACAAATACACACACCGCCCAACATGCCTCGACGCAAGTTCATCGACAAGAAAAATGCCACCCATTTCCAGCTCCTCCATCGCGCCCAAAATGACCCCCTCATCCACGACGAAAATGCGCCCTCGATGGTCTTCGCTGAAGTCGAGAAGGCGCAATTGCGACGGCCACAGGATGATGACTACGCTTATTCAAGCGCAGGCTCGATGTACAGTGGTGCCTCATATCGCAGCAAGAAGACGAAGCAACGTGGAGATCTCGAGGATGAGTTTGGCATGAATGTGCGCAAAAACGAGGGAGAAGCCGCGCAACATGGCGTTTTCTACGACGATACCGAGTACGACTACATGCAGCATATGCGAGATCTGGGGACTGGCGAGGGTGCAGTCACCTGGGTTGAGGCGAAAAAGCCAGACGAGGGCAAGGGGAAGCAAAAGCAGAGACTGGAAGATGCGCTGAGGAATATGGACTTGGAAGACACTCAGAGTGTGGGTGCCAGCAGCATGACAAGCAGTGTCGCACGAAGTCTGCTACCTGAGGAAGTCCTGCCAAGCGAGTTTGTGCAGAAGCGATCTTATCAAGACCAGCAAGATGTGCCTGACGAGATTGCTGGATTTCAGCCGGACATGGACCCCAGATTGCGAGAAGTGCTGGAGGCCCTGGAAGATGAGGAGTATGTGGACGATGAGGAAGATATATTCGCCGAGCTCACAAACGAAGGCTACGAGGTCGAGAGAGACGAGTGGGAACGGTTGGCAGAGCAAGAGTTGTTCGACGAGGAGGATGAGGGCTGGGAGAGTGATGACACCATCAAAGCGCCTGCTTCGCCCAAAGCTTCACATCTTCCCGATCCGAATCTACCACTCCCAGACGGAGAAGATGCGAAACCGCCTGAAGATCCGCAAGCGGTGCCTTCAGCTGATCCAACCGAAGGTGCTTGGTTAGATGAGTTCAAAAAGTTCAAATCAGCAGCAAAAGTGGACAAGGCAGACAAGGAAGACGGTGCATTTGCTCCATCAACGCTCGAATCTTCGGCGCTCTCGTCACTCGCCACAGGCCGCAGGAAGAAACGCAAGGGTGCCAAAACCTCTACTACTAATTACTCCATGACATCTTCATCTTTGGCACGCACAGATCCGCTGACGACGCTGGACGAGAGATTCGACAAGCTGGAGGCAGCATACTCTCTAGAAGAGTTCCCAGAAGAGGAAGAAGACGACTACCTGGCCGACAATGGCTCAATGGCATCCGGCATGACCGGTCTCTCCAAGGCCTCCAAAGTATCCAAGTACTCCAACATGTCTGGACTCAGCGGCGTCAGCGGTGTCTCAAGCTACTCCAAGGCAACAGATTCAGAAGCACCGCAGCTGATGAGGAGCGACTTCGACGGTATCATGGATGACTTCCTTGGCAACTACAGCAAGACTGGAAAGCTGGGGAAGAGAGTCAAGCGTGGTGCGCCGCAGGGTGGCATGGCTCAGCTCGACGAGGTTCGAAAGGGCCTTGGCGAGGCAAGAGTCAGCAGCAGATACAAGACTGCGGCCAAGACCGGGTCGTAGAATGTCAGTTTGTTGGCATTTGGCGCGAAGCAAGCTCGATACCCTTTTGGCATGAATTATGAACTTTTCTCAGCATTTCGATTGCACTTAGTCTACTCCCATCCGTAGGCTGGACTCTTGGTCTCACACTCCGGCGTCAACAAGAGGAAAATGCAAAAGGCTTCTCATGGTCACTGCTATTGAGCTCTGTCGTCCGTCATGGTTCCATTCACGTGAGAGGATGATCAACTGCAGGGGTCATCAAACAAACTTTCACATACCAGGACGGCCTTGCAAATACCCTTGACACGAAGCTCACGGATCAGCATCGCATACGTACGCACCTCTTTGCATCGGCTCCTCGACCGGCTCCTCGACCTTCAGCGGCTTGGCGCATATCAACGTCCCCTCCCTCCGCACCACTAACATGCACTGTCACTCGCGCCAACACCTGTTCAACCCACCCAGCCCTCACGACTCCTTTCTGCCCAGCTCCCAAAGCTTATGAAACGCTTCAAGCCCCCCTTCAATCGTCATGAGGATACCTCACGAGACTACGACTTTGTGGCTGTGTATCGAGGAGATTGGGATGGACCGTGTAGTTCAGCTTGACAGTGGTTGATGGGAGGTATGTGTATACTGAAATGTTGCAGCCAAGATATTGATGAAGCCACTCGAAGGCTGTGATGGACTGCTTGGCTGCGTCTTGTTGGAGTTCTGTGTTGTTGCGAAACATGGCTTAGATTTGGGATCGTGATGGGGGGTTGAGGCGGTTGTGTTGGTGAGGAGTTGGGGAAGAGAGGTATAAGTAACCTTGCGAAGATGTGATATAGGTGCTGAGAAGATTGCTAGAAGAGTTTCATTCAATTCGATCGAAACTTAAAACATCCGAATCTAAGTTATAAGTGCCAAAATGAAGTTTTGCCAACATCTTCTTGGCCTTGTGGCTGCCACTAGCCTCGTACAAGGCCTTCACATTGGTCCGAGGGATGAAAACAACATCGCACAACCCCCAGCCCCTCCAGTTGAAGGTACGTGAGAGTATCCAAATGTCTGAAAGACAGAGAGACTGACCAGCAAAAGGCCAAGCTGCTGCACCACCGCCCCCAGTGGCTGGACAGGCTCAACCTCCCGTGCCGGATCGAGGGCCTGATGGAGATAGGGATGAGGACGACGATGATGGTAAGTGGCTTCTTCACAGATTGGCAGCGGATACTTACAACTTCGAACAGATGGCCGTCCACGTCCTGCTGTTGCAGGAGGACCTGTACCGCCTGACGTCGATGACAACGACGATGGCCCTCCACCGCCTCGTGTGGACAATGACAATGATGGGGATCTTGACGGTCCACCTCCTCGTGTCGACAACGATAATGACGGAGATCTCGACGGCCCACCACCTCGTGCTGATAATGATGGCGACGGCGACCTCGACGGTCCTGCTCGGGCGGACAACGACGCAGACGGCGATCTTGATGGGCCTCCACCACCAGAGTCCAATAAAAACGGCAATGTACAGCCTGCTCAAGCCGGCACTACCGCCGCAAACACAAACCCAAACACCAATAGTGCTGACGATGGCACATCTCCGGGCTTTCAACAAGCTGACGTCGATGACACGCCTGATGGAGATAGAGACGGCCCAGATGGTGATGGCGATGGACCAGACGACAATGGTAGGCCAAATGCTGCTGGACAGAAATCCATTCCTCTTCTTGCGACTTTCGCTATGGTTGTTGCGGCGAGCGTCGTGGTTATGTAAACCACCTTGGGCGAGCTGCCGAGAGAAGGGGAGAGAGGCAGAAGGTGTGGAGCAAAGGGATGAGAACGACTGATGAAGAGACGGCCTGCGATAATGTTGAGAATGTTTGGAGTTGGGGAAATTTGACTTGCTGAGCAGACTAGCTTTCTTTTGCCTTCACGAGAATAGATTGCATGTATCAATCCGGTTGATGAGGTGGTGTTCCGCGAGGCTGTGGAGCATTCACATCCGAGCTGACGTGAAACACGGTTGTGATACTGTACTCTACTGCTTCTTCCCGTCTTCATACTCAACAACAGAACGCATTCAATTTTCTCCGAAAAACAGCTACAGTAACTTCTTCACGGAAGAAAGCGTGGAGTGCCACTGCCGCGAGCATGAGCTGTCTTTTGAGGAGAAGCCGCAATCAGACGAGGCTTCCCTGCCCAACTTCACTTGCCGCTTCTTGACCGCACGCTTCAACCTGCATTCACTTCGTCAACTTCATCAGCACGTCTGCAGCGGACGCGTATGTCTGTGCGTATGTCTGCAATCTTTCAGGTTGTCGGGCTTTAGCCAACGCATCAGGTTCTGCCTTTGCATACAACTCCTTCGATGGATGCAGAGGTTTGATTTTTGCTATGTGTCTGTATAGCGAGGTGTCTCTCGAGTAGGGAGAAGTAAAGCCATTGATGAGGCAACGATACTATGTGGCACTTGAGAAGCAGAGTACATTCATGAATTGAGGACACTCACGCTTGAAGTCGGGGCTTGAAGGATGTGATGACAACGTGTAGAGACGACAGCAAAGTGCACTCGAGACGGCATGAAGAAACATACCTCCGGAAATGGCTGCAACCAAGTTCTCAACATATTCTGAAACATCGCACCGGCTGGACGACCGTCACTCGCGCATTGCGTTCAAAGCCGTCTGACAAACAATTCGTGGCCAAAGACCATGTCTACCGCTGGAGTGCAAGGGAAGCCTGGAGAATCGAGTCTTGGAAAAGGTCTTCTTGCTGCGACGGAAGGCAGCTTGCGTTGTCCTGCACTTCCACAATCCAGTCCGACAACCATCAACCGGACCGGACGGACATGTCGTGGCTCGCCAACTTTGACGGCCTGACGGGGCGTGTATAAGAGCACCCTGCTACGACCCAGCAAGCCTTCGACAACCCAGCCCTTCAACTTCATCTCAGTCTATCCAAAGTTCAAGTAGGTGGTTGAAGGTCCTTACGTTCACTACTCCAGTCCCGAGCACATGCTAACATGTTTTAGCCTCTAGCTCGACCCGGTCGTTACAATGCTCAACCTCAAGCTCATCCTTGGCCTTCTCGCCGCAGCTCTCGTTGCTGTCCATGGCCAGGACAGTATCGACCAGAATGATATCCCGAACGAGTGCCAGTCTCAGTGTCAGAATGTGATCAACCAGTCTCAGAACTGCGACAATCAGTACGACAATGACAACAACAACAATAATAATAACAACAGTGAGTAGCTCATATCGGCAGCTAGGAGTCGCTTCGTTCCGCCAGCATGCCAGATGGACGGGATTGAATCTAATCAGTCAGCAGATGACAACGGAGATGACCAGCAATACCGCGACTGCTTCTGCAACTCCCAGAACATGCAAAATGATCTTCCAAACTGCAACTCCTGCATCCAGAACTATCAAAACGGCAATTACAACAACAATGACAACAACAACAACAACAACAACAACAACAACAACAACAACAACAACAACAACAACAACAACAACAACAACAACAACAACAACAACAACAACAA